GGGAGTACTGGAACGGTCTCCGACTCTGGAATCCGGACGGGGTGTTTCTGAGCGAGCAGTTTCCTGAAGGCGAGAAGGAGTACCAGGCCGTGGGGCGCGTGCTTCGGCCTTCACAGCACTGACAATTTCATTGCCACGGGAAGGAGTCCATTGTTCCTTGGGTACGCTGTCACCACTACGCCAGAGAACCACTTCGCCCTCCAAGGCAGAAATGTAGCTTTCAAAATTCGTCATTTGACTCTGAGCTTTCCGCAGCAGTTGCTTCATTTCCGCCGGGCTGAGCTCTGCGTTCACCTTGGCCTTGTTCTTGATTGCCTTGGCGCGTACACCGAACCGTAGAGTCGAGATCGTTTCCGCATCGTTGTAGCTGCTGGGCGAACAGTTGATAATCAGAGTCGTCCGTGAATTACCTCCTAGGGACTCTTGTAAAATTCGAGTAAGTTTGGAGTCGCGGTAAGGAATGTGTGTCGATTTGCCGTCCGTCAATGCATTGATGACCATTCCGAGGGCACTCAAACTCTTGTTAATCTTCTTGGCCTCCTCCAGGGTTTGACCACTTGCGCCGGTCTTGCCAACCTTTTCACTACCTGCCAAATCAACCAAGAACAGTTGGCCGCTCTTGGCTGACCCGGTTTCAACATTTTTCTGGGTGACAGTGATAACGAAGATAGAGTGGGAGCGAGACGATTCCTGGTTCATGTTGGTTGCAGCCACTGCGCGTGCTGCTCCTCCGCGGCGCATGACTTCGTAGACTTCTTGAACGCTGGATACGTAAACCTCAAGCAATCCCTTCACATAAACTCCGCGGGACTTCTCCTCGTGCACTGGCAGATTATCGTTCTGCGGCACCAGAAGATCGCGAATTCGCTCCATGTAAATTTCCATATAACTGACCCGTACCGTGTACTCAATATTGCTCGGGCTGGTGAGAATACTAGCGAAAATCTGCTCAATCATTCGGGGAATGATACCCTTGCCCTCCTCGTCGTCGATATCGGAACCCATCATGGTGTATGACTTTCCGGCACCAGTTTGTCCATAGGCGAAAACAGTTCCGTTATATCCATTGAGAATATCGTCCACGGTAGGTCGGATCGAGAAGTCAAAGATATCATTTTGCGCAGTGTTCATGGGGAACACACGGTCGAAGGTGAAAGACCCGGTCCCTTCACGAGACTGAAACAATAATCAGTAAGGTCCTGTGGCTTATTCTATATCAACTCACATTGATGCTACAGGATTCTTCATTCTCAAAATCAACAATCGGCTGACCTCCGGAGGACAGCTCGACCTTGTTCTGCGGACGGAATCTGGCCACCACTGTGCATGTCTAGTCAGCCTCGCGCTCCAACCTAATACATCTCATTGCTGAGCTCAGTTGTGCATACCCTTGATGGTGTTTGACCCCGCAGCCCTGTCGAACCTTCCGTTAGCGACGTCGCATGCTCGAGTCGGAGGTTATACTCACGCCATGGTTGTAGAGTGCGATTCGGGTATAACCGATCGAGTGAATAGAGAAGGTCCAGGAAGGGATATGTGGGCCGCGAAACTCGCCGGAGGCGTTTGGAAGAGGGTTTGTAATGTCTGTTGCGGTGTAGTGACGCGGAGGGGTTGACGGTCAGGGGGTCCACGCGCACCAGGCGTGGAGCAAAACGCTAGAGACTAAGCAAAAACGAAGGATTAAAAACAGCAGCCAAGCTGCCAGAAGGAGAGCGAAGACACCAAAAGTACAGCTGGGACTTGCGGTGGAGGAGAAAGCAGATCGTGGGATTTGTTGACAGTCGCCCGTTCGGGATTTCTTGGCCGACCGCCCCGGACTCGGGATGCATAAGCTTAATCTGTAGACATGCAACACCCTGGCAAGCATGCATGAGTCTAGTCTGTCTGGAAGAGGTGGAGGAAATGTATGCTAATGCACTAATGCAACTATGAAACTATACGCGCGACCCATGGGCCTCAAGCCCGGGAGATTGAACTATGAGAACATGAAGTGAAAAAAAAGAGTAAAGGAGACCAAGCGCCAAACCCCACGCTGTGCAGATCAAACGGTTAAGCCGTTGTGATATATCCCTGGATATCAACCGGCCTTGTGGTTTTTCAATCATCCCAGCTCTTCTCAACAGTCTCCCGCACGCGCTTTGTGTATTCTTTACGGTTGTCTTTGTACAGGTTCGAGGCCTCGACATTGGCAGGAGATGAGGTGTTGGGGTCATTCAAAAGACTAAGTGCATTGATTAGCACCGGTGCATTATTGGAGTGAATGGCCAAGCTTACCTTTGGATACTAGTCAGGATGGCAGCAACGTCATAGGTTGGACTCCAGCGGTTCTGCAAAATGTCCAGACATAGCTCACCAGTTCCATACACATTAGGATGGAACATCTGACTGATGAACTTGACACCAGGAGGCTTGTTGGGATACTGTTCCTCGAAGTTCATGACCAAGCGGAATGTGCCATCTTCGAAGGGGGTGTCGGCGGGGCCAATGATGACGGCATTCCTAATCATGTATCAGATAATGAGTCTTGGGGTGGAGGAGAGGTTGGCCTACCATGTCATCACATTATCGGCCACAGGGGAGGCAGAGACACCAGCTGGGGGATCGGTTTGCATGCGCTGTAGTAACAAAATTGTCAGAGGCGAGTCATAACTTTAGGGGCATCAAATGGGCATGATGCAAAGGAAGCGGTATAAAACGCAAACACGTTGAACAAAATCTCTTCTTGTTTAACATAGACGTATCATTCAAGTCAAAGCTTGAAGGCGAAGTGATTGTCACGCGTACCTTGAAGTCCCGCATGAGACGGCGGCGGGCGGATGTGGACATGATGAATTGGCCGTAAGATGTGAAGGTGGTAGAACAATGGAAAGAAAGGCCAGACCTCTGTACAGTGATGTCAGTACAGACTCAGGAAGGTCGAGGTAGGTGAAGAAAAATGAAGGTCTTCGAGTTGATACCGATATGCGATGGAGGGGAAGACCCGGAATAGATATCCTAATGGAGAAACCACCGCCGTTGGGACTAGCGTCCATTGCAGTCAGGTGATCTCAGATCACCTGGTTATGTCATAGTTGCTTATGTCATAGCGGGCCAAAACAGCCTCGGTCCAGGCGGAGAAGCGGTTACTGGCGGTTGCGCGGCGGCATTCCGTATACTTCATGTGCTCTGGGCCTTGCTGCTCTCCTCTTCCTCTCTTCACAATTATATCTTTTCCCTTATCTTCTGTACAAATTTCTTCCACAGATATTTCACAATGATTTCTCCGAGCTTGTCTGCTCGTGTTCCAAAGGCGTTCCCCGCATTTCGTACCCAGAGACACTTCAGCTCCACACGTTTGGCATGCAAGGAGATCCAGGAGGCCTACATCTTGAGTGCATCTCGAACGCCAACAGCCAAGGTGAGCCACCTCTGAAATGGCTTCAAAAGGCAACAAACTTATATTATTGACTTAGTTCAATGGGTCATACGCTTCAGTGTCGGCACCTGAGCTCGGCGCTGTTGCCATTAAATCTGCGCTCAGCAAATCAAAGGTCCCAGTCGAGAAGATCACAGATGTTTATATGGGCAATGTGTTGCAAGGCTCCGTAGGTCAGGCACCTGCACGCCAGGCGTCCATCTTCGCCGGGCTGCCTTCCACGGTCGAAGCTGTCACGATAAATAAAGTGTGTGCTTCTGGCTTGAAGGCAGTAGTACTTGCTGCACAAAACATTCAACTGGGCCTAGCAGAGGCACAGGTGGCTGGCGGGATGGAGAATATGACCCGTGTCCCATACTACATGCCTCGTTCTAGTCAATTACCACCCTTCGGCGAAATTAAGCTGGAGGACGGCTTGATCAAGGACGGACTGTGGGATGTCTACAACAAGTTCCACATGGGTATCTGTGCGGAGCAGACTGCTAAGAAATATGAAATCTCTCGGGAAGATCAAGACCAATATGCTATCCAGTCTTACGAGCGAGCTCAGCAGGCATGGAAGGACAACAAATTCGCCGATGAGATTGCCGCAGTTACAGTCAAGGGCAAAAAGGGCGACACGGTCATTGAGCGGGATGAAGGCTTTGAGAATTTGCGTGCGGACAAGCTAAAGACACTGAAGCCCGCTTTCCTGCGGGATGGTACTGGCACCGTGACCGCCGGTAACGCATCGACTATGAATGACGGAGCATCGGCTCTGATTCTCGGTAATAAGGAGCTTGCTCGTGCATACGGGACCGGTGGGCGTGCCTTGGCTCGCATTGTGTCCTCAGCCGATGCCGCCATCGACCCGGTAGACTTCCCCGTTGCCCCAGCCAAAGCAGTTCCAATTGCATTGGAGCGTGCCGGTATCACCAAGGATCAGGTTGCGGTCTGGGAATTCAACGAAGCTTTTGCAGCCGTTATCAAGGCGAACGAGAAGGTAAGTTGTCAAAGATTACCTCATCTAGCAAGATGTATATCTAACCCAGTTTGTATAGATCCTCGGCTTGGAGAATGCCAATGTCAACATGCTTGGAGGTGCTATCTCCCTCGGCCACGCTCTCGGTAGCTCAGGCTCACGTATACTTGTCACCTTGCTCCACCAATTGCAGCCTGGCGAGTACGGTGTGGCTGCCATCTGTAACGGCGGCGGTGCTGCAACTGCGATGGTTGTACAGAAATTGGATCGGGTGGATTGATTTTTTCAAAGACGCTGTCATGTCATCGACAGCTTGATGATACCCTGACATGAAGATTCCCAGGTTGGATATGGGTAATAATGTTGCGTTTCCGATCATAATATCACAAGACCCGCAATAACGTAGAGCTATGTAGCCATATAGAGACCTCAAGCTCATTGTCTATTGAATGTAAATCCAGTCAATATCAACTGTAACACAAATGACCTCGACACCTGATTTATCAGGACGCAACACCCGCAGAATGCTGTCCGTCGAACCACAACAACTCAAACTCCTTCGATCTCTTCCACCCTGTTATTTTAAGAACATGCCAATCATAAGAATCCAGCGGCTTTGAAAATATGCTGGGTTCTGTTGAACTCTCAGTGTTCCCCTCATGTACTGACGCCATCTCGTGGTCCTCAGACGGCGAGCTTGCAGTTGCTGCCGGTGATTACTTTCAGATCCTGGTATATTCCTAGGTGCCAGTATTGCTTTTGAATCGATGGCTGATACTTGTTTACAGACACCAAAAAGGGGCAAATCTGAAGAACCAACGCCAAATGCGACACGGGATTGGCACATAATCCGTGTCAAGGCCAATCAATTCACGCACTCTGAATGGCCTACTTTCCTAGCCCAAGATCGGGATGCCTTCTCAATCGCCGCAGAACAATCGAATAGCACAGTAATTGGGCTAGCTTGGTCACCACCTGGGGTAGCCAAATTCCGACGCAGTGTGGTAGCCGTCTTAACCTCCAATCTTCTTCTATCCCTTTGGGAGGCTGTCGGTCCACAAAAGCAATGGACCCGAATCGCTATCATCAACCACGCATTACAGTCCTATTTCGAAGATTCCAAGCAATCGGAGAGCCTCGCGTTTCGGAAAGGTAGCATTCGGTCGTTCACTTGGTGTGAGCCTCTAAAGGCTTCAACTTTTCCCGCCGGCTCTTCGTTTCTGCCCGCCTACGAAAGTCGTTGGGGAATTCCTCTGCTGACTGTGGTCAATGACCTCAATGAAGTCATTCTGATAAGACCACGTAGATCAGAACTATCAGAAGATTCACTCTACTCTCATCAATTGCATGTTCTGGCAGTTTACCCGCTCGCCTGCGAAGGACTGAACAATCCTCACCTCTGCTCAGGATCGATTCTTGAAAAAACCTTCAAAGAGAAACAACGAGTCAGCTCGATTTCCTGCGGCCCGTGGCTAAAATCACCGCCGGCGAGCCGAACAAAATCCGGCTCTGCTGTTGCTATGCTGGCTCTTGTGATCGGAACGCAGCTTCGACTTTTAAATATGCAAATCACGATTGGAGACTCAAACCTGGATGCCGTGGAGCCATATTCCTTGCCAATCGCATTAAAGGAACATCCATGGAGCCTCTCAAACGAAAAATTGACATATCGCAACATCATTGGTCCATTGCAATGGCTTTATGATGTATGTTTCGAGTCTTCCACACTATCCCTTCTGTTACTTACATATTCATTAGCAAGCATTTACCGAACTTACTCTTGTGGTGGGCATCACGGCAGGTTTTATCACAATTTCTGTACCCCTCAACACTTACAATGACCACGACCCCAACTTTGATGCTCTCGCAGTTTGTGAGTGGCCGATCTACAATCCAGAAACAGAGCAAAATATGGGAGGCGATGAAAGGCACTGGGAGCCTATATCTGGTACAGATTCCAATTTCTTTTCGCTATGGTTTGGAATTGACGTATTTTAGCAATGACCACTTGTATAGACGAACAAGATCGTTCATGCACTCTTGCCTTGGGTACCCTAGGTGGACTTGGCCTGGTCACAAAATTGCGCCAACTTCAAAATGGAGATCCCCTGCAACAAGCACGGTGGAAACAAATCGTCGATGACCGCCAAGAGCAATTTGATCTGGACCACGACCTAGGTGGAAACTCGGTGTCCAGGATTTGGGGTCTGTCATCTTATCGCAATGTAACAGCGGTTTTCTTCACCAGACACCCGACAGATATGCTTGAGTACCGAGTCGCGTCTGACGACAAATCTATAATCGTCTTCTCGTCAGAGGTGGAATCCGACTTGAATCCCTCATTCTTTATGCCGCGAATCTCCAACGGCCAAAGTTCAGTCCATATTCAGCGAGAATCGGCACTGAATTTCGTGTTGCCTGGTGATGGTGACATCGAACCTGATGAGGAGAGCCAGCGACTGATTTATGTCGCTATCTGCTGTGCTATTACGAGTGGTAAAACCAAGTCGCTACTGACTCACGCTCGGAAGTCTCTGGAGCGTCTGGCAGTTGTCACAGGTGCAGACCTCAGTGATGAGATGCACAAATACAACGACGAATCCACTGCAATTGCTCCAAGGTCACAAGATCAGCTCGATGGTCCAGGTGGTCATATTTTCGAGCAGTGTGACATCTGTGACGCTGGGATCGGGTGGCATTCAGCTCAGGAGGCAAAGTGTGCGAATGGTCATTTATTCAGTAAGTCACCGGTGTAAGGTGGATGTATCGGGCCAAATTTTTTAACTTTCTCTTTTGTCTAGCTCGATGCGGATTGTCATTTCTGACGATTCAGGAACCGGGGATATCCAAGTTTTGCTCTGTGTGTCAAACCGAATACATTGATGAAGACTCCTTAGCTTTAGCCCGTGGTGGTAAGCTGAGCCGAACTTTCAGCGAAGTGTTCGAGACTTTTGATACCTGCCTTTACTGTGGGGGCAAATTCCAGCCAACTTTATAGAATGGTTTGCATGTGCAGGTATCGATATGCTTGGATTGCATTATGAAGGGCTATGTTAAGCAAAGAAGAGGGGCCGCAATGGGATCCCATTCATCGTCCCAGCAACGAGAGCTTTCTTTCTGTGCGCCATGACGGAGGGTTTCCAATCTGCCGTTGTTTCCGAACAATTCGACCAAATGGTCCGCCAACTCCTCAGAGCTGCCAAAGCCAAGCCCATTGACACCCTCGGTCACCAATTCAGGCCAGGCCTCGAAACGATCCCATCCGACTACTGGAAGACCTGCGCCAAACATATCTACCACCTTCATTGGAAGATCAACTCCACTGCTGCTGGTGTGTAAACTGACCCCCAAAGACGCGGACGCTAGCAACTTTGCATAGTCCGGCACACTCAGCCACGCAGTTCGAATGGTGACCTTTTGAAGTTTACCGGATTTCTCAAGTACCGCAATTTGCCTCAGATACATTTCTTTCTGCGGACCTTTTCCTGTAATGATGACCAAGACTTCGGGAAGATGAGGTTGTGTCGTAGTGGCCAGTTCAGAGTACCGTAGAAGGGCGTCTATAAAGACCGAGAAATCTTCATCCACAGTCCACGAAGTAGAGCTGACAAGGACACGCAGGGTTCCTGTTTTTAAAGAGGCGCGAACTTCCTTGGTTTCCGGTAAAGTTTCAAGGAACTCAGTTCGGGCATTGGGGTCAATAATGGGACTGAAGTGGCTGGCAGGGCGGTCATGCAAGGACAAAATAGGCTTTTGTATTTCAAACTCTTTTTTGAGGAAAGACTTCATAGCATCTGTCACGCACAGATGGGCCGATGCGGATTTGCAGAATACTTTCTCGTACCAGGTTGACAGTCTTACCAACATATGATTTTGACCAAGTTTTAGAGCGAGGATCGAGTAACCAAAATTGTGCCAGTCAATGACCAATTTTGTTTGGCGCAAGAAGCAAGTGATGGAGGCAATTGCTAGTGTAGGAATGGAGGGTGGATTCTATAGAACCACTATTTAGCCCGCCATTCTCCCCTACGGGATACCCGAGAAACGTACCTGAACCAGTAGCCACTTGGCTGGTTTTGTGGTGTATGCAAGACATTGCCATAGGCAAATTATTTGGAAAATAACTTTCAATGGCCCGTAGATCGTAAACAGAAGTTTGTTGCTTGTTTGTAATATTGGGGGATGCGGGCGAAGAGGTACAATCGTAATGTTGGGATTGGAGGTGATATCAGGATGGAGATCAGATTCTAAACAGTAATCGGCAGTCAGCAAGCTTGTTCTTGACCATGAAACTCGTGTAGAGTGCAAAGCGTTGAATCTACCTGTATATCCAATGATCACCACTTTCCCACCATGTTTGGCAATACTCAATGCATGATACTGCATACGTGGACTGCGACCTATATCCCCCAGCACAAGTATCTGAATAGTCGGCTTTATGGTTCCATTGGCGCCTGGAGAGGCTAGTTGCGGTGGTTCATATTGCGAAGGAAGCAAAAGGATCAATACCGTGAGCACACTGGAAAGACAGAATGCTATGGTAATTAATGACTCAATCATGGCGCCCATGAGGTTCAAAGCGCCTCCCTCATGATATCAAGGAGTGGCATAGTCAAGCCAAGTGGCCCCCGTGAAATGAAGTCGCAACACACTAGATAAGATAAGGATCACGTGCAGCGCAGTCGGTCTTCAAGGTTCCCATTGCCAACTTGAACTTGTTGACTCGTTAGACACTTGTTTCCGAGGGCGCTTGACGCCATATTTTTATATTTGCATGCCCCTGTCTAGGCGATGCCGAGTCTGACTTGATCTGCGAGGATCCGCACTCCTCCCCAATAGCTTGGCAGAGTACCCTATCTCCTATCTGGCTCCAACTTCCTATTCAGCGCGCATTGCCAACATCAGACATGTCGACCGGGGGACCATCCCTGAGCGTGGATCTCACTCCACCTGTCAATGAACACAACCATGGCCATACTCGTCGCGGCCACTCTCGTTCCAATCGCTCGGCGCAACGTCCTCCTTCGATCCCACAGTCGGTCAACAGCTTCCCCCAACCTGACATCAATGGAGTGAATGCAAGCTACTCATACGGTCATACGCATCAGTCTTCGGACAGTCACACACACCCATATTTGAGCGTTCAACATGATCAACATGATCGCTCACATACACATCAAGATCATGGCCATCATCACGATCATGATCATCAAGACCATGACCACGACCATGACCACTCTGGTCATCACAGCCATGCCCATAGTTCTTCTTTAGCTCATATTAGTGCGCCGCACAGTCACGATTCAAAAAGCGCCCATGGATTCATGCCCATGGATACAACCCTTAAGGCGGATTCTAACCCCGATCAAATGTACGTGATGTGGATGTTGCTCAAAGATCAATGGCTAACTTTCTCGATAGTTATGAGATATTGACTGGCGCTCTGATTGTGTTGCCCTGGATTGTGTTATCTTGGTATAATAGGAAGAGTGCGCAAGCCCCTGGGTCGATTCCTACAGATACCGCGAAAGTGACCATTCCCATTGCATCTGTGGGACAGGTCGGACAAAAAACTTGCATTCTAACTGCACTCGTACTTGTTTTGTTCGGCTGTGGTCAAATCCTTCGCCTCCATCTCCGGAAAACTAGATCACTGGAGGTATCTTCTATCAAATTCCCGGCTGTGAATGCGAAGACTGTTCAAACTTCCCTTGCACAGACTCTCTCTGTGGCACTGCCGATATTTGCAGCGCTGAAAATTGGTGGCTTCTTGGTGGCTTTTGCTCTACTCCTTGCGACTGCATCAGGGTTACCGACTGTCATCACTCGGTCTCAGGAACGATATAGTAAAAAAAAAATGTCCCTCGCCCTCTTTACACTGGTCACTGTGTCGAGTTTCTTGGGGCTGAACTATCCGTGGGACCCGTCTCCTTTCCTTGGATATGTGGCTCTCTTGGCATCTATTCTCATATTGGCTCCCCCATTCCCTTCCCTGCGTCAAGATGGTCCTATACCTGAGCCAGGTCTTGCTGCATTGCAAGGGAAACCTTCCGATATGACCCATTCTTCCGTCGTGGTTACAACTGACGCCCCATTGGCTGTCATATCTGGATCATGCCTTGGTCTGTTCACTCTGGTTTTCACTCGAGGAATCAGCTTCGACACGTTAGATGCAGTTTATATTTTCGTCTCTGCGGGTCTGTTCGCAGTTTCTCTCATGGCGTCTATGTCTAAAGGCCTTCGATCTTCTAGCAAGACCGGGCTCGCCATCTGCGCTGGAGCTGCAGCCCTTCTCTGCTCCCCTCACATGCAGGATGATCTTATTGTACTATATGCCGCGCGTGGAATCTTAGCGACAGCATCGGTTCTGGCTTCACGAATGGATGATAGTCATCTGCATTCTGATTCCCACGCACACAATCACACAAGCCATGGTCATAGTCATTCGCACGCAACTGTTGAAGCGTCACGTGTGTCGAAGTGGCTCCTCCATAAAAGCGAACCATATCCTTTGCTACATAGCATTCTGAAAGAGAAGGACTCTCGTAGTATATTCTACTTTATGTGGTGAGTGAGAACATTGGAGCTTCAAGTGCCACTTTCACGACTTTGCTAACATTATTATAGTTTGAACTTTACTTTTATGCTTGTCCAATTATCTTATGGTTTCCTGACTGGATCGTTGGGCTTGCTCAGTGACAGTATTCACATGTTCTTTGATTGTCTCGCGCTCGTGGTTGGATTATGCGCTGCTGTCATGAGCAAATGGCCCCCAAACGCTCGTTTCCCTTACGGTTATGGGAAAGTCGACACTTTGTCTGGATTTGCCAACGGCATATTTCTCATGTGAGTAACGCTAGATGAGGCTCAAAAGTCAACTCTAACAAGATCTAGGATTATAAGCGTTGAGATAATTTACGAAGCGGTGGAGCGGCTGTCATCGGGAAGTGAGATGCAACGTATTGGGGAGCTATTGGTCGTTAGTATTGCCGGTTTGGCTGTCAATCTCGTCGGTATCTTCAGCTTTGAACATGGTCACCATCACGGCCACGATCACGGGCATGACCATTCTCATGGCAATGAGAACATGCACGGCATCTTCTTGCATATTTTGGCTGATACGCTTGGCTCGGTGGCTGTTGTGATATCGACCATTCTTGTGCACTATTCTGGCTGGTCAGGCTACGATCCCTTGGCGTCATGCTTTATTGCCATATTGATCTTCGCCTCGGCAATTCCCCTGGTCACGAGCACCGCCAAATCCTTGCTGCTCACCCTACCTGCCGATACTGAATATAATGTCCGTGAAACCTTAGCCGGTGTCAGCACCTTGAGGGGCGTCGTCAGTTATACAGTACCCAAGTTCTGGCTCGATGATACCGGAACGAAGTCAGAGCACAGCCATTCGCATGACCATTCCAGCCATGGCGATTGTGGAAGTCAACACGATCATGGTCATAGCCACCATGGCCATGGCCATGACCACGACCATACCCACGACCATGCCCACGACCATGCCCATACGCATAGCCATTCTCATGAACACGACCACGACCACGATCACGATCACGCGAAGAAGCCACAGAATATCTTCGGTGTCATTCATGTTATCGCGTCTCGGGGCGCAGATTTGGAAGATGTGCGCCAACGGACGGTTGACTATCTCCGCGAGAAACACATGGATATTTTGGTCCAAGTTGAGCGCGATGGAGATGCACACTGTTGGTGTGGTGGTGGAGGCAAGGGCTTGTAATTGGCTACAGCCAATATTTGTCCCACCAACAACCAACTCACCTCGAAGGGCAGTCAAGATACGCGGCATTTCCCGCTCTCGGTCACCAGGTCGAGGTCTATATCTCTTTTGTACAGACAGGATTGGATACCCCAGTTCGCCCAGTGGATTTATCAATCAGCAGCACATAGTCTTCACAGTCAATGACATCGCATTCATTCCAGCGCCCAACCCAACTCTCTTGCATCACATGTAGACCTGTTCAATAACTTATCTATACTCATTTCCTGATGTCTTGTACGACCCGTTTATGGGTTACTGGCGGCCCTGGCAGGAATCTCGCGCTCTCCTACTGGGGAGCTATACAAGCACAATGGTTTCTGCTTGTGTCCATCTCAATCCAGATCTATATAACGTGCTACACGATCATCGGTTGAGTCGTACGGCTCTACTGGACCTCGGCTGCATATGGTTCGATGCCACATTGGGTTTGCTTCTATTCAAACAGAAAATAGCTCAATGTTACTAGCAGTTGCGAAGTTCCCGGTACATTTTAACACCACTGGCTACTGATCAACCAGTTCCACGAATAATGCCGATATTCAAGCCCGCATGGATACAAGAGTGACATTCAGCCGACTGTGCTACCCCCATCGCAGTATCAAGCTTGATTCACGTTCCAGCGTCACTGGTATATGTTCCGACATAGACGTCCAAGCTTGCTGCAATGCATACAATTCTTTGAGCCGTGCTTGACTTCTTCGCACAAATACCAGCAAGATCTTTCGTGTCAAGTTGACACAGGTTGTGCAATGTCATCAACTTCGGTCCCGAGCACAGCACACGCTGACGAAGTCATCCGAGGGGGGTATGGAAGAATATTTGAAGGCCACACAGTCTTCCTGACGGGAAGCACCGGGTGCCTAGGAGGCTGTCTTCTGTATAAGCTGGCTTTGCAGACACCAACTCATAAGATCTTCGTGTTGGTCCGGGGAAGCTCCCAGCGGGCAATCGAGAAATGGAGAAAATTGATGCCCAATCATGCACAGGCTATTCTAGCCACGAAGAAGGTCGAGTTTGTCATTGGGGATGTCAAAAAAGTCGATTTTGGGATTCAATCTGCCCTTCTGCGGAAACTTCAAAACCAAGTCACCCTGATTATCCACACAGCAGCCAAAATTTCCCTTGAAGGTCCCATTCAAGATGCACTCGAGAGCAATTGTCTCCCTGCGTTGGAAATGGCACGAATTGCCTCTTTGTTTCAGCGATTGAAGCTCCTTGTGCAACTGTCTACTTCATACGCCAACAGCCATCTCCCTGATGGTCCGGTCCTAGAGCGGATATATCCAATGGGAGACAGCGATCCAGAGGAAGAACTGGCATCTATTCTGGCACTGGGGGAGTCTGCATACGCAGCTCAATTTTCATCCAGTTACACCCTAGCCAAGCACCTGATGGAACGTCTTCTTCTGAAACGCTTTCCAACTCTTCCAATACTGTTGGTGCGACCCACAATCTTCGGCCCTGCGTTGAAACATCCATATGTGTTATATGGACCAGAAGATTCCACCCCTCTCACCAAGTTTGCTCGGTTTTGGTACGCTGATCGTGGAGCCACCCAGGTCTGGCATGCCACCGAAGGCTACAAATCCGGGGCAAACACCTTGGATGAGATACCGGTGGACTTGGTGGCCAATGCATGTTTACTACATGCGGCAGCACGCACAACAGGAATTGTCCAAATCGGTTCCCAGCTCTACCACCCAGTGACATTCGACGAGTTCTTCGACCTGGCCCAAGAAACCGCCACCCCGCTCGTCCAGCGAGAAATGCCCAAGCTCGTCTTTACGGAGGACCGCAGTGCACCGCAGTGCTTCCTTGCAGAGCTTATCCAGGTTGGAACGCGCAATTGGCTGTTCGATTGTGGCCGGTCCTATTGGTTGAAGCAAGTCTGTGGGCCGTTAAGTCTACGAGTATGCAAGCACGAGGCCGATAGTTTGAACAAGATACGGATTCTAGATGTTTCTGGGATTTCGAAAGAGAAGGCGAGAATCTGAAGTGCTCGTGGTGCTTGGAGCTGGCTAAAGTATACATGTACGAAGTAGGTCAGATTAATTGTAGGGTTTCTTTTTTCAATCCATACTACTGATACAGCTCCAATCCAACACTTTTTGGTTCCAAGTAATCAGATGAATAACAAAACGTAAGAGCCCTGCACGCTGGCAACCCTTGCAGGAGACCAAATTCAGTTATGTGGTGCAACCAGACTGTTATGGGGTATTTAGAACCAACTGTATGTTGGATAGTGATCTGGACGAATATTGGCCGCAGGGTCGCCGGTATCATACATGATGGGAGCTGTAGTTACATGTGCCCTGCCCACTTGGTTTTGGAGTCAGTTATTTGAACCTCGATCCCTGACTGAGCTCCTAAATCTCTTAATCCCTGTATCATGTCAGGTTTCCAGTCCCGCGCTTTCATCACACTCCCTAACAGGCAAAATCCCTGGAGATTAGGTGTGTATCTCTTCCAATTTTGAAGCCAGGATCGAATAACCTCCAATAAATAGTCAGTCTTCCATTCCCATTCCCATTGTTCTTGCATACATAAGCCGTCAGTCAAAGTCAGCCATATAAGACTTTTAGGTAGTGCAACAGCCAGAAAATTCGCTTTGGAAATCGAGGGAAAAAATCCGAGCAGAAATGGAATCGGGACCTCCAACCTTTTCAGGGTATAAAGTTCACTAAAGACCTTGAACGATCCACTGAATTGGAGTTCTGGTTCTTCAATATCCGCTTTGTAGCCATTTGATCCTGCTGTGATAGTTAGGTCTGTCAAAGTCTCTTGAACATGAGATAGACCCGTGGCGATTTGGTCTAAATCGATGATATCGGTGACAGAATCATCTCGAAGATCTGGGCGGTAGTACCAGTCCCATATAAGCTTCTGAAGCCTCGGTGTGACTGATAATACTTGGCCAAGATGCCTTTCGCGTAACATAGTTAAGTCGAGCGATATTAGTCCCCATGGATTTGGTGGATTCTTTCCGGTCCATGCGAAAGTCGCGGGGTTATCGACCAAAGCCCTTATTCGTTTAACTGATGGAAGGTAAAAAAGAGGAAGGATGTCCCGCGTGTTCCTAGTGTCTGTTTTCTGGCGTATGTCAAAAGGAAGGCAAGGAAACTCCGCTGACACATCTTCAAGATATCTGTAGGAAGAAAGATAGCTATTGGTGGACTCCTCGCAGAGGGCCGAGCGGAGCATCATGCCCCTGAGACGAGTCTCTCGGTTATAATTTTTGTCAAGGAAGAGACGTTTCAAATTGAGGAGTTGTGATATCAAAAGAGTGGTGAACGCATCCATCGATCCGGCGTGTAGCTCTTGGATCCATTCTTCAGCATATGGAACATTAATCCGAGCGATAAACCCCACTAGCTCATCTAATACAACGCTGGTGACTGGTATTTTGGGATTTTCGTTTCCGGAGTCATGAATGCCTCCATCGAGACTGTCACCATTGAGGACCACATCATAGACATAACTGGCGAGCTCGGGCCTTTGGACAATGCTTCGCAAGAATTGAGCAATTGGAGGTCTCTGGGAGTCTGACCATGTCCATTGAATGTGGGCGTAGAGAAATGGCTCAGCAGGAGATCGCAAGTCCCTATGCGTTAGGCATACCGCGGCAAGATCGCCGTTCGATAGGGACGCAAATATTAAACGTAAAATCTCTGTAGGCGTCATGAGAAGGGGCGTCATTTTGTTCGAAAGAGACTCGACAAGACACATCGACACAGAGTGCTGCAGGGTGCTAGAGATGTATGTTGTACTGCGTTCAGAGTACAAAACTGGGCAGCCTAGACCGCCGACTCGTTAAGCGAGACCTGGCCACTGCAATCCACTACAGTAGACCTAATCGGGACGATGCCCAAGCAATCTGAGCGTAGTGGGCGATCAAGAGGCGGCTGGAAGTCCAAAGTTACGAGTGAAAAGGCAGCCGTTTCTAACCTTGGAAGCGGTCATTTTCGGCGTTCATCCCATCGGTCCTCATATTCTAGGTGTAATGGCCAATCCAAATACCAGTATGCGCGTGTGGCTTGGGATCTAGCCGTGACGTCCGTGGTCATGGCAATCCGTTTCAATTACCAATCTCAGTATGGCTGCTATGATCCGCGATCGAGGTTGAGTGGTCAGGTCAGGTCAGAGGTCTTGTGGGCTCTTGAGGGCTCATCAATTTGTTGTGATCGAATTTTTGAAGAGCTTAGACGTCCAAGAAAACAGGCTAGTGGACACCTATCTCAAAGTGCCATTTTCTTCTGCGGCCAACCAACAGCTTCTGCCCATTGAGGGTCTGCAGGGTGCAGTGCATCCAATAGCTCACCAACTAACGCTCGACCCGAATCACGAGCCCACCAATGTTGGCCATCAAGCTCGCCCAGTAGAACGCCCCAATGCATGAGAATCAATAATGCCAGCGGTTGACGCCGTCGCACATTGTCCACGAACTCCTTATCAACCATGGCCAGCCATGCCAGAACGTTCGCGGCATCCACAGACGTGCGAACTCTGGTAGAGAAATGCCGCAGATAGAAAATGGCCTCTTTGTTGATTTGATGTTGATCCGGGTCGATGCTAGCAAGGGTTTCGTCGTTCAAAGTACCGAGTCGCTCCAGAGCCGCTTGCGTCTCACTGTCTAGACCAATTGGACCTGTGTCCCAATAATTTCGTCGGCGAGCAAACAGCTCCAGCTTGATCCAGGATTCACCTATCCGATGGATCTTTTTTACTCCTTGCAAGAGTTCGAACACCACGACGATGTTCTCTGTTATACTTGCACTTTCCCCGCGGGCCGCACTCGCTCTAGGTAAAGCAATACCAATGACAGTGGTGATGATAGACTGTGCCAGCACAGCCTCGCAGTTCATTGGCGTGATGTTGTCGACTGCGGTGCGATATGGAGCAAAGGTGAGGTTGTGGTATTGAAGAGCGGTATCAATATATACCAGAGATGCCGGTGGCTCAAGGCTGGTAGCGATATGGAGAGCTCCCAAGGCGAGAAGTCCATTCATCAAGAAATTATACTGCAAAGCCAGACGCGGAATGGCGATCTGCCACACATAATGTCCCGAGCTGGACGTGCACAGACTCTCATAAGTTTCCGTGGAAAACTTGTGCATCAACTCCAGATCTCGCACCCCCGAGATACTTGACGGAGTGGAAGCCGCTGGGCTTGGAATCCCCAGAGGTTGGGGACTCGGGATACCGGGGGCCCCGGAAGCACTGGAGACACTGGGGACACGGGGGATCCTCGGTCCACTAGTCACAGCTAAGGTCTGGCTTGCATGGACTTCGGATCGAGGCGGCGCTCTCAAATATGTGCATGCTAACTCCCTCGAGATGCAATTGGAGCACGGAGGCCCTCTCTCATCACACTGCGACCGTTAGCCTCGAATCCAGAGGTACCGTGACGCTACCTCGGAGCTCACCTTTACACGACGCCGCTTACACTGATCACAACCCTGGCGGGACTTGGTGTGCGCTCGGCGAGGAGGCATCGCGGAACCCTCGGGGCCTGTGATTCTAACCAGTCGGCTTGGAGCCAGTCGAGTTATGAAGGCAAGCGGAGACGGGCACGTGACTCGGTATCAAAAGACCTGCCGGCTTCGCGTTTGCTCGACGACTCATACATATCAGACCCCTTTTTCCTTTTCTGGCAACAGGGCGACTTTGCAGTCTTGGGTCACTCGTGTCCGAGACAGATGTTCAAGCACTTCGAGCCCTCGGAGCACTTCATCCGTATCTGCACCTACGTCAGCGTATTCTATGCCGACAGGCACGACAGTTTCCGTGCAGATTCCCATACGAGCACCTAGCTACCATGAATGCAATCATCTCATGAGCACTGCCTGCCTTCTAGGCTTCCTCTTCCAACTTGACAAGCAGAGGATCAAAGCGCCGAGATAGACGGAGTGAGCCGCGTGGGTCGGGTAAGCGAATCATACGAGAACGAGAACGAACGAGAACGATGGCGAGAGCCAATCGCATCTTTAGATATTCTTCTTTTCTCCGGCTTACACTCCACTCCAAGGGCCCTTCTCTGGGCACGACCGTTCAAAAAGTTGATATGGCCCCGAACGGCGGGTTTGTACATTACAATCAGAACTTGGGGGGCCTTGGACTCTGATTTTTAATAAGAGCCCAATTTCCACCTCTTTTTCTTTTCTTTTTGCAGTCTGTCATTACGGAATCTCACTATTTATACTTCCCCTTGATCCTGTGTGCCTCGGACTCGATGGCGAGTTACTCGACCTGCTTCTCCGTGGGCCCCTTGTGCCCAGTTGAAGCAACCACATATGGCTATTACCCCAGCTTCGGTGGGAATGTCTTCTTCACAGTGTTTTTCGGCGTTCTCGGCCTGTGTCAGGCCGGTCTGGGTATCTATTACCGGACATGGACATTTTTGACAGCTCTCTTCATCGGCACCATCATGGAAATGGCAGGATATATTGGCCGAGTCTTGATGAACGACAATCCATGGTCTGGTCCCGCCTTCAAGCTCCAGATCGTGTGTCTGGTGCTCGCGCCCACCTTTGTCGCAGCCGGTATTTACCTGACACTGAAGCACATCATCCTCAACCTGGGGCCACAACATTCAATTCTGAAGCCGCGCCTTTTCACCTGGATCTTCATTGGTTGTGATATTGGATCTCTCATCCTGCAGGCCGCCGGAGGTGGTGTCGCTGCAGCCGCTGGTAACAATGATGTGGCCATGTTGAAGGCTGGTGACAATATTATCATTGCTGGTATCGCTTTCCAGGTCGGAACAATGGTCGTGTGTGGTGTTTTCGCGGTCATCTTCTTCTGGAGGGTGTTCAAGCATGGTGATGGTCTGGCAGGAGAGAAGAATCTGGATACTGGTATTTCAGCTATCACCCCCAAGTGGATGCCATACATTATTGGTGCCGAGGTCTTTGCCTACTTCACCGTCCTGATTCGGTGTATCTACCGGTATGAGCCCAGAAGCATGACAAGAGAGTCCTACGTATACTGATAACAATATAGTATCCCGGAGATGGCTGGCGGCTGGGGAAATCCCCTCATGCAGAAGGAGGACGAGTTCCTGGTCTTGGACGGAATGTGAGTACCGGTCTTGTCAATTTAAAAGATACTCGACTGACTTAATATACAGGATGATTGCTTTCGCCTGCTTAGCTTTCACCATCTGCCACCCTGGTGTCTTTCTCCCATCCATGCGCACCGGACACAAGAATCGTGCATAAATTATCTTGAAGTTCATGTTGATTTAGCGTTCTTGATACCTTTCCATCGTATTATTTGTCTCCAGCGCCATTGATCACAAGGATCACTTTGCACAGATTGATTATCGTTGCGATACAAACTTGATAATAGACTATTACGGATTACCTGCACATTTTGGGAGCAAAATTCTCGAGTTTATTTATACTGTAGTTCAGAAATCGAGGTAAACCAATCAACCCAACTCCAGCACCTTCATGAAACGCAAACAAATGCAACACAAAAACAGATCAAGAGCATGGCCATGAATGCGACTTCAGTTAGCCCAAAAGCACTGTGACCCAGTGCTCGCTCTATCATGCAACGAATGAACACCGCAATAATTCAAAGAAAATACCAGTATACCCCATGTTAAATCAATCATAAGTCCTCATCTTAAATTGCCGTGAATCATCCCAAGATTCACTCATCCAAGCTGTCACGCACGCATTTACGGACACGCTTCTTGAACTCCGCAGGGTTCTCACGCCATAGGCGGGCAGCCTCCACATTGGCGGGGCTTTCATCATTGGGGCTGGACAGCATGGAAATCACAGATAGGAGAATGGTCTCGGGGGTTTGAACAGGTGACCAGCGTTCGGCAGCCGACTCATAGCCGTACTTGTCTTCCTCGGGAGGGTGCAGGATGGAGATACAGACTTCACCGCTCTCATAAACTAGAAAGGAAAAAAAGCAGCCACGTGTGAGTATATCAAGTATAGAACCGGTATCTGCACATTGACGCCACCAAAAGGGAGATCACATACTGTTGGGATGGAAGAGGGGCGACTCGAACTTCATCTTAGGCGGGCGATGGGGGTATTCGGTAGGGAAAGAAAGACGAGCTCGGAAGAAACCACCTGTAACAGCGAGTAGAGCAGTTTAGCATGATATGCATGACCAAAAATGATCCAGTATGTGATGCAGTTGCCAGTGCGGTTGCCACAGAATATATGCAACCCTTCACACTGGATAGCGGAACAGAGAAAAGGCCTACCTCCATATAGCTTAACATCATCCGAAATCATGAGCATAACCTCCCACTCAAAGACATTGTTATCGACCAGACCGCAGCTGATTCCGGGAATGTCTTTATCGGACTGCATCTGCTGCAGCTGGCGACCCAGCATGCGGCCTGCAGGAGAAGTTGCCATAGTTCAATGGAGATCAATAACAAAGGAGAGCAAAAGGAACAAATTGAACTGTTCGAATTCAAGGCCAATGACAAGGTTGGGAGAGGCGAGAAATGAGGGGGAAGCAAAAAGAAATGAAGGCGGTGAACCCAAAGCGGGGTGCTGGGAGGGCGGTGAGGCAGAAGCCGATTTACGATCTACAAAGACGTGAAGTATAGAGAAGAAGGTTGCGGATTTATAGGGGATAGTCATATATAAGCTCATATATAAGCAGCGGAGAATTTCAGGTGCATGTAAAAGTAAGCGCATGCAGCAAGAATATCTTGTCTTTCCTCCATATCAGGTCAACATCCATATAACGTCATGTCATTTTATACCGGGGATCGATTTAGAAGGCAGGAGAATCGTCCTTGACAGGCTTGGCAGTTTTCATCGCCCAAATGAGCTGGCCACCGAGCACAAGGGAGGCAAAGATAACCAATGCCACTTCCATGGCAAAGGTCTTACCAATGACCTTGGCGTAGCGAACTCGAGCAGCCCAGTCAAATGTAGTCCAAGCCTCCACAATACCAATCTTGCCACTACCTCCGGTGATAGCAGGGGTGACCTTGCCACCAAAGGAACGGTCGAAAGGCACAATGGTCTCATCCTCCTCTGGGAGCATAGAAGCAGCGACACGAATAAAGATGACCCGAGCAGGGATAGAGACCAGGAAGGCCAGAATAGCAGGAACGACAAGGACGCCCATGAAACGGAACAAGGCCACCAAAGGTAGCACTTCGTCGCTCTGAGGAGCGTTCAGGAAACCCGCAAAGTTAGCAATCGACAACGGGAGGAAGAAAGCAGCGGCAGTCAGGATATCCTGTACAGCAGCAGCTGGTGCAATCTTGATCCAAGTCTTGAAGCTGGGAATACGCTGGTAGAACCTCTTGGGGGAGGGCTCGGAGATGACAATGTGGACCCAAGCCATCTGCCAGGTAGCGAACAAAACACCCACGAAGGACTGCACGACGAAGGACCCAATACATGAAGTCACCGGGATAGGAATCAGACCAGCAATGAAGCTTCGAGCCGCAGCGTAAGCCACGAACATACCAGCACCGCGGAAGCGCGACCAAAAGCCAGCACGGGCGCGCAGGTGGCTGATAGTCGTACGCAGCTTACTCGTGATCGGCCTCAGTGGAGCGGCCGCACCAATCTCGGGCTCGTCTTCATCCGTCGGTTTGATCGGGTTGGGGTCAGATGTAATGCGAACATAGATATCGGGGTTGGTATCTTCGATGGCGGCCAACGTCGCAACGACCATGCTGAATGTATACTCAATCTATTGAGGGTTAGTTTCGATACGTTCCAAAGATGAACCACCACTTACCGCCCAGAATGCCAAGCTGAAGACAACCGCAGTGATGGCAATGAGAATCACGATTCCCACCTGGGGTTCTGTCTTATCCGCAGACCCCCGCAGGTGAGCGGCAGCAAGCTCGGTGCTCCGGCGCATAAGATGACTGGTAACAGCCGACATGTTGCAGATTATATCAAAGGATGAAAGTAAGCAGAGGGAACAGAGGGGGGAACGTGCTCTTTATGAATACAAAGCAGAGCAGGCAGAGACCAGGCAGCACATCACTAGCGCCGGAGCTTACGGTACTGGGACGGTACTCGGGATTTTGCCGGGATCCACATACAAAAGAAAAGTACCTGAGTTGTACTCTGGACTCTTTGATCACTCTAGTTTCTGACTCGACTTACACCAAAAGACTGCACTGGAGACAGAGCATAGAGAAGACTTGGATGCTTCTCTCACTCTACTAGGAGCCATTTCCAAGCCGGGAAAATGGACGACTACAGTACCGGTATAAATATAGAACCCCCTAGATCGGGCTTAAGAGGCTCCGACTGGGCCGGATTGGCCCCAATTGTTAGCGCGAAAGAATTCTTTTCGGTGCAAAGACGCCACTTGGGGCCACTTTGGGCCACTTTGGGCCAATGCGAAACTCGCTTGTGCAGTCATACGAAGGGTCCGAGTGGACAAGTCCGGTGTTGAGCCTCAATGGTTTAGGCAAAGTGGGTAAGTGGGTAGGATCCCATAGCCTGTGATTTGCTGCGTTGGAAATATGCATTCTAGATTGCAATTTGATTTTATAGGTCAACGCCCCCAATTCTTGGACTCTAGAGAAGAGGGACATCTAAAACAAAACAGATGCGAACCAAGGCAAAATCAAACCACCATCCGTGGATGGGACGCAAAACGCTGCAAAAGACCCAAGTACGTATCTATATACACTCTTTCACCGTTAGTCAAAGAGGTTCTTCATAAACTTGTGGGCCAGCTCAACACCAAGGAAAGTGGCGGCGTTGGCGGGCACGGCACGAGCGAGAGCCGGACCAAAGCCAGGGAAGAATGCCTTGTAACCACCGCTGGCGTAGACGGACCGAATGGTACCCCCGATAGTGGGCTTCCCCGGTGCGCTCTGCAGGCGAGACTTGATCGTGTCAACGGGGAAGACGGGAATCCACATGGCAATACCAGCACCACCACCAGCGCAAAGAACAGCGGACAGAGAAAGCTCGCCGGTGACGTTTCCATTCTCATCCTTGGGGGTCAACGAGCGCTTGATGTACTCGTAAGCGGCAAAGTACGCAGCGGAACCAGGGCCATCACGAGCCAGCGTCATGGCGCTGCCGCGGAACACACTGCGGATGCCGCCCTCCTTGTACAGCTGGCGCACAACATCAGTACCACCGGAGTACTTGGGCTTCTGGCCGGGGGGAGGAGGGTTCTGGCCCTGAATCTGGAGAAGGACCTTGACACGCTCAAAGGGTGCGGTGATCAGCGTCATGGGAATAGCCGAGAAGAACCCGGCTGCGGAGATCTGTGCAATAGAGTACTGGGGGTGTGTTGTTCTTAACGGGGACCACAGAGAACTTGTCCACAAGGGTCTTGCCCACATCGTATCCCTGGTGCGGTGTTAGCAGTGCGTCCGACCGAGAGATTGTTGGGTCTTTGGGATTGGATATAACATACCCAGAAGCTGACAGCGACTATGCAACAAGAAAATATTAGCGCAAGTTCAAGGAATTGCTCACAAGCGACCCATGGAGATGAGCACACTTACACATGGGAGTGACACCGACGAGGGGCGCAGAGACACCGGCATACAAGCCCTGCAAAGCCATGTCAGTTAGTCGCGTATTCCAACCCCATTCTATCATCGAGTTCATACCCTAGCCAAACCCTCACGGGCAACCGTCCGTTTGACCACATCCATAGCACCCGAGTAGACACCCTTCTCCGCGGTCTGCAAGCGCACCTTGACCAGATCAAAGGGGTGTCCGACAATTACAGCACAGAGACCACCAGCTGCACCAGCAGCGAGCGAGCGCAGCTGGGCAATGGTCTGGTTGACGGCCTTGGTCTCAGCGACCTGGATCTCATCCTTGAGCTGCTGCGGGGGAGAAGTGGAAGTCGACATTGTGTGTTTTGGCGCCGGGGCGAGGAAGGTGGAAGGACAAAGGATTCAAGAAAAAACTAGAAAGAAAGCAAAAGCGAGTCGGTTGAGCAGCAAATCCACCGAAGACCTAGAAATGACGACCGAAGCCGAATAGCGCTTCCCCGGACGAAGTGGTGTGCCTCGGCTCGGCAGCGGAGAAACCGGCTTCCCGTTTGCAAGAGTCAACTTGGGAGTCAACTTTAGAGTCAATTGCCGACTAATTTAGTAGATGTCGGGGGGTTTCTTTTCTTGCGTTCTGGTGCGATATAACTGTTGTCTTTTTACTTTGCTCTTATTACGTCGGAGACCGCCGCGTTCGGGTGAACGGGAAACACTTTGACTACGGCGCGTTTCCCCGCGGGATAAAGGAAGTCGGATATCCGGGTTGGGACTCGGTGTAGCTTGAGGTGAGAGAACAGTGGCAACGTGAGTAGTGTACATATTATTCATAGTATGAGTTTGAAGCTATGGCAATGTTGTGAGAGCGACAAACACACTACACCGAGGTCGCCATCACATGGAAATCCACATGCATCGACGTCATAGTCATGTGCCCAGGGATCGACACAGCCTTACAAGCGTGCATACTGTACAAGAATATTGGATGTAGAATGTCATGTTCTATTCATTAAGGTGGTCATTAAATTAACAGCTCCGAAGAACAGGAGAATAAGAAATACTGTATCATGACACCGGTTCATATCCTGTACCTATACAAGCCAAACGGCGACACATGATTCATAACCCATAGATTACCAAAGAGACTCTGCATCATATAAATGAACATTGTCAAATTAGAGGGCGAGGAGAGCGACCAGACCAAGAGCACCCATAGCACCACTGCCGACAGTGGCCAAGGGGGCGGCAGCACCGGTGCTGGTGGAAGGAGCAGCAGAGCCAGAGGCGGAGTCGGAACCGTCAGTGCTGGAAGAGTCAGAGCCAGAGCCAGAGCCGTTGGAGTCGGAGTCGGAGCCGGAGCCACCGGAGCCAGTCTCGGTGGAAGAAGCACCAGTGCCGGAGACAGTACCAATGGTGGTCACGGTGGTCATAGAGCCAGAGACAGTGCCGGTGCTAGTCATGGTGGTCAAACCGGAGGAGCCAGAGCCAGTCATGGAGCCAGTCGAGGAACCAGCAGCGCCAGTAGCACTGCTCATGGAGCCAGTCATGGTACCGGTCTTGGTGCCAGTGGAGTCAGAGCCAGCACTAGAGGAAGTAGAGCTGGAGTCGGAGCCAGATGCAGTAGAGCTGGAGCCGGAGCCGGAGGCAGAAGAGCTGGCGTCAGAGCCAGCAACACCGCCGGGGCACTTGGCAATGGCCATGGAGAGGACCTTCTCAGCATCATCGCTAGGGCAGGCTTCCTTGGTGCAGTCGCGAATACCGTACTTGTAGTCGTCGGTCTTGCAAAGGCAGGTCATATCGCCAGACTTGCAGCCAAGGTCAGAAGCCTTGTTGTTCATGTTGGTAACACACATTTGCTATGAAGAAAGGTCAGCATAAAATCTGGACAGTTGAACCGATAGAACTTACGGCGCAGTCAGAGGCAGAAGGGTCGGCAACAGCAAAGCCAGCAGCGGCCAGCAGGGCCAGGGCAAGAGGAGAGAAGGACTTCATGATGATGTATGTGGAGAAAAAGTCTGAATTGACTGGATGTATGAAGTATATGGAGAGATTGAGGAGTGAAGGAAGAATGTGGAAGATCAGATGTGAGCTGGAGAGCAAGGGCTGGGTGTTTTATAAATTTCGATGAATGGAACCTGTAAATCCAATCCTAGTTGAGAATCAAACTCTGCATGTAGCCGGGCCCCAGCCACTTGCCCCGGACTGGAAATTGAGTGTCGGTGGTCGAAGCTCGCATTGGAGCCCAATGAACATCAGTGACTATGCAGGATCAGCCGAATGGACTGCCTTGCAGGGCAGCAGTGTTGGCGCAGTGTTGGCGCATTGCTACCACGCCAACGTGGGCAAATTGGACCGTGGCCTGATCCTTGTGTTCCATGAAGTCATCGATATCAACAAGCTGGCTCCGATCTCTCGAATGGGAGATTGATCGACCGGAGATAGCTTGCACCCCTTCTCCAGATGTGGATCTTATTCGCTCCTCCCAAGGTTCAAGCCATTCAGGGGCCCATCAGGCTTAATTGAAGCCCGGGATTTGTCTTTCCAGGATTCCCCTTGCAACACAGCGATCTGGTTCTTTAATTCCAAATGATGCATCGTGCAGACCATGGGCTGTAGTTTGCAGGCTGCAGGATTCCCTTCCCAGTCATGGCACGAAACCATGACGGACTCGCAGCCATTGTGGCCACCGGCGTCACACCGAAGAAATATAGATTGCGGTAAATGAATAAACAGGGCAGAGAGGCCCTGGGTGGCGTCGATCGACACCTAGATCCAAATCGGGGGCTCTTTGGAACTAATCCGAATAGTTGCTGGATCCGCCGAGAGTCCGATCACACTATTGAAAGTCTCTTCGCGTCACCGCTCCCAAGCCACAAACACTCCCCAGCCACCTTCCTTTCTCAGTATCGCCGTGTCGCCGGGTCATGGTGTCGCAGTTGCTGCAGCTGTGAATCGAAGGCTTGTTTCATGTACAGTACAGGGAGAGACCCCCTTGCATAGAACACGGGGAGGGGAATTGGCAGATGAGGTTGGGTCTTCACATACCAAATACCGATCAACATCCAATCTCCTAGTTTCAATAGACTGTGTGATATCAGAAACAAGGGATCGGTTCCGAGGTCACTAGCGAGCGATCATGAACAGATGGATGCTTTCAATCTGGTCGGGACAACGCGACGAACAAGTCCGGGAGTCCAAGGAGATGTTTGACCTTCCTAACCTGGAAGATATCACGTGGAGTCCAGCTTACTGTACATATAGTCTCTATTAAAAAAGAGAAGATAGTGACAAGCTGCACAGCAGTCTCGACCGTGTATCTTGAAGAATCTATTGCCACTTTCCTATCTTCATCAAACCGTTTCAGCCCATTCTGTTGCTCCAGTGACGCCCCGCTGGTCCACATCGATAGCATCACAGACAATGCCCAAAGTCCGCTGCAAGGAGTGCAATGCTTGTTTACTGTAGGCTAAAGCCAATCCGAGTGTATGGTCTGAGAGTTGCATTATGATCAGTCTATATTTGGTCAGCTCAACTGTGGATTCCCAAGCTTTGGCTGCCCAGAGCCTGTTGACTTGCATAATATTCCGGTGGCTTCAACTCAATATCAGAACGTTGAGAGATGCTCTCTCAATACGAGACTACAATCGTTTCAGCTTTTTACGCCCTTGCTTCCAAGATCGGAGACATCTGCTCTAGAGTAGCCTTCTAGCCTCTTGGACACATCTACGGCTACATTTTCTTAGTCTATGGCCTCAAGGATCTGGTCTTAAGGCACTACCTTTCGTCTTAGATTGCATCTGCTAGGCTTGTTCTCCTCCGATCGGTTTTGTATGACCTGGCTATCAGTTAGGGCTGACGGGTCAATCTCGGCTTTGCTTGAGACAAGATACATACTCGGAAGTCTTCGTCCTAAGCTCTACGATCTGACATTTTCTGCTCTACAACAAGGGTCCCGGGGCATTCCCTGACGTCGAATGTGCAAGCTAATGCATATACGTTTGTGAACTAAGAAAGTGAGCCGGAGGGCCGTCGGGATTCCGTTGTATAAGAAGTTGGGCTTCCCCGCATCAACTCTTCCCTTTTCTCCATCAGCTTCACTTCTTGCCAAAATGGTCAGAAGAGACCCCAGTTCGCCTTTGACACCAGAGCTCGATGTCTTGGTGCAACAGCAAATGGACAAATGGAAAGTCCCCGGACTGACCATGGCCATAGTTCACGGCTCCAGCACCTGGTCAAAGGTAGAGTAGAGATACGACCCAATGGACTGCGTCATACTCATCTCCGCGTAGGCATATGGAATAGCTGAATTCCCGGATCGGAAAATGACACCGCAGACTTTGTTCTCGACTTGTAGCACCACCAAGGCTTTTGCCGCCGCCGCCGTTTCTCTGGCGATCGATGATAGCAAGAACACCGAGTCCCCTCTTCGCTGGGATACAACCCTGGCGTCTATCATCCGGGATGACTTTGTGCTAGAGAACGACTATAGCACAAATCATACCACCATAGAAGATGCCCTATCACATCGGTCAGGACTATCGACTTTCGACGCCTGCCTTGTCCTGGCACATCCAGATCGATCTCTGCGCGAGGCAGTCCGAAGATTGAGACACTTGCCTATGAAATACTCCCCGCGCAGCACCTTTTCCTATAATAACCACATGTACATGACCATATCGCATGCCCTGGAACAGATTGAAGGCCGACCTTTCGGCGACATTATCAAATCACGCATTCTGGAGCCCTTGGATATGAACGACACTTATTTCTCCGTCCAAGATGTCGCCAAAGATCCAACCCTCAATTCGAGACTCGCCCGGGGTTATACCTGGGATGTAGGATCCCACACGTACATCGCAGAAGCATACATGAACGACGTTGCCGTGACAGGCGCCGGGGCAATGGTCAGCAATGTCCTGGAGTACACAAAATGGCTCCGAACAATGATCTACCAGAAAAGACCCATCTCCCCCGAGGGCCATGCAGCACTTCTCCAACCGCGAACAGTGGTCACTGACATGAGCGACCTCGTCGCGCCACCAGCACCACACCAACTCTACGCCCTCGGCTGGTTCATACACAGTTACCGCGGCGAACCACTATACTGGCACAGCGGCAGCTGGGCTGGATTTGGCATCATGGTCGGCTTCCTCCCGAGTAAAGCCTTCGGCTTCGCCATGATGAGTAACACACAGAATGGGCGACAGGCAGAGGTGGAGATATTCCTACACCTCCTCGACTCGATCTCGGACGGACCAGCGACTTCAATTCCACGGACATTGGGACCAGGCACTGTAACGGAATCACGAAGCACGGTCAAAGCCAACCTCATGCCGGAGACCATGGGAAAAGCGATGCAACGCCTTTATCCATGTCTGCCTGATCCACCGATCCCCCACTCCCTACCGTTATCCCAGTATGCGGGACGATACGAGCATCCCGCGTTTGGATTCATCACTATTGACTTCGAGAAGGGGTACCTGAGTGCGAATCTGCTAGATCGTGTTACAGCAGGAGTCATATCCTTTGGTCATGCCAGTGGGGAGTTCTTCGTTGGCTATTTCTTCCAGCCCAAATCTATTGGCATGTTTAGTGGATATTACAAGGCAGAGTTTAGCATTGATTCTTCCGGGATTCCGAGCGCCATGGGTCTGGATTTAGAGCCGGCTCTGGGTGAGGAGAAGATTTGGTTTCGACGGAAGTGATGAGTCTGTTAGGCAGAGATATATATTCCGAGGTGATTGGATCCCTGTTGCCAACGCTTCCTCATAGATCAAACTTTAAAGCGCCCCGTGCCTATGAGTCTCAGTCTCAACCGGGCTAAAATAAGCTCAACTATGGTTAATTAAAGCTTGTCCTAAGACATGCAATTTAAAAAACAAAGATGCCTAGTTCCAATGTCACCGAACCACTTCGGGAGTCCATTCAACGCCGAACCCGCTTGGGTCGGTGGAGCCCCCCAAAAATCTTTGCAATCCACAGAAAAGCAAAAAGTTATTGACCGACGCAGGGGTCGAACCTGCAATCTCTTGATTCGTAGTCAAGCGCCTTGCCATTGGGCCAGCCGGCCTACTTGTTGAATAACCAGGACAGAATGTGCGTCAAGTTGGGAAATTGATATTGGGTATAGCGGTCCACGTGATTTTCATCAGGTAGAGGATAATAGATACACTGATGTAGAACAGGAGATAGAACAGGGGTGACAAGGTTAAAGGAAATAGTGGCATAGTGAGCCTAGGTATTTGATGCAAAAAAGAACGCTGGAGAACAAGATCAAAATTGGTGGTGGATCAGTCATACGTCTGGCTCAGGGATGGTCAGATGGATCCGAGGAACCATAGGCGACTTTTCCGCATGAGATCCCTCTTCGAGGGCGATGTCTCGTGCGCACCCAGGCGAGGTTCTCCATCCGACACGGGCCGAGAAAGACAGCAGGAGCGATCCGATGAAGAAGCCGAGGAGGCAAGCCGCCAGACCGGCGACTGCACCCAGTACGGCCGGCAAGATAATCGGGCGGACGATGCGCATGAAAGCGCTCTTGGGACGGTGGTGATGACCCGGGCGTCGGTGACCCGAACGGCGCGGGGAAGTAGGCGCAGCCCAGAAGGACGAAATCGAGAAGGGTGCGTTGGACTCGGGGTTGACGGCGGCGCGCGAGCTGGAATCCACCGAGACATCCTCGGTCTCACTGTGATCCTCGGACTCTGTCGAGTGCGCATCATGCTCGGTCTCACTCATGGCGGCGGAGGTCTTGGCCTCAAAGAACGAGCCGACATGGGTCTTCCAGTACTTCACCACCCATGGGCGACTCTTCTGCGCAAAGTGATCTGCCTGGTACCCGCCGCGCGCCGGTTGCACCCGAATCCGAGTGATATGGTGCGAGCCATCTTGGTAATTGACCAGATCGATGACGGCCGCATCGGGGGAGACCAGGTTCCCATGTAAATCGAGGAGTTCCACGCGAACGCGGACAATGCCCGCCACGGAGCCCACTTGATTTGCGGAGATGGGCCGGCTGTCAATCGTGTAGGATAGTTCTACCGCATTGTCACTCTGTGTTGGGTGGGTTGCGTTATAGAGCGGCGCCGTGAGTTGCATTGTTGTTGATGGGGGATAGACTTGGTCGTTGTTGGCGTAGAGGCTGCCATCTTGAATGGACCAGTCAAGGGACTTGTGACTTGTTAGCAGGAATTCGGAGATGCCTGTCGCCTTGACCTACCAGATGTGATTTGACGCCGGTTTCAAGATCATCGGGCGACGGTACGAAAGGAAGGCGGAGTTGGTGAGACTTGATGGGGGTTGCGGTGGCGACCGCCAGGCACAGAGCCAACCATGGGAGACGCATAGTGTGCGATAAAGCGAGTAGCACGAGAAGAAAGGAAGGAAGGAAAAAGGAGAGAGAGAGAGAGAAGAGTGTCCAGGGAAATCACCAAGAAGCTCCGAAGAGGGGAAGCTAAGACTTTTGAGAGCCAACCCTAAGCCAAAGAGTCACAGAACGAACATGGGGGCCTAAAGGTGAACAACTGCAACTGCACGACAAGCTTGCGGGGCATGCTCCATTCAGAGCCGTTGATTGGACTCGCTATTAATATCGAGTTTCGACTTCAGTACTATTGAGGCTTGAATTGCGCTCTCCACTGCTTTTCTTTGTTGATCGGCGAGAGCCTCACGTCTGATGTCCCCTCCATCGGGGCTGTTGACTGTTCGAATCCAGTCTGCAGGTCGTCTGGGCAGTCCTGCAGTCCTGCAGTCTTGCTATCCTGCAGTCCTACTGCTCTATGCTGATTGCTTAGATCGGAACACAGAACAAGCAATCGGGATCCCCATTTCAAACCTATAAAAAGAAGCTCTCTTAAAAATTTCTGAAAGCTCTCCACAACCCGTGTGTCTCGGAGCAACCCAAGAGCGTTATTAGCGGCCAAACTTGGGTGTCTCGGATGCTTGTCGGGGGCCGCGGCCCCCGACCAACACTACCCCAACATGGTTAAAGGTGGGAAACTGACTAGCCGAGCTAAAGGGTCGTCTCATGCATGAGACCCTGGAGGACGAGAGGAGAAAACTAGCGATAGGGTGAGCTCAATACTTGGCGATGCAGGTTGAAACTCACATCTACGGTACTCTGTTCAGTCATTCAATTGATGAAGGTCGCTTTGGATTGCCCTCCACAAGACTTCGGTTAAAAAAAAAAAAGAGATCACATCTGAAAGCGATCGGCAGTCACGAAGTCCCGGCCCCCGGGGCTGAAGATGCAAGGCGCTGCCCCCAGTTCGGCCCGAAACCGACCATTTCAAGGGACTGGCAGACAGTTCATGATCTCGTTCGGCAGAAATCTAATCTACCACGTGCTGGCTGTACAGTACAGGAGGATACCAGGGTTTGGTATGTTGGTTGGGTGCACTGCCTAGTCCCCCAGCCCATACTGGAATGGCCCCCAACGCCGTCGGTGATGGGGTCCAGCGGACTAGATATAGCCCATGGGGGCTAAAGGGGAGATGCATTCTTCTATACATGGACTGAGCCGGGAGTCCCTGAACCCTCGATCCTACGGTAGATTCGGCCCCAAAGAAACACAAGTTACATGGACCCCAAAAATCATCACGTCATGTTTCGTAAATTATATAGGATCTGGAAATAGATGAAGCTTATAGATCACCGTCGAGACGATCGGTTATGCGACATAATAAGGCGCAGTCTGCCAGAACGCACACCGCGGGTTACTGGTAGGATCCCGCACCGGCTGAATAGTATGGTTCCCAATGGCCATAATCGTCGCACGCTCACCATGGTGTCGGAAAGGGGGCGCAAGGTGTGACTTGGGCACCCCGTGCTGCGTAAAGCTGGTGAAAAAGTCCTGCATCGCCAAGGCGACAGTCACGTTCGCGATCGCACCGAGCGTGCCGAGGACACCATTGGCCGCGGACGCATTGTTGTAAAAGGTATACCCGACATCTTGGCCGTGAATACCGGGCGGTATGACAAATTCATAGGCGTAGGTCTGGTTGTCGTATGCGCGGTTGAAGTAGTCGGTGTTACACTGGAAGATCAGATCCGAGATGACAAGCGCCGTGCGCGCCACCGAGTCGGTGTACCCATAGGAGCCGTTATAGATGGGAGGATAGAGGTCTTCGGTGATGAACTTGGTCACGTTGGCGGGAATGCTCGCAGACAATTGCATGAGTTGTTCGGCTAGACCAGAGCTGTTGACGCTTGCGGGCGAGGTGAACAGCAGTCCCTCGTCGGCGTTGTGTCCAACCATGATGTTGACGTGATGGTCGAAATCGCCGCTGAGCAATAACTGCCCCGGGAGAGCGGGGACAAAGGTTCCATCAACGGTAGGGCCGTAGGTGAACTGACCCCATTGCGACTGAGTCGCAACCTGATAGGCATTGGCAGCGATCAATTTGTCAGATGGCAGCTTGCGGGCTTCTTCGATCGTGCTGACGTTGAGATAGCCCAGGAACTGCTGCAGAGTGTTCTCTTGCTGTTCCTCGCCGATGGTAGGAACCCAGCCAGGGCTCTGCAGGATGGCTTGCTGGAAGGGAACAGCGCCACGGGTGCCTCCGTATGCGGTGATTTGGTGCATGATGGAACCCCCGCCGGCTGACTCGCCCATGACCGTGACTCGGGTTGCGTCACCACCAAAGAGGTGGATGTTCTTGTATACCCAGTCCAGACCGAAGCGTTGGTCATGGAGAGCCGCATTGGCAGTGCCATTGGTGGTGATGCTGTCGCCGCCGGAAAACCCAAATGCACCCAACTAGACAGATAGTTAATAAGTGGAACATCGACTTAAGAAAAATAAGAAGATACTTACCCGATAGTTCAAGGAGACAAAGACAATGCCTTCATCTCCACCAGCCATGCTGCGCTGAACCAGTCCACTTGCATTGGAGCTACTTTTCTCTCCGGCAACGTACCCACCGCCATAGATCCACACCAGCACAGGTGCGAGGTTCTTCCGACGAGCAGTTTTGTTCTGTCCGCGATCGAAGATCTTCTTCGGAACCACCACATCGAGGAATAAGCAATCCTCCGTGGTGCGGGGATCCTGCTTAGCAGGCTTGTATTGGAAGGCTGAGACGTTGGAGGGTACCGAAACTGACTGGCCTTCCAAATAGCCAAGGACGAATAGCGCAGCACCCTGTGAGCTCCAGAGCGGAGTTGCCTGAGGACACACACGGCCTACCGAGCCATTCTGAACATGTTCTCGGTTTTCGGTTGGGAGTACAGGAGCACGGAAGCGCAGGTCGCCGACTGGGGGTGCGGCATAGCGGACATTGCTGAAGTTATACAGGCCAGACGAGCTCTACAGGAAATTAGTACGAGTAGAAGCAAACAAAAAGACATGTCATACCTCAAATGAGAAAGCCTGGTGTCGCTCATATCCCAGATCAACTATGGGCAACTTCGCAGCCAAAGCGGCTGTAGCAAGCGTCAGCAGCGACAACGCAGCAACCATGATGAGTAGAAAAAAAGCGTAGAAGACGAGAACCACGTACCTTAGCTCGGATCTTATTCTTTATAGCAAGGCCGGGCAATCCGAGCCAGGCACTAATGCACAAGGTTTCTTGTTCATTACTCGCTACTGCGTAAAAACAAACAGCTGCATCCATCTCACCTTGAGTGGAGCGCCGGCGGAGGGCGGATGTATTCTCCCAATGGCCTCGCAAGCTTATGTGGAGAAACTGGAGACATTGGAGACGGATCAGTTAGATCAATGCAAGAAGCCAATAGGTGCTCGGAGATTCAATGGCGATCAGTAATGATTCAGAAAATAAAAAGAAGAACATTGCCGAATTCCCGATGGGATAATTCAGCGACTCAGTCAAAAAAATCCAGTTTCAAGAGGCTGTTGATTCTACAGGGGCACACCACGGTCATCTCGCATAGTTCATGCGCGCTACACTGAATGGGGAGTTGGTTCCGGTGGCTGAACGGAGGAGAAAGGCACAGACTGCGGGGTACCAATTCCGCTCCTGCAGCATGACGAAGGCCAAATCCTGAAAACATGCAGAAGCTGCCTGATATCTAGGTCATGTGGGTGTTCTGGGCAGCTGGGCAGCTGGGCATCGGGGCGGCATCGGGGCATTGGGGCAATCTTGACTTTCTCAACTTCGTACGTCTGACTGTTCATGGGGAAACTTCATTGATCCTTGACTTCACGGATCTCATACTCGAACATCTGGTTCGAGGCCACTTCATGCTCATTCTCCAATTTCTGCGCTGACTCAACGCCTGCGGCTGGAACACGATACTCGAACCGATTTCCTGGAGCCGGAACAGTTCCATCGGGTAAGGCATAGGGAAATGGCAGGTACTCTGGCAATAGGCCAAGCTGGACTAGAACGGTTGCTTGGTCCCATGCAATATGTTCATGGAATAAGCGATCACCCCGAATGTTTACTACCGACGTGAAGGGAACGCGCAGGTGATTGCCTGTAGGGGGAATGCCAGGAATCCTAGAGCACCATGTCAGCAACCTGGGTGTAGATTTCATGTGGAAACTCACATCCAGTCCATCTGTTTCACGTGGGTGAAGCAAAAGATGAACTCGTCGACGATTCGATCTGTCCCGACTGTCCGGCTGATGAGTTCAAGCGTTGTATCATCGGGATTATTGAAGATGAAGTGGTTGAGATAAAAGTGACTCAGACGAGCTCGTCCAATGCCACCAGTCAACTGGAACTATCAGTATCCTGACCGGCCGGGTCCTCTCGCGGTTGACATACAGTAGGAATGTGATTCACATAGGGTTCCTGGACCATGGTCGCCATCGTTTTCTCAACAGACCGATCTCCAAACTCGTAGTAAGTATGCTCATCCCAGATCTTCTCAAGGTCAAAGAATGGGCCGCCCATGTGCTTCTTGATGAATGCAACACTACGGGTGTGAGCCACCCCTGCGGTTGACATCTTGAATTCGGGATGCCCTGGGATCATAAAATTGGCAGATGAAACATCTGAGTACATGTGCGTGGTGTGAATCCCATCGCTTGTGTTGCCATTGGGTAAATGGAAGAGACTCGATTGGAAGGGAACGTTCCAGGAGTCGAATAAGATTGCAGCGACTACTTTTGTGTCTCTAGGGAGCACACTTTGTAGAGATTTTTCAAATTGAGAGCCATAGTCTCCCTTGGATCCATGGACTAACATGGGTCAGTATAACGTCAACGTCATAGTCTGGTGAAATGGCTGGCATCGTACCCATCAACCCGATCTTCTCGCTTTCGCATTCTGGGCGTTCTATCAATGCATGCTCGGCGTTGCTGATAAGCTGTTGCAGAGATTCCTCATTGTCCAACTTGTCCAATGTAATCTGTGCCACTATAAAGCTCTCCTCGGCCCATTTCTTTAGAGGCTCTGGGTCGAGGGTCTTGTTGTCCTGTTGACATTTGGCGTGAGAAAGCGGACGAATGAGAATCAGCCCCGGTCCTTTTCCACAGCGAGACAGAGGAGGTTGCAAAGTCATACACTGCTCCAATTGCACTTGGGATGGCAAGTTTCCAGTATTCATTGTGAATGTCCAAATAGTTGAAAGAGGAACAAACGTCGGGGGTTGAGATAAGCCATATTATACCCCTCCAACCAGGACAAAGATGAAACAAAGCAAACCAATGCAGTAAAATTGCACTCACTTCGCGTTACAATTAAAAAAAAAAAGGAAGTCTCGAATACGATTGTTTCTTCTTCACCTGGTATACTTCCACGTGACCTGCCATTCAAGCTTCCCGCAAGCTCATCTTCTCGTCAAGGATGTGCTCCACCACATCCACAATGAATACCCTCGTCCAGTCTTCCTTGACAGACGTGGAATCAAGACTCAATGCTCTCCTGACAAGCCTTACAACCTCCCCTACTGCCGCAGGGGCCCCCGCGGCAGCCCTCGCCCTCCTCGAAGCAGACGACGCGTTGACGTCCGCCATTGAAACGCTCCGCCAGCATCAAATAAATCATGCCAAGATCCTTCGACTACGGAATGAAGCACAGCAGCTAGAAGAAAAAGTGAAGGGCATCGTGAGCGACATCGACGGCTTTGACAAGGCCATTCGCACAGTTTGTGCCGACAACGGTGACAGCGATAGTGATTTCGACTCGGACTCGGACAACGAGATTGGAGGCAAACAAACGGCTCTAAGAGGAATTAAAGAGATTGATTACAAGCTCATTCTCGACTTCGCGCGCCGAATCAGCAAATACAACCACGAAGCTGCAGCCGACGTTGCAACGGGCGCAGCCGGGAAACGACAAGAATCAGGACCTCAGACCGGTGACAAGGATGTGAATATGTCGGGAACCAACGGGGAACAGTTGGCGGAGGATGGCGCAGAGCCAGTGTCATCGGTCACTAAAAGCGCAACGCAGTGGCTAGACGAGTCAGCGAACGTCACTCGCGAGGTTTATATGCTGCCGTACCCGATGGAGGAGCGGATACGGATGGGACTGATGGCGCAAATCCAACTTGCTCCTGGGGGTGACCCGGACAGGGAGATGGAAAGGTTGCTAGCTGAAGCCGACGGTCGGGGTGTTGCTGAACCACCAGCACTGGTGGAACCCACGGAAAGCACAAAGAAAGCAGACGAGGCCGCAAAGGCTGCAGCTAATGCTGGATCATCAGCTGGAAAGCCCCGGGCGCCTGCTCCAGTTTCTGCTCCAGCGCCAGCGCCCAAACCAAAGGCGACCCTGGATCTCGATCTCTATGACCCCGACGATGACGATGATTGAACATTTGATAGCGGCGTTGCATTTATGTCCTTATGATACCAACTATGATAGTACGAAAAAATTCATTCAACCTCCTGGCACCGATCAAGATTTGCATTACTATCTGCCTAATGGACCAAAGAACTCTTTACATCTTGTGCACTGAAGACTTGGCAGTCCACCCCCTGAATTTCTTTCCATAGAAATAGAAGGGGATGGCACAGAGACACCACAGGGTTGCCAGTGTCATGTTCAGCATGATGGGCTTGATAAATCCGCTCTCTTCCACCCATGGGGTGATGAACTTGCTGAAGCCGTAACCCCAGAGATTTTTATTCACAGTGATGGACACGAAGATCGAGCCTGCCACGGGCTTATAGCTGTCGACTGCATATGTGCTGGTGATGGCTGGCAAGGCTGCAACCTGAATTCCTGCTGCAGTATATCCGATGATCACAATAATCTATTCTAGTTGAGTTGAAAGTTCCCGCTGAGAGGAGAAAGCACTTACCTTCCAGTCCCATTGATATTGATATCCAAATGCCACAATGAAGTTGCCAATGATCGAGATGATCACGTACGGAATCATCGCTGGCAGACGCATCTCTGGTTCTCGAATACCTCTGTTCTTTCGAGTCGCCTTCATAGAGACCCAATCAGACAGGAGGCCATTGGTTGCCAGTCCAATGAAAGCTCCAATTAGGATTGCGAAGTTGAAGAAACCAATCGTTTGACTGCTAAAGTTATATGGAGGCCCTGCGAAGGCCTGACTCTGTGTAAGATTCAATGTGAGGAAACAACTAGCTGACCATGACACAACGAAAGCAGCTAATTCCACAATAGGGAAGGTCAGAAGTTTCCATGGGGTGTAGAAAGCGATCAAGACCGTCTTGATGTTATTTCCATCCAGTTGCCAGAGCTTGAACTGCTTCTTTGACGGGGTACCTTTATGCAGATGGGGGTCATTATCGCCAGCTTCCGCATTCACGTTCTCATGCTCTGTCACCCCTACTGGCTTTTCTGTCTCGGAGTCTTCCCTTCCAAGAACAGAAGATTCTCGCGCTTGGGCTCCCTCGTCTGGATGAGTGCGATGCCACTTCGTCTCGGGGAAGAGGAAGATCTGAAGAAGAAGCGTGAGACCCAAGAGACCGACGTTCAACCAGAAGAAGCTGCGCCAGCCACTATGCTCAGCCATAGGGCCAGCAACGATGGGACCGACCTGTGACCGTTAGCGACACTCAATACGATGTTTGGGGATTATTCCTACCATAAGAGACCCGAAATATGCCGTGAAGTACATTGTGTTATAAGCACCACGCTCGTGGAGAAACATGACATCGGTGATGATCTCAGGCTGAGAAGTCTAGAGTGGGAGGTCAGTGTTGTTCATCAAAGTGGAAAGACGAAATCCATACCTCAGCAGGACCAGCACCAAAGCCATTGAGCACACAAGCTCCCATATAGCTACCATAGCTAGTCGCTGTGGCTCGCCAGATATTACTGACCAGACAGATCAGCGTCGAGAATATCAAGACCGGTCGCCGTCCATAAGATGTTTGGATGGGAATCCTGGATTGCCAGTGTTAGCGAACGCGATCAAAAGAAATGCTATGTCATTCACCAGAAAAAGTTACTGAACCCCAGAACCAAGATACAAACTCCGGTGAATTGCACGACGGAGGCCAGGTCGGCTTCAAACGCTTCCATCAGCTGCGGAAACATAGGAGCCAGCGCCAATGGACCGAAGCCTTGACTGAAAGATGTCAAGGTCGATACCGCCATGGCGCTCATCTTCCAGAATCGGTTCCAATTCTATGTGAATTTCCACGGTTATCCAACGTATCTATCGGTTTTGTGAGAAAACACGACTTACCAGAGGATCATGAGAATCTTGCGAAGGTTGAGGCACCAAGACTCGATCGGAAGTGGATGATGATTTCACAAAGTGATGAGTGCCCACGTCTGCCATGATTTCCGTGCCTGGGTATATCACCGTCCCCAGCTCCTCCTCGATCCTGGTTCTGATTAGCAAGCGCGACAGTCGGGGGCATATACAACATACTGATGAAGCGTCTGAGAAAGAGATTGTTAGCCCGCGCACATCATCAACGACCGACCGAAGGAGATACTTACCCTTTCATCATAGTTCATCTCCATCCTGACTCAGTTGGTGGTGAAGGGCTGGAGGATAGAGGACGCCCAAACTAGCTATGAAACGACTCAGAACGTGTCTCGACTGGAGCACATATTCTTCCCTGTCGGGCCCCTGACAGTCTTATGGCAAACAAATGAAGCTCAGATCCAGCCCTGTGCGGAAATAGGCCGGGAGAGCCTACTTGATAATTACCGAGAGCCAATGGAATACCGAGGGAAGCATACTGAACGGAGAGACAATATCCCCGCACAACTAGTGTGGCGTATCATCCTGACTTTGACTCGATTCCAACAGCCACTAGCAGAAGAACTAGTCAACCAACAGGGGCTATTTGGCTATTTGCTCCATGACGAGGCTAAACTAGGGCGGAAATATCCCCAGTCGACCCACCTCCACCCCGGATTCTCCCACATGCGCGGGCTGATTCCTTAGCTTCAACCTCTCGAATCCCCTTAAATGCCTGAAAAAGGAATGCAAAGTCGCTTATCTTTGCCACTAAATTGTCTTCGGCAATCCCCTTCCCGATAGATTGCCGCGTTTGAGGGGTCTGAGGCTTTCCTTTCAAAGAGGCGTTTCTGAGACCAGTTCGTAGTCGTGGGTTGTCGACCCCGGGTGGCTCTGACAGGTGCAGTCGTCATTGATTTGCCTTGAAAGCTCTGGACTGTTTGGCAGTTGGATCAGAAAGAAAGGAGTTGACTCGGGAGTTCAAGTGGATAAGATGCCGATCGTGTGGAGAGTATCCTCTGGACTAGGGAGTATTGCTTGATATATTGACTATCGCGTTTAAATAGCTCTCAATGTCTCCCACGCTTATCGATTCTTTTGAATATATCGACAGACACCCACTGATTGACACCATGTGGACGAACAAGATTCAACTTCGCTGTGAAACAATGTTGCTTTGGGCTATCGCCCCTTCGTGACTCTTTTCACGCAATCATCACGATCATTGCCACTCGGGGACTCCCCATACTAAGAAGTCCGGGGGCTCCATTGCGGACCAATCCCCAGATGATTCCATCTCATCTGTATTTCGGTTGGAATCCCAGCGAAATCAGTTTACTGGATTCAAGCTGCTTTCGGGGTCATCGGCTTTGATTTGCGACCTATCGCCATCTCAGTCTCCCTGATCTCCAGAATGCGGAGGAAATGACGATGAGCCCAGTCATAATGCCCCGGATATCTCCTCCACACACATATCCAAACACGCGAGAGAGAAGCTTGGTAAAAGCTTGGTTGTGCCAGGGTACAGCTCCCGGACCAATCGGAGATGCCTGCACACCTCGATCTATAGCAAAAGAGTCGATATTTGGAACACATCAATGAGATTCTTTGGCTCACAGACAGAAGAAAAAAATGCATTTAAATTGGTATAGACCCCCACTATTCTGAGATTCAGGATGGCTCTTTTATTGAAGTTTGCTTTCCTGGACGATATCACTCATTTTCGTCAAACGATTTACAATGGTGTCCGAGCAAGAACATCCCGACGACACCAATGCAGACCTGGAGAAGCAAGATAGTTGCAGTTCGAATGGGAATGTTCGCTCACCCGGAGGAACACCCACACCAAGCCATGAAAAGAAACGGCGCAGAAATGGAGCCAATGGAAGTGGAAGCTCGAACAATATCGAGCATGGGACTGTCAATGGCTACCCCAAAATGGAGCTGAATGAGTGGGAATGCTACGACAAGCTAGGCTACAGCTTCCCCTGGTGGAAAAAATGGGCCATCATTTCGGTCATCTTCGCCGTCCAGACATCTATGAATTTCAATGCGAGTTTCTATGCGAGCAGCATTACTCTTTATGCAAAGCATTTCAGCATCTCAGAACAAGCAGCTCGAGTTGGCCAAATGGGATTTCTCATCGCTTATGCATTCGGCTGTGAGTTCTGGGCTCCATTCAGTGAGGAGTTTGGCCGGTGGCCCATCATGCAATTAAGCTTGTTCTTCGTCAATGTTTGGCAAATACCCTGCGCGCTGGCTCCAAACTTTGGTACAATTGTCATATGCCGCATTCTCGGAGGTCTATCATCTGCTGGTGGCTCAGTGACCCTGGGCATGGTTGCGGATATGTGGGAGCCAGAAGATCAGCAATATGCCGTCGCCTTTATTGTGCTATCGTCCGTTGCTGGCTCAGTCATTGCACCGGTTGTCGGTGGATTCGTGGCGACGTTCTTAGACTGGCACTGGAATTTCTGGATCCAGCTCATTCTCGGTGGGTTTGTGCAAATATTGCACTTGTTTGTTCCGGAGACGAGATGCAGCATCCTTATCACGAGAGAGGCGAGACGGAGACGCAAGAATGGAGAAATGGTGTGGAGTGGCGACGAGCTCAAGAAGACGCGCATGTCTTTTCGCTGGGTATTCATGGTTTGGGTGCGGCCCTTTATCATGTTTCTGCGAGAGCCAATCGTCCTATGTCTATCGCTTCTAAGTGGTTTCAGTGACTCTCTGATCTTCACATTCTTGCAGTCTTATACACCGGTCTACAAGCAATGGAATTTCACGACGATCACCACCGGACTCTCCTTTCTTCCGTGAGTGTCGTCAATATATGAGTGATTCTCCAATTAACGATCTTATAGACTTTTAGTAGGATACTTCATTGCCTATTTCTCATTCTTGCCATGGATCCATCGGCATTGCAGGATCCAAGAAAGAGACCCAGATGGGCTTCAACCGGAGGCTCGGCTGTACTGGCTGCTATGGGGTCAGTTTCTGTCCAATATCAGACTGGTTTCCTTACTTACTATATCGCAGTGGCGCCATTGTTATCGATTGGTCTGTTTGGATTCGCGTGGACGAGTCTTGGGCCGCCCCATGTTCATTGGATTGCACCTATGATTTTCTCAACTCTGATTGCTATTGCAAATGTAAGTAGACCCGCGGTTGCCTTTTGGCGAGAATATACTGACTATGTCTGATCTTTGAAGTATGCAATTTATATGGCAACCGTCGATTATATGATTGCAGCGTATGGCCCATATGCCGCTTCGGCAACAGGAGGCAATGGCTTTGCGCGAGACTTTCTCGCTGGCATCGCAGCTATGTATTCCGTTCCCAGTAAGTATACAAGAAGCTTCAACGAATTGTCTGCTGATATCATATAGTGTATGAGCACATGGGCACAGTTCACAAACTAGAATGGCCATCTACATTCCTCGGCTTCATGGCCATCCTGTTCACCATTCCAATCTATATCTTCTACTGGAAAGGTCCCCGGATCCGAGAACTGTCGCCCTTTGCGCAGACTTTGGCTTCAGACAGGAAAGCTGCCGGTCGCAAGGTATAATCTTGTGGTTCCGGTGATCCAGACCCCGTCGAGCGATATCTGTCATCGCGATCTGACCTGCCGGACAGATGTTCCATGCATTCTCGTCATTGATGTTATTAGATTGGAAAGTTGGAATTGGTGCCGATTGACAGGGTTTAAGAAGTGTCGCATATCGTATACGAGGAGTGCAAAAGTTTGGTGCGCGAGTCATTTTGTGTTGGATATTCGTCTTGCTTATTTCTTAGTGTCTTTTGGACGTTACAATTACTTTAAGGAATGCTTAATATCCTGAAAAACGGCTTTTGTAGCCTTGAAACAATTCATTTTTCACATTGACTTCAAGCTTCTGTTCGGCAGATATCTTGGGTTCATGATGCAGTATATCGTCATCATGCTCAGCGCAGGCAAAAACTTCCTCGGGATTGAAATCCGATGGACACGATAGTTTCATGAGCTGCAATATGCGAAGAGAGAACCGAGACGATTGCAAGCCATCATCGCGATCATTTGTGGTTGCCGCCTTGGATTTACTGCAGCTTGTCTACATATTAGTAGTTTCTTGATGTTGAAATTTTCCGAGCAAGACCTTATTCCTTGTTTAGATAGATCTGCACAAAGATGTTCATGATGTTCATGATCTGGCTAATTCATTGATTCCAAGAGGTCTGCAGTTTCTGAACAGCATACTCAGTAGCCCAACCCAAATCAGCCTCCACGCCGCGCAATAAATCAATGATAATCTGATGTTCGTCACGACCTTCTAGGCACTGTCCAACGGCGCAAAGAAGTGGTATCATAAATATTCGCACTCCGCCGTGCGGACGGCCCAAGGCAATACCACAAACCTCGCGCGAGCGGAATTCCACTTCTTTAGTGACCTCCCTATATCCCTGTAAACGATCGAAGGCTGTGGATGGCGCACTCATGATATCAGCTGGCCGGTTGAGAAGCAATGCGATTCGCCCGAAGTGGTAATGCTGGACAGTGGCAGCGCAAGTAGTTGAGCCGTGGAAAATTTCAGGGAAAGGAAGCTGGCTCCCTTCGGGTCTGGATAAGTCTTTCGGATGCTCGATTCTCACAGAGGGACGGAAAGTCTCAGGGACACTATCAAACCACGTTTGAAATTGAAAAGAAAGCTTGAGCCAGGTGCTTGTATCGGGGTACGGTGATTGGCCGGCGCTTGATGAGCCTTGAGGTCCAGGTGAGTTTTCCGGAGGAGAGCCCGTCCACTGTGCGATTTGCGTTTCCTTCGATCTGGCGAGAAAATTGATTACTTTGGATACAAGCCAAATTAGGCCGTTTCCTGCCTGGTCTTCCTGTGTGGAAAAAGGCAATCCGTTCGGGGTGGCGGTAAGTTCATTGTCCTCCTTGATTGATATCCCGGCCGTGCACCAGAGGAGATGGTTTTCTGGATCGAAGTGTGTATGTGATCGGGTAAAGTAAGAACCGAGGTAGTCCTGGCGGGCAAAGTTCCAAAATGCAGCCCGGATTCCGTGGGAGAACAAGGTGGATGTTTTTGAATGAAGATCAAGAAGGGATTGGAACATAGGACGAATTCCGGAAAGTTGTCTGTTCCTACAGTCAGTATAAAGGAAGCAATAAGCTTCTAGGTGAACTTACTTATGCCAATCATCACCGTCCGCATCCAGAAGACGGTACATGGTCAAAATTATGGCAGTGGCCAGCAGCTCTTCTGTTTTTCGAACAAGCGACACGTCATTTGGATCATCACTGGCTGGTTTCAAATTTGACTGAGTCTGATGCGAGTTTAACCACCGACCAACGGTCTCAAACGGCGATTCCAAGACAGCAGAGCTAGAAACAGTAGTATAACCATCCGAAGTGATGTTATTTAGATCAGATGCCGCAAGATAGTAGTAATTGGCAGCCTTGAGATACCAATCAACCTGGGTTCCATTTGGATAGACTTCGGTTGTGGCAGGACTTGTATACATCCCCCCAATGGGAGACTTGATACCCTTGATACGAGCTAAGTGCTTGGCAGATAGCGCGGAAATAGCATACTTCACGGATAGATTGTTGATGGCACGTATGGGAACATAGACTGTGAACCACTTTTGAGCATCTGTCAAGTCCAACCTGATTGCAAATCAGTATGCTATAGGAAGCACGAGGGGTTATTAATACGTACCAGGGACCCAAGACCTCAGAATAATGACGGACGAGGAAGGCGATTTCATGTTCAGTCCCTGTCAGAAGTTCCGAAAATATATCCTGGAACTCCTCTTTCTCACTTCTATGTGATGATGAGTTCTGAGAGGATATCCCCATTTGAATATCTGACGTGTCATTGGGTAGTCCGAGGTAAGCCGACTCAAAAGAGGACAGCCCCCTCGTGCCAGATGTTGGTGAAACTGGGCTTTGGTTCGTTTTTGCAAATCCAGTGTTTCGGTTGACCCCAAAAGAGGTGGTAGAAACTAAAACGGCGGGATTTTCAGAAACATTTATAGGCTCTTGCCGGGCTGTCCCTCGGTGATTGTCGGATCGGCTGTTTGAAGGACCAGTCATCTCTATGTTCATCGGGCCCTCGTTCGAATCTAGACTAGTTTCTCCCAGTTGATGATGAAGAGGAGGAGGAGCATTATTCTCTTGTTGAGAGTTGAAATGGAGTTGTTCATTGGTTGCTTGCGACTGATTTTGATGAATCAAGTCCAAGCTAGGCTCTGCGGGGACCTGTGGCGAAAGATAAGCCCTTACTTCAATAAGCAGGGAATAAATTGGCCTTTCACTTACCCTGTGAGATTGAAGCTCGGAGCTGAACTTGGATTGAGAATCCTGATATGGAGCATATCGGCGCCTTACTGTTGCGCCTTGATCAATAAACTTGCGTGTTTGAACATATCCCGGACACTCCACTCCAGCAGTTGTGCATCGCTGGCAGTGGGGTCGGGTCTCATCACACTGTAACTAATTAGAATCCATCCACAGTATAGCCGCGAGACACTCTTGGGCTGACCTTGATATGTCTTTTCTTGCAACGCTCGCAAGCTTTATTGGAGGGTACCCCAGGCATTGTCGAGTTGCCTGATGGTATCACGAGAGGAGTGCTCGAATAGTGAGATCATTCAGATGTGCCCTACGTAATAGCACAGCAATTTCATCCACCTTTCACATATCGAAACCCATGCAAGAGGAATCAACCAAGAAGAAAGTTGATATCACGTTCTCAGGCGGTGATGTCTTATCTCGGCAGTTTTTCGACCGAAAGTCGGGATAAGACCCCACCGCCCGGCAGAATATCATGGCCGTTTTCTGTACATCTTCATGTCGTCATTCACTTCTTTCACCTACAGCTAATCATGTTACGAACGTCTCAATCTCTGAGTCAAGGGGATGTGTCCTCGCCGTTGCTGCGATCCATTGAAGATGAAGCGCCAGCTAGCTTCCAGATAAGATGGGGCTCAATATCTTCCACGCAGCCTGTGTTATCGAGGCCAGAACAAGGCCGTGTCTACCAAGAATGGATTGGTTTGTCACCAGCTGCTTTGAAGATGATAATGCGTTTTGCTGATGTTGTTTAAGGTGCTGGACGGCCTCACAATATAGTCTGTTCGGAGTGCCGTCTTCCTGATAGTCTCATTGGATGTCAGACATGCTGCAGATCCTATCATACAGCATGTCTTGCAGATGTCGTACGCTCTGCTAATGCATTTTATTGTCCATCCTGTCGGGAGAGAGCTTGGGATCATGCGCCACCTCAGTTCCCTTTACCACCTTCAACTTCAGGTAGCCCTCGGGGCACCAATTTGGATGTCCAGTCACCACAGAACCACAATTCACCATTTGTATCATCCTCTATTAGAGCCGAAGCCTCACCTTCGGTTGCACGGCCCACCAGCATGTCTCGAATGGCGCCGCCCGGCATGACTAGAGTTGATGACTACGATCCTGGTCTTGCACCGGACAAGCTTCCTCCTGTTACAGAAATCTATCCCCAGGTTCTGGAATATCTCGATCACCCAGAGGCTCATACGGATCAGTTTGACCAACTGCCGCATTTCAGGAACCAATTGGGGTTAATTATGAAAGAGATTGAGTCTTATCGATCCTTGCTCCAAGACCAAGCCAATCTCAGAGAGGAGCATCTGCGACTACAGACCGAGAACTCGAAGTTCAGAGCATATCTCAATTCCAGCCTTGCACCCCGAGAGCCCGCCGTTGCAAGCCCTTCAGCATTTTCACACAACAGCCCAAGACTACCAACAGAAACGAGAGGCAAATCGTGGGATAATATTGCCCTTGATTTGATATAATGGCTTTGCTGCATTCTTCGTCAGCAAAAACATGAAGTTTGAAATATGCGATGGCAAAAAGAGCAAAACGAAAAGTTGAAATTGCGACAAAAAGCTGCAACTGAGCCAGGCTTTTGCGGTGCGACATTATCCTCGAAATTATTGCGCTTTCTTGAACACTTTTGACTTCACAACAACGCATCGAATCCATATAAATTGAGAAATGACCTCCAGAATCTAACCCTCGCTCCGACCAGCCAATCGCAAACTGCTACTGTCTCCCCCAGTATAATTTGCTACGTCGAGTTCGAAGCAGCGCAGAAACGGTTACATCGCACTCTGAAGAAGACCAGTCGGCATGATATCTTTTGCTGGTGCAGCCTCTCGGAAATCACGGATAGCCCTGGACAAAGCCACATTCCCCGCAGCTCGGGGGTAATTGACTTGCCCCCGCGCCCTGATCTCAACGATCGACAGTCGGTCAGGGACCCGACTCATTTAATACTATAATGGAGGCCTATTTAGGTATCTCACCTGCGCATCTTGCGGTCCTTTCCGCTCGGTAGCCCCTCTCCATGTGGTGGAAAGCAAATTAGCGCTCCAGGGTGTATTTGCCGGGTAGTGTCAATGTGACAACACAGCTTTAGCCGTGACCGATGTTACGTGACTGGGGTCCAAGTGAAGAGTTCTAATTTGGCCCATGATATGACTGGATGGTGCTTTTCTTTAGCTCCTCGAAGGGCAGACCGCATGTCGATCGGGGAATGTTTCCCCCGCGACTTATTACCGATCGGTAAATAAATGGGTTAATCCCCCAACGCGTCTTCATTCTGGACCGCAAGGCCGTTGACAAATCCATTTGGTGGGAATTGTTGAGTTCATCATGCCATCAGAACATTTGCTTCGCATGGGGGCCCTTGGCGCTTTCACGACAGCCCTCTATGCATCATCTGCCCTAGCTACGGCTGATGACTTTGACGTGCTGAAATATGTCGATCCTCTGATCGGAACTGCCAATGGAGGTTCGTTTTGTATCTATGAAGCTCTTATATTCGAGAAATTACCTTAACAACATTGTTAGGTCATGTATTTGCCGGCGCGACGTTGCCATTTGGTATGCATATTCACAGAACATCGAACTTCGTGCCGCAGTGCTAATAATCTCAGGCATGGCAAAAGCCGTTGCAGACACATCGGGCGAAAACCAGGCTGGCTTCGCTTATGACACGGAAGTTGTCACCGGGTTTTCTCACATGCACGACTCTGGTACCGGCGGCGTGAGTCCTTAGCAAATGGCTTAGACTTGTCTTTGCTTGGATTAATTAACTTGTTCTTTCAGTCTCCATCGATGGGCAATTTCCCCATTTTCCCTCAGCCGAGTTGTCCTGGCGATGATATCAAGCAGTGCAGATGGCAGCAGTCAGACCGAGAGGTGACCTGGAACCGGGACTCCCCTGATGCCCACCCTGGCTATTTCGGCATTTCATTGGCCAACGGCGTTCACGCAGAGATGACTGTTACGAATCGATCTGCCTTGTACCGGTTCAAATTCAATAAAACTTCCAGCGAACCGCTTAGCCCTGTCATTCTGGTGGATTTGATGGATTTGCCTCAATCACGAACTAAGGGAGCTGCCAACGTCGATCGCTCAACTGGTCGGCTTTCTGGAAGTGGTACTTTCAGCCCAAGCTTTGGAATTGGTAGTTATGAGTCCTATTTCTGCGTTGACTTCAAGGGAGCAGAGCTTCGCGACACTGGATCCTGGTCTGAAAATGGCATTGACTTCAACAAGTCGAGCTTGTCGCTTGATGCCAACTCATCTTCGATGATATCCGCTGGCACATTTGCCAGATTCTACAGCCCAAAAGATGACACTATTCTCGCCCGAGTCGGTGTCAGCTTCATAAGCGCCGCTCAGGCATGCTCCAACGCAGAGCGAGAGCAGCCTGACTTCGACTTTGAAGGCACCGTCTCTGCGGCCGAGGCTGCTTGGCGACAGAAGCTGGAAGTCATCTCTGTGGATGCCGAAGGAGTTTCATCTGAGCTGCAGGAGGTCTTTTGGAGCGGAGCATACCGCACATTGATCAGCCCTCAAGACTATACAGGAGAGAATCCCTTGTGGAAAAGCGACGAGCCATATTATGACAGCTACTACTGGTAAGACGGTCCGATTTCCAGACACATGAAAATACTGCTTACAAACCATTTGCTTAGTATTTGGGACTCGTTTCGTAGTATTCACCCGCTCTTGACCCTGGTTGATCCACTGTCGCAATCTCTCATGTTGCGCAGCTTGATTGACATCTACCGACATGAGGGCTTTTTGCCCGACTGCCGCATGTCACTTTGCAAGGGCAACACACAGGGTGGGTCCAACGCGGATGTGTTGATGGCAGATGCGTATTTGAAAAAGGTTGAAGGCATCGACTGGGAGACTGCCTACGAGGCTGTTGTTAAGGACGCGGAGGTTGAACCTGCGAACTGGGATGTTGAGGGGCGCGGTGGTCTTCACAGTTGGAAGAACCTCGGCTATATTCCGTTCCAAGACATTGATCCGTACGGCCAAGGCACGCATACTCGCAGCGTTTCGCGGACGGTGGAATATGCGTACAATGATTTCTGCATTGCTGAGATGGCGATGGGTATGGGGCACCATGCGGATTATGAGAAATACACCACACGAGCCGGAAACTGGATTCACGTATTCAAGCCAGATCAGAAGTCCAGCATCAAAGGCGTTGACACTGGCTTCACTGGCTTCCTCCAGCCTCGCTACCCGAATGGGACTTGGGCTTACCAGGATCCGATCTTTTGCAGTCCGTTATTGAACTTCACATCGTGTTATCTGAACCCCGACGGCCACGAAACATATGAAGGCAGTGCATGGATGTATACTTTCTATGCACCCCACGACATGGGCTCTCTGATCAAGACACTCGGTGGCGCCGAATCCTTCACATCTCGCCTGCGCTACCTCCACGACTCAGGATTGCTATACGTAGGTGACGAACAAGCATTTTTGCCGATCTACCAATACCACTACGCTGGACGACCTGGTCTCTCTGCGAACCAGAGCCATTCCTATATTCCATCTCAATTCAATACCACCGTGGCCGGAATCGCTGGTAACGATGACAGTGGTGCAATGGGCTCTTTCGTGGTCCTGAGCATGCTGGGCATGTGGCCAGTCGCCGGTCAAGACGTGTACCTGATTACTCCGCCATACTTCAAGGAAGTCAGCATTCGAAACCCGATCACCAACAAGGTTGCCACTATCCGCAACCTCAACTTTGACCCCAGTTATAAATCCATTTACATCCAGAGCGCCAAGTGGAATGACAAGCCCTGGACCAAGAACTGGATCACTCATGACTTCTTTGCTGACGGTGGTGTCCTGGAACTCGAGCTTGGCCCCAAGGAGAGTGCATGGGGAACTCATGTTGAAGACCTTCCTCCCAGTATCAGTAAATACGAGTAAAGAATGAAAGAGAAGGAATACAAAGAAACCCGCCTGGAACCTCCCCGGACCTTTTATATCCAATTCATCAATTCCATTATTCTCCAAATCAAACATTCTAAATCGATTATCGTAGTCCCCAGCAGCCTCTCTGAGTGAGAAGACCAAGGAAGTGCCATTCACTACCATATTCATCATATTCACCTGGGCACGGAGTTGATGTGCCTCGAAATTAAGGTGTCCGTCTTCTCCGCATCCGTTTTTCTCTCCCCGCAATCTGGCGACATACAACTAAGTGAACATAAACATGAACGTTCACTTGTGTCGTATTTGTACAATGTACAGACGTCATGGAAGCTCCCATGTCTGGTACTGAGTCGCCCACACAGAGCCCGAGGGCTGATCTTCAAACCCGCCCGGTGGCAGAGCAAGCATGCAAGGAATGTCGTCGGAGAAAGTCCAAGGTAAGTCACTACAAGCTGTGAAGCTTTCACTGGAGCTGACCGACTTGCAGTGTGATCGAACCGTCCCAATATGTGTCCTATGTCACAAATTTGGACGGAGGTGTCTCTACGAAAGGCAAAACAAGACTCCTCTGACTCGGCGCTACCTAACAGCGGTGGAAACCGAGCTAGCGCAAACAAAAGCAACGCTGCAGCAATTTATTTCAGATGCGCAAAACTCAAATTCTATCGTATCAGGCTCAAGAGAGCCTGTAGGAGCCGTGCTGCATTCCCAGAGAGACTCCGATGCTCAGCAGCAAATTGCTGGGCTGGTGTCTGGCGGTCGGATTGGGCCTGCCACCATGATTACACCCAATATCATATCTCAAGACTACGCTCTGACCAGGTCGTCGAATGCGCCTATACTGCCTTTGATTGGTTCACCAGGGCGAGCATCGGTCAGACAGCCCACGGGAGCCTCTGAACCTCGCCCCCTTGGGCCCTCAGGATTATCTTTGGAATCTCCTCCATCTTCCAGTAATTTTGAGTGGGATGAGAGAACGGGGAAGGCTTCAGGAGATGGCTTTGTAGATGGCATGGCCAGTCTGACAAGTAGCTCAAATGAAGGCGGCTACTTAGGTATGGCCCAGAAAATCTCCGAATGTTCTCACTAGTAACATTGAACTAGGTGTCGCATCTGGAGCCGCATTGCTCCGAATAACAGACACCCAAATGAGCAATCAAGAATACAGCTCAAGACTGTCTTGTGAAAAAACACGCCAGCAGCCTTGCAGCATCCCCTTCTCGTTGACACCTCTCTCCCAACTAGAACCATTTGTGGATGCATACTTTTCATTGTATCACCAATCCTATCCGATAGTTCACGAGGCTACATTCCGGGCTCAATTTATGGAGGTCATTCCTCGACCTACAGGTAATGCATGGCAGGTCTTGCTATTTGTTATGGCCGCAGTGGGTGCATTCACTGTTTCGGCCCAACCGACTGATACAGACATTGCTCTCTTCGAAGCTGCCAAGGGGAGGCTTTCCATCGATATGCTGGAGACAGGAAACTTGCTTCTTGTGCAGGCCTTGAGCCTCGCTTCAAATTATATGCAGAAGAGAAACAAACCAAATTCTGGCTACAACTACATGGGGCTAGCTCGTCGTATTGCAATGGGAATTGCTCTGCACAAAGAGTTCCCGACCTGGGAAACCAATTTACTTACGATTGAAATGAGGCGGCGGGTATGGTATTGTCTCTATATTTTCGATGTTGGGGCCATCATCACCTTCTCTCGTCCTCTTGATTTCCCTGACGATGGGATCGACGTTGAACTTCCTATGAATATACATGACAGTGTGGGTTACTTATCCCAGTAAATGAGCGAGATCTCTCTGACATTTGTATATAGGACATCACGACTGGAACCAAGCAATCGCCTCAGCCAGCCAATGAAACCACTGTGTACACGCATCTTCGAGCACAGGCAACCTTCCACATGGCATCAAGCCAGATATACTCTAGAATCATATCATCACCATTTCCGTCGGCAAATGAGCTCATCGAGCTGGATGACCGGCTGATTGGACGTTGGCTTAGCAAAATCCCGGTATTCTTCCAAGAGAATGTCATCCAAGCACCAAAGTTTCGACTGTGCCACTCTATTTTATGCTGGCGATATCGAAATTTCCGCATCCTCATGTACCGCCCTTTTCTAGTAGGGCGTCTTATGGTCCGTCAAGACCGAGGAGGATCTACTGCCCAAGAGAACGAGGTGCAAGTAGAGGTTGCCATCCAGCGCTGTTTAGATTCAGCACGGGAGTCAGTACAACTTATCTCATCTTTCTGGGCACAGGAACAGAAAAGTATGATGGCCTGCTGGTATGGGCTGTATTTTCTGTTCCAAGCAGTTCTAATTCCAGTCATCTGTCTGCGCAATGACCCTCAATGTGCGCTCGCAACAAGCTGGCGTGACCAGATATCCCAGGCCATGCATGTGCTTGAATCAATGTCACATCTTAACCCCACAGCTTCTCGCTGCCTTGGTGTTATTCGCTCTCTTTGTGGGTCATACTTTGATCCTTCTGTTGACAGATGGGGTCCAACAGAGGAGTCACCACAGACGCAACTTACAAATCTCTACCCGTTGATGTGGCCAACATTGGAAATGGCACAGTTGGATGGCATGGATCCAGTATTGTAAGAATTTGGCCCACAAATATGTTTCGCTGATTGCTAACAACCTGCAGACAGGAATCTACCATTCTGGACTTTATGAACCAACTACCAGGCTTTGAGTAGGTCTATACATTCTTTTGTCTGGTCTCTATGGAGAAACGGATACAACAAAGGCCCAGAGGACCTAGTACATCAATCTGAATAATCAATCTATAAGAAGACATTGATTTTGGCTCAGAACGCTCAACCCTCAAGGCAGAGTATAGCCACCATCAATAATCAGGTTGGCTCCAGTCATATAACTGGAAGCGTCGGAGGCGCAGAACACATAAGCCTTGAAACAGTCAGTCATTTTCTCCATGAGATTCGTAGATACTCACTCCCTTTAGTTCGTAACATTCCGCCATTCTCTTAGCAGGAATCATGCTGAACCATTTCTCCCGCCATTCCTCGGGATGGATATCAAGAATGTCGGTGGCAATGAATCCAGGCGAGATACAGTTCACTCTGCAGTAGTCAACCCACTCCACGGACAGGCACTTGGCCAGCTGCACAACACCTGCCTTTGATGCGTTGTACTGCAAACAATTAGTTTAGAGGGAAAAAGTTCGAAGTGAAACGCCTACCGCAGCCTGTTTCTGGGGTACATTGACCAGCGTCGCACTAACAGAAGCTGTGAAAATAACATTTCCATGGCCCTGAGTCTTGAAAATACGCCCAGCTGCCTGCGCAGAATAGAAAGCACCGTCAAGATTGACCTTCATAATCCCGCTCCATTGATCGACCGTGTAGTCCTCCGCGGCAATCGACGACACAATACCCGAATTCACTACCATGATATCGAGTTTGCCAAAGTCCTTCGTGACTTTCTGCACTGCAGCCTCAATCTCAGACTGAATGCCGACATTGGCCTGATATGCCGCCGCACGTACATTGTTGGCGCTTGCAATGTCCGCAGCAATACTATCGGCAGTCTTGGAAGTGTTATAGATCAGAGCAACCTTGAATGTGTTAGCCTGCACTTCTGCGCTGAAGATCAAGACAATGTACATCAGCTCCAGCTTCAGCCAATGCTTGGGAGACTTCTAGTCCAATTCCCCGAGCTCCGCCTGCAGGCTGTCAGAGACTATCTTCCCAATTGGCGTGTATCATACCTGTGATCACGGCAACCTTGCCCGTGAGGTCGAACGCTTTCATGACATGCTGGTTTGGAGGTTGTGAAAGCACCATTTTGATTTGCTCCCAGGTGTAAAGTGTATGTCAAATATGAAAGAAAGAAAGAAAAGTGAACTCGAAGCTCGAAATGGTTCTGTTGTGCTCCCCGCATCGGGTCAACTCCGACCGGAGCCTGTTGTCCGCGCGGACGATGTTGCCCGACTTGAACATAACAGGATTTTTATGTCGTGGGATTTGCCTGTTTGAATGGTCAGATGGTGGCACTGAAAGTGAAGATCCTAGGCGGGTTGTCTTAAGATGTGTTTTCGACTTCTATTGCAGCTCGCGTAAAGAGAAATACAGGTAGTAGATTCCTATAGTCAAAGTATCGAAGGTGTATATCTTGTAACCAACGAGTGCAAAGGACAAAAAGATTTTCATTCTGATCAAACCATTCAAATTCATATACAACCACGCGTAATTCACGAAGAAAAGCGATTGATTACGCCGCATGCTCAATGTGTTCTCCTCTGGCATCACTGTCCCCTGCTTTGTCGAATATAACTCCACTAGTCATAGACGAGGGACCGTCAAACACTTTGGCGATTTCTTCAAGGGAGTAGCCTTTGGTCTCTGGGAATGTAAACCAAGTTACAGCCAACACGACAACATCAAAACAACAGAAAAAGATATAATAATGCCACCCAATGTTTTCGAGTGCAATCGGGTTCACAAATGCTAGCACAATGAGCGAGCCATAGACACTTAGCAATTCAATTGTCAAGCCCTTACTGCGAGTGGAGTAGGTGAAGATCTCGGTGGGATAACCGAGGAGCAGTGGAGTATAGGCGATATCATAGTGGAAGTAGAAGATGAACACGAATGCGATCACCGTCGATCCAAGTGGATTAGACTGTGTCTTATCAAATACAGCGGAGCATGCAGTCCATATCACAAACGATACCAGCATGCCTATGGCTGACCATAAGAATAATGTCCGACGACCAAGACGATCAACAAGAAGGGCGGCACTTCCCGCCGCGACGAAGTTGAATATTTGCAATAGACCATTGATGAGAGTCTGCGTATCCGGGTCCTTGATTCCAACTGTGTCTAGGACGAGTGTGAGATAGTATGATACAACCGCAACACCCTATATCAGCAAAGATTAGTCGATGATCACACTGGTGCAACAGAACATCACTTACGTTCCACTGCGCAAAGGCACCAACGCAGACTGCAATAAATGTGCGCTTTCTATTACCCGGAGTTGTGACTAGAGTCGACCATTTTGTCTCGGTGGCCTGGCTGTCCATTTCAATGGTGTGGACGATCTCCGCCATTTCGAATCGTATCAAAGGATGTGAGATATCTCCAGCTGTATGGAAACGAGCGAGAAGTTCTTCAGCCTCTTCTCTCTTTCCATTTGCAACAAGCCATCTAAAGAAGGAGTGTGTCAGTTCACTGTTCATTGGGGCTATCATGGAAGGCAACTGACCGAGGTGACTCTGGAACCAACCACCAGAACAAAATTTGAACCATAGGAAATCCAGCTTGAATAATTGACGGGATTCTCCAGCTCCAGTCTGAAGACGCCATATGTTTTTGAGTGCCATAAGCTGTCCACGAAGCCAAGATGGCCCCTAAATAGTACATAGTCCAAAAAGCACTGGTATACTTGCCGCGATGAGTCGGATACGCCAGTTCGGTGATAAGCATAGGGGAGGGCTGCACGACTAGCATGGAGCCAATTCCTACCAAGACACGAGAGAATACAAACATTCCATACTGCACTGATGCAGCCTGAATAATCGAAGCAATGACAATCACAATGGCTCCAAATAGCAGGGTCAAGCGCCGTCCGATACGATCGGACAAGATTCCCACGCAGGGTAACGAGATCACACTTCCAACAGACTGTGCTGCATTGACAACACCGAGTATTGAACCCGATGGATTACCGAAATACTCCTTCCATTCGGCAATGGACTGAAGGCCGTTCATGAGGGATCCTAATCTAAATGAGCTATTCAATACTTCAGACTGAAGGAGACAGCTGACCTACCATCATATCCAGCTACAGCGGACGATATTAATGGAATAGTGAGGATGAGGTTGAGTTGCAAAAGATGTGGTACTCTGAACCAAGGACGATCATATTGGGGCAAGACAGAAGCAAGAGCCTCGCCAACGATATCCTGATCTTTCATGGTATGGACGTCGATGAGGGAATTTTGACTGGAATCAGACGAGGACAATTATTCCGAGGGACAATGGTTGTCATATATCCGATCTGCCTCGGCATTCAAGGATAAGGCCCCAACGATGTCTAAACATGGACAGAATGAGCTAAAGTGGCCTAGATCTTAGTGAAGCAGGTCTGACCTGCATGAAATGTCTTCCCCGTGGGGTAATAGGCCTATTCGCGGCAATATGACGTTGATCTGCTTTCTCTTGTCTTTTGACAATGCCCCCTTCCGTTGTCCCCGTGCGGATCATCATGTCCGATTGACGGAGACGATGACGAATTTGGATAAATTTTCAAGGCGTCGAGTGCTTTGTTGACGAATTTGACGAGGTGAGCCGATTCTTCGTTTTCATTTGTTAGAATTGAAATGCAAGAGATGTCAGGAACTGATTCTCGTTTCCTACTGGTCCAAGCAGTAACCGAAGCTGTGGTGCGTTACTTTGATAGACTCGATGTGAAGATTGTCAACGCTGGGATTCACTTCAAAGCAGGTGACTTGGACACCAAGCACCACGTTTATGCAACATCTTTGGCTCATGTACTGATGACTCGATATTACTCGACATGACCCTTGCGCACTCTATACCCCGAGCCAATTTTGACAATCTGCGGTCCAAATCCTCGAGTTCTCCCACTTCCATGCTCTCACTCCAGAATCGCCACAACTTTTGGGATTCAAGAAAGACTTGGCATTGTGAGCGGAGTGGGTCCTCCGCCGGCGGAGCGGGTGCTCCGCGTGGGGGGAGCGTCATACAGCGGGGGATCCTTCTACAATGTCCACAACTCGAGAATGTAAAAGATAAGTCACCGCAAGGTCTTTGCAGTCCAGCAAGTACCGAGACCAGCCTTGACCCTAAATTATGAGCAACCCACAAGAAACAAACCCCTCGTTCGTCCTTCGAGCGGTTAAGGATGTCGTTTTCGAGGACCGTCCAATTCCGGCTTTGAAAGATCCATGGGATGTGCGAGTCCAGATTGCACAGACTGGAATTTGTGGAAGTGATGTGCACTATTGGCAGCGAGGACGGATTGGAGGTAAGTGCCACGAGCAACTGACCAAGAGAAGACTGACTCGGGATATACAGACTTCGTCCTTCACTCTCCGATTGTTCTCGGCCACGAAAGCTCGGGTACAGTGGTGGAGATTGGGCCGTCAGTAAAGAACCTCAAGATCGGAGATCGAGTCGCGATTGAGCCAGGCGTCCCATGCAGACAGTAACTACCACGTCTCTTCTTTGTCATGCTCCCAGACTGACCCTGCCAAGCTGTGAATATTGTCGGAGTGGCTCGTACAATCTGTGCCCAGACACGGTCTTTGCAGCAACTCCACCCCACGATGGAACCCTCTCCAGATACTACATCACTCAGGCTGACTTCTGCTATCCGCTGGCATCACACATGGACCTTGAAGAGGGAGCACTGGTTGAGCCAGTCGCAGTTGCAGTACAGATTACCAAAGCTGGGAACGTCAGACCCAATCAGACAGTCGTCGTGTTTGGGTGCGGGCCTATCGGTCTGCTCTGTCAAGCAGTGAGCAAGGCATACTCGGCTCGGAAAGTGATTGGTGTGGATATCAGTCAGTCGCGTGTGGAATTCGCACGCACATTTGGTGCCGACGACGTCTTTGTGCCCCCATCTAAGCCAGCAGACAAGGACAGTTGTGCTTGGAGCGAGGAGCTGGCTCGGATCATGAAAGAGAAATTTGATCTGGGTGAAGGCCCAGACGTAGTGCTTGAAGCCACTGGAGCAGAGGCCTGCATCCAAACAGGAGTGCACCTTACTAAAAAGGGAGGCACCTACGTGCAAGCTGGAATGGGAAAAGAGGTAATTTGATGCTTTCTCTTAATCCTCTGGAAAACGCTCACTGAAATGATAGAATGTCGTCTTCCCCATCACCACTGCCTGCATTCGCGACTTGACCATCAGAGGTTCGATCAGGTACACCGTTGGATGCTATTCGACAGCTGTCGATCTCATCTCCAGTGGCAAGATTGATGTGAAGCGACTTATCACTAATAGATACAAGTTCCAGCAGGCCGAAGATGCCTTTGAGCTAGTGCGGCAGGGTAAGGAGAGTGTGATCAAAGTTATCATTGAAGGAGTGACTGCATGAAGATTTGGCATAGTGATAATACAACATGGGTTTTGTCCATACATGACACGGGGTATTCGCTTGAAGTTTGTAGAAGCTGTAACTTCTCTCTAGTACTGTACACATATCAATAATTGCCGTTGGCCGAGAATATAAACATTTCATGTTGAATTCAAGCTGACTCGTGTTTTGGGAAGGTGTGGTGGGCTCGACAGTTCTCGGCGTCATGATCTCAAGAATATAAATTCTCAGTTTCATCCTCGACGCTCTTCTCTTTCCTTCCTCCCCCAACCCAACATCCACTTTAAGCTGCTTCCATCTCTTCACTCAAGCTCCTTCACTTGTTCCAACCGCCATCTTTCCACCACTTCTTACGTTCTCGTTTCACGCTTGCAAAGATGGGCAATGATACCACTCCCAAGAAGGTGGCCAAGCCCTCTTCTGCCCGAAGCACTCCCAGCAAGGCCCTGAGATCCGCCAATGTCAGCTTTGACAAGGACCTCCTTTTTCTCTGGGCTTGTTGTCAGAGCGCCAACATGCAGGTGAGCGTAGAATCATATCACTACTTAATGAAAGGTGAAGCATCTGACATTTTCAACCTCAGCTTGACTACGCCGTGCTTGGTCAAAATCTCGGCCTTAAGCCCAATGCCACCCGCATGCGATACACACGTCTGAAGGCCAAGATCGAGGCCATGGAGTCTGAGCAGAAGGAATCTGCCAATACCGACCCCGAGTGCAACAAAGAGCCTGAGGGCAGCAGCCACGAGGTCAAGGAGGAAAAGGGCGATGAAATTGAGGCAAATCAGTTCTAAGTCCAATGGAGATGAAGGATAGTGCCTGTTTACACCGATAAATTGAGGTCCTGTATCATTTGAGGGGGAATTGACACGGCGGGTCTTTGCGCATTTTCTTCTACTTTTTCTTTTTTTTTTTTCGCCGGTCAAACTGCATAAATTATCCAATCCACTCATTTGATGGATCCATATTGCTTGTATCGTGCAAAGTCTTGGTTTCTGCTGTCCTCTTCATAATGAGTCGTAGTTGTGTCCCAAATCTTTTGGCCCTGACCCTGTCACGTGGCGATGAAGCCCTGGTGACATGGAAATGGCTGTAAATAATCTTACTTCCACACATGTTCTGAGCAACTCGACAATACTCTCTAACCTCTTTTCCAGTAACTGATTTCACTCAAATTACATTCTCCAAGGTTCAACGACATGTAGATACGCTACTCAAAAGTGCGACTTTGCTGGCTTGACATTCGCAGAACACTGATATTCGTGCATTATTTCCCTTCACAGGGGGTAAGCGTATATTGTAGAATTACATGGTGACTTCAAGTAACTTAAAGCAAGAAATGACTTGCCACACCTACAAATCATTATTCCAACATCTATTTTCATCATGTCCCTTGGGGTCAGAGAGCTGTTAGTGTTCAATCCATCTACAATGACCAACGTACCGAGCAGTCGCAAGCATGACATCACACCAAATTTGCCACCTCAGGTACAATGCATTCAACGATCCAAGCCTACCTCTTTCCTGAATTTAGGGGCATACATATGCTTCTGCATAGCTGTGTCTATCATAATGAAAGTCGCAATCCCTCGGCAACAACCTGGCGCTCCACCACCCTCTGGTAAACGAGTGCTACGGGCATGCCAATCGTGCCATCGGCGAAAGTTCAAATGCACTGGTGACACTCCAGCTTGCAAACAATGTCGACAATCCAATATTGAATGCTTGTATCCATTACCATGGCGTGAAAGACAAAAAAAGTAAGTTCACCGCACCACCTACCGCGCCCTCGCCAGCAGTTGCAGTGAATCCAAACAAACGTACCTCTCCCGTTCTTTATCTCCTGAAACTAAATCAAAGCCCAATACCAGGCAGATCAAGGCGCTCTCGACCAAAGTTCAAGATTATGAAACTATGTTGAATGAGATGAGGGATCTTCCTGGTTCGCCTACTAAACGCATCAGAGATCTACTGCAAAAGGTTCCGGATTCATGTCAACTATAGTGCCCCGAAGCCGACATTTTGTCTGACATTTGACTAGTATGACCCAGAGGCCGATCGTGTGTTCAATACGACACCTGTTGCCAGATCACAAGATCAAATGAGGCCCGAGAGACCCAGTTCACCTTGTTCCATTGGGTCACTGGAAGGAGTGGATCGAGTTGAGGAAGACATCAATCGAACAGAGAGTTCTCGTGCCACTGGATACATAGGAAAAAGCTCAGAAGTCACATGGATGAAACGGCTAAAGGAAGACGAAAGACAACTTCCAAAATCAAAATGTAGCGGTGATAGCCGCTCAGGTGGCCCAATTTCCCAGCATACCATCAACTATCATCTCGATGACTTGAGCATAGATGTTTCGGAGGCTGTCCAAATGTATTGGATACCTCCACGGCAGGTGGCCGATCGTCTCTTTGAAACTTATTTGACTATGGTTCACCCGCAATTCCCTATCATTGATCGCACTCAGTTCTCTGGCCAGTACAAAAACTTTTTTGACAAAAGTTATTCGCCAAGTGACAGGTGGCTGGCAATGCTGAACATGATATTTGCGATAGCATCGAATTACTCTTGCAACAGTGAGATAGCAGGGCCATGGTCTGCTCAAGACCACCTCTTTTACCTAACCCGTGCCAGAATGTTTGCTATGGGCGGTGATAATCTGTTCCAACATCCAGACCTTCAACAGATACAAGTAGAGGGGCTGATTGCATTCCACTTGATGTCTATAAGCCAGATTAACAGGTATGATATTCTAGTCTCTTCAGCGAAGTAAAGCTAAATGCAGGCGCAGAGCATGGAGAATATCAGTTCTGGCAGTTCGATCCGCAACATCCCTCGGTATTGACCTGAAAAATGACAGCAGTTCAATTTCAGGTCTCGCCAAAGAAATGAATTGCCGAATATGGTGGTGTCTATTTACAATCGAACACAAGCTGGGATTAATAACTGGCCGAAAAACAGCGATTTCGTCAAATGCATTCAGCTGTCAATTGCCTCTTCCCTTTAGCGAAGATCAATTGTCAAATCCCTCAGCTACCGGGCTTCTCGAGAATCTAGAATTGAGAGAACAATGCCTGAACAAAGCAATGACGAGTCCCTGTCTCGGGCAAATGGACAGCAAACCAACGAAAGATGCCCTATTTGGACGTCTATGGCTTCAAGCTCAACCTGCAAATGCTGCCCTCTATTTTTTGTATCATTGCGATCTCACAGTGCTATCTCAAGAAATTTTGAATCGAGTTTACTCGGTCGAGTGCGCGATGCTATCATGGAATGAGATCAAGAGCTGCATCAGCGAGCTCAAGACAAGTGTCGATCATTGGTTGATGAATCTTCCTCCTGGGCTCAATTTTCTTCACGTGGAAGAAGAGCATAGTGAAGCCCACCGGGCAAAAACGAGCTTAGCATTTCACTATTATAGCACACAAATTATGCTCGGTCGGCCATGCCTCTGTCGACATAACACACAGAGAAAGGAAGACGACATGCATGGCTTCACACACAATATGATTTTGTTAACTCTGGATTCTGCGATGCACATGCTTGTTTTGCTGCCAGATGAGCCAAACACGACTTACCTTTATCAAATCTGTCCATGGTGGTGCATTCTTCACTACATCATGCAGATAGCGACAGTGATCATCTTGGAATTGTCATTTGGCTGCGTTCATATTCCAGAAAAAGAAAGCAGTCTCATTCAGCTAGGTGAAAAGTCTGTTAAATGGCTTTACGCAATGTCCAAACACAGCGTCGCAGCGCATCGTGCTTGGAAACTGTGTGAAGATGTACTGTCTCGACTGGCGTCGAGGCTGGGATACGACACTGGCAATTTACCACCTCATCCAAATCAGGAGCAAGTTAAAGCAGTTGACGTCGCAACATTATTCGCCCATGATGATCAACGTCTACCGCAAACCTGCTCTCAGGAAGACAATATCGCAGGTCGGGATGACATTGACTCGACCTTTGCGGATGAACCGGGGGTTGAGCCTTCATCTGCACCAATTATGCATGATCGTATCCCAGGCGATGTGTATTTCCCCTATGATCCGATCACGGGGGAATTTCTACGTGCTTTGTTCCCCGAGTTGAAAGAAGAAGAACGGTGGGGATTGTAGTCATGATTCAAGTTTATTTCACTGTCTATGCTTTTTTTGAATATGGGGTGGGATTCATTGACACATCCTTCGTTGTATTAGTTTATTCAAATGATTTTAAGGATTCTATTGAAACATAGGAAATTCATGTCTTCGACCATTATCGAACGTACTTCGCATCCACGTCCACCAGCTCTACCTCGCTGTTCGTGTCCGAACGCGCGGCATAGTTCACCGAGTATGTGACAGACTTGTTGATGTTGCTGTTTCCATCGGTTTGTTTGATATACTCCGCCGCGTTCGAGGGATATGTGCGGCCCCGAGAGCCTCCCAGAAGCGCAGGGAACCAGCGACCGATGAGGGCTCGGAATGCAGGAAGACAGGCACACAAGATGGAAATCTGGGTTTCGATCACAGACCAGTGAATCAGCGGGTATAGACCGAGAGTTTGGTTGATACCCCAGCGGTTGTTCCAGAAGACGACGACTCGGATAATGGCGATGACGGTAAGCCTGTAGCAGCGATCAGTAAGCTGTCCAGCTTGGGAGGTTATGATGAGATTGGAATCCTTACAGTGAGCCAACAACAAACATCAGTGCCACAGTAAGCTTCTTCTTCCACGGCAGCTGCAACTTGATCACTTCATACACAGGCATGACAATCAAGATAGAGTCGATAAAGATGTTGACCAGGCAGTTGATCAGAATGGAAGTGATGAAGTTGATACACTGCCCTTGCTCCTCATTCATCCAGCCAGTCCATGTCAAACGTGTCGGCAAGCAACGGAAAGAATCCACACAGGCCCAGGTGATACCGGTGGCAGCGTTGAGGCCCATGAGGACATAGGACATATAGCGGAACGTGCGGGATTGGAAGATCCGTAGCATGAAGAGACAGACCGAGATTTTGGCGAGCGAGATTTGGATCTTATACATTACAGCGAGAGCTTGGAAGGTCTAGTTTGATTAGCTTAGCGATTGCTGGACAGGGGAGGAGGACGAACCTGGTAGAACTTGGTAATGTCGTCGAATGGGACATCCCAAATATTCTGTCCAAAGCCAAATTTAATCACTGCAGGACTTGATCAGTATCTTGTGTCCAATCGACCACCGATGCAGGCTTACTGTAACAATTCAGGACGAAAATGGCTATGCCGAGGACCTGCAAGACGGTTAATATGGCTCCGTAGAACATGGCAAGTGATACGCACGAAAGAAACGATGATTGTATAGTCATCCCATCCCCATCCACCAGCCAGGCCACTGCTCTTGGCGACCAAGCGTGCGGCGAAGAAAAATGTCGCGAGAATCAAAGGAGTCAAAGTTTCACCCTGGATAATCCGGGGGCCTTTGAGAGGCGTGATGTCACATTTCTGTTCATAGAGTCGTTTGGTGGCTGGCGACCGTTAGAGCTAAATTATACAAATGGCCGATCAAACACTAGTGAAACTCACTAAAATACTCCTTGGTCGTGCACTTGCTTTCCGCACAGTTCAGCAGCGCGGTCGGGCGGGTGTCACTCTCGCAAAAACAGGTCGAATTGCTAGTCAGTGAGCACTCGGAGAACAATGCTTTGTTGCAGTCCAACTAGGACAATCAGTCTCCAGCCACAACATGGGAAGGTGGACGAAGTATACGTACAGCGCAGGAAGGGAATGTGGTGGTCTCGGCATGCAGACCCACGACCAGTAGGGCCAAAAGAGTGGAAAGCAGGAGGAACCTCATGGTGAAGGATGGGAAAAGAAGAACCTCGACAATTGAATCAAAAACGGTGCTGACCTGGGGCAACGGCCAGTTTTGTCCTGGTCGTCTACAACTGATACATTCCTAACCCTAAAGGGAAATCGCCGCAAGTCTAATTCAGCTTGCCACATGGCATCGACAGATCTCGGACTAAATATTTCTTCGTCATGAAGTGGGGGGAATCGACGCTCAGCATTCGATTTCCCCATTTCCAAAGATTGGGTCAAGTGAAACGTGCCCTAATTTCGGTGAAAACCCCAACGGAGCGCTTCATATAAAAGAAACGGGGCTGGATGGAATGGGGGGAATCACCCGAAATCTCCATCGAGATGATAGGCACATTATCGGCTGTCTCCGCCTGGTTCCGAGGTTCCTGTCAGCCTTAACAGTGAACGGTGTTGGCGAACACCTCCATGGCCAGCTCTGCAGGCCTAGAATCGCGTGTGTAGGGTTTTCATCCTTGGCAATGGCATAGGAAATGGAATAGGCCAGGGGAAAACAAAGGCGCATTCGATCGGAGGATCAAACTTTAATATGAAGCTATCGAAGTGGCGCAAGATGTAAGCGCAAATGTTCTGCAGCGTTAGTTCTTTGGGTGCTGGGAGCTCGTTAATCGCGTTCATCTGTGCAGCCTGTGAGCATGTTGAACCCCCCGGTCGTGGGATTTGCAGGAACAGACCGGCCTGAACTGCCGAGTGAAGCTCCTTTCACCTTGGCAATCGGGGTAAATATGCACTAACGTTGCATTCTCCGATTCTCCACGTATCTGATCAAAGGTCCACTTGAGATTTCAGGAAAAGTTTTCGCCACCCAGCCGAGGCTCGTTCATTCTGGGACAGAAAAACCGACAGCATACGAAAATATACGACAATACGAAAACATGCGAAAACAGGGCAGGCTGACATCCGTCTAGCGGAAGTATGCCCTACATCAGTTCTTAACTCCATGGCAGATTTTGGGATACTGTAGGTGAAGCATGCATACGGGGATCCTACATGGTATACACAAGTGGTCCACAATCGCAGCGATCTAAAAAACCCGGAGCTAGTTTGGCCGCGATATCGGGACCCTGGTGCTGTATCTTATTATCCACCTTCTACCTTAGGGTATATACAATGATTTCTAAGTATTACGTATGGACATGTCCCGCCTCTATCATTCGCAGCCGTTGTCGGCCTCCACTTAGCCTATTGTATTTTGCCCGTCGCCTGCAGGTTCTTTACAGGATGTAAAAAGATAGGGGGGAGACAGAGTCGATTATTGTGATTTTCCCACTGTGTGCCGTTAATAGGAAGCAAGGGCCATTCATCAGCAGAGTACATACCTCTTCGGCGCCGTCAAAGCCCATCCAGGCTCTATACAACTTCTCCGAGAACTTCGAGTTGAACATGAAAGTCGTGTTGTAAATGATATCGTTATGCTTGTTCCAGCTCCAGATACTGTCCATACCAGCGTTGACTTTGCCAGGTTCACCCGGATTGGCACGGGAGTTCAATTCTTGAGGATCCCACCGGTGCTCATGATATATTGGGTGGGGGATTTGCACAGCCTTCAGACCATAGTATAAAGCCCAAGAGAGAGGTGACATCTCCGAGGCGAGCCCAACTCCCCATTGAACTTTGTCATGGTGTAAAACACGAAGGAGTCGCGCAGACACCCGAGACATAGCAACAACAGCCGCGCGACGAGGCGTCTCTTGCTCTTGGGGGAAATTAAACACGCGATCGCGGAAGGGCCAGTCTGTCCCTGTCGGATCGAAATGGGGAAGCCAAGTGATTAGCTCGGCTTCTTCGCCTACTCCCCAGATGCCGGGCTCTTCCTCTGGGTGGAGAACAGGGGGCAAAGGGGTCTGTCCTTCAATTTCGATTCCCTGAGCAGGGTGGGGACCCCAGATGCTCTCATGGCCGGCCATGATCTGGTCAATCTGCTCGTTGAACTCTTCCCAGGTGCCGTGCACGGCTGGCATGTAAAAGTAGGTATTGCGTTCCCACAGATACTTGCGTGGCTGCTGTTTGGCGAACTCGGTCGCCTGCTGTAAGAGATCATACATATTGCCAGTATACCGGGCATCCATTTCGAATTGCCAAATATAGTCGTACTGAGGGTGGAGCTGGGAGAAGATCTGCGTGGGCTGGAAATACTGCAGTATTGCTCTAGGAGGGAGTCAGTGGAACTGGTCTTTTCCATCTCTCTCGTGGGGATAATGCATACACATGGACATCAATCTCAGGATACCAGTCCTTGAGCATTTTGTTGTTAAAGAAGACTGCTAAGCCTCGAAGTTCCCGAGGTAAATGTTTCTCTTTGAATGCAGTCCAAGCAGCATGATCGCTCTCTTTGGGCAATGCTTTGTCCTGGCAGTCTACCAGAAGAATAATCTCATACTCTCCCCCCGAGTAAAGAGACAGCTCCATGATCATGGAGCGAATGTTGTACAAGTCGTTCTCGGTATACTGCATGCCAATCCACGAGCGCAAGATAACCGCAGTCCGTGACTCCGGTTGGGGCTGAGCAGCTTTTCGGGTTTCTTCCAAGTGCTTCAGAGATGATTCTGGTGGTGTTTGTTGCGTCTCCGGGTCGAAAGATTTGAAAAGGCCCCAGACAGTCTTCTCGTTTGGCTCAGTCGTACTATATCGAAGCGTATTGCGCTGCAAACATGCCTGCTGTAATTGAGCCCAATCGACATGCTCCCAGTCGATCTCGGCTGCTTCACTCGAACCAAATGATTCACTCTGCCAATCATTCATTTGCGATGTCGCATTCCCCTCCGTATATCCATACGGACCATATCGGGAGTGGCGATCGCTGCAAAGGCTCCGATCCAAATTCCAAGCTTCGTACGATCCAAAAATGGGCGCGGGAAAATCTACATTGGTCATTAGTCTCCTTCTCGGCCGCTTTTACAGGGTATTCCTCTGCACCTGATATATTCCAGTGGTAACCACTCGTCATAGTGTCTTCATCTTTGCGACTGAGAAGTCGGCCGTGGGGCCCCATGCAAGGCTGAAACGCCCCTTTTGACGCAGAGATCCATTGCGGACTATCATAGTCTGGATAGGGGTCATTGATAACCCGCGATGAATTAATAGGCCGTTGACTGGCATATTCACTCGGGAAAGGGACACTAGGAGGCTTTATAGGTCTAACAAAGTCAGAAACTGCCGGGGGAAAAAAACACGGACAAGACACCGGGACAAGTAATTACTCAGTCAATTTGTTTCGTAACGGCACAATAGAAATAGCCTGCTCTCTATAATACGGAACAAGAAAAAACAAAAGCAACAAAAGCGCCGCAGCAACTGCAAAACGGCGCCTTGGAGAGCCAAACAGACCCCGCAGCGCCACGAGAGAGTCCATCACGGCGAAAAAGGCATGAAAACGCGAAATCATCGGGGAATCTGCCCCGTTTTCTACTGTTTTTTTTATTCCACTTCTCGCGCGAGGCGTGGCGGCTTGGCTCGGCTTGCCGCTGGAGCCTGGTTCTTCAGGGCTATTGAGCTGATCGGGCCAATCGCAGGCTGCAGATAATCCAGGTTGGGTCCTGCCGAGAGTCTAGTTTTGGGGGGAATTTCTTTGTCAATAAATAGGGGCGCACGAGAAAAGACATTTCGAGCATAAAGAGAGAGAGAGCATTCGTGGTATGGTGATATTTTCTTAATATTCATAGTGTCGATCAATGGCTTGACGCGTTCGGCAGCATCCGAGAAGTGCCGGATCGGCAAAGATGATGTCTCACTTGGCTGTGAATGTGAACAGTGAGGTGAATCATTGTCCTGGCAAAGTGAAGTGGTTGCAGTATGCATTCATTAAATATCAAAATATCAAGGTATGTACTTTCCAAAGGGGGAATATCGCTATGTACTCAGATACAGAATCTCAACCAGCTCTCTAATTCACTCCAATCCAATATGACCCATTGGACTGGCCAACTGCCTGGGCCGGACAGGCATACGCTGGAAGGTAGCTATACGTATTTCTCCATCGCTATCAGGACGGGGCTTCATTGTTGGCCCGTCGACCCCATCCACTGAAGAAGCCGCCGCCTCCGGTATTGGCGGCAGGGGGTGTCATCACTTGCTTGGCCGGTTCAGTGGCAGATTTGGAAATGCTGATTCGGGATGGAGAAAGGCCAACAAAGGACTGGCGATGCTCTAACTTCGCCGCCTGGGCTGGAGTTATGATCTTTTTTAATGACTCCAGCCTGCTCTTCACCTCTTCGAGCTCTTGCTTTGCAACTGCCTCCGCAGTCTTGGAAGTGACGAGCTCCATGAGCAAGGTCTCATCACCCGCCGGTCCGTTGTTCTCGGTTGCCAGCACCTTCTGAAGACCCAGGCTACTAGTCCGTTTACTGTATGTTGGGCTTTTGGTGGAGTTGGTGCGGGTGAGCTTGAGCTCACGCAGACCACTCGTGGGGGAGTGAGCCTCTCCGTAATCAGTGGGAGAGGTATCCGGTGGAGTCGCTGTAGTCGAAGTAGGGGTTTTGAGAGTGCGTAATTCCCGGTTCATGCGCTCGAGCCGCTGTCGATCGCGGTAATTGTCTTGAATTCGGCCTCGAGCTTCTCGTAGTTGTTCTTTCATCGACGCATTCTCTTTTTCAAAATCGTCGATGCGACGAGTCAGGTCCAAGCAACGGCCAGCTTCCACCTCATGCATTTCTTTCCATCGTGCGACATCGTCGTTTAATTGGAGCTTTGTTTGGGTAATTGAGATACGCTTTGGCACGCTCGGGTCAAAGCGTGCCTTGGCCTTGTCAATCAATTCGGTCGGCGTTTCAGCCGGCATCTCTTGGATGAGACTCAGCATTTCCTTGGCCAGAGCATGATCTTCTTCACGGTCCTCTCTCTCCTGTTGCAAGTCACGTGTCAAATCAGCTTGCTGGCGTTGGAGATCGCTCAGTGCTATTAACAGGTCTTCAATCTGGGTATGAAGGTCGCGGTCTTTGTGATGTGATGACAGGTTGGATTTGATTCGTGATTTGCCATCAGAGCCTGTTGTGGCAGTTGACAGCTCGGTGGGCGCAGTGCTTGCGTCGGACGTACTTTCAACCGAGTTGAGAGTGGAAGTGAGGCTTTGTTTAGAGGTGGAGCGACGAATGGTACTGTTCGGACGTGTAGAAGTTGAGTTCGGGTTGAGTGATTTGACTGATTGATGGGAGTTAGAAGAGCCTGTCCACAACTTTCCAAGGAATCCAGAAGCTGTGGCCTGCATCTGGGGGAAGGAGATTCCAGTGGGGTTGCCCTGGGACTGGTTGTAGCTGGCTTCAAGAGCTTGGAGGCTCTCCCTTGTCACAAGACAAGTGAGAGAAACAAAGTCATTGACCAAGTCATCTGCGTTAAACGCGTATCTGCATCACACGTCAGTAAAGTCCTTTGTTCAGGTGATAACCAAGACTTACGTGTCCCATAAGCTACGCGACAATAGCAATTGCATCACATCCTCAAATTCGGCACAAGCGAGAATTCTCTTCTCGTTGCGCTGCATCAAAGAAAGTGCAACGCGCATAAGAGTCTCACAGGCACCTTCCAGGAAAATGACGTCGTAGATTCGGAGAAGCATCGGGAGTGGACATGCCACCGCAAAGAATGATAGGAACCACTGTGATACGTAGACCGGTTCAACGTGCAGTGACTCTAGGTGTTCAAATAGAGCAGGCCGATGGCGCGCGAGGAGATTTTGGAATTGGTAGACATGAAGATGAAGACCAGAGAGATCGGGAAGGTAACATGTTCGGAGATTGTAGTGGTCCATGAGACTAGAGTCAAGTCAGTATTTCTTGATCAACTTGCATCATCTTCCATCGCAGGAACTTACCGGACCAAAACACAAAAGGCCTCGGCATCTGTCATATGCATGAGCAGAGGACCAACCACAAATCCAAGCCCTTGGCAATAGCCAATCTTGGTATCATAGAGACTGAAACATCTCAACACTCGGGCGAGCATCTGCTGGCCCTCGCCATTGGGATCGCGGAACATCTCCACATTGGGGAAGCTGCGACCAATGTCCTTGCCAATCAGCCCATCATACGGACTGCTTTCTCCCTGGAGTCGTTGGAACTCTTGCAAAAGGTTCGGGTCGCGCGCCCCCGCTAGACTCGGCCACACCACTCCTCGCAGTGGGGGAGGTACACCTCCCTGGATCTTATTCGAGGTCAATGTCGGCAAGCGCTGAGCCGTCTGGTGGTAATCAGCCACCAAGGCTGCCCAGAATTCCAACTCGGTCATCGGAGGAGGGGGCAATTGGGAGTATCGCAGCTCAGCCCGCGTCGGGTCCCTGATGAGTCGCTTGATCTGGTGTAGCGACTCGGAGCGGGATTGCCGCTGATGCGTCTTATGTGGCACATTGGTAATTCCTGATTTGGGGTTCGTCGCCAACGCGTTATTCTCTTGTTCGAGTCGAGCGAGAAGGAGGGCGGTGGACTAAGAAAGAATGTCAGTGCCCGCATTCCACCTTTCGCGACTGTCCACCCACATCATCGGACCCTTCCCCGCGCGGTTCTTGCTCCTCCGTCTTGTCCAGATTCTCCCAATTCACGTCGTTGAAGCCTTCCTCCAATTGTTTCTCTCCGTTGGCGTTCGGTGTCGGCATATCGTCTTCGGGGGTCGGGGTTGTCCTTCCATCCTGGATTTCCGGGCCAAACGAGTCGCCCTTTTCCATGTGGCTTGCCTGCACTGGCGTGGGAGGAATGTCGAGATTACGCCAATCGGGCTGTGTGTGCTCCGAACTGGACTGGATATCGGATAGAGCGACAGTGACCATTGAATCGTGGTTCAACGCGTGCGAACCGGGGGAAACTGGCGGGCTTTCCATGGTGAGCAGGGTGTGGTATGTGGGTTATATTTGGACGCTGGACACAAGCGCAGATCTCCGCTGCATTGCTGAGCTTTAGACTGAAGCACAAACTAAGTCGAGGCGACAGTTCGCAGTCTTAATCCACACAAGAGGCTGGAGAAAGGAAAAGGGAGTCAGGAGAGCAAATCCACTTTAGCCCCTTTAGCTTTCCCCTCCTGAAGTCTCGGCCCCGTCGATCCTCTTACACCGACTGTTTTGACTAGTTTTCTGATATTAAGTTGACGGGAATTGAGCTCTGGAGTTCTTGTCTTTCTTGCTCTTTATTGTTCTTTACTGTTCTTGTGTGTGCCTTATACTCCGGACAGTTCCCTCTTCCGTTGACGTTCCATGGATCTTCTCCACGTTAATTTGAGCTCACCATTCAGAGCATCATACTGGTGGGGAGAGTAGGTTAGGGGCAATGGCACTATGAAAGGACCTCTATTTCGGACGATTATTACGACTGTGCAGATGACCTGCAGCTGCACTCGAACTATTTGTTGATGTACAGTACAGTCTGTATTCCCGCATGATACAGTGTACTTCTGTATTTGCGATACATCAGGGGTGATTACCGTAATTTGAATCCCTATCTATTGGTCAATAAGCTATCTCTTGGCCCATCATTCGTGACACTCGACGTGACTCCTGTAAGGTAATTACGCGCCACCGTTTCACCCTAATCTGCTGGAGGTCACTGGAAGGAAATGACTTTAGAGGCTGGCCAGCGTCATGTCTCTTCTCATCGGAGCGGGCGAATGCTGTATAGCCCGAAGCTAATGTTGAATGGAATTCACAGGCCCTGGCCTTTGCTCTGTGGATCTCCCGCCCCTGTGGTCCACCTGTCAGTATGAAGTTTTTCGAGCCCACTTGGAAGATTCGAGATTTTTGGGTATTGGAAGTAAACTAATCAATAGTGGGACATAAGGTGATCAATGCAAACCGCTCACCTTTGAGGGAAATTTGGCTTGTAGCAGATATGTTCATGGTTCGGCTTTCTAGGCTAGGAGCAGCCAGATCAGAAACTGTACGATATACTTGGCTGACATCCTAATGTGCTCTTCTCATGGATTCGGAACCTGGCAGGCTAGAAGGACATGCCTCCTTGCCGAGGCCCTTGTCATAATATGTAAATCACCCGTTTCAGTTCGAGCCAATCGAAATATTCCGCTCGCATGAAGCCCAACTCCATGCAAGGGCTATATGATATGCACAATCCCCGCGGCTGGACCTATCAATAGAAGATATTTCAGATATCATCCCATATAGATACACTGTCCTTACTCTGGTGGTCTCCGGAGGTGTAATTGGGAGGTGGGATCATAAAAGCAATCGGAAGAAGTCGATTTCCTTGCACTTCCGCCCAGATACGGCTTGAATTGCATTCGAACTCTTGTCACTTATATACAACAGTTTCTCAATTTCCAGACTGGCATTGAGGACTCTTGATTATCGCTAAGTAGTGCTCTAACTTCACTGAGCAGGTAATGGTGTTTGCGCTGGGGCTATTAGCGTACCTCGGATGCATTGCTTCCGCTATTAACGTTACGGGGATCCCCAACGTTATTACTGTACACCATGATTGGGGTTCAACTCCTGAGTAAAATGAATGCTATCCTTGATGATAACTTTGTTGGCCCACAGAGTTATCATAGCATGTTTCTTTTAGCGCCATCGTGGAGTCAATCCATTCAGCGCGTCAAACTATATTTAGACACTAATAACTCGATTTGCGCTGAGCGCGCTCAAAATTGGGATTTGTTGACGTTTTCAGAGATACAACAGATCTATGTTGTCTTAATGCATAAGCATTAAGTGAACTTACAGTACACAGTACATTATCAACATCATATCTGCAGTCAATCAGAATCATCCATTTGTGAGGGGAAGCAAAAAGCGTGTCGTTTGTTTGGAAATTGCCTATTTGGGCCGTGTTTGCAGGCGGTGAGGAAGAATGATGATCCGAGTGGTCAGAAAGGATTCACCGCTTTGATAGTCGGGGAAGTCGCGTTTCAGGCAAAAAACAACACTGCGGCGGTTCCCCTCAGCATTCTTGTCTTTTCTTCACCTGCTCTGAGGATATGTCGGGTCTTGAGTGATTCGCCTTTGAAGCTTGTCTACCTGGCGTTGTCGCTCATCTGAACCAATTCCAAGCCTCAAACAGACACGTCCTATTTCCCACTAATCTTGCAACGGCTTGACAATCTTCCCATCATGGATGATTCTCTGATGGAAGACTCGGTCTTTGAGGACGAGGGAGGTAGCTCTGACTTCGTCCCTGAGCCTGTGTCGGTAAGAATCCCTATTGTGACATGTATCAGGCGCCGTCTATCTGACACCACACGTCTCAGAAACCTAAAGCGAAAGCCGCCCCTAAGAAAGCAGCTGTCGCTAAGCCCGCCGCCAAAAAAACAACCCAAACCACACTGAAAGCTAAACCAGCTGCCAAAACTGCCGCTCCTAAGAAGAAGGCCAAGGCCGACAGCGAGGACGAGATGTCCGACGCTCAAATGTCCGATGCCGATTCTCTGCTCATGGACACTCCCCCCAAGGCTAAGAAAGCAGCCGCTCCCAAGCGAGCTGGCTCGAAGCCACTAGTTGACGTCGAAAATGAGTCTCACGGGGGAGACGCTCCCAGCGACAGCAAGAACGGCGATGCATCAGAGAAGTACCAGAAGGTAAACTGCGCTCCCGTTATATGAACATTGTCGAGTCCAAATACTAATGCCAACTATCTTTACAGCTTACCCAACTCGAACATATCATCAAGCGTCCCGATACATACATTGGTTCTACCGAACGCACCACCCAGCAAATGTGGGTTTACAATTCTGTAACTGAGGTTATGGAAAACCGTGAAGTCTCATTCGTCCCTGGTCTGTACAAGATCTTCGACGAAATTGTTGTCAACGCTGCCGATAATAAGCACAATGACTCAAATATGAGCGAAATGCGGATTACCATTGATCGCGAAGCTGGTGAGATCAGTGTGTGGAACAACGGACGTGGTATTCCCATCGAGATTCACTCCAAAGAGAAGATCTACGTGCCTGAGCTCATTTTCGGCCACCTTCTCACATCATCCAACTACGACGATAGTCAGCAGAAGGTGACTGGTGGTCGTAATGGTTTTGGTGCCAAGCTTTGTAATGTCTTCTCTACCGAGTTCTCACTTGAGACCCAAGACTCGCGCCAAAAAAGAGAAGTACAAGCAGACATGGACCCAAAACATGACAAAAATGGGCAAGGCAAAGATCACCGACGCGAAAGGTGACGACTACACTAAGGTCACTTTCAAGCCCGATTTTGCGAAATTCGGCATGGAAGGTATTGACGATGACTTTGAAGCTCTTGTTAAGCGTCGAGTTTACGATTTGGCGGGTACTGCCAACGTAGCTGTGAAATTGAACGGCGCACGCATCCCCATTCGCAACTTCCGCAAGTACATGGAAATGTACACTAAAGCCATCCGCAAGGAGCGTGGCGACGAGGGTGCTGCCGCGAAGGATGAGATCATTACTTGCAACCCTGACCCTCGCTGGGAAATTGGTTTTGCTGTATCAGATGGTTCATTCCAGCAGGTTTCTTTTGTCAACTCCATTGCGACAACATCTGGTGGAACCCACGTCAACTACATCGCAGATCAGATCTGTAATCGCCTGGCTGATCAAGTGAAGAAGCGAAACAAGACAGGCGCCACACTCAAGTCAGCGCAAATTCGGAACCATATCTTCATCTTCGTGAAAGCTCTCATTGTCAACCCGGCCTTCAATTCGCAGACAAAGGAACAATTGACCACCAAGACAAGTCAGTTCGGGAGCAAGTGTATTCTTGAGGAAGACTTCTACAAGAAGGTTCTCAAGACTGAGGTGATGTCGAATATCCTACACTTTGCAGAGCAAAAGGCCGATCAGATTTTGAAGAAGGGTGACACCGGTCGTCGCTCGCGTATGAACAATCCTAAGCTGGTTGATGCCAATAAAGCCGGTACCAGGGAAGGCCACCACTGCACGCTGATTCTTACCGAGGGTGAATCCGCCAAGGGTTTGGCTATGGCAGGAAGAGCAGTCGTTGGTCCTGACTTGTTCGGTGTTTTCCCCCTGCGCGGAAAGTTGCTCAATGTCCGCGATGCTTCTTTCGACCAGATTTCGAAGAATGCTGAGATTCAAAATATCAAGAATTTCATTGGTCTACAACACAAGAAGGAGTATACTGAAACCAAGGGTCTGCGATACGGTCATCTTATGATCATGACTGATCAGGATCACGACGGAAGTCACATCAAGGGCTTGCTCATCAACTTCCTTCAGGCGCAGTTCCCGAGCTTGTTGAAGATTCCCGAATTTCTCATTGAGTTCATTACCCCAATTATCAAGGTTTGGAAGGGTGACCCGAAGAACCCTACCAAGATGAAGTCATTCTTCACCATGCCTGAATACGAAGAATGGCACCAACTTCATAAACACGAACGTGGATGGGACCACAAGTATTACAAGGGTCTGGGAACCAGTACCACAGAGGATGCTCAGGTCTACTTCCGTGATCTCGACCGCCATCTCAAGGAGTTCCACACCATGCAAGATGACGAGCCCGGGCTTATTGAGCTAGCTTTCTCCAAGAAGAAGGCAGATGAGCGCAAAGAGTGGCTTCGTCAATACAAGCCTGGCACATACTTGGATCACTCGCTGTCGAAGATTACATACACCGACTTCATTAACAAGGAGCTGATTCTATTCAGTATGGCAGACAACATGCGTTCCATTCCTTCTGTTGTTGATGGTTTGAAGCCCGGTCAGCGCAAGGTGCTGTACACCTGTTTCCGCCGTAATCTGAAGAAAGATATGAAGGTCGTGGAATTGGCAGGTCACGTCTCTGGAATGACAGCCTACCACCACGGTGATGTGTCACTCCAGCAGACCATTGTTGGCCTTGCTCAGACATTTGTCGGCTCCAACAACGTCAATTGCCTGGAGCCAAGTGGAAACTTCGGTAGTCGACTTCAGGGTGGTGGCGATTGTGCTAGTGCTCGTTACATCTACACTCGCTTGTCGCCGTTCGCGCGGAAAATCTTCCATACCGCGGATGAGCCCTTGTTGGTGTACGGCGAGGACGACGGCAAGAAAATTGAGCCGGAAGTCTTCATGCCTGTGGTCCCGCTCATTTTGATCAACGGTGCCGATGGTATTGGTACTGGATGGAGTTCGACTATCCCTAACTACAACCCTGAAGATGTTGTCAGCAACTTGAAGCGCCTCATGAATGGCGAGACTCCCGAGCCCATGCAGCCGTGGTTCCGTGGCTTCACCGGTGAGGTTGTCGCGCTGGGTGGTGATCGCTACAAGTTTAGTGGTATCATCAGAGAATCTGGAGACAAGGAGGTAGAGATCACCGAACTGCCTATTCGTACCTGGACTCAGGATTTCAAGGACAAGCTTGAGGATATTATCAAAGCCGAGAAGGTGCCATCATTCATCAAGGATTACAAGGACTACAATACACACACCAAGGTTCACTTTGTGATCCAGCTTGATGAGAAGCACATGAAGGTTGCCCTTTCCGAAGGATTGGAGGAAAAGTTCAAGTTGACCAAGTCGATTGCCACTACCAACCTTGTCGCCTTTGATCCTGAGGGTCGTATCACCAAATACGCCTCTGTCGATGACATTCTCAAGGAGTTCTTCCATGTCCGTCTTAAGTACTACGAGAAGCGCAAGCAACACCAGCTTGATGACCTCCAGAAAGAGCTGGAGAAACTCAGCAATCAAGCTCGCTTCGTTCAGGAGATCATTGATGGCAAATTGATCATTTCTAAGAAAAAGAAGCCCGTTCTTATCAGCGAGCTAAAGAGAAGGGCTTCAAGCCAATCGCTAAGGTGGCTGAAGCAGCTAAGGCGGGAGAAGATGAGCCTGTAGTTGAAGGAGATGAGGACGAATCGGATGAAGCCGAAGTCCAAGTGCTCTCCAACTCGTTCGACTATCTTTTAGGCATGCCCATGTGGTCTTTGACCCAGGAGCGCGTGGAGAAACTTCGCCGCCAAATTGGTGATAGGGAAACTGAGGTCGATGCTCTCATCAAGTTGTCCAAGGAGGACATCTGGAGACATGATCTAGATGAATTTATCAACGAGTGGCGCTTCCAGCTCGAGGATGAGGAGCGCCGTTCGCGCAAGCTGGCCAGCCTGGGTCGTCGTGGTTCGACCAAGCTGGCCACTGGAGGTGGCCGTGCTGCCACTGCCCGCAAGCGTAAGGCTGCCAATGGCGATGATCCCGACGATGAAGACTTCGGGGCCCCTAAGACAAAGAAGGCTGCAGCAGCTAAGAAAAAGGAACCACAAGTCAATAGCTTGATGAATTTCCTCAACAAATCCTCGGCCAAGCCAAGCGCATCGCCTGGAGCTGGTTCAGATGATGATTTCGATATGGACCAGGAGATTCTCCCCAAGAAGAGTCGTGCCGCTTCAAAGTCTAAGTCTCAACTTAAAGAAGAGGATGACTTCGTTGGTATCGACGATATCCCTCAACTTTCGAGAGCTTCGACTCAGCCAGCTGATGACTCAATGGACATTGACGACGCTGACCCTCCGAAGCCCAAACCAGCAGCTAAATCAACGACAAAGCCAGCAGCTAAGCCAGCAGCTAAGCCAGCAGCTAAGCCAGCGGCCAAACGAGGACCTAAGCCGAAGCTCAAGATTGATGAGGACTCCGATGACGATTTCTTGGAAATTGCCAAGAGTGAGGCAAGCAAGCCCTCTGCGCGTGTTCGCCAACCTGTGAAGTACTCGGCTCCCAGTGATTCTGACAGTGATAATGGCGATGATCTTCTCGGCGACGTCAGCCTAATGGTGAAGGGCATCGGTGCTGACTCTGGTGCGGATTCTCGTCAGCTCTTCTCTGAGCGGCCCCGTTCCGAGAGCAGTGCCAGTCAGAAAACTGCTGCCGCCAGGGCCTCCAAGGCCAATGATGAATTTGATCCAGATGAGACCGACTACAGCAAGCTTATTCCTCAGAACTCCCCCAGACGTTCTATCCAGGTCAAGCCCAAGGACGTCAAGGTCGATAGCATCGATGATGAGGAGGATGAGGATGAGGACGAGGAGCCGGTCAAGCCTACTGCCAAGGGCAAGGCCGCTCCTAAAGCCAAGGCTGCTCCAAAGGCAGCGGCTGCCGCAGCTGCGCCCAAGGCTCGTGGTCGCCCCAAGAAAGATGCAGCTGCAGCCCCTAAGCCAGCCCCCAAGGCTGCTCCTAAAGCTTCCGCTTTGTCGCCGGCAGCCAAGGCCTATGCTTCGAAGCAAGCCAAGTCGAAGAAGCCTGTAGATGACTATTCCGAGGATGACATCGATGCGATGGCGAACGATATCTTAGACTCTCCAGCCGGAAAGGCCAATGTCAATATGTCAGATGATGACGACGAACCCGTTCCGACTTCCCGACGCGGTGCGGCTGCTAGACCAGCTCGCCGTGCCACTGCCACTCAGAAGAAGAGCTACGTTATCGACGATGACAGCGAGGAGGAAGCATCAGCCGATGACTTTGAGGAGGAAGATGAGAGCGATTGAGTTGACTGAGCAAGCAGCCGCAAATACACATGTTGGGGCCTTTTATTTCTTTCCTTGCCTGAGCTCTCCATTACGCTGCGCTTTTTTCCCTTCGCTTTTCTGTTTTATTTACACTGTTAGTTTTCGTTGATATTATATGGAGAGCCAGCTAGCATATCAGAAGTGAACATGATTTAATTCTTATGTCCTGTGAATTTGTAGATAAACCGCCAACAAGATAATTGCTCACTTCGGGCAAGGAATTGTTTACTTTGGAGGTTATGAAATGAGAACAATTTCGATTGATATCCACCCTAACGCCATCCAGTCTACTCATATCAGTCATGATTCAAAGGAATAGCTCAGTTTCAAACAACATACTGCTGCAAAAATCCAAGCAAAGAAAACCACCTCCGCCAAAGTTTTTCGACATTGATTCACACATCTGGAAAGAATCGATATCCGACTCAACCACACACATTTTCGACAACCAACAAGACATCCATAAAATACATCGAAATCATCCGCATACAGGAATCTCCAGCTCCAATCCTTCTACGCAAGAGGCCCAGGCCATAGGCCGAATCAATAAGAGGCGCGACGTCGCTTACGGTCGTTATTGCCCCCATTCCGAGGAAGAAGGCTAGAAAACGAGTCAACATCCTCCATCTCAGTATCAAGCTCGCTAGCCTCTAACTCAGTCTTATGAAGATGGAGCAAAGCTTCGGCAGCCTTGACCTCATGAGCGAAGTGAGGCGAAGAGCGAGGACGGAGAGCTCGAGACTTAGGGCCCGGGTTCTTCTTTAACTTTGAAGAGCGAGACCCAGTCTTCGGATTCAGGAATGCACTGCCACCTTCTTTCTTGACGACTGGAGCACAGTAGTCCTCATCGTCCGCATCATCCTCGACCCACTCCTCCTCTGAGTCGGTGAGATCATCAGAGTCACTCGGTCTGGTGTCCATGTCGGAAGGCATACCACTGATTTCATCAGGCTTTTCGATGTCCATCATTCCGTCTATCGAGGGACAGTTTGGTGTTGAATACAGGTTTGATGATCCATCACTGTCCGTATCACTATCCTCACTAACCCCCTCAGCGACATGGTCCTGGCGTATCGCCTTAGCGAATGCGCCAATGATTCTATCAGGCTGTAAGTTGGAATCAGCATGGGAGCGAGGAGGATTGATAGGTGTGAAGCTGGACAAAGAAGAAGTGCTCTTCGGTGAGGTGCAGTATGCTTCGACAGAAGAGCCCCTCGCACTGCTGACACTAGCAACACTGTCCGCATAACAATGACGGGGGATCTTAGGCAATGGGAGTCGTAGGCTAATACTCTCATCCCCGTCTGACTCGAAATCTTTGGCCAATCTCTCCGGGCCATGCAGGAGGTGATGTGTCATGGAAGGAAGATGTCGGTTTGGGGGCGAAAGCGGGTGAACGACGGTTTTGAGTGTTTCCAGAGAGCGATAGTACATTGCGGTCTCTGTGGCGCGTCGAATGACCTCTGTTGGGAGTATCATACGACCAAAGTTCTTTCGGTCGTTGGGGGAGATGCACAGGGCTGGGAAGTCGTTGCCGAATAGCGGAGTTAGGGCATAACGGATCTTCCAACAAAAGGTTGTTGCTAGGGCTTTGGCGGCATCAAATGGCATCCAGTAGCCTAGATACGGAGGGAACTGCGTTAGTTTCATCTTCTAGTCGGATTTATCGAGTGAAAAGTGTGCGAGTTATAGATCGTACCTTGAGCAGAGAGCGCGCCGCCGGTGATGCTGTGGCAGATCTCGCGGAGACCTGGATTGACATTCAACATCTTGGCTGGTGTAGTCTATGGCAATTAGGTCCCGAGCTATTCATTGTGCGAGAGTAGACTTGCCTTGGAGTAGCCATTGCATTTAAAGAAATGCGTGATCCGGACAATGCCAATGTTATAGTCCCACATCACAGCCCACTCTTTCTCTTCGTCGGGCAGTTTGAATGTGTATTGAAAGACTAGATATGTAAGCCTTAGAAGACAGCAAGTATTGGTAAATGGAAAGATATATACCATGAAAGCTATCACGGCCAGTCTTCTCTTGAAAGGTCTTCTTGTCACTGGCATATGGAATATGACGAGGGAACTTGGCAATGGACCCTATGGGCTTCATCATAAGCTCTTGATGAAGGCTCTTCAGCTTTTCATCCCGATCCTCATGGGGAGGATAGCGACACTCGCCCTGGATCTTACCAGGGCGAAAGACCGGGGCGTCTTTGGCCATCCTCGGCCGCTTCGGTGAGGAAGAGACACGGTGAGACCCCTCAGGCTCGATCTCGTGGTTCAACAGGGAATTGATGGGAATCATGAATGAAGGAATCAAGGGCTACAATGTGAAAAGCAAGCCAGAAGAAGAGAAGTGGTCGGGGGGAGAAAGCAGAAGTAGGGGCAGCGCAATCAAATTAAGTCTTCAGGAACAACGGTCGTTTTCTAGAAGACTCAAAGAGTCAAACTTGAACAGAAAAACAAAGCAACGCAAGACAATCCCTCACCTTTGTTCGAAGGTTTGTTCCGCAGTGCTTGTGTGAGTACAGGTGTTTGCTGCTTTGGGCATATATACGGCTCGAGGAAAGGGACAGCGGTGAATATCAGAGAACTCGGGAGATTGTCTGGCTCTCCTGCAAGTGGCTTCATTGGTACTTTTCCCTCATTGGCTTGGAGTTGGTCGAACTCACAGGCTGTTTGTCTCTGGTTGGAGCAATGGGAGGCATCCCAATGATCTTCCACTTTGGACTGACCGCAATGCAGTGTGCCTCGTGTCATTCCCATCGATACCGCTGGTAGAGCCGGTGTTTATTTGAGACCTGTGTTTCTCAACTCTCGAGGCACTGTCTGTTTCACTTGCTGCGACTATCCAAGCACCAAAATCAAAGAATGATGGCAGTAAGCTGTTTCAGGGACCATTGGCACCATGTGGATTCCCTGGATTCTCTTTGGAAAGAAAGATGCATTCAGTGTATACAAACGGCGCATTACGGCAGTCTGCACAAAAGCTACACATGAGGTGTTTCATTGATCTTGTCTGGTGGCTCTAAGATTCCAGGGTGTAGAGCTCAACCGTCGTACTATTTTGTCCCCACAGACAAGAGGATGAAAATCATATCGAAACATCCATTTTAGATCGAACTTGGCATCAGAAATACCGGAGCAAGGGTGCTGCAGCAACCGGAGGATTAGGATGCCTGATCAATGGCTCAATAGTCCAATAGGAACAACAACTGAACTACATACCCCATGGCTCAACGGGATCAAAGAGGTCTGAGACCACACGGCCAGCTGCAGGGAAACCTACTCCTTGTATGACGGCAACTCGCTTTGCCTGTTAGCGAGTCCTTCGCCGGGAAATGCCTCTGAGGAATGCTGTGTTGCAGAGATAAACTTCTGACCGGATCAAAGATACAGAGAAAGGGAGCAGAGGCTTATACAGTAGGGTGTACCCCACGGTTCTATCCCCAAAAGCCGGCTTCCTAAAGTAGAACAGGCTATGTAGCTTTCTGCACAGAAGTCTAGGTTGCAGATACTGTAGTTTCCAGACTTGCTGTCAAACCATGATCTATATCTCAGAAGTTAACAGGGATAGATTTCTTGAGAACGCTCTATCGTTGATTCCGGATTGTATTCAGTGATGATGATTGAACCATTCCACCGCTACAACCAGTCTAGTACGTTTGTCAAAGACATAAGACCCTGGCGATATAGGACTCAAAGAACTTTCTGTGCATGCTTCTCTGCAGAAGTCCGACACGTTAGTGGCGGTTAGAGCCCACTTTTTGTCTCTGTCTTTGCTATTCTATCATTCATCGTCGCTTTATATGATAGGGCCATACTGACTTCGTCTCCAGTCTGTTTCACAGCCCCTTATTGTATCCACTTCCCCCATGCAATCTGCAGTAGACATCTACCAGGTACAAGGACTACCTCCGCCAATCGGTCCCGGGCTGAAGCAGATGCAGAGCACGACAGGATAACGGTGCATGTAGTGTCCGACAGGGCGCTATGCAATTTCGGCAGAGTTTGGAAAGCTCGAGGGCTAGAGCTTCAATCAGATGCCAGCCCAACCGGGCTAGTTTTCGTGAATATGGCTCCATCCCATCAAAGTCGGTCTGCAATGCTTCCCAACCGACAAGACTGAGAATTCAGAGAGGGGGCCGGGTTTCCAATGTCTTAGACACTCCGATGCTGTTCTATTGGGTTCCAAAGAGCGGTAAACCTGGACATGCGTGTCCTTCGTCTGCGCCGCGACTCAGATCCCGGGCTTCTGGAAAATGGGCGAGAAGCCATGTCTCAATTGGGATGCTGCTGTTGGGCGTTTAGGCCTTTTCAATGGAGTTTCCTCTTCATCTCGTCATTAAATCATCTTGTGGCGATGTCTCTTTCAGTCTGTCCCAAGCTTCCGCTTCCACATTTCTATCCAAGGATGGGAAAGTACCTCTTTAACTTGATGGTTCACTGTCTGCATCTCGTGATAAAAGGCACAGAAAAGGCTGAAGAACGGCATGTTTTCGAGTAGCATACCAGGATGAAGGCTCCATGCGCGATATTGAAGCGATGCTTTGACGGAGGAATTCAACATCATCACAAGGGGATTCCATCCTCAACCCGCCAGAGTCATACTACAATCTAGTGTTGACATATACCATCCCTTCAGGGAAACTCACAAGCCAACTGCAGATATCAGGCAACGCTCGGGACATGTACCAGACTTCGAATCCGGGGAAGCTGGGGGTGGCAGAAAGGGGGACACAGTTCCGAGCACGACTAAACAGGGCAAGTCTTCGAGGTTGTGAGGGGAGGTACAATGGCGAGAAAGCAGAACGGTCACAGGCCGGCCCAAATCGCGATACGGCGAATAAGAAGCCAAGCGAGTGGACCGAGATGAAACTCAACGGCTGCCTCGCTCTCAATACTGTTGAACCGCTTGAGATGTGAACGAATGCCCAAGTGGGCTGGGGTTGAGGGCCTCGACGTCTCCGTTTTCTTCCGACAGAGACTTCGATCTCGAAATCATACTCAAATATCACTAGGTAGCCAGCGAGGCCCCTGCGCGAGGCTCAAGGACCGGTACACAGCAGGGTCATATTGGTCGGGTCTATAGGCGTAGAAGTCTTGAGTTTATGTGGATGTAATTTCATTAGAAACAATATGAACCCGAGAAACAACATGGACAAAGGGTTTCAGAAGGAGAATAGACAGATAAAAATGCGTTGGAAGAAGGGGGAAGAAAACAGAAGGAAAAAGAGGGAATAACAAGAGATATGAAAAGTTCATCACTCAAGAATCCTGCATAATTTTTAGTTCGTCGACACGAGGATGTGGCATTCGAAGCTTAGCATGTATTCCACGTATTCGAACAAAGAGATGAAACTCGGAACACAATCCAGTGTGTCATTCGGCATATCCAATTAGACCAGTGACGGCATAAAAATATCCATACGCCTAGTAGTGATTCACTGTCGCTGGTCTAGCAGCCTGGCTGGCATGCGTGGTCACAAAGACGACCTGTCATGACAAAAAAAGCCATTTTAAACAGCCAGAAGGGGCTCACGATCAGTTTGCTCGACAGCCGGCTCTGTGGGCTCGACGGACTCGACGGACTCGACGGGCTCGACAACCTGGGCCACAGGTGCGATCTTGGGGGCGTCAGGGAAGTCCTCCTGCTTGAGCAGAGGCTCAGCGGCCGGGGCAATGACGGATTCGGGAATGGGCTCCTCGGCCTTAATAGGGATAGGAGCCTTGGCCATCTCGGGGGATGTGGAGCGGCGGGAGCCAATGTACTCCTGGGCCTTGGAGCTGTACTCACCAACGTACTGCTTCATCAATCCGGTGGCGTGAGAAGTACGCTCGCCAGCCAAATCCTTCAGTTGATTGGTCTGGGAGTTGATGATCTCCTGGAGGTTGCTAATCTGCTCATCGATAATCTCGCGGTTGCTGATGTAGATGAGAGGAGCGAAGTAAGTGGTGGTGACGGCAATCACAGCAAGACCCCAGAGGGGAACGAAGCGGATCAGCCAGTAACCGGCGAAAGCGGCAGTGAAAGCCTATAACCATCAGTTTCCAATTTCAAGTCATACCAAGTACTGGTGGTCTCCAACATACCGCGACGGTGTGAAGGACATTCTCAGCGAACAAAATGCGCTGGAATTCAATCAGGAAGAAGTCCACAAGCTGCTCCAAATCTTCAAGCACAGCCTCCACGGTTTCTTTCGGGATGGTGTAGTAACGGCGAGGGCGGAATCCACTGGCGATACCCTTTTTGAGGATGACTTGGCCAGCAATCTCAACAGTGGCAGTCACTATACATCATTGTCAACGGATCATTCCGCGTATTTCGGGACACGCGACCAACTCACATCCAAGCGACATGTACAGAATCTTGAAGGCCCAGCGGAGGAGAGGAAGATAACGGGCGGCAAAGATAAATCCGATCACGCTGGCAAAGGAAACGGCGGTCGCACGAGGTTGTTCCCACTGTATGATCGGGTCGGTTAGAAGGGTATCCCGGGAAAAAAGCTCTCGCGACTCACGCTCAAAAGGCTGTACAGCAGGGAGTGGTAGTCTGAGGCAACATTAGCGTCGGCCTTCCCAATAGAAGTGGTCTCATGACATACGGGTCAACGGTTGACCATCCGCGGTGGTGGTGGAAGGGGTCACCCGCGAGTTTTTCAGATCGCGTAGCTCGCTGCCGGTACGGGATGCCTCGGACTTAATGCCATCAACAACAGGTCCTATGGAAGAAGCGGTTAGATGACTTCATTGTGGTAATCATCCCATCCTCCCCACAATCCCGGTGTCGCAATTTACCCTTGGTCACCACATCACCGATATCTGAACCGCGAGGTCAAGATCAGTCTGCGCCACAGCACCGAGGGGTATAGGAAAGAAAGGAGCGCAATACTGCAGGTTTCATTAGCATGTGTGGGATTGAGGTCCGCGGGTGATTTCGCATCCGGCGGCTTCCAGGGTTTGCGTACCTTACTGCCCGTGTTGGGATAGTTCACATCACCAGAAGCCATGACGAATAAGAGAAATGCAAATGGTTTCAAGAGATTTGTGACGTGAATGTAAAGGACTGAAGCAGTTGTGAAGAAAAGGGGGGGGGAAGAGATAAGAGACTTGTTTTGATGCTGTCATGTGCGTTGCCAAGGCCGAGAGAAGGGCCAGAGCTATGATGTCGACGAACCTGTTCTTCGGCTTTTTCTTCCACACGAGCTAGTTCAGGGCTTTTTGACAACCTCAAAATAGATCGAACAAACATATATGCCTTTGTGAAATGATTGTTCCATATTTCTTCTAGACCTAGGTGTTATAGGATGCCGAAAGGACCTTGGAACCTGAACTATAGACTAATAACTGGTCGACCACAGCTAATATCTACACATCGCGTGCGAGGGCCATAGGGCTCAAGACATATGCTCAAGCGATACACATTTCAGATCAAGTGCAAAAAAATATCCGAGCTTCGAGAAAGGCCGGGAGGTCTAAATATCGTTCTCTTGCTCCACTGCTTAACATAACTTCGAAGCTGTTTGGTGGCTCAAAGTTGGAATGTCTATAGACGGGTCTGGTTCGTCTACGACCGTTTGGACTTGGTTTACAATCCAACATAAACAGTCTGGATGATCTCTTTGATCTTGTGGGAACGAGAACAGGCTCCAGCCAACCCTTTCCAAGGACGAAATCTTCATCTATGACGGTCACGAGGGGAGCTTGACATGGTTCGGTTGCTTCCAATGAGAAGCCTGACACGGATAACAGCTGCTGGACGCCCAATGTTAGGTGCAGACTCGAGATATTTATCATAGCCTCAGTCATAGATGACCATTGAATGTCTGTTAACGCTTTATCCACAGCAAACAAGTCAAGGGGAAGAAATCGAAGTATGAGAATCGACAGTTGGTGCCTGGGTGCCTGGGTGATTCGCTTATGTGATCCACGCCTTGCCTGTTTGGGGTGTATGTTTTGATCAAGACCTCATCTCCATTCCGACACGGCGCGACCCACAACCCACCCCCATTCTCGATGATAGTGCGCTCACCACTCCCCTGCAGCGTGCGACACCCTTGAAACTCAACACCTTACTTTTCTACCCCGACAAACAGCAGTACGGCAGGTTATTTGCATCATGGCCGCGGCAGGCGCGAGGGCGCAAAAGCCCGTGGGTTCAGCACCATGGATCGCCGCAGAGAAGGAAAACATGGCCGAACTCGTCGAACAAGAGTTGGAAGAGGTCGAATATCCAGTCCGACATGAACTGGATTGGCTCAATGAACATATGACCGAAATCTTCTCCAAGGGCCAAGCGTGAGTCGTCGCGCACTGATTTGTGTCCACTGGGTGCTGATGAATGTCTAGAAACTTTGCGGATGTGTTCAAAACTCCGGGGAAAATGAGAGGCAAAACTCCTCGCACCGCGCGGAAACGCGCCCCAGAAGAGTCTCGGATGGTGAGTGCCACACCTGTGGGCTTGAATCCGGGTCGCCCTCTAACGCAGCCTTTACAGCCTTTGAGTGAGATATTTTCATCGGCCCAAAAACAACTAGAGAACCAAGCAAGCCCCAGTCCCTTCATACATCGCGTGGTATCCAAGCCCCCCGCGACCACATCGACAGTGCCCCGCACCAAGGACACAACAGAGCAAGCGTCGCAACCACAGTACCCTGATCTCAGCCAGAACCTCAACTCGTTCCCCAAATATAACACAGACTCTGGATACCATGGTTTGACAGATGATGACGACATGATATTGCCTGACGTGCAACCAGAATCACAAACCTCTACTCAGCCCTTGGAGACAGACGATCATATGAGCTCCGACACTCAGGAGGTTGATGTCTCACTTGGCCAGCAGCATACAGAAGACTCTTTCCATTCCGCGCAGGAGAATGTCCGCTCCCGAGCGCAGACCATCGAGCCCCCCAACGACCCAACCCCGACTCAAACGCGAACAACGCACCCTGTCGAACCAGGTCCGAAGGAATCCAGTCTGGAGATTCCATCGACGCCGACGCAGAAGAAGACATCACAGACCACAGCGAAGATTGCGGACAAGCAAAAGAGACCGTCTGAAGAGAAAGAAGCTGAATCGAAACAAGTCGATGAGCCAGTCACAAACCTGTCTCCTTCGCCGGAGAAGGCTCCAGTGGCCGAAACAACTCGATTCGAAGACTTCCAAATGGAAGAAGAAACAATTGAGGATACTACAAAGGAAGATACTATGCTTAATGGCCTTGATGATATTGGCTCTCCCTCGGATGGTTCTACTCCTGAAAGACCCCTAGTCCGAAAGAGTAGCTTGAGCTTTGCCTCACTCCCTGCGCGGGAGCCGCTCTCAAAGTCCTTGGGAGGTTCGCGTCTCTCACGAACAAGCCATGTGGACCCGGCAAAGATGAACAACGCCGGACGTCCCAGCTACTTTGGGCGACAGACTGGAGGTCATAGAATGACCCAGCCTGCTACGGAAAATAACGCCGATTCTGCAACATTGGATGTTGAGAGCGACAAACAATCGAGTGATGGTCCGGATCCTGAACAAGTTACCAGGATGCACAGCAAAAAGTCTACTCAGACTCTACACGAGAGGATCAGCATGCTAGGCAAACTACAGCCGGCTCGGCCACGAAAATCAATTTCATCTGCTCCTGTGGCAGCAACTGGGCAAGTGCCTTATCCCGAACTTCCAGCTTCCAAGCCTGAGGCAAAGCCAGAAACCTTGACTCAGAAGGCTGAGGCACCAGTTTCAGAGCCTCAGTCAAATGATGATGAATGGATCAAGCCATTGAGTTCTCCGCAACGCGTGGAGCTTACTAAGAGCAAGACCATGGACATCATGGAAAAGCTCTCCGACCTTGATAAAGATCGTACAGCGAACAAAAAGGAACAATCCACCACAGAGCCAGAAAGACCCAAATCATCTACCTCATTATTCTCATCTCCGCGGCCTTTTGGTCACCAACAAAGCGCTTCTCTGTCTCATGTTTCTGCTGATATGTCTACCACTCCGACCGGCTCTCCCAGGCGCTTTGATGGTCCAATTAGTGCCTCGAAACTGAGACTGCAGTCGATCATGAAATCTGCGAAAGGCCTGTTCTCGAGCACTGGAAACACACCCAGGCTGGAAAGCTCGTCTCCTGAGCAGCATCGTGTCAAGCGAGCCGCTGAAGCTGCAGATACTAGTGACCGAACTGCATCAAAACCAACCAAGACTGTCAGTCCTCCTCGACAAGAGGGTCGCCGAACACGAAGCTCTACCGAGAAAGAAGAGAAGCGCCGACAACATGAACGAGAGGAGCGAGAGGAACAGGAACGCGAGGAGCAAGATCGGGAAGAGCGAGAAGAACAACAACGGGAAGAGGCCCGCCTCGAGAAATCTCGGGAACAGGAAAGGTTAAGAGCCTTGCGACTCAAGGCGGCTCAGGATAAGTCCTCGATGGAGCCGGAAGAGAAGGTGGCACCAAAGGCCTCTCAGGTCCAGCGACAGCAATCTCGTGAGCCTGAATCATCTCAGGATACCAGCTCCAGATTCGGCATCCCTCAGCCCAAACAAAACGATCGACGTCCCCTCAAGCCGACTCGCGAAGCTGTTCAAAAGCCCAAACCGCCACAGCCGATGTCTATTCGGGTTGGCAGCACACTCTCCCGTCAAATTCCCATGGCATCTTCCAGTGTTCGGGAGTCTACAGTTTCGATGATTGCCCCTCCATCTGCCGCAAAACCAACTCTTAAGAAGAAGGGAAGCAACAACTCACTTCACACGGCTTCCTCTACGAGCAGCTTTAAGAGCACTGGTTCCAGTCAAACACAGGCTCAGCGTAAAGCTCAACTTGCTAGTGAGCGCAGAAAAGAGCAAGAGGACCGCCGAAAGGAGGAACAGCAACGCGAAATGGACCGCAAGCGAGCTCAGCAGCAACAGGAAGAGGCTCGCCGGCAGAATATGCGCAGCCGCGCTGAAAGTCGGGCTGAAAGCCGTGCTGAGACTGAAAGAGAGCGCCGGGAGCCCTCCGCCCAGGAGGATCCTGAAAAAGCAGCTCGTATGCAGGCCATTAGAAACCGACAAATGGAAAACGCTCGGAAGCACGAAAGGCATGGTAGCCAGCAGATGAAAGAGGTAAGCATACTTTGTAGGTTGTCTCTTCAGACCGCTAATCGTCTCCAGGCTCCGGCTCTTCAACATGAGAAGACATCGTCTCAACCCCCTCAGCGCAATGACCTCGGCGCTGCCCGGCCTCCTTCTCGTCTGGGGTCTATGCAACCATATAGCAGCCGCATCAACCCACCCGCACCTAATCCTGCCAAACCTCTGAAGAGAGGCATGGACGAGGAGGCCAATCACCGACCCGCAGTCTCCAAGCCTGCCAACGTGCATTCGACCGGCGATTCCAAGCGCAGAAAGACAGAGGATGAGCATAATCCAATTCAACCCGTGCGAGCTCCTATGCCGCCCCCCGTCCGTACCTCAAATATCAGAAAGGTTAGACCTTGGTTCCCATTTCTTTCGAGGCATGTCACTAACTCTTGCTTTTCAAAGCCCTCCATCTTTGGACATTCACAGTCATCTATGTCACACCAGTCCAATCCTTCCTTTAACAATGCTCAACCCCAACGACCTGCACACCCTATGGGCCTGGCCAAGTACACCAATGGGAAGATTCCATTTGCCGAGCCTAATCACGCACCGCCACCTGCTTCCAAGGCCGCGCCTGGATCTGCCCAGCGGGCCCCAGCCAAGCCGTCTCCCAAGTACCCCAGTGGTGAAAGCATCCACTTGCCAGAGATTGCCACCGATAGCGAAGACGAAGACGACTCTGATTCTGAGATGTTCCCCGTTCCCGATTGGGCCCAACCCAAACATCTAGAGGGGCTTCTTCGCCAGCAGGACGGCATGGAAGTTGACTCCATCTTTGGGCCGATTGCGCCATTCTCCATGGAGGATAACTTCAAGGGTGATAAGAAGATCAAGAAATACCGTGAGCGTACCAGCAGTGCAAACTGGTCCGGTCCCGACGGACTTACCCAAGAGGAGATCCGAAAGGATCTTGCTGAGCGACAGCGCTTACGACTCAATGGCGGCTGGCGATTCAACAGCAGCACCTAGTGTCTGGATTGGCAGATCAACGCTTTTTTTCCCTTCTTGCATTGTAGATTGGCCTGTAAGATTGAACAGTGGTGGCCTTTTTTGGTTTTGGTTTGACAGTGGACATGGCTATGTCGGGGTGTTTGGGGTATCTTATTATCTACTTGGCGTTACCTTGTATGCTGTACTTGGTACGTCTTTTACCATATGGTCTTAGGACACAGCTGCATACGGAGCATCCATCGGTGCATGGATTAATGAATTGTTATTTGATCTTTTCTATATTTGATGCACAGTAGAATTGTAGGCTGGTGGAGAGACAAGAAAAGATGAAAGGAGAAACTAGAGATAGACTAAATTAGGGCTAACTAATCACACACTTTGAGTTGTGTAGCCCTTCTGTGAAAGCCATTACATGAACTAGCATCATTGGTCTAGTGGTAGAATTCGTCGTTGCCATCGACGAGGCCCGTGTTCGATTCACGGATGATGCACATCTTTTTTTGCTTTTTGTTCTTTGCTTCCCTACCCCATATTTTTGGAGCTTCATTCAAGTCAGTCTAGTCTGTCCTTGATGTGTTCTTTTGCCTTTTTACTCAGACTGTCTTCAATCCTGTCGATGTAGTGGTGGTGGTCTTCCAATGTTCCGGTGGATATACACAGGCAGCCGAACTATATATGTTGCCGACAATCACCATGTTACAATAACAGACCTGGTGGAATCAAGACTACAGGCTTGCAAAATAATCCTACACTTAATAGTACGCAGAAAAATGGGTTATCCAGGTCTACTTGTGCTCACCTACCCTATACCTTCATGATCCATGTGAGCATAAAGAACCATCGCCTCCCAGTTCTTTCTGCCTTTTAAAACTTTTCCTACATGATAAATAGAAAGCCCAAATCTCTTTTTCATTCCTATCAGGCTCGTCTATTTCTCCACTAACTAACCATCTAGATCCCACCATTCCTACTAAAGCCAAGTTACCAGAATGCCCGTAAGTCAACTGCAAATCAGAATTCGAGACCAAGCTGAACTACACAGACTATTTTTGTATGTGACCCAGTCTGCGATATATCAAATCTCCCCCAGACTCACCGTCGAGAGTATCTAGTTGATCACAATCATGGCAGCAGAGCCCGAGCCAGCCCTTGGCTCAACCGGCAATACGTGAGTTCCTACACCAGATTACTATTAACAAGCCTAGTGAATATAATGACCAGCCATCAAATAGGAAAAGCATCTGTATCGAAGCTATAAAAGCAGCCCTAACGAACGCAGAAGAAGTCCTCATCGATGCGATGCATATTCCCGCCGCAGGCTGCTGGCCACCGCATTTCATATCAATACTGTACGTCATATAGAGCTACCCATTGTTCAAGAAGGTATCAAACAAGGCTGATTTGGACTATTATAGTGTGGTGACCACCGAGATCCCCGAAAATATCCTCCAACCTTGCCTGTGGGATGCTTGGGATGAGCTCCCGGGGATGCATCCTGATGTGCAGATTCCAGCGTATTCGGTCATTCGAGTCGACAGTTTGAATTAGCTGTTGTCTCAAAGATTCTCGCGAGGGAGGCTGAAATAGAGCTTGCGCAAGTAGCTAGCCTATTCTCACAAGGTCAACATGATCCCGACATAACATAGGTTCTCTATTGGATGAGTTGTCTATATTATAGGATTTAAGTAAAAGAGGACTCATGCAGATGCCAAAATATGATTTTGTACTCGGCCGCTCCATGCAGGACACGCCATGAGATAAGTATAAAAAAAAAGACAAACAAAAATAATATAAAAAAAAACAGTCAAAGAACCCCATATCCAAGCCGATCCCAGCAGCGCCTGCGACGTGATATAATACAAGATTCTACTGCTACAAGAGCAGAATTTCTCCGCACTCACTCCATATCCGGCTCAATATCACTACCACCTCCCTCCATTCCCTCATCCATGGCTTCGGGATTCAGGTTCGCTGCATCGGGAGCAGCGCCGATTTGAGTCTCGTAGGAGATGGTGCGCCAGCCGGCTGGCACGCTTGAGTCTTTGACGTATTCGGACATGGGGAACTAATATGTTGTTAGAATGCCTTTGCTTTTTCTTTTAAAATGCAGAGGAAAAAATAGAAGGGGAAGCTTACGTAGTGGTCGTTCTTCTTCATGGTGACCACCCATGGGACGTTGTCAAAGGTGACGGCACGAATGCGGAAGTACTCATTATCCGGGATCTTGCGCACTTCCCGTACGAAGCTGTCCAGATCTGGGGTCGAGACACTGTTGACAGCAGTGAGGAAGTTGGTAGGAGCAAGGCCGTAGTGGTAAGCGGGGGAACCGCGGCTCTGAAAGGTTGTTAGTTTATTTCAGGAGAAAAGTGGATTAGTGTAGAAACATACCCTTGCGCTCACGTAGATCTCACTGTGAACCTTGGAGATCTGCTGGCGCACAGCGTGATGGGGCTTTTGCAGGACAGCGCCACAGAAGACAAGGGCACGATCTGTCTCAATGTCTTCGGTAGGAACTGTCGGGACGCGAATGCTGACTTCCTCGCCGTTCCGAACAACCACTGCGTTCAGAACATCCTTCTCATACATGACATCCAGCTCTGAGACACGAGTGATGAGCTGACCGTCCAGAGTGAGGATGATATCAGCCTCCTGGAAGCTAGTGGTAGGGTCAGGGGTAACAGCAGCAGGTGGGCTGTCGACCTTGCGCACCATAAAGAGCTGGTGGCGCGAGGGGTTGGCCTCGGTGACCTTGTTAATCCATTCCTGAGAGACACCCATGATGCGTGCCTGGCTCATCTGCACGACGTAGCTTTCCATGTTCAAGATGCGCAGCTTGGGAGTCACTCCTTGCTGGATTTTCTCAGTCACAGGCAGCAGGTATGGCGTGGCAAGTCCAAGATGGTATTCGATATCCTTGTGGGAACTGGCAGAGCGCTCGCCGAGGTAGTTCAGCCATAGGGCCTGGACCACGCCGTCTTCGCCGACCAACACACCGTTTGAACATTGCGCGCTGAGTCCGGTGTCCACGGTGACAGCATCCAGGTTGATGGCGCGGTAACGAGGAGCTGCGGAATTTGCAGGAATCGACACGGTTGTGATGTCAGTAACAGTGGTTTTCGCGACGACGATGCGGTAGTTTTGGTTGAAGCCAACGAAGATGGTATCTTGACCTTGCTTGATATAGTTGGTGCTGAGCTGGGCGCTCTTTACCGGAGCCTTGACGAGGCTGGGATCGTATTGAATGATGGTATAGTTCTGAAGCGGGTGGAGGAAGACCACCTTGGCACTGACGATGATTGAGTCGGCCACGGTGATGTTGATGTCGCAAAGGTCATAGGGCACGATGGCCCGCGACACGACCACCAGGCCCTTCTCAGCGTCAATGACCAGGCCAAAGCCGGTCTTCTTTGCCTGTGGGTATCCATCCAGCTTCAATGGCATGATACAAGATACGCGCACGAAGCTACGCACGATTTCAGCCGCAGCAGGCTGGCTGATGCCATCCAGTTGGATGAAGTTTGCCTCCATGGGGACTGGAGGTTCAGCAGGAATAGCATCGGCGATGTCAGAGAAATCCCAGATGCCAGAGTCGTCATTTCGGACGGCCAAGCGCATCTTCGGGTGCCAGTGACGGTCGACATAAATAATGCTTGTTCCTTTGGTGTGCAGGTCTCGAATATGACGGTACGAGATCACGACACGAGTGCGATCAGGAATGCCCTTCATGATTTCTACAAACTCGTTGAGATTACGAATTGGCCGCTTGTCGATGGAATCAATGATCCACCCAGCCACAGTGTTCTCAAGTTTGAATGAGCCTGCTGATTCACAGACAAACACTCCGCGAGTGGCAATAGCATACAGACGGGACTGCTGATATGACAGATCATGGAATGTAGCACCGGCAACAGTCACAAATCGGTCTGGAGTGATCGCATGGAGGTCGCCCACCTGGCATTCAACCTCAACATCCTGACCTCCTCTCTGAACCAGCAGCTTGATGACACCGCCGACGCTCGAGTCCAGGATATCGTCAAGACGGACAAACTGTGTGAGAAGTTCTCCATTGACCTTAATTAGGACGTCTCCTTCAAGAAGCTTCCCATCGGCAGGGCCTTCGGGGAGAATGATTTCAGCTGCAAGCATGTTTGTCTCAGCAGGCGCAGCCGCACGAACAGCAGCCTCCCACTCTGGGGTAAGGCCGAGACGACGACACTCATCGAAAGGTCGCAAGACCCACTGGGTCTGGATGGTACCACGAGTGACAGGTTTACCTTCCTGGATACACTGCAGAGCACGAAGCGGGCGATCCAACGGCAAGAAATAATCTGTTGCAGCTCCATCGGCTCGGCCACCAGCCTGCAAAGCCACTGCGTGGCCATCGATGTTGACGACTGGACTTCCTGAACTACCACCACTAGCTGCAGCCGCAGCCTGAATATAGTTCGTGTTGAAATCACAGTATCCCTCGCCATATTCAGGAGCATTTCGGTCCAATCGACTAATTACACCGGACAAAATGCTCAGCTTTTCTCCAGCGTCGTTACCCACCACCCGAATTTCCGTACCAACTCGTGCGCCATCAGGTTGAAGTTTAAGCTCCGTGAGAGCCATGTATCGAATCTTGGCCGGGTTGAACTGCAAGATACCGAAATCGTGAACGGGGTCGCGGTAAACAGGCTTGACATCGCACTACACATGACCATTCTTCTTAGCCAACGAACATCCATATCTCGGTTAGCAAACCAGTTCATCGACTTACTTCCTCATGATTATCAAAGATACAGTATCCCCAGAAGGGACCGGCACCAACCACATGGCGATTGGTCAAGATGTAACCACGCTTTGCATCCACAACAAAGCCCGTGGCTTGACTGGACATGGAGAGCTCTGTGTCAAAAGAGCAGGTCTGACAAAAGTGAATGGAAACCGCACTTTTCACAACCATTTCAATGGTAGCCTGCCATTCAGGTGAATCCGCCGGAGCTGGGGCAACGGCCGGCGAAGGAGCTCCATCAAATTCCTCCTCGACATTGTATACTGTTCCGTTGGCGGGTGTTGCGTCACCAGGAGTCAAGATGGCACCCTCAGGTCGAAGCTGCTTGCTAGGACGTTCAGCAGCATTGGAGGCGGTGCTGCGCTTGCGCTTTGCGCTCAAATCTCCATGAGCATCCATGGCGCGAATCGGACGGGTATTGAACACACGAGGCCGGAGGGGATTGGGAAGGGACGAAGCTGTCCGGAAGGACCTTGGGGCAAACGAAGCGGAGACTGGAATCAAAAGCGATTGGAGACGTTGGGTATGCGGACGATGCGGGGATAAAAAGGAATGCGACGCAGATGACGGATGGGTGGAGCGTAAGAAGCTCACAGGAGTGATCTGCTGAAGGGAACGCGACTTTGGGGAAGCTGGATTTGCAATTGACAAGCTCCTTCTGCACGCAACGAGCAGAGAACAAGACATCCACACGGCGAATAAGTGGACTGGAGCAAAAGAGGCTTGAAGACGTCCAAGGCGGAGAGCGTTGAAGCCCTTTGATTGGTGGGAGACACTCACGCGACGTGATCCCATGGCTTCAACTTGCAGCTTCGGGGGCGTGCAGTCTCACATTCCTACGATTGTCTTGGTCGTTGGGATCTTTTGCCTATTTTTGCATTACGATCATATTCAGTCTAATATACAGATTTGCCTTGTTTTGCCTTTCGTCCCTGGTCGTCCCTGGTCGTGTCTATCTAGGTATCTTCCCATGTGAAATGAAATCGAGAACCCCCTGCCTTTTTTTTTTGGTAATCATACGAGATAGAAGAGATCCAAATCGGCTTCAAGATCTTCAGCCAATACACCTGATTTCGTGCAGCAGATGTCATGCATGGTGGAAGGTCCATGCTGATGCTAGCATGCATGGTGGAGGGTGTTGGGCCCTCCCACTCCAAAGCCCATGTTAGTGGTCCGAAACAGGAGCGGATAATATTACTGATTGCCGTAGCCGAACAAATTAGGAGCTCGATATTCATATACGGCTTGTCTTCTGACGTAGAAAACTGCATAATCCACAGCTTGCTCAAACAGACTCGCCCAGAGCGCCAGGGCTGGGCCCGCCGTTACCCTGGGGGCTGAGCCGTTGTGGTGTTGAGGCTTTGCCAGATCGAGAGAAAAGCTCATTGAGCCTGCTGTATAGGTCGTTTATACTCGGAAGGTTGGGGGGTGGTGTCATAATGGCTGGCGCTTGGGGCGCAACACCACCGGGTTTCTTGGCTCGATCAGCGATGGTTGCGAGATAAGCCAAGTTGGCTTGCAAGCGTCGCATGCATTCAATATATTCAGGGCTCGGTTTCTGACCGGCTTTTGATGGATCGACTGCCAGTTCTGTGGTTGGTGAATTTGGATCTGGGTTGGAAGCTGCGCCGGCCTTTCCAGCAGCTTGAAGGTTGACCACTTCCTGCAGCAGGGCAGAGTTGATATCAAGCAGAGCAGTGACGCGTGCCTTCTCACGCGCGGCAAACTGAGCTTGCGCCTGAGCCTGAGCCTGAGCCTGAGCCTGGGCTTGAGCAGGGCCCGCAGAAGCACCGCTTTGAGGTGAGTTTATTTGTGAAGGGGGTTTGGGTCCGGTGCCGAGGAGGTTATTCGCCGAAATCGAGGCCATATTTTGTGAAAAGGTTTGCGCTACTTGTGATGGCATATTCTGACCTGAAGTGCCCTGAGGGGGTACGAATTGGCCCATGGTGTTGGGAACAGGGGTCTGGTTGAAAGGCGCTGAGAAGTTCTCCATAGGTGCTGCTGATAAGTTTAGGGTCAGTTTGAAAGGCTCTGCAAGAGAAACTGGGGTCCATAAGACCACAGCAGGCAAGCGATAAAAAGTAAGGCTATGTAGTGCCAAGAAACACAGCTGCAGAGAGGCACGAAGGAGGGCTGGGAGTGTGACAGAAGCTCGTGAGGGGGCGCGAGCCAAATAGCTCAGTTCTCTTGAGCCTCACGCGCAAGTGGCCCCTTTTCTAAACTGGAGCAAGTGAAAGGTGGCAGGTACAGGTACTCCAAATGGCAGATAAAAGATAGGGGGAGGGGGGTAGAAGGGGGAAGGGGAGGGGTGGGAGAGTCCACGAACCAGAAGATTGCGGAAAGCCTGAAGGCATCATAGCTCCAGGCTGCATGGGCATAGCAAAAGAATGTTGTGTCTTTGACTGATACGGAGCGTTAGGGTAAAAGGGCTGTTGCGGGCTCTGCGTCGGGACGGGATAGCCTGCCGGATAACCACTGGGGTCCATTGTGTGCCGGGAACTAAAGGGGGTGGCACCCGTCCTGTAATATCGTGTCCCGCGATCCCTCTTTGCTATGTATGCACAGACGAAGAATCTAGGGGGTCAAGATCTAGAAAGTTCAATCTGTGGTGATTGGCCAAGACGATGAGCCGGGATGTGCTGGAACACGATCGAGAGACAGCCCGGATTCAGAGCGATCGGCTAATTGCTGCAGCGGAGTTTTGTGGAGACAAAGACCCCCAACTGTACGATGGGGAAGATGATCACGAAAGTTGGCTTTGAATGTTTGAGATCGTGTCCGATGATCTTGTTCAAGCAAACGTCAAAGAAGACTTGAGAATCCCGGGGACTGTCACGTGGTAACTCCTAGGGCCTCAGGCATGAATGGTGACTCAGTTGTTGGCCTGAAATAGATGCCTGAAATGTATGCCTGAAGCATGTGACTCTGCCCTATGTTTCACCACTTCTGACTTCCAAGGACCTTCGAACTAACCGTTGACATATACCGCTAGTATGTGTTGCTTTGTGACTCTGTACCATAATCCCTCATCCAGCCCTAAATATCCCTGAGCTATACCCAATACAGACAGGACTGCGATGTATGACGTCTGCAGTTGGAATGTTTCAGCTCCCTCTTACCGCCATCTTGCCTATCACACTGCAATTGCACGTACTTTTGACCTGCACATACAGTATCCTTGCAAGATGAGTTACAGCACTATTCATATGTCGTACTGCATACTTTGTATGTACTGTACAGTACACCACTTACAGTATACGATACAGTAGACAGTTGATCCCGGCTCCACATGTATCCACGCATCTCCCACGCATCTCGCTCTCGTTATAAGCCACGTTTGGAATTACGGATGCATACAATTCACACATGAGAGTGGGTGTCTTGCCGGTGATCGACAAACACCTACCGACTTGATGTGTCAGATAGTGGAAGTAACCGGCGTCTTGGCTTCCGGAAAGAATGAGGCGCAGATCCTGAACTCTGTCGATCAAAAATGTTCGGTGGCTCCGATGTCCTGCTGTGCGCACCATTATGTCTCGAGGCTTCTGAGAGCAGACGTGTGCAAGCTGCAGGAGAAGTCCGATTGAATTATTGCTGCAGCCGTCTTTTATTACTCGAAAGCATCGGGCTCCACCCACGGCGAATATGCAAGATGCTTAAAATGGACTGTGGGCCTGTTGGTTCAAGCGTCATGCGGGCGCCACAGGATCCATTGAAGCATCTCAATTCCAGGAAATGCAAGTTGATGATCCTTGAATAGCGTAAACAAAGGTCTGGGGCCGGTCTCTTCCGGTATGACGGCGTTTCAGCTTGCCACAGTGGCTTGACTTACTATGTGCTTTATCGCCTTTGCCTTTTAAGCTGCCCGAGCCTCAACTGCTGGAGTGCATCGGATATCCGATACCGTACGTTGATTCTGTGTTTCTCCTCAGACATGTCAATTAGATCCACCATGTCGAGTTGGATTGTTTTAATTAGTGGTCTCGTCTATCCATGGGCCACGAATACCCGAGTCGAACACCACTTGTGTGTTTCTCCATGAGCAGAGGTTAGGTGTTTGGAGGGGTTGAAAACCCCCAATCACGGCTAAACGGATGCAAATCGTACCTTAGAAGCGAATCTTGAGCTTGTACATCGAGTTCCTTAACTGGAAAGCTTCCTACCGGAGATGTTAGTTCCACATTTGTATACATCCAAACTTAATCGTGCGCTCCATGACAATAAGGTTAAGCCATTTGGGTCAGGACAATATTCCAAGCCTCGTATTTGACCAAATGGATCTAGGTAACGGATCTAACGTGTTTTCGATCCAAACTTCGGTCATGGTGTGCGTGGCTTAGCTGGCCCACCTCCTTTCTGTCTGTGGTTCTCGCTATCCTAACCTCGGTAAGCCCGAGATATCTCAGATGCTGACCATTGACCTAGAGGACATCCACAATTTTCCCCATGAAAAACTCGGTGAGAGGCCTACAGTGTATCATACTTTCTGTGCGGCTGAAATGCGATATTAACGGTTCCACACGAACCTCTCTTCGACATGGATTTCTCCGGACATTTGGCCGAGAATGTGCCATGATTTAAAATGAGGTCCAGACATCTGGATCGACACCCGCTGTAACGTTAATAGTGGAGCAATACATATAGTGCGGTGGCAAATTGAGTAGCCGGACTGCAGTTGTGTACAGACCCAAGTCTTCAGATTGACTACGGGGATGCGTGTAATTTGCCGGTTTTGGCCCCAAGTCTCTGACCATCTAGATCCTCTCGCTTAGATAGAAGGCCCTTTCACACCGCGGAATTCCCGACGAGACCAAGTCCCTTGGAGGACAGAAAGGAGCAGTTTATCGCTACCGTGGTGGGCGGAAATCTATTTCCACCTCCGGTTGTCACGGAGTTGTGCACGGAGAAAGGTGTGAGATACACCCGACGAGCCTGCGAGCCCGCGAGCCTGTCCGACGGGGAACATTCGCTATCGAGCAATTTTGGGCAGGGATGGCTCGGGTCCGGGGGCATCTATGCATGCAGTGAACGCCCGTATTCCTAAGCTGCCCCCGTCTACAGCCACAACCTGTATTTTTTTTTTGAATGGATTTACCTGAGCCCTCCATAGAGGGACAGGGACTAGTCCATAACCATGAAGGATAGGCCTTTGATCGACCGGCCAATCTGAAGTTAATCTTGCACTTGTCAACATGAAGCCACTGCGATAGATCACCTTGAGATAACTTACATCCAGGGCGGGTGGAAGTTAGCCCGTGTACTTTGGTCAAATCAGCCAAATCTCCATGAATTTCCCTCAACTGTGAAAAAATAAAAATAAAAACAGGAAACAAGGAAGATAGTTGGATTTATAGAAGCCGTTGAGATCGAGGAATTTCCTGCTCACCAAGGGCTGGCAACCCACGATCTCCTGATCTCATTGGAGCAATCTTACTGATCGAACTGGCCCCGATCATAACGAGGCTTCCCAGGCTTTGTGGACAGAGCCGAAGACAATCCACTCTAATTAAGTTTGACGGTTCTTCCCTAGTGTCAATTCCAGCTCATCTGCAAGGACGTTGCAGACCCCGAAGGCCTCGGTATGGTAAACGAAATCCCGAGATCATCTATACCCGGAGACACTAGTCTCGAATTCCTTCCTAGAAGCCTATCATGCATGTCCATGGAAAAGGTCAGGTGCTTTGGCTCTCTTTCGTCTCCAATCCTGTCATAGACCAAACCAGGTCAGTCTCGGCAGTGAGCAAGGGGGAGAAACTGGGCGCCCCAAAACCATTAGGGTCAGGCAACCAGTGGGCCTGTACAAAGTTCCCAGACGTTTGCCGATCTCTTAGTCCAATCCTTCTGCCATCCAAATCACGCCCCTTTTGCCCGAGTATGGGGTGCTCTGTGACGGATTTTCGCATTTTTGGGACCATTGACCGTAAGATCGACCAACGACTACATCCATGTTTCACTTGACCCGTAGAACTATGGCTTTGTAGCCATTCAAGTGCTCGGATTATCCTACTGAAGACATTGCACCCGTGTATTGCTGGAAATCCTCTCTCTCTCTCCTTCGCTCTTTCTCGGTGAGCAACGTGAAGAGAGTATCAAGGGCTATAACACTTTTCAATTATCCCAATATAGTATTCAGAACCAAACCGGGGCTTATTTTCCCCTTCTGCAACCAAGTCTTAGCATGTCAAATTCTGACAGATCGTGATGCACTCGGGGGTTTCCTACAGTAGTGGGCCACAGGACCAATAACGGGGAGCAAGACGAGATTCCAAATCGCAACGTTTAAGCGTGTTTCCACCGGTGTTTTGATACTGTAACTAGGAAAACCTGTAGATCCCTCCTGGGTCCCCACTGGCCTTTGATTGCCCCTGCCTGGAGCTGAGTCTGCTGGACTGGAGGACGCCACAGCTGACAAGACTAGTGGCTGTGTATAAATCGCGATCCCTTCAATGTTCACCAACCTGGCAGTTTGCCTATCAAGAGAGGTGAGCGTGCTCTGGGACGACTACAGCATGGTGCTCGCTCTTCCTCACACATATTATATGCCTGTAGGGATTCTTCAATTTTGCCCCACCATTGCCCCCATGCTGCATCTCCCAAGGCTAATCTACTCCAATAGATGAATAGTCAAGCAGCGTGGAAAGGCACGAAATCGATCTCGAGCTCCAACGTTGGGGTAAGAGTACCTCCACTCTGGCATTCCTGTTATAGGCCTGACTCTGAATAGACAGAAGCCATGTCGAGACAGTCACCGGAAGAGCTGACATACCCTCATTTCGCCCTAATTTATATCGACCGAAATGGCAATCTCTGTCAGAGATCGTCCGAGTCCATCGCCGAGCGCCGGGAGAGAGTTCTCACTCCCAGAGTGAGGGCTGAATTTCTCCGGGCTGTGGCAGTCTCTGGAGAGTTGCAAGCAGCCCAGATTCAATGTGCGTTTGGTCTCCCCCTAAATATGAGCTGCTTGACCTGACCCGAACAGTGCCTCACACCACACCAGCGAACCAAGCGACAGAATATAACAACCACAGCCCTCAATTACAGAGGCAAATGGCCAACCCTAGTAGCGTGAGCATAGAGCAGAGTGTGCAGAGTATTCCCCAAACACAACCCGTCCAGCCTGAAGCGTGGTCCGCCCCCGAGTCCTGGTCTCACGGGCAAAGCTCACGACCCAGGAAGAAGAACTTTGGAGGGCAAAACCTCAACTTGATTTCTCACCAAAAGGTCTCGATTTTGGTTAGAGACCAAGAGTTCCTACGTCATTACTATGAGAAAATTTTCCAAAACCTGCAGCAAACCAACTGCCGGGTTCTTGCAAAAGCCTACGTTAAACTAGTTGAGCCACGCAAGCAGGTCAACTACCCCTATAATGGACGAAAGATAGTTGCAGGGAGAACTCAACAGCTGAGCCCAGAAGCGACAAAGCCTCCTTGGTGGCCATCTGGGGTGAGCCACCGAGAGCCAGACCATCTCCCCAAAGTTGGTAAGCAAATGCCTATTCCAATGATGCCACTTAGGGCTAACCGTGGACAGAACGCATTCGCCTTTTAGTCCACATTTTATGTGAACTACACGAAAGTCATGGAATCACAACGGCGAGACTGAAAGAATGTGACCAGCCTATTCGACGTCAGATTCTTCCGGCCGATCGTCTAGAAATTCTAGACGAGGCATACCGAGTCCGCGAGGAAGAAGTAAACTTTCAAACAGGAGTCAAAGGTACGCCAATGCATTCAAACTGTGAAAGCACCAAAGCTCAACCTCAACAGATGGAGACGAGCCTGTCTGGATCTCTCGTGCCAACCTTCCCGACACGACAGAAGACACATCCAGCGGACAAAGCTCCCCGACCGAACCAGAATATACCCAGACCACCGCCAAATCAGAATGCAGCGACGAAACGACCGCCGTCGATGCTCTCGCCGTCGATACCTCCAGATTCCACGTCCCATTCGATGATCCCCGAACGAACGCCTCCCCATACCATCCCAACCCCAGCCCCAACCCTTACAACCCACCGATGCACATAAGCCCTCACATGCAATACATGCCTGTTGAGCCGTTTGCCAGCGGGTCCACCTCACCACTGGAGTTGAAACGAAAGCGCGAAGAGACTGCTGGGACCAACCTGGTTGATCGCACCCGCCAAATGGCCCCTACCCAGTTTACGGGAAACATCAGCGCCCAAGTCTTCCCCATGGCTAATTACGAAGACCCTCTTGCCATGTCTATTCCTATCTCACAGTCTGACCCAAGTACGCAGTCGGTGCCCGGGCCGTCTACGGAGCAGATGATGAGTTATGGCTACCCTTATTATTTTGATCACTGATGACCTGAAGATGAGCTGAGTGCATATAATGTCATGATGATAATGAATATTTTGCTGGCGTTCAATTGAATTATATTACCCATTTGCTACATTGTTACTTGATATAATACTGGGCATAATCATTGGATCTATCTCTATTCTAAGTGTGAAAAGTAGAAAGCTTGAAAACGCTAAAAGAAACGAACTTAATGCAATGAAAAGCCCGACAGAAAGAGGCTGAAATCTCCAGAGCCGCCCAAGTTTCTCAAGGTGGTCTATCCAATTACATGCTTTCATGTGGCCGCCAAGAAGAGCTGTATAAACCCGGACTATATTGATAGATTTGCGTACCCCAGGAGGAAGAACTGACTTTCCTAATAGCCTGATTAGATGGTCTTGTCTTATGACAACTACTAAAATGAACCCTGATTTTCTGGCGCCTGTATAGCGCTCAAAACAGATATGGAGCCTTGGCGCTTGCATGGACTACTAGAAGAGGTCTCGGGTCATATTACGATTCTTTATTCTCCGGAAAAGTCGAGATATTTTCACTCTTGAATCCGTCTTGGGGGTGTAAAATTGAATGATATACTTATTTTGATTGACTAATATTGAGTATCTAGCTGTGCAATCATAAAGATACCGACAGAAGTGGATGTGTAGGCCTGCCTAGTGAACCATCCCATCTTGATATCTCTACAGACACTGCGAGTACCAGTCATTGGAGTAAGTGCAAGTATATCCACTAGCACAAACGGTACTGCCAGTCCAGCCTGAGCCACCACACTGTCCCCAGTGAGCAACACCAGTGCTGCTACCCGAGCCAGCAGTGGTAGTAGTAGTAGCCTTAGTAGTCGTAGCGAGAGTAGTCGCAGCAGTGGTGGCAGCAGTGGTAGTGGAAGAAGCAGAGCCACCAAGAGCATTCAAGATACCAGTGTAAGCAGGCTTCTTAACCAGCTGATCATCCCAAGGACAAGCAGCACCCTGACCGGAGAAAGTACTAGGCACCCAAGAGTACTTGTCAGTGTAGTCCCAGATGGTAACCCCAACACATTTGGCATTAGCCACACAAGCCGCAACAGTGTTCTGGTAATCGGTTGACTGCTGAGCAAGCAAAGCAGCAGTTGAAGGCAGTGTCATACGGATATCAAGCTCGGTATAGGCAACCTCAACACCCAGCGCTGTGAAAGCAGCCAAATTGGTAGTCTGCGCGCTCTGGCTGGGCGTACTTCCAACGATGAAGTGAGCCTGCAGACCGACACCGTCAATCTTAGCACCGTACGATTGAACAAGCTTGACAATCTTCTGAGCGGCTGTAGACTTGGAACCGGCATTCTCAATGTTATAATCGTTGTAATAGAGCTTGACCGATGGATCGGCGGCGGCGGCGGCTGCAAAGGCAATGGGGAGATAGGCTTCGCCGATAGTTGTATAGAAGATACTGCTGCGGTAGCTGCCATCATCATTGAGGGCTGTTTCCAGGTATTAGTTATAGAATGACAAAGGGCAAGTTCGAGTAGACACTCACCTTCGTTGACCACATCCCAAGCGTAACATTTTCCCTTGTAGTGCGTAACAACATTGGTAATGTGATTCTTCATAGCAGCAATTAGAGTCTCATTGGTCCAGGTGCCACTCGAGACTAGAGATATCTGTCAGATCGCATTCCGACCAAACAAGTTATAAGAGGGCATGTCGACTCACCCCAGCTGGGCAACTGGCTATGCCAGACCAAGTTATGGCATCGTAGCTTCTGGCCATTGGTAGCAGCCAGGTCAGCAATGACATCGCCTTTGGTGAAAGAGAAGGTGTTTTGAGTTGGCTCCGTCGCATCCCACTGCCCCAAGGTTAGCAAGCGCCAGTCAAGCAAAGCAGAGTAATATGCAAACCTTTTGAGAGTTGCCAGGGGTAATCTGACCAAAGTCATCTGTGTTGCTCAATTGAGTCAAATATGGGCTATCGGTCAACTCGGGATTATCAGTCGCTGATCCGAAGTATAGCTTTCCCTTGGCAACAGCAGCAGTGTTGAGACCAGCTGCTTGTGTTCTATGAAATTGTTATGGTCAGTATCATAGAAGTATCACAAATGAGGTTCTCCATACAGTTGAGGCAGAAGACCGGCCAATGCCAGGGCAATAGCGGATAAATGAACCATAGCGACTGAATTAATCAAAAGTTGTCGATATTTGGTATGAGCACAAGCTTCAATCTTTTACCCAAGAAGAGATGCCCGAGCTCCTTTTATAGTCTTGAACAGAGCGCCATGTCAAATTGTCAGGGTCGTGATTTAGATATTTTCAGCAGCTGCCCCGGCGCTAGGCTAGCCAGTTTCACATTGATCGCAACAGCCATTCGGGCCGCGAGCCCGTGGCGTAGCTGTCGCGGCCATTTCAACTAGTCAAAAGGGGTTGTTTAGCTCTATTCATATTTGTTCGACTCGATATTATAGCATGATCTCATGCAAGGTGAAGGTACTAAGCGGTAGTCAGGCTGGGGTAGAATAATCGTCACGGAGCGGAGCTCCACATATGCAGAACAAGCGTCCGGAGGGAACGCCGTATTTTCTTCACGGCAAAAGAGAAAATGGGCCCCTGAAGAGACACCGTGCAAATTGGAGGTGAAGTTGAAGAGGGCTAAATGCACGGCTAAATGCGTCTTCTCCACTTCAACGAACCTGTCGATCCCTTCCTTGATTGTATCTATAAGTCGGGTTCGGTTCACTGGTTGTTATTGCCGACATTAGCATAATGTCAGTGGGCAAGGACGGTGGCATAGTTTCCAAGCTATGCATATACCCCTCACTTGACATTAGAGCCTATGATGGCCTGAGATGAGCCTGTATAGGAAACGCAGGGCTTCGAGTATACTACGATCCGATATGAGCCCAGGCTCCATGACAGTGGGACTCTAGAAAAACTAGACTATCAAAAGGGAAATATGCTTCCGGAGGTCGCTGCCTCTGTGATTGAGTCATATCTATGTAAAGCCAAAGATGCAAATATGTACATGAACAGACATCTTGAGGGGTATCAGCCGCTTGAATGTGGTTTTGCATGAAGTAAAACCAAGATCAAATGGTAAAGCGTGGCTAGGCGCCGCAGTGAAAGCAGATCAGTTCACAGTCCCAAGGCAGAAATTTTCGTCTCTGCCAGTGCCATGATAGGGGTTTGCATCTGGACTTTCACTGCAAGCTAGTGGCGATCGAGAGCTAGGTGGAGGGGAATCATCATATGTGACGAAACGTTCTGTTCAGCCTGTCTTGCGAGCCTTCATATCGGCAATAAATTTGCCAGTCTTGGACAGAGGCACAACGAAAATGCTGACAAGCTCGTCCACAACCTCAACCTTGCCGCCGGAGAGGATCTGCAACAAGGGAAGTTTCTTGCCGGCCTTGATCAAACCACCAGTGACAGTTTGCATGAAGCATTCAACATTGTTGATGTTGTACTCTTTCTTGGTGTCCCATGGCAAGGGGAAAATGTACTCCAGGTGATCGACAATGGAGTTCATTTCAGAGAAGGACTTGACAAAGTCAGACTGCGCCTCCATGGGGTACAAGAGAACAGCCGGGAACTCGATCGTGCTTTCTGGCGACAAAGGGTCAGGGACGAGTCTGATCTTGGCGTCTTCCATGTCGGGAGGCTGCTCGGTCTTGCGGGTTCTGATTTGGCGGGCGCGCAGAGCGGTGCTAAGAACCATGTTCTGCTTGCGCAGCCTTTCTTCCTCAGCCTTCTTCCTAGCGGCAGCACGCTCCACAGCGGCCTTGCGCTCAGAAATTTTCTGAGATGCGGTCTGAAGGGACTTATTCTCTGGGTCAATGGCCAGACCACGGTTTGCGGCATCCTCGGCCTCGGCAATCCTGTCGAGCTTGAACAGAGCCATAGATGAGCGGTAAAAGGCCTTGACGTTCTTTGGGTTGACCTTGAGGGCGGCAGCGCAGTCGAGGGTACAAGCGCGGTAGTTGCCTGGAAATATATAAATATTAGAAAAGCCCGTCAAAAACCGAAAAGTTGTATATACCTAGTTCCAGGTTGCACAGGGCTCGGTTGATGTGCGACACCTCTTCCAACTTGCGCAGCAATGCCTCCTCAGCCTTGGGGTCCTCTGGTTTTTCCCACTTGTTCTCCTTGGCAAAGATAACAGCGATACTCTTGGTATAGAACTCCTTGGCATCGATCCATCGAAGCTCCGACACGGCCTCGTTACCCTGTTCCTTGAAGGTTTGCGCAACCTCAGCCTTGGTACCTTCGTTCTGCATAGCCTGCAGGGCGTCCAGTAGAATGTTCTCGCCCTCTATAAAATCCGGCTGTCAGCTTGGTCCATTCACCCTATTGGACTACCACGAAACATACTCTCGTCACCCGCATTTTCAATATCGGTCATGAACAGCGGAGTCTGGTTCATCATTTTGAAGAGCTCCTCTTTCGAATGCGATTGGACAGCCGCAATGGCCGGGGGTAAATCAGGTGCATTAGGATCGGTCTGAAGGCGCTTCAGACCCTCCTCATTAATCGGGAAGGGAAGATCGTTGCCAGGTGCAAAGGCATCGAAGCCGGGCTGGGGAAGACCCTGGTTTACTGCGGGTGGAGCATCGTTGAGATTGAGCGACTCATCAAAGTCATCCGGAAGCTCTTCAATTCGCGACATTGTGAAGTGATACCACAGCCAACTGAACTTTTGGAGATTGGAGATCTTCAAAAGCTTAGAAATGATATAATGCCCGCCGAGCAAACAGTGCAAACCAGAGGGGAGCAATTGAGCCCTAGCCCTAACACCAGATTGGGCTTAAGCTCTGTCTTCCACGTGATAATGCTAACTGCTTTCGGTATTCTCTATGCCTGAGGCCTAGATCTATACTTCCAAATCATGCGAGTTAGTTACACTCCGAGATGAAGTTGGTTAGCATGCGTCAGTTGCTTATTGCTTTGTTCTAATTTACAACCTGTTCAGTTTCCCCTACCTTGACGATATCATATATCATACGACTATATGCATAGTGTACTATTTTGTCCTTGTCAGTATACAGTAAGCATACCCTAATAGGACGAGAGCAGTGATCAATGGTGCCAGGTCAACCATTACCATTCTCCCCGGGATCCTATACAACTCACATCCTAGAATAAACCCTACCATTTAGGTCTCAATGTAGTCGGACAGTTCCTCTGCATTGGTATGACATCGGCGAATGCCCGACCAACCCTAACCCCGCATAAGTCGGATGAAACCCCGAGTTCCGATGTAGGCTGTATAAAGTTGGGCATATCAAAGAGGAGATAGTATATCCAAGTCAACTAGGCAATACAGATTCCAACAAAGTACAACAGAAACAGAACCACCGAAACAATGACCAAAGCCTTTAAAATCCTCATTCTCCCAGGCGATGGCATCGGCCCGGAAGTCATGACAGAAGCCATTAAAGTCCTTAAAGCCTTCGAAACACCAGAACGCACGTTCGAACTTCGCCAAGAGCTGATAGGAGGCTGCAGCATCGACACCCACGGTAAACCAGTAACAGACGAAGTCAAACAAGCTGCTCTAACCTCCGACGCCGTCCTCTTCGCCGCCGTCGGAGGACCCAAATGGGATAATGCGCGACGTGGACTCGATGGCCCTGAAGGAGGACTACTGCAGCTGCGCAAGACACTGGATATCTATGCAAATCTACGCCCGTGCTCGTCTACCTCACCGAGTTCATCGATTGCCAAGGAGTTTAGTCCATTCCGGGAGGATGTGATCAAAGGAGTTGATTTTGTTGTGGTGCGGGAGAACTGCGGTGGCGCTTATTTTGGGAAGAAGGTTGAAGAGGAGACCTATGGTGAGTTTGGATTCCTGCCGGCGCATATACACGATCTGATGTTCTATAGCGATGGACGAATGGGGGTACTCCGAAGCCGAGATCCAGCGTATAACTCGTCTCTCCGCCGAAGTAGCATTGCGACACAACCCTCCTTGGCCAGTGATCTCTCTCGACAAGGCGAATGTGCTGGCCTCTTCTCGACTTTGGCGTCGCGTGGTGGATAAGACCATGGCTGCTGAGTACCCGCAAGTCAAGCTGGTGCACCAGCTTGCCGACTCGGCCTCGTTGATTCTAGCGACGAATCCACGATCTTTGAATGGTGTTATTCTGGCGGATAATACATTTGGAGATATGATCTCCGATCAAGCTGGGTCGATTGTTGGTACTCTTGGTGTGTTGCCGAGTGCCAGTCTCAATGGTCTCCCTGGTGATAAGATGCTGCAGACGAGACCGTATGGATTGTATGAGCCTACACACGGGTCTGCTCCAACGTATGTATACACCAAAGACAAGTGAGAGTGGTGGTTCTAATATTCTTAGTATCGCCGGTCAAAACATCGCCAACCCTGTTGCAATGATCCTCTGTGTTGCGCTTATGTTCCGTTACTCGCTGAGCATGGAAGCAGAGGCCCAACGGGTGGAAGATGCTGTGCGAAATGTGTTGGATTCTGGACTACGAACCCCTGATTTGGGTGGTAAAGCTGGAACTGATGAAGTGGGTGATGCGATTGTGTCTGCACTGAAGCATATGTGAAGACAGAAAGGACTTGAAGTGAGGTTTCAGCCTGAGTAGGATACGAAGGAATGTCTTCAGTTAATCCTCTCAAAGAGCGGGCACATTGGTTAGAGCTTTCCCAACAAAGAATGTGTGTCTCAACGGGCTCAAATGGAGGTAGGAAAGTATTGAGGGGATTGCTTCACCCTACAATCCTTAGACAAACAATTATATCCTGTTTCTTTGATAGAAAGGATTATTTGAAAGACAATGTTTGCTCCCTGGGATGCGATGAAAGACTTCAGAATGTATCAATCTCTATAGTAGAGATCTTTAGATGTTTTGAACCAGCTTCTTCCTGTCACATTTATTGGTGCGTTATCGCTCTCCTGAAGATTTAAGAAACTGGCAATCCCAAGCTCTTTCTCAAAATTCAGCAACAATACCTGGCGACTTAGCAACACAACTGCGCTTGTCTATGTCCAAGTCAGCTAGACTCGCCTTCAAACCCTCTTCAAAGACCTGAGGCTCAACACCCAAGATGCCAACCGAAGAGCCAGAAACCTCTCCATCTTCCCCCCATACACCAAACCCAGAATCATCGCCGGCATTACCATTGATTCAGCGCACAGAAAAGTCGCCCACCCCTACAGCATCCCTCGATGAAGCCAAACTACCGGGATCCTGTGCCCTCCGCCTCGAAAACCTTGAAGCTCAATCCTCCCAAGGAAAAAAAGAGCCCATGCAGTCAATCGCTCAAGATATCTGCACAACGTTTACCTGCATAGCCAAATACGCGGAAGCAGGAAAATTAGAAGCCCAACACACAAACGTGATCGATGACGTGATCAAAATGATCCGCGACACAGATATTAAAACCCGCCACCGACTGGAGAAGCAGGAGCGGCGATTGCGAAGAGAGCGCGATTGGCTACGAATGAAACATATCAAGGTAATTCGGGAGATCAATGAGATGTCGGGGGTGTACCAGAAGAAAATGCGAGACTTGAGAGACAAAGTGCGCGATTTGAATCGTGAGGTTCAGCAGTTAAGGGCGGAGAGGGGATTGTTGATGGCAAAGATGCGTGCTGATGCTGTCGATCAAGATGCAGATGCAGATGTTGATGAGAAGTTTGAAGTTGATACACAGAGAGTTTGAGTTCTTTGTTGCGTGTTTTGCTTGACCGGGTTATTCGGATTTTTGTCCTGGGAAATCCCCGCATACCTGTGATACCAGGGTTGTATCAACAATTGTCTTCCATCTGTAGAGGTAATTTAGTGAAGTCATTTCCAGATCCTATGAGCAGTATATCTTTGATCTGCGATTTAGTCCATGTAGATGGTATCACAATGTGATGTCCATCGGTATTTGACTTCCGAGGTATTGAGCTCGCGGCAATTGATAGGCAAATGCCTGAACCCGGAGCACAAGTATCAAGGGCCCGGCCCTTGTGATTCAAGCCGAGCCCGAGCGAAGACCGGAGCATGATATAACATCTGTGAAGCGAATTCACCCGAAATCAACAGAATACCAGTGATCAACTGATTATTGCCATCGACCGAAGGGACCTCGGCTGCTTTGAAAAGGCGCGAATTGATTCGGCCCGCTGGATCCACCGTCACTCCGCGCATGTGGACGAGTTCTGGAGAAGACCCTTTTCTTTTCAAATTTCCCTGGACACTCTTCAGATCCCCTTAGCATTCTCTTACTTTCCTGAGCATCATTTGAAGCGACCACATCTTCTTGTCATTCCCGATTCACCTTTTCAAATTCAAATCTACCCCGGACAGGGCTCTCGGCCGAGAATGACCATCCACGACTATGAGGCAGTTCGCAAGGACATCGCCGCCCAACTGAAGAAGCCTGATTATGACGATGGCAGTGCAGGACCCGTGTTCGTGCGATTGGCATGGTATGTGACCCCCAGGATTGGTCTTGCTTTCCCCGGTCGGGATCCCGGAGCAACAGCCGAACCCACTCGGCGCAACGGCTAACCCGGTCCTCAAAGGCACTCCTCCGGCACATACGATCTCGAGTCCGACACGGGTGGCTCGAACGGCGCTGGTATGCGATACGAAGCCGAAGGAGGTGACCCCTCGAACGCAGGTCTGCAATACGGACGGGCATTCCTAGAGCCTATCAAAGAGAAGCACCCATGGATCACCTACTCAGATCTGTGGACACTAGCCGGCGTAGTGGCAATCAAGGAGCTAGGTGGACCAGAGGTCGAATGGCACGGCGGACGGACAGACCTGGTAGACGACTCCAAGGTGCCACCACGAGGTCGGCTACCGGACGGCGCACAGGGCGCCGATCACCTGCGATTCATATTCTACCGCATGGGCTTCAATGACCAGGAGATCGTAGCGCTGGCAGGCGGTCACAACCTGGGCCGATGCCACGGCGACCGCAGCGGATTCGAAGGACCGTGGGTGACGAACCCGACGCGGTTCTCGAACTCGTTCTTCAAGTTACTGCTGCAGCTTGACTGGAAGCCTCGCAAACTGGCGACTGGTATGACACAGTTTGTGTATGAGGACCCTGATGCCGAGGAGGATGAGGAGCCGTTGATGATGTTGCCGACTGATATGGCATTGTCGACGGATCCGTCGTTCGCGCCTTGGGTGCAGAAGTATGCTGATGATAAGGATCTCTTCTTTGATCACTTTGCCAAGGCGTTTGCGAAGCTCGTTGAGCTTGGTATTCAGCGGGATGCTAAGGGTGTCGTTACCAACACTGACAACCGTCTTGGTGGGTATGTCTCTGCCCCTAAGAAGAGCAATACACCCACGGGCCCGCCTAGAGCGCGTCTGTAGATTTGCTTGCTTTCGGATGATTTCCCCAATGCGTTGGATCTGGATAGTTTGTCTGGATATGTAAATAGATTATAGAAGTTGTTAAGGATGTTTTATTTCCAATCTGGATTCAAGTCAATCCATCTAGTAGACGGAACCGATGAAATGAAGATGAAGTAAGATGCAAAAGAGTTTGAAGAGAAGAGGAGAAGAGGAGAAGAGAAAGGAGTCCGGGGTATTGCGGGGGAACTCGCACCGTTAGGTAAACATGGTAACATTTGCAGAGTTGTACAAGTTGGCAGAGTTGAGTACAGAGTATATTTAATAGGAGGCCTGTGATTGGTAGATACCCCGGTCGACTAGTATATTTCATGTTTTGGAGGGTTATTTCAACGTTTTTTCAACCTTCTGTTTCACTTTGCAAAAATAAGAGCGCAAGCATCAAACCCTAACGGAATAGACAAGCAGTTATGAACATAAAACACGAGTAAAACCCCCAATGCAAACGTCGAGGCTGAATACACTTGATACAATACTGACATGAGCCTTCTCTTGCACCATCTATTTTTTTCTACGAGAGGGCTGAACTCTCCTCGGGCCAGAGTCCTCTGGGCTGCTCCTCTTCGTGACTTTTCTTGGGTTTTTGTTGCCCCCAGCCTTTTTAGGGGCCGCCTTCCTGGGACTTCCATCGTTAACTCTCTTAATTGCTCGAGGTTGACGTGGAGTTGAATGCGCCTCATAATCCTCATCGTTATCATCCTCATCCTCCACCTCGGAGACCTCCGGGGTCACCTCAGGGGCCTGGTTCTGGGCCTTACGGCGATTTCGTGGTTGCGGCTTCGTAGTTGCACTACCTGACATATTGGTATCCATCATCATAATATCATCATCTGCATCTCTCTGCTTTGTCCGAGATCCAGGTTGGTGATTCACGTCCATCGCGGGGAAATCCAAAGCGCCTTCTTCGGTAGGTTGACCCTGCGGCCAGAGATTCGACACATCCGCAAACCAGCTCGGGTCCTGCTGTGTGAAATCGAGTGCGCCGTGATAAGAGTCAGGGTTGACAGTGTTGTCGCTCCGTAGCACAAATGCAGGGGGAGAAGTGAACCCTGTATTGGGCCTTGGGTCCCGATATCCAAGCCAATTAAAGGCTGGGTAATTGGAAGGTTGCGAAGTGTTACTGGCTAGTAGCGCAGGGTCAAGCAATGAGACATCGATGACATTCGGATCAAGAAATGCTGGGTTGAGGTTCTCCCAGTTTGTGATATCGGGAACCAAGGGCGCACCGAGAGATAGAATGTTGGAGAAGTCCAATGACTGATTTGGTGGACTGGGGACTTGGTCCTGAAGAGAATCGTCAAGGTCCATGCCAGTGAACGGAGGAAAGGCAGTGAAGGGCTGCGCAAGCCCAGGCAGGACGCGAGTCCAAGGATCTCTTTGAATCGGGGGAACAAATGAGCCCCAATGAGGGTGGTTTTGTAGAAGCTCTTTATTCTGTGTTTTGAGAAGGGTCATCTTCTGCACAGCCTCGAGAGCTACTTTGAGCACATCCTTCGCAGGGCTCATGATCTGTTCGTAGAACACCAGGGGAATTGCAGCCCCTTGGCACCATTCTAATGGGACTCGATTGTTCTTATTGAAGCCTGGAATTCCTCCGACTATCAAGCCGTGATTCAGCTGACTGTCGTACATACAAACGTTTCCTGTGTCGTATTCACCACGCTTAGTGTCTGTCCAGTAGACACGAGCATGGTCTTGGTAGATATAGACGCCACCAAGCCAACGATACCGTGCTTTCTGGGGTCTGTCACCATAATCGATATACTGGAACTCAATATCTTTGGTATGATCAAGAACCTTTGTCCTTCCATCAAAAGTCATGGTCAAACGTAGTGGAAGTTGGCCAACCTTCCTCTCGCTCCGAATATTGTTTTGACCACACGATTGACACTTGCTTTCTTTTCTGGAGTAAAAGCATCGCTCAAGCAAATTGGAGACCTCAATTCCCCTTTCGTCACCCTTGCGATAGGCAGGCATCACGCAGGACCCCTGGTGGGAGACGACAAACACACTTGTACGTGTACACCTGCAAGGAACGACTCGCTCGGCGTGAAAGAATCGAAATTGAGAAAAGCTCTTGGTGCCCTCTGCCCATATAACCCATGGTGGGGTCGGTGAACCCATTTGTAGACTGGGATAATTCTCGCAGAACATCTGAAAGAATATATCGCGCTGGGTGCGAGAGTTTTTCTCATCCAAGACATCCCAAGCCACATGGGTAGTCTCAATGAAAGCTTTCTCGATGTCTGTAAAATTAGCCTGCCGGTTGTTATAACGGTCGATCTTGGTACAGCCAGCATCCATCAAAATGCCTACTGTAATCACGGCATCAACGGAACAAGAATTACCACTCCAGATGGGACCACGGCCGCGAAGAGGATAAACAAGGCCATTTGGGTCCCATGCGAAAGTCACAGGATCCAACCTTACGTTGGCTGTATTATTGAAGGTTCCAAGCTGGGTGTTGGACAGATCCTCAATTGACCGGGCAGTCAATTTCGGAGGAGGTGCAGTGCGAGTTGGAGCACTGGGATCACGCTCCAGGTCGGTGTACGCAATCTTTATCAGGGCCCTCTCAATGACCTCTGTCACATTTCTGGGATCATATGCAGATGAAAGAGCCGTGTCAACAAGAGTATCGACTTGCTGATAGTCAACAGGGGCTGTATTAAAAAGTGGACTGAGGCTAGGGTCTGCAAAGATCGGATCGTCCCACTGACGGATGGGAGCAGCATAGATAGGAACACCGCTGCCAGTGCCTATAGGTTTTGGTCCTCTATAAGCAGGAGCACCAGGCGAAAGCTTTCGTCGTTGCTGGTTTTGGCTGTCCGGTTCAATGATGTTCGAATCGATAGGCTCTAGAAACTCTTGAAGTCTCTCAGATACCTCTTGTTCCGACACAAGTTCATTGGGGTTCACTAGTCGGTGTATCGATTGCGGTGGCTCTGCATAAGTGTCGGCTGAGAAGAGGAATTGCTGGATGTAAGCATCTGAGGTCTCGGCATGCGCATCGGAAGGACGTTTGAACCCGGGAAGGAGAGTTACGTCAATATGAGGAAGATTCCGATACCATCGGCTAAAAGGTGCAGGGCGAGGTTCGAGGTTGTATCTCATTAATCGAGGCCCACTATCTCGATTGAAGTTTAATAGTTGCGTCCAGGACTTAGGGCGATGCTGCTCTTGCATGTAATAGAACAATTTCCACAACATTTTCTTGAGATCGATAATATTGCGTCTTTTTCTGGTGTAATGAAGAGTGACGAGCTTGTCGTCGTAGTGGATTCCCCAGAAGTAATGTTTCATCACTACATCAATCTGCCCGATACCGATTTCGCGGCCTTTTGACTGGCTCATCGTAGTGCAAGTTCTACCCAAATACTTCCAATCATTTGGCGGATCCTCAAGCACCATCAAGTTAAATTTTTCAGCGGGCTGGGGGGATGCTCGAGCTCATCTGGGTGACGTGGAAAGGGGGTATTTCGAAGCTCCTCCATGATGCAATAATACGATATAAGTGAGCAATAGTGCAGGAAACTCGAACAGGAGAATAATATCAGGTTCTTTAAATACCGAGAATTGGCTGGAGTTATTGAAAAAGCAATCGAGGCTTCCCTCAACGGTGTGAGTTGAGCTCTTTAATGAAGAATGAAAGTCCTCGTCCCAAAGCTAAGGTCAATGCCATCTTCACGAGCAATACATTGAACACAGCAGGTGGGGGATGAAAGAACCCTCAGACCCAATTTCGAATCCATGGTGGTGCACCCTCAATCAAAGAAAAGAGTTGAGGACAAAGACCTCGTACTCTAGATTCAAGAGGGCGCATACTGTCGAGGGTGTGGTCTCGAGGCCAGTCCCAGAATATCAAAGAAGTTGTCGAGTAGAAATAGACATCAGTGTCCAATGTCAATGGCGTATAGATACCATGTGAACAAAGGCTACCGCATTTTAACCAGAACATACTGGCTCAAGTGCTGGACAGGATGGAGATGTCCAATCGAGGTGAGCGAAGGCATCGTAGCCACAATCCTGTGGCTTAAGTCCAGACCAGAAAGAAATGACCATTTGTTTAGTTATAAGAAGGCCCTAGGATAAACAGATCGCTCTTGCGTGTAGTCACAAAAGAGTCTCGAGTGGGAACGCGCAAAAAGCATGGCTTTGGGTATGAATGAGGAGGCGATGGAATATCCCAAAGCATTCGAGTTAAAGAATACTAATCCTTGACATCCCAGTCTTCAAAGAAAGAGCCTTATGGCTGAAGAAGTTAGAGACCAAAGAAAGTGATGTTGGAAGCGACAACAAAGATATCAGGGCTTGTGGTAAGATACGTGTAAATAACCAAAGTAGATACAGTAACATAACCAATGATACAAATAAGTCAGCTGACTTCACCTGATCTACACGCTAGCCTATCTTGGACTGGTGGCTCACAAGCGAGCCCTCGTCCCAAACGGGTTAGTGCATTAATTACCCGATCCCACAAGCAAAGTCACTCAGTTGGACTTCCTCCTCTCCATCCCTCTGTCGACAACCCATCGCGATACTCGCCCATCGCCCACCATGTGTACGTGAACACCCCTCCTTTCAATCCGAAAGCCCTCTATGATACAACACAACGAATGCGCACAAAAAAAGCGATGGAAAAGGACGACGATTCTGGAAATTGAAGGCTAACGTGCACTTCGATAACAGCGCTCGTCTCCGGCGATAAGACGAACTTCCAGTTCATCTTGCGTCTGCTCAACACCAATGTTGACGGCAAGCAGAAGATCATGTACGCCCTGACCCAGATCAAGGGTGTCGGTCGCCGCTACTCCAACTTGGTCTGCAAGAAGGCCGATGTCGACCTCAACAAGCGGTACGTTCGGACCACCCACAATCCCCTATCGAAGTTGGAATCAATCCCATATGGAAGAGAAGGAGCAAAGACATTGAAATATGAAGAATTCGACTTGGGATGGGAATTATGCAAAATTGCAAAAAGAACACACAAACTGACAAGGATCCTATCTGCAGTGCTGGTGAACTCACCACCGAAGAGCTCGAGCGTATCGTCACCATCCTCCAGACCCCGACCCAGTACAAGATTCCCTCGTGGTTCCTTAACAGACAGCGCGACATCACCGATGGCAAGGACACCCAGGTTGTTTCTAACTCCCTGGACAGCAAGATGCGTGAGGATCTTGAGCGCCTGAAGAAGATCCGCTCCCACCGTGGTCTCCGTCACTACTGGGGCCTCCGTGTCCGTGGTCAACACACCAAGACCACTGGCCGCCGCGGTCGCACCGTCGGTGTCAGCAAGAAGAAGGGCTAAACAATTCGTGTCGTTTTTTTGCCGGGGGTTCTTGGAGGGATTCCGTTATTTCCGGTGTGTTTCTATGGGCATCCGTGGGACCTTTTTCCCCGCTGGGCTGGGTATCGACCCTGGTTCAAAAAATTGAAAATGAATCATACCAATGAAATGACCTGATCTCTTCTTACAAGTAATGCACGCTTGGCTTGAGGATTGTGATTGTCGACACCACACTCCTGCCTGGTCCTCTGCGTTGTAGAGTAGCCTTCTAGACTGTTGAAGTCTGTGGGGTAGCCCTCCACTGCGGGCCTTACTGATGTCTCCATAACATCGTCTTTGCAGATAGTACACCCATCCTCCTTAGTATACACGGTCGAGACCTGATCCATGTTGGGCTGTGTTTGTCAAGAGAGGAAGATTGAAGTTCTTTGAACACGCTGGGACTCTCATCCTTTGTGAACCTCCTATCTCTTCATAGTTTTGTCGTCAACGACTTAACAGAGGGTTTGGAGTGACATAACTAGCTACTTCTCTCTATTTTAATATTTTACTTAACAATTCATCACACTAATTTAATACTACTTCTTACTACTTGGTTCATGCTGTCAAGTTTATCAAGGTTGATTGATTCAAAGTTGTCTAGACGTATATACTAAACAGCAAGCCACCAAATTAGGCGCAACTAATAGATCGGGTTGCAACCTCAGATCAAGTGTCAAATTGTATGCAAACAAACAGTAAGATCAACAACACTCGGTGTAACGATAACTCATTGACGCCTTGTAAGAGCAATTAGGGATCTAGTACCACTCACCACCAATCCAGCGGTTGAAGAACTCCAGACCAGCCTCGGGCTGATCCATGGGAACCATGTGGCCAGCGCCGAAGATGCGGGTGAAGGTGAAGTTGCCGTGGGTCTTGATCTGACCGATCTTCTTGCCAACGTGCTCGTTTTGCACGATCTTGAGGTCCTCGAGCTCAGCAGCGGCGAACTCCTTCTGGCCGGGCCACTCAAGAGCCTCGGACCAGGCCTTGTTGCCGAGCCAGTTGCAGATGAAGTCAGCATCACCAGCGTAGATCAGAACGGGGATCTGCTCAAGGATTCCAGGAACAAGGCGGTGATAAGGCTTGAACCAGTCACCGGCGAAAAGGAAGTTACGGTTGATGTCGAAGTTACACGAGTCGTAGCCGTCAACCTCAGCACCGACGGCGTCACGAACGCTCTTCTGGCCGAGGTACTCGCTGACATAGCCCATACCCTTGTAGCAGAGGTTGTTTGAATCCTCGCACTTGCCGCGAATGTCATAGACGTTTTGACCAGTGCGCTGGTAAGGTCCAAGCATGGCGTTGTTGCAGTAGATGGAGGCAGGGACACAAACCCAGGGGCTCTCACTGTTGTAGCAAGACTCGATCATGCTCTGGCAGCGGCCCAGGGCGTTGTCCATAGACTGGCAAGTGCTCTCGTCGAGAACAGCGGGATAGCCACCGTCACCACAAGCCATGGGGCGGTAGTACTCGTATTGAGTGAGACCATCGGTGAGACCGTTGCCAATAAGAACAGACTTGAGGTTGATGTTGCGCTTCTTGTGAGCGAGAATCTCAGAAGCCATGACGGGAATGTAATGACCAGCGTAGGATTCGCCAGCAATGTGGAAATCCTGCTTGGCGTACTCGGGGAACTGCTTGAAGAACAGAGTCAAGAGAGCGTAGACATCCTTGCCAGCAGCAACGGTGTCGCTGACGGAGGAGCCACTGTAGGAGTAGCCGACGTTGATGGGCTGGTCGAGGAAGATAACAGAGGCATTGTTATTCCACGAGAAGTCATTGTAAATAGGCTTGATGTTCTCGCCAATGGAGCTAGGTCCAAGTTCCAAGAAAAGTCCAGTGAGGGACGAGCAACCAGGACCGCCGTTCAACCAGAGGACGACGGGGTCATTTGCTGGGTCATTGCGAGACTCAAAGAACCCTTGAGAGAGTTAGACGATCATACGCACTAACAAAGACATTTTCAAACTTACAATAGAACAAGTGCTTGTCCTCCTCGTTGTCGTCCAGATAACCACTGTACTGCTTGACGCCGGGGTCAATGCCAAGAGAACTGGGGTCAACCTTCTTGACACGGAGGTCATAGGCCTCTAGTCTACCATCAATTTCACGCTCCTTGGTGCCATCGGTACTAGAGACCCAGATGTCCTGGACTTCGGCGCCACTGACGTGGTGATCCCAGTGGGAATCGGGACGGCGAGTGTGCTTCTTGGGCAAAGACACCATGGGATTGCCCTTCAAGGATTCCGGGAAAAGATTGGAGACCTCCTCCCACATCTTGCGAGCTTCACCGGAAAGAGTCTTAAACTCCTCCTGGAGGTGCTCTAGGGGCTTTGAGAATACATCGGCACCCTGTTGGGCAACGTTCTGCGCAAACTCCTTGTGACCTCCGAGAACTTGCTGCAGGCCAGGGGCGGCCGCCGAAGCGGCACCCACAAGAAGAGTGGTCGACAGCAGTCTCATTGCAGCTGTGCTTATTCTCACAGAAGAATGATGGTTCTGCTGGGTGGATTGATGGAAAGCGGGTACCTTGGGGTCTGGGGTCAGGCAGCTCTTATCAGTGACCGATCTTATGTGTAGCCTCTCTCCAAGAGATGGCGAGTAGGATCAAGGAAACACAACTCACCGGTACACACTAAAGGATGATAATTGAGATGAAGCTTCAGGATACAAGACAGGAGCCTGTGAGGAGAAGAGGAGGCAGGGAATCCCCGATGACGCCAGGAGATAAGCAGGTCCCGGGACCTGACTCAGCCAGTCACGGGAGGGGTAAGCGGCTAAGCCTTTTTCGGAAAATTCTTTCGATTGTCAGCGTGGACTGGAAACAGGTGTTGGCACATCTTCTCTTCATATCGTTTTTGAGATACCCCTTCGCGGCTACATTCCATTCAGGATGCCTATCAATCAACCCTCCAACCAGATCAAATTCACCAACGTTTCCGTGGTGCGCTTAAAAAAGGGTAAGTGCGACGAATCACATTGTTTGATCTAGCTAAGTTTCTCTCCATCTAGGCAAAAAGCGCTTCGAGCTTGCCTGCTACAAGAACAAACTTCTTGAATACCGATCCGGCGCCGAGAAAGACCTTGACAATGTCCTTCAAGTCCCCACCGTCTTCCTCTCCGTCTCTAAAGCACAAACTGCCCCGTCAGCAGAACTAGCAAAGTCCTTTGGTGCGGGTACACCTCGAGAGGAGATCCTCCAAGAGATCCTCCGCAAGGGCGAAGTGCAAGTCGGCGAGCGTGAACGCAAAGACATTCTCGAACGAGTAGAGAAAGAAGTCCTGGACATCGTCTCGGGTCGCCTAGTCGACCCCACCACAAAGCGCGTGTACACATCAGGCATGATCCACAAGGCTTTGGACCAGTTGAGCTCAGCCAGCGGACAGCAAGCACAACAGGCCGGTGAAACAAACGGAAACAGCGAAGAGAAGACAACGCAACCAAAGAAGCCAATGTGGACGGGAGTTTCGTCGAACCGGTCCGCGAAAAGTCAAGCACTGGATGCTATGAAGGCTCTCATCGCTTGGCAGCCAATTCCTGTGATGCGGGCCCGCATGCGTCTTCGTGTGACCTGTCCTGTGTCATTATTGAAACAATCTGTCAAGGCTGCTCCTGGGGCAGCCCCAGCCAAAGACAAGGAGACACCCTCAGGTGGCTCTAAGAACAAGAAGGGAAACAAGGGATCGAAGAAGGGAAAGCGTGGTGATGACTCGGACATCGAGGGTGGGTCTGACACCGAGGCTGCACCCAAAGCCCCCGGTACCGTCAAGGATAAGATTATGTCGCTGATCGAGTCGATCGAGTCACAAGAGGTTATTGGTGGGGATGAATGGGAAATTGTCGGTTTCGCTGAGCCTGGTGCATTCAAGGGATTGAATGACTTTGTGGGTAACGAGACTCGCGGCAGAGGCCGCGTTGAGGTTTTGGATATGTCGGTCACGCATGAGGATTGAGTGGCCATTGCTCTACTGGGCTGTACATGAATACCGATATGACTGATGATAAAAGTTCAAATGAATAGATTGGTTTTTGCCAGTACTGCCATCCACTGCCTAGTATATGAGTAGATGCAGCCAAGCCCTAACTTGGAATAGCTGAAGAAACTTTACCGAGAAAAAGCAAAACCTGCATATCCAAGAAACATATGAAGAGAGTGCCTACTACATCAGCAGAGCCATATAATTGTTGGAGAATGAAGTCAGATAACAAAAGAACATAACAAGTCTGATATATGACCGAGACAGGACCTGCCAGTATATTGCAGGCCAAAAGTATAGTACAGCACATGCAACCAATATAGACAAACAAAAAGCCCCATCGCCATAAACAAAAGATGCAGATATTCACAGAAAACACAAAAGAAATCATGGCCGTGACACATAACAGACTCATCAGCTGCGAACCGCAAACTCAGACCGCCAAACCACGCATGTCGATGTTATCACATCCAGTCACCATCAAAACCACATTCTTACCCGGACCAAGTTCTCTCGCCAGACCAATAGCCTTCGCCACTGCGTGACTCGAGTCCAGGCCAGAAAGGATACCCTCGTGGTGTTGAAGGGTTTTGAACCCGTCCAGGGCATCCGCGTCGGTAGCCGTTGAAATTTCAATCCTGCCAGAATCCTTCCAATGAGCCACCTCAGGGCCCACAGTCGACAAATTCATATCTGGTGAGATGGAATGCGAGTCAAGTATCTGGCCCTCATTCGTCTGCAACAAGAGCGTGCGGGCACCTTGGAGAACACCAAGCTCACCATCTGTCAGGGCACCTGCCATGGCAGCCTCGACGCCAACCAATCTGACAGACAAATCATGCAGAAAGGGCCTGAAGAGTCCAATTGCACCACTTCCACTCCCAACAGCAGTGACGAGGGCATCAGGCTTACAGCCAACCTCCTGCATCTGGGCCGCGACCTCCTCGCCTAGGAGGCCTTGGAACGTGCGAGCCAGGGTCGGCAGCGGACTGGGACCCACAGGGCTACCCATGAGGTAGTATGCAGACTGATAGTTGCAAACCGAATAGCGCAGGGCCTCGGTGATGGCAGCACGCAGGGAGCCCAAGCCAGAGGGGCGCTGGCGGTGATAATCTTAGCGCCGAGGAGCTCCATCTTTCGCACGTCGTCGAGTTGCGCATTAGCGTCATCGGCACCCATGACAATCACGCAGCTGAGACCCAGCCTCGCGCACATTGCAGCGGTAAAAGTGCCATGTTTGGCAGAGGCGCAATCAGTAACGACCTCGGAGCGGCCCATTCTTCGAGCCAGTAAGAGTTGCCCGACGATATTGCGGGCCTTGTGTGTTCCGTATTCATTTTGATCTTCACGCTTGAGCCAGATTGTTGCACCGCCGGCCAGACTGGTCAACTTGCTAGCCATGTGCAGTTGGGTGCGCCGGGAACCCTGGAACGTGGCATACTCGAGCCAGAAGGAGGGATCTGAGACAGTGGCCTCGAAGAATGAGGTCAGCTCGTATAAGAAACCCATGATAGATTCTGGGGCATACCGGCCCCCGTAGGAGCCGTAGCCGTCGAATGAAACCTGTGGGGCTTTCAGGGTTCCATCTGCTTGCAGGATTGAAATATACGGTGTGATCAAGTGAGTGGCGGTGGACTTGGCGAATGTCTTGGGCAGGGGGGTATCAGAGGCAATTGAAACTGTTGTTGCTTCTGTTTCTTCGTCTGATGCGTCCGAGGAGTCTGTGTGTGTGCTGATATTGCAGGACGGGGGTATCGAAGCCCTGGGTTGTATAGTGGTATGTGTTTGTATAGAGGGGCTAGCAATGCGTGACTGAAACCTCGCCGGTGCTTCAATCATACGAATGACATTATGTATATCTGAAGCATCGGTGGGCTCGCATGGCTTAGAAGAAAAGCAAACAAGACGGCGCAGAGATCGAAGCATGATGCCCCACGGTATAGATCGAAGCAATTGGTTCAAGACAAGATAAATATGGAATCAAGGTTCAGGAATAAGAGATAGAATGTTTGATCGGAGGTGATTCTATAGAAGCCATGCATCTATGAGCATAGAAATCGAAGTAGAGGACAAACATGGGATGGGGATGCATTAAATATAGCGTGAGCGCCTGTACTGTATCTCTGGGTCGTCAGGCTCTCTGGAAGCTCGGATCTTCTCCCTGCAATACTTTTGGGGCTGTGATTACTCTTGCCTAGATTGGGGATTTTCCTTGGTTGTTGGTCTATATGGCTCCGATTTCTTCCAGGCTTTCCATGTTTCACTATCCACTAGTAATCCTTCCTCTGATATTATGATTGATCTTCTTGGCTATATGATCAATCGTCTTTTTACAATATATGCCCAACGCCGCACTATACTCGATACGGCTCTCATATTCCAAATTTCCAGATTCTGGAAGCACCGGTGTGTTCGATTTCTGGTTCCGAGGAACAACCTAGATTCCACTGATCGATCTGGGTTCCGGTTACCGATGTGCTGGGTGGGACTTGATGATGCTGGTCTCATGGTGAAGACCATTGAATAATGCTGTCTTACAATCACTTTGTTTGCTAAATTGACATGCACGAACATCGTCAGACATGAACGCCGATCCTATCCAGGAACCGAGGGACATATGCTGTGTCACTCTTCCATGAACCCAACTCTTGGTACTCTCTCTTCACCGTTATGCGAACGCCTCTTTGTCTTCCTTGAAGACTGCAGGTCGATCACTTTGAAATGTTCCGTTCACTAGTCTGCCATTGAGCGCTTTCGGTCTCGGAATCCCACGTAGATCTACTTTGGTCATCTTTCTGAATCAACATCTAGCTCAAAGATTTTTTTTAAATCCCAGAGATTCTTCAATGTTACCTCGCAAGTCTTTTAGCCAGCATTATCCATTGTTCAAAACAGGTGGTTCTTTTCATTTTCAAGACGTGGCTTATCATGTGATGCTATTAGGCTTTCTAACAATAATTCCTATTAATTTGGTTCCTGTATGTCTCACTCAGAAGGAAGCGCCACATAGAACTATATGCTGTTGCTCGTATCCGGTGAGAAGTTCTTTAAGGCTAGATCGAGGTTGGAATGGATTTACAGGTGGATCGTCAGAGATCCAAGGATCAATAGCTACCTTCCTTGTCGGGTTATGTTTTTTGACTTTAATTCAGAGTGAGGCTGTTCATACGAGTCTTATTCATCGGTGAAGATGATGTGATCCATACGTTCCACTCGGAGAGGGTGTTCATGTATACTGTACTGTACAGTCGACGCCACGTGTGTCAATCTGACACTTCGTACCGGGTATGAGGTAAGATCTTCAACTAAGGCAGACGTAGATCCACAAACTATCGCGGACCGCTGGGCCGGGTCGTGTTGTCTTCCAAAAGATGACACCCTCGATTTCGGGTTTAGGGCGTACGGTGTCATGTGACCCGCAATGGTACTTATGTCGGTCCCACCCTCAGCTTGTGGAGTTGATCAGGCTGGGACTATTTAATCCGGTGACTTTTCAAGGCGCAAAGGTCCACATATTCTGGAAGTGATACATCGCTGAAGGGTTGTAGACGGATCTTCAGCTCCGGGGAGCCGGGATATAGTTCCCACTAGCGGACAATATTCTAGAAACACTCTATTGTAACCGGTGCCCAACCCAATATTACAGCAGCAGCAAAAGCTGATAGTACAGTACGCAAGCCAATCCACTCGGCTTGTCAGAGATCCCAATTCGGCAAGAGCAAAGACCAAGCTCGCTGAGTGCGAGTATCCGATATATCGATTGCCAAGCTACGCCCAAACAAGACCAAACAACACCCAAACACAAGCAGAGTTCGAAACAAGACCTATCGCAAGCAAGCACCCACAAGTCCAAGTGAAACAGAAGAGATTACAGTACAAAGCAAACCCGTCGAAGATCCTGCTTCATTTCCCCAATTATAAATAAGAACAGGCCCATCCCCAACCCAACCTCCACACAAAGTTATCTAAGCTCAACACGAAGATGTCATTCCCGCGCACAAAGCCAGGAACCAGCCACTCAGAAGTCTATCGGCAGGGATAGGTGAGACGATCGAGAAATTCATTGCTTGATTAGGGAATGCCCAGACGACGATGCAATTCTAGTGCGGGGGAGAAAGCTTGGCTTAGGCGGGGTCGGGGATGGACTTTTCTCGAAGGCTGAAAAATGAGTCTAGATCTGCGATCTGGGGGGATCTAGAGCATCTAGAGCGAGGGCTGATTAGGCTTTACTCTATATTGGCATGCGGAAACGGGACTGCCGGAAGTGTATCACATGTACTGTATATCGTGCAGGTCTATCGCATTCTTCTATATCTAGCGACCTTCTATTTTCAAGACATTGTAGACGGAAATAATGGAAACCATGGGAAAGCGGAAGATCAGATCAAAGATGGATCAAGCCAAAATCAGAATTAACCTGAGAAACGGGTATACGCTCATATGCAAATGCATGACAGGAAAGGGAGTCACGACCGGGGTGAATCCTCGCTCTCCGCGAGGGGACAAGTGGCCGGGGGGATGAAAGTGAGACAGCGTGCCGATACGCTGTCCCGGATAGTCGGGATTGTATCCGACCGTGATCCTTGGGGATCAAAGGTATGGAAAAGGGATGTTTAAAAGGGGACATCGAGTCGGAAGAAAGGGATTAAAAGAGGACAATCTCCAGGACGGCAGAAAGTAGGGTTATACAGAAAAGGGAGGTGTGTCTATACCGTGTAGTATAGAAACACCAGCCTATGCGCAGACCTGGACGGCGATCAAGGCGCGGGTGAGGTCCTCGGGGGCGAATGGAAGTTTCTGCATTCGGGGCGACATGATGCACGGGGAGAGAGCGGGCGAGATGGCGCGGACGAGGGGGGATGTATAGCGGATGGATTCCTTCTGGGCTTTGGGATCCTTGAGATCCTCAGGGATCTCGTAGATGGAATTCTCGTTGAGGAGAGTCATCATTGAGCCGCTATAACTGGAAGGGTTGAGAATCGTCGAGGACTGGGAGCCTGAGTCGATCGCACGGGGCGACGATTCCGGGGCATCGGAGTCGGAGGCTAAGCAGACTGTTAGACGGGGGATAGGTGCGAACGGGTGGGAATGCGTACCTGACGGATCCTCGTGGGGATCGCCATTGCCGGACTCCTCGAGGAGCACATCGGGAGCCGGGCAATCAGTGGCCCAGGGCGACAGGGAGACCTCCTGTGGACGAGGACGGTCGGCTGTGGCGGTGTCAAAGGACCAGGCCGCTAACCGTTTCTGGTGTTCGCGATCGAAGGGCCCGCGAAACTTGGAGGGCGGACATTCGTGGCGTCGATAGTATTCCACCTTGGGTTTCCCATCGGGTTTGGAGCGGAACACCCGCTTGACCTTCTCACGGAAGTTCATATTGAAATGTGACAGGTCCAAAAAATAAAGAGCAAATCAAATTTCTATTCAATAAGAGAATTCAAAGAAATCAATGCGGGTTCCTGGATGGTCTCTCTCTCTCAAGGCATACCAATCCCAGAGTGGGAACGGACGCGGGTGTGCAAGCACGAAGTGGTGGAAGAGAACAGGAACTGTCTGACCATGCTTTGCCCTGACAAGTATAAGGAAGAAGACAAGAGTAGAGAACGAGAGGAAATGAAGACGGTATAGAGGGGAAAAACAGGATTATATGGGGTGGAGGGGGCCGATAAGCCCCCCAGAGCGTCTCCGGTCCATATCCGGTGAAGACATTGGGGCAAATACGACTCCAGATATACTGGGGAGTCTATTGGCTCTGGGACATCTACGGTACACATGGAACATACACTGTACTGTAGCATTGGCATTGGTGCACTGGTGCATGTATACATAGGTCTAGTATCTACCTATCCTTTTCTTGCTATCAGCTGTTCTGAGGAGAATTTCTCCAGACAGCCAGACCCAGGGAACCGAGCGAGGAACACGGATGGGACGGAGGCCAGTACATGTACGGTAAAAGTACGAGTACGATGAGACACACGGTGCCTCATCCTATTCCCACCGACACCAAACACTCTGTGTACCGAGTATGGAGTCCTACATCATACTGGAGCCCATTGTGTTGGGATGATCATCCTCACACAGTCAGTGGCGCACTGCAGCAGAAGTCTTCCAGAAACCACCGGTCAGCCTCAGAGTTACATCATGAAAAGAGTAATAAAAACACGGGCCAAGATAGCCGGAGTGGACGGCGAAATCTTGTTGGATCGTAGGAAGAAACCGGGAACGGAGTGGACGCGCGACCCAGTGGGGGGCAAAACTCGGCACGTTTGTGCCGGGTGGGGGTGGCAGTAGGCTTATATAACACTTGGGGGTAGCTTTCTTCAACAAGTAGGCCGGCTGGCCCAATGGCAAGGCGCTTGACTACGAATCAAGAGATTGCAGGTTCGACCCCTGCGTCGGTCAATTCTTTTTTGTTTGTATATTGTATACCACCTACATACTACACAGGGCAGAGTATCTATTTTTTTTTTTTTTTTTTCTTTCTTTCTTTCTTTCTTTCTATCTTTCTATCTTTCTATCACACTACATTTGTACATATTCCAAAACATAGACCAATTCCTGTCAAAAACTATGCTCGCAATTGAGCTATTTTTATTCCATTCGGCTGATTAATAAAGCCCACACTGTGCACAGCCTGGCTGGAGCCAAGGTCGGAAGTCCACAAGTGGGCAACAGGTGAATGATGTAACCGGCTGTTTGTATACCCCCCGCCACGAGAAAGAATGTTAGAAAGTCAGTGGAATAGTGTCGAGTCTGCATTTGTAGAGTCTTCCCCCAGATCAGTATCCCCCCTGAAGGCTCAGTAAAGACCCCCCTGGAGACTCCCTGAAGGCGTGCAGGAACAGCCCTATTTACCCGATTCAGCGTTAGGGCTGGCCAATGCTCTGCAGGCACACGACATACTTCCGCGCGCAGTCAAAGAATGTATGCAAGGCACTGAAGTTAGCAGAGAGCCAGTCGCGATAGTCCAGAACCAGGCACAGATTATAGACTCCCCCCTACCCTAAATCCCTAGAATTCAACTACTGCGAATCCGTAATTGTGTAAACTGCTATTATTAAGACGTTCCAGAGCGAAACACAACCGCGGAACCTGACATACCGGATCGTCATCCCTTCCCTTCTCGCATACTTGTAAGTTGACACCTTCCACTCCCTGCGAATTGCTTCTACAAGTTCGCTTCAATCGCACTTTGTCCTAATTCAACGACAGACACTTCTATTATCAAATCATGGCTAAGAAAGGCGGCAAGAAGGGCAAGAAGGGCGGCAACAAGCCCGCCGCTGTCGCTGCTGCGGCCGTCGACAAGGTCGCCGACACTGCGAAAAGCATCGTGTAAGTCGAAAAAAAAAATTCGGCGCATGCGTGCCATATCATCAACTGTGCTGACTCGTTACAGCCACCCCCATGAAGATGTGGAGGACAAGGCGCACACTGAATCCCAGCCCGAGACCGCAACTGAGACTTCCGAGACTGCAACCAAGCCCACCGAGACCGTAGAGTCCAAGGCTGAGGAGACCAAGGCCGAGGAAACCCCAGCTGTCGCCGAGACTCCCGCCACAGATGCTGAGGAGGCTGTGGCCCCCAAGGCCCCCGTCGCGGAAAAGGACACAGTCGACGAGGCTGTAGAGAAGGCGCAAGCCTCCAAGGCCGGTCAGCTCGGCGAATTGGACACTGGCGACGCTGCCGGTAGTGGTACGAAATCCTGTGAATCAATTGTCAATTAAAAATCAACTAACACAGAATTTTGCAGCCATCATCCCCGAAAAGACCATTCAGGAGTCGACCATCGTCCCCGAGACCGTCGAGGAGCCCGCTCCATCCACCGCGACCGGCGTGGCCACACTCGCCGAGCGCCCCAAGACTTCGGAATCGACCGCTGCCGTCCCTGCGCCTGAGCCGGTCCCCAACCCCGAGGTTGCTCCTGCGACCGCTGAGGCCGAGACCGAGGCCACTCACAAGCGCCCATATGATCAGCCCATCTTCAACAATGAAGAGAGCTTGAAGCCCCACAAGATGCCCAAGACCGATGAGGAGCAGCTCGCAGCTAGCGCCGCCAAGGACAAGGAGACCATTGAGAACCTGGCCGGTGCCGGCCCTGCGTCGACTGCTGCGTTGACCACGCCTGAGCCTGTGCCTGCCAAGGTCGAGGCCCCCAAGGAAGAGGTCCTCAAGGAGACCCCCCAGGTGGAGGCCAAGAAGCCCGAGCCTCTCAAGACCACCGCTTCCTCCGGTGGTGCCAAGCCTTCCTCTCCCATCGCGGTCGCTGGCGCCGCTGCGGCCATGTCCGCCAGCAAGAACAAGTCTGCTGCCCCAGCCGCTAAGGAGCCCGAGCTCCAGAAGCCCGAGGCAGCCCTGAAGCGCGGCGAGGAGCCCCAGCCTGTGGCCGAGGCCCCCAAGACCGAAGCCCCCAAGGCCGACACCGAGGCCCCCAAGACTGAGACCAAGCCCGAGACCAAGGAGCCTGCTCAGGAAGAGGCCAAGGACGAGACCAAGGCCTCGGAGCCATCAGAGGGCGAGAAGGAGAAGAAGAAGGAGAAGGGCGGATTCCTCTCCTGGTTGAAGCGCAAGTTCAAATAAAGTAATCGCTATGGGAAAACGAGAAAATGAGAGAAGAAAGCGGAGAGAAAGGCAGCTGTACGATATGCGTGTACACGCTATTTTAGTGGGTTGGAGACAGCTGGACAGCTGAGGCTTTTGTTTTTTTTTGTTTTGTTGCTTTTTTACTTCCTTTCGGGGATTTTGATGATACACCAGTTGAAATTATATATCAGATACAGAATCATAGTGCTTAACTTATTGCTTTTCTCCCAACATTCCCACCTATGTATGTGTCTCTTGGTGAGGCCTGAGCTATTACACCGCTATTCCAGTGTCAATGCGCCAGAGCTTCGAGTGTACGGAGTCCTGCAGGAGACACTAGAGTCGAGTGGAGTGGGTTTGGTGTGTTGGCTGTCTCCATTTCTCTCGAACAGGGAACAGAATGACGTGCAACGGGCGATATGTTGGCTACGCAAGCTATCGCCACTTGGGTAATGATGTGAGTGGACTACAGTTATTCTTAGTACTGTATCATTGATCCAAAACGATTGTGCTGGACTATTATGAAGATTTTACCAAAACTCTCTGCTTGTTGCGCTACAATATATAAAAACACAACCCTGAAACCCAACCGAATGTACAGCTTCAACCAAAAATCTCGAGAGAAACACCCAATCAGCATGCTTGGATCTACAAATAGCAACAGAATCCATATTACTAAACTGTACTATTCTAGTCATTTGCATTCCCTCAATCATGTTAGATATGACAACTTATCGAGAAAAGAAAAAGACGACTGCCGTAGTTAGATCTTGACTGCAAAAACCACCGTGACCAACATCTGACACGAAGCTAGCGGAGTTTGTATTCCGCTGCGCTAAGTATGAGATCGAGAGGGGCAAGCGTCTCTTCTATCTCATCTCCATCTCCATCTCCATCCCATCATGACTCAAGTCCGCGTTGCAGTAACCCAAGCCGAGCCAATTTGGCTGGATCTCGACGCAACAATCGAAAAGACATGCAAACTCATCGCAGAAGCAGCCGATAATGGCGCGCAGATTGTAACATTCCCTGAATGCTGGGTACCAGGTTATCCAGCATGGATCTGGTAGCAAGACCCCCAAATCGATCCTCACTCGGTTTCCAGATCCAAACATCCAACACTAACCCGACATGAGTTCAAGGTCTCGCCCAATCGACCCAGCCCGAACGACCCGCTACATCCAAAACTCTCTGCAGCCCAGCTCCCCCCAAATGAAAAAGATCCAAGACTGCGCCGCAGCGTCAAAGATAGTCGTGGTCCTCGGCTTCTCAGAGAATATCAACAACTCACTCTACATCGCCCAAGCGATCATCGACGCAGGCGGCGAGATCCGGCTAACCCGCAAGAAAATCAAAGCAACGCGCATGGAGCGGACCATCTTCGGCGATTTCTTCGGCGACTGTCTGGATAGCGTGACGGACACAGCTGCCGGCCGTGTCGGAGCACTGTCTTGCTGGGAACATATCCAGCCATTACTGAAGTATCACACGTATGCGCAGCGAGAGCAGATCCACGTTGCTGCTTGGCCGCCGCTATTTGAGGATGAGGGAGAGGGATTGTATTCCATGTCGCGAAACGGTACGATATTTGGTTGAAGCGCAGATTGTTTGGAGCGTCGATTGGATGACTTGGCTTGAGGTGACGGTGTCAAGGCTAACAAGGTCCTGTAGGCACGACAGCGATTGCGCAGACATACGCGATAGAATCTCAATCGTTTGTGTTGCATACGACGGCCGTCATCAGCCAAGCTGGGATTGACCTGATGAACACGCAAGGAGGAGCGATCATGAATAAACCCGGAGGAGGCTGCTCGGCTGTTTTTGGACCGGATGGTCGGAAATTGACCGTGGATCATCCTGAAGACGAGGAGACGATCCTGTATGCCACATTGAACTTGGAGGATATACTCAGATCAAAGGCATTCGTGGATGTATGTGGTCACTACAGCCGGCCGGATTTGTTGTGGCTGGGAACTGAGAATGAGGTTAAGATGCATGTGAGACCAAAGACTCGTCAGTAGAGTAGGAATGTAGTAGTTGGATCAAATCATCAATTCATGCAAACTAGCGTGTAAGTATCTTGGGCGTTCGTGTCAATGTAATTCTCATGTCCCAAATCCAGTTTCGTGCTAAACAGTTGTGACCATGCCCTAACGCCATATCCCATAATACATAGTGTGACATTTATTCTCTGCAATTCAGAATACGTGCAAGCCACGTCTATTTTGCGTGGTTGATCATCTCTGCGTAAAGATCTTCTGGGATTTTCCGGACAATTAGAACCGTCAATGCAATGATTTCCTTTGCATCGAGAGGAGGGAATGATCGGAGAATCTTGTTTGGACTGAACAGAGTTAGCGTATGTCATTTCTTCCAAAGAACATTAGCAGACTCACCTCGGGCTTTCGAAGATCATATCTCGCATCCGTATCAGCTGGGCAACAATGCACAGAATGTTGAGGTGCGGTCCATATGCAAACAGGAAGTCCCACAGATGCAAGACCTCTGGCAGTGGCGGTGTACAAGCACAGAGAGTAAGTACAGAGGGGAAAGCGTAGAGCTCGGCGTGCATGCCTTTGGAAAAGAGATATGCCGCAAGTTTTGGCTCCACGATCTCAAGACATCGATCGACCAAGCGAAGTCCCCTGTGCACGCCATCCATAGCACCACGAATATACCCCGGGCATTCCCGAGTCACGAAGTAATGGAACAGAGCAAACGCCTCAACCTCACTGCGAGCCGCATAGAGGAAAGGCGCGCATAGCACGTTCATACCTTGAACGTAGATTGCCGAATCACTCATAGCACCACTATTGATTCTCTCCAGCTCCCCACCGAATGCAGATTCCTCAGCAATGCTGGGAGGGGTGTTGACAATGAGCTCCATCTCGCGCCGCCGAGAGGAGGTCGGACGAGACCGGGATTTCGGCTTGGAGTCGTGAAGTTTCCATGCGACGGCGTTGAGCAATCGGATCAAACTTGCTTCCGTAACACGGCGTTTGAAAAGAGGATCCGTAGCTAAGGTTCGGAATGTGTCGTTACGGATTTTGGCATAAGCGGGGGACCGGCCGCGGTGGATGAGCGCGAGGTAGTCGTCCGTGGGCATTGGCTGGACGTTCAGGAGGATCAACCATAGGTAAATTCGGTATGGGGACTGTAAGAGTATATAGTCAGAATAGTGATTGCAAGGCGCAAGCTAAGTATGAACACTCACCATGCCATCTCCATCAGCGTCCACTCTGCTGGACAGCACGAGATATTTCAGCTCCTGAAGCCCCTCACGGGCATCTCCATTCGGGGGGCCATCGCGCAAGAAATTCTCCAACAGCGATCGCTTGAGTCCGATCCCCGATCCTGTTTTCCGAGCAGGTCGTCTGTGTGTTGCTGTGGGTGGTGCAGCCATAGCTTCGCGATTGGCCGCGTCGCTGTTCGATCGTGCTCGACGGTGCGCCCGCGCTCGTGTTGCAGCGCCGGGGAATCCAGCGTTTTCGCTGTCTGTAGCATAGGATTCAGAAGCCCGTGAGGCTTGGGTTTGGGCGATGAGCGCGCTGGAGGTTGACAGTACTTGGTGAGACTGGATCTTTCGCAGTGTTCGCATAGTTCGTGGGGAGGCGGGTATCTCGGGGGCGAGACCCCAGGAGGGTTGAGGTTTAGCCATTTTTTATGATCGAGTCTGCATCGAAAAGCCACCGGACATCTTCGAGAGAAGACGAGAGGCAGAGGTGGAGTGTATCAAATCGTGGCTGGAGTTTGTTTTCTGCCGTGGAAACGCGGAACGGGTCCAACGCCGAAGTATAGAACTTAACTTGACTTATAAACAAAGTGTTTCATTCGCATTCACATCGCTTGGCTACACACTGAAAGGGTTTGGAAATATAGAATGGATTCGTCATAGCAAGGTGTGTTACTCTGCAGTTGCTCAATTATGAAAGACGGCCCCCCAACGCCAACATAACCCAATATCTTGATACAAATAGCTCAGGCTTGAGCTGGGTTTCCTTCAGCATTTGCATTATTCCCATTTTCTCCACCCATGACATTGCGGACAAAGTCATGATATTGGAAAACCTCGCTTCTCTTGCCCATTCCAGCTGACTTTGCTCCTCTGCCGAACGCTCGTCGCCCGGTGAACCCGCTAAAGACTTCATCGATTTGTCGCTCGGTCAAGCGCACTTCTCCGCCCTCGGGGGTAGTGTGTAGGAGAGCATCGCGCAATTCACCCACATCAATCTGTCCATTGTCATCGTCATCAAAGGCAGCGAGGGCGTTGAGAAGCTCCTGTGAGGGTGACATGGCTGCCATAAGCCCAGATAATGTGTTTAAAAAGGTCGGAAAGTTAATTGTCGGGCCTGATCCTGTTGGGAAGAAGCGCGAAACTGTAGACGAGGACGAGTCTTGACCTATTCCAAATACGAATTAATCACTGGCCTGAATTTGAAACGCCGATGTTTCACTTACCCAAAGTTGTAAGTACGTCAATCACATCGTCCTTGTTTACCAGTCCATCGTTGTCTCGGTCTAAAACCTGGAAAGCTTCTCTGATTTCCCTGACTTGGTGGGCTGGCAGCTTCGCAGCCGCGTCGCCAGCAAGGCCGGTATATCCAGGAGACCTGCCAGGAGATCTGATTCCCTGAATCGGCGACGAGGCACCTGGTGACTGCGCTCCTTTGGTCGGGGAGGGAGGAAGCTCTCTCTTAAAGTTGGGCTGGGGAATGGGCGCTTCGCTCTTGGGTGACGCCGATTCACGATCTGCGGCTGTGTAGGACTGGTTCAGCTTGCTAGGCGACACTATGGGTGTATAGCTGCGACTAGGTGAACTCCCTGGAGTTCCTATACGACCGGCGGAGGGCGGGGAATTCGGAGTCGACGGGCGCCGGAAGGGCGATGCCCTCGGCGACCCGAACGACAATGGCGATGGCTTGAAAGTGGGATTGTTGGCCTTTTCCATGTTAGTTTGAAGCTTCCACGCACTGCATGAACCCGACGTACCATGGTGAAAGTTGGTTGCTCGGCCAAACAATGACGCTCTGTTCGAGTAAACAATCGGCGGTATAGTCGGCCCGACGGCACGTGTTCACGAACTATAAGGCATCACATCGGCGCTTGAGGGCTAATTGGACCTGTCAAGTTTGTTCTCTCCAATAATATTAAGATGCTAACATCTAGGGATAAATGCTTCTGATCTCTCCGATCTGTTCGATCTCTTGAAGACGCTCCAGGCTGTTATCAGCTATCGTCCCCGCTGTGGAGATCGTCCTTTTTCTCAACCCCTGAACCATTCACTAAAGTGATTGGCACCTGGGTAGCATTGACACTCCGCGACTTGTGCTTCTCCAAGTCCCAGATCTTGGCACTCGGTATGCCATTCGACTTTACTCTCGCCGGAGCAACCGTCTCAATCACCTCCGAAGATGGCCACAACACTACCATATCGTCCGTCCAACGACTCCCTCTCCGCCTCGAATAACCGCCAGACGAGTGGCCTCCCTCGGTTATCTCCCGCCGCCTCCTTTATTGGCCGCTCGCCCAGCAGTTCTCATGGCTCTTATCGACGGACATCTACAGAAAATGCCGTGTCGAGTTACAGGCCACGCCGGTGCAAGGCACAGTACCCCCTCGACTCGCCCGAGCGCCATGTGGAATACATTTTGGTAGCCTCGTTTCACATTGATCGGGGCCCAATCATGGAACATCAGTACCCCGCGGCAATCAGTGGCGACGAGAGCATGCTTGCGGAGCTGATGCTGCCGGATCAAACACATGTGAGAAGTCAAGATTGGACTATATTCTTCTTGCACAAGGATACAAGCGGCGACGATGATGAGGAACCCGGGAGCGGAAAGAAGAAAAAGCGCAAGTCGAAATACCGGGGAAACGAGGAGGGGGCCGATCTCCAGGATGAGAATTCCGACGAAGCCTCCGATGACCCGGATAGTAGCGACGACGAGGGTGGTGAAGGACCACCCTTGATGTATGTGCTGAATCTGGTCAACACAAAGCAGGATAACACTGTGCGACGGTATGTCTGTCAATATTCTGCCTGATGTGCAAGTCTAACGGGAATTAGAGGTGCTGTTGTCAAGGCTATGGCAATTTGTACGCGGCATTCATTCCTCCATATTTACAAAGTTAGTATCATATATCTCCGTCTCGCCGACAATTCTAACTGCTATAGCCTTTGCTCCTTTTGGCTCTGGAGGATTACTTCAAGTCGCCCTTTCCCGAAACACTAGCATCTCTTTACGACGCCGTCAACAATATGGACCTTTCCTTGATGCCGAAAATGTCCCTACTGGAGCGCAACATTCTGCAATCCAGCAACACGAAAGAAATGTTTTTGGAGAAATTCGAGCAAATGATCCGCCAACGAGAGGAGGAAGAAAATCAAGATGGAGAGTGTCCACCGTCGCCTAAGAAAATGAGTCGATACGTCTTACCGCGGGACACACATGAGTACGAGTCAAAGGTTGTCTACAATGATATTCCTATCCCGGTCAAAATTCCGACTGTGATCTGGCCAGAGACTGTGGGAGACTTCTCTCTCATCAAACTCATTCAGACTTTTGCCGCTCCTCATGCTACATCTCCTCAGGCTTTCCCGGCCCATCCTCATCTTACAACAAGTGGGCCGTTTACACACCCCATCATTGTTCTGGTGAATGCAATTCTCACGCAGAAGCGTGTTATATTCTTGGGACATAACCGACCCTCTGGAGAAGTGGCCGAGGCAGTTTTGGCTGCGTGTGCTCTCGCGTCCGGTGGCATCCTTCGTGGATTCACCCGACATGCATTCCCCTATACGGATCTGACTAAAATTGATGATCTCCTCAAGGTACCTGGTTTCATTGCAGGAGTTACAAACCCGACGTTTGCCAATCACCCTGAATGGTGGGATGTGATGTGCGATCTACCCACCGGCCGCATGAAGATTTCGACTCACGTCGAGCCTGCACCGGTAACAGAGGGACTTTTATTCTTCCAACAGCAGAATTCTCTTCTGCCAAACCATGCATCCAACACGACCTCGGATCCCACAGGCGACACTCTGTTTATGGAGGATATCCTGCGCAGTATCACCCAGCGACATGGCGAGAATGCAATCCGAGCCAAATGGCGTGCATATATTACCAAATTCGTCCGGGTCGCTGCAGCATTCGAAGAGGCAGTGTACGGAGCATCCAACCTATACATCATCGGCCCCGGCGAGGAGCTATCCCCGGATAGCCCAACAGGCCAACAAACCGATGTAAACGACCCAACCTCTCTCCGCGGCCACGGCTACGTCTGGGCCGATGAGAACGCAAAACAGCGCGAGCTCTCAGCCTCGGTCTCTCGAATCGAAGGCTGGCGCAATACCCGTTCCTACTACTCCTACATCCAAGACATTGCCGCAATGTACTATCCCGCGCGCCCAATCCAACGACCAGACATCCACCACCACCACGACCGCCTCCGAGCCCTAAAGCTCTCCCACTCCGAGGCAGCATCCGTCTACCTAGCCCTATCGCACTCAGTCAAAGACTACGCAGGGATCTGCCAACTTCTTTACGTCGCTCCAGAAAACCAAGCCGGACTTTTCTACGTGAGCATGGGCCTGTTTCATCCCGACCAAGTAGTTCGCGAAGCCACAGTGGATCTCCTTGACCGAATCGCCGTCCACCCCGCGGGTCGTCACTTCTGGACTCACGTCGGCCGATTCGCCAAGTTGGGTTATATCCGCGTAAAACGGGAGCGCGACGCCGCCACACAAAGCCCCATCTCAGGCGCGGCATCGCCTTCCTTACCGATGAGTTCAAGTTCTGGAGCTAGCTTCGGCAACGAGCCGCAGAGTCTTGTTGGTGTTGCGATGGGAGATGGGTCTTCTAGGAGGAGCTGATCCAGGTGTCTGTTGCTATTTTATTACATTCTCGTGAGCGTTTTTCTGTTTCCCCTGCCAGATTTTCATTTCCATACATGTGACGACTATGAAAAGTGTCTATGCCCATCCATGATTTAGCTGCGACTCTGTCTATATCTTCTTCCATTGATTGTGGATAAACCAGTGTTATTGGCGTTTGAGGAATCCATTGTTGATCATTTTTTCCTCATCAGGGGTTGTTTCAGTTTCTAAATATAACCAACAACTTAGCTTTGAACTATGGAACTTCCAACAAAGACCGAACGGATGCAAGAAGTTGAAGAAAATAAAATTCATATAGACAATATCACTAAAAATTACATACAATAAGAGTCGGATACTAGAAAGCAAAAAACACACGCTCTTCGCTGTCATAACCCGTGACTGTCCTCATACAGACTCCAAAAACAAAAAAAGGAGAGGCAACGTCTATAGACAAAAGCAACAAAAAACAAGATATAAACCATCAAACCATATTAGTCAAAATGGCAAGTCCAAATCCAATCACGGCTATAGACCAAAGACCTGGTAGCGAAGCAGTAGAACCAGCACCGGATATAACATTCGAACCAACAGTAACATTGGTACTGGCAAATCCAGAGCCACAATGAGAGTTGATAATCCTCGCAGAAGGAAGGTAAGTAGTATCAAGCGACTGACCATTTTTCTTCGCCCAAATAGCAAAGACATCCATGGTCGCCTGCAAACACTGACTGCAAGTGGGTTCTGCACCGACACTCAACGCACTCCCAATGGGCATAAAGTAAACATTATAATCATCGGGCGCGGACGAATTCGTCGCAGCATCCACAAAACAGTAATCCTGTGTCGACGGGCTAGTTAAACAAGTAGCACGGTACATAGGCTCATAAGCAACCAAGTCTTTGTAGGTGCCCGTCACGACCGAATTTCCATTGCCATAGTCCTCCGCGCAATTATCGCTGCTGAGAAGGTCGGCCGCGAGGGAGGTCATGATTGCAGAGCATTGGGATACATCCTGGGAGCAGGAAGCATCGAGAACGCGGGATGTAGCGGCGGCTGAGGTCAAGGTGTGGAAGAAGGAATTGGAGTTTGCGAGGAGGAGGGAGACGGCGTGACAGTCAGTGATTGTGGAGTTTGCACGCCACTTCTTGTAGAAGTTTATGCAGCTGGTTGAGTTGGCGAAGTCATAGGAGAGGGTATCATATGGTGTTGGGAGTTCTGACGAGGAGGATGTTGATGCTGTGAGAATACGCCGCTGCAGGGCTTTCTCGTGCACTGAATGTTCTCTTGATAGGAATGATCGCTGTCGATCGGCGATCTCTCCACTCTGTTCCCAGGCCGATCGCGCAACTGCATCAGATTGATCTGATGCCTCCACTGCTCGTGCAAATGCCGCAATTGACGACATGCAGAGGACTATTAGAATTAAAGTGGTATAAAGAGATCGTGCCATTTTGATGCTTGGTTGGCTTGGCCAGTATTGGCGAGAGGTTCTTCTGATTCTCGGGAATGACAGACAAGGTCATGGGTTATAAAGAATGAGATTTGCTTTGAGCAAGACGCGATTGAAGTTTGGTTGAACGAATGACGGTGCACTAGGCGTAATAAAGATAAAGAATTAGGATTATGAAGCCGGTTTCGACATGGCGCCGTTCCAACACGACCCTGAAAGAGATGTCAAGACGTCGAAGTCAAGACGAGATGGGGTAGAGGACCCAGTAATATAATAAAGGTTAAGGCGATTTTAGTCCGTACTTCAGCAAACTTAGCAATTGAAGCAGCCAAGGCCGAGAACCTGTCTGTGCCATGCGCTAACACCGGAACGAGGCAAGCTTTCGTCTGTTGGCCGAAACTAGACTGTTCTGTGGGACTTCGGCTCAGGGGCAACTGCATCATCCCGTTAATAGTGCTCCATAGACAAGTATAGTCCGGGTTGCATATTGTACTATTGCACGGCATTCGCGTTGGTCTGAACTGACAACGGCTTTGATGCCAACTTTGGGTTCCGACCTTGGGGTGCCGGAAGTACATTGGCGGTACAGCGCAACATCCCTGACCACAATGGTCAGCCTCAAAGGATTGGCGTCTTGGGGGATCATCCGGTCGAGACCAGTCGATACGATAGGCCTGAATCAGGCATTTTGTCGATCAGTCGGAATCTGTGTGACTCCATCTGAAACTGAAGGGACTGAAGGGGAGAGATGCTGCAGGTAAAATGAAGGCAAGGAGACTCTCGCACGAGTATGGTACACGTTCTGAACAGGGGTATAAAAAGTGATTCATCAATTGTTCTAATCCGTATAATATATCAAGGCTCAATTATCATAGTTATCACAGTATCAAGCACCATTGCATTGGAGGGGGAGATATGCGGTTGGATGTTTTGTGTTGGAGAAAGTGGGAAGAAAATCATCGACCGCCAATTAGGTAAGAGGTCGAACTCGCTGACTCCCCCCACAGATATCGGAGTCACGATATATCTAGACTGTAGCATCACTCTTTGCTATTCCCTTTGGTTCTCTCCCTTTTTGATATGGACGATTTATTGGTACCCGAAACCCGGGTTCTGGCTGTAGCTAGCCATGTAAGTTTTCCAAATTGCCTCCTTTCGGGCTCCGAAACTGATTCTCTAGGTGGTCTATGGGTATGCATCCCCAGTCCCTGATCCTGTTGATCCTGTTGATCATGTCTGCAAATGCCAGCTAACGGATCAGCCATGTCGGAAATACAATGGCAACATTTGTCATGCAATCACTCGGCTGTGAAGTGGCCGCCTTGAACACCGTTCATTTTAGTACGTTGCAGCCCGGCACTGTGTCCGAAGCCAGACTCACAGGAGATTGTAGGCAACCATACGGGCTATCGCCAATTCAAGGGGACTCGCGCCACCGCCCAGGAAATTTCAGACCTTTATCAGGGGTTGTGTCAGAGTAACCTCACAGACTTTGATGTCATGTTATCAGGCTATGCTCCGAGTGCCGCAGCAGTCGAATCGGTAGGCACCATTGGCATTGATCTACAGCAAAAGGCTGAAAAGAAGCCTGGCTCTTTCTTCTGGGGTGAGTGCTCCATCTGGCCTGTGCATGTCCAGCACAGACACTGATAGCGGGTCATAGTTTTGGACCCGGTGATGGGCGATCAGGGACGGTTATATGTCAACGATGACGTGGTCCCGGCATATAAAAAGATTGTTCCTTTTGCAGATTTGATCTTGCCAAACCAGTTTGAAGCCGAGTAAGTCTCTTTCAACTATGACTCATAGTGTCTAATGGTGTAGGGTCCTCTCCGGCATCAAAATCACCTCGCTCGCCACACTAGCAGAGGCTATCACGACCATTCACCGCATATATTCAGTCCCCCATGTCATTATCACTTCTGTTCAGCTCTTCAAGCTCTCTCAGTCTGGCTCCACCCCACCCCCGCCAGAGAACTTCTTGACGGTAATTGGCTCAACGACAAGATCAGACGGGTCCCCCCGTCTGTTCCGCGTCGATGTTCCTGCTCTCGACTGCTTCTTCAGCGGAACTGGCGACATGTTCGCCGCTCTGACAGTTGCTCGACTCAGCGAAGCCGTCTCCGCTGCCGGCAATAACCTCCGCACTACCAAGTCGTGGGTATCACCAGACAGCGTTGCAGCAACTGATCTCCCACTCGCGAAAGCAACCATTAAAGTTCTCTCAAGTATGCACAGCGTGCTGGAGCGAACCATGGAATCGCGCAACGCCGAACTGGCCATAGCAGTTCCCGCCCAAAACGGCGATCTGACCAGCGAGGAGCAAGCGAAACGGGACTATTTACGTCAAACCAAAGCCGCCGAAGTCCGACTGGTCCGGAATACGCGAGTCCTTCGTGATCCCAAGATCCTGTTCAAGGTACAGGACTGGCGGAAGGAGGACCTTCCCACGCATTTGCAGTAGAGCTGGTTTCTTGATCTCATGATATATACATATCGCATGCGACACGATTGGATGATAGAACAATATGGGAAGTTCTAGAGCATAGAAGTGGTTTCGGGCGGATTCATTCTTACAAACCCTTTCGGTGTGTACATAGATTCAGTTTTTATATCAAGCCATGAAAATTTTATCGTTGTAACGTCTCACACGTGTGTCAATCGTAAATAACCACCCAACCTTTCTATTTTTAATTAACTCATTTCCCTTGTTTTTCATCAATCAATGACATTGGATTAAATGCCAGTGCTGCCGAATCCACCAGCACCACGGACACTCTCCTCGAGCTCCTCGACGACGGCGACTTCAGGGGTATAGATCTAAACAGAAGTCAGAAAAAGCAGGCACGGTATGGATCAAAGGTAGACCTACACGCTCCAGAACCAGCTGGGCAACACGATCACCGACCTTGACTGCAGACACAAGACACATTAGCACACATTCCAAACCAGACAGCGACCAAGACCCAAGACGGAAGACATACCCGGGAAATCAACATCAGAGTGGTTGAACAGGAGCACTTTAACCTCACCCCGATAATCAGCATCAATGACACCAGCACCGGTATCAATGAAATGCTTAGCAGCAAGACCAGAGCGAGGAGCGATACGTCCATCTACCATCCAAGATATGAATTAGCAATCCGCCCAATGATACCAAGAATTCAATCTCGTTCCAATTGGGGGTGTGGGTGTAGGTGACATACAAGTGCCCTCGGGAACAGCAATAGCAATGCCAGTGTCAACAGCGCCCTTTCCCTTAGCAGGAATCACCGTTTCCTTGGCGCTGTAAATATCATATCCGGCAGCAAAAGCCGAGCCGCGCGTGGGAGCCTGAGCGGAGTCGACAAGCTTCTTCACCAACAGAGGGGGAAGAGGCTGGCTAATGGATGTCACGGCGGGGGCAGTCATGTTTGCGTTGGTCTCGGTCTTAGTACGTTTTGCGAGCGGGGAGTTTGGGAGCGAGGGAGGTTGACGGGCTTTGGAGACTTCGGCTGGTGGGGATGTCTCTTTGGTCATGGTATGTGGGAGGTGGAGGGAGAGAGAGAGAGAGAGATCGGAGCTAGAGGCAGAGCTCAAGTGGGCTCAAAAACTGAATTGCGGTGAGTCGCGTTTTCACCGCCGAGCTCTGGGACGCGCGCCGCGGCTGTTTGGACTGTTTGTTCCTGTCCCCGCTTCCGAGGGAATGCTGGGGCCGAGGTTCAGCTTGTCGGTTACTGGACGGACTACACTACTTGACTACTTGTACTTCAGTTCTGCTCGTATAGCTGATTTACATGCTTGATTTGATTCACTATGGCAGGAGCTGTGCGCCAACCTATAGATATCCCCTCGTTGGAGCGGTACATTGACCAGACTGTGCCAGAGCTCAAGACTCCACTTGATGTCAAACAGGTACGCACCAGGCTGCCATATTACGGTGAACATGGCTTGACTGACCACTTGCTAGTTCGGGTTCGGCCAATCTAACCCAACTTACCTCCTGACCACCGCCGATGGAAAGCAAGTTGTTCTGCGGAAGAAGCCTCCGGGCAAGCTGCTGTCCAAGACAGCTCATAAGGTGGAGCGAGAGTACAAGATCATTCGGGCATTAGGAGATACCGATGTTCCTGTTCCCAAGGCATACTGTCTCTGTGAAGACAATGCGGTCCTCGGAACCCCCTTTTACATCATGGAGTTCTTGGACGGGCGACACTTTACCGATCCGGCCATGCCTGGAGTGAGCGGAGAGGAGAGAAATGCACTGTATGTCATGAAACAAACCGAGGGAAAACACCGGAGAATACTTACCAAAGCAGATGGAAAAATGCAGTGCAAACGCTAGCGAAATTCCACCGTGTCATCCCCCAAACCGTCGGCCTCGAGACCTTTGGCAAACCTAGCGGCTTTTTCGACCGTCAGATCGCAACTTTCACCACAATCTCCAACGCGCAGGCCGCCGTTCGCGATGCCGACACCAACGAACCCGTCGGCGAACTCCCTCACTTTAAAGACATGGTAACCTTCTTCTCCAACAAGACGACCCAGCCTGCCGACCGAGGCACCCTCGTGCACGGCGACTACAAAATCGACAACATGATCTTCCACAAGACTGAACCCCGGGTAATCGGTATCCTCGACTGGGAAATGGCAACGGTCGGGCACCCACTGTCAGACTTCTGCAACCTAACCAGCCCCTACATCATGGAAGGCGCCGACTCCCAACTGGAACAATTTACGCCAGGTGTTCTGACCGGACTGCCGTCGCGCGCCGACTGTATTCGCTGGTACGCCGAGGTATCTGAGTATGATACTCGCGGTGATATCGCATGGGGAGACGCATTCTTTGCGTTCCGAGGCTCCGTGATCATGCAGGGCATTGCGGCCCGGTTTGCGGGGCGGCAGGCGAGTAGTGCGCGGGCAGGGGACTATGCCAAACGAGCGAAGCCCTTTGCACTGGGGGCTTGGGAGCGGGTTAAGCGGGTGAAGGGGGAGACAGGAGTGAAGGGGAAATTGTAATTCTTATTCCGTACTCTCTCTATCTTGTTCGCATACCCTTCCCCTCCACCCGACCGAGTCGAGTGACTTCAGAGTAGATAGTCACTAGCAAACGGAATTGAAGCCTAAGGGTAAAGTAAGCACTTAACCCCATTCGTTCATATGCAGAAGACATCACGACGTGGCGACCCTCGGGCCTTTATAGATGTCGCCCGTTATGATTGGTCCGTGAGGCTGCGGCTCTACGCGTTTGATTGAGGCTGAGGGGGGTTGAAGAACCCACTTTACCGTACCATACGGCTATTTTTACTCGGGGAGATGCGGCTGATAGGGGAGGGGGGTTGGGGGAGAGAGGGGGGGAAATCTAGTCACAATACACCGATGCGATGCATGTCCAGTTAGAGACAAATGCATGCTGCATGGATACCTGGCTAGCTGGATAGCAGGTGGCTAGCTCAGTGAGGCTGGACTGAAACGTGGATCTGCCAGCGTTGAGAGGGGGTGGTTGAGAGTACGTTACCTGAAACGAACGAAGCCGTCAGTCAGCCCCTTGTGGGGCCGGTTGTAGACTCCGGAGTAGCGGTGGGACGTGGAATAGCCCAACCGGGAGGGGGGGGGGGATAGTGAGGGTAGGGGAGGGGGATGATGAGGGTTAGGGTAATAGGGTAAATCGGGTGAGGGTTAGGGTGAGAGGGTAGGGTGAAAAGGTGAGAGGGTAAGAGGGCAAGAGGGCAAGAGAGTAAGAGAGTAGAAGAGAGGACGAGAGAAGATAAGTAAATGTGATGGCCATAAATTACCCGTACCATACCATACCAATGCGGCTCACTTCCCCCCAACTTGACTTTCTTCTCTTTTTCTTTTCCCTTTTCTCTTTTTTTCCCTTTCTTTTTTCCCTTTCGATTTTCTTTCATTTCTCGAGTTTATTTGCAGTCTCACGTGGAGCTCGGAGCCTCTGAGAGTCTTTAGCCTCCCTAATTTTGATATTAATTTGTGGTTGTGGTTTTTTTTGGTTTTGCTTTTTTTGCTTGAGCTCTCTTTCTTCTTCTCTGTCCTACATGGCGTCTTGACTTCGGATCACTTGAGCCTCACGGGACCCATCACTACCCGCTCTCACCTTTCCGGGTAGGTTCACTCTAGACCTTCTTCTCTCTTTCTCCCTCCTCTCTCTGCCTCTACCTCATACCTCAACCTCTACCTACCTCTACCTACCTCTACCTACCTCTACCTACCTCTCATCCTTCTCCCCCCCCCCCCACAACCCATTTACTCCTTTTCCTCTCGTATGATATGCCCCAACTTGTTTTGTTTCTGCCTCCGGATAATCCCCTGTCCGTAACCCCTCATCTCCCGCGACCTCTTAGCTCCCACGTTTCTTACCGATAGTCGGACTCGTCTTGCCCCGGTTGGGTTTCTAGATCATATCTCTAACCTCGATAGGCAATTCTGATGTGTCATCTCTGTTCCTAAATATAAAGTGCGGATGCACTTCATTGAATGACGTCCGATATGTATGACTCGGACGATGCCTACAAAAAGTCGCCAGGCTTAGAGGCGACCAAGGTCAACTATGGAGACAATCCATCACCACCACCTTTTCTTCCAACCGATCCCAAGGATGGCGCGACGGGTTCCCGTAAGCCCGCGCCAGAGACTCAGACTGCAACCAACGAGGGCGACCGAGTGCTGATGGGATTTCTAGCACCGAACCATCCTGAACTCGCCATTTCTGCTAGGGAATCTCCGCTGGATTCGGATCGCAAAAGTCAAAAGCAACCGATCGACTTTGATCCCAGGAAACTAAATCCTTTCACAAAGACCGAGAAGGAGGAGAAGCCGATCCTGCCACCCATTCCAAAAGAGGAATTGCGAGAACGCCTGCCCTCAATTAGTGAACGACCGCCGGAAGTGCCTTTTAGCAAAACACCGCCGGATATCAAGTCGCGACTACCATCCTTACAACCAATCCAGGCATCCCCAGCGTCTTGCGCAAACTCTCCCGAGAGCAGTCAGACTCTACCTTCCATTCGCGAAACGCTCAGCGCGTTGACGGACTTTGGACCACACCCGCCACACCCTTCACGTCCATTCTCGTCATGTCCGACATCAACAACATCAGGAAATGACTCACCTTATGATCGACCATTCCCTGCCAAGTTTCCGATTCCCCCGAGTCCGTACTCTCACTACTCGCCCGTGAGCATGAAAGACTCCTCTACCAACCCTTCTCCCGCCTCACATGGAGTCTTCTGGCGCGGTCCCCCAACAGAGGGGCTCACAGCTCCAACCCCGTATGAGGCTTCACCAATGTCAGCCACAAGCCCGACTAGTTACCCTACACCGATTGAACAGGTCGGGACAGGGATGAGTGACCATGTCTCACTTGCAGCCTCGACTCCACAGGCCAATGGGGGGCCGACGGGTAGTTACAAGTGCACTCATCCGGGGTGTACTGCGGCACCTTTCCAAACACAATATCTCCTCAAGTAAGAACATAGAGAATCCGCCAGAGCCCCCTCTAACGAGTACCAGCTCCCACGCCAATGTGCACTCCCAAGACCGACCCCATTTCTGCCCCGTAGAAGGATGTCCCCGCGCCCTCGGAGGTAAAGGCTTCAAACGCAAAAATGAAATGATGCGCCACGGCCTCGTCCACAACTCCCCGGGTTACGTGTGTCCTTTTTGTCCAGACCAACAACACAAGTACCCTCGACCCGACAATCTTCAACGGTTTGTGCTCCGAGCCTCAATCTGACGTCAGCCGAACTGATCTTTTGTTGCCTTTTACTAGACATGTCCGTGTACATCACGTCGATAAGAACAAAGACGATCCTATTCTGAGACAGGTTCTCGCTCAAAGGCCTATTGGCAGTGCCCGTGGCCGAAAGCGAAGGATGATTAATACCTAACATCCTTCTTTTCTTTCTATTCTATTCTTATTCTTTTTCTTTCTTGTTCCTATTGATCTCCGGTGAACCCTTTTACCTATCTCTGCACCTTTACCCCTCCTCGTGTACCCCGGTCCGAAGCTCAGTACGACCTAGCATGCAACCCTGGCGTTTTGTTTTACCTCTACCTCCATCATCACCATCACCACCATCGCACTCGCTATCTACTGAATCCTCCTTCTATATCCCTATTTACCTCTCCCTCTCCCTCTTCCTCTTCCTCTCCCTCTCTGTCTCTCACTACCTCGCTATCTCTCTCACTACCTCTCTATCCTCTATCAACATTATGCATGACGACCATCCAGCTCAGCCGTGATACCTTCTGCTGTTATCTTTACTTGATTAGTATCGTTATTTTCATCCTCATTGTCACCTTTGATCTTCCCTGTGATCTTCTGCAATGATACCACCCGCTGTCTACTGTTAGAAATTCATGGTGTTACATCGGCCATTCGTTTACCCCGAGTGTCGTGTCCGTTTACTATACTATCCCATCTTTGACCTCGCCCCCTACTAGTATCCTTACTTTTTACTTCTTTATCTATCTTGTCTGATGAATTGCATTGGGTTGCCTTTCTACCTTCGCTTTCTATTGTGACTTGGTTTTCAACATTTCCTAGAGAAGAAAAGAAGGATGAAAGAATTGAAGGGAGAGGACATGCTCGGAGGGGACATAACTTACTGATCGTTTCCGTGCATGACGTGTTTTTTTTTTTATATCTCAAGCCAAGTGGGCTGCGACACGTGGGAATACGAGGGATCTAAAGCGTGATGACCAGTCAGTGGGGTTGGAAATGATCCTTCCTGGAGAGGTGATCAAGATGCTACGAATGATGTTGATGAGACTACGAAGGTACTTACTTACACTCGCTTGATACGCAATGAATTGCCCAACCATTTATTCAAGCGAACCCATGGTCAAAATCTGCTAGCGATTCATCTAGAACAGACTATGAAATCTAGCCTAGGACACGTCTATCCCAATTGACTGTATAGGGAATCTACACGAACAACCCGAATACGAACAACAAAGTGCATTTTCGCTCGGTTATAAGAACCAAAGCCAGAATTGCCGGCCACTGAGATAAGTGAATCCCCACCAAAAACCAGGTATAAGGGGCAAATAAGTCAAGTTAGAAAAGGCCAACCAACAACCCAGTACCAAACCAATACCAAAACCAAAAACTAAAAAATCCATAATCGCTGGCATCATGACAAAAGATCAGAACTAGCTAGAGAGAATCATATCATCGCCTTAAAAGCACATTCAAGAAAAAAGGAAAAAGCGCAAACATAAAACATGGCATATCAAAAGACATTGGACCGTAACGGGGGAGGGGGATCATCATATCAACACGGAGAACACTCGTTTTGTACATGTCGTAGCAACGTGGGATAATGGGGGAAAAAACACAATGGAAAGAAGGAGCCTGAGAGAGTATGAGGATTAGGTAAACTCCACACCATGTGCTTGCTGCCTTTCTTGGCGGGTACGGGCTCGCTCAGCACGTCTGCGGCGGCGGTTATTCGCGTATGAACCGCTGACATCCGTGCCGGTATATGTCGGCGAGGTGATACTGCCCGCGCCATAGGGCATGCTTGAAGGCGCAACAGGATTGGGGATGGGAGGTGGGGGCGGCATGAGGCTGATTTGTGATTGGGGAGCTGCCCATGAGGATGAGGGGGCCATAGACGCTTGTGGTGGAGCTAGGGGGTAGGAGTGGCACTTGCAGCGGCTTGTTGACGTCTGACTTGTGCGTCTTGTCGGCGTTCCATTTCTTCGACGCGGCGCCAGCGATCTTGGTCGTCTTCGCGACCGGATAGGGAGCCTACGCTGCTGTTGCGGCGGCGGGAATTACGGCGTTCTCTGCGGCGGGCTTCGCGGCTTGCCGCCGCTTCTTCTTCGGTCAGTCGGCGGAGTGTCACATGGCGTCCGTCATTGTGCATCTTGACTTTGACAGACACTGGCGGTGACTCGACATGGTCATCGCGGTGTCGGCTGTGGCTTCGGCTGTGGCGAGAGGCTGCGCCGAGTGCTGCTCCAGCGGCAACAGGTGCAGCTAGCTCTGTTGCATCAAGAGAAAGACGGGAATGACGAGAGGAAGGCCGTTCAGGCCGCAGGTCACCGGATAATGATTGATGAACTGGCGGCATCGGGGGTGGCATGTCTGAAATAATGCTACTTTGAACAGCACCGGAGGCCATGGGCTCGGCCGTGAGAAGAGATTCTCCATGTGAGGCATGTCGAGGTGGGCGGGCTAGGTCCGTTTCAGTGAGATCGCTTTCGGAGTACGCGCTGGTCCTTCTCTTTGGGTAGAAGCCTCCTTCTCCCTGGGGCCGTCGCTTGCTGTTTGCTCTCTGTAGCGATTCATCAATGTCATCTTGACGGCGCATATCCTCCAAACGTTGTTTTTCTTCCTCGTCTTTGTTGCCACGACTGAACAGTCTCTTCACAGTAGCAAAAGCACCGGCGCCCAAAATCGCGTCTTTGATGCCTGATGACTTTCGTTTAGGGGGCTCGGTGAAGTATGTACTATCGTAATAAGACGAGCCTGGGCTTTGCGATCTGCTCGGGGGACGGCTTGGTGGTCGGTTAAGTGGTGTTCGATGGGTTGGCTCTGGTCGGCCATCTTCCATTCTGCTGAGGGACTCGTCCGTGTAGCTATTAGTGCGAGAGTGGGGAGCCGGTCTATACCGACCTGACTCGGCATCATCCTCACGCTTCTTTCGACGATCCCACCACTTCTTGGCCATAAGACCGGCCCCGGCCAAAGCACCAATTTCGAGCAGTTTCTTACCGAAACCACCCCCACCCCCATGTTTTGAAGACTCATCTGAATACTTCTCATCCGAAACCGAGGTGCGGGATTCTTCATAGACCTGACTGGTGTGGCGACTGCGAGGACGTCGTCGGAACATTGAAGCTAGACCAGCGGCCATAGCACCGCCAGCGAGTGCTTCACCCATGTGACCGCCACCATGGTGCTCCGAGACTTCTGATGGTCCGGTGTAATGACTGTGACCACCGCCATGTTCACTTCCCATATGATATCCTGTTGTGTCATATCGATAGGAGAGGATGAAGTAGGCAACCAAGTAGGCGAAGGCTGCGACAGCAAACAAGATGAAAAGCACCTTGGGTGAGCCATAAAGTGTAAGCCCTAGTGGGATCTGAACAATTCCCAAAATAACAAGGGCACGGCCCATCCATCGGTGGAACTAAGTCATGTTAGATCGAACATTATCTCATCTCCATTGGTACTTACCACTAGCTTCAACGGCACGTGAACTCGTTGTCTCTTGCTCTCGACCTTGTGCACAAACCAGCCCCAAAGTACCTGGAAAATGACCAAGACGTAAATCGCCAGGCCAATTCCATGGTGAGGGTTGGTTAGGCTTCTTTCTGGTCCAACGGCAAACCATCCAAGCACAAACACGACAGTACTTAGGAGCAACGTCAGCGTCTGACCCCAAGCATGCAGCTTAAATGCCCAGTATGGATTCCATCGGGAGTAGTATCGGATTATTAGGGTTGACATGGGCACGATGCCCAAGAAAACAATCGTTGCAATGACGCCGTGTGCGATGATAATGGAATGGTACCCAGCCATATCCTTGAAACGATTTCCCATACCTACAATACATTAGTAACAAAGCAAGAGAGCAAAGGGATTATCCAATAGATGAAACTCGTACCATTGTATCGCATCGTCTCAAAGTTGACGCCCATCAAATTGGGTAACAAGAAGGTATCTCGTCCCGAATCCCAGGTGCCATCTCCAACATGCAGGGTATTTGACGAGTATGTGCTGCTCCCCGCAGCGGCGAGGCCTGAATCCGACATTGTGTGTCTGATTCTTCAGATACCACGCGATCTTTAGTCTGGAATGTCGGAGTTACCGAAGGAGATCTGTTGAGATCCCCCGGTCCAAAGAATGCACCATGCGACAGCGGATCGAAATTGAGACTGGAATGCTGAATGACAAGTGGTCCGACGAATTGTGTCCAATCAATAGGTTCGGAATGTGGTGTTTGACCAGATCTAAGGAGGATTGCCAGTCGAGATGGAAGGACTATCGAGAAGGATCAGGAGAAACAAGAGAGAATCAGGGCGAAGTTTGTAGAATGAATTGCGAAAGAGGCCGTCACCAAAGACAAAGCAGATCCAGACCAACGACCAAAGACCAGGGAAGGAGGAATCACAACAGGAGCTGACCGATTCCCCAGTCAACTGTTTGCCATTTCGGGTTTAGTGTGACAACACATAACCCGGACAACGGCTGAGTCATCTGATGAGTCAGCGGGTAACTCCAGAGTCACAGACTGACCGCCTTTCCCAATCGGGCATATCTTATCAGCTGATCTTATCATTGCGTGCTGCTCGCGCCAACTTGTTCAATCTCCCTCTCTCTTCTCTTCTTCTTCTTCTTGCCAGGGATGAGATCCTAGAGTGAGACAACATGACTTCTCAAATAGAGGTGTTTATCAAAGCCCTCTCCCGGTTTGTTCTGTCTTCACCTGCTATCTAGACCCGCATCTAACGTTCTCAGGCTTCTAGGATGGTCTTAGTGAGTTCCGTATGCCTCCGACGGAGTCATGGGACTATAACTGACTAGCACAGCATGCTTTGTTGGTCAGGATCTTTTTATCCCCAACCTCTCACCAACATTAAGCGCAAGTCGACGGTCGGCTTATCGATTGACCTATCTACAATTAATCCATTGGGCTTCATCTGCTATGCGATATACACCGGCGCATTCTTATACTCCCCGGTCATTCGCGCACAGTATGCCGCTCGGCACCCGGCCGCCGAGGAGCCAACAGTGCGGCTCAACGATTTTGTGTTTGCAGCTCACGCGGTGGTGCTGACTTTGATCATGTATACGCAATTTTGGCCATTTATTTGGGGTCTGCATGTGTCCCGCTTCCAGAGGATCAGCTGGCTGATGGCTGGTCTCTTTTGGGGATCTGTTCTCGCTCCGGTGGCGGTGATGTGGATTGTATTGGCGCGTAGCCCGGATGGGGGACATGACCCTTCATCCTGGGCATGGATTGACGTGGTAAGTGCTGAGATGTGGAGTGGAGATGTGCGACGAATTGGAAGGGAGAGAACCTAATGTGTCATCAGATTTACTCATTTTCATACGTTAAGCTTTTGATCACCATTGTGAAGTACATGCCGCAGGTGTGGTTGAACTACCAGCGCAAATCGACGGTGGGCTGGAGTATTGGGACTATTCTGCTCGATTTGGCTGGCGGGGTTCTTTCGATGGTTCAACTGGTTCTTGACTCCAGTCTCCAGAGTGATTGGAGCGGGATCACTGGTAACCCGGTCAAGCTGCTGCTCGGGAATGTTACCATCTTCTTCGATATGATCTTCGTGATCCAACACTATGTCTTATACCGGGAAGACTCGAAAAGAACCCCTGGCCCGGGCGTGCGAACACCACTGCTCGCGCACGACAATCCTGTGCGAGCCCAGGCATGAGGGCCTAGGCGGAGTCATACATGGGGGCCAAATCCAAGACATGGGGCAGTTCTCTATTTCGGTAGCATTCTTTGAGACATGGGGTCGGGTTTCCGATCCCCGTCTTACATTCAGATCTTGGATCTCAGGCGTTTTTCCGACTTTGATAGATGTATAATGATTTGAGACATGAATTCAAGATCGAGAGCAGGATCCAAACAAGTATGACACAATGCAGAATGCCAAATGGGCCCCCAAACAACATTGCATCAATGCAGATATGCATAAGAGGCTCGAAGTAAGACACCGCTACTCGGATTTGGGGGCCACAGCCTCTGCCCCTCCACCGCCGCACATTATTGGTCCAGCACAGGGATAAGCACAAACTTCACTTCTTCCTCCAATCACTTGGCTCAAGACAGCATTGCCGGGATCCGTCGACGGTTCTGACCGTCGGTGTCGGGTTTGAGGGTCCGCCAACATTGCCATAGCTGAGCCAAGATCCGCAGTCCTATCCTCTTTGGAACATTCCTCTATCCTCATTCTCGCGAGTGACCCTGAGTGGTCCGCGCCGTTTACTTGTTCAGGCGATGATCGCCGTATCTCGATAAAAATATGTGAATCACCTCGAAACCCCAGCTCCCTACTGCGTATTGCGTATGAGGAATCAGAATACTACCCTTCGAAGGTAACGTTGAATCTGACTCAACACACCTGGAATCGTGAGGACAGACATGAGGTCGCCACGTTTCAGGAATAACGTGTGACACCAGACCAATACATAAGGCTGTGAAGGGGGGGCTACGATCCCCGACAGTTGGGCGTCGCGTGGCTTTGGCAGGACCAATAGGCAATGCAAGTGGGTGGCAGCCCTGGCCCAAGATCGTACGGAAAGCCTGGAGATTCCATCAGCCCTAATGCCGTTAGCCCAGAGCGCACCATCCATCTAGAAGCGACTAGTCTATGCAAGTCCCGCGTGGATCGTCGCCAAGGACCAACCCTGGTTTGTGATTCATGATGATTCAAGAACAGAAAGCAGCAAGCAGAAAAGGTAAGAGAGGCTCCAGTATTCAGCTGTATTGTCATTACCTTCAGTGCCTGCAGATCTCAAATTCCTATGCGGAACGCCTGGATGTGAGGATTACAGCACTGCCTCACGCTGTCAATACACCCATAAATATAGCTGCATCTGCTAAATACGAGTTGCGTCGATCCCCAAAAGAACCTTATAACAGTTAGGGTTGTCTTCTACTTCACTGCTCACGCCGCCCTACTTTTCTTCGCCTTTCTTGACAATCCAATTGTATGAGAGGGCTTCCCTCCACATCTCCAAGACCTTCTCTCGACTATTCCCAACTCATCCTTGCCTATCACTCCCACCTTCAACATGTACTCTCGTAATAAAAAACAAAACAGCGTGTATTCCACTGTATCTGACAGACATCGGGAGTTAGAGTCATGCATGGCTGGCCTGACCGGCCCAGAACTCAGCACAATGCCCTATGGCATACAACCGGACCTGATGGACATACCAGATCCACGCACGTTTCTCACCCCGGAGATCTATCCCTCAGCCCGACGAGGCTCTTGTGGTAGCGAGACACTGGGCTCCCAATACGCTTGGTCTACAGCCTCCAACGATCTACTCGCCACGTCCCCAGCCCTATCCTCGCTCGAGCCCTCCTGTTCGGGACCAACCTCGCCCTACATGCAGGGCTACTATCCACCTAGTTCGATGCAGTCCAGTATAAACACCCCCAGCTATAGTCCCCGGCAAATCAACAAATGGTGCATCGAAACCAACCCAACCCCCACCGAGTTCTACTCATCCTACCCACCACTCAACCCCAGTCCCATACCCTACGCAGACTTATTCGCCCACGAGAGTCTAAGCACCGCAACCGACTGGCTCTCCGTCCCATCCTTCAGAGATCCAATCCCAATCCCATCCCAACCCCCAGTCCCAGACGCCTACTTCCCAGTCTCAATCCCCCACCCCCAACCCAACCACCAACAAACCTCTACCAAAAGAACCTCAACTCCCTCTTCAACAGGAGCCCGTCCCTCCCCAGCCCGCTCCTTCTCCGACAACTCCTCCCCCCCAAATAGCACCAGCGACCTCAGCGCCTACGGAATCCCAACAGCAACAGGCGCCTGGCGATGCGCACACCCAGGCTGTTCCAGCCAAGCCGTTTTCAGACGGGGCTGTGACCTGCGCAAACACTTCAACCGACACCGGAAGTACCTCTTCTGCCGACACGAGGGATGTCCACAGGCCGCGCAGAATGGGTTTTCCAGCAAGAAAGATCGGGCACGGCACGAGGCCAAGCATAACCCCGGCATTGTATGCGAGGCTGTTGGCTGTGGAAGGGTTTTCAGTCGAGTTGACAATATGAAGGACCATGTGAGGAGGATTCATCGGAGGGGAACGGGGGATGGGAGGTGAGGGGGGAGATTGTTAGGGCTGGCTTTGAGGATGGATATGGGTACGATTATGGGTGCAGGTATGGTGATGGGTACGGCTATGATAGTGACGATATTATGGGATATGTGTGTTTCTTGGGTTGCTTCTTGGTTTGGTTTCTTGTTTCTTTTGATCGGCTGTACGATAAGTGGGAATGCGTATGGCGAATTGGTGTTTACTTCCTCCCGGTGAGGATTGACTTTTAGAAAAGGACAAAAATATGGAGGCTTCTGGTAGAGGATTGCTATGGGGATTAGAATGCGAATCAACAAGCGTTTCTAGCCAATTTAGCGTCATGTAGGAGAGATATCTTCGTATGAAACGATGCATTTTTATCTATTCCAAGTTTCACAAGGCATACTTTTACACTTGGAGGCTGAAGACACTCTCGGATCTAAGGGGTCCAAATGACTCTACATATCGTTGAAGCCCTTGGAAACTCGGGGCTAGTGCCTCCAAGCTACCCATCCATGATTTAAGCTGTGCTAGGGCATATATACTCTAGATCGGATTGCGAAGATGATCGTCTGCTTCGTATATCACTACATCAGGTCACTGATTCTCAACGAAATATAGATAGATACAAATAGGAGACTCAAGAATACCGGAAAGATGAACTCATACTATTGGCAGTGGATTCTTCACACCCACATCTTGGATCAAGTAAAGGTAAACGTTGAAAGGTCAATCAAGTCCACGTCTTGAAAAGAATTGAGGTAGGTGTGGCCATCCAAAGTGTAGTTTGTCGGCGAAGGAGCTGTCGAACAAGAAAGACTCATAGAAAAAGAAGCCACAAACGCTTGATTTGAAGATTCGACAAAAGCAGCCTCGTCCTTCTGTGAAGTCTCAATCAAACTAGCAACAAGAGTGCGAAGGTGTTCATATCCCGCATCCAATCGACCGCTGAATTTGGCCACATTGAAATGATTGGCATCAACTCTGCAACTCTTGAAGTCACTCAGAACCGCAGAGCTCTCTTCAACAATCTTGCCCACTAGATCGTTCATTTGCTTGGTCTCATAGAAACAGAAGACCTTCAAAGAGATATCTCCTCCCCGCAGCATATCCTGAAACTGATTGCCAATTCTTTGCAGGTCATTCGGCCCTGGTTTAGTTCCTGCAGTTCTCATTTCTGCAGTCTGGACAGGACTGAGATATCTCGCGAGCCGCTCACCATGACAAGCCAACGATGAACCAGAGTGTGGAGTTCCTATAAAGATAATCCCAACCGCCCAAGAAGAGATTTGCCAGAGTCCATCCACCTGAGTACTGCGTATCAGTGCTTGCTGGCATACAAGCCCGCCCAGACCATGGGCAATCAATAGAATAGGTCTTGCCGAGCAGCCATCTCGTTCACTAACTAGCGCATAGGCCAGGGACTGACCGTGGTCATATACTCGATTCGAGGATGCAATTGTAAAGAGGGTAGCGATATCAACCTCATATCCAAAGGTCATGATGCGGACTGTAGGAAAGTCTTTGGCCAGAAGGTCCTGCGGCCAGAAAACCCCTTTTTTATGCGTCCATGTTTTCTCCCGGTTGCCGGTCAAGCCGTGGACAAAGATGATGCTAGGCAATGTCAGTGTGATTGCTTTGTTTGATCGCTCGTCACTAACTCTAGCTCGGCATTGGGTGGATCGGAGAGTATTTTCATTCCTATGGCCCCGTCTGTAGAGAATCTGTATACCGTGAGCTTAGTTCTATCACTCGATTTCGACAATGGCCATAATTACAGATGGTCTGTCGAGCTCCTCTGCAACCTATTCCTGATGGCCTTCATGGTCATGCAAGGAGTTCTTCTGTTGATCTATATCTCTCGATTTCGGAACGGCCAAGTAGAAAGATGAACGAGCGAGCAGAAGGGTAAAGCGCCTGACGGTGGCCGGCTGAGTATATAACCAACAGAGCCTTGCTAGAAACTGAGACCCCGCTTGCTATGATATCGAAGATGATTCGCACGTCCGAATTCAAATTTAAGCGAACGTCACGCGGGAATCTCTTGCGGCTGCCAGCAGCTCAATGGGGGTGTCTCGGGCCACAACGTTGTGACATGCCTAGAAGCAGACCAGGAGACCCCAAATATGAGACAATGATTAAGATATGTAACAGAAAGTCCGTCTGTTCAGGTATTGTGAAGGGTAAATCTAGGGCTCGAAGGGGGAGGTTGGATATGACTTCGGATCTTTGTGTGCCTCACAAGAGATCGGGAGATTGTTTGAGACCATTCTGAGATATGTGAGAATCGACAGAAGAGGAAAGCATCCTACTAAGTTTACGAAAAGAGCTTGAGCGGTTTTTGGATTTAATAGTTGATGTGATTCCCCTCGCCGACTTTCATGACAGACTAATCAAACAATAAGAACGGCGAAGGGCTTCTCAGGAATACAATACCCTCTGACTCATGATTCAATGTCCAAAGACGAACATGTGGCAACAGAAAAACAAAAGCATTACACAAACAGATGATCATAGACATGACTTAATTGACTCAAGTATCCGAGCGATCTCAACGGATCGCTTTTGGTCTGCATGTTTCTTTTTTCAATCGTGCGAGGCGTTGCAGTCTCCTCGTAATCTGGCACTCAAGAAGAGTTATTGGGTAGAAAGTCCACATTGGCACGGGTAACAACTCCTAGGCCACGACTTTTCATTGCTCGAATGAAGACGGAGAAGAATGCCGAAAAAAGAGTCTTGATAAAGTTCAAGATGACAGCACCGATGCGAGTGTTTCCCACGTATTGGAGGGCATAGAAAGAGAGACCCACAGGTATGGTAGTCAAAATCGCAGGAATGATGATGCAAAATTGGCAAAGAACTTCATCAAGGGGCGGCTGAAAGGCAATTTGTTCAAATTTGGGCGCAAAACGAGGCATCTTTCCATCTGGTTCAGACGTCTGGGACGCGATGGCGACGAACACATACTTTGGGGCAGAGCCACGAGGTGGTTTTCGGGGTCTGTAAATTCCAAACAAGACCCCCATAGCGCGAGGGACCTTCTGAGTTTCTCTCACGCCCTTTGGCTCATTGGTGGCGAGAGTACCAGATGTGTTTCTCGGATGTTCGACATGTGTTGCATTTGGTAGACCCGGGGGAGAAGGAGGATGCACGCGAGCATGATCCCGAAGCTGGAAAGTCTGATCAGAGGCCATGTTCATGGGGCTACGAGGTGAAGTGATTCGGTGGGGGGTTACACGGCGGATACCCTTCCATTTACCAGGGTGCTTCTGCTGAGAGGAAAGGGTGCCATCAACCGAGGGCAATGGGCGTTGTGCTGCCAAAGACGGGATCTGAGGACGAGGAGGTGAAAAATGGACTGATCGAGGCACCGGGACACGATTGCCAGATCTTTTGAGGGAGCTGACATTTGGAGCTGGGTGATGGTTTGCTAGAGCTGCGATGGGAGGCTTGAGTGGGTTTCTCTTATCTTTTTGAGGCGTTGGTGATTGACTTTTGTCACATTCGCGGTACATAGAGCGTCCTCTGGGCGAGTCTGCCTCGGGCGAATCTTTAAAACAATCGTAGTTAAACTCCTTAGTATTCGGCATATCTCTGAGAAACAGGTTCTCGGTGACCTGAGGAGTGGCCTGAGGCAGTACTGGTTCGTGTATGCTGTTGTTGACACCGTTTGGTGCAAGTGATTCATGTAGGTTCGACGGGTCACCAATGTTGTCAAGTACGTACTTGTCTGCAGCTGCATCCAGAACCAAGCGAGGAAAAGATTGTCTGAGGCCTAGGCCAAGCGATGCCTCTTGAAGTTCTCTGAAACCACGCTTTTTCTTTAGACTGGTCTGTTGGGTCGTCATGTCAGTAGGCCCATCCAGCCCAGAAGCACTAAAGGTAGCAAAGGACGGCGAAAGGGGATTCGGAGGGGCGTCGGTAGTGACTGGGGTTCTGACAGTGGGGGGTACAAGATCAGATGCAAATAAATAACGAGATTCAGAGGTGACTCGAGTGTCAGCAGCTGGGGTAAACGAAGATGAAAACAGGTGAGAGTCAGTGAGGCGAGTATCCACGACTCCCAGAGGATCAGACTTGATACGCCTGGTAGAAGACATGTTTGTGCAAAGATGAAGATGTGGAAGATGATGAAGGATGAATGGTGGAGAGGAGAGAGAGTGAGAGAAGATGAGAGTGAGAGAAAGGGAAAGTCGCTGGGTGAGAAGTATAGAGTTTCCCAATTGGGAAGCTGCACCTTCCTACTATCCATGGATGCGTGAAGCTCAATTAGGTAAGAAAGAATTGCTATAATTCTACAGGTTCAAGGGCAATAATGGTTATGTACAGCAAGTCTATTTGACGAGAGGCTGGAGGGTCTCGAGAACCTAGTTCAGTTAGCATTTGGTCGGTTCAATGTCGCCACGATGTCATACCTCAAGCTCGATCTTGGCCTCAGCAATGTCCTGCTCGCTGCCGCTGCCGCTAGCGGTCTTCTGGGCCTCAGCAATCAAGGCGCGGATGTTCTGGAGAGAGAGAGGTGAGTTTGGATTGCGACATCGCGAAAGGAGATAATTTACCTCGGCGCTGAACTGGTCAAGGGGGAAGATCTCGGAGCTGTTGATGCTGAACTCGTTGTTGGGCTGCATGACAGCGAAACCACCGGCGGCTATCAAAGAGAAACTGTGATTAGCTACTTGGCTCTCATTCGAGGACCAAAATCTCAGGTTGTCCCTAGGCGCGAGGATCGGACGTACTGAAGAGCTGCTTGGAGGAACCGCTCTCCTCAACAATCTCGATGAGACCGGGCTTGAGCTGCTCAATGGAGGGAACGTGGTTGGAGAGGACACCCATCTCACCGGAGGCGGCGGGAATGTTGACCTGGGTGCTGTGATCGCGAAGGTAGGTTAGTATTATGAAACGGCGAAGACGCCGAGGCGGGCGCAAGTCAATGGGAAACATACACGCCAGCGGACTTGTAGATGGTCTATTAAACGATCCTAAAGTCAGTATTTATGTACGGATGGGATGACAATCGCGGTTGGTTCACGCACCTGGTGAGGCAGGGTCAGGGACAGCTTCAGGGTTTCGGCAGCGTCGGCGTAGGTACGTCTGGGGACGCGAGCGAGGGGCATAGAGGGGCGGGCAGCCCTCATGGCCGAGAGACCGGAGCGAGCGAGACGGTTGAAGCTCATTTTGTAAGGGTGGATGACGTGCAAAGGCTGGGTTATCCTTCTTGAAGTTGCAGTGCAAAGACGAAGTCGGAACGCCGGTTGTTCCCTAGCGCCGGGTCACGTGGTACGGGAATCCAACGGCCGAAGTATGGCCAAGGCTGTTTACTCTTCTTGCATATCTATTTGGTGTAAGAATGGAAAGAAAAAGGCGGTTATCATTTATCGAGCTATATATTTCACGTATGGCATTTTCACCACCCGAATCTCTCCAGTAAATTGTTTTCTTTTTTTGTGGTGAAGATGGGTGCTGGGAACAAGATGGAAGGAAGGTCGGACCGGATTTGATATAAAAATCATGGGGCAAAGTTATTGCCAACACGATAAAACGGACAAGTCTATCAGGTAGTCCTCCAAGATCATGCAGAGGTTCTTGTTATAATGCAGAAGAGGTACTGTATCATTATACTTTCACGTGATCTGAAGGTCACGTGCAGTGGATGGCAGAATGAAGCCAGTTAGAAAATCGGCCCTCTACGACCAGTCTCACAGAAGCTAAAAAGATAATTAAAAGAGACCAATTAGTCTTGAAAGCAAACTAGCAAACAGTAATAACCCCATAGTTTATGATATCATTGATGTATCCTGCTGAGGCCATCTGTCTCTCTAGTATGTACACCGCCCGATAAGCGAGATCCCACAAACGGAATGAGCCCTAGCCGAGCCTCTTAGGCCTGACGTCTCCGTTCCCTCTCCTCACCAACCATCCCACCGTCAATCAGCGACAACATCCGTCAAGATGGCCAGTACGTTTTCCCTTCGATGATATGGCTTCTACCTGCCTGCAAGCCGCCCAGAAAAAAAAAGAGAAGCGATGTCGCTGACATGATTTTCGCCCACAGAGTCCAAGAACGCGTCCCAGCACCACAGAAGCCAGAAGGCTCACCGTAACGGGTACGTTTACCCTTCAATATCCTCGATTGTCCTCTATACCCCTTGAACAACACTCGAAACTGCGGGACGATAGGAAATTGGTGGCAGGCGAACTATTTATTCGGTGTGATATTCCGGGGTCACATCTTGAATATTCACTCGGACAAATTCTTCGACCATCCGCTACGACCTCCACCAGAACGAAACGCTAATATGTCTCTCCGAACAGTATCAAGAAGCCCAAGACCAACCGTTACCCTTCCCTCAACGGTGTTGACCCCAAGTTCCGCCGCAACCACCGTCACGCTCTCCACGGCACCATGAAGGCCCTCGTACGTTGACCACAACCCGAACTCAACAAACCCCCAACTTCATAACACATACTGACCCATTGAACAGAAGGAGCGCAAGGAGGGCAAGCGTGAGGTCGCATAAATGTCTAACGGAGTCTGAAAAAATGGGAATCATGAAACGCAACTCGAGCGCGCAGGAGGTTCGGTTAACATAAAGTGTGCGACGATCAAGGACGGTCCGCTGTGTCGAATAGGCCTGGTTTCTGCTTATTCCTTGCGCGATGAGTCTCGGGTTGTTTGATATCAAGAAATCAACAGGCTTAATTCGATGTGCACAGCGGTGCCATTTTCCCAAGCGGAATATCTTCTGCTATTCCTTCTTTTTTCCGTCCTTTCCTGTCTCGAGGGCTCGACTGCTGCGGCCCTCGAGCCATAGATCTCTTCTCCCCTCCCCCTTTCCCCATTCCCCTCTCCGGCATATGTGTGTACAGCTGCGTGCTTTTCTCATGCGCGATTGCTGAAGGATTTTTCTTAACGTGCCAAGAATCAATCCCAGACCCTCCTCGATTACATACCCTGTCTTGATGCTTCTCGACAGAGACAGGGTTCGTGGTTAGGAGGGTTACATCTCGTAGAAGTAACAATCGTTTCATTTATTTTATGTCTTCAATGAATTTCTACACTACTTGACCACCATTCAATATCTATATCTGAGCATATCACATCATTCCTCACCTGAAATATCCCGTCATTGGACATGCTCCAACAGACCTCGAGCATCTAACTTATATCTTCCAAATAACCAAACGCTTATCAAAACCACCACTAATAACCCATTCCTCCTGCACCATGTCCCCATCCCCCCTCAACACAGAAACATACCCAGACCAAACAGTACGCACCTTACAACCAGGTTCATGACCCCCCGTGAGTGTAGCGATAACCTTACCAGTCTTGGTTTCGATACCCCTCACAACACCATCATCCCCATTAACCCAAACCCCAGACCCATCCGGTCTCCACGCAACCTGTGGGGTCGAATAAGCAGTCTGCGAAGCAAAGGTATTCGCCTGGACGAGGATAGCCGCGTCCTCGCGATTAGCCAATGCCAAAGCCTCCATAGCCTGAGAAGCCTGCGTAACCGGGTCCGCTGACGCAGAGCCATGTTCCGTGTCCGATGTACCCATTGATGGGAAGAGCAGGCGTACAATAATAACTTTCATATGGGGTAGGGTCGACGTAGCCACTGCCAGGAGACCTGGGTCGTGAGGACTGAGAGCCATATGGGCCGGCGAAAAGGCCACCCAGGCATTGGAATGAGGAGCTAGGTTTTGAGTTCCGAGGAGTTGGCACTCGCGCGGGGAGGTGAGAGAGGTGGAGGCGGTTTGTTCGGGGGTTTCTTCCACCTGGTAGTAATGGATGTGAGTTGAGTCTCTGCGCGAGACCAGGAGAAGGAGGTCATTTGTATCGATATGCGGTACAAACAGAAGCGATTCCGGGTTCGATGCGAGCTTGATGCGAGCGATGGGCTCGCCGATTTTCAGGGTGTGTGCGTTTGCCTCGTCTGGGATGTTGAGCCTGTATAGCACAACTGTCTCGTCCCATCCAGCGGTGGCGATCCACCACTTGGACGGGTCCTTCTGGTCTTCGTAGGCTACTACTTTGACAGTATACTTTCCATGATCTTTCCTGCTGTCTAGAAGTTTGGTACCATGCTGGAGAAGGATCTGACCGGACATGTTGGTCAAGAGAATGTACCGGCCTTGAAGAATTGAGACGAATGATAGCACAGGTGCACTCGATAGATCAGAGAAGGATTGGACAGCGGCATTGTTCCCTGTTGTTTCGAGTACATGCACCTGTTTGTCGGCGCCGGTAGAGATGATATAGGATTGCGCTGATGCACCCGCGGCTTCATCCTCGTCGGGCTTTTGCCATAGCTCTACCGACGCAGCAAGTAGATTTGATGCAGTTGGTATTTGAACCACAGCAGGTTTTGATGGTGCTGGGTATTGTTAGCGAGAGAACGAAATACTGCATTTCGATCCAAGACGCAAAGCTTTGCAGGGCGAAGGAACTCACCTGGTTCACTCCACAGACCAGTCCCTTGACTACCCTCTCCATATCGTTCAAAGTTGATACTCTGATCATACGTTTCCTTCTCCTCGACCAAGCTTTGAATGGTCCAGTTATTGGTGTCGTCGCCAGAGGCCTGCCCCACGTCGGGAGCAAGGCTAGCCTCGCGGATAAAAGCCTTTAATGTCTCCGTGTGGTCATTGGCGCGCAGGAAGCGAGCAACCAGAGCATTTGTCAATGCATCAATCATCACAGAGGGCGCCATTCATGCGTTTGATGCTGGGGGAGGTTGGCAGCGGTAAGGAATTGATTAGTCGTCCGTGGCGCAGGCCCTGCGACGCTACTGTATAGATCCTCGAATTATTGACAACAACTGTCCCATGTATTTCAATCCATTTATTGTTGGCATTGGAGAGTGTTGGGAAGGGCCTCATGGGCTATCCCATGGAGTAGAGTAGAGTATGTGTTATTATGGAGTTTTTATCAGACAAATTCATTTTCCCATCCTGTTCATGAAACGCCGGATATCGAGCATGCAACAGAAATCTCCCAAACAATATCAAAAAGCACAGGTGCAATATTCAACTTGCTGTTTCAGCTGAACATGTCTTCGGCACGGCGTCGACGGCCACCACGTCCTTCCAGAGTCTCGTCGAACAGTTCCTTGCCAGCATTGTTGCTGTACTTGGAAGGGAAGAGTTCACGGGCCGACGCACCCCTGCCTTTGATTGAAAGACCACCCGATGAGCCCCGGATTGCAAAGCCCTGGTCTTCACTGGCTGATCCACGAATGCGAGTGCCTTCATCCGAGCCGGGGAAGAGTTCGATATTGCTGTTGCGGCGGTTTTCAGAGTTTCCGGACAGAGAAGAAGCGTCAAATGCATCCGAGCGACGGTGGTTACTGGGCTTGCTAGGGAACAGCTCCTTCTTGATGTAGCTGGAGGTAGGCTTGTTGGGGAACAGCTCTCGATTACCAGGCTCGTTGCTATCGCTAGGGAAGAGCTCCCGACCCTTGTTCTGGCCAAGTCGCGGCGACCTTTCGCGGAATCGTCTGCTGCTATCACGGTGTTCACGGTCGGCTTGCTTGGATTCCTCCAGTGTGTCCCGCCCGGGCGACGCGCTGCGGTTGCGGAGACGTCCACTTGACCGTTCCTCGTCTGCGGGGAACAAGTCCCTCTGACCACGACCGCTCCGGGCTCCTCGTCCCCGCTCCGTGGGACCAGAGCCTGCATTATCATCGTACATGTCCACATTGAATTGGTCGCCCTCGTCTCGGTCTCGGCGTCGTCTGTGCTCTCGGTCATCGAATCGGCGTCGCCTATACCCATCGTCGTCATCGCCGCGTCGCCGATCTGCAAATTCTTGTCGCAGGCGTTCTCGGGGGTCATGTTCGGGGTGCATCAGGTAGAAACGACTCTTCTCATAAGAGCGGGCTTGTTTGCGATCGGTCTTGACAGCCGACCGGACTTGGAGGACGGAATCGGGGTGGGAGGAAAGGGGTTTCGCAGTTCGCAGGCGCAGTGCAGGCAGAGAGGATACATCTTCTTCTTCATTGACTTGAGTGAGAGCCGCAAGAGCTTGGAGGCCGACCTCAGCAGAGGAGTAGATTAGATTGGCGGAGGTATCGTCGATCCATTCAACGCGCACTGGCTCTTCTGCGAAGTGGCTGCAAGCGAATTGTTTGATAATTTCCGTGGTCAGTTCGTCGACACCGCGAACATGCACCTTCTCATAGACCGCCTCTTCGTCGAGCTGATCGAGGGTATTGTCGACGTTGAGGGCTGGTGCCTAGTAGTGAACACCTGTCAGCGGGCGGAACACATAAACAAGAGCGCAATTGCCACATACCATCTGGATTGGCTCGGGTTCAGGCTCAGGTTCAGGTCCCAAGTCAAGGTCCATGTCAATATCCATGTCTGCGGTGGGAGCCGCAGGTCCATTGATTGACACGTTTGGGGCGGCCATGACGGTATATGAGGAGGAGAAGTCGAATGGATGGCGCTTTCCCAAGTTATATAGTGTTATATAGAAGTTGACGACTAATCGACGACTAATCGAGAGAGGTGGGCAGAGTCAAGAGGTGAAAACCGAGGCGGGAGCTTGAACGTCGCCTGATAAGGATTAGCGCCGTTTTCCGGGGAACAGTATAAAACTTGGTGCAATTGGGGGATTCAGTCCAATCGAAGATATACTCAGTGATATCTCTTTGTAGAATGAGAGGATTCAGTCATGATTCGATTCTTTTACATTCCTATCTCCTGTGACACTGTTCAAGGCCACTAGTCCTTCGTACACAGCTGTCAAAGGAAGCTGCCGAGCCTAAAAGACCTATAAATAGTCCAGTTGCTTCTTGACTTCTTGATATCATTCTGGGGTATAGGAGTCCTTTGTTTCCATGCATTAAACACTCACTGTTTTGATTCTATACTCTCGCTGATCGCTGATTGCCCTTCTCAGACGTCTTCTACAAAGATTTATGACTGAACATGCATGATTAAAGCGTACGTTTGCCAATCAGATATCATCTAGAGCATTTCTCGCACTAGATCTGAGATCTGAGCATTGATAGTCTAAGATAGTTTTGCAAGCTTACTCGGACACTCGTAGTTTACTCAAATCCTAGCAAGTCCCATGTTTGGTAGCTCATATTTGGTTGTTTTCATTCTGATAGCTGGGATGTCTTCCATATTGGCTTTCACTTGGTCCCTTGACTAGTGACTATTGAGATCTTGACATGTCTATCTTGAGCATTGATGGTGTCACTCTGTTTCTCCCTAGGGCTTATTTCCTTCTTTCTTGGTCATGTAGACACATTCCCAAAATTCCTAGATCAACCATAAGATGAAGAACACAACATTCCTTTCTTGATGCCTACCTCGGACAAATCATCAACATCCCTATACTGGAGTCCCCTTGAGTCCTCTTAAATTCTCGTTTGGAGACGGAGGTCCATCCGTGGCATAAGGGAACCAGTGAATTTAGGCTAATGTCTTCGGGCAGCACTGCCTATGACCTCAAAGCGTTTAAAGCTCGGTATCTCCACCTCCACACATCTCCGGGCTCCGGCAGCTCTGGAGCAAATGATTCGGAATTCTGTATTTCCCTGCATCTGATCTACCAGAATGCCTTCGAAAATAGCCATGGTTCAGCCTTGGTACCACATACGTGGTGAGGGGTACGTATCCATCGTTGTTACTTAAGAGTGATCGGAGCCAGGTGAGCTCTGAACGGTGCCGACTTCACACACTGGTCCTAGGCTCTTAGTCAAAATGATTTTCTCCGAAGACGACAAGCTCATTTTCCGATTTGATGACCACATCCTATGGGTTCAGCCTTGGGGAGAAAATGCATTTCGCATCCGAGCAACCAAGCAGGCATCAATGCCCACGGAGAACTGGGCCCTCTCCTCCAAGCCTGCTAGCGGAAAGACGGACATTCAAACCTCAGTCTCTGACGGGGATGCTACGATCTCGAATGGAAAGATCAAAGCCACTGTTTCAAGCAGAGGCAAGCTCACCATCTACAACTCCAGCGGTAAAAAGCTTTTGGAGGAGTATGCACGGCACAGACAAGACCCAAAAGACCCCAAGTGCAGTGCGTTGACAATCGAAGCTCGCGAGCTGCGTCCGATCTTAGGGGGAGACTACCACCTCACGATGCGGTTCGAATCTCTCGATCCCAAAGAAAAGATCTTCGGCATGGGTCAATATCAACAGCCGTACCTGAATCTGAAGGGTGCAGACCTTGAGCTAGCGCATCGAAACTCCCAGGCCAGCGTTCCATTTGCCGTCTCCTCTCTCGGCTACGGGCTTCTATGGAATAACCCGGGCATTGGACGAGCAGTCTTAGGCACAAATGTGCTGAGCTTTGAAGCATATTCCACAAAGGCCCTGGATTACTGGGTTGTGGCGGGTGATACACCAGCTGAGATTGAAGAGGCATATGCCAAAGTCACGGGCTATGTGCCCATGATGCCAGAGTATGGTCTTGGCTTCTGGCAATGCAAGCTCCGGTATTGGAATCAAGAGCAGATACTTAATATTGCACGCGAGTATCACCGTCGTCAAGTTCCCTTGGATCTGATTGTCGTTGATTTCTTCCATTGGAAGCACCAAGGTGAATGGAGCTTTGACCCGGAGTTCTGGCCGGATCCTGGTAAGTGCTATCCTCCGACGTTCAGATCGAGTCAAACCATGCTGACTAGTCTAGATGCGATGGTCAAGGAGCTCAAAGAGCTCAAAGTAGAACTAATGGTCTCCATCTGGCCAACAGTCGAAAACTCCTCGGAGCACTTCCCAGAGATGCTCGAACGCGGACTCCTAATCCGCCACGACCGGGGCATGCGCGTAGCAATGCAGTGCGATGGCGACATCACACACTTCGACGCAACAAACCCCGAAGCTCGCAACTTCATATGGAGCAAGGCAAAGAAGAACTACTACGACAAGGGCATCAAAGTATTCTGGCTCGACGAAGCCGAGCCCGAATACTCCATCTACGACTTCGACATCTTCCGCTACCACGCCGGCAGCAATCTCCAAATCGGCAACACCTACCCGAAAGAATACGCCCGCGCTTTCTATGAAGGGATGCAGGCAGAAGGCCAAACCAACATCGTGAACCTACTCCGATGCGCCTGGGCCGGCAGCCAGAAATACGGCGCCCTAGTATGGAGCGGCGACATCGCCTCCTCCTGGGACTCGTTCCGCAACCAGCTCGCCGCAGGCCTGAACATGGGACTCGCAGGGATCCCATGGTGGACAACCGACATCGGCGGGTTCCACGGCGGCAACCCAGACGACCCGGAATTCCGCGAACTGTTCACCAGGTGGTTCCAATGGGGCGCGTTCTGCCCCGTGATGAGACTGCACGGAGACCGGGAGCCCAAGCCGGAAGGACAGCCTACGGCTAGTGGAGCGGACAATGAAATCTGGTCGTATGGAGAGGACGTGTATGAGATTTGTAAGAGATATATTGGGATTCGGGAGCAACTGCGGGAGTATACGCGCGGGTTGATGCGCGAGGCTCACGAGAAGGGGACGCCTGTTATGCGGACCTTGTTTTATGAGTTCCCTGGAGATGACCGTGCATGGGAGGTCGAGACGCAGTATATGTTTGGATCTCAGTATTTGGTCATCCCAGTGTTGCAGGCTGGGCAGCGTGTTATCCAGGTCTACCTTCCTGATGGGGCATCTTGGAAGGTTTGGGGTGGCAAGGATGATGCCGTGTATCAGGGAGGTCGGGAGATTGAACTCGACTGCCCGATTGAGAGTATGCCTGTGTTTATTCGTCAATAGATGGGACTTTCTAGATTGGGATGGTGAAATGTTGAATGGAGCATTGGGTTCCGACTGTTTCTGGTTCTGTTTCTTTGCCTTGTACATCACATGTCCGATGGAGTAGACTGTGACTAGATCGGAATCGAAACTGAGCTATTGAGTTTGAGTTACAGCTCCGTGGAACGTTATTGGGAACATTCCAGTCAAAAAATCGAGCTCTCACCGCATTGTCGATGATCTGTCTCACCTCGTATACTTCGCAACGGCGGATGCCTTGGGCATCCAAAACCCGACCCAAGGACCAGCCCATCAGATCTGCGGTCCGCAATCCACATGCAAAAAAAGCAAGGTCCAAGACGCAACCCGAAAATGGAGGTATACCGTACAGTAGCCCCATTACCAGGAAACCAATAGCCCAGCAAACTTTGAAACCTTGCCCCTGACACGCACAACCACGGAACACAGGCCTCGAACCGGAAAATGGGGTTCCCGCAGACGTTTCTGAAAAATGAGACCGGCAAATCCGAACCAAGTTTTCAGCAAGATCAGAAGCCCCAAACCCCCGATCCAGACAAAGAAGCTGGCAAAGAAGCTGGCAACGAAGCAGAAAATCATGCATCCCGACAGACCGGTACCTTTTCCGCGCTAGGCCACATTCGATCCTAGCGTCGATGCCACCGAGATTCTCCGTTGACCAATCAGAGCCCGTCCTGGGGACTCTGTATTGGCGGGTATCAGGGGAGGACAATAGGCTCCTCTCGCTTCACACTTTCAATAGCCCCCAAGGTATCTCCGCTGACAGTCAAAGGGACATGGACGGTATGCCCAGGGTACTCCGTACTCCATACACCGAAACCGATCGCCATACCCGGAAATGAAGGCGCCAAAGCCGCTATGAGCCACAGGAACCAGCGGCTTGGGACGCAACGGGCAAGTGTCAAGTCGACAGAACCCCTGATCCTTCCCTGAACCTTGTCCAACCACTCCACCCTTTCCCATGAACCCGTGAACCTGTGAACTTATGAATCGGGAATCCTTGGAAACCTTGCCAACGTCCCTCCCCCTTTTTGGGACCGTTTTCTGTTTCTCTCCTTTCTCTCCTGTCTAGCTCCGGAAACGAGAGACTTCGTATAACGGCCCGATGACATCAGAGTTTTCTCCCGTTTGGCTCCACAATATGCCGTGTGACGGGATACAGGACTCGGATATGTACGATTCCAAATCATGGCCATGGTTGCAGGGATGGGATCCCCAATGCTGGAACTTTGATCTCTGCTCTGCATGGACAGTAGCACACGAAGAGAGTACAGTAAGTTAGTTTTCTGATCCTAGGTTTACCGAGGTTGATCACACTGAAGGGCCATCTGCTCGATCTGATTCGGTGGATCCATGGACTCTCTCCGATGGCCCTGTTCAGCTTTTCAGCGGCCGACTCTTTTGGGTCATTCTCGCCCTCAGACCCGCGGTCCTGCTCCGGACCCCATCTGGTGGAGCTGACTGTCCCGTGTAGGGGTGTAGTGTCACAGAATGAATCCTAGAAAGGAGTATCATTGGCGTGGACTGGTTGTGTACAGTAAGTTCGTGTCCACGGCAAAGGAACCTGGACAATGCACAGCGCCAAAAAAAAAAAAAAAAAAAAAAGAAAACGTAAAGAAAAAGAAAAAGAAGTTGAAACAAAACAAAACGGAACAGACATGAAACAGACACGGCATCGATGGAGCAGTACAGTACATTGTACACCAGGAACATCCACAGCACCATTCGACAGGCCACGTCCAAACTGTACAGTATCCATGGTCCAGAAGAGAGCTCCCGATCCCGATCCAGAGCGAATCGCCCATCTCAACGGGCCAAAAACGCCCTCGCGGAAGGCGGGAAATCGCGACCCGGACGAGGCTTGCACGAACACCTCCACGATCCATGCCAATCCCCACCCAGCCCCGCCGTTCATGTTCATTCCGGTGACCAGTCCGGTTGATACATCGCGCTAGCCCTGACGATTGGCCCGACGCGAGTGTAGCAAGAAGAGGGGGTGGCCAACTCGGCCAACTCGGCCACTCGATGGGAGAGAGGGCAAAGAAGTGGGAAGTGGATGGGCCGTGGCGCGGACCAGACACGCTGACTGGAGAGGCAACACTTCCCACACGACCGTACTAGACCATTCCGTGAGTGGAGAGAACAGCGTCAGGGCCAAGATCGAGCACCGTTGGAGTTCCCCGAACCGCCCGGATAGACTTTCTCATCCGTTTTTTTCGTCCATATCGTGTGTGCATAGTGGTGCAGTCGCTGCCCGTTTAGTCGGCTTGCATATTGTCGATGGGACCTAGACCGTGAGGTACAGTAGTTTTCTAGTCTTCTTACATACGTGGTCCGGTGTGGTCTGGCTGGATTCCCCTTGCGTCCGTCCTCGTGAGGAGAGCGTGTCTGGTGGCGCATTCCTCATCATTCATGTCGAGGCATTCTAGTCAATGTACACTGTACAGTAGTGCCCAGTTCAATCAGGAATAGACTTTTACCGTGGGTAAAAGTCAAAATGGGTCGTTAGATTCCATCCGAATAGGGAATATGGAGCGCCTAACTGCATGGTCTCTCATTCCCAGGTTTCTTTCCAGGTTTCTTTCCCAGTTTCTAGCTCCAATTACAGTACAGTCATATGGAAGCAGTCCAAAAAGGGAAAAAAAATCCATTATTTGAAGGATCGGAACCCTGTTAATACACATTAAGAGTATACAAAAGGAAATCGTTATAGTTCCCATCCAAATAGACACAAGAAAAAAGCGAGCGCGAGGCTTTTGGTCAATATACAAAAGAGGAATCCATCAACGGACTCGAGCGCGAAGGGGAATCAAGAGTATAGAACAAGTCAAGAAAAGGTGAGAAATGAAACTCGTCAATCATAAGAGGGAAGGGGGATTGGGTTGGGGTTGATTTTAGTTGAGCAAGCTGCTGACTCCCATGCGGGTATCACGAGCAGGCTCAGCTGGGGCTGGCATCCACGACTTGGAGATGTCGGTGGGCTGGTGCCAGGATGCCAGCGTGGACTGGTGGGCCATCCAGCGCTTGGAGGCCATGTCGGAGAGAGACTCGAGAGACCGGGCCGGGTAGCTAGGCGAGTCTTCCACGACGTACACGCTGGGGCGGCGGATTTCGTATTGCGAGCGCAAGTCCACGGGCAGAGGCAGAATTTGCGGAGAGGGAATCGTGCGGGGCGAAGAAGACGAGCAGACGGAGTTCTGGTCGGAGACCATGGAAGGAGGCTCGCACGAGGTCGCGTGGGAGACCTCGGAGAAGGCAGGCGAGGTCAAGGGAGTTTCGATCGGTCGGTTGATAGAAGGCAGCGTGTAGATGGGAGACAGTTGGCGAGGCGCCGAAGCCAACGATTCCCGGCGGGAGTGGGAGTAGTGTTCGGAGACGGCTGACTCGAGGGAGTCGGTCCATGAAGGGCGAGCAGACGAGACGGAGAAGCGCGAGCGAGACGGGCTCATCATCGAGGCGCGGGGGTACGGCGCCTCGATGCGGCCGCTATAAGTGCGGGAAGTAGTGGGGGTGGACAAGCCACGCTTCTTGCGGTTCATGCTGCCATTCCACCAGTTCTTGACGGCGTTGTCGCTGCGGTTGCCCAGGCGGCGGGCGATCTCCGCCCAGCGCTTTCCCATTTCGTTGACCATACGCTCGATCATCAGTCCCTCATCGGCGGAGATGGGCTCTCGGTTGAGCGAGGGCTTCAAATTCTGATGGAAGCGCTCCCGACATTGCTTGGGCGAACGATAATGCATGTGTTGCGAGATGCGCACCCAGTTGTTTGGGCCTTGTTCACGGACCAGTTGGACGAGGAGTTGATCTTCCTCGGGAACCCAAGGGCCACGACGATGTGAAGGAGGCATGGTGTGTGAGTATGTGTGTGTGTGTGGATGTAGTTCGGGTGTAGAGAGAGAGAGAGAGAGAGAGGGAGAGTGGAAAGTTTGAAGTGTAGTCAAAAGTGCCAGTTGTTGAGAAACAGGAAGGGAGGCGAGGTATATAAAGATCCCACGAACCAGGGGGATTTAAAAAAGAATTAAAAGAATTCTTGGAATTCCAGCGATCCAAAGATCTCGGAGCTGACAGTTCGGAACAATACAAATACAGCCAAAACCACCAAACCACACTATTGTAATGAATCGATCGTGGGGAGTGGAAAAATGCTCCGTTGGGATCTTCAGTACGACCCGGGAATCCGGGAGGGAAAACCGCGTTAAACTGGTATCGGACGTGATCGACCCTGAGCCCCGTTGCTGGAATTCCAAATCATCGTTGCGTATGGTATTGTGGTATTGGCCGGTATGGGAGTATTTGAGTATCAAGTATTTGAGAATTTGAGAATAGGAGTACAGTATTGGAGTTTTTGAGTATGAGAGTATTGGGTATGGAGGTATTGTTTATTGACGTCCAGGGGGAAACAAGTCCAGTGATCCCGGCTATAGATCGAGAGCAACTACACAGTACAGTGTATCCTCTGCTCCTCTGCCCGACACTCACCTCTCGACGGTACGTCCAAGCGCCCCTCAAGCCCTAAGCCCAGGAAAGGGGTAGTCCTAAAAAAGCCAGGGGCAGATCTGGCTTCCGAACTGACAAGCGACGTCCCAGATTCCCCTCAGCCAGCCATGCACAACACTTTGCGACACGATGGGTTCCGATCGATGGTCCATCGGTCATGTCCGAGCTACCATTGGCCTGATCGGGGCACTCACCTTCTTGATGGACGACCCACTAGTGGAGTCGTGGGAGGTTTTGACAAATTCTGAATCTGAAGATCCAGTCGAACACACAGGTAAAATCGGAAAATCAGAAACGAGAAATCAGAATTGAGATTTCCATTTCAATAGTATGGGGAAATCGATGACAGGAAGCTTCGACCCCGAGCAACGCCGAAGCCACATCTCGCTGACCCGACAGAGTGGACTCTCTTCGCTGGTGTTGCTGTGATGTGCCTTGCAGCTCTCGAACCAGACAGTCGACTTGGACTCTACTAATCTACGGATATTGTAACTTGTACTCTATACTTAACATGCTGACATACTGACATACTATATACCATATACAGTACTATATGCATAGTCAATCCGAATAAATCAATAATACCGCATGGGCCACCTGCCATCTGTCACAGTAATCTCCAACACGGGCCACGATGTGACGTTTACCTGTAGAGTCTGAAGGGGAATATCCCTTCCCGAGGATCTGGTACCGTGTAGGACTAGATCCAATCAGAATCATGCAACGAGGAATCTCCAGTTCAGCACGAAGCCATCGCAATCTATATCCCGTGTGCGAGACCCCTCCCAAGGAACTATTTTCAGCCTACTGTACTGTAAACACTGGTGTACCATGCATCAGAGATCGGGGATCGAAGGGGGGGGGGGATCGAGGGAGGGATCGACGTGTGCGAAGTTTCCAGACTACCAGATTCGGTATCTCGCAGCTCGGATCTCCACCGGTGGAAACCGTTGAAACGCAAGCCACACCTTTTTTTGCTTTTGCGGAAAGAGGTCAAGCGGATTCAGCGCTTGTCATGCATGAGATCGCTGATTGGTCGGTGCTATTTGTCATGGTTCGAGGGCTGAAAAGGGTAAGGATGGGAAATCGTGAATATCTTGGGGGCTTTTAATCTATACACTCACACACACACACCCCCGGTTCGAAATAGATTAAAAAGATCACACGAACTATCTATAGAGTCAGTGGGGGAACCCCTTTTTCTTCTTTGGTAGTAGACTGTACAAGGTACACGTAGACGGTGGACTGGTGGACCGTAAAGAGAGATGTGAAGGATGGCCATGTGGACAATCTGGTCCATCTGGTCCATCTCGTGTCGAGATCGGAATTCCATACTTCTGGGAAACAAAAAAAAACCGTTACTGAAGGAACCCGTCCTGCTGGGATGCAACCTTGAGGGACTAGGGTATACCCGAGATTGGACCTGTCACTTAGCTGTGTACAGGATTTTAGCTTATTGATTCGGCTATTGTTTGCCAATCAGAGACACGGCAAGTATTTGAGATAAATCCTGGTCGACCTGCAGGGATCAGCGCTGATCGTAGTCCATGCACGGGGGATGAAGCAATGGTGGTTTAGAGCATCGAGCTTGGATCAAGACGGTGACAGCTCCAGCTTGAGTGGGACTGAGCTACTGTACAGTGTACAGGACGGAATAGCTGAGCTACAATCGCTGAACTTGCTGAACTTGCTGAACTGCTAAACTGCTAAACTCGCTGAGCTACAGCGTGTATACGGATTCCCCTGTCCCGTCACGTGTCTCATGGACTTACTGTCCTCGGTAGTCCCAGTTGTGACATGTTGGACATGGAACACATAGACATTGAAATAGGAACCCCAATAGCCCCGTTATTGGTGGGACTCTCTCGGGCTTCAGATTCGGGGACCACTCCCATGGTGCCCGATCTGTGGGAACCCGTTTGGGTCAAGCTGTGCCGCTGTCATATTTATTACCGTATATTCTTTATTCTTTATTTATTATATTATATTATTTATATTTTTATAGTATTATATTATTATTTCCGTGGAATACGTCGATCCAAGCTTATACTCTATTCCCCCAAGGCCACAGTTAATCTATATCCCGCCCTATTAAGCGAAAGCGAGTCCGGTGGGAACGAAGCCCCACGATGGCAGTTCGCTTTGAATGTCATGTACAGTACAGTACGGAGGAGACCAACTGATCCTTCAACTCCAACTCAGTAGAATCCCGGTACTGGGGATCCTGTGCATGGGTGGAGAGATCGGATGGGATCCTGCCTGTTCAAAGAGGTAAACGGTATACGATGCAAAAGGTAAATCGCAACCGGTTCAAACGTCAGTTTTGGGGGCCGTGACGAGGTGGAAACCGGTCGCAAATTTTGGTCACGTTTTCTAGTTTCAGGTTTCGGTTTTTTTCGGTTTTGGGCTCTCCACTCTCCGACTGTTCAAGGCTTTTGTCGGCCTTTGTGTAGAAAGGCCATTGTGGCTTTTGGAGGTGGAATCTGGCCCCTTTTTTGAGGCTCAGGGGGGGGGAGAAGGTGAGACTGGTGACGGGCGACTTAGGGCTTGTGTATTAACGGCCTCCCCGGTTGAGGCTGGACCATGTCCGAATTGGGTTTTTAATTGCGAGCTGGTGTCCAATATTGACAGGATTATGTCTAGAATCGACTGTCATACAGTAGAGAATAATGGATCATATAATATCCAATTTCTGGGTTCCGCGGTCGTGTAATCCGGATTCATGATCAGCCACGTGAGGCTATACTAGAGACTATTCACAGACTCGTACTTCGCCTATCTCAGCTACATCGGGAAGGCTTCAGCCATTACGGAGTAGTGGATAAGACAATACAACTCGGCCAAATTCCGAACTCGTGGACTTTTTCTATGTTCACTATACAGTAGCCTGGTATCACCAGGATCTATCACCAACCCTCCACCAACCCGCCACCAACCCTCCACTAACCCTCCATGGATGCAAGAACAAGAACATGAACAACAATAAACAATAAACTCTAAACCCAACCGCCAAACCGCCCAAGACAGCGGCTAATCGACCGGTCCAACGCCGTCCACCCGTGGCTGACACCCCACTCGCGCCACACCAGTCACAGCAGCGCATAACCGACAAGGCCACAGGCCTAACCTATCCACTTTGGGTACAGAACGGGAAACAGGAACCAGAACTGAATCTGACACTACACATGGGGTGGCAATGGTGAGTGGAGCGCAGGTTTCTCGTGGGAGAAACGGGTGTGAAGCGAACGGGCTGACATGGCTGAGACAGAAGCAAGGGAGTCGGTTATATATATATATTACTATTACTATACTGTACAGTATAACGGTAGTAAATAATAGAGAGTAAATAGTAAAGAGTAAACAATAAAGAATAAAGCAAGTTTCCTTGCTCAGATCAAGTATGCACAACACCCTTTTCCACCCTTTCCCACCCCAACAGACCAAGATAATCATATCAAATTCACATCCCACTGTACAGTACTCCGAAAAGGAAACCTGAACTCCCAACCCAACCAAACCCCCAATGCAAACAAAGAAGCAAAAGCAAAGAAGCAAAGCCGATTAAATCCCCGACACTCGTGGACAACCATGTGGACAAAATCTCGCCTGGAAACCTGCAGCCCAGTCCCCCAGCCCACGATGCTCTCCTCTCCTCTCCTGTACAGTACAGAGTACAGTAGGACTGTACTGCAAGTGAAGCAGAGCCTAATAAAGTCGGCAATGCACATACCCAGGTCCCCGAGCCTGACTCCGAGCCCAAGATGAATATAAACATACAGTAACATAAACATAAATATAAAGATGGACATGACATCCTGTACAGCACTGTACAGTATAATACACACAGCAGAGAAGATTGAAGCCATGTGAGATTGCCCGTGGGACTGAACTGGTTGTGATCGCATCCCCTTGCAGGACTGCTTGCTATCTACTAACATTACCAGCTACCAGCTCAGTTACCAGCTGTACAGAACTGGGTCATTTGACTGTTGCCCTGTATCTTAACGGTATTAGCCACGGCGCAAGGGATATGCAATAGAACCGATGGATGTGCGTGCGTGCGCGTGTGCATGCAGATATCCTCTGGAGCTGATGTTGACGTTCAATGATGGTCATGCGTGTCTTATGGACTGGGGTGGCTTGTCGGGGTTGGTTTACTGACAGTAGTGTAGTATACAGTAGTAAAGTATGGTGTAGTGTAGTGTAGTTCTAGTCTAGACTTTAGACTAGCTGATTAAATGGTCGTGTGGCAACTCTGCAGTATCGCGCTTGAATATATCATATATCAGATACAGTAGAGTATTGAGCTAGCGCCGATCTCTATATTCAGGGGGTTTATTCTTAATGGTATCGCTGAGACGAGACGAGCGATACTCTTCTTCCAAGGCTGTAACCACGGAACGGATAGAAAAGATAAGTTTGGAAAGCAGAATACCGTAGGACCAGAATCCCAAACTCAACAGGGCCGTCTCAGCAAGGTACAGTACAGTACAGTCTCGGATTGAAGAAGGCGTGACAGAAACAGTCCAGTGGTTCCCAGAGCATGGACGGATTGGCAGGGGTTGCCGTTGGGATGGTGCATGTCGGTTTAGTTCGGTCCAGGTCGGGTCAGCTCGGTTCTGCACACAATGAAATGGCCCTGGCAGTATGGGCCTGTACCTGTACCTGTCCCTGTACCAGTAACGTTGTATCAGGGTGGGTAGCTGAGGATCAAGACAGGTACGGTATCTCAGATAGAGTAAAGTGGACACTTGATACATGTTCCATGTTCGACTTTGGAACTGTGGTGCAGACCGAGACAAGGGGGGGCAGGGTAGGCGTGGGCGTGCTGTGAGCTGTGAGCTGTGAGATTTCAGCCTGCATGTAGCATGGCGACTATCGATGTGGCTGAGTATTCAATACTGGTGAATATAGTTTGGACCGAGTCCTACCGTTGAAACGAGAAGGCGTGGCATGGCCGGCCGACGATGACCATGGGCATATATTTGCGACAGGGATGAAAATTGAGACAAGATGAGGAGAAACAACCCAGGGGTTAGGGTGAAGACACTATGGCTTTCGGTATATTCAGCACAAGGCTACTCAGTAGTACCATATACACAGAAAGAAATCTAGTCCAAGAATAGGAAGGGAAGAGGCAGCCACCACAATCGCAAGGAGAGACTCTTTACATAAATTCCCAATGGTATAAAAGCAACGTCAAAATAAGATCAGATCCAAACACCACATGTACCAGTAGATAATCCCCCCATTCCATTACATAGATGAAACCCAAAACCCAGAGATAGAAAGAGATATGGAAAGGTTAGATGTTACCAGATGCAAGAGAATGAGATCAAATAAAAGTCAGATAGAAAAAAAAAAAAAAGAAACAGAAGACAAGACAAAGAAAAAGTAAATCGCTCAAGGGGTATAAATCGCTGTGCACTTCATAACCAGATATCGCCTTCTTCGCCATTGACCCATTGTGTCCACACTGCCTCATAGGCACCTTCGAGGTCGCGCACCCAGCGCGCCGTGTCAAAGAGCTTATTCTGATACCGCTCTCGGAAGAGCATCTGTCGGAGCTCCGCGAGACGACCGCGACCCTCGCCAGTGGAAGGATAGTGCAGATCCATACAAAGCCGAATAGCTTTATTCTCATAATCCTCAACAGAGCAAGCGATCAGATCATCGCGCGCGTGCTGACCAGCCTCGGATTTCGGAAGGGCGCTGCTGAGAATGCTGCTCGCCATGCGCGAACACATCTTGTACTTGTAGCGTGGGAGGGTGAGCAGCGGGGTGCCACTCCAGAGGACGTCGGTGGCGGTGGTGTGGGCGTTGCATTCGGGGGTATCAAGAAACAGGTCTAGGATCTTTGCTCGGGCGATGTGAGTATTCTTGGGTGCAACGTCGGTGAAAATTATTCGGGAGGCCGTTTCTTCGCCAGCCCAGGCTTTGGCGATGTCGCGGAGATTTTGCTCGCCTAGGTCTGGGAAGCGGAGAAGCCAGAGGACAGCATTGGGGATGCGCGCGAGGATGCGCAGCCATGTTCGGAACGTTGTGGGTTCAATCTGGAGACAGTGAGTTGAGGTCAGGGGGGCGAACGGAGTATAACTATGACATACCTTGTAGAGCTGATTGAAATTACCGAGGATGATTGTGTCATCGCTCAAATTGGGAAACAGTTCCTTGCGCATCTTCCACCGCCGCGCTTGTTCTTCTTCCCAGGATACATGCTTTTCGCCGGCATCTGGGGCACTCTGCCGGTGATCACAGCAAAAGAAAGTATCACGAGTGAAGACAATCTTCTCTCCATAGACCCAATCCTCTAGCTCCTCGCCATTATCCTCTTCCAAGACGCGCTCCTCAATGCGTGTCGTACGACGTCCAGGGCTCAAAGTCTCAGGAGGAATGGAAAGAGTGTCGGCAAGAATGTAATCACACCACTCAGCACCGAGGGTGCCCGCAAAGCCCATAAATGACATGTGAATGGGGGCCGGGCGCGCTGCAAAGACCTCATTACGAGCTCCTCGAGTGTAGCCGTTCAAGTTGACCAGAATATGAATACCATCCTCGATAATCTGCTGGACGATTCGGTTAACCGACCATCCACTTGCATCATGGAAGACAGATGATTCCTTCTCGATCTGGTGACGATGCACTGATTTGTCACTGGGAGTGGTAGCATAGCAGTATGACCTAACTCGAGAGGGGTTGTGCAGTCCAAAAACCGACTGCATCAAATGTGCAAGAGGATGGTTATTAAAGTCGGACGACACATATCCAACACGAAGATGTGGGCTCGGCGGAGAAGGTGGTGGGAAGACGGTAGGAGGAAGCCATGGAAGTCGCAAAGTTGACGTCGAAATGCGCAGACCATTCCGCTGAGAGATCTGTCGAATTTGCTTGGCTGTCAGGGGACAGGTGAACGTATGGAAAGGCAAAACAGTAGGAGCACTTGGAGCAGTAAGTGCGCCGGGAAGTTGAGGTCGACGGTACTTTGAAGGAGGGTAGTCTTTACCATAGACATAACGATCCTGGTACCATTGCCAAGTGAGAGACCGAATAGCTCGCTCAATAAGCCGAACAATGCGGGATCCTTCCCATTTCTGCCCAGCCCAAGACTGGAAGAGCTTTTCCAAGGAGCTTCGTTGACTGGAGGCGAAACGGCTGGAATCCAAGGCTGGAGCCATCTGTTGACACAGCTGCTCTGCTGTGGCTGTAGTCAACAAGCCACGGCCCCAATATTCGCCTTCTTTGAGTTGCCGATCGACAATGTCGACAACCCTTTTGATCCATCCAGATCCTGTGTCAGAGCTTAGAGAATCCCGAAGCATTCCCTTTTCATCTACGTGCCAGCGGTCGCGGAAGCCACGAGTGTTGGAGACACCACCACGACCGACCCAGTTGCAGACGGAGTTCAGAGCATTTGCCAACCCGCAAACAGCCTCGGCAAAGTCAGGGTTAACTTTGACGGCGCGTTTGTAGTATGAGATGGCATCATTGATCTTTCCAGCATCCTTAACAGCATTGGCTAGATTTGCCAAGGCAATGTCAAAATTGCTGTCGCACTGAACAGCTTGCTCATACATCTTGATAGCGGCCTGAAGCTGACCGATATCTTTGAGAAGACTTCCGAGGTTGGTGTAAAGATGGGCATGTCGTGCATCAAGATGCAAGCCGTAGTTGTAGTAGGCCAGCGCTAGGGAAATCCCACTACCAGGGGCCACGCCAGGAATTTCGGGGTGTTGGCTCTCCCCATTCGGTCGGACCAAGCCTCTGGCTGGTGGGTTGTTGTGAATACCAGCCAGTAGAATGCCAACATTATTAGCGGTAGATGGACTGGGTTGAAGAGAGAGGGATAGGTAGTAAAGGGCCAAAATGTCCCGCACACCAGGCGCAGACCTAGGAGCTCCTGCCGAGACGTTGGACATGCCATCCTGGTAGATCTTTGCCAATGAAAGAAGAGAGTTGCTGGTGGTTGACATGGCCGCATTGCGAGCCATACCTTCGGCCACAAATTGAAGCCCCGGCGGCATGCCACCGGCTTCAAAAACTAGCTTGGCGGTTTTCAATGCTCTATCAGGGTAAAGTAGGATGCTTTCCTTGGACTCATGCTCGGTTTGAGGATACCCACTGGGACTACCGGAGAAAGCAGCAAAAATCTGCTTGATAAGGCTCTGGATACCATGGCGTCTTCGACCAGCAGCGATGAGGACTGCATCCTCGAATGCAGACGCAGCACCGGCATTATCACCGAGAGCATAGAGCATGTTTCCTTTGGCATGAATCAAGGCTAGCATTCGCCCATTATCCGAACCAGGAATTGCATATCCACTGGTTGCGAAACCAATGGGCTTAGCATCTGGTGAGCCAGGCTCAAAGCCCTGAGTACGTCCCATGTCATCGTCATATTCGAACGATGCTTTGTCATACATGCAGACATCAGACACATTGCTCTCGGCATCACTTTCAGGCTCGCTGGCATGTTCGTCCGTCTTGAAGCAATCGCCATCCTTAGGGTGACGAAGAGAGTTCTGAACAAAGTCAATGATGTTGACGGCTTCCTTGCCTCGGTGGCTGCTGCATAGTAAGCCGATTAAATGTTCGACGGCTTCGAAGAAGCTCGGGCGTAACTTGACAGCCCGCAACCAGTTTCGCAGGGCTTCCTCTCGTTGATCAAGTGCCAAAAGGGTTGCGGCGAGGTTGGAGATCGCTTCTACGTGTCTGCGAATTGTTAATATTGATTGTCAACCAAAGCGTTGATAAACTCACGTTGAGTCACGGGCGATGATTCTGGAGTACCATCGAGTGGCTTTGTGATAGTCACCTAAGCCATATGCTAGGCAGCCTCCGAGGAGCATTCCATCGATCCATTCCCATCGGCTTTCTGCACAGAGATGGGATAGCATGTCCAGGGCGGATGCGGCATTGGATCCCGGTGATCCTTCGTTGAACAGTGAGCCACAGGCTCGAGTGAATGGAGATACCCCTATGGGACGGCCAGTGTCGCGCAGACCGAGCATTTGAGTATCAGACCCTCTGCTGTGGGCGAATTGATTCAAAGATGGGCGTCGAGTGTGAGCACGGGGTATGGGTATTTGCGTCGCATCATGTGGTCTGGCGTTGCCCATGATATGCGGTTTCTGTCGTTGAAGATCATATTGACTAGCGGGGTAACTATTATGGCGGGTAAGATCTGGGGGAGTAGGTTGAGAGAAATCAAGGCCGGGTTGGCGAGGAGGTTTGGGATAAATGACAGGTTTTTGAAATCGGGGGTGAGAGTCCGCAGTGCCGTTGGAGATGCTGTTGCGACGGGCTTGATGGATATTTGCAAGGAGATCTACATAGACCCCATGTGCCCAAGACAGCACCTTCTCTTTGAATTCCACATTCGCTGCTACCACAGGTCCTGGCTGTTGAAACCCGTGTGTCGACGGGCGATTGTTCCAGGCGACAGGATCGTTCAGAGGCTGTGGCGCTTGCGGGGGAAATGCTGATACAGGTCGATTGACTCGGGCGTGGAAAGGTAGCTGATCGGAGTGACGTGGAGGGAAATGCGTTTTCATGAGAGGGTCCTGAGGTAATCCCGGCATCGATTGACCCCACGCCAGTCCTGGATCTGGACGACTGTCCAAGGGCACCTGGGGTTGGTTAAATACCGGCTGGTTCAGGTCATAGAAAGGCTGACCCGTGGGGTTCAGCTGCTTTGCAAAGGGAGTCGGAGATTCATAACGTGCATCACGGAAGGCAGCAGGACGGTAAGGAATATACACCCCATCAGGCCAATACGGTCCATAAGGACCACTGCCCGCCGAAGCGGTTGGTCCCAGACATGACTGTAAAGTTGCCGGGAGGACTGTGGGCACATATGCCCCGTTCTGTAGGAGGATGCGCTGATTCCCATACAACGGTAAACTCTGGTTTAGGACCGAGTCCACGCCTGGAGGATAGTTGACCGGGCGAACCCAGCTCGTCCCGTTTGCATCTTGAATGACTTCGCCAGGCAACGCATTGCCGTCATTTTTGAAGACTGGCGGAAAGTTCATGTGTTTGGAGGCAGACTGGTCTACCATGGGCAGCCAATTTTCGGGCTGCATCCCAGCCTGGAATAGAAATTGGCCGGATTCCATCGGTGAGACCAAGATGTGCTTGGAGGCTGGCTGGATTGTGGTATCTCCTGGGGTCCCATCGTACCCCGCGGCCAAGGTTCCACTGGGAGTCTTCCGTCGTAGGGCATGCTCTCCCAGATTGGCGGTGGAGGTCGCGCCGGAGGCATCGCGGGCATCGAGACGTTGCACTGGGTGGGGGAGCTGAAGGCGCGATCGCGAGATGGGATTCCAGAAGGCTTTGGAGGGGTTGGTGCGAAAGGGCAGATTGTCGCTCGCTTCATACATGGGCTGCGAGCCATCCTGAGTCGGATAATGGTGTGTGCGGTGGTGCGGTTGGACGGTGGGGAACGGCGCGACGGTTGGAATCATCTTCACGGTCTTGAGAGGGAATACCTCGAGGCCGCGGGCACAGCCAAATGACTTAACACGTCAAACTGGACATTCAACTATCATCCTTGAAGCGTTTCCGATGCCTCATTATGTGATGCCAGCGTTCCAGATGAGCAGCCACTTTCACGTCATTTGCGAAGGACAGGTGGAAAGGGACCCGACGCAAGGGGAGACAGAATGTTCCAATTCCCGAAGCGGTCCAATAATCCACGAGCTTGGCGAGAAATGGACAGGGGATAATGAATGATGGAAGGTGATCGTGAGAGGGGAAGAGAGGAGAGAGAGAGAGAAGAAAGAGAAGAAAGAGAGAGAGAGAGACCGCAGAAAAGAAGCAAGTTGAAGCTGAAAAGGGCAGTGGGTTCGGGGGTGGGGAAGTGCAAGTCCAAAGTCAAAGTGAAAGTCGGAGTAAATGAAGTCCAGCGGTTTAGGGGATGTTCAGATGAGATCGAACAGTTCTTTCGGTGGTTGGTATTCTGAGTATGGCTATTCTGACTACAACTACTCTTCACTATTCAGGCCATGAACAGATCACAGTCTTACTCGACTTGTCACCGACCCACCACCAACGGCCTCTTCTTGGCCCTCCAAAGACGCCCTGGTGGATCGGGGATCCATTCGGGGCTCCATCGTCTCTTCGATATCTTGGCTTGATCTTCTCCTCTCTCCTCTCGACTCTCGACTCTCGACTCTCTTCACTATACACCTATCGCATTTCTTTCTCGTTGCCTCTCCTCTCCATCCTGACTACTGGAAATAGCCCCCCCCCCTGCCGCTTCATGCATCTCTGATCTTTTTCCTAACCCGGGATTCTGGGGTTAGCAAGGGAGGGCGATGATCCCCGTTGATTCGTACAGTCCGAATACCTGGACTTTAACTATTGCAGATCCTCATATGAAAGCCCACTGGAAGTACACGGTCGCAAGTCACCGTCACGGCCCCCAGTCGAGATCGACACACCCTCTTCCTGCATGGCCTGCACGACGTTCCTGTATGGATGCGAGTCGGGTCGTACAGAAATCAAACAGAAGAGTCAATCAGAGTTGCTCAGTGAGGGAGTCTACAGTATGAGATACTACATAACAAAAACAACAACAACAACAACAGAGACAGAGACAGAGATCCATATCCACCTACTCCCCCGTCCCAGTTATCCCAAGGCACTTGTTCCATGGCCGCAGCAGACCGCACCAACCAGGAGCGAGAACACACGAAAATCAAAGCGATCTGCACTCCACAAGTGGATGAGCACGAACATCGTCTTATCAGGGGCGGATTACCGGTGGAGAAGGAAAAAAAAAAGAAATTGAAATTGCACTTTATATTACTGTAGACATCGGCCTCGACAACAGTGTAGAATGACCCGTCTTACACCGATGAGCCACGTAGCTCCCAGTCCAGAAACAAAGACGGGAGACAACAAATCGCAAGGGCGTTCAATGGACGTGGCTCGAGGCGGTTTGTGGTGTTTTTGGAGGCGGTTTCAGATCCCAATCTAGGCCTGGATATATATAATCCAGTAGTCATCAAGTCTCTGCCATGATACATCGACTCCATCGACTCCATCGACACAGAATGGATTTCCAACCTGAAAAGTGACCCGACCAACAAGTGATACAACATGGCCCATGATTGCCATCGCCATCACTAGCCATGTCAATCACGACGTACTGTAGACGGTCCTGTCCTGTAGGCAACCCCGAGCAGCTTGGACACTACGGGAGATCCCTTGCCGCGCCTCGCCAATCAAACCCGTCACGATTGGGTTGACCGTCTTTCAGTGGTGTTTGTCACACTCTCAGGTGTCCCAGTCCTGCAAATAGAAACCGTTGTGCGGCAGTGCCGGGCGCAGCCCTGCTTATGCATATGCAGCTAAATCCATGGGCTCTGAGGGCGCTCAGGCGCAGGATTACGCAGGACGTGAGCGGGGTCATGTGACAGCTAACTTGCAGGCCTGGAGAGAAGAGAGACTGACTAAGCACCCTATCTGGGCCCTGGAGCTCAACTCTTCCGTGGTGGGCATAACACAAACAAGATCTGCAGCAGATTCAGTTGGCCCGCGATCGACAGTGTGATGATTTCCCCTTGATAGATCAATCGAGTTGAGGTGATCAAAGTTCAATACGGAGGTATAATAGGGAATAGACAGGGCACAGTATGGCTGAGAGCACTGAAAAGTCTGAACTATACCAGCCCTTCAATGAATACCTGCATTAACATGCGATCTTCATCAGGGAATAGCATGGACAGTTGATAGATGACAGAGGAAGAAATAGAGTTGTGCATGGATTTCAGGCAATTTCATTTTTTCTGGTAAGAGAGTCGATCTGTCTATTGACTACGTCTACGAAAGCAAGTATCTTGCATCTTGAGAGATGTAGACCCGTATGATGGATCACTGCACCCACGGAGCGAACTCCAAGTGTACCGCGATGAGTAATGGGACCGAATTCAATCTTCCCCACTTAAAATAAGCCACATACCACGTCGTGATATGATCAAACTCCGTGGAGAAAGAACGGTAAGGGCCAGAGTGTTGTGGGGGTTTCCATTGAAGGAGACTGTCGGCGACGCCGGGCAGCCTTCCACCATTCTCAGAGCGTGGAGGAATGCAAGAGAATAATGAAAGGGAAACGAGAAAAAAAAAAACATAAAAAAAAACAAGGAAAGTGGAGAGATACAACCGGAAGAACAAGCAGCGAGCTGATTCCATTTGTCCAATTGAAAACTCGCAGAGAATTATGAAAAGGTATCAAGGGTCATGACTCATGAACATTTTTGGTTTGAGAAACCATTCGTATTCTGCAACTAGCATCTCATCATTAAGAGTGCACGCCATAGAAATCAAATAGGCCACCTCTTTTTTTGACACTCGGGAGTGAAATAATTTATTCCTCGGGAACTGAAAGCGGTTAGTGTTGTTTCAGCTCGCAACCAAAAGAATTAACTTACTGTCAATCTCGCCAGCCTTGACGTCGTCGGAGACGTCCTTGGGGCTGCGACCGTCGACCTGGCAGCCGACGGAGAAGGCAGTACCGAGGATCTCGAGGACGGTACCGCGGAGCTCCTTGGCCATGGAACGCTCACGCATAACACGGGCCATGTCGATGATCTCGTCGAGAGTCACGGACTTGGAGTGCTTGATGTTCTTCTCCTTCTTGCGGTCACGGGGAGGCTCCTTGAGGGCCTTGATAACCAGGGAAGAGGCGGAGGGAACGACGGAGACGGCGGCCTGACGGTTCTGGATGGTCAAGCGGACGGTGACACGGATACCCTTCCAGTCGCCAGTGTTCTTGGCGATATCTTCACCAATCTTCTTGGGAGACAGACCGAGGGGACCGATCTTGGGGGCCAGAGCGGACTGGGCACCGACCTCACCACCAGTCACACGCAGGTGGCTATTGGAAACATATTAGCATTTGAATGGGTAAAATCTTCGAGCGAGGAGAAATCTTCACATACATGATCTTCACCTCATTGGGGTCGAACTTGGGAGCTAGACCACGAGGGAATGTTAGTCGCCATAAAGCAGAAACCCAAGTTGATGATACTTACGCATGGCGAGTGCGAAAGGTAGTCGATCTTCCTTGGTTGTCGAAGAGGATGGTTACAAAAGAGAAAGGGGAAGAGCGCGAGAAATTGACTTGAAGGCCCGGCGTGCTAGCGGGACCCACTCTACCGACCAACTAAGCGAGTGGCCCAATTTGGCGATCAGGGCATGACCTACCCACGTGACCAATATCGAGAGCTGTTTGCCTCTTTGGGTATTCTGTTGGTGGAGACACTATAACTTACTATGGATAGCTACCATACGATTCTACTGTAAAAGAGCTCAAGGATTAAAAACGCAGGTCTTTTGTCATGGTATCAATCCATTCAATCTACTACACCGCGTCAAAGGAATCAAATCACCGCTAAAGATACACAAGACCCGAGGGTCTACGACCGCCCTTTGCTCTCATGGCCATGTCTCATCATACTTAGCTGGTTCCGGATACAGCAAGCCTATGAAAGGTTAGTCGAGATCCACACAAGCTATAAACGGGCCACTCACTTCATCAGGTGGTCCATAAATGTCTGCAGGGACACGTCGTCAGTGAAGATGGTCTGAGACGACACACCCCCACCGTATCCACCCGTGGTGTGGGTAGTCGACGGGTTCAGCTTGGACAGCAAGAAACGGGCTTGAGAGCCACCAGCATCGCAGACAATGAAACGCGGCAGAGGGAATCGGTCAGAAATGAGATCCTGTAAGGCACAAGTTAGTTGTATGAGACAAAAGTTTGGAAGAGGCGAAACAAACCCTAGCGTCCTCCTTAGGCTGCTCGAGGAGCAACTTGAGGTTTTCGTAACCTTCCTGGTCCTGGTAACCCGCTTTCCGCCATTCAGCAATGGTCTCACCGTGGAAGATGAGAATGTGGAAGAAGGTGTCGAGGAGAAGGATGTGTGCAGGCTGGATAGAAGCGGAGTCCAGAAGTACGGGTTGGGCACCACCCTCGACCTCCAAGGAGTATGAGTCGAGGGTAGGTTGGATCATGACAAGAGAATCACCGGCATCTTCGTGGTTCAACACATGACGGTAGAAAGCCGTCTCGTCAGGTGAGTTGTTGAACACCTGCAGGAACTGGCTTCGCCGAAGATGGAACATGAACTGTGGGTAAAGAGTGAAGTTCTTCTCCAATCTGAATGATGTTGGGTCATCCTTGCGATAATCGGCAAAGCGAGAGCAGAGTCTGATCAACATACGATCAACCCAGCGGAGGACATCAGGACCGTCATCAACCTCGGCCTTGAAGACTGCGATACGGGCCATGAGAACGGCAGCAGCCTCCTGGTCGAAGGATTGTGCGAGGGTTGGGTCACCAGCAGGTCCGCTCAGAGGGCGAGCAGTGGTAGTGACCCGCAGATGGTAGTGGCCAGAGGAGTGCTGGTAATATGTCAAGAACTGCATCATACCGCGCTGGGGACCAGGCTGCACGGCAGCAGGACCGCCCTGGTTGGCAATCTCGAAGTAAATACCATAGCTGGAAGATGGATCGATTCCACACATCTTCCAAGCGCATGTGTTACCGATACCGCACTCTGTCTCGCCAACGGAGCTGGACTTCTTGTTCAAAGAGATAGCATGACCGATGAGACCAGTGACCTTGAGCTCCTTGGTTGTGAGAACCTCAAGAGATGCGTTGAAGCCCATCAAGAGGTTGTCGTTGGCATCCTTGTCGAACACGCGCACGAATGATTGCTTGAATTGTGAAGATGTGAAGCTATCGGTAAGAAGCATGTGACCTCCGGTGTAGTTGGAGAGATTCTTCATTTCCAAGAGACCAACTTGATCGAGACAACCGGCGAAGATATCGACAATGTGGCCGTTGTTGGCAGCCCGCTTGGCAAGTGTGTCATAGAACTACACTCCAGTTAGCAGGATATCGGATAGACCAGCGAATTTGAAACTTACCTTAACAGCCTTCTTGTAGTATTTGATATTGTCCCGGTCGATGTCGTGGTGAGAACGAATGGGCTCCTTCAGCTCAGGCGAAACAACGTGACCAGGGCCTTCGGTGGCAGCACCGCTGGTGAAAGCCATGATGCGGGCTCCGGCATTCTGGAAGGAGGTCTCAAGCAGACCAACAGCAACGCTCAGTGCGACACCAGTGCAGCGTAGGGGACGCTTGTCGTTGGCCACGGGCCAGGGATCACGCTGCAATTGCTCGAGAACATTGGTGATCTGGAATTCAGCCTGCTGGACGGGCATGAGGAAGCGCGCAGCCGGGCCGAGGGGAGGACGGGCGGGTTGCTGCTGAGGAACACCAGGGCGCACGCCACCGGCCAAGCCCAGCATCTCCTGAACCTGCTTTGCGGTGTATTCCTTGCTGCCTCGGAAGACGTATGACTTGGCGCATTCGGTATAACCGAGCTCGTGAACTTGGGCCTAAACGAAGTCAATGAAATGCCACCTCCCGTGTAAAGATTGCTGTCCTACCATTGTACCAAAAGTAATCAGACCAACCAGCGCATTGGGCGGGAGGAGAGACAAGCTCATAATGAGCGAGTCTTTCACGGCCTGCAAGCTGTCATCCTCTTGACAAGTATCGACGACAAAGACGAAGATCGGGGGAGCGGGGGCCGGCCGTGCCAATTGGTACTCGATGGTTGTGCTCTGCGGGTGAAGTTCGGGAGGTATCGTGTTCTCCGTGATATCCTTGTAGTGCGGGGGAAGAGGATTGCGAGAGAGACAGAAAGGACAGATCCAGATTCGTGCGCGAACATCGACAGTGCTAGCCTACGGTCAGTTCCGAATTCAATCCGGGGTAATGGCCTGTACGTACGCATATGGGTTCAACACAGCTCGACAGGGCTGCTTGCAAGTGACGGGCTCATACTGGAGCAGGGGGTTGTCGGACTTCTCCTTCAAAGGTGTGTACACGGCGGCAATAGGAACGACCAGGCGAGATGCTTCCTATATCAAGTCTTAGTGGATGATGCGGTGAAGGCTCCAGGGCCGATATCACGAACCATACGAGTGCTCGGGAAGGTATTCCAGCTGAGTCTGATTCCATCGCGGTCCTCGACATCACTCCATTGATCCTTCAGCGCCTCAAAATCCATGTTGTCGGTAGATGTTCCGGATCTCGGTGTGTTGATCAAGAAGAGGGGGGCGGGTCAGAAGTCGCGAAGAAAGGGGAACTTCGGATATTAGGGTCTACTCCAAGAAACTAAGTAAGAGCACCACCCGGAGCATAATCCACCAGAAAGAAAGAAAAGGACCCCGGAAATAGCTTGGGATTGGATTGAAGTGGAGGAGTATGTTGTGTGAAGGTACGGCAGTAAGGCCAGGTTGCAGCGCAACAGGTCTCTACCGCCCACCGGAACAAAACATTCCTTAAAAACTCGACGGGCCGCAGATCCTTTTCTCTTTTTTCTTCTTCATTCACGCCGACCAATATATGTGCAAACGTATATACTCAACAGCCTACATCTTCTGATGATGTTGGATGTTCTCGCGGTGAGCGGAGATCGATAATGGCCCGTTGCTGGGCACCTGGTTTTGAAAGGTCATTCTGATCCTTTCCGATCTTCTGGGAATCAGCTGTGGTCACACTCTTTAGCTCTTTAGCTACTTTAGCTATCGATAGAATCCTAGCCCAATGAAATGATATTCACACATCCAATGCTCCTTGAAACACCTATTGCCTATTGAAACATGCATATTACCCATAACCTCATGAAAATTTGACATGCTGTGAACCTCAACTATCCTTGGGCGCCCTGGCTATCTGCTTGAGCAAGAAGCTCCGCTTGAAATATGTGTTCGGGTGAACAATTGTATCAAGATCGGTCTGGCTCCACGTTCCATCCTCCTTGACCTTCTTGATCTCGTTCTTGTGCGTTGACTCGAAAACTCGATTGCACGCAATGTGGTACCGCTGCTTGCCAACATCTTCGCGCACCCCCCGCAGGGTCTCTTTATCATTGACACCTGTAGCTTGGAGGAAACCAACCAGATTATCAACTGAGAAATGGCGGTAGGGACAGCCGTGAGTCTGACCAATGCCGGGGTTGGAATCGCCGAGGATCTTCTGGCATGAGTAGGGAGTATAACCCTTTCCGCGACGATTCACATCTCCACCAACTTCACCGTAGGCGTGGCGAATGTTGTACTTGTATTGGGAGTTGAACTCGTCATCTGTCTTGCCCTTGAAAGACTGGCGCCAGAACAGAATACACTCTTCCAACGACAAACCAATACCCTTCAGGAAAAGAGTATACTGGAGTCGACCAAAGTGCTTCAGGTGATTGTTCTTTCGCAGGTTCACATGCAAACTCTTCATACACAGAGGGAAGTGTTGCTGCGCAAGCTGATCAATGGAGCTGGCTGTAATTGGGGCACCGTCCACATATCCTTCGCCCTCCGAGTATACTGATTCGGCGCTGCCGAAGTTCTTCGAGAGGTGATTCAAGATAGGTGTGAGGCGATCATCCTCATCCAATCGGGGGAGAGCACGACTCGTGAGCTACAGTCTCATTAGCAAATATCTTAATAGGAACTCTTGCAGACATACCTCAAGTGCACGCTCCAAGCGAGCAGTGAATTCAGCCATGATCATGCTAAGCTGCTCCCTTCCAGGGACATATGCCTTTCCTTTTTTCAAATAGACCGATCGCTTTTCAATCAGCTCAGGCACCTTCTCCCAGTCAACTTTGTACCATGTCTCATCATCTACCCGACGCAGCCCTGGGGTGGAACTGGCCAAACCCTCCGCAACTTCCGTTTTCTCAAAGTCGCCGACTGGCTCCCAGTCTAGACTGAGACTATCAATGAAGGCACGCTTTTCCCTTGAGTCGTCGTTCTGGAAACGGAATCTGAATAACATGGTTTCGGCGCGCGCGAATCGCCGCCGGAGGTCCTCCGTGGCCGAGAAGGCCAATCGGAGGATAAAGTGGGAATAATGGTCCTTTTGGCGCTCAATCTTCAAGCGCGGATCATTGGCGCCATTAGGAGAGGATGTGTTGGATGAGAGAGGGAGGAATTTCTGCAGAAGAGGCGTAATGTAGGTCGCCGTGTCTGCGGGGGACTTGTTGCGATAAGAGCATGCTTCGATTTCGGCGAGGACTGTCTGCGCGTTAGTTGAATGATTCTTTCAAAGTCGGCAGTTATACATACTCTTCAGTCGATCGATTGCCCATTGCTCAAATTGTTCGAGAGTAATTTCGGCAGTGGGAGGCGTCTCGTAGAAGTTCAGACGATGGGGATATTCTTGCTGCTTGTATATTGGGACAGCAAATTGTCTTTTCTTATGGTCGATCACAGCCCGCCTCTTGGGGTCGATACGATGAGCGTCTTGCCGAATCATGATGTTGTCGATGTTGAACAGTTTTGAGATCTCCGTCACTAAATTGGTCAACGCGACGCGTGCCTCGCGCGACAGGTCATGTGATATAATTCACGAGTCTGCTTACATAATCCCAGATCTGAGCTGGAGCTTCCATGTGCCAACTTTGGGAAGCATGTGAAGATGGAAGTTAATTAAGTAAAGTTGACTTGGCTACAAGGCCCAAGAACTCGATCATATGCCAAAAGCCATCCAGATCTCATAATACGTGTAATAGCCTTTACTGTCTGTATACAAGACCCCCTTCAACACTTCCCCATTCGGACAGCCCTCGGAGCATCCCGCTCACCGACAGCCGAAAGAATCGAGCTAGTAACCCCACAGAATCACCGATGCTCTGACCGTTGCTTATCTTCTTGGAGCTTTCAACCTCTTCCCCGTCATGCCACAATAGGGTTCCTTGTGATACTTTCCTCATCCGTGGTTCTTGCTGCGCCATCCAAATAAAACCAGGAACGAGACGCCCTTAAACCTTGATCCCTCCGCAGCATGTCTCCCACGAAGCAGCTCACCAAGGCTGCCCGTATTATCCTGATTGGGGCTCCGGGTGTAGGCAAAGGAACACAATCTGAACGACTGCTATCCCGTTTCCCCCAGCTGGCCTCAATCAGCTCGGGTGATCTCTTGCGCGAAAATGTGCGCCGACGCACACCACTCGGTAAGCTGCAGACCAATTGCGCATGCAAAGCATATATCTAACATAAGCTCAGGTATCCAAGCTGAGGCCACGATGCAGTCTGGAAACCTCGTTCCAGACTCTATGATTCTGAACTTGATCTCGGATGATATGAAAACCAAGGGCTGGCTCCTACCACAATCCGAATCCTCCACCTCAGCTACCTCATCCTCGCCTGCAATCGACCCCTCCGCTTCTTTCATTCTCGACGGGTTTCCTCGCACAGAAAGCCAAGCCACAAGCCTGGACAACCTAGTACCCGTGAACTTTGTCGTGCACCTCAACACTCCGTCCTCAGTTATCCTCTCCCGTATCGCATCCCGCTGGGTCCACGAACCCTCAGGGCGGGTGTACAACACAGACTTCCATCCGCCCAAGGTGCCAGGGAAGGACGATGTCACTGGCGAGACACTGACACAGCGACAAGACGACTCAATTGAGACATGGCAGCAGCGGCTACGAAAGTTCGAGGAAACAAGCAAGGCTCTTCTGGAGCATTATGACCGCCGGAGTGTTCTCTGGCGGGTGGAGGGCAACAGCAGCGACGAGATCACTCCGCAATTATTTGCAGAATTCGAGAAGCGGTTCTGCTGACTGTGAACGACGCATGTATACTTATTTTTTGTATGTTTTCGGACGAGACGATACACGATGAATATCCAGAGGGATACGCTGAGTTTTAATACCCGTTAATGGGAATGTTGGAGATATCTCCAGCGCATGTATAGCTAACTCAATTGGTGTATGATAATCAATATTCAATATTCGGTCTAACCTAATCATGATAATGTCGCCTAAATGTACAAAAAAGCAGGTCATCATACCATCTCATCAAATGCAAGTTCAAATGCAAGTGCAAAAACATATACAAAACAAGCCGCAAGCCCAGCTATCACGACTTTTACTTCTTCTTCTTCTCAAGAGTTGAATCCCCCATCCCCATCCGGTTCTTATACTCCCGCGGACTCTCCCAATTGCTCCCAACAGCCTTGTAGTCCTTCCAAAGCCCCTTGGCCCTCTTCTTAGCCCGCCACTCTGCACGTCGATACTTCTTCTCCATCTTCTCCCCACCAAACTCCGACCCAACCTTCGCTTCATAAACCGTCGCCAGCCCTTTCCTCAACATTTCATAGGAGACATCCCGCCGCCGAAAAGGCGGGAAATCAAACGCCCGGCGCACGTATACACTCGCGACAACACGCGAGTATTGGTCTTGTCGGTGGACAAGGGCGCGCACGCGCTTGTTAGTCAGGTAGTTCGTTAACCAGGTGTGGGCGTCGCGCGCGAAGGGCTGTTCCGGGCGACCGAAGTGCGCTAATTCAGGAGCATCTATGCCTGCGAGACGGATGTGGATCTGTGTTGTGGGTGGAAGATGTTAGCATGATTTGATCAGTGGTTCTCTATGCCTGGGGAATGGCGGCAAGGACGAACAGTATTATCTTTCAGCTCTTTCTTAGCTTTCGGGACCTTCTTCCAGGGCATCCAGCCCCAACCCGCGAGCCTACCACCAGGCGTATGGAAAATGCGAAAGTTATCACCATCGCCGACGGAAGTGACCTGGCCGAAGACGCTGCGGCGACGGAGGAATGATGGCGAGATGCTAGGCGCGTCTGGGATGCGACGTAGGTAGGTGCGGTGGATGCGCACGGAGATTAGAATGCCGCTTGTGAGGAGGATGGTTGGGACGAGGGTTCTTGGTTCGAGGAAGGCTCGCCAGTCTAGGACGGAGGTTGGGTTGTTTGCGGAGGAGCTCCAAGTGGATTGTTTTTCGTCATTGGTCGACTCGGATCTCCATGGTGGCCATCTCATCACGGCCCATGCCCCTGCTTTCTGGCAGGTGTCGAATGTTCAGGCGCGTGGTTGAGGTGTTTGCAGTGGGTGCGGAAGATGTTGGGGTGATCGACGCGAGAGCGAAGCCGAGGATCTTCTGCTTGGGTCAACGTTACAATGCCTTTTTCACCATGTTGAATGCTGCGATATTATTCTATACTAGTTTAGCCAGTATATAGAAATTTGTAGTATCGAAATTACGAAGTTGTTTACACCGACTTTCATGGCATGACAATGTTTTTTTTTGAGGCTCACATGGCCGAAATACTATCCTATATATAACCCTGCCTCAGTGATGCCCGAGATGGGATAATATCTAAGAGTGAAAGTTCGATCTTCTATCATTCAGGTCTTTACATCCAAGTGTCTAGACTGTACAGAAACAAATTGTGAAAGAACCAAGCGCCGAGCATAACAAGCATAGAGAGCGAAATGAGAAACAGCCTCCCGCCATTCTAAAGAGACGATCTTATTTCAAGGTGGCGGGCAGGCTAGTCTTAGCCTTTGATGCGGCAGTATCGACTGCCTTCTGCAGCTTCTCTTTCTTGATTCTGTGAAGGTAGGCAAACAGGACGACGAAGAGGAGTTCCATTCTAAAAGCCAGTCAGCAAAGGAACCTATGTTATACAGCTGGGATATGAACATACCTCTCCTTGGTCATCATGAGCAGACCTTGGACCAAAAGTCCCTTCAAGATCTGGGGTCCAATTCCCTTGAAAAGGGACAGGACACCCTCATTATCAATAATGAACTTCATGACCTCACCAAAGGTCTTGAAGGGCTTGCCATTACGCTCCGGAGGCGGGCGAGACTGGAGGCCAACCTTTGCGACGATCAAAGGCTGAGTTGCGATAGTAGCCAAAGCCTTGGACATGGCACCGAGGACTTTTTTCGTTAGCGTGCGATCGTTTCTAGTGGTGGGATATCACTCACGGAATGCCTCCCAGGGCTTGAGGCTATTTTTTCCGGGAAAAATGACCTCCTTCAGGCGCTGGTAAGCACCATATGTAATAGCAGGGTTGACTACCAAAATCAAGCTAGCCTTCAGGCCGCGCCACAGGCCGGTCCAGCCGTCCTCGCTCTCGATCACCTCGCGACCAGTCTCAATCAAGCCCTTCTTGTCGCCCTTGGGCTGTGTCTGCTGTCGGGTTGTGATGACGGCCACCGGGATGGTGAAGATCTGGGCGACAGCACCAGCAGCAGCACCGAGGGAAAGCTCGATCGCTGTACCGGGGGACTTGGTCGTCTTGGCCGTGGCCATGTAAAGCGTTCTTACAACGCTGTACCAATAGAAGTATGCGAAGTTTGTAGAGGCGACACCAAGCAGGGCTCCAGCCATACCAGAGTACAGACCACTAACGCCTTCCTTCTCAACAATCTTATTTATAGCGTCGACGGTCGATTCATAGCGCTCGAGGTCATCGCTCTTCTCAGCTCCTTCCTTTTGCTTGACCTGTACTTGCAGCTTGGTCTTCACACTAGATCGACATCCAATCAGCAATCTTGTCCCAGCATTTTGACAACTAGCGCATGTAGTGGGCTTACAGATCCAGCGGGTAGACCATTGCATTCGCCAGGACAGCGCCCGTCGCACCTGCAACGGCACTTCCCCATGGGGAGAGGGTAGGCTTAGATTGACCGGCCATGGTATAGGCGGAGGGTATGTGAAATTAGGGAAATTAAGCAAGGTCGACGAATCGCGAGGTTCAGGAGAGGGCTCGCTTGCGGAGCGGCCTGTAGTTTAGGGGAAATAGTTTAGCGGGGCCGTACTGCTGCGATGCAGAGATCAAGGACGTGGAGAAGAGAGCTCTGAAGAGTATCACTTCAGAGAATACAGGACATACCGAGGACACCCGAGTATCAAAGCCAAAGAAACCGATTTCGGAATTACCTGTTACTGCAAATTGCACCTCGGCGCTCACCTTAAAACTTGCCGAGGTCCACTTCGGTATCCATGCGCGGGTCACGTGGTGGTATTTATCAGATCTCCCGTATAGAGTTGTGTATTGCATTTACATCCCGATGGCAACTGGCTGCAATGCCGATTATTACGCTTGTTCTCTTCCGAGAGATCTTCAACTCTATATATTGGGGATGTTGGTCTTTTCAAAAAATCCTCTAAATCACTTAGGTTCAGGATGCTTTGCTCCTCGCGTTCACGCTAACATGGCGGCAGCGTCAACCCTTACTATTTTGCCACGTTTTACCGTCTTGATCAGGTAAGACATGGAAAAGCGATCAAGTGTAGAGAATTACATGTTAGGAAGGATAGAAGATCCGGCATACCGTAGTTCTAGAGCATCTTACACACGCATTCGAAGAGTTTTGGTATCGAAGACAGAATGGTAAGAATAATGGTAAGCGAATTTCCAGTTTCTCATAGGAGCAAGTTAGGATCTTGAACGAATAACTAAACAAAAAAGAAATCCAGTATCTAGAGCCAACCAAGCGAGAGCTTCGCAATAGTGACGTCCTCATAAGAAATTGAATCTCTTATGTTTTGCGGTTTCCTCGAGGAAAGCGATTGCCGGGCTCTCTGTCAAATCTCCCGATCTCCCAATCCCCGCATTGGCGGTGTTAATTGCCCGACTTGAACCCTGAAACTCGTTAATTGCCAGAATACGAGCCGTGAAAGTCTTCCGTTATAACGCCTCGATACGATTTAGCCTTTGCAGATTGCCAATGGCGTGTTGACTAAGACGACTTGATCGATCATAACTATAAAATGGGCTATAGTTCTGTATATTCACCAGACGCGTGATGACAGGTTTGTCGTACCTGAGTATGGCGAACTTGGTATGATTGCTAGTTAGTCTCAAAAAGGATGCCTTCCTCTCGCGAGAACGCGACGTTATCACGTCGAGAGCCTTCATCATGAATCGATGAACAGACATATAATCAAACAAGGTATCTGAATAAATTTGTGGCTAGCAAAAACGATATCGTTGCTAGAAAGGTTGAGCTCCTCATGACTTTCTAAGCGGTTCACTTATAGGGCTAAGTGCAGGTGCTTCCAAGGTTCTTTCCAACCTTGGAAGGTCCTGCAGGGTCCAACCCGGCTTACTAAGTACTTACTAAACGTGTCTCAGAGCCGTGGACCTCCCGAGGCTCACTTGGGCACTACCTAATAATACGGAAATCACATAATTAATCTACGTAGCCCTGGAGCTTAGTGAATTTAACCCCATTCAGATCTACTCAGTAAGCCGGATTTTAAGCGCCATAACAAAGGCCGCGGCAGCTAAGATACCAAGAAAAACAAGTACGTTTAGCCAGCTGTATACTATTTCATTTTCTAGTTCTCTCCACCACCTCATTCCTTTCTTCTACTTCCACCCAACAGTATGTCAAGGCCGCAACAACCCCATGTATCGGAAGCCTTGGTTTGAGCTACTCTCCTGCCGTAAAGATGCAAAGAGTCTAACAATTTGATAGAAGGCCGAAGATGGCATAGCGGGGGCGACCTCACAGAAAGCGGCACTGGAAGCGGCTATCACTGCCGCGGAGCATTACATGAAAGCCCTGCGGCTGGCCCCTGCCGACGAGAAGAAACAGCTTGATTCCAAATGCAAGGAATTGATCATCCGAGCCGAGACGATCAAGCGCGCTACTGACTGGAAAGCTGCTGCGGGGCCCCAACCCATTCAGAGCTTAAGCCCGCCTGCATCCACACGGAAGCTCACCACGCGGGAGGAGATCATTATTCTTGAGGGCGCGAAACTGAATGGCTATATCTTTCCACCCTGGAGTCGAGCCCCGAATGAAGATGAATTCATCCTGAAAGATCGGCCTTTCACGTATGTGGAGAAAGCGTCAATCACTATGCACATCGCCTAACCGAGCATAGGGATTCACCTGATCTGCATCTTTCCGACCTCCAGAAAGATATTTTTGCAGGATGGAAACGACCACATGATTTATTGAAGGATGCGGCCACGCCAGGCACAGCTAATCCAACCATCTCAGCTTCAGGCCAAACCGATCTGGTGCAAGATGTCTTGACTGATTGCTCGGTTGTGGCCAGCTTATGTGCCACAACGTCTCGATCAGAACGAAGACTTGGGCAGGTATGAACTTGGTCTATTCTATTAATCAGACCAAATGTTAACACGAGCAGAATGCGACACCGACAATGTATCCGTGCAATGACGAGGGAAATCCAGTACTATCGCTGTCTGGAAAGTATATATTCCGCCTATACTTCAATGGATCCTTCCGGAGAGTGGTGATTGATGACCGGCTGCCTTCATCCAAAACCTCAAGATCACTGCATGTGATCGATCGAAACAACCCCAATTTTCTCTGGCCCGCTCTTGTCGAGAAGGCATATCTGAAAATTCGCGGCGGCTATGATTTCCCAGGAAGCAACTCAGGAACTGACCTTTGGGTGCTGACCGGATGGATACCCGAGCAACTCTTTATACACAACGCCGATTTCACCTCCGATGAGATCTGGGAACGTCTATACAAGGCCTTTTATCATGGAGATGTGGTTTTGACCATTGGAACAGGCAGTCTGACCGAGACCGAGCAACAAGGTATGGGCTTGGTAGGCGAGCACGACTATGCTATTCTTGAAATGAAAGAATCTCAAGGGCGCCGTCAGTTCCTCTTGAAGAACCCGTGGGCTGGAGCAGATCCACATATACCGAATAATCTTAATCTTGATCCCAGCAAATCTCCTCTGGCCCCGGGGACCTTTTGGATGGACTGTGAGCAGGTGTTTCAGAACTTCGAAAACCTTTATCTGAATTGGAACCCTGGGTTGTTCAAATATCGCGAAGACATTCATTTCACCTGGGATTTGTCTCATGGACGTGTTATTTCCGGCTGTTTTGTGAAAAACCCCCAGTTCTCCCTCTCCAGCGAAGCCGGAGGGACAGTTTGGCTTTTACTTGGGAGGCATTTCAAGACCGATGATATTCAAAGTGCGACAGGATTTATCAGCATCTATATATTCCAAGCAGATGGCCGAAGAGTGTCCCTGAGTGATGGACATCTCCACCGTGGTCCATATGTCGATTCTCCAAATACTCTCATGAGGTTGGAAATGCCTCCGAAGTCAAGGTGGACCGTGGTGGTCTCAGAGCAATCTCTTCCATCCTCTAGCCAAAACTTCACGCTTTCAGCATTCTCGAATTCTCCTGTGTCAGTGGCGCCGTCACTAGATAAATATTTATGCGTGACAAAGGCAACCACTTCATGGACTGCAATGACAGCCGGCGGTAATGCCGAGTCACCTCGTTACCATTCGAACCCACAATTCAGCCTACAGATATCCGAGAGAACGGATCTTTCCATCTTGCTCGAGGTAGCAGAACCAGAACTAGCGACGCACGTCAAGTTATTCTGGTCCAACGGCCAGCGCATCTCACGAGTGCGAAGCCGAGATATCATCGCAGATAGTGGTGAATACCGCCGGGGTTGTGCATTGGCCGAGACGAAGTCCCTGGAGAAGGGCACTTACACCATAGTCTGCTCCACCTTTGCAGCTGACCAGCTTGGCCGCTTCACGTTATGGATTTCCTCAACGATCCCATGTATAGTGCAACCATTGGCATCCGAGTCCGCTGGACGGCGCGTTGTCTTATCTGACGTCGGTGTTCTACCGCCCGGTCAAGATCGCATGTTGGCATCGCTGCAGGTGTCACGCCTGACGCGAATCAGACTCATTGCGAGAAATAAACAGTCTACGATTGGCTCTCGTGCTGTGGCTCCGTCGCCTGTGCTGATGACCGTGGAGCTGGGCCAAGGTCCATATAAAGAAATTCTAGCCACCTCAGAGGACGGTATTCACAGTGATACGGTGTCCGGAGTTCGGGTAGAGGACTTCGATCTATATCCCAACGGTGAGTCACGCAGTGTCTGGATTGTGATTGAGCGCATTGGTGGACCAGGAGGACAAGTAGAAGACCATTTCGAAGTTGAGGCGCTGGCAGAAGAGAAAGTGGAGATAGGAACGTGGGTAATTGAAGATGAATGATACCCAGAGCTCAGAATAGAAATGCACGAGTGTTCAAAGGTCAACATTCTATAGATAACTCACATCTCCAAATCGAGTAGTCCCCGCACCGGGCGGTGTCAACCCCCCGTTCAGAACGTCATCTGCCATCTCCCCTCCCCTTAAGCTACCCACCAGACAACATGAATAACATCCCAGCTGGACTACGGTCCGTCGATATTGGGCGCTTTGCCATCCGGGCTGCTCAGATCGAACAGGCCAAACCGGTCGTTGCCTACTGGTGTGAGTATCCCCCGCGCGCGCAATCCGGTGTGTTGACTGACCCCCAACGCAGGCAATTTCCATATCGTGAACCAGATCATTGAAAGGGGCCTCCACAATTCCGACAATGAGATCATGCAATACACCACCAGTCTGGTGGACAAATTGGAACGGGTGAGTCGATACCCCGCCTGTGTTCCGCAGCTCCTTAAGCAGCGCATCTTTGGACCGCAGGACTGATAAGATTGGACATGGTAGTTTAAAGTCGAGAACCCAGGAGACGAGACAGTCACAGATGAAGTTGCAGCAAGTGCCTATGTCGAACAGTTTGGACTGGAAGTCTTTGGTCGCGCCGAGGCTGCTATGAACGCCAACAAAGTCACCAAGTGAGCCCTAGGATTGCCTTGCAAAGCCACAGACGACTGACAATGCTTCAAGGCAAACCGCAGATACATTCCAAGCAGCAGCTACTTTCCTCGAATTGTGCTCCATCTGGGGCGCCGACCCAGAGATAGCTGGGCGCATCAAGTTCGCCAAGTTCCACGCCCTTCGCATCGTCAAGGCCTTCAAAGCCGGAGAAGACCCCAATGAGACGAACCCTGCCCCGAAGGAAGACGAGCAGGTAGTTGAAGATCCCGACGTGCAAGCCTTCGACGAGTCAGTAGCAGAACAAGCCTCCAAACCCAGTCAACCCTCAATCGAAGAGATCCCAGACGAATCAGACCGCCTCGGACGAGACCTAGCACGCAAGTCAACCCTTGACGAATCGCTTCACCCATCCCGCACTTCATCCACACCTCGTCCAACCTTCACTTCCCAGCCCGAGATCCCCTCCGTCCCGCGCAACGCACCCGGCTCACCCGCTCTGCCAACGGACACCGACTATTCTGGCCCAGGCCTGGAACTCCCTGATACCCCAGCAACAATTGGAGGATCCTCCTCTGGACCAGGTCCAACCCTCCCCGATACCCCAACCTCTTTCCAGTCTTTCCCCCCTCCATCCAACCACCCCTCTGTAGACCCTGCTTCCTTCTACGACTCCGCCACCAATGCCAGTGCGAATCTTCCTCCCCCGGCTGCTCCGCCCGCTGCGCCCGCCCCAGCTGCTTACATCCCTTCTGCCCCTGCACCCTATGTACCCCCTCAGCCATCTCACGGGATCGATGATGCCTCGGTTCAAATGGCGCAGAAGCATGCGCGCTGGGCGGTGTCTGCGTTGACCTTTGATGACGTTGATACTGCGATTAAAGAGTTGCAGAACTCGCTGAAATTACTGGGGGCGGCATGAAGTAGTTTGTGGGGATAGAATTTTCTGTGGCTATCTGCGTTGTCGATATACCATATGAGCAGCTCCTTTCACTGTGTTTCTCCGGGGGGGATGTTCTCCGAGTCCACCTAGAACCCTAGAACCCTAGAACCCTAACCCAGGCCAGGGAACCAAGATAAGCGGAGGCTTAGCATCTCGGGCGATCGGAACCCAGTACCATGGGCCCCGGAGTATATCACCTCGTGCAGCGCAACACCGCTCCCTCCAATACACGAAACATGACCCCCCGGCTTGCAAATTGCTTGCAAATCGCTTGCCAATCACTCACAGTCAACTAACCACTATTCGCCCCCTCCGACGTCACTCAATTCCCTCATACTTTCCCACCTCTCCCAACTCTCAAACTCTCAAATTTAATGGTGCCCACTGTAAACCCACTTGGCTCTCTAATAGTCAACGGCCTGGAGTGGGCTTGGCATGGGATTTCAAGGAACTTTTAATCCTCCCCCCTCTCTCCTTTCACTTTCCCCTTTTCACTCTTCTGGCACACAATGGACAAGCCTGCTGTATTGATTGTCGGTGGTCTGGGTAGGTTAGCTAGTTGCCCCCTCCTGTTCCGACTAACCCCTCCTAGGCTTCATCGGCCGCCATCTGGCACTATATCTCCACGAAAACGACTTGGCCTCCGAGGTACGATTGGTCGACAAAGTTCTGCCCCAGTTGGCGTGGCTGGCCCCAGAGTTTGCAGAGGCCTGTTCCAAGGAGAAGTTTGTCCAAGCCGATGCCAGTCGTGAACGTAAGAGCCACGCCCACTTTGTGTCATCCTGAAACCCATTCTCACCCACCCCCTCCCCTACACCAGAACACTTCCCGCGCATTTTCGACCGAGCCAATGGCAAGCAATTTGACTACGTGATCAACTGTGGAGGGGAATCAAGGCACTCCCAACCCGACGATGTCTACGAAGTACGCAGTTATGCCTTATCTATCGCACTGGGCAAGGAGATCGCCCGCCGTGGCATCCCCGCCTTCGTCGAAACCTCCACCGCCCACGTCTACAAAGGCGGCTCTACACCTCGCAAGGAATCCGACAAGCTGGTCCCATGGCACAAACTCGCCGACTGGAAATTGAAGGCCGCAGAGGCCCTGCGCAAGATTCCCGGCCTGCAGTACTGCGCCATGCGCCTGCCGCACGTCTACGGCGCCTACGAGACAGGCTACTTCGCCACGGGAATCTGCCTGTCAGCCGTGCATGTCGACCTCCAACAGGACCTCGTCCTTCTCCACACCAAGGATCTGAAGGTGAACACGCTGCACGTCAAGGACGCCGCCAGCGCGCTGTTTGAAGCGGCCAAGTGGCGTGCCCGCGTGGGCCCCATTGATCCCAAGGACGGACCAGTTGCGTTCAACGTCGTCGACCACAACGATACACGACAGGAACACGTGGCCAACGCGCTGACCGAGGTCTTCGGGTTGAAGGTGTCATTTGTTGGATCGCTCGCTTCGCAGCTTGCCAAGCTGAACCTGGACGATGTCGTCGATGATATGAACGAGGATAGTCTGCAGACTTGGGCTGAGCTCGTGGAGAAGGCTGGCATTGCACGGCCCGGCCCGATCAGTCCGTTCCTAGAACGGGATGTCCTCAAGGATCAGGATATGTCGATTGACGGGTCGAAATTCGAGGCTGAGACCGGCTGGACGCCAAAGTATCCTAACTTTGGTGCCGACAGCATTCGCGAAATCGTCGACAGTTATAAGCGCATGGGCTGGTGGCCGTGAGGCTCTTCTTTTCAACCTTTTTTTTTTCCTCTCTTTTCATCTTTTCATCTCTTTTCTTTGATCTTTCTTCTCCTTTAAGATATCCCGTCTGGCGGTTATTTTACCTTTTCTCTTTTTTCACCTTCCCCCTTTTATCCCATTTTCTCTTTTCTCCATGATTCATTAACGGTCCCCCAATATCCGATGAGAAAAAGCCCAGCCATCGCATCGCATTGTGTCTAAACAGAAAGCATTGTATCTACACGACACGACCCCCCTTCATGATCCCATTTCTACACTTGCATCATTCTCTACCTAACAAAATCGAGAAGCTATTCATCTGCCACGCAGCTTGGACTGGTCCAGCATTCCACTACCAGATCTAGATCTAGATCTGCCCCTGCACTGTAATTGATCATTTTTCTTCTTGCTGGGTCTTCTCGGATCTTATTTGCTATGCACATATGCCTTCATTCTCTCTTACTTATTTTGGATTGATCTGCATAGCAGCGTATTGAGCCTTTTATATCCCTTAGTCCGTTCCCGATGGGTTCGTATCGTTCTCGCATACATGTTTGATCAAAGCGTCAACGATAGATCGGTGTATTTCTTGACATGCATACGGGATGAAAGTACAAAGGGTAGCATCAATTTGATTGTGTGTGAAAACAACCACTTGGCATCTTCGGCCTATGAATCGGGTTGGAGGGTCAGGCTTCAGTCCCACTCGGTTCATGCATTGGCGCTGCAGGTCTGTTGTGCAGGTCCCACTGATGGACTAACCCACTGCGAAAGACAGAAGTACGGGAGCGTATTCTACAAGAAGAAAACTATACAGAATGACGGAATGCATTGCTATCTTGGCTATCTTGGTATCAGAGATCTACCGAAAAGACAACAGACAACGGACACAATGTGCAAATGCTCGAATCCTATCCCATGCATACGCAGATATGCATCTAAAGGAAAACCAAGCTCAGATGTGAATCAATGTTGTCTGTTTTCTCACTTTCTTTTTGGAAATTTCGCTTTTTTTTTCTGGTTTCATCCTGACATGAATCTCAGGTATACTCACCTATCTTACTCAACTTCCACCGTGTCGGAAGCCCGTTCTGAGCTCATCCGTTTCATTGCGATGTCAATATAGGCACTTGCTTTTCATCATGATGTATAGAAAGCAAATGATGAAAAGCAGGGTTATAGAATAGAAAAGAGGGAAAGGCAAACGGTCTGTTGTAGAGACTGCAAAAACCGAAAATATTGTACGAGAATGTAATATGCGCGGAAACGAGGACTGCAAGGGTGGACAATGAGGGTTTAGAATTCCCAGTCTTCCTCAACGGACTTGATGGCCCACTCGAACTTCTCACGCAGGGCCTTGGAGAAGAACTTTTCAATGGGGACATCAAACTTCTTGCTGAACACGACCGTTAGGCGAGGGTCGATATAGTTCTGGAAATAAATTAGTAGATGTTTGATTATGCCAATTAATCGAACTCACAATCTTAGACGTGCCCAAGGCAACTTCCTTGTTATCTTCCTTGTCCTGAGCTTGGACGGACATGGTCTCGACACGCTGATCAATCTTGGCGATTGCAGCTTCGAGCTTTTCAACAGTGGCAGCACGGGCCTCGGCCTCGACCTTGCCGGTCTTGTTCTCCTTCTTAAATTTCTTCTCCATCTCCTTGACGACCTGCAGACGTTCCTCGAGTTCTGTTGCCTTCATTTCTTTTTCGCCATCAGCAACACGTTTTTCGTTGTCTTTCTCGAACTTTTTGGTGATCTTTGTGGTCTGCTCCTCCATCAAGAAAGCTTGGTGTTCATTGATCCATTCTTGATCGAGGTCTTCGTCAATTTCAAAGAAGGCAGCACCCTTCTTCTTCTTCAAAGTAGGTTCCAAGTCGAGCATTTGCTGCTTCAAACGCCATTTCTGATAGCGAAGTCCCTTGATCTGTTGGAAAAATTAGCGATTTGTGTTTTGATGTTATCAGGTGAGTTTGAGCTTACACGTTCGCCCATCTTTTCCATTGCATTAGCATGGCCGGCAGTGACTGTTCGCTTGTGATTACACAAGATGGCAACCTTGCGGTTGGCGTCGTTATACGCCTTGACCTTTTCGGCAGCAGTGCTACCTGTGGTTTTGATTTCCTTGAGCACGGAGCCCATTGTGTAGGAAGCGTTGTAAGTACGGAAGACCTTGGCAGTCAATCCAGTCATGTAGTTCTGAAGATGCTTGTTGAGAGCAGAGGTCTTTTATTGGTCAGTCATGCTCATTTGACACGATCAAGGGGGAATATATACCGTCAGGCGATCGAAAATCTCGTCACCATTTTTCTTGGGGGCCTTCTTGAAAATCTTGAGGTTCTTGAAAACTTGCAGATCGACTTTGACTTCATCGTAGAACCGAATACTATCCTTACCCAAGAAATCGAAGACGACAGTCTGTGGGGGCTTCAATGTAACGTTCTCGTATTTGAGAGAACAGCAGCCAACGGTCTCAGCTTCGTCTTCGCCCTTCTCATTTCCAGCACGCAGAGCAAACTGATCAATGAGATAGACTGCCGTGGCCTTTTGACGCTCCACCATCATGTCGTGCTTCAGGTTCTTTTCGTAGTCCTTGCGGATCTTCTCAATGTGCTTCTTGAGTTCACGAGCCTTTTCGAACTTCTTGAAGTCACTTTGTCCCTTGACATCGGAGTTGGCAGCCAACATGACATACTTGTAGTTGCCGTTGATGTTCTCCTGCCACATGGCAAGCCATGTACCTTCCTGATCGTGCTTCACTTCCTTCCATTGGTGACCCGCAGGCGGGGGAGGAACCTTTGCATCCTTGCCAATGTTGATGGTGATCTGCTCAGGTTGCACACGAGTCTTGACGCGACCGGTCTTGGGATGCTCACCACGGCCTCGGAACAAAGAAGGCGGCTCCACACGGAAATTGCCCACCTTTTGCTTGCGACCATCCCAGATGCAGTACTGGTACGCAGCTTCTTGCTCGTCTTTTTCAGCCTTGAGACGCTTCTTCTCGGCTGGTGGCAGTTGCCTCTTCTCTTCACGTTGGGCGTCATAGTATTCGAAGATGGGTTTGAAGTCGCACTTGGTGAAATCTTTGATATCGATTTTGTTGCCGTTGTGGTCCTTGGCTCCGCCGGTCTTCTTGATAATATCCTTGAAGTCGGAGAAGAAGTTCTTCTGGAACACAGGGTTTTCCACATTATGGGCCGAGTTCAGCATGCTGCCGAAGAAACCAGCGACTTCTTCCGCCTCGGGTTCGAGGGTGACCGGAACACCATCATAGCGCATCTTGACGTTCTTTGGAAGTAGTTCATACTCAGGAGGGAACACAACGCCGCTGTGTTCAAGGGTGGTCCACTTGATGGTTCCGTCGCCCTTGCTCTGGTCTTCCCACCAGCGGTAGCCCTCCTCCTCGTCATTGTCTTCCGCGTCCTGGCTTTCTGCCTTCACCGTGCCAGCCTTGCTCTTTTTGGCAGCAGCAGGCTCCTTCTTGACGGCGGATTTGGTCGCGGGCTCCTTCTTGACACCGTTGGTCTGCTTCTTGGGAGCAGGCTTGGTCTCCTTCTTCACGGCGGGTTTGCGCGCATCCTTTGCCGCCGCCGCTTCGATCTTCTTCTTCTGCGCGGTGAGCTTCTTGTCAAGTGGCACATCTGAGTCGGAATCCTCGCCAATGGCGGTCTCGGTGGCCTTGGGAAGCTTTCGTCCATTGCGAGCGAGGGGAACATCTTCATCTGTCTCAGGATCCTCGTGTTTCACGGAGGTGCGCCGGCGTTTGCTCTGCCGAATGGTTAGATGTGTAACCGAGAGCGACGGTAGTGTCACAAGCGGGGGAAGAGGAAGCTCATCCCGCAATTGGGGGTAGGCGTACCAAAGGTTCATCTTCTTCACTGCTTTCTGCATAAGATTTTTGCTGGGTAATACTTGTTCGAGATTTGCGCTTCGCAGGCCCCGCATCATCAGCATCCGCGTCTTCCATCTTCACATCTTTGTCTTCCACAGGGCCGAATCGAATAGAAACGCCAGGTTCAACATGACCATTGGTCCCCGGTGAGCTCGAGGTTGGCATCTTGGCTTCGGAAGTCTTCGGAGAAACTGGATTGAAAGTCGAATGTAAGTGAAAGCTCAAAAGTACGGCTGAAGTATGCAGTGACGTCAAAGCGCGAGGAAATACAAGAGTGAGAATGATCGACTGAGGGATCAAGTAATCCCAAGAAGTAGTGAAGAGAGGGAATGAGATCATTTTTGAATGAAGTCGAGCATTGCGACCAAATGACCAGATGTAAGAGACTGATTCAGCTGAGACGGAACTTACACTTGGCACGGCCATTCGCGCGCGCGAGAGGCATATCGTCCTCCGAAGAGCTCATGATGGTATTCAAAATCGCTGTAACCGGGGATCGGGGATATATTGAATAGAATCGACGTTGTGGTGGAAGAAGGAGTCCTCGTGCGCCGAGTCGGGCAAATCGAGCCGGCTGATAGATGAATGAAGGCAAAGAAATACTGACCAATGAAGAGCCAAAGAGGATTTAGAAGCTGAACTGCATCAATAAAGCAGCTAAGGAGGGGGTAATGCGGGTGGGATCGGACGAGAGGAGGTATAAGATGAGAAGTGAAGAAAAGGAAAGAGGAAAAGAGGTTGGGAGTTTGGGGGAATGGCAGGAATGGAATGGGAAAACGAGGTCTTGGACAGTTGGGGGCCTGAGGCGTCTAAAGGTAACGACGGCGTAACGAGTAAATAATGCCTGAGGCATAAATTACCTTGTGACCTCCCAGAGGCTGAGGTCCGGATGACATAAGATCCGGATGACATAAGTGTCAGCGTGGCCTGAGGCCGAACTGCGCCGGAAGTCGGAATGCCTCGCCGTAGCTGCTTACCATCTTGGGTTTAGCGGCGCAGCCGGGACAGAACCAGGAGTTCTGAACTTCGCACTTCCCGACGGCCTCTCTACCTTCGTCACCCCCCCCTCTCCGCAGCTACTCTCCTGCTCATCTACTCTCTTCTCTACTTCTCCCTCATAATGTTCTCCCGTACCGTCCGCCCGGCCCTGCGGGCTGGTGGTGCTGCCATCGCTCGGTAAGTCCTCATCCGAAACGTGCCAGGGCCCTTCCACCCGACGTACCCCGACCACCACCTCGACATCAACAATCTGGCGAAATATCGATGTGAAACGGAAACAGTGTCGACAATTGCTAACCCCGAGATTCAAAAGTCCTGCGCCCGCCAATGCCGCCACCTTCGCGACTCTGCGTGAGATCGAGGGTCGTCTTAAGTCCATTAAGAACATCGAGAAGATCACCAACACCATGAAGATTGTTGCTTCCACCCGTCTCACTCGTGCTCAGAAGGCCATGGATGAGTCCCGTGTCTACGGTAAGACTTCCAACAACGTCTTCGAGCAGGCCGAGACCAAGACCTTGGAGGACAAGAAGACTCTGCTGGTCGTTGCCAGCTCCGACAAGGGTCTTTGCGGTGGTATCCACTCCGGTCTGAGCAAGGCTACTCGCCGTATCTTGGAGGCCAACCCCAACACCGACGTCGTCATTCTCGGCGAGAAGGCCAAGGCTCAGCTGTCCCGTGTCGCCGCCGAGAAGATCCTCCTGACCTTCTCCAACGTCTGCAAGGACATTCCCACCTTCGCCGATGCCCAGGCCATTGCCGACCAGATTGCTCTCCTCCCCGAGGATTACGCCAGCGTTCGCATCCTCTACAACCACTTCGTCAACGCCCAGAGCTACGAGGCTTCCACTGTTGAGGCCTACTCCGAGGAGGCTATCACCCAGTCTCGTGAGTTGATACAACGATAAGATACGTCGAGTCCATGCTGACAGCTTGTTATAGCCAACATCTCCTCCTACGAGGTCGCCGAGGAGGATCTGTCCAGCCTCCGCGAGTACGCTCTTGCCAACAACCTCTTCTGGGCTATGGCTGAGGGCCACGCCTGCGAGATCTCTGTAAGTATCACAAACCCTTTCCGGCTACTTAGTACTAATAAATTCACCAGGCTCGTCGCAACGCCATGGAGAACGCCTCCAAGAACGCTGGTGAGATGATCAACAAGTATGTGCCTCCTCCTTATACCAGACTCGACTCCATTCTAACGATATATCAGGTTCCAGATCTTGTACAACCGTCAGCGCCAGGCCACCATTACCGGAGAGCTGGTTGAGATTATTACCGGTGCCACCGCCAGTGCGGACATGTAGAAGCTTGCTTCTATTGGAAGAAGTCGCTTCTAGTGTAGACTTCATATTTAGATCGACCTTCAGCTTGTGTAAAATCAGAGTCAATCCATTTCAATTTCATATGTACACTGGCTGCCAGAACCCTGTCTTTACTTCCGGTCAATTGACAATGTCACTATTGACCTTCCTCTTTCTTCACCTCGTCGAAACCTCCTCGATTATCTCTTCTCATTATTGCGCTTTTCATTTCTCCCTCATTCTTTCTTGTCTTTCGCTGAGGTTTCTTCTTCCTCCAACCCTCAGTTTCTTTCCTTTGCTGGTATATCTTTGCCTCGCTTCGACCCTCCATACCTCACGCTTCTTCACTCGTTCCACGAATGTAAGTGTTGCCAGCGTAGTTCTCAACCATGCATATCTAAGTTTGCTCTTTCATGTCGAGCCCCCTCTCCTCTTTGGATTCCTCTTATTTGTCTCCATCCAGCTCACTGATATCTTCAACTCTAGAGTCGTGAAACAACAACCATGCCTTCTGACCACTATGCCATTCTGGGCGTCAACCCTGACGCTAGTATCATAGAAATTAATGCCGCCTATAAACGGCTTGCATTAAAGTGGCATCCCGACAAGGCGGGTGACACTACTGCCGCCACCGAGCGATTCCGTGAGGTATACAAGCCCCCAGCAGACGGCTCTTCCTATGAGACCTACCTCGCTAACAACATATTTACAGATCACAGATGCAGTTGAGATTCTTCGAGATCCCGTACGCCGCGGCCAGCTTGACTATTTGCGGAACAGCGCCAGACGTGCTCAGCATGAGCCCCAAGGCGGTCTCTCAACCCAAACCTCAGGTGCATTTGATTATCGCTACTCAAGCAGGGATTATAATCAGAGTAGGGGAAGACGCCATCCTACACACAAAAACTTTAGACACCGCGATACCTTCGATGCCCGCAACGATTCGAACTACATGCACAGTTTTGGCAACAGTGTTCATATGGACCCGAACTCAGAGGAAAACAAGGCCAAACGTGCAGAATTCAAAGAAGAGAATGCTCAATGGGAACGTGACTGGAAAGGCATTGATCCTGAGATGGAGACGCTGCGTACTAAATTTCGCATGAGGCCTAGTGAACATGGCATTGATGATATGGCGACAGAACCTGGAGATGACTTTCTACCCGGTGTTCCCCACTGGCATTCCGAAAGGCCAGGCTTTGATGACCTATCTGATATCTGCCCAGAATCTGGAGGTGATTCTGATTCCAGCTTGTTCCAATGCTCTGAGGCAAACTCGGATGGTTCCGACACGCTTGAAAAGGATTTGGACGCTGGCACGCATACTGGCCGCTCCAAATCTGCAGAATCTAAGCCTGCCCAATTCAAGTCTACCGACTGCACTGACTCAATTTGGGTGGAAGATGACCTTGATTTTACTCTTGACAAGAATATGACTCGCCTCGACATGAACGAGGATAGCTACCATTTTGACAAACAAAAGTCTACATATTGCTTCACTGAACCTGATTTTGAAGTCAAAGTCACCTACGAGGCTCGTCCTTTCGAATCCAACGGCAACCGGGATTCTCACAAATGTTTTGTCAGCTGTCATTCTGGCAAAAGCTCAGCTGATAGTCTCCAAGCTCACAGTCACTCTGCCGACCCTATTGTCAATGACCGCGATACTTCCAATATCGCTGAGAACTCAAATAAAGATACATCCACAGGCTTCACAGACCCTATCGGTAACTCCTCGCCTACCCAACCCATCGACCATGCCGCCATCGATGATCTGTCCAAGAAGTACTCATACATCGACTACCAATTGGGAACCAGCGAGTCCATGAAGCATCTGGTTCCTTTCTTCCGGCAGAAGGTCCACAAAAACCTTGAGAAGTACACGGCAAATGATCTTTATGGGGAGATCAACGGAGTTGTCTTGGAGGCATACAACGGCTGGTTGGAGAAACTGCGACGGTCAGTGAAAGATGCCGACCCCCTGCATCTCTTGAACAAACCCATTGATTGTGCCCACCTTGGATCCTGGAAAAAGGAGCTTCATCGTGAGAAGTGTGAGCGGTGTGGTCTTTGTGCGCCATTGTACTTACTGAAGTGCCCTGGCTGCGGGCTAAAGGCATGTGTCCGGTGCAAGTTCACGGACCCTTTCTTTGGGAAGAAGTGAGGGAGAGAATACTTGTACGTATGATGAAGTTTAGGGTTCATCTGATGGTTGCTCTTACGTGTGGATGTCAGGAAGTAGGGTCATCCGCCATCAGTTGCGAGAGCTTCGATGCATGACTGGAGAATGAGAAACAAAAAAAGAAAAAAAAATTGGGGAATATTCAGACCCCAGTCAAATTCCGCTCAGTACTTCGTGAGACTTTCGTAAAAGCTATCAGCTCTAAGTAGCAGATCTATGCGCGTAGATGAACCGGGATGTAAGACCGCCGCAGTACTGTATGTAGTCGATCGAGAGTGCGTGGGCAGTCAACATTGAATATCTTCTTAATTTCATTCTCCCTCAACTTTCGCGGAGGAGACCAAAGATAAAATGCTGGACGCCATCTCTCCAATATGTCAAAGACATCATTCATTCTCATCGGTCAAAGTGATAAACAACCAGCTCTCGGGATGTATTCTCGCCAACCAAGTATCTATCACAGCCACAGAGTTTCGCTCTCCCTGCGAAATCCACATTCGCACGATTGAAATCAGAGTCATGCGTCCAGACCCCTAACCTGATAGTCTTCTGGTTGGTATCATCGGGCCCAAAATAAAGACAAAAGCCAATATCTAAATCAGGCACGCTAACTTGAGCGATGACATCGGTCCAGTCACTCCCGAAGGAAGTCGAGTAGCCAAGGAACTCCGATTGCAAGCTGCAGTTGCCACGGTATACAGGGAGCATATTACCATGCAAGGTACGGCCATGGGGTCCGTTTCCGATGACTGGTATGGATGTAGTACGACACAAACGACTACCAGTTCCAGCTTCTAGGTCCGGTATGTCTTCGCCTGTGGAGTCATGCAGAAAATTCTCGGTAATTTCTATTGCCTGGGAATCGTCCGTGACAGATAACCGGGAGATGGCCGGAGTGCCTCGTTGGCGGACGCTGAAGAAGTCAAGGTCTCGGAAGCCGAAACGTGCCACGATGCTTGGGGCATGGGCATCATCTAGAGCTCCACCGTGCAGTGTTGCCGAGGAATATCCTGATGGACGGTGGGGTGATGCTTTTGAGATATCCCAGACAAACAGAGATTCTATCGGTGCATCCTCGTCTGCAGTGTACAGGCTGCGGTTGGGCTGCCACATGTAGATCACGTAATGTGTGTTGTTATGCGTAGAGAAGAAACGATCTCGTTCACTGAGAGGATGGCCCAAGAACATGATCTTCCATTCATTCCGCTGGGTAACCCTCCAGACATCTTTTTCGTGCGGGACGACATCGAACGAAGACGCGAAGTGACGATGTACACCATCGCTATCATTCAGCCAGTGGAAAGCCATAGGCTCTGCCCACTCAACAACAAGCAGACGCTTTTGAATTCTGACTCGGCGAACGACTTTGCCCGTCGTGGTGAATGGCACCTTGAACTGGCGGTCTAGTTTCAAATCCAGCAACACGAGACCTTGACTCTCGGCACTGGGGAAGACCAGCAGTCCATCATCAAAAGACCACAAAGCCTCTTCAAACTGGACATCGACATTTCCGGTGTCGTGACTGCTGTGATATTCCCAAGGCTGAACAGGGAACCATTCCCGCTGGCGCGAGCTTCCGAAGACATCACACAGTCGATACTTCTTGATCCCACGGGGCTTTGCTCGTTTTAGATGATCATATCTTGCAGCGACTTGATCAAAGAGTTGACGGCCTTGGATTACATCTATAGTCCCCTTTTCCAGGGCTTTGGCCTCTTCGGTGCGTGAGAACTCGTATTTGAGGCGTGGAAGCAGGATGGAGGGGTTGCTAAAGGCTTCATGCCAGGCACGCGAGACACGTCGATTGCGAATTATATCATGAGGATCGAGATAGGCCAGGATCATCCAGAAGATATCACCGGGGAGAAATGCCAGGTCATGGCATGCCAGAGGCATGGCTGGGATGTATAGAAGAGAGAGTTGGAGGAAGATGAGTTAGCAGACATTTAGAAACAATTGAACAGTCATGACAGGCAAATTCAGTCCTGCTCAGCAGAGAAATCCAATCCAATAAATATGCATCTGAGGCTATTGACAGAATACCCTCCGCATGCCAAGAGCTTCAGGACACCTTGCGTGATGTTTGGGGCCAACTGGCTTCTCTCCCTTTAGTTTCTCGAACTTCTCACGACCTGACCTGACCTAACCTGACTTGAACACCTTCATCATGTATGGGCTCCTGCTCGTCACGTCGCTGCTTGCAGCACTACCTGTGAATGCCGATGGACTATACACCAAGAATTCCCCGGTGCTGCAGCTGAACTCCAAAACTTACAACTCGCTCATCGCGAAGTCAAATCATACCTCGGTAGGCAGCTTGCCACCATTGGATGCACAATGAACTAACTGACTGACGTATATAGATCGTCGAGTAAGCTCCAATAGCTCCGTGTCTCGGGACATTTACTCATGATTTAGATTCTATGCTCCCTGGTGCGGCCACTGCCAGAGCCTCAAGCCCGCCTACGAGAAAGCCGCGAAGAACCTCGACGGACTGGCGAACGTTGCCGCGATCAACTGCGATGACGACGAGAACAAAGCCTTCTGCGGTCAGATGGGTGTACAGGGCTTCCCTACCCTCAAGATCATGACCCCGTCCAAGAAACCCGGAAAGCCACGCGTGGAGGACTACCAGGGCGCGCGCAGTGCCAAAGGCATTGTCGACGCAGTCGTGGACCACATCCCCAACCACGTGAAGCGCGCAACAGACAAGGACCTGGACAAGTGGCTCGGACAGAACGAAGGCCGGCCCAAGGCCATTCTCTTCACGGACAAAGGCACCACAAGCGCGTTGATCCGCGCCCTGGCAATCGACTTCCTGGGCGCCATTGACATTGCCCAGGTGCGCAACAAGGAAACCGCATCTGTCAACAAGTTTGGAGTCACCTCGTTCCCCGCGCTCGTCCTCATCACCGGCGACGAACCCCAGATCTACCAGGGCGATCTGAAGAAGAAGCCCATCACCGAGTTCCTGAGCCAAGCCGCCGCTCCCAACGCGCCTGCATCCGCAGACTCCAAGCCGAAGCCCAAGCCCAAGGCTAAGAAGTCCAAGCCCGCAGCAAAGCCAACCTCTGTCGCCGAGGACACCGAGGACGAGCCCACCGCCGCCCAGGAAGAACCCAAGCCTGTCCAAACCCCTGTTCCTGCACCCGCAATCCCAACTCTCTCCACCCCCGAATCCCTCCAAGCAGCCTGCCTAGCCCCAAAGTCTGGAACATGCGTGCTAGCTATCCTTCCCGAGGCCGGCGAGTCCGACGAAGCCCTCCCAGCCCCAGCTACAGCTGCGCTTACCAGTCTGGCTGAAATTGGCCACAAACATGCTCAGCGTGGTACGCACCTGTTCCCCTTGTATGCTATCCCCGCCAGCAACCCCATCTCCCATATCCTTCGCACGACCTTGGGTCTGGCCAAGGGACCGGCTGTGGAAATCGTTGCGCTAAATGCTCGCCGGAGCTGGTGGCGCCGCTTCACTGCTGACGCGGAGGACTTTGGGGCCGTTGCTGTTGAGTCTTGGGTTGACGCTATTCGTCTTGGTGAGGGCGCCAAGGAGAAGTTGCCTGAGGGTCTTGTCGCTGGCGCTGAAGCCGAAACTGAAGCCGAAGCCGAGCCTGTGGTCGAGACCGAGACTGTTCCTGAACCCGAAGCTGAAGCCGAGGTTGACCCTGAGGTCGAGGAACAGGTCGAGCCTCAGCACGATGAGCTGTGAAGAATCCTGATCGGAAAAAGCCGATGCACAATCCCGGCTACTTGTCATTCATTATGCATCATTGATAGCGCTGATATGTCTGTAACCCATTGCAATATCAAAGCATTACAGCATATCTATACCTCTACGTAATATTATCAAGAATGTAGGCATAAACATATGATTCATATATACAAGGGACACAATCCCTATTAGAAACATGAACCGAAGAGGACAGACAATACTAGAGACAGAGAGAGCAAGTCATTCAGACCAACCGAACACCGAACACAAATGCAGAGAAAGAGAAGAAATAAAACAGTCCAAACCCTGACTTAATACATTTAGTGCTTTTTGTTCTTGCGGCCCTCGGTGCCTCTCTTGATAACCTTCTGTCTCTTCGAGTCGATTTCCTGATCGTAAATCTCGCGCGCCGTCTCACCCTTCTTGCGTTTGGTCTGCTTAGGCAGCTTAAAGCTTGCGTCTCTGGAGGCTGTGAATCAGTTATTGTTCATTCAAAAAGAACAAGATGCAGGAATGGTGTAAGTGGGAGGGGGATAGGGCTTACCCATCAGCTTCAATCAAGGCGCGCTGCTTAGCGAGCATCTGCTCCTCGATCTCCTTGCCTCCCTCGCGAAGCTCGTCGTCCAGGTTCACAGGCAGAGGCTTGTGCTGGGTATCGGGCTCATCGTCGTGGGCGGCGGAGGTCTCGAGGCGGACCTTTCTGGCGGGCAAGGTCTTCTCGACGTCCTCCTCGAGCAGAGCACGGAATTGAGTGGAGATCTTGCGGACGATCTTGAGGAACATGGCCAGCAGTTGGGAAGATGGGAGGTTCAGCTCCTTCTCTAGGGCGTCCAGGCTCTTGTGCTGCAGACCGATGGCAAGGAGGATGGACTGCTGCACGCCGGAGAGGCTGACCTTGCCGGAGAGACGGTTGGCGAAGTAGAATTCAGAGAGGGTGGGCACCATGTCGAGGATGACGTGGTAGTCCAGGAGGTTGTTGGCGTAGCTTTCCAGACGCTTCTGGTCGAAGGCTGAGAAGGTCTGTTTGAGTTCGGATGCCGTCAGAGCGCGCGGCTTGATAGATTCATCAAGCTTGGCACCGGCGTTGGCAGACTCGCAGATGCTGAGGGAGAGCACGGAGGGGAATTGGCCGAACTGGTACGACAAGAGGGAGAGGAATCTGCGCTGGAAGTCGCGCGCGAAAGCACCGAGCCAGGCAGGGTCGTTGGGTCCACTGGTAAGGGTACGGAGCATCACGCATGAGTGCTCGCCAGTGAGCTCGTTGGGGGTCTGGCGCAGGTACACGGGGGTGAAGGAACCGCGCTTCCAGAACTTGTGAAGGGATGGGGTGAGACCGTAGCTGACACCGACGTAGTCGAGGGCGTCGGGGCGACGCTCAGACAGCTTGCCGAAGAGAGGAGGCATGGTGCGGATATCACGGACGTGAACATTGTCATCCAGGAGGCTAGAGCCGGCAAGCTCCTCGTCGGTGACACGAACCATCTCTTCCTCGGGAGCGGCGGCGTTCTCGTCGAGGTTGGTAAACTTGCCCTCGAAGTAGTCGACAAGGAGCTCCATGGCGCGGGAGCCATAACCCATACCAACATACTCGGGGTTGGTGGCAATGCGAACAACACGAGCACCAGAAAGACCGGCGAAGGACTCATCCTGGAACTGCTGGCTGACCAACCATGGGATCAGATCACCTCCGGCGCGCTGGCCACGGCTGAGACTGTTGAGGACGCTCTGGCGACTGATGCGACCTTCAAGGGCAACCTGAATGACACAAAGCGGCTCAGGGAGCTTGGTGGCCTCTTCATCAATAGGAGGAACAAGGACGTAAAGCTGGTGGGCGGGGGCATCACTCATAAGCTGAAGGTCATTGGGGGTGTTCTTGTAGTGACTGGCAACGTAAAGCGCCATCATCTGCTGCAAGAACTTCTCGGAAACAGGGTGGAAAGAGAAGAGAGTGTCACGGTTGACCTGGAGCAACTGGCACTGAGAGGGGTGAGGGCAACCCTGTGTGTTCATGCGAGACTTGGGGAGAGTAGCGTCAAGGCAAAGAACCTTGTTCAACCACTTCTCGACGGAGTCACCAGGAGCATAACGAATAGGCTCTGCAAGTGTGATTTCTCTCAATGTGCGACCAGTGAGGTTCTTGTCGGCATTCTTTGTCGTCTTTCCGGTGTCACGGTCTGCGACATCGGTATCGTCGCTCTTGAGGGCACCACGAGATTGTTCACGCAGCTGCTGGATCAGCTTCAGAGACAGGGACCGGCCCGTGCCTTCGTAACCGTTGATAGTAGACGACATGAACACCAGGTAAGGTCCCATAAGCTTCCGCACCAATGGCAGAGGAATGGCGGCAGCCTCATCAATGACAAGCAGCTCAGCCTGTCCCAGGACCTGTGCATCCTGGGGTTGAATGTATTGGATGGTTTGACGGTGGTTACGGTGAACGTTGACGCGGACAACAGCCTTGTTGAAGTCAGGGTTCGTCGACTGCAGGATGGTGTAGTCGACGTGGTCAAGGTATCCAAGGGCGTCAAAGCCCTTGAAAATGAACTCGAAGAGAGTCTTCAAGTTCTCCGGGCTGGGGGAGGTAATGAAGATGTTGCTGTAGCCGTGAGCGATTGCTGCAGCGATGGCAACACCGAGAGCTGCGGACTTTCCGCGACCACGACCAGCAGTGAGAGCAACAGTGCTCTTCAGTGTCTTCTCAGCGATAGCATCAACAAAGGTTAGGAGGGCCTTCGCTTGATCCACGGTACGGGCCAGGCTGAGCAAAGGACCGACAGGCTTGGCGTCGGCCAAGCTCTCCTTGATTTCCTTCAATTCCTTCTTGGGCCCGGAGGCAGCCTCGTCGGTGGATTCGGGGGGAGGAAGCGGTTTCACGGTCTTGCCACCGGAGATGGGCAACACATTCAGCTCGTCGTCGACAACCAGACATGAGTCGCAGCTTCCCAGAGACAGGATGAAACGCTCGTTGAAACGAGCGACCACATCGTCATGTGCCTCCGTTCGGTATCTCGAGTGAATATCCATGGACATGGTGTAGAGCTGCTTGAGACTGGTCATACTCTTCAGCAGCAGAATGACCATACCACCACCTTCGACAGTCTCGACAGTCCGAGCCAGCAAGTTGGGGGTCATGGCCTCAAAGTCTTGCAGTACACACATTCCGTAGGTGTTACCCAAAATCTTCTCGGTTTCCTTGTAGTAGACATAGCGAATGTTGTTGAGGGTGATAAAAAGCTCGAAGGGATCTTCCTGGTTCGGTTCGCGGATACCTCGTTTGACCTCCTTCTTAATCTTTGCTTCGCGCTTCTTGCGGTGACTCGTAAAGTTGAGCAAGTCCTTCTTGTAAGCCCACAGCACGGACTTGTTCTGCTTCACATCCACGCTGGACATGATGTAGTGCAGGTGCACAATCACATCCTTGGCATGATCACCAACCACCACGAAGAAGCTGCGCTTCTTCTCCTGGACACCATTTCGAATCAGAGCGGGAATCCGCGAGTCAATCGCCTTGCGGGGCATGATGACCGAATGTGAGGCGCGGAGCTAGCCTAGAGGTAGTTGTATGTCCCTCTCTCGGGTAAAAGTAAACCGAGGGTATCGACCAAAGGATATTTGCCTTGGTCAAGCTCCTTGAAAAACAGGAGACACAGGTGAATTGGACTGGTGTTGGTCAAGAACACTGCAGTCTTGTCTTGCGGCCAAAAACCCTACGGATAGAAAAAAATGATACTGCTCCCTGACACCGCCTCCCGATAGATTACCGCCTTGGTGCCAGAATAATCAGGCTTCATATCTTTTGATCACCTGACCCACTCCACTGGCCCCCAAGACCCTGTGGGTCACCTGATAGGACCGCCCGTGCCCTTTCCCCATTCGGCCGAATGAGCATGCATGATGTCTATCCTAATTAGGCCTAGCAGGAATTCCCCTTGCCCCATTCGGTCGTTTGCGAAACCTTCCATGGGTACGTTCAGCCAGCTTTATTTCAATGCACAACGGGTCCTCCTTGATATCTGTCAGCCTTGAATTGTCATGTCTACACATCCCTCACATGGATTGTCAACGAGGCTGGGCGTGGTATATATGCAGCCGCATGCGGTCTCAGTGACCTCACAGTGTTAGGTGGGTCACGTATCAACCAAGGCTTGATTCTGGACGCTGATCGGCCCGGTATTTCTGCTGACCAGCCATAACCCCAGAACAACCGCGGCTAATACACAAGGAGCACATCCGGACATTAACTTAGTGGCTGGAAATATCCACCAATCTTACCTGACTTGCCATTGGGCAAAGAGACAGTACAGTACAGTCAGAGTCCATGTAAGGTCCGTGGTTGATGCCAATGTCCGTACGGAGCCCGCCCGTTGACGCAACCCTAATGGATCAGCACTCTCAATGCCTCTGATTAGCCGATCTCAGGCCCTTCGGTCCTGCCCTGCTTTCTGCCATGTTTCCTGTCAATCCCCTGAAGCTCCACTGCTCTTTGATTTTTCCCTTCTCTTGATATCAATTGCATGCAATGGCAGGCGACGCTCTCAACCGGGTATAGATTACCGGACGCAAGATGGTCCAATTATCCCCCGACCTCGGGCTGAAGGTCTCTGTTGGGTGAGCACTGAGTACTGGCGCGGGACCATCTTGAAAACAAATACTTATGATTGCATTCTCGCAGAATATTCCTGACAAGCTCGCTGTTCCTTACTACCTCGTACAACACCACATTCGCTTTTGGTAAGTCGCCACCGAGTATGCGCCAGTCTTCCGACGTGACCTGACTGTTGTGTCGCCTCAGATCGCCCTGTCAGTACATCGGTTCTTGTCTGCTTCTTGAGCGGGCTAGTCTTCTTGCTATGGGGTCGCTATATTTCAACAAGATCGCAACCCTCGTCGCCGACGTTCAAACGACCGGGGGTACCCCTCGCTGAGCAGTTCGAGCTCCCCTCACGTGCCTCGACTTCCTCGTTCACATTTGGCGAAGCGGAGAATCGGCCTTCGTTGCGGAACCGATCGTGGTGGATAAAATTAAGTCTATTGGTGGGGCTGTGTGGCTTGCGAGTCGAGTCTTTTCGTCAAGTTACTCGACACAGCGAGTGCGTCCCGTCTGGATATGCTGTATGTGACCGAACAGCCTGTCTATTTGATCCGAGACTGACCAAATGCCTCTAATAGTATGCCATTCCTTTCATCGTTTCCCTGTACGACTACTGGCGCAACCAGCGACCGCGACAAGTGGAGGTGTATGTCCCTGCGCAGCGGTTCGACAAGCTTCCGTTGCAGGTGACCTACTCGGTTTGCCGCCGGAGCTTCCATTATCTTACACAGAGTCGCTTTAGAGGTGTTATCGCAGCCTCCTTCTTGTCGATCAGCGGGCTCCTAGCTTCATCATTTTCGGCTGGAACCCGGTCAACTTACATATGTCCTGTGGTGATGAATGGCGCATCTGCAATGCGCTCATTTAGAGTCTTCAATGCGTTTGCTGACTCTGTACTATTGATCATTATAACTGAGCTATGTCGAATTGGCAGTCAATTCGATGAGGCGCGGAGAAAGCGCACTCTGGTGTTCCTCGGAGCTGGTCTCCTTGTAGGTGAAGACGTAACACTCCAAAGTGATGCCTGCTGACGTTTCGTTCAGGGTCTGTCTGTATTCTGGTGCATCCTCGGACTGAAGGTATCTGATAGTTCACCCGAACTTGCGGGACAGCCCACTTTGGATCTGGAGTATTCGCGTGGTGCTTTCAGTCAAACTGTACTATTGCTACTCCTGGTCTTGTCGGCTTGGCATATGGTAAGTCCGTCCTGCTAATTTGCTGAACTACCGACTGACTTATAAGTTACCGCATTTCGATATTGTTGGCATTTCAATCATCGGCGGCTTCATGATTGTATACTTTTCTTCTGTGTCGGCTCTCGTTGGTGGACATTCGTATCCATTCATCTCCTTAACGCACTCGATTATTCCGATGATAGCATCTCTCACGGGTGTCATACTTTTCCTCCTCGCTCGAGTGGTTCATGACGAAGAATACAAACCGTTGTATCGCACCAACATTGTCGTGCAGGTTTCCTTCGTCGTTCTCTGTGGAATCGGTCTAGGTTTCGCAGTGAACAAACATCGTGTCTCTACCCTTCACCCAATTGATTTCCTCATACACGAAGGCACAATTCAGCATGACAATTACATGGCCCAAGCATCCGCGAGCAAATCTCTTCCGGATGCAGTTGGGGAATACCGGAGGCGATATAACCAGCATCCGCCACCTGGTTTCGACAAATGGTATCAATATGCCACTAAGAAGTCGTCAGTAATCATCGACGACTTTGATCAGATCTACCACAATCTACTTCCTTTCCGAGCCCTGCCCCCTCAGCAAATACGGGAAATGACATCTCAATTAGCAACCAATCCGTTTAACGATCTTGGTGCTATCAGCATTCGAGATGGAAAAGCCAGGGTGCAAGAGGGAATCAAGCCGACGCATGCGTGGATGGTAAAGGGAGCTGCCGACATGATGGAGAACTTTGTCGAATTCCTCCCAGACATGGACCTGGTGTTCAATCTTAATGATGAACCGCGTGTTGCAGTTCCCTGGGAGAAGGTGTCATTGTTGAACCGCCAGGCTCAGATCCAACCGATGGTCCCTGAAGAGCAGGCAGTGAATGGTTGGTCAATGAACCGACCAGAGGGCTGGGGTCCAATCGAGCCTGTAGATCTGACCAACACCACTATCTTCACGGATGGTGCGTGGAGAGGTGTCTTCGATCCATATGTGAGCGCCATATGTCCCCCTTCGTCCAAGGCACGTTCGCAAAGAATCTGGAATCGTCGTGAGATCTGTCTATCATGTGCGGCACCTCACTCCATGGGCCAATTCCCCCTGGACTTCAACATTGCCTCCGATATCTGTCACCAACCCGACCTAGCATTCATCCACGGTCTTCTCATATCCCCAGCTTCATTCAAGGTCTCACAGGACCTCATCCCCGTTTTCAGTCAAAGTGCTCTCTCAGGTTTCAACGACATCCTCTTCCCCAGCCCATGGAATTACATCGACAAAGTCAAATACCAACCTACAGACGAACATCCCGACCCAGAATACAGTCACAAACAGAACGCCCTCTACTGGGTCGGCAGCACATCAGAAGGCGTCAGTCGCTTCGGCGAATGGAAAGGCATGCCTCGCCAACGCTTCACCCACCTGATAAACAACAACACAAACAACGACGTCTCAGTCCTCCTCCCAACAAATGACGGCACAGGCGCATTCCGCTACGAAATCATGGACGGCGCCGCGCCGACAGAAATTCTCCAACTAGAAACCAACGTCCACATAGCCGACCCAATCGTCCGCTGCGGCGACTGTGACGAACAAGCTGCAGAATTAGGAACAGTAGGCTGGCGCGACTTCCAAGCCCACTGGTCACACAAATTCCTCTTCGACCTCGACGGCGCCGGATTTAGCGGCCGCTTCCTCCCCTTCCTACACAGCCACAGCCTGCCCCTGAAGACGGGCCTATTCCGACAATGGTTCGACTCGCGCGTCACATCCTGGCTACACTTTGTCCCAGTGGATATCCGTCTCCACGGGTTATGGAGTACACTGGCTTATTTCGCGGGCGTTCCTGCTCCGGTAGGCACTCAGGCTTCCGGTCCTGGTGCTCCGCAGGTGCGCATGAAGGCGCACGATAAGCAGGGCAAGGCTATCGCCGAGGAAGGAAGAGAGTGGGCACGTCGGGCGCTCCGGAAGGAAGATATGGAGATTTATTTCTTTAGGCTTTTGTTGGAGTGGGGGCGTGTTACTGATGACCAGCGTGATGTCCTTGCCTATAAACCTTGAGGCCTGAGTTTGCATTGTTGGTGTTGAATTAGATTTTGGGTTCTTTTAACGTTAATGTCAAATGGTACATATTATATCCAATTACTTATTATTTCTTTGTCTTCATGCGTGTTGACTTTCTTTCGCATACTCCGGTCATTGGCCTCCATGGATCTGGCATGTTCCTCTCTTGGAATTTCTACATCTACAGCAATGATACCAACTACGCAGGACGATTCAAGAACCAAATATAATGCAAATGCAATCGAATTCTAACGAACGAATGGAAGGGGTATCCACGAAACAAAACACAACGCGCCCATCAACATAAACCGTAAAAAAGGGTCGTCAGCCGCAGCACCAGATCCCACCATAACCGTTGACTAGCACAGGCATAGGCAGGATAGCAGCATACAGGGGGAACAATCCCATGCAATCATCACACAGCGAACCCGCTGAAAAAAAACAAAGCAACACCAGGAGCTTTTCAACAACGCTCTCTTTCCTTCGTATCACACTGTATCTGAATGTCATCGCAGATGACTATTCATCGTCTTGTGTCAACGGCATACTCAATATCGCCGTTGATATGCTTCTCACACCATCTAGGCGTGGATGTGGCCGTGGCCGTGGCCACGGCGGTAGTGGTCACGACGGTGCTTAGTGGAGGGACGGGGACCAGGACGGACATAGGGGGCGGTGTCACGAGTTGACTGCTTGGATGAAGACTTGGAGTCCGACTTGGAGTCCGACTTCGAGTCCGACTTCGATTTTTCATCGATCTCGATATCAACATTGATGTCAATACCAACATCGACATCCAGCTTGCTAGACTCCTGGTAGACCTTCAACGAGTTGACGCGCCAGTAGGTATCCTCAAAGGCCGAGGGGTTGTTCTGGACATAGGAGTCGCAGGTATCAGCCTTGCTGGCGCAACTTCCCGAGCTCCAGACGGAAGAGTCGCCAGCCCAGTCGCCGCAGAACGTAATATCGAAGACGATCTGCAAATTGTTGAAGTGCGAGTCGATGTCACAGGATCCGGCAAAGCGAGCGGCGGGCGTTCCCCAGTTCGATGGGACGGGGTTTCCGGAGGAGATATCAGAGGGGATCGAGTAAGAGGGGAAATGCCAGACGTTGATAGCAGAGCCAGTCCACTCGGTAGCGTAGACGCCGCCGCCAGCATTGTTGAAGCCCGAGCCATACGACTCCGAGTTACCGTTGTCGATGGCGCAGCCGGCGTTGGCTGTTTGCCCGGAGGCATCGACGTAGCAGTCAGATGTGACGACGCTGCCGGTGAAACCGGAGTTGTCGATCGAGCAGCCGGAGCTGGTGTGCAGAGTCATCTGGTTAGTGGAGAGGTCGTTGACGCCTTCGATAATATCAATCTCGCCGTTCTTGGGCCAGTCGGAGCCCAGCATCCAGAAGGCAGGCCAGCTGCCGCACACGCTGCCGGGCATGTGGGCTAGGTCAAGAATGACCAGACCGTGAGTGTAGGTGTTGGCGCTCTCCAGGCGGACAGATTGACGACCAGGCTTGCTGGCGGTGTTGGAGTGGTCGACACCGATATAGACGCCGCTGCTGCTGGAGGCGTTGATCAGACCGCCGCTAGATGCGGTGTTACGGTCGACATAGCTGACATAGCCATTGGTTGGGTCGGTATCCTGTGACCATTAGTATATTGTTGATTGATTGAATTTTCGTACAGGACTTACTGTGAAGAAGTTGAACATGTCAAAGAACGAGTCGCTGTTACCGTAGTCGTCCTTGAGACTATACGAAGCAGTGCTGAGCTGGGCCAACAGGCCAACAGCAGGTAGGAGGGTCGAAAGAAGGTGCATTGTCCAGAACGCAAGCGATTTGATTTCGAGGGGGTTTCAAGTCGACACGAGATGCGATGTCAAAGCAAGCAAAGCAAGGAAGTGGCAAGTCTGTCAAAGACGTGAAGCCGGAGATATGTCCAGATATATCCAAAAGAAGGGGAGGGCGTTGAATGCACCTCAAAAGTAATAATGAATGTGTCGCAAAAGGAAGAGAGTGAACAATAGACAATGCAAAAAAGGAGAGACTAGACAGACATAATGCTTAAAACATGATATGCGAGGGGGGACTCCATTCTTATACATGAGACTATTGTCTCCACAGATCACAAAATGGCAAAAAAAGGGAAAAAAGAAAAAAAAACGAAAAAGGTCCACGTCCGATGCCCTGATACATCCACCAGTGACAGGGACCATGTGAGAGATGCGAAACGCGGTAAAAGGGGAGAACGGTGGGCCTATGCAGAGAGGACTGATCCACATGGTCTCGACCAGAAGACTGATATCCCAGTCACGGCCGTTGTGGAACTGAACCAGAATGCTGCGTAAATCATAGTGGAATCTTGCCGATCGAACCGAGAGGACATGACAGGTATGGGCCTAGTTTATTGGTATAGTGAGTAGACTTGGTCTAGTAGACGTGCAGAATGCAAAGGCAAAGGCAAAGGCTGCTGCAGCTGCAACAGCAACAGCAACTGTCAATCCAATCCAAGCCTTTCCCCTTTCATGTCCATACAGGTCGTAGCCCAGGACGGGAAAGGCGGAAACCTCAAGCGCTGGAACAAACTTTGCTGATGTTTCGGAACCAAAGGATGATCACCACGCTGCGGCTGCTCACTCGCTCGGCCAGCCTTTTTCGCCGCACCGAACAAGATTTAAGGCTATCCTGACACGGTCACTGGCTGTCGCCAGCTGAGCCGAGTGCCAATCAGGTCACTTGCCGCCAACCTAGTGACCTTAGTATGACTTAGTGTGGCAAAGGGGAGATCGGCAGTTGATAGGATGCCCTGAAGAAGGCGCAAGCTTTTTCAATTGAGATTCTATGGTTCCGATCTTTATCCGTTTTTCCATCTGGGTTAAACCTCGCCAAAAAGATGAAAAGTGGTTGGGGTCTAGACTTGAGAGCTGAGTAGAGGAGAAGAAGAGGTTGGAGTGGCGGGGGAGGAGAAGGGATCAGATTTCCACTTTTCACCGCCAAGAGTACCTAGACCCCAAGTACCCCCACCGCGGATTGACTACGGCAAGGAACTTGGGCCGATGTCAATACACCACACTACACTACACAGTACGGTAGACAGTAGGCAAGCCAAGTTAAGCCCAAGAATTCAACCAGTCAAGCTAATATGCGCCACTAACGCATTAGTGAAAAAGAAACAAGTAGAATAAGCATAGTCCAACGTATCAAAGATCAACATCTGAAACAGCCATTAGCTCTGGTATCGTAGATCCCTACCTAGACACGTAGACCAGTCCACTCCAGAACCAGATTTATGCGGTCGCAGATTTATTAGAAAGGACCATGTGCAACGGGGTTCAGACCGGAGCTGGGAATGAGACGGGGAATGGGATTGGGGAGGTGACTGGGACGGAGGGCATTCCATGGCTATATTCCTAGGCCATCAGCTGACGTGTTCAGAGCACATGGACGACAGAAACAGATCAGGTACAGATACGGATACAACTGTGATAGAACGCTCAAATGCAATGGCAGGGGTACATCCCAGCTAGAACCATCAAAACATAGTACAGACCGCGGACTATACAACACGATCGACCATGGATATCCCCAGCAATCAAAAAAAAAAAAAAAAAAGGATAAAAAATCATAACTGCGAGGCAAGTAAGGTAAATCATGTGAGCGTGCTATGTACATGCCGGACAGAACATCTCAGTCCCCGACCAGTCGGGCGAATGGTCACGCCGAAAGGAATCAGTGAAGACGCGGGAATGGGCGCGGGCGGCGACTGCATCGAGAACACACTGTCTATGGTAGAGGTGTCGACAAGAGAAGACAATGACCGGAGTCAGGGGTGGAGTTGGGTTTCCTCCACCTGTGACCGAGCCGTTGCCCGTTCCATTCGGGCCCTCCGCTGGTTCGGTTGGGTCCGAGTCGGCGTGGTGGGTGTCATGGTCATCGTCGCGATGGGCAAGTGCATGTGCTGCTGCGGCGCGATCGAGGTGGGATGGATGTCCGGTGCCGAGGACGGCTGCTTTGCCTTTGCCTCTCTCGTCTGGATTGTAGGCCTCCTCATGCCGCTGGGCGATGCGCCGCTGGTGGGCGTCGGATTGCTTCTCTTCCCAGGCCGACCAATGAGCATCGCCAACGCTGGGGCCCCAGATTCGTTGGCGACAGATCTCGCAGACGTGCCCACGGGGTCGCCAGCCTTGTTGGCGGAGGCGGGTGACTTCATCCACGTGAACGAAAAGGTCGCGGTCTAGCATACCGTTGGCGAGGGTCAGAAGGGATTTCTCGTAGGAGTATGCGGAGAAAATGGAGGCTAAGACAGCGCGGAGTTCAAGGAGGGAAGGGGACCAGGTTGCAGCGCGGGTGAGGAAGGCGCGCAAGATGCGGAGGAAAGACATGTCGGTTCGTTCGGAGGTTGATGGGCCTGCTTTGACGGTGCTGGCTAGAAGGGCTGTGAAGACTTGTTGGACGAGGGTTCGGAAGAAGGCTGTTAGACGGCCATTGTCGCCGCCGAGTGAGGTGGTAGGTTCAGAGGCGACGGAGATTTGAGAGCTGTCTCCCTGCATGAATGCAAAGACATTACTGGCAATGCGGACGACGGCTTCGATGTGGTCGAGCCAGAGGGTTTCATCGAATGCTAGAGGGTGTTCAAGGGCTGCCGCACCGCGTTTACCGTTTGCGCTGCCGGTTCGTGACTGCTTGATGGTCTTGCTTTGGCCCTGACAAAGCCAAGTTCCGACGCCTGCATACTTGCTGAGAGACTCAATGAGGTCGTCGATTGCCTCCGCTGTGCTTGCTGAGTCGGGGCTTTCGCGAACGCTCTGGAGAATTCCGACCAGGCCGGATTCAAGGATGCTCAGATGTGCAACGAGACGGTCAAGGGCCTCACGTACTTGGCCTTGTCGAGCAAGTAAGATGACAGCGGCGTCAATAGCTCCACTCTCCTCTATAGCAGGGAGCAGCTCTTCTAGATGGATGTCGCCAACGCGCAATCCATCCACGTAATCTGCAACGTGGGAAGGATTGTATCTGCAAAGGAGCTGTACGTAGCGCTCGACCATCCAGTTCTCAACAGAGGGTGATGCGGGGGTTTCTGTAGTCTGAGCCTGCGGCTCAACAAGTACCAGCAAGTACTGATACTGATTCTGAGGATCGTCCTCTAGAACTCGCAAGAACGTAGAGTGAGTTTCGGGAGCTAGATCTTGCATTGTTAGGGCAGTAAGCGTCACATCAATTGCAACGATATCTCGAGCCCGCTGTTTCACCACATCCACCACATCTCGTCTTGATTTCGCGCCGAGTCCCGATCCCAAGCGAAGACAGTCATGCAAACAAGTAAATATGGCTGCACGATCATTTGGGTCCTCAAGATAAGTCATAATTAACTGAGAGTATTGTTTCTCGGATCGATATGTCGACTTGAGAATGCGGAAAAAGCGTGCTTCCTTGAAAAGAGGAATCATGCTCTGGATATCGGGTGGATGGTAAAATGACAACAGATACTCTGCACTCAATTCACAGTCGTCTGCTAAGTCCGGCTCTGGGTACTGGCAGACACGCACCAGAACCTGGTGTAGAGTCGTGCCTGAGAGTAGAATATATTGGGGGTATTTGGGAAGATTGCGCGCAACAAACATATCCAGGTAAATGGTATCAAAAGACGTGAAGAACTCGCCCGTCATAACTTGAAGCAAAATGCTAATGAGATACTGTCGGTTGATCGATACACCGGTGAGCGCTTCATCATTCTCGGACTCGTTGAGGAAGCTGTCTTCGAAAGCTTCGTTCAGCATGCTCATGAAGCTCGATGCATCAAATTTGAGCATAGCGCGAAGTTGGGAAAATGAGTTTGCTGCATCGCCAAACATTCCAGATCCGTGACCAGAGAAAAGGTATTGGTACAAATCGGTTTTGGCCCGCAAGGCTTCGGCTTCATCCATATCATCGCCAGTGGGATAGATGCGACCTGTCAACACAAAAGACAGGTAGGGGAACATTTTCATCGCATTGTTCTGTTTTCTCATTTCCATCGCATAGTCACCGTTGACCAAAGGCTCGGTGTGAGTTGGGATTTGACGTAGCAGCTCTTCCAGTGGTCCCACATAGTCCATCAAACAGCGATTCCACACGTATATAAAGGCATCGTACAGGTTATGCTGCTTGCACAACGTTGTAACCTGGTCAATGTCCATTGTAGTAGTATCCAGGAGACAGATGATTTCCTCTAAGCTACCAGCCGAGTGGGTTCCAATGAAATGGTTGATCAAGGGTTTGACCGCGGTAGGAGGCAGTGATCGCAACGTTCCGTCGGTGATACGGGGTTCGAGGGCATCCAAAAAGATACCCACCGAGTCTTGCTCTTCATACCAATTAAAGACTTCCTCCCAGAGGAATTCCTCATCCGCCATGTAGATACAAGCCGTGATGGAAACCTCTGCTAGCTCCGCTAATTCCTGGTTGTCCAATCGAGCGTTGCTCGCTTCAGCGTTCCGACCAAAAGCATACCTTAGAGATGCAGAGATCATCTCCAAAAGCTTTTCTTGCACCATTGGTTTTCTCAGAGAGTCCTCTTCAGGAAGCCCAACCGTTAGCTTTTCAGCAGTTCCTGTGTAGTAAGATGTGGCCAAGCGGATAGCGCCAATGAAGTCCCCGGCCTCCATCAACGCTAGGAGTCGGTCGGCCCAGTTTGATAGGTTACCGACCAAGGCTTCGCTATAGCCCAGCAAGAACAACCGGCCTTTGTAAGATCGGAAACTCATGTAAAAAGCGTCCGCAACCACACCATGCATGGACTCATCTTCTTCATCAAGCTGCTCCACTAGGGTATGGAGCTGTGACGAAAAAAGATCAGCATGGTAAATGTGTCGGTTCGCCAGATCGATGGAGTCCGTCACATGCATGGAATAGTCCTCAATGATCAGCAGTCGCTGTGTGATTGTGAACACAGCAAGCACCGATCGACTGAGCCACTGAACTGCTACAATGGCTTCGTCTGCCTTCCATCTGCTGCGTGCTTGGAATACAAGACTAGGAGGTCTGTCACGGTCCACGGGTTCCTCTGTCTCCGCTTCTGTGACGTCGAGCACTGTCAACACATTCGACCAACAGTAAACCAGCTTCGTTTTTGAAGTCTGAGTGTCTTTTCCTTTCAATCTGATGGCCGGAAACCATGCCAATGCTCCAGTCATAGCGCTGTGTGCTGGTACTTCTTTGGGTCGGGGTGCTTTGTGTTGAGTTTGCGCCACCGGTGTAGTGGATACAATGACCAAAAGATAAGGGGTTAGCATAGCAACAAGGCCCAAAGAATCGGTGGGCTGTTCCACGTTGCCAAGCGGTAGGGGAGAGAAAGCGAGGACGGAACTGGGCTTTCGTCGCCGTGTTTCCTCTAACGAAGGTTGTGGATATCGACCCAGGATTCGAGTCGTCTTGACTGTTCGTCCCAAAGCACCTGTTCCTCTTGTTGCCAGGTGCGAGAACGCCATACCTCGTGTATCAGCCGATACAAGCGCCGTTCGTCTGGTACCAAGGAATCCTATATGGATGACAGCGGAGCCCGTAAGATGACCATCAGATATCCGAGTCTCTACTTGGTTGGCCGGAATTGGCGGTATATGAAGAAATGGCCGCGCTGAGCGGGATATTTCCCATGTAAAGATGTCACCGGAGTCGTGGCCTCCTGCAACGGTAGTGTGATCAGCAGAAAGTGCTAAAGATGTGACAGCTCCACATTCAACAGCTAGGATTGTCAGTATGATTCACGTTAAATGTAAATAGCATTCGACCAACCTGGTGTGCCAGTTCCAATGATAGTCTTCAAGCTTTGCTGATAGTCGAACACGAGTATGATACCCTTTGATGTACCAATAACAATTGACGTAGATACAGCTAGACTAGTCGGCCGTCCGAAGTTGCGCTTCCCAATCTCTGAAAATGCCTGCCCAGTGATCTTCCGCAACTTGGTCCATCGCACCACATCCCATGGGCCCTGGAGCAGTTCATTTTCGGTTTCTGGTGTCGGGGAGACTTGGCTAGTGATCGAGGATTGCCGAGAGTGTAAATGCGCTAAGAATGGCGAGCCGGACCTAGACACACTCTGCGGCGAAGAAGATAGTCGGGACTGGAAGCGCAGATCGAACGGACGACGGGCCGGACTTGGGCTAACTCGCGGAGACCCTCGGAGAGCCAGAGCGCTGCTGCTCAAAGAAGACGTAACAGATCCCTGAAATTCATCAGCTTGCTTATCAAGTTGCGCGCCACTCGTATCACTGACATGTAAGGATGGGGAATCGTCGGGGGTTGAGCCTGTTCCATCCACACTTCCTGATTGAGCCCATTCCGCATTTCGCGGTGGAGGAGTTTTTGGAAGATACAGATCTGCTGGTTCCACCGTCTTCTCCCCGTCCTGGTCCTCCGTATTGTCCAACATGTTCAATCCGTCTTCCGCGGCTTCCTGCGGGGAAGGTAAGGCGTCGTCTAGGGGGCCATGGTCAGGTTGCTGGGCATCGTCTTCCTGGCCCAGATCAAGCTCATCCTCCCGCGACCAACTCTCACTGCCCTCAGCCATCGCGCTCATGAGCTAGATCTCCGAATGACCATTGCACCGTTGTTTGGCTAGGGTGGAGTAGGGCGAACCAGCGAAGCGGTGGCAATGACGGAGATGTGGCGATGCGGTGAGGTGGGAGACCAGGAATTAACCGATTGTGCCCGAGGTAAGGAGGATCTGAGTGAGGTCGGAAATGTGTTGAGCGTGAGTAGAGCTTGAAGTGTCAAGAAACGGTGGAGATGATGTTCCAATGGATCCCGCTTTAGGGGAACTCCAGCCACTTGTGGCTGTCAGGGACATCCGCTTTCCATACACTCAACTTATATAGTTAGCTTAACTTGGTTTGCTACTTGATACTATTTAAGTTATTATTTGAGAATTTTCTATTCAGTTGCTTATTCATAGGTCTAACATAAAATACACGGTGCGAATTTCAAGTGGTCACTTTCTCGCCGCCCGTGTCAAGAGTGATAAACCTCATTCGAACAACCTTCCCTTTCATATATCAGTTAAGCTACTATACTGATAGAACAGCAGATTCTATGGGGGAGAAAGAACCAATAGCTTCTATTAGTTAGCTTTGCAGATCAAACCAGGCACCCATGAACTACTTCGCAACTAACTTAACTTACTATAAATTAATGTTACTCCTCAGTTTACACATAAGTTAATATGTTCACAGGCCCTCCATCTGTTATTTAATCTAAGAAAACCCCCAAACGCCTGGATAGTAAGTTATATATTTCTACGTTCAATTTAAACGGATTGTACCCCTGACTTGAGGTCCTACCACAGGGGCCATTCCTAACGTGGCAACCAAATGCAACATGGGAGCAACTAATGGATCAGTTCAATCACTTGCATGAACGGAAAATCCCCGAGATGAAATTAAAATTAGGAGACTACTGGACTTGAGAGCTGACTTGACTCTGTTATTGGTGGGCTGTGGTTACATCGGTCTCCTCTCTTGTGATCGGGATGATATTCATATCCTATCACTAACCGTCAACCTGACATGAGACACGATGTCAGTTGTCGATGTGTTTTGGTTGGATTTCTCATTTGGTCCAAGATCGACATGTGGAATGTGTTCGGTATGGACTTATCACCTCCCTCGCGGGGGCAGCGGGCTTTTCGGCGTGACCGATGACTGCTATTATTGATCACGATGGCTGCAAGACTCTGACAGGGAGCCGTTAATAAAGACGTGGCAAAGCGCACCTTCTCTTTTAAACGCTGAATTATCAGCCAAAACGCGCACCTAGCCACGATGGCTCCAAAATACCATGGAGTGACGCGAGCCCTGCTCAGTGCGATTCTTTTCTTCCAACCTGTGCTGTCAGTGCCAGGAATTGGAAGTCTTCTACCGCGAGCATCGCCATCCTCATCGATATCGGCATCTATCTCAACATCTATACCCTCATATACACCAACCCCGTCCGTCTCAATGGCAACCTTAGCCACGGCAACGACCTGCAACGGCCACGCCGAGTACTGCACAAGATCTTACTCAAATATGACCTTCGTCGGCTCCCACGATTCACCTTTTGTTGGACCCTTGCCTCAGCAAAATCAAAACATTGACATAACATCTCAACTGGACATGGGGATTCGCTATCTCCAAGCCCAGACACACCACTCAGTCTTCGACAAGAACACCCTCGAGCTGTGCCATACATCCTGTTTCCTCGAAGATGCAGGAACACTCAAGTCATTCTTGGAGACCGTAAAAAGGTGGCTAGACGCAAACCCCAATGAGGTCGTCACGCTCCTCCTCACAAACGGAGACTCGGTAGCCATCAGCGAGTTTGGAGATACTTTCACTGGCAGTGGTATCAATAGTTATACATACACACCTTCCACAACTCCCCTTTCATTGTCTGACTGGCCAACACTGGGGGAATTGATAACCAGTGGCAAGAGACTAGTCGTATTCCTCGGTATGTATAAGTCACATCATTCTATACAAAAACTTACAGCTCAAACACACCCTCGACTTCAAGCCTCATCAGAAAAATCATAATACTAATTCACACAAACAGATTACGGCGCAGACGCAGCCAAAGTACCCTACATCCTTGACGAATTTACCTACTACTTTGAAACTCCGTACGACGTCACCGACTCGAAATTCTCAAGCTGCAAAATAGACCGTCCATCCGGCGCCTCAGCTGCAGGCCGCATGTATGTTGTCAATCATTTCCTAGATGTTGATATCCTAGGCGTATTGATTCCGGATCGTGACAAGGCTGATGCTACCAATGCTGCTACCGGAGAGGGAAGCATTGGTGCGCAGGCGGCATTGTGTGAGGGATTGTATAGTCGGAAGCCGAATGTGCTTTTGGCAGATTTTGTTGACAAGGGCGATGTTATTAAGGCGCAAGATGCGCTGAACGGGTTTTAGATCGTTGTCAGTGCGGATGTGTATAGTTGATATCGAAGGTGAATATATAATTTTTTGATGAGCATCAATATATTTCAAAATGTCGACATGATTACGATAGTCTACTGAAACAATATATTTTTTCAGAAAAAGCGATCTTAATAACAGGGAGCATATCTATAGAAGAGAAAGATTGAGACCTCAGTGTCGATAATCGGATATGATTAATTCACAAGCCCACCTGGGCTGCCCAGTCCACTCCAAACATAATGAAATCCAGTGGTATCCAAATCGAAAAGCTACCGATAATACTCCTAATGTGCAAGTCCCCAAATCCCGCACGAAAAAGCCCCAAATCAATCCTCTAACTCGACCTGCATTTCCCGATCTAGATAGACGATATCAGCATGCACCCATTTCTCACCATACATCATTAAACCAAAGGCTTACCCCAAATCTTATTAGCGTGAGAAATGATAGTCTCAGCCTTCACCAAAAGTTTCGCGGCATAGCGCTCAGACTCAGCAGGCGAGAGCTGATTTCGCTGCGACTTGTGAGGATTAACCTTTCCCAAGACTAAATTAGCATCAAACCAGACCACATACATACGATACTCACCATCATAAGTATAGGAACCAAGTCCTTAGCCTCAGCCTCAGCCAAAGCCCTCAAATTCCTGAACCCATTCTCTCGAAGCAATCTCGCCGTCCAGCTCTTGACAAACGTCACCTGAGCCATCTCAAGCAGATCGGCCCGCGCACCAGCTTCCAGACGGTCCCGCATGTGATCCAGCACAGCCGCCATCATGCCCCAGTTCATGCGCTGGCAGAATTTCACAATACCTGCTGCAAATCCGTGACATTGTTGGGCCAGGGTTTGGACTGTACCGCGGGGGATTTTGTAGCGGGATGCTATTGTCGAGAGGGGGATTTCGTTGCTTAGATCTCGGAGTTGGAAGGCTGTGTAGGCGCGGCGGTAGATACGGGCTGTTTTGATTTGGGATGGACTTGTTTCTTTCAGGGAGGCGCCGGATTGAACCCTTGATTTGTGGTTAGTATGAATCTTAGGAGGTGGGAGCATGGGTGAGTGAGTGGATACATCGTGTTCACGAAGCCGGGTTGCACGCCGACGAATTGTAGGGCTCGGAGACCGCTCTCGTCTAGTTTGTCTAGTTGGTCGCGGAAAATTTGCCAGTCGATAGGGGTGTTCATTGCTGCTTGGAGGGGAGTGAACATGTAGAAGATGTGCATATCGCCGTCCATGACGAAGGCTTGTAATGCTCGTTTTAGTTCTTCGTGGACGAACAGACCGTCTTCGGGGGAAAATGCCGAGGCGACGATTGCCTGTCCTAAGGGTGTGGATCCGTATGATTCATCTTCTCTGAAAATGATGAGTTGTTCATCGACCAATTCCCGAAGTGCAGATTTCATGATGGTGTATGCAAGTTTTTTGTCCACGGTTCGGCAAAGGAGCGTGCATCGAACGTATTCTTTGATTGCGTCGCAGCCTGATACTAAACCTGTTGCTATGGCTTCTAAGAGAGCTCTGTGGGATGTCAGTCATGAGCAGAACAAACGAAGCAAGGCATACCTTTTTAGTCCTCTTTTTTCAGGTGCCAAACAGCTCTCGATGGCAGGCATGTCGGCATCCAACAGATCACACACAGCTTGCATGTCGGCTTTGACACATATCAGATAAGTCTCACCGGCTTCATCCTTGCCTTTGCGTCCGGCACGCCCACACATCTGCCGACTATTTTTCTGTCAGTTTCGTATATCTGACCCCGAGGAAAGGTAACCAGTACAGCATTGCTGGGCCCACCAGCTCACGGCCCATTCGCGCCCCGTTGATAATGACTCGTCTTGCGGGAAGATTTACTCCAGCAGCAAGACTACATGTAGCAACGAGAACCCTTATCACACCCTGATCATAGGCCTGTGCAATAAGTTCCCGCTCTTCTGTTGTCATACCGGCATCTAAAAAGTCAGTTAGCTCAATGTTTTTGGTAATGAATTAAGAAGATACTCACTGTGAAACCCGGTTCCCCTGGGAATAGTAGTTTCAAGAACTGAATCTAGGCCACACGCGAGACTCCGTAGCTCAGCAAGAAGATCAAGTCGCTTATTCATTTCATCTGGCTCTGCCGGCGGCATTGCTTCACCAATAGTAACTGCTTGATTTTGGCATGCTTGACGACTGCCACAAAATACCAACACACCGAACCCTGCAACCGCAGTTTCGACTGCCAAAGCCACCATAGCATTCGTGGCTGAGTTGCTCAGCTGTTTATAGCTGGAAGTCTCGATGACTCGATGCGGAGGGATCGTATCAGTCACGGATGCAGCAGCAGTTAGTTTGGATAATGTTTGAAAAAGCTGTCTTGATGTTGCAGCTGGGTAAATGGCATTCTCGTAGACCAGATATTCGTCAATGGGAATTGGTCTATATGTAGAAATGTAGAATTTAGCATTCATCCACTCCGCCAGCATCTCAGTGTTCTATATTCCAGTTAGAGCAGCTCCCCCCGTCATGGAAAGTGGAACATACAGAGAGTGTGGCACTCATGCCAACAATCTGGACATCCTGCTGGAGCAATAATAGCTTGGTGACCATTAATTCCAATAGGTACCCTCTATGTTCATCATCAAGCATGTGTAACTCGTCAAGAACCACAACTCCCAAATCACCAATAGTACACTCCTCAATAGCGGTGTTTATCAATGAGTTGGCCTAAGTAGAATCATCAGAATCCTCACACAGTACCTCACAATCCATACCTACCTTTTCTATCGTACAAACGGCAATATCAGTATCAGCCCAAGTAGCCGTCGTCCGACTTCCACCAAAGAATCCGGTGACGCGGATATCTTTCTGAGTACGCTTCCATCGCCCACAGAGGAATGAGGCGTTTCCATCTTCTTCATCTACTGTATTTTTCTCCACATCTTGCACAATGCGTCTCATCCACTTCAGCTTCTCCTGGACCAAAGCAACATAAGGCAAAACAAGCAGTGCTTTGCGCGTCGGGTTCTCAATGATCCGCTTCAAGAGCAACACATCCGCCACAAGCGACTTGCCTCCTCCAGTTGGGGCAGTATACACTAAATGTCGCTCCCCAGACAGCAGACCTTTCGCCAGTAAGCAAGAGGCCTGCCACGGGTAGATACTAGAAACCCCCAAAGCGGCAAAATTGGCCGTGAGGGAGGACGGAAGTCCATACTTTGGATTGGACAAGGATAGCAGAGGATTTTGGCTCGAGCTCGGAGCCGATGTACTTGCACTTGCACCCCTCTTCTTTTCCTCATCAGGCGATGTCTCACCCGCGCCGAGATGAATCTTACTGGCAGCCAAGCGATTCGCAGGGGCGGTTAGTACAGTCCGCGCCGATTCCCACGGGGAGTCCACCAGACTGTCAGCCTTGATATGATGACCATGACTCACGACGGTCGCTTGCTTGACTGGACCTGGATTGAGAGAAGTCTCGGTTTCTGGTGGTCGCTTGTGGCCTGCCACGGGTGCCAACTGATATCGCTGGGCAATATCAATGGTGGTTTCGAATCCACGCGACTGGATGCCTGATGTTGACATGCCTGAAACAGTCCATGGAAGAAATATGCCTTGTGCCTCTTTTGCTTCTTTTGTTTGTTGTCGTCACGTCACGGGTGTTCGATCCTCAGGCAAGAGAGTTAGTCAGCCGAGCTAATCGGGACATCGGGAGTGTTCCTGTTCCTGGATCGGAGATGGGTTTCTTTTTTTTCTCTCTTTCATTTGTGATTCACCCCTTGCACGAGATTACCTAGCAACTATCGCATATCATCTCGCCCACTTTTGACCTTTTCCCGCTAGGCTGCAGGGTTGGGACTCATACCGTAATGGCCTGAAACGAGTGCCTCTATATTGTATCAGGTCCTGAATGCCTGGAATCTAGACATTCCGAGCGGGCACCGTTGGGTTCCACCTAGTATGGACCTCATAGGCCGCACAATTCCGCTGTACTTTACTGTAATCCGGAACACACGGTTCTAAAAAGTCGGATCCAAAATTGGACAAAATCTGAGACTCGGTGGAGGCGTCATCACGATTGTATCATGAGTCGCGTACCACCTGCCCCGTCAGCGGAATGCAATCTTCCTGGCCCACGAGAAGCCTCTGAATGGTGATCTGACTCTACCGTCCATCTATATCAATCTCATCGGCAAAGCCTTTAAATCGGACCGTGAACGGAGCATGCCGGCAGAGGTGGCAACGGACAGTAAATCATTATTGGATGTTCAATTACCGGTATTGTCTCGGTATTGATCGACGTGAAAGGATAAATTATATCTGCACTTCGACCCTACACTGGCACTCGTGAGAGTCTGGTCTTCAGGGTCTTATAGTGGACGATTCCCTCGACAGCGTTCTCCTCTGTACTGTTGCGCTCTAGACGATCTCTCCGCAGGCCACCAGACCCATTCGACGTGATTATTCCTGGTGTTCCGGATGTCGTGGGGTTGGATACCTTGCCAACGCAGATGCTCTGATTCGTATTGCTACAATCTTCACGTTCCCAACCGAGCTTCGACCGAGCTCTGCCAGTGTGTCCATGGACTGGTGACCGGACTCCAGGTAGCTCTCGGACTCGACTTTTTCCTCCCATCGACAGCCACCCCGTTGGCTTTGATTCCCTGTTTGAATGTTGACTAGCCACAACGTTCCCTTGCTTCTGTGTAATAATTCCGAAGTGTACTAGTGAAGGCGATATCAGGTCCTCGTCTCCCAGGATCCCAGGACGAGCGTGTTTGGTCGCACTGGTAATGTGGTAATTTAGAGGGAATGCTTTTATAGACGCGCATACGTGACAACATTCCCAAAGAACGTTGGAAGCAAGTTGGAGGATCCGTCATATTAACATATCGGGACTAGGGGCCCATCCTCGACTTTCCCACCGTTCTCTTCTCTTTTCCCCCTTCCCCCCGTATATCCTCATCTCCACTTCCTCTTCCCTTCATACTCTCAAGCCACTTTGCACCTTTTCCGTGTCCCATTTCTCTTTTCTACTTTTCTACCTTTCTACTTCTTCTACTTTACTTCTACTGCTACTTGCCTGCCGTCACGGCTGTCACGGTGTACCTGGACTCCCGTTCGACGTTTTCTATCTTCTTTACTCTAATCTCTCCTTCTCTCCCCCTTGTTTCTATACTCTTCCCATCTGAACATCTTGTAAGTCTCCCCTATCAACTTTTGATATCTGTACGCCCTTCACCCTTGCAGAGAGGATAAGATCTGACACGGTCCACTCTTTGTTCCCACTTTCCCTAAAATTTCCCTTCTTTTCAACTTCTTCCCTCATTTGATGTTCGCCAACTCCCGCGCACATTGGAATAATCTCCCATATCTGCCCACCTTTCCCCCCCCCGTATTTTAGAGATTTTCGCCCCCCCCCCCCCCTCGTGTCTCTTCCCAAATCCCATCACACCCATTGAACATGTTGGGTTTCATGAACTAACCCACCCCCCACCAGCTCATATATTCTTCCATCACGCGTTCAGGTGGATGACTAACCGTCACACTCAATGACCACCCCCAACTCTCCGGAGGCTGTGGCCGATTCGGCCAACGGCTCCGCCACCGCGTATGGCACGCGATCGAGAGGTCGTAATGCGCCGCGGCCTAATTATGCCGAAGACCGTGACCTAGATGTGGACATGGATGCCTCTGCAGCCAAGGGACTGAAGCGCAACAGTCTTGCACTCACCAACATTGTCAACGGGTCCAACCCTGAGGAGAAGACCTCGCCGGCGCGCAAGAGTCTAACCAATGGCAACGGTGCAAATGGATCGGCAAAAGATGCCATCCCGGGCACTTCATCATTCTCCGCCAGACCGGACGATGTGAATGGCTCGAATCTGCGCAAACGCAAACAACCCGCCAGCACCCCAAATTCAAGCTCGGCCGCCAAGAAGATTTTCACTTCGCCCCCCGACTCGGAAGGGGAGTATTTCACCAATATGATGAGTTTTGAAAACTCCGGTCCCTATCTCAAGGATGGTCAATTAATAGCGGATGATGGCACTACCTTCGGTCTTAATGGTTTGTTTTTATCGGTCTTCTGTCATCGTGCAATATTAACCCAACCCCTTTAGACCATGTCTATTTAATTTGTGAACCACCGGGTGAACCATATTATTTGGCTCGAATCATGGAGTTCCTGCCATCCAAAACCAAGCCAGATGGGTTTATCGAAGCGTTGAGAGTCAACTGGTATTATCGTCCACGCGACATCCAACGCCATTCCCCGGACTCGCGCTTTATTTTTGCATCAATGCACTCCGACACCTGTCCGCTATCATCCTTGCGAGGAAAGTGTGAGATTCGCCATGTGTCGGAAATCGATGACATCAATTCCTATAAGAAGGCTCGCAACAGTTTCTGGTACGACAAGATGTTTGATCGGTATATCCATCGAATGTATGATGTGATTCCGACAAAAGATATTATTAATGTTCCCGGAAATGTCAAAAAGGTTCTCGATGAGCGGTGGAAATTCATCCTCGTGGAGATTGGAAAAGGGAAGGAATTGACAGGTGCCGTCAAGACGTGCAAGCGATGCCGGTTATACGCCGCAAATTCGGAATCTGTCGATTGTGCAGTGTGCCACTCCACCTATCACATGCATTGTGTACGACCCGCATTGACCAAGAAGCCCGCTCGAGGTTTTGCGTGGGCCTGTGCTGCCTGCAGCCGCGCCCAGGAACGCAAGCTCGAGGCACGCAATACGCCTTTGATGGGGGGAGCTCGACCGGACGGCGAAGATGTAGTCATGGAGGAGGAAGAGGAGGAGGATCATCACCATGCGAACGGCATTGCGCATGGTCACTCCGACGGCACCCCCACAGCCGAGGAAGGTCCTATGCCTCAGCCTGCAACCGTGGAGCAAATTGCACAGGCAAAGATGTGGCCTTACCGCTATCTGGGCATTCACTGCCGCGTCGAAGATGCTCTTGACTATGATGATCGGATCTACCCTCGCGCAAGCTCACGTTTAGGAACAAGGCACCAGGCGATGGTCGCAGCTTGGCCAGGCCGCGCAATTGAATACGTTAAGCCCCTGGACCTGAAGAAGAAAGCCAAGGCTGCTGGTACGAAAAAGGACGGGAAGTCTGCTGCTCAAGCTGCCCTGGAAGCTGCCAAGCACGAGAGAGCCAACCGACCTAAATGGATACAAGACGAACCCACAGGCTATATTCACCGCGGAATGGATGAGCCTGTTACGATTAATGAAAAGACTGGAAAGCAAGCACGTACCGCGGAGCCCTTGTTCAAGATGCCGACTTCCGAGCAAATTCCCGCCCGAGGCGAAGACGATGCCCCTGGATCGCATTTGAGTACCGAGGAACGCGAGAAATTCATCGACGACTACATGCGTCAGGCCAAGGAACTTGCTCCTGGTATTGGTGTCGAGAAGTACAACACCAATTTTCTCGACAAGGCCCTTTCAATTCTCTACGCAGAGAGTTTCAATATACAAGCCGCTCTTGTTAAACTGAAGAAGACCAACAAATACAAGGATCTCAAGGAGCCTCATCTTCGACCGGAGGAACTCAAGCTATTCGAACAGGGTGTCGCTAAGTATGGATCAGAATGGCGCAACATCATGAAGCACGTCAAGACCGTTCCTATTTATCAGATTGTTCGGTTCTACTACATGTGGAAGAAGACCCCTCGCGGTCGGCAGATCTGGGGCAGCTATGAAGGACGACGCGGAAAGAAGGAGGTCCGACGTCATAGTGTCACTTCATCTAAGCTGGTGGACGACGTAGCTGATGATCATGACGATTCCGCCTTCGACTCGGAAAAAGCTGTCGTCCAGAAGCGTGGATTCCATTGCAAGTTCTGCTCCACTCGCAGCTCGCGACAATGGCGTCGTGCGCCCTTGGTTCCCCCCGGTACTACCATTCTCGCTGAGCCTTCCAACAAGAAGGACAAGGGCCCCCTACTTACTGTCTCACTCTGTTTACGTTGTGCTTTGCTATGGCGCAAGTACGGTATTCAATATGAAGATGTTGATGAGGTTGCCAAGCGAATTGCTAATAGCGGCAACAAGTCATGGCGACGCCGTATTGACGAGGAACTGCTGGCTCAGTTGATCGTCGCCACTGAAACCCCATTCACCATCAACAGTATAACAGCAACCACCGCGAACCAGATGGGCATCCCGCTCGACTCGAATCCTCGATTGCTGCAGGAAGGCAAGCTTGATCTGACCAAGAAAAAGGCTCGCCCGGAAAAGGAAAGCACCGCGACCTCAGCTAGAACGTCAGTTGAACCCATGCCGAAGAAGAAGACGGTCCCCGAGAAGCCGGTGGAAGCTCCACCGATTGTCCCAGATCCACCCAAGGCCAAGACGCTACCATGTGCGATCTGCAACCAAGTTGAGCCATCCGGCGAGGAACATCTTTCATGTCGCGATTGTCGTCTAACAGTCCACTGCAATTGCTATGGTGTGCGAGACTCGCGCGCTAGCAACAAATGGCTCTGTGATATGTGCTCTAACGACCGCAGTCCATCGATTTCTACGAACTACGAATGCGTTCTTTGCCCCGTATCATGGACAGAGCACGAACTCATGGAGACACCCAAGAACAACGCCCGGAAGAAGACCGAACGTGACAAGGAGAAGGAGCGCATAGAGAAAGAGATGGTCAACGAGGCTATCAAGCTCTACCGCCAGCGACAGGAGGCTGTTGGAAAACCCGTCGGCCCTCGGGAACCTTTGAAGCGCACCGCAGGAAACAACTGGGCCCATGTGCTTTGCACTTTGTGGACCCCAGAGCTGAAGTATGGTGATGCAGAGGAACTGGAACCAGCCGAAGGATTCGGATCTATCCCCAAAGACCGTTGGCGCGAGACATGCAAGATCTGCAAGTCTAGCAAGGGTGCATGTGTTCCTTGTAGCTTTGCTGGCTGCAATGGTCACTTCCACGTGGGCTGTGCTTTCCAGGCAAAATACCGGTTCGGCTTTGATGTCACTCCCGTCAAGTCTTCTCGTCGCGACAGCATGCGAGCTATCCGTCTAGGTGACGAAATTGGCTCGGTAACGCCTGTTGTATACTGCCCTAACCACAGCGTGTCAGGCACTTTGCATGGACTCGGCGAGCAGACTAGCACTGACCAGCTCAATGCGCTCCAGCTGTTCGCTCAGACATACAAGCAGGCTGACCTTACTCTCACTGGTACCATTCGCAAGGCAGATTATATGCATCAGTCTGTTCCAGCACCACAGCACCATGCTCATGCCCACACTCATGCTGGAAACAGACGAGCTTCAACATGCATTGCGCCGGCCCCTAAAGATACCCCCAAGGATGTTATAAAGGCTCAACCGGCTAGCGAGGATGCGCCTGAGGATCCAATGGAAATTGACGCAGACAACCACGTTGCTCCGCGACCAACTGCTGAAGTTGAGACCAACCGAAAGTGCTTCCGCTGTTCGACCGGCTTTAGTCCCAAGTGGTGGACAATCCCAAGACGCTCTGACTATAGGCCGCCTATGTCCAATGGAACGGGACATCACCACCCACCACAGCCCTTTGCTGCCAACGGAGACCATGGAGAACCGACATACGAATGCCACAAGTGTCACTTGAAAAACCCGGCACCGCCCCCTCCGCCTGCACCCGAGCCTTCGCCGGTTCCTCGTCCCTCGCCTTATTCGGAGCAACGTCAACCCATGCCACCAATTCCCCGCATGCCTGGCCATGCGTTTGTACCGCACCCACATCCACACCAGCATCCACATCCACCTCCCCCAAGTGGTGTGCTTGGGCGGCCAATGCCAACTCACCCGCACAATGGCATCCCCGTATCCCCCTACACCGGGCCATACGAGCGACCCCCACCTGACAATGGCCTTCGTAATGGCATGTCTTCGTCTCCCTATCCTGTGGCGCCTCCACCTCCCCACCACATGAACAATTTCCCCCCGCCACCCCATGCCCCAGGACCTCCACCACCACACTATGCCAGCGCTGGACCGGGTCCCCCACCACCTCCTTACGCAGCACACCAGAGCCCATATGGACCAGTACCGGCACGCTCGCCACATCTCTCGCAGCCGCCACCTCGTTCGTACGCGGCCTCTGCGTCTCCACCGATCGTGCAGGCAACAACAGTCAACCGCTCACCGCAGACCTCGCTCAGCGCGTTGAACGGTGGCCCTCCACCTCGCATGTACTCTGTCGACCGCGGCCTAGGAGCCCCATCGCATTCACCGCCAGTGACTCAAGCCCGTCTCAATCCCCGCGGCCCTACCTCTACCCCTCCCACTCGACCCGAGGACACCCCACCCTCTCTCATGGCGGGACCACCCAGCGCCGGCCGACCTACCGGTGTGAACGGCACCAGCGCAGGAACCGGAGCCAGCGCCAGCCCCTCGCTGAAGAACCTCCTCTCATAATGACCCCTAACGCATAAAGACCTCGCAATCTTCTAACAGAGCTCTTTATCAATTTTGTATGATAGTACCCTATAAATTCGTCCTTTTCTTTCGCTTCTACTGCATCTGCGTGGCATTTTCCAAAAACAAAAAGTCTACACGGGGTTTGCTTAACTTCTTTCCACAAGCCATGTCCTTTTTTTTTGTTATTTCTGTTTCCTCGATATCGTTCCAAAACACCCACGGGTCTTGTTCAATAAGCACTCATTTCTTCTCTTATGCTGCTTACGGGGTCCCATGTTTTATTGCGTTCGATTCGATTCGATTCATTTCTCATTTCTTCCACTTCCCTTTGTCTTTACCATTTTCTTTCTCTCTGTTTTGAACTTAATTACTGTCCTCGTCACTGTTATTTCCCGTCACCTTTTATTCATGGCGCCTGGGGAAAAGTTGTGGAGTCTGTGCTATAGCCTGGTTGGAAAGGAAAGGAAAGGAGGGTCAACTTGACATGGTGGAAATGCATGGAGTACTCTTGATTCTGGCCATTTATTATTACCTTGTTTTCGTCATGGCTAGAGGAATTTATTGCATTGCTATTTTCTCTTCTGATATCGTTACGTTGGGCTTATGTAGTTTGAAGACTGGCTTGCAGACTGATATACGGATCGACAACAGCAGTCTAGTATAAACATCCTCTTGTCTTGCTTGCCGTCCGATGGGCTTGATACTCCAACATTTGAAGCTTACTGTAGGCTTTCTTTTGTATGATCGACATCCATACTTGCTCTAAGCGCGACTCGAGTTCCAGTGGTATAGATTTTGCCCGCAGCCTGTCTATCGGCACCACGGGTTCAATCCAATGACCAAGTGTCTGGATCTACAGCCAGACTTGTGCTTAGAATTACCAACCACAAAATACACCATTCTCCCAGCAAGCAAAAGAATCCCGAGGGAGTGTCGGAGTTGATGTGCCGGTTAACCGCCATTGGCCTCGGGAGCTGGTGATGACAAATGCTGATGGATGCCCCGGTGAGGTCAGCTCTTTGTAGATCTCCACCAGGTAGCTTATAAAAAAGTTATAACCTGCAGAACTTGGACAAGGAACGTGAATCAACATTATCTATCCTACCCAACATGACTGAGACTATGCGAGCTATTGGTAAGTCGAAGCTAGAAGAATTTGGAGCTCTGAAGAACCCCACCACCGTATTCTCATCATCGCCGAGCTTACCTCCCACTATCCAAACCTCACACCTCTTTTGCACCCTTCCTCTTATGGCACTTTGCTTTTGTCGTTGCCTTTCACACAATCATGTTTCACACCCCAGCTAACCAACTCCAGGCATCAAGGGTGGCAAAGGCCCCGCAACATCCCTCTTTGTGGACCAGATCGCCAAGCCCACACCATCAGACGGCCAAGCCATCGTCAAGATCCATGCATTCGGTTTGAACCGCATGGACCTTTTGCAGCGGGAGGGTCTGTACCCGCTTCCGCCGCAGGCACCCGTGACCATGGGAGTGGAGTTCTCCGGCGTGATTGAGAGCTTCGGCCCAGACGGACATGAGGATTTCAAGGTTGGGGATGCAGTTTTCGGTCTTGCATACGGAGGTAGGTTTCAAAAGCCACCAGGGCCAGTGTCTCGGAGAGAAGGGAGGGCAGGAGGAGCTCTGATACCATGAATCTGATATTGACAAATATCCCACGATAGGTGCATATGCAGAGTACATTGCTGTTTCGACCAAGATGCTGGTGCACAAGCCGTCGGAGTTGTCATGGGAGCAAGCAGCCGGTGTTCCAGAAGTAAGCACCGAACAAAGAAGCAAGCAAAGCAGAAGCAATCACCCATGCTAACCAACCCAAGACCTGGATCACAGCCTTGCAAGCCCTCTTCCTTGTCGGGGAATTCAAAGCCGGCCAATCCGTCCTGTGGCACGCAGGCGCATCATCAGTCTCCATCTCTGGTATCCAACTTGCCAAGGCCGAAGGTGCCAAAGCAATCTATGCGACAGCAGGCTCGCAGGAGAAGATTGATTTCCTGGAAAAGGAGCTCGGCGTCACCAAGGCGTTCAACTACAAGACCCAGGACTGGGCTGCCGAGATCCAAAAGGTCACTGGGGGTGCGGGTGTAGACCTGACCATTGACTTCATCGGTGCACCTTATTTCCAGGGAGATTTAGATGTGGCTGCGCGCGATGGCCACGTTGTGTTATTGGGCTTGATGGGGGGTGGCAAGTTGCCAGAAGGTGTGAACATTGCCCCATTACTGTTCAAGCGCGTGCGGGTTGAGGGAAGTACTCTGCGCAGCCGGGATGAGGAATATCAGCGGAGACTACGGGATACCCTTGTCGAGCATGCACTGCCCAAGTTCTGCGATGGGACCTTCAAGATTTTTGTCGAGAAGGTGTTCCCCTTTGAGCAGATTGAGGAGGCGCACAAGTTGCTCGAGAGTAACACTACCAAGGGCAAGATTATTTGTCGCTTTGAGTAGATGTCTTGATGTACATGGATCTACCTAGGCAGTTACTATGTACAGCATCTACCGTCTACAGCTGCAGCCCAGGGTAGAAGTGTCAAGTGCAGCCCAGTGCAGCCCATTGCAGCAAAGTGGATTCCGTGCATCCAGTCAGAATACCTGATGTGTAGGTTTTCTGTCCCACTTAGTCTGCTGAGGAAATTCTGCTGTATAACACGTCACATTTGAGGAATGACCTCAATAGATTGGTGTTTCAAGGGTTGCGACGCCACCCTCTTTCATACCGCATGTACTCCGGAATCTGTAAGAGGGCCAAATAGGAAGTCTAATCAGCCCTTGACATCAGGGGCAAATCACAAGTTTCCCTGCCTGCAAACTGAAGTGTCAGAGAGTTTAAGGTGCATGTGGCAATCCCTGCGTTCGTGATCTTATTGGAGGGAGTGGCCCCCAATGAGCGAGAAGTGATCAGCAATGGAACCATGGTCTGCAAGTACAGGACATCTGCATTCTGTCATGTAGAGGAATATTGTGCAGAGTCATAGAGGAGAGGCCGATCACCGGGAAAGTACTGTAGAGCATACGTTATCATCTTGAGCCTACCGTCTACCGTATCGAGAGAAGTAAATCTCCGTGTAGAGTCTAGACTGGGTCTCGGCTAAAGTCGATGAGATCATCCGGATCATTGTTCTTCCATTTCCGTTGATTCGCTCTTTAGTCATCGAGTTTCTGGACTCCTTTCTTGCTGCAGTCTGAATATAATACTCTGCTGCTTCTGTGTTGAAGTATTATCTGGGAGAGAGTAGCTCTTCCTGTTTCAATCTCGTAGATATGCCCATCTCAATCTGGGCTGTATGCAGGCTCATACTTCCGGTTACAGAATCTGCGCTTACCTAAACCGTGGACCTTCTAGAAAGAAAAAAAAAATCAGCGTCATTGGGGGGGCCCACTGAGTGCGATCGAGGCTCTGCGAAAAGTAACGGAAAAAGCAAAAAAAAAAAAAAAAAAGGAAACACGAGAGTATTAAAAGAGAAAGCCAAAGAAAGAAACCAAGTACATGTACGGGATAGAGGAGATGCGAAGCCACTCCAATGAAAGCGCCAGGAAGAGCGAGAGAGGGCCACTAAACTGCAGACAAGATTACTGAGGATCATCCCGTCCCGCCCCAAGGCCTTCTGGAAGGAGGAAAGAAGCCCCTTCCCCGTGTTCGCCCCCCCTCACACTCTGTTTTGCCTTCAACCTCTCTTCTTCCATTCACCTTGGCTCTCTTGGCTCTCTCTTTGTTCGACTTTCCTATCTCACCGCTTTAAACGGCCATGTCGGACTGACGTCCTGCCGTTGCCGTCTCCTGTCTGCATTTCTTTCAACCTCGGCGCTTCAATTGACCCGGTCCCCTCCATACCCCCTTCCCAACTCGACATTCCTCACGTGTCGCTGTCCTCATTCTTCTTCCTTTAAAAAAAAAGAAGGTGGTTGCGTTGCGCGCTTCCTCGACCTGAACAGCCTAGTGCGACACAGTCTAGGCTCTGGGGGGTGTCTCGGATCCTCCAGTCCACAACGCGACTCGGACTGCTTCGCTGCAGGAAACAACTCCATTGTTCGAGCGCACTGCGAACCTGCTCGACCTTTGTCATTCCTTCTCCTCCGACTTTCCTTGTACCTGTCACCTTCGGTCCGGACCTCCGTACCAGCACGCCGCTCGTTTTCTTCACCCTGGCCGCTTTAGTCCGAACGAACTCGTCTCTCCTACATTTCCTCGCCACACCCTTTGGATCTCCTGTCCTCTGAGCCATATGCGAACGCGGACAGGTCCGATCCGCTCGTTTTCTTCTGTTCCTCTGATTGGCGCCTTATCTGCGGTCTTGTGAGTTCGGCGATACGACCTGATCGGGGCTCCCTTTCCCTTTTGATACCATGGTGGATCGCGTGGATTGCTCGGGTGTCTATATCGACGACCGAGTGCGGTCAGAACGATGGGTGCGCAGAAACTCCATCGACTCATCAACCATATCGTCCGCAGGTTCCTTTGTGACTCCCGATGAGTCGGAGGCCCTGCAGGCCGATGTGGAGCTGCTGCTGGAAACCTGCAAGCAAGGTAGGTTCCGCTGGTGTTGGGCGCATGGATTCCACTGACTGTTTCTTAGTTTATCTCTGCCACAACGGAACCACTTTTGCCAACAAGTTGGCCGAGCTCAGCGACCGTGCAGGTAATGAGTGTAACCCGATTTTCGCCTTCTTCGATGTAGACTTCAGCGGGGAAGAATCGAATTTGGCTCGCCGTAAAGCCAGCCGGGCTTCGTGGATGGACAACGGACCTCCATCGCCTGGTTCCATCCATCGCACATTCACCTTTTCAACTCAATCAGATGAAGCACGTGGGCTGTCACTTCTATCGGGAATTTCCAACGACATCCAAGTTCAAGAAGGCCCGAAATTGATCATCCCTATCGCGGTATTGCGACTCCCCGGTCCAGATACACCTGCCGCAGATGGCGGTCCAACCAGCGACCCGCTATCTCGGGGGCCTCTCACACTAGAGCATAAACAGATCGCCCGTTGCCTCGATGCTGGTGCAGTAGATGTTTTGACGACCCCACTTGATCGGGCACGAATCCAAAGTCTTGTGGTTCATGCCTATCGAACGCGCAAAGGCGCCCAGCGAGAGATGTCTAGCTTCCTCGCACGAAGAAAGCTACGGAAGCTCTCTTGGGTGGGCGTGAACAACAATGAACAACCATACTCATATTTGAGAGAGGCTATGGTTTCCAAGCTCATGAACGGAATTTGCAACCCGGAGGAGGTCATTTCGGAGTTCCAAGAAGGGGAGCTTGACATTGATCTTGACCGTGTGCCTTTCATCAAAGAACAGCTAGGTTGCTGGAAGTTTTCCGCCCATGACTTTACCGAGGATGAGCTGGTGTTTGGTGCTTGCGAAATCCTCCAGCATGCTCTCACTATGCCAGGTCTAGATCATTGGAGGCTAACCCCTGATGAACTACAAAACTTCCTGCTTGCCTGTCGTGCTGCCTACAACTCGTTTGTGCTTTACCATAATTTCCGTCATGCGATTGATGTGCTGCAATCCGTCTTTTGCTTCTTATTGCACATCGGTGTCTTGCCGCCATACCGACCGACTGGCCAAACCCGCGTTGCCAAATCCCCCATCGCCTCACTCCTCGCGCCATTTGACGCTCTCACTCTCTTGATCTCAGCTATTGGTCATGACGTTGGTCATCCAGGTGTCAACAACTTCTTCCTTGTCAAGCTTAATGCCCCTCTCGCACAACTTTACAACGACAACTCCGTCCTCGAAGCATTCCACTGTGCGGCTTTCTCGCAGATCCTTCGCCGACACTGGCCAGCAGCATTCAAAGACAAAGGTCTACGAAAGCTTCTGATCAGCTCAATTTTGGCGACAGATATGGGTGTTCATCAAAAGTTTATGCAACGGATGGGTTCATTGCAAGAACGCTATTATGAGAACAATAAAAGTGTTGATGGCTGGAAACCCCAGGATGTCGACATGTTTAAAACACTTGTTTGTGGTTTGTTGATCAAGTGCGCCGATATCAGCAATGTCGCCCGGCCGTGGAAGGTTGCAGAGAAATGGACCAAAATTCTCCAGGAGGAATTTGCCAACCAGGGTGAAATGGAGAGAGAGGTTGGTATGGAAACTGCACTCTTTGGTGGACCGCCGGAGCTAGGTAATGTCTACAAGCTGGCCACTGGCCAGATTGGATTCATGTCAATTTTCGCGCTCCCACTGTTCGAGGGCATATCCGACCTTCTGCCTCAATTGGATTTCACCGCGGAGCATATCCGCCGCAACCAAGCTCAATGGCAGAAACTTTCGAACGACGAGCTGAAAAAGCAGGGTTTGCCCGTTGAGAATCGAGCCGAGATCACCGTTTCGCCTCGTTCCCATAGCCCTGCTACCGAATCCACGGGTACTGAAAAGGCACATGCTCATTCAGACCTCAAATCTCCTGCATCATCTACAGATACAGCCTCGGCTTCAATCAACGAAAACACCATTGAACCGGTGGTTTCGCCAGATACTGCGGGTCCTCAGATTGAAATCACGGGAACACCTCTCGCACCGGCTGATATCCCCTCTCGCAAATCATCAAGTGCCATGCCAGATACGTCTTATTTCTCCATTCCAGGTGCCCCGGAGTCGCATCGCGGATCTGTTGGGACACAGTACTTCAGTCCCCTCCCCGAGTCCAATATTTCTACGGACGATCCAGCTGTACTCGCAGCCGTTCTATATGCCAACTCTGCAAATGGTAATGTTCCCGTGGGAATGACAGAACACGATCGTGCGTCCGAGTCTGCCGATAGACCGGGTAGCTCCCGCCAAGGCATCATGCACGGCACTCAACGTCACCACGCACACCACAGCTCATCTGCTCGCACAGGTTCCAATCGTAACAGCTGTGCCCGATCCCAAAGCACCTACAGCAGCAAAATGACACCCATCTCTCCTGCAACCAACGCCACAAGCTTTTTGGCTGTTGATAGTGGAGATGAAAAGCGGATTTCTGGAGAAAGTGCGCCGCAGAGTGATATTGGTGGACCAGATGATAGTAGCACCCGTCCCAGCACGGCGGATGCCTATCCCGCAAGCATCCCAGAGCATTCAAGTAGCTACAGTCCTGGACGTAGCTCCGGAATTGGCGCTGGATACTCTCAGTCCGAAGATGGCGCCACCAAAGACTTTGCCAGGAATGGTCGTAGCCCGGCTCAGTCAACCACTACGGGCGAGAGCATCAAAAACGAAAGCCCGCAGGAGGACCAACGTGGGCACCGCAAGCTTCCTAAACGACGGAGCAGACTACGCCTTGCATTCTGGAAACGTCGCAACCATACAAACGAGGTTCGCGGCGAGACTTGATTGTCCTTTACCGTTGCGGTTGGTGCTTATTATTACCGACTGAGTATAATGCTGCCATGGTCTTATGAACCCTTCATTATTGTGATGAGCCATGAGACCTCAAATGGTGTTACATGATTCACGACTCGACTAGGGAGAAGCCATTCAGGCTTTTCGTCCTATCTATCGATCAGTCTTTTATCAGATGTTCAATCTTTCGTCTGGTATTTGATTATCTATTTGATATTTTGGCTCTCCTAGTCACGACCTCCTACGAAGTCGATGATGCCACTGAACGTCTGGGCTTCTCGGGCACAAAGGCAATGCGAAGCTCGCTGCAAATTTATGACAACAACCAACCTGCGCTGTGTGTCTTTATCCCTTTCCCTCTCCTCAATCGAAGTCGAGAGTCAAATTTCACCGTGAATTTCGCTTACAAAACTCAAAAACAAAAAAAGCGATTACTGGCATATTTACGAGTGGATTTGATCAGCAACCTTTGTTACTCGATCTGATGTTTACATCGAGTGTGCCCTGTTTGATTGCCATGAATATTTGTATCTTCTCTTCACCCATCTCCTTCTCTGTCTCTTCTCCCTTCACCTTCATATTCCATTTCTCTATGCCCTTTATTTCATACCCAGGGCGCTCTTTCACGCCATGACTTAGATTTGACACGGAGCCCGGTGGCGTTGAATCTCTTTTCAGTTAAAGAGTGGGCTTGGGTTTCTCTTTCTTCAATTTACCTCATTATCCGAGATTCATCTCTCCGATCTTGGTCGTCTCTGCTTTCCTCTCCTATCTATGTTCGATCTTACCCATGTACCTAGTGGTTTCCTTTCTTCTTCCCTCCTCTCTCTCTCTGTCTTGTTCTGGCATGGTATCTTTTGTTTTGTGTGTGTAGAATCTGATTTGCGGGATAATGAATGTTACGTGTATAGTGAGAATCAAAGAGTCAATTTCAAGACACATATTATTTCTATCAAAGTCTATATCGGTTATTCCAGACATACCAAGTCTCAAAGTATACAAAGAATCCTCGAGCCTTATTCATCACCTACTGACAATCCTCACAAGGCTTTGCATCCTTATCATCCTGTACCTTGGCCTCTTCCTTCCTAACCTGCTCCTTCTGTTCACTCTGCTGCGCCTTCAAAGCTCGATCTGTATGTCCCAAATCCCGCTCTGGTGCAATCACATTGCGAACCAGCGATTTCAACGCTTTAACCTCTATAACAGAAGTAGTTAGAGAGATCCCGAAACATATGTACTCCCACGTTAGAAAAGGAAAAGAACATACCAGGGAATCCCCCATCCCGTTTCCGATCCCAGAGGATACTCTCCTGGGTGGTAACCGGCCCATCAGCAGATGCCACACCATGCCAAATAGTCACAGTGAAGACACCCCCCGTCATCGGGACCAGCGCTACCTCGCCAAGGTCAGTGCCGAATGTCGAAAGGAGTTCTTGGGCGAACTATATATTTATCAGCACGGTTGTATACATTACGGTACAACATAAGTTAACAGGGAAGCATGATTGACACAGAAACAAAGATATTCAACAACTGTGATATACAGCATGATGGGGCATATCAAATAACATCAAGTAAAGATACTGTGTAAGAGCACGAAGAGATAGAGCGCTCTATCCACGCCTAACCCGAAAGCAATGCGACTTCAATACTGGACGGTACTTTCGGCGATACAGCAGTTGACACTGTGATAGGTCTGATAGGTGGAAATGGGACTTACGTAGGCGGCGCGGAGCATCCATCGGCACTGGGTGCAGAATTTGATGGAGATGCGGGGGAGGTGGACGTGTTCGAGGGCGGTTTTCTGCTGGGGATCCATCGTGAGAGGATGTGGGGGTGGGATGTTGGTGTCTGCAGCAGACAAGGGCAGAGATGAGAGATGTTCGGATCTGAGGGAAGCCGAGTGCAGGTCAAATGAGGGAGGTATTGTGTGGATGATGTCAGCGGGGATTGTTAAGTTACATGGATGTTGTCTTTCAAGCTGTACAATATCTACACTTGGTTAGATCGAGCTGGTGGTCTCTGGCTTAAGAGGGGTGGAGGATTCGAGGATTCCACACTTGAAACCACCCTGACGCGTTCCTGCTTCTATATTAGAGGATCATGCAAGGCCAAAACAACGGCTTGGCTCGGATCCAACCTGCCGGGCCCTAAGTCCTCGGCATTTCGAGTAAAAGATTACATCGGTATTGAATTGGTCATGGACGCGAAGCGAATCTATGATACATGGCAACCGACTCTGCCTTGCCAAAATGAGGCTTTTGAAGAGAACCGTAACAAGGATACAAAGGAGAAGAAAAAAATGGTAGAGAGAAGAAAAATGGCTTCCAAACAGAAGGGGTAATGGTGCGAATCCAGAGAAAAGAAAATCAAAAAAAGGGCCGCAGTGCAACAGATGCATCGTCAAGTGCACTGCCTGCATGTCGGAAGAAAAGGGGTGGGGAGAGGGCCCAAGGGTGTAACCAAAAAAGGCGGACTTGCATCGCAAACTCGCAGACTCGAAGAGGTCCAAAATGGGAGGCGTGGAAGGGTTTCGTGCAGGACCAGCAGACGATTCTTTCAGGCCGACATCTCGCTTGTAGGTGCGATCGCAAAGTTCCGTTCAGGGTCCAGGGGGGTAGTCGTCAATGGTCCGAAATTAAGTAGAAGTGAGAAAGGAAAAAAGAGAGCGAGATGTCATGGCGAAAATTGGCGTCGTGAGTCCATTACATGACAGTGCAGCAACCGCCCTGCTGCTGGGGAGCATAGGGGTCCTCGCGCTTGTCGACCTAAGAGGTGGTGTTAGTGGATGCGCGCGTGAACCCATTGCGTCAAAAATCCGGTCGCATACCTGTCCCCATACGGATGGAACCATAAAATCGCGAGTGTTGTTGCAGTAGCTGATGAGGCTATTGGGGCTGTTAGCGATCGCTTGCGAACCCAGGGCAGGGTGGTACGGACGAGAGAGCGGCCTCGGAGACCTTGACACGCGGGCGGTCCAAGTCCTCCTTCAGACGGGCATTGAGCTCAGTGAGCCGACGGTATTTGAGGTCTGCGACACTCTGCTTCTTGTTCTTGACATCACCACCGGATCGGAGTTCGTAGGCAGGCATCGTGGGTGATTGAGGGGGGTTGGGATGGATTTGAGGAGACGCGATGTGAGAAAGGGGGAAGAGGGGGTGGGAGGTTTCTTGGATCGGCAGGGTTTCCCAAGGGGACAAATTAAGAGATTTGATTTTCAGGGGGAGAGGGGGAACAAAGGAAGGAATCAAAAAGAGAGTGAGGTCAGAGAGAGAGAGAGAGAGAGAGAGAGAGAGATTGACAAAGGGAAGGTAAACTTGGGGAGGGATTTTCTCTCTGGTGAGGTGAAGAAGTACCTGGTACTTCGGCTGGGTCGGGGAACACTATTGTGTTACTATTGACGGGAGGTCTTCTCGGCAGTACTAGATACTTGGGGAGGGAAATCTAACAGAGGCACTCGGAATACGATAGTTCAGATCAGAACAGGACGGACTTCCAACTAAAAAGATCAATCCAGTCAATAAAACTAGTAGGATATGAAATAACTCATGCAAGTCATCCATCCTGGTTGGACCAGTCTCGGCCAGTGACACCTGATCCCTCAGGCGGCCACACGTGATCGTCATCGCTTAACCCGAGTGGGAACAGCGGCGTCCCAATTTTCGCTGCTTCACGCACATTGTGAATCTTCCCCTCATTATCGGGTATTCGCGTGGCAGCATCTCCCATCGCATCTTATCAGCTGCCCGTGTGTGTGTCACTGGGCTGATCTCGACTTTTTTCGACAATTTGTCCCCGGATTTTTCTTTGAAAATTTGAAATCCCTCCAAAGGGGCATCCACCCACCATGCCTCCTCCGCCGCATATTAAGCCTGAGAATGTTCTCAAGGTGAGTCGCGACTTATGAACTAGGATCGACCGACAACGGACGGATAACTGATGGATATAACGTTGGATAGAGGGCCCAGGAACTTATCGCCGTCGGTCAGGCTCCCGCCGCCTTGACTGTTTTGCACGAACATGTCACCTCCAAGCGGACGCGCAGCAGCCCTATCGCCTCCCTCGAGCCGGTGATGCTCCTGTTTGTCGAGCTCTGTGTCGACCTTCGCAAGGGTAAGGCCGCCAAGGATGGTCTCTACCAGTACAAGAACATCGCCCAGAACACCAACGTCGGCACCATCGAGATCGTCCTCAAGAAGTTCATCGAGCTCGCCGAGCAAAAGGTCACCGAGGCCCAGGCCAAGGCTGATGAGATCCAGTCTTCTCTGGAGTCCGCCGCCCCGTCCAGCAACGTCGAGGATTTGGAGGCCATCGAAACCCCCGAGACCATTCTCCTCGCTACCGTCTCGGGCGAGCAGTCCCGCGATCGCACCGACCGCGCCGTTGTGACCCCATGGCTCAAGTTCCTGTGGGAAACCTACCGTACCGTCCTCGAGATTCTGAAGAACAATGCCCGTCTCGAGATTATGTACCAGTCGACTGCCCTCCAGGCCTTCAAGTTCTGCCAGAAGTACACCCGCAAGACCGAGTTCCGCCGTCTCTGCGAGCTGCTCCGCAACCACGTCCAGAATGCCGCCAAGTACTCGACCCAGATGCACGCCATCAACCTCAGTGACGCCGACACTCTCCAGCGCCACCTCGACACTCGTTTCCAGCAGTTGAATGTGGCCGTTGAGCTCGAGCTCTGGCAGGAGGCTTTCCGTTCTATCGAGGATATTCACACTCTGCTCAACCTGAGCAAGCGCCCCGCTAAGAACATCATGATGGCCAACTACTACGAGAAGCTTGCTCGTATTTTCCTTGTCAGCGAGAACTACCTGTTCCACGCCGCGGCTTACAACCGCTACTACAACCTCCTCCGTCTCTCCTCCGTCGCTCTTGCCAGTGGTCAGAGCACCAAGAAGGAGAACCCCTCCGTCACCGAGGCTGAGATGACCAAGGCCGCCTCCTTTGTTCTGCTCTCCGCTCTCTCCATTCCCGTCATCAGCACTTCCCGCTCCCGTGGTGCTCTGGTCGATGTGGATGAGGCCCGCAAGAACAAGAACACCCGTCTCACCAACCTGCTCGGTATGGCCACTGCCCCCACCCGTACCGTCCTCTTCCGCGATGCCTTGAACAAGGGTCTGCTCCGCCGTGTCCGCCCCGAGATTCGCGAGCTTTACAACATTCTGGAAGTCGACTTCCACCCTCTGTCCATTTGCAAGAAGATCACCCCCATTCTCGAGCAAATCGGTGCCGATCCCGAGATGGAGAAGTACGTTGTGCCTCTCCAGCAGGTTATCCTGACCCGTCTGTTCCAGCAGCTGTCTCAGGTCTACGAGTCCGTTGAGCTCAAGTTCGTCTACGAGCTTGCTCAGTTCCCTGCGCCTTTCCAGATCACCCCCGCCATGATTGAGAAATTCATCATGAACGGCTGCAAGAAGGGTGACCTTTCTATCCGCGTCGACCACATCTCCGGCGTCCTCACCTTTGACTCTGACGTCTTCTCTTCCTCCAAGGCCTCCCACGCCGGCAGCGGCGCTGGTTCCGCCGAGACCGAGGTCCAGCGTCTCCAGAACACCCCCGCTGAGATTGCCCGCTACTCCGTCGCTCGCCTCGCCAAGACTCTCCACGTCACATGCATGTATGTGGATCCCTCATACAACGAGGCTCGTCTTCAGGCCAAGCAGACTGCCCAGGCTCGCGCCATTGCTGGTGCTGCCCAGGAGCACGAGGAGACCCTCGCCCGTCGCGTCCTCATCGACAAGAAGAAGGAAGCCGCGACCGATGCCCTGCAGAAGAAGCAGCGTGATGAGGAGAACCGCAAGCGTATCCGCACCCAGCAGCTCCAAGATGCCGAGAAGCAGCGTCTGGCTGATGAGCAGCGTGACCGTGAGCTCAAGCGTATCAAGGATGAGCAGGACCGCATCCGCCAGGAGGAGCTCAAGAAGCAGCTTGAGGAGCTCAAGACTGGTGTCAAGGGTATTGATGTCAGCGAGATCGATCTCGACGAGCTTGATGCCAACCGCCTGCGTGCCATGAAGCTCGCTCAGCTTGAGAAGGAGAAGAACGAACTTAGCGACCGCATTCGCACCACTGCCAAGCGTATCGACCACTTGGAGCGTGCTTTCCGTCGCGAGGAGTTGAAGCACATTTCATCCGATTACGAGGCCCAGAAGAAGCTCGACATGGAGCAGTACGAGAAGCAGAACGCCGAGGCTCTCACCGAGTCTAAGCAGAAGCACACCGAGGCTGTTGCTCTCAAGCACCGTCTGAGCCGTCTCGTTCCCGTGTTCAGCAGCTTCCGCAAGGAGGTTTCCGAGAAGCGCCACGAGGAGTTCGAGAAGCGCCGCAAGGCCGCCGAGCGCGAGTTTGAGGCCAAGAAGAAGCAGCGTGTCAAGGAAGTCCAGGAGCGCCGCCGCCGCGAGCGCCAGGAGCGCGAGGAGGAGGAGCTCCATCGCAAGGAGGAAGAAGAGCGTGTTGCCCGCGAGGAGGAGGAGCGCACTGCTCGCGAGGAGGAGCGCCGTCGTGCTCTGATCGAGGAGAAGGCTAAGCGCGAGGAGGAGCGATCGTTAGTATTCCCATACTCCAAACTTACTTCACATCATGAAACTAATAATCCCATTAGCAAACTCGACGAGATGGCCCAAAAGCAGCTGCAGCGAGAGGAAGAAGCCGAAGCCCGTCGCTCAGCTCGGAGAACTGGAGGCGGATTCGGAGAATCTACCGAACGAACTGCCCCCCGTCTCAATGTTGCCCCCCGCACAGCAGCTCCCTCCGGCTGGAGAGAGCGCGAGGCTGCCAGAGAGACTGGTGGTGCTCCCGCCCCTGCTCCCGCCCGCGAGGAGCCCCGCAAGATCGGTGGTGGTTACGTGCCCCCTCACCTCCGCGCTGGTGCCTCCGGTGGCTCTGGCTCCGCCCCTCCCCCCCCGTGAGCCTCGCGAGCCCCGCGAAGCCCCTCCCGCCCGTGAGCCCCGCGAAGCTCCCACCGAGCGCTGGGCTCCCCGCCACGCCCGCGAGTCTTCCTCTCAGTCTCCAGCTCCCACTCCTGCCGCAGCCCCCAAGGCCGAGGGTAGCGGTGGCAAGTGGGTGCCGAGATGGAAGCAGCAGCAGTAAACGACCGGCTCCACGAGTAGATAGCAATGACTCTTTCCCTCTCAAAAAGTGTATGGAAGCTCTTTTCTCTTTGGCGCTGTTCTCATGACCTCTTTTCTGCATATTTCCTGTATCATCGACCCCATGGGGCCTTTTGGTCTGTCGCTTTTGCGTTTCAATGTCAATGTCTTTAATTTATTTCCTCTTTTCGGAATCAATGGACGGCTCATGCCGTCTTTGATACCAAATTCAAGTCATGGTTGTTCCCCCTTATGTGTATGTGATCTAGATTTTATGATAGAATCCAGATTTGACAGGCAAGCCAAGCCTTCACCGATATTTAGAGTGTGTTAACCTCGTTATCCATTTCCCAGCATGTAGTCTGTATCGGACTGGGCCCTGCTTTCTCCACCTAGGGTCGAAGACAACACGTCAATCTCCACCGATCTCTTTTCTTTTTACGCACCTGCTCCGACTCAGGTGTACAACTCTCTCACTGACCCTATCTATTTAGTTCCGACTTCCTCAATTTATCCAGTGCATCCTAGTCAAAGGTTGCGCTTACTGTCCAGACCGACTGCCTAGGAAGCGATTTCCACGTGATCGGTTGGCCCTAAGCAGTGACCAAAATCTATAACCTGGACACCTCAAAGATCCCTAGACACTAGTCTCACTTGACAAGACCGAAAACAATGATATACGTACATAAACATATATACTAGGACATACACTGCCTCGGTAATCCTCATACGCAAGACGTATGAATGCCATCCCGAGGAGCGATAACACCGGTCCTTTCATGGGTGCGTACACAGAACATGACTGGCCAGCAACCTGCAAAATACGAATCTTATTGCTGATCTGCATCTTTAATTTAAACTCGGTTGTTTATTTTTGCCCTTCGATGTAGCATGGCCAACTGACACCACTGAAGGGGTCGTGTCGCCACAATATTATTACTTTTCTACAATCCGTGTAATCCTCCAGAAAGTTCCATCTATAATTTGACGGCATTTGCCAGTACAATCCCAGCAAAGATGCCTATTGAATTCAGTATGTAGACCAAATTCCCGACTTGATCAGATTGAGCTTAGTTCGATCTCCGCCAAGAAACGAAGAGCCGCATGGAAGCGCTGAATGTCTGCGGGGTGGAATTTTCCCTCAACTCAACTACGACCCCTTCGGTACACAATGGGAGCCATCACAGCTCCATTCGGCCAGTGGAAAAGCCCCATCAGCTCGACCTTACTCGGTGCTGACGGGGTTCAATTCGAAGCTATCGCGGTATGTTCGATGATCAACACTGAGAACGTGGACTGACTCCCGCAGGCATCAAATGGCAAGATTTACGTCATCGAAGCACGTCCGAAAGAGCAGGGAAGAGGCTGTATTGTGGAATATTCTGGTAGTGAAGGACGCGACATATTACCGGCAAAGTAAAAACTCGCAATCCAGGACTAGCTCAGATCGGGTGCTAATACGATCACTAGATATGATGCCCGGAACAAAGTCCACGAATATGGAGGGGCTTCAATGATTGCCTTGAATGGGCAAATCATTTTCACCGACCGGGAGACTCAAGATCTACACCGACTGAACCCTTCCACTGGGGACATTGAGCGTATCACCAACACGGACACCACCCTCCGCTATGTGTGCACTTCCGCGATCACCTCTTCAGCGGACAAAAGCGCGACGCCTGAATGGCTCCTGGCGATCGAAGAAGACCACACCAATCCCCTACCAGCCGATGTTCGGAACCGCCTAGTGGCTGTCAATATGCAAAGCAAAGATATCGTCAATGTCGCCTCTGGGGATGACTTCTATAGTGCGGCGCAATTTTCCCCTGATGGCAGCAGGGTATGCTGGAATCAATGGTCTCATCCTGATATGCCATGGACCGGAGCACGTGTCTACGTCGCCAAATGGAACAACGGCCAGGTCACTGATGTCAGACTTGTTGCCGGTGTCCCTGAGAAGGAAAGTATCTCGCAACCTCGGTGGGGTGTCGACAACACATTGTACTTTACAAGCGATCGCACGGGATATTGGCAGCTGTACCGATTCAAGGCTGATGGCCAGGAGGAAGCCCAGAGATTGGCACTTCGCGGCTTGGAGAAAGTAGAATTCTCTCAGCCAGATTGGCGTCTTGGAAAGTGTGTTCAAATTGAGCGCAATGCGATTATGGATCATGCTAATGGCAATAAATTATTTTAGTTGCACATACGTCAGTCTCAGTTCAACCTCGATGATCGCTTCTTACAACAAGAACACTCGCTGGACGTTTATACTGATCGATTTGAACAACGACACTTGGAGTGATATTAACGTACCGGTGACAGACACAATCATTATAGCAGACACCCCTCTCTCGGAATCCAAGGTTGCCCTCCTTGGTTCCAACGAGACCACTTTCAGCACCTTGTTCACATTGGAAACAACCGGCACGGTTCAACTCAATGCGATCAAAGCTGCCTCCGACTTCCCGATGTCCGAATCTCTGATCTCCCACCCGAAACACATTTCATTTCCAAGAGTTCATGGTGCAAACCGCGAAGGAGAGGCGCATGCGATCTACTACCCACCCCAAAACCCAGACTACCAAGCGCCTCCTGGAACATTGCCTCCACTGATCGTGTGTGTTCATGGTGGGCCAACTTCCATGACTGGATCGGGATTGAATGTCACGGACCAGTACTGGACTTCGCGGGGCTACGCCGTTGCCTGGGTGAACTACGGCGGCAGCTCTGGATATGGCAGAGCATACCGGGATTCTCTGAACGGGCAATGGGGTAAGCATTCTGACCCGCCTTGGCTTCTCCAGTTTCATCCCTGCTGATAAACTCCATAGGTGTTCTTGATACCGCAGATGCAGCCAGCTGCGTGACACACCTCACCTCGACCGGCCAAGTAGACAAGAACGGAGTCGGCGTGCGAGGTGGTAGCGCAGGAGGCTACATCGTCCTCCAAGCTCTTTGCGACTATCCGGACCTCTTTTCCGGCGGTGCCTCGCTGTATGGAATTGCAAACGTCCGAACTCTCTGCGACGACACTCACAAATTCGAGAGTCAGTACGCATACGCGCTATTGTTCGAGCCGGGAGCGAGTGAAGAGGAGAAGAACCGCATTTTCCTCGAACGCAGCCCATGTGTCAAGGCGGACAAAATCACTGCTCCGCTACTGTTCCTTCAGGGAGACGAGGACCGCGTTGTTCCGCTGAATCAGGCGGAGGAAATGGTCGATCTGATGAAGAAGGCTGGCCGGGATCCTAAGTTAGTAGTGTTCAAGGGCGAAGGTCATGGATTCAGACGCGCGGAGAACCGGATCGCCGCTGTGGAAGAGGAGGAGAAGTGGTGGAAGCGAGCATTGTTGAAGCTGTAGGCGTTGGGCGTTGCGGTCTTGGGTTTGAACGTCGAAGTGAATTCTGCTGTTTGAAAAAATAGCCCTAGCCCTCTCCACTATATTCCAGGTATTTTTGAAAGACCGAATTGAACATGTTACTTCTTTGAAAATAAGTTTCATTCTTGTCTGGATCGATGTTTCCATGACGTTGAATACCGATTGAGGCTCTTCACGATACCCACTAACAGCGATCATTACCATGATCTTGAGGAATTCACACAAGCCGATATGCGTAGTTCTTCCAAAATTCTAGTTAAATTTCTGCAAGTATTTGGTAGAATCGCGCTAGCTCTCTACAGGCTGCAGAGATGGTTGAAGCTTCGTCGTTAACTTTTGCGCCTTCACTCAACCTTTGGTTGTAGCTATAGGAACAACGGGCAACGGGATATGCAAGGGGTTTCACACTGGTAGTTTTATCAGCCATTTGGAAGATTTCAACCGACGCAAACTGAAATTAAGGGAATATTCGTCGGAAATAGCCGCGTTGAAAAAAGAGGCATTAGCATATAGTCCGTCCATGTTGAATAGTATATCTTCGTATGCAAACCAGACCCATGACGTATTTGAATGGATGAATTTTAGCTGACGTGTCTTGTGATTCATGTTGCGTGCACTTACGTTGCAGGTGCGTTATCTCCAACTGTATACATGGCGCTAATGTAGACGCTCGATTTCACACGGTTGGGGGCAGCCTTCTGGGAGAAATCTCGTGGATCTCTTTTCCGTTTTAACTGTGCCAATCATAGAAGTTGGCAGTATGTTGCTGCAGTAGTTCCTTTCCAGTGGTAAATACTGTATGTATGGTAGTGAGTTGTGGTACCGTCGTACTTTACCATGACGTGGCGAGCTGCATCTGAGGGTGTGACATGATATCATACCTGATGCCGGTGAAAAGGTATACATAAAGGTGGGTAGCACGGTGACTCGCCTTCCCAGATCGATAGAATCCTCCACTCCTATAGCTTTCGAGCCAAATAAAGATCATGGCGTCCCGGATCACGGAATTTCCTGGGTGGGAACCCGATTACCGCATCACGGAACTTATATGGGATGGAAAAGGACAATTCATAGACGAATATACTGGCATTCCGGCGGACAGAATCGAAAGCCACATCAAATCCATTGTACATCATGCCTCAGGCGCTCCAATACCGCCATGTTAACCGATCACAGGCTGAAAAGGGATGGGATATAGTGCACTATCCATGCTTTGGCATGTTTTGGTTTCTGCACTTCGACCTAGCCGGGTCTCCCATCTATGATGAAATAGTAGCCAAAGTGAAAGAGGGCGCTTTGCTACTTGACCTAGGCTGTGCGTTGGGTCAAGATATCCGACGACTTGTGTATGACGGCGCTCCTCAGGAACATTTGATTGGCCTAGATCTTCGCCAGGAATTCATCGATCTTGGGTTTGAACTTTTCCAGGACCGGACCTCCTTGCATTCGACCTTCGTTGCTCAGGACTTTTTGGACGATGCCCAAAGCTTGGAACCATGGGCAGGGAACCTCAAAATCATCAATTCGGGCTACTTCATGCATCTGTGGGGATGGGAAGGACAACTGAACGTGGCAAAGCGCATTGTCAGCTTGCTCTCTCTGCAAGGTGGTAGTATTGTTACAGGTGTACACTTTGGGAGCGAGGAGACGGGACATACGACCAAGGTCCCAGAAAACGTCGATCCTCTGTTTCTCCACGATTGCGACACCTTGAAGAGGCTTTGGGAGCAAGTTGGGAGAGAAACACAAACCAGAGTGTCTGTCTGGATGGCAACGGAGCGGGATGAAGATTATCTGAGGTTGGACCCAAAGGCTTTCCGTCTCCGATGGTATGTGAGACTGTGGAGAGACTGAATGCATAATACCGAGGTATATATAGTGTTCCAAGTCTTCGAGAATTGAATGTGTACCTGGTAAAATGCTGCTCGTAGTTAAAACAATGATAAATGTGTATATGGAAAGCAAGTGTGAGGACTAAACAAGATTCAATTCTGCGCTATAGGCCACCTAATAGCTAAAAATGCACAAGTCAAGCTCATCAGAGGTGCGGGCGTAAAAGATAAGACGGAATAATAAGCTAGCGACAATTCTGCCAATGATGCTCCATCATCCACAATAGTACTCGAGGGCGTCACATTCACGTTAGTCTCCATCCCTCGGCCACGAGATCATCAAGGACAGAACTATAGCCAAAGATCCCATCACTCCGGTGGAAAAAGCCGGAAACTCCGCCAGACTCAACGTCCACTATTGGGGCGCCACACACAGCATCAGAGATAGCGCTGTTGACATTTCCGAAAAGGAACCCCACCGATCTGGTATCCCAGTTTTCAAAATCGAGCTCGGGGTGGCCAATTGGACGCATTGGTCGTATGAGCATGATGCCGCAATTCATCATGCTGAATAGCCCTGAACTCATCCCGTCGACTTCACTCCATGCGCCTTGCGAGATTTGAGAACTTTTCAGGAGGCAAGTAGGGGATTTGGCTTGGAAATAGCACTGATTAGTGAAGCTAGAGGAGGCAGCGGGGGTTAGCCTAACGAGAGCGATGTCAAGCTCAGGTCGAGTATCGACGACCTCGCCGATAAGATCTCCCCCATTCATACGTGGGTGATATACTTCCTCCGAGGAGGAAAAACCATGGTGAGCAACTTTCAGGTTCTTCGCCCGCGGGATTGCGAATTTTAACCCCACATGTAGGGGCAGCGTTTGTGAGTTCAGTTGGGGTGCCTGGTAGCCCAAGCCCACTCTCGATTCTACACCCTGGTGTAAGAGCGGACTGTTGAAGGTAGTTAGAGGTATCCTGGGATGTACTACCAGTAGCCGAGACCTGAGACGGGTCAACAAGAAAGGGGTGGGTTAGGCTTCTCATGGCGTCCAAGAGAAATGTATCATCATGGTGGTATAAGGCTGTTCGACCTGCCACTACTCAGGGAAGTGAAAGTCTTGTGTAGCTGCGGCCATCCCCGGTCTCAAGGTCGAAAATGGTCCAGAACGGGAGAAAAAGAGCAGCTCTCACATGAGCGAGTGGCGCGATGGCCGCAAGGACAGCAGCTGTCTGAGCCTTGGTCGGGTTAGTCATTCTAAGCCACCGGACATTAGGACACGGATCGTGAACACGAGGATTCGAATATCCAGATCTTGGGATGAGATCCATGACCGTCTCTCCGGAGCGTACAAATAGGACAGACATTGCCCCAAGGGTTAGTGGGATTGGCTGGGGTGGACGGGCTGTCTCTATGCACATCAGCCACCCGGAGAAATGCACCTCTCCCTCCCCGAATTGCTGGCGGATCCAGGGCAACTCCTCATGTGAGGGATGGCGGAACTTGCGGTTTTTCTCATCCCAGAGTGTGAAAGGTGCGACGTCATTCCAGTGACGTGTGCCCCAGCCGGCAGGGTTTGACCAACGTTTTGGTTCCGGGTTCGAATAGGAGGTCATCATGGTAGTTGCTGAAAGAATCAGTTTGACGTGACGATCAGACAAATAACAATGATAGAGCAGAGTGATGGATTCAGTTTTATGGAGGCGGAGAGAAGAAAGAGAGACGAGGGAAGAGAGGAAAGACCGTGGAACCTCATATAACCAACTTAGTTGACTCATACCTAGAAACATCGGCATAAGAATTTCGGCACACATCTAAGCTGGTTCTTCTCTCACTTGTCGTTTTACAGCGTGGTTCGAGTGTACGTGACGAGATATGATATAATATAGCTACTTCAGGTATCTATCTACCGAACTATATTGCGTGCAAGGTAAATGAAGCCACGGCTCCGTCCATAGTTCCGGTACTTCGAGGTCGGGTGCATACAATGGGGAGATATCGCAAGGCATCTCAAGTGGAAATTCAGTGCCAAAGACCACAGATGACTGTCCACCGAGAATGGAATCATACTGTAAGGTCTGGGCCACCATTGTTTCCAGTTCCGCAGTGTCCGAGACGCCGGCAGTTGTCTCTTCCCCTTCTTGAGTCTTTTGACTCGAAAGCGAACGCAATATTCTATCAATCTGATGTGAGTCCACAAGGAACAATAAAGTGTCGGCGCCACATACCCTGATGCCTCGGATGGATCACTGGAAACGATTCTATTGAGAACATTTCTTACTTCGGCACTAGGATGATGGTCTGGACCATGATCATCATAGACCAAAAGATTGGAGAGATCCTCGAATAATCGCAGAAATGGTGCAATCGCAGGTAGCACCCTAGTATACACAGCCAATGCACTCAAGCAGGCACTTATGGCCTGATGAGTGCGCCGGGCTGTTCATGCTGTAGGTGATATTGCCAAGCATTGCAGCAAGGTCACACCACAGTAGAAGCAATGGTACACTGTAATGCGATCCGGAGGAGTTTGAGGATTCAAGCTCAAGGCCTTTGCATTCTGCGCAAAAGAATCAGAAACGCCTCGGCGACGCATGGGTAAGGTGTTGGTCTCTTACCGAGCATGCTTCCACTGCAAATTCGACACATAGTCCTATTAGATCGGCGTCGATCTCTTTGGCCATCAAAATAGGTCGGATCAAGAGTAAAACGGCCTGTGTGTATGTCGCCTGTACCCGATCGGGGGTTTGTTGTGGGAATGGCTTTGAGTCTCTCTTTTGTGGCGCTTGCTGTTTCCATTGATCCAGCTTCCAAAGCAGACTTTGCACTTCAGCCAACGAAGGTACCTGGGCATGTGGTCCTGTATATCTCGTTCTGGGGATGGTTAGCGTGATCAGAAGGAGCAGTGTAGTGTCGCTCACAGTATCTTGGATCTTATGCGATACACAAGTAGATGGTGCAAGGCGGCAGTCATCTGGGCTGCGCGTCAACAATCATTGAAATCACATGTGCCAAGGTGAAAAACTACCGTAGTTATTGGCTTGTCTTTGTGGTTTTCGTCGACAGCATTTGGTGATAATTGATTCTGTCTTATTATGTGCTGGTCGGTGCATGTGTCCTCGATATCAATGGGTATCTGAGCATGGTCAACAGGAGCAAAGAGCTCGCAGCAAGCCAAACACACCTCAACATCGATATCAGAGTCACTGATTCCAAATGGGAGCTTTGACCAAAATGCGAGTGATCTCGACGCAATTGAGCTTACTTCTTGTAAAGACTGCGTAGTTGGGGTCAAGTGAGGACTCACCTATCAAAACAATATGCGCACCAGAAGAATCGTTTCCGAAGCTCCATACTATATGCATCCAGATTTTGCGAATCGGGAGCGTTTGCCAGTTTCCGGTGATATCGGAGTTTGACGCACAAACGTAGAGCAAGGCCAACCAGATGCCTGCTCACATCATCAGTGAATCGTAATGATGGATATACCAAGCCTGACAAACCACATGGGAGATTCCGATGGTGCTCTGAAATGGTACTGTACAAGACAGAGAAGAGCTTGAACCGATTGCATGTCCTGCAGAGACATCACGGCTGGGAGATAGATCTGCGCTCGAGCGAAGTATGCCTGCTCCAGTCAGTCGCGGTGCTCACTTGGACTTTTCTTCCCTCGCTGACCTCTGTGGAATTCTCGGGATCTGAAATCAATCGAGCTCCAATGGCGTAGACTATCCAAATGAAGAATGCCGCTACTGGGATGTCAGACCGTGTGCCTAACTCGAGCACTCGACTTGGAATTACCTGTTTGCGACTTCACCGAGTCTCGAGAGGAGACGTAGGCAAGTTCATCTCGTTGTTGGTGCCACGCCCCCAGTTGAGCCCAATCGACTATGCAGTACCGAGCTTGGGTATAAAAGTAGGCAGCGTCAACAAGCTTTCTCGCACCGTTGCTAGACGGCAACTTTGGAAGGGAGTCGATTTCTGTTTCCGGTAGAAAGGCGCGTCCGTAGCTCATCTCCAGAATCGGGTCGTCGGGTGGTGATACCTGGGGCTCATCTGCGGTCTTAAACATAGACCTCCGATCTTGCTGAATATCTACCCTATTCTGCTGCATTACAGCAGTGGCATCCTCAAATGCCTGAGGGTTAGACAGGGTCGTTTCCGGGGTGAGACGGTGCCCACTGGTCGGCCTAGCTTGATTAGCTTGGCTCGTTTGTAGTTGTCTTTCGAGATTCCTGATTCGCGACTCCAGCGTGGCAACATATCTGTTCATACATTAATGGAAGAAATGGCCTGGGATTGACGAGACACCCACGCATCCCCCCGTAGCACTCCATCTGGAGGAACATCGAAATGACATTCTGGGACATGGATCAGCTGCGCTCTGAAAAGAGAATCCAGAGAACGATACCGGCAGAGGATTTGGAGCAAGCCATGCACTTGCTTCTAATGTGTCAGCCGAAAGCTAGGGAACTTTGCCTTTGACAGATTTACCCATTCATATTTTCAATATTGTAATGGCATTTGATTTTCCTTCGTTTACAATAGCGACCTAAGCCAGAAGATTGAGTCGAGTGCCCCCGATTCCAATCAACAGGAGATACTCACACGCATTAGTGCTTCTCCGCTGGGTATTGCCATCGATCGGTCGAGATTTCTTTAGTTTGGATAAATTCCTTCGGATCCGGACAGGCTCTTCATGGGGGTTGGACTCTTGCATTTTCCAGGGGGTTTCATAGAGGTAGAAAATGCTATCAAGGTGGGGGAACGGAATGTCATTAACAATCATCGCGATACAGAGCTACTACAGGCAAGCTATGTTGGGGCCAATAAACGCTGTGGACTGGGTCAAACTTGATATCTGTTTGAAGTTGAACGGAAATGCCGCACCTGGTACTTTTGTCCAGCCCTTGTCTACGGCCAATCACAGGATTCAGTTCGGTTTGGCAGAACTAGTAGCAATGAAACATGACCAAAGATGCAGGGTTTGGCCTGTCCAGCGATTGGAGTGGTTCCAGCATGTTGACCAGCCTCCCAAGTTTGCGACAGAGCCAAGAGCGTGTCAAAAATGCTACATATCATGAGTGTACATGATAATGCCTGCCCACAAGACTAGTGAGACGATGAGCACGACAGCTCTTCGACGGATTCCTGGGCGGATTTAGCCACAGAATGAGGGCCTTGCTCGGTATCAGCGCTATTGGGGATTAGCTCTGGAGGGGCAACATATCGATGCGGGGAATAGCCTACCATTTATGATTCACCTCGCGACCTTCGATAACCGGATAGGTGTCTCGGAGTGTAGATTGCCTGCCGAAGAGTCTCCAGGGTCCATTGAAAACACCGTCAATCTCTTCGACGCTAAGTCCCGCGACCTCGGGCACGAGGAGATACACATAGAGAAGAGCGGCCGCGCACCACGAGGCAAAGAATACAAAGGCACCCCAATTATCGGTTCGCGAAAGCAGAGATGGCATTGCAAATGTCATGGAGTAGTGGAACAGCCAGTGGCAAGTTTGCGTGAAAGCAGCACCGAAGGATCGAATGCGGTTGGGCCATAATTCGCCGCCAAACACATATGGAAGGGTTAAAAGACCTGTGAGTGACCGTTGATCAGCATGTGGGAGCATCTTCTTTTGTTTGTTTCTGGGAACTCACCAATAGTAAATCCAAAGGAGTGAATGAAAATGGAGGCGAGAGCCGCCTCGCCTGCGGCTTGCGGGGGAGATCCATCATTTTCAACCTTGATGTATGCGGCGAGATATATGTCGGAGATCATTTGAAGACTGATACCGACGAACAGCGTGTTACGGCGACCGATTGTGTCAATGAATAGGAACGACCCAAAGAGACCGAAGAAGAACTTTGACATGGAATACATTCCATTGAGGAACAGATTTTTCGACGAACTGCCAGACAAGCCAACGAACTTGAGGATTGGAATGAAATAACTCGTGATTGAGTTACCACCTGAAAACTGCGGGACTGCGTATAAAATAAGAGCTTGTTGGACTCGGCGACGATTCGATGGGACTGTGAATGTCTCCTTTGCGAGACTGACGATTTTGGATGGCGACTTGTCATTCGGATCATGAGCTGATTTCTCTGATTGGATGGACTCTTGGAGACTTTGGAGTTCTTGCTGAACCCGATCGTGATCCAGCGGCAAGCGTCGTAACTTGACCAAGGTGCTCGCGGCCTCGTCATGTCGGCTTGACAGAATTAGCCAGCGAGGTGACTCACAGAGGAAGAAACTGGCAACGATCCAGAGAGCCATAAACACGCACGGAGAGAACATCACGACCTGATATTGTAGACGACTTGCCTCCATGTGGAGTTGCACACCGTACGCGCAAAATGTAGCAAGCATCAGTGATAGTGTCATGAACACAGTGTACCATGCTGCCAATAAACCACGAATCTCTGATGGGGCCAATTCGACAATGGACACAGTACCCGTAACACTCAGCGATCCAATCCCCAGACCGGAAATGATTCGAGACACGTACAGGGCCGATGGCCCAGGGGCAAAGGTTGCCACCAGCTGGCCAATGATCCAGATAGTGGAATATAGTCTGAAAGACCACAGTCTTCCAACTCGATCGTTGATGAAGAACGACAGAGCAGCCCCAACAGCGTCGCCGATATACACGAGAGAGACAAAGTTTCTGGTCGAATTCGCTCCAGCCGTGGCGCTGATACCAAATTGTCGCTGGAAGCCCTCGAGAGAAGGCAAGGTAGATGCTGATCCTTGATCCCAAGCTATTGAGTCTCGTCAGTAGGGTGGAAATGAGAATCCATGGACACAGAGGACTCACTCAAAGGAATTGCTGCAGTGGCGTACATTGCGCACGACAGCAACAGCATTGGGCTCAGTATCACCTCTCGCGGTGCATTCTTGATTCTCCTTCGATAGTCTGCCAGCATTGTTTTCCCCAACATGTCCCTGAACGCCATTTTCAGTTCAATGCTTAATCATTGACTGTGCCGTTTTCGTGGGAGAAGATGAGAATTTTTCTAAGTGAAAGAAAAGAGGGTATCCGGTTGGGGGCAAGACAGTAGATATCTGGTCCGTTTCTTATACTCTGGGAGTGCCGCGCTTCATCTGGAGATATGGAGCGGGAATTTCGCTCTTCACCAGGCTTCGGTAAATCCGCCAACATACGACACTAGATCACTGAGATAAAGGGCATCCGATCAAATGGAAATCAGCCAACTTATCTCTTCCAAGGGTTGATATCTGCATAGTTCTGTTAGCTGCGGGAATTCCGTTCACTACCCCTCCATATCCATACAAAAGACAGTGCGAATCACCAACGAACCATTTCCAGGAACCCACCATCTGCCAATATGACGAACTCCGAATCCCGTGTCATCATCGTGGGCGGCGGTGTTTTCGGCCTCAGTACCGCGCTTTGGCTGGCCCGTGGGGGTTACAAAGATGTGACGATCTTCGACCGCTGTAACTTTGACACGAATTTCTACAATCCTGCCGAGAGATGCGATGGTGCATCTGCGGATATTAGCAAGATCTTCCGAGCCACCTACGGAGTGCAGCAGCAGTACGTGTGATTCTCAATGGAGTGTTGAGTTGGTGTGATTCTAACCCACGTTCAGCTCCCAAGATCTTGCTTTGGAGGCCAGAGAGATCTGGCTGGAGTGGAATTGCGAGATTCAAGAGAGTCGTGTATCCGACCTCCCGCGACCACTGACTCCAGAAGATGAATTGCTCCAACTATGCGGCGTGTATCATCTCGCGGATGGGCCAGACATGATCCCGCGGTACGTGGAGAACCTGCGAGTCATGGAAGACACTGCTCCTAGCTTGCGAGATCTGCAGTTCATCAAGGTGGCGAAACCCAACTCCGGTCTTGAGGATCATCGTTAATGTGTGAAATAGGGCAGTGTGGACGATGAGAAGCGAGCTGGTATCCGGGGCGATGAATGGGCCCAAAAATACCATCTATTCGACAAGTTCAAAGACGGCGCTACCAATGGATTCCTCGATGCAGGATCTGGAATCACGTTGGCCGATAAAGTCAGAATCACTAGATCTGTTGGTCATACCCCATTTTCTAACTGACCGTGCTCCAGGCATGTGTTTACGCGCGGTATCTTTGTCAAAAGGCCGGTGTCAAATTCGTTCTGGGCCGCCCTCAGGGTGAGCTTGACCACTTGATCGTGCGGCAAAACGGGCCGGACAAGCAAGTCAAGGGCATTCAAACACGCGATGGGTTGACGCACGCCGCTGATCTCGTAGTTATCGCATGTGAGTGAATACGTTCATTCGGCAGGACAATGGCGTAACTGACATTTTCGATCAGGTGGTCCATGGACACCAGCCGTCCTCCCAGAAGCGCACCGTTCCGTCGAAGCTACAATGGGCACTGTCATGTTTATCGACATACCGGAGGATCGTCAGGATCTGAGGGAGAAGTTTCATCCTGATGTTATGCCTGTCTGGCGCTTCATCCAGGGAGAAGGAGAAGGGTAGGTCTGCAGTATCCCTGGATTGAATTGGAAGTGACAGCAACGACAGAGGTTATGAGGGCGGTGGATTCCCCATCACTCGAGAAGGAAGACTGAAGTTTGGATTCAGAGCGCGAAAGGTGGCCATTTCTCTCGTTGCTGGTGTGTCCCAAGTCGAGCTAACCTTGCAACCCAGTTTACCAATTTCCAAGACCACCCAACAGAACAAGGCATGTGAGTTTTTCACTCGATCCCACAGGTCTTTCAACCGGTGGGTGCTGACTATGCTCCTTAGTCGAATCTCAACCCCTCGAACAAAGTACAGCACAGAACCGATCGATACTGTCCCGTCATACGGTCTGGAGCTCATGAAGCAAGTCATTGGTGGATTGTTCCCAGAGTTGGCCGAGATTGGCTTCACTGACAGCAGGGTTTGTAGATAAGTCACCATGTGTTGAAAGGTTTCACGGCTAATACACATCGAAGTTATGCTGGTACACGGATAGTATTGATAATGAGGTGTGTATCACCACACTGTGATTCCTGTTTTCATCTCAGACACTGACTTTCCTGCTGTTTGTGATCGATTATGTACCAGGATACTTGGATACCGTGTTTATTTGTACCGGTGGCTCGTGAGCATCCCAGCCGGTTTCCTATAGAAGCATGCCCTAATTTCAGTGCCATAGGGGTCACGGATTCAAATTCCTTCCCATTCTCGGCAAGGTATGTGTTGTACTCTATCATAACAACTGGGACGGGATATTCTTCTGACTCGGATTACAGTATGTGAAAAACCAACTAGAGCGGGTTCCGGATCGATTCACCCCCCTTTGGAAATGGCGAACGGTCGAGGGAGGCAAGCAATGCAATGGCCTGGAGGAGGGGGAAGCCGGCCCTCGCGAGATGTCAAAGCTGAAATTGGCGAAGCGTGAGTCCTTTTTTCTTCAACCCTGGACGATTCTTACCATTATCTGCAGCACAGGATTTTCAGTTTTCGGGCAAGTGCCATTCTACCTCGCCAGGTCAGCTTTGACAGTGGAGCGTGGGGATGAAGGAGGACTCCCAGCTTTAATCACACGCACAACAATCTGTCTCGAGATAGAACAAATGGTATCATGGTTTCGAGCGTATATGCATGTAATCTAAGGAGCTCGCTCTCAATATAAACAAGCGCGCACTGAAGAAACGGCCCAATAACATCAATATGGATATCCGATAACAGAACGAAAAAAAAGCACAGGAATCTAGATATAGATCTGTATAATAATATAGAAACATCCCAGAGATGATCAACAATCGGGAACAAGTAGTTATGCTGCAGCCACTTCAGGATTCGCCCCAAACAGCTTCTCGCGCCACTCTCCACAGACCGCCTCAAACCCACTGACTACATCTCCGCACACTTTACCAGCTTCTCGATCTTTCAGCCGGCGGTCCCATTCACCCCGTTCGATCCATCGGGAGCCCTCTTCGCGGCTCTCGTCTTCCCGTCGGATCTCAGCGACGAGCTCACGCGCAGATCGTAGTCTTCGGGAAGCAGTGGATGTTAATTGCCTTGACTCATAGAGTGTGTCACTAAGACCGCGAAGTGAATGAGTGATATCGGCAGTTTGGGAGATGAGTGCTTGTAGAGAGACTAGTGGGTTATGAGCAGATGACTGTGGAGTGGTTGGCCTGGAGCCGCGGCGGGACTGTTCGGGGAAGGGGTATGGGAGACTTGGCAATAAGCCTTCGTCGATAAGAGGCAGCAGAGAGTCAATGACATCTTCGGAGAGTAAGGGGAAGGAAGAGAACAAGAGTGGGTGGATGAGAGATTGCAGGGTGCGGGTTTGGTGTGTGAGATGTGATGTGATTGAGGAATGCGCAGTAATAAGTCTGTGTATTAATTTTAGTCCCAAATTATAGTGGTTCATATTTGGGATGGGATGCTTTACCTCATTGCACTGTTCTCAATGCCGCTCTGTCCACCGAGGTCTTTCAAGGACTCGACTGTCCGTTGAATAACGTGGTCATTTTCGCTGCCATTATTTTCTATGCCCCGTCGAACAAGGCTTTCAATTTCGGCCATTTGATTCTCCAGTGCGGGGGAGATATCTGCAGCCTCGTCTAGGTCCGAGTCGGGCCCATAATCTGAGCCATCATATTGCGACTCCTGTCGCCGGTGTTGTCGCAGATGGTTGGCGCGGTTCTTAGTCCTTCCTGGGTGAAGCGAATCCCTTTCTGGGGATGGTGTTGGCGATCGAGTCCGCATATCATGCACAGATTGCATATATGCATCTTCCATGTCACTATGATCCATTTGCTGTGACTCCGCGCGGCCGTTTTCCTGACCTGAAGCGTATCCATAACCGTCATCTTCTTGATCCCAGGCATCAGCAAGCTCATCTGCCAGATTTCCTAAGCCCCCGCCCCCTGCCTCGGCGGTGCCTGAAAAATCCCCGGATTCGCGGTGGGATCCACTCATGGCCGTTGAATTGTGGCGGGATGCGATTGGGGACGGAGGAGCAGAAAGACGGGGTGTTTGGGGAGACCGAGGGCTTGGTAGTGAGAACCCATTCATGTTTGACGTCCCGGGTGAGATTGGTGAGTCGTCCATTGTTGATGGGTAGCGGTGTGAGAGTTTCAGGGGAGAAGGAGGGAGGGGCATTGTGTCGACTGCAAGGATCTCGCAAGAATCTTGGTTGAGCGGAGGTTTGACAGGCGGCGACAGCAGCCAGGCTATAATTGAGATGTTGAGCCAAAGAAATCAGTGTTGTCTTGGTCAAGCAGTAGGCGCAAGATTGATCCGGGGGTCCGCTAGTGTTGATATCTCCGTTCCAAGTCAATTCTCTGGAATATGTAGTGAGAAGTAAATGTAGTTTGACGACGAATATGGTCACAGAATCTCGACGCGTCAGAACAATTGCATCTCCAGGATGCAAGAGGGGCACCGTTTGTATACGAAGCAATAAACACGGAGACCAATCCACCGAGCGGGCGTCACCGCCCGGCAGAAAATGACGAAGGTATCGACCCCACATTCCTTCGATAAGTTAGATCTTGCCCAAGTATTTCAACTATCAGACGCCAAAATGAGCTCTGTAGAGCGGATGTCCCCTTTGGACCTCCTAAAACTGAACCGCACAAACCTCGATCCTCTCACTGAGAACTATGACCTCGGTTTCTACCTCAATTACTTGAACAAATGGCCATCGCTCTTCAGCAAGATCACGGACCGTGAGGCAGGCATTGTGGGCTACAGTAAGCTTTACTTCCATCTGATCACTCGAATGACACGCAAGAATCTTTTGGCTGATTTGATTTCTCACTAAGTCATGGGCAAGCTCGAGGAGCAACACCCCTCTATGCGAAACTCCGAGCATTACACACCGTGGCATGGTCACATCACTGTCTTGACCGTTGCACCTGCCTGGCGCCGTCTAGGCTTCGCCCGTCGCCTGACCGAACAGCTGGAACGCGGATCAGACAGTAATGACGCCTGGTTTGTGGATCTTTACGTTCGCGCCGGAAACAAGGTGGCTAGCAATATGTACAGAGACATGGGGTAAGTGAGACTTTGAACAAATTTGCGAAGAGAGGAAGTTAACGATCTAAACCAGATACTCGGTCTTCCGGCGTGTGGTGAACTATTACAGCGATGATCCGTCGGGAATGTCGGATACTGGGGAAGACGCATTCGACATGCGTAAGCCATGCAGTCGGGATAAGAATCTCGAGCATGTGCGAGAAAATGGCGAGGAGTTCCGTGTTGAACCGGAAGATGTTATGTAGCGATGTTACCTTATACTAATGCGCGTCTTGTTAATCCGTTTCTCTACTCTGATATCCAGAAGACAGTCATACTCAATTGAACTGCAAGACTACGACGGTTGTTATACCGGACAACAAAGTTGCTATCATGAATCATTAAAATTTAGAGTAACTGTACTGTTTTGTTTCGCTTATACAGCATGACCATTGCGCCGTGATTCCCACCTGCCCCGTCAAATGCGAAGAAAATAGTGTTTCCAGTGGCTTAGGCAGTATGCAGAACCTTTCATGGATACATTGACCGTAATGCCAGTGATTTTGTCATATGAACAGAAATCCCAAAACCCAGAGTTATGCCAAACCAAGTCACAGTGTTGAGAGTTGCGCAGTCATCATTCTGTAGCAAATACTGGCCACATCAACTGTGCACTCAATAAAGAGAATGTAGTTGGCAGGATCTTAGAGCAATTGATGTCACCATTTCGACTAACTTAAGCCTTTGTACGAAGGATGGGGCCCGTGCGCAAGAACCGCACACTTGCAAAGAGGCATGTGGATGCCATAAGACAGCAAGCCGTAAATAGTTGCAATCCGAGGAAGTTTTGTTCAGCACCCAGGATTGCACCACCGATGGGCGTTCCAATCAACAAGCCGATGGAGGTCACAGCAAAGACCATGCCTAGACGTGTACCCAAATCGCGAACATCTGGAGTCATAGTAGCCATCACCACAGGCGGCAGAGAAACAAAGCCTCCCGAGAAGAAACCGTAGAGCACAGCCAAAATTATGATACCAGGTACGGTGTGAACCCGAATCCAGACAAAGGCAAGGATGGCGGTTATAGTCACCAAGGGAGTGAGCATGTTCAGAGGACCAACGTGATCAGCAAGGAAGTTGGGACCAATACGGCCGCATGTTGAGGCGGCATTCAGCATTGACAGGAGATAGAATCCTAAATTTGGGTCGACAATGTTTGTCTCAATTGCGTAAGACTGCACATAGAACAGGAAGTTGTAGAATCCCAAGAAACCCACAAACATGGCACAGATGAAAATGGTGAAAGCGGGTTCCTTGAACGCAGAAAGCTGCCAGAGCTTGCGCTTCTCTTTTGGCTGGAATCGCGAACGCATAATAGCGACGGAAAAGCAAATTGTAGCGAATGAGATGAATCCCAGGGCCCGAGTGGCCCAGGCAAAGCCGACTCTGTTTGACAACTGATCTAACATGATAGGATAGACAACGCCACCGATGCTACTGCCACTGGCAGCAAGGCCATTGGCTAGTCCTTTCTTGTTCTTGAAGTATTGTGGGAGAATGGCAACTGAAGGAACGAAAAGACAGCCCGCTGCCAAACCACAACAGATACCTTGAGAAAGAATTAATTGCCAGTATTTCGTGGCCAGACTGGTCATCATCAAGCCAAATGGCATAAGAACGGCGGCAACGCTGATAAGGGTTCGGAAGTAGCCTGCATCGAAGAGTGGGCCTGTGATGGCTCCGATCATCATCAACAGGAACGACTGCAGCGATCCAATCCAAGCAATTGTGGATGACGAAGTACCGACAAGTAGGTTCTGCTCATAATAGGTCTGGTATGCCCCCCAAGTATTGATGATTCCCCTTTTAATTCAATTTGGTCAGTTCGACACATTCCATATCGATCTGGTACAGACATACCATGAGTTGAAGAAAAGGAAAAATGAGCCCAGCACCTGAAGCCATTGCTTGAGGCCTGTATCATAAATGAACTCAGGCCCCGGCTCTTTTTCAGTCACAGAGTCAGAGGCATTGGGAGAGGCGACAACATTATCATGTTGAGCGGTGGAAGGTTCAGCAAAGACCTTCTGCTCTACATCCAGATTAGTGGCACCCATAATCAGTGGCAGGTGACGATTGCACAATATGCAAGGTCTGTCTCAAACATGAGAAGCGAGAGTGGACAAAGTAAGTGGGCGATTCGATTCAGAGGCGCAAAACACCAGATTCATAAAGCTATGGGCGACCCTTTTATGAAAACTTTTCGGAGTTGATTAGAAACCCCGAACCAAGCGGGGCTCATCAAAGCCAAGCTGCCCTGGGGGCGGAAGGTGCCGAATGGAGTCGCCCGTGAGGCAGCGGCATAGGGTCCCACTGGGTCCTCGTCCATGGCGGAGACATCACTTGAGTGAAAATCGATTGATGATCCAATGATGATCCGTCGTCGACGTGCCGGTTACCCAGGCGAACCGACACTCAAGATCAGATTAGCGGGCCTTTGACCCTATAAGACAGGGATGTTAGTGGGCCTTCGTGCGTCGTGTCATCTCCCTCAGGTCTCGCAGATAACGGAATATAGGGTCGATATCCGAGTTCAAGCAAGAGAGGTGAAGAATCTCGAGTGTGTTAGGATTCATTCTTCCGGCAAATGACTGACCGACTCGGCACGTGGTCGACAAACTATAAACAGAGAAATGAAGAAAGCGTCATATTATTTATGGATATCCTTTTTCTAGTCTTGCTAACTGTGCGAAGGCCTTCTTCTGTCCATGCAGTCAAGACTTTCAAAGCTCTTTTTTTTGACAGCTTCTTCGTATCCCAAAACTCCAAACGCTATGCTGAAACCCAAAGAAAAGAAATGTATGGTAAACAGCCATTATCGGAATGATCGAATCTGAAGTGCTACTACAGCAACTCCTCGCAAGTCCAGTCCTCGTACCTAGAGTTATTGTTAGGCATATCCCACCACTCATGCTTGATAGGGGCATTCTTACCATCCATCGGGCAAGTATCGGCGGATAATCAGAGGAATCTTCTTCTGATTCAGCTCCTTCATGGCAATCTGGAGAGGATCGGTTTCACCCTCGAGATCAACGAGAACAGGAGCGTTCATACTAGAGAGATGTCAGTACATCCATCGTGTCTCCAGCTCAATTTCGCAATGCTTGTAATATCTGTCGACGCACCTGATCTGCAAGGCACGGGTGCCGAGGACACGCGCGCGCTCGTACTTGGTCAAGTATGGAGTGGTTGTGCGCTGGTCATTGGGCACCTTCTTCTCGCGCGACTGTTCCATCACCTTCCCAGTGTATCCGGCATTGGGGTCACCCGAGACAACAACATTCTCTCCATTGATGGCAGGGTTGTAGATATCGCCTTCGCCTTCCTCACCCTCAAGGCCCTCTTGGTCGGCCAAGTCCTCGGGTTCCATCTCTTCGAACACATCCTCGCCGGGCTCATAGTCATAGCTGCGCAAACATTCAGGTTAGCCATAGAGCTTGTGGCGATTTATGCGAACACAGTTTGAGCATGCTTGGAGGTGAGACAGAACCCGGACTTTGTTGCGTCTAGGGTCTGATCAACCTCAAGATGTGGGGGAGGTAGCTCTTACGGTTCAGCATCGTTGTCACCGTAGTCAGACATGATGGCTGGTAGGCTGAATGATCAGATGATCTGTTAACCGTAGAGAACGAGAAAAGGCCCGAATGGGGAGAAGCGACTCGGAGATCGAAGTGGGATTGATGCTTGTAAAAATCCTTGGAGCGGAAAAACTTCCTCTCGCGGTTGCCGTCACCGCCTTTTTCGGCAAAATAAAATTATTGGGACGTTCACGTCAGATCTTCCATTCCATGCATGGGGATATCCTTTTTGCCAATCGTTTTCCCGGGGGCTTCTTATTATGGCCCAGAAAAGGAAGTCTCTGTCGCAGGGAGCGTCGAATCCCAAGCGCCATCAGAAGGAAACACTCCTGGACACCTCCGGTATGCTTCATCTCTAGATAACGAGATCAAGGTACCGATTTGCTGATCCTTTACAGACCCAATCTACGAAGAGACTCATTCTGATGCTGAGTACTCGGCCCCAGGTACTCCGAGTGCCATGAGCCAAGATTTGAACGAGACTCCTGCTACTCCATACTCTACTACGTCTTCCCGGTATCCATCCGAGCTCAAAACCCACCGGTGCCCTTTTGAAGGATGCGACAAAGCCTTCAACCGTCCAGCTCGTCTTCAGGAACATATCCGATCACACAACAATGAAAGGCTCTTCCAGTGCACATTCGAGGGATGTGACAAGACCTTTTTAAGAACTTCTCATCTCAACCACCACGTCAAAAGTGCTCATACCGGCGTTCGAGACTACATTTGTGACCGACCGGGGTGCGGTAAAAGCTTCGTGACTGGATCACGACTTCGCCGACATGAAGCTGCGCACGACGGAAGAGACAAGTTCCGCTGCACGGAGTACCCACCATGTAACGAGACCTTCCGAAAGCACACTACGCTCCAGAAACATGTCACGACTGTCCATTTAAAACAGAAACCATATCCGTGTATGCACACCGATCCGGTGACGAACCAAAAATGTCAAATGGCATTCGACACCGCCGGAAACTTGCGAGCCCACGAAAGCAGGGTCCATGCCGAGAAGCGCTTCACTTGCACAGAATGTTCTGAAACCCTACCCGATCAATGTTCAGACATGAATCGTACCGACAGTCCGAACCAAGAAGCGACATTTCCCACATACGCCCTTCTACAGGATCATATCCGGATCGTTCACCCTCCTAAATGCCCTCATTGTCCAATCGTGTGCTCCACATCACGAGAGCTCCGGCGTCATCTCGAGGTTGCTCACGGGGATGTTAGCCTTGAAGAAAGAAAAGTGTTCCTTTGCACCTACTCCGGCTGTGATCGCAGCTTCACCAAGCAAGGCAACCTGACAGTCCATATCCGCACCGTCCACGAAGGCGAGAAACGATTCGTCTGTGGAGAAACGGACCTTTCTTCCTCCAAGAAGGTGGAAAGCTGGGATGGCATCGGCTGTGGAAACCGTTACGGCAGTAAACTCGCACTCGAGGAACACATACGCACCGCTCATATGGGACTCCAAAATTCCAAGGCAGAGCGACGTCAGCGATTGGGACTAAGCAATAAGCCCTCGCATAGCTCCATTTCTACCTTGGCCGCTCTCACAGGCCAGGGTTATGTCGAGGAGACAGGCCGACACATTTCCTGCTTTTATGACCAGTGTCCCCATCGTTTCCATCGCGACTACGATCTGTGGGTGCACATGACTAGCAAACATGGCTGCTCGGAAGACGAGGTGCAGGGACTGTTCATGCAACGTGCCTTGCTTGCCGATGATTCCGGTCCTGGCGGCAATTCATTGGGGATGTACGGTCTTGGCCTTGACCAGGAGGGCCCGTCCTTCTTCAAAGAAAATTATGCTGCAGGCGACGGCTCATCGGAGATGGCTTTTGGCTCTCAGTCAAATGACTCGAACTACCTTCCCGGCCAGCAAGCCTTGAATACCGATTATTTGATGCAAGATGACTTTTCAGCGGGCGCAAGCGGCGAGATGGATTGCATGATATCCGGCCATGACGATATGGCCATGATCGATCCCGTTCTTGCCTACAATTTGACAGAGCAATGATTGGGGTCACCTTTACGACTTTCACGACTATTTAACGGCATAGCAAAATAAAATTTCATTTCGTCTCTTTAAACTCTAATTTTGCTCCACCAAGATGTAATTCATGGATTTCAGCCTTATCTGTGTCCATGGATCAGGGCACTGCACCTGGGCCCGGGGGCACCCTGAGGCATCCTGCAGTCATTTTGATCACTAAGCAGTCAGCTGATCTGTGAACGGCAAAGGACGACAATAGCCATGGATGAGAGAATCGTCCTACAACCAGATCTTACTGCACGCCAAGTACTGTGGAGCAGTGCCTTTGGAGCCCAGTTGTCCAAAATGCCTTGGCGCCAGAAAACAACATCATGCAGAAATATCATGGTACCCCCGTCGCAACTTGGCATTCCGGCGGGGGCGGAGGAAGACAGCGAGGTGATGGAAACACACATAAAATGCCCAAGAAGATGAATCAATTCCTGTATCAGAGTTCTTTTTTCTCATCAAACTACTCGTGAAACTTTCAATTAAGCCTCGTTGCAAGGATGTTTCGTGTCGAAGCAGGTCGTCTAGTCTATGAGTATGACGCCGAGCAGCTCTGGATCGAACCCTGGGTTGACAATGCGTTCCGAATCAGAGCCACAAAATGCGCCACCATGCCGACTGAAACTTGGGCATTGGAAATAAAACCGTCACGCCCAGTTCACCCGGATATTTCTATCTCCTCTACCTTTGCAAGCATCACCAACGGCAAAATCAAGGCGGTCATTTCCAAGTTCGGGAAAGTGACCATTTTGAATTCCAATGGAAAAGTATTGCTTGAAGAATACTCTCGCACTCGCCGGGATGTCCTCGATGCAAAATGCAGCGCCATAGAGGTCGAGGCTCGTGAGTTCAAGCCTATTTTAGGTGGCGACTACCATCTCACCTTACGACTGGAGAGCGTGGATCCGAATGAAAAGATTTTTGGCATGGGCCAATACCAAATGCCATTCTTGGATCTCAAGGGTCATGATCTAGAGCTAGCTCATCGAAATTCTCAAGCTAGTGTTCCCTTCGCATTATCGTCGCTCGGGTATGGCTTCCTGTGGCACAATCCAGCGATCGGACGTGCCGTCTTTGGAAAGAACATCATGAGTTTCGAGGGTTACTCTACCAAAGTCATGGACTACTGGATCGTGGCAGGAGACTCGCCCGCAGAAATCGAGGAAGCCTACGCTGATGCTACTGGAAAAGTCCCTGTGATGCCCGAATTCGGTCTAGGGTTCTGGCAGTGTAAGCTACGGTATCAGACGCAAGATGAGATTCTCAGTGTAGCTAGGGAATATAAGCGTCGAAACCTGCCGATCGACCTCATTGTTATCGATTTCTTTCACTGGCCTAAGCAAGGAGAGTGGAAATTTGACCCCGTGTACTGGCCCGATCCAGGTATGTATAATCTGGTACTATTTTGAGACAGATATTTGAGGCGAAGATAGCTAACTAGCAATATGAAAATAGCTGCTATGGTCAAAGAGCTAAAGGAAATGCAAATCGAACTGATGGTGTCGATCTGGCCGACTGTTGACAAAAAATCGGAGAACTATGAAGAAATGCGCGAAAAAGGTCTGCTTGTTCGTGTGGATCGTGGTGTTAGAACGGGTCTAGATTTTGAAGGCGATACCATCCACTTTGATGCTACCAACCCCAAAGCAAGAGACTATATCTGGAAAAAGGCTCGTGAAAACTATTACACCAATTACGGAATCAAGGTCTTTTGGCTAGATGAGGCCGAGCCCGAATACACGGCGTATGATTTCGACATCTACCGATATCACCTCGGATCGAATCTAGCAATTGGGAACATCTATCCAAGTGATTATACTAGAGCTTTTTACGAAGGAATGACCCGTGAGGGCCAAACGAACGTTGTCAACTTGGTCCGCTGCGCCTGGGCTGGCAGTCAGAAATACGGAGCATTGGTGTGGAGCGGAGATATCGCGTCGTCGTGGAGCAGTTTCAAAAACCAGCTAGCGGCAGGTCTCAACATGGGTGTCGCGGGCTTCCCCTGGTGGACTACTGACATTGGAGGCTTCCATGGCGGTGATCCTAATGACCCTCAGTTCCGCGAACTATTTGTACGCTGGTTTCAATGGGGCGCGTTCTGCCCTGTTATGCGCTTGCACGGCGACCGCGAGCCACGCCAGCCTGAACAGGGCTCAAGTGGGGGTGCAAGCTGCTGTAGCGGTGCAGAAAACGAAGTCTGGTCCTATGGGCCAGAAGTGTATGAAATTTGCAAGAAGTATATGCTTATTCGTGAGAAGTTGCGGCCCTACACGCGACAGCTTATGCAGGAAGCTGCAGACAAGGGAACGCCGGTCATGCGTACTTTGTTTTATGAGTTCCCCGACGATGAAAAGTGCTGGGAATGGATCGGTCACTACATGTATGGCCATCAATATCTGTGCTGCCCGGTTCTTGCGGCTGGAACGACCAAGATGACTGTCTACCTGCCCAGTCTCCCCGTGGGCGAGGAGTGGAAGACATATGTTGGTGAGAAGGCGTGGGAAGGTGGCCAAGAGATCATAATCGACTGTGTCCTAGACACCATGCCTGTGTTTGTGAGGACAAACAAGCGATCGGCTTAGAGAATTAGATAGAATTAGATTTTAGCCATTTCATTGGCGAACTATGCACAGCTTAACTCCGATACTCTGTTACAACCTTGGGAGAATCAGACTACCAACTCAGTTTACCACACAGGTTTGACCAATCTCTAAGTGGTAAGAAATCAGTACATGTACGCTAGCCCTAACTTCTCAAGCCACTATGCCAACCTCCGTTCGAAACTGCGGGGGACCGCGGGGGAACAGCCACACTCCTGCCCGCCGGAATTCAACCAAAAGTGAGGATTGTTCAATGTCCCGGACTATCCTAATAATTCCTCCACTTCTCTTTCATATACAAGCGTTACCTGCAGACTTATGGTTCCATGGAGAACGAGGAGCCTATCGTTGTCTCCAAGGTGAAGACCCGAAGGGTCTCGCGCCGCAGCCGTACTCCGATAACATGTAGCTTCTGCTGGCGCGGATTTACGAGAAGAGAGCACCTGACGCGCCATTTGCGTGTCCATACACAAGAAAAGCCATTCACATGCGACATATGTGGCAAGGAGTTTGCTCGTATGTGAGTATTAACTTAACCGTACGATGCAGGGCGAAGAAGGCATACTTTGTATTGCATCAGACTGACAACTCGGCCTCAACTAGGGATATTATGAACCGCCATACAATGGTCCATGCTCAGAACCAACAGAAAGAAGTCTCGGCAGAAAGAATGAGTAGGGCTTGTGTACAATGTGCGGCAAGTCGGGTCCGCTGCAGTAGAGAAGTGCCTTGTGCTCGCTGTAGCCTCAAAAACATTCGCTGCGAGTACCGGGTATCGTCAACACACAGCCCGGCCGGTCAGAGTGGACATGGCGATGTACCTCAATCCAACGCAAGCGCTCGTCCCGATGTGGTAGAGGCAAACGAGGGAGTTACGGGTGCTATTGATTTAGCGCTTGCCTTAGACCACGCACCTCAATCTCTGGACACGTCAAATTTGCCGAGTGGTGAAGTTCAGCGGCCGATGCTGATCGACAACGAGATTGCCCAAGACTCGACTCTGTACTTAACGGGTTTAAGACATGACTTCGTTCCCCAGTCCATGTCGGGAGTCAATTGGCTCTCCCCGGGCCAGACTATTCTCCAGGAATGGGCAAGTCAACTAGCCGGTATCACAGAGAGCGATATCTTTTCACCAAGGTTGAACATGATGGATTTTCCAGATTCTCTCCGGCTCCTCAACGCCAGACCCGAACAAGAGATAGGCTGGGATCATGCCAGCCAGCAATTTCCTGGCCAAATCCAACCCAGCAACTGCGAGCAGCTGGATTATCAGCATCCGAGTCGAGAAATGGAATCGCCTGAAACATTTGTCGATGCCCAGTCTACAGGAACGTCTGGATCTATGGGAAACAAATACTACGTGCACGGGGTCGCATCGCGGGCTCCATTTCAACGCAGGTTTCGTAACTCGCAAACTGCAGCAGAAGGCTCGGTTGATTCCGCCAAATCTGGCACCAAGGCTAGCGGGTTTACGTCGCCGGTGACCAACTGGCTGACAGCAGACACATACACCAGAGTAACTTTGGGCGTTCAAGAACATACACAGTCACAGTCAACGCTCCCATCGCTTGACTCATTTCGGCTGTGCGTGCATTTATATTTTGAGCGCTCATATCCAAATTTCCCATTCCTCAACAAAGCCCATTTCGTAACTGAGGAGCCGCACTGGATTTTGCTACTTGCAGTGGCAGGTGTGGGAGCAACATATCTTCTTTCCTCGCAAGGCTCCCAATGGAAACACTCAATGATGCAAACGCTTGAAACTGTTCTTTCGGAACGCCTTAACAGTGTTCATTACTTCCAGAGAGAATCATATTCTACACAATCGGCAAATCAGACGTACGGGGCAGCAGGTGTGGTAAATGAGCTTCTGCCGCTGATACAGGCCAAGATCTTACATATGTTATGCATGCTTCATAGCAGCATCTCATATATTACACATCGAGCAGTGTTTGAGCGTGCAGAGCTGGTGCAATGGTGTTCGTACCTTAACCTAGTACGGACATCCTCAGACGTCTCTATTTCTATCACAAGTGATACAGATATTCAGCTTTGGATACAGATGCAGACGAGACTTAGAGCGGGAATGATGATATGGGTGAGTTCAAATGCTAATCTGACTATGAATGCAATTTTGACAAGCATTCCAGTTGTTAGACTCTATGCTATCTTATGAGCTCGGCTGCAGGCATATCATGAAGCTGGGAGATATTGGAGAATGGCTGCCCTGTCATGAGCCAGCGTGGGAGCGGCCGTCGCTCGCGAATATTCAAATTGCTCAAAAGTTCTCAGGTATCTGCCCTAAAACAAGTCCCCCCGAACAGACTTCAAAGTACTAACAATTACTGTGTTCGACCCCTTAGTCTCTGTTCTAGATGCCCTCGACACAATTTATATTGAAAAGCAGCTTCCACCTAAGCTCAGCGACCTCAGCCATGTTCTACTAATCCACGCCATCTACCGACGAACAATCGAGGTTTTTGATCAGAGTCGCATGCGATTGTCAACATGGAACCCCACGGCAAGCGTGCAAACCTTGACCAGTGAGCCAAGTCCAACTCAAGAGTGGCCTCCATCTAGTAGCATAGTCTCAAACTGGCGCAACGCTGCCTGTGACTCACTAGATATCCTCAACTGGGCAGCCAACAGCAATGCTGCTGAATCGTGTTGGGAAGAACCTACCATCTTGTATCTGCATCTTTCTCGGCTGATTCTTCTCGCTCCAACCGACCATTTCCAGACATTGGTCAAATATCCCGCAATGAACAAGCAAGGTTGGCCCAACTCGACGACCTCGGGTCTGCAGCAGTATGAACATGCCCGTAGCCAGGTCCTTCAATGGGCAATTCGTGACCAATTCAAGGCTCGGCTGTCAGTCGTCCATGCTGGCGCCTTGCTATGGCACGTCCGTCGGTTCAGCACCAATAATGTCATAGAGCCATTCAGTATCTACATTGCAACTCTCCTACTTTGGGCATACAGTGCTTCAACCTCTGCAATTGGTTCACACGACTCTGCAACTTGTCGGGCCTCTCATGATATCACGCAAAATGGAAAGGATGGTGCTTGGCTGGATGACTCTGACGATGAACCTAGCTGGATTCGCTTGGATCGGCCTTTGGACGACGAGCTTGTACAAACCTATATCCATGTCGGGGATAAGATGTCGGCCCATCTCAAGGGGGTTGGGGATATTGTTAAGCATGGTGCACCCTTGAAAATTCTTAAGCAGGGGTTATATTTGCTCACCGGGGAGAAGTATGGGGGAAATGCCAAGGACAGCAATAGTGGCAGTATTTTGGAGGAGGTAACAACCTATACCTGGGATATACAGCGCTCGTATGCAGAAACGATCCGACGTATGATCACGGCCACGAACACTTGTTAACCTGACCAGCCAGCTCGTCATGGTCCGATCCACTTATGTATATCAATTTAAAATTACGAAGCAATTTGAACAGAATATAAATAAGAAGGTAGCTCACATCGATAGAATTCGTCTCAATACCTTGTCCTAGCACACGATCCAACACAACGTTATCAGGATGTACGTGTGTTTTCAATCATTCTTTTTGAGCACCTCCTCGCCCTGCGCATATGCATCAACACGATACTTTCCGAAGTCCCTGGCTTTGACTTTCCTAGAAAACAGGATATCTAGCTCTTCAAAAGTCTTCCCTTTTGTCTCTGGCAACCTGAAAAATGTCCAAACAAAGAAAAGCAAGGCCCAGCCACCCCAAAAGAAGCCAGTTTTACCCTTCCAGTCTCCAGCAGTCGGGTTGAGCATATATGGATTGACAACATTGCAGATAATCTGGGCAATGTAGTATACGATTCGGGCGAGGCACACAGACTTGTTTCGCAGGCGAGTAGACGAAGTCTCACTAATGATCGCATAGCATATAGGTCCAACCGTAAGGTAATAGACGAGTAACCAGACGAGCATCATTGTGGCTTGTGCATAGTTTCCTTGAACTGAATCTCCGGCACCAACGGACACAAACCCCACAATGAATAGGATAATCGTCAGAAGTCCAAGACCCCAAAGGTATAGGGTTCGGCGGCCAAAGGAATGCAGAAGATACCAGGAGATGACGGTTCCAACAAAAGCCAAGCCAAGTCCGCCCACAGACATCTTGAATGAGATACTAGCTGGCAAACCAGCCTGCACAAAAAAGTAGGTCGGAGTGCCGCCCATGGAAGTCCCGCAGAATGGTTGCGCGGCGAATGTCAGACAGGCAATTTCCGTGCGGCGCAAATCAACGCCCCGGAAACAGTCCCGGTAGCTTGTGCCCTGGTCGATTTGCTTTTCCAATGCGTCGGTATGGATCATCATAGCTATAGTCTGTTTGGCATCACGGCTAGACTCCACACCTAGACGAATCACACTTTGCTCGGCAGATGCATAATCACCGCGTCGGACGAAGAACCAGGGTGACTCGGGGGCGAATATCAATATCACAAACAGCGGAATGGGCCATACCCACTGGAGAGCAAACGGAATGCGGTATCCCCATTCGCTGGTATGTTCAGAGAACCCAGACTGCACTCCGGCAGAGATGAGCTGACCGATAGCCCAGCACAGATTAACATAAACGGTGAGGTAGCCGCGCAGAGCCATCGGACAGACTTCCGAAGCGTAGGCTGGAGCCATAGTTGCAAAGACACCCCAAGGGATACCGCACAGAAATTCACCGACTAGGAGGACAGGCAAGCTCTTTGCGAAGAAGGGGATAAATACGAAAGCGGTAATGAGAACCAAACTCGCGAGTAACACTCTCCGATATCCAAACCGGTGAGTGAAGTATCCATTAGCGAAGGCGCCGATGATGGTGCCCACAGAGACAGCGTTGGTAAGGCCATTCTGCCACGATGCGGTGATCTGGTAGCTGTCACTGCTGGCTATATATGAGCCGTAGCGTTTGGTGAAGGCTGGCTGCGCAAAAAAGGATGACATGAGGACAATGTCGTATCCCTCCATGACAATACAAGTGGAGAGCAAGACCGACCATATTGCTGCCTGAGGGTATTTGCGGATGGCTTGGAAAAATGTATACGCGTGCTCCTCGTCCGCTGCTTGCTTCGCAAGATCGACGGACTTGACATGTTGGTCTGTCTCTCCCTGCTCCATATGCGTCACGCTCTCGTGATCCTTTTCTTCGAGAGCCATGGTTGGGCGCATGTTGGTGTGTGGTCTTCGATTTATCAGCAAGACACCTGAAAGACATGTTTGTTAGTGAAGGTAACGTTATCATTTCTTGCACATGTTTGGTTCAACATACGATCAGTCGAGTTCTGTCGGTATGGAAACCTTTTCCTTGTGTTGCATCAAATATGGTGGACGTAGGAGCACCATCGCCCTTAATATATGAGGATGCCATCCGTGTCGCTAGGCGTGAGAATCAGTCCACATGCACATCTGCTGGATGATGGACAGCTTAGGCCTTGGGCCCATTTCTCGACTACTCAAAGTCTCTTACGTCTGAACTCACGCCGCCGGAGATGCCCAGCACATTGACCCTAGGTTCCGACGGGGTAGTTTAGGGCTTCGGATCGATTGGTCAATTTTCGAGCCAAGCTTGCACAGGCAGACTTTAGCCCCCGAGAACCCGAGTGGGAACTTTGGCACTTGCCGGCTAAATTGATCTGCTAGAGCATCTTGAATCATCTTCACACATTAGCTTCATATCAGTGGGTGGTTTGGTTTTCGCGGGGGACTTTTTACGGGGACTCCGTCTTCTCCTCCCCCGCCCCGAGACATTCGCCAAATGAGAGCTGCTTGATGCTGTAGATCTTGCCTTCACATGAGTTCCTGCAGCTCATTTATTCCAAACTTCACAATTTGAGATTCTTGTCGAGCACCACCGCCATTGGCCATGTCTCCTGATGAGCAAGTCCCCGCCACTTTTATGAAGTGCACTGTTTTGATAAGGAATGACCTCTATAGGGCTGGTGATCTTCTTTCCTTGTATAAATAGGGTTAAAAAAATTTATAAAGACTCTCAAGTCCTTCAGCAGTAACGCTGATATTCCTCCAAACCAGGCGCACCTCAACAAGAATGAAGCATTCATCCATTCAGGCTATTTCTATAGCCCTTGCAGCCGCATCAACCGGTTCAGCAGAGAGCATAGCTAGAAGAAGTATCTCCGGAACATCGACTGTCAATTTGGCCGATAAGATAGGCCCAGCTGAGTTTCTTGGCTCTGGCTTCCTCTATGGTATCCCCGACAATGGCGTAAGTGCCGACTCCAGCGTTCCCGACGAGTTCTTCACCGGAATCAATTTCAAGACATGTCGTGGTGGAGGTGGCCAAGTCGACGCCGTTGGCTGGGCTACTGGAGGCTACAATGGCTACATTGGGCGCTTTCAGTCTGCACTCTCCAACTATCGAACAACCCGCAACCACGGCGGAGACTTCATTCTGATGGCCTCCGACATGTGGGGTGCTCAAGGCGGAGCAACTGCAGAGTACCCCTTCCCTGGTGATAACGGCAACTGGACAGAAATGGAAATATTTCTTGGTCAGGTTATCAGTGACATCAAAGCCAACGATATGCTCGATGGTCTCATTCTTGATCTTTGGAATGAACCTGATCTCGAGACCTTCTGGTACCCTGCATGGTCCCAATACGTGGAATACATTGTTCGGGCTACTAAATATGTGAGGTAAATCACTTGCACAATATTCCCCGGATCAAGCCAGCGCCTAATCCAATCATAGGTCGAACTATCCTGGTTTACCGGTAGAGTTCCCTTCAGCCGCAAACTCGCCCTCTGAAGACAGTGACAACTGGAACCAATTATTTGCAGCCGTTGCAGCCAATGATGTGGTGCCGGATCGATATTCGTGGCATCAGATTGGGGATTGGCAGCGCGAACCCGACGTCACGGTGCCTAGCCTTACTGCCTTGAGAGCGGTCCATTTCCTTCCCGAGAGGCCAATCGACGTGAATGAATATGCATGGCCATCTGAGCAGAATCCAGCCAACTCTGTCTACTATATCTCTCAATTCGAGCGATGGGGTATCCGAGCCCTAAGAGCCAACTGGGGAGGTGGCTCAGATCTGCATAACTACATGGCAAATTTGATCTGGACAACTTCTGAGGGGGTGTACTATCCCAATGGCGATTGGCAAGCTTACAAGTACTATGGAAGCATGGTTGGGGAGCGCATTGCCACGAAGGCATCCGATGATCTCAAATTTGATTCCTTTGCTGTCGTGTCAGGTGATGGTCTTCTCCAGATTCTTGCCGGTACAAGGACCGTTCAACAGGCCTACCAGATTACTATTACAGGGCTCAGTGAATATGGACTTGCCACGGAAGGATCGCTCAATATACGCACGTTGCGGTTTGATTGGTCTGGCTCTGAGGTGGAAGTTGGCGATCCGGTCGACTTGGGTTCTGCTACTTACACGTATTCTTCCAACGAAGTAAGCCCACACATTGAGCTCAAATCCACGATTGGCTACTAACACACTTGTTCTGTTCAGCTCACCATCACGTTTGATCCTCCCTCCAACTCGACGGCTTTCGCTTTTGAAATTCAACTCTCTTGACTGGAAAGTCAAGTTATCACACCTCAAATCTCGCTGCTGACTTTTCTGTCTTTTGATGAGCGCGATCTCATAGTTATCATTCTGCTTCCATCCGCTTTCTTAACCGCTTTGCAATTGGGGTGTCGTCAAATCATCTTGTCTTTGTTGCTGGGCACGAGAAGATAGCCGGCAGATTAGCTTTCTGATGACGTCGGAACGCTTGAATAATCAAATTCTCCTCTAATGCATATGCAAAGCCAGCGTGATATCCAATTAGCCCATTAGAACGCCTCAAACCCCCTGACCATCATTGACCGCATCATGCCGAAATAGTCGACAATCCCAGACGGAAAGATGTCCTGTGTCATAGATACTTGCCCGGGACAACGTGAGAGTATATAAAGTTAAGCATAATTGACGAGTTACCACCGATGGACGACTGGATTTGGCCTAGTCGACTATACCCAAACGAGCCTAGGCTGATGCCAACCCTGCAAACCCACCTGATCAGATTGGGCATCAGGGATCTTCTCCAGGTGTCTCACATCTCACGCTGCATGGATGATCTCTGATTGTCTCGATCTGCGCCAAGACTCCGAATCCCCCGGGAACAACAGTTTGTGGGAGGACCCTCATCGGCCAAGAAAGAAAAGAGAAAAACAAAAGATAAATAAAAAAAAAAAACAACACAAAAGGCCCGTGTGTCGCTTAAAGCCCAGAGCAGAAAAGGGCATTATTGAAACTTCCAAGACGCTATGGTTCGCGAGTTGCCTGTGTTGGGTCCAAAGCAGGATATTCTACGCTTGGCGGTGAAGCTCGGCCAATATGAGGACGCGGCCAGAGACCGGGGAAAGGCAGGCCACGCCATGGATCCGCAGAAAAGGGCAACGTGGAAGCTGTGGCAAGCCACTAAACCCAAAGCGTCGCGAAACGAGGCACCTTGTTTCGCGGCCGTGGTCATCTATCTGGGTCAAGCGCCCATTTTAGCTGGTATGTGGCGCCCATTCAAGCGCATACTCCCGAAGATAATAGAATGAGAGAATTCCCAATAGATTAGAGGGGAGGGAGAGGGAAATTGGAGATTCAGGAGGGAATTAGGGGGGAAAGGGGAAACAATGTTATCTTTTATATAGAGTCGAATAGTGGATGGGGCATAGTTCGAACTTGGCTAAGACATGCACAGCTAAATTTACGTATGTCTTAGTTGGAGAGGGATCGACTCGTCTAGGTTGTCTAATGGTCAGGGTTCGATATTCAAGAATGTTTGACTGTTTGACTGTTTGAATGTTCAACAGCTGTGAGAATGTAAAAATAGGCCCCAGTCACACGGAATCGGAGACTTCCCAGATTCGCCTCCAGAACCTTTGAATGCGCTCTGCTGTCTATGCCAATCTCCCCAGTCTCTCCTAAATCTCTCCTAAATCTCCTCTAAATCATTCCTCTCTCCTAAATATTCCCCCCCCCCCAAAATCCTTTTCCCTCGCTAAGGTCAACGTCATCTTCCTTGGCAGACACACCTTTCCGGCCTAACCGCTCGTTCTTCTCTTTACTTTTTCTTGTTTGCCTCCATGGAGTAATCAGTTCTGTTCAGGCTGAACAGCTCCTTTTTAAATCCCACTGATCGCCATTCGCTTCTAACTTTTCAGTGTCACATTCGTTGAGGGGCTTTTGTACAGTCTGCTCTGCACACCTTCCGACGTCATGGGTCGTTCGCGTGGTAAGTTGACCATGAGTGCCGGAAAATGGATGAGAGCTCGTGACTGACAATCCCGTGCGTGTGCACAGTCCGTTCGTTTATCTCCAGCTTTGGAGGTCAGAAAAACAATGACTCCGGCAAAAGAAGCAGGCTGTCATCCAGTAACGCCACGCCGGAGAGTGTGACGCCCGCCGATACACCACCCCGGTGGCAAACTCCTCCTCCCGAGCCAGCATCAGCATCGCCCCCGTCAGAGTTATCACCAGTGGGATCTGCGCCTCGAAATAACGGAGGCTCCCGACCAGCATCCATGGTGTTCTCGCGCAATCCGCCGTTACTGCAGCAGGCGACCGACACCCCGCCGGAGCTGTCGCCGATTTTCTCCTTTCTGAACATACATACCAACAAGGTCTACCAGGAAGGCTATTTTTTGAAATTGAACGATCTGGACACTCGTAGGTGGACCGACTATCTTTGCGGGGAAGCGGCTAACACATGCAGTTGGTCGACCTTCTGGTGATCGGCAATGGCTGGAATGCTATGCGCAACTTGTCGGGACCGTTCTGTCGCTATGGGACGGCGCTGCGCTGGACGCAGCAGGTGGCGAAGAGGTCCCTGCCACCTTCATTAATTTGGCTGATGCGTCAATCAAAATGGTGAGTCTGGATGACCGCCGATACCGGACGTACGCTTACAACCATGACAGATTGAGACCCTGCCGATCCGAAATGGAGCGGTACAACCATTGAAGAATGTCCTAAGCCTTTCATCTGCAGGCAAGAACCGATACCTTTTGCATTTCAACTCTTTCCACTCCTTGACGCAATGGACCGCCGCGATTCGTCTTGCGCTGTTCGAACACACATCCTTGTACGAAGCTTATACCGGATCTCTGATTGCTGCCAAAGGAAGGACGCTCAATGGAATCAACACCATCCTGGCACCCGCGAAGTTCAAGTACGAAGATTGGGCGCGCGTGCGATTTGGAGCTGGAACTCCATGGAGACGGTGTTGGTTTGTGATCAGTCCGCCAAATGAGAAAGATATGCAAAAGGCGCGCAAGATGACCAAGAAATCGGCATATGACCGCTTGTCCATCCCGATCACTGGAAACATCAAGTTCTACGAGACCAAGAAGACCAAAAAGGTGACTCCGATTGCCACTATAACTAATGTGTACTCGGCACACGCGATCTACCCGCAGTCCAAGGCTTTAATTGACGCATCGACACTGGTGAAATTGGAGGGTCGCATTACTACCCATGCAGATGGCAGTTCTACGGAGGGTCTTGTGTTTGTTATGCCCGAGCTGCATGCTGCTGTGTCTGGGTTCGAGATGATGTTACGGTTCCTTTTCCCGACATTTGATACTTTCAATCTATACGGGCGTCCGACTCGTCTGGTGGCCGATACGAATCACATCAAGAGTATAATGTTTGCATTCCCGAAGGAGCGACGTTACGGTTATCTCGATGTGCTGGACATCGCCAGCCTTCTTCAGACCCCCGGAAGTCAGGAATGGAGCGAGGCAGAGTGGAGGAATCAGTTAAAAGCTGCAACCCAGCGACGAATTTCCGCAGGCAGAAGCAGAACCAACAGCGTCAACAGCTCGAAACCTCGTTATCGCTCTAGCATGTCTGGCCGCTACAGTGATGTCCCCGTTGACCCACGCCGTCACGTCTCTGCTTTCCAGAACAAGCCCGAGTTGAACCATTCCGCGGAGGCAGTAATTCAAGAAGTTCCCAGGACCGACGAATCGCCACTCACGCTTCACACTCGCGGATTCTCTGACACCACCGGTTTCAATAGCGCCCCCACGCCCGGCCGTGGATTGGCTGAGAACTCCCCTCGCTCATCTGCTCAAGACCTAGCGGCTCGTGATGGAACTCCGAAAGTGGCTCCCATTGCCGAAAACTCCAGCTCCGACAGTTTCCCAGCCTTTGATAACGGATACCTCGAACCTGTGAAAGAGCAACTTCCACCACCCACCCCTCCATCCCCTGTTATGAGCCCGCCCGCATTTTCACATGGCCCCAGAGCGATGCCAGCCAACCGGCCGGAGGCATCTTCGGAGCAGAGACTGCAAAACAACCGCATGTCTCACGCTACTCTTTCTCAGCTCACATCGGTAGGGGGAGCTGGGTTGAGCGCCGCTGCTGCCGCTGCCGCTTGGAAACAATCGCAGCAACCAAGCGAGCAACAGCTTCAGCAACGCGATGCCAACAGTATCTACCACCCTAGTCATATTGCCTCTAACAATGCTCTTGCACACTCCTCGAGCGATGAAGCCATGACCATGGCACTCCCAGTTCGCCCGCCCAAGGTTCCGGAACACCGTCCCAACACCCCCAACACTGCTGGGAGTTCCTCCCCTCAGCATCCACTTCCCCAGCGTACTCCCATCGACAGCACCAAGTCCGTTCGACGCAAGCCAGTTCCACAGCGAGACATATTCGCCGAGTCACAAGGACAGGGTGAACCGAGCTATGATGACCTGCGGTACACCCTTGACGAGGATGTGCTGGACAAAATCGCTCCTCATCTCCCGTCCCCTATCTCGCAAACCGCCAGAAACGACGATGAAAGTGTCTACGATGATGCATCGACGATCTCGCCCGATTATGCCAGCACCCATGGCTCCGTCTACAGTAAGAAGTCGACCAAGTCGACCAAGCCCAGAATGGGTGTCATGAAGACCGTGGGTGTTCCCGCAGCCAAGGATCTTGTAATTGGCGACGCCCACTATACTATGGACAAAGCACCGACCTCAAACCCCGACATCCCCAACGTGGATTTCGGCCCAACTATGACATACATGCCTACCACTGGACGCCCAAGCACCGGGGATGCCTTGAAGAAGCCACTCCATCAACGAAAGGGCTCGGAGGGATCTAAGCTCACGATCCCTACTCACCAAATGGATCAGGCTAATGGAAGACCTTCATCTCAAGAAGAATACCGGCGCAGTATGCTGTGGCAACCTGGAATGGCTTCCGGTCGCCCTGTTACTCCTGGTGGTCTTACCCCAGAGCAATATGTGCAGCAACGGGCAGCTCCCAGCCCTCCGATGCACATGCACAACCGTACTCCATCTGGTGCCACCATGGTGCAACGCCCAGTATCCGGCGATTGGGCTCAGCTTGCCCGCTCTAGCTCGCCCATGAACCGGGATCCGAATTACCGCCCCACCTCACCCATGAACCGTGATGCCAGCTACCGGCCGTCATCTCGCGGTGCCACCAGCATGCTCAACCACAATGATGCTTCAACTCATTTGTCTGCCCGTGAGCAGGAGCATGTCGCCCGCATGACCGGCTCCTCATTCTTCAACATGAACAATGACACTCGCAAGCCCCAGGCACCGGTGAACCCCGGTGGTCTCGTCTCTGCCATTGACGCTCGCGAGCGCGAGAGGCGTGAGATGAAAGAGGGCATGTCAAACCAGATGGTACAGCAAGCCATTGCACATCGCCAGCAGCACATGATGCACCAGCAACAGTACGCACCCCAGCCAATGATGCAGCAGCCCATGTCACCCCATCAGACTGCCTCCGTGTACCAACAACATGGTGCCCAGGCGTCTATGTACAACATGCCCGTTGCTAGCCACACATGGGACGCCCTCAACCAAATGAACCGCCCTGATGAACCTCGTCGATCCTCCTGGTACGGTCAGCTTGCCCAGCAGACTCCTCAGGCTCCGTCTGTATACCCGCAAAGTCAGCACACCCAGAACCCGGGGTTCTACGGTTACGCTAAATAGACGGACTCACTCCATGGATCACCACACCTTTTCCTACCATCATCCTTATCACCACCACTGAACCCAATTTTTTTTCCTTCCTCCAATCTACATTCCTTGCACATCTTTATCATCAGTATATCCTTTATGTCTCTTCCATTCGCATACCTGTTCTCTATCAGACAACCAGGTCCACCACGCGCGCTTGTTTTCCCTTCCACTCATCTCTCCACGACACACACTATCATTACAACTGCTCATCTCATTTCCTTACCTTCCTCATTCATTGCAAGTTACCATCTTTTTTGCCTTGTTGCATCGCATCCACCGGAGTTGCAGATTGGCGCGGGTGTCTCGTCTCATTATGTGATTTGCATGCGTTCTATTCATATCCATATTTCCTCATTGAGATTTTTCTTTACTCTGGCCATTTTTCTGTGCCGTTTCACTACCTTTGCAACTTACCTCGACTTTTTCTTTCGTCCATCATCATATCTCTTCATGTAGATGTGTCCGCTCGGCATATATATCTGTTCTGATTAGATTGGTTAATTCTCATTCGACCAGCTTCAAAATATTTGTTCTTGGTGACATGTATTTGAGATGTGCTTGGTATAGTGTAAATCAGAACTGAACGCATCAGATGCGGTATAATATTAGCCTTTGTATATGCAACCCCTTCACTTTATCGGCAACGTGGTCGTACCCGTTGATGCCGATCACACGATACACTATCAACCACCAATCTTAGGAGTCATGCGTAATCAATTCGAGAAAGAAAGATAGCAGAACAATGCACTGTTCAACCGATAGCCCATCATACACATGCTTCAGAACCGGATCGAACCGATATCCTGCGCCTCACCGAGACCACTATCAGCAGGTACATACTCCCCGATCTTGATTAAGGAACAGTACGGGATAAGAGATCGGATTCGGAGTCATCCCACCACGGCAGTGGTGCAGTGGTTGACCAGTCGGGTTTAACCCCTAGTTCCAGTATGTACGGAGAGCAAACGCAGATTCAAAAGTTTAAAGTCATGTTGTGATAAGACTGAGCCGGGAATATTAAACTGCACACTAGTTCTTTTACGCACAACCCGTGAACCGAGGTCGGGTTATTGGTTATTATCTAGACTCTGACGTGGTACGTACAAGGATTACAGCCTGTTCTTGTTTAGCCTAGGCTTACTTCATCGAGTTGTTGCTTATTTATTGAATCAACTATTAACTTGGTTTATATGACATCGTTATATTTGAAAGAAAAGATAAGTAGTAAAGTAGTTATCTGTTCTACTGTATACCCCCGAGGTTAGATCTGATAGGAACAGAACATAAGATGAACCAAACCAAAAACGAACAAGAAGCCAAATCATGCTATGACAACATCGACTCGGAACCCCGGGAAATCCCCTCCTCCCAACGTTGGAGAAGTTTGACTGAGTCGACGTTTTGACGTAGTTCAACTGGCAATGACGTCGTTGCTCGGGTTGCCGTTATAGGACCGAACTAATAGACAGGTTTTGCCAACTGCTGAAGCTCTCGTCCACTTAGCTCTGATTGGTCGATGACTTGATATCTCCATTGACGCAAGTTCGTTTGTCTGATGTCCAATAAGCTGTCAGCCACCCAACATGGACATCCGGGTTTCAAATGGCATGGTGCGCGCTACTGGGCGATGTCTTATAAACAGCCATTGCGCCTCTGGCAATACCTTCATTGCAGACAATTTCGATATAGAACTGCCCTTCATTTTGTATTCTCCATCATCCGGGCCTCCACTTCCCCAGATCTCCATCCCATACACGCATATGGTTGTGGCCTCGATATAAGATTCCAACCAAGCCTGTCTCATGGCCCTAAACGACTTTCCGGCTTCTGAGAAGCCGGAGCCCTCGAGTTCCAGTTCCAATGACGCCTCTATCAATCACGAAGCCAATATTCCGAAAGAAAAGATTGAACGAGAGCGTGGCGCCGATACCCACGCCGAGCATATCTCCGACTCCGACGCCGGAAGTCACTCAGACTCACCCAAACTACATACTGGTGGGAAGCGAGAGCTTACCGAAGACGATTGCTATGACAAATTGGGCTTCTGCTTTCCATTTTGGAAGAAATGGTCCATCCTCAGCGTCATCTTCGTCGTTCAGATGTCGATGAACTTCAACACGGGTGTCTATGCCAACGCCGTGACGGGCATGACGGAGGAATTCCACATCAGCGAGCAAGCAGCCCGAGTCGGCCAGTGTGTTTTCCTGGTTGCATACGCCTTTGGATGTGAGCTTTGGGCCCCGTGGAGTGAGGAGTTCGGCCGGTGGCCCATCATGCAGCTCTCCCTCTTCCTGGTTAATATCTGGCAAATTCCCTGTGCCGTCGCACCCAACTTCGGCACTATCGTCGTCTGCCGTATTCTTGGTGGTCTCAGTTCAGCTGGAGGCTCCGTCACCCTCGGCATGACAGCTGATATGTGGGAGGCCGACGACCAAGGCTTCGCAGTAGCCTTTGTGGTTCTCTCCTCCGTCGGCGGTTCAACGATAGGCCCATTCTTCGGTGGCTTTATTGGTCAATGGCTCTCCTGGCACTGGGTCTTCTGGGTCCAGCTCATCTTCGGAGGCGTAACACAGGCAATGCACTTCTTCATCGTCCCCGAAACACGCGCCACAATTCTCATCGACCGCGAAGCCAAACGCCGCCGGAAGGAAGGCGAAGATATCTGGGGCCCAAACGAACTGAAAACCCCCCGTCTAGACCTCCACGACGTCCTCCGTATCTGGATCCGACCCTTCGAGATGTTCCTCCGCGAACCAATCGTCCTCTTCCTCTCCCTCCTATCCGGTTTCTCCGACGCCCTAATCTTCGTCTTCACCGAATCCTTCACCCTAGTCTTCGAACAATGGAACTTCTCAACACTAGCAGTAGGCCTCACCTTCGGCTCAATCCTAATCGGCTACGTAATAGCCTACATAATCTTCCTACCGGACATCTACCGCCAGAAGAAAGTGCGCCACGCACATGGCTCAGCAAGCCGACTCGCCGAGCGCCGGCTCCTCCTCCTCCTCTTCATAGCACCCCTGGAACCAATCGGACTTCTAGGCTTCGCCTGGACATCAACAGGCCCGCCCCTTCCCTGGATCGCACCGTGCATCTTCGCCTGCCTGATCGCAATGGCAAACTACGCCATCTACATGGCCACAATCGACTACATGGTCGCCGCCTACGGCCCATACTCGGCATCTGCAACAGGCGGCAATGGTTTCGCGAGAGACTTCCTGGCTGGTATTGCGACTATGTATTCCACGCCCATGTACCAGAATATGGGCGGCAGGTATCATCTCCAGTGGGCGAGTACGCTGCTGGGATGTGTTGGGTTCCTCGTGCTGATTCCTATTTATGTCTTTTATTGGAAGGGTCCGGCTATTCGAGCTAAGAGCAAGTTTGCACAGCAACTTGCTGCTGATCGGGAGAAGCATTCGGAGTCGAGGAGAACTAGTGCTGTGCGTGCGTCTGTTGGTGCGTGAGGTGGACTTGGTGCGTTTCTAGTTTTCCTGTTAGAGATATTCGTGTTCGTATAGAATCATCATTCATCATACATGTATATTGAGGACTGGAGTTTGTTCAATCCATTTGCACCATTTGTACTTTTCAGGAATTGGGGAGTTCTCATTGATATATAATTGATCTGCATAAGTTTTCGCGCTCAATCTTGCGTTGGTATTGAAAACCTCCTACTTGAGCAGTAATAACTTCTTGCTACCACCAAGAACATATCTTTTGACAAGTAGAGGGAGCTGACCAGTTTAAGTGATTGTGATCCTTGACTGACTTGTTTAGTGCTGTCAACTTACCCACTACAGTATTTGGCTCTATCCATAGACCAGGCCCATGCAAAGCCCATCGGACTACGTCAGTACAGTTGCAAGACATAGACTGCCAGATTTGACTGAAGCATGTATTATGCTACCCATCGAGCGTGCCGCTGCCATTGTGATGCTTGATTAGCGTCATGACAAGCCCTACGTTTCTCCCAACATCAAGCCGACTTCAAATCATGTATCTATCGTTGCCACTTCTTCGCTAGCAGAGCTACGAGACTTGATACAGTGTAGCGATGTTCTCGGGTTTTTGGCTTTCTAATATATTCAGAGAGAATCAAATAGAATCCAGCGAGATTTCGTTGTAACAAATGAGGATGTATCAACTCAGCATCATCCTACGACCACCTCCAATGACTTCGAAATCACTTAGCAGCAGGAAGAATGGCACGCTACCTCGAAACACCAGGGGCAGGATAGTGACCAAAGTCAATATGACTGTTGCTCCTCAGTTACTTTGTTTGGCAGTTGAATTGACCGGGTGGCCGTGGCCCAGCCTTTTTTACTAGTATAGAGCGCTATGCTTTCTGCTTCACTTCGCATTGAGCCCAAGGGTGGTTATTTGGGCCTCCTTACTCTGGAGCTTGGGCAGTGAAGGAATTTTTTTGCAATGGTAAAACTCTCCATCAAAGGATTGTAGTGCTTTGGTCTGGGGTGTGAGATTATATTCAAAAGGAGATTGGGTCAATGAGTTACCTATAGGCTTTGGATTATTCAGTCGCTGTCAGAGGGTCACAAACCTGCTTCTGGTCAAGATAGTAATCCTCATAGAAGGCCATCCACATGACCCGATCCGCGCATTTTGGTCTGTCACTCTTCTCCGTATCACCAGCGCGACAAGCCGGAAGCGCAGCCTGCCATTGTTCATCTGAATGATGCAACCACGGTTTTGGTAGTGGCCAGTCACTGAAATGAACCAGATAGGCCCGTGAGACCTCAGCCATGGAGTTCCAACCCTCATCCTTATCCTCCGACATGTACCGGTCGTGATTCTGGTTCCGGAACTCGCCGGTCAACAACGCTATCCGACGATGCGGCAGAACCATCGCCGAGTCACGGAAGAGATGGTTCAGTACTTCCATATCGAAATCCCCGGATGAGGTTGCCTCGTTGATAATCCGGCGGTAGTTTCCTTCATTTGGCTCGATGAGCATCACATGCGATCCCAGCATCTGGTCCTTGATACTGGAGTCTGGATTGTTGAGCCAGTAAGCACGAGGCACCGCCACGGGGGCCAGAGGCGAGAGGAAGTAGAAGTCCATGTTGTTCAACACCATGGAGTCGGAGTCGAAGAGTAACACGCGCGTGTACTCAGTAAGGGCGAAAGCATGGAACTTGGTCAGGCTCTTTTGCCATGTCGGATCACCGCTGGGTGTTGATAGCACCTCAACGGCTCGTAATTTGACATGGGGGTACAGTTTCCGAATATTAGCCAGCGCGACTTGCTCACGACTTGTGCCGGGCTATGTTTGCAACAGTCAGCTCTCGGGTCCTCCTATATATGCAATTCTGTGCCCGCCGTACCTGTTCCCAGTCTTTAGGATGGATCAGAACTCGGTCAAAATGCGCTGCGAAACGGTCGAGCCGCACAAAGTTCATCATCTAAGAATTGTGAGCGACGTTCTGAACACGAGTGTGAATACCCACCGCATTGCATAAGTAGTTCAAATCGGTCGCGTATTGAACATAGGCAAACTGCGGGTTTTCCTGCTCAGTTGTCCAGTACGGATTGAGACCGTCAAATTCCTCGGTCGAGTTACGCGCGGTTGGATGTATTACACGGTAGGTAGAGTACCGGCTCCGCACCTGGGTGAAGCCTAGCAGTAGTATACATGACAGTATCGCGCATGTTGCGATAACAGCTCGTTTGGCTGAGAGGAGCATTGCGAGCTCAGCTGGATGTTTATCCCTCTATCCCAATTCCAGCGGAGATTGAAATCAATTGGGACGAAACGAGTAGGCAGGAAACGAAGGCTGAGTTGATTCGTACCCCAAGCTAGAGTCTTTCAGGTCCTCACATGATCCCAGATATACCCGGTTCTTTAAATAGTAATCCTGTCCATAGATGTTTCAGTTTCTTAGTAATCGCTATACTATTTGTGGCGTTAATATACAGAGGTGAAACAAAAGAATTCAACCTCAAGAGTTCTTCGGGCTCCTGGTCCACTTTTATTTACTGCCGGCCAAAACCCTCCGAAATTCATTTAATTCAATAGTAAGCAATCCGTCATACTTGATATAGGAGGCATATCGGGTAGTAAATAGCTGGCCAACTTTGGTTTCAGATGGCTATATGCGTTGAACATAGCGTATAGGATGAATATGGCGTGAAGACGCGAGATTTATATCTCCAATTAAGGTAGGCGGTCTAGAAGACGGTAGGGCAGAATGTGAAGCCCTAAGTACTCAGGTTTGTTACACCTTAATCTCTATCATAAGTTATCTTGAATATCAGTCTGAGTATATTCCAGGGAAATTCCTCACAATTTCATTCTTTAGAGGCTCTTTTCGAAGCTAAAGTGGCAGACCGAAGTTTTAGCTTCCGTAGAGCCGCCAAACGATCTAATATGGTTCATCAAAAGTCTGAGCGTATGGGATAGGAAGTTCGCGTATGACATCTAACAGAAGAACTCCGGTTTTAGAGGCCTTGTAGCTTTTAAATAGTTGGCGATCCCTTAACGAGCAAAAACTGACCCTCAGTGAGGTTTGGCATTTATCAAGGTCCTTGCTGGGCTCATGGCCTGAGCGATGACAAATGACGAAAATACTTCATTCAATACTTTGCCCAGAACAGACTTCTGAGGGGTCTGTAAGTCCGGCGTTAGCTATACGACGGTGATTTCTATGTCCCATAGACACTGCCTAGAATCAAGTCCTACTACAATAGCCTGTTTGATAACAAAATTCGATGCTGTTGCTAGATGAAAATGTATATCCAGACCCAAACACAACCGCAAATAAAGCATGTAGAGGTATCCCAAGAACGCCGCAAAGTGCCACTTCTCAATCCCACAAAGCTCCACAGATTCAAAATCAGAATAAATTGATCATGAAGAGATGCTTTGTATATGCTAACACGCCCTATCGTTCCAACGAATGAAGAACCTAGTTTGAGTGCGACTTCTTGACGCGCATAGCACCCTCATACAGACCACGGTCCAGAGCGGCAGCGACAGTCAGAGTGCCACCAATAATGGCACAGACACCGGTAAGGAAGCCAGTGAATGTCTTAGGACGTGCCTCGCGGTTGACGACCTTCATGGGGGAGATGTCATAGTTGAAGAAAACACCGGGGATACCACCACCGGCGTGCACGCGTTCCTTGTGGCCAACAGCAGAATCATCACCTCCCATAAGGGGACGCTTGTGTGAGGTGACCGAATACTGATGCGCCTCGATACTGCCCTGAGAGCCATATCCAAGACCCTGCGCACCAAGAGGCGCCTTGTCATAGGCGCTGTGAATGGAAGAGGAGAAGAGAGGGTCCCATCCAAGAGGCAGGTACGAAGTTGAAACAACCTTGACAAAGTACATGAAGTTGTAGCCGGGCTCGTCGGTCTCCTGCTGAGTATCGTCGAGCGGGTTCGTGTGGTGGTGGTCAGACCACTGCCAGCGGTCAGCCAGCTCGGCAGGGAGCTGAGGTCCGAAACGAAGCTCGTGGATGAAGTGAGACATAGTGTGCTGGTCCGAGGGAGGTGCGTTGGGGACGACATAAGTGTCGAGATCGTGGACGTGCATGTTGCCCGTTGTGAAACTACGACCTGGCGCAATGTGGAAGTTTCCTACCACCTTGTTTACACGCAGCACACCCTCGATACGGCAGCCCTCCTTGCGCTGTTCGGCGAGCTTCTCAGCATATCCTTCACGGATGCACTGCTCAATGCCGCCGCCATCACCGAAGGCCCACTGCTTCTGGGCGTAGGCCTCGCGCACTTCGTCACAAGTGCTGCAGCATCCGGGCTTAATTGCATTTGGTGGTGCGTCTGCGACTCCACCACACTGTCCACAGTAGTCGGGGGCCAGATGCTTGGCAGCATCTTGCGGGGAGTGTCTAGAATACAGTGAGTTTATGACTGGGCTCAAAGGGTTTCCCGGCGATCACAACTTACAGGTCCAAGGCCTGAACATCTATGACCTTTCCTCCTTCCAAGTGAGAGCTGAGGCGGACCTTGTTCACACCGTGCGCGACACCAACCTGCTGTTCGCCAGAGACATCCATGACATCCAGTGTCAACAGCTCGCATGGCAACCGAGGGAAGGTCATGTTCAGATGAATTTCCATTCTCTCGCCTGCGCATCAAGGACAAATCGTCAGTCACCTTGCTCCAATCTTCTCTGGATACATCATGGGTCCGATGTGATCGGAACTGGTGTCATACCTCTCGATTTATCGACGACGAGCTCTGGTTCCACAACAATACGTCGGTAGTCGGCCCATTCTCCCCATACCAGCCACATAACAATCAGAAGGGAGGCAATGGTAATGACACCTCCGGAGTTTGTGCGAATCCGAGCATCTTCAACGGTCTTGGCGAAGGCGTCGAGCCTTGTGAATCGCGATTTTGCCATCTCGCCGGTCAGTTGGGGACCATATGGTAAGGCGCAGGGATTAAGGAGAGTCCGGGGACAGCGTGAATATCAGAAGTGCCTGTGGATCAAAGAGATCATGAACACGTTAGCTGGCTGGTTAATGAACGCGCACGCTTTCGACCCATCGAGTCAATGGACAAACAAACGATCGACAACAAATGGAGACTACCATACCAATAATCCAGTATGTGCAAATCAATTCAAATGCTGTATTGTTCTAGCTGTGAAGGAGTGTGTTGAGCTTGACAAACCAGGGCCAGTCCGACATACCTGCAGCTCGATGTATGGAGATATCATTCAAAGGCCAGAAAACAACCTCTGATTGGCCAATGTCTGGCTGAGTCACCACATGTGTCACGTGTATTCAGGGCCCACCGCATCACGTGCTCTTCACGTCACTTTTTGCTTGAAGCAGTCGGCCATTGTTCTTGCGTTTATTGACGAATTCTCCTGTCGGGTTGATTGGAGTGTTGCGCCTGCAACTTCTCTTTATCATCTATTGTTCTTTTCTCTTACTTCTCAACACCCTCCCTTCGACTTCCACGCCCGTTTGCGACGCTCTTGCATGCTAGCAACTTTTTTCTGAGCCTAATCTGAGGCGCATCGCGCATAGCTTGCTTTGCTAAAGCTTTTTCACCTTACAGCGACTTGCCTTGCTTTCCACAAATCGTTCTTCACCTCCCCATATCGTTCAAATCCACCCACAAGATATTATGCCGTCGATGAAATCCCGCCGCGGCGGCGGTAGTGATCGCGGGGGCATTCGCAAGCGGGGTCCCACTCGCACCGATCGAGATGGTGATATGGACATGGATGCAGGGGGATCTCGGGGCAAAGGATCGCGTCCTGAAGCGAGCCGCTCCGGCGCAGGTGGAGGTCGTCCTGCAGCTCCACGCACTGGAACTACTGCAGGTGGACGAGGCTCCAGTCGACCTGGCCGAGGTGGCCGAGTTCAGGCGCGCGACAAGAACATGGATGCGATTCAGCGTGCAATCGCCAGTACCGAATCACAAGCCACTATCCGACAGAATCGCCAAAATGACAGGAACGCCCGCAAGCGCGAATCGGTTCCCTTCAGTGTCCGTGGATGGAAACAAAGCAAGGTTGCCTCCGACAAGGACGGTGGCGTTGAGGCCGTTGTCGCATTTATTGAACGACGTCTCAACTCCCTCACCAAGACTGGTCCCCGCGTAAGAATTACAAAGGTAAGTCCAACACTCGAATTGGCGGTCACCAACTTCAATCCTCGACATTCCCCGTTATCTTGTCCTCTCATTTCCGAGGATGGTCCTCCTACCGAACGATCATCGACAATTCTCGGGCATTTTGGCTTCCTCTTCACCGGGTGACCCCAGATCAAGGTCTTTTCGCACCTTTCTAACTTTGAACTAGTCGCGCGTGGAAGGCGACACTGTTGTGGCATTTGTTCATCCTGATCTCGTCGACATAATGCTCCGAATCAACAACAACTCCTTCGCTGGAATTAATATCAGCGTTGAACCATACGATCCCAGCAATTTGGCCGAGCATGAAATCGCTGCTGTGCAAAGTGGTCCTGGCTCGACTGCCGACACGAAGGCCAAGATGACTACTATCCTGGGCAAGCGATTCTACCCCGATACCAAGCTTCTTGACATGTCGAAACTGGCCAGTGATCCCGATCTGCAGGCCATGGGAATCTTCAATACGACTTCCACTGAGTCCAAATTCTTCCCTGCTCTCATGAAGGTGTGGGACATGGGATTCAAGACCGCTTCCGAGAGGCGAGCTGCAGTTGAAAGCGCCAGTCTTGCAGACAACCAGCTGAACAATATCTCTGTTGTTACAACCCTCGCGCAAGCCGTTCCCGACATCAAAAACCTCGATCTTTCCAACAACAACTTCAAAGATGCCCAATCGATTATTGGTTGGCGGTGGAAATTCCGCAGTCTCGAATTCCTGGACTTGACCGGCAGTCCTTTTTGCACCGATCCCACATTCAAGGATACTATGCTCAAGTGGTACCCCAAGCTACAGAAGCTCAATAACGTGCAGGTCCGCACTCCCGAAGAAGTTGCTGCCCAAAAGAAGACACCTATTCCCGTCCGACCTCCCCACTTCCTAGACGAATCTCAAATTGGCGAGACCTTCGTCCGCGGGTTCTTTTCTGGCTACGATAACGACCGCAACACAGTGATCAACAATGTCTATGACGAAAACTCGGTCTTCTCACTCAACATCAACACCTCAGCACCCAGAGCTCCGAATAGCGAAACAGCTGCCTGGGATGAATACATCAAGAAAAGCCGCAACCTGCAAAAGATTAACCATCTGAGTGCTCGTATGTCTCGCTCCTTCAAAGGTGCTGACAAGATCCGCGAAGTCTGGAATGCACTCCCTCCTACCCGTCACCCCGATATGGCCGCTCATCCTGAGAAATGGCTCATTGAATGCAACCCAGTCCCCGGCTTGCCTGATCCTACCGGACAGAGCCCGACCGGGGTGGGTGGTCTCCTCCTGACGATCCACGGACATCTGGAAGAGAGTGTTGGAGGAAAGGTCGAGATGCGCAGCTTTGATCGTACTTTTGTCATCGGACCTGGTGCAGCCCCCGGGGCTATTCGAGTGGTCAGCGACATGTTCTGTCTTCGTGCCTATGGTGGGCACGAGGCGTGGATCCCCGAAAACACAGATATTCCTCAGGCTATTGCTCCCCCTGCTGCGGGTCCTGTCCCCACCGCTCCGGGTGCAGTTCCCGGCGGCGACCAAGCTCAGCGTGACCAATTGATTGCACAGATGAGCGCGAAGTCTGGCATGACCCCTCAATTTTCGGAAATGGCCTTGTCGAGCAATAACTGGAATCCCGAGGCTGCGTGGAAGAACTTCGAACAACTGAAGGTAAGCATACATAATCTACTCTGGTCTTTCGGCCACAGACTAACCACTTTGGACAGGCGCAAAACCAATTGCCACCAGATGCTTTCCTTGCTCCTGTGTGAGCTTGCTTCACTTCCTGCTTAGATTCCCATTCACTCGCGCTTTGGCTTCATTGCTTTCGTTTTTAGCTACACATATGTACCCCAAAAAGGGGTTGGACGTACGATGCATCGGATTTTTGTTCTTCTTTCCTAAATGTCTCAATATTTTCTACTTGCATGGCTCCGGCGATGGGGGACAAATGTCATATTTCTAAACATGGGTCAATGGGCAAAGCTCAACCCCCCCAAAAACAAAGCAACAAACATTACATAGTGTATTGTTCCTACGTGCGTCCACAGTAAACATCGGCATAGGATTTGAACATTGTGGAGAATGATGAGAACTATGGAAGCAGCGTGTAACGGTGATATCTATGCGGCTTGTAAGTGAGATTCGAGTGAAATTTATCAGCCCTCTACATGCTGTCGCACTTGTCATTTAACATCGTCTTCGGAATTTAATTGGACTACCAGCATGACATACCATATTCCTCACTGAATACTCCCAGTCATCTAGCAGTCTACCTCTGTCTAGCTCGTGCGAGGTCATTTTCCGGCAGATTTCTTCTTCGGGTCTACAATATGTACACTTCACTAGTTGTACGCTTATGAAGCAAGTCGTTAAATAGTAGATTCATGAGCAAACAACATCTTCTAACTCTTAGTAGTTATATTGCAAGATAGACTAAACGCTAGTCCAAAAGAAGACTAGTGAAGGCTCTTCCATTGGCCCGACTCAGAGTCACATGATCTGAGGCGGTAGGTTCGATGCCTCAGGCCGGAATTTTGAGGTTAAAGAGTTAGTTCAAACATGAAGTCCTAGTTAAGAATAAAATCTACGAAGTGGTCCTGCCTCTAAGCACCTAAACGTGGTGGTAGCAAAGATAGGAAAGCACAACCTAGGAGAGGGATCAGGTATGTGTATAGTAGGCAAATGTTGACACAATGTAGGGTTGCGTAAGATGCCAAGCTGGCGCGCTAGAGCCATGCGGGTATTCACCTCCGTCATTCCACCTCTCCCACGCATTCCGCCGAAACTGTCTCAAGGCCAAGGGCGGGATGATTGTTGTCAGCTAATGGAATGACTGCAATTACTGCCCCAATCACCGGCCATATGCCGCCAGACGAGGAACACCTCGATGCCTTAGATGCCTTGGATGCAGGTGCGCAACAATTGGCCTCTCGTGACTATCATGCATGCTGACACCAAAGCAATAACAGTGGACTACGATCCGATTGAACATTTGAATGCCGTTTTCTCCCATCCTTCCACCCTCTCGTCCGTCTCTCAGATATCCGACGCTCTACACCAATGTGAAGATGAACTCGACGATGACATTGGCACCCTCGTGGAGGAGCAGGTCACCTCCAATGCCGACAGCGTCGAACGGATACAGGCGGCCAAAGCCGACCTATCGGAGCTATTTAAGAAAATCGACGACGTCCGGGAACGCGCATTGAAGACCGAGCAAGCAATCACCGATATGACGGCGGACATCAAGCAGCTGGATAATGCAAAGAAGAACCTGACGCTCTCGATGACGGCGCTGAAACGATTGCAAATGCTGACTACGGCATACGATCAGCTCCAGGCGCTCAGCCGGACGCGACAATACGGAGATTGTGCCCAGCTTCTGCAGGCTGTGATTCAATTAATGGCTCACTTCAAGTCATATCGCTCCATCGACCAGATTGCTATGTTGAGTCGGAATGTTGCAGATATACAACGCGATCTCCAAGAGCAGGTTTGTGAGGATTTCGAGATTGCCTTTGCAAAGGGTGAAGTAGGCTCCAAGCGAGCGATGCTCGCAGAGGCGTGTCTGGTCGCAGATGCCTTGGGTGATCATGCACGGTCTCGTTTGATGACTTGGTATTGCAATACGCAGCTCCGTGAGTACCGGCAGGTCTTCCGGAACAACGAAGAGGCTGGATCCTTGGATAACATTTCCCGCCGTTATTCGTGGTTCAAACGCATATTGAAGATTTATGATGAGGAGAATGCGGCCATTTTCCCGGCTTCGTGGCGGGTGAATGAAATTCTTGCCAATGTTTTCTGTGAGGGCACACGGGATGACTTCAAGGGCATCTTGTCTCGATCTGTGCGCAGTGGACAGAATCTTGATGTCAATTTGCTGCTTTCATGTTTGCAGGAGACACTCGACTTTGAGCATTCTCTTGAGCGTCGCTTTTCCCCTGCGTCGCGTGCTTCTACCGACACTTTTACTTCTACTGAGCCGCCAGTGTTTAGCCAGTCTATCTCCGAGGCATTTGAGCCATATCTCAGTGTCTGGGTTGAGGCCCAGGATAAGCAGCTCGCAGCATTGCTCCCCAAGTACCGGCAGCAACCCCTTAAAGTTCCAGACGAAGAATTCAACTCCCACATTGTCATATCATCCTCGACTGAACTGTTTACATTCTATAGGCATGCTTTGCAGCAGTGTGCCAAACTCTCAACTGGCGGCAGTCTGGCAGAGCTCGCAAAGGTATTTGCAAAATATCTAGACCAGTATGCGCAGCAGGTCCTTCTCAACTATATAAGTGAGCGGCCCACGGGCCACACGCCCTCTCGGGTTCCCACGATAGAGGAGTTGGTCTCAGTTTTGAACACGGCAGATTACTGCTACACAACCTGCACTCAGCTGGAAGAGAAGATCAGGGGCAGGTTAGATGAGAATCTGAAGCAATCTGTTGATCTGCAAAGCCAAGCGGATTCATTTATGGGGATTGCTTCCGCTGCTGTACGGGGTCTGGTTCGTCAAGTCGAGGTCCAGCTTGAACCATCCTGGCGAGAGATGCGTAACACGCCATGGGCCAAGATCGAGGCTGTCAGCGATCAGAGCTCGTACGTTGCTGAAATGCTTTCTCACACGAAAGATAAAGCATCGGAAATCCTGCAGCTGTTGCATAAGCAGCAATATGCTCGTGCGTTCTCTGATCATTTGGTGGAACTCATGTCAAGCCAGTTCATTAGCAATGTCTTCCAATGCAAGCCTGTATCGGAAACTGGCGCTGAACAGGTATGCCTACCCCATATCCATATCATACTTTATCTTATTGACTCAATTTCCAGATGCTCCTCGACTCTTACACCCTCAAGAGCGGTCTTTCATCTCTTCTTCCTGCCCCCGCCCCAACTGGCTTCGTGAAGCGCGTAAACACAAGCTTCTTCAAGATCGAAACCCTCCTCAAAACTCTCCAGGTCCGCCCCTCACCACCAGAAGCTCTAGTCCAAGCATACCTAATCCACATCGCGGACCGAAATAACAACAACTTCCGCAAAATTCTCGATCTAAAAGGCATTCGCAGCCGCCAAGAACAAAACCACCTTGTGGAACTATTCCAGCTCCACCGCGCCTCAGACCGCTACGCCTCCAGCCTCCAGCCCAACAACCCCATCCTCGCTGCCCTTCAAGGGCCCACGACCACCGGCACGACCTCTGTATCTCAAGGCCTAGGACTCGGCAGCGCCAGCTCAGCGATGCCATCCCGCTTCGATGCCTCTATGCTTGGCTCGGCAATTATCTCCGCAGCAAAGGATGGCGTCGACCGCTTCGGGAATCCTAGTCTGACGACCCTCAGCGCTGCAGGAGCCCCAGCCTCTGGATCGGGCGTCACCAGTCCATCCGGCACCTCTTCCCCAGCTCCCGCCGGATCAATGCTCCAGCCTAATAATGTGCAGAACTCTGAAGGGACACCCGGAGGTAATCTCAATGAGAACCTAAAGAATATTGGGAAATTCTTCCGTCGTGACCTGGGTGGATTTGGTGGGAGGTTTGGTCGGAGTGCTGAAGATGGAGCTTAGTGGGAGTATTGCTCTTGTTTGATTCTTTATTCTGTCTCCTTTATTATCCTGTTTTTTTTTTTTTGGTTGGAGCATGGATACCACTTGTTCTGGTTAGAGGGTAACGTTAACTTACATATAGCTTATATCCAGGCGTCGTCCTTTCTCTAGTCAATATCTGATGGGACTGTATTTTACGTTTGTATACCATTGCTATATTCTCTTGTTGCTTCATGTTATTTATTGTAATCCAACCAGATCCCCATTCTCTCCAAGTTGCTCGTGGACTTCGAGGGTGAGACGATCACATGACCGAGGACAACGCTACCTGAATGCAGTGTTGTAGTAGCAAAAATCACAATGAGAAGAAGAAATCAAAGACAGCTACGAGAATTACGACGGATAAAACTAAAATGTTGTAACTGAAAAATTCCATTTCGGGTTGAAAATCAACTAAGACAACAACACGAGCGAACAAATATCCTAATGGTATCATCCAGCTACAGAATTGCCTACGAGACATCGGCCTACTGTTGTAAGACGGGTAGGGTATCTGTATTCTTTTCACGAGTTAGCAATTGTTTGCAAATTGAGTCAAGTCAAAGTGAGAAGCAAAAGCAGTGTGAAGGGTATGGCGTCATCAAAAAATTAGAGTGTTGTTGTTGCAATTTTTAATCTTCAAAGCGCCCCGGAGAGGGACATATTGCTCGGGGTTAAAAATGTATAATCATCCGCCAGGGTGACATGGTGAGGTGTGTAATGGGGAAGGCAGGAGTAAAAAGAAAGAAGTTGTAAAAACTCACCAATTCAACGGAAACGACAATGGAGCGCAGATACGTTCCATTATACGAATCCTAAGGGTTTCCAAAGGAAATCCAGTTGCCAAAGCATCATGTTTCATTGCCAGTAGCTTTTTCAAGCTCTGATTCAAGTAAATCTAATACATGGCATTGTCCCGTGGAAGAGGCGCTTAGTCGAAGAGACCGAAGCCCATGTCCTCATCGGACTCCTCCTCATCCTCAGCGGGAGCGGCGGCAGCGGGAGCGTCACCAGCGGAGGTGGTGGCGGCAGCGGCAGCGGGAGCGGAAGAAGCGTAAGCATCGGGGTTAGCGATGCGGTCCTTGAGCTCATCAATCTCAGCCCAGCTGTAGTCGGTCTCGACGGCGACGGCGAGGACCTTCTTGTAGCCGTTGATGAGAGAGTGCATAACGGAGGGAAGGGTAGGGTAGTTGGCAGCCAGGGAGACGGCGGTGATGGTAGCAATAGCCTGGGAGAAGGCCTTGAGGAGCTGGTCATCGGTGATGTCGAGGACATCAGCGCCGAAGCACTGGCCGTTGTCGTAGACCTGCTGAATGGTCATACCGTAGGTGAAGGGAGAGATGTTCAGCAGGTTAAGGAGGGTAGCCTCGGAGGCACCGACCTTGTTACCGGCCTCAACGAGCTTGAGGTCGGAGACAATTTCGATGGTACCACGAGCAATCTTGGTGGGGACACCAAGAGCCTGGAAGAACGCGGTCTTACCGGGTTCCATACCGGTGTTACCACCGGGGATCCAGACGTCAGCGGGAGCGACGGCACCGGCACGAGCGGGAGCAGCGACACGGTTGGCAAGGATCTTCTCCTTGATGCCCTTAAGGTCGGCGTTGGTGAAGATGAAACCAACGTTGCCTGTGATTTAATGTTAGTCAAATGTCTCAATGCGACAAGCACATGTGGTACATACCCTTAACGTGAGGCAGGAGGTTGGCGAACTCGGGGTTCTCGACGACGAAGCCCTTGAGAGCACGACGAACCTAGGAATTCAGTCAGCGAGGAATTCGAGGTAAGCATTGTCAATTGGGAAACATACCATGGTGTTCTTACCCATCAGGACGACAGCCTCTCCACGGAGGGAGATACGGATCTCGTGCATCTGCTGGGAGCTGACATTGTCGACACCGACAATGAAGACGGTGCGGAACTCATCGAGAAGCTGCTTGAGCTTCTCGAAGTAAGCGGTCTTGGTAGCTGACTTGCCCCCCATTTCTCCTTAATTTCACTGAAGATAGGTTGTTTAAGGACAAGGTTGTTGTTGTAGTTAATGAAGAAGAGAAAGGAATTGGTGCGATTTCGGAAAAAGTTTTTGGTGCGTTCGCTAGTGGGTCACGTGACGTAAAAAGTAGACCCGCCCATATGGACTTGACGAGAGACGACGGACTTCGATTGGCATTGCGTTACAAGTCTGTTTTGCGCATTCGGGGTTTTATCTGGAGCTGAATTGGTTTTCTTATTCATCCGGGCCGCCCACTTCAATATGCCTTCTTTGCAGCACCCGTTTCAGTGCCTGCGATATGTTGCAAGAGAATCAGCAGGCCAGTCTGATTTGCTGATTGCGACTGCTGGGGCCAAATTGTATTCATACTCTGCTTCTACTGGCGAGTGCCTAGATGTCTTTCCGGGTACCAATGACTCGACTGGGTCGGATGATCTTAAGAGTCCCCCGGGCAAGAGACGCAAGCTATCTTCGCCTGAGCAAAATGACGAGCAATCCGAGTCTGCGGACAAGGAATCTCAGGAAGAGGTCAAGCTCACCTGGTCCAATATCCCCCTCCTTATTGTGGCCAAAAGCAAATATGTAATCTTCCTTACCGCTGAAGACAAGTGTATCCGAGTCTACAGCCTGAGCGAAAATGGAAGATTCCTTAAAGAGAGTGTCCGGTAAGTTTCCGTCTGTCCTTGTCAATTTCACCAATCTTATTTTTATAGGACTATGCCAAAACGGCCAAGTGTGCTGGCTCTGACACCTGATGAGAATGACATCCTGTGCGCTGACAAGTTCGGCGATGTGTACATCATTCCAGTGATTCCCAGTTCAGACTACAAGCGAGCCGTGGCCGAAGAGAAAGAGTATGCTCCAGCTGCCACAAATCTTACTGTGCACACCAAGCGCAACCTTATCTCGTTACAGCAGCAGGAAAGACACGCTGCGTTGAAGAAGAAAGCTGCGGTGGAGGCTACCGCACTCAACTTCGAGCACCAAGCCATTATCGGCCATGTTTCTATGCTGACAGACATGGTTTCTGTCACCCGGCCTGCAGACTCAATCGTCAGTCACCCAAGGAGTTACATCCTGACTGCGGATCGTGATGAGCATATCCGTGTATCCCGTGGTCACCCCCAAGCGCACGTTATTGAGCAATACTGCTTTGGTCACACTTCTTTCATCAGCAAGCTTTGCATTCCTTCCTGGGCACCAAATGTCCTCATTTCGGGCGGTGGCGACAAGCATTTGTTCGTGTGGAACTGGGCTGAAGGACAGGTCTTGCAGAAGGTCACTCTGCCTGAGTCAGAACCCGATATCAGTGTTTCTGGAATCTGGCCTGTCTCTGATAATGCCAGTGGCATGAAGAGCATCTTTGTTGCATTTGAAGGGTACGTAAGACCAGAATCATGGCGAACATAAAAGCTAAAACAGGAAACAGATCTTCCCAACTTCTTTGCTACACCCTCGAAAACGACAACACGCTAAATCAACAAGAGACCCTACAGCTTTCGGGCAACGTCATTGATCTGGTTTCTATCGGTTCAGACGGCACCATTGCTGTCTCTGTGGACAACCTGCGGGAACGCAACTCGACCAGTGTTTGGAGATCAACCCCCCAGGCTAGTCTGGAAGCCTTCCGGGTTGAGGCTGGAAAATGGGTCCCTACCGAGAATTCTGTTGTGTCTAGAATCAATGCCGATGGCAGCACAATCGTTCAGGCGGATCTGGACGAGAAGTCCACCAAGTCGCTGAACGACCAAATGTACAGTTTGTCGGTTCTCCGAAAGAACCCTGCGTGGGATTGAGAGTGAGTGGGTTGGATTTTATGTATGTTTAGCAAAAAGTTTAGATATCTCCAACTTTTCATGAGACTATGAAGCAATCCACGTTCCAGTGACGAACTGCAAGAAGTAGTACAGGGAAATGGCTCAGATCCTCCAACAATATATATGTGCGAGGTTATCGGTCAGCAGAGGGACAGAGTTATATCTTTTTTTTTTTGAACATAAAATTTGTGAGCCAATATTTCATAGACATTGATCATTCCAATATCGAGTTTTCTAGTCAATCCATTAGAAAGAAAACGAAGCACGTGTGCTCGTAGCAGCTTTCTAGATCGAACCTCCTAAGGTTCCGAGCCAATCGCGGGCCGCGGCACCCGGAGAACTTGGACTTGGACTTCCCCTCCTTCACTCCACCACATCACACAATGCAGGAACAATTTGAGCCACTTAAGAACGATTTGCTGCTGAGGGCTGCTCGGGGTATGTTGAATTTGATTAACTTGATCTGACCGGAGCTGACAATCGCAGGCGAGAAGGTTGAGCGTCCTCCCATTTGGGTTATGCGACAGGGTAAGTTTCGCCTGCCACGATCACAGTCTAGAGAAATCGTCTGACGCTTTATACCTCCCCAAACAGCTGGTCGCTATCTCCCCGAGTACCATGAAGCAAAGGGAGGCCGTGACTTCTTCGAATGCTGCCGCACACCCGAGATCGCCTCGACCCTGACTCTCCAGCCCATCGAACGGTATGAAGGCCTCATCGACGCTGCTATCATCTTCTCCGATATTTTGGTTATCCCCCAGGCTATGGGTATGGTGGTAGAGATGGTGGACAAGAAGGGTCCTCATTTCCCCGAGCCCCTCCAGTCGCCCGATGACGGACAATACGCCAAGGTGATGGCGAAGGAAGTGGATGTGAAGACAGAGCTGGACTACGTCTACAAGGCAATTTCCCTCACTCGTTTCAAGCTGAAGGGCCGCGTGCCCCTCATTGGTTTCTGTGGTGCGCCGTGGACACTGTTGTGCTACATGGTCGAAGGCGGCGGCAGCAAGCTCTTCGTGCAGTCCAAGAAATGGGTGTACAAGTACCCTAAGGAGGCACAGGCTCTGTTGCAGAAAATCGCCGATATCTGCGTGGAATACCTCGCCCTCCAGGTCGCTGCCGGTGCGCAGTTGGTGCAGGTCTTCGACTCTTGGGCCGGCGAGCTGTCTCCCACTTCGTTTGCTTCCTTCTCGCTTCCTTACCTGCGTCACATTTCCTCCAACTTGCCTAAGCGCCTCCAGCAGATGGGTTTGGAGCCTGTTCCTATGACTGTCTTCGCCAAGGGTGCTTGGTATGCTCTGGACGATCTTTGCAACTCGGGCTACAATGTCGTTGGCCTGGACTGGCTGCACGATGCTGGTGAGGCTATGCGCATTGCCAATGGTCGTGTTACCATCCAGGGTAATGCGGACCCCGGCATGCTGTACGGTGGTCCTCCGGCTATTACCGAGACTGTCGAGCATATGGTGAAGGGATTCAAGAAGGGCAAGCAGGGATGGATCTGTAACTTGGGCCACGGTTAGTAAGCTCCCAATAAGTGTTCTGTATCAAGCTAATTGGCCATGCAGGTGTTACGCCATTTGTCGACCCCGAGCACCTCAAGTTCTTCTTTGAGGAGATCCACAGGTTGACTGTATAATTGGACCTGGAGCTTAAAAGTGGTCGGCTTCTTCCCCGACGGAGATCATAAATGACTGCAACTACATAGGAAAACAAAAGCACACCCTTCTCACGACATGATTCGTCTCAATTCTCGGGGTTAAATATGGCTATATAGAAGGCAGTATTATGGGATTAGACAGCGATATCCTCGTTCCTGTATCAAACCCAGCATTAGTATCAACGATTCCGAACCAGAAAAGAAAGCCAACGTAGCCATGTGCGCCACGGCATCCAGAAGCAACACCAGAAACAGCAACATACCATAGCTCCGGCTTCTCCTTCATAAAATTGGCCATCAATTCCTTGCACTCGGCATTATCGAGAACAACAACCTCCTTCCCACGGTTCTTGAGCAACTCCTCGCCACCCATAAAGCTCACATTCTCACCCACAACCACCCGCTTCACCTTGTAGAGGATACAAGCACCAGTACACATATCACAAGGCGAGAGAGTGGTATACATAGTGGCGCCCTCATAAGCGGACGCAGGAAGCCGGCCGGAGTTTTCAAGCGCGGACATCTCAGCCTTGACAGTTTCACGTTAGCCTCTCATTTGTCCCTACTGGTAGATCCGAACCACATCTGCCGCAGATATCGATGTCGATGTAGATGAAGATCTACATCTCGATCTACGTCTAGGATGGATGGATCGTATCAAGATGGTAAACTGACATGCAAGACAGCGCTCCCCTTTTGCACGCGCATGTTATGGCCTCGGCCTAGGATCTTGCCGTCCTTGGATACCAGAGCGGCGCCGATTGGGACGCCTCCCTCAGCCAGACCCTGCTTGGCCTCTTCGACAGCGGCGATGAATCCAGGATCTTGTTCCATAGTTGATGTATTGTGAGAGTGTCAAGAGAGAATTATATTGGCTGAGTATCTAAATCGGAGACTTCCGCGCCCCCCCCTCCATGACGGGTGGACCGTGGAAGAGTCTTCCCCTCCGCCTTTATCGATAAGTGGCAAGTGGCAAGTTGAGATTTTTGCTTACAAAGGGGATTGGTATTGGTATTGGTATTGGTATTTGATGTTTGTCAGTTGTAGTAATCTTGGAGTGCTTTAGAATCATGGCAGCATTATACGTCGGGGAGTTTCCAGAAGCATATAACATGATGCAGGTCTTGAACGTATACAGTCAGTTCAATGTGAACTAGGATGATGCATCATAGGCCTTAGTCAGCCGTATCATACGCAGAAACACGTCGAAATCGATCGAAGGCCGCAGAATCCCGTAGAATCAGCGCTCGGGCCATAGAAAAGAAACCGCCAGAAAGAGGGCAAAGAGATGTGAATAGGGAGGACATATCAAGACGAGACAGCGCCCTTTGCTAAGTAGATCTTTGATCAATTTTAAAAACAAGAATCCAAATTCATATCCAAAGCCTGGGTTGCCCTGGTAATTAATACGAGCCCCGTACAGTGCCTGGGTCAAAAGTTACTCAGCCTAATTTTTTTGATTATCCGCAGATAACATAACCATCTCTTCTCCATCCACTTCTCCTCCACAAGTTCTTGTCCCTTGTGCCCCTCTATAACTCCTTGGGATTTCATCGGATCGTCCCTCATTCCTTCTTTTTGACCTTTTTTGTCCCCCCCCTCGCACATTTCACAATGGTCAAGGAAACGAAGTTCTATGACGTCTTGGGCGTATGTTTGATCCATCGCTGCTTTGTCCACTTTGCGTGTTGTCCAGTTCTGACCGTGTTTCGTTGATCTCAGGTTGCCCCCGGATGTTCAGAGGCCCAACTGAAGACTGCCTACAAGAAGGGTGCTCTCCGGTTCCACCCTGGTACGTGAAAACCATGCGTTCGATAGTGTTTGCAGAATGCCCTCAAAAAGCTAACATCACTGTGTCGGTAGACAAGAATGCCGACAACCCCGAGGCCTCAGAGAAGTTCAAGGAACTGTCCCACGCGTACGAGTGTCTTTCCGACCCCGAGAAGCGTCAACTGTACGACCAGCTCGGTGAGGAGGGTCTGGAGCACGGTGGTGCGGGCGGTGGCATGAACGCCGAGGATCTGTTCTCGCAATTCTTCGGTGGCGGCGGCGGTGGTCCCTTCGGTGGAATGTTCGGCGGCGGTGGTGGTATGCGCGACCCCGGTCCCAAGAAGGCCCGCACAATCCACCATGTGCACAAGGTCAACCTGGAGGACATCTACAAGGGCAAGGTGTCCAAGCTTGCTCTGCAGAAGTCCGTTATCTGTGGTGGCTGTGATGGCCGCGGCGGTAAGGAGGGTGCCGTCAAGGACTGCACAGGCTGCAACGGTAGTGGTATGAAGACCATGATGCGCCAGATGGGTCCCATGATCCAGCGCTTCCAGACCGTCTGCCCTGACTGTAACGGTGAGGGTGAGATTGTCAAGGACAAGGACCGCTGCAAGAAGTGCAGTGGTAAGAAGACCGTTGTGGAGCGCAAGGTGCTCCACGTCCACGTCGACAAGGGTGTGCGCGACGGCCACAAGATCGAGTTCCGCGGTGAGGGTGACCAGATGCCTGGTGTCATGCCCGGTGACGTCGTGTTTGAGATCGAGCAGAAGCCCCACCCCCGCTTCCAGCGCAAGAACGACGACCTGTTCTACCAGGCTGAGATCGATCTGCTTACCGCCCTTGCTGGTGGTGCTATTCACATCGAGCACCTCGACGACCGGTGGATGACCGTCAACATTGCCCCTGGTGAAGTTATCACTCCTGGTATGTCTCCTGTTCCATCAATTTATCAATGAAACAACTTACTGATCTTTTATAGACGCCATCAAGGTCATCCCCGGCCAGGGTATGCCCTCGTTCCGCCACCACGACCACGGCAACCTGTACATCAAGTTCGATGTCAAGTTCCCCCAGAAGGACCAGCTCCAGAACCTGGACCTCCTGGAGAAGGTCCTCCCCCTCGTCTCGACCAGAACCAGCCCCCCGCCGACGCCATGGTTGAGGACTTTGAGCTGGAGGGCATCGAAAGCAGCGAGGGCGAGAAGGCCCGCGCCCACGGTGCTGCCGCCGCTGGCATGGATGAGGATGATGACGATGTGCCCGGTGGTGCCGAGCGCGTGCAGTGCGCTTCGCAGTAAAAGAATTTCGAAGACTGTTCCATACGGCTAGGATGGAGGGAAGTTCACCCGTGATGAACTTCGCTTATGATACCAATGTGAAGCGGGTACTCCTCTACATCTGAGCCGGAACCATCTTTCGTGTTTGTCTTTGTGCTTTGCAAATGGCGTTTCTCTCCGAAGACCCCGGAAGATATCATAACGATTTTCTTTCTCTCGGTTCACCTTATTCTCATTTTCATTCCCTGTAATCTCCTTATTTTCGCGCCTCTCCACCTTCTTTGCATACTTTTTTTCCCACCTTGCTTTTTCATTTTTCTCTTTGGGGAACTCGGGGGGTTTGTGGCGGATCGGAGTTGCACGTTGAAGAGATACGGAAACGAGTAACGAAACTGAAACCGAAGACGGAGAATTGAGATCATGACGACCCAGGTGTTTGGCAGAGGGACTCAAAACCACCGATTTGATTATTTTTCTTTCGAACCCCTGGGATGGGATTGTGGCGTGATCATGATGGATTCGTTTGTTTTTATTTCTCTTTTTTTGTTCTAGCATGCACTCTGATGACCCTTGAATAGACATTGCGTGATTTTTCGTTTCAATGAATCGTTCATCCGTATGGATGGTTTCTGAACTTGAGATTGTATCTGAAGCATGAAGCATATTGGAGACAAATTTAGATGCGTGTGTAGAGTGTCAGTGTAGATCACGAGGAAGTGGGAATGGGAGACGCGAGATGGAGATCTCATATACCTTCACGTCCTCAAGGTCCTCTCCCGGACTTGAGTTGTATCCGTGGGATTGGCTATCTCCATTTTTCGAGTTTGCTTTTCAATTCTTGTAAATGAACTTTACAACCTTTTATTTCCTTTTCAGCATGGCCTTCTGTCCCCCGGAATCAATGATCCACTACTATAAGACATGTGAAGAAAAACGAAACACAACCTGATGAAGACAGAAAAGAAAGTCCATTTTATACGTAACAAGTATTAGAAATAGGGTCAAATAGAGTATGGCTGCCCCATTATCTCCAGGACGTTAACATGCAGATGATTGATCTCGAACTCGATACTCGAAGGTAGAGAAAGAGACAGCTACAATACACATATGCCAAATAGAACTCACAGTAGGCTGATAACGGAGAGGCCACACATCCTCCCCAAAGCTCCAAGTATGGTGAAAATAACGAGAATTAGTACAGATATTAACTAGTCAATTATCTTTACACATTGGCCCTAGATTGGCCCAACAACGAACTCTGATTTTTCATTTCTCTCTTACAGCACTTACAATACTCTGATTGCAATTCAATCAGGGCCAGTAACAGATCCTTCTCCGATTAATCCTTTCGTTAGCTGTTCACGCTAATATCAGAAACCGGGATTTGATCACCTTTTAAGCTAGTGTCGGAATATATCTTGGTGCATCGAATCTGTTTTAGTAAGACACAAGTCATGACCCACTGAGAGGTAACGATATATCCTAAGGAATTATGAGTGTAATTATATACCGGAAGGCAAATTCGTATTCTATGTTCTTGACTGTATTTCTGGAAGAAAGATTTGATTCTGGCATAGCCTCTTCTAGATCCCTGAACAGCGATATATGTAATGACCGTGATACCAAACCCAGAAAGAAAGGTCTCCTTGCTCGATAGTTGAAAATACCAAAGCCCTAGTCACATATAGGATGCCTCTTTACTGCCCAATGGCCGCAACGAATCGGGCTGCGGCCTAGTTCACGTAACACTTGACAGAGCTCAACGAGCCTGTATTAATGTTGTTGTTACCTGGGGCTTGGATATCGCCTGTGCTACCACCGTTGCAGGTAGTCGAACTACAAAATTCCACCAGTCAGCCAGGATGTCCTCGCCGAGGCACAAACGGGGCATACTTACGTCCAGAAGCGGCAACGGTATCCACTGGGGATACTGACTGACTTGACCAAGTCATTGACGGGACTGCCGTTCAAGCTGTCTGTATTTTGAAGGATAATTAGCTATCATGATAACAGTTGACCTCATATACCTTAAGGTATGCGTTTGATAGACGGAAAGGAATCAAATGACGGGGTTAGCCTATGGTGGGTAACCACATACAGCAATCATGTTGAGTGTAGACGGGAACGTCAACGCAGGCCTCCAAGTTGACATCTGAACAGACATAGATGTGCACGAGAACATCTCTCTCCTGGAGGGTGCGGGCCTCGATTTCGACGGGCTCAGCAGCAGGGGCAGCAGTGACGCCGGTGATGGCGGTCACGAGCATCAGGAAGGCTGGTGTAAAACGCATGATGAATTGTATGATCAACAGAATTGTTCGAGTGAGTTAGAGAAGGAGGACTGGCTTGGAGAAGTAGAATATCTCATGTTCTGAGGTCAAGACGATGCATTATATACTCCCTTTTTGGCCCCAATTCCTCTCGCTTACATCTTGAGGGCGTACAATGTGCATTAGTCGACATGCCGGAGGATGTAACGTGTCTTGCAAGATCGAGACTTTGTTCATTATCATTAAATGATGAGTCAACACATGATTATCCAACCGGGAATGGAGCTTCCGAGGGCACAAGTATAGAGTCGGTCAACTGTGAGCCATATATTATGCTTGACACAATAAACACTCAAGTGTAGTATATAACTAGCTATCCTGTACCCTGTACCTTCCAGTATGATCGAAAATCAGAATGATCTCGGTTCTCTCTCGTGCTTATTCACATTGATACGCAGAGTCTCACCTGAAGTCAACTGTCCTGGATCTGGGGTTTACCCGTCCAGGAATTTGACAATGTAACATCGTCAAGCCATGTCATATTTCTCGGCCCAGTAAGACGGGGTTGATGATAATCACAATCACAATCATCATGTCCCTTGCACTTAACGGAGCTAGCCTAAGCATACAACAATTCTATATAGACTAGTGCTCGCGGACTTACACCCCGAGAATCCTTCCACAGCGCCAAAACTAGACTCGATACACCGACTCGAGAGACTGTAGTGCTTTAAAGCGACCGCGTGACCAATTGTCCAGACTGCTTTGATCGGCGACCACCTGGGGAGTCCCTCGGCGGTCAGATTATGTTGTTCAAGTCTGAGATATAGTGCCTATAGACAGCACTACTACGTGAACGTGGCACTCGAAAAGGCCAAAGTATATCGGGCATCGCGGATCGGGGACCCACTCGCGGGGATCCCTTGCAGCTGAAAGCTTGTGGCGGCCCGGGACGAAGATCTGTCCCCGGTGTTCTCGTGGTGTGAATTGGGCTTGCATTAGTGAGTGCGTGAGTCCTTGTAGGGATGTGACCCTGGAACTCGTGATGCCACTTCCAGGGAGTGACGATAGTATCCTGATTCTCTCGTTTTTCTTCCTATTCTAGCGGATGCAGTATAATATTGGGAGAACAGGAGTTTCCTGTTTAGTCAACTACGGTAAGACAGACTGTCGGAACTGTTATGTCTCACCTCTGTGGCGCTGCACGTAAGCAGCTTGGGCGCGTACCTCATACGTTGTGAGGGCATGAGAGGTGAAACAACTGTCTAGGGAAATAAAAAAAGGTGACATCGTTTGAATGTACAGGGAAGCGCATAACAAGCTATATTCGATACGACTTCGATGAAACTGGGGTATACGCAAACTGAGTATCTGCAGTCCTAGGCAATTCCGATCAAGGGGATGGAAGTCATTCAATTCCACCATTTACTGCAGGGCTTAGATCCAGTTAAGACAATTTTTTTGGGTAGGCTGGGCTCCGTTGTTTCCAATTCCAATATTGAAGGTTGCAGCCCAGGGCTGGAGGTGTTGCCCTAGATCAGTCATCAAAGCTAGTCCACCCTGCAGGGCTCTCATGCTTGGCATCATTGAGCCTGACAGATGGAAGCCCTGTCGAACTAAGATCACATGGAACCATCCTATGATAGCCCACTCGGAAAAAGTGCTCCAGCCCAATAAGGAAGATACACTCTAAGCCTACCTAATGATTGGAAGATTCTCTTATCTTATCCAGAGAGCGTGGAGCAGTACAACTCCCTTAGCGTGCTGGATACATGAAATCCCGAATAATGTCAAGCCTTTCTCAAGCAACATGCTCCGTGATTTTGATAGGTCAACAGGATGATCCTTCAAGCTGACATGCTGCTGACCCTGTGTATCCATCTATTCATTGACAGGCCAAGTTCATGTTAATTTGCGGGCTAGCGGGGGCCTAAGCAAGGCGGTGCCGCCACATGCACACTACTGTACTTGACGACAAGAGGCCAATCATAAGCCCCCATTTCGCAATTCTATAGGCCATCATTCGACGCCTAGGTATGTTGAGAAAAATGCTCTAACCTCTTCTTGGTGCCCAGCCGCCAGAATTGCTTAACGAGGCGTCGCTTTGCAGCCAACCCCTCCTAGTATTCGAGTACTTATGGCAGCCCTTTCGCTTAGCGTTCAAGTCCCGTGAAGGATCCTTCTGATCCCGTATTTTCCTATTCGGTTCACTCATATTTGATGTTTGAAAATTCGAAATTGTTGGCCCTGGCTGGGCTGAGCGGCGTAAGTGCCCATTATCTCCTCTATCGCCATGGCGAATGGGACCTGAGTGCCCCTGTGATTTTCATTGGCTATGTATTCCTTCTGTTAGCGACTACAGCTTTTGATGGTGTCGTGTATTCCCGTGAGGCTGGTGACATTGCGCCTAGAGCTTTGGTCTTGTGTCATATAAGTGGTGTATATTTAAGCATGCTCGTATATCGTGCGTTCTTGCATCGTCTTTCTAGATTTCCTGGTCCGTTCCTGGCCCGACTGTCTAATTTCTATGTCACTGCCCTATCGGGAAAAAAGTTACAGCTGTGCGATGAAATTCAAAAGCTCCACCAGCAATATGGCGATTACGTTCGTATCGGTACACAATTCATGATTCCTCTGGTTCTTAAACGAATGCTGACCGTTCAAAACAAGGTCCTACTGAGATTTCTATCATTGACCCAGCTGCCATCAAAGTTATTCATGGTACAGCCTCCAAGTTTGAAAAGGGTCCCTGGTACACGGTCATCGAACCCAGAACGTCTCTTCAGACAGAAAGAAATAAATCGATCCACGCTCAGAGAAGAAAGGTCTGGGACCGGGGCTTCAGCACCCGAGGTACAACTAGATCTCTCTAGAACTTTCACAGCGAGACTTGTCGTTAACTGTTTTTTTTTTTTTCATTTAGCGCTTCGCGATTATGAGCCACGGATTACCCTCTATACAGACCAATTAATTGCTGGAATTGAGAAGAATGTTGGATCTCCCATGAACATCACTCCTTGGTTCAACTATTACAGTTTCGATGTGATGGGAGATATGGCATTTGGTCACTCATTCGACATGCTTCTTACTGGAGAAGACTCTTATATTTTACGACAAGTGCATGATGATATGAAGAAGATTGGACTTTTCAGTCACTTGACCTGGCTATTTCCTTTCGTCAAAAGGACACCAGGAGTAAATAAAGACTACCTGAAGCTATGGAAGTGGATGACTTCTCGTGTTGAACACCGGATACAGGTTAGTGAAATTGCATCTATTTGAAGATGGGCTGAGATCCTACGATGATACTGACGCTGGAGGCATTAGAACCCACCAGAGATACCCGATCTGTTCTCGTGGATTTTGAAGGCGTTTGACGAAGGTCCAAAATCCGAGCAGGATCACCTGAACCTCCAGGGTGATGCATATCTGATTGTCGTTGCTGGCAGGTACGTCCTCGACCATCTCTCTTTCGGGAAGTTTGGGTTGACACAAACCGAATCTTAGTGATACCACTGCTGCTACCCTGACCAATATTCTATTCCATCTTGTCAACAACCAAGCGCTATACAAGGAGCTCCAGACTGAATTAGATTCATTCCTGCCCGAACTGTCCTACGACAAACTGACAAGCTCTAAGCTCCTCGACGCTGTGATCAATGAAACACTCCGATTGCATCCAGCAGTACCATCCGGCGTTCAACGCGTGACTCCAGCCGAGGGAGTCAAAATCGGCGAGACATACGTTCCTGGAAACACCATTGTTGCTATACCCTTGCATACCTTGTTTAGGGGTAATTATACCCCCGATTGTTCTCCTTGGAAGAGAGTCCCGTACTGACAGCACATCTTCCTAGACGAGCGTCTCTTCCCTCGACCAAACGAGTTCCTACCTGAACGATGGATGGCACAGTCTGAACTTGTCAAAGATCCATCTGTATTTATTCCATTTTACACCGGTGCGTTACTTTTGACCCCATTCTCGCGCTGTTACGCTGACACTGACGACCAGGTCCGTATTCTTGTGTCGGGAAGCAACTTGCTCTCATGGAGCTTCGTCGTGTCACTGCGAAAATCGTCACTCGGTATGATGTGTCGTTTGCGGAGGGCCAGAGTGAAATGGACTATCTGGATGGGTTCCGGGATGCTTTCACTACTGTTCCTGCGTCTTTGAAAGTGGTGTTTACCAAGCGGGAAGAGTGTTAAAGACAAGAAATGAATGAATATGATAGGAGATATGATCTGTTACCAGTTGAGAAGAACCAAGGTGGTTAAGTCTGAGATTTCCATAATATGCGAAAACCCCCTTTGATAGGAAGATTCTTGCCTGAGCTAATCGCAATCCAATGATTCGATAAAGATTGGGCAATGACAGGCGGCAATGGGCTCATCATCAAGCCAATTACTGCCTACAGTCATAGTTCTCAATATAATGAACTACACATGTAAGCAGATCTCATTTGCGAAATTGTACCTACCAGTTCACTACCTGTAAGTATTCCAGGGAACAAGTCAAGGCATGAGAAACCCTCCACCGAACCAGAAATAAGGCCCATGTCGTTTTTTTTGCCACATGGGAGAAATATGCAGCAAGGTCTAGCCCATCGGGGAAAAGAACCAAGCGGCATTTTCCAAGGAAGCTTCAAGCAAGCTTATCCATATACCCCAGCACAGCCAAGAATCCGGGAACCCCAAGCGAAACAACCCGCTGGAATGCTGCATATGCAGCATCTCGCGTCTGGGACCCTGCACGGTTCTTTCTGATATTAGCCACGCCACACGGGAACACGAAGCGAATAGATGGCGTGCTCAGCGATCGAGATCCCCAAGACCAACACCATCACGACTCGGTATATCGAATATCAGCCCCGGACACCGGGGGACCCCGTACTCCGAATTCCGTACGCCCCGCGGAGTAGCAAAAGGGGTTCATCGGAGCGACACTAGAGGAGAAACCCAGCATACGACTTCCCGCCAGCGATATGAGCGGCAAGGGTGTAGCAGAGGAAAAAAAGAAAAGAGACGCCTCGTTGGGCTTGGTCAACTAATAAGATTCACCAAGCTTGATCAGCTCGTCGGGAGGGGTGACAAGAAACTCGTATTGATGCAGCCAGCGAGGCTGAAACCGAGCCCGGTGAACGGGAATATGGGGGCGTGAAGGTGCATCTCCGAGGAACGGGAAAGTCAAGTTACTGTACATGTCGCGATCTGCTGGGTCAGCACGTGTGGGCATGTGTACAGTACGACCGAAGGCAAATGTGTTTGCAGATCTAGCATAGATTGGAGAGAGTCAGGTGCTGCAGGGTGCGACGCCACGAATTTTATTGGGAGGGGTTTTGGTTCTTTTGCTTTGGCTGGTAGTCCATAGAACATGGCCCGATAACGTTATGTGAGATAACTTCAGTTAATGTACGTGAACTAAGCGAGGATTGCGAGAGAGAGAGAGAGAGAGCCTAAATAGAGTAATATAATATCGCGCTACTATATTACACTTCCCGGTTCAAGGGCGCAAGAACGTTAGAAACACGTGAACTGTCAGGAAAAGACGCGATTAAGATCTAGATGGCGTCATCGGGTTTAACGTTTTAAGGATTCATGCATGTTTTAGCGCCATATCAGATTCGGAGACTGCCTTTTGCCTTTGCCTTGAGGGAACGCCTTTTTTTTCGCGGCTGGATCGTTCGCATAAGGATCTGACACGGGAATAGGCTTCTCAGTGACCACTACGGATACGGTGATAGTGTTTTTAGTGTAGTGTGTTTGCTGTGTCCACTGTGTACACTGTGTTCACTGTATTGTATGCACCGATCGAGTAACGAGGGCCGAGCTCACACGGACCCCTGCCAAGCAGATGAGAGTTAAGAAACTAAAGGGGGTTTAGACTACAGTACGCGGCAGAGGACGGGGCCTCGGAGCGGACGTATGCGAGTACGTAAGTAACACCCACGCATTTCTACAGTAACATGTTATATACAGGTATGATTAATGATTTCACCAAAACCTTGGAAGAGGATGTTAAGGTTATCTGATGTAAAATTAGACGGGGAATGCCATGGAAGTGTAGTCAGCCAAGGCGGTGAAAAAAAAAGAAGAAACCAGATTGAGCACTTTCACCATCCCACGTTGAGATTGCGTGTTCTGTATGTGTTGTGATTGGCCCGTCCTACTCCACTCTTGATCGTCTTGGGGCAAATTGTGTGGAGGCGCACTCTCATTCGTCATGCGGCTACTTGGCATTCTAGAAGAAAGTCATCTATGAGAAGGAGTCTGTGAGCTACAGTTATGGGGGCAACGAGCCTGCCCGACACCTTAGATGGAAATCTGGCCATGACTGGCGAACCGATACCACCCAGAAGAAGATTCTCTGTTCAAGAAAAGCCAAGTGTTCGCCTCCTTGGAACCCCGCTGGGCGGAAGCAGTGTGCTCCATCAGTCGTCATCCGTCCAGACCGGAGGAGTGGGACTTGTGGATGCTCACATTGGATCGGCTTTGCGATCATCGGACGGGAGCCGTGTGAAATGGTTCTTCAGACGAGCCTTCGCTTTGAGCAACCAGTTTTAGTTTCAGTTTGATTTTCTCATTTTCATCTCTTCACTCAGATCCCGGTCCAATCTCGTGTTCAGCCAAGCGAGCTAAGCGTGGGAAAAACCCCTCCGAATTATCTGCATTTGGACATTTGATATTGCGCCATTTGCTTGGGAATTACGAAGCGACCCCTATACCCGTTTCGCGACATGCTGGTCTGATTGTGGACATTCTTTTTTATATCTCTCTCTGATCGTCCGCTTTTTTGCGCTTCTTGCCAGTCTCCATCTCACACGTGGTTCTTGTGGCAGCTGTCAATTCCCCCGGCTAGATTTATATTTCCGGTCATCAGCAACCATGAGTGGTGAGGCCACCTCCAAGTTGGGACATACCCTGGCCAAGGGCCTGGGTATCAAGCTCCCTTACAGAGACCCTCTGGGTGCGACGTCAGGTTCCGAGCCCGTCACAAGAGGCGAATCGACCTTTTCTATGGGTACTGTCGACACATATTCCTACAATGAACCCGAACCGACAACTTTCGACTGGATCCGCGAGACCACCCCTTCCGGCCGCCAATTTGTTCAATATTTGATCAACCTGTTCCCTTTCCTGACCTGGATTTCTAATTACAACCTCCAATGGCTGTACGGTGACCTGGTCGCCGGTATCACTGTTGGTGCCGTCGTTGTGCCGCAGGGTATGGCTTATGCCAAGCTGGCTGAGCTACCTGTGCAGTTTGGTCTGTATTCGTCCTTCATGGGAGTTTTGATTTATTGGTTCTTTGCTACATCTAAAGATATTACCATCGGAGTAAGTGATCCGCGCCCGATCGAACAGAGAATGGGAGACTAACTTGACTAGCCGGTGGCCGTCATGTCGACTTTGACAGGAACTATCGTCCTCGATGTCCAGGCGATTTATCCCGATTATCCTGCTCACTTGATTGCATCTTCTCTCGCCGTGATCTGCGGTGGTATTGTCTTTGTGCTGGGTATCTTCCGCGTTGGTTTCATCGTGGATTTCATCCCTCTGCCTGCCATCTCTGCCTTCATGACTGGTTCCGCTCTGAACATTTGTTCCGGCCAGGTTTCCACTATGCTGGGTGAGACGGCTAAATTCAGTACCCGCGGTGCTACCTACAAGGTCATTATCAACACCTTGAAGTACCTGCCATCTTCTACCATTGATGCGGCTATGGGAGTTACTGCGTGTGCGATGCTATATATCATTCGTTCCGCATGCACATATGCTGCTAAGAAGCAGCCTGCGAAGGCCAAGATTTGGTTCTTCATCTCAACACTCCGGACTGTCTTCGTTATCCTGTTTTATACCATGATCAGTGCCGCCGTGAACTTGCACCGCAGGGATGACCCTTTGTTCTCACTCCTTGGTACAGTCCCCCGTGGCTTCCAACAGGCCGCTGTTCCCGTCATGGACCGCAAGATCATTGCTGCATACGCCAATCAGCTCCCAGCCGCTGTGATTGTTCTTCTTATCGAACATATTGCCATCTCCAAGTCCTTCGGCCGTGTTAACAACTACACTATCGATCCCTCCCAGGAGTTTGTGGCTATTGGTGTGAGCAACCTGCTTGGGCCTTTCCTCGGTGCTTATCCTGCCACTGGTTCCTTCTCCCGTACTGCGATCAAGTCTAAGGCCGGTGTTCGCACACCCCTGGCTGGTTGCATTACTGCCGTCGTTGTGCTGTTGGCCATTTACGCTTTGCCGGCTCTTTTCTTCTATATCCCCAAGGCATCTCTGGCCGGTGTCATCATCCACGCGGTCGGTGATTTGATCACTCCCCCTAACACCGTGTACCAGTTCTGGCGTGTGTCCCCGCTCGATGCGATCATCTTTTTCGTCGGTGTCTTTGTCACCGTGTTCACTTCTATTGAGAACGGTATTTACTGCACCATCTGTATCTCGGTTGCCGTTCTGCTCTTTCGCGTCGCCAAGGCTCGTGGTCAGTTCTTGGGACGTGTCACCATCCACTCCGTGGTCGGTGATCACCTGCTGGACACTGATGGAAAGTATGGATCTTTCGGAAACAACAAAACTCCCTCCGACGACGAGGAACACCACCACCGCACCATCTTCCTTCCCATTAACCACGGCGATGGTTCCAACCCTGACATCGAAATCGAGCAGCCTCACCCCGGTATCTTCATCTACCGCTTCTCAGAGGGCTTCAACTACCCCAACGCCAACCACTACACAGACTCCCTCGTACAAGCTATCTTCAAGAGTACCCGCCGAACAAACCCCCATGCCTACCGCAACCGTGGCGACCGTCCCTGGAACGATTCCGGCCCTCGCCGCGGCAAGGAGGGCAGCGATGACCATTCCCACCTTCCCATGCTCCAAGCGGTCATTCTCGACTTTTCCTCCGTGAACAACGTCGATGTTACTTCCATCCAGAACTTGATCGATGTCCGCAACCAACTTGACCTCTACGCCTCCCCCGAACCGTACAATGGCACTTTGCCCATATCAACAACCGCTGGACCAAGCGTGGTCTTGCCGCCGCAGGCTTCGGCTACCCCACCCCAGTCTCCAACGAAGGCTTCCACCGGTGGAAGCCAATCTTCTCCGTCGCCGAGATCGAGGGCAAGGCCTCCGCCGCGGCCCACGCAGAACTCATCAACAACCAGCGCGAACAAGCCTACCACAAACACGAAGACGTGGAATCCGGCCTGAAGTCGCAGTCCTCCGCAACTGAGCGCGAGACTCACGGCATCGAGACATCGTCCGCCGAGTCACACGACGTCATTACCGAGGACAAGTTCCAGCGCGATATCACCGACAGCAAGGCGTACCGCAGTCGTCGCAAGGTTGCGCTCGTGCAGGGCATGAACAGACCTTTCTTCCACATCGACTTGACCAGCGCATTGCAGAGTGCCGTTGCCAATTCGTCCGAAGAGGTTCCTCACATTGATTGATTTTCCCATTCCCCTTTCACGTACACATTTCATCTGATTTGCATTGTGTCTCTTCTTGCTCTGCATCGATCATGCTATCCTCCCTGGTTTGGAGTCTGATCTGATCTGATCTGATATACCCTGATAATGACCTGTTTATCTTTCACTTTCACTCACATTCACATTCACACTGGACATTTGTCGTCTTGCATGTGTTCTCGCTCCTGTTTTGCCTTGTTTTGCTTTTGTTCTGTCTATATTCTTTTCGGCGCTCTTCCCTTGGTTTGCGTGGGTTGGTTTATTGGAAGAAAAGGATTGGAATTGTATTTCTTCGGCTCTTGCCGAATTAATTACTAGGGATACCCCTTGATATTACAAATATTGAATTATAGATTGACCTTTGGCGATATACTTCTTGTGCAACTTGAACTTGTAGACTAAGTGGTTCATTCCTTATATCCCTAGCATATCCTCGAGGACACAGGACTTGGTCAAGTCTATGACTGCTATGATTGGGATAACGACATCCGCACGAGTCAATAGACGTGAGTAGCGAATCTTTTATTCTGATCATGGGCATCTTACTAGGTTGTGATGTCCAGCAAGCCAGTATGCTAAATGTAGACAGGTTCTCTCTTCGCCTTCTCCACATCTTCCGAGTGTAGCCGCTTAATTCATTCACTGCATTTCTCTTGCCTCTGGTGAAATTTGAGGTTCCGAGGAACTGGTTACAATTAAAATAACTATTTAATTGGCTAGAATCAACGATGGAACTTGATTTGTGACGGTTGCCTGACCCAGTGGGTGGAAGACTTATCCGGCAACAATCGATAGCTCAACAACTTGTATAGATAGATGGCTAGACAATAGAATATGGAATTCCGTAACAAAAAGCAAAGAATAGTATACTACATATCAAATAGACCAAACATACCAAAACCAAATAAACAAAAGAGAAGCCGAAACGACCTCGGTTCAGACCCGAGATGCGAAGTACGCCGCATCCACCAGAACACCCAAACCTCAACATTTAAAGGCTTCAACTGCAGAAATTCCAATTCAAGTTTCCAATGGCTTCCAAACTAAGCCATCTGCGTCCTGCGCTATACTTCCGAGCAGTCCCTGCACGCATCTCCGCACCTCGGACATGCCTCGCCCAATATAGCTCCCACTCCCCCATGGGATCAACAACAACCACCCGCAAGAAAGTCACCATCCAAACCCTCCGCAATCTCTACAAAAAGAACGAACCCATCACAGTCCTCACAGCATCTGATTTCCCCAGCGGCCATGTCGCCGACACAGCCGGTATGGAGATCGTCCTTGTGGGGGATAGTCTTGCTATGGTAGCCATGGGCATGGAAGATACAAATGAAGTCACCATGGACGAGATGCTCCTGCACTGCCGCAGCGTGAACCGAGCTGTGAAGAGTGCCTTTACCGTACGTCCAATCCCCCAGGCTCCCCAGACCATTCCACGCAGAACTTCACTTCTACCGTCCCCATCCACACCCCAACCCCCCCACGACAAAGACAACCCTAAACAACTAAACAACTAAACAACTAAACAACTAAACAACTAAACAACTAAACAACTAAACAACTAAACAACCAAACAACTAAACAACCAAACAACCAAACACCAACTAACAAGCAACCAGATCGCCGACCTCCCAATGGGCTCATACGAAACAAGCCCCGAAAAAGCCCTCACATCCGCCATCCGCATGATAAAAGAAGGCGGCATGCAAGGCATAAAACTAGAAGGCGGAGCCGAGATGGCACCAACCATCAGCAAGATCTCAACAGCCGGAATCCCCGTCATGGCACACATAGGACTAACGCCGCAACGGCAGCACAGTCTCGGCGGGTTCCGCGTGCAAGGCAAATCCGTCAGCGGCGCGGTGAAACTGCTCACGGATGCCTTGGCTGTGCAGAAGGCCGGGGCGTGCATGGTTCTGATCGAAGCCGTGCCGCCTGAGATTGCGGCTATTGTGACATCCAGGCTGAGCGTGCCTACTATTGGGATTGGGTCTGGGAATGGATGTTCTGGGCAGGTTCTTGTTCAGGTTGATATGTTGGGGAATTTCCCTGCGGGCAGGTTTTTGCCCAAGTTTGTGAAGACTTATGGGGATGTTTGGGGCGAGGCGAGACGCGGCATTGAGGCTTACCGGGAGGAGGTTAAGAGTCGGGCTTTTCCTTCTGCGGAATTTACTTATGGGGTTGATAAGGAGGCTTTGGCGGAGTTTGAGAAGATTGTTGAGGGAATGTCTGTTGACGAGGGGTATGATAGAGTTTGATATCGGTAGGTAGCGACTACTTGAATGTAGAGTAATAATGTATGTTGGACGAGAACCCAAGAGGGTTCGTGTTTGCGTGTGTGTGTGTGTATAGATATTCCAGGCTTGATATAACGTGACTCTGGGAACTAGCCCAAGCATACAATCCAGCGAACGCACAGAGATCTACTCAGAGCCATTCGGAGCCAAGTCACATCTTCAGTAAGTCGTCCAATTCGAATTAAAACACATTTATACAACCCCAATCGATATCCCCCATCAAATGCCTCCAAACCATAACCCAATCACCGCAAAACACCTCCAACACCAGCCCACCCAAGCACAAACCCACTAAGCGCCTCACTCATAACACCACCACCAAACCAAACATCCCTCCAAGCACCCTTGCGCAGAATTCTTCTCGAACCAGCCTTCCCGTCGAGCTGCATCTTCACAGTCTTGCTCTTCTCATCCATCTCCACAACACCCTCGATCTCACCGACATTGCTACCGGGGAAGAAAGAGCCGGCGCCACCGCCGTTTGAACGGTGAATGAGAACTAGATGGAAGAGTCCCGAGACGAGAATTGTGCCTAGGAAGTAGAAGGCGAAGCCGTAGGTTGATTGGAGGGCTAGGATTCCTGCTGAGAGGCCTAGGAGGAAGGAGGTTAAGCTGTGGAGGGTTGAGAGGACCTATTTGTGGGAAGGAGGGGAGGATGTTAGTTTGTGATCTTGATTGAATTGGGCTTGGTTGGGTTGGTGATGGTGGGAGGTTGCGGAAGTGTGGTGGTGGCCGTGGGGGGTGCGGGATAGGGGGCTGATGAGGGTTGCTTACGCGGTTGTTGTGTTGAACTGATTCCGGCACGAGAGGACTGATTAGCAGGGAGAGTTCCTGCTTTGTTGGTGCCATTTTGGGTGGTTTCTTTTCTTCGCTTGCAATGGGTGCGAGGGTGGTACTCCGGGTTGGGAGATAAAGCTGTGGCTTGGTGTTGTCGGTGGTTGACAAGCCTTGAGAGGATTTGTGTATTCAACCCAACGGAAATTGCAGCTTGAGTCCGGGATGCACACAGGCTGGAAGATGGGAGAGCTTGGGAAGAGCGCGGCTTGACAGACGGAGGTGGCAGCGCGGTTTCTACGCACGGGCCACATCTACTGACACGGCGACAGTCCAGCGAAGTCTACTGGAGAACGAGAACATTAGAGCAAAACAACATCTGGACAGGTTTACACGTAAATCCAATAATTCATGTCCTTATCTACTATTAACTCGAATGCAATGTTCAATAATTCCAGAGCCCATCTCATGAATCCGTTCACATGGCAGCGTTTGATACATTCCAGATCCCTCGATTATGCCGCAAATAAACGTAAAAATCAAACAAGATTTTCGAGCTTGCCGTCGGTGCGAGCCTCCTTGACCTGCTCAAATACCTGTTGGGAATGTTAGCGTACTAATCAGTGGAGAGTCGAGTCCAAAGGATCTTACCTTGAGCATTTTGTTCCGAGCACCGAGAGCGTTCACACCGCGGTCCTCCAAGGCCTTGTCGTCAAGCTCAACCAATTCCGTCCATTGCAAATCCTTCAGATTATCCGTGTACTTGTGGAGCCTGAGGGATCGCAGCCAGCTGGGGATATCCTTCAGAAGGGCAGGGTCGGTGGGGTCTTCAGGGGGCTTGGAGCTGCCACGACGACCACGCGGAGAGCGGCCTCGGGCAACCTCCGAGTGATCCGACAGGTAGCCCTCACTGCCCAAGCCGAATTGGCCAATATTAAGCGAGCCCATTCCGTTGCCCATAAGAGGGTTGTTAGGGTCATAAGCCGCCAGGAAACCGTTGTTCTGGGGGGAGGTGAAGCCCATCGGGGTCAAGCCTCCACCCTGCATGACAACGCCGGGAGACGATGGACGAGATCGTCGGCCTGCCATAGCAGCGTGTTGCTGAGCCTGCAAAGCTGCCAGCTGCTGAGCATTGAGAAGCTGACCGGCAACCAAGTGTTGTCCTCCAAGGCCTGGACTAGCCAAGCCCTGAGAGAAGGTCGGGTTGCCGTGGGAGTTTTTGCCCTGGCCATCGTTGGAGCGAGCACGGCGGTACTTGCGAGCATCATCCAGCGCAATTCGGTTGTTCACCGTCGACAAAGCTGCCAGCTTCATTGCCGTGGCGTTTGCAACCATATCCGCATGCGTGTTAGGATTCTGGTGCTGCTGACCGAAGGTAGCAGTCATCGGAGTGTTGGTCATTGACGCCCAGCTGTGGTTACCAACGTTGTAGGGAGACAGAAGAGGAGGCTCAATGTCCGGAGCAGGGATATTAGCGGTTTGCGGAAGAGGCGAGCGCATGCCCGAGGGCTGGCTGAACTGGCCCATGGGCTGATGGCCGGAGGATGACTTGGGCCGAGCAATCGGGGGCTGGGTGTCTGAGAGACCTCGCTGAGCCCATGGAGATGCCGGAGGTTGTCCCAGACCGTCCGAGCTGTTGTCAGGCGCGGAAATAGTAGGGGCGACGAATGAGGCACGGTCGAAGACGGCGCTGTTACGGTTTGAAGGAGGCGCATTACCCGTCTGTTGGGTGAACTCGGCCTTCTTCTTCGCAATGGCTGCGGCGGCGTCTGGGAACATGGCATTGATGGTCGAGGGGTCGAGGCCCGAGTTTCGTTTGGCGCCAGGGGAGGGAGGGGGACGTCCGAGAGAGTTACGGGATGTATCCATATTAAGCTTTGACATGGCATCGCTCAGGCGGCTGGACATGGCATCTACGAAGATGGGTCAGTGACGGTCATAGAATAATGTGCGAGAATGGACTGTACCCTTTTCGCCAAAGTTGGCGGGAGAAAGCAGGCCAGACATAGGATGACCCTGAGACATTTGCTGCAGGACTTGGATGAAGAAGCGAATCTGCACCTGAGTAGTCTGCTGCAGCAAAGCATACAGAGCCGCAGTTCTCTCGGCCTCGCTCAACACACGGAACCATTGTTCGATGGCACTCAGTTCATCCTTGAAATCTTGGTCCAACGTGGCAGCTGCCATCTCCTCCAATGTAGTTTCATATTGGTCAATGTCAGAGAGCCACTGCTGGGCGGCACGGTCCATCGCATCTTCCGAGTTCTGGCCTTGAGATTGCTGACTGAAGAAGACTTCCGACGATGGACGGATGCTTCGGGCGGACAACGGCGAAGGAAACCCGGACATGTCTGCCGACGCCCGCAGCTGGTGCGATCCGAGATTTCGAGAGGATGACGGGGGACGAAGGGTGGAATTCGAAGCGTCGGGGGTGCTATTGCGATTGCCGATGATATGACTAGCCATGGTTTGCAACGTGTTGCGAATAGTAAATACAGGGGAAATTACTGCAAAACACCTGCAGCGCCTGCTGAGTTTGCGTCACGAAAATAATCAGAAATCCCCAAACCAGGCCTTGTAGAGTATCAGGCTTGAAAAGACCCAAATCTCGACTTCGACAATGATCGGGCACAGACCAGTCCAGTGGGCTGCACCTCGAAAAGTGTGAAGAAAGTGAGAGAGAAATTAAGGCCTGGAACGAAAGACGAAAGAAAGAGACGTGAAGCAATAGTGTGTCAAACACAAGCAAGCCACAGTCCCGAAAGGAAAGGAAAGAAAAAAAGGGTGAGGAGGGGAGGAAGAGGAGAAGGAGAGGAAGTCGAACTTTGGTGCAGAGGCTTTTCTGTTTCAGGCCGCGATCACGGGTTCCGACCTCCAACATTCTTCGACGCGAGCTTTGCGATTTGCGCCTTTCGACTTTCTGCGCTAATTTGTCTCATTTTGTCTATTCTTCTCTAGATATCTAGGGCCTGGTGGAGATGTTACTATGAATATCTGCCAAGACCAGGCCTGAAACGTCCCAGTGCGCTCTATACCGGCTTGATATCCACGTTGATACCACGCAGCTGTCAAATCAGACACTATCCCTTACAGGGTGGTCAGACAATTCTTGACCATGGCAGACAATTACTATCCAGACATACGCTCTCCCTCAAAGGTAGACTCGGAGTATCCGGCAATCGATGAAGATGTCCACTATGCATGGCAACAGCGTCAACCTATGAATGATGGGAATGCGCTTTCCTCAGTGCTTGATCCTCGACTTTTTGGAGACCAGCCACAGCCCGTGGAAAGCTTCGATCAACCTTTCGCTGAAGCTCAAGTGGAGATAGAGAAAGAGGAAGAGTCCTCTGGCGAGTCTGATCAGCAATATCCCCCTGTACCATATGTTCCAAGTCAGTATAATGAGGCTGCATGGGACAACGACTTTGTAATGTCCGATGAAGAAGAAACGGACAGGTAAGTTGGTCAGATTTCTTATCTTAATGAAGCTAAGATTGTATCAGTGACGACGACGATGATGATGACGAAGCAGCAGAAGATGATGACGATGATGATTCTGTTGCCAGGAAACGCCGACGCCGAGGAGGTGGGCGTTTCTCCGGGAGATATGGTGCTCGCGGTGGAAAGGGTATCAAGAGAGGACCCCGGAAACCCATTGAACCCGGTCCAGAGTTCAAGCACTTCCACTCGGAGGCCACATCTGCTTTCATTGATGGAAACTATGATTATGCCATTGATCAGGTCATGCAGGCAATCCAGGCCAACCCTGAGATGTTCGCTGCGCATTCTCTTCTGTCTGAAATCTTTCTCGCACAAGGAGAAAACGACAAAGCCTTGGCAGCTCTTTTCAACGGAGCTCATACTAGGCCAAAAGATCCTGGTGTTTGGATCAAAGTTGCTAAGCTCATCTTGGACCGTGCTGGGGACAATCGAAAGTCTGCTTTGAATGATGTGGCTTATTGTTACAGTCGCATCCTCGAAGTCAGTCCTGAAAATTACAACATCCGTTTCCAAAGGGCAGCAATTTATCGTGAGCTAGGACATAATGGTCGAGCTGCAACAGAATATGAAAGGTTGCTCAAGGAACGACCACACAGTGTCAAGGCCCTGCGCCATCTTGCAGAGACATACATTGACTCGGATGAAATCCAGAAAGCAGTGGATCACTACACTGATAGCATTGATCACTACTTGACTCTTGATCCTGACGAGTGCGAATTCTCTTGGTCCGATGTTAACATTTTTGTGGAGCTTTTTGGTTACCTGAAGCAGCCCGCGGAAGGACTGAATTCTTTGAAAACGCTCGCTCGATGGCTCTTAGGACGGGCTGATGATACTATGTGGGAGGATTTTGATGACGACGACCGCGAGTGGGACGCCGATGATTCACCTCGACGTATCAAAACAGATGGATACGAACCTGGACAATGGCCACGGGAATCTTACGGACTCGGTCTTCCTTTGGAGCTTAGAGTCAAATTGGGCGTCTTCCGTCTGAACATGGGTGACAAAAACCAGTCTGAAGCACTAGTAAGTGTGATTTCATGCCGATACTAGGCGATAAAAGCGCTAACCAACCGGACCAGCATCATTTCGAATGGCTCAATCCTGAAGATGACTCCGAAGGCGCTCGGATATTTGACTATGGCGATCTTTTCAGGGAAGTGGCGGATGCACTGAAGACAGCCGGCCTGCTAGAGGAGGCTTTGCGATACTATGGCCCCATTCAGCAAACTTCAGACCATGCAGACATCGGCTTTTTTATGGCTATGGGCGAATGTTGTTCACAACTTGGCAAAGTAGAAGACGCTGAAAGCTGCTTCCTACTGGTCGCCGAACACGACCCAAAGCATATGGAATCACGAGTTTCTTTAGCAAGGATATACGAGAGCTTGGAAATGAGTGAACAGGCATTGAAATACGTCAACGAGGCGGTCTTGATCGGCAGACAAGAAAACCGATCTAAGCGCAAAAGAAAAGATACCAGACTTGAGCAGCTTGCCATTGAATTCAAGCTCGCTGAAACAGCAACGCTCCGGCCGCTTGCGCCCAAGCCAACAGCCCCAACGGTGGCCCTTATGAACGCTACCCCCTCAGTGCAAGGGAGAAGAGGCGAAGGCACCCGAACCGACGATATCCAGTTCCTCTATCAGAAGATGCTAGATCTGGAACCTCGCGTGAAAGATGGTGCATCGGACGCGATTGAGGATTGGCTTGACATTGCTGATGCTCTGTTGCGAGATTTCCGTTCCAATAGGGCTTTCTATCCAGAGATCCGCAGTATCGCTTTTATGGGATACTCCCGCCCACAGCAACGCAAGGGTGGAAAGGGCAAAGATCGGACATGGATGGATGAAATGCACGAAATGGCAGGCCGTCTTCATGAGAGTTTGGGTAAGCCAACCACGTCAATTCGAAAGCAGTACGCTAACCATATATCCAGGCGAAGGGGCACAAGAGCCCCTCCAGGGTGCGATCCCAACCGATTATCACGGAATTCCCTTTGATGAATGGCTTGATATTTTTCTTCAGTATGCTCTGCTCACTGCAGAACAGGGCGAGCCCGAGGAAGCTTATGAGGCCCTTGATTCAGCAGCACTTGCAAGCATTTGGTTGCATTCAAAGCCCAAATCCCGATTAATCCATGTGTGCTGGTTTAGTAAGTCTTCGCACCCTAGCTATGTTGTCTTGACTGACGCGTTTCTAGCCTGTGCACTTCGTGTTGGGGATGAAGATACCCTAGCCAACGAAGCACGCTGGTTCATCAAAGAATACCAGTTTGTCACTGACACTTATCGCCTTTTCTCTATGCTGAGCCACCTGTGTGGTAACCCTCACCGATCTCTCTTCCATTCCTCGCCAAACATGAAGTTTATGCTTCGCCAAATCAAGGCAATGGACTTCACCCTACCCAGGGATGTCCCCAAGCCTGCCCGACAGACCATCTGGAAAGAGCGGGCCACTCTGTCCACCCGCGATGAAGCCGGTGACCCAATCCCTGCCATGGAGCTAGACATCGCCCTTCTCGTACTCTACGGCCACATCCTGTACTCCGGAAACAGTTTCTACCCCGCCTTGAACTATTTCTTCCGAGCATATGCACTCGACGACCAAAACCCAGCCGTCCTCCTCTCCATCGGCCTCTCTTTCATCCACCACGCCCTCAAGCGACAAGCCGAAAACCGACACTACCTCATCATGCAAGGACTATCTTTCATGCACGAATACCGACGCGTGCGCGAGAGGCCCGGCAGTCTCCTGGCCGAACAGCAAGAGATGGAATTCAATTTCGCTCGTGTATGGCACTCTCTCGGTTTAGCCCATCTGGCGATCGAGGGATACAAAAAGGTACTGAAGCTGGGCGAACAGATCCAAAATGAAGCCCAGAATCAAATAGGAGAGAATATCTCAGAAAGCGGCGGCGATGTCGTCATGGGTGGTGCTGATCAACAGGAATCTTTACCTCCGACTTTGCCTTTCGTTGAGGACTTCTCACGCGAGGCCGCCTATGCGATGCAGTGCATTTATGTTCTTAGTGGTGATGTAAAGACCGCACAGGCTGTCACCGAGCAGTGGCTTGTTATCTGATTCACGCCTCGATACATGGGTGTTGTGCGATCTTGTAAAGAGCCCATTTCTTTCATGATCTAAGTAGTTACAATGTATGATATTGCTCAAATCAAGTGCAGCGCATCAAAGGAAGCATCAAAGGAATCCAACTGTAAAGTTGTAGAGCCATCATTGTGGGGCCGAAGCCGAGTGCGGAAATCCGGCAATGGCAAGTCGAGCCAACTGCAGCTCGGGGCATTTCTCGCGGAGAATTGCGGACTTGCAGATCTGCAACTCTCATTGCTTCGGGGGATTTTCTGCTTCTCTTATCTGGTCCTTGCTGGTCTGGTCTGTTCTGGTCCTCCCCCTCGTTATCCCCTGTCTTCTTCTCCCATTGAACGGAGGATAGAACAGACAAGAGAATCTCCCAGAAGACATTGTCCAATGAATAGAACAAACAGCACCACAGCGGAAGATCAAATCAACCCTCAAGTTGAATCTCTGCAAGTGTCCAGCGGAGATAGTCCGGCCACCGCACATTCCAATGCGCTTACGCCATCGCATGAACATGAAAAGAGCCATGAATACAGCGTTCAAAATGCAGAGGAATCGACCATCACGCGCCATTATTGGTCTCGCTTTGTCGATGTAGTATATTGGACGCCGCCGCGATGTCGATGGGATCCAGAGAATCCCTCCACCTTCGGCTTGCCTTTGAATATCCTATTCGCATTCTCCGGCACATTCACGGTATGAGGATTGCGCCCAAGATCAACAATGACCGTACTGATTCTGATAATTTAGGTTGCCAATCTATACTATTCGCATCCTATACTGGATGTGCTTGCCCAATATTTTGGCGTTACCCATGAGCGCGTCTCATTAGTTCCGACCTGCAGTCAGGCTGGGTATGCGACGGGTCTAATCCTTCTGTGTCCTCTAGGGGACTTGGTTAGAAGAAGGCATTTTGTTCTGTTATTGACGCTCATCACCGCTGCCTTGTGGATTGGACTGTGTATAACAAAATCGTTCGAGGTATTTCTTGTTATCAGCTATCTAAGCTCCGTGACTACTGTGACTCCAGTAAGAAGCTCCCATCTCCCTATTGATCTTAGGACTGACTTTGTATAGCAAATTATGCTCCCACTGGTTGGTGATCTCGTGCCCCCAGCTCGCCGCGCAACAGCCCTATCTATCGTTTCATCTGGACTCGTCCTAGGACTTCTTTTCGCGCGTCTTCTATCAGGAATAGTAGCAGAGTACTCCTACTGGAGAAACATCTACTGGCTGTCCCTCGCCCTTCAATTTCTCATCTTTGCCCTCCTCTGGATGTTCATGCCTGACTACCCAAGAACAAACATCAACATTTCCTACTTCAAGATCCTATACTCAATAATCGGCTATTACTGGACATCACCGGTCCTAGTCCAAGCAACGCTAATGGGATTCTTCCTTTCCGCCACATTCACCAGTTTCTGGACAACACTCACCTTCCTATTATCGGGAGATCCATACAATTATCCCACTCTAACAATAGGGCTGTTCTCCTTAGCAGGACTAACACCAATGTTCCTGGGGCCCCTATATTCACGATACATGATCGACAAATTTGTGCCGCAGTTCTCTATCCTCCTCAGTCTGAGCATCCTCATCATCGGCGTTAGTGTCGGTACCTATACGGGAACTTATAGTGTCGCCGGTCCAATTATCCAGGCTGCACTGCAAGACTTTGGTCTGCAGATGACACAGGTTGCGAATCGGACTGCCATCTACAGTGTTGCGCCGAAGGCTCGAAATAGGATCAATACTGGCTACATGATTGGTGTGTTCTGCGGCCAGTTGATGGGTACTTCCGTTGGGAATCGAATTTATAGTGAAGGGGGTTGGATTCTGACGGGGAGTGTCAGTTTGGCATTTATTGGGGCCGCCCTTCTTATTTGTCTCTCTCGTGGTCCGGCTGAGAAGGGTTGGATTGGGTGGCATGGTGGTATTCGGATTCGACGAACAGAGTAAGGCCTATTCTGTTTATGCTTTAGATTTGTTTGGCGAAAGAAGCAAAAGATCAGAGTATATGCCTGATTCAAAAAGAATCGAAGCTATAGCGCTTTCTAATGATATTTTCGGGCCGGTGAAAAGGCCATATTTGTTTTTTCTGTATATAAGTGGTGCTTAGATGATCAGCTTGTACTGAATAGCTTAAAGAGACAACTAGGAGTCAGAGCCTGTCTTAAGGTCGTAAAGGCGTGCCCACAGCATGTCCTTTGGAACCAAAATGCCCGAACGCCACATCAACCATTGTTTTGTCTGATAATGAAGCCTCATCCGCATATTTTTTAATACTGTAGTTGACCTTGTTATGAGGGTGAAGCCTCCGAAATTAAATCTATGAAGAAAATACAAGTTTATTGCCACTAACTCCCAGAGAACATATAGATTACAATTTCAGTCGATGGTGGTAGTCCGTGGGACAACAAAAGCGAAAACATTGGCAACATCAACAAGACTAGGAGGAGAACTCAAGACCAAGATCCGCACAACTTGCTCTTACTCGTGGCCATCTGGGCCACTGAAGTCAACGTCGCACCTCCCAAGATATCAAATACCGCCATCTCGGATTGTAGTTCCCTGACGAACCAGCTCCGCAGTTCCACTGCAACAAGAGAGTCTACTCCATACTGATGCAAAGGTTTGTTGGCATCAATATTTGTGACAGAGATTGAAAGAGCCTTGGAGAGCTTCGAAGCGATGGCTTCCGTGACCAACGCAGTAGCAGCAGGCAAAGACTCGGCCTGGCGAAGAGATGCAGCAACAGAGTCAGGTGTGCCATGATCACCACCAACTACTTCGTGAGCTGCCACCTGCCGGAACATCGGCCTCTTCAGCCATGTCGCCTGCGCTGTGTTCGGAGACAGACCTATTGTGACCTGGCAATCTGAGATATTCTGAAGGCCGGCCTTGGGATCACAGTAATAGTCCAGCATGGCATGGAATTGGGGTTCAGTCACAGGTTCCAAGCTCATGTTGGCAATCAGCTTTTCACGCAATTGGGCGTCCTCGGAAACGGCTCCAGCGAATGTGAATACTCCAAGATCGAAAGCGGTTGCTTTCTCGCCGAGCCTAACGCGATAACGAGCAAGCGCGTCTTGAAAGGTATTTCCTGCTGCGTAATTAGCCTGGCCTGTTGTTCCAGCGAGGCCGGAAATAGACGATAGCATGATGAAAAAGTCCATTCCTCGCGGAAGGTGTTGATGAAGATTCCAGGAGCCTTGGACTTTAGGTGAAAGTGACTCGTGCCACGACTGATGAGTGATGTTTTCAAAGAGAGCATCCTATGCTGGTCAGCAATGCATCAATAGATATCATATACCAGGGGAAACTTACGCGCAACACCATGGCCGCTTGGATGCATCCTTTGATGGGAGGCATCTCGGACGCACATTTCTTCAGGGCATTTTGCAATGCTCCTTCGTCCGACACATCGCATGCTGGAGCCATCACTTTCACACCTCGTTCCGCCAGACGATTGATAAGAGCGCGAGTCTTCTCGCCTTGGCCACCTGAACGCGACAAAAGCAGGAGATGGCGAGCACCACGATCCGCAAACCAACTGACAATATTGCTTCCCAGTCCACCTGATCCACCGCAAACGACAAATGTCGCATTGGGATCTAAGGAATAGCTTGTTGTTGTATTCAATATGGTCTAGAGAAGAGTTAGTCACAAAGCAATCGGTAATATTGAGAAGAAAACTCACTGTCACCTGGTCTTCCGGGCGCATTTCGAGCACCATTTTACCCACGTGCTGGCCGCCTTGCAGTATACGGAATGCTTTCTCAATCTCACCTACTCCATGTTGATGAATAGGCTGCGATGGGTGCAATTTGCCTTCCTGCACGGACGCGAAGACCTTTTCGAGAGCAGCGGCACAGACTTCAGGCCGCTCAATTGACATTGCGGCAAGATCAACGCCACTATAGGTGACATTTCGGAGGAACTGCGCCATTGGGAGTCCTTGATTTGACAAGATATCTCTCTTACCGATCTCGAGGAATCTACCATAGGGTGCGATGCATTCCCAGGATGCTAACAGGCTCTCTCCGGCCAGCGAGTTCAGGATAACATCAACACCCTTGTTTCCAGTACGGTGCTTGATAGCCTGTGCGAACAAAGTCGTGCGGCTAGAAAATATGTGAGTCTCGGGGATGTGATAAGTATCCATCAGGAATTGCTTCTTGCTCTGGGAGCCGACAGTCGCAAAGACAATGGCACCTGCGTTCTTTGCAATCTGAATCGCCGCTTGTCCAGTGCCGCCTGTACCTGAGTGAATCAAAACTGACTCGCCAGGTTGAATGCGTGCCACATTATGCAGCGCAACATATGCGGTGGCATAGTTGACCGGTAAGGCCGCTGCTTCTTCAAAAGTGATCCCAGAAGGAATCTTCACAACAGGTCCATTCTCTTGAACTCGAACTGATGAGGCAAAGCAGCCGTCTCCGAGGGCAGTCACCGAGTCTCCCACTTGGAACTTTGAAACCTCGCTACCTACTCGACTGACAACACCCGAGCATTCGGATCCGGTGTGGCTCGCTTTCAACTGTCCCACGGCAATCAAGACATCGCGGAAGTTTACTCCTGCACACGTGACTTTGATCTCGATCTCGTTTGCACCCAGTGGCTTGGCTGCAGTGGGGTCTTCAATAAAGTTGAACCCGCTGATTAAGCCTGGAGAAGTCGCATCCAGTTGTAGGGGAACCTCGCAGTCGAACTTCTGCACTGTTTTCTGCTGCTTGCTAGCCTTTCGTGCCACGACCTCATTAAGCTGACTGGGGGTGACCACCCGAGGAATGTGGAGTATCCCCCCTTGCTCGATATACTCTGTATCCACATCTTTCGCAGCTCCTGAGGTCAGGAATCGAACGAGCTTTGTGATTTGCTGCGTCGCTTCGGTCAACTCTTCCTTAGGCTCAAGGGAAAGAAGATGCAAATTGCGCCGTCCGTCTTCCTCCATTAGCACACGGAGCAATCCCTCTGCTAGACGGAAATGAGGCTTGGCTGGCGAGATGCCTCCTCCCTGAGTGATCCACAGTCCGCGCAATGTGGTCGAGAGAACGGCTTGCATTTGTTCAAACAGCTCTTGTTCAACAACCGTCAATACTGGACGCTCGAGCTCAATAATGAAAACTCGGAGGGTCTCATCGTTTGCCTGGGTTGTAATCGCGTCTTTGATGGAGACAATTTGAGCGGGAGAGCTACCAAGGAAGTCGCATCGCTTGGCAATAGAACGTGCTAGAGCAAGTTGGTCTGCTTGAGCTGGATCGTACACGATTTCAACACTCGAACTGGAGGGCTCATGCTTCTCTTCAGTGACAGTGGAGATCATCAAGCCGTGTTCGCTGGAAATATTTCCACTGACGTCCGGCAGCGACATGTCCAGTCCAGAATACCCAGTGTGTCTCAAGAGCTCATTCCATTCACTCTCATCGATACACCGACCTGATTGACAGTGTGATCCCATATCTGCATCATTTAGTTTCCTATGCACTGACAGTCAAGAGGGGATTTCGCTCACCCTGCCACCACTTCTCGAGTAAGCCAAAGACAAAAGTCGACCGACCATCTGGTAAAACCCCATCATACAGAACGAGTTTACCGCCACTAAACAATAGCATTAGTAGGGTGTCAGCAGGAGGACAAATGGAAGACATACGATTTTAGCAGCTTTCGCATATTCTGCAATATGGTTTTGACGGAAAACGCTTCATGGGAGATCTGTAGGGCATGATAAGCAAGTTAAACAAAACCAGGCAAGAGTTTAGCATACCAGCGAAGCCACGACTATATCATATGTGCCACATTCAAGGCCCTGAGATTCTGGATCTTGCTTGATATCCAGGATCTTGAATGCCATTCTTTCTGCTTTCGACTCAAACTTTGCTTGGGCTTTCACAACATTGTCTGGAGATGCATCAGTGTAGTCGAAGTGCCCGTAGCGAGGAGCATTTTTGACTTTCGCCAAATGTTCAACGAGGAGATCTGTTACAGCTCCGCCACCTCCCCTGATCTCTAGCATCTTCATCTGGGGATGCCCATGAGAGAAGAGGTCAAGATATTTGACCAACCCACGGAGGCCATTGGATTCAATGACCTGATTTGTTAGTCAAGGGAAAAGGAGCAAAGAGATGTATGACGTTAACCTACCAGCTCATGATACACTTCGTCCAGCTTTCCTTCGTCCTTCAGGAAGTTTGAGGGGTCAAGGTCACCAGATAAGAACTTTGGCAGATTGCGCGCCACAGAGGCATACAGGCAGCCTTGCTTAGTTCTGCGAATGCGTTGTTCGACTTCCTGGACATAATCAGCGTCATTGAAGAGGGCTTTCCATCCGTCAGTGGCAACTCCGAGGTTTCCTTCGTTAACAAGTCTCTGGCGGTGGACTAGCCAGTTTCGGTACTTCTTTAAATGCGGGTTCGACGACGAGATTTCTTCCTCTGGCACGCTAGAGAGCGCCTCTGCGATCCCTCTTGAGATCAAGAAGTCCAGATCATTACAAAAGCGCTCGTGGTCAGCATCACTGCCTGTTTCTGTCTTGCAAAGCTGGGCGATTTCAACGTCACTCAGGAGCTTCAAGTCCGGTTTCCACGAAAGTTGATGACAGAGACTATCCACAGACTCTCCGTCAATACCTGCAAGATCCGGCTCACTGACGATGTTCATGCGCAAACCTTGGACAGAGACCAAGGTTTTCTGTAAGCCGTGATCGAGTGCCACAATGCTGGTGGCAGGTCCAAGGAATTGTGAGACCTCCACACATGAGCCATATGTCTTGAAATCATGCGATTCCATCGCCTGACTATCTACCCACAGCCTGTCAACATGAGTTGGCACAGCAGTGGGCACAATATCCGTATCCAAGTTAACTGCTGGCCAGATTGATGTTTGGAAGATGGCGTCCAGTGTTGTTGGATGAATCGTCTCTCCCGAGGAAGACGAGAACTTTTTCACAACAGATGTCATCTCTCGCCCAGGTTTATTCAGGGACAACTCGGTGATCAGCTGGAATGCTGTACCATACCCATACCCGGATCTCTTCAAAGTGTCGTACATCTTCTCTCCACTCATGTTCGACTTGCAGGCAGCGGTGGTAGTTGCATAAGCTTGTCGCTGGGCTTCCTGGAGTTCTAATTCCACTGCTTTGTCCATCTCCTCTTCTTTGTTGACGTACACAATCTGGATGGAACCCGTGCAATTTTCCGTCCATGTTTCGTTCTCCAGGGTGCAAACCTTGAAGTTGAACCACCCTGAGCGTCTGGACTCCATATTCTTGGCAGGGTGCATGTGGAAACTGGTCTCGATACCTTGCGCACTCGATGGGATGCGAATCGCTGCACGGAATGACACATCTTGCACATTGAAACCAGATACTGGTCTTCCTTCATCTGCCATCTGCTTAGCTGCTTCGATGGCCATGACCAGCATTCCGGAGCCTGGGTACAGGATCGTCCCATTGATCTATCGAGTGATTAGTAGTCCCTTTGAGTTACAATATGCCTGATCTGCTCACCTTGTGGTCTTGGACCCATGGCATTTCTGATACTCGAATGATATTCCTCCAGCGTCCTTCGAGCGGGTTCTGGTTTAGATCGGGGAGACCGAGAAGATCGTTTCGACCAAACTTCCGCAGGCGGTGGTTCTTGCTCAGCCGACTCTCATGCCAGTATGACTTATCGTGATTGAAGGGATACTCCGGTAGGTCTGTCAAAGCCCTGCAGGTGTGGTCGTCCATATTAAGCAAGGAGAGATTGATCGGATACCCAGCGGCATACAGATCACCGAAGACAGAAAAGGCAGTATCAACGGCGGACATCTTGCGTACCAACAAAGACAAATACTTGACAGATGAGACCTTATTCATCTGCTTCAAGATATCTTTGCAAGCGCCCTGTAGGACGGAATGCGGTCCAATTTCCAGAATATGATCGATCTTAATCTTCCTGCGGTGACTGCCATCCAGTACCCTGGAAGGCTCTGAAGATGCCGAGCAAAGGGTTGCAAGGCCGGCAGAGAAACGCACGGGGGATATCATGTTGCGCACCCAGTGAGATGATTGACACGGCTCATCTGGATCAATCCAATCACCTGTGATTGAAGAAACCATCTGTGGCCGTGTGTGGTGGGCCAAACCAGACCCTTCCAATTCACCAAGGGCTGCTAGGTACTCGGATGCAATTTCTTTCATCTGGGAAGAATGGTAGGCCAGATTGACCATGAGTCTGCGACAAAAAACTTTGTCCTTATCAAGGCGGACCTTAAGCGCATCAAGCTGAACACCTTCACCGGAGATCGTCACGCTTTTAGGACTGTTAATACATCCAACAGTGAGTCGCGGGACCTCAAACTCGGAACCAGTTGCTTCTATATACGGCAGAACCTCTTGCTCGGACAGTGCTACTGCCAGCATTGACCCATTCATTTTTGCAGATTTCTCAAGACCGCTGCTCATATTTCCTCGATAATACGATACCTTCCAAGCAGAGCGTCTGGAGATCGCGCCAGAGCAGTACCTAAAGCGAAAGTTAGACACATTCTTCAATAGACTTGGACTGGTTGACTTACGCGGCTGCGACTTCTCCAGATGAATGACCTAACACCGCTTTGGGGACCACATTGAAAGAATGCAGGAGATCCACCAAAGCAATCTGCAGAATTGTGCACATGATCTGGCTGTACTCGGTTCGATTAACATTTGACTCAGCCTCGGGCTTTTGGAGCTCGTCTGCAACAAATCAATACCGCATCTATAGTAACTTTATACTCAAATCATGCTTCACATACCAACTGGGTCCCATTCGCATCCCAAGGTGCGAAGATATTCTCCTGCTTCTTCAATCCACGCTTTGAATGCAGGATACATGTGGAGAAGCTCACGTCCCATGGCGTACCACTGGGCTCCTTGCTACTACTGTATCAGCAACACGACATGAAACCTGAAAAGTAAGTTTGACTCACACCAGAGAAAATCATAGCAAGGTTGGGAGATTCACTGGACTGGCAGGCAGTGCTGAACCGCTTCGTTAGGGTCGTCAAGTCGTCTGATGGCCGCGCGACAGCAAATGTTCTCCAGGGTAAATGTGTCCGCCTTGTGCCCAGAGTGTGTGCTAAATTGTGGAGGAAGGGTTTCTTAGTTTCGATGGATTCTGAGGACAAGAATGAACCCCATGTGTCTTGGATGCGAGAAATGCCTCCTTCATCTGCTGCAGACCAAACAAGAAGTTTAGGAGCCTCAACCTGGGCCACTCCATTGGTGCCGTTCGTACTTGTGTGCACTCCATTTGTGGTTGTAGAAAGGGATGATACTGTGTTGTGGTTTCCTTTCATCTGATTCAGATTAAGGAAATTATACGCATCATCTATGACAATGTGCGTGTTTGACCCTCCGTATCCAAATGAACTGATGGACGCTCGTCGTAGTCCATCTGTAGGCCATGAGAGAGCTTCTTGGGGGAACTGAAACGGTAAGCTTCACAACATCTTGCGGCACGCTCAATCAGTTCTGTTCCACTTACTTTTAGGTTCAAGAATTCATCATCAATTCTCGGATTCAAAGTCCGTAGATTCTCGCTGTTCGGTGGAATGATACCTCTTTCCAAAGCTAATATGACTTTCATCATACCAGCCATTCCACTGGCACCTTCTAGATGGCCAACATTCGACTTAATTGATCCTCTGCCAGATGTGTTAGATCAAATATGCCACAGGAATCAGCACAACGTACATATACAGCGGTTCAGTGACCGAACGATGCTGCTGGAAAACAGAGCCAATGGCCTTCATTTCAATGGGGTCTCCGATAGCAGTTCCTTTTATCAAATTAGCTTTTTTCCAAAGTAGTGGAGATGTATATCCAAATGCTCCTACCGGTGCCGTGGGCTTCGAAATATCGTGTCTTGCCCATATCGAGACACGCTTCACGATATGTATCGCGGATCAGCTTGGCCTGCATCTCCGGGCTAGGCTGGGTGATACCAGGGGTCTTTCCATCCTGGTTGGATGCAGATGCTCGGATGACAGCGCGAATAGGGTCCCCATCCCGGACGGCTTCCTCCAATGTCTTGATGACTAGAACACCGATACCTTCACCACGGGAATACCCATTTCCACATTCATCAAAACTGAAGCATCGATTGTCTTTGGACAGAAGGCCCAAGTTGTTCATCATCAATGTGGTCTCTGCGGCCAACAAAACGTTGCTACCCATAGCCAGTCCCTATTTGCGTTCAGCATACTTCATGTTAAATTCAGGCAGATCCAGCCTACCATTGTGGCCTGGCCGCTCCAGATAGACTGACACGCCAAATCAACAGCCATCAAACTGCTTGAGCACGCTGTGTCGATTGTTGCACTCGGGCCTGTGAGGTTAAAGAACCAGCTGACACGATTTGCCAACATGTTTCCCGTCGACCCGGTAATGCCATACTTGTGCATGGACAGAGGGTCTTTAGTCTGCATGACCGCCCAGTCATGACCTGACGATCCCGCAAAGACAGCAGTCTTTGTTTTGGCGATGCGCTCTAGCGGGATTCCGGCATTTTCCAGCGCATGAAAGGCCGACTCGAGCAGCAGTCGCTGTGGGGGCTCCATGGCCTCTGCCTCAGCAGCGGTGATGGAGAAAAAGGGAGCATCGAAGCGACTGAGATCATCTTTCATGAAATGCCCGCCGCGTATCGACAAACTGTCCAGCCGGTCTGTCTCTGGAGAATAGTGGGCGTCGATGTTTAATCGGTCTGGGGGAAATTCTGTCACGGCGCAGCGTCGCGCCATTATCATTTCCCAGAAGGCTTCCGGGGTCACCGCCTCCTGGGGAAGGCGGAATGACAACCCCACGATGGCCAGTGGATTTGGTGACTTCTCAATTAATTCTATCATGGTGTTTGGTTGGGGCCCTCAAACTGGGATCTGAGAAGGGAAAATTGACAATTATACGGGAATGGAAAAGGTGTCTGTCTTTATTGATCTCTCTGCGCTATGGATCCTGTTAAGTTTATCTGTTTTAGTAGCTTGTTGCGTGTATTGGGCTGGGCGCATAACGTCTCGGCTGAACAAACTCGGGTTCGTTACCTTCTGAATATAGAATACCGGCGTTTCCGGAACAGACTGCACTAGTCGTCTCGCTGAAAAATGGGTGTGGTGGATCTCGTTTGCATGAGGTCAAACTCGTATCTGCACGAGCTGAAGCGCTAAGGTTATCCGCTACTGGCTCATGTAATATACCCGTGAAAATAACAGATCATTTTAGGCAGGCAGATATCAAAATAGTGTACCTAAATAGGTATAGGTAATCGTTCGCACCTTTTGACATATAACGCCCACTCTAGGCGAATTCCGGACCCTGGCATGATACGCTAGTAGGCTACAGATTTACATTCACAGCTGAACAGGCTCTGAGACCCTATTCAATTTTGCTTGCGTAGCGCCTGTTGTCCACTTTTCCCCATATCTATTTTCTCCCTCGGCCGTCCGTGGCCAGATTCGGCTCAATAATTATACAAACCCTATTTTTTACATGCTAGTATTGTTATCTTGAACAGACCTTGTTCATCAATTTTGATCTTCCACCAGAGTCGATCTCTCAATATGCGTTTCTTGTGGTAGGTTGATTGCTCTGATCCTTCTGGTTGCTTTTACTGACTGTATCTAGTCTGCATGGAAAAGGGAGTAATTCTCGCGTGAGTGCCCTTGAATACACGATCGGGAATATGGACTGACACGTTGACAATCGTCGGTACAGATCTTCAAACAACAGACTGGTAAGAGACGCAAGCTGGGAACAATAAGACCAAGCTAACAGATCAATAAGCTGCTCTGCGCTATGAGCTAGGAGAGGGTCACAGCTACGACTTTGTCGATGGGCCTCTCGCTTGGCAGATGGATCCCGGTATGCTGAAAGAGTAGCGTCGCTTGACTCAGGCAGACTGACCCTGGGATAGATTTGAAAGAGTTCGTGATGGGCGAAGAAGAGACGTTTGCTATCTGCGATCCGCAATCAGCATCCTCCTGCATTGAAGCAATGGAGAACATCGAACGATACATCACAGCTGAGGGTCCCTTTGATGGTATCATGGGGTTCAGTCAGGGCACCAGTATTGCCCTTGGCTGGTTGATCCAGAGACGGCGAGAGGCCTCAGGCAAAGAACCACAGCCATTGCCATTCAAGGTCGGAGTGTTTTTCTCGAATCCCTGGGGCGTGTACGATGGCGCGGCGCTTGCAGATGGCCGACTTGAATATTTGGATCGATCGGCTTTTGAAAACCTGTTGGACTTTCCCACCGCGCATATCTGGGGTTCGGCAGACCGCGATCACGAGATGGCAGAGCTGGTTAGTGCTTCTTGTGTGTCAGAGAAGCGGTCCACCTTTGTTCACTCTCGAGGGCATGAGATCCCGGCAGATACCCATACGGTAATTGCCATGGCTAAGGCGATCAATCGGGCAATGGTGCGGGCTGGATTGGAATCATTATAGCGGTGTATCTTTTTCACACTCCGAAGTTCTTGCGTTTCCATCTGGACTGCATACGACGCCACTTGGACGGAGAACAAAAACCCGAGGAGATCCCGTGTATTATTTCCGTGGCTTTGGAGCAGTCCATCAGACCCACCTCAGGGGTTTCGAGCCCCAAATTCTCAAATGATACAAATTCATTCCCATGTTGGGCCGGGTTTCAATTGTAAACTGTATTTCCAATGCGCTGGCATGGGTTGAGCTCTGCGCTAGAGGCAGTCGCAGATCCAACCAATCCCGTGGATCAATCGCTATCTTTAATCCTGACAGGTTCCACTGGAAGCCAGGGCGACCAGCAATTGGTCAGTTGGCAGATCCCATGCGAAAGTTCGTGAAAACCCGACGGTGCGGCACGCTATCGGTGGATCTCGAACCGGTAATTCTCATTCCCTTCAGCTTTATGGTTTCCAGATTCTTCTAGTCGAATGGAGATCAATAGTCAGTGGGACTGAAAGCTGATAGTAGTCGTTTAATCGGACTGTTGACTGCAGGCATAGGTGGGTCTCATCGCCTAAATTATCCATGTCTCTTATTCTGGACCCAACTCAGTCGCCGTCTCAGGGCTGGCTGAGATCTGGAGTTCATCTGGAGCTGAGTCGTGAAACCCGTTAAAACACGTGTCGGAAGTCACGGCTGGTATCTGGGATCTGGTATCGAAACGAACTTGAATACAGGGCGTACTCGAGATACCAGAAATACCCAACGTGGAATATGTATAACAACAGGCTTCTTAGGGGGTTGGAGGAAGTCCAGAGTCTCTGTCCAAATATTCCCGATGCCATCCCGAACCACTGTGTCGGTGGCACAGTACCTATTTTCTCGCCTCAAAGAGGTAGGCGTTCGATCCATCCATGGTGTACCAGGTACTGGCTGCTCTTTGCTTCCGTCAATTGCAGAGAAGCAAAAGAAAACATCGCTAATTTCAAGCAGGAGACTACAATCTTGCATCGTTGGACTACGTAGGCAAAGCTGGACTGCGTTGGATTGGCAATTGCAATGAGCTCAACGCTGGTAAATAACCATTCTATCTATGCCCGAACCGGCACGAAATTGACGTTTGGCAGGATATGCGGCCGACGGCTATGCTCGTGTCCATGGAATTTCGGCCCTGATGACAACTGCTGGTGTTGGAGAATTATCAGCCCTGAATGCAATTGCAGGAGCGTATGCCGAGTACGTTCCCATCGTGCACATCGTGGGACAACCCAGTTTGAGATCACAGCAGCAAAAGAAACTACTACATCATTCTCTTGGGGATGGAAATTTTGCGGCCATCGCCAAAATCTCGGCCGGGGTGACTGCCAACAGCGTACAGATTAACTGCGCGAAGCAAGCCTCCAGGGTGATCGATGATATTATCGCCCAGTGTTGGAACACCAGCAGACCGGTGTCAATTACTCTACCTATGGACATGGTTCATGCCCCAGTTTCAGCAGAGAATCTGGCACGGCCAATCGACCTGTCTTCCTCCACAAACGATATCGCTCATGAAACTCTCGCTGTTGATGCTATCCACGAAGCTTTGCAGACGGCACACCGACCTATTCTTCTGGTTGGCGGATATAATGTACGTTTTACGAAGCAAAAGGAGGTGCAGTTGCTCGCTGAAAGGCTTGGACTGCCCGTTTTTCTATCTGCGTCCGGTCGAGGCATTATCGACGAGGAACATCCCAACTTCAATGGACTCTACCTGGGAGACTGTTCAGATCCACATGTCGCAGAGAAGGTCCGGTCTTCTGATTTGATCATCTCCATTGGCAACATTCACTCGGACTTGAACGTGGCATCTGTGTCATGGGGCTTTCATCCATCGACCATGGTCGAGCTTCGGGATGAAATGATCCACGTACAGGGCAAAAGCTACCCGGGACTGAACAGTGCGAGCCTTTTGCGGGCTCTCCTCCAACGTTTGCCTGACTGCTCTCCGGTGAATACCCACGAGAATGTGCTTTTTCCACCGAAAAAGAGCCCCTTCGAAACAAGCACTCTGCACCTGCCACCCATCCCACCCGTGACTGTCAATCAAGAGCGGGTATCTCAAGGCGGCTTGCTGAACAGTGAGTCACGACGTATGGCGCATACACTAAGCTACAGCGAGGAAGGCCCTCTAAGCCATGATTGGCTGTGGCCCGCGCTGAGCAGCTGGCTACGTCCCAATGACACGGTCATCGCTGAAACAGGCACCTCCAACTTCGGTATCTGGTCTACCAAGTTGCCTCGTGCTGTCACGTTCATCAGTCAGTATGTCTGGGCGAGTGTTGGGTACTCTCTGGGTGCTTGCCAAGGAGCCGCCGCAGCAGTCCAGGACTCGACCAGTCCCGATCGACGAACCGTTCTATTCATTGGTGACGGGAGTTTTCAATTCACCTGCCAGGAGTTGAGTACAATCATCAAGCAGAATCTGTCGCCGATTATGTGAGTATGCACTGCGCTCCAATTTTATTACACAGACACAAAAAACTAACTGGCGTAGCTTCGTGATCTGCAACCAAGGCTACACCGTTGAACGGCTTATCCATGGCTGGAATGAATCTTATAATGACATCCAGGAGTGGCAACCCCGGAAACTGCTAGAGGTGTTTGGCGCGGATCAGGGATCCTACCAAACACACCAAGTTCGAACCAAGGCTGAGTTTTCTGCTCTTCTACAAGATCCATCTTTCAACGACAAGCAGGTTCTTCGGGTAAGACTCTTCATTCAACGATTCTACGACTTGAGATTTCTAACCTTTTTGTTCTCAGTTCGTCGAGCTGCACATGGATCGGGACGATGCGCCATCTGATCTCAAGACACTCGCTCAACAGCTTGTAGCACGGGACTCGAGCTCAAAGGGGACAAATTGAAGCGGAGAGCGGGGGAAATTGGGAGGCAGTTCATGAATCAACACACATAGAAGATCATTCAATAGTATAGAACGGTGGGAGTCCTGTATTTTAACAATCTTGTCTCCGCACAAGACTTGCGTTGGGGCGTGGCTTGTTTTGGGAGGTTAGGGTTAGCGCTTGTTATTTTGACGTTACGAGAATACAGTAATCTTACTGGTATCATCGGTAATACACGTTTCGCATCCCCAAAGCCCCTAATGCTACGCGATGTGGCAGTTCTGTAGCGGAGCCACGTTTTGATCCAAGTCCTTCAGCCACCGAACTTTCCCAGGAATTTTCAGCGGCCAAAATAGTGAGGTCGCTAGCCGCTTGTTTCAGCTCCACAGTTCACCGACTCGCCTCGATACCCGATGTATTGGAAAGCGATTGCTGCTGGGAGGCGATTTTCCCATGGCGCCCCCTCACATTGCGCATTTCCAAAGATTACATGTTATCGATAAATTTAACATTCTTGAAAGCCCTCGAAATCCGGAATTGTTTCACTGATTCCGCCACAGCAAGCTGTCATGGCAGAGTTGTCGATAGTTCATGGATCAGAAGAGTCGGCCCTGTGGCCGAAGCGGCTGGGGGATCTAATTGAGGACCAAGCCAGCAGCTTCGGTCACCGTACCGCGGTGGTTACCCCATGGCAGGGAAAGAGACTCTCCTTCAATGATTTGGCAGAGAGCAGCAAAACACTGGCCAACGCCATGGTTCGCGCTGGTTTGCGACTTGGTGATTGTGTTGCCGTCATGGCCGGGAACCGGTATGAATATATAGAGGCCTTCCTAGCTGGAGGGAGAATTGGGTGTCCGGTACTCCCAATTAACAACGCATACACGCCGGTGGAAGTCCTAAGAGCTCTACAGAGAAGTTGTAAGTCGGCCTTGTCTCACGAGTGAAGAGAGCCATCATCAAAAGCGATGCTAATAACAGAAACAGCATGCAAATTATTGTTTATTGCCTCGGATATCGGTCCCCGCAGCCTGTCAGCTCATATACAATGCCTTCTCACCTCCGACTCGGAAGATAAACTGCCCGATCTGTCGACGATAGTCTCCTTCGGTGGATCTCACAATGACCCACGAATTCAGGTGTACGGGGATTTCCTAGCCTCCGGAGCGCTAGGTGATGAGGGTGACTTTCTGCAATCTGCCGAGCGAATAGTGCGACCATCCGATAGTCTCAGCTATCAATTCACATCTGGCACGAGCGGCGAGCCAAAACTGTCAATGCTCTCACATCGGTAGGGAACCAGAGACTCGGAACTACCCCGGCGACATTGCGCTAATCTTCTTCAAAGGGGCCTTATAAATAACGCGCGTCTCGTGGGCAATGCGATGCGACTGACTCCGGAGGATGTAGTCTGCTGCCCGCCGCCCTTGTTCCACACCTTCGGCCTGGTACTCGGGTTCCTAAATGCATTCACGCACGGAAGCGCGATCGTCTTCCCCTCAGATCAGTTCAATGCCGAGCAGGCCATCGATGCGGTCGCGCAGGAGAAGGCCACGGCGCTGTTAGGCGTGCCGACGATGTTCGTCGCGGAATTGGAAGTCTGCGATGCGAGACAGATCGAAATCACGACGGTGCGGACTGGACTTGCGGCTGGATCGCCGGTGTCGGAGACGTTGTTGAGTCGACTGGAGGAGCGGCTGGGCTGCAAAGGGATGCTGATTGCTTATGGGATGACCGAGACCAGTCCTGTGACATTCATGACTTCATTGGATGATCCCAAGCACAAGGCGATGACTAGTTTGGGCAGGGTGCTCCCGCATACCTCTGCTAAGATTGTTGACGAGAATGGGGTTATTGTTCGTCGAGGTGAGAAAGGGGAGCTGTGTACTAGTGGGTATGGCCTGCAGAAGGGATACTTCAATAACGAGATGAAGACCAAAGAGGCAATGCGATATGATGCGGATGGGAGATTATGGATGCATACTGGGGATCAGTGCTACCTTGACACTGAGGGCTACTGTCATATCAGTGGGCGGACAAAGGATATCATTATCCGAGGTGAGACTTTCTCTCTTGATCTTATATGTTGGGCATTGAATTAACAGGAAATTTCAGGTGGCGAAAATATGTTTCCCCTCGAAATTGAAGAGCGGTTACTTGTCCATCCCGCCATCACCGAGGCGAGTGTTGTGGGAGTTGCCGACCAGAAGTATGGCCAGGTAGTAGGCTGTTTCCTGAAACTCGCCACGAACCATACCAGGCCCCAGGATCAAGAATTGAGGGATTGGGTTCGTGCAGAATTGAGCTGGCACAAGGCGCCTCAGCATATGTTTTGGGTTGGCGAGGGAGGCATATGTCCCGATTTTCCCAAAACCGCCAGTGGCAAGCACCAGAAACATATCATGGAGGGAATTGCCAACACAAGTCTCTCTGGAAATCTCTCCTCCATTAAGACGCAATCTACCCCGGTGGGATACTCGTTTTTTGGCTTGTCGTTATGTCTGATTCCGGTGGCCTTGTACCTGTCAATATACTCCTAATAATTTGAATTTTCTATATGATTTTACATTCTCCATCTTATCTAACTTTGGACCTGCCCAGATTTCCAAAGGCTTATGAAATGTGCACCTACTTCTGGCTTTTAATGCATGACTGAAAAGGAACGTATGCATCCTCCACGGTTGTAAGCGAGTGGAATGGTGATCAACTGTACTATCTCATCTAAGCTTCTCATCGATCGACTTGATGTTACGAACTGCTAGCGAGTGAGCCACTGGTAGGAGTGGTTTTATTTGAAGCTATTCCAACCCAGACATCAAATCACACCACCGGTATTAATGTTCGCATTGTCTATACGAAGAAACAAGTACATAAAAATTGAGTTGATCTTCTTGTTGTATAAATTGCCTCAGTTGATGTAGCTGGTACGATGTAAAATCATCTGTTGAATGTTTGTGGGGTTACAGTCATAGTTATTGCAAGTCATGTTTCAGAAATCGTGCATGGCAGATTGACCCAGCCTGCCATTAGGGCTGACCGCGCCTATCCTCATCGAATAGCATTTTCTTTACCCAGGCAGTCCTAGTTTGTATGGCCTTTTGTGATAACTCCGAATCTGGTAGCAACAGGTCGAATCCGTGGAATCCCCCAGGCCAGATGTGAAACTCAACTTGCACGCCCGCCTCAAACAATCGACTGGCATACTCCATGTCTTCGTCACGAAAGACTTCCGCAGAGCCCACATCGATGAAAGCATCTGGAAGGTCCAAGAGATCAGCCGCAGCTGCAAGGCCAGGGGATGCCAAAATGGGAGCCTGTTCCTTGCCCTTTGTTGGATCCCCAAGATACGACGCCCAGGCCATTTGATTATTGAGTCCACTCCATGTTCCTTCACTCATAAACTGATTGGAAGAGACAGACATGTTCTGGCTGTCGAGCATGGGACACATCAGCAGCTGGCCACATAGTCGAGGACCTCCCTGGTCACGAGTACGCATAGCCAGGGCTGCGGCAAGACCGCCACCCGCAGACTGCCCAGCTATCATGAGCCGGGACTCATCAATCCCCAACTCAGACATACGGCTGCCCACCCACTTCAACCCTGCGTAGCAGTCTTCCAATGGGGTCGGGTAAGGATGCTCGGGTGCTAGTCGATACTCCACAGAAAAGCATGTAGCATCAAACTTCTCAACCCACTCTGTCACTACAGACATACCCAGGAAACGATTTCCCATCACGAATCCTCCGCCATGGATAAAGTAAATCCCGGGTCCCGGCGTCTTGACGGCTTTTCGGGTGGCAGAACGGGCAATCAAGAGTTTGATCTCGCCGCCTGCAACAGGGACCTGCACATCTTCATGCGTGATGGGCTTGCCAGAGAAAGCCACTGTTGCCGTGTTGCTCTGATTTAGCGCAGCTCTCAGCCCATTCAATTCATTCGATTGCATTCTGTAGTCGAAAAGCCCTTGGGTTAGCTTGGCCTCTAATGAAGGATCATAGGAAGGCCTGGGGACAGTCATTGTGGCGGTGATAGCTGTGGTGCGTAAACCAATAGTAGTGCTTGAGATCTTAATGTCACGTTTCAAAATTAGTGAGATTTGTTCACAGCCTTGATTGTGAACATTTATATCAAGAGCGGACGATCAGAGACGCGAATGACCATCGAAGCCATGTAATCAATAGCAGTCCCTGGGTCTTGGTATAATTTACAAAAACCATGCAGTGTAACATTAATGACCGAATATCTTTATCTGATCACAGTTGCACCGATTCAAGCAGGCCACGACGTTCATGTACCATGTCGTAGCCGGGTCCGCTTCGAGGTAGACCAAGATGCTCACAAGTGCATCATGTCACACAAGGTGTATGCATCTAAACTTCGCCACTTTTTGGGCATTGTGCTGGTGGCCAACTCTTCCAGCGGGACTAAGAAACACGTCACCGATCGCCGTTATACAAATATATCAACTTCGATTGAGGATATATTGATAATATCATTTTCTCGAAGTGTCAGAATCCACTTATCACGCTCAACAATTTGGCAAAAGGGATTCACAAATCGACTCGAACATGTCGAACAGGTGAATATTCATGATCTAGAAGACTTGGTATGCTCACCTGGTTAATATTTTGGAACCTTGAAAGTAGCCTACTGCACTTAGCTCATTCGAGCACCGAAATCAGTATCGATGATGCAGCAGCTCTCTATAACGATCTCACGCCAGTCGCTCCTGAGTTTGTCCTCGGCGATTGGAAAGGAACTATCTTGCGAACTGGTCACCCGGATGTTGAAAAGCTGAAAGCTATGGGATGGGCTGGCAAAAGGTTCAACTCCATTAATGACGTGAACCCGGTGGTAATCCAGTCCAGCGACGGTGTACGAACTTGTATAACGGATTGGGGGCATGCTAGGGTAAGCTTGGCCAATCCTGGTGGCGTCAAACCTAATCGATATAGCATCTTGACCCCACTGATGTCTTTGCTGCAGGTTCGCGAGGTTCGATTTCGGGGAGTTGTCTCTGCTGCGATGATTTATGATCAGCTTCCTATTATTGACCACTTTCGATTATTGAATGAGAATGCAGTCGCTGGTGTGATGGATAATAAAGATGACAAGAATAACTTCGGACTCTATTTCATTCTGGAGAGAGTTTGCCAGCGCAGCTAGTGAATCGGTGAACAGCGTGGTTGCGCCATCGGCGGTCGAATGTTGGAGAATATTGTGGATGGGATCAGAGTGCAACGAGTAAGATATTACCGAGAGGCTCAGCAGATCAACGCAATCTTGCTCATTCAATTGCCGAGGTTGATATATACATCAATGAAGTTTATTTGTCCCGTCTGGAAACACAAGAGAACTATTTGCTGAGCTCGGTGTAAATGACACGTTAGGGAGAAAAAAAAACTATCACTATAGATAGAACATTTGACATAAATCAGTCTAGGCGTCAGTATAATAAACGCGCTTTATGGTGATTTCAGAACGTATAGAGAACTCTTCCCAGTATCTCATAGTAGATCAACACTATATCTTTATGAACAAATTCTGCAGAGTTTCCCCCTGCTAAACGTATATCAAGTTCGATTGAATTATCATGCGCCACTGTTGAAAGACCACACTTCAGCACATGGTACCCCTTTCGCAATTGTGCAAATCACGATTGAATCAATTCTTGCTGACAATGTTTGCCTTTAGCTAAGCAGTAAAAACGTATCAAGGGCAGTAGTTGATGTCTCCTATATCCCCACTCCAGTCAAAATGAACCACATCCACAATTCTCCTCATCACGTTTGGCTCCATCAAGCTTCGAGTCATATCCGCCAACCAGGCAAGATGGAGCTTCTCAGAAGAAGCACAGGCATTGTACATAATGTCCATATGTACCCGCGGTTTGCTGACAGATGGTCCCGATCGACCTAATGTTCCGTATGGCTCCAGAGCTGCAAGAAGCGCGGCGTACTTCGATGAGTTCCCTACCGATTGATACTCACAGGCTTCATGCTGCTGGTCGCGCGCGGTTGTCTCTTTAACCAACTCATAAACTTTGTGATGGGACCCAAGAACCGCCCAGTTGCAAAAAGCCATAGCAACTCTTGCACTTACTGGCGAAGCAGTAACTGAGTCCGTGACCAGATCAATGCAGCTCCCAATCAAACCGTCAAGGTATGCACAGAGATTTCCTCGTACCCCGCGGAGAACAACGTTTTCTCGCTGTTTGCGGGCTGTGTCACTGCGGAAATCGACCAGATCATTAATGAGAGTACAAGCCTCGTTCAGACAAAAATAGACACCACTGTCTAGTTCCTGCCCGGTAGCAAGAGAAGCAGTCACAACCGCATGGAAAAGGCTGAGGTCGATGTAGCGATGTGCTAAGATGCCCGTCATTCGGCTTCCATAGATGCCACCCGGAACTTCTGCATGATTTCGATAGTATCCCATCACTCTGAAATGCAGGGTGGAAGACATGAGATTGTCAAAGTGCCAGTCTGAGAGCACGCCGGACAAATGAGAAAGCTTTATGAAGGCTACAGCTGCAGCACCGGTCTGCTGCAGTAAGAACAAAGTCTTGTCATCTGCAACCTCACAGTAGTCACCAATGAGGATATCATTGCCAGCATCTGCAATTGCAGCTATCAGGCCATCGTCAGATGCACTTGCGTTTGACGCAATTACTAGATATTGCTTTGCATCAACACACATCTTCACTTGCTCCGACTTGGGGTACAACTGCTGTCTTATGGATGATTGTGTGTCATGCACCAGATGTGGTCGCCGGTCTGGTGCTTGGACTATCGGAATGCCCTCTGGACCACGGCAAGTTTGAGGTGCAGCAATCTCGTCAACTTCTGCGTTGGCAAAAAGTAGCTCAGCGACGGCTTCTTCGAGACTATTGCTTGTATAGAATGATTCGTTGTTCCATTCGCTTGTCTTCTCCTGCACAATACGTAAAACTTCGAGTGTTTTCTGGATTGCACCACAGGAAGTACTCTTTGCGAAACTTTCTAGGTCGGTCCCGGCAGGGATAGGAAACAGTCCCAAACAGGTACAGGCTGATCTGGGGTTATATTTCGCAGAGGCAAGGTTCGTCTCTTCGCACGAAGGGGGCTTCGTCCCACCAAAAAGAATCTCTCCCTCCTCGAGGCATTTCTTGAAAGAGAATACAGCCAGTCTCAGAGTCTTGTAGTCGAGAAGTTTCGCTACATTTTCTTCTTCAAACAATTGAGCCAGCTTGGCGAGAGGAAGGGGAACCTCGTTTCGCTCAACAAGGTTTTTGTCATAGGAGAGCCAGGCATTCACCCAACCTCGATATACGTGAAGTCTGATGTTCTCAGCATCAAGCTGTACAGGATTGATGAGTCAGTCGTAGTGAACATGAATTCAAGTAGTTGGTTATTTTTGAATCAGGCATCGAATACACGTACCAAGAAATCTTGAATGTCTCGAGTGCGAGTTGGGGTCATTGTGGTGGCGTTCTTGTGTACCGTGCTTGGAAAATTTAGTATTAATTTATCAAAATGTTGACTTGCTGCTTATATGGATAAGTGCTGATGCTGCAGGTATCGTTCTTTATAGATAGAGGTGTGTCGTAATGAGATGTCTAGCTTATCTTCTCACCGCAGTCAATCCTGATATTTCGAAATGCAACATCAGTATAAACCAGAGCTTTCGAAGATGTTGTGTCACAGTGCCATGTGCTTCCATTATAGAGGCGTATTTCCAAACAAGCGACTGGTCCTGTTGTGCAAAAGGGCCCCGTCACTTATCGTATAACATGTTACACCGGCCTCATTTTATGGGGCAAAGTACTGGTTGAATGATATGATAACTTGATGCGGCGAGCTTGAGCTTTCCGCAGTGCAACTACCAAACTGAGTTAGTTACAGCGACATCTGACTTGAGAGAGCCACTCCAAGTTCATCTTGTTTTGTTTCTGACCTGATTCCTAAACTCAATACTTGATATCCGCAGAAAGCGCGCATGGTTCATCATTGCGCATGGAACTACTAATCAGCTTTAGAAAACCTGCTTTAGATGTGTATTTCTCATCCCTTTCAACCGATCTGCAGCCCTGCCTTCAGAGAGCCCCCTGGGGTGACTTCCACGTTGCTCAACAGCACTTTTCAAGCGATGGTTGGCCCTGCGCATATTGCACCAGGACTACCGTCAACAAAACCAACCACTTATAGACATCTATAACAGTCGTAAATAGGCGTAGAAGAGCAAGAATGGTTCTTTTGTCATGCTTCTGCGGGTTATGCTCGTTTGAGAATAGTTCATTTGCAGATAAACAAGACGGACGTTTCAATGGTGACTTGAACTTTAAAAGATTGAGCAAGTGTGATTCATGATCACGGTAGACGTCCACAGGACCTTGGGAACCTTTGGCAGATGATGCAAAACAATCTTGCCTAAGAGGCCGAGTGCTTGTTTGACAATCATTGTGAATGCACTGGGCAGGCAATTCCACGTTTAAGCTGGCTAACGGCACAATATTGGATGTGGATAGATACCATACGCAAGAGCGCAGGAAATTGAAAATGGTGAAATGAAGTAAGAGCTCAGGGAAGTAATACTAAGTAGTTCATTACAGTGGCTTAAAATGGCTTGGTTGGATAAATTGCTTGACAGTTGATCATGAATGGCCCTTTCGATTCCTACTCGCTGTTACAATCTTCGTATCGCTCAAGGGTCCAGACAAAGCCTTCACAGTGCTAATCCGCACTTTGATCTTCCCAAAAGACAAAGCATCGCACCTCGATGCTCTTCCTAGGAACCTGGCTGTCCGACGTTTTTGGGTCCGGAAAACTAGAATGCATACACCAGGTATCATTCCCACCTTGTGTATCAAAGATCTTGAATGCGACAAGATCCTCGGTCGTCATCTTTGACATGTACCACCACTCCTGGGCTGCTGAGTACTGCCCAAACACAACGCTCCATTGAACGTCGACTCGCTTTTCCTTCGCCGCAGCCGCCGTTTCATCGAAAAAGTCCACAAACAATTCAACCACATCATCATCACCGCTTGACTGCGCGTCACACACTGCGAGCGGGTCTTTGTGCACCGTCTCCAGTGGCCGCCAAACATTGATCAACGCCCAGCGTGTCTGGGTGAGGTGGTCAACATCAGCTTCAGGGACAACCTCTCGAAGGATCTTGTTCGCGCCATGGCAAGAGTGATCTACATGCACAACATAAGAGGGGCCGCGTTCACCGGTTGTTTCGCTAACTGTGTCGTCGTGAGCGTTGCGGAGAACGTGCTCAAAGATTTCCACGCGAGAAACACCCAGGCTGGATACATGTTAGCAAGTGCTTTTGGGTCATGCGTCTGTAACCGACGCTATGACGAGGACATGAGTGTGTGTCTTTACTTTTCTTTCAAAAACCGAACCGTATCCGGATATATGTGATTCTTGATGGTCTCGGAACCATAATTTGGCATTGTTGGCAATGGATGCTTGTAGAATTGAAACCCATTTACATCTAATTGAAATTCTTTGTCGGCGTTTCGAACGTCGTGGATGGTGACGCTGCGTTTGTCGGAGAGGCGCTGGTATAGTTCGCTCAGCTCGGTAACCGTCGTGCGGGGCGCACTGCTCGGTACGAAATTCAGGTAACTCTCGATGTCCGTATTCTCGATCATGGTGTATTCACTGCTTGTAGAACCGTTCAATTAGGAACGTGTAGTTCGAGGCTGGATGCGGATACTGCTTGGTAGCACTATAATATCAGCTCTACTTAAGAACAGCTTATTTCTGGAGGGAGGTAAGCAGGTTTTAGATCTATAAGACTGGAATCCTCTTTAGTCACAAAATTCAGATGGGCAGACGGAGAGGAGCGTCCCCAACATTGCAGATCATAGCTCCTTTGTTGGTTGCACGACATATAGGTGAGTTGTTATGTGCAGACAAGAGACACATGAGTGTTCTGATGCGCAAGCTCAGACCTCGCAATTGATAAGAAAGTGGCAAGAGGATACCAATCGCCTCCAGCTAAACAGCAAAAGCAAAACTCGTCTTACAAAGATGCAGTGTACCATGCAACCATGCTACGCAGCATATTCCCATGGATTAGCTCGTCATTATAACACACTTGGGCCCCTGAGTGATATCAGGGGGCAACAGTTGACCCGATTCATATGCAGTTTCTCTAATCTGGAATCCAACAAGCGTGCCCTGGCTCTCTTGATCCAACTTCATATATCAAGCTGTGACAAAATGAATTTCAGAGTCGATGCCATCATCATCGGTGCCGGCTTTAGCGGCTGCTACGCCTTGTATCGCCTCCGTCAGCTCGGCCTGCAGGCTAAGATCATTGAAGCAGGAAGTGATTTTGGTGGAGTTTGGCATTGGAATCGATATCCAGGAGCTCGCGTCGACGGCGATTGCACCGTTTATCAATTTAGTGACCCGGAGATATGGCAGGGTTGGGAATGGCGGGAGCGCTTCTCCAGCAGTGACGACCTCCGTCGGTACTTCCAACATGCGGCCAAATTGATGGATTTGCGCAAAGACACCATCTTCGACACCTCAATCACTCGATGTGAATATGATTCCGGAACAGGATCGTGGGTCATCCATACCGCTCAAGGATGGCATACTGTCTGCACGTATCTCATTCCAGCCGTCGGAGCAACCGTGAAGCCATTTATCCCCTCCATTCCAGGCTTAGACCTTTTTGCGGGAACAGTTGTTCATCCATCTCGATACCCCAAGACTCTTGACGTCTATGGCAAGAGCGTGGGAATAGTCGGAAATGGCTCTAGCGCCGTACAGTTGGTCCAGGCGTTGAAGAAGCAAGACGCTAAGCTTACCGTCTTTATCCGTAAGCCCTGTATCGGAATACCGATGCGTCAACGAGATATCTCGTACGGAGAAGCAATGATGCAGAAATCGTTCTCGGAAGCCATTTTCGAGAAGACGCGGCGGTCGGAAGCATCGTGTGCATATAACAATGCACGGGGGTCTGCTCACGACTTTACCGCCGAGGAGCGAAGAGCCATATTAGACGAAGTGTGGCGTCGGGGTGACTGGAATATTCTCCTTGCCAGCTTCTCAGACTACGCGGTCGATGAGACAGTGAACTCGTTGCTCTATGATTACTGGGCACAGCAGGTACGGTCGCGCATGACAGACCAACGCAAAATGGATCTCGTTGCGCCTCTTAAGCAGAACCAGTGGTGGGCAACCAAGAGGCCTTGTCTGGAGCAGAACTACTATGAGGTGATTGATGATCCCGATGTCAATGTGCACGATCTACATAGCGCCCCGATTGCAGAAGTCGAGGATCGGGGCATCGTAACCGGTTTTGGGCCTGACGATAGGGAGCATCATCGCCTAGATGTGATCATTTTTGCAACAGGCTACGATGCTTTCACGGGCAGTTTACTTGATATCGGACTGAGGGACCGACACGGGCAGACTCTTCGGGACAAGTGGAGTGGTGGGATTATCACTTATTTAGGAATGATGATCCCTGATATGCCGAATCTTTTCGTGATCAACGGGCCCCAGTCTCCGGCCTCGGTGACCTGCGGTCCACCTTTTCTCGAACAGCAGGTTGATTGGGTCTGTCAAATTATTGCCAAGATGAAGGATGAGAGGTTTGAAAAAGTGGAAGCGACCCAGGAGGCAGCTGATGAGTGGGGCAACGAAATGCACGCAGTCGCAGACGCCACATTAAATATGCGCACTGATTCTTGGTGGAATGGGGCAAATATTCCAGGAAAATTCAGGGAACCACTGGTCTACTTTGGGGGGTACAACGATGGATGAGGAAAGCTTCGAGCACGGCTGACTGCTGGGAAGGGTTGCGAGGCAGTTAGTGAGATTGGGCAAATTCATTCCCTCCGTTGGCGAAACTATGGTCATACAAACTGCGACTGTATACTTCATAAATCGAAAGTGAAGGGTTACATCAACCACACAGTCCACAATGCACATCTTATCATGGACAATTCCATGTGCTGTTGCCTCTTTTGCTCATGTCAATTGGCTCTATTAGACTCCCTTAAATGGCATACCTGCTGAGGTGAATTGAAATTTGCTTGGATCAACGCTCCACCATAGATCCCGTCGAAGTATCAACGACGACTTCCAAATCTAGGTGAGCCGCGTGAAACAACCACGCATGTAAGCCAAACTATCGGGCATCGAAGAAAAATCAAGAAAGAATACGTATCGTTTTCAAGCTAGAGTGCAGAATTACATATTAAGAGTTTGTCAATGAAGCGAAGATCAGCCTTGGCTGCACAGCAGTAGTTTGAGTAATGTCTTCAAGCACGTCTAGGAATCAACGACGATACTCAGCTTTGGCTGAAACATGGAACCACAGGAGAAATGAGATTCAATCAATGCAGAGAAAGAATATTAGTGACTAGTCCTTAATTTATTCCAATCCAACCCGACAGCCTTACACAATCGACAATTCGAGAGTATCATCTATGGTGGTACAGATTGTGAATTTGGAATTTACCCAATTGGGAAACATGCAATGCTCAATCAGATCTGCAAAATCGAACGAAGGAATGAAGGGGTCCGATTAGCCTAAATGTATGGGTACAATACATGTGATTGATCGCTGCGTGGCTTGACGCGGTGTTACGTCATGAACTATAGCTTTGTGCAGCATATTAGGCGGATACAATCCGGTTTTTGAAATTTTGAAAGTTTTTGAAATCGAATGAGATTGCATTAAAATAAGAGCAAGAAGTGGCGGACTAGACTGGATTTGACAGAGATTAAATCAAAATGATGAAGTTTTCTGTAAGATGATCTGCAGATTTTCAATATATCAGAAGGAAAATATCTGAACGCGAGATTAAAGAGTAAACAGGTGAAATGGCACATAATAGGAAGAAATTCCGATCGTCGGGCTTGATCGTAGCTCAGGGTGGTTCACAACAAGTCAATAGCAGAGTTTTGATCGTCGGGCATGACAAGAGGTATGACTGATGGAATTATGAGGAAGCATGTGTTTCGTCGGGACAGACAAGCATATCGTCTGTCTTTGGACAAATGTATGAACGAGAATGACCAAGTAATAGAGAAATTCTGCTGCGACACTCGATCAATTATATGATCTTTATTTATTGTGGCCATCTTTTCCATATTGATTTACCACACGCGACATCAATTCTTAACTTATCTTCACAAAAAGAGAACGTTTCTTTACAGTCATATAGCCACGGGTTTAACAGAAGCAATGCGGTACAGACTGCCACAAGCTTGCCAAGGACGAAAAGAAATTTTGCCCAATACTTTACATGTATTGTCTTTTATCTGGTCTTGGACAACCCTGGAGCTTGTTTACATCCAGTCATCTCGCTTATCTTCTACATTTATATCATGTCTAATCTGCACGGGGTCTCAATCGGTGCTTTGGATAGCTTTATCTATGCTTGACTTGTCATTTTCTTCTTCAGTTAACCGCCCTACATCAGTTGTTACCTTATACTCTGAACACCCTATGTGTAAAATAGTATATACGTTATCACAGATGTACAGCCTGTCAATCAGGTAACATTCCCCGCACTGAGCGGACCTACCTGGTAGAAATTATCCTACATATATATCACGATATATGATAGATAGGATCTACGCATACGAAGGTCTCTTTCAGCTACCGATTCACTGTTACGAGCCACTAAGTTTTAGTTCATAGTTACAGGAGAAAACAGCCTGTTTCTACACAACTTGTGCAATTGACCCCGAGTGACGTTCTTTACTTGTGCATTATGTTTGTCGCACCTCAGGTTTACCCGCGGGTGACCCCCATTAAGCATCGGAATTTTGGAACCTGACCCGTTAGTTGCAGGGTTATGAGGTTTACTCGCGGGTTAGTGCCAGATCAAGTTGCGTCATTTAATATCACGTCCCCTAGAAAGCGTGCTTGGCCTTTTTCGATTGAGTGCCAGAGGCTTGAGTGGCTGCCTTGGCGCACAGAGCTGTGCAAATTGTGCAACCGTGCAAATTATGCAAATCAACTCGACCTACTGCGTACCAGTTTGAGGATGAGAAGAAAAGAATTGAAATTGAATGAAGACATATGGAATTAGATTTTGTAGGAATCTGAACGTAATTAGACAAATCAAAGAAAATTTGAAGGAAAGAAAACACCAAAGAGATGACGACCGACAGCACAGCGTTCAAGACCCGATCCTGACCTGGCAGGCATTTGACAAATACTCACGAACAGTACCATCATGACATAGACATTCCGGGTGGTGCCTGGTACCCAAGAAGCTCAGGCCGTGTACGCAATTCCATTTCTTTCTCCTCCTGAACCAGAGCACAGCAACCACACCAGAACGACACACAGCAATCGCCGCAACAACTACCTTCGATACCATGTTGCTGACGCATCTCGCCTCGGGTGATTGTTTGCATAATCCATTGCGAGGCAGCTAGACTCAAGAAAGTCCAAATCGCACACTGAAGAAGGTCACTGGTTAGTATCGAGGCGGAGTAGTGGTTTTGGCAGTTGAAGTCTTACAGGGCCGTTCACGTAGCTAAAGTCTCGAAGACTGGGGTCTTGTGCTCTGGCCCGAGTCTTTCCATAGGTTAAACATGGTAGACAGCAGCTTGTGAAGCCTGGCATGGAAAGATTAGATGGAAATGCACCTCATGTATTATCAGATTAGAATATACTAACAGAGTGTGCTAGGAGAACAGCAGTCGAATAGGGAATAGTTCCATTCTCGGTTTCTTATGAGATCAGAGTGATTCGAGTTGGCTTGGTGATAGGTTGGTGGACTGGTTGGCTGAGCACGATAAACTTTTTGCTGAGGGTCTGCCATTTGGATAACTTGTAGTGGTGATTTGGGTAACGACAGGGCTTGAAGAGATTTTTACTCCTGGGAAAGAACTTTGGAAGTCGATTTTCCATGGTATTGGTGGGCATGTTTCTAACTTTATACTCACAGTGCATGGTACTTATCGAACCCTGTCATAAGCCCAAGCAGCCAAGACATGAACATTTGGATGTTCGGAGTAATTGATCGTCATATTCAGAGCCACATTGGGAAGTTCGCATTCGTTATATTGGGTCCACCCAATCATGAAGTGTTTAAGGAGATCATAAAGTGGGGAAAGGGGCACCCCGGAGAGTTTTTAGTGGAAAATGCAGACTAAAAACAAGCTCCTAGGCTTACAAGGTATGTTTATCAAACGTGTAAGAAAAGGAGTGATCCCACTAATCCGGAGTGATCAAATTATCTGCATCGCAGTCCATTGAGAATTCATGGAACATGTAGAACATGCTAAGCAGCGTAGAAGCCCATCCATGAGTCCTTTAGGCCCCAAGCATGGAATATTCTTTCTAACCCTTGGCGAAATTTTCTTGTTTCGATTGTCTGATTTAAGTCGGGCATTCCTCGGAGAATGTTGAGCAGAAATTCAATCATCTGCCTTGCTAGAGGTACCAAGCATAGACTGCGGTCTTGTTCCCAAACCAGGTAGTTCGTATCCGCCAAACCTGAGTGAAGAAATAAAAAAAAAGCCTTGGGCAAGTCAGTCGATGAATCTATAAAAGGTCTCGAGAGTCAGCCAGTCTTTGCTTCTTCTTATATCTCAAACAGTTTTCTTTCTATCACATCGTTGATTGTGAAAATGTTCGACGCAAACCCTCACTCCTGCTCACCAGCGGCAATACCATTGCCTGTGGTTTTCGGTGCAGATATTCTTTCTCTTTCGGCGTCATGAGTCAAAAAGTATACCATGGACGTTCCGTCTTCATTCAACTACAACCATGGCGACGTTTCCCTTCAGGACGCTGAATTCTGCAACATCACCGTTCAGTATACCCACCCGGGACACGACGACCTCATCACCGTGGAGACATGACTACCTAAAAAATGGAACAATCGGCTTCAAGCAACCGGAGGTGGAGGCTGGTCAGCCGGCCGTTTTGTGCTTTCCCAGTTCTTCATGTCGGGAGCAATTGGAGAAGGATATGCTGCCACAACCACGGACGCTGGACTAGGTGATGCTGGATCCCCCGAGCCATGGGCTCTGAACAGCCCAGGCAACGTCAACCTCTACAATCTTCAAAACCTTGGTTATGTTTCCTTAAACGATCAATCGATTATCGGAAAAAGTCTCGTCAAAAGCTTTTACGGCCGTGACCCAGAATACTCCTACTGGAGTGGCTGCTCTCAGGGTGGTAGACAGGGACTCATGCTTGCGCAAAGGTATCCAACTGCTTACGATGGCATCGCTGCCTCGGCGCCAGCTCTGTCCTTCAATCAGCTTACCACGTCCGTCTACTATCCCCTTCTTATTTAGAATTGGGAAAATTCAACTGCCCCTTTGGCCTGTGAACTCAATTACATCACAGCTGAAGCCATCAAGCAATGCGATTCAAACGATGGCGTTCGAGACGGAGTGATCTCACAGGAGGGCTGTAATTTCGACGCCCTCTCAGTCGTGAATCAGACTTTCCACTGCGAGTCGAGTCAGAAGAAGATGTCCCCCAGTAAGGCTGCAGCACTGGTTTCCAATGCAGCCTGGTCGGGACCTCGGACTGCCACCGGCGATTTCCTGTGGCATGGACACAATCGAGGAGCAGACCTCAATCAATTCGGCACTGTCCCGGGAGTGAATGCTACCGGTCAAGATCTGTGGTTCCGCCTCTTTGTGATGAAGGACAAGAGTTTTGACGTGCAAAATTAGACTCATCACGAGTACGATGTGATGTTCCGTCCGGCTGTTCAAGAATATGCCGGCTTGGTGAACGCCGACAACGTGGATCTTACTGAGTTCAAGAATGCAGGTGGAAAGCTTATCTCATATCACGGAATGGTTCGTATTCTCTCTACCTCAATGTTTGAATCTCTCCTGGGTCTCTTCTAACCAATCGACAGGCCGACGAATCTATCCCGGTAAAAAGTTCAGAGCACTTTTATCGAGGGGTCAGCGAAGCTATTGCCAATGTTCAGAGCTTTTATCGTTACTTTGAGGCACCAGGCTTGGGTCATTGCTCTGGCGGTAATGGAGCGCAGCCTCTTACTACATTCAACGCTCATCGAAGTTGGGTTGAAGATGGCGTTGTCCCAGAAACCTTGCCTGTCAAGTTCAACGGTACAGATTGTGTTGAACAAAACCGAATTCTCTGTCCTTACCCAGCGAAGGCCGTGTACCGCGGTGGTAATGCTTCAGAAGCTGGTAGCTTCCAATGTTCCAGCAATTCAACAATGGCTTCGATGGGCACAAAGCCCTCTCAGCGGCGTCGTTTCCACTAGAGCAGCTCGAAAAGGCTGGATTATTTCTGGAAAGAGAGCTTTCTACTTTGCTCACTTGTCTGTCTATCTCTATTCACCCTAGGTCCCTTGCATTAAGCAGTCCTTCGTGGCTCTTCTATTGTACAACTATAACTTGCATTTTCTTTTTATACATTTGCTATATTCAACTTAATTGAAACCACCTGCATCAAAGAATTAATCAATCTCATAACTCTGGGCTTTGAAAGGGAACTTGCTTAAAGGTAAGTAATAACCTTTCATCTTTCATCGTCTGTATTCAAAGCCAGGAACACTTCGCGACCTGCCTAGATATATTCATCGAATCGGCTCAAGTTAAACCAAGCCTCTGCAAAGGCCAACTGAGAAGTATGTGATAACGGTCCTCCAGGCTCTGACAGACTCCATTGAGAATATGACGAGGCCAACCTTGTATAAACCAGACTGAATCAAGTTCATTCAAAAGCACCGAGAAGAAAGAGACCAACAGCAGTGCAGCCGGTTGTTTGTTTTGCATGTCATTTACAAGAACGTCTGGTAGCATGTAAAGCCAGCTGAATATTTGTGGCCACAGCTCTGGGCCAGGGAGAGGAATAGACGTTCCAAGTATTAAATCAAAGCGCGAAGCGAGTAAATCAAAAGCGCCATGATAAATGGAGTGTCGAGGATTGTTTGCTGCGAATGTCTCGGATATGAGAGCCCGCAGATCATGTAAAGGCCCAGAGTACCCACGCAAAATACTCTGAGTTCTGTGATGATTGAGCTTGTTTGAGCGGTCCTCTATATTTCCCTCTGGGTCTGGTGGTGATTCCGATGTGCTGTCGTCATTTGTCCCAGAATGTAATTCTGATATTCCATTGGACGTGCCAATCTTATTGCTGGCGTCTAGGATCGATCGGATGCCCATGAAAAGACACAGAGATGGCGTATCGCCGTCATCGCGGAACGCCATATATTCGCCCAGCCGAGGTCCTCTGGCAAGCGAGCAGATGAAGATATAAACGGATGCAATATACAATGAGTGAGTGTTCCCATGATGTAGTTGTGGGCTGGTAGTTGCAACCTGTTCAATGGCAATGCTCAAATGACGTTCTGCTTCCACGCCAAAGTCCACGTGTGGCTCAAACATGGGCATATTTTGCAGGTTGTCACTGGCAGGTACTCTTTTAAGATGAAACCCCGAGACTGCTAGAAGCAAACGCAAGACATAATGCACAGAAAATCCAAGCCGAATCAACTGATCGGGAATGTGCCCTTTTAAGTCTTGTGCTGAAGAAATATGATGAAGTAATGCCATATCAGTAACATCGAATTGGAATGGCCTTGCAGCCACAGCAGTCTCAGGCTCTGTCTCGGGTGGTGAGAGAGTATCGATTTCTGCAGTGCCAGGTTCACGGCGCGCTCGCTTTGGGATCTTGAATTCCGACTGAGATGAGGAGATGAAAGCATATTTAATAGTTGATTGTTCAGATCTTGGAGCCTCGGTATCTTTTTGATTTGGAACCAGGCCTCCAGCGTGCCTTCGAGCATGACCATAGTCGCACTTGATCGAGTGCCGTACGCAATTGTTGCAGGCAGGTGCAGTTTCATCGCACTTTACTTGATCAGTGCTGACCCCTATGTTGTCCGTCATGTGATGGCTTACCTTAACTCGTCGTGTCTTGCAGTTACCGCATCCCATCCGAGATTTGCGATGGGTTCGACGAGATCTGCTGCTGGCATATGAATTTGACTCGTGGTCCATGTTTGGGGTTGAGCACAGGAGTGAAGATAGAGAAAAGGACCGCGCCCCTTTGAATTTCAGTTTGATTGGAGCCTCTGGATTAACATTTTTTCTCTCACTTTTAGGCTCTCGGGGGCTAATGCTGGCACGCTTGGTGTCTTCAACGTATGCTCCAAAAAAAAAATACTGTAAACACGCCAAAGCCCGTGGAAAGCCCAACTCAGCTCAGCATATCATGCGGCCTTGGGATTCCGAGAGTGTTCTGTGTTTGATCTGAACGTTTTCTTCTCGCCTGACCGCTTCCATTGCCAGCTCTATTCTTCTGCTGTCCCTGACACCTCCTTTACACAGTTTCGTGATCCTGTGGGGCTGACCTGATTCAGGGCCTCGAGTGAAAAAAAAAGAAAAAAAGAAACAAGATCCACAATGTTATGTTATGCGGAAGGCGCACCCTGCATCCAGCATGATAATACTGTCCTCAGAGTCAAGTCTTTCTACTGAAAGCCCTATAATATGCTGAAATACCCATCGCACAACGGCCATTGGGTTCCCGACTGTTTGTGGGCTTGGAGCAAAAATAAAAGAAATCGACACCTGCAGGATTCGAACCTGCATTTCCGAGGAAACGGGTTTAGCAAGCCCGCGGTGTCACTCGATACATTGATATTATTGGTTGATATACTTTGCCTTGGGCTTTCCCATTCCTCTTTGTTTTTTTTTATTTTTATTTTTTTCATTGGCGTCTTTGAGTTTCTCAATCGAACGCAGTCTTTGTTTAAAGTTACATGAAAGTTACAACGTTTGAAGGGAAATAATGACGGTGTAGGATGTACAATTGGGGTTTTTATTCAAGGAACGATCGAGCTATTTAAGTCTAGCCTTTCACCATTGGGTGGTAAACTCCTTATTTACTGGAAATCTCTGTCTTAAGTTAGTCCTAATACGATTCTTATGTGATGAATCCTCATGATGGCTATAATGGCTCATTTATGGTGCAAGCTATGGCTAGCGGCTATAATTCTTGTCATACCCCCTTGTCATTGAAGTAGTGAAGCCCCCTGTATAGATGCGGAAATTCCAGTGGGCGGATCAAGAAATCTTTGAAGCTAAACCTCATCGAAGACCTTTGCATTTAGACTTTTGCGAAGCCTTCGTAGGACTATTTACGATATTAGTAGTACCCAGGAGATGTATCTGGTGATCTAATGTCTTAATATAGCGAGATTTTGAGAGATACTTTACAGATCCTACTACAGTGATAGCGGATTTATAAGGCAGAAGTTAGAATAGAGAGCGGGTCATGTTTATGCGATGCAGGATTTGAGAGGGAGAGATGGGGGGACATGGAAGTGAGATGTTGGAAAGGCAGACGGTGCATCTCCGCGCTCGCTTCGTACCTGGATGCACCAGGCTTTTCTTATATTTTCGGCTTTGGGATTTGTATTCATGTCGAGCTGATACACGGTCTCTCTTTATGAGGACCGGCTCTCTTTCTGCGTTGTTATCTGGCGTACGGTAACTTCTTGCTTCAACTGGATAGAAGCGCCTGCATAGCCATTACGGTGCTAGTTAGGCTGCAGCAGGTTAATTGAACTTTGATTGATTGATTGATTGATTGGCTTTGGCACGGTGGCTTACTTGGGTCTTTTCCTGCTTACAATATCTGACAGTCGTTTAACTATCTAGCTCTTAGACCTCACTACCTCATAGCTCTGTGGTATAATTCATCAACCTAGAGTTCTAGTCAGCGGATTCCAACATATGAGAGACGTTGGTATCGTACATAAAAACCGAATATCTGAGCATAGCAGTTATCTTAACAAACATTAATCACCGGTATAGTTTGTCGCTCTCAGCATTCGTATGGTCCCCGACTTAATTATGAATTTCTGAATCATAACTCACTTAAGTAAGTTCAAGGCTCACCAAGCTATTTCTTTAAATGAGGGTTGTTCTCTTTTATCGGTTGAAACGGCATTTGTTTTCTATCACTTCTATCATGTGGATTGAACGAGCTTAATCACGACCTCAGTCCGAAGCCCTTTTCCACTTGATAAGAAATAGCTGTGCAAAAAACACAGTTCCCACTGTAACAGTACTAGCACTGAATATCTGTGCTTTCCAGAAGGTGGCTTCATGCAAATCGAGCAATGTACCTGCAATAGGATTGCCAATCAATAGTCCGAGCCCCGCGAAAAGGAATGACACTCCCAACCTAGCCCCTACAGCATCCAGACCAGGTGATAATGCTGCAACGATGGTGGGCTGCAGGGAGATAACAGCGCCAGAGGCAAATCCGTACAAACAGGTAAATACAATAGTGCCAGGCTCATTTCGAATACCAATCCATGCAAATGCCAAGACGGAGACCATAACAGTTATTGGCAACATTGTATTAATGGCGCCAATGCGGTCTGCTAGAAATCCCGGGGAGATTCGACCCAACGCAGACGTAGCGTTGATGATTGAAATGGAGTAGAATGCGATGTTGTTATCCGAGTGCAAAAATGAGGCGAAAAAGTCGGGCAAGTAGAAAAAGGGGAAATATAAACCAACGAAGGTGAAGAAAAGGCCAAGGCAGAACACACAAAATGCCGGCTCTTTCAGGGCAGCGAAATCGAAAATTGATTTCTTCGGCTTGATAGTCGCTGCGCGTACTCTCATCACAGCGAGTGAAAACGCAAGTCCACTCAGGACGACAAAGGCAATCACACGAGTCGTCCAAGGGAATCCGAGAGTACCTACGAGCCTGTGGAACATGATTGGATATATCGTCGCACCTTGGAGATGCTCTCAACATGAGCGTTCGATGAAAGCGGAGAATGTGACTTACCAGTACTTCCCCCAGCTGCAGTGATTCCCATGGCGAGAGCTCGATGGGTGGTGAAGTATGTAGCTACCACAGCAACACTGGGAAGAAAAACGCACGCACAGCCCATTCCCACGGCCACTCCGTGTGCGAGAAAGATTTGATAGTATTCGGTTGACAACGAAGTCATCATCAGACCGAATACCACAAGAAATGTTCCGATGGCTATCAGCGAACTGACATATCCTCTGTCAAACAGAGGACCGACCACAACCCCCACCACAAGGAGGAGGAAGCCTTGTACAGTGCCAATCCATGATATTGAAGACGACGAGTAAGAAGAAAGCAGCCTGTCTTCGTAGTAGCTCTGGAATACTCCGAAAGTATTGACCAGTCCCCTTTGAGTTACAAGTTAGTAACAAGACTAATTCGGAGGGAATGAGGCTCACCAAGAGTTGAAGAATAGAAAGAAGGCTCCTGCCACCTGTAACCAAGCAAACCACCCCCATTCTCGGCGGGCGGAGCACGCCGAGAAGCCTCAAGGGGCGGTTCAGTAGAAGTGTCGACAGAAGTATGGGTGGATCTATGCGGCTCTGCACTTCTTGTCGGAACAAGGTCGGGGCCTTGGGATTCCATAGATGTTCACGTGGCAGAAACACGAACGCGTATGATGACAAGATAGGCTTTATTAGACGGTGTTGGATTGTAGTAAAGCTTGAAGGGTGAGAATTCTTTACCTTCTGGCTAGCTACTATGGCAGAGAAGCCAGTTTTTGAAGACTTATCTCATGTAAGGGAGGGTAATGCTAAAATTTAGAAGATGCTCACCAATGGTTACACAACATTTAGTGGTGGCTAATTTTCTTGAAATTCCAAATACCTACCTCATCGGTGGCCATAACTCTAGCGACGTGTGAGTTAGAGCTTTCTTGTATTTATGTGGGGAAACGGCATTTAGTTGCGGTAAAACGCCAGGTTGCGGTTGTGGGAAAGGCTGAGATTATTCTGAAAGTTTGATTACTGAAATCAAATTATTAAAATGGAATATTGGCTGCTTCAGAGCCCATCCAGTCTTCTGAGTTGAGAATGATCCGCGTTGGAAAGTTGAAATGTTGTGATAGGACGCACAGAGATGTACTCCCGACTTCGAATATGTAGACTACACCGCAACGCTAATTGACGGTGAATCAGCTGCCGAAAGTGGCCACATTGGACGCAGATTTAAGCTTTCTTTCTACCAGAACCATAGTCATGTAAGTGTTATGCGGGATAACTATACTTTTGACCACCGAGTACGGCAGTCTGCTACGGGTCGAACAATGGTAACAAAATCCACCAATAGGTCATATCAGAGAACGATAGACAGATTAAGCCTGCTGTAGACAATCTGATGTTATATTAAGGAGCATGAAATATCAGAAATCATGAATCAATCAATGAGTGGCATTGTTGCGTGATCCTTCTTCTCTACAGCCTGAAGTTGCTGATATTCCTCTTCGAGGACATTAGTGCATTGGGCACTAATCGTACGCATCACGTAAATCACCACTGTCTTTTCTACTACAATGTTTTAGTCTCTATAATCAAGTATAAGGACTCGATCCTCGTTCTGTATGTTAGGGCTGCTTGCTCACGATATCGTATCGTGATCTTGACAATAGCGTGAGCAGCCCTAATATTTTGCATTCTCAAGTTATCGATGGCAGGAAAGCGATTTACTCAAACCTAAGGAAATCTCGGGCGAAACTCCGGATAGACACCATATGCCACTAGCATCACCCCTGCCTGGAATAAGGGATAGTACCAGCCTATTTACGTAGCCCTCCAGCTGTCGGTGCCTAGTAACAAGCTAGCTCTTAGTAGAAATGAGCAACATACATATGGCCGTAATGTGAACTGCGCTATGACATGATTGGGGCTCTTATGTTTGTCTGGGTATAGTTCCTATAGTTCCATACGTTCACTCACATAGTTCCTTTTTTTTATAAACTTTCTATACGTAATTTAAAAAATCACCAGTCAATCCTCTCCCTCTTTTTAGGAATAACTGCTCGTATTACAAAATGTAAGATTTTGCTTTGTGAAAACAAATGTCATTTGGCATGTGCTAGCAGGATCAAAGGATCACTAAGTCCCTGATGAGCCCCCTTGACAACCACTAAATCTGCCCCGACAGAAAACCATTCACCATACGGCCCTGATTTTCGAGGCTGTACAGGTCGGTCATCTCATCCAAAGCTGTACGATAAAGCATTGTTGACGTAGGAGCTAATAACGCCCTTATATCTTATACAACCATAGAAATGGGCTTCCTTAATGAAATCCTCATCAAAATAGCGCTTAAAAGGCCCTCTAAGTCCGCTGGATTCTACGATAAATCATGTTTTGAGCGTCTATTAAATCATAATGAAATCGGCAGCTATTCTCGAGAAAAAAGTTAAGGATTTACGCGCTTTAAACGAGAAAAAGAAGTAAAAAAAGGCTAGATCTATAAGAAGAATACCTCAATAAGAAGGTCTTGCTGCTATAGAAGTATTGACCTTCATATAATAGCTAATATAGGCTAATTCAGCGTAAGCATCGTATAAGGTAACCTAGGGTTTAGCACCTTAAAGCCACGTACGAGAGCCCTACCGAGATACTTAGATCGTGGAATCCTAGGCTATAAGAGAACTGTATGTAATAATAGATCTCGTGTTCAACTTGATGAATTCAATGGCTATTTGGTTGAAATATCTGATTAAACAAGACATGCTTTGAAGTAAGGTGGCCACTCGGTTGTGAATTATGTATGATAAGGAAGGATATTTCCGGATATTCAATCAATAAGGACTAGGCTTATCGCGAGCTGGGGTTTCCGAATATCTCGAGAAAGAGCCTTCATAGTTTCTAGTCGTAGTAAGAAAAGAAGACTTAATAATTTTTCTTAATCACTCGAGTACATAAACGTCTAGTAATAAGAAGCAAAACACCATAGAAAACCACAGATTCATCCTCGAGAAAATCCATTTCGCATCCAAAAACCCCATCCCTTAGCCAGGTTAAGGGACTCAGACGCCCAATGGCTTCTGCTCAGGGTCCTCCTGAGAAACTGGATTAAGCTTCACAAAGTCCTTCTCCAGAACAGCCGAGATTCCCAAGGCCATAGTGACGCCCATTGCAATTATCTCTTCCAACACATCCATGCACAAGTAAACGGTGGTATTTCCATCAAGAGCAAAGGCTTCAAAGTCGGTGTAATCACCAAGCGCCGAATAGACCAGTCGAACCAATAAGAAGGGCAAAGAAATGAGAATGGCAAGGAACAGCTTCTTTTGGAACTTCCGCAGTGAAAGGCTTAGCTGGAAGAATAGCCAGCCACTGAGGAGAACGAAGACGGCAAATACGACGAGGAAGATGGCCATGGCTACCTTGACGAGCGTACCAGGGTGGTAGCTACCACCATCAGTATCGGCAGAACTGACTCCCGCGATACCGAGAATGAGGCCGATGATGGCGACAAGAGACACTATTTTCAATAACTTTGGAGGTAGTCTTTCCTCCACATCACTAGATAGATTTTTATTAGTCTCCAATCACTAGGATCAGGGCCGGCGCAGTTTGCAACTTACATTTGTCTGAGTAGTCCGATAAATGTTAGTAGGAGGGGCGCAATACCAATCATCTGGCACACTGCGACCGCAACAACTATGTTGTAGTTGGTCGGGTCGTTGATCAACAATAACGAAGAGATACTCCCAGCTATCCGGATGAGAGAGAGGGTGACAGCATATCGCCAGATCTTACTGCCGACCCTCCAGCCGGTTCTCTTCCAGATAAAAACAGCGGCAACAAGAATAATGGGGAATATAATGAGCTGAAGGATAGCGATACCACTTCTATAGTCCACGGTACCCATTGTGAGAGTATGTGAAAGGGTATAAATCAAAGGAGAAAGAAAGAGAGAGGTCGTTGAGGTAGAGTAAAGTGTGGGTGAAAGTGGAAGAAAGCTTGTTGTGTGGCAGTTGAGAATCGGACATCTAGAGCCTTTTATCTACTTCGACTTGACCTTTGATGCTATTTTTGTGCCCAACCTATGTTCTCATCCTGTCTATCATCTGCGGTAGTAAGTGCTGCTAAGCCTTCAAGATCCCATGTTGACTGGCTCAGCATCTTGATTACCAAAATAAGCAAGTCAGTGCCGATCTTAGCTTGTTGGTGGCTTCGCCCCCACGTCTCGCCTGGGGCTGAACCAATTGGGTCCACTTGATTCGGGGGCCATCACTCAACCTTAGCTACAGTGTATATTCTGACTGCCGATCGAGCTAACACAGGACGCGTGTTTCATCGGTTGATATCTTTCCGCCCGCAGTCATGAACCAGCCCTATAGAAGGAGGCTCAAAAGCTTGTATCTGTACGTATAGCAGATATCACAAACGGAGGAATTAATTTTTTCAGTATTGTTTCCACATTATCTTCACCCGTCCTGGATAGGGAGGTCCAAGTTGGATTCACTTGCTCGGATCGTTCTCGATGGGCAGGTTGGTCAAAATACTTATCCTATTACATCATTTGGAGAACACGATCGATGGCAGATTGGTGCCACGGATCATTCAAAAAGAAATACATGAGCCTACTGCAGTCAACCCAGTATACAAGGCTGTACGCGAGTGGAACCGCTACTTAAATGTAACGAAACATACCATGGAAGTTCCACTTTGTTAAGATTGAGGAAAGTCTAACTTTAACCCTAAGGACCGAGGACCGGGGATATATTTAGTGTTTGTAAATAGTTTATCCAATTTCGGGGCCTTGGATTACTTAGACTCTACCAAGGCTCCTCGACAATTTTCTGTCATATTTTCTTTTCTGGTTCTATGCTTGTGAAACTCTGACAGACTTACAGCTGAGCTCAAGAGTGTACAGGCTCAAAAGTAAATAGGATGACTTCATATGCAGCAACAAAGATCTTCAGCTGCTCATTTCCTAATGCGGTATCAACGATGTCGGACCAATCAAGGCAGTGATTCGCGCCCCCACAGACCCCCAAGCATCGTGTTTACTAATTTAGCGATGCTGAGTTGGCCCCCGGTTCTATCCTGAGCCAACATTTATTGTGAGAAATCCACCTCAAGGTCTTTTCTCCAACTTTGATGAGGGCTACCTTCAGCTGGGAATAGATCACTCTTCTACCATTCTTTTCTGTTGCAGCGACCATGAGCGCAAGCAGATGCCTCTGTACTTCTCGACAGGTCACATTTGTCAACGCGGGCGGTCAACACCGAAGTACAGTATGAGTTGCGCAAGTCGAGGCTCCGCGGCTGAGTCTTGGCCCCTCAGCCCCTCAGCCTCGAACGCGTTACAAGACCTCATGGCGAAAGCTTAGCTCTTTAAAAATTCACTGCCAACGGATCTTGCTGAACTCTGTATCCTATTTTCTCTCCCTCGTATCCGCTTTTAGAAAGATATGCCACCAGGCGCACGGGTTTCCAGGAATTGCGGCAACTGCCGATCCATCAAGCGACGTGTAAGTGTCCTTTGAACAAGATCTTCTTGCTGTTGTTCGATAACCAGCTCAATACTGAATTTTCTTTCCGCGAAGTGTGACAGAGAACTTCCTCATTGTGGCCAGTGCATTCGCGCGCGGGAGGAATGTTCGGGGTATCGAGATGAATGGGAGCTCGTCTTCCACGATCAAACGACCCATACAATTAAGCGTTCCAAGGAAATACGGGCCAAAACAGCCAGTCTGACGAATCGGAATGGATCGCCCGCGACCCGCTCTCCAAGCCCAAGCATTGAGGAAGTGGGAGTCAACTATTTCCTATTCCATTTCGTCACGGGCGGGCTGGCCCCTGCTCGCGGGTATCTCAACTACGTGCCAGCAGTGTATAGTGCCGATGGCGAGCATCCAACCTTAGTGGCCAGCATGGCAGCTGTGGGACTTGCAGCAATGGCAAACTCCACCCAACAGCCTGAATTGGCCAAGCGAGCACATGCAAAATATCAAGAAGCAATACAGACTGTGAATCTGGCGTTAAAATCCCCGATCGAGTCTGTCAAGGACAGTACCTTGATGTCGGTGATCTCTCTTGGGCTATTCGAGCAAGTTGCCAATTTCGAGACATGGTGCCGATATGTGAAAGGGTCTGTCGCGCTGGTAATTTCGCGCGGCAAAAGTCAGTTCTCGACCCTCGCCGCTATTCCCATGTTTAATCAGGTGCGTGCAGACATGTGTGCTGCCTGTGTCCATAGTCAGGAACCGTTCCCAGCAGAGATGCTTGAGTTGCAAGAAGAGGCAACAAAGCAGGCAGACACCTCCAGTGGCTTCTGGTTACTAGGAGTGCTGGCCACCCGGTGTATCAATCTTCTTTCGGATGTTACGATGACCACCATCAATGATGCTGCAACTTTGACACACTTTATGGAAGAATCCAGTGCGCTCCAGCGTGACTTTCAATACGTTCTTGGCATATTTAGCAAGCAGGAACCGTATGAAACCGTTCTAGATTACAAGGGCGATCCAGACTTCATTTATAATTCTCGATTTGATCTCTACAGAAACTCCTGGGCAATAAGACTTTGGAACAACTCGCGGGTCCTCCAAGTCATTGTCTGTGAGATTCAGTTCCACCTTTTCGCCAAGGCACTCACCGCAGATCTCCCACCAGCCCACATGACGCAACTGGAGATAGCCCTTGAGGAGACATGTCAAACTCTCATAAATCTGGGAGGCGATATTCTGGCCACAGTTCCGCAGTCTTTGGGGATTGTTTCGTCGACAACTCAGCCTCATACTCCCACGGATTCGTCCGCAAACACAAGTGTCTCAGGTGGACATATGCTCATGTGGTGCCTCTACACGGTAGGCAAGTCTCCAGTTACAAGAAGCTGGACCCGAAAATGGATCATGAGGCGTCTTCAGGATATCGGTCAAAACGCAGGCCTCCCAATGGCCCTTCAGTTTGTCAAAGACATAGATGAAATAGAAAATGCAGCCAGCCTCTTGGAGCTCAAATCTCCCTAGGTGTCAATCGCTGATTACTTATCTCGATATCAATGGTCCATGTCTTGCCACAGAGTTACAATGATGAGGTCTTAGATTTGTAAAAGTAATACACATTATTACAGTTGTACGGCCTTTCGATTAGGCAAGAAAAGAATAGCCCTTGAGGGAGTGGAGAAATACTATATTGATATTATATTAGAAATTGATTCTTACTAGAATCAAGTGGGATCCCAGGGGGTCTTGATTATACCTAAATCCAGGAGTCCTTATTATGTGATGTCCTTGCGACATTTCCCTTAGAGATTCTTAGAGTTAAGAACTTCGTTCTCCGTACATAGCGTTCGTTATATTTGGTTTTAGAGGATATCGTAAATAGTAGTTTCTCCTTCATTGAGCTGGGATACATAGTGTCTGCGGTTCCTCGGGAAGAGTACCCATTAGGCTCGTGCCCGATTCTAGTTCTATATACTACTCTAGTTACGTTCATTCTACGAGTATCTCGTATATCTTTATCTTCAGTATTACTACGGTAGTATTCGCGGTCGGTCACAAAATCTATCCGGATTCCTTAGCAAGGTATTACTTATGATACGACTTATACACCTTCCCTCTCCCTCTAAGAGGAATTAGGGAATACACGCGACTTAGGTGCGATTATCGAGCTCATTGATCGGTTCTAGGACCTATGATCGCTATTTAAGGCTCCCTTTATTTTTTGCGTACCCCGTATAAACGACTGTAACCTACGCCTCGATTAATTTCGTTTGTGATTCGGCTTCGTTTCGGGTGTGGTCGACATTTTTTCTGCAGACCGATGATGAATTGTATACACAATACGTTGTCGTTCGTCGATGTGCCATGGTAAATCCCCTTCCTCGACCCCCCGTACCGCCTCAGCGGATCAGTGGTATTTGTTTTATGCAAGTGAGCAGGGTTGAGGAAAATTCGGGGATCGTGACTCACTCCTAGTAAACATCGATAAGTTTCTCAACAAATATCTATGTTAGCACATCGAGGACGAAACTGTACCGAAACAAGACCGAAATTGGGCGGAAACCCTTTTTGCTCGCTAGGCAGTGTTTTGCTCGCTGATCTTTAACAAAGTTATCAAAGCTGGCCAGGAGATCACCAAGCGCGTCAGAGATAGTAGCAATCAGCTGACTCTCTACTATGCTTGCTTGATATCTGCAAGATCTGAGCCTCTTTTGGGTCAGAACTAGAAGTCTACACCTCCCAATTTGATGTTTTTGATGAATGAATCACATTTTAGCGTTTTTTCTTAGCATTATATCAACTTCATATCGGTTTTTAAGTATCATGTTTGACATCTCATCTTAACCTCAGCATTGTATCAAATTTGATGTGAAACTTGGTACTCAAAAAACACTCAAACGTTACTCATTTGCTAGTATCAAACATATGTCGCTCCTTAAGCAAATCTCGGAGGATCCCATCTCATCATGATTTATCATCCATGTTTCTTTCCCATTTCTTTGAACTCTAACCTGCACACTGTTGATTCTTCCCTTTGTCCGTCTCGGAGAGCGAATAAATTGTTTCTTGTTCAATCTCCCTCTTAGACAAACCACCTCTCGAACCATCACTCCAAATGTCAGTTTCAACCCTTTCAAGTGAGCTGTTGCTCCTGATCGCACAGCAACTTGAATCACAAAATGACCTCAAAGCTCTGATAGAAGTCGACCACCGCTTCTATCAGCTGCTGAAACATGTGCTGTATCGATATGACCTTCACCGTCGGAACGGGGATGGAGTTCTCCGAGCAGCCAAGCTAGGATCCATCTCTGCAGTAGCTCAGTTCATCGAAGAGGGATACCGTGTGAGGTTTCGACCTGCTCATAGCCAGGAGCACCTCCCAAATATGGCTGGGGACGCGGTGCCCTGTTCGTGTCGAATGGAGCATCCAATTCTGAATGCTGCAGAATACGGGCATTCGGCGCTGGTCAAGTATCTACTAAGCGAGGGCTCAGAGCCAGCCCTTGAAAACAACCTTGGCCAAACTCCCCTGCATCTGGCGGCAAAGAACGGGTTTCTCTCGGTCATCAAGATTCTGTTGAGCGGGTCGACATTTCCCACCCCCAAGGACACTAACTTCGCGTTGGCTCCTATCAAAGAGGCTGCATTCAGGGGACACACACACGTAGTTGAATACTTTTTGTCTTCTCTTTCGAGCCCTAACAACTCGGCTTCTTCGTCTCTTCCCTTTGCTGCTGCGTCCGGTGATACAGCCTTGGTATCGGTGATTCTTGGTTATGGAGCAAATATCAATCACAGGTACATTGAATTCCATGGCCCCAGGGTGTCCATAAATCCGGAAGCAGGAAGAGGACACGAATCATCCGCACTATCAGTGGCAGCCAGACATGGCCATCTGACATTGATGGACTTCCTTCTCAACCACGGCGCCAAGGTGAATCTCAAAACTGGTCTCCGAAATTCCCATTTGTGGAAGACCCCCTTGAGCTCAGCAGTCAGGAGCGGGCATGTCGAGGTCATCAAGACACTTCTAGCCCACAGTGCCAAAATCACGGAAGGAGATTTATGTACCGCAATTTGGCAGAGCAGGAAGGAAGCGCTTAAGGTTCTACTCGCCAAGTTCGAAGTCAAGAATTGTCATTTCGATCTCTTAGATTTCGCAGAAAAGTTTGGCGATGTTGAATTTTACCAGAGTGTATCGAACAAAGGCTTTGGTAAAAAAGGGACCATCGCCAACGCAAGAGAATCTGGTTAATGACGCAGTCCTCACCATTCGTCAGGGAAACGGACTAAATCCTGGTTTGCCTATCTTGCGCAATTCTTTTATTAGCCTAGCGATTCCTCGCAGACACAGCAGCACCATGAGACTGTTCTTTGGCATTGCGCTCACATCTACCTGGAGAACCTGGGACTTCTGGAATATCGAGCTCCAAACCACATAGTTGAGTTCGCAAAACAGTTCCCTTTGCAAGCCCTCAGAGAATGGAATAATTATTTCTCTGTGTTTATATCGTCATATTGGAAATATTGAGTACGGTTTCACTAGAAGTAGACTTCGATAAAAAATAGTTAAGAGTGATAGGCATTGTAACAGCTCTGCTAGAGTGATGTTTTATCCAAGTATCTTAAGTATCTAAAGCAGACCTAGTCTGCCTCTTGTATTACTTAAATTACAATTCTATTCTATCATAACGATAACGACTTAGCTGCGTGTCACTTTGGTGACTCTTTGTTGAATTGTAATCTCACAACACTCACAAATGAACCATACCCTCTGGTGTATATGAATATATTTGGAGCTCTACATGGCATAATATCTCTATACACTAAGACTATATTGATCTTGGCTCTATGAGGCACATTACGGCGGCACAGTGAAGAGATAAATCATTCATGCTAGATACAGAGACAAGCATAAACTCCAACTGATATAACATAGCGACGACCAGTAGTCGTGCGCAGTAGTGATAGCCCTGCAAGCCTATGACTTAGCGCAGTAGAGGAAGGGACAGTCGTCTAACGTTAACTTAATGGCCAACTCATACAATGATGTCAACATACCCATCGATTCGCCGACTGCATTTAACTTTCTATTAAACTAATGTAGATTATCTGCGCAGACAGTAAGATATGTCATCTTGTTATTATGCAGAAGCATTTAGTGCGCTGTCGCCCTGCAGGGGTATATATTTGATCTGCATCATGACATATCTATGACAAGTTAGCCTCGCTGGACTTTAATATTGATTGTGTTTGTTGTATGATCTGCAGTGTAATTAAAAAAAACCACAGCACATGCACTCCATACGTATATTATGCTTGGCATAATTTGCAAAAGCCAAAACGTAGTACTGGTCAAGAGGATAGGGATTGATGTCACTTAATGATGCACCCCCGCTCTGCCAAGGTGAGAGCCGCCGGTGATGTATTTTAGTTTTCCATAACGAGACTAACTTACATGCAAGCAACTTTATAAGATACGGAGAAGGTAATGTAATATTCGTACATTAGTCGCGATTGTTCAAATTACAAAGCGCTGGTCTCAGAGAAAAGTAAGTACAGTAGTCTGGTGAACGAATGCCGAAGCCTGAAAAGGGCAAATGCATAATCAATAAGAAAAATGACACCCTGCTATGCTGTTGAAAGGAGGTAAGACGAGAACGAAAAGGGAAAAGCACTAGACAAGAATAGAAGGGCGTAGTATCCGAGAGAGTGCTCATAGATATCGGCAAGAGCCGCCTGTCAGAATGAATCTCACGTAAAGACGGGAAGTCTAATAACGGAAGGCCGAGCTGCAGGTGCCCCGAAGCAGAAAGACTCTCCGCACGAAGTGAACTCTGGGAGCGCTCAAGCCGCGTGTATTTTATTTTTTTCAGATGACCGTTGGGTCTTCGTCTCCGTAGGAATCCGCATCGTCAAAGAAAACAGCAGACTGGCGTCGCATTTCCTCCATGATGCTCCCCCGCCGGGAACTCGGGGTCTGAGGACGTGATGAGGCTGTCGATTGGGACATGCTATCCGATAGGTCGGTGAACCGCGACTCATCTTTGTAACTGGACCCTGCGCGCTCTGGAAGATTCTCGTCTAGCCGCTCTTCCCTGGGATCTGAGTGTTCACTCTCTGTGTTGTGGAGACGACGAGAGAGAACTGGGGATAGACTGCGCCCACCTGTTTTGGATTCTTGAAGTCCTTTCATGATCTCATTCTCGACCTTGAGTCGATTCTGAATGAACTGAATTTTGGGGAATGCGCTTTGCTGGCCAACATGAATCATACGAGCGAGACGTTCAGGATTTGGATCGGAGAGAATATGGATGAAATCGGAGGGTATGCTCTTGGGCCAGATAGTCACAGTGCCACTGAACTTTTGCAACCAAATCTCACTCCAGTCTTGCCCCATGGGTCGTGGGAGCAATTCTAAATGCCGAAGAACTCGAAGCCATTTGTTGAGGTCTAATTTGATATATTGTTCGATTGCAGTGCCGAGGAAACCGCCGCGCCAACCACGGCCCTTGCGGTGCGTGACTGGTCGCCCTACCGTTCCCCGAGAGCTAAAGAAGAAAAGGTTGATGTGAGGGTTCACCTGATACAGTGTCAGTGGCAAGAGAGTACAAAGAAGCGAGGGTAATATTACCTGAGATACAATCGTGAAGTTGACGTTGAAATGTAGGTTCAGTGCTTTGATTGGTATATCAGTCCGCAGACTACCATCCTTCCACTTATGTCCAAACGAGTAAGGCTTGAGAGTGCCATCACGCTTTTTGGTCATCAAGACTACCGGATTGAGAATGCCTGGAACAGCCGCAGAAGCAAGCACCGCACTCCATATGACGCAATCGGGGCATGTCAAATAATTGGCCAGGATGGTCGGCGAGTGAGGATCTGAGGGCACACAGGTGACATTCAAGATGCGCCCAGTCCGCTCGTAAGCTTCCCGAAACGTAGTTGAGCCCCTGCAGAACCAACCACACTGTCGGGCCCAGTCAATAGTATCAAACCTAGCACCTGTTCGCCACCAGCGACGGGCCCATGTAGGAAACGCTTCGTGACATGCTCGAATCCGATGTGCCAAGGCTGGGACGAGCAGCTGTTTCAGCTCTTCGTCAGTTCTGGTCGCAACCAGCCCCGCCACTAGCGCTCCACCTGAGGTTCCGGTAATGATCTCCGGAAGGACATCATTGTCTAATAGAGCCTTGACGACACCAAAGTGGTAGTAAGCGAATGTGGCCCCACCTGACAGGCAAAGTGCGGTGCGACCGAAGTTTGTATCGAGATGCTTAAAGAACTGATACTTGGCGTCGTTGTCAAACTGATTGCTGTTCTGAACGAGTTCAATACATGCGTGTACCTCGTCGATGTATTCTTGAACCAAGTCCTTAGTCCCAGAATAAGTTTCGCTGTATATTCGAGGATTTTCCACCCCCGCGAAATTGTTCTTGACGCAAGCTTCCAATAACGTACGAAGCTCTTCAATAGCCGATACTTCGCTCGGGTCACTCTGCCCATCCTCTATTTCGCGTTCTGCCCCCGCTCTGGCCTTCTTCAGCTGTCCCACCACCTTGTTGATTGTCAGATGATCATAGTAAGCGTATTCATCGGTCTGTTTCCACTTTTCGGTTCCGAGGTGGACGTCCAGTGCCTGGGCCGCTTTCAACCATTCTGGATAGCTCCTCTGCGCAGATAATTCCCGGCGCAGTCGTTCCCTCTTGCCACGCCATGTAACCCATTGTTCATAAATGAAGATGTAGACTCGGATCAGCACATATCCAATGCTCAACAGGGTAATCCACGTGAACACAGTGAACAGGAATGGCCATTTCAACACCGTGTATAACACCCCCTCTCTTGTCTCATCCTTGCTCCGCTTGGGTTGTTTGCGACGACCCCGACTCTTGCGGACCCTCTGGTTGATTGGGCGCCAGTCATTGATAGCCGTCAATGGGGACGCTTCTGGGGCATTCAGGGCCCTCTCGAATCGGTCGAGTTCATCGGGTTCAATAAAGTCGCGGTCGATATCGGGTAGACAGGCCGGATCATAGGGGTCGTACACTGCAGGCTGCTTCTCGTTGGTCATATTCAATGCATGCTGGAGTGACGAGAAACAATGTTGAGGCGCCAACAGGTCGTACCTGGAATCCGGTTGGGGAAGCTATGACGCTGGCATCACGTGCCTATTCATCTCCGCACACGCTAGTGCCGGATCTGGCTAGAGCCTCTCAGTTGCTGAGTCATCTATATCTGCCCCGCCAGATAAGAAATCGTCAACCACGGATGCCGAGGCTCTGAACAGTGGAAGTACGAAGAATTGAGCACTTGGAGGTTCGACTCTGAGATAAGTGATCAGCTATATGCGCATTGAAGTCTTACCGCCACTTCATGGTCACCACTTTGGAAAATACCCCCTAAGCATTCTTCGAAACTGAGTTGCTTCGGGAGGGAACAAGGCAAGCATTATCCTACTATGCCAAACAACGGCATTCAAATACGACAATGCCACTGTGCGACAGTGTTGGGAGTGTTTGGAATGTGCCCCTCCTCCATGCACGCCCCGCGAGGAATTGACATTCCTCAGACGAAATTCTCTCTCTTGGTTCTATGAGCGGGGCAGTCCTGGTCATCTCAAAGGCGAATCCGAGACTTCTTTCGTTTTCGTCTCAAAGAAGGATACTTGATGCTCACCGCTAGATGAGGTAGCATGAATCGCAAGGAAGATACCGGTGTCCTTCCCTGATTGGTAGGCATGACGGCAGAGTTTGTTTGTCGCAGCCGAATTGGAGGCCCAGGAAAGCATCCCATGGGTTGGCGGGGTTAATCTCGCTCTAGCTGCATGCATCAAGGTCCGGGAAATGCTTTGTGTACGCGGTGTCGGACATAAAAAGTCGATCAGATATCAGCCACCACCTTCTTCTATAGGTTGGCCGAGGGTGTCAGCTTGGTCACCTGACCTGAGTGTTGGAAGACGCCTCTATTCACAGATTAGGATGATTGGCAGGAGCTAGTTCTTAGCGTCTGAGGATGCAGGATGAGTCCCTAATTAGGCTCTTTCCGGCGAAGATAATCCGGATATGTTCTTCCATTAGGTCATGTTCGTCCTTGACGCTGATCATGCTGATCATTTTGCTAAATTCCTAAATCCAGTGCCAAAAAAAGTAAACATCGCGCAAGCCATCGCTTCTTGTTGCCACTTACGATCCCACATTCGGCTCTCTACACCAGCGACGCTTGAGTATTCAAGTGTCGCATTCATCTGTCTCATCCCGACCTTGGTATATATTAAATGACCGTTTTGCGCCGTAGCCGCAGAATTTTTATTAAGTTGAGTTAGCCTCTTCAACATCCCTGAACGTGCCGGCGGCGCTGAACTTACAGTGTGAATTCTATGTCATGGCAACCCTGTCGTCCAAGGCCCCGCTTTCAAGGCCCTTGGCATTTTCTATCGTCGTGAACCCGCTCAAGTTCCCTATTAAGCCCTATGCAGATTGCCCGATCGGCGCAAAGATGTATACTTGGGTTGTGTCGTGTCGAGAAAGACTGCCCCGCTTACGAAGTTTAACCAGTAGTACTCCCCGAATTGAGCAAAAGCAAAAATGTTCAGCGAGCCACCAGTTGGAAAGGGATTGCGTTTGCCAAATGATCACGCCGGGTATCACCCAATCAGCATGTTTAAACGCTCATCATATCGCACGCCTCGAGGGATCGTCCAAGGGTGGAGAAGGTGGCCTCGGAGATCCGAGGCCGGTCAACGCCCGAAGACATTTACCCTAGTTTACTGTTGGTCCAGTATTTTCTCTGACTCTTGTCTCTCTCTCCAGAGTACATACTCCGTACTGGAGGGGCGTTGATCGTCATCATGTGCCCGCCCCCCTTGGCCGATGGTTTGATTACCATGTGCTGAACATTCCTGGGGTGATAGGAGGGTCTGAATGCTGCCCCCCCGATCGGCCACAATTTTGACGTGAAATCTGATGTAGCCAAAATGAAAAAGTGAGCCCACATGTACATGTGTGCTAGGATAGACATACTTAAAAAACGGCAGGGATGCTGCAAACTCCTCGCATGAAAGGTGCAGAGAGTTGTATGCGTCGGGGTCAAAAGTTGAACCGAGCGTTTTGAGGCGCATAAAGGAATGTTCAGATGAAAAAAAATTATACCCCGCGCTGGACAGGGATAAAGGTAATTGAAACAGTACAGAAACATAATTCCCAAGGTTCGTATGCTACGATGCCGTCAGACGTTGAGGCTATAGATGAAGGGGCTGAGTCGAACCTTGGAACCACCAACCGCCCGTACCCGCTCTACAAGCGGTGTGACCATTGTCTTCCTGACTCTCTAGATCAACTATTTACATCATGTCGGACTATAGCATCAGTTGATGTCATTTGGGTCATCATCAAGTCTCCACCCCAGAATGTCAGATGTGCGAGCGACTCGACGATCCTAGATAGCGTAATGGCAAATTCATATCCCCGACTGATTGGCTCTTTGGCGACTTTATAGAGCTCCTCTCCAGTGTATTTACCATTCTTTCCGAGTGACCGGGAGCCACTACTGCCTACTAGGCATTCGAGTATGCAAATATCCGCATGCGCCCAATGGTATGCCTCGTGCGATCACGACCCCCCTAAACCCTGATTTGATCGGCTGCCCCCTTCAGCGCCTACAGATGACCAACCGCATTTCCGGCAAGGGCATCTACACAATAAAAAGCAAAGCAGAAAAGAAAAAAAAAAGAAAGAAAAAGCGGGCCAACGGGAGCACGGGGCAACTAAACCACTCGGCATTCCCACCCGGTCTGCATCGTGGGCTGAAGTTGCCTGCGTGTGGCTGCGTCGGAGATTGATCAACGCCACCATGGGAAAGTTTCACCTGGGTGTATATCTGTAGGAGGGGCTGCAAATGCATGAATGGGAAGATGTTATGGGTGTCTATTTTTTTTTTGGTCGATCAAAGAGAGCCCCTCCGATCCACTTTTACTTCTGTATGGTCTGAGTATCCTTCGGAGAGTGTTGACGCTCTTTGGTTCCGATTTATGCAGGAGAGAGGGGGGGGGGCCATCGGACTAATCATAACTTATATTTACCTCGCAAACACCGGGCTTTTGATATAGACGCGGCAGAAAGTCGAACTAAATTACTAGGCGCCTTCATAGGCTCGCCACTACCCACCTGGGGTTAGCCAAGAAGTTATCCCGGGCTTTAACTTACATGAAATAGATTAAGATAATTGATAGATCAAATTGGATAGGACAATTGAATTGAAGCAGGGAAGAGGGAGAAGAGAAGAGAAGAGAAAGAGAAAGACAAGCCCGATAGAAGTGAAGAACAGGAAAAAACAGTAAAATAGTCGAGTAAATCAGATATCATGCGACTATCTCTCAGCTGATACAAGTGGTAAATTTGCGTATCTCTCGTATTGAGGTTTGAGGATAAGCGTATTATTATTTAGTTACCCCGTGGCCCTCAAACCTTCAACTTCTCCTTCTTTTCTCCCCTACTTATCTTCCTCCCCCTCCTCCCCCCCCCCCCCCTCCCCCCTCCGCTTCGGGTCAAGGTAGAGTCATAACTTTGACTCACCTCTCTTCCTCTTCCTTTCTTAGGTATGGTGTAGTCAATCCCCATAGATCTTCGTTTGGGCTAACCCTCGCCTGCAGAGCCGTCGCTCGATCTTTTCTTCGAGATCTCGCTCGGGTCGCACAAGCAAGATGTCGACTACTCCTGGTTGTATCTGTTGAGTTCCCCATCTTCAGATTCCTCCCGGCCTTACCGGACCCCCTTGTTGGCACCATGGAGAAGTTAAACACTGGAGATGGACAACTTTTCATCAAGGTTGGTATTCTCATTCCTGTGGATCAGCTACTCCACCTTGTCGATGGTGGGTTTCCAGATCGCTAACTGCGTTGTTTGTTTTGTTAGAACGTTGCCAGCTTCGTTCGCACCCATGAAAAAGCCCTCGCCAATGCCCTACAACTTCGACGTCAACCCAAAAACACCGCGACTTCCCAGTCACCGACCGCCTCGGGCTCCGGCGCTTTCTCCTCTGCGCCTCTCAACCTAGCGGCCGCATTCTTCAAATTTACCACGCAGAATAGCAAAACCGCCAAATTGACCCTGACCCCCCATCACCTGTTCTACCTCCTCTCCAGCTTCGAGGACTTGGGCATTGCCGTGGGTCCCATGAACGTTCGACTGGAGAACATCCACACCGAGGTCTCGCAGTCCTATGTCTCCTTTTTAAATAAACCACAAAGGTCTCGAGGCGATGGCGCCTCGATCCACTCCGTGTCCAGCGTGCGTAGCGTGATGTCAGGTATGACTGACCTCTGGTCATCCTTCCGAATGGGACCCAAGGACAGCCCTTCCAAGTCAGAGAAGGCAAAGGCCGCCTTGGATATGGATCTGAAGTACCTCTACTCCGCCTTTACCAAGATTCCCTGTCTACGCCTTGCCCCGGACCACCGAGCTCCTTTGATCAGTGGATATGAAGAATTTCCTTTTGATACGGCTGTGCCGCTGCATTCTTTCAAGAACTTGAGCGCTTTAGAGATCATTGATTTAGACTACCGTTCCTTTTACGGATGGGACCGATTGTCCGAGCAGCTTCGCAGCTTGACAATCAAGAGAGCGCACCTGGATGATCCCGCCGACCTATTGACGAGGATCGTATTGGACGACATTGACAAACGACGCCGACGATCTGCCAAGTCCCAGCAATCGCCGCCTCTGGGATGGACCAGCAGCTCCAGCGCGCAGCCTGTCCACACTCCCGATCACTCCTCCCTCTCCGCGCCTGGGTCTCCTATCGCAAACACTTCACTTGGAACCAGTTCCAGCCCCAAGTCGAGTCCGATGATGCGAGCAGGATCAGAAGGCGCCAAGATTCGCACACGAGCCGGAAGCATCTCGCCGACTCGTCCCCCCGTCAAGCATGGCCACCGTCGAGGTCAGTCCCAGCGTATTATTCGACGCACTGGTTCTGCAAGCTCGGAATCTAGTGACATCTCAGCTGGTCATCGCAATGGAAGTTCTTCCAATCTCCTTGCTGATGTTCTATCGCCTGCGAAGTGGCGATTCCTGCGACACCTGGGGCTTCCCGAAAACTCCCTCACGTCTATATCTGCCGCCAGTCTCGCCCCGGTCGCTAATTCTCTCAACTCGCTCGACCTGTCGTCGAACCTCTTGACCGAGATCCCCGATAGCCTGGCTTCCTTGATGGCCTTGCGTGCTCTCAATCTGTCGTATTGCATGATTGAGTCGCTTCATTCGCTTACTCGAAACCCTCTCCCTGCTATCACTGCTCTCAACCTTCGCGGGAATCGCCTCCGCTCACTTGCGGGAATTGAACGATTGCTTTCGTTGGAAAGATTGGATCTTCGTGACAACAACCTCACGGACCCGACAGAGATTGCCCGGTTGACTAGTCTCCCTGAAATACGGGAGATCTGGGTCTCCGGTAATCCATTTGTCAAGACCCACTCTGGATATCGAATTGTGATTATGAACTTGTTCCGCCGAACGCCTGGTTATTCCGATGACATTATCATCGATGGTAGAGGGCCGGGTTACACCGAGAGGAAGCAGCTCGTTGAGCGCGTTGCAGAGCCTCAAGGTGCCCCAATAATGCGGCCTGCACCCGCTGATGAACCAATTGTCGTGCAAAAGTCTACCATTACAATCATTCCTTCCGAAACTGCAATTTTTCAGCCAGTACAAGACGAGGGAGACTCGCGCGTGAATGGGGCGCAGAAAGAGATTGATAGCGCAACCAACCGCCGAAAGAAAACTCAGCGTCGCAGGATAGTTGATCACTCAACCGAGAACCCATTTATCACTGATGGACTAGGAAACTCGGGGAGCACCGCTCTTCCAGTTCTTCCTATTCAGCACATCCAAGCACCGGTGAATCATTCAATGGTCGCCCCCGTTGAACAGCCGTGGAGGCTGGACAGCGGAACACAATCCGGATCATCGAGCATTCAAAGTCCTGTCAAGCCTATGCATTCCCCTAATCCGGCATTAATACACCCATCGCAAGGCAAAGAAAGGACTATGGATGAAGAGTTTTGCCGTCAGCATTTGGAAGTCCTCCAACAAGATGTCGGACATAACTGGCTCACCGTGCTCGGCGAAGGCGACTGGGATAATTCTCACAAGGACTTTGCCCACATCTCAGGAGCTGGGTTGGATCATTCAGCTCGGTTTCCTACCCCGCCACTCACCCGCTCAAATACCCAAGCGATCCTCAGCGGAGGCCATGCCCTGAGCGGATAAAAAGCATTTTGCGATTCGCATCTCATTCGCCCCGTGGTCCTCTCATGAATACCCTCGGCGTATCCGCCTCTTCTCGCGAGGGACCATAATCTATCTGGTTGATTCTTCTCCCTATGCCGGGACGACTCCCCCAGGTCCCCAGGGACTACTTGACCAACATATTTGCTGCCTGATACAGGCAGGCAATCATTCTATGCATTTTTTTTCGGCGTTCGATGACTTACGAGCCATGGTGGGTTGGATGTATGATTTATTTACGGCCTTTGATTTCGCACTGTTTCTGTCCATTTCTCTCCTCTTTTCAAAACGCATGCACTGATGATCCTTGATCATCCTGATTCAGGGAGGGCATAGTGAAAGACATTTTTTTGTTTTGCTTTTGGTTAGAGCGTGTATTGTATGATTCTTGATTTTCGGGCATGTTGGCGTTGGCGGGATCTTTGATGTCTTAATTCCCCTCTTGTTCATTCATCTCTTGTGGTTTTTTCTCCGGTTCTATCGAGCGACTTTCTGTGCATGAGCCATGGCTTCTATCTGGATAAACAGCATGAGGCACGAGATACGATCAGTTTGAATAAGATCACCGTGAGAATACCAATCTGCCTTTGTGTGGACTCATCCCTGTAGCAAGAAGCTTGACTGGGGTAGTCTCCAGAGTATTATATAGTTTCTATACGAAAGCCTTGAACTTAGTCGAACGTCTTATGCATTGGTTTCACTCTAATTTGACGCCTCTTTCACCTCTTTTATGCACATTGTCGAGTGTCTCGGGTTTCCCATGTCGATTGTATAAAACTCGGGCGTCAACGGACTTGCCCTTGGAGCCTGCTCACATCCCTCTCCTCGGGCATATGTGTATAGAAATGGAATATTCTCTCGGACAAAGCACCAAATTCCATGCGAGCGAGACCCCCCAATCCTCGATACAATGCCATTATAGACCCATGGCCACTGTCGAGACTCTATCAGCCTCGTGCTTGGACCCCATTTGGCGTCGCGGCGCGCAGTCTCGACCTCGAACGCCAAAAGTCATGCAACAGATTGTGCATACAAGGTTGTCAAAGCGTAAAAAGATGGGCATAGTAGAAGCAGATCAAAGGGCCCAGGAAACAAGGTCTATATATAACCCAACCAAACAAGCGCAAACACAAATGGGAAGTTCCCGCTTTGCAAAAAGATTCTCTCCTTCACAACTCTCGACAGGTTTCTCTTTCTTGTCTCTTGTCTTCTTTCGCTTCTCGATCTCTTTTCCATCTTTCTCCCTTGATTGAGAACTTCCTTTTCCCCTCTCCAGATTCTTCCCTGTCGCTTTGGCTTCTGCCTCACCGTTTTGCCCCCCCATCCCTCTTCTCGACCTTCGCCGGCTTCTTTCATCGAACCAATTAGTTCTCGACCTCTTGCTCAGCCTCATCTATCTTTTGAGGCGTCTACGAGCCCATCCCCCTTGATCCTCCCCGCGCACCGTACAGACAAGCGAGTCGGATAGGCACCACCGTCCCACATCCGGGCATCTTTGCCAGATCATTCTTCACGCGGCCGTTGGGGCCCTTCTTCAGATCTTTTCGGTCTTGAAATATCTCTGGTAGGTCGTCTTGTTTATTTTTTGGGGTGGTTGTTCCCAGTCCTGTTCGCTCTACTCCACCGCCAAGGGGGAGGGGGGAGAGAAAAACCCAACAGGAAAAACCGAGCGCGTCCGTTGAATTTGCCTCTCAGGACATTTGGAGATACAAACCCGGACATCATTTCAATCTGGAACCTTTATTAACTTGTTTGTTACAAAGTAGCAGGACATAGCCGCGTCATCAAATTTCTGCTCTCCTCGCCCCGATCGCTCCGGAAGTCTCTCTTCCCGCGTTCCCTTTCTCATTTCTTCATCCATTTCTTTCTTTCGTGTTTTCTCTTAGACCGACGCCATGGCCGACCAGGAAGTCGATCTGGACTCAATCATCGACCGCCTCTTGGAGGTGAGGGGTAGCCGCCCTGGAAAGCAGGTTCAGCTGCTTGAATCCGAGATTCGTTATCTCTGCACCAAGGCTCGTGAGATCTTCATCTCTCAGCCCATTCTGCTGGAGCTGGAAGCGCCCATCAAGGTGAGTTTTTTTCTTTCTTTCTGACCGCTGCGTTTTCAAGTGACTGTCTCACGCGTCGACTCTCCCTAGATTTGCGGTGATATCCACGGTCAATACTATGATCTCCTGCGTCTTTTCGAATACGGCGGTTTCCCCCCGAGGCTAACTACCTCTTCCTCGGTGACTATGTCGACCGTGGCAAGCAATCTCTCGAGACTATCTGCCTTTTGCTCGCTTACAAGATCAAGTACCCCGAAAACTTCTTCATTCTGCGTGGCAACCACGAGTGCGCCTCGATCAACCGTATCTACGGTTTCTACGATGAATGCAAGCGTCGTTACAACATCAAGCTCTGGAAGACTTTCACCGACTGCTTCAACTGTCTCCCCATTGCCGCCATCATTGATGAGAAGATTTTCACCATGCACGGCGGTCTGAGCCCCGACCTCAACTCGATGGAGCAGATCCGTCGTGTCATGCGCCCCACGGATGTAAGTTTTCCCTCATTTCTGATTTCCTTGCGGACGGGTTTGGGTTTCTTTTTCTTTTTTTTTTTTTTTTTTTTTTCTTTCGGCGGGAATCAAACTTGAGGCGCGGAGCTTCTCGCGGCTAAAGGCCAAATCACTAACTTCAACAGATCCCCGACTGCGGCCTCCTTTGCGATCTCCTGTGGTCCGACCCGGATAAAGATATCACTGGCTGGAGCGAGAACGATCGCGGTGTCTCATTCACATTCGGCCCCGATGTGGTTTCACGCTTCTTGCAAAAACACGACATGGATCTGATCTGCCGTGCACACCAAGTTGTTGAGGATGGATATGAATTCTTCTCCAAGCGTCAGCTGGTCACACTATTCAGTGCTCCCAACTACTGCGGTGAATTCGACAATGCAGGTGCAATGATGAGCGTAGACGAGAGTTTGCTCTGCTCCTTCCAGGTATGCTTTTCCCAACCCTCGCTTTTCTGCTTCCCCTCTCTAACCTATCTCCCTCCTGCAGATCCTGAAACCAGCCGAGAAAAAGCAAAAGTACGTTTACGGTGGCATGAGCGCCGGCGGTCCCGTCACTCCTCCGCGAAAGCAAAAGAAGAAATAAAAGAATCAATACGAGCTTCCCCATCTGCAGCAGGTTCGGGCGGAGATAAGCCTTTTACAAATCTCATTCACAGCGCCCTCATGACATCCATCCTACCTACAACCCCCGCCGCGAGTCCCTCCGGATCCACGAAAACGATGAACGACCGAGGAGCTCCTCATCCGCACTAAGGGCAGTCCGATATTCTTCAACTCCGCCAACCCCCGATAATACCAATCTCTGTTTCAACATATCTTTCCGCCACAAACCCCCGGACTTCCCCAGTGCGACATGCGAACAAAAATCAACCAGTCTCCATCATTTCCTGACCCGATCCACCGCGACCTCTGTACTTCCGGAGCGGAGTTTCAAATGCTTATTTCGTCTTTTTCTCACCGGTTCCTATTCGACTTCCCTTTCTCTGTTCTTGTTTCTAACCCATATCTGATGTGGATGGCATGGAGGAAAGAAGGGGGAGTTTGATTCGAATTATCTTTCTCCTTTTTCTTTCTTATTTTCTCTCTCGACTTCCTTATTTGTGTCAGTGTGTCTCTTTACCGCATGTGTGCTTTGGTCTTTTGATTTCCTCTTTACATCGAATTCTATTCGTCTATCTCATCATTTCTTCTTGCCCAGTACTGAAGTTCTGAAGTCTTGAAGTGAGGCCGATGAGTCTGTCTCTACCGTAGTCTTGTGCTGATTGTCAGTTCCGGGTTGATTCTACGCATAGCGAGGACTCTAAATAAGATCGACCGACAATGTTGAACTATTTCTGTGTCTCAGTGGATGTCCCCGAAAGTGTGATTCTGATGTTAGAATAGTCAGTCTTTGTTATCTCTAATCAAAATGATTATTTTGCATAATATATCCGTCTAAGTTAGTACCCATGTATACCTTTGAACGTCCAGAACAGATCCATCCTCGACGTGTAAATAACCAATGAATCAATACCTAGAATCCCATCATACTCGCGCAGGACAGAAGTTCCCCAGACAAAAGCGACACTGATTAATTACACTACACAGACCCAGCCAATAATAAAGAATAAAGTCTTTGAACTATAAGAACCAAAAACCGGCTAGCTAGCAGACCAAGCGCGAAAAGCAATTAAAAAGAAAAGGAGCATACATATCAAGACGTAGCATCAGCCGAGAAAGGGAGATGTTTATGTGATGTAGGTAAAACCGGTCCAATGGCAAGATTGTACAGCAACGCAAGGCAAGCGAAGCAAGCTTGGCATTAGACCGCGGGTAGTTTTCAGATGTGGGAATTTGAATTCAAATTGGGGGAGGTTGTGGTGGGGGAAAGAACCGAGGGGGAGATTGAGTTGTTCAAAGACGGGGTTGTATGTTATTTGAACGGGGAAGACAGGGTATGGTGTGGTGAATAGGTTGTGTTGAGAGCGCAAGGAGGAGTTGGGTTGGCTCGATTAAACGTATTGGGACAACCATCTGATACCCTCGCCGTATCCTGCAAAAAGAAAAAAAAAGGAATAGGTCAGCCATGATCACGAAATTGGCATTTCAGAGTACGAGAGGAGCTGTGGCACAGTGGAAATATCCGCGCGCTGCCATGGCTACATGCGGAATTCACCTCCGCGCCACAACACAGACTCGAATCGGAAATTGGCGTTGACAACTCACCTTGTCTCATGACAACACTGCACATGAACACCTCGATAGGACGGATACCCTCGAGAGGAACCTTGCCCTTACCAGTGGTCTGGTACAGACCAAGCTGGTGACGGAGCTCATCCTCGCTGACGGCGTCAGGGTGGTCGATCTTGTTTCCGAGGACGAGGAAGGGGACCTTGGAGAGCTCCTCCATGGCGAGGAGGGCGTCGAGCTCGACCTTGGATTCAGGGAAACGCTCGTAGTCCTTGGCGTCGACGAGGAAGACGATGCCGCTGACTTCGGGGAAGTAGTCCTTCCAGAGACGGCGAGCTAGATTGAAGTTAGCTATTAGATTGCTGTGCTCATTGCTTTGTTTGCGCATATCATGCGGTATCCATTTGATATGTTCTTGAGAGAGGGCTCACTCACCCTGCTGGTGACCACCGAGATCGAAGGTGGTGAAGCGGTTGTTACCGATGGCAAGCTCCTCGGAAGTAGGATGAGCAGTAGGCTGGAGGACAGCGACACGGTCGTTCTGTAATGCCATTCAGTTAGCAATCAGGTTCATATTCCCCACATATCGGGTCTCCATTCTCCAATCTTGAATCCTCATCCTTCCATCCAAGCATTAGACCCAAACACAAGATCTAAACAACCATGTAGCATGACCAAGCCGAATCACCCCCCATGAATATACAACCCCAGAAAAGCAAACAAACTAACCTTCAACATGTGCAGCAAAGTGGTCTTGCCAGCATTATCAAGACCAAGGAAAAGAAGCTTAGCATGCTTGTTCAGAAGACCAAGCGAAGCAAGAACATCGTAAACTGCGAAAGAAACCCCAAAAGTCAGCGGACCCTTATCACGAAATCCACCAACACAGCACACAATCAAACGTCACAAGCATCAATCACAAAGGCGAGCCGCGGCACAAGCGGCGCAACAGCCATCTCCCGAGACCCGAAGCCGAGAGACATCACACCCTCGCCAGCTCAAACAGATAGCCCAGAAGGGATTTTAGATCCATATCCCAAGTAAATCCATTTATCTCGCGGAGGGTATGAGATCGCAGGCTGGGTATGGTCCATGAAGATGGTGTTGCGGCATGCGGTGGTGTATGGTATGGTGTGGTGTGGTGGTGCGGTGGTGGTATCGGAAGAACTTACACCAGTTGACGATCCACATATTGAGAAGCCGGAGTCAGAGGTGTATCAAGTGGAAACAGGCGACAGGGCGGGGAGTCACAGAGCAGTTAATGGGAAGTGGTGGATGGATTGTGGATGGGGGTTGGCCAAGAAGACAGGTTTGATGTTGTTTTCAGGGTTGCGGCCTCAGGCAGGAAGCGGAATCGCCGCGAAGGTCGCAGAGGAACTTGATGCCCAAAAGGTCGGTCTTATCTTGGGTCTGCAGTGGGATTTGTTGGGGATTGGCTTGCGGATTAGTGCGAGGTTTTATTATTGTGGCTTGTGTTGTTGCTAGTGCTGTATTTGTGACAATCTACTTATCATCATCACTACGGATTCGTCTACGATGACTCTCAAGTATATCTCGAATATTTTATATTCACTCTCATCAACTGATGGATCTCTTCATTCACAATGCAGCAAATTCAAGGGGGTATATGCACCATAGCCATGCAAAAGACCAAAGAAAACGACCTCACAGGAGCAAGTCCACGGACAAGCAAAACAAAGAGAGGAAAGAAAGAAAGATTTAGATATACTTCCGACAGAAAATGCAAAGAAAGAGCCACCTCCGTGTAGGAATTAATAGTAACAGGGATATAATGAGAAAAAGGAAAAGCCCCTTGTGTAGATAACACAAAGCAGGAAGGGTAATATGTGAAGCGAAAGGCACTCGGATCGCTAACCGAGCAGGGTGAGCAAAAAGACCCCAAGCCAAAAAAAAAGAAGAAAAGGTAGAAAGAAGGTAAATGTAGATATGTGCAGTTCGTAACGGAAGGGTGGAACTTCTTTGCAAGTTCAAGGAATGGAAAACCTAAACGGATAGGACGAGCTGAGCGTCTTGACCGACGCCGTAAGCTCTGCACCTCTCAGCAACTTCGAGGCCAAGCTCCTTCATCCGTTCGGCTCCTTTGCCGGGGACCGGCCGTTTGCCCAACTGCTCTTTGGCAGCTTTGCGGCAGTGTTGGCGCCAGAACTTTTCTTTGCGTTTCTGGCGCTTTTTCTCAAGACCCTCGACAATGTCAACAGGGCCTCGAGTGTGTAATTCACGAGTGCGAGAATGTTCGCGCTCGGGGGATTCAGACAAGGGTGGGATTCCCTGCCAGCGGTGGTCCTTGTCCATGTCGGCGAAGAAAGGATTAGGTGTGCGGGGAAGAGACTTGGTGCGGACCATAGGACGACGCTGGACCAAGTGACTGATATTGAGGCCTTCGGCAGACTCGACCACAGGCATGTCCTCTGCAAATTCCCATTTCGCGGGGGTAGGAGACTTGGCACGCACACGGGGAGGTGGAGACTTGGCACGCACGCGGGGAGGCGGGGACTTGAGACGCTTAGGAGAAGTACGGCCAGCACGACGAGGTGGTGGGGACATCAGACGCTTAGGGGAGCGGAGGGGGGATGGGTGACGGGCATCTCCCTCTGGACGTCCTCGAGGTTCCTCACGATGAGTCACAACAGCGATGTCGGACTCATTATCGTCAGATTGGTCAATGTCCTCTTCGTCCTCGTCCTCGGGGTCGCTTGTAGGGAAACTGGGGTCGATATCTTGAGGAATCGGAATCTGCTTCGAGAGACGGCGTTGTTCCAAACAGGACTTGTAGGCGGCTTCAAGGGGACGGTCCTCATCGAGGGTTCCACAGACGAAGTCGGTACTATCAGGAAGGTTGGGGGTTCTCGGGCGAATCTTGATGCTCTGCGTTTTGGAAGCGCGACGAGCGTTGAGTCTTTGAACAGGAGCGGGAAGCCAGCTAGAGTGATCATCCGTCATGGAGTCAAAGGATATGTTCGAGGTGCGGCGTTCCAAAGGGGCGGGGCGGGTTTCTTTGAGTTGGATAGTAGGTTGGACGATGGGTTCCGGAATGGCAAGCGATGGAGCCCAGAACTCGTAGTCCGAGCCATCATCGTCACTCTCATCCGACTCTGCAAATCCAGCCTCATTGTCTGACTCGTTGCCGTCGTCAGAAGAAAAGTCGTGCACCGTTGAGTCATCATCAGCGATGTCTTCCGCATCCTCTTCCTCTTCGAGTGCCTCTTCCTCTGCCTGTTCACCAAGTCGTCGAATCGCAAATTCCTTCTTCATACAGTCGTTCAAAGTGATCTTTTCTGTGTAAGTGGGATCCTTGATCACCCATTCATCGTCTTCATCCAAAGAGCTAGCGAACTCGTGGAAGCGAGTGGCTTCTGATTCTTCAAACTTTCCGAGTCCGCTTGTGGGGACACCTGTGCGAATGGTAGATCCAGAGGCGGATTCTTCCGTAGGAACGTGAACTTGCGTGGGAGTCTTCTCAACGGAGGGCTTGCGAGTCGCTGGCGCAGGGGAACCACGGCAGCGTGACCGGAACATTCCTTTGCGCGCTGGAGAGCGGGTTCTCGGGCTGACCGCAGTCTCACGTCCAGGACACACAAATGTCAGGGTCGTCCGGCGCTTGATCTCCTGAATCGGGGCCTCCTCTTCGGGTGCCTCTTTTGGGGGCGGAAGTGTTTGTGAGTCAGAGGGTGATACTGGTGTTTTCGGTTGGCCATCTGTTTTACGTCCACATGCGAAGCTAATGCAACGTTTGCGGCCCAGGTTGGCTTCCACAGTCGTTTCACTTGGATCCACGACCTTGACCTTCGGGGTCAAATCTTTCTTTCCCATCATTGCTGCCTTTCCCATCATTTGAGGAGGCAGAGGCGGGCTGGGTGTGTTGGACAAAGAAGGGCTTGTAAGGCCGCCGTCGCTTGTGAGTTCGGCTGTCGAGATACCGCTAATGTTGCTGTGAGGGTAGGAACGGTACATGTATGAATCGTGCATGGAGGTGTGAGGATCGATGGGTGACATTTCGGGGCTGCTCTTCAATGCGCGTGTGAGCAGAGATTCCTTACGGTCCACAGTAGGACGCGCAAGGACGATTTGGTCGGAGTTCATGTGGGTGGCGTGGATAATATGATCCGGGGGTTCATCGACGTCCTCCGCAATTTCGGCCTCCTCATGGGCCGGAGTGGTGGAGTTTGATGAAATGAGCATCTTCAACAGATTGTGAAAAGAAAACGGTCTTTCGCCGCGAGTCTGTGCCATAGTTCAGGAGAGTAATCAAAGGGAAAATGATCCGTATTGAGACCGAAGAGTAGGGCGAAACAGTTGGCGTAGGCTCGGAGTCGAAGGTGACGGTAAATCGTTGCTTGATCGATGAAGTATAAGTCTTTCAACCAACGAAGCTCTGATGTCGATCACAGGTGTATGAATCGACCCAGAGGGCAGTGCAAGAAGTCCCGGACGAGGACGCTTGTCATGATATAAAACGCATGGCTCGAGTAGGGGGGTAATCGTGTCGAATGTGGGATATTCGCCAAGATCGATAATTGTCCGTGTTCAGGAATGGGCCCCAATGTTGAGGCTAGAACTGCCAAGGCGCGAGTGAAAAAGCAAGAATGTGAAGAGATGAAAATGAGGAGTGGAGAGAAAGAAATAGAGGAGAAAGAAGGGGTAAAAAAGATGGGGAGGGGAGAGGTTCAAAATAAAGAAGCATAAGAGTAGAAAGTGCATGGGAGGGGAGGAAGTGGGAGTGACGATACGGCAGTCCGGCACTGTCGTTTTCGGACTAGCGTGGTGATTTTTCTAATTTCCGATTCGGTCTTTTACCGTATTGGTATTGGTATTATTAATTTTCTGTAAGATTCGAGAAAGATTTTCATTGCCACTGCGCCAAGTACATGAAAATCGTACAGTATATTCGAATACTTAATAATAGTACAGCAAGTACAGCAAAGCAGAGAATTCACCCCCTCCTCAATGCCAATGCCCTTTCTCCTAGTAATATTAATAGTGTATTCATGAAACAGACAAAGCCAAGGTTTCATTTCGAGGGTCAATCCGTGTGTGGAGTTGGTCTATGAGGGATTTTGTGCTTAGGCTAAACCGGTTCAGGGCCTACTTTCACCCTCACATTAAACCAATACTTCTACGGAGTACTGACAGTTATATCCACCCGCGAACCATCGGTGAACGGAGAAAATTCTGAACACACAGCGAATAATAGCCGACCTATAGCAAAACATCGAAATACGAAGCCCAAAGCTACCGTTATAATGCCTTACCAGTGTTACTCTGCTTACCAAGTATCGCAGGCAAAATTTTGATCGCCACGAGGTAAGTATTGTCATTGTCCCGTCATCGTGGCCATACCCAGTAGTCAGCGACGGTATTCCCCTGTACGATTTGCCGATTGGAGTGCCTGAACACAGCGGAGCCCTCAACTTGCCCTAACAGAAATCTTGCTAAAATGTCTTGAAACTATAAACGCGCTGTGCGCGCTACGTTCGCTGATTATCACATTATTAGCTTGGCGAATTTCGATCCCCCGAGTCATACCTGAAGGCTTGGTATTCCTGACAACGTCTTACTGTCGTCGTGACGTAGAGTTACATGGACCAAACAGTCATGACCTGAATCTGTCTTCTATGACTGAACTCTATCGGAGCTTCTCGGGTGGAGTATACATGGTGTTTTTGTATGTAGTATCCACATCATGATCCGCAAGAAGCCTCTTGGCTACTTTTTTTCTCTCTTGGTATACATGTACAGATGTATAAACATAGAAACCGAATTGCAGTTCATCGGCTTCCTATGCCAAGGCTAAAGGCAGTCGAGTTCTATGGTAGGACTGCCAAGCTCTTCCTTTGCTGAGCCTTCCTCCTACAGATGATTGTTTCGTCATTCCTAGAGGCGAAGCGGTGATCACCGATTGTTGGGCATACATATACAATGGCTCTACACCGATCAACCCTGTACAATGAGTTGTTTAACAGGCAACATTACTTATCTCTTGATCATCATCTCCACAATAAATCCAAGAATACAAATAGAAACCGCACAAACCCCAAAACCATCCGATGTTTGACCCGATGACTCGACACTGCATCGGGGCATACACAGGGGCCCACGTTAAAAAGCACGAGAAGCGGTCAGCCGCGATCGGGATCAGCCCTAGAATCAGCGAACCAGCGAACAGCTGACTGGACTGGATGTATGATTGTATAGTAATCCGGACAATAACCAACAAGAAACAAAAACAAAATACCAAGAGAGCCAAGCGTCTCCTTGTCTCGCAAAACCGGCCCGGAAATAACCAGCCCAACAGCCTATCACTTCCCAAATCATTGCAACCCAAAAAACCAAAAAAAAAATCCGGTAGGGCCCTACATGAATGATGTACACAGTTAATGCAGCAGCCAGTTGAGATCTCGACAAGCTTCGCGAATCCAAGGAGATCCCTCCCCCACACTGCATCTGCGCGAGCAGGCATGTCCCCTGTAAAAAAAGCCCAAGCTCAGTGGTGCGGATATATGCAAAATGCAAATGCAGTACTCGAGCCCATCGCCCGGACAGGACAGGACAGGACAGCTTGATAGAACAGTGGGAGCTTTGACATCAAAGAAGTTATCGAGAAGAAGCTTGTTAGCAATGTAACTGGGTTGCAGCTGTGATCGTCCTGGTCATTTGTGAGGATGAGCACATTGATGCGATGGCATTGACGTTGGCTACGTATGCTCCGGAGTACTGTATCGTGGCCTAATTATGGATTCGCATTGGAGTTCCTGTTTGAGAGAGATGTTCCGTATCGGATCAGCAAATCGGTTTACGTACTGTATCTGCTCTTAGTTACAGCGTTGGCCCCCAACAGAACTACAGTATACTAAACCTGGAACAGGGGCGGGAAGAGTCCAAGCAAAGCGCCCATGTACCGGTATAAAGGATTTTGCCTCTTTGCTTCCTACAGGAGGTTCGCCGGGCGCAAAAATCACCATCGAATCGCTTATAAGTACAGAGTACGGACAAGTGAGAATAATGTAGTCCGTACAGCTGTACTAATGCAGTACGGGACAGCAAAAGTTCCCGCGACATCGGGGAAAGAATGGCTTGGCCTCCCCTCACCAAAACCCGGGCTTGAATTTCCTTGCGCTTTCCCCCTCAGTTCTGATTGGGATGGGAATCTACTGTATCCTGTCAATGATGACCATGCATTGAATTGAGTGTCTTGGCCAAGCACGGTACTGCCACTCTCCGCCGATCCTGTGGATGGACAGTAGGGCAGATGACCATCTCTGGCTCTATGGAGGTACTGAGAAGAGTGTACGAATAGTTGCACTGTTCTCGTGGCACAGATAAAACATCAATTGGGGCAGATACTCAAAAATTGATTGACAATCCGACCCGCCGTTCTCCATTCTCCTGCTTCATCGCCCCAACAGCATACGATGTGCTCCATAACTGACCACGTAGATGTATACAAATGGAGCCAAGGATTGTCCCGCAATAAGGTGTGAACTGTGCAGGTGGAGACCGGACTCCGGACAGATGGCACGCGCGGGATCTCTAAGACATGCCTGAATGGACTTGTACACAAAGGATTGACCGGGAGCACCACCTGGGGAAGTGGAGGAAAGTACGAGGGGGGAGATTGGATGGAGCTGCATGCAGAGCAAGCGGTAACTTGGTGGTTAAAAGGCTGAATTGGAGGATTAACAGTACTCGACAGTAGCGCGTAGTAACGTATGAGGCATTTTTGAGGTCCGGCTGCTGCAATGCGCCAGATATAGTCAAGTTCAGACGGGATGTTCGTTACTGTCACTTCTTTCCTTTTTTTTTTCCATTCTCTCATGTTCTCTTTCAATTGCTTTCTCACTCCCCGTATTGGTCAGTGCTGGCTTGAATTCTTACCCCAGGTCTGGTCTTCAAAGACGACTGCATTGGCAAAGAATGCCAAGTTCTCCGTCTTGGGACCGGAGACGATACACAAATACAGACACAGCTTGAACACTGTGATACCGTACCTCGCCAAGCCAATGTGCATTCACGCATCGGAACAGGCAAATCAATAATCGACCCGGCAGTGCAGGGAGACTGATCAACGAGGAGAGGAATGCTTGGCAACAGCGCGAGTTCACACACTCGCCAAGGTTCTCGGCGGTCTTCAGAATGCGCCCAGTACGACTTGAACTTGGAACACGGTCTCAACACGGTGTCTGGGCCATTCTGGAAAAGTCTCCCAATGGTATTTCTGGGGTCAGAGTATGGGGACGAAGCAAGGTAGACAATCTAGACCCCACAAAAGGGGAGTTCGAGGCCGATACAGAGCTGCGAAATGCGAATGCAAATAGCTTCAGCTCACCCCCTTTCTTTTCCTCTTGGCATTGACCATATACCCTTTTTCACAGATAACCAAACAAGACATGATAGGGGGCACTTCTCGCCAAGCATCTGTCCTACATATTGAGTCTCAAATCAATCTTCAGACTCGGCAGTGCTGAGCATGGAGGCGGCGCCAAGGGCGATCATAGGCGATCATGCAGGAAGGCCTTGGCGAGTATTCAAACAAGTCGACTCTGTGTCTGCCAAGTGGTTGCACGGAGTGACCAGGTAGGGGGTTCGGGATCGACGTATAGTTCTTGGCCCTTGGACTCGGTCCGGTCCGATGAGATGTGTATACCCCTGTTTCCTAGGGACTGCACAGCCTGGATATATCTGGATGCCTTGGGAACAGTTCCTATCGGATGGTCCGATCAAGATCCCTGCAGCTATCAGCCATGTTACTGGGTTTCCACGATCGCTAGGGACAAATATAGCAACATCAATGAGCTTGCCACACGCCATCCGACTCTTTCACCTTTTTCATACTGTAGATCTACGTTACAGTATAGCATTAGCTTCAGTACTCAAGGCAGATTCATTGAATTGCAGTCTGTGCAAGATTTCACGCTTACATTACATTACTTACTTTTGAGTGAACCCGACTTCCAGGTCTTCCGGCAGTTGATCGACAACCCCTCTTCTCGCTCAGATAACACTCTGGTCATCGGATGTCCATCAACTTGCCAATGAAGAGGCCGTGTAGCAACACGGCCTGCCATGGCACACAGAGAGGAACGGAGATACAGTCGCCGCTATATTCCAGGTGAACGTGCCAAAACAAGCGACTGATAAGTGAAACTCTGTCGGTCGCAAAAGTGTGCCATCAGCCGCAGAGCACACACACACACAGTCTCTCATCACACACCATCTCTAATTGTGACAGTGTCAGCTCAACTAAACATTACGGGTACTTTACAAGTCAGCCTTCATACACGGTCGCAAGGCCCCAAATACGAACAAAACCGTTGATCGCCTCGTAAACGCCGTGAGATCATTGCCATGCACGGAATCGATAGGCAGCGGCAGTACCGCAGGGAGGGCTGAAACACGTTTCGTATCCATAAGAGGCAACATGTACAAGACCAAGGAGTCCAGTGAAAACCAAGATGCGAGCGGCAAAGAGACGGTGTCCGGTGTCTATCGCAATCATCCCAACCACCCAACCACGTTAGAAACGAAGATCATCAACGGAAACGGCAGCTACTGTCGATTGGACGAAATCCCGCCTACGTAATCGCACCATCGACCAATCCCCTGCTTCCGTGGTTATGACGCCAGTGCTTTGCCCGTATGCTATGGCCTATGGAAGGGGAGATGGCGGTGTCGGTATATTGTACAGTACTGTAGGGCTTAACTGGGAGGCTGGTTTTGCCTGGTTGGATATATTCAGTACTGTGCAGTAGCGTGGCTTGATGGGGGAATGTTTATTCCAGCCACTGGCTCCGGAGTAGTATAGTCCATAGTCCACTTGGATGTATGTTTGATTTGATGCTGTTCCTGCCGGTGATGTCACAGCTGTCAAAACTCACGGATCGAACACGCGTGGGTTCACGTTACTCGTTGCCATGGTCGCCCTGTACTGTACTGTATAATGTTATTGCATGTCTTGGAAACTACGGTCCCTCCCGAGATGAAATTCTACGTCAGATCAAGGGTTTGATCTATAATTTCTAGTAACGGGTACGTCAGTGTTTGCCCTGCAGGAGATATGGTGCTTATCAATGGATAAATGCGGCGGCCGTGCCATGGAGATGTAAACCTCTATTGGAAGTAGCGTGGTGGATTTCAATCATTCCAAGGCGATCGCTGTAGGTATGATGCTATATCTGCAGTTGGAATGGGGACACATGAGTCATTTCGGAGTTGAAGTCATTAGGCAGATTGACGGGGATGATTTTCAGAATGAGGTTTAGTCATTGGCACGAGTTTCTCGTTCTGCTTTGATGTTCTGACGACTTGACTTGGACACGAGGTGTTGTTGTCGGTGTCTTTCTTCCCGAAAAGGCAACCGGGACCCTGAATTTACCTCAGATATTGATACTGATATTGGTATGTTCTGTTATTGCAAAGAATACTAAGCTATTGAGATGGTTTATACTTTACACTGCTTTGATATCGCGTGGGATTTTGGAATATTCACACAAGCCATGTGCCTGTATTCGGGGGATTGTCCCTGGCTATGCGGGATGATATCATTCCTGTCCATCAGCAAAGAAATGTTCTGTTCAAGAGATGATGCGGAGATGAATGATTCAATTTTATTATACTGCGTTGACTATGAACTCCTGACCAGATCATTCTGGCGCTATCAGAACTGACAACTGTATGCTTTAAGCGAAGCTGTTTCATTATGCAGAGGCTCTCTGGGAAGGGGACTATGCGTCGTTGAAGTATTTCATGTTGCAGGAGGTTAAGTAGTATCCAGCTCTCGGTTTTAATGAGAGATACGGTGCCTCCATGTGTCTACGCCAACCCAGCGTGCATCCATGGGGATGGAGCACAAGGAGAAGGGTTGCTATTAAGCATTGAATGTGAGTACTTCCAAGCTTCAAGGTTGAAGGCACAGAGTACCCTTGAAAAGTCTAGGACAACAGAACAACTTCAAGCAGAGGGGGTATCGCTTATATTCAGGGTAACGTCACAACTCCACCAAAGTGAAGCTCAAGCTACCACTGAGGAGGAAGATAAATACAAATGTGGAGGGCAATCCACAAACAAAATTATGTGCAAAAGATCAACGCAGGCAACCCATTTCCCTTATTTCCACTTTCCAGCATCTTCAACGCCCTTAGCAACCCGCTTGGCACCATCCTCCAGCCCAGTAGTGGCACTACCAAGCATGTTTCCAACAGGCTCACCAGTGCTTCCCGTCGCGCTGGTGATGGTATCGCCAATACCGCGGCCTGCAGTGCCAGTCACTCCACCCAACGTGCGGGTAACACCACCAACTGTGTTTCCAAGTGTGGAGGTAACGAATTTGGCTGCGCCTGTGACGCCTTTGTCTTGAGAGGATGTATCGATCGGCATTGTGGAGTTCTTATTTGGATTAAGACGGGAGGGTTTGATTTGTTGGAGGGATAGATTGTAGATTTCGATTTGGATAGAAGATGGATTGAGATGGAGTAGATGGTTGTGAGTGTAGAAATGAAGAGTTAATGGGTTGGACGATGAAGTTGTTATATTGGGGCGCCCTATGATGTCATTGTTTGGGGGCTTGTCCACCCTGGTTACGTGGGATGATTGTGGCGGAACTAGATACAAACGCAAATTGATTGATTCTATTATCGGACATCACAGGCGTCATATGTCATTCTGGGAGACGGACAAGAATTTAAGGAATGATTTAGTCTATACGGCTTGCGGCGCGGCTGTTCAAATCTGCATTGCGGTGGTCCAGTGTATTTATATATATGCAAGGTCTTGGTGGATATCAAGTGGATTGATTTACAAGTATTTCAAGAAGAAATGTTCAATATTGCCTTGTAGCTGATATCCAATTGTCTCGCCGTATCATGTTCTCCTTGGGTTCGTCTTTCCTCATCTCTCTCGAATGCTTCGGGCCAACTATATTGATCACAGACCACAGTATTTGTAGCAAATAGCAACGCGTGCGGATTTCTCCTTGAGCCAATCATCTTTGATTAAGATGTAGAACGAAGGGGCTTCTCGAAAGATTAAGCACGCTGATTCCAGATCAGTACTCACATCCATGGTATCGAGTGTCTAGTTGGATGATCATTGTAAGAAACAGGATTAGAGCTTGTAGAGAGGACACAAGGACAAGAGAATCGAGCTTTTCATGAACTTGGTAAGAAAGGGAAGGGGCAAGGGTCAGGAGAATGAGTAAAGGGCTGTCGGAGACTCCGCATAAGAATATTAAGCCAAAGAAAGACGGCTTTCCGAAATAAAGCGAGAAGAGAGAAAGTAAACACTTACCTCCTCATCCACAACATCGATATATAAGGTTCATTTCTTTCTTTTGGCACGAAACTGAAGGATTTCAGGAGAGGAGATCCGAGAAAGCCATAGGTCAATCTCAATAATATATGAAGCTGCGACAGAAGTGAGCCTATAACTTATAGCTCCATGGAGCATGTGATCTAAAAGAAGAAGGGCAAACATTCCTTGATTGCCTAACAATAAGCGATTCCAGAAAGCTCTATAACGAAACCGCTTTCGACATCTATTATATTTACACGAAGCAATGTCTATATAATACAATTAATGGAGCAAGGAGACCCCAGAATCAAAGTAGAGCAGCATACGAAGAATCAGCCACCTGCGACTCCTTCCAGCCAATACACTTCCAGCAACTTAACAAGCCAGCGGGATCATACTTGTTCTTGATGCTGACTAGTTTCTCATAGTTGTCACCCCACCAAGACTCAACCCAATCGACCGTGAAAGGGTTCGCCTCATTGCTGTATGCACCACCGCCAGGCGTGATACTCTCAATAATGGCAGTGGTGTTCTGGATAGATTCGATCTTCTGCTTGCGCGTGACAATAGAACTATTCCACGCCCAGGAAGCGCCAGAGCCCAGCTCCCAGATAGCATCTCGCCAGGCGGGGGCAGCACTAGTCGAGCCTTCGGTGTAGTTGTACAACACCGGTCCGACAACAGGGATGTACGGTGTTTGACCGAGAGACTGAATGGTTTCAAAGAAGCCCATGAGGTTTGAACGACCCTCGGCGGTCTCGAAGACGGAGCGGGGGATTAGACGGCTTCCAGGGAAGCGAGTGACGCCGACAGCGACTGAACTGGACTCGACGTATTTCTCATAGAATGAGTACCAGGAGGTAAATTCCTCGATGGAAGCGGAGCCGCCGTTTGCTTGGGCATAAGCAATCACACTTGCCAAGGAAGCCTTGGCTTGCTGGACAGAGAGCAGAGGAGAGACATTGACCAGGGTGTTACCGGTGATGTGACCACCCCATCCTTCCTGGCCCCATTTGAGAGTGTTGTTGACAACAATATCCATGAATGGAAGCATGTTGGTGGAGTTAGCAGGGAATTTGATATTGGCAGACACGAAGCGGAAAGCAGACTCGACACGGTGGGTGCTTTCGAGGACTACGCCAAAGGTTCCACCACCACCGCCACGGAGAGCCCAGAAGAGGTCGGAGTTTTGGAACTCATTGGCAACGCGGTAGACACCATCTGGAGTGACAACCTTGTACTCAAGCACACGGTCAACACCGAGACCGTACACAGGACTCAAGATGGAATGGCCACCATTTTGGACCCAGCCGCCGGAGACTCCAACGGTGCTTGCGTAGCCACCTAGGATGGTGACATTGTGCATCTGTGCGAACTCATAAACCTCAGCGAAGTTGACGCCGGCACCCACGGTGATAGCGTTGTGCTGTATGCCAGTATTGGAGCCGCCGGGGACGAAGCGCGGGCTGTAGCTCATAGATTGCAGGTTGCGGGTCCAAAGGGATAGCGTATCACGGCCGCTGCTGCGGGTGAGGTAGTCATGGCCACTGTTCTTGATGACAAGTCGCTTGCCAGAGCAGCTGGAAAACTTGAAAGCTTCAATTACATCCCTTGGGCTCTTCACTTCGAGGTAGTGAGAGGGCAGGTTACCCTGACGGCAGTTGGCATCTGCGTAGGCCAGGAGATCTGTGGGATCGCTGCTATCGAGGAGGCACTGATCACTGGGATCAGAGGCCCACATTTCATCCTGGTTGTTCATATAACCACTGGGTGAGTTGGTTCGTAGCCATGGGTCCGAGTAGTTTGCCTGGATGACGGCGCAGGCGGCATCGTCGCGAGCCACTGGTTTGCCATTGTAGATCGAGAAACAAGGCAAGGAGAAAGGCAGGAGAGGCTGGATACGCCCTCCAACTGTCTCATTGAAAGCATCCAATGTGCAGTGCTTTCCAGCAGTAGGGCTTCTGCATTGCTGTGCAAGGGTAGCGCTCGCCAAGGCCAACAGGGCCAACCCAGACAAATTGGAAAACATATTTAACGAAGAAGAATACGAGATCACAAAAAGGCACTCACTCTGAATAAGATGGAAAACCCTACGGGTTCTTCCAACTCGGCCGAACACCAAGTAAGACAAACTAAGATTCACCAAGATGGACCCTAATATGCAGCCACAGGGGGTTAAGCTGGTTTAGGCAAGGGATCGTCCGAATGTCTGATGTGATTGGCTGCTAAGTTTTCATATCAAATTAATCCAGCTCAACTGCGATATTTATCTCTTAGTTTTGGCTCTAGAGTTGGTATGTTTCCACTTTCAAATCAGAGAGGCGAATGAATGAAACAGATTGTCTCCAGCGACCTGAATATTTAAACAGCCCCAAAAGGGGGCCAGACATGTCCACTTGTCATTGGATCAACCCCTTCCGACCGTTCCATTCGCAGATACTGGGCAGTCTGCTCGTTGGACTAATGTAGATTGACCCGGTCTTGGATTTTGTTTTAGTTCATTCCTTTCGCGAAGCAGAATTTGCATTAATCTATACAAACTCACATCGTAACAAACCATGGGCCCCTTAATTTTAGCCGTAGTATGAGGGTTGAATCTGAGAGTTTAGCTTCTTCTTGATCACTTCCATTCCGACGATGGTGAACAAGGTGAACACATACTGGAGAAATGTCCTCACTATTGTGCCAATCACTGGGGCAGTGGTAGCCACGATCATCTATCTGCTACGCCTTTACTGCAAGCGCCTGAAATCTTTGAAGTTTATGCTTGAAGATTATCTAATGGGCATTGGGCTGATTCTTTCTTACTGTGCCACAGCTTTTGTGATTGATAGTGAGCTTTACTCCTCTTCCTCTCAACAACATACTGACTATCAAAGCTGCCTTCCATGGCGTCGGTTTACCGGTCGCATCACTCCCCAAACATGAGCGAATGCGCGTTCAATTTGTATGTCCCACATATCATTCATGACGCTGCGAAGAGCATGGAGAATCTAACATTTTGCGCAGGGATCTTGGATGATTCAAAAGTTCTGGGCTCCATCAATGGCCTTTGTTAAAATCTCCATCGTCGTCTTCGTTAAACGCCTCTTTGGCTCGATTCGTACATACACGATCATTTCCTACTGCTTGATTGGATTCATCAGCCTATGGGCCTTTGCAGCCCTGATGGTTAATACGTTCCAATGCACACCGGTGCAATACTACTATGACAAGGACTTGGATGGACACTGCATGAAAGGACAAGTTCAATTCTTCCAGGCTATGGGATCAACAGCATTGATCGAAGACCTTATCATTCTCTGTCTTCCTCTTCCTGTGTTCTGGAACTTGAAGATCAATAGGAGACAAAAGATCGCATTAACAATGGTCTTTTCTCTCGGTGGACTGTGAGACAATCTTGGAATGCCCCGAACCCCATTCTTTTGAACTGACATTTCGCAGCGTCTGTATATTCAGTCTCATGCGATTGATCGAGTTTCGCAAATTTCAAGTCACAGATCTTGCCTGTGAGTACCCCTTCTACCACCACCAACTGCACTGGCTAATACTAGAACTAAACAGCATCAAGCGCCAAGGAATCCATTTGGACTTGTCTCGAACTCGACGTGGCAATCATTTGCGGCTGCCTCCCGCTCCTTAAACCTTTAGTGCAAGGCCTCCGGGGTACTACCAGAAGTGGGGGATCGAAGTATACCTCGCAGCCCTACGCCGGATCCAGCCACCACCTACAGTCAATACGGGGACATAAAACCGGATTTCAAGAGCTTGGAAGTGACCGTGGTCATGCGGAGTTGACGGTATCAAAGGGGGGTCATGGTATGGCTGGGACAAGTCGGAGGAGTTCTGATACAGAGAGTCATAGGCAGGATGGGGATGGGGCCTCTGATGTGGGAAGTATTGATCCGGTCATGAACCGAGGGGATCTAAAATAAATCTATAGCATAATTGTATAATAAGTTTTCATTCCACAACCCTTTCCTTGATAGATGTTGAGCACCGTTCCTTCCACCCCAACTGGGCGAATCCCAAGCAAATGCCTTATCGCGTGGCTCAAAAAACGCCAAGACCGGTCTTATCTTGCCCTTCAGCATAGCAGAGACTCTGTATCTCATGTCAGTCCAGTTCATCTGCTTTTCTTTTTGTTTTCGAGTGATTCAAGCAAACCATTGAACGGGCTTTGTATATGGGACACTATTATACGCTGTGGGATATCATTGTCAATAGTCGAGATACTAAGCTATGCAGCGGTCTGGGCCCCGGGTATCTAGTGCTTGCCAAACCTGCAAGCAGCGGCGAACTAAATGCGATGGCATGCGCCCTAAGGTATGGGTAGTTCCTGTGATTTAAAAAGTCATGTTTGCTGATTCATATGTCTGTTCAAGTGTTCCCGGTGCAGGGAACTCTCCCGCGAATGTACTTACGACGGTGTCGACCTTCGCAAGTCCCGGCATACTCACGTTGAATTCAAAGCTCTGAATAATCGAGTCAAGTTCTTGGAACGACAAGTCAGATCGCTTTTGAAGAGTCAAGAAGCACTACATTCAAATTGGAAGGTTGAGCTCAACACTAGCCTCATACAAACAGCCAGACGAGACCCAACTTTGCCCACCGAGGCTCTTGAAGCTGCGGTATCGACTCCCGTATCCAACAAAGATACCCAATTAAAAAGCGCAGAAGATGTATTTTCGAGGGATATCCTGGATGCAGTCAACGAATGGATAGTCGAACTTCCACCACTGTTAAGCGATAAGGAGAAAACATCAATGGTCCGGTCATTATTGGCAAAAAAAGGCTCCAATCTTCAATTTGACCAAGAAAGCGGGAAAACGATATATGCTGGACCAACAAGCAATCGCCATGTCATGAGTACAGCGAGCTATCCAGGATCAGAGTTACCAGCAATGACTGACACAGAGTTGTCACTTGAGAACTCAGCTCTAAGTGCTGATGAATTACGCCTGTTTCGAACGTTCAAAGAGAAACCTCATAATGCCTTCATGGTTGTGTGTGGTGAGTTTTGCGCGGAAGAGTCACAGTTAATTCACCAAGCAGTGTCACATCCACTGTTATTTTATATTGTGCTGGCCGTAGCGGCTTTCTTCTTAGACGAAGAATACTTGACTCAACGAAATCTGTCCAGTGATAGTCTTATTGAATATTACAGTGCGATATTTACCACCAGTGTCGGGAAGGAGCTCGATAATTGTTGTTTACAAAATGTGAAAGCGTTTTTGTTGCGGGCATACCTCGATACTCTACGTGGAAGGCTAGAGTCCGCAACAACTTTCAACAGTGAGCATGTATGTTCGAATTTCTCTTAGACCTTTATTAACAACCTAATAGGCGTCGCATGTGCGATGGCAAAGAGGCTAGGATTACACGTGGATTGTACTTCCGATACGGGCGTCTCGGTGTTACCAGAGACAAGAGAAAGGTTAACCTTATTTTGGTCAACTCTTTGGCTTGATAGGTATGACTTCAATCGTGGATGCTGATCTTAAACTGACAGAGCAGACGCATTGCCGTTCTTGAAGGGAGGACATGTCAAATTGATCACGTCGACATATCGTGTCCACGCCCCTTGCAGCTACTGAGGGCAGAAGAGGGCTTCCTTGAGCTTCCCCTATCCACAGAACTTATATACGCGTGTCACGTTGAGTTCTTTTGGCTCCAAGATATTGCTCTAAACAAACTGTAAGCTCCAAGCTACCGCTTTGGTCCAATATACTAACATAATTCGTCCAGATACAGTTTTTCTGATGATGTCTCCAAAGACGATGCAACATCTGAAGGTCATCTCAAATATGTTTCTTGGTTCATGTCGCTACCGCCATCCATAAAAGATGTTTCTGCTGGCAAGGCATTCGATCCGAGCTTCCTCTCTTTTCAGTAACCGTCCATCTATACCGTGTTTCTTTTTTAAAGAAGTTTGGCTGACACAGTTGTAGCTTGTCCTTCCACTCTGGTCTTATTCTCCTACATCGCCGGTCAATAAGTGACGATGAAAAAACCGCGGAGCTATCCAATGAACGGTACCAGGAATCAGCTGCAAGTGTTACAAGCCTACTGAAGCTTTACGGGGAGAACTTCTCCCAGACTCTGGCTGATCCCATGATTCTACATGCTGCATATACATCAGCCCTGGCTCACTTGATACTCCTTCTCCAGCCTGATGTTGTCACTTATCGCTCCTCCTTGAAGTCACTTCGCACCGCTAAGCAGTTTATTGTGGGCTTTGTGAACAGTTCGCTACATGCTGTTCGGATACTAGATAATCTTCAAGAATTTGCTGTGAAATGGGATATATCACCAGCAAATTCCTCGACCTTTTGGAGATATCGAACCAAACAGGATGGGATGGATGATGGACTGCATATCTGAGAGAACTATTCAATAAGTGAGATAGCTTGAATCAACAACATGGATGTACAGGACATTCTATACTCGTCTTAAATGCTCCTTTGTGGCCTGAAATGAAAACTTGCGAGGTCTGCCATGTACCAGATTGAGAACAAATTTAAGTCGCATGTATGTCTAATCATATAAGTGGTTAATATCCTCCAAAGTCTTTTTCGCAGTCTCTGGCAGGTAAAGATTAGAAACAACTGCCACGACAAAGCTCAAGCCACCAAATAGAAACATAGCGTTGGACCCCATAGCAGCAAAGATATATGGGCTAATCATGCTAGTAAAGAATGAGCCTAGACCCAGTCCTACGATACCAACCGAGCTTCCTCTTGCTCTTGACCTGGCGGGGAATATCTCCGAAGGATATGTGAACGGTGCCCAAACTTTTGTGATATCAGGTTAGCCTTTGTAATTGACACTTGAAATTGGAAAAAAGGCAGAATACTCACGCCATGTCATCCCAAATTGTGCCGACCATACCATCACTAGCGCAATAACAGCAGAGCTATATCTTTTCGCCACGAGCTGGTCCGACATGTTCTGGCTAACAAAGTGGCCACACATGCCGACAAAAACAAGAAGTATTGAGCCATTCAAGGCCCCGTAAATGAAAGCTCTGCGACGTCCAATCTTATCAGCGTACATCGCACCAATAAATCCAAATATAGCCTGAACAATGATTCCAATACCCGACAGCAGGGCCGCCAGATCGCTGGACCATCCACCAGACTCAAAGATTTTGATACCATATCCGGATACGACACCAGAACCAACCATTGCCTGTGTCGCGAACTGGACGAAAAGAGCAGACCATGTCCGGCGTGACGTCTTGTATGGGTCTTTCTTGAAAAACATGCTGAGGTAGGTTGTCGAGGAATTGTGGACAAACTCTTCATGAAGCGCCTGCTGGATCGATCTGATCTCTTCATCCACCATCTCACCCACTTGAATTTCTTCAGCTTGGTCGGCCTGCATAGCAAGAAGCACATCTCTCGCCTCGCCTATCAACCCAACCCTAACTAGCCAACGGGGCGACTCTGGAAGAACCCAGACAAGACCCGAGACAAGAAAGACAAAAACACATTGATAAGCGATCGGAAACCGCCATACAATCTCACTATCCGTAACCTTTGAGATTCCATAAACCAAGAAATACGACGTGCTTGCGCCGATTGCTGCACAGCACATCTGTAATCCGATAGCCCGGCCTCGATATCTTGACGCTGTTGACTCAGCCGACCAGTTAAGCCCGACAGAATCAAAAGATCCTGTCGCCAGGCCATTCAGAAAGCGTAGGACCAAGACCCAGGAGAAGTTCTGTAGGGCAGCCAATATAGGGATGACGATTATGGCATAAAGACCCGCACAGAATATTGCTCGTCGCCGGCCAATTTTATCGGATACAGGGCTTATGAGAAGAGCCCCGATTATAACACCGACCCAGTAGATGGCGTTGATAAGGCCTATCAGGACCTCTGTGTGCTGAGAGCCGTCCGCGAGACCAATGCGGGATAGGTACGAAGGGGTCGAGGAGACGCTTCCCATCAGTGCGACGTCTAACACAGGTAAACTCGTGGCCATGAGTAGGAGTAGAGTACTAACTAATTCCTGAGAGCATCAGACATGCACATCCACAGCCGATAACCCCAATTCGAGAAGCCCGGGCAGAGAGTCCATGCAGTCGATAGCTCGGAACAGGTCCTGGGACGTACTTCATCCAAGACGGAGTGACCAACTCGGCATTTTCAAAGCTAGTAATATCTGGCTCAAAATCTTTAGCCCTTTCTGTCTTCATCATTTTGTTATGGGAGGCTCGAGCGGTGACTTCTTGAGATGTTGATGGGAGTGGTGGTAGTGTGTCAGCCAAGAGAGGATTTTACCTGGGCATGCTTCTCATGATGCGCATGGACTCATTTATCCCCTGGTTCAAAATACTAATCTGTATACAAGCGGTCTTATCTCGTCAAGAAGAGCGATGTGTAGCTGAAGATATCCAGCGGAATTCAACACCCGCGACAAGACCATGCTGATAATGATCCCCCAAATACTGGGACCAATAAACAAAGACCAAGGACGATTTCCCACAGTGCATAGCCTTTGAAACTCTCCGGTAGTATCAGTAACGCCATACAAACTTGCAGATATACAGTTACGCGTCGACTGGTGAATATCAACCTCTGATAAGAAACGGAGATTGATATCCGCCCCAGCAAGATAAGGGTTGTTCCAAAGCCCTCTATAGAAGTATATAAAACCATTGATCTGGCGTAGTACTAAGATCATCGGAATTCTCTATCCTATTTCCAACACAGTCAACAACTTCTTGTCGCAATGAGCCAGACTCCCGTTGACCTCGATCCCTCCAGCCCTATCAAAGTTGCTGTTGTCCAAGCCGAGCCAAGCTGGTAAGTCACTACTCAAGTCTATTAATGTCACTTAACTAAAATGCAGTCCTCCAGGTTCGATGTGCAGGCAGCAGTAACGAAGACATGCAATCTCATCACTGAAGCCGGCCGAAACGGCGCAAAGCTGATTGCATTTCCCGAGCTTTGGATTCCCGGATATCCGACGTTTCTTTTTGCGCACACAACAAAAGTGGTCAACGACTATATGCTAGAGTTTTACAAAAACAGTATTTCAGCGGATTCAATCCATATGGCAACCATCCGAAAGACGGCCAGGGCTGCTGACATTATGGTTGTGCTTGGGATCTCAGAGCGGCATGGGGGCAGCCTATACATGTCTCAGACCTTCATTGGCTCTGATGGAAGTGTGCTATTGCACCGAAGAAAGCTCAAACCTACGGGTCCTGAGCGTATCATCTTTGGAGAGGCTGTACGTATTCAAGTCCTAGTCTTGTGTATTCTGATTCACCCGTCACATTCCCCTTTCCACTAGCAACGCATGTTCTCAAGACTAATTATCATTAAATTATTCTGTAGTCTGGTGACTGCGCCAAAAACGTCATCCAAACCCCCATTGGTCGAGTCGGTGGTCTCCAATGCTTCGAACATCTCCAATCTCTGCTGAAGTACAACACCTTCTTCCAAGGCGAACAAATCCACGTCGCCTCCTGGCCCTGTCTTTTCCCACCTATCGGCAAGATGCCCTTCTTCAATACCGTCGAAGCTTGCCGCATGGCAACACATACACTCGCCGTTGAAGGAGGCGTATTCGTTCTTCTTGCGTCATCTATTCAAACCGAGAAGGGACTCAAAGCTAATGGCCTAGTGTCCGAGGACGATGCTGCCGTCGTCAATGACAAGGGAGAAAAAGAAACGCCCCACACCGCAGTGACAGGTGGTGGATTCAGCGTCGTCATTGCTCCGGATGGACGGGCATTGACAAAGCCTGTGCCGGCAGATTGGGAAGGGCTGATTTACTGTGATCTCGATTTCGACGAGATTTATCGTGCCAAACAATGGGTTGATCCAGTTGGTCACTATTCGAGGCCTGATATTTTTACCTTGATGGTCCGGAATGAGACGAGGCGCCATGTCGAATTGGATTCTGTTGGGGATGGGTTTGAGCATGTACAAAGGTTCCCGGAATTAGAGGAAGAGTAGAAACGGAGGATAGGCTGTTAGATATTCGCATATGAAAGTACTTTAAAGCTCTGAATCATCAATCAGTGACCTTGGAATGACTTTTGCCAACGATCTCGTCGGTACTGCTCTCTACACAATAGTCCACAGCGCAGTGGTTAGCAATAACTTTATGTCAAAGCGTAGTATGCCTTGGTCGACTGCAGTCATTGTGAGTTCAAGTGAGCAGTCCCTAGAATGTCTCAATGCTTATTACAAACAGAGAAGTAAGCGATCAACAAATGGTAGATAGATAACTTCAGACAATGGTCAGATTCGCTACAGTGGGTATCAATAAACTAAACAAAAATCAACATAATAAGAAACATTCAGAGCCGACGAACGCCCTTACGCCCTGTATTCTGACGAACGGAGGACTTGCGCACGCCATTCCGGGGCAGGATTTGCTTTCGCTTCTTGCGGGATTTGATGTCCTGCCACCACCGGGTTATCACTCCCACTGCCTTACACATTTGAGCCTGGGAGGGAGCAGCAGTGGTGCAACTCTTTACCAGCTTACGAGTCACCCCATCACTATGGTCCAAATTCTTTGTCGCATGGGGGTTCCATGGGGATTCAATAACGGTGACAGCCCGGGCACGCTTCGACGATAAGAGCATACGGGAACAAAAAAGCAAAAAAGTGACAGAGTTGTCTAGTAAAGTGAGGTTAGTATCATCCCTGAAGGAATTGCCCAGAATTGCTTACAAAAGTGAGATAAAGGCAAATCAGAGGTCCTCTTCACAAGTGAGAAAATCTCGTCCGGAGTGATAGACATCTGAGTAGAAGCATCCCTGTCAGGTTGTGAATGATGCATTGAGGTGAGAAGAAGCTCGACAATACGAGCCACATGTCTGGGCAAGTTGGATACCGAATCTTCGAATGGTCTATTAGCAGGTCGACTGATAACAGTCTCCTGGTGTGACAGCTGGTTATCCTCGTACAAAGCCGGCTTTGCAATGCTATGTGCAAGCAAAGAGAACCGACCCTGCGTTTCTTCGAGTGTAATGTTGATGTTATCGATGCGCAAACTTTGAGATGGTAGACAGGGGTCAAGTCTATTTGGGAGGAGAGAAGCTCGGGCACCGTGAGGTAATGTACGTCCCGGTGGTTCATTCGGAGTATTGCCAGCGTTTCCTCGTTTTCCACCAAGTGTCATCATTCTTAGAGACACTTTGTCCTGCTCTTTCGGTGTATCCACATGGGCTTGTTTGGCAGCGGATAATTGAGTGGGAGGTTGGCCGGCTGTGGCGGTTTTTCTGGCAGCGGATATCTCAGTGGAGGCTCGAATGAGAGGGGTGGCTTTGCTGGCAGGGGGAAGGTGAGTGGGCGCTCGATTAGCACGGGGGGCTTGGATGGCAGCGACAGTTGATGTCGCGCGTCGAGACCGTCTTGACTTTGATGGAATATCATCAGACTTGAGGTATTTGTCTTTGAGGCTGAAGGATCCGGGGGGTACATTCTCTTTGCCGCCACCGGTTCCAGGAATATCAGACGCCGTTGGATTTATCTGGGCAACCTTTAAGCTTTGCTGCAGTGGTCCTCGTCGAAAACTCGCCGCTGAGGTCTTTCGTGCGTCATGTTTGACAAACGTTGGCTCGAAGTTGTTGATGACTGTGTTATCTGATGCCTGTGACAAGGAAGTCCCAGAGCGTTGTTTAGGTGGATCGGTGACACCCATGAAAACACCGGGGACAGTCGCGTCATCCGGGGGGATGTCAACAGTCTTGCGTCGACCGATTCTCTCCAGAGGATCTTTCGCAGGCTTCTTGTTTGGGACCCTGGATCTAAGCATGGGCAAGAGACTTTTCTTACTTCTAGCTTCGACTGTTGATTTCGTGTGGTGTGCCAGTTTGTCCTCTTTGATTCCTTGAACAAAACCGGCACTTTGGCGAAGCTGTTGAGCGGACTGAACGAGGAGTGATGATTTGCGGCCTATTGATGACTTGGTCACCTCAGCAGTTCGTTGCCGTTTTTCGCGACCCAAATCCGCGTCTTCTCTTTCTTCGCAGATGTGGAATGTTTGCCTGGTCTTATTGGCGCTTCCACGACGACCGCTTTCCAAAGCCGCTGCGCGTACCTCAACCTTGAACTCGATCCCTTCTGTGCATTCGAATGTTCTCTCACCCAACAGGCCACCCAAAGTGTTATTTCCACCATTGTGCTTGGCGAATGCTGCAGACCCCAATCTCAACGGGCATTGCGGCCCAGCTTTGTCCAGATAGACAGACATGGTACCAATTTATTCTTATCGACAACAGTGTGGCTTGTTATGAGAACATCAGAGGGCGGTGGTATGTCCTTGCAATGTGCTCGTGAAGTATGTAAATGGTGTTTGATGTTCAGAGAAGCGGTGAAGTCAATCAAGGGATCGGCTTCAACGCGGGGACGTGATGGTGGGGTTCGATGGAATGCTACGAAGCACTGATATACCCATGTAAATCAGTCTCTCGAGAATCGCGTGTCTGGAACAGTCGAATACCCCAAGATCTGTTGTTGACGCGCAGTTGTCCAGGGCAACTATCCTTATGTCAGCGGGGGGAGTGGGGTGTATCTCACGTGATTTATGTTGGCTCATGACTGAGAAGTGGTCGGGTGAAGCTGGACAGAATGGCAGAATACAGCAAATGGGATGCCGACGTTTCATAGCGGTGAAGAAGCGCTCGGGGAGGACCGGAAAGGGAGGACTAAATGTTCACGTGACATGAGGCAGGATGCAAACATTTTAACTTCAGGTTGTTTGCTCGCTGAATGGCATCAGCCCTAGCTTAGGGCTTCAAATCTTCCCAGTAGCCCTAGCTGCTCTTCATCTCCAACTCGTTATTTCGTTGATATTCTTTGAAGATGTAAGTGGATGGCTATTCTACGTAGCTGGTGTTGATAACTTGTGTCTTGACGTTGCTGTGCTTATACAGTACAGTACATCCTGACCCTCTGTTTGCTGTACTATTGATGCATCGTTCCGGGACAACGTCCACGGGTGCAACAGGCGAGGAAACATTGAACGCAATTATCCAAGCATCACAACTTACACATTGGGACCGATCAACAAGATTAAAGACTTGAAATATGATGGACTTTTCTTACTGTTGAAACTGAAGGCTGAGACACCTGATCCACTCGACAAGTGCAGGGCAGCTTTGATAAGCGTTGCAACCCCATTCGGTGACATGACTCTCAGCAGTATGACTTGGACACAAAATCTGTCATATGCCCCACGTATCAGTCATAGTCCCAGAGATACTATTATCAACCCAGCTCTTTCAATCAAGTTAAACAGCATTCAATTTACTCATGTCTGATCACTGTAGGAATTTGCGCAAGAGTATCCAATCATTATGGCGACATTCCCTAAGTTCGAATTTGAGTTGGTCATATGTGGGGGTGATAATTGGACACAGTCATTGGGTTAGTTGTTGTACATCAACGGCTGTATGTTTGTACCATCTAAAATGTAAAATTTGATATTGTGGCTAGTCAGCTCTAGAATATCAAAATATAGTCTCTAATGGCCATTCACAATGCTATAAATCCAGGAACCTGGAACGATAAATGACAGTAGAACTCAGCTTTCATTGATACGCACCTACTGGTTTATCTTTCAAATTTGTTGCAAGGCGGGGGAGAACAACTTTTGTGATTGAAGAAGGAAAAGATATAAGAAAGGATCTTGTCACACGTTGCCTCCAGTCAAGAGTCAAAGCATAACTGTCTATTTTGGAAACCAGACCAGACACAAGATACTGTCGGTTACTCACCAATCAAACTTTAGCATGAGAAAAGTTCAGAATATTTGCTGATGAGGTGTTCAGTCAAGACATCTGATGCTAGACATGGGTACATCGTGTTTTCTTATCGCATCGAAGTGAGACATAGTAGATCCAGACTTCCAAAAATAGATGGCAAGATCAATGCACAGAGTTGCCGTTGTAAATGTGACACATCTTTTCCATCGCACTGATCTTTAGTAAAGGTACAATGGCACATATTCCGGATCATCCCATAACCAGTGCTAAATCGATATTGGTCTTACCGAATCGGGTCTCACCGGATCTTACTGAAACTTATCTTGTCGAGCAAGGTTACATTGTCTCGAGAACCCTTAGATGTAGAGAGGCTTAATACTTTGAGACTTTTAATATAATTTAAAGGTGGTTTCAGCGATCTCGGATAGTGCGGTGTAGAGTGAAAAGCATGAACCTATAGGATTCGGTATCCGGATAACGAAGGCATTCTGATAGACATGTTTCCGGTAGTAGTCTATGGACTACGGAAGTAACCGACAGAAATGTTGAAAGTCATAGTACGCCTTGATGTTTCACTGCATATATGATCTTCGGGAATTGACTTGGTCGTGCAGCGACAGGTATATGTACATCAGGATCCGCTCTAAGTGAACTCTTTTGTCTGTTCATTTTCCTTTACATGTGTCAAGTCATATTTGGGGCAGATGAAAGAGAATTTATCACTCAACATCATCATGGAGCTCACAAATTTCTCCATAATGAGGAACTTGGTCATCCTCCTTCAGCTGTTGAGTTTGGCATCGCGGGCCTCCAGCAAGGCGGTGTTTGCCCATTTTATGGTAAGCCCCTCTCTATTCTGACAAACGTGTTGTTAATTAAACGATGGTCTATATAGATGGCAAACACTGGGTTATATGAACCATCAGATTGGAGACAAGACATGTCCCTCGCCAAGGAGGCCCACATCGATGCATTTGCACTGAACATGGCTTATGGTGTCAAGACAAATGAACAGTCTGTTGCGAACGCTTTTACCATGGCAGAGAACCTTGGCTTCCATCTATTTTTCTCCTTCGACTATGCCGGGAATGGATCTTGGCCAAAGGAACAGGTCATCAGTATGCTGCAAAATTACACCCCGAGCACCGCATATTATCGTCACGACGAAAAGCCATTTGTATCTACATTTGAAGGAACCGAAAATGCAGATGACTGGATTACAATCAAGCAAAAGACGGGATGTTTTTTTGTCCCTGACTGGTCGTCCGTAACAGCCAACTCTGCCCTTAAGCTTGCTGGGGGTATCGTTGACGGCTTGTTCTCGTGGGCTGCCTGGCCAACAGACTCTCGTCGGATGACAACTTATGTGGATGCCGCGTTTATTAGTAGCCTTGGAAATGTTGGCAAGCCATACATGATGCCAGCCTCCCCGTGGCTCTATACTAATATGCCTGGCTACGACAAAAACTTCGCAAGCCACGGAGATGACTTGTGGTATGATCGCTGGATGGAAGTTAGCTTTCTCGAACCCGAGTGGGTTGAAATCATTTCCTGGAATGACTATGGCGAGTCACATTATATTGGGCCTCTGAATGAAAAAGGCTATGGCGTTTTCACTGCGGGAAAAGCACCATATAACTATGCCCGAGGAATGCCGCACGACGGCTGGAGACAGCAGCTTCCGTACGTGATTGATTTGTATAAGAAAGGAACATCCTCTGTGTCAGAGGAGAGTCTGGTTGTTTGGTATCGGACGCAACCTCGGACTGCTTGCGGGGGAGGTAATACCACTGGTTTTACAACTCAGCTTCAAGTCAAAAAAGACGCTGATACGTGGATTACGGACAAGATATTCTTCTCAGCACTTCTCGCTTCTAATGCTTCTGTCAAAGTCAGTATCGGTGGAGACGAAAAAGACGCAAAATGGGAATTTGAACCGGATGGAGGTGTTGGCATCTACCATGGCAGCTTTGGTTACGATTCTAAGCACCTCGGAGAAACCGAGGTCACTATTCTGCGCGATGACAAAGAGATGGTATCCCTCAAAGGTCGCGCTCTCACTAATGATTGCACCGTCGACCTCGCCAACCTAAACGCATGGGTTGGAAGCCTAGCGTCGGGAAGCACTATCAACCCAGTCTCGCCAGAGTTGTCAATATCAGAACAAACTTGCATTGCAGGAGCCGGATCTTCAAACTTTACAGAGCTGTGTGAGTTCACTTGCAAGTACAGCTATTGCCCTCTTGATACATGCTACTGCACTGCCATGGGTGCCCCAAAGGAGAAACCAAAAGCCACCAAAGACAAAGGCTATTCGAAAAATGGGGATGACAGCTATGCAGGACTGTGTTCTTTTGCATGCCATTATGGATTTTGTCCGAAGGACCTTTGCTCGGAAACAAAACCTTCGACTACAACAAGCCACCCAGCTCCCACTGCTTGTGGCAAAGGCCACTGCACACATACCAATACCAACGACGGATTACAACGACCCCTTCCTTCCTTTTATTCTCTCTTTGGGCTGCATCTCTTCATATTTTCTGTCATTGGGGTTCATTTTTATTTAGGGGAGTGATCATTTTCAGCGCCGTGAATCTTATGATGGGCTATCATGTAATCTTAGAGCCGATGCTAGTGCTGATTTAAAAGGCAGTATTCAATGAAGAAAACATTTGACTTTTCATCCGACACTTAGAATTGGAAGTTGTTTCGAAATACTATATCCGGCTGTCCCACACACGGGATGCGTGATACTTGAAAGTCATTAATTGCCCGACGCTTTCCCAATCCAGCGATTACAATTCCCCGATCCGCTTTGAGCTCCTATATAACCCCCCGGCCATCCTGCGGCAGACCTCAGAATAAAACATGATTCTTAATCCTCTCTCAATTCTTCTCAATAATCACACTGGTACCTAAACCCTTCTAACCACAAAAGCCTTAGCCAAAAATGCGATCTGGTGTACCAACAACTGAGCGAGAATTTATCCATCACAAGGGTGTTGAAAGTCAATATCCGTCTATATGTATACGTGATACCCAAACAAAAGAAGCAAAGCTCTAAGCCTCAACCAAGCCCGAAATCAAATCAGCCTTAGCCGCATGAACCTCTTCAAGCAGATGCCCCACCATGCGATCATGCGCAGGTCCCGGAAGCCCAGCCAACTGGACCTGGGCATCAGCCGCGAAGTCCAAACTCCTAGTCGGCTGCGCATTGGCCGTTTCCAGAATACGAAGAGAAAGAGTCTCAACCAAGCGCTGCATATGCCGCAACTCACCAAGCGTGACTTGGGCTTGGATTGTCCGTCCCAGGGCCTGGTCGTCGACTGAATGATCACCAATCGTTACGAGTTGGTGGACGACTTTCTCCGGTGATACGAAGTCATTCTCTGCTCCATCGACTCTGGGTTGACTTGAGTGGCCCAGGTAGCATGTGCGGATCATTGCACGGTACCACGAAATCAGGCGAGAACATATGATGGCTAGCAAGAGCTGATTCTGTGGGCGAAGGGAACATCCGCATTGCAGCATACTGCAGACCGCCATCCCGGCCTCCTTGTTACATTTCAGGACTGCGCCTGACATGCGTGGGGACTTGGGTCTGTCTTGGGTATTGGGTCCGTTTTGGTGAGATATGCAGTTTGCTAGGGGGATGTGGAGTGAGCGGAGGCACTGCGTTGCGGTGATGATGCACAGAGGACCGTTCTTGGTTAGACCTGAACATGTGGTCGGATCTGGGGGTGTTGCCAATTGTGGTAGTCCTGGTTCTATGATCTCGAAGGGCGGAGTTGAGAGATTTTGGGGTGTTGTCGGGGTGAGATAATCGGGAAGCGTCAAGTAATCTAATGCCGGCTCATGATGTTCGTTCTCGGCATTGAAAACTGGTTGTATTTGATCGTCAAAAGTGCTAATTGGAAAATATGATGCGGATGATGCGGGCAGTGAGGGATCCAGGTATAGATCTAGATCTGGATTGAGATTGAGATTCGGATCAACGCCTTGATCTAACAGGGACTCTGCATATAACCGGTCACTGGGACAACTCTCCACAGATGGATAAAGTATATCTTCGGGGGCTTGACATTGCGCTAGCATGGAATCCCAGTCGTTATATTCAGGAGGAGTGGGGAAAGACGAAGGGTCCCTGTGGAAGCACAGATCATTGTTGGGACCTAGGGCTGCCATTTTGCTGCAGCCTAGATGGTATAGGCATAGATGTAGCCAGACCAGGGGGTGGGGGAGGGGTAGCACGCCTCAAGGCTTGTACCAAGAGCAAGAAGGGAATAGAACCAGAGACTACAGTACACTGGCACTTGATCTGGGACCACAATTCACAAACACGATATTCAAGGACGGCGCCCCGGCCAAATAAGTCGAGGGGTGGGCTGTGGACGGATTCCGAGAGACTCATGCAGGCCACCTTGCGCTAATGCACCCAACGTGCTTCCCTTTGTATTTCTTGCTTCCCTAATTCTTCCACGGCCGGTTTCCGTGCACGTGTAGGGTTCCAATTACGCATTCTCAACCGTGGAACTCGTCGGTCCGCTCCCCGTAGCCCGCTCGATGTGGACTAGGAGCCTCACTCATTGAATCTAAGGCAAGGGTCAAAAGGATGTTGAATCGGCATGATCGGAATTTCTTCGAATTTGATCGAAACCGGGTCATCTCACCCATGAACGGTGATGTCTTGTAGGCCTGTTACAATCGCGGGAGATTGCCGTTACGGATCGACTCACCCCCAATACTACAAAGTTAAACATCTGATAGTCTTTACCTGATGCTTACGAATCTGAAGTCAATTATAGTACTCCAGGATTTGTAGTCGTGCTTTGTGATGGTTCGGAGACACTCAATAGGATCACAAATTTCGCAGTCGGCGCTAACTGAAGGTGGAGTGGAGTGTCTCCATGGAGTATCTCCAAACAGCTAGTGCTTATTTGCGATTTGGCAGAGGCTTCGGGGGTTCGATACGAGGGTCATTTGAACTGCATGACTTTCCTTACTTTTGTTTCTACAGCCGATCCAAAAGCAATATATAATAGTTGCCCAGAACCTCTCGAGTATCTGCGGTCGCTGTTTGCCTGTCTCAGTTCATTGATGACATGCAGTGTATAAATTACCAACAAAATTGAAATTTTGCAACCAGTATGAAAAGTCAGCTTGTCCTCTGAATACATTTCGAATTAACAGTGATTTAGCATGTAACTTGTTCAATACTTACATGGACTGGAAACATGAGCGGTCATCGTATCCGGCCTTCTTTGATATCAAGGCCAGCACCACCGAGCCCAAAGCTCAAGGATTCTTGCGACAGATGTTCTACTTCTAAAGTTCGCTGCACAAAAGGGAAGCCCTCCTGTGCGCGTTGCGATAAGCTGGGATATACATGCTTCTACAGCCCAGCACGACGGGTCGGCCGACCATACAGACCAAAAGGATCAACACCAGAAGCCAAAACAACCAAAGAGTCAGATCATCAATCGAGGGCCCCGGAAGCCTGTTTTATAGATGAGAGTGTCAAGCACTACCCCCAAATCAACACATTGCCCACACCGGCGGACGCATATGTCGACAGCTCACCATCAATCAGCCCAATCAATCATTTCGATACACCCAACACAACATGGTCAAATCAAGACCCACCGAATGCTCACTATAAGACCGACCCGGATTGTATATTGGTCGCCCTGGACCTAATCTCATTGCTAGAGGTTTCCGCCACGCACTTGAGGAACTCAGAGCCAATAGACGACAAGATACTCAGTGCAACTGCACAGACGATAGCGGCAGCAATCGACCGCCTATGCAGGATTCTTGAATGCTCATGCTCCGAGCGGGCTGAAGTCGGAATCATGGTTTCTGCCATTTGTATGAGCATCATTGATATCCATACAGTGTCAATTGCCATTTTGAGAAGGGATTACCCCCTTGGTGTGGCACAAGATATCATGACACCTTGGGATAGTCCTAATATTGGACCTGCGTTTGAGACTGGGGCATTTCTGGTCTTGGGGGAACTTTCTGAAATTGCGAAAGTGACTTTGCGGTTCCTCGAGGCCTACAAGGTTGGAAATGGGCCAAATGGCTTCACGAATGGCTTGGAGCTCCCAGTTGGCATTCTCCCCTCGCTGGCTGGCCCTTTGCGGGGGCAGTTGCAGCAGATTATTATTGATGCAAGTTGGTCCACAGGTGGTCCGGGCAGGTGAAGTGAGCTCCGTTTGAACTGAGAGTCTACAGGGATTCTATATAAGTCATGACAGTCTATTTACATATACCATTTTTTCTCTTGTCCAACCACCGTGAACTCAATAGTTTCCTCCTGGTGTAATTTCAGTAGAACATGCGTTACTGATGGCCCGGCCAGAAGGTCCATCCCCTCCCCGTAAATCTTGGCCGTGACTTCTTTCGTCGTTAACATGGCCATACCATTACCCTCGGAAAATGCAGAGAGAACCCTCTTTTCCCTCATCTCCCAGTGCCGGGTGTATGCCATAAGGCTTGCCGATAGATCTTCAATCTTAGCGCCGTGCCCGGGATATCCAATTCTAAGGCCTCCGACGCGCATATCGTGCGTCATAATCCGTAGACTTTCCATATATGATTTTAAATCTTCTAGGGCGACACTGGTTCCATGCCCAAGGACATTATCACCTGTGAACATGGCTCTGGTCTCCTTCATGACAAAGCACATGTGGTCTCTGCTATGCCCAGGCGTGAACAAAGCTTGTAATGTGGCTCCTTCAGTCACGAATGTCTGGCCATCTTTGATCGGGTTCTGGCCCCGATCTGGGTCTGCCTTGTAGACAGCCGTAGTAAGACCAGGGTACTGAGCGAGTAATCCCGGAACCCCGCCAACATGATCAGGGTGCCAGTGCGTCAAAAGAACGTGAGATATGCTCAGCTGGTTTTTGTCGAGGTATTCGACTAGTGTTTTGAGCCAGATCGGACAGCCCTGAGAACGACAGTTAGCTGAGTTTCTTATGAATCCCCTTAAATGGGCTGTCAAAAGAACGAACTTCACCCGTGTCTACTAAGATTCTGCTTTGGCCGGTTCCAACCAGATATGTGTTGGTTCCTTGTAGTTGCATGTCACCCGGGTTCCCACCCAGAATTCGCACAACATCTGGGCTGAGCTGCGTAACCGCTGGCAGACTTGGTAGTCCGGCGTTTCTAGCAGCTAGAAAGTCGCCCCATCCTGACTGGGTGCTTTTGGTTGACATATTGGGGCTGAACCTTGGCGTATAGTCCTGAAACCTTGGATGTGTCAATCAGATATAGGGGGGATAGTCAGGCGCGGAGACTGTTTACCTCAGCTTAGTCTCTCCGGGCGATTTTACAATTCTCCGAGCATACAAGACAGATCCTGTGTAAGATCTCGGATGTATTCTGTGCGACACACACCCCAAGGCTTGGACAGGATGATAGGGGAGGCTAACACACACCGGTGGTTTTTTTCAATATGAGCCAATAGGAGCTGTGCCTTTGGCGAGCGGGGTTATTATCTATGCACAGTAATACTACAGAGTACGGAGTACGCTTGATGGTTTCTGCCTAGCACGATAACTTCGATATTGGGTTCCGCTTAAGATACCCTATCTCCTATGATCCGATACCCTAGACATTAAATATGATAGAGCGGAAAAAAGACAAAGAACAAAAGAACATGATCGCCTTCTAGAAGAATGTAGATCCCCCTGCTTATGCTCGCATAAGATGACTAAGCCGGATGAGCACAAAGCATCGCCTGCATACCGGCGGCATGCGAGCCCTCTCCGCATTGTTTACAATTTGTAGATGTAAGGAATAAGTTAGATCTAGATGAGCATACATATGATATAATCTCTCGCTCATCTTCCACCTCAAACCCTTACTTGGGGTGAAATCACCAGGAACAGGCAGGTGGGTCTGGCCTAAATTAGCCTCTCGTGACCGCGACCTCCTTTCCCCGGACATGATCCAACGTGGCCCTAGTGATTGCCCTAATTCTCGAGATCAGGTGCAACAGGAGTCTAACTTACGGCATGGCCCTGTTATAAGCGCCTGCCTTACCGTCCCAAGTTACCGTTTCGCTTTTCCCGATCGCTTTCCCCACGGCATGATCCCACGTCATGGAGTCATTGGTTTATGAGAACTCGCCCTTGGCTGAATACCTCGAAGGTTCGTCAACTACGTTCGAATCCTGGAATGCACATCAACTGATACCCGCGACAGGGGAAGGTGGACACGAAGAGAGTTGGCCGGTGGAGGAGAACCAGAGTGATGATGATCATACCAGTGGCTTGAACTTTGCACCTCGAGGGGCTTCCAAATTCCAGACCCGCGTTCGCAACAAGCTACCGAAGCCCCTCGATCTCCGAGGTACGCCGCAAGGCGAGTTAGCCGGTAAAGTTTATGATGCTTGCTCGGTATGTTCATCTCAGGGCTGCGGTCCTTTCGTCGTGCTCACAAATCATCTCATTTCTAGTCTGCTTTGAACGTCCGACTACCGCGCAGTGACAACAAACGATTCTTGGAACAATTTGGCTACGTTATTGTCGCGTCACAACTACTCAACGAGCATAGCGCTCCCTCCTACACCTCCGCATCCGATGTCCTCTCAGCAACGCAATCCACAGATCTCCCCTCTCTATCTACGACTTTTGGACTACAAGGCGCTATTGTCACGGCCTGCACATCTTTCTCTATTGCTTGGTTATTACATTGGGGTCGTTGGAAAGCAGGGTCAGGGCTCAATCCTAAAAAAGTTGGAGTGCTCCTGATCCTTGTTCCGGTTCTGGGTGTTTTGTTTTATGCTTTCGCGAAACGGCAATGGCTGAAATACCTCCGGCACCAGGCTGTAGACGCAGCTGCCACGTTTATTGGAAATGCCCAAGGCTTTGATTCAGCGGCCTCCGCCTCTGTGGTTTTCATACAGGAGGTTGAGCTTGTTTCCCGGGGCTATCGCATGTGAGACTGCTGAGTCTATGTGAATTCACTACAGAAAACTGACCATTTCTATAGAAGCACCCCCCTACCCCCTATTAGCCGACTCGAAGATCAAGTACAAACGCGACGATGCTTAAGATTACGCAGAACAGTTTCGGAGTGCTTTTACTCGATGCTCGAGAGATACGTTCGGTCCGAAAACACCCTGCGCCCACTTACTGACGAGGCCAACCTCGCCAAATATTATGACATTTATGACATTGGATTGGAAGAACTTGAAGCTATTGAGTCGTCCCTATCGAAGCGAACAAATGACGACCAATACTCGCTGCGTGCGCTCAGGGATCTATTTGGGAAGCTCTACAGTGTGCGGAAGAGCGTTCTATGCTGTTTATTGGCGCTCAGTGCAGACGGCGGAGGCTCCGACATTGGGAGATGGAGCTCAGCTGTCGAAGAGATGCGTGAACTTGCCGCAGTGACCGGAGACAGCATGTTGAAAATGACTGCTATCCTCAACGAGGAAGATCGTGAGTATCAACCTTCAACATTGACTTGAAATTAGCTAAATTTTCCAGGTGACAACATTCCTCCATCTCCGCTGCCTTCCGCGTCCGTTTCGCCAAGCAAGGATTATCTGCGGGCCCAAATTAGACGCTTTAGTTCCTTGTCTCAAGGGGTGCGGGCCTTGCATGCCAAAATGCACATAGTCAGCGAGGAGTCACACGCGAGCCTTGAGCGACCCGACTCTGCTGACTACGAGTCCGCCCTGCTTACTCAATATGACTCGGTTGGCAGTGACTTAAGAGCTCTTCTTCAGGAATGGGAAGCTGGCAAGGCTGCACTGGTCAGCCAAGACCGACTCAGTGTGGATCGCTCACGGCCCCCAAGTACGCTGCTGATGCCCATGTCTCCCACTCCCAGTCTGGGAGGCTCTACCGCAGTTGAGGGCAGCCCAACGGATGCCCTCAAAGCCTTGAATGGCGAGGGTCGGCCGGACCTGACCCAAACCTACGATGACGAAGAGATTTTTGAAGCTGTTGTTCTTCCTGCATCAAGAAATAAGCGGGTGTCTTTGACCCGCGATGAGCGTCTTGCGCGTGTACGCGAAGACCGGGCCAGACAGGCGACTGCTCGAGAGAAGGTTGATGCAAATACTAATATGCTTAAAGAACTGGAAATGGTGATTAAGCAACGACCTGGGAACAACTCTTCGAAGCGAGTGACTAGCATTTAACCTACCTGCAGTCTACCACGCTTGCCCGACACCTTTGACAGGATTTCCTACTTTCTTTTTGTCCATTGGACAGGTTTGACCTCAACCAGCGCTAGCAGCTGAAAGTCACAAATTGATACCCACAACATGTATAGATATCGGACCGGCGACAGCGGTGTTTTATTGGGTCTGCTTTGCTCTTAGCTCTTCGTTTGCTTGTTTTTCTTTTTCTTTTGTGTGATTACAAGCTGTCATACTGTCTGTACAGTGATTCTGGCGATGGAGTTTGGTCTTTGGATGTCAGATTGCCAGCCACCAAATGGCTATTTGTACTTTGTATATTATCGCAGGTACTTATGTAAACATTTCTATCATTTCTTGTTCCCACAGTAGAGATCTAGGGTTACCCCTATAGCCCTGGAGGGATGTATAAAATCGGAGGCCTTGCCGCCTGAGGTATCCAACTTTACCCAAAAGGGACATATCGCCAAACGCGACTGACCGCGTTCTTCCCCACCCTCGAACGCGATCCTTATATTAGACCGCTGCCTCTTTCACCTTTACCCAAATACATACCCTTCCACTGTCTTTGCCCCATCCCCTCTGTCACCTCTTTCACGTTCATAATTATCCTCACGTTTCTCTTTTACGACCCTCAAAACACACCACACCGACAAGAGTAAGTCCGCCACCGCCAAAATCAAGAGATTCTTTTGTGCGAAAAATGGATCAATTGACCTCTCTCTAGTGTTGGAAGCTCGTTTGGAACAGGCCAGCCTTCTTAAGCGCGTATGTGACACGTCATTCCTAACCCTCTCAATGAACAAAATGCTGACTTGTTTGGCCAGGTCGTCGACGCCATCAAGGACCTCGTCCAGGACTGCAACTTCGACTGCAATGACTCCGGAATTGCCCTCCAGGCCATGGACAACTCTCACGTTGCCCTGGTCTCCATGCTTCTCCGTGCTGAGGGTTTCTCCCCCTACCGCTGCGACCGTAACATCGCCCTCGGCATCAACCTGCTCTCCCTGACCAAAGTCCTCCGCGCCGCCCAGAACGAAGACATCCTCACTCTCAAGGCTGAGGACTCACCTGATGCTGTCAACCTGATGTTCGAGAGCGCTGAGACCGACCGCCTCAGCGAGTACGATATCAAGCTCATGGACATTGACCAGGAACACTTGGCCATCCCCGAGACCGAGTACGCTGCTACTGTCGAGATGCCCTCTGCTGAGTTCCAGCGCATTTGCCGAGACCTCAACGCTCTCTCTGAATCAGGTACGCTCGATGAAATTCCGAAACAACAGTGTGGCCAAGCTGGCCAAAAAAACAGACCACCATGCTAACCCTCGAACAGTTGTGATTGAAGCCAGTAAGGAGGGTGTCAAGTTCTCCTGCCAGGGTGACATCGGTAACGGATCCGTTACCATTCGTCAACACACCAACGTTGACAAGCCCGACCAAAACGTCGCCATCTCCCTCTCCGAACCCGTTGCCCTGACCTTCTCCCTCAAGTACCTTGTCAACTTCTGCAAGGCCTCCAACCTGTCCTCGTCTGTGATCCTGCACCTCTCTCAGGAAGTGCCGCTCCTTGTTGAGTACGGTCTTGGTAGCGGCCACCTGCGGTTCTACCTGGCTCCTAAGGTAAGTTTTGTATCTTCGTATGTCTTGGCTGGTGATTGATCTAACGCGCACCAATGCAGATCGGTGACGAAGAGTAAACACATCATTTGCGGCTCATGGGGGGATACGGGATATGCTAAAATGAAACTCTATGATAATGGAGAGAACGGACGGAGGATAGTCCTTTCACTGCATCCCAGACAATTGGGGGGATACCAATATTTCACGATAATTCACAATTCAGCGGTCGAGGACTCGACATCGCAACTTTTCAAAATTTTCACGTTTTCCAAGGGTCTCTTACATATAAACAATAGAAAAGACACAGGAGATATTACACAGTAGTTCTGCAGACAAAAAAATATATATTTTCTACCATGTTACTCAATCCACGATTTCGAGAAATCACCACCAGCCAAAGCCCACCGTCTAAAGGAGACACCCCTAAAGACCTCGAGGGAAATGGTCCAACCTCACAAATTAGCAAGGTCACAAAAAAATCCTTTCCAGCACTCCCAAACAAGACAGAAAAGGGGGAGCAGGAAACGAAAACTAACCTGGGAAAAAAAAAAGGGAAGCGCCATCCCCACCAGAATGATCGGAATCGAATGATACCATCCACTCCCCCCGTGAAGGAAGAAGCAGAGTAAGTATGCTGCGTATTGCACTAAAGTGTCATCACACACAATCTCCGCACCGACTCTCCCATGGGGCTCGAGAAAAAAGAAAGCCGGAGCTCTCTCCTCCTCTCCCCCCGATGTTTCTGATGCCAAGTGCAGGTGTGGTAGAGTGATCCTCTAAAGATCACACCAGGCCCTCGCGGGCAGGACCGGCGCCGCCGCGCAATGAAGAACGACGGCGCGGGTTTTGAGGTTGAAGATTCCTCCGAATTTCTCATTTGCAAAGGTTCTCGTTGTGATCCTGGGCTGGACCCAGGATTACGGTGAGGACGGGCGTGAGCCCGTCGTGTGTAGCAAAGAAACGCAGCATTGGTGGGGATGACGCTTGGGGAGAGGAAGTTTTGGGCGCTGGGATTTTATTTATAGTGGGCAATTGGTGGGCGGGTCACTGACCGCCTTCTATTTCGGGGATACAGCTGTCTACTGCCGTCATTCTGCCATTTATTATTAGTAATGCTGTTCATTTCGTGTCAGTTATTTCTTTTAATGCTCATTACATTCGATTTAGCTGGCTGGCCTTGTCGGCTAACTGCCTATATTATATGAAATAGCTGAATAGGTTATACATCGTACGACTTGGCCTCTTTCTGGGTCGCTGGCGATATACTTTAAGCACTACATAGACGTGTTAGTTATTGCTGAGGTGTGTATAGCTTATAGAATTTAGGTAGGGGCTTATAGAGGAGGAAAAAGAGAATCAAACAAAGATGCAAAAGAGAGTCCTTACTCTCATTCACATCCTCGGGAAAATCTTTTGCTAGTTGTGCTATCTACTTTGGTTCCTCTAACAGGGTAATAGAACTTTGAATGAGTGATCATATTGGCAATTCCTCAACTTATAACTTAGTAGAAATACCCAGATTCTCATATGCCCTCACAATATACTCTCCTCCATTAATCTTCACTTTATCCCCAACCTTCCAACGCCCTTCTCCAGCAAAGCCATTAATCATAGAAGGCAAATACCTAACATCCTGCCCAACAACATACTTCTCTCTCCACCCATTCTCCCACTCCTCCCTCCTGGCGCTAACAGCAGCACCAGATTTCTTGACAACAGATCCACCCGAAGGATCCTTCAACCGTCTATGAGTCTGAGTCTGCCGCAAAGCCAGATATGTACCCCAAATTCGCCCCAGGAAAGTCTTAACAACCGTTACCTCCCCTTCATCACTCTCATCCCCATCCCGACCTTCACTATCAGACTCAAGAACCCAAGAAAGCCCACCATTGCCCTCGGGACCAGTTCGAAACGCCAATTCCCTCCAAACCTCTTCATACGCACACTCAGGCGCACCAGGTAAATCCGGCCGAGGCATGACACCCGTTTCAAGATCATCACCATTAGGCAGCGTCACAAAAGTCCCACAATCAACACTTTCAAATGCATCGTGCGAGTCAAGTTCGTGTGAGAATGATACTCGTACTACGCACATGTTAGAAACACCTTTCCAGACTTCATATGCTGTTAATGTATACATACAAGGCTCTTGGCTCTCGACAATCCGCTGCCCGGCAATGGCCCAGTCTACTGCGCCAGTTTCCTTCTCCATTCGGAGATCCAGGTACCAGTCCTTTACGGACATGACAATTGTATCTGTTGTTTCTGACGGTGGGTCTGGGAGCCAGCGGATTGAGATCCGAGTTGAGAAACGACATTCGGATTGGGCGGGTTTTGGAGACGGCATTGTATTTACTTTGGATTCGAGACGTGTGTTTGATTGAGGGTGGTGGGTTCACTTTGGGACTGTGGGGTTTGGATTTGGTTCAGAGGTGGACTGGGTTGGTGGTTAGTTATAGGATAAGTCGGGAGAGGATTTCTTTTAGGATCGTTGGTGTTTGGCTGGGACTGGAAATTTTGTAGAGACGAATTGGGAATGTGGAAGAGATGATTAGTTAGTTCGGACTCGAGGGTTGCTTTTCTCTTATCTTTCCCCTCACCGCGCGGGGAGAAGTTGAGGTCCGATTTGGCGGAGTTTGCCGCTGGAAGTATACTCTTCTTCTCTATACACGTGTGAACAAATTGAAAATGATCCAAGTTGTCTGTAGAGGCAGATATTTATCTTTCTTATTTGATTATTTTGGTTTTCTTGAAAATCTTCTTTGTCGACTACTCATGCTATCCAATACATAACAAAAATCCTAATTACCCTCAATAGCAGTAAAGACCAGTTTGCAGCTCTGCCCCTTAGGTCTTGAAGAGATAATCTGATCATCCAACTTCATAGAAGCGGTCATGTCCGCAGCAACGGTGGTTCTAAACCGCGAATAAACCTCCCTGAGCAGCATCTTCATCTCAACAAGAGCAAGACTAGACGAGAACCCTATTGATTAGCAATGTCACGCCGTGATTCAATAAAAGAAGTAGTCACTTACTTCTTCCCGGTACATCCTCTCCCACCGGTAGCAAAAGCAAAGAAAAGTCTATTTCTCTCCGCAACACCATCTCCAACAAGCCATCTCTCCGGCCAAAACCGGTCAGGATCAGTAAAAACCCCGGGATCCCGGTGCACAGAATAAGGCTGACAACTAACAATCACACGCTCGGGCACAAAGACTCCATCAATGGTACGCCCACCCTTCGGAACGTATCTAGGCAAAGACATAGGAATCGGCGGTGCACAACGCAACGCCTCTTTGATAACAGCATCGAGGTAAGAAAGACTATCAAGTGGGGCATCAGCTGGCGCAGAAACCAGCTCCTGGTACAAGCGTTGCTGGAAGGGGTGATTTTGTGGCCGAGATAATTCCCACATGAGAAAGCACAGGCCATCGCCTGTTGTGTCGATTCCGGCGGCCATGTGATCTTTGCATTCTGCTGCTGCTTGCATTGTGGTTAGGTTGGATTCTTTGCGGGTCAGCTTTTCGATTAGGGTGTGCGGGTCGTGGTCTGAGAGGGATGCTCGCTTTTGAACATATGCATTTGCTTTGGGCGCGCTGCGTGCGTGTAGGAATTTGGGAAAGTAAGGAGACAGGGATGGAAGGTAGTATTCCAAGAGGTTTTCTAGGTTGATTAGTTATGGTAGTGCTAAGCTGGAATATAGTGAATTTGTAGGTGGGGGTTGACTTACTCTGTAGACTTTGGTGATAGGTTAATTCGTGCATAATTTCGTAGTCTTTGGGGTTGTCGAGTGACTTGAGACCACCGGGGCTGAACATGAAATGGGTTACGCAGTCGAGAGCGTAGCAGTGGAGTAGGGACTGGTTGATGAGATAGGTTAGCTTATGTGATTATACAGCTTGCGGGCTCGGCATACATAGACATCCACGCTCCTCTGATCGGCCTCAGTGCACTTGGACACGAAAGTCGTAGCTCGCTCATGGATAGCAGCCATGGGCTTCTCTTTCATGATATTGGACATGGCATATCTCTCAGCAAAAAGACGTTTTCTCTTGCTATGCTGTTCATTGTTAGTACACGTGCCATGTTAACGTAGGACTGCTCTGAATATTGACCTCGTCTTTGTGCAAAGTAGAAAACATCGTCCTTGCTTCCCATTAGTGACTTGTTAAGCAAATACATAGAAGAGATTCGGAACTCACTTGATCTTGAACTGTCTGAACAGATCATAATACTCGGTTTTGTCATATCCGCTCCCACCAGAAGCATAGATTTCCTTGATAGCATCCAAACTCGTGAATGATACCTCATTGGGACCCAGTCGGACTACCGGTCCATAGACCTTATGCAGTTGATGGATAGATTCACGTCGGTTGGCAGTAAATTCTTGATACTTAATCCATATACTCGTGAATCGTGTGTAGAATGGTCCTGGTATCTTCGACAATGGCGAGAGTAAGCCTTGAAGAAAGATATATCCGAAAATCAAGATGGCTCCTGCCCACAGTGACAGCATATTGACGACTATTTCAGTGCAATAGAAGACAGTAGTTTAGATCCTGAAGATTAAAGATGCAAACTTGGGCGGCCTTATATAGACCGATCTTAATTCATTGGAGAAAACATAGATAGTCTTGAACGGCCAAGGTTAGCCGATATCTTTGCAGTGCGGGGGTAAGCGCGATAACGTTGGAATACCCCACGCCAAAAAGGGAAATCATAAGAGAATTTGAGTTTGGAGGTTTGAGTAATTGGAGATCTGTGAGTGGTTCCCTTTTCAAATCTATCGTATTTCGAGGCACTCTCACGTATAGATAAGGTCGCATTTACACCACGCTAATCAATATGTGCGCAACTGCCCTATTTGAGAGCAACGACACTTCTTTTACATGTTTATGTGATGACCCAGAGCACACTGCGTAGCTATTCCCATAACATTCGTGGATGCACTATATCGTACGAACAACGATTGTATTGGATTGAGGGACATAGTTCAATTCGGGACTGTAGCAACAATTTTGCTAACAGCTAAGAGCTTTGATAAAAGTGTCCACCGCTACTACCCGTCGCTAGACATTTGATTCGATCCCGCAATGTAGGATTCGAGCAATGTCCTCGCGTGTCTGCGCATCCCTCGCTAGATTGTGTTGAGACATAAGCCGCTACTTCTGGTGTTAGGCTTATATCTCAACAGATTGCTAGGCTGATTGGTTATCCCAAGTTTCCGATCAACAATTTTAAGTATATAACGTCCAGAGTACTAGTATAGGCCTTCTAAGGAAACTGCTCTCAAATGAGATATAGACAAATCCCAAAGTATATGAAGGCTTCTAGTAAAGCAATGGATTGATCTAAAGGCCGAAGAAGCCTTCCATAAAGAGAAAATATAGCTAAATATATATTATACACACGTAGATGACCGAGGCTTAGACAAGGGTATGTGGATTATACCAATTAGAATCAAACACCTTCGCTAGTCGATGTAGCGGGACAACAGAAGTTGCAAGAGACTTCAAGTTAAAGTATAGAGAGAATAGCTAGGAAGCTTTCTTCGATTGAACCGTTTTCAATTGCAAAATCATAGGCTCACTCACGTGCTAGTTGGAGCTCCCCTCGGCTGCGAAAAGTCACTTTATGTTTCACTTAAGTCTACTCCACCAAGCAGGCTCGGACCATCTTCCCAATTAGGATAAACGGATGAAACTAGATTTCAGGATGAATAAGGATACTATGTGAGGAAAAGAGTATAGAATTAATAATTTCTTGCATTTACAAAGTATAATAGTAGATGAAAGATGGAATTGGTACTAAGAAAAGACTATAATTAGCCAGCCATTCGTAGGAACCAGTTGACCCTTGGAAGTCCTTCACAACTACAAAGTGGGTCATTAAACTGCGACGAACATACCCTGTTACAGATTGACCCTGAATCATTCGTCTGACAAGATTCAATGCTAATATTGAGTATTTGATCATGAATCAGAAAGAAAATGGAGGTCACAATGACAAACCCAATTTCACTAGTGTGTGGAATCTGAAAGCCAAACTGCAAAGTAAAACTTTAAATAGAATCTCACAATGCATGATATGATGTCAAGTTTCCTCTGTAAACCGTTCAGAGAATTGTACTGCGCTAGATGCTCAAATATCGCGGGCACTTCCTAGTCCAGGAAACCAATATCACAATCCGGAACAGTACCATTTTCGATTGTTAGTGGCATCGGTAGGAGAAATACATTTTCGGGCTGGTGGGCTGCGAGTGAAATCCGAGACTGATTTGATGCGTCGTCAATCGCATGCCTGGCCACCTGCTTCACTTGTGATTGGATTGGAGCTCTCAACCTACTCCGAAAATAGATAATAGAGAAAATATGAGCCACTATCAGAGTTAAGGTATCAATCGACGACTATCAGGGGTATTTCGTGACCTCAGCTATGAAGCAACGCGGTATCCACGACCTCAACCATGAACAAAGCATGTGTTCGCACCCTCACAATTTTCAAGCAGATTGAAATGAGGGCCTTCTCAATCTGGTTTCCGAGACAGCAATCAAAAAAGCCATATGTACTAGATGTACCGCTAGTATAACTCTTAGTATCGCGGTTAAGATTAGGACAGTCTACCGTATCACCATCACGCAGTAGGGTTTTCTTGAGCTGCAAAAACTGCCTTTAGATCAAGCGATCTGTGAGCGTAATGCTAAAAGCAGCTCGGACATATCATCGGCTTATCTACGATCAGAAAGAGAATGACGACTGGTAGAGGGGTTGATGACAAGAGAATGGCAGATTGTGCTGCTGCGCGTTCATTTTGTACCTGGTTACCTTCGGCAACAGGATTTTCTTATGCTTTGGGTTATGGGATTTGTTCATAGGTCGAGCTGGTACCCAGTCTCTCTTTTCGAGGACCAGCTCAATTTCTGTATTGGCGTTATCAGGCGTACGGATAGATTCTTGCTTCAACTGGATGAAGCGCTGGCATAGCTATTGCCATACTAGTTAGGCTGCAGCAGGTTCATTGTACTTTGATTGGTGACGACTGGTACGTACCAGTGGGAATATGAGGGGATGATTTAGTAGATAAGAAGTGCCCATCACAGAAGTAGAGGAACTAGTGCGGACAGAAAGCGTTGGATTTTGGCAATGGTTGAAACATAATAGTCGATAGAAAATATGAACCCCGGTCGCCGCTGGTTGATGTTGATTGTGAGATACTGGTCAAGCCAAATAGCTCAGAAGAGTAGCCATTTACTGTCAGCTACTCAATACAGAAAAGAAACCCACCGATCGGCCCATCCGGGACTTTTGATATTGTCAGAGAATGTCTAGTATCAATGACATCAAATGCATACCGAAGAAAAACTAGAAATTCTCTGCAGTAGAATGTTTCTTCTACACCTTCTGCATTCGATCATATGCAGGACCTAGCCAGGCATTAATCTTTCATAAATATAAGATGACATTCAGACTAATCCACCTAGTGTAGTTGGTCCTTCGCGAGAATCTCGGTTCTCTTTTTGAGTGGATCACCCCTTGCGTACTTAGGCAAGCTTGGAAGCAGGTAGACGAGGTGACTTATCAAGAGGCGTCCCTGGTCTCCAGTAGTACAAAGACGCTTACCGTACTCCACAATTCATCTACCTCATTGTATTCCAAGTTTGTTAGTCTACAATACGTGAATCCAGCGACCCACAATCCCCTAGTAAATGATGAAAATAAATGAAGAATAAAGTCGGAAGCCGTTTCCGTTCACCCGTTTCTTATCCTATGCTAGACGCGTCTTTTGAGTCTAAACCTCGCGCTAAGGCAAATTGAAAGTACGCTAAGACTCTATAAGCTCACGAGGGTATTCAGTCGACCGACAACTCTACCCTCGAGATAATACTAGAACAAGGGTTGGGGAACTGACCGGGCAGGGTCATTAGACAAAGGCAATACTAGTGGAGAGCAGAAGACTTGTTCCAACTTGGAAACCGGTAGGTGGCGTTAAGCATTTTATACTTCTTGGCATACCGAATCAGCCAATCAGAGGACGCCACCAGCGTGCAGAATTGTTGGTTGAGGCCCAAGGCGCCAAGCGGCCCCCAATCCTTCGCCAGCTCGGAAACCTCCGCTACAGAAGGACAGGCCCCCTGCATCCCCACCCTTGACGGCTCATTGAGTACTCACGATTGACTAGGCCCACGGAGGCTGACATCCGTGCGTTGATCGACCCGACATCGGTGACGCGACTTGACAGGGGGCGAAATGGCCATAACAGAATCATCTGCAGGTGCGCGCCTCGAAGCTGTTGTCACATTGATAGGGGCGATGTCGCAAAGCGATTACGTACAGTTTCTGACGGGGGTTGGAATTTCCAGGGTTAATTGCAAAGCCTGGCGCTCTTAGTGGCGATAGCGTTTCATCAAGTTTAACCGTAGTGCTCAATACGGCTATTAGGTAGATCTGCCAATGTGATTGAATTTTTTGGAAAAAAAGAGGCAATGCATCTTAGAATGCAAGAACCAAGTCAAGATATTCGAATGATATTTCTTCCATATAAGATTAGGCAGTGACAATCTTAACTCTGCCGGGTAAATGACAAGGAACTCAAAATGCCATCGTAATTAGTGGGTTACATCGTGCCGAGCCGAGGCCTTTCGGAGAGGGTCCGTCAGATGCTGAAATGAGTGGACCCAAGGCCGTTTAGTAGGAATGGTGACTGCAGAAACAGTGCAGAAGTAGCGTCTGCATATACTATCTGCAGGAATTCTTTCTACGAACCCTGTCAGCAATGCCCCGCCAGGTGGCAGATACCGAGACTTGATCACAGACTTCGTCAGACAATGTATTAATTCTCGCTGTTGATTGTTTCTCTGGACAGGGACTATCTCCCCCATACACCCACAGGCTTCGCCTCGCAATGTTCCACACGTTTAATGTGGCTGCGCCAGCGCAGCATGGCCCTGATCAACGCGCTTCAAACTCAGTGTCGCCATCCCGAAAACGCCAGAAAGTGTTGCGAGCTTGCGATCGTTGCCGTACGTTTCGCACCAAATGCGGAGAAAAGCCTTGTTCGCGCTGTGTACTTGATAAAGTCAGATGCACGTGGACCTTTAGTCCACCTGCCAAGCAAAAGGCCAAGAGCCTTTCAAATGGGTGAGAATGTCTGGCCGATGGAGGGAAATGATTACTGACAGTGATTGTTGAAGACGAGAGCACCACCCCGAGTCCCGTCCCAGGGACCGTGTTCGATCCGATGCGTCGGAGGAGAAACCGCAAAACTGCCTGGCGCCGGCCATTATCGCGAGCAGTATGGACAGGGACCGACCACCAATGCCCTCAGCCTCTGCCGGCACCACCACCGAAATGACTCTTCCAAATCATAGCCGTGTGAAGCTGGACGACCACATGGAGCTGCTCAACTGCCCGGTGTATGTCTTCGACAAAATCGACAGCTTCTTTGTCGATTCAAGGATCACATCGCGCAACTGCAGCCACGAAGCAATAGCGAACCTCAAAACGGCCTACCCGGGTCCGTTTCCTGATCTACCACATATCGCAGCATCAGCGGACAGCCCACCACCCTGTAACGAGCACTTGACCGAAGACCAACAAACATATTTTCTCCGCCTATTTTGGGAAGCCTATCACCCACTTTTGCAGACTTCGGACGAAGCCGAATTTCAATCCCTATTGCATCTGGATGGGCGACAAGCCTTCGAGGTTGGAAAATTGACCAAGGCGTTGGCAAATTGTATGACGGCGTTAGGAATCCAATACGGCCATGGGGCTGGCCTGACTTCACGCATCCTGAGTATGCGCCGTTGTGCAGTCAACATCTCATGGATAGGGTACGAATATTTCCGTCGCTGTCGGGATTATATTGCGCTCCTGACTGAGCCCACGCTCTTATCGATGCAATGTTACGCCCTGATGTCTCTATATCTCATGAACGCAAGTCATTTCAGAGAGGCTTACAGCCTGCTCGGCACCGCCATTCGTCACAGCCATAGTGTCAATCTCCACGAGGAACCTAGCGAGCGTCTTCAGCCAAAAGAGAGGACAGCTCAGAGGCGGATTTGGTGGTTACTCTTTATGCTCGATATAAAATGTTCCCAGCAGCTTGGGAAGCCAGTCGCTGTACAAACCGCTACGATTACATGCGCTTTGCCGTCAGCCGATGAACTAATCACGATACCGGGAAACACGAGCGTTTGTTGGAAGAGTCTACACGTCTCGACTTATTTCGTGCATGCCGTGAAGCTCGCAGTGTCTCTTGCGGAGATGGATCGACTCATTTCCACCTCGAAGTTATACGAGGATGCCAACAACATCACCGTGCTAGAACAACGAGCGAACTTGGTAGCCACATCGCTCGCGTGTCTAGAAAAATGGAGCAATGAACTACCAGATGACCTCCTTAGCCCCAGGAAAAACACAGGGTACACGGAATCCATGTCCACAGCAGAGAGTCCGATCGTGTTGGAGCTTGGAGCTCCCAGCTGGCTCCACCATCAACGGGTTCTACTTGAAGTAAACTATCATAATGCATATATCATGCTCCAGCGGCCATTCATCTGCTTCCCTCAACCTTGCAACTCCTCTCCAATCCAACAACCACAAACAGATCGCCACGCACGCAGCTCGCTCCAGCACGCCATAACAATGACAATCATCGTCCACGACCTCTGTTCTTCATCCGATGTCTTTTTTGGCTCGCCTGCAATCCTTCACCCATTATGGAATGCCACCGTGACAATCCTTGGATTTATTATAGCGAACCCGTTCTCTTCACGATCCCGCAGGCCAATACAGTGGATTTTCAAAGCCTTGGCTGTATTCGAGGCCTTTGCAGCTACCGAACCATTCGCTGCCCGAGCAGAGAATATCACACGATCCCTTGTCGCTAGACTAAACGACATGCTCAACAGCCTGGATGACAAGTCAGAGCAAAGGAGCCACAGCAGAACGTCCCTGGGAATGACACTGGAGCCATCTCCCGCTACAACGTCAACTACGCCCTCCACGGACCCCGTTGATGTACTGATGGGGTCTCTCGACGGAGGGCTGGAGCCCCCCTTTGATAATTCATTTTTCACGGATAACAACCTTTGCTCGTCAATTGGAGCCGTTGAAATCAACACATGGGCGGCCTATCAAGATCATCTTGATATATGGAATGGCAGCCATTCAGATGGAGCCCTTGACGCAATGCATGTATTGGATTAAACCATATCACGTGAAGATGAGATACACGATCGGTTTTGCGTTTGAATTTCAAAATGGGCTTTTTAGGCGAGCTGTGTATTGATAACCGAGTCCTGAATACGGCTAGTTGACACGGGCTAGGTCCCGTCTTGCCGTCCTACGAACAAGGGACGATGAATCGATGAATAAATGAATAGATGAATGAATTCTACCTAAAGCCCATGTTCAAGTAAAAGAGAGATGATATAGTTGAAATGATTGAACATTCAACGCCTGTGTGGGGGAGGCAGAAACTGAGAGAGAAAGACAGCAAAAGGGAAATGGAATGCGGCTCTGGTCAATCTGCCTATCCCTACCCAGAAAGGAACTATGGATCTCAGAGACGTGAGGTTGCATCTATCAGTGCGCATAGCCACACGTTTGGAGACCCTTGGACTCTGATTCGCGGGTTCTAAGCGACAAAGTTACTAACCAGGCACTTAATATGATTGCATACCCTCCGGCCGCGGAAATGTAGCCACCTATCGTCAAATTAAAGAGCGGAACGACAAGCTTTAGCACCGACTCCCGATTGGCCGCCAAGAAGTTCCTCATGCAGTCATCATTTGGTGTATTCAAGCGGAAGACCAAGACGGAAAGATAGTTTCCTTGAGTGGGCCTGGTGCAGATGGGTTTCTGACATGCAGCAGCCCTCCCGAGATAAAGGCGTGATGCGCAACCGCACGCTGTGTTGTCCTAGCCATCCACAATGGACCCCGATACGGATGATCAGCAAGAGGCCGGGAAGTGGACCTCGAAGCAGGGCTTCCGGTTTGCTGCCTTCCAGAAAGAGTCGTTCCGGAATCCTTCAGCCCGTTTAGGGAGTGTGTATCCAGTTCCTTCATGTTCTTGTCGTATGTTTCCATGTTTCAGGGGAGAGTGGGAACCGTTGGCTATTCTAGTGGATGTTGCGTCATTGTCTAGGTCGTATCGAGACACCCCGACGATATTTTCGGTTTTGTATCGAATCTTTGAAACATTGAAGAGTGATAGTTCTAATCGCGCCACCGAATTGGTGGGAATGGTGGGAACTGGGTATAGTCGTATCGGTGGATGTGCTGGTCGAGAAAGGCCTCGTGAAGATCTTGTTTAGCGTCAACTGCTAGCGTTCACTCAGCGAAGTCTCAGTCCCCTGATTAAGGAATTTGGGTGCGTTCAGCGCTTAGATTTGACGGTTTCCTATTCCTATTCCTTCATATTGTTGATTCAGTACCTTGTCACATCGTTGCTGTAGTAATCACACATCCTGAGAAGGATATCGGGATATAAATATTCATACAATCGTCGTCTTCACTAGACCCATCATTTCTCTCTTTACTTCTCTCTTTGCTTCCCAAGAGAATTGATTAACTCGTCTTGATTCTCGGGCCTCCCCCCCCCCCCCCCCCCCCCGCGGTATTCAACCACCCATATCAAGATGAATCAAATTCCTGTCTTCGCCGGCTTGGGTTCAGATGCGCTTTTCTCGGAGCGAACTCTAAAGACTGCTGCCGAAGACGCTAGAACGCCAGAGGGCCAAATTATATTACGAGCATGCCATGGCATTTTCGTGAGGGAGATCACCTCCATCATCAACAGCCAGCGTCTATCCTTGGACATTAAGCTGGAAGACTTCGTGGCGCCAGAAAGCCTCATAGGACCTCGGGAGTGTTATCAACAGAATAGCATCATTCAACATGTATCTCTCTACACAATCCAGTTTCTAAGATATTTACGATACCTGAAAGAGAAACCTGGCACTCTTGTTGGCGTGGCCGGATTCTGTGCCGGATTACTGCCTTGTGCAGCGGTGGCCACGTCCAGGAATACCATCGAACTGCTTTCTCGCGCCCAAGACTTTTTCTACGTAGCTCTGCATTTGGGCATTCGAATCCAAGGCTACAAGCAGGTGATGATGGCGAAAACAGAATGTCCAACACATCTACCATGTAGTCTGGTTGTGGACGGGATCACGGCCCAGCGTGCCCAAGAGTTGCTTGAAGAACACAACAAACGGGTATGGCTTGTCCATGATCAGAGAGACCCAAGTGCTAATTTAGAACTTATAGTCTCCGGCGTCTTACGTCTATTTGAGTGCTATCAACTCTGATACTTGCATCACTCTCAGTGGTAGAGGCGATCATCTTCAAGACTTCACCCAAAGCAACATGCCCTCCCAATGCAAGATCCGGCCAACTAATATTTTTTCCTTGTATCATAACCGTCGTCAGCTCGAGGAAGTCCGAAAAGAGGTGCTTCAAGACCTACGAAACAATATACTCATATTCCCAGCACCGTTACAACTTCTTGTTCCGCTGTTTTCCAATATCGATGGAAAGCCGATCGACTCGGAGCAGCTAGTAACGGTTGAAGAGATGTGCGAGAAGCTCCTTGATATGATGATGTTAGAGCCGGTGAACTGGGCAGCGGTCGAGGATAACATCCTTGCTGTCATCGAGCAATCCGCCACCGCTGTGGATTCTTCTTATGAGATTTTGAATTTCGGCCCCGGATACGGCATGTCGGGGACCAGACATAGCCTCCCCGATAACGTGAAAGTTGTAACTGCGTCAATAGTCGAACCGCGTCTCCTACCACATGACGCTTCTGGGCTGCTATCCTCTGATGACATTGCCATTGTGGGCATGGGTGTGGATCTTCCAGGAGCTCCCAATAGCGATGCCCTTTGGCAAAACTTGGTCGACGGAGTCAATTCTTGCACTGAGGTGAGACTACCCCATTTCAAACCTATCATGGAATATTGGATTGACTCGAGTTATGTAGATTCCATCGTCAAGGTTCCACGTGGAAGACTTCTACCAGGAGAAAGATGGCCGTACACTAAGAACCAAGTATGGCAACTTCCTAGAAAACCCCTTCATGTTCGACAACGAAGTTTTTGGAATTTCACGACGAGAAGCTCATTCCATGGATCCCCAACAACGTGTCATGATACAAACTGCCTACCGGGCACTTGAAGATGCGGGTTATGTGCCTGATTCAACCCCGTCGTTCTCCAGGAAGACGTTTGGCTGTTTTATTGGAAATGCGACTTTGGACTATACCGACAATCTGAGAGATAACATCGATGTCTACTACAGCCCAGGTGAATTGTGTCTGGCTTGACTATTGATCATTCAGATATGCTAATCTTTTCTATATCAGGCACCTTACGTGCTTTCCAGAGTGGACGGATATCCTACGTCTTCAAATGGAGTGGGCCATCTATGACTTTAGACACGGCCTGTTCCTCGTCGATGGTAGCCATTCATCAAGCAGCACGAGCAATCCAAGCTGGGGACTGCCGGTCAGCGTTGGTCGGGGAGAGTGAATGTCATCAGTAGTCCTGACGTGAGTGAATCCTTGCAATTTTCTTTATTTTTGTTTGAAGAGGAAAAAGGCGACAAAAATTCCATTGTCCATGGTGTCTTCCAAACCAATGGAGCCACATTTCTGCTACAATCATGAACTGACAACGCCATAGATGTATCTTGGTCTCGATAGAGCGCATTTCCTGAGTCCTACTGGCCAATGCAAGCCTTTTGATGACTCGGCAGATGGCTACTGTCGCTCTGAAGGGTGTGCGGCTTTCGTGATCAAGAAACTTGGAGATGCGATATCGGAAGGTGACCGAATTCTCGGAGTTATCAGAGGCACTGAGATCAACCAAAGCGGCAATGCTCATTCCATAACGCATCCTCATTCACCAACACAAGAAGACCTATTTCAATCGTTGCTTAAGAAAACGCAAATCAATCCTCACCAGGTACGTAATCCCAAGCGGATAACTTATGCCAGAGGAAATTCCGATTCTCCACTGGGCATCTTCTGCTCACTTATTACCATCAGAGGCTGGCGATGTATTAACTTTTTGCAGATCACTGTGGTGGAAACACATGGAACAGGCACACAAGCTGGAGATCCAAATGAGCTTGTTAGCATTCGTGGTGCATTGTGCAACGGTCGAGATTCGGGGAATCTTCTCCATTTCACCTCTATCAAAGCAAATATTGGTCACTGTGAGGCCGCTTCCGGCGGTGCAGCATTGGCTAAATTGCTTCTGATGATAAAACATGGCAAGATTCCCCCGCAGATATCTCTCAAAACCCTGAACCGCAAGATCAAAGACCTTGGCAAGGATGGATCCGTCATTGATCGTGACGGCGCCACTTGGTCTCAGCCTTCACGACACCCGCGGCTTGCTCTACTCAACAATTTTGGCGCAGCTGGCTCCAACGGTGCCTTGATTCTGCAAGAATATTCCAGTGTCAAAGTCTCCCCTCAGAATGAAAAGCAGTGCGAGGCTCACACCTATATGCTCGGATTCTCGGCTAGAAGCAACACAAGTCTCCTTGCTTACAAAGATGCTATGATCGCTTATCTGGAGGATCCTTCGCTCCCGAGCTCTCTTCGTGATGTTGCTTATACAAGCACGGCTCGTCGCCAGATCTTTGATTATCGTATCTCTGTCACCGGCTCCACTGCTCAGGAAGTAGTCGACAGCTTGAGAAATGCAGAGGTTTACCACATTCGCGAGTCAGCGAATCCCCAGCCGCGTGCAGTATTCGCATTCTCTGGTCAAGGCTCACAGGTAAGGCTTCATTACAATATTATTTTGTGGGCTGAAAGATTAACAAACATTACAGTATCTAGGAATGGGCCGTGAGCTTTTGACTGCTTACCCCGAGTTCAAAAATGTGGTCATGGACTGCGAACGATGGTTGTTGAGCAATGGATACCCGGGATGTCTTGATATCATCGCATGCAAAGACGACCAAGAGCAGCAAACTCGCCCATCTTCGTTGCAGCAGCAATCTCTTCAAACAGCGGTCTTTGTCTTAGAAGTCGCCTTGGCGCGCCTTCTTATGTCTCTTGGTATTATGCCGACCATCGTACTCGGTCACAGGTATGTCTACGCACTCCGTTCCTCCTTTGCTGTTCTATCGCTAACTTCATCACTAGCCTTGGAGAATATGCTGCCCTCGTCATTGCTGGTGTTATTGAATTACAGGACAGTTTGAAGCTGGTAGCACACCGAGCCAAGCTTATGATGGAGCTTTGCCAACTTGAAACGACGTCAATGCTTGCCGTCAACCTCAGTGCAGAAGCCGTGAGGAATCACATCGACAATAGCCCAGAGTTCCACAGCCTGGCTATATCGTGTGATAATAGTCGTTCTGATTGCGTTGTTGGAGGCCCAATCAGTCAGCTTCAATCCCTGAAAGCAAATCTCAGTACGATGAACACGCGGTCTAAGCTCCTGGAGGTTCCAATGGCCTACCATACAAGTGCAATGGACCCCATACTGGATGAATTGACCGAAGTCGCGAAGACACTCGAGCTCTCGTGCCCGACAGTTCCTGTTCTCTCCAACGTGTTTGGTCGCCTTATTCAACCCGGCGAAAGAGCTTTCACTTCTGAGTACTTTGCTATGCATTGTCGCCAGACCGTCTCTTTCACTGCGGGCATTCATGAGCTCTGTCATAGTGGAATGGGGGCGGAAATTTCCCGGTGGATAGAAATCGGACCTCATCCCTCTTTGCTGCCAATGGTTAACGCTAGATTGGATAAAGACACTACAGATCTTCTACCCTCATTGAGAAAAGGAACTCCAGCTTCTGCGGCAATTTCTCGACTGCTGTGTCATTTCTACCAATCCACAACTGCGTTGAATTGGCGAAATGCTTTTGATGAGCCAGCAACCCTGGCCTCCGTTCCCGCCATGCCATTTTCGGAACAAGAGTTTGGTGTCTACTATCCACATGAGAGCGCTCAGAGAGACTCGGGTAAGTGTGATGAGAGTACCGATTCTGAAACTTCGCACACCTTCCTGTCCAGGATCATTCAACGCCCGTCTGAGACGAACAGCGAGGCTATTTTTGACACCCCGATTGCGGTCTTCAAGGACTACATTATCGGTCACATTGTTTGTGAGAATGCTCTTTGTCCTGCATCAGTGTATCACGAGATTGTTCTAGCTGCTTTGAAGTGGACACAACTCGATCAAAGCGAAGAAGTCATCAGGATACTTTCAAATGTGCAATATCCGGCACCTTTGCTATACTCAGAAGGCTCTTCTGCGATTGTTAGGGTTTCCATTAAACCTAGCAGTGACCACAAGGCAAACTACTTGTTCACTGTGGGTTCATACAACACAGGTTCCGACCCACAGCAGCAAGTGATTCACTGTCAAGGGCAACTGAAGACACGATCTAGTTCGCATGCTCAGAAGTATGCGAAGCTAGTGCCTCTCATGGAACGGCAAAAGGAACGGTTCCTGCGAACCGACCAATCGAGTACACAGATATTCCTTCGGAAAGCCATGTATGAAAAGGTTTTCACACGGGTCGTCACATATTCCGAATTGTTCCAAATGGTTCAGTCGATGCGCATCGATCAGGATGAAGCACTTGCAATGTGCCGTTTTCCCAATCAACAAGGAGACACATCAGCGGCAAACACGGTTCTCATGGACGTCCTGCTTCACGTTGCTGGTTTCGTCGCCAATCTCAATATCGAGAATGATGAAGTTTGCATCTGCAAGGAGGTCAAATCTGCTGCCATGATTCGCGAATTCCCCTTCTCGGATACGACATTCGAAGTTTATTGCAGCAATGTCGAAATCGCAGCCAACAACGTGGTGATAGCAGACGCATTTGCTGTTGATTCACAAGGCGTCATTGCTGTCTTCAAGGGCATGGCCTTCCAACGAGTGAAACTCGCAAGAATGGCTCAAGCGCTCCGGTTGACAGCTGCGAGATATGGTCATTCACAGCAATCTGCTCCAATGGAGCGAGCCAAACCGGTAGCTCCGATGCCCTCGGCTCCTGCCCCAAAGCCTGTTGACATGTCTGCCGATAAGCGACCGGCTATCAGGGAGATCATTGCGAGAACTTGCAATATTGAAGCTTCGAGCTTAACTGCAGACACCAGCCTTCACGACATTGGCTTTGACTCGCTTATGATTATCGAACTTTCTTCAAACCTGTCTTCTCAGCTTCAAACCTCAATTTATATCTCCGCTTTGGAGGATTGTGAGACCGTTGAGGACATCGAGCAGCTGTGCAGCGATGTGGGCCAAGCAGGACTCACGCCTATTTCGGAAGCAGAGAGCGTTGACTCCGTCATTTTGCCAATAACACCGGCAACGCCTGCAGATAAGCTACGCATTGCTTCCATCATCGCCGAGACATGTGGTGCGCATATTATATCAGTCAAGTCAGATGTAGAGCTCGAGGCTCTTGGTATTGATTCATTGATGATGATCGAGCTGGAAGCCCGTCTGCAAAGTCCATCAAGCACCAAGAAACTTTCATCTTCGGAACTATCAGAATGCAGAACAGTGAGGGATATTGAGAAATTAGTAGGTCCATATATAGCGACCTAAGCAGTGGCAGCCTTTTGGTGGCGTACAGCCCTGACATGTTACAGGCAAATATAGATGATGTACCAGCTCAACTTGAAGTTGAAATTTCTTCTCAATTTTCTCCCCGGCCCCCTCATGAAACACAATCCTCAGTACCAGAAAAGGAACAGAATGAACCATCCGCATCGATGACTCTGAAAATTGCGACTATCCTTAAGCTACAAGAGCAACCCGAGAAAGTGTATCTCGCCGACGACACGGCCCCTAAGAACGCTCCGCTTTTCCTCATCCACGATGGCAGCGGCATATGCGTTCAGTATCACCGATTACAACCCTCCAATCGGTCAATTTATGCGATTCATGACCCCAACTTTCTAGAGCCAGATTCCTGGACAGGACTTCCCGCCATGGCACAATCATATGCAAGACTTATTGAAAGAACCACTTCGGGACCATATATTCTAGGTGGCTGGTCATTCGGCGGTGTTGTTGCATTCGAGGCTGCTAGAGTGCTACTGGCAGAAGGCCACGCTGTGACCGGTGTCGTTCTCATCGACTCACCCCCACCACTCAACCACAAACCTCTCTCCGCGAACATCATAGATGCCGTCACAAGAGGTGGCAGAAACAGAGGTGGCCTGGTCGGCCAAACTATTCACAGCCATGTGAGGAAAAGCTTCACAGCATGCGCGGGTATGCTTGGGGCTTTCGAACCAGAGGCTGTGACAAGTACCAGTCGACCAATTCCACGGACTTTCTTGCTCCGATCAAAAGATGGCTTTCAACTACAGGCAGCGGATGGTATTCAGGAGATTGAGAACGCTTGGCTGCAGGATCGTTCCGATCCTAGGACTTCTATTGAGGATTGGGAGATTGTTACAAAGGCAAAAATGCCTTACATGGATATCCCAGGTGACCATTTCCAGGTCTTTGATGCTGCCAACGTAAGTTTCATTATTCTATTTGTTCTGAGGTTATGGATTATGCTAATTTTCATCCGTTTGGATAGGTACAAGCTGTGTCAAAAGCTATCGCTCATGCATGCAGTGAATTGACAGACGCCTCTTCATGTTGAACAGCTTCCGTAAACTGGTTATAAAGTTTGAAAAATCATACATCACTCATATACTTTCTGTTTTTTTTTTCACGATATTCATCATTGTAGTATGATAATGTGGCCAGATCTTCTATAGTTAGTCTTCTCTTTCTGATGTAAACTTGGATTAGGAAGAGGTGAATGTGGTTAGGACAGAGCTGCAATTGATGGTGAGGATTTTTGTCTCATAAACTGAAATTGAGTGAACACAGTTTGAAAGGATAATAAGGAAGCGCACTTTATCTCGTGTGTTATCTCACTCCTCGATGTTTGTTCCGCTCAGAAGCTTACAACGCTCATGAAATTTGTTTAAAGTCCAGTGATGTGAAGCTGAGTGATATTGTTAAATCTTCCAATTCTCTCTATCAAAATATTTATCTGAGCGTGATCACTCAAAGACCACATGCAACAACTCCCAGGTTGAAACCGGGTGCATACAGAACAACCTTCTTGATCTTGAGTCCTACCGCTCCTGCAAGCTTTGCCCATTGCTCTTCCGATCGCTCCATCGAGCTATGGAAGGTCATCATGGTCAGATCCGCTTGCGTGGACGGCTCATCCACATGCTCAGCAGGCAAAACCATTTCATCGAGCAGAATAAGAGAATCCTTTTCCAAAGCCGGTACTAGATTACTGAGAATCTTCTTGCTATTTTCGTCGGTGTGGTCGTGCAAAATCATTCGCAAGTAGTAGAACTTGGCACCTGTCTTCGAATTAGTCTCACAGAGATCAAATCTGGATTTGGTATTGCTTACCCTTGATTGGCTGTGGTTCAAAGAAGTTGTGCACCATTCTCTCTACATCCTTGGAGACCACCGCTTCAGCATCCTTGACTGGCTCCGGCAGGTCCTGCAAAATCAAACGACCAGGCAGATTCGGAAATTGCTCCTTGAAGGCGGCAGTTTGATAACCAGCGCCGCCACCAACGTCCACAAACAAGGGCTTGTCGGATGGCCAGCCCTTGCTTTCCTCTTCAAAGGGGTAAAGACCGAAGCATTTGATCTGGGAACCGCGCTGTGCTTTCATGAAGTGATTGAAGTGAGCACTTCGCACCGGATCGCCGTGGACGAAGGCAAATGTGTGCAGGTCGGTATTGTGAGCTCTTTGGAAAATGCCGTCTGTGAAACTTGTAGGGTTCTTGTAACCAGTTTCCTTCAGGTAGCGAGGCATTTCCTGATATGTTGGGTTGCACATATCAAAGTAGACATACAATCCGGCCTGAATCTCGGGTCTTGCGAGATTGGATGTATAAGGTGTTGCTGCAAAGGTATCTCTACCGGCTTCTTTAATCACGCCAAGAGATGCGAGATAACGCAGAATACGACCTATCTCGAAGTTAGAATCTTTTTTGCATTGAACCTTGAATAACTGGAGTTCTGATACTTACCAAGAAGCAAAGGGTCTACAGAGTGCTTGGCTGCTAATTGATCGATAGTCGAGGGCTCGGCGCTGTCAAGAATATCGTTGAAGATATTCAAGTCAAGAGCCGTGCGAATAGAAGCAAAATGAAGGTTCTAAGCGATTTGATTTAGCTTTGAAGATGTAACTAGCAGGATAAGAGACAGACTCGGAAGTCTGCCAGAGAACCCAATGTTCTCTGCAAGCGCAATAGTTCAAGGATAATTTCTCAGGCTTGGGAAGCATACCATGTGAATCACTCTCTGCATAGCATCCTCGGGGGCCTCGATGCTGTATTGCAGGTCTCGCAAGGTGTCTAGAAGCTTTTTCCGCGCTACATAACTGGCCGAAGCAGCCTCCTGCTGAATCTTTGCGATCAAGCTTTCCATGGTGAAACGTTACTTTCAGCTTTTGTACGACTTTCCAAAATTAAATTAATTAGAGAAACACAGGAATTCTTCTCTCTTAATAGGACATGAAGATAGTAATACTCGTAGTGACTTTCAACTAGTGAACCGGAAAGCATCTACTGCGAGTATGCAGATCGGTCTGTCTGGAGGCTGTATGCGACCAATCGGAATAGTATCGCATGTTTTTGAATTTAATACAAGGGTACGAAAGGGCGAATGCATAATTCGGAATATTTTACTAGCAAGCAGTGTATTTTCGTCGGCAAAGTACCACTATGTGGATCAACGCTTCGCTCCCACCAATACGAAGGAATAAAAAAGCAAAATTTCGAAGTAGATATTCCAGAAGGGGATATTCCCAAAGGAGGAATTCCACAAGGAGAACTTCCGGAAGGGGAAATGAAGCGGCGAGTGGGCACGCGGGACGGGCCGAATGATCCCTTCCCTTCAGGCTGTGCTGAGCCGCGTCGCTAGGAGTTACTGTACGTATGGTCCTATCTGTTTCAAGATGCAAGTCACTAGCCAACCAAAGTCCGTACATTAACCGATTAGGGAGATAGAGAGGGGCTTGGTACTTTTTCTCGCTTTGAAGAGGTCTAACAAAGAGGGGCTTCTGATGCTCGATTTCTTATCAGGAGCCGCCTTTTAGCCGCTTGCGGTTGTTTACGGGAGACTATGTAGCGCAGAGTCCATATTTCTGCTCTCCACATTTGTTGTATTGGTCGTTGGTCTGGCGGCATTTCGAGCAACTAATGCAAGTGCTGTTGCGAGGGTGTGGGGTTGGAAAACTCTCGCTACTTAGTGACAAGTCGTTCATTAGATGAGCAGCTCATGTTGCTGATTTATCTCGAGTCCGAGGCGTGTACGCTTTAATGATCCTTTTAAGAAAATTAGGGGAATGTATAGTTGGGATACTTGATTTACCAGTGTTCCATTTACTAGCTCTGAATGTGTGTTTACTGTATCGCATAAGCGTCACGCCCCTGCGTTTTTGATACTTTCAATTATATTGTACTGTAAAGTCATAGCATAATCGTTGATGCCGGCTTATAGAGCACTTATATGATACACATCATTATGCACTATTTGCGGCTGAGTAATGAAACGAGGCCATGACTTTTCAAAAAGCGCGGTGCAAGTGGGAGATAATATAACACAGCATTCTGAAAAGGTAACATTCTTCACCTCGATAACTCCATCGATGATGGGGGTTCCATGGCAATAACAGACTCTTTTATCCAAATTCAGCGCTTCCGAGCCTGAGCAGAATCGGATTTCAACCCAGAAGAGATACCAATATCCGTCTCCTCTTCTGTTCTAGATGTCTCACCGTTGTGAACGACTCCATTAGTTCCATTACCATATGAGCCATTTTTCAAGCTCTTCTCCGCAGCCTTTGCCTTAAGAGCTCTGTTGGCTTCTGTGACATCCTCCAGTAGATATTGGAGTTCTGCATTGGTCGGAATAGGTCCAGCAGAGAGATCTGCTTCCCTACTCCAGCGCTCCTTCGCGCCCCAAAAGTCGTCAACTAATCGCCGAGTCCAGAATGAACTCTTCATTTTTGTTACAGCGAATTCCCAATCCGTCGAATATTCTTTGAAGAATGGCTTGTAGCCTAGTAAACCCCCAAGCCAGCGGCCAAGAACCACACTAGTCCAGTAGCCAAAGAAAAGCCGGAAGGGCATCCATGCCGGGGCTGGAGTATAGTGTCCACCCGCATCGAGCATCTGTGATGAATTAGTGTTTGCGTTACATATTATGAGTATGAAAAAAACGCACCTGTAATTTTTGAATGAAATCCAGGCCACCATCGTAGAGCAATGCGTCGTGCCAGTATCCGTACCAATTCTCAAAGAAGAGTCTGTCAAGCTGGTTGTCAATTCCAGCATCTGAGCCACTCAGCAGCACTGTCATAAATTCGCCGGAGTCGGGATGGATCGAGAATCGATGGATATGGTTCGCTTGGAGAGAGACCTCTCCGTCTTCTGGGGTCAGGTTGCGCGTCACGCCGTCCACCTCAGCCACACAGATCCCATGCTCAACGTGGAAGAACTCATTCTGGTACCGATGGAAATGCATTGCAGGACCATCGGGCCGCTGAGGGCTGTCAATGAGCTTCCGTAGGGCGGGCGAGACCGGCCCTTCCACGTCCAGTCTGTAGGTCTGACGCATCATAAAACTTCGGCCCGCGGGCGGCTCCAGCCACTCAACAGTAAGGAGACCACCGAATCTGCAATTTCCTGCATTAGCATCGAGAATAATATGGCTAGTTGTCAATTGTTTTGCTGGGAGACATGAGACTTGAAGGTTCAAAATAGCAGCACAATACACGTTACACTCACTTTCGAATCGTACTCGAACCAGCCGACGAATGGTAGGGCACAAAGGGGGTAAGGAGACCCATTTTGTGAATTGGATAAAATGAAGTCTTTCGGAATTTGAAAACGAGTACGTGGTTTAGAGATGTTGGTTTAGGAATTGGGGAATGGCAGCGAAATCAGAAACCATCAACCCAATGCACAATGGCAAGACACTATAACGGTCGGGGCTGGATTGGCGCATTTACGGCGTCAACTCATCAACTTTATCATTATCGCCGAGTATTTTGCCCACTAAACGAGAGTCTAAAGATCAGTAAATATCATACCATCAGTCTGTTCCTACTGGTCCCGTTCCCAACGTGGTATGTGGGCCATTCTTATCCACCTGCAGCTTGACGCTACCCGATGCCTATTGGGGAAGTCTGCATATCAGGGGGCGCTTCGGCTTCTGCAGGTCTCCCGAAATCCTTTGAGGCGTAAATATTCCGTGATCCATAGCGGATCTCCCCAGGACAGAATCGTGTCTGCCAACCCCCGCTAACATCCATGGGTGCTGACGGTGATTAAGGCTAGTTTGGCTGCCCACAGCGGGAGGAGTGGAATCTCTCTATCATTCAGGTGCTACGCCAGAAATCTGCTGGTGCATAAATCTACTACTATTTTGAACATTCAGACGGTGGTGAAAATGGTATGTGTTCTTATCCGAAGTATTGTCCAAGATGTTGATGGTGGTGCTCTCAAGACAGTTGAAACGATTGGGCTACAGATCATCGTTGTCGGTGCAGGGCTCGCTGGGATTTCTGCGGCAATATCGTGCGCCTTAGCTGGCCATTCCGTCACCGTTATAGAGGCAGCAAAAGAGCTCGCGGAAGTAAATCATTTTCTCTTCGTCCACTGAGGATCCAATAATGACATTATCTTGCTAGGTTGGTGCAGGGCTTCAAGTCACCCCTAATGGCTCACGTCTTCTCAAAAAATGGGATCTTCCTCAGACCATGTGGGACCAGGCAGCCGAGCCAACACAGTTGACTGTACATCAATATTCCGGTGCAGTGCTGGCTCGTGAGGTTGGCTTTGATAAAAACATCCGAACGAAATACGGCGCGCCTTTCGTTGATCTACATCGAGTGGACTTACAGCAAGCTTTGTACGAACGGGCTCGGCAATTAGGAGTGAAGTTTCATCTGAATCAACGCGTAAACAATGTCGATCCCTCGGTGCCGTCACTAACTACCATTTCGGGTCATGAATACCACGCAGACCTCATAGTTGGGGCTGATGGCCTGTGGTCCCGAACTCGAGAATGCTTTCTAGGAACTGCGGATTCACCCAAGCCGACAGGAGATTTGGCATATCGAATTGTTCTGTCATTGGATCAAATCAAAGACCCAGCTTTACGAGACTGGGTGAGCAACCCAGAAGTCCATTTTTGGATTGGGCCTGGATCCCACGCGGTGGGATACTCCCTAAGGGCGGGCAAAATGTATAATCTTGTATTACTTGTGCCAGATGATCTACCTCCGGGTATCACGAAGCAACCTGGAAATGTCGAAGAATTGAAACAGCTGTTTAAAAGCTGGGATCCCGTGTATGCAAAGCTCAATTGACCCCTTTGCATTCCGAGTTGAATGACTAACTCAATTGAAGTCTCACTCAACTTCTAGGCTATGTTGACCAAGTTGACAAGTGGAAACTGATGCATAGTGAGAGGACCAACAGTTCACTGCTGACACACTCGACTGACAATGCTGTGTTATAGGAGAAGAGCTCCCATCTTGGGTTAACGAAGCCAATAATTTTGTCTTAATGTAAGTCTATCAATGCCCCGCTCCTATGACTCAACATCCAGAGCCCGCAATTAACATCTGACAGAGGCGATTCCTGCCATCCCATGCTTCCATATCTTGCACAGGGCGCTAATTCGTCCATGGAGGATGGAGCGGCCCTGGGGACGATCTTGAAGTCTGTCACAAAGAAAGAGCAGCTCCCAGATGCTTTGGAAATGTTTGTGAAGCTACGAAAATTGAGGAGTGAGGCTATCGCCAAGGAAACATTTAAGCAGGTATGTGCTATTTACTCTGTCGAGGCCCTGCCTCATTCCCTATAGACTTCGGGTATACAGACTGACTTCGGAGGGTATTAACTATAGCGGAATGATTTTCACATGCAGAATGGCCCTGAACAAGAAGCGCGAGACGAAATCTTCACCTCGCAGCTCGGCAAAGAAATAACTGACCTTTTCCCCAGTCGATGGTATGTTTTGCCCTAGATACCCCGGCGGATATTCATCTCTAATTACAAACAGGACGTGCCCTGTTGTCCAGCCATGGATATATGGATATGATGCGATAGCCGAAGCCGAAAATGTACTCAAAGGCAAAGGACTCCCCAACATTGAGGAAAAGCTCTTGTGCCAAGATGAAGCCCACGGCCCAAGATTAAGGCTGTAAACACATATCTCAAATACGCAGCGAAGCTTTTATATTCTCCAGTCAAATTCGCAAATCTACTTTGTTTAGAAATACCTTGGAAGAGAAGCATGATGAAATAGCGTTGTCTTAACTACATGTATCTTCGTAAGGTAAAACATAGATCAAGTTGACCTCATCTTGTTAATGACATGCTGGCACCGATTACTCTCCAAAAATATTTCGCGCATTTGAAATGAAACTAATGGGGTGCGAAAGAGCTCTCAGGATTTATGGCCGAAATGTATCAATCAATATCTAATGGAACTTAGAACTGTACCCAGTATGTATCTGTATAATTGATTGGGATACCGGGTCAATCAAGAATCTCTAGAACTATGCAAGAAAGTAAGAAGGGTAAGGTCATTCGTTGTTAACCTTTCTGGGAAAGAATATCTTCGCGGTAACTTTTGAATTTTTGTTAAGAGTCAAATATTGAAATGTTTTCTCAGATCCTAATGAAGATCGATTCAATGAATTCAACAGATCAAGATGGTCCTCTAATTTCTCTTGTCCTCCTTGGAGAATCCCACAAACGCATCCCCCTGGCCCTCGCCTGCCCCTAGTTCCTCCTTCACGCCATAAATGCTTGTCAGATTGATTTCTAGATTCAGTTCCTTCTTCTCCCCCGCCACAAACCCAGGGTCTGTCTTCCAGCCTAGTGCAATCCTCAAGATGTTCCTGATTCGTCCTTCGTTCAGCTCACAACTTTCATCCCTCGCCCCTTCTTTACCTCCACGCCAAGCAACGTACCCGTCTGGACGGACTAAAACATAATCGTAGTTTTCCCACACGTTCTTGGCATGCTTCTCTCCGGCATCCAACTGGACGTGTGTCAAAGGCATCTTCATTGCCTTAGCTGCAGCTTTGAATGTCGCCACAGAGGACGTCTCTTCCTCACACAAGCTCACAAAACCATTGCTTGTTTTATGGTTGCTTTCAACCTTTGAGAAGTCCATCAATGACCACTCAGTCCCATAGAGATCCACGATACTTGTCTGGTCATCACTCAAAAACACATGAGGCGCCCTATGACCGGGTCTTGTACTTGGCGTATAGCTCATGTTATCGAACTTCGGCTCTCTTGTACCGTCAGTCACAATAATCTCACTGTTCAAGTATCGTAAATCCAATTCCACTCCACGGTCGATATTCTCAGGTCCCACATTTTCCAGGTGTCTCGCTACCTCAGCTCGTGCGTGCTGTCCCTCCTCACTCTCCTCGAGGAAAATGTCTGTGGATGGAGCCTTCATAGTCTGCATGATCATGGGTGTGAATTTGCCGATGTGGGCATCGCAACGTTCGAGACGCATCATCATGTTCGGCCTGCGCTCATCCGTATATGAAGTGATGAGATTGTGTCCTCCGATGCCTTTGTGTAAAGCCGAAAGACGCCATGCTAGCGAGATGGCGTCTTCTACGCCGCTATTCATGCCGTATCCGCCATGAGGAGGGTTACGGTGAGCAGCGTCGCCGCCGAGGAGCACACGGCCGTGTCCATCACGACTGGCATAGAAGTCCGCCAGGCCAAAGTTTGGACGCCATGCATTTGCCACCATAATCTCGTCGATCTTAAACTTGTAAGGCTTGCCGAGGCTGCCAAGGACACGGTAGGGGATTTCCTCTGGATGTTCTTGAAGTTCTGTGATGGCTGCGGCATCCGCAGAGCAAGGTTCGTGACAAGTATAAGTGTCAACATCATCTTGGTTAATCATGAAACCGCCGTGGAGGCCAAAGGCGTGCCACCAGTTGCCGAATGGTGCGAGTTTGGTGAGTTCTTTGGACCGGAAGTGGACCATGAAGAATGCACCAGGCCTTAATAGAAGAAATTAACTTATTAGCTGATGATACTGAAGGGCGTGGTGGAATACTCACAGAGGTCTGCCCTGGAGTTGAATCCCGACGCTTTTCCTGACTCTACTCTGAGCGCCATCGGCGCCAACCAAGTACGGTGCTCTCATCATCTTTTCCTGATTATCCATATCTTTGAAAGTAGCAGTAACCCCTTCGTCGTCTTCTGCAAGTGAAATAAATTTGTAACCAAAGTGAGTTGCAATCAGAGGTTCGGCAAGGCATTTTTTCTTCAAGAATGCCTCAAGCACTATCTGCGAGCAACGCTGACCCGGCTCAGCAGGCTGTGAGCCATTATTATTGGCGTGGATCTTGGCGCGATATTCATCATTGCTTGGTATATGCTAGCAGAAGATGTTAGTGGAGTTACGTATGGAAGCTAAGACATCTTTCATCAAATCCGAAATCACTTCCACAAAATTTCTGATTCAAAGATTCTTTTTTCTCATTGGGACAGACATACCCATCGACTAACAAGCTTTTTCTCCGGTCCGCAAGTGTTGAAAAAAATGGTATCCCAATCGCTCAGTTGTGATACAGCCCCGGGTTGTTGTCGATATTCTTCAACAAGTCTCATTATACGCAAAATCTCCATCGTATGGCAGCTGTTGTTATCCATCTTGGGCCAGCGTGTCGTCTCGGTATTCATTTCGCATAAAGTGCATGGTACCCCCAGTTGTGCCAGCCTGAGAGCTGTCAACATTCCCACCGGGCCTCCTCCTACTATGAGAGGGCCTGGGGAAACCATTGTGTCGTCTGGCATGATGGAGCCCATTGTGAAGCGATTGGATTAGGATGAAGAAAGTAGTATACAGAATTATTACGGATTGAAGTCTTGCTCGAAGTTGCTTTGCGCCTAATATCTCTAGAACCTGTGAGGTGAACTGACCGTTCAACACTAAGATTGAGTAGGCATATCTGATGTTCTTTGCATGATGTCAGGCTAGGAGCTTCTCTGCCTCTACAAGGGGAAGATTGGATCTAGTTCTTGCCGGAATCGTATCCCAAAAGGGTATAGATTTTGGCTAGTTCCGATTGGACGTCTAGAAATTTGGCGTTATCAGGCGAATCCATGTTCCTACTGTATTTTAGGTAACATGTAGGGGTTCAGGTGCATAATCACTCTGCTTTGTTGATAATGTGAACTATATCTTAGTTTCTGGCCGATCTTCTTAAAAAGTTATTTTGCCTTAATTTATTAACGCTTTTATCATCATCATGTTGACCAATACCACCGCAAGGAAATGATGCCATGAGTTCCAGCCATGCAAGCGCTGCACATGCACAAATAGACCCTAGGTCAAGGGCTAAGAAGCCTTCATGACCTGTACATGCATGCATCTTCCGGGATTTTTTCGTGCTCCGCGAATTGGCGAAGTGGAGGGTGATTGGCTTAGTACAGGAGGATCCCAAAGGGTGCTGAGTAGTGGAGCAACTGAAAGTACTTCTACTAACCGGAACCCTACTAGTCCATCATCCGTATTGGTGTATCTCACCATGGATCCACGACCAAAAACGGATTCCCCTCCGGCCCGCCCCCTTCTGTAATTTCCGTACCCTGTGAAGAGAATGCTTAGTGCATTACACTAGTAAGTTTTGGGGGTCCATTGAGTCATTGAGGTTCTTTGAACACAAAGTATGTGAGCACCGTACTGCCCGGGACGCGTGGGCCGTGGACCGCGCGGGCCGCAGTCCCCCCATAGTTATAGTGCTAACTTATTAGTATTCTACTTGTAAACAGCGAGCTGGACCTCTTTTTTAAACGCCACCTAGTCACTGTAAACGTTAATTCCAGTCACCAAAATGCTCGAATCCACTACGCCGTCGTCCAGCGGCAGCCAGCAAGATGAAGAGAAGACCATAGAGGCTCCCATCTCTGAGAGCCCTGTCATGGACTCACCTCTCCCACCAGAGGGTGGCCTTCGAGGTTGGCTATGCTGTGCTGGTGGCTCCCTCGGTCTGTTTGCTACCTTGGGCTTCTTGAATGCGTTGAGTCCCTCCAACCTCAAGCTTTATGCCCGAGTCTTATGCTGACCTAAATAGCATTGGTATATTCCAAAGCACCTATCAAGAGACCCTCTTGAAGGACTACACCTCTTCAGACATCTCATGGATCTTTACTATCCAGCTTGCTCTTATCTGGGCTCCTGGTTCCCTATTCGGTCGCATAGTAGATACCTATGGACCGCGCCCGGTCATGCTTCCGTGTACCGTGCTTTGCCTCTTTTCACTGTGCATGACGAGTCTTGCCACTGAATACTATCAGATTATCTTGGCGCAAGGAATCGGGTTTGGACTTGGAGCTGGAGGTATTTTCACCACCAGCTTGGTCTGCGTGGGCCAGTGGTTCGTCAAGCAGCGAGGTCTTGCTATGGGAATTACTGTTGCGGGTAGTAGTATTGGTGAGTAGCAGGCTGTCTATCTTACATGTGTCTGTCATGTGCTAATTGAAATCATTACCAGGGGGTGTTATATTCCCATTCTTCCTTCGACTTGTTATGGAAGATGTGGGATTCAATGGCATGGTACGCTACACGGCATTGTTCATAGGCATTGCTTTGGTCGGCGCCTTCTTTCTTATCAGCGCGCGCCTGCCCCCAAAGAAATGGGACTCAAATGTGGCGTGGTTTGACTTTAAGCTGTTCAAAAACCGAGGCTTTGCTTTCTATTGTCTTGGCTCCTATTTTGTGATGTGGGGATTATGGGCTCCGTTCGATTATCTTCCCAGCATGGCCCAAATGTCAGGAATGTCGGATTCTCTGTCCCTGTACCTGATTGCTATTGTGAAGTGAGTTCTGTCAATCTTGTTTTCCCTTGCTGAGCTAACCTGAGGGCAGTGCTGCTTCACTATTCGGAAGAATTATCCCGGGGCACATTGGCGACAAGGTGGGATATTTCAATGTCATAACGGGGTCCGCCTTCTTCAGCTGTGTGGCGATCCTCTGTTTATGGCTGCCTTTTGATTACCATTCTTCGAATGCCGGTCTCATCGTCTTTGCTGCTACTTATGGCTTCTTCAGTGGCGCGTTCGTCAGTATCATGATCCCATGTTGCGGAAAGTCAGGCACTCTTGAGACTTTGGGAAGACAGATTGGTACATATCAGGGTGTGATAGCTGTCTCGTAAGTGTTGGCCTATTGCATGATCTTTCTTTGCACGGTACTAATATCTAGCAGCACTCTTACTGGCCTGCCGATCATGGGAGCCATCTTGGGAAGGCAGCATGATTCAACTTACATGGGCATGCAAGTATTTGCCATTGTGACCATGTTCCTTGGCGCCCTGTTCCTCCTGTTCTCTCGCAATGTTCTGGCTGCGGCTCACGGAACATGGAGATACTGAAATTTGGACGATCTGCAACATCGTCGAAGTTGTGCACAAAACAGACATGGTCTGGCAATACGGCAAAAAGAGGCTTTGTGATCAGACATCACCTCCAATGAAGAGCGGAGCAGGAAATTATCAATGGGAAAGCAGGGGGAATGCATTGTAAGGTGTCCATGTGAATATTTGGGGATCTAGCTACATAAGCGATGGCAAGTATGGTTTCTTATTTATTTTTTATTTCCTGTATTTACTACGGCGTTCTAGACAGCTCTTTTTTTTGGTTCAGACAGATAAAGCACTTATCTAGCTAGACACTCGCAATTGGGCTCCAACAGGTTGGCGAAATATTAATTAATTGATTGATTGAACACTGAAAATGTAAAAATGTTAGACCACAGTCGTACTCAACAGAGGTGAAACTCAGCACTTCATCGGAACATAGTGCAAGCTATCGATGGCATCCACCACTTAAACATGCTGCTTCTGAACCATATACAGCTCGCTTAATTCAGGACTGCTACCCCAAATTAAGCCATGATCTTGCACCACTTTGCCTCTATAAATAACTTCACACCGTGGAAAGGTATCATAAGATAATATGCTGACAAGCAAGTACGGAGTCCTGATTAAGAAAATTGAAATAGACCATATAAATTTCCCTGTCTTATTCCCCTTGCAAGGATCTAAATTCTATTTGAGGTGCGCTGTGGCTTTTGACAAACACGATTTGACCCCAGCTTGGCGCCAAATTATACAGCACTGATAGCCTTTTGCATAACTATTTTTGAACCATTGTTAAAATCCAGAGCAAATGAGAGTGACGATTTCCCCGACAATCACTCTAGGTTGGAAGTGCGTCCAAAAGAAGTTCACTCTGTGTGGTTTGCCTTCAAAAATTCCAACAACTTTTGCGCAACGGGAGATGGTTGCTCTTCGGGGAGGAAATGCCCACAATCATGAATAGCGCCGCCAGACACGTTGGTCGCGAACTTTCGCACTAAATGAACCATATCCGCACCGACAGAGCTAGCCCCGCCCAGAGCTAAGACAGGGATATTGAGTGGTGTCTTTGCAAATTCCAAATTTTGTTGCGCACTTGTTCCAAAAGCTCGGTAATATTCGAATCCCCGGCTCATGGCTCCTGGTCTTGAATAGGCTTGAATATAGCGTTCAAAATGATCTTCCGAAAAGCCATCCGCGCGAGCCGTCTTCAATTTAAAGAACCAGGTCAGCAGCTCCCGCTCACGGCCGCGAGTCAGAATCTCCGGCAATTCAGGCAGCGCATTGAATGAGAATTGCCAAAGACGCATGTTGGTCTGGTTCGTCAACGGAAACTGGAACTGGGGAAGGAAACCCGGCACAGATGCGTCCAGGATACTGAGGGATTTGATTCTCGATTGAAATTGAGCCGCCCAAGGATACGCAATCCATCCGCCCACATCGTGGCCAACTAGATGGTACGGTGTATCTTTCACGATATCGTGAACAGCTTCGGCCATGACTTTGCTGACGTTGGCAGTGTCATAGCCATTGGCGGGAGCAAGCGAATCGCCCAAGCCCGGGGGGTCGAGTGCGAAAAACTGATAGTGTTTTGAAAGGGGCTCTAAGATGCCGCTGAAGGCCTCTGCTGTTTGTGGCCAGCCTGGCATGAGAATCAAAGGAGGGCCTTGACCGCCAGTTATGGCTCGGACTCCATGGAGGAGACGTGTAGCTCGCCATTTTGCTGCCATGGTGTTGGTCAAGTGGATGAAAGCTTGGAAGGGTGGGCAATTAACTTAAAGAGGGAGTTAGTTTCGCGCTTCGGGTATTCTGGGCGGACTAGCATCATTTTATAATCAGCCAGAGTAAATCATGTATCAGGGCAAGGGGGTTGAATATTACGCGTACCCACCCGGTGGATTCAACGTGGACAAAGATCGCCTCGCGGGCCGGGCGGGCCACGGGGAGAGAAGGCATGTTCGTAGATAATGAGATCCCTTATACTTCACGTTGACGCCCCTTGCATGTCTGTTAACTGAATGGTGTGTCCAACTTCTAACATGACTCGCTTACGCTTGAATTGTTAAACCAGACCGACTTTTTTTCTGCTCGTTGCCTTGATTATGCCACTTTCAGATTCAAGCGAGTTGTCGCTTTACTGGCCCAAAGTAGGAGTTCTAGAATCCAATGGCAATTTTCGAAAATTGGCATGAGCTGCATTGTTGATTCTTAATTCAATCTTTACTTACCTACCAAGTCCGGTGTTGTCACTGTGACTGGAAAAGACCGGCCACAGCCCCAATATTGGACCACAAAAGTGTTTTTTCTGAAGTTGACAGCAACACTCCTTCGATGATGAACTGAGGAGCATCCAGCCTTGACAGTTTACGTTTCCTTTTTGGGTTTCTATCTCTATCTGATCCAGCTGCTTCTAAAATAGTCAGAGCTCACGATTGAAAAGGACAAAGACTACCCTGTCATGCGATCTGATTTTTCAATGTAAGTACCAAGACTTTCGAAAGTAATAAGATGAGATTTAGGTCTTTTGGATCTGTAAGAGATCTCCTGGGCTATTTTCAAGGTAATTCTTTCTCACCGAAGGACATCTCGAGAAGCATTCATGGAATACAGTTATGAGTCACAAGAAGAGCAGTGTTTTTGCATATCATGTACGGAGAATTGTTGATTTTAGGTCTATTTTCATGATGATTCTGGCTAGAGATGCTTATTTCGACTCTCGAGCAATGCAAGTGTAGCACGAGACACGTCTGCGCCACCAGGCCTGGGCATTTTCCAAAAGCATGAGCTTGAGAGTAGCCTAGCACGCATGGGCCTATGAACCTGGAACGTAAAGGCAAAACTCTTCTTAGCGATCTAACTGTCGATCCCATCAGGTAAAGAAGGGACGGGTACTGGACCACAGTATAACTTATGTGAATACCAACGGGCTCGGAATCGAAGCCAAGCAAAGAGAAACAACACCCTCAGTTTGCCAATGATTATACTCATGAGTAAGCTCTTCAGCATGGGAAAATATAGCCTTGAGCAGAGCTACCAGGATAGGCCATTCAACTTTGAACTGACTCTCTCACATGTAGTACCGGGAAGGTAATCCCTTGCAGACCTCGAGTTTAAGAACAGATAGTTGCACACTATTGTTGAGAATGCCGAGTTAGTGATGGACTATATCAAATCTCTCTAGTTGGTCTTGGCACTAGCAACCGATTTCAACGAAGCTACCTTACCGATAGAAAGTGAAAATGGTCTCAAACGCTTAGTGTGCTTAGGACGCTCATCTCTATCCACGGGCCAAAGATTACTTGTACGCGCGCAAGACTTCATGACAGAGCAACTTCAAGCTTTACAATCCAACCTGAAGCTTTCTTGCATATCATAGTTGGGGCCATCCTAGCTGATATGATATCTCATTTTGACTGCCAAAGCATGTATCGAAAATTTGCTGTCGATCATATTGAAGGCACCGGTTGAGTTTCTGCGGGATGCTCCATTGGCTGTTATCCAAAATGCGCTATTGACAATGCACTAACGATTGAAGGATGAGAGGACCAAACCAGAGGACTGGAACAACTAAGCCGGCAACGGATCAAGGTTGTCGTTAAAAATCATGAGTGACTACATACGAGCCCTTTCTTCGTTCTCCCTGGGGAGTCATCGAAATAGAGATGAGAAGGAACCAGGCAACTGGATTAGGTACAACGGTCAAAATAAATGATAGTAGATAAGCATTTGGAAGGAAGATGAAAGAATCAGAAATCTGTTTCATGCAGGTTGTATCCACGAATTAGGATTGGGTGGGTAAAGGCTAGAGCAGTGCAGGGAGCCGAGGAATGAGAATGAGACTGTAGCTGATCAGATAGTTGGAATAGTGATAGTATACTGGTAATTTCAGCCAAAGTTTCTTTCCAAGTGACCCTTTCCGTAACCTCAGAGGATGGCATGAGATGTTGTATAGCAGAGCTAGGAGAGTAGCCTTTTGTGATTAATGCATCAATATATCCTTGACAGATAAATGCCTGGAACCGGGAAGGATTTCCAAAAAGAAATCGCGTCGAAGTCACCTAATCAGTGCTTGATCCAGATTTGCAATTTGTGGTTCACGATTCCACTGGAGAAAGAGCACGCCTTGGGGAAGGGCGACTTTGGCCCGATATCAGGAGTGACGGAGGAAGTACGGCAGTCTCGCAGTTTCTAGACATAGAAATGTGCAATTAGTAGTACCAGTGTGCTCCGATAGTGGCAGCTTGTATCAACACCTGATATTGCGTCACGTGCTCACAGGGACCACAACCCGACATGACGGAATTGTGGCTTTGGTCGGCCTAACTACTGTAAGCCAAATTTCAGTGGGCCAACACTGCCACTCCATGGTGTGGCTGTTCCGTTTCACAGGGTGTTAGGCGTGCCTACATAGCCGGCTGAGCCGGCTATGTAGGCCTATCAATGTCTGTGTCGAAGCCTCTGGGAGCTTCTCCGGTTACTGTGTGGTCTATATATGCTGACTTAAGATAGGATGGGCCTCAGTCTGGATTTGGGGTCTAGACCTGGACCTCAAGTAAGGTGTCCATATCATATGCATGGTTGGCGTGGACCTGGTACGCGGCTCAAAGGAAACATGCGAACACCCCTGGGTCCGATCGTTTTCAAGAGACAAAATTGCGGAACCGAGGCAACAACCGAACCAAATCCAGGGGAAGGACTTGAAACGCAACGGCGAGGAAGACACGGTACATGGTGGATCCCGTGATTCCGGTCTCAGCCACTTATTGTCTCACACAATTGTGTGGCTTGACAGGCTGTCACCTTGAACAGGAAGCACAAAAGACACACACACAGAGAGAGAAAAAGATGGAGATAGAGTGAGAGACAGAGAGACCCTGGATCATTGACCCGTATAGATGGGTTTAGGTGTACTTAAGTGTTGGGGGCTAGTTAGCGTAGGCAGCCATATTCAACCAAAGTCCTCAGATGGAATTGTTCTGGACTCAGGCTTTAAAGGTCAGTACTTGTCGTACATGATGGATCATCTCCACCATTCAGGAGAAACTCTGTAGATTACAGTAAAAGCTCTGAGATTCTAGACATCCCGTGTACAAGAGTAGTAAGCAGGGCTGAGAGTCTCGGCATGTTGTTCTTGGTATGTGCTCCAAACCCCAGATAACTTTCCCCCTAGTGTCTCTTCTCTCCTTCCACTATTTACACCTAACCTATTCACTCGTTCACCAGTATTGGGTCCCTACTTTCGCACCCTTACTGTCCTGTCGTTGATCCCAACCCCCCTCCCCCCCAATTTCTCCCCGCCTCGAAAACACGCGGGAGAATAAAAAAAGGAATACTCTCGAACTCGACTGGCTTAAGAGAGTTTGACGTTCCCTGAGACCGTCTAATCACCAGTCTCCCCCGTTGTGTGCCAAGCACCCTAAGCAAACCCGCCCGTTCGTTCTTCCGGTCTCCTCTCACCTGACTCAAAACAAAAGCCGCCGTCAGGTGGTCACACCGTCAACGTGCCTTTCCCTCATAACATCGACCCGAGCTCCGTGACGGAGCCTCTCGGCAAGATTCCTTCCCACAGTTCGCGCGCCTCGCTCCTAGGGGCTTCCTTCGATCCTGCCTTTAGACGAGGGGGAGGCTTTCGCGCCAGAGAAGGATATGCAAACGTCGCTCCGACGAGCAAGCCTGGCGGGATGTACATGCCCAATACACACTGGACATGGTCCTTTGCCATCGTCACACTCATCCAAACACTAGTGACCCTGGGTCTTGAATGGTATGGAAGTTGCTTGTCTGTCTGGAAATCCAATACTGATCGCGTTTAGTTATATCTTTGCCAACTTCCAGATCCAAGAGATTCCGAACGACAGTCCTTCGTCCAAGACTATTCCCACTTTCCTCGCTCTTTATGGCTTCGGTTTCCTCTACGAACTGGTTCTGGTCTATGATGCCCTTCGAATGAAGAATACCATTCAGGTCATCGGGCTGTGTATTTGCAATATTGGACTCTTGATTTATGGTGCTGTTCAGGTGAACCAAATTCGAACTGCGGTTTCGGTTTTGGCCGATATGAAAAAAATCAGCCCGGTCGTGTGGGCTCAGTCTGAGCCCTTCCTTATCATTATCCCGTGTGTTGTCGCATTGGGAACATTATTGATGACCTTTGTTGCTTGGAAATTATACGATGAGTTCGCGTGGACAATCTACAAGCACATCAGTGCCGATCTGCAGATGAAGCGTCGTTACCTTACCTATCAGGTTCGTCTTTCGCCTATACCTCCGACCAACATTACTAACTGGTTAGATCTACATCGCACTGTTGAAATTCGATTTCTTCTTCTTCCTTGGATTCACAGTCCAGTTCCTGGTTCTGGTCTCTTCATCCAAGATGGATGCAGAGTTCGCGCTCACGGTAGCCGCCATCCCAGTGACCATTCTGATCCTGCTTTGCGGCGCATGGTTCGTGCGACGCGAAACCACGACGGGCATGATCTGCATCATTGTAAGATTCCTGCTTTGAAACTCCTACCCAGCTACTGACAATATAACAGCTCCTCTTATTCGCAGCCATGGCCTACTTCATCTTTAAGCTGTTCCGCATGTACGACCCATTAACAAGTCCTCAATATCTGCCCGCACGACCGTCCATGACCTTCTTCGCGATCATCACCCTAGTCTTGATTGTAATCACCATCGTCAACGCCTGTCTGTGCACGAACAACTTCAACCGTGGCCTCAAACCCCACATCAACAAGAAGAAGAACAAGTCAGGTGAAAAGACAACCGAGCTCGATTCAAACCTCACCCAGGTCCCTTCGCGGATGATGATCGACTAACCGATCAAATCGACGGAAAAATGGTGTTTTTTTTCTATCATTGTTTCAGGGCGTTGATTTTCGGAGCGTGATGTCTTTTCTTTTCTTTCTTTTCCTTTCTTTTCATTTTCTTCTCACATGTGTGAACATTCATTCAATGCTCACATCTTGAAATTTAGCCTGACACTATTTTCTTTCCTATCTGATCTGTGGTCACCAGCTTTGGTATCATACCTATTGATCATTCTACCCATGCCCAAAATTCTTGTGATTATATTTTCCCTTTCTGTCCACCACTCTTCCTTCCTTTCTTACTCTCCTTTGCATACCCCACTCCCTCTCTGCACGAGTACTATCGGTGGCGTTATCTTGTTGGTTTTATTCCCCGGAGGTGTTCTCCATGTCTGTATGACAGCCCTTCAATGCTACAACATGATTGTGTGCTAGTCTTCTTAATTATAATAGACTAGACATCTGAATCATTTCCTTATAAATTCACTTCGTATTGGGTGTTTTCAAGGATATACGACAGTTTCCTAGTTGCCCTGATTGAAATACAACCTCATCGCTATTCTATGGTGATATTGGTAGATGTATCCTAGTTAGGGTGGTAGAATGTAAGGTACTTGAAACTCAGTGGACCACCTCTGTCAAAAATTAGAGAACCCCAAACATATCACGGTATATTCTACAGGAAGCTAGCTCTACACCCATCATCCCAGTCAAATGCTACTCGAGGAAGGAGAGGTATCGATCAATACTAGACATAGCTCGGCGTTCATTTGAGTTCAATGTTGATGGATATGGCTCAATCACATGATAAATATAAAAAACAACAGGACCATAAGTGTAATTCTGTACCTGAATGTGATCATATATCTTTCTACCATGTTCGAAGACCTTTTGTAGATAAGTAATGATGACCGTCTGTATATATTTTCAGTTTAGTGAAGCTATATATAACTTGGTTTCATTTGGAAAAACACTATGAAGCTATTTGGTCAGTATTTCGAGCTGACTATGCGGATATTTGCGAATCTTGCAACATTATCCAACGTTTAAAAGGTCCAAATTGGCGAAGATGAAGAACTACTTGATGTTGGCTGTTTGATTGGTGGAGCTTGGTGTATGGATGATACATGTAATTATGGCAAATTTTCCCCACAAAAGCCACCTGGTACAAGTTGGATACGGTAAGACCTCAGAAACCGTGATCGTGGCCTCAACTCCGCAAACCTCCTTCTCCCTCTTTTTGTCCAGACCCTCTCTCAACTCCTTTCTTTTCTTTGGAACTCAATTCCATCTCTCTATTTTCTTCTTCTACAATCCTTCATCCCCGACTAATCACAATGGTAAGCTCCATCCAATCCACCGACTGCGTCGATCAAACCAGCTGGTTACCCCAGTCACCACCCACCAGCATCCATTGAAGTCATTCGATCCAACAATGGCACAGCGACTGACATATCTACCAGGCTTCTCCTCGTCCCGCCTCCCCCTGACCTCCGGCGCCGAGTCCGGCGCTGACTCCAAGTCTGCCGGTGCTGCTGCCACTGGCTCTTCCGTCAGCCGTCCCTCTTCTCCCTCCACCCCCGGCGGTCCTCGCGCTGCCATGCGCCGCCGTGCTGCCGCCGACCACAAGGAGACTCTGCGCAATGCCCGTCCTAGCTCCACCCGCTCTGCTGGCGCCGGTGGTTCCTCCGGTACCATGCTGAAGCTCTACACCGACGAGAGCCCCGGTCTCCGCGTTGACCCCGTCGTTGTCCTTGTTCTGAGCTTGGGTTTCATTTTCTCGGTTGTTGGCCTCCACGGTAAGGAAATTTGGAATTGAATTGCTGGTTGACAGCTCAGCCGAGAATGTGTGCTAATTACTCCTTTAGTCATCGCCAAGGTCACCCGCAAGTTCTCCGCATAAATTTGAACAACTTCCCTTCTCGCACGGTCGATCTCTTGTGAGATAGCCCAACGCGGCCCATGTGCTCCGGACATTGACTACGCGACCCTCGAACTCGAACTCTTCCTCCCACCACCTTCTCTATACCCTGTGGACGTTCAGCCGTTTTCTATCCATGGCGCTGGAATTATTCATTCCGAAACAGCTGGCGTGATTCCTTTTTCATTTTGTGGTGTTTCATTTGCGGTTGCAAAAGAGTCCCTCAACGACCTATCGGCTGTATAGGTCAGTCTGGATAGACTTGTTCTAATGATATCTCTTGCTTTCTGGTGTCTTCTGTTTATTTCATGGCGATATCATGCGCTGAATTGAACTCTGGCAACTGGAACTGGAGTATCATGGGCATGTATCAAGACCTTTGTCTGTACAATATGAGACTTCAATGTGTTCCTGACATTGAACAAACTTGGTACCCTGAATTTTGGCTCGTTTTATTCATGCATAGTTATTCTTTTTTTCATGGTTTCACCACATGTGTACACCGTTGTAGTGTGTAGTCAGTCCACCACATCCCCCGGTTGATATTCCTGTAAAATCGCCGTTAGGGGCCTGATCACCACCTCGCAAGTGTCAATGTCCATAGTGCCTGCCTCCAGGGTCACTTGGCTTTTTGATGCCTAAACCATCCCCCACTCCTGGCCCTAAGTAGGCCCTCTTACATGCTGAATATATTGTGCTGAACAATGAATAATAAGGAAACGGAAACGACTGTGTTTCATACGGTGATCTCAGTGCAGATTGATCTTGGTTCTGGGGAGGTCAGGCAGTTTTGTCACGATGAAATTCAAGGTCCATTGCAGCCGTGTGTGGTGTATACAACTTACATTTAGTAGTCCCTTCATATAGGGCATTATGTATCTTTTGCGCTGAAGCTTTATAGTGAGGCAGAATACCTCAATATGGTTCCGTGGTAGCTCACCGCCGGCCAGGATGGGGTGGCCGACGGGCCGACGGCCACCATGAAATGTCCAGTTAGGGCTTGGTTATCTTGCCTGACTAATTTCGACAATTTATGGACTCAGGTCGGCTATCAAATCTAGATGTTTTCGAACTTTTGTTTACGGGATTTCTTGTTCTAAATTGCGCATGGATTGTAGAGTGGCCTGGAATATCTGGGGATTGACTGACCTTGCATCGCCTGTCGTTTAAAGGCGAGGTGTTTGTCTGTAATAACCCAGAGCTCATCTAAATACACTAGGAACTAACGTTAGCAACTTCTTTCTGGCAGGTTTGAATTACTAAGTACTCTTGCATTGAACAGTAGCTGGTCGAAATATCCAGCCTTACGGTATCCAGTAGGCATTCTAAACCGACATGATCTGCCCTAAGAAGCAAGTTTACAATAAGCACGCCACTAGATACCTGACAGGGAGCATTTTACCTAAGCCCCAGACTAAAGCAAGTGAGCTAATTGGTATATCACATACAAGTTAAACATGCCAGGCAGAGGTAGATAGTGGACCCTGAACAGAAATAATGCGATCGAGTAAAAGCGTGATAACATTTCCTATTAGACCCGATATCCCCGGATCCATTTAGCATCAGCAACTCAGGTATCATTGGTGGCCAGAGAAAAGCTCACTGCCGAGCAACTCTTAGTTCAGTCGGGAGGTCTTATCTTGCCCCTGGTGAACCAATCACAGCCAAGTCACAACTACAACTGATAACACGCATCCACCAATGGCGAACATTCCTAAAGAGAGCAATTCACCAATTGAATGTCCAATTGACTCGAAGCTACCCACGAGTACTCTAAATCTCCATTGCCATGTGCCGCCCCAGACGCAAAACCGCATGGCATTACGAGAGCCACAGCTTATCTGACGTTTAAATTCCATTCCTATCTAAGCTTCAATCAGGGATCAGCATGTGCCCCAGATGCGAGTTCGGAGTAAGTTAGAGGCACGCCCCTGTATGTCTTGCCCTATATGAACTCGCGGTCTTCCGCTCTATGCATGACACTTTCCAATCCAGGCCCTATACTTGAGCAAAGACCACTTACATTTGGAATACTATTGGCTGAGACTACCCACCGCGAGTGACATATCAAACTCCGCATCTGTTGCTGGTCCTACTTTCGCCAGCCATGGCAGACTCTACCTTCACGGCGCCTTTGTCCAAGGCTTTTGGATATGGTATCATCCTTGGACTGGGTTTTGCCTTTGCCTTGTTGATGATCTTTATTACTTGGGCTTTGAGACGGTAGGACTCTATGTCTCTGGAAACCTTTTAAACTTGCTAATAACTCCCGATATAGCTATCAAAATGAAGTTCAAACATCAGAAATGTTCTCGACTGCCGGCCGGTCTGTGAAGTCAGGATTGGTTGCTGCTGCTGTGGTCAGTAGTTGGACATGGGCAGCCACTCTTCTGCAGTCCTCCGCAGTAGCATATAAATATGGTGTCTCTGGGCCCTTCTTCTACGCATCAGGTTCGTAACCTTGTTACAAAAGTCGAAATAACGTGAAAACTAACATTCTACATAGGCGCCACCGTCCAAATCCTTCTCTTCGCAACAATCGCAATTGAGTTAAAACGTCGCGCACCAAACGCCCACACCTTCCTGGAAGTCATCCGTGCCCGTTATGGAACAATTGTTCACTGTGTCTTCATCGTCTTCTGCCTAATGACCAACATTCTCGTGACAGCAATGCTGTTAACTGGCGGTGCAGCCGTGATGACCTCCCTTACTGGCGTGCCAACCGCAGCAGCTTGTTTCCTCCTCCCAATTGGTGTGGTTCTTTACACCCTGTTCGGAGGTATCAAAGCAACCTTCATCACAGACTATATGCACACAGTGGTAATTCTGGTGGTAATCTTCCTCTTCGCTTTCTCCGCCTATGCCACCAATGCCGAACTAGGCTCCCCATCCAAGGTATACGACGCCCTAGTGTCAGCCTCCAAGCGTCACCCGGTCGAAGGCAATGCAGAGGGCAGCTACCTGACTATGCGCTCAAAGGAAGGTGGAATCTTCTGGATCATCAACTTGATCGGTAACTTCGGCACTGTCTTCCTCGACAACGGCTACTACAACAAAGCCATCGCCGCCAGTCCCGTCCACGCTTTCCCCGGCTATGTCATTGGTGGTCTTTGCTGGTTCGCCATTCCCTGGCTTTGCGCTAGCACAATGGGACTATCCGCATTGGCATTGGAAGGGACACAGCGTATGAGTTCTAACGATGTCACCGCCGGATTGGTTCTCCCCTTCGCCGCCGTCAAGCTGCTGGGCTACAGCGGTGCTGTTGCTACGACATTGATGATCTTTATGGCGGTAACATCTGCTTTCTCCGCGCAGTTGATTGCCGTTTCTTCGATCTTCACCTATGATATTTACCAGGCCTACATCGACCCCTCTGCTAAGGGCAAGAGACTCGTTTGGATCTCGCACATGTCTTGCATCGTCTACTCAATCATCATGGCTGGATTTGCTACCGGTCTCTACTATGCCGGTATTGGCATGGGATACCTTTACCTCCTAATGGGCGTTATCATTTCCTCAGCCGTCTTCCCAGGCGCAATGACCCTCCTCTGGAAAGGCCAGAACCACATCGCAGCTGCTGTCTCTCCACCACTCGGTTTGGCAGTCTCCCTCATTGCCTGGCTGGTTACAGCAAAGAAGGAGTCCGGGATCTTGACCGTTGACACAACCGGCGCGAAGTAAGCATTCCATCCCATCCCATCCTCACAATCCAAACTAGATACTAACAGCCGCTTCCAGTTACCCAATGTTAGCAGGAAACGTCGCAGCCCTACTGAGCCCTGTAGTCTTCAGCCCAATCCTGACCTACGCCTTTGGCCCGCAGAATTACAACTACGAGTCCATGCGCGCAATCCGCAAAGTCGACGACTCGGAAGTTGCTGCGGCGGCTCACGTCGACCTAGAGCTGGTACCAGGCGAAGTAGCCCCAGAAGCAGGCCAAACAGAAGAAGAAGACCGCCAGTTGAATCGCTCGGCATTGTACGCGCGAACACTAACAATCTTCATGGCGCTTGCTTTCTTGATTCTCTGGCCGATTCCCATGTATGGATCTTCCTACGTCTTCAGTCGGAAGTTCTTCACCGGCTGGGTTGTTGTGGGTATTATTTGGTTGTTCTTTACCTTGTTCGGTGTGGTCGTGTTCCCGCTTTATGAGGGACGTGAGAGTATCTGGCGTGTTGCTCGGATGATGGCCTTTGATTGTATGGGTGTTCGCCCTGCTGTTTATCGGGGGAGGAAGGCTGGTGCTGAGACTGGGGAGGCTACGCCTTCTGGTCTGCAGACGCCTGATGTCGTCGGCGAAAAGGGGGAGAAAGTTAAGGGGGTGGAAGAGTGATTATGACTCTGATGGGTTTCTTTTATGTTTTCCGAGCTTCTTATACCCCTTGTTAGTTAGTTGAATTCATGTGCGTATTTCATGTCATAATTTCTTGGAATCCAGTTTGACAGATTTCTCTTCTTGGTATGTTCTAACGAGAGCAGCGATAAATTAAAGCAGCGTTGCATAAGATTTAATACCCCTAGAAGTTTGGAAGATCACTGTATTCATGTCTTGGGTGCTGGCTTCTCAAATCTCATGGGACAATTATGAATAAAGAAAGAGAAAGATGAAGGATTCTGGAAAGCAAAGTCTGAAGCTGTTTGTTGATGGAGGACGACAAACTACTGAAAGATTGCTATGCCCTTGCACACCGAAAGGGGTAAAAGTGCATACCGTGCAAAGAATAAATGGAAACAAGCCCGTGAATCATTGGCTATAGGCCAATGTGGCGAATCAAATATGAAAGCAACGCCGATAGACTAAAGCCCACAAAGTAAAGCCAGTAACTGTAGCTCACCACCACTTCCTTCACGCTTTCCTAAAATCGCCTGCTTCCTCATGCTATCAAAAACCAACGGCATTTAAGCTTTGCTCACTTGTATCCTAGACCACCCTGTGCCTGGGGGGGAGGACCGGGAGGCTGCTGCCAATTTTGAGCTCCTGGCGGAGGTTGGATGCCGTACTGCCCACCTGCTGGAGGTCGAGTCTCTGGCGTAATATCTGGCCGGTCACTGTGAATTACATTGTTAGTTGGCATCCTCAAGAGTTTGATACTTGGCTCAACATTGAAATAGAACCTACCGTAGGTCTTGAGTGTATCGGCACGTGTAGCATTGGACCTCCTATTCGGTGTATTAGTATAGAATAATGGCAAGATGTTGTATTATGAGGAAGCATACCTTGTACTTGTGAATAGCAAGGGGAATCAGGGGCTATATTGGAAGCATTGTTAGACATATTGAGTGGTCCTTGGACAAGACCCAAGCCTCGACTTACGATGAAGCAGATGGTGAAGAACGGCCTGGAATATGTATTAGTTGTGTTCAAATCCCCAGAAGAATAGAGTAGAGCTCGTTCGAGGCTGTCAACATACCAGCGGGTAATGCAGTGTCCATTCCAGTGTTGGCCTGGTTGAAAAGGTAAGTCACTCCCTATATACAGTGACGTCAGAACTCACAATTGTAGCAGTATGCGCGAACATGCTCATAGCCTTCCAGCTGTGATGAGAACTCTGCAAAATGTATTAGTATGTTGATATAACCAACTAAACGCGACTGAGTCCATTGCATCAACAGCACAGATACCCGCTGAACAGCTCCAGGGACAGGGTCCACTCTGGTGCCTGGATCGCGGGTCTTTCCAGGACGACTTACCATGAGTTCCGAAAGTAATACAAAAAGCCATGGCGGTATCTAGAGAGGAACAAAGCAGCACAGAGGTCCCGAAGAGATTGAACTGGAGGCTACTTGAGGAATTGCAGATCAATTGAAAGCGAAGGCAGCGGCTTTGGGGTGTGGCGCTGTGGCTTGGCAGCAGCACGTGACCAGATATGATGACATGTGATTGGCCCCTTACCCCAGGATTGTTTACTTGATACTTGAACTCGATCTTGTTTTACATGATCAAGGCTCTATTCTTGAGTTGGCTTGAACAAGTGCGCCCGTAATAGGCGGCGATTGATTCCAGCATGAAGAAGCCATGCACAAATTGATCGCAGAATAAGAAAATCGCTTGAAAAACCACATGTTTTCCGGGATATCACCTCCTCCAAAGTTGTTGGACGTATGTATACGCTCATAGTGGTCCAGTCGCGCTCACTGGGTCTTGAAAAGGAGGATAGCACAGTGGCCGAGGTAGAAGTAGATGAAGTGCTTCGTCTCTGTCGAGATGTTAGTCGTGGGCCCTGTAGAATGTGATGCGCGCGACGAACCGTGTGTCACAAAGCTGCCAAAATTGCGTCCAACAACACAGTGCCAGGTAGCACCCTTGCGAGAATCGAACTGCATCGTGAGTTAGCGACGCGATTGAAGCGGGGTAGGTAGAGTCGCGGACCTCTTTCTTGATGTATTGGGCGATGTCCTGCAAAATCATTAGCATCAACTAGGCTTTCTAGGTGAATCTGATGCAGATGCATACCTTTTCCACATGATACTTCTCCATAGCCTCAATGGCTGCGACAAATGTTAGCTTGAGTCACGCGCGGGGCATACGGGAGACCTACCAAGGGCAATGGCCTCCTGCTGCATATCCTCGGTCTAGGAAAGGTCAGACTTGATGTATGCGAAGTTCAACGTGTTTGTGATCGTACCATATCGACGGACTTAATCTGCGCTGTAGAACATATTTAGCTTGAGTCACTTGTACCGTGGGGTTAAACTTACCCTCCATCTTCTCGTTCTTCTCGCCTTCCATGGTGGTCATATTTCCGAATGGAATAATACAAAGATAGGCTTCAAGAGTGAAAAAGAATGCGACAGGGGTTTGTAAGGGTCAAATGAGCGAACGAGGTGGATAAAACCAATGGCGCGGTGATAGCCCGACGGCCCAGGCAAATCGACTTTACTGCCGGATCTGAGGGCTTACCGCCCTATCCACCGCTTCGGGCACTATACAAGAAAAAAAAAGTTTTTCCCGAAGAAGTTTTTCAGTCTTCCTACTTCAAAAGGCTTGACCACCGAACACCATGGAGAGCACCAGAGTGTTCGTGAGTGGTCTTCCACCAACATGCTCCAATGACCAGCTTAAGAAGCACTTTTCAACACGCTTCCAAGTCACAGATGCTCATGTCCTACCTAAACGTAGGATGGGTTTTGTTGGCTTCAAGAGTCATGAAGCAGCTCAACAAGCCGTTACACACTTCAACAGAACATATATGAAGATGTCGAAGATCTCTGTAGACATCGCTCGTCCGGTATGTTCCCATTACTCCATTGATTCAGCCGCTTCCTTTCGCCCGTGCAAGCTGACCAATGAAGGTGGTCTTGAGACTGACCCGTTTTATCGCAGATCGAATCCAATGCCGCTGAGGATGTTCATCCCACACGCAGACGTGATGCCACGAATGATAATGATACATCGTTGGACAAGAAGCGCAAGCGCAGCGAGGAAGACAAATCCAAGGACCCTAAGCTGCAGGAGTACCTGTCACTGATGGGACAGTCATCCAAGACTCGGACATGGGCCAATGATGATGACATGGCTAAGCCGTCTGTGGTGACTGCCCCCGTGATTAACCAACCCGTCCAGGAAGACACACAAACGGAAGAGCTACCTTCACATCCCAAGAAGGCCAAGACAGAAAAACCTTCCGTGGCAGAAAATGCCCAACCAGAACCCATTGTGATTGACAACAATGACAAGGCAGAGAACCAAGAAGAGCCAGAACAGGACAACACTGCGGAACCTGAAGAGGCTGCACCTGTATCTGACGCGGACTGGTTGCGGTCAAAGACTAGTCGTCTGTTGGGCCTTCTCGATGAAGAAGAGCAAGACGAATTCGATCAACACAAGGCCGAGGCACCTGCTGATTCTGATTCAGAATCTTCAGCTGGTGATAAGTCGCCACCAGTGCGCAATGAATCACGCACTGAGGCCATTGAGAACATTGCGCCCAACATGACTGACGTTGACAGCGAACCCCAAGAAGCCCCAGAGGTCCCGGCTCCGGAAGACCCTAATCTGGATCTCATTCGGAATTCGGCTCGTCTGTTTCTCCGGAATCTTGCATACGACACAACCGAAGCGGATCTTCAGCCGCTGTTTGAACGCTTCGGAAAGATTGAAGAGGTCAGTCATTGGTCAATTTTGTTTCTACCCTGCCCATTCCCCAAGGCCTGCTGGCTTTACGCCGCTCGCCGAGTGCTCAAATGATGATTTTCCCGATAGGGACATCCGATGCAATAGCAGATGATGTGACCTGGACAAGAGATTTTAGTAGATGCTTCTTGACTTTCTGAAGAGCAACTCATCCATTTATATTCATACACAAATGTTCAAACAAGATTGAATACTAATTGGATACAGATTCATGTTGCTTTTGATACCCGCTCCACAACCAGCAAAGGTTTTGCATATGTCCAGTATTCCGATGCCGAGGCTGCCGTCGAGGCATACCAAGGTCTGGATGGAAAGCAATTCCAGGGTCGACTTTTACACATCTTGCCAGCTTCTGCAAAGAAGACATACAAGATTGATGAGTACGAGCTGTCAAAGCTTCCTCTGAAAAAGCAAAAAGAGATCAAGCGAAAAATGAATGCCTCGTCTTCTACATTCAGCTGGAACTCTCTGTACATGAACGTAAGTTATACTCCAACTACATATAAAGAACGAAAAGCTAATTCGACATAGGCCGACGCTGTAATGTCTTCAGTGGCTGGAAGACTCGGAGTCTCCAAATCAGATCTTCTTGATCCCACCTCGTCTGATGCGGCTGTTAAGCAGGCACATGCTGAAACGCATGTTATTCAGGAAACGAAAGCTTACTTTGCCAACAACGGTGTCAACATTGACGCTTTTAAGCAGCGTGAGCGTGGTAACACGGCTATCTTGGTCAAAAACTTCTCATACGGCGTGAGTTCTCAGGAACTCAGGATTTTGTTCGAGCCCTACGGCACCGTCATTCGCCTCCTGATGCCACCTAGTGGCACCATTGCTATTGTCCAGTTTGCCCGGGCTGATGAGACCCAGAAGGCCTTCAAGGGCATGGCTTATCGCAAGATGGGTGATTCCATCTTGTTCCTTGAGAAGGCGCCCAAGGATCTATTTGATTCGACAGTGGCACCACGTTCCGTTGCTCCTGAGATGCGAGGCAAGGACCAAGGATTCTCAACTGCGGACACTTTTGCAGCAGAGGCCGAGGAGAGCGTAGAAACCACGACTCTCTTCGTAAAGAACCTCAACTTCATTACCACCAACGAGAAGTTCTTGGAAATCTTCCGGCCGCTGGACGGCTTTGTTACTGGACGTATCAAGACCAAGCCCGACCCCAAGCACGCCGGACAGACTCTCAGCATGGGCTTCGGATTCGCAGAATTCAAGACCAAAGCTCAAGCACAAGCAGCTCTTGGAGCCATGAATGGTTACAAGTTAGATCAGCACGAGCTTGTCATCCGGGCTTCACACAAGGGCAAGGATGCTGCTGAGGAACGGAGACGTGATGACACGGCGAAGAAGGTTGCCGCACGCCGAACCAAGATCATCATCAAGAACTTGCCTTTCCAGGCTACCAAGAAGGACATCCGATCCCTGTTCGGGGCCTACGGACAACTTCGGTCAGTGCGTGTTCCTCAAAAGTTCGATCGGACGGCTCGTGGTTTCGGTTTTGCGGATTTTGTAAGCGCTCGCGAAGCGGAAAATGCCATGGACGCGTTGAAAAACACGCATCTCCTGGGGAGAAGATTGGTTCTGGAATTCGTGAACGAGGAGGCTGTCGATCCCGAGGAGGAATTGGCGCGCCTAGAAAAGAAGGTAGGAGAACAGGTGGACAGGGTCAAACTGCAACAGCTCACTGCTGGCGCCGGCCGCAAGAAGTTCACTGTAGGAGGGCAGGAGGAAGAGGCATGAAGCTCTCCTTTCTCCCTTGGCTAATGGCGCCCTGGGATTGGCTGCTCGTCACCCCTTGCAGATTAATGTCCAATGTACGATTACTTGCATACTACTACTCGTAGGAAAAAAAGATACCCCGAACACGTTCCTGTCAATTTTTCACTGCAGTCTCCCGTCCTCGTGCATCTCAAGGCGCATTTAGTGTGCTTTAGTGTATAACCCTACTTTTTACCCTGCGCCAACACTTTCCATCCCCACACTTTCCAACTAAACTTCACCTTGGATTGTAGGGTCATCACGAGCTAGTCTCGCTTAATTTACTGATGGTACGCAGGGCCATCATCAACAGAGATCATCCAAGCCTTCATTCCTTGGGTAGTACTCGATGGTAGCAGAGCATTCCTCATCCCGCGCCTTCAGGCGACATCGTTGGACGACCAACATTCCAACGGCGCCATGATTGCCACTGATTGTTGACAATTGTTGTTGACACTGGTCCAAGCAGCTGATCTTCGTGGTCAGTTCGTGGTGTGCAAAATCTCCGAAGTGCTCATCACTGGATCGTGCTGCTGAGCATCCCTTGCTTCCCCGTCGACTTCCTTCATGTCGAGCCCTGTCCTGGCTCCTGATTTGCTGCGGCAAGGATGGCTTGCCGTGGTCCTTTGCTCTCTGGTGCCTGGACACGAGCCAGGACCACGACCTGGCCTAGGAGCATAGGCGTTCGAGGGACATAGAGACCTGGCGGAACAATGTTGCTACTGGGACTACACAGTGACCCCCTCCAAGGGGAGATGTGGTTCCCTATAAACATCTTCTTGCTCGCTCTCACATTCTCTTTCCCAGGTTCTTACATTCTCTTCCAGACTTGCGTTCTTGGGTCACTGTTTTGTGACTGAGCTGCGTTCTTTGCCAGGCAGTAAGCATTTGACGGTGCCTCTCAATCCCCCTCCTCGTTGGAATCTGTCATTCTTTTCGAGAAGCCCGTCCTTGGTCCCCTCCCATGGCTACTGACTGGCAATCCGAGTGCCTCGTGCCTCAGAACCAGCCGTCTCTGGATCCTGTGAGCGCTCATTCAGAACGTGCTCTCCAGAATACATCTGGGAATGTGCAGTCATACTCGGACCATCTAGCACACGATGTCGCTGGCCGTGATGACCATCTTCAACAGCTTGCATACAAGTATCCCCACGCTGCTCCCATACAACCTCTGTCCGGGCATAGCTTGCACCAACATCAACAGCAAGTAGCTGCTCGCTTGCACCAACGCAAGCTTCGTCGGCTTCATTCCGTTGGAGCCAACTCCCAGTCTCGTCGTGCTAGAAGCAGCTACCTCAAGTCTCAGAAGTATCTCGAGTATCGGGCACGCCCCCGTCGGGATACTGGCAAGGATGGTGAACCAGTGTGGTCTGATGAGCTAGAGGATGCGTTCCAACAGGGTAAGTTGATGCAAAGGCTAAGCCCCGAATCCCAAGCCTGACAATTTGATATAGCCCTCGAAGCAAACCCTCCTATGGGTCGGAGAAAGTGGTCGGAACGTGGCAAGTCTTATGGAAGGAACGAACTCATCGCCGAGTACATCTTCAAGTTGACTGGCAAGCGGAGAACTCGCAAGCAGGTTTCCAGCCACTTGCAAGTTCTCGACTCGTTCCTTAAGGGAGACCCTGATTGTAAGTGACCAAAACTCAACATGTCTGACGCTTGCTAATATGTTTGGCCAGGGGAACGACTTGTACGAGAGGCATCAACAGAACGATCATCCAGTGTGCATAGCTCGGCACCTGCTCCCAAGTGGAGAGCATCGATGGAACACCCTTCGGCATCCAGTCACTATGGAGCTCATCCCGTTTACCATGACCACATGCGATCAATGCAGCCTTATGCTGGTGATCTTCCTCCGCCACATTATACCCTCGGATCGAACATGCAGGAGACCCCTGCCAGCTCCATTCATGGCTTTAGCTTCGATATGTGGGTCAGCGCTCCTCAACAGGCCAACCGCATTGACAAGGCATTGCATGCATACACTCGTCTTCAAGGCGACCTCCACCAGCCTGGGGCCCCTCCTATGCCCCTTGAGCATGTCAGTGGCTGGCGTTCCTCTTTCCCTCAGCTGGCTGTCATGGTAGATGATATTAACAACCCCATTGACTGTGATATCATCCTGTTAGAAGTCAACCTTGAACTGATGACTGACTTCCCCCTGCGGGATCTCGTCTTGGTATCCAGCTTGACCTTGACTATGCCCACCCCACCGCGGGCGATATCTTGGGAGTCGGCCAGATGGAAAACTGGACCTGCAGCACACACCTGTACAACGACGGCCAAAAGGCCATAGAGAGTTACCATGATCTTCCAAAGACCCACCCTACCAAGGTCAAGCCTCTGTTTGAATCATCTTGGTGGGCCAAGAAATTCACCGACTTGACCCAAAGGAAGCGTATTGCCGAAGACACAGGTTCTTCTCAAGACATTCAAGACACCGATGCCAGTACGCGTCAGTTCATCCGCTCTCTGTCTGCAGTACAGGAGCTTCGAGCCACCCCTCCCAGTGCTCGCCGTCTTTCCAACCAATACCAAAGCCACCAGGGCGATGGGAGCAAGCGCATGGCAATCTTGGCTTGGAAGTTTCGCCAAACCCGGCCTGGTCAAGTCGGTACTACTACATGGAGACGACTCATCCCTGCCCCGGACCGCACCACTACCAATAGCCCCAGGCCGGGGACTGGAGTTGACCTTCCTCCTCTCTCGTTGGACTCGATCCTTCTCAACAAGCCCTCTCACCAAAACGTCTACCAGGCTCCTCAGCCCCAGGACCTCATCCATCACCAGGGCCACTCTCAAACCCAGTGGCCCATGTACCCATCATCCCACGACAATGTGGCTAATCTATTTAATTCGTCGGGTCAGCTCGACTTCATGACATCCATCACCAAGCCTGAAGACAGCCTCAACGACAAGACGGCCGTCACCTCCGTGCTAGACTCCTTTTCCACCAGCCTCGCACCGGAAACAGTCCCATCCACCAGTCTACACTCCTCCAGCGGCGCGCCAGTCATGCTCAACGTGCACGACCTCCCCCTCTCCCATTCAAGCATGGGCTACACAATGGGCCACGACACCTCACACTACGTGCCATCCCAACAGCACAGCGTGAACATGCACGACAGCAACAGCGTGCTCACCGGCTTCTTTGGATCCAACCCGCAGTCCCTCGACGACCTGAGCCACGGCCAGGCCTCGTGGGCCACGCACTCGGCCTCTCTTCCCGGTGATGTCGGCACCGGCAGCTATCACCACCTCCCCTTCCAGTCAGAGCATCATGCACCTGTCTCGCGAGAGCCGCAGCAACCTCATCACTTCGATCAGCTTCTGCCGTCTGAAGACTTGATGGATAAGCTTGTCGGGCGCATGCCTAATGGTTCCGGCATGCATGGGGCAGGCCCCGATCATGCGAATGGCTATGGTGATAGTACTCCGGTGGATACGGTATAACGACATCTTTTTTTTTTTACAAAATATTTAGTGGTAATGATAATCATTCTGGCAGTGGTCTGTGGTTCTATTTCTGTGACTTTTATATCTGTCTATTTATTTATTTTTTTTGGTGATCTTGGGCAGAAGCAATGGAGTATGGGGAGTTGAAGGGTCCAATATATTTATTTCAATTTATTTCTCTATCATTATTATATCTACTTCTGATTCTTCTTTTACTCTCTGATTATTCTTAATACTCTGATTATTCTTAATACTCTGATTATTCTTACTCTCATTACTCTTCTTACTCTTTGTATGTGCCGGCTAATTTAGATGCCGTGTTTAGCCGCTATACTAGTGGGGGCGTGGCCAAGAGGCTATTGGAACTATATTCGGCCATTTAGCCTGGACCTTTACTTTTTGCCAGATGAATTGTGGCTTAAATATAATAGCCTGTCCCCGCGGGGTCTTCTTTCCAACCAAAAAAATACCCCTCCAAAGTCAGTCCCTGTTCCAATTCCTTCAGAGTACTGCTAATTCCCAGAATCCCCAGACTCTAACCCACATTCACAATGGTTGCTCCTACTGTCAAGTTGAACAACGGCTACGAGATGCCTCTCGTAGGCTTCGGTCTCTGGAAGGTCAACAATGACACCTGCGCCGATCAAGTCTACAATGCCATCAAGGCCGGCTACCGTCTCTTCGACGGTGCTTGCGGTACAGCCTCCCCTGCCCAAGTCCTAAAAACAAGGAAGATAGACTAATAGCACCAGATTATGGCAACGAAGTCGAATGTGGCCAAGGCGTAGCCCGTGCCATTAAGGACGGCCTCGTCAAGCGCGAAGAGCTCTTCATCGTCTCCAAGCTCTGGAACAGCTTCCACGAAGGCGACAAAGTGGAACCGATCTGCCGCAAGCAACTGGCAGACTGGGGCGTGGACTACTTCGACCTGTACATCGTGCACTTCCCCATCGCACTGAAGTACCTCGACCCCAGCGTGCGCTACCCACCCAGCTGGACAACCGCCGACGGCAAGATCGAGCTGGCCAACGCCCCCATCCACGAGACCTGGGCCGCAATGGAGTCCCTCGTCGACAAGAAGCTCGCGCGCAGCATTGGCGTGAGCAACTTCAGTGCCCAGCTGTTGATGGATCTGCTGCGCTATGCGCGCGTCCGCCCTGCGACCCTGCAGATCGAGCACCACCCCTACTTGACGCAGACACGCTTGGTGGACTTTGCCCAGAGTGAGGGTCTTGCTGTTACTGCTTATTCGTCCTTCGGCCCGTTGAGTTTCTTGGAGTTGAACCTCAAGCATGCGCAGGATACGCCTTTGCTGTTTGAGCATGCCACTATTAAGAGTATTTCCGAGAAGCATGGTCGCACCCCGGCCCAGGTTCTGCTGCGTTGGGCTACCCAGCGAAACATTGCTGTTATCCCTAAGAGCAATGATCCTACTCGCCTGGCGCAGAACTTGCAGGTCACCGACTTTGATCTCGAGGGTTCGGAGATTGAGGCTATTAGTGCTCTTGACAAGGGTCTTCGGTTCAATGACCCCATGGCTGTGAGTTTGGTTTCTACTTGTGGCTTTTGTCCTTTACTGACTTATTTTCTAGTATGGTCTCGGTATTCCCATCTTCTAAGCCTTGGCTGTTTAGAGGCGGAGTATATCCCGTGTCCGAAGAAAGGACGGGGCTGATGAATTGGATAGCACAAATGAATAAATATAGTTTAGCGCTTCTTCTATCTTCCATTGGTCTGAAGTTCTTGTAATTCAGGGTCGTAGCAACAATCGCATAGATCTATACCGTGGAGCGCCAAGACTTGCCGATCTCCGGCCATTTTTCTCCAAACCTCCGCTCTCTCCAACATCCAAACCTCAATCTCCAAACACCATGTTTCCCTCGGCCACAGCGCGACTCGCCTCGCAAGTACATATTACAGCATGGCCAACACCAAGAAATCTAGCAGAAAGCAAATTAGTTCTCAAGGCACTCCAAAAGCACGGTGAAATCGTCTCATACCGAAACCTCAAGGTAAAGACCAAAGCAACACCCGACAGCGCAACGCATTGCGCAAACGCTTCAACGAATCCCACTGACATGCAAATATAGTACGACACAACCAATGACTCCCCCAATCGCCATCGACCAATGCTCGCAATCTACGAAAACGCCGAAGCCGCAGAGCGCGCTATCGACTCATCACCAGTAACAATCCCACTACCACCCGGCTCCGCGCCAATCCCCCAATCCAATAAACACGCCAACCCCCTCAAAGACAAATCAGCCAGTTCACCGGATGACTCGCCCTCAATAATGATCCAGATCCAATCCTCGCGCCATAACCATCCCTCCAATATCAGTCGCAATCCCTTTTACACAACATACAACATGCACAAGATGAGTCCGATGTACAAGGATCTTATCCGGGAGGGGGTGCCCGTGCGGGAATTGGCGGATTGTCTACCGAGTAAGAAATATCATATTGGGATTGGGGTGAAGGAGAACATCCAGGAGGAGAATCGGTGGATGGGAGCGATGAGTTTGATGGATCTGTGGAAGGAAGGGCTAAAGGAGAAAGAAGACCAGAAGGAGCTTGGAGATTCAACCGAGAAGAGAAAGCAATATGAAGAGTTTGGGGAGTTCTAACGAGACTCGCATCTACTTGGTAATTAAGCTATGGCAGATCCAAATCCCCCAAGACAAGGCCAGGCAGGGAACATCCAAAGCAGAAAAGTTAAAAAAGATGCATATGCCCCTCGTTCCTGGGTTCCCTCGACCCAAGACCGTTGGCTTTCCAGGGCCGTCAGTACAACTCGCATCCCTGTGAGAGGGCGGGCCCGTCCCTCTCACAGGGACACAAGTTGCAACGACATAGTCTAGTTGGTTCCAGCGAGGAGCGGGGATACTCTTCCCCCAAGTTAGGAACCAGGTGCCAACTAGACTACTGGGGCATTTTGGTGAAATATGACACTTTATTTGCCATCATATCATGTCGATTTCCTATTTGGGAAATCCGCATACATTGTTTGGTTTTTGTGCGCTTCTCGGGTCGATTCTGACCTTGATCACTTTACTTTGGTTTATTTTGGAGCTGCTCACACCCGGCTCTTATTTGGTTCTCAACTTACCCTGTGCTGGCTGGTCATGACTCGGCCTGGGACGGCCTCCCTGGGGCTCTGGGCTATATGCGCCAATATGTCTCCACCAGAACCCACTCTGTGTCTACTGTATACCCGAGGGATATTTGCCTTGGCCAGGTTCACAACACAGCACGATACTATTCTATAGCAATTTCTGCCCAGTAAGATAGCATGTTACTGTCTACACTCTACACTGCAAAATGATAGCCCGTTCGTCCTCTTCAATTTGGCAAATATATCATAGCATTCTCACCATCTTTATCCAACACGATGTACTATCTTCTGTATTGTCCATATCTTGTTCGCCTTGTTCTTCTGTCTCATTTCCCACCTGGGTGTGAGTGCCTAGCCCCCATTGGATCAGACAAAGATAGGGTGTACCATAGAATCTGGGACGATGGGCCGCGACAAAGAAAAGACATAATCTGGCTTTATAAATAAAACCAAGCATACATACGGGCAGAAACTTCTAAACACCACTTTGGCATAGGTGCTATCCAAACATTCTACACGAATTCATTCCAAGATTCATTTCTCATTTCAAGATTTGATCCATGCACTGGACCATATAACAGAGGATATCAGCCATAGCCAAGGCCAAGTAGACAGGACTGGCCAGGATAAGTCAAGAGAAACTTAGAACAAACAGTCGATACATCGCACAGATATAAGCCTTAAGCCTCAAACCTTGACAAAAGCTACACAGAACCACAAAGTTAGCAAGATACCCCAGCAAAGGCCAGCCCCATAACAAAAACCAGCAGAGAGATAACTTACTGGCATCAATTTGCTTAATCTGAGGCAACGCCAAGCGCACCTTGTTCCGATAAACAGCAGGTCCCTTCATCTGCAACGGGTTGCCCTCGAAATAGACAGTCTCGAGGTTCTCCTTATCCTTCAGCTCACGCTCGACCTCCTCGAAGCTTGCGAGCTGGTTATTGGAGCCCCATAGCTCTTCGAGGTTCTTGAGAGTGGAGAGGTGTTCCAAGTGCGAGATCTGGTTGTTGGAGAAGTCTAGCACGCGCAGGTTCTCGTTTTGTTCCAGGCCTGAGAGGTCTGTGATGGCGTTGTGGGACAGGTATAGTTCTTCAAGATTCTTGAGGTTGGACAGGCCACTGATTTGGGTCAGGCGGTTGGATTGGATGGAAATGATTTTGAGGTTGGAGAGGGCGTCTAGGTTCTAGACGGTTGTTAGTACAAGATTCCTGATTTGGTGGATTTAGTAGACGGTTTCAGTGACACACCTTCATCTCGACAATCTTGTTCTTTCCAACCCAGAGTTGTGTGAGAGCCGTCAAGGTGTCCAAGTTCTCAAGGTCCTAGATGCAACCTGTCAGTATATCCCCATGATCACTTGTCTTCTCATCTCATCTCATCTCCGTTGATAGCGAATCAAGTGTAATACGAACCCGAATCTTATTCCCACCCAATTCCAAATTCGTAATGCCAGTCAACTCTTCCAATCCCTCAATCTTGGCAATCTTATTCTGCACAAAGAAAATCTCCGTCAATTTCTTGAGATGCGAGATATTCTTAATATGCTTGATCTTATTAAAGCTCAGATCCAAACTCGTCAGATGTTGGAACTCGTCCAGGCCCTTCAGATGCGAAATGAGGTTATCGTAGAGATCGAGCTCGGTCAAGCTGGCGGCGACGTTGGAAGGGAACTCGATGCGTGTTATTTGATTTTGGCGCATGCATAGTCTCTATGGGACGCCATGTATCAGTCCATCTGCTCTGCTTGGGGCAACTGTGATAAGGCGCGCGGCGCGCGCACCTGTGAGGATGGCACGACTGGGTTCTTCCACGATCTGGGAACATGTGTATAGCTCGATAATAGTGCGTACCTGGAGTTGAGGAAAGCGTTCGAGTTTGAGAGCAGGAATCGACTGGATTTTGCAGTGCACGAGGTCAATGTCCTAGAACAGTGCGATTAGCAATCATGCCGTGGTGGTTCATCGTACATAAGCCACCCTGTAGAACAGGAAAAGGCTTGTCCGGGGTTGTGCTCACCTCGACATTCGGGTCTTCATCGGCCAAGAGATCTAGAAAGCTGTCAGTTGGTGACTTCTCCGGCGATGGTGGTTACGGAGCAAATCTTCGGAGACAGTACCTTCATCAGCCTGGATCTCGTCCACTGGCGGAGCATCAGGATCCGAGTAGTCAGAGTCCTCCAGGGCCTCTGGATTTGTGATCACAGCTTTAGGTTCGACCCTCATTTTGCCGTCCCAACCTTCTTTGTTCTTCATGGTGGAAGTGGGATGTTCGGAGTGGGCGGTCGGCGTGCGGGGAGCTTTCTGCTTTTTTTTTCGGAGAGATCGTCGCAACTGCAGAGTCAAGAGAAGTTCGTAGGTCGTATGAATTCACGAAGGATTATTGAAGTTGTAGATGTCCCGTGATATTCAGGAACTGGAACGTTTTGACTACATCATCGCTCAATGCGGCAGTGCTCAATGCGGAAATGGTCCGAGATCAACTTCATTTCTACTCTAAACACGATTCGCTCTACTCTTCAGACTATGCCTCTCGACAGACATGTACAGGAAAACCAAACTGGCAGCGTAAAGGGGTTATTAGGCACTGCTGATGCTGATGTTGACTAGGGGAGATGGCGAGAAATCTCAGCACGGCATGCACGCTCGTGTATTGCACTGAGATCAAGCCAGTAGGGCTGTGTAGCGAGACAAAAATGGAAAAAAATAGAATAAAGAGAATGAGGAACACAGAGGGGATACAGCGAGGACATGAAATACCAAGAGACGCCTGCGGAATGCATGAAAAGCGGACTTGTTGGAAGGGAATACAAAGACAAGGAAAGATCAGGGCGTGAGGTGGTGACAGGCACATAGAAAACAAAAACAATGGGGGAATGAAGCTCGCTCGGAGCGTGGTAAGATAAAACAAATCACAATGCAAATGGTCGAGGGACAGGTCGGGCTATCCAACGACAGCAGATGCAGACGAGCCGTGACCCAGGAGGATACCAGTTCCATCGGGGATGATCATCGTCGAGAGGGGAATCAAATCGGCAGTAGGAGAATAGGGTGACTACCCGTCAATGGCAGGTAAGTGGCAGTGGAGAGGAATGCAAAAAGAAGGGCTTTTCTCGCGCAGAAAAGAAAACAACTCGCTCAAAATGGGAATCTCAGGCGTAATAAGAATCCGAGGGATTTACAAGGTACAGTCCAGGACCATGCTGACATCTTGGACTTGTGCCCCGGCAAGATCCTCGAGGACCGGGATAAGGTCAAGCAACTCGTTGTCGTGAGCGTCAGAGAACCAGCTACTGATGGGAATCGCGTGCTCAGGGTGGAAGATGTAAGATGTGGGGGAGTTGTCGATGATGATCGTCTCCTTCAAGTCACGGCCGACTTGTGAAAGATCCTAATGGTTGTTAGAACTGTCCATCTGGACTGAGGGAACCGACTCACCTTGACATAATTTCCCTGGTGATTATAGCAACTCTCGCGGAATAGGCGGTGGTGCACCACGTTGTGAATATCCAGTTGGTCCAGCAAAGGATCGCCGTACTATACCAAGTTAGCATGGGTTTCAAGACTGTGGATGATGGGAACTTACCTTTGAGACCGAGGCCGTGAAGACAACTACTTCGTATAGCTCACCGACACGCTTCATGAACTGATCCACGCCTGGCCGCTTGATGACATAGATGTTGTGATATTGTCCCTCAATTTCTACGGGAATGGTGAAGTCGGCACGCTCGAGAACCTGGCAGTTGGGTTAGCTGGGGTACGAAGAATTTCAGATATGTAGATGCTTACCTTGAAGCTACTATGAACAAGCGTTTCATCTAGATCGAGAACAAGACACTTTCGGCCGCTGAGATGTGGTAGAGGTGCAGGAAGCAACGGACGCATCCCATCGTCTGAAACAGCTCGAGCAGGGGGAGCAGGAACTGGCGGGGGAGGAGGCAGAACCATCGGGGCTTGTGTCACGATATCTGCTTGATTGACATTCTCTGATTGATCCTCGTCAAGAGATTTCTTGGGAGTGGTTGAAGGAGCAGGCTCCTCAATAGACTTTGTTTGCGCATCCAAATCTTGAGTTGAATCCTTCGGCTTACTTTCATCTACTGACCCATTTGCATCTGCAGACTCAACAGGCGTGGACGCCTCGGGCTTATTGTTCTGGCCAGAAGCTTCAGACTCGACAGCCGCTGAAGGACCCTCGCTCTGTGCGCCAGTCGCGGTCGCTTTGAAGTTGCGCTCTTCTTCACCAGGCTGATCCGCACTGACTGTTGAATGCGCCTTCTCGTCGAAATAGGGCTCCCTCGATTCTGCAGTGCTGGAATCACCGGTGCGAGCGTCCGTCTTGTCGGGAGTAGGAAGCCGGTTCAAGACCGGTTGCTGCCTGTTCGTTTTCTTAGGAGGCTCAGTGGTGTCATCGGTATCAACATCCGCCGACGAGCAGCAGCCCAGGAAAGCCAAAAGCTTTGATGGGCCCTTCTTGGGCTGGGGCTTCGGAATGCTTTCGGGCGCGGCGGCCTCTTTGCTTTCCTCGCTGTTCGCAACGTCCTGAGTCTGGCGCGACCGACGACTGCTAGCCCGGCTTGGATCTCTCTTTGTCCGCAGCATGCTCACTTTGGAACTTCTGCGAGTAGGCTGAGCCCCATCCTGTGTTTCTTCGGTCTTCTCAGAGGGGACCTGCTTGTTGTTTTTCGAGGATCGTCGCGAGGGGATCGGGATCGACAACAGACGTTTCTTGGGGGTCTCTGCGGTCTCGGCAGCCGGAGCAGCGGAAGTTGCAGCGGACGGAGTTGGCTCTGAGGTTGCGACAGCAGTTGCGTCCTGCGTCTCGGTCGCATCGGCGGTGCGAGCGTGCTCCGAGGACTCAGGGTCTACGGGGCGAAAAGTGTCAGTTATCATGGCTCTCAAAACACAGATTGCATCGCATGCGCAAATCACTTACTGGCTGAGCCAGAATTGTCGGTGGCCATGGTTGCTTTGTTTGTAAACTCCGGAGCGGAGGGTGAGATATCTCGCCCCGTGCTCTCTCCACTCATCGAGAATGGCGATATCAGGATAGATGGTATAAATGGGCACAGAAAAGCTTCAAAATGAAGAGCAATTCAAAAGATTTGAAGCAATGCCGGAACGCTCACAGGTTGAGCGCGGCTCTTTGGGGGGGTTGGTCTAGGTAAGCAAGCGCCTTTTGGGGTGGGAGGAACAAATGTGGCACCGCTTTGGCCGTGAGCCAACACCACACTATGTTGCTATAAGCCAAGGGCAACTAGAAACAGGGGGGAAACAGCAAAGTGTAGTCAATAGGGATAGAGAAGAGGAGAGAGGAGTCGGGGATGTCACGTGTACGGTGTGAGAACGGGGGAAAGTGACTCGAGTCTTGTTTAATTCCTTTTTCCGACGCTAACTGGCTCTTTTCACACGCTACTGAAGCCCTCGGCGGCTACGCTCATTTCATGGGTCTGGACCAAAACAGATTGGATCGGATAATTCCATGCCCCTTTTTTTCTGAAGCTATGGCCTGTTCTCGGTATTAGTCCGGTGGTTCGATGTTGGTTCGATGTTGGTTCGATGTTGGTTATGGGGGCGATTGACCCTAAGCTACTGCCACACTGTAGTCTTTGTCTTTGTTTCTATTTCTAGGGCAATAGGCATTAGGCGATACGGAGTGGTGTATGCTATGCACTACTGTATTCAGCTATTCACCACTTTGTTATACTTCTCACTCCCTATTTGGTCCTTTTTGATTCCTTTTTGGTTCTTTTTTTTTTGATATCCAAGTCTAGTCATCATTCATAGTAATGGAGTAAACAGGTTAACCCGTGAAATCCTAGTTTGCGCATGGTCCCTCCATCTATAATTACCAAACACACTGTATCTTGCCTTTATTTTCCAAGGTTGCCTCCGGGCTGTACAGTCAGCTTCCCCACGTGAGGTTCTCCGCATCCCGAGGTTCACATGCAATGATGTACGGTATTCTCCCCAACGTCACGTTGCCCTCTTGGATTCCCTTTCACTTCTACATGGCTGTCAGTTAGTCAAGGAAGTATCGCTATAACTTGCGAGGCCACTTCCTGGCGTGAATATGGCCGTCCAGTCAACATTACGGCGTCCAGAAGATCCACTTCTGGCGCTGTATCAACATTACTCGGATCTAATACGATCCAAGTTTCGCCGAACATCCCAGACAACACGCTTGGTTGCAACAATAGCCCTACTGCTCTCCATAATAGGCTCAGGGTATGGCGGCTACAAATGGTTCCGAGGGCGCGCAAAGGAACGAGCCCAGGGTCGCCGTCTATTGCGCCGGAACTCGGGTATCCGCGGTAAAGATGGCTCCCGTACGATCTATGTGCCCTACAAGGGTACCCTGACCTCCAAGGTCCTGATCCATCCGACGAAGCCAACTACTTTCGATGCCCACCGTCGTCTATTCCTCAACCCTCCGGCATCTGCCCGTAGCAAAGATGACGGCTCGACAAGTCAGATACCTCCGCCTACAACGAAACCAGGGTTGAATCTGGCATTCCTGCACCAGTTTCTGAGTCTGGGTAGTATTATGGTACCTAGATGGGGAAGTAAAGAAACTGGTTTGCTGATGAGCCATGGACTCTTTCTCCTGTTGCGAACATATCTCTCCTTGTTGATTGCACGACTCGATGGTGAACTCGTGAGAGACCTTGTAGCTGGCAAGGGCAAAGCTTTCCTTTGGGGCATTCTCAAATGGTGTGGAATTGGAACTCTGGCTTCATATACAAACGCCATGATCAAGTTCCTCCAATCAAAGGTGTCCATTGCATTCCGCACACGGTTGACAAGGTATATCCATGATCTATACCTAACCGACAATAACAACTATTACAAATTGATGAACTTGGACGGCGGAATCGGGCAAGGTCCCGATCAATTCATCACACAAGATCTCACACTGTTCTGTTCGGCGGCCGCTTCACTTTACTCCTCAATGGGCAAACCGCTTGTTGATCTCTTCGTGTTTAACTACCAGCTGTATCGCTCACTGGGTCCTCTGGCTTTGAGCGGTATTCTGGCTGGATACTTCAGCACGGCCGTCGTACTACGGAAACTTTCACCTCCGTTCGGAAAGCTCAAGGCAGTCGAGGGCAAGAAGGAAGGAGACTTCCGTGGTCTGCACTCCAGGCTCCTTGCAAATGCTGAAGAGATCTCCTTCTATGGTGGCGCCGATATCGAGCGTGTCTTTCTGGTCAGAAGCTTCAAGGACTTGCAGAGATGGATGGAAGGTATCTACAGCCTCAAGATTCGATACAACATGCTGGAAGACATGATCCTTAAGTACTCTTGGTCTGCATTCGGTTATCTGGTTACTTCCCTGCCTGTTTTCCTTCCAGCCTGGGGCGGAAGTGGCGGTGCAACAGAGCTGGCCGATGCACCGGAAGGCATTGGCCGTGAGCGTGGTCGCATGAAGGACTTTATCACCAACAAGCGTCTGATGCTTTCCCTAGCCGACGCCGGAGGTCGTATGATGTACAGCATCAAGGACATCTCCGAGCTAGCTGGCTACACGTCTCGTGTCTATGGCCTCATTGCCACCCTACACAGAGTTCACGCCGATGCTTACTACACACCTCGCGGCTCACACCCCGAACTATACTCCCTTGCCGATTCACAAGGCACAACCCACAACGGCTTCGACGGGGTCCGCCTGGAGCAGGTCCCAATTGTCGCCCCATCACTCTACCCAATGGGCGGCGATGAACTCATCGAATCCCTCTCCTTCATCGTCCACTCAGGTGACCACCTCCTAATTTCCGGCCCGAACGGCGTCGGCAAATCCGCCATCCCACGGATCGTAGCCGGTCTATGGCCCGTCTATCGCGGACTAGTTAGCCGGCCCCGAGGCTTCGGCATAGACGGCATAATGTTCCTCCCTCAAAGACCATATCTCAGCGTCGGCACCCTACGCGACCAAGTAATCTACCCACACACGGAAATTGACATGCGCGAGGCGGGCGAGTCAGACGCAGCACTTCAGAAAATTCTTGATGACGCCCACCTTGGCTACCTACCAAATCGGGAAGGCGGCTGGGACGCGCGCAAAGAATGGAAAGATGTGCTCAGCGGCGGAGAAAAGCAGCGCATGGGCATGGCCCGCCTCTTTTACCACGAACCACGATACGCATTCATGGACGAGGGCACTTCAGCCGTTTCTTCCGATGTCGAGGGCTTGCTCTACGAGCGAGCGAAGGAACGAGGTATTACACTGATCACTATCTCAACGAGAGCGTCATTGAAGAAGTACCATACCTACAACCTGACTCTTGGGCTTGGAGCTGAAGGGGAGGTCTGGGAGTTTGAGCGGATTGGAACTGAGAAGGAGAAGTTGGGTGTTGAGAAGGAATTGCAGGAGCTTCGGAAGCGTTTGGATAAGGTGGATGAATTGAAGCAGCGTCGTGATGATATCGATCGTGAGCTTCAAAAGGTTTGGGCTAGTGGAGGCGAAGGTGAAATTGCTCCTCCTCCTTATCAAGAACAAGATCATTCTGGTTCTGAGGAGGCTGTTGAGGCTATTGCTGAAGGGACTGCCAATTGAGTGTACATCTTACAGCTTAAGCACAGAAAATGAAACATTCTCCATGCTTCTAGAAAGGTTTAGTGTCGCTGTTAAACATGAAGTGGAGAGTACTGATATGGTAGGCGGTAGACAAGGCGGTCAGACCCAAAAGTACTTACACCACTGTACAGTGGCGTGTATATCTATACCGCCTAGTAAATAGCTTCACACCGCCCTTTATTGCCAGCAGTAGTCTTATCGATAACCACCACGTTTCTGTCTGAGTACTAGTCCCTCTCTTTTGCCTTTTGTTTACCACCCCCTTTAGTCTGAAGCCGCACTTCACCTGCATCATGGCAGGCTCTGAAAGTGACGAGGATGACTCCAATGAGGTTGTTATCTCTATGGATGGCTTTCAAAGTGATGGCGATATTACCACTTGGCCCGAATCGCCGTACAGCCAACGCGACGATACTCGCTGGAGAAAGCTGCTTGCTGAGAACTGGCTCAAATCACAGGGAAGTTATGTTGAAGGTCAGTTTACCTCGATTTTCGGTCCCCATTCTCGTGTTCTTGATCCAATTGAACGCCCATGGAAACACGCATTTGCGCGACCCGTTCTACGTCCACTTGACTGAACTAGACTGACAAACGACCTGCATAGGTGACGATTACATCATTCCTGAACTGCCTGACGGCTATGCTCTCTTCGACAAACCCCGTAACAACAACCCTTCAATTGTGGGTTTGCTCTCTTATGTCTATCGATTCATCAGCTAACAACTTTCGCTTTTAGAGTGACCCTTTCCTCTTCGGACATCCCAGCGGACAGTACTTTCAATCCCAAATAACCTTCTTCACTCATTTCTTATCTCTAGCTCAAGGCAAGCTGAGTGAGTGTCAGTGCAAGCCCTGCAGCAAGATGGGAGGTACCAAGAAGCCGGCCAGCCCAGGTGCAAATCGACCTGGTAAGTCTGCTCTAATATCCGTGGCTTCCGCATTGATCATTCGCTAACATCACCCTAGCTCGTGGCCCTGGTGTTCATGGCCCTGGTGTTCGTGGTCCTGGTGTTCGTGGTCCTGGACGCCCCATCGAGGACAAGGATTCTGATTACTGGCGTGACTACGTACTCAAGTTGAAGGCCAAAGGCTCCATCGATGAACCCAATGAGCAACCACTGAACTTTGACTGGGCTCTTTCCCATGAGATGCTCTCTGACTACTTTAACAAACTTGTTCTCGATCCGGCCTTTGTTCCTCGCTGTGGTGAGCTCGTGCTTTGTGTTTGGGAAATGGCGGATACCTCGAGCCTCCTGCGCAGTCCTGAAAATGGCCGCCTTGAAATCTGTGACAAGCACAACCGCTGGTGGGTGCCTGATTGGCGTGCTGGTGTGGTAACTCAGCCTCCTGAGAGCGATATCCGTGTGGCGGAGATTACTGAGAATCCTTACACCACTGAAGAGCTGAGTAACCACGGGTTCCGCATTGAGCTTCTCCCGGATCCTCTTGGTCTTGACAAGTCATATTCCGTTCAGTCCAAGTACCTTCCGCTCCGATGCATCAAGCCATTCAACTCTTGGCAACTCTATCTGCACAAAGAATCCCGCGATAACCTGCACCCTTCAATCGAGAACGCTCTAACTGTCATGGCTTCGTGGAGTGTGACACACAAGTTTCACGTCAAGGGCGTCTGGCCCAACATGGAAATCGGCTGCAAAGGAGTCTGGGTTGGTGCCGAGCTACTCGCCGTGCATGATACCGTTCGTCTCAAACCTCGAAAGTACACCATTGACGATCTGCGAGATGGCAAACTCCGTCAGGTAGATGATGTTATGATCATTGACAACATCAATCTCGTCCTTACTGACTGCATTGACGATCCCACCTCTCCGAATCTGGCCCAGCAGTACTCCGTGCGCATCACCGGCAAAATGTACACAAACAACCCACACCGAAATCCGAACAGCGACGAGCCACTCAGCAAGCTTCCCCTCCAAGTCATGACCAACGAAGAAGCAACGGCAACCTTTCGCCAGGTCGGCATGTCCGCCTACGGTCCCTGGTACCGCGTCGCAGGAGACAAGCCGCCCCGCCTTACAATCAGCCAGGGCATGATCCTCGGCCGCTGCTACGAGCCACTCGCCATGGACCTGCTCCTCGGCAAACGCGACTTCGGCTACGACCTCAACGGCGTCCTGCACGGCCGCAACTTCTCCGAGGGCGTCGACACACGCATTGCAGAGGGCAAGACCTGGTTCTGGGGCGACAGCCGGATCGAAACACTGGGCATTGTAGAGATCAATGGCGTGGAATGTGACATGACCGCACCCCAGCGCGAGACACCCGCCAGATGGCGAGCCATCTTCAAGATTCTGAGCGGAGAAGTCACGCCCGCACTGATCCGACGTGCTGGCATTCCCCCCACCATGAAGAGCGCTAGTCGCAACGTTGGTCGTCCCAAGGGTTCCAAGAACAAGAAACCCAAAACTGCCGTGGCGAAGAGTGGTCTCGCGCAGGTCGCTCAGACTAGTAAGCTGGTCAGTTCTGCGATCGGCACTGCTCCCGAGGAAGAAACTTCTGATGATCTTGAAGATGGGCTGGGCTCTGGTTCTGGACCTGCTAGCCTGCCTTTGGCTGGAGATGGTTATGAAAGTGATTTTGGCCTGTAAGCGTGTTTTCTAATGGTTGTTTTCCTCCTTCAAGGCGCAATGTGATACCCCGGAGTTAGGAAATTATTCGAATGAGCGATGGTGAGGCTAGTGATGGCAGTTGAACTTCTTTGTACGATTAAGACATGGCACTGCAGCCATCGTAGTGTACCTGTGACCAACATGAGATGATTATTCACACCGTGCTCATAGCTTCCAACTTTCAAGAACGAAATATCTGATCCTCGTACTTCAAGTCTACACTGGTGCTCTCATCAATGTTCTCCGGTATATGTCCGAGTAGCCTAACTATCAAACAGAATCTCTCAAGAAACGTCCAACCAGACCAAGTATTCGAACTCAATATCGACGAGCGCGCAGCACACCGGTAGCGGTCTCATAATATGACGGCTCGGATCACTGCATTGACGTCTTCCTGGCCATATTCCGAGCGTTGCAAGGCCAATATCATTCGCTAGTGTTACTCGTTTCTTCAGTATTAGGCTGATCCACCGAGATCATATTTGGTGATTTTCGACGATGCTGCCAGCGCTTTGAGACTCTTGCAGGTGCTCTGCATCGCATTCCTGGCAGACCGCCGTCGTGACACACAGGTGGGTTCTCTGGTATCTTTATATACTGTACGATAGTTGGAACACACTCAAACTTGTCTGAGTTCCAGTCTCCCTTCAAGGGATGAAGTCTGGAGCCATCTACGCCACTGCTTCATCCTGCATAGCCAGGGCATTCTTCATTCCGATAAGAATTGTGGGTAGCATGGCTGGTGGGCCGATTTGCTGGTATGTCTGTAGGGCTATTCGAGTCCAGGTAAAAAAATAACGCTGATCCAACTTACTGACTTGAGGGTATAAGTGAACATCCAACGGAAACGTACTAGAAATCTCAAACTTTGACCTCACAGAGCATGGATTTTGGCTGTACAATGGTTTGGGCACATGCAGACCTATCCATTAGCTACGATATAATCATAGTACTGAGGGTATCTCTGGCGCCAATTGATATCAATAGTCGACGACTGATCGTGTTTGTTGGACCGAGCTTTCAATATCAAACTAAATCATATGCAGGGGGCGTGTTGCTCCCAGAGACACAGCTTAATTACAAGATTCCGCCAAGTTTATCAGCCGGCCTTCCGAGAGATTAATCCAAGAATGACAAGACCAGGAGGGATATTACTGTAGGGCCAGGATATGGACATGGGGGTGGTGCCGAGTCAAGTCTCTCAGCAACTCATGGTCTATACATATTTCCAAGATTCAGAGGCAATTGACACATGACATGCAACATGTCTACTGTCGACAGGATACATCAATCGGAAGCTGTCCAGACTGTTGGATTTCGGAGAATTCCGAATAGCTCAAGCCCACATACTTGAGCCTTGCGTCTGCAGAATTCAGCGGGTCGGTCCCTTAGAGCCCATCAAGCCTTGCGTTTATTTGTGGTACCCTCCATTGGCAAAGTTGATGCCTAATGCAACAAGTAATGTGTCCATTATCTTCGAAAAGGAGGTGTCCGGGGAGGACCAGACCGTGGCCAGAGAATACCGCGCCAACATTCCTTACAGAAAAGGTGCCCAAGGACTGTGGTATACAACGAGACCCGATGGCACGTACAGAGAGCAGCTCCGATTCTTATATTGATTTGATATCCCTGCCCTACACTTGTTCATGATGCTGACGACGACTCTTTGAGTATGCCGATCATGGCTTCTCTACGGGGATTGGATTCCCTTACTGTCCATTATGCATATTTCATCCTCATGTCTGCGATCGGCAGTGTCATATTGTACACGACGGCGACGCCGATCCATGAGCTCCACTATACTGACGCGTTGTTCATGAGTTTCAGTGCCATGACAGGCACAGGGCTGAACGTGGTAAGTCGATACCTACTGTATACAGTCGATTGAGATCGAGAGGAAAAAGGTTGACATGTTGGACAGGTGGACTTGGCCACTCTGAATGGTATACAACAAGGAACGCTCTTGTCACTGCTGGTCCTCGGCCATGCTATCTTCATCCTCGGAGTTCTCTCCTTCCTACGCGCCCGAACGCTTCGCTCGGTCCTGAAAGATGTGCAAAGAAAGAAGGTCGATCAGACAGTGACTCAGACGTCAATTGTGCAGATACAGACAGATTCTTTCCCAGAAGCCAAAGATGATGTCCCCTCTGTTAAAATCACCAGTCTGCTCAGAACAAATGCAACAGTGGACGAACTGCCCGACATTTCGACCTTTGGGAAATCGGAGCACGTATCATCAAACGACTATGACTTCATGACGGTAACTCCTCCAGATATGACAGAAAATTGCCAAAAAGTCACTACCATCACAGTCATTGGCGACAGCGTGGATGTCTGTGACGCCAAAACCCGCATGTTCCGCATCGTCGCTAGAGTGATAAACACAATGCAACAAGTGAAGATAAATTTGAGCAGCAGCTCAATCGGCTGTGACGAGCCAGGCTGGGCAGAGTACAAGGCCCTTTCTTTGATCTCCGCGCTTGTCGTCGGTTACTACGTGGCCTTCCTCTCCTTCGGCATTCTGTGCTTAGGGCTTTGGATGAAATATTGCCGTCCAGAGATTGCAGAAGCAGATGGAGTCTCTCCTTTCTGGACGGGGGCTTTCCTCGCTACATCTGCATTTGCTAACAACGGCATGTCGCTCCTCAGTGCCAACATGGGTCCCTTTCAACGAGAGTAGGTGGATCACACCTTGCCGATGATCATGGAGACGGTTGTTAACACACCTGAACAGTGCCGCTCCGCTCCTCGTCACCGGGCTTCTCATCCTCGTTGGAAATACACTTTTCCCGTGCTTGCTCCGGCTTTCAATTTGGGTGATGAGAAAGATGATCCCTGAGAAACCAGCCTGGCACGCGTGGCGACGAGTGTTTGATTTGACTCTGACTCGGTCTCAGGATGTAAGTTGGCCCTTTTGGTCTATCACCACGCAGAGACTAATATTGTTTGTAGGTGTGTGCGTATTTGTATCCATCTTGGCATACGTGGTTCTTGTTCGGCACCATCTTGATGCTGAACAGCATCATGTGGGGAGCGTTCGAGCTTGCTGCTATCAACACCGTCGAGATTGCGGCGCTCTCTCCTAAATACCGGGTCTTGGATGGTCTCTTTCAATCTTTGGGTATGTTCCGACGGACCTCTTGATGTTGATAATGCTAACTGAGCATCAACAGCTGTGCGCGGCGGTGGTTTCTCTGTCGTTGCCTTTGACGGGCTGCCACAAGCATTACTTATTCTATACGGTACGTGCTTCATTACTCTTTATGATAATATCATGTGCTAACAAATCCCCAGCCCTGATGATGGTGAGCTCGACAGTCCCAGAACAGCAATGTCAGTATCTAACCATTCTCTTCTAGTATCTTTCTGCCTTCCCAGTATCAACTCTGATCAGGTAAGAAACTCTGAATCTCCAGTACCATCAACAAACACATCCAATCTAACACCAAACAGCGGAAGAGAAGCCCTCCAAGAAAATTCCACAAGCACCTTCGACAAGGAACGCGATCTCACCAACCCTCCACCCTCAACCACCGACGCACCTCGCTCAACATTCGCCCGCGGCCAGTTCTTCTTCAAGCAACTCCGCTCCCAATTCAGCCACGACATTTGGCTCATCTCTCTCGTGGTCCTCCTCGTAACCGTGGCCGAGTCAGACCACTACAAAACTCAGCCCGTCTCATTCTCCACCTTTAACATCATCTTCGAAATCATATCCGCGTACAGCTGTGTCGGAGTGAGCATCGGATACCCCGGCAAGAGCTATGCCTTCTGTGGCGAGTGGCACACCTTCAGCAAGATCTTGTTAATTATCACTGCCTTGAAGGGCCGTCATCGCGGTCTGAACTTTTTAAACGGCAAGGCTATATCCCATGGTGGGTCTTGGGAGCCGATTGAAGAGAAGCTGCCACAACAGGGTAAGGCTGGACCGCCTTGTTGTGTTTGATTCTGCGCTTAGCCATCTCTTTTGGAGTTAACTAACTATAGACTTGATGTTTTCCTCTATCCAGATTACTACTTAATGTGTAATTGTGGACTAGCGTACATGTAACTTAATGACTTGCGTGTTCGGGCATAACAGTGCCTTGTCGGCACATTTGATTAGAATTATGCGACTATTATGTTCTTTATGTACATCGTATCTTTTGTCAATCCGCGCCGATCTTCTCTCATTTTGACGACTGAGAAAGATCGTGGGAAGATCTAGAGTATTCGGATATTCGGGTATCGTGGTGAGAGACTCTCGTCTATATATCGAGAAATTCCTTACAGGTCCTGGGGATCCTTGCAAATAAGGTCGGCACCGCCCTATATCCGTGTTAGATATGCAGAGAAAACATTGTGTCATGGATCAAACTTACGAGAGGGATGAGACAGCACAGAGCAGTCTTTTCCTCGGCAGAGCAGGTGCTCTTGAAGTCCGCAAGGCTGGAGGGGGCACCAGAGGGGATCTTGCAGTCGAAAGCGGCGAGCTTGAGGTCGGTGGAGCAGCACTGCGGGTTGACGAAGTACTTGCCGGGGCAGTAGGCCTTCAGGGAGAGGAGAGGAGAAGGAGTCACCGGGGAGGCAGTGGCAGTCAGAGCGCCGAGGGCGAAGACGAAGATGCTGGAGGCGTACATTGTGAATGTGAAGGAGTGGAATGGGTAAATGAAAGACTGGGAGTTGGAGTTGAAGTTGGAATTGAAGATGAAGGAGAGATCTGAGAGAGAGAATGACAGCCGTGTGTGTTGGGAGACATTAAATATTCCAAGGTCTGGTCGTGGAGCAGTTTAGATGCTAGAGTTTCCACTTATTGCTCGGAGCGGCGATGATTGACACCACTAACTAGACCGCGGAAGGGATCGGCGAGATTTCGGCGTCTTCGAATCGAACTATCAATCGATCCACTCAGATCGCTCAATGAGAAGGCTGCGTGGGCTGGACATAAATGACGATCAACCGTACAGCTCAGGGATGAAGCTAAAGTGGTTGATAATTTTATAAACGAGCAACTGTACTCCGTCCCGTCTTGTTCCATGAATTTGAGTCAAGATTGGTGCAATGACGAGGTGGCTTCCTAGATGTTTTCTGACTATAAGTGGTTCTTGAATGTTTAGTTAACAGGTTATTTGGCAAAGCAGAGTGGATCTCTTGCCGAATATTGAACAAAGGGGAATTGAAGGAAAGACACACTAAGTTATTTTAACCGCTAAAGAAGGAACTGGCCGGTAGTTAGGGTTGACCTCAATCCACTCTTGGAATATACAATTGAATTTTCTAATCAAAACCAGCCAATTACCGATGTACGTAGGTTTGACAGGCGATGAATGAACAGGAGGCAACCAAAACTGCAAGGTCGATTCTTGGGGGACACCAAGTCCGTAAACCAATCGCTTCTTTGCAATTCAGCAGCTTCCTTTGCATACTGATCCGCTAATTCGTCCAAAGCTCGTGGGATACACCAAAATTGAATATGCAATCCTGCCCTATGCGCCTCTTCAATCTCTCCAAAAAGACACTGCCAAAGGTCCTGGTTTTTAACTGGGTGTCCTTCTCTCGTTTGCCAGTCATTATGGATCCATGCATATATCCAGTCCGTGCTACCTCGAATCACAAATGTAGAGTCTCTAGCAAAGACCAGACTATCAAATCCATCACCAGCCCAGGTTCGGAACCGCAGAGCTGCAATGACAGCCCATAGCTCTGCACGGTTGCTTGTCTGTCGGTGGAACTCGCCTGAGGGGCCTTGATGCTCGAGGGCAAATTTCAAGTGGCCATAATACTGGCGTGATTGAGTCGGAGGTCGGAAAAAAACCGAGCAGCCAGCTTTGGGGTTGGCTTGGCCGTTGTTCAAGCAGGAACCGTCGGTGTAGATGAGGAATTGCTTGGGATTATTTTGATTGATAAATCGCCGAGGAACCGCTGACGCTTTGGCCGGGCTACCGGGTTGGAAGAGGGAATCCGGCGTATCATTTCTGTGTCGGGGCGTAAATTCTGTGACATGCTTGATTGCGAGATGTTCTTGGCTCCGGTAGTCTTCAGGTCTGGTTTAATCTCAGCCTCGGGAGGTGACCGACTAGCAGAAGTAAATGGATTCCAGGGAATGCCTAATGCCATGAACAGCTCAACGGGTGGGCTAGGAGATGGTGTTGGTGTGTCGAATATCAGGCCTTCCCAAGCGGGATGGGAAGGTGAGGCAATTCTGATTATTTCCCCTCTGCAATATTCTTGTTTCTCGTCATGGTTGCCAATCATAATACCACAGCTGTTACAAGGATAATCGAGCTCTGCATCGGTAAACACCTCCATATTGAATATTGAGTTGATATTTAGAGAATACGGGGGCTGTGCAGAGAGAGAAGTATCATAGAATGATATATATGAGGGACTCAAACCCATGGAAGTGTCAAATGAAATGTCAACTCGGGCAGGGTCACTCTTTCCCATTCTTATATCAGGAGGGTCGATAATGATCCGGCGGAAGACAAGGCGGCACTCGTACAGGATTAACGTTGACTATTACAAACATGTGAGTACTGACTATTCAGTTCTGCTCTCGACAGTGGTTAGGGCTCTTATAGATGCAGTTAGCGTCCACGCACAGACTGAACAGACTGATGCGTGGTGTTGGCACGTGATACACTATAAAGTTGAAGTCCCTGAAACTTGTTCGATAAAGTGCGATTCAAAAGCAATAGTCCCATTCATGGATCTATAGGGCAATAAACATATCATAGTCTCATATTTCGATCTCACACTACACTTTTCTCATTCATCCTAGCAGAACGTCTCTTCTCAGACCAAGGGAAATGCACAACAGGAGGTAAAAAGAAGCTATTGCTGCTATCAGCAATACCAGCAAAGGCATTGTACCAAGCCAAGAAAGCCCCAAGAAGCGCAAACAGTCCTCCAGCTTTGAGCAAATTGGCATTGGGTAATTCACCGGTAGGATAAAAGTATCCGAGGGCGATCATCAGAATCGCAAGGTCAACGAAGAAGAACAGGGAGAAGAAGGCGACAGTGGATTTGAGGGTTAGGAACAAAATAATTGTTGTGAATATGAACCAGCCCTAGAATCACGGAAAAATGTCAGTTTCATCATCCTTGGATATTGGATACTGGATACACGGGACATAAGGAGGCAGTACGAACCATGAGGTACAGAGCAAAAGAATTGTAGAACATAAGAGGTGAACCACCATCTGCCTTTTCGAGCGCACCCATGATGTTGAATCCACCGGGGATGAAGGTTATAGCCAAGGACATCCAGAATCCACCGTAGGAAGAGAGGACAGTTGCACCGAATGTATTACCGATAGCCATTTCCCTGGAAGGAGCAATTAGCAAACGTCCTTTCAACAACTTCTGATACATCCACGGAAAAGAAAAGGCAACATACCACATCCCTGCACAAAGCTGCACAAAGCCACCATAAGCCAACGCAGGCCCAACAAGAATATTCGGCTGCGTGACACCGCGCACATCCATCTGGATGCATCCAAGAATGAACGTCGTCAGAGCAAAGCCGCACAGTCCCAGTGGCGCCGGATTGGCAATCTTGCGATCCTTAGGGGCGCGCCATAGACCCGGTTGAGCCTCACCACCGAAGGCTGCGTAGCGACTTTCGGCGGTGTTGATATGCGCCAGGGGACCAAAGCGGCCGGTGTCGATATCATCGCTGGAGGAGGAAGTCTGGTTTGTGTCTTTGACACTGATGCCATTGTCTTCGTGGGACATTTTGGTGTATTTGATCAATTGGAGAGAATGGGTGGGTAGTTAGGGCTTAGGTATAGTATAGTATAGTTCAGAGGGGATTGGTTCGGGGGGAATCGCCTGGGATCGCGATTCAACAGACTTAAACAGAAGACACAGAAGAAAACTCTAACGTGCGAGCTTCATTGACTTTATATAGACATGCCCAACCACTCTATGAGATCCAAAGTGAATTTGAACACAACCCCAGCTCCCAATTTCCAGAACAAAGTTTCCCCGCATGAGCATCTGCAAAAGGATCAACAAGCATAACCAACGGATCACCAACACCCAAAAACAAGAAAGCAGCCTATGAGCCACGAACGGGAAAGGAGTCGGCTCGAAAAGAAGGAGACACAACCTACAAGCTCCAGATCCGTACGCCCTAGCGCCAGACGCAATAAGTGATGATCCACCGCGGACCAGCAGACTAATGATCTGCGTGTGCGAAACCCATGGGGAAATGCGGAGAACCCCAAGTATCAACGCGCAATTTTCAGAACTGTTTCGGAAAGAGTTGGAACGGGTGGAGAAATCGGCATCGAGAGAGCGAGTGAGGAGGACTCGGGTTCTTGGCAACTTGGTCGCATACCGTCAATACCGACGATGCATGCCGAGGTGCGGGCAGTGCGTCACTTGGGGTCAATAGTGGCAACGAATATGCGGTCCACTGATGTATGTTGGGTTTGATATGCGGTTGACCCTGAGAGGAGACTTGGAGATGATGTAGTTCGCCGTTTCCGGTTAAACGTGAACGTTATATTCACTTTCTACCTGTCCACTACGCACTATATCACACAGTACGAAAGACGAAAGACAAAGTCAAATCGAGGAGAAGAAGACAGAATAGAAGCGCAAATCTCGGAAACCCTAATCTCAACCCCAATCCTAGTAATTCTTCTGCACAACCCCCCTAGCAAACTCAGCGAAACTAAGACCAGGAGTAACCTCCTCGGCCAAATTCGGCTGCGTAAACACCGCAAGGGTATTTCTGGCAATCTTCTGCCCAGGACTAGCTTTGGCGCCTTTCACAAAATGCGGTACGGCCATCAACTTCCCGCGCGTGATCAGCTGCAACGCTTCGCCCGTCTGGAAGGCGAGACAATCCTTCGGGATATTGACCTTGACGATCTCGTCGGTGCGCGAGCGAATATAAAGCCCAGCTGCGGGATCCGGGGACTGCGATAACTCCGGTAAGATAGACGGTGATGCGGACGGAGCGGATTCGAGGGTTGGGGGGGATGCCGCTTCGTCGAGGAACATTGCGGATGTTAGGCCGGTCAGACAGCCGTGGTCGACGTGAGTGGCACACCAGTCGTCATCGGCGTCGGGGTTGGAATCAGTCGTGCTCTCATTTCCGGGGAAGTAGTGTAGCAATCTCGCTTTTGTTGTTAAACTAGTCGTCACGACGTGGTGCAGATACCCAGGTTTATAGTCGTCGATGTTGGCCTCGGCGTAGCGATCGCATGCTTGGGCGACTAGCGCCGCTGTGTCGATTATTAGACTGCATAGCGATTCAATACTGTCCCGGAATTCGGGGAGACTGCTCGGTGATGGCCAAATATTGGGCGCAGTGTACTGCGGTAGATCGGGGAATCCCTCCGCAGGCGCACTATCTAGTGAGGCGTCTTGGTAGAAAGCGCAGTTGACATAGTACGAACCCTTGAGTGTATCGAAGTGGCCTGATTTTAGCGTTTCTTTGCCGCAGGACCAGCCGACTAGATACTTGGATTCTGGACTGGTGAGTGTTTCTGTGGGGGATTTTAGTAAGGTTCAGTTTTGTCTTTGGGGGGAGGATTGGTCTTGGGGTTTGCACGACAATTGGAGTATCACACACTTACCCAGTTCGCTTTCTGGGAGGGCAGCCAGGTATGAGGCATTTGATAGCACTGTTTTGCGCAGTTCTGCAAATGTTGCGGGAAGGTCTTTGACCACAATAATGCCTAGCGAGGCTGGACCAAAGGCTTCGGTTAGGGTGTCGAAGGAGACAGTTCCTGTCTGGGTTAACACCGACTCTTTGAGGTTCCATGACCGGACTTACCATCGATGAGTTCCTGCAGACTCACAGTAACCGCCTGAGCAACGGGAGTCATGTTTCCAGAATTGAAGAATTGAAAAATTGAAGAAATTAAGAGAAAGGAAGAGAATAAAAGGTTCCCCGCTTCGAGTTTATCAGATAAGTTGCGGTTATTCGCGCTAAGGGAAGTAATCGTAGAAACTTATGATATTATTCATCTATTGTACAATTCACGACATTACTCGACCTGTCCAGCCCGTCTAGTCACAGCTCGGAGATTCCCAAAAGGAAGGACATCGCCGATGCGCTTGGCACCTGTGAACAACATAACAAGACGGTCGATGCCACATCCCCATCCGCCAGTAGGAGGCAGACCCCATTCCAGGGCTTCAAGATAACTCTCATCGATCTCGCCAGGTTCGTTAGCTTCCTTGCTGAACCGCATCTGATCCTCAAATTTGCGGCGCTGTTCGAACGGCGAGTTCTCCTCTTCGTAGGTGTTGATTAGTTCCTTGCCCTCGACGAAGAGCTCGCCTCGTGCAGCAACACGCTGGTTGGTGACGGGGTGAATAAAGGATTTGGAAAGTGGAGAGAGGCATTCAGGAGGGTTGATGATAAAGGTCGGATCGATACATTGGGGCTCGACGTATTGGCTGCAGAGCTCGTCGAGGAGGCGGGGGAGGGATGGGTTATTGGGAAGAGAGAGGGAGAGGTCGGTGAAGATGGTGCGGAGTTGTTCGAGGGCTTCGGGGTCTTCGAGATCGGGGAGTTTGCGATTGATGGCTTCTTCGATGCCGGTGATGAAGTCGATACGACGGAATGGTGCGGTGAAGTTGGCTGTAGTCGGGTTGAGTGTGCCTCGTGCATTCAGCTTTTGTACTAGGGCTGCTGCTCCCGAGAGAAGCTCTTCAGTCATGGCTATTAGGTGGTCGAGGTTGGCATAGGCGTGGTAGAATTCGCAGGTCGTAAACTCTGGGTTGTGTGTCTTGTCCAAGCCTGTGGCCTCTGTTAGCTTGGGCTTATGGTGTGGTTGGAATATCTCACACACCTTCATTTCGGAAAGATGGTCCAATCTCAAACACCTTGTCAAACCCACCAACAACCATGCGCTTCAGCCATAGCTCTGGTGCAATCCTCAACGACAGCTGTCGGTCCGAGAACTCCGTGGCGGTTGTATAGAACGGGCGAGCAACGGCACCACCAGCCACGCCCTCAACAATGGGGGTGTTGACCTCCATAAAGGAACGTTCCACGAAAAACGAACGCAGATACTGGGTGAGAGCCGAGCGAGCCTTGATGATATCCATCGTAGAGGGATCGGCCAAGAACTGAACATGGCGAGGGAAAGGCGAGACCTCATGCTTGGTGTCGTGAACAGGGATATCATGGAAACAAGTCGACAGCAGCGTCGGCAGCTCAGTAGCATCGATAGTGAGTTGACCTCGCGCAGTGCGGTGCGGTTTACCGGTTACAGCTATAACACCATTTAGCAGGCGAAACAAGACTCTCTCGAGCCAGAGACATACAGAAAGAGTCACCCCGACGTAGCAGACGGAAGAATCTTTTGAATTCGGCCGAGGCGACACTTTGGACGTTGCACATCACCTGGACTTTATGGTCGTCTTGGCCAATATCGAAGAAGACCAGCTTGCTTCCGGCGATTCTAGAGGTATGGACCCTACCTAACACTAATCTAAGTACTTGGGCATTGGAACTTGGCCAGAAGTAACCTACCAGAGACGGAGACCGTAGTTTCTACTGTATCCTTGTTGGCAAGTTCGCCGTATCGCGAGGTGAACTCGGACAAGGTCATTGTGTTTGGTTTCACTTTAAGACGAGGGTATGGATCTCCACAGATATATTTCAATTGTTGATATCGATCCTGTATGGCTTTCTCTGACGATGAGCTGTTCATCCGAACGTGTATGTGCTGTGTTAGTTTCCCGGTCTGCAGAAGCCGACCTGGGCGGGCGAGTCGCGATCCTGCGCTGAAATTGGAAGTTAGCAATGCTCGAGAAGGTATTCAAAAAACGAGATTGATCCAAAATCAATTGTGTATCAGATATAAAATCCAGTAGTGTTCATATGCCCCGAAGGGCATTACTGTAGCGGTTCTAATGCAGGGGGTATAATATCATCATGTAAAAGAGAAGCAAATGCAAGAGCAAATGCAATTGTAGCTTACCTTCGCCCATGTTGTAATAACCTGGTTGAAATCATTGTGAGAATCACATTGTGGAAGAGAAGAAGAGAAGAAGAGAAGAAGAAGAAGAAGAGAAGAACAAAAGGACCGAGTTTTTCCACGCGGGTGGCCCAAGCTTCCGACCAGTTCTCCCGTTCCACCCTGGGCTCCGTAATAGCCCATCACCTTGACACTACACCTACAACTCCAATTCCCCATCTACAACCTACCATCTACCATTCACCATGTCTTTCCTCTTCGGCGGTGCCCCCAAGATGTCCTCGGCAGAGAAGATTGCTGCCGCCGAGACTGAAGTCGAGATGATCTCCGACATGTTCAACCGGTAAGTCCAAAGTCGCGCGGAATTCCGGGTGAGCAATAGAAGGTCTATTGCTATCAAGCATTGCGAAACTCCCAATCCGATTGATATCGACCCGATTTATCACTGTTCCGGTTTTTGCTCCAGTAAACTAACATAATTCGTCGCACAGCTTGACCGAGTCCTGCACAAAGAAGTGTGTCCCCGCTGACTACCGCGAAGGCGACCTGAACAAGGGCGAGTCCGTCTGCCTGGACCGCTGTGTCTCCAAGTTCTTCGACGTCAACATCAAGGTCAGCGAGAAGATGCAGGGCGAGGCTGCCAACAAGCAGGGTGGCGGCATGGGCTTCTAAGCATGTCAAACGATTCAGCTTGCAGAATTGAACAGGGGAGAGAAGAAGAAGGCTCTAGCAGCCATCGCGCTGGAGAGCCCGGGTTGATCTGATACTATCTTGGCTTCTGGTTTACGGCTATATGACTGGTTCGGCCGACTGGGAACTTGGATCTGTTTCAATGATGGTGTCACACGTTTATACCATCACCGGGTGGATGGCTAGGAAACAGCCGATCTATCTGAATATGTACAATATGGTGGAATAAGGAAAAAAACAGGAGAATGAAACAAATGAATCTCTTATCATACAAACTTTCGTCAGTGGGGTGAGAAGCCCATGATGCGGGCGAACCAGGCTGTCCATGATGTGCTGTGTTGTTCTTCGCCTTCAACCAAGGCTTTGATTCTCGTCTCGACATTTGTAATGTGGCGTTCGAAGTCGCTCAGGCCGGCCTCCATGTCTTCGACTTTGGACTCAAGGACGTGTAGCTCGTAGTCCAGTTTGGCGCCTAGCAGCTCAACGCGCTTCACGCCATCGGTGAGGTGGTGATTTTCATCCAGGAGAATGTCACTGGATCGTTCTCGTAGTCTTTGGTAATCGGCAAACCGTTCTAGGTAGATTGAGTTGAGATCTTCATGGTGGTCGTAGAGGGTTTGGTTGAGACCGTCTACCGAATCAACCTGCCGCTCAACCCACGGCACGGTTTGCTGGCTCAAATCTAGAATCCGAGAACTAAAGATACGTCCCTCGGATGCCAGCATGTCTTCTTGGGCAATGGAGTCTTCCAGACTGCCGGTAACTTTGATAACCGGTTTGTTACCAATTGGCTCCCATGTGAGTACCACTTCCTCGACCGTGCTGAATGATAGATGTCTAGCACAGTCGTTGTCTCTTCGTTCAATTTCTCTTTCACTGATTTGGAAATCTTCACAGCTTTGTGGTCGTCGTAGAGCCATGACAGCTAGACCGCTAACTGAGCCTTCACGATCACGATCACTTGATGCTGCTGTTGACCGAGAGATAACGCGCTCCAGGTCAGACTCCTCGTCGATAACTTCGGGTTGCGGCGTAAGCTGATCGGGTTGGGGTATTGTATCATATTCAGCAGAGGGCGGTGCAGGTTCAATATGAATTTCTGGTGCTTTAATATCTGCCGATTCAGGAACTGGCGAGAATGCAGAGGACTTCTGTTCGAACTCCTCGTCGATAGGGCCTTCCACTTCAGCCCCAATCTTTGTTTCTGAGGATCGGAAACCAGAGTCGGTGCGAGACTTACGAAAGGGCATTTCGGAGTCACTATCAATCGATGGACGGTAAGCAGCATCGTGTGTCAGCTCCGCGCTTTCTCGGGAATGTTGATGATGATGCGAACGAAGGCCCTGTAATCCTACTGCATCCTTGAAGCGTCCCAAGCCTGCACGAGCATCTGAAACACGTCCGCTGACACCTTTCTTGCGATGTTCTTTTTCTTCGACGATTGGGGGCTCTGGCATCTTCCAGGACCGATCAAATGTGGAGCTAATACGCTCGTGCATGTCTTCTGTCGAATGATTCTTGCGACTGGTCCAGACATAACCACCCTGGTCATCAGTCGTAAACATCATGTCCGATCCATTGCCGCGCGTGAAGCCATCCTCAAAGCCACTCTTGCGTGGCCTACCCAGCCACAACCACTTGGCTCGTTCTCCGTTGCAACACTGAACAAAGACGTCCAGATCAAGTGTTTCAATATCGGCAATGCCACCCTTGTCACGCCCACGAACCATACCCATGACCATTTCACCGCCTTGTCCACTGAGCTCCGCCATAGTAGACTTCACCGCATCGGTCCAGCCCTCGGAATTGGCAGCCTTGGCCGTGGCGCGGTGTAACCGATCCAATGTATGACGGTCCAATCGCCGAGATTTCCTCATTTTCTGTGATTTTTGAAAACTGCCAATTCCTCTCTTGAGATTGACGAAGTCAAAGGCATCTTTTCCCACCGGGGCACCATATGCATGCAGACGGTTTCGCGCTCCGAGTAGCGTCCCCAGCAAAGCAGCCACACTTGTCGGTCCTAAATTACTGTCACTCGGCTCGATGTTGTACAAGTCCGTACCAATATCTGTCCACCAATCGCTGATGGCCGCTTCGGTCACATCGCAAAGTAGTCCGTCCACGTATTCCGGAGCGAGCTTGTTGAACACCATGAGAGCGATCTGGCACTGCTTAACCAGCTCCATGACAGCAGCATATAGCGGAACCCGCTCACTCGTCCGATACAATTGATGAAACTTGGCTTCGGTCGCAGCCGACGGAGCTTGAAGCTTTAAGCCCGCGCGACCAGCGCAACCGAGTCTCTTCAAGTCTTCATTCACAATGAAGTCCTCCCTGTGTTTTTTGATGTCGCCGGCGGGAACAGGAATGACACTCAAAGCAGACTGGAACGAACTTAGATCTGTAACCATAACAGTGCCCAGTGGTGTTTCCTTCTTCCGTGCGTGACATTGTTTCATGGCATCAAAGTACATTCGCAGCCGCGGCGACCATGTAGCCTCATTCGTTGGAACGCTCAATACCCCAACAATTACTGTATGCGATGGATCCCCGGTATAGGTCGAGATCACAAATGTAGGATGCACGCGCGAACAAGCCCACTGCTCAACAATATAGATCTCATAGCCCTGTAGCGTCTCCCGTCGGTGCAGCACATCGGTCGAGGGATCTTCTTCGAGGTAGCGGAGGGCGACTGGGTCGGTGAAGACGAGTTTCTGGTGGCCTTGCCGGGGAGACTGGTCGATTGCGTTTGTGTTGGAGGAGGGGCTTCGCATGATGCTCTCCGATGTCTGTATGGTCTGTATGGTATGCATGGGGTCGCTCCGTTCCGCCGATGGTGTAGCATGGGCACTTGCCTGCATGATGGGCGGTTTCCCCTGTCAGGAGTGTTTGCTGGGCGGAAATGAATGGGTTAGGGGTTCATTTGAGCCTCCAACTGGCTGCCTCTCCGACACTCAAGATGCCAAGGGAGGTGCCGACCTTCCTGCGATCCTCCTGCGCTTTGCCTCAAATAGGGACGATCGTGACATATCCAGGTAACGAGTCTTTGGGCATGTCATGAGCCCGGAACGAAGAGCAGCGAGACTGGGCGAGTGCCTTGGCGGCTTTCGCAGACTTCTAAGGTGAATTCCGAAGAGCGGCGACGTCACTGGGCGGTGAGCTGATCTACTGTCAACCTTTGGGAGGATAATTGTCAGCACTTCACTTTTGACATGGTTTACATTGACAGATACTAGAGACAGATATGGAACAATCCTACGATGTCATGTTCATGTGCTAATTCTTCTACAAGTCAAACGCGGGGTCAAAGAACCAATCAATTCATTCAGAACCACCCTCGTGCTCGTCCAGCGAGAGGGCAATCATATTGCGATAAAGAGAGGTCTCAATGGCAGTTTGAGAGAGCTATTTGATATCAACTTCAGCAATAATAACCCATAGCCTTGTTATATCCACCCGGGTCATAGCAATCAAAGAATCCATCTACCAACCGCCATGCTATACGAACGTCAGCAAACCCTCTAATATCAATCATTGAGAGGAATACATACGCCTCCCTGGGGGCCACCAGGGCCACCGGGTCCTCCCTGTCCACCGTGATGTCCACCAGGACCTCCCTGGTGACCTCCCTGGTGACCTCCCTGAGGACCGCCAAATCCGCCAGGGCCTCCAGGGCCTCCGTGTTGACCACCGGGACCGCCCGGTCCACCCTGGGGTCCTCCAAAGCCAGGTCCTCCCTGCTGGCCTCCAGGGCCACCAAATCCTCCAGGACCGCCGGGGCCGCCGTTATGTTGAGGGCCACCCTGGGGACCACCGAAACCGGGACCACCAGGGCCGCCGGGGCCTTGCTGGGGACCGCCGTGCTGAGGGCCTCCGTGGTGGCCCTCTTCCTTGTTGTGGTGGTCGTGGTGGTGGCTGAAGAGACCCATTATGTGTGGTTGATGTGAAATGAGGCGTTAAAGGTAAGAGATGAGACGTGAAGATGAAAATGAGTATGAGTATGAGAAGGAGATATGAATATGATTCTGGCCAGAAGAGAGGTCCTTCGTCCCCTTTTATAAACAAGAGTGGCGCCGACACCCCCTCCAGAGTCTCAATAGCAAGCAGGATACTCTGGGCACATCCTAGTCTCTAATTGGGAACAGAGTCACCTCTTACGACTGCGATTATCAGATGTGGAGTAGCAAAGGACCTATCAAGAGCCAGATACATCCCGCCACTTGAGCCAGCATCGATCGATGGCGGAGGACGTCACTAGATGGTTAGACTGTACTCGCACGTCTTCAGATCGGTTGATCGGATACTCCAGCTGGGGCTTCGGTGAAGCTATATCACGTAGCCACCTATTGTCTACAAACCTACCACACATACAACATTGACCAGCTTTCCAGGCCAAATTAGCATTATATTGAGTTTTGTAAAGTTTCGTAGCAGCGCGTCCATAGCAAGCGCCGGTCTTCCGCCGAGTCTTGGCGTTAGGGCTGTGATGCGGAAGCGTACGTACCACTCCCCACAACTTCAGCCCTGTAGTGTTGAATCGTGATTTCCATTGCAGCGATTCCGGGATCCTAATTTTGGATATGAAAAAGAGTCATGGACAATCTTCGGAGGTATTGGCTGCTCGTGCTGGGTCCGGAACTGGGTTTGTGGACTGAAATTGGGAGAGGGAACCATTGCCACTAGCTGGTATCCATTTTGTAGAGAAAGATGAAGTCAGGGATAACAGTCATTTCTTGCAGATTCAATTGCTGATTGTAATTGTAGCCGAGGATCTACCTCGAGGCTAAATTTTGGGATTGAAAGTTCCGAGGTTCATGTCACGAGCGTAGAAGTATATACAGAGAATCACACTTGGCAACGAAAAGAACGCTAACGAATTGCCAAGTCTATACAAAAGAGTGAATGAGGTTTGGCTGTGGGGTTATGGATACGCCATGGCCATCTCGAGTTGCTCGTATCCTTTTTCGACATGGAGCTGTTTTTGAGTCGATGGAAGTAGATCGACGATGAAAGAAAGAATATAACCGGTGAACACGAAGGCGATGACTAGGGGTGCTAGTTAGCATATCTCAACGATAGCAATGACGTGAGGAGTGGGGGGGACGTACCCCATTCAAGGGTAGCAGCCATGTTGTTCTCCTTATAATGGATAGCCTCGGTGACGCGGAAGACGATGACGAGGGTGAGTTCGACAATGATGAAGGACAGCTTGATGACGAAGCTGGTGAAGATCATAGGCTCGCGCAGGGCATGGGAGATACCTAAATGGACGTAATCTAGACACATCAGGGCGGCACTAATCAGATACCCCACACTTATGGCCGTTAGCAAGGCATAATATGATCTGATCTCTTGGCGGAGACATACATGAAGATAGTCACAAAAACATCATGTGTGAAATGGTGGTCAATGTTGTCAAAGACAGATAGCAGGATCAAACCAGTGCTTCCTATCACTGTGAAGAAGAAGGAGGCGTGTGTGCAGAGCTTGTTGACGTATCCCCTGCTTTGGATGAATTGATAAAATGAGAGATTGAGAAGCAATACTGTTGTGATACATCCTATCATGAACAAGGGCTTCAATTCCTGTGCTCCTATATCAGAGATGAAACTTGGGGGTGTCAGTTCACTGGATTATCGAAGTCATTCTGGTCCGATGACGTCTAGGAAGAATACTCACGGGATATTCTGGCCAGGTTTCATCAGGCCATATCTCGGTTCACCGATCATAGTCCAGTGGCCCAGCATAGCCAGCAGCATTGCTACACACAGCGGTTAAATTGAGCCCAACAGCGACCGTGGACAGATAGAAGAGAAGCTCACCTAGCCATGTCGAGGCCGAAATGGTCGGAAAGACCCAGGGAGGAGGAGGCGAGAAAAGCGACATGAGGTATAAAGAAGCGGGTTTCGGCAATACTCATAGTCTATAAGGAGCGACAAGAGATGAACGGCTGGTGAAGTTGGATACCAGCCATGTCACATCGGCATTGAGCAGATGATAAGGAGAAGTTGACCTTGCGTGTGTGCTCAGGCGACAAAGAATTGTGCCTGTCGATCCTTACTCTGCCTACCGATGACAACAATGATGGTATGTGGGTCTATTAAGGGAATTAAGGGAAATAGACCCCTCGATTGTTTCGGATAAGATAGTCGCTCTGGGAAATGCTGGCGGAAACTAATTTCATAGGTTTGTCATATATGGTATACACGAGACGTTTCGTTGTTTACCCTTGGTCGAGCAGGCCATTGACTCGCTGTGAGGTCCATTTTGGGGAATGTTTCACCCATTTTTGCTTCCCCACACGCCCCCATGTTTGCTGCTGAGAGATCTGAAAGCCAAATCCACGCAGGAATGCATTGTGGGAAGTGTCAGGTATCATGTAGCAGAATTGAACCTGTTTTCATGACAAAGACCCTAGCCGATGTGTGGTGTCAAAATATGCAACAGTCAATGCCACATTCCAGGGGTGGATCTATGAATAACACGCCATACGCGTATACAAAGGCACGGCGTAATCAATGGACTGGACACAAAGCAATGCATGGATTTTCCACAGACCAAGGCTCGAAATCAGCCACTCGGGACAAGCCGCACAGATAGAATAACGTTAAACAGTTTTAGCGTGGAAGTTGCTAAATTAGCAATTCCGGCGTCTTGGCCCGTCCGACCACTAGAATTCAGCGCCCGAGTCCTCGGCATGGTAAGTGATTTCAAAGATCAAGACCTTGCTCTTTCGCCCGGGAAGCCATGTCTTGCAGTTCTCATCTGCACCATACAGTGGTCCGAAAACAAAGAAGGCGGATATGACACCCGACGTCTCAACTATTAAAGGCTTTCGATATTAGATGTATCTACCGGATCTAGCGGACCAACACAGGTATTGACTGTGTTCCGTGGCGCACGGATTTATTGTTGATTAAATTAAACGACTGCACTCTTATTGGAAAGCAAACCTTCCTAGTAGCATTACTCCTGCGAGGTTGTTTATATATTTCTTAATGTGGATAAGGTTCGATGATACAAAAACAAGCCAGCGCCAACATACTTTCTCAAGCCGAAGGAAAAAATGATTTAACTTGACACAAAGCGAGGAAACAACAAAACGGAACCGAAACAATGTAGCCTCCTGCAAAGGACAGGGGTTCATTGTAATTTAGATCGCATAGTGCGCCTCGGCCAAGGAAGAGGCGCATCATCCGGGGCTAGTCACAAAATAGTCAACTAAGCCCGAATGGTCGCGTGACTGAGATGGATTGTGTTTCTACTGTACGGTACTGTAGTGGGAGAGAATAAAAATAGCAGAGAAAGAAAACTGGTAGGATAATATCACTGTTTAGACAACTCTTTGCTTCAGGCACCAGGGCTGCATGGGGTTAGGACTCTCACCAGATGCCAGCCTACGCGGATTTTGGGGCAGTGAACATCCGGGCATCCGGCATAAAGGACCACTTCAATCTAACATGGCCAATTGAACAAGGAGAGAAGAGGATAAGCGCGACAGTATCATCTATCTGGATCTGGACCGGGTCAGCACTGCTTACCAACCACCCTCAACTAACTTAGCTTCGTCGGCTGTGTGTAATGGGTGACTGGCTCGCGATCGCAGTGGCATGAGAGAACAGTATAGGGGAGCGCCCGTGTATAGATGATCATAGAGACCCGAGCACAGAGGACCAAGTCGTAGAATGCGCCCTGGACCACTGTGCATTCAAGATGACCTACCTGTACTGCAGATCGGGGAACTCGAGATCGGCAGCGAGATTCAACGCCGGCCAATCTCAGTCAGCGCAATTACCGTAACCGTGTTTGGGTGTCAGTAATGACAACATCAGGAATCTGCCCCAGCTCTAAATCTTGCAAAGCTCCATCAAACCGGGAAATCGGTTGGTGCTAGGAGAAACCGTTCCTGATGATCCCCAGACTAATGCCTCTAGTGTCTCGTGGAAGTGGTCACGGCGGAGAGAACAGTTGGGGGCTGGCGACTGTTGACGAATGAGCGGAGGGGGAAAAGGGATATGTCCAGCTGTTCAGCCGCACTGAGACACGTAGAACTGTTGGGCGTTGACGATGGGGATCATGTCAGGGATGGCACTGCGGCACAACATCAGCAGGAGAGGACGATTAGATCAGGAGAGCCTGAGGAACACGAGCTAAACCATGCCCGTGACATTGATCGCGACCGACCTCATAGTCAGGGGGCTGGGTGGGTGACGGGTTTGTTGACAGTATCGGTGCGACGCGACCACGTCAACAAACCGAGATTACGAACTCTACGTTCTACAAAGTGGAACTGGTGGAATATCTCTTCTCCAAAAGCCATCTCAAGGATGGACCAGTGATGAAAAGCCGACCGTGATGGTGTCCGCGCGTTGGTTAAAAGGCCTCACATCGCGAACACCAAGCTGACCTCGACAATAGAGAGTCAGGGCATGTGTTTGTTCAAAAATTCCCAGCCTTCCCCAAGGGGCCGGCTGAAGTGGTCAATTTGGTAGTTTTCAACTAGCAAAAACACGATCTCGGATGTCTCCTCACTGATGCGTGTAAAACCCGTGCACTTGGATGAAGAAGAAAGAAAAAAGGAAAGGAAGGTCGGGAGGCGAACGAGGTTATTATACCCGCCATAGACTTGGCGCTAGTCTAGATCAGGCCATTTAACCGAGGCACGGGGGACACGCTGGTTGGCTGACCAGCCCGTGGCAGAAAAATGGCGGTGTGGACAGCAGTTGACCGTTCAATAGCTCCAGCAAACAAGGCAGGGGATAATACAGTAGTGTCCACGGAGAGGAAAACTCCCTTACTGCCGATTAAATTTGTTTCTGGCAGCGCTTGGTGGTTTAAACTACGTGGATTATGAATATGTCACGATCTCTTCCGCATTGAGGGGAATCACGTGGGACTATGTCGTCAGGCGATCAGCCGGAACAAGATTAAGCTACTGTCCGCGGGTAGCGGACTTGATATCTTCTCTTCATATCCTAGCTTTGTTGCGCTGTTGTGAAACTGCCTGCGTATATACTGCTCTGAGGCTACGATTAATTAATACTTGCATCCTCTCCACATGGCCAGCGGAATCGGTTTGCGGTAACCTTATCACCTCCGCTTCCCCGGCCAACATGGAAGTAGTCCAGAAAGAGCATGACCGGCTCATGAAGAGGCTCAAGGCTTCTCAAGGCATTAAGAATGTCCAGTCGACAATCGAACTTCTGCAATCTGCCCGAGATGCCATAGCTGCTGGTCGGTCAACCATGTAGAGACCTTCCCCGCTCACTCCAACTGACACTGTTCGTTGATAGACCCCGAGTCGGCGCCGGTTACTATGGCCAAGCTCCAGACGCCAGTTAAATCGTCATTTGACTCGATCAACGACAGCTTGAAGGAAACCCATAGTGGCTTGAACAAATATACCAAATCTCTCGATAAGGTAGTGGTCTTTCAGTTCCTCCACCAGACCCCCTCTCACATGTGATTAGCTCTTCAAAGACCGTCCTCTTCCAAGCACCGATCACGATGCCCTCTCCTCACAAGAAAACCTGATCAACCGCGCGATTGCGATGCACCTCCTCCGGGAGGGTCAGTTCGGCGTCGCCGCCACCTTCCTCTCCGAGATCTCCGATCGTGAAACGAACAGTACACAACAGAAAGGCGAGAGCGCCAGTGCGAGTGCCACCACAAACCTACTCGACATCGATGAAGTCCCCTCGACCGAGATTAGAAAGCAGTTCGCCTCCATGTACTACATTCTCCAACAACTACAAGAACACAAGAACCTCCTACCAGCAATCGAATGGTCGAGGGAACACCGCCAGGCTCTGGAAGCGCGAGGCAGCAATCTGGAATTTGAGCTTTGTCGTCTCCAATATGTGTGGCTATATCACGGCGGATCGAGTGGTCAAGACGGGCCAGCAGGCTGGCAGGAAGCTCTCGCATACGCCCGTCGTGAGTTTTATGTGTTTGTTCCACGATACCTACGAGAAGTGCAGCAGCTTGTTGGTGCCATGGCCTATTCGCCCAACCTCGAAGCTTCCCCTTATGCGTCTCTCTTCAATACTGCCTCCGCATGGGACGACGTGGCCCACTTCTTCACGCGCGAGTTCTGTTCTCTCCTCGGCTTGTCCGCAGACTCCCCACTTTACATCGCTGCCACTGCCGGTGCAATCGCATTGCCAACGCTGCTGAAATTACAGACTATCATGCGAGCGAAGCGCACCGAGTGGACATCCGAGAACGAGCTTCCTGTAGGAAACCCCCGCCACGCTGTTTATGTTTGTTGTATCATTCTAATTGCTTCTCACTAGGTCGAAATATCCCTCCCACCTTCCTACCTCTTCCACTCGATCTTTGTCTGTCCCGTATCCAAGGAACAAGCCACAGACGAGAATCCGCCCATGATGATGCCTTGTGGACATGTCATCGCAGAGGAATCACTGAAGCGTCTTGGTAAGAGCAACCGGTTCAAATGCCCATACTGTCCAAGCGAGAGCCACCCCAAGGATGCGCGCAAAGTGTTCCTGTGAGGCCGGACCCTCTTCTCTCGATTTCTTGTTTCTTTGTTGGCATGTGGCGCTTGGAGGAATGCGGGATGCGGGGATGGTTTCTTTTTTTCTCTCTCTCTATTTTCTTTCGGAGGCCTTCAGCATCGGCGTTTCGGTGGGTCATCTGGATTATTGCATTGTACCTAGTGCGGGATTCATCAGTTTTGCAATCGTTTCACCTTGGTATTACTGTAAGTACAGTAAGCCAATCAAGCACCCATGAACTTGACCAAAACCCTAGCACAGCCCATTCGTAAAATGACCATTCTACAGGTCACAATGGCAAGCTCCAAGTAAAATGATCTATCAAATTTGTGAAGGGCAATCTCCGAACCCGTGACCACGCGCCCCTTTTCCACTTTACGCGTTACGCGTGTTACTAGCTGAGACGCGTTCTGTCGAGTTGAGCGTATATGACCTCAGTTCTTCTTCGTTTTACAGCTGAATCTGGTATCGGTATCGGTAGCTTAATAAATAGGAATAGCCCCTGACTCTCATATCTCCCATTCCCATTCCCATTTCTCTCCCCATGTTCCTCTGTTCAATTGAATTCCAATACTAGATCGCTATCATGCTGCGCACACCCGAAACTCCATCTATGCCCAGGTATCGCGCCGGCAAATCCTCAGCTTTTACGCCTCAGTCGCGGAGAGCTGTTCAGACGCCGAGAGAAAGAGAGAGGCGAGAAAGAGAGCGAGCCAGACAGCGCGAGAGAGACTGTTCGACTTCGTCGGACAGAATGCGTCGTCTTGAGCGGAAGAAGAGATTTGAGAATCCCTCAGACGTAACGTACGTGAAGAAAAGCTGCCCAGATGACAACCAGCACTGCACAAGAGATACAATCCCCAATCCTACCAAGTATCCCCAGAACAAGACAAAAAAACAAAACTAATCAAGATATATAGATCCCCCCCAACATCCCCAATCGTAATGCTCCGTGTGGGACCACAAAAGCGGCTCTTCGCAGCCCACGAAGCAATCCTAAGCATATCACCATTCTTCGCAGCTCAAATCCAATCCCAAAACCACATTCAAGTCCAAGCCCAGATCCAAACCCCAACCCCAACCCCAAGTCGAGCCCGCACCCCACCCCGAAACAAGCTCATCGACCTACCGGAGGAACAAGCCGAAGTCCTCTCCTGCATCCTCGAATTTCTCTACAAAGGTGACTACTACCCACGCCTCAGACACAACGCCAACAAACAAACCTGGGAACTGGAAGACGCAGACCTCAACCCATCCAGCAGCGATGGAGACGGAGACCTAAGCGCCGGCGCAATGGCGACTGTATACCACCACCAAGCAGGATGTGTAATATTGCGGGATACCGCAGTTTAGTAAGTTCCCACCAACCCCAAAAGAAAAAAAAGGAAGGAAGAAAGGAAGAAAGGAATCCATAACTCAATACGACAGTAATGCTAATGCGAATGGGGGGTGACCAGCTGCGCGGCCACAAAATACGCTCTCCCGACGCTCCAGCGCCTCGCTCTCCGGAAACAGGGCCTCCATACCAATATATCTGTCAGCACGATTCTGGCTAGTGCGCGCTTTGCGTATGCCAACACGCCTGATACGGAGTCTAGACTGCGGGCGCATTATCTGGCGCTGATTGTGAGGTCCAGGAGTACTTTTATGCGGAGTGGGACTATGCAGATGGAGATGGAGAAGGGGGGATTGTTGTTCTTTGATCTTTTTGTTGCTCTGTGTAATCATATGGTGAGTCTTTTTCTTTGTTGCTGTTGTTGGTGCTTGCTGACTGGATTCTTTTTTTTTTTTTTTTTTCAGGATGATTATGATCCTGGTGAGTTGGGTTCTGGGTCTGTTTCTACGACTTGTTAGGTCGGGTTTGTATAGGTTATGTATGTGTAGGTGTATTTGTTTGAGTTTGAGTTTGGGTATGGGTTTGGGTTTGGATATGGGATGGGATGGGATGGGATGGGATGGGATGGGATGGGATGGGATGGGATGGGATGGAGTGATTGTAGGATTCTTTGGATATTGAAAATGTCTAGGGCTACTGCTCAGATACGTGTAGTACTATATTTTACTGGTGGAATGGATGTATTTGAAAACTGTTGATTCATTGTTAATAACTTCGTAAGTTCGTGATCCATAATGGCTTTGGTGGCCATGTTCTCAACAGTCGATACGAATGTATGGACCGGACCGGAGGTGATCTGGTTGACCTTCTTCTGCATTTCATTATGCCAAGGATCACTCTGCTTATTTGGATGTACCATTTTGGTCGGTAACAGCGTTGCAGCTATTCAGATCAGTATCTTGAGTACTGTGGAATGTGAGCTGAGTATGTCAGTCGTGTTGATGCAGTCCAACGTGGACATGTTTAACATAATCGAAACTTTGTCGATAGGTATCAGTGAATGGCGAATTCCTTCCCATTGCCGTTGTCGCTTATTCTTAGACACCAGTATCCGGGAAAGCACCCTTCTTGTTGAGGACAATGATGCCACGTTCGCGAGCAATGTATCCCTTCATGAGGCCCTAGAGGACAGTGAGTCAATAAGCCTTTAGTTAAAAATCAAGACGTCTTACCTTGTAAATGAGGTTGGACAATAAGCATTCCACCTCGTCGATATCCACTCGGGACCGGCCGTTCGTGTCGGTACCAACCCGAAGAGCAGCGGCAAACTCGGCCACGGGAACACGGCTTCGTCGGATGGCTGGCTGGCCATCCTTGGGCTCCTCAAAGCCTCCGGCGAGGAAAACTTTGCGGAAAAGATTGCGAAGAGCAATATCACGTCCACGCTCAAGGGGTAAGTAGATGCGTCTCTTGACGAACTGCTCCTCGCCAGCGGCCATGGCCTGATCGAATCCAACCAGGTCCCCCTTTTTAATGCACATTGAAAGAGACCGGAAGAGCTGTTCAAGTCTTGGGAAAGGGGCAAGAAGCTCCTTAGTGGGTAGTGTGTGAGTAGTCACCAGGTGGCAGGGAATAAGGTATGTGAGGATCAATCTGGGAGCCATTAGCGAAAGCAGCTTGTAGTTAGCTTTAATACTGACTCTCGGTTCTTCAAAGCGTCTTTGTGGCACATCTTCCAAGCCCATGTCAAATGCTCTTCCGCCTGCACAATCAATTAGTCTTGACAACTACCTGTGGCAGACTTTGAACTTACCTCTACATAATTCTCATCCAAAAAGTGGATGACTCCAACGTAGTATTTGAAGGTGACGATGTGAGATTTGGGGAAGGCATCGAGAGCGGGCAAATCGGCCGACGAGGCTTTGATGGCACGGAGAATGTTCTTGGTAAGGCCGACAGAGTTGATCTAAACCACAGACATTAGCGGGCTTCAGCAATAGTAAAAGAAGAGAAAAAATACCTTGAAATACGTCTTAAACAACAGGTTGGTCATCTGGTAAATACCCCACTTGCGAGACTCCTCAATGGGTGCCCTGGTCTGGTTAGCAGGGTGGTCCGACAGATCTCGTCAGTACTCACCGGTCACTCAGACAAAGAGTAAACATCCGGTTGATAATCTGAGCAGCATTTTCAAGGTGGGCATTCTTCTCAACATCAGCTGCAACATCGTCCGAGAACCCAAAGCCAGCCGAGCCCAGCGTTGCGGCTTCGAGATCAGCATTGATCGCAAAGATACGCAGGTATTTTCCCACTGTGTATAGACACGGTAGTGTCCAAGCTGGGAGACTAGAAGAGCTCGAGTACCCTCTGATCAAAGTGTTGGCAACTTTCTTCCAGGCATTGAAGACAGCGACAACACTGGCACCGGGGTGACGATCTTCACACTTGAGGATCTCGCCTACAGCTTCCCAGAATGCGGAGAAGATGTCAATCCAGGTATTCTGCTCCGCCTTGGAAATTTTTAGATTCTTTCCATGGAGTAACGCGTATTGGAGGTCTTTGGAAAGGTATGCGGCGTTGGAGAATTGGTAGAAAGAGCGCAGTCGGTTCAGGTCATCGGGGGTCGCGATCGGAGTGAGCACTGCAGCTAGATGCGGGCCAGATCCACTTAGATATGCATCTTTGAAACCCGTTGTAATGGAGCCCATGGTCAATTTTGATCTCACTGGTCTGAGTGAGATGCAGGGTGAGTTATCGGAACGGGGGGAGAACCGTGACTTACAGAAAGCCATTGATTGTTGGAGACATGTGGGGTAAGTCCAGCCTGTGGCTGGTGGGCGGTGAGGGTGATGAAGGCGGTCTGACCGTGGCGCATGAAATGACAGAATGGGACTAGCGTGAGGCGGAAGCCTCCACTCGCTTAGGGCAAGGGCGGTAACCCTAAGCACAATCGGAACCTCACAATTCTCGTTTTCCACCGACGGCACACTAACGACTCAACCACCACAGCGACAATCACAGTGAGTACCTCTGACTCGGTTTCTTGAGAGATTAATACTAACATTCAATTCTTCTAGATGGGTGAGTGATTTCTATTCCCTTCCCGATATTCCTGGATCATTTGAGAGACGGTGCGCGCAATTATTGGACGAAATTCGAGATGCAACAAGACGACACGATACCGACATGAGGATCACAAAGAGAAGGATTTAAGGCAATGGACGACAATTATCAACTGCAATGGAGGGGCACAATGCCGTCGATCTGGGTTAATCATCGAATCTCGAAAATTTTCAACATCCACAATCGACTCCTTGAAACTTGTCGAATTCTCGCCAACTAATTCCGCGCACCGTCACACTCCTCGAATTGAATATCTGGACATTCGAAATCATATTCAGAACAATGACTGACGGAATATCTCCAGGGCGTCTTACTGAGTACCAGGTCATCGGGCGTCACCTGCCCAACGAGGCGAACCCCACGCCCAAGCTGTACCGCATGCGCATCTTTGCGCCCAACACTGTTGTGGCCAAGTCGCGTTTCTGGTACTTCATGTCTGCTCTCCGCAAGATGAAGAAGGCCAACGGCGAGATCGTTACCCTCAACGTGGTATGTTGGGATTGAAACCCACACGAAAAAATGAGGTGCTAATTTCTTTCTAGATCTCCGAGAAGCGTCCCCTGAAGGTCAAGAACTTCGGTATCTGGATCCGCTACGACTCGCGCTCCGGTACCCACAACATGTACAAGGAGTTCCGTGAGATGAGCCGCACCGACGCTGTTGAGGCCCTCTACCAGGACATGGCTGCCCGTCACCGTTCCCGTTTCGGTTCCATCCACGTATGTTATTTGGCTATTCGAGACTTGGATTCAATCTAACAAATTCTACAGATCCTCAAGGTTGTTGAGATCGAGAACAACGACAGCATCCGCCGCCCCTACATCAAGCAGCTCCTCCAGAAGGACCTCAAGTTCCCCCTGCCCCACCGCGCTGGTGCCAAGGTCGGCAAGAAGATCTTCACTCACTCTCGCCCCTCGACCTTTGCTTAAATGTAACGTTCTGGGTTTGGGTTTGGAGTGTGTGGATGAATGACTGTTTTATGGCCAAGCATGCATGAAAGATGGTCTGTGGAAACCACTGTCTGGATGGGCAAGATGGTTGGATGTCTCTAGTCCCGTATGGTGGCATCTCTAGGTTATTTTGAAAAAAATCATCGGGTTTCTTGAATCATTGATATCCCAGTAGGGTGTAGATTTTATTATGCCATTATGATACATATCCCCAGAGACTAGATCTCCCGCATACCCCGTAGAGGTATTGTTATGTACCCCACTGGGATCCGACTACTAGAACGTGCATCCCACATTAGATCTTCATGAATGCCGCTTGTGGAAATGCTTGAGTTTTGCCCTGCGGATTTTATTTTTATTCTTAATTTTTTTTCGAGATAACAAAACAATGAGCTCGAGTCCAAATTTCTCATACTGAAATTTGATTCTTCATTTCTGGATCAAAATATCGGATCGCTTCGATTAGTTGAACCCGGTATTCGGCATCCCAGTCCCTCTCTCCGGGTACTGATTGTGGCCTTGTTGCCTTGTATATCAGGCGCCAATGTTGATGGTTTTAATTTTCATACATAAGTTGCGAGTATTTAGTTCTCAATTAAGCCGGTATGATTAGCTGCTGAACACTCAACACCTGAATAGCCTATAACCCCGTAAATCCGCGATGACATCGTAATCCAGGAACTGCAATTGCGTCATGCTCGGCAGGGAGCTGTCCGCTTTCGCATATGTAATCCGAATTCTTCCACTTCCTCCCTTCCACACTCCCCCAATCTATAGCCATCATGTTTGCCCGTCAATCATTCCGCTGCGCACAGCCCCTTAAGCAGGTAAGCTGCCATCACTTTGTCTGTTTGGATTCTAGCTAAACCCATGACAGAGCCTCCGCAAGTACTCTGCGGATGCCGCTCCCAAGAAGGCCAACTTGACCCCCGTCTACGTCGGTGTTGGTCTCGCTGGTCTGGCTGCCGGTGTCTACCGTTACAGCACTAGCGCTGTTGCTGAGCCTAAGGACCGCCCCAAGGTCTTCAATGGCGAGGAGTGGATCGACCTCAAGGTCGCTGCCATTGAGAACCTTAGCGGCAACACCAAGCGTCTCCGCTTCGAGTATGAGGACAAGGATGCCGTCTCTGGTCTTCCTGTTGCTTGTGAGTCATCTAAATCATGCTTTGAGGTCCTCACGCTAACCTCATACAGCCGCTCTCTTGACCAAGTTCAAGCCCGAGGGCGGCAAGGCTGTTATCCGTCCCTACACCCCCACTAGCGATGAGGGTAAGTTCAACCACGATCATTTTGTTTTCCTTTACTAACAAATCAGAAATCCCCGGATACCTCGAGCTCATTGTCAAGGCCTATCCCGGTGGTCCCATGTCTGAGCACATCCACTCCCTCAACGTCGACCAGCGTCTGTCCATGAAGGGCCCCATCGTCAAGTACCCCTGGGAGGCTAACAAGCACAACCACGTCTGTCTGATTGCCGGTGGCACTGGTATCACCCCCATGTACCAGCTTGCCCGCCAGATCTTCAAGAACCCCGAGGACAAGACCAAGGTTACTCTCGTGTTCGGCAACGTTACCGAGAAGGACATCCTCCTCAAGAAGGAGCTTGAGGAACTCGAGAACACCTACCCTCAGCGCTTCAAGGCCTTCTACGTTCTGGACCAGCCCCCCAAGGAGTGGGTCGGCGGCAAGGGCTTCATCTCCAAGGAGCTGCTGAAGACTGTCCTCCCCGAGCCCAAGGAGGACAACATCAAGCTGTTCATCTGTGGTCCTCCTCCCATGTACAAGGCTATCTCTGGTCCCAAGGTCAGCCCTAAGGACCAGGGTGAGCTCGATGGTATCCTGAAGGAGCTCGGCTACAACAAGGAGCAGGTCTTCAAGTTCTAGATGGTTACAGAATAGATAGCTGGAAATACGTGTAGGATAGACGTGTACATTGGTTTCTTTTTTGAGCGTACTGCCACGTATCTAGGCCAATGTTTTGTCATTAGAAGTCAAGATGATTTAGAGCATATCTTTATTAACATTTCTTAAATCAGTTATAAAGTCGTGCAAATTATTCGAGAACTTGTAAAAGTGGATAGACCCAAGTGGAGCTATGTATATATATCTTGAGGACCAGCGGTGTAGAAGAATGCTTGTTTCAAATTGTTTCTTTCTGATGAAAGTCCTAAGAGAGAAGTATTCATAACAACTGAATTTTCTTTTAAGAAAAATGCAGATCAGCTGGTGTAGGATACCATGCACAGGACATAACCTATTACATTCTGAGAGGAGGGGTAGGCGAACGAAGCCGAAGAGATCTAAAAAAGTGGCAAGTAGCAGGAAAAAGAAAAAGAAAAAAAAAAAAAAAACCAATAGCACATTAAAATCTATAGTCGACATCTGTAGGAGCGCGTGCACCTACTGTCGGGGTGCTATTTGCATTACAACATCGATGATATGACTCTGGGAACCAAGTTGGACCCTGGATGAGCTTCTGCAAGCCTTCGGCGACCCTGAAGAGTTGGGGGGTAGGCGGGGCGCTTAGCCTGCACATTAGCTCCTTGCCCCCAGCCCCCCAAAGCAGATTGCAGTCTTCCTATGGCTCTCTACTACCACATACTGTAGGCGATTAATGGAAAAAGAACCATATGCACTAGCGAACATCCCACAAAAGAACAATATCAATTACGTATAGACTCCATTCTACAAGATGAAAGCCCAATCATATGAAATCACCAGGACACCTGCCAAAATCCGTCATAACTAACATAGGTACGTCTCCTTAAAACTCATTTATAAAATTGATAGATACTGAAAAAGACCAAGATTGATTCTAAATATAATCGAAACGTCTCATGAGCTACACGATTCTGGCATTCTGGGTGGATTTTAGAAAGAAGAGAAAAAAAACACCCCCATCAGTGTCACCCCCCGCCTAGAGGGGCAAATCACCGGGGCGGTTGGGAAGGACGGGAGCACCGGTGTTGCCCAGGAATCCTTGAAGTTTGGGGTCTCATGACAACAGTTGAACCTAAGCCGAAAGTAGCGTTGGCTGCCCGGTGCGTTCGGGGGGTCTCTGGCCAGTGGGCCCCTCTCTCGGCTCTCCTATCCCCCTCCCCCCTTCCCCCCCCCCGAAAATTTCTTTCTCTTCACCCTCTTAACTTTCAGCACCCTGCAAGACCGCCCACCATGTCTTCCAACAATGAAACCGTCGAGGTCAACAAAGAAGAGCTCCGTCGGGCTGGCGACTTGGTATGTTTCTTTTATTTTCCTTTCAAGCTTATTTCGTATTTTTCTTTCGTCATTATCACCTTTCTTCGTGTTGTTTTTCTTGTGCGCAATGCCGCGTTGCGCGTCTCACTTCATCCTCGTTTCTATTCAACCCCGAGCTATGCATTGTGTTTTTGAAGCTTTGCAGATCTTCTGTGAAGCCTTTGAAGCATTATGCTGAGCTTCATTTGTAAAAAAAATACCTCGCTGTCGGAATGTCGCGCTCGGAAATGTGGCGCGTATCTGGACAGCTACGCGCCAACAAACCCCAACCCTAACTCATTGCCCATCAACCCCCAATCAAGCATGCACTGTTATTTCCTCTTTGCCAATGGCATCACTGACAAGATTAGATTGTCATGCGCCTCATGGAGGTCCAGAGCTACCTCGCCGACCTCGGCAAGGCCTATGTTCAGCATGTCAAGAGCATCACCGACGGTGAGGGCGCCCACATCGAGCTCCCCCTCGGTCCCACCTTCACCGGCGGAGACTTCCCCGGACGCGCCAGCAGCCCCGGTGCCAAGTCCGAAGCTGGCGGTCCCAAGAAGCGCAAGCGCGCCCCCGCCGACCCCAATGCGCCCAAGCGCGCCTTGACTCCCTACTTCCTGTTCATGCAGACCAACCGTGGCCAGATTGCCGAGGATCTTGGTGACAATGCGCGCCCCAAGGACGTTGCCGACGAGGGTACCCGCCGCTGGCAAAACATGGACGAGAAGGACCGCGGGGTAAGCATCTCCTGCCTTTGATCAATTGATAAAGAAGCCCCTACTAACCGCGCCCCCATTGCAGGTCTGGAAGCAAATCTACGCCGAGAACTATGAAAAGTACAAGAAGGATATGGCCGCATACAAGGCCACTAAGGCCGAAGAGGAGCATGACCCCGCTGCGACTCAGCTGCAACAGGACTTTGCCGGCGCCGAGCCGGAGCACGAGCTCGAGCAAGCTGAAGCCGAGCCTGAGAATGCCCAGTCTGACGAGGACACCGAGTCCTCCGAGTCCGAGTCTGAGTCCCCTTCTCCTCCCAAGGCCAAGACCCCCACTCCTCCCCGCAGCACCGTTAAGCGTCCTCGTATCAGCAAGGCCAAGGAGGTTGAAACCCCTGCCAAGTCGCCTGTGAAGAGAGGTCGCAAGGCCGCTGTCGCTGAGCCCGTCTCTGCTAGCAAGGACAAGACTCCTGCTGATACCAAGCGCAAGGGTGGAAAGAAGCGCAAGAGCGAGACTTCCTAAGTGTAGAGTCTCTTAGCTATATCTGTTGCGGAAAATTGTTTGTGTAGCACTTTTTGCTTTGCTTTGGCGTTCGGGAAAACTGAAACTCGATCTTGAACTGTATTTAGCTACTTTCATATTACAATTCATCACTTGACACATGTCACTCCCCGGGCCCTCAAGTCTAGCCTTGTTTTGTGCTTGGTATCACTTCCTCTTTTTGTTTCTCCTTCATTGACTTGTCTAACCCATCCCGATGCCCGGCACCCTCACCTTCACCTCACCTTTACTTCATCTTCATCCCTTTTTCACTCATCATGTCTCACACTCACCCTCTCTGTGACAGAAACCTGCTACAAAGACCCTCCTCAACCCGAAGAGCACAACGAAGATCGCAAATCCGCATGCTTGCATGTGGCTTCAAACTGGTGGTCGCTACTTCAAGACCGACAGGTTTCTTGCCGTCACAACAAATAAACTGTGTGACTATATCACATCATGATAGACCGTGGGATTGCAAAGTCGATACCATGATTACATTGGGTGAGATATCGGAGCCTGAGATGATGCCTTCGCCAACGAAACACCGTCTGCGCAATATCCCCATCCACCGTTCGAAGACATGGTGCATGTTGTGTCTCCATGTTGCAACCCGCGAGTAGATCGAGGACGACACTCATCTGGAGCTTTGTGAGGCCGGATGCTACGTTACCGCGTGCAACTTCAAGAACTGCGGATGCTGTCTTGGTGCACACCCTGTGTGCGATTCGGTAAGGCATTGGTATTGTTCTAGTCTTGCATCAAGGGTTCTTAACGTAGTCGCAGGTGCCTGTCGTTATTGAAGGACACCGTACGAGCTGCACCTTTGTCCGCGGTATTACGATGCTATAGTTTGGAAGTACGAGGAAGAAAGGTCATCAAGACCTCTTGGGTTAAGCAGAGGGCTGTGAGACAAAGTGTGATGTTGCTTAGGCTAACTGTGAGACAAGCCTTTGGTCTAACAGTGTTACTTACATTGTTCTGGCTAACATGGAATATATAGAAAATTTTTGCTGGGACAAGCGTAACAAAGCGGAGCTCTCCGAAAATTCATATCAAGCCGTCGCATTCACACGGGTTCGGATTTTCGTCTTGATTATGGGTTGCTCATTGCTCGGAATGAATTCTCTATCGACAGGCTGCTGAAATGCCTGGAAAATGGAATCATTGAATCGTTGGTGACATGATGTATGTATGTAGGCTTGCTAGGTTCTATTTCCTATAATTTCCCATATAGTTCCCCTCTTGGCATACATAATTTACTATGTATGCTAAGTCTGAGTGAACCCATGTCAGTGCCGACGGTCTCCCAGTCCCAGAATAGATAGAACAGAGAGTATAGAACATAGAATATCAAAGCCCAAGTGGCTAAACAGTTAACCATCAGACAAGCGGGTCTCCCCCTGCGATCCTCCACTCACACACAATTTTTTTCCATTCGGTTCCAACTAATTAGCAACGCCTTGACTAAAACGGTCAAATAGCATCGCCCGACCCAATCGGCCTGCTCGGCACTTATCAACTGCTTATCTTCGGAAAACGAACGGCAGTCAAATATCCCCCACATTCCACATTTTATGTTGGACGTCCGCATACAGAGAGAGACTCGTTCTATCACATATCACCGATCATAGATCCAATACTACCCTCCCCCCCTCGGTTCTTGACATTTAGTGTCTTACTTACCGCCAAGACCCAGGCTCGGGTTCCACTGCCATGCAGCTCGTTCCAAAGGAGGTAGGTGGCACGGAAGTCGCGACGGCAAACCACTAACATCCTGGCAGCTTGACAAGCTCACTATTGCGCACCTCGGGTTCTTGGCACAGAGACGCCTAGCACGTGGAGTGCGGCTCAACCATGCTGAAGCTGTGGTATGTACACTGCCTCAGGGATCCTCTGCAACGTGCTAATCTCCACTTCCAGGCCTTGATCTCCTCTGTCCTGCACGAGGTATGTCCCCATCTAGAGCATCATGCCTGAGACAATCCCCAATTGAATCTAACAAAGACCAGCTAATCCGTGATGGCCACTACTCCGTCGCCGATCTCATGTCCATCGGCAAAACGATGCTCGGTCGTCGTCACGTCCTCCCCTCGGTCGTCGGAACACTAGTCGAGCTACAAGTCGAGGGAACCTTCACTTCGGGTACTTATCTCGTGACCGTACACCACCCCATCAGTAGCAATGAAGGCGATCTGGAAAGAGCGCTGTACGGCAGCTTCCTACCTGTGCCTGCGCCAGAGGCTTTCGCCGACCCTGACCCCGAGGACTTCCACCCGGAGAAGATGCCCGGCGCGGTCATTCCGGCCAAACACGCACGCGTCGAATTGAGCAGCGGACGGAGGCGCATCAGGTTGAAGGTTATGAGTAAGGGTGATCGGCCAATTCAGGTACGGAGAGATCTCCAAACAATGCGTGGCAAGCAGGATTGGGAACTGCGATCTGCGCGGCTGGGGCAGTCGGACCGTGTGCTAATTTCCTTGTGTAGGTTGGATCGCATTATCATTTCATCGAGACGAACCCGCAGCTGCACTTCGACCGTCATCAGTCCTATGGATTCCGGTTGGATATCCCGGCTGGTACATCCATTCGCTTCGAGCCGGGCGATACCAAGACGGTGACGCTGGTCGAGATTGGTGGAAATCGTGTCATCCGCGGTGGAAACTGGTTGGCAAATGGACCGGTTGATCTGAGTCGCGCCGAGGAGATTGTGACCAAGTTGCAGGCTGCTGGGTTTGCACATGTACCTGAGCCCCAGGCGGACAGTGCGCTTATTTCTGGGTTCTCCATGGAGCGCGAGGCGTACACGCGCATGTTTGGTCCTACGACCGGTGATTTGGTTCGATTGGGCTTGACTGATCTTTGGATTCGGGTCGAGAATGATTTGACGAATTATGGTGATGAATGTGCCTTCGGTGGTGGTAAGACGTTGCGTGAGGGTATGGGTCAGGCCTCTGGTCGCGGCCATGCGGAGTGCGTGGACACAGTCATTACGAATGCGTTGATTATAGATTGGACTGGTATCTACAAGGCCGATATCGGTATCAAGGATGGACTCATTGCTGGTATTGGAAAGGCTGGAAACCCGGATGTCATGGATGGGGTGCATCCTGATTTGGTTGTTGGCTCCTCGACCGATGTCATTGCTGGAGAGAACAAGATTGTCACCGCCGGTGGTATTGACACGCATATCCATTTGATCTGTCCTCAGCAAGTGGACGAGGCTTTGGCCTCTGGTATTACGACCTTCCTTGGTGGTGGAACCGGTCCTAGCACTGGATCAAATGCGACAACCTGCACGCCTGGACCCAATCACCTGCGCCAGATGATGCAAGCATGCGACAGTCTACCTATCAATATCGGAATCACAGGCAAGGGCAACGACTGCGGCCGAAAGAGCATCGAAGAACAAATCCTAGCTGGCGCAGCCGGTCTCAAGCTGCACGAGGACTGGGGTTCAACCCCAGCAGCAATCGACAAGTGCCTGGAACTCTGCGATGAGTACGACGTGCAGTGCATGATCCATACCGACACACTCAACGAATCCGGCTTCGTCGAACAAACGATCGAAGCCTTCAAGGGCCGCACAATCCACACCTACCACACCGAAGGCGCAGGAGGCGGCCACGCACCCGATATCATCTCCGTCGTCGAACACCCCAACGTCCTACCAAGTAGCACAAACCCAACCCGTCCCTTCACTCTCAACACCCTGGATGAGCACCTGGATATGCTAATGGTCTGCCACCACCTATCAAAGAACATCCCTGAGGACGTCGCCTTCGCAGAAAGCCGCATTCGCGCAGAAACAATTGCCGCCGAAGACGTCCTCCACGACCTTGGCGCAATCAGCATGATGTCCTCCGACTCACAGGCCATGGGCCGTTGCGGCGAGGTCATCCTGCGCACGTGGCACACGGCGCATAAAAACAAGACCCAACGTGGACCGCTGGGATCGGATGCCGATTCTGGCGCTGACAACTTCCGCGTCAAGCGCTATATCAGCAAGTATACCATCAACCCGGCCTTGGCACAGGGTATGGCGCATGCCATTGGTAGTGTTGAAGTCGGAAAGGTGGCCGACTTGGTCATGTGGAAGGCTAGCAGCTTCGGTACGAAGCCGGTGTCTGTGATCAAGAGTGGAATGATTGTGGTTGCGGAGATGGGCGATCCGAATGCTTCGATCCCGACCATCGAGCCGATGATTATGCGGCCGATGTTTGGTGCGCGCGTCCCGCAACTGTCCATTATGTTTGTCTCGCAGGCTTCCATCGATGCTGGAATCGTCCAGTCATATGGACTGAAGAAACAAATTATGCCCGTTAAGAACTGTCGCACTGTCGGGAAGAAGGATATGAAATTCAATGATACCATGCCGAAGATGAAGGTTGATCCGGAGAGTTATGTGAGTTCACCTCCTTTACATCCTGCATTGTGGCAATCCATATGCTTGACCTGGTATACAATGCTAACAACCATCCCAACAGACCGTCGAAGCAGACGGCATGCTCTGTGATGCCGAACCAGCCACCGAACTGCCCCTAACACAGGCATACTATGTCTTCTAGAATTCTTGCATACTCCCCCTTTCCCCATACTAGCATTTACTTCTTTTCACGGCCTGCAAGTTCTACATTATACCTCATCACTCGAGCGTCTGCTATTATTTTTCTTCATTTCATTTTGGTGTTGATAGCGAACTAGCTCGAGTTCCGGTTTGGCTTTCATCTGTGTGCATGAGTTATACAAGTTTCATACGAACGTGACGATTCTTCTTCTTTATTATCTTTTCTTTTCATCCATTCACTTCCGTTCTCTTTCTTCATTCAGTAAATCTAGAATTTAACCGCCCAATCTCCCAACAACCCCCTCAATACCGCAAACAACAATCTCCTCCGTCCTCCGCCCATCACTACAAACAAGTATATCACCCCAGTGAAACAAACAAGCCGTGATATCATCACACAAAGCCGGGATCCCCCGACTGAAATATTCATACGGTTTGGCGGCCACGTAGGGATTGTACCGGGTCGAGGTAGCCATGGCTATTGATGCTCTTTTGAGGGCTTCCACTTGTGAGATGAGCCCGAACAGCGCCGTTGAAACATCTGGTGCGGATGCTGGGTTTGATTTTAGGGATTTAGATTGGCGCATCAATGAGTTTAGGAGGGCTGCTTGAGTATCACGGTAGGTTTTGACAGGGCCTCGGGGCATGTTCAGTGCTTGAGTTTGGAAAATTTATTGGTGGTGTTTGTTGGATGGCTGTTATAATCACTTGAGATGGGAAATGAGATATGGGATTATATGAAAGGAGATTTAGGTGCTGATCCAGGTTAGGGGTCTCTATCTTGTCCAGACGAGCGACATACTTGTGGCTGTTGTTGACAAAGAGAAGAGAAGAAAGACAAGGCATTGTTTCTCTAGTGATCTGTCTGTCTCATACTGTGTTCTTGTTTTTCCGGTCAATGATATGGGCGTTCCTTGTATCGTGACTCTGAAACATCATTGATGTCTCATTGGTGATTGATTTGCGAAGAGGTAACGGACCATTGTCTGGACTGCCCTTGTATAAGAGTGGTATCGCCTTCCATGAAACATAAGCCCTTTTAACCCTGATCACACGATACAGAAAACAAGCACTTTGACCATTGGCAAATGTGAAAGAGCTAGAAGGTATGCTCGGGTTGAACCAATCCATTCTGTCGTCTGGATCAAGTTGTTTGGAGCATTTGTCGGAGGCTGAGACTTGTAGTAAGCGGATGGTCTTTGTAGAAGGCTGATTAGAAGGAATGTGCTGTAGCTAGACTTTACGCAAGAACAAAAGAGTATTTGTCCTGGAAACCCTGCATTTCAGTGTTGCGACATGGGTCCCAGAGATGTGTCATACTGTGAACATGAAAGCGAGCTTACCAAAGATTGGGAATAGCCTTCCAGCCTTGATCAGATATTATTAATAAAAGATGGTAATGTCTAGAATGAGAACCGAATTTGAAGAAAAGAATAAATTGAGTAGTCGATTGAAATGGGGTATCATAACTTATCACAAGATATAGCAAAAGCTGCAAGATAGAGATCTAGACCATGAACAGAGTAAGCAATAAGCTTACCTATAACTCAAGCTCCTCTTCGGTGTGATTATCTCTTGCAGAAACAAGCGATACATCCGTCCATGCAGCGTACGTATCCTCTCGTGCAGCAAGATAAGCAGCAATACGAGCATGGCGCGAAAAACGCAGACTTGCATCATCCTTTTCTGGATCGTGTGTTCCATTTCCCACGAGTCTCTGGCCTGGAGAGGCGAGTGCCGACTCTGGAATGGAGAGGGGAAACGAATCAGTGAGTTGACTTTCTGCTTTTTGGGAGTTAGGGACGGGGGAGGCGATATCGTCGCCGGTTAGATCGATTATGCTGGGTGTCTTTTGTTCGTGATTGAGGGTTGTGTGGTGTATTTCTGGGGTTTCTGGAGCTAGTCTCTTCGTACTGACAGGTTCATGGTTGATTTCATTGTCAGTCGAACATGTTGATGGTAGGATGTTGGCTTGAGAGGAGATGGGTTGGGGGTCCGTTTCTTGATGAAGAACACCACTGTTGACTTTGGTGGCACCTTCTGATGTATTCGCTTGATGGGCATAAATTTGAGGTTGGTCATGCTGGCTCAAATCAATTGTATGAAGACTGACATTTCCCATTCCATCACTTGTCTCTGTGGACTGGGTGGATAGGTCCAAGTCATAGCGAGGTCTCTTCTTTGCGCGTGGACCTTCTTCATCACTTTCATCTTCCAACGTCTGCCGCATAAGCTCATCATGGGAAAATCTATTCTCTGAACAAAGATGCCCAAACAAAGATCGGATGGAGACGTTTTCGTTCCAAGTCGATGGATCCACTGTGCATGGGTGAATATCCTTGGGTCGGAATGCAGCTACCAATTCGCATGATTCAGCATATGAGGAATGTCTCGAGTATGGGAATCGCTATAACCTCATTAGCTTGACGGTCAAAGTCAATAAAAACCATACTCACTATGGTGTTGGGCAGATCGGGTTTAGAGACCTCATCGGAGGAAGCGGAAGGACCATGGCTAAGAGCAGTTACCAGGTTCTCCAATGAGATCTCCCCTTCTTCTCTCAGACCATATGTATCAAGTGAAAGCGCCTTCCTCCTCGATTGAAATGCATTCTTTAGCGCAATTCGCATCTGAGACAACACATCTTGATCTTGTATGTGCTGGGAACAAAGCTTCTCCAACTCAGTCATGACAGACTCATCCGGCAGCTCCAGTTCATGGGTTTGGTAAAGATCTCCAACGCCGCCGCCTGCGCCGACGTCGGGGATTTCTGTACCGGTAGGAGTGCGGTTGACAATAGGCATTATGTAGACCGATTTGGGTCCACGGGATGATACGCACGCGACACCCGGTTCGCAGCTGTGAATTCGATTGCTCTCATTGTTACTCAAACAGCCTTCAATGTCTCTATTACCTAGCTCAAAGCCACACAAGGCAGGTGCTTCGCTGGCACCTTTGTTACCTGGTATTGATATCAAAGACCGGTATAGACCCATCTGGTAGCGATCAACATGTACCTAGAAGCAATTAGCATAGGATCAAGTCGAGAATTGACAAATTAGTCACCTTAGTGTTCAGCGCCGCCGACAGCGCTATCCATACATCTTCATAGCCGAATGTCCATGCACGAAAATAAAAGACCGTGTCAGTGGAATAGGCTTTCACCTTTTGCAAAAGCTCCGCCAGACCCTCCGCCTTGGAAGGAAATTCGCGGAATGGATTTTTCTTGCTTGCAAAAGTGGTGTCCAGATACAACTTATCCAGACGTTTCTGACCTAGAGTGTATGGTATTAAAATAGGGTGGCGGACCAAGCTATTCACCCACCATTTTTCCGCTAGAGGTCTTCAGTCATGGTTCAATGCAGACGGATTGGAAACGCTCACCTCGGATGTCACCCGAGTAGAGGATTGCCTTGTCGTCTCCTTCGATTAGAAACATCACTGCCCCAGGACAATGATTGGCATCAAATAAAGTAACCCTGACACGTTGTCGCGGTGTAAGTTCAATCTCTGTTGGCGTATTCAGCGGGATGGGGCGCTGTTCCAGAATAAGCTTTGGCATCAAGAGCGAGAGTTCAAAACACGATACCAGCAGTTTTGCGAGATGCTTATAGTGCCGCCTGCGTGACTCTAGAATGCCTTTGTTAAAGTTCATTCGGTGAGGATATTGCTCAATCCGTAACAGTAACTAAGGGAGGGTCAGCTACCGTGATTTCCGTGATGTCAGTGATACCATACATACCTCTCGCGTCGCTGGCGAACAGTAAATGAATGGGGCCCGAAACGACTCGAGACCTTGTAGATGATCACTATGCACATGGCTTAGAAAGCAAGCCAGCGGTGCAGACCGCTCAGGGCATTTTCGAAAATAATCGACTACTGTGATTTAGCTGACATTTGTATAGAGAGGTTAAAGGCAGCTGAGGCTCACTTCGGATGCCGGGGAACTCTATAAGCGGTTAACGCCGGAGGTAAGGAAAGTCACAGCGAAAGGAAGTCTCACCTTCAACAATTCCATCAAAGGTCGACATGGCCTGAGGTCAGACGAATGCAAAGAGTAAGTCCGTCCACCCTCCACCAGTTCCAGGTATGAGTTGGATATGCACGTGACGTGGAAGTAAAAGAAAAGTGGAAAGATTCTGGCTCGTTATTGGCTTGAATAGAAGAAATGAGAATAAAGGGCATATTATTGACCTATCTGATTCGAGTTCCTGTACTCGGTACTCCATACCTATGAGGCACTAGTCGGAACAGCTGGCCGTGCAGGACACCAAAGCCATTTGCCAGCGCATGCCTTATTATATAGACCCATTCGTCCAAGTTTTCTCCCTTCTTTACCATTTCCCATCCCAGGGGTCTCAATGTGTATAGTTCCTCATGCCTGTGAGACCTCCAATTCTCCAGGGTCAAAGAGCCGAAACGTCAGCTGGGCACCTGATCGGTCTTTCTTTTCTTCTTCTCTTCTTGTTTTGAAGACCTCGCTTTAACATAGTCTCAGTGACTTTTTCGTGTCAACAAAAGGGGAGAGGGAATTTAATCCTTGGACATTCCAGGGACCTCCTTAATACTTGCATTTGCACTTGTCATCTTCTCACTTCCCTCATCATCACTCAAGATGCGTAAACCATCGCTGGCCCAGATCGTGTTTAACGCCACGTTTCCACGACCTCGCACAAACGAACCAGGTTCGTTTGCTGCTCACATTACCAGAAACCTCGTCCCTGAAGTGCGCGTCGAGACATCTCATTTCTACGGTTCACTAGACTGCATCGAAGCGCAATACCCGGGGCTGGACTACTCCTACGGTCCGCATCGCATGCGGCTGAGCCGGTTCCCATGGCATCGCAGATTATTCCGAGTCTTTGACGAGCTCAAATTAACCGAGGAGGAGATCTCCGACCTGTGCCGCTGGGAGGGGACCAAGTCCGCGCGACAACGCTACGAGGCCGAAGAAGGAACCAAAGTGCGGGACACCACTGCCCAATCGATCCGACCAGCATCTCCCCAGCCGTTTCCCTCCATCGAGGTCCACTACGACGACTTCTGCAGGACAGAGGAGCAGGACCAGATAATCGAGACTCAAAGTAACGACACCGTTCGACCCAGTGCTTCTCGCACCCCTAGCACCCATCCCTCCGACAGAGCAGAGCATGAGGCCGAAGAGGAATACAGTGACGAGGAAATGGAGAGCTGTGGTGTTGCACTGAATAACCGGCTTCTCGCCGCAATGGCGGCGCGTGACCAAGGGGCCGATGTGCCTCTGGATGAGGACTGGGAACAATGGCTGAAGGAGGCAGGAGAACGCGGCGGATACGGCGACATGGTGCATGCCATTCGTGAAAACCAACCTTTGAACTTCGGCTCTGAGCGGTCTCCACGCCGGAATCGAGCTCGTGTTGTGTCGACCGCTGCGTCTCTTCCTGATGCATACCTGTTCTCACTGCCAGACAGCATTCTTGCAAGCCCGGCTCTTCCACCTGCCTCCAATCCTGCTTCTAGCACGGCTCGATGACTGCTCTGACTCTGATTCCTCTGACTCTGATTCTTCTGACTTGACTGTGATCCTTGTTGAAGGCTTCGCTATGACTATACGCATTTCTCCCGGCGCATCTTTTCCCTCTAGCATTGTCTGAAGTGGACTGGCTCCTTCTTCTTTCCCCTTGCCCTGTCGCTGACTATTCTTGTTCTCTATATTCACAAGAGTCTTTTGCTGTTGCATAGATTTCCTTGGTTATCTGCCTCCCACTTAATACCCTTACCTCTCATTGCCTTGCCTCTGTTTCTGTTCATGATCGGTGCTCTTGCTTTGACTTGAAAACGGCAAAAGTTCTCCTTCAATTAGCACATTATATCTGACTGAATGCTCAATATTCCATACTCTATACTCCGATGTTTCTGTAAACCTGTGATGCAAATAGAGCAAACATCCGATAAGCTCGTAGCTCTCCGCACCTCCGCATGCCACTTCCCTCAGGACACTGCTGGCTTTTTGGCTGAAGACCGGGGTTAATTGATGTCTGATATCTTGCATTGCTCCCTTGAATCCATATTTTGCCTGATGGTCAAAGAACTGCCACTCCAACCCCTCGCAACACCATCCCTACGATGATCAAGGCAATCTTCTACAGCAAATTCGACACGCAAGAGGGTATGTCCAACCCTATGGTCTATGGCCAGCTACTGACTATTTCTAGGCCCAAAGGTTGTCCACCAAGTCCCCGATGGAGCGATCGTTCCCTCCCCGACGGCACCCGCACAGTCACTCTACCTGACCTTCTCCGACGTCTCCTTCTTCGTGATTCCCCGCCAGGAGCTTTGTGGAAACCTCCTGCAGGTCTGCACAAATGGATATCGGATCTTAGGATACCCAATTTGCATGAAGTCAGCACGATACGATCGCAATGAGTTCATCTTCAACTTCTGCATCGTCCTCGCTGAAGAGGACGACTTTAGCACATACAAGAGCGTAGTACAGAAGATCGCAGATCTGATGCACGGCCTGGAGGAGCAGAATGGCTTTCTGTCCCGCGATTTCTCTCGGAGTGGGGAGGGTAAGGTGCATAGTCTCTGTGAAATGTTGATGGAGGACTTGAACAACTATTGCGAGTGCATGATTCCTATTGGTATGTCCATGAACACAGCTTATCGAGTTCCGCTGCTAACTTTGTGAATAGATGAGTTGAATACTCTGAACATAAAGCTGTTCCCGATATATCCCTCTCCTCCACCTGTCAAGGCCTGGCATGTACCACTCTTCACATTGCGATATCAGGCCTTTATGGACGAGAATTGGGACTTGACCATGCAGCGGGTATGTGAACTTATGTTTCCCTCCTACCGCCACAATGACTGACAGCCATCAGATTGTCCCTCATATCAACGGCATCAACAGCGTCCGCATCATTTCCATTATGGCAGACACAGACTTCTCTCTCACTTGCCGTGCACTTCGCCATCTTCTCTACTACGGCTGTCTATATCTCTTAGATATATTCTCTTTTGCGGCCATCTACGCCCCAACCGCCCAAATCAGTGCAACGATCGGCAGCGATGAAGCAATGCAGCTAGAATGTGCCCGCTACGTCAACCTCCACTTCGCACCACATCTACCAATAGGCCCAAGCTCCCCCCTCCCTCCATCCCTCATTCCAAGTGGAAGCAGCGCAAACGGCAGCGGCACGGGGCCCCTCTCAAGCTCCCTAACAGACCAAGCCTTAAGTCTAAACCGCGACGACTCCCGTTTCGACGCCGAAGAAATCTGGCCCCTCCTCGGACCCCCAGAAGACACAGACGCCCCGACAAACTACCACACGACCAACAGCAAAAACGCAGCACCCTCCTCAACAAGTGACACATCCAAAGCCTCCCCAAGCAACCACACAAACCCGCTTCACAAACCAGCAATAGTAGACGGCGTGGCTCTAGTAGAGCTCTACGCCAGCTTAAAACAAGGCCAAAGCGTCAAACAATGGTACGCCCAGCATAGCAGAGCCCTAACAAATATCGACATCCGCCGTTTCATAACCTTCGGCGTGATCAAAGGCTTCCTCTACCGCGTGCACAAATACGCCTGCGCAACAGGCCACACAGCACCCACCCCACGTGGTCCAGGGACAGCCTCGTCGCTCATGCCCACGCCTATCCCAACGGCTACGCCCACGCCTGTCGCCACGGGACCCTCGTCACGCGCTACAACCGGGACAACGACCCCTTATACTGTTTCCAGTGTTGGGGACGAAGCGCCTTTTTCGGGACGGGAATCTAGTCGGGAGCGGGCTGGGTCTGTTTTGAGCGGCGGGAGGAGTGGGCATGGCAGTGGGCATGGCAGTGGAAATGGACATGGGATTGGGGCGGGTTTCTTTGAGGAGTATGAGGTTGAGGAGGTTGATGATCGGGTTTTGGAGAGGTATCTTGATGGGACGCATTGTTTTGATCAGATTTGTACCGAGTTGGAGCTTAGTGAGAGGGAGTTGACGGCTAGGTTGAAGAGATACCCTGGGGAGGTGTTGATTTTGCATCGGTGAGTTTTAATACTAATGACTTGAGGATTGTGTGGCATTGGCGTTTCTTTTGCTTTTGAATGCTTGGTTGTGGTCGATACCCCCGGTTTTGCTTGTTAGATACATTTTCATGAATAGCATGACATCTAGGTTAACTTAGGATCTGCGATATAGAATACGGGTGAGAATACTTGTCAAAGCACGCACTGGAAGATGTGTTTGAAGAAATTGATCACTGATTGGTGATTTCAGCTAAAGGATAAAGGTACATTGTCACATCTGACCAGCTAGATATTGACGCAGAAGAGATTCATCTTTATGCGCAAATAGAGACAAACATAATGTCTTCCATTGGTAAAGAGAGAGAGACGGCACCACTTGCGATCTCCAAATCGAGAGTGGCAGTGAAACTGAGAAAGAAAAATAAAAGGTATCCGCTAACGCCCGCCAGCCCATCATGCCATTCGTGTCGTATCATGCAAGTAAATGAATGAGAAGAAGCAGCCACCAGAAAAGTAGCCAGAGAACAGAAAAGGAAGAGACCAAGAGAAATCAATCGAAGGATTCTACTCCTCCTCCCAGTTCTCAAGTTCAGCCTTTTCATGCTCGGCCATCACAGCCGGGTCGAAGATCGACTCTCCTTCCGCAGGAATTGTAGTCTTGATATCATCGAAGATGGGCAGGAAAGCCTCATTCCAGCGGCGGCGACGATCCATGACAATCTTGGCAGCGTCTCCAACAGCAGGACGAGACACGCCCGCAGTGCCGGCAACATGGCTGCCACCACCTGCACCGCCGGGTCGGTGCTTAGCCTGGGCGCCCTTCTTGCTCTTGCCCATGGTACGAGTCCGCTTGAGGTAAGCCTGTTGGACCTGAGTGTCGAGGTCGTCTTGGATGGTGGTGAATTCGAGCATGGCCATGTGCTCTTGGGCGATCTTTAGAATGCGGGCCTTGCGCGCATTATTAGTGACGATTTGCTTTTTGAGTTCGCCTTGTAGAAGGCGAAGACGCTCGGCCACCTCGTCGTCATAATGCGCGTCGTAGTCTGGGTTGTCGTCCGCGCCGAGGAATCCGATGTATCGAAGCTCGGCCTTGGCACGCTCGTCGAGTTGGGCGTGGTCGAGCTTCGCGACGGATGTCTTGAAGCCGTTTGGATCGGCGTCACGGAAGGCTGTTGCAGGAGGTTGTGATGGCTTCTCGTTCTTTATTTCTGGCTCGCCATTCGGCTGGTCAAGCTCCATTGCGTCTCCACCAAGCCCGCCTTCGCTTGTCCCTGAGTTTGCGGGTTCGTCGGGCACGGTTCGGTGCTCATAACGCAAAAGAGAGCAGAGTCGGCTCAGGAGAGGTCCGACAGAGACCTCGTTAGTCTCTGCTTTCTCATCGGTCAATGTGTCGATGCTGCCACGGCCTTGATTCAGCGGGAGCTGGTCCTTGTCATCCTGGCTCGAATCGTAGGATACACCATCTTCCTCTGCCCATAGCTGGCGATAGCTTTTCTTTCCGCGACGTGGGATGATGAAAGGGGTAACGCGATCTCCCTATTTTATGTTAGCTCGTGTCGGATGGTGGTAGTTGGCATTGACGTACTCGTTCTCTAAGCCAGGCAATATCCTCCTCCGTAAGAGGCCGAACGTACGGCTCAATGTATGTGAGAAAAGTATTGGCGCTGACTTGATTGGACGGCTTCGCATTGCTAAAGTCTTTGTCGGGAGCAACACCAGCTAGCATATGGGCAAGGTCGCTCTTGGGGAAATGGGCAACGCTATAAATCTCTTTCTTTTCCTCATCGGTCATATCTGGGCGAACCTCGCGAATGTCGTAAATGGTAGGGTCATCAAACTTCAGTGGATTGTCACCGAAGACTTGGATTTGAGGGATAGCGGGAGCGGGTTCAGGTTGGTGGGATTCATTGCTGGTCTCAGAGCCGGGGGAGCCGGGAGGAGCTGGACCGTCACCAGCGGTGGTAGCACCGTTGGGAGACATCATGGAGGGAGGTGAAAGCGAGGAGCTGTCATCGGATGCTGCACGCTTGGAGTTTTTCGATGCTGGGGAGGCCGCTGGAAATGTCAGTGCATGTTGAAATTGTGGGGAATACGGAGAAAGATGGAGGTTGAGATGAGACGAGTCGCAAGTGAAAACAAAGGATGAAAATAAAGCGCTGAGTTGGTTCTCTCACCTCCCTCAATCTTAGTTTCAGCACCATCCTGGCGCCCAACCTGATGAGCTCCATGGGTCAATGGCCGCTCCTCCTTTGCACTTGCGCGCTCCTTCCGCTTTTTCAGCTTCCCGCCCTTGTGGATATCATCCTCATCTTCTGTCTCGCGCTTCAATCTTGCTCGGTCTCGGACTTCACGGTCAAGCTCCTGGTCCTCCATAACTTCCTTGCGCTTCTGAGACATTTCCCGCATTCCGGCATTGCAGACCTCACCCCGGGCATCAGCCATATCGCTGAGACTCTTCAGATGCTCCACCAAGGCCTCGAGTGTTTTCGAATCTGGGATGTTCTGCGCGGCCAACAAATCTAATACATCAGAGTATTGGCTATCAGCCAAATCAATGAGCTTAGTTACATCATTTTCCAGGTAATTCTGAAGCGGAGGTCCTGGAATTGTAGGGGCACTAGCACTGGATGGGGTGGTATTGCGACTACGCGACTGGCGTGCGTCGCGGCCTTTGCCTTTGCTCTTGTAAGCCGAAGGCATATTTCTCGGGATATTTGGACGGTGGAAGGGATGGGATGAATTGATCGCGATAGAATTGCTATCAATGAGAGGGTAAATCGGTCGATAAAGGTGTTCCTAGGAGGTATGAATGGGGCTGAACCAACACATGCTGTCGTTGGCCACTCGAAACGAAGATGGATGAAAGGAGATTAAACAACCTCCAAAGAGCTCCAAAAAACGAAGCTAACGCGAATTTCAAGATCCTCGAGGTCACTGGTGAGCTACAGAGCTAAGAAGTGACGATGTTGGTGGTCGCTTCACGTGACATCTTGCCTATCATCACGTGTGCGTCTATCTGGCCTGGAGGGATCTGGGGAACTACGACCCGTACAGCCTTCGAGTTTCTTTCCTTCGGGATGTACAGAGAATAACCTTGTGATCAAGCTTCAGTCTCACACATGGCTCAGCCTACAAGAATGTGCATGGCTTTCGAGCTTTGTGGCGGATCTATATAGATCGAACATTCTGCGGAGAACACCGGACGAGCTTGGCGGCGACTCCGAAACACGAGCTTCCACTCCCGACGGGAGCCTTGCTTTGCCAACTCAAACAGGCAAACAGTGCCCAGAAGTAGGCCACGAACTACTTATGAACTTATAGAGTGCACCTCGTCACTCTGAATATACTCCGCATACTGATGCTTAATAAGTGCCTGTGCCGATCATATCCTCAAGCGTCACTTCCGCAAACGGTATGACCCAATGCGGCCAAGTATACAACAGCAATGACCACGCGCTCGGCAATTCTCCCTTGTTTGTGATGTTTTCTTCGAATTCTGAAACGCAGATCCTGGGGGAAAAGGCATATTTGCCTCCTGCCTCGTGGTCAAGACCAGTATTGTTCACATTCCTGTACCGGTCCCGAATAAACTCTCGCATTCTTCCGCTGTAGGGCTCGATTTAGCACTTTTAACCGGGATCGATCAAGTCCTATACTTTGTTTTTATCTAAATATACAGCAATTCCGTTTTCTGACTCCATTTCAATCTCAATCTCTTCACTTGCTTGAACCGCTTGAGCATCAACCCTCTCTCTCCAGTACTTCACACAGCCTAAGCGCCCACTGCTCAACCTTTTATATACACCATGTCGACTGTAGGCATGTCTCGAAACACACAAGATCAGCCGGTGGGGAAGGTGGCCTCGCTTTATGCAGGTCCAGGACACGCTTCAAATTCCACCTCTACTGTCGATGTAGGTATTCTCGTTCGAAGATACAAGTGAAGCACGGCGGCCAATTCTAACACGATGCAGGACTATGTCAGCTATCGATTCGTTCTAGACCACAAAGTCCAAACGATATCAAGCAACGGCATCCCCGACAGTGGATCAATTGCAGGTCTCTTGTTCGTACCGAGCCTAGATCCTGAAGATCCCTGCAACAACATTACAGCTTCGTCTGTACCATCAAATGTGACCCGTTATGAGGATGTGTCGCAGTTTGGATACACCCTCATTGGTCTTGCACCTTGGGTAACCGCCGAGTGCTCTTCGTCATATCTAGATGCCGCACGAAAAGCCGGATCGCATGGCCTGATCTTCTTCCAGCCATCACTCAACGATACTGAACTACCACCTTCATCCGATGATGCTAGATGGTCAATCAATGATGGTGATGAATGGAGAATGGAAAACGACTACCCAGTTTATGCCATTCCCGGTGCAGCTGGAACGACATTAATACATGACCTCTCCAACTATTCGGACAGCTCAAATATTACCACCAAGAGCAACTCTAGCGAGGGATTTGCTGTACAGCCCAAGAGTGATCGGTTATTTGCTAGGGTAGATATCGGTATGTCACAAATCGCTGTTATTTTGGAAATATATTCTGACATATATCACAGACACAGACACCTCCGGAGAAATGCCTAGTCTTTGGGCTTTCATTCTCGCTATTGCGGGCACAGTCCTGATACTCAGCCTGATACTAGTCATCATTTATCGTCTTGTTCTACGGAAGAGGAGAGATATTCTCTTGCAACGTATCAATGATGGTCACATCGACATTGAAGCCTTGACAATGACGCCGCTGAAGGCTCCTCAAGAAGTGGTTGACAAGATGCCACTCTATACCTACCTCGAAATCAACCCAGAAGAAGAAACGACAATTACTCGCCCGAACACGCCGGACGATGATGCAACACTTCATTCTGGTTATAATACCGCCCCGTCATCTCCCAACCAAGATCATCATCTGGACGATGCTGGACTGAAGAAACCGGAGCCAGCATACATCAAATCTAAAGATGGCGAGAAAAAAGAGTCCCAAAAAGCCAAGTACCGACTGAGCCATACTCAAACGACTTGTGCTATTTGCATCGACGACTTTGTCGCTGGGTCATCTTTGGTCCGTGAATTGCCTTGCGGTCATATATTTGATTCAGGGTGTATTGATCCATTCCTTATTGAGAACAGCTGTTTATGTCCTCTTTGCAAGAAGAGCGTTCTACCGCCGGGAACTTGCCATGTTGCTGTAACCAACGAAATGGTCCAACGAGAGCATCTCTCGAGGCGCTCCGTATGATCACCACCCGAAATTTGCACAATGTGTCCGAGGGTACAAGCATCAAGCCGTTTTTAATAGTGGCTATATTGCACCAAGGAGAAGGAAGAAAGAGAAGTGACAAAGAAACGATTGTACTATATTTGCATTTATCTAGCATTGCGATTTGGTGGCGATTGCATGGAAACAGCGGCTTGATTTGTTCATTGAGCAATATATGAGATTTTATTACCATCAAAATTCAAATCCTTCAAGAAAAGAAAACTTCCAATAGATAATATACCTCAATGCTCTCCAGCAAAATATCCAATAACATTTGACCTGTATGCCTGAGGCAGATTTCTCGGCTAGCGCCTGACCCTTCAGGCTCAATGCACGTGATCTACTGTGGACCCACACTCGGTTAATCGCTAGCGTCCCACACACAACCCTCTGCCTTTAGTCGTTTTCTTCCTCGAACTTTTCGCGACAACGACAACCGACGACCTCGTGTAAGCCGACAAGGTACGTTTACCTCTCACCACATCCAATTCACTTCGCCAGTGCATCAATCTAACAACCGTCCAGATGGGTGCCCTCAAGTACGTGGAAGAAATCCAAAAGAAGAAGCAGTCCGATGTGATTCGCTTCCTGCTGCGCGTCCGATGCTGGGAGGTGAGAGAAACCCCATGCCCCTCGATTGCCTAACATCTCCGCCGAGCGCTCGTGTGCGTTGCCATAGGATATGCCGTTTCATCTGGTATTGCTAGGTGGCTCGAACGAAAACTCATTCGGCGGAAATGATTGTGGCACGCAAGAGAATCCTTTTTTCAAAGGCTCATGTGTCTTGCTATACACTCGTTGAACTTTGCTGAGAGTGCATAATATAGCTCCGCCAGCTGAACGTCATCCACCGTGCCTCGCGTCCCTCCCGCCCCGACAAGGCCCGTCGTCTCGGTTACAAGGCCAAGCAGGGTTACGTTATCTACCGTGCCCGTGTCCGCCGCGGTGGCCGCAAGCGCCCCGTCTCCAAGGGTGCCACTTACGGTACGTTTGATTTGCCTTAAAACAGACCGGAGATGAAATTTTTGGTCTCGTTGAAAAAATTGGGAAAATTTTTACTAACGGGTTTGTGTGAATAGGCAAGCCCACCAACCACGGAGTCAACCAGCTCAAGTACCAGCGTGCTCTCAAGTCCACCGCTGAGGAGCGTGTTGGCCGCCGCGCTGCTAACTTGCGTGTCCTGAACTCCTACTGGATCAACCAGGACTCCACCTACAAGTACTTCGAGGTTATCTGTGTCGACCCCCAGCACAAGGCCATCCGTCGTGATGCCCGCATCAACTGGATCTGCGCCCCCGTTCACAAGGTGAGTTTGATATTGGATTCAATTGCATGCCTCGAGGATTTTATTGATCAATTTTTCTCTACAGCACCGCGAGTCCCGTGGTCTCACCGCTACCGGCAAGAAGTCCCGTGGTATCAACAAGGGTCACCGCTACAACAACACCAAGGCTGGTCGCCGCCACACCTGGAAGCGCCAGAACACCCAGAGCTACTGGCGTTACCGTTAAGTGCGGTAGTGCACTTCTGCAGCGACTTGGGTTGGAAAATGTTGGTCACAGCATGTGGTTTCTTATTCAAACACTTCTTTCCCAGACAGTGTCACCCACGCTGGGCTCAACTTTAATGCAGACCTTCCGGATCTGTTGTTAGCCAAAAAGCCATCTTGTTAAATGTTCAAATTCCCCTATTAACGAAGTATGACTGGTTCAACTCCGTGCCTGGTGATTGTAGACTGTAGAACTGAGTAGAGATTCTTTCCAACAATAAAGTCTAGATGTGATCCTGGAGTGAACTGACTGCATACATCTGGCCGCACTAAGCTAGTAGTGTCCCTTAGTGGATCGTCGCGATCGCCCACAATGACTTAAGAGGTGGACAACCTTTTGACATAACGTTACTGTAATTGAGGATGTTTGACCCGCTATTCTCATTTCTACTCATGTCTCAAGGTGAACACTGTCTCAAAAGATCAAAAATAGACCAAAGAACCCATGCCCAAAAATAGGAACTGATGCCTGAGGCTCCGAAAGGAACCACTTACTTCCCCTCCGGCGCTTTCCCAATCCGTCCACGGGGAGTATGAGATGCTGCAACTTCACCTTTCCACTGGACTTACAGGTGAGATTCTCCTTTCAGCCAAACATGACCTGGATGGCTCATTGAAGCATCCTTGCCAAAGATTTACCATTTAGCGAACAAAGAAGCCGAGCTTGCGTTACCGTTACTCGACTGCCTTACTCCAATTCCGTCCACCGACTCGCATGTGTCCAGTGCAAGTGACAAGCTCCACGAGCTGGATTCCTTATTGGAGTGGTTGAACTGAGCCGATTCATCAAGAATACCCCGTTCGATGCGCCTCCATGCCGTCCTGGTCTGACCGTCCTCTACCGCCCATCCCTCCGATCTCGACCTCTAGCAGCGCTACCAATCTTTCACACTCTTCACCAGGAGCTGGCCCGGAAGGTAGCTCGCGTCGCCAGCTTCGGCCTCGCGATGCTCCCAATATGCCATCCATAACCGAGAGCGTGCCCAAGAACCATCCTCGGGGACACAACCGCTCGATCAGCAACCCGTTCGCCGGTTTCGGACGAAAGCGTGACAAGACAGCTGTCAAGTACGAGACTTTTGACTCGGAAGACGAGGATGACGATGTCACATACCCCATCGAGCCCGAGTCGTCGAGCCCTCGGAAAGGGGCAATCCACGGAGGACATTCTAGTGATCTTGCCCAGGGCAAGTGCCAGACGTGCGATGCTACTGTGCGGTGGCCCAAGAACTTGAAGGTCTTCCGCTGTACAGACTGCCTGATGGTTACCGATCTTGAGCCGGATGTTCGTGAGTCGAAAGATACTGTACACAGCGGTAAGCCCCCCAGGGCTCTCAGGGCCCGTCGAAGATCCAAAGCAATGGTATTTACTACTGATACTCTTGGTGGATGATACCTGTACATGTACTGACCTATGATCACAGTATCTCATTTGTCGGCTCATCAGACTCGTGGCATGATCGGAGGGTGCCTAAACACGTATTTCGAAAGCCTTCTAGATGAAGGCTCTCGGTCATGGTTGTCGCTGGACGACGACAAATACGAAAAACCGAAGCAAGATCCATCTCAACCTTACAATTCGGGCTCAAACTATCTTTCAGTACCGGGCGCTGGCGATTCTCGAAGCCGCAGCGGTTCTCAGTCCAGCGACCATGAAAGAGTCAGTGCGTCAAAGGAGAACTTGGCGCATTTAGCCCCTCAGACCGTTCGTTGGGAGGGAAAAGACACACCTATTAGAGTTCGCGCAAACTCCGATCTTCAATCATCCCCGAAGCCAGATCGTCCTCAAGATGGTTCGCAGTCTGCTCATCCTGATATTCAATATCGGGAAGGCCAAGTGGAAATTTTCAAGCGACTGGAGACTACCATCGTAGCTGCCTTCAAAGGATGTGACTGTCTCAATGAATCATTCACCACTCATCCACCTCTTCGATCGGCCAGTAGTGGCAATCCACCGAAAATGAAGATGGACCCGGCACCAATGCCTGCACCAGCACCGGATGCCCCTGTTTTCGAACCGGATGCTAAAACACTCCTTTTGGGGGACCTGACTGAGAATTCAACTTGGTGGATGAACGAATGGGCCGAGGCTGAAGGACAACCACAAGTCTCTGCAAAGGAGAAAAGTACGCCGAAGTCTCGGATGGTCTCATCTCGAAGTCCGCGTATCAACTGGGCAGAGGTGTCCCAATGGTACCATCTAATTCTGAGCGCAGGAAGCTCTTGGGCTGAGCAGTGGGCTGCTAAAAAGCCTGACCCCACACGCTCAGAGGCAGACATGCTACGAGCCAAGAGATGGGCTTCCATTGACCCATCTTTGATCGGTAGACATATCAGCGAGTCTCGTTCCCATTTGCAGCGAACGCTGCTGAAGGCCACTGAGAATCTTCTTAAACGGCCGCGCCGTGTTCTAAAGAAACCAGATGACACGAGATTCTTATTCATTCTGCTAGCGAATCCTATCCTGTTGTCTCCTGCATCGTACCCACAGCACCCGCCAACACCGAAGTCTCATCGTGAAGAGAGGCGCCCATCGCAACCAAAAGACCATCCCAAGCCAGCTGCCCGCAATGGCAAACATAAAGAACCGACCAAACCGCTTCCTCGTTTACCAGGCTCCCACCACTATGGAATCATCAAGCGAGTTTTAGGCCTCATGTCCAATTTACCGAATGATTGCCATCACTACTTTGTGTCTTGGTCTGCACGTTTCTCAATAGGACATTTTGAGCGCCTGGTGGAGCTCATTGGTGGATTCTTGACTTACCGTTTGAGCCGACAGCATGGAAGGAAGCCTCCCAAAAAGCTTCAAGATGGGGATGATCTGATCCCAAGCTTTGCCAGTGCTTCGGGTAACACTCCAGCTGAACTTCATGCTGCTATCAACCGAAGGGGCCCAAACAAGAAGCCCGTCAAGAAAACCGAAGACCCAGTAGTCTACACAGAAGACTGGCAAATTCGAGCTGCCGCAAGGATCATGTCATTACTTTTCACGGCGAACATCTCTGGCTCTACGAGGAAATCCGACGGATCACCTCGCCAACTTGAATTGCCCAAGAACCCTGGCCCTCGCCAGGGCCACATGATTCCTATCAGTGCGTTTTACAACACACTACTTGACTATTCAGATTTGATTGGAGATTTTGAAATCTGGGAGTCTCGAAGCTCGAAGTTTTCGTTCTGCCAATATCCATTCTTCCTCAGTATCTGGGCCAAGATTCACATAATGGAGCACGATGCACGCCGCCAAATGGAAGTAAGGGCCCGTGAGGCCTTCTTCAATAGCATTCTCAATCATCGAGCGGTCAGCCAGTATCTTGTGCTGAAGGTACGACGCGAGTGCCTTGTTGAAGACAGCTTGAAAGGAGTCAGTGCAGTTGTTGGTTCCGGCCAAGAAGAAATCAAAAAGGGTCTCCGAATCGAATTCTCCGGCGAAGAGGGGATTGATGCCGGTGGTCTGCGAAAAGAATGGTTCCTTTTGTTAGTGCGAGAGGTCTTCGATCCTCACCATGGATTATTCATCTATGATGACGACTCACAGTATTGCTATTTTAATCCCTACTGTTTCGAATCATCTGAACAGTTCTTCTTGGTTGGAGTTCTACTTGGACTCGCGATTTACAACTCCACAATTTTGGATGTTGATCTCCCGCCATTTGCATTCAAGAAACTACTGGCATCGGCACCGCAAACCAGTGGGCCACAGCCTGCGAACTCTATTCGTTCGAGCTTCAAGTGCACCTTGGAGGATCTTGCTGAGTACCGACCGGTGCTGGCTAAAGGACTCCGAGGATTACTTGAATTTGAAGGAAACGTTGCGGAAACGTTCTGTTATGATTTCGTTGCGCAAGGTGACCGCTACGGAGAAAGCATCACGGTTCCACTCTGTGCAGGAGGCGAGAACCGACCGGTGACCAACTCAAACCGGCGCGAGTTCGTGGATCTGTACGTTCATTACTTGCTAGACACTGCCGTTGCTCGACAGTTCGAGCCCTTTAAACGTGGATTTTTCACGGTCTGTGGTGGCAATGCACTCTCGCTGTTCCGACCAGAAGAGATTGAGCTGCTAGTCCGTGGCTCGGATGAGCCACTTGATGTGAATTCCCTTCGAGCAGTAGCCACATATGAAAATTGGTCATATGTGCAGCCAGAGTCAGTCCCTGTGGTACGATGGTTTTGGGAATTCCTCGAAAGTGCGCCACCGAAGCAGCAGCGCAAGATTCTATCCTTCATCACTGGCAGTGATCGAATCCCCGCAATGGGGGCTACGAGTCTCAGTATCAAACTTGCATGTCTTGGAGATGACTCTCCCCGCTACCCAATTGCACGGACGTGCTTCAACACGCTGGGCCTGTACCGCTATTCCTCACGAGATAAGTTCCTATCTCTGCTCTCCGACGCAGTCGACAACAGCGAAGGATTTGGCTTGAAATAAGTTGATTATTGAGTTATTCATGGGTGGATCCGGTGCTTGCGCATTTTTCAAGACGCTGGACGTTGACTTCCAAAGCATATGGTACTTGGAGTCGTGGTTTTTTTCTGTTCTTTTGCTCGCGGTTTTCGGCTAAGGCGTGTCTTGCTATTTTGTTTGTGGAACAGGCGCTTTGCTTGTCATACACACTTTGCTGGATTGGTCTTGATGACTTTATCCCTATTTGCATAACATCATGTATGCTACTTTGCTAATACACGACATTGGCTGTGAAGTGTTTCATATCGGAGGCCGATCGGCTCGGCAAAAGCTTAGAAAGGACAAGCTTCCTGGAGCTCCGGCGGACTCCGCTTCTTCAGAAGTGTCGTATGAGCCCTGGCCATCGTTATCGAAATTCTTTTACAGTGAAGAGTTTAGGCTGACGCGTTCAGGAACCGGAAACCAGGAACAGCCACTAAAGTTTCTTGGTTCCCACGCATGCACTCTACTTATAAGAGATATTCAAGAGTTTTCCATGATCCTAATCAATAGAATGTCACCAAGAATGCGGAGGTCCGTCGGTTTATCGCGGGGCGTAAACACTACGCGACACCACGCTAGTGGACTGCGGTGCATAACTAGTCAAATACTTGCCGAGCAAAAAGCACTCACATATGATGTGATGAGCTATGAATTCGTCTGATAAGTAGACTGGAATCCCCCCTGAACAAGTTTCAGAACGTCTAGAGATATCGTGTACAGAGTGAGTACAGACCCAACATGCACGCAACCATCTACACAGGGCTTCTCTGCACCCTAGCAGCACCCGCCATGGGTGTAGTCTGGGAGAGTCTGACTGCTGGAGTACCAGCCAGTTGGACTCTTCAAGAGACACCCTCATCAGACTCAACAATGGCCCTGTCTATCGCATTGAGCCGCCAAAATCTAGACCAACTAGAGTCGACATTGACGAAGCTGTCAACGCCCGGCGAGGCTGAGTACGGCCAATGGCTTGAAAAGCACGAGATCGACGCGCAATTCCCAGTCGTGGATGATTCCTCCGTCGTGCAGTGGCTAAAGAGCGCCGGAATCTCCAATTTCGCTCGTGATGGCGCCCTCCTCAACTTCACGGGTAGTGTTGAGACCGTGAGCGGCCTTCTCAACGCTAGCTTTGCGTACTACCAGAATGGGGAATCGATCAAGTTGCGCACGACGGAGTATTCCATCCCGGACGATCTGACCGAGTATATCGATCTGATCTCACCGACTGTTTTCTTTGGCAAGACTCGCAGTGCTATCCCCGTTCCATCGTCTGCGCAGAGTGCTCAGATTGAGCGCAGGGCTTCCTCCACGGAGATCTCCCCCGCTTGTCAGACTTCTATTACGCCTTCGTGTTTGAAGGAGATGTATAACATTGGTGACTATACGCCCGAGCCTGCGGCTGGTAGTCGTGTTGCATTTGGAAGTTTCTTGAATCAATCTGCCCAATACTCTGACCTGGCAGCGTTTGAGTCGAAATTCGGTATTCCGTCGCAAAGTTTCACTGTGGAGTTGATCAACGGTGGCGTGAATAACCAGAGTGCCAGCAAGAGTGATATTGGAGAGGCGAATCTGGATGTGCAACTGATTGTTGCTGTTTCGCATCCTTTGCCTGTCCATGAGTTTATTACTGGCGGTGTTGCGTACGAAAACCCTCATTGTCTGTTGTTTAGGATCTAACATTTGACAGGCCTTTTATTCCGGATGCCGATGAGCCTACCGAGGCCGATGACGAGAACGAGCCCTATCTGATTTTCCATGAGTACTTGCTCTCTAAGACCAATGCCGAGCTGCCTCAGGTTATTTCGACCTCATACGGTGATGATGAACAGGTTAGTATTTGAGCACAAATCATGAATCGACGGAGTATTGACCGTATCCCAGACCGTCCCTGAGAAGTATGCCAAACGCGTCTGCAATCTCATCGGCCTGAACACCCTACGCGGGCTGACCATTATTCATTCTTCCGGCGACGAAGGTGAGAAAAAAAAGTCCAGGCCCTCACTAGAATTAAACTGAACTCAATCGAAATAGGTGTCGGCTCAGCTTGCCAGGCCATCGACGGCGTCACTCCCCAATTCAACCCAATCTTCCCTGCCACTTGCCCCTACGTGACGGCAGTAGGAGGCACATCAGACGTGAGCCCCGAAGTCGCCTGGAACGCCTCGTCCGGCGGATTCTCCAACTACTTCTCTCGAGCTTGGTACCAGGACTCTGCTGTCAAGACGTACCTGAAGAAACACGTCACAAAAGAAACGAAGGAGTATTACTCCAAGTACGCCGACTTTGAGGGTCGTGGATTCCCGGATGTTTCCGCTCACAGTTTATACCCTGAGTAAGTCTCCCTCTTGTCAAGAAGGCACCAATGTCTAATATAATTCCCGTGCAGCTACCAAGTCTTTGCCGCCGGCAAGACTGTCGCCACGGGTGGAACATCCGCCGCGGCACCTACATTTGCTGGCATAGTCGCACTCCTGAATGATGCCCGTCTGCGCGCTGGAAAGCCTGTCCTGGGCTTCTTGAACCCGTTCTTGTATTCGAAGGGTTATAAGGCGCTGAATGATATCACTGGTGGTGCTTCATACGGTTGTGGTGGTATCGATCCCCAGAGTGAAGCGGCTGTCTCTGGAAGTTTGATCATTCCTGGTGCGCATTGGAATGCTACTGAAGGGTGGGATCCGGTTACTGGACTTGGGACACCTAACTTCCAGGAATTGAAGAAGTTGGTTCTGGCGCTGTGAGGTTGAAGAGTATGGATATCGAGGGAGATTGTTCAATTATTGATGCTTCGACTATTGCGTGTATTATCTACAAGGTGACACTAATGAAGAGCTCCCTTTTAGACGCCTTGAGAGGCTTAGAGTGATATGACTAGATACACAGAGAGAAATGAACAGCTTGAATCATTTTTAGCTGAGACGGTATTAGTCTGAAATCACTAATTTACCACTGTTTCTTCGCTGATTCCCTATTCAATGAATCGTCGCCTTGCTCAGCAGCAACAGCATCAACCCGTTGGACATGAACATCCAGAACCATGGGCCCATTAAAGCGGCCCCTTTTAGAAAAGAAATACAATCCCAAAACAAAACCTGTCAGCCCCACCGAAACAACGGAGACATAGTTCATGTTCTCCTTTGTAACGGGCATTTCGGTAGGTAGGAAAAAGATAATGTCCAAGAAGACCACCCACATCACGGCAATGGAGTTGATCGCGGGTCCCAGTCTGCCCAAGGAGAAGGCACGCTCTGGGAGAACTTTGTCTCGTCCACGCCAGAGGAGTATGGCCTGTGGGAGGGCACAGGATGTTTGCAGGAAGATCACTGCTGCTCCGACCATTGCCGAGAAGGCGGTTGTTGAACCCAAGAAGATGAGGCCGTATAGCTATATGCTGTTAGATATTAAATGGAAGAGGAGGACGAGATGACACACCGAGATAACTGTTGCTGAGAGGCAAAGTGCGTTCAACGGGATCTTGAATTGAGGATGAACTTTAGACCAGACATTACTAAATGGCAGTGCTCCGTCGCGAGAGATTGCCCAGATAGTTCTTGAGCATGTAGTTCCTTATCAAAAAGTTAGCCCAATATCCAGACCTCGGACAGAGAAAAGAGGTAGAACAGACCATTGGCTACCGTACAACCAAAGAAGCAAAAGGCAAAAAGAGCCAACAAGACGGATGAGGCACCTTTTGAATTGGTACTTTGGTAGTAAATCTCAATCAAAGGCACTCCAGACGGTGTATTCACTACTGCTTCCATATCAGTGATTGCATACATACAAGCACAGGCAAAGGGCCATGCAGTTCCCAGCCCAATCAAGATCGGAAACAAAATGATCTTCGGCGTATTCTTTGCAGGCTCGCGAATCTCCTCGCATAGATGTGCACCGCAATCTGTCCCGAGGAAGGCGTAGACGGAGTTGCTGATCGCCAGGATGAAAGCGAGGCCATCACTGGACCATCCCGTGCTATTGGTTGTATCGCTAAACACCCAGTCAACTGCGGCGTGGTTGTTCCGACTACAGACGAAAAGGGTGACAGTTGTTGCTGTAAGTGTGCAACATGCAACGATGACTGTTCAGCAGAGCATCTGTTAGCAAAGGTGTGTAAGTGCGAGGTAGAGGGCCAGGGAAATACAATTGAACTGGTTGAACAAGGGCAGGATCTGAGATCCGAACGTGTTCAATGCCACAGCTAACCAGATAATGCCCACATAAACCAGCCATTGATGCCAGCTCTTGGATTCATAGTCTGGATACCACAGGAAGGCAATTGATAGAATCAACGAGGAGATGAAGTTGCATGCGGAGGCACTTGCCAACCACCATCCAAGTATACTAAGCCAGCCATTTCTTGAAGAGGCAGAATTAGTGACTTGTTTCTACAAATAAAAGATGGGATATGACTCACATATAGGATGCAAAAGCTCGATACTCCTGTGAGGAAAGACAATAGGCCCAGTAGTACTGAGCCCCTGCAACAGGGAATGCAGATGCCAATTCCGCCACACCAGCCGACAGAATGGCAGTCATTAATCCTGCAACTGGAAGAGACCAAAGAACCCCAGCTGCCGATGCCTCTTGAAGGGCCACACCAAGGGAAGATCCGGTACCAGACCAAGTGCAGGTCAAACTGAAAGATAGAGCCACCAAGCTGAATACAGAGAACTGCCGTGGCATTTCCTGGCGATAGCCACGGACTTCAAGGTCAAAATCATCGTCTGCCACTTTCATTTGGTCGAACAAAATGATACTTGCAAGCCATGGTCTCGGACACTGTGCGCTTGATATAAGGCATACTCTCTGCCAAGATTGGAGTTGAACGCAGCCATGATAAGAAGAAGCCTTTTCCCCACGAATGTCAAAGACATAGAATTGAAGCCCTGAAATTCTAAGCAGTAAAGAACCCCAAATCAACCAACCATCATTGGATGCTCCTCTCGGCGCCGTTGGCGCTTTGGAGCTGATTGGCGGCTATAGATCCACCACTTGTTCCCCCTCACCGGAACTCGCTCTATCGCTTCTTCTTAATCCCCGCCATTGGCGCCAGTCGGATATTGAGAGCCTCGAGGTGAATGTCCTGCGATATGTCAGAGCCAACACCGCGGCGAATTCCACGCCGAATCGCTAAACGGAGAGGGACCACGCGGGAACGGACGGGGTGCTTAACATGTCGACAACGGTAGGCATAACACTTCAGACTACCCCCAACTTGAAGCTAGTGCTCATATCTAGAATAGGAAAAAGCGCTGCGATCTGGGCTATCCCGTGTGCACGCAGTGTGTCCGACTCAATTACTTGTGCACATGGGAAGAACCCCGAACGATAGGCGTGAATGAATCCACCCCAGTTCAGGATCAACTGGTCCAGATTCCCTTTCGAATCTTGCAGGTTCCGGATCCGATCTTGTTCTGGGTAGATGATCACTCTGATAATACGTCGCGCTCGAGTCGACGCCATTTCCTGCGATACTATGCGCAGACCTTTACCCACCTTCTCACGACGAATATCGAGAATAATTCGTTTCTTTCAAGTGAGTGCATTCTAGCTTTTATCGATGGATCTTCGTGGCTGATGGTATTGGAGTCTTCCTGCCAATGGCAATGCACGATTCGGCATTACTGAATGCTCTGATCGCGTGGTCCTCCTCTCATCTTTCGTTGCGTGACAAGGCTTTCCACCAAGTCGCCATGCATAATCGGCTGGCGGCCCTTCGGGATCTGCGTCTGTCTCTCCAGTCCAGTCCTGAAAATGTGGAGATCAATCTTGCTATTACGTTAGTGCTTTGCTCTATGGAGAGCATCATGGCAGATAACGACAAAGCATGGTATCTGCATCTGATGGGCGCGGCTGGTATTATCTCATCTCGCACGTCCATTGAGCCTGGAAGTGACTTGCAATCTTCACAGCTTCTTCGAAGCTTCGAGGATGCTACCACAGGTCGATGGCTTTTACGCAACTTTGCATATCATGACCTCTTAATGGCAGTAGCCTTGGACCGGATGCCGCTCCTACCTTCTCATCTGTTTGTCCAGCTTGACAAAGGACCAATGGCTGATTCATACTTTGGCCTGGCTTCCGAGATTCTGGAAATTCTATACTCGATCATCGACCTGAACGCCAAAGTCAAATCCTTGAAACCCCAAACATCCAACGATACAAATGCCACCCCCATCTCTATTCCCGACATATCAACAACTTTCAAATCCCTCGAATCCCGTCTGAAGGCCTGGACCTGCCCATCATCAAATGACACGTCCTTAATATTGCTAGCTGAATCATACCGCAGTTCAGCCCTTCTATATCTGTACCGAGTGGCCCGTCGAGGCCTCCCCAACCAGGTAGACAGCCTGTCTCTCAAAATCACTCATGAGGTGGGGGAAATGGTGGCCAACATCGATAAAATGCCGACTCGAAGTCTCCCTGAATGTACATTACTATTCCCAATTTTCCTCGCAGGAGGCGAAGCCACCGAAGAAACGCATATCAAAAGCATCCAGCACAAAATGCACGATATGATCGAGTCTCGCGGATTCCGAAACGTCGAAGTAGCACTCGGAGTTCTAGAAAAGCTATGGCGCTTGAACCTCGAACGCAAGACCTCACAAGTGAAAGGAACAGTGGACTGGCTGGACATTGTACAACAAGACGGAGTGTTACTATCACTCTCATAAACAACCCACACCCAATCCAACCAAATAATCCCCTCGCAACCCCCCTTAATAGCAGTAGAAGCCTCCTATCTCACAAACTGATCCACAAACCCAGCCCCAAGCCCAACATCCTCATAATGCTTCCTCGCCGCCATCAACTTACTAAACACATCCTCCACACCCAGCGCCGCGCCCTGCGCATCCACATAGATATAAGCCCCAGTAACATGAAACAACGTCACCATCTCCTCCACACCCTCAGGAACCTCGAGCGTATGAATATCGCCTGGCGGCTCAAACGCATAGCCGCCTTCCTCGGCCCACCAGTCATGCTCCAGATAATGCCAGCGACCGCGCAGCACAGTCGCGTGCACGGGTCCCGTATGTCGGTGACGGGAGAGGATGCCGTTTTTGCGCACGCGCAGGATGTTCACAAAGTACCCCTGCGAGACGTTCAGGCATAGCGGTCGGAACCAGACGTCTGGTGCCTGAGGGACCCAGAGGCGTTCGTCGCAGTTCAGGTCCATTGCGTCTGTTACTACGATGTCTTCGGGGACGTTGGGGAGTTTCGGGCCTTGGTAGGCTATTGGGGTGTTGTCGCCTTTTTCTTGGAGGGTCATCTTTTTTTTTGTCAGTGGTGATTTGGAGGATGATGAATGAGTATGGGTGACCTTACTTTTTCTGTGGTCATTATTTGAATTGAACTGGGTTGGAGGGGGTTTAGCTATTGGAGGTTGGAGGTTGTGATTTGATTCAACTTATACTTCTGGGAGTGCAACACTCGGGCGTCAATGGCGGCGAACATAAACACTGTCACTGCAACTGTTTCTCCCAAGTGGAGAAGATCGGACTAGAAGATTTGAGTCGAATCTCCCGATGATATTCACTCGGCCGCCCTTGACGCCGAGTGGGGGAGTTGGAGAAACAAGATCGTCTACAAAACCCAGATGCCTCACTTCCACCGTCCCAATCCTCAATCCCATCTCCTTGATCCCAAAATGACCGACACCTTCGTAGCAAACTCCCACATCCTCCACCGCACATTCCACACCAGACCCGCCAAAGTAACCAAAGGCCACGGCATAACCTTCACACTAGAAGACGGCCGACAAATAATCGACGCCAGCTGCGGCCCATCAGTCTCCTGCCTGGGCCACAGACAGCCAGAAATCACGCGCGCAATAGCCGCACATCTGGAACAGGACATCGCCTACGTCTATTCCGGCAGCCCATACACCAACCAAGCCACCGAAGACCTAGCAACGCTCCTGCTAGCCTCCAAGCCGGGCGGTCTATCCAAAGCAATCTTCGTCAACTCCGGCAGCGAAGCAACAGACGCCGCGCTGAAACTGGCGGTGCAGTACTGGCACGAGAAGGGCCAGCCGCAGCGGACGCATTTCATTGCGAGGAAGCAGAGCTACCATGGCAATACGATTGGCGCGCTGTGCGTTTCGGGACATGAGTCGAGACGGGAGTTCTATCGCGATTTCATGTCTCCGAATGTGTCGTTTGTGGATCCTTGTTATGCCTATCGGATGAAGGGGGAGGGGGAGAGTGATGATGGGTTTGTGAAGAGGTTGGCGGGGCAGTTGGAGGAGGAGATTCTGAGGGTTGGAGCTGAGCAGGTGGCCGGGTTTGTGGCGGAGACGGTTTCGGGGACGACGTTGGGTTGTGTGCCTGCTGTCCCTGGGTACTGGAAGGCTATTCGGGAGATCTGTGACCGGCATGGGGTTTTGTTGATCTTGGATGAGGTAGGAGGTTTGGGATTATCTCTAGTACGCGCTGATCTTGGATGTATTGCTGACGATGCTTTGGATCTAGATCATTTGTGGCATGGGAAAGACGGGAACTATGCACGCCTGGGAGCAAGAGGGTATTCGGGGTCCTGATATTCAGACTATTGGCAAGGCCCTCGGTGCAGGGTTTGTGCCTCTGTCTGGCGTCTTGCTCCACGAGAAGATATTCCAGGCTCTCGCGGCTGGTTCGGGGGGATTAGCTCACGGTCATACGTTCCAGGTTGGTGATGGTGATTGTCTGCCGAGATCCAGGCTAACATTAGAAAGGCCCATCCTCTCGCCTGTGCCGCGGCAATTGCAACGCAAAAGATTCTCCACCGAGACAATCTCCTCCAGCAAGTTGTCACTCTGGGAAAGAGACTGGAAGGTTTGCTTCAACGCGAGATCGGCCCGCTTCCTCTCGTGGGAGATATCCGCGGCCGCGGTCTCTTCTGGGCAGTCGAGTTTGTGCTCGACAAGAAGGCCAAGACCGCATTTCCTCTCGAGGCCAATTTCTCCAACAAGATTGTTGCCAATGCTCTCAAGCGTGGGGTGAATATCCTGGGGAATCTCGGGCATACTGGTACTTACCAGGTTGATCATATTCTCGTTTGCCCGCCGTACATCACGACCGAGGAGGAGCTCGAGCAGATTGTGAGACTTGTAAAGGATGCTATTGTTGAAACGAGCCTGGAATTTATCTAGTAGTTGAAGTTGGTGGTTGCTATGTTATCGCAAGCGTAAGAAGAAAGAGAAATACAGATGAACCTAAATTCATGCCTATTCTAGCTCCACTCTTTGCGCCCTCTGGCTTTCCATATCACATTGCGGGGTGAAGACCTGCATCACTTCGACCTATTTTCCGTTAGTACATGCTTGCACAGTATCCACATCCCCGAGTATCACAATTGCAGGTCAATGCCAGAAAGGTGAACGCGGAACTCTCGCAACACCAGACAAGCCACCTGGCCATGCAGTTGAAAGGCTCTACCCCTCTTGATCCAGAGAACATAGGCCCCAGAAACAATTTAAAAAGAGGATACCGCGCTAGAAGATTAAAGAGGTTACCAGAACCAGGCCGGAAACCACAAAAAGCAAACTATACACAGCCAAATACACCAAGCGCCCAAAATAAGTTGAGCACAACGCCGATCCCAACCAAATCAAGCTGTCCGGGGTAAAAGCAATTCAAAAACCAAAAGCAAAGAAGACAAAAGGCCCAACAGCACAGTGAGACCAATGCATGTCTGTCCTACACGTACAGAATAGCCGATGGCCATCTGCATCTGCATTCCCCTCACCGGCGGTCAAGAATCCAGCACACACATGTCTCAAAGAGTCGAATTGGACGCCTCCCCGACATCCCCGGATTCAAAATGAAGCTATCGACATCCTCGTGACTTTGCCTTTAGCGGAGTTTGGGTGTGGAATTGTTCCTGTGGACAGTGACCGGGGAGCGGTGAGAGCATTGGGGTTGGATTTGGCGCTTTTGCTTCTTTGCGAGCAGACATTTGCTGAGCTTTCTCCGAGGTCAGCTGTGTAGCAGAGACTTTTTTGATTTGTGTTTGCCGGGACTGGGGGCTGTGTTCTGGATAGGGAGTGACACGGATGCTGTGTAAGTTTGGCTCAGGTACCGAGCTTCGGTGAGAGACTGTGATGATTTGTTAGAATGGCAAAGCGTCTGTTGAATGGAGAGGTCGAGAATCAGTAGATCGCCAATCCAGTCAAGGCTCCTCGCGAGGCGAGTATCCGAGAACACTGCAGCGCGGGGCTCTCCCCTGTTGGCTTCACGTCACTTGGCAACGTCCCAACACAACTTTATACGTAGAAACGAAAGCTGGAAAACTCATACGTAAAGTCAACCAATGCAAAGTCCGTGAGATGTAGTGGAGACCGACGTATGACACCTGCCGATCTTGACCCACCTGTGTGTGCTGTAGTGAGATGAGGATATAGTTCGGACAGGGCATCAAGCGCCTCGAAGTCAGGCTTCCCCTCTTTCCAGGGCTATATAAACGGCCTGTTCAGCTTCTCTTTCTTGAGATTTGACTTGACTCCGTAGATTCTTAGCTTCACCTTTCTTCTCACTTCTTACTCACCATGGACATCCCCAAGACTATGAAGGCTCTGCTATACACAGAGCCTAAGAAGCACAGCATCGTCGAGGTCCCTGTACCTGAGCTGCGTGAGAATGATATTCTGGTATGAGATCATGGCCATTGACACATGAGACGGGGGCTAATCACCTGATTTATAGATCAAGGTCAAGGCTTGCGGTGTTTGTGGTACCGATTTGCATATCCACGAGGGCGAATTCATTGCCAAGGTACATGCCATGAGCAATAACCAGTCAAACCATCGTTACCAACAGTCTCTAGTTCCCCCTGATCCCCGGTCACGAAACTGTCGGCGTCGTAGCCGCCATGGGACCCAAAGTCAAAGACTTCCAGATCGGCGAGCGTGTCGTCGCAGACAACTCCGAGCTATGCGGAACATGCTTCTACTGCCGACGCGGCGATGAGCTGTTCTGCGAGCACTTCGAGGCCCACGGCGTGACGATGAACGGCGGCTTCGCCGAATACTGCGCCTATCCGGGTGAGTACCGAGCAGAATCAGAACACACCACCTCCAGCAAAACCCAAAACAATCACATAAGCTAACACATCACTCTAGCTGGCCGGGTCTTCAAGATCAAGAACCTATCCGACGTTGACGCGACCCTCCTCGAGCCAGCCTCCTGCGCAGCCCACGGTCTGGACAAGATTGCGCCGAAGATGGGCTCGTCCGTTCTCATCTTCGGTGCTGGACCTACTGGTCTTGTCTTGGCTCAGATGCTCCGTCAGAACGGTGGCTGCAATGTCATTGTTGCCGCTCCACAGGGATTGAAGATGGATCTTGCTCAGAAACTCGGTGCCGGGGACAAGTACATTGAACTGTCGCGCCAGAACCCACAGGCCCAATTCGATGCATTGAAGGCGGAGAATCCCTACGGCTTTGACATTGTTGTTGAGGCTACGGGAAGCCAGAAAATCCTTGAGGATTCGATCAACTATGTTCGCCGCGGTGGTAAACTTGTTGTGTATGGCGTGTACTCGAGTGAGGTTCGGGTTTCGTGGTCGCCGGCCAAGATTTGTGAGTTTTTTTTTCTTTTCCAGCGGTACTGTGTTGCTCTGCTAACTTCTTTCAGTCGGTGATGAGATTACAATCCTGGGTAGTTTCTCGGAGACATACAAGTTCCCTGCTGCGGTTGATTACCTTGATTCTGGAAAGGTCAAGGTTGATGGTATTGTCAACAAGGTGTATAAGATTGAGCAGTGGGAGGAGTGTCTGGAGGCTATGCGCAACAAGTCTGCTATCAAGGCTGCTATCACCTTTGACTGAGTGGACTGATCTGATTGAAAATTGACTGGCTCATAGAGAAGGACTCGATAGAGAAATTGACAATTCTTCCTTGAAGTATGGGAAGCCAATAACGTAAGTTAGATGTAGGTCGAGGACCTTGCAAGACACCACCAAGGTAGCCTCGTCGATTCACAAAAGGTCTAGCTATATGGGATGAGGTTCCGCATACAAAAAGTAAGAGATAGAAACAAAAGAAAAAAAGGAAGCGAACAGGGAGAAGAAGAATGCAAAGGAGAGAAGTATAGATCCTGCTTAGTCGTCCCCGTCTTTGCTGGGAGCCCCACACAAGCAACCTCCAACTCCAACTCCGACTCAAACCCCAACCCACCCCCCAGAAAGAAAAATGGTCAAACCTTTAACATTCAAAGGCGACAAGCCAAAGAAACGCAAGATCCGCACAACAGATACCGAGAACCCAACCCCCAAAACGCGCAAAACAATACCCACCGAAGAAGACCCAAACCCAGAAGACCAAAGCTGGGTCTCCGCCGACGCAGCAAGCGACATTGCCGGACCAGTAGTCCTAGTCCTACCATCCGACGACCCAACCTGCATAGCCAGCGACGCCAATGGCCAAGTCTTCGCCAGCAAGCTCGAAAACCTAGTTGAAGGCGACCCCAGCACGGCAGAACCACATGACGTGCGACAGGTTTGGATTGCGTCTAGGGTTGCCGGAACAGAGGGGTTCAGTTTCAAGGGACATCATGGGAAGTGAGTACTTACCCTGGCCTGCAAGACCAGCAAGACACCCTCGCCTCAAATCCAAACCCAATCCTCTCATCTCCCAACAGCCGCGCTAACCAAAACCCCCTCTCCAACCATCCAGATACCTAACATCAGACACGCACGGCCTCCTAAGCGCCACAGCCAGCGCAGTAAGCCACCACGAAAGCTACCTAGCAATCGCGTCGCCAGAAGTCAGTGGCACATTCTCCCTCCAGACGCACGGCGGCGACACCGAGACCTTCCTGTGCATCAAAGAGAACAGCAAAGCCGCGGGCGGGGTGGAAATCCGGGGCGACGCAAGCGTCATTTCGTTCGAGACGACGATGCGCGTGCGCATGCAAGCGAAGTTCAAGCCGCGAATTCGCGCGAGCAAGGAGAGCAAGGCATATGAGAAGATTAGTAAGAAGGAGCTTGAGGGGATTGTGGGGAGGGTGCTTGATGAGGACGAGGTTAGGAGGCTGAGGAGGGGGCGGAAGGAGGGGAATTTCCATGAGGTTTTGCTTGATGTTAAGGTTAAGGGGAAGCATGATAAGTTTGCTTGATTGCATCCATTGTATAGTACGGTATTATTGTGGATTAGCTGGGGTTTTTGTGTGGTGGGTTGGTTGGTATCATGGGACATGAGGGGATGATGGATTGGAAAAGAAATAAGAAAGCTATGAGGTTATGTTATGCTTTCAATGTAATGATGTTCAATGTTGTGTCGAATCAAATCATGGGATTCTTCCTTTGTTTGCCTCGTATTTTCTAGTCTATCTATGAATCTATATATGACAGACCAAGAGATACCAATGTCAAATTTGTGTCTCTTTCTTGCTATGGAGGCATTGACACGAATGAAAGATAGATTGCAGCTCCGTATATGCTTCTTCAGATCCATGTCATTTTTCTAAAATTTTATTTCTCAATTTGTATACGAGTATAGAACGATGGCAATGAGACAAAATATAGAACAAAGAAAGCAAAGTCAAGCGTGCGATCTTTTTCAGATTCGATTGATCAACCGATCAAATCAAATAGGAGATTGGGAAGTCAGCAAAATAAGAAAGAAAGGGATCACCGCACAACTTGTTCAAGAATAGATCCGAATATGGATATGAATCTCCCCATGGACGGATTACGCGGCGAGATTCGTCATGCAAGATCAGATCTAGGGCAAGTAAAGCCAAAGAAAGACTTCAATGTGGAAATGGAAAAAAAGAGGCTGAAACTGAGAATAAGAATGTAGATACTAGGCAAGTAAGTTAATGGTAACGACCGAGCGGGGGGTTCTGTCCTGTCCGGATTTTCTGGTACATGAGTTTCAGGGACGGCAGGCCCCGGGGTATGAATTCTAACATTTGACAGTAGTACAGGAAATAGCCGCAGAGAAGATAATGGGATGAAAGTCTGGTGACAAATTGGGCGAGGCGACGAGCGCAAGAAGATTGGAGGGAAGAAAGTGTGTAGTGGTTGGAGGGCATGAGAGGCGGGAATCTGAAAGAGGGAAAAGCAAGAAACGAAATCCTGATCTCATACCGGAGGAAACATTCTTTGGGCATTTAAACGCGACAAGAAGCAAGAAGCAGAGTAAACCAGAGAGAGTCGGAGAGAGAAAGAGATGCGCAGAAGCCATAAACGAAAACAAAGCAGATAAAGTCTAAGTTCATAAGTTTCTTTCGTGTTGCGAGGAAAAAAAATCGGGAATCAAGTCAAGCGGAAGGATGAAAAGCAAGGGGACGAATTGTACAGAGAAAGAAAGATGGGAGAGGCTGGTGGATGATTGAGCTTAGGACGAGTGCGATGGTCTAGCCCATATGTTGGCGTCTTGTATTATTTAGAACGCAGTTGATCCACGCGAAATCATTTGCACGAATATCAGGAGTTGAGGGATAGACCTTGGAATCGGCCGACCCATTCACCCTGCCCCGGGTGCATGCGTGAGGCACTGTTTGATGCAGCACCAGCGGAGCCATAATCAAATGCTCCGTCGAGACCATAGCCACTCGAAGCATATGGGGCGAATGGATCCGACTGAGATGAATCTTGTTGGCGGGTAGATTGGTTGAAAGGTTGGTAGGAGTCGCCATACGCCGTACGCATCAAGCCAACTGGATTCTGCATGTCACGGGTTGTATCGGCAGGGTCGCGCGCTCCATACTGTCTGCCATCATGTTGATGACGACGGTCAGGGTTCTCTTGGGTATAGAGGGGGTTGGTAATTTGGCCAGGGCCAGGGCCAGGTAGACCAGGGGTTGGAGGAGTCACAAATGAAGCGGGGTTGATGGCTGACATCCAGATGCGAGTCTTGTAGATTTTGAAGAGGTCTGTAACTAGCGAGTTGAAGTTGATATATGAATCCGCAAAGTAGTAGAACGTAAGCTTCTTCCAGTCCCTGCGAATATGTCAGTAGCTTATCAATGTCAAGATGAAGTCAACATACATTTGGAACTCAGCATCCAGAATCTCCATGTTCAAACGATGCTCCACAACCTTTTGCTGGCAGACACGCTTGGCCTTGGCCTCGTTTCCTTCCTTGTCACGCAGAGTTAGAATCTCGTGGGGCTGCGCCAGGCGCTTGATGAGCTTAGGCTTGAGTTCGGCTGTAGGCTCCTGCACACTATGTGGTCCGTGAGGACCCATGCCACCAGTGGCACTTCTAGCATTTGGGTTTGCGGGGGCTGTGACATTGGAACCTTCAAGCTGACCCTGTCGAGAAAACATCATAAGCCACTTGTAGTGCTCTTCGGCATATTGTTGCTTCATCTCTCGGGCCTTTTGGAGGGAGATGTTGGCATGTTGAACAGTGCCCAGATCTGTGCCCCGGTCTGCCTCAACAATAACCAAGTCGCCCTTATTCACTTGGAGACCGGTGTCTTCTTGGATATAGAAAACGTCTGCGCGGTGACACTTGAACGTGACGAGATATAGAAGCTGATGTTGATGTGCGTGGGACAACGCGGGTTGCTGACGGCCATATGCACCCATGGCGTACTGGTTGAGAGTAGTAGGGATGCCCGAAGAGCCATCGCCACGCAATGTCTGCTCACGGGGATAGTACGATTCTGTGAAGGGTTAGCATGTCAGAAAAATTATGAATGGGAATGTATACTCACGATTAGCGTAGTCATTGACTCCATAAGTATCATCACGATCTCCCATCGCTGCGCGCGGGGCAGCAGAGTTAAGGACATCAACCGACCCCATAGAACCATGACGAATCGGGATATCCGCGAACGAGTGACGACGGCTCTGAGGCATATCGGCCATCCGTCCAAAGCCGAGAGAAGTCTGCCAGTGAGCCTTGCGCACGTTTTCTAGAGCACGGTTCTCAAGCGGGGGAGCGATGGATGAAAATGGCGCTTCTGGTTGGGGCGAATGTTCAGAGAAGCGACGTCTATTGTTGCCGTGCATGTTAAATTCAGAGAGATCGCGCAGTACTCCCAGATCCTCCACAGCCAAGTCTTCCTCTGGGACACCGCCTCTAATGCGATGCAATGAATGAGCTCCTCCACCAAGAGATACAGCTGATCCAGCACGCTCACGGAATCTGTTGTCTGTTTGATTTGCTGCTGCTGCTTGTTGTCGCAAGAGTGCGTTCTCGCGTGCCAGCTGCTCGATCCTTCGGGCCTGATTAGCCGAATAGCTCATATCACCGTCAGAGCCGTTGAGGCTTTCGTCGCCATCATCGTCCTCGCGGACCTGACCAAGCATGGCAGGATCGTGTCCTAGTTCGCCTAGAACACTGGGACGTGATGTCCGAGGCTGAACAGCTGACATCTGCCCTGGTGCGCGCGAGCGACCCGCAAATTGACCATTACCAGCGCCCGCGCCATTCTTCCCGGGCAGGCCAAGGAACTCAGGATCCATCTGGCCGACAGAATAGGACTGGGATCGATAGGTTTTAGGAGTAGGGTGTAGCGGAATAGAGAATGGAATAGTAGATTCACCAGAAATGGTGCGAGTGATCGGGCTCAGCATGTCATCTTGCATGGTGCTCACGGGAGGCGGGTTCGTCATAGTGGGAGAAGGGACCATTTCAGACAAGCGAGATGGGGGTTCCTTTCGTGATTCAGTATTCCAAATGCCTGTACCAGTCCAGGGGAAAGAGCTTCCGCCGGCTTGATTCCACCCGAACGAGCCAGGAATTCCGGGGCTTGTGTTTGTCGCCCAGGGGGCCTGTTCTGTGGCAGGACTGGTAGGATTGGAAGGAGCAGATGAAAGGTGACCGCCCGGCAGGGAGTGTTTGCGTTGTGCTGAAAGTGGTACTTCGTTCAGCCACGAGGTTCGGCGGGCCGGTGGTCGGGTACTAGGTGGGATTATGTTCTGAGCTTGGCCCACATGGTCTCCATCGTCATCTGAAGAAGCAAGCGCATCCGAGTCGGGGGTAGAGCGGCGCACGCCAGGGTGAGTCTTCTCGAGAATAGCAGAGGCAGTCGCCGCAGCAGGCGGCGGGGACGACTGTGCTGGAATTGGTCTGTGAGATGGCGCAGCCATGACTTCTTTTCATAGAGGGACACTGCTGTCAAGTCAGTCAAGGCTCTTTGAGCTGTGTGACAAAGTGATCACTCCCCGCTGGTTGTGTCACCAACAGCGCCACTTGACACCCATTGAAGCGACACAGCCCGAGCGGGGTTGTTTGATCAAATGATAGTCCGAGGGTCTGGAAGCACGGGCGATTGACTGACCTGTGTTTGAGCGACAATTGCCAGGCTGTACGGTATAGATGTGTCTTCAGTTCAAGAAACGAACGCACAAACTCCAGTCTATGTTCCACGCGCTCGACGAGGTTGGGGTTTATAGCCAATCTCGATCTTTTAAACACACGATGGATGACTGGGTATATGCGCTATGTCCAAAGGCTAAAAGAAAGTCAGTCAGCCCTGTTCATGTCAAGAAAATGCTGAGAAACAGAACGCTCAAAATGTATGAAAAAAAGAGAATGAGGGTGGCATGACAGGAGCCGCAGCTTAAAGCGGGGATATGCATGTCTGCAAGTCCTCGGCCCCTCTTCCCAGGGCCCAGAGGCCCCAGAGCCCCAGAGTGGAGGTCAAAGTCCACACCGGTGTCTGCCCCCCCCAGCCCGCCGAACTCCAGACGGTCGACGCCCGCAGAAACCCGCAAAGCGCCCACGAGGTGACAGGCAAGCCCCCAGCGCAAGGGAAGCAAGGGGGGCACAGAAAAGAACATAAAAAAAAAAACCACCGCCCCCCACCATCACGCGAAAACCACCCAACCACGCACAGTATCAAGAAACCCCGGCTCGCCGCGAAAACTCGCCTGCGATCGCAACATCAAACCAGACCGATACGTACCTAAAAGACCCGTAGATATCTAAAAAAAAGACCCTCCACTGTAATGCGGGGCGAAGATCAGACGACCCGAAATCAGACAGATATCGACGAGATGGAGTCGGGGGGGATAAAGTAGCGTGATCGCGATTGTGCCTGGGGTTGCGATCCCATGCATTAGCCAGTCGCATTCGGGAGAGGAAGGAATACGGCGAATGCGCTAGGCACGACTCACGAATCACGACTCTAATAGTGATGGCTCAGTAGACCGATACGTGCGTAAAATGTCCGGAAATCTATTGGAAATCGACGAGCGCACGTGTGATCGTGGGGGGTTTCGTAAAGAGCGACGGACAAGAGGCAACAAGACGAGACGGAGGCGAAAGGAGAGCGGTATTCAGAGCACCGAGGTGAGAGTGGGAAGGCAAGGATGATGAAAAGGGAGGTGAAAGGAGTAAGAGGGGGAGGGAGAGAAGAGAGAGGAGAGAGAGGAGGAGGGAAGAGGGAAACTGGGGTAACCTCTGACGGATCTGGCAACGTTACGATGGACACGGACCACGTAAGGTGCAGGGGGGAAGTGTACAGTCTGGGAGTCTAGTGGATGGACATTTATATGGAGGATCAGTGTGGGATGATATATTTGGGTTCCAAGAGAGTCGGATTAAACTATGTTCACTTCCCACCTCATCCTGGCCTGATTCCTTCCTCACATTCCTGACTTCATCGGTGGGGCAGCGGGTCGAAGATCTGGGGAACAGAATCGCTCCCTCAATTAATCCCTCGTCTCTTTCCCTCTTCCCTCCTCACACTTAGCCCTCTCTTCTGTATAGTCACACAGAATCTTAACGTCACTGTTACCCCCGATACCCAAAATCTCCTATAGAGGTGAAGTAATAACACATCAACTGACCTCCTCATCCATGGAAGAGAGAATCAGTCTTTGCGGGGAGAGCTTTCCCGTCCATGCATGCCATGGGGCTAACAGCCTCTCACAGCGCACCCAATTCCCCACGCGACTAATATCCTCGGGTGGCGGGGGGTTCGATGCATCTGGACCGTTGCACGGAAGAGTACACAGTTGGCTCACAGTCTAGAAAGATGTGTTGGATATTGCCCCTCTCCTAAGAGAGAGAGTAAAAGAGTCAAGCGTCAAGAGATGAACGTCGAGGCGTCTCTTCCAATCACACCCCGCTCCGGACCTCCGTACTTCGTGTCTTGGCGTACACGACAGGTTGGTGGATCTGAAGTTGCTGATGGAGCTTGGTCTGGGGGACGTACAATTGGATTTGAGCATGGGAAATGGCATGGGAGGATATTTTATCTGCCGCGCTCAGTTTGACCAACCTTCACTGTATTCGTGTCTCTATGGGAGGGTACTTTGGCTTCGGCATTGACTCAGACGTAAGGTGTCGATGGGCTTAGTGGGGTTGGGCCTCGGTGGCATGGACACATTACCCCAGATCTGCAGGTTGACGGACTACATGGTCTGCATGCCACTCTCCAGGACTTCTGATAGAATTAGGAGGAATAACTGAGGAGTTATTGTTGCCTGGGGAAAAGGGCATCGATGTGGCAAAGGCCATGCCGCTCAGGCACCTACTCGGCAACATAGACCATGTTATAATACGGCGGCGTAGATACGAAGAGAAGTAATCCAGTCTGCAGTCAAGTGGATATCAACACGTGCAAGCTGTAAAGACCGAACAATCATCCTTTTAAACCCAATTAATGTACAAGTATATGCATCTCAACCCTCCAACCCCTCACGGGGCACTGTCCAAGGGAGCAGAGGCGGTAGCCGCAGCGCCCTTCTGCTGGCGCAGCTTCTCTTCAAATCGAGCGAACTCGTGCATAGAAATCACCTCTTCCTCATCCATAACCTGCTCGACACCCTTGACCTCCTCAATCTAGAATCCAAGTCAGTGAATAGCCCCAACATCAATCGCAGAACAAAACTCACATAATGCATCAGCATGGACTCAATGCCATTCTTCAAGGTGACAGTGCTCGAGTCACAAGTACGGCAAGCACCGCGCAACTTCAACATGACAATACCATCCTCGAAAGAGCGCAGCTCGATGTCGCCACCATCCTCCTGAATGGCAGGACGGATTCTCGTCTCGAGAAGTTCCTTGATCATACCGACGACTTCGTCGTCATCCTCGTTGTAGCTCAGCGAGTCTGCGACACTCTCTTGACCCTCGGCGCCGGCTTCGGTGGTCGTTACAATCGTCTCACCAGATGTCACAGCCTGGGTGATGATGCTGAAGACCTCGGGCTTGATGTGTGACCAGTTGGCATCACCAGCTTTGGTCACGGTGATGAAATCAGGGCCGTAGAAAACAGAGGTCACACCCTCCACATCCAATAACTTGGCTGCCAGAGGGGAAGGGTGTGGTGGGGCGAGAGTTGAGCGTGGAGACATGTATTCGAGGAATGTCGTAGGGAAATCTTCTGGAAGGACGCGGTGGTTGGGGATAAATTTCAGAGCCTAATCAGTGGTTAGAACGGAATGATATCGATCTGCAGGTGTGAAGTGGCCTTACATCGGGGTTGGGGGTATTCTCAGTCTGGATGAAGATAGTGCGCTTGCTCGTCGGCGAGAGCCCATTAAGCGGGTTCCGTGCAATAGGTTGCTGGTTTGGTCGCACTGTTGGTCGGCGACGGGTCTCTGATGCTGTGAGTGTAGGGAGACGGGCGGAGCTGGAGACATTTCTGTATGCTGCAAAGGCCGGTCGAACAGTTCGCGCGGTGCACTCGGAGCTAGCGAGACGGCTGCTTAGAAGAGCGCGGCGGAACATGGTGGTAGATGTGCTGCTCATAGACATTATGTGGAATGAAGCAAATGGCTTAGACAGTTGGTAGAAGCAGAGTTATAGAAAAACACTCGAGGCGTTTGTCCGATGGCCGACTCTGACGCAATTTGACGACCACGTGACCTTGAATCTGACAAATGAACCTGGGATCTGCACCAATCAGAAGCGGTGCTTTGCAGCATTACATCTATGTATCGCCGAATGTCGGAGATTGAAGACCAGTGGTTTAGAGGCTATTGTCATGTCTTGGTTACTATTTCGGAGTTGATTCTTTGAATACTATGCCATTGCTTTTGTTTACTTCATTATATGTAGCGTATTCATCACCAACCTGAATCATATGTTTTCGCGGAGTTTCACAAGTTCGACTTGCAGAACTAACAGGAACCTTTATCTTCATCTCTACGAACACAAAGAAGCTGAAATTGAAGGCATCACGTGTAAACCTGAAGAAATATGTCGATCATTGGTCTGGGGAACTGGTGGCGCTCCGAAGTTTCCAGCCGACAGTATGTGAAGTAAACCTTCCTTCTTTGCCACCAATTTCACCCAATTTGAGTGCTAAATTAGGTTTGGACTGATGTCTAGTATCTACATAGTGCAACTTACTTCAGATATTCTAAAATTAGTTCTAGTAATATGACACTAGATAAGACAATTGGCAGGGACATACGAGGGCTGTGATATTTTCAGCTTCCAATAGGACTGAGAAGTAAGGTAGGTTTTTCCGTTAGTCTAGAATCCCCCCTCAACAAAAAATTTACCAGGACAGTTAGTGACTCCCTGCTCAAGGTAAAGCGATACAGTCTGTTCACAAGCCAGGAACAATATTCTTGCAGAATTTCATCACAAGCCAAAGCACAACCAAAAGCAAACAACAAGTGTGCCACAAACGTAGCCTAGGATCTAGATCAATTCGAGAAAGATCACGATCGACTCAAAGATGTCCTGGCTGCTTTCTGGCCCGCAGGTGGATTTCCGTATGGAGTCATAGCCACAATCTGGCCTGAATTTTACCTATCCCAATCAAAGGCATGACTCTTTCCCAAAGCGGCACAGACGTGGCCGTTAATGATGCATTGCGTGCACTCTGATGTTGTTTTGTCGCACCAGACCAGGGCTAGAATAGTATTGGACGTGGGGGATTGTGATCATGCCATATCTTGCTTCCGGGGTGGATACTGTAGTTCCACCTTGAGTTTTCGTCTTCGGGAGGTATTTGGGCCACTCGATCTATATGATGCACCGCTTTTTATGATGCACGCGGGGCGCATGGAGGGGTGGCCACATCAGGCGCTGGGATGGCGGTTGGTCTGTCAATGTAGTGTTAAGATCTGTATGTTTGTGTTATACTTGACCCGTCACAGTAATCTATGCCAAACCATGCACTGTAGCAAACAAAAGGAATCTTGTGCAGCATGATGTCACGTGCAAGATATTTGTTCAAGGACTCTCATCCAGGCACCAAGGCAAATATTCTGCCTGAGGCAGCATGTCTGAGCTTTATCGAGCAAATCGGCATGTCACTCGACTCTCCGAAACTTTTCCACTTGCTCGTTGATCAGTCAAACATGCTGGATCAAGTTTGATTGAGCTGATGGGTTCTTTAGAAAATCGTCACAATGCCTGGTTCTTGTGAGGTTTGCTCTTCGGAGCCCTCCAAATATCGTTGTCCCATTTGCGGATTGATGAGGTACCTGATTGCGATAGCCACTCCTATACGAGGTCCCTTGACTAACTTCGCTTTGCACTCTAGCTGTTCGCTTGCATGCACCCAGTCCCATAAGATATATTGTGCTCCCAAAGCTCCGTCCAACGAGGAATCAAGCAACCCACCCGAAGCCGATCCCTCACCCCAGAATGGTGATATCAACACTGAAAATGATTCCGCGGCCGTCTCCAAGGGACCTGTGAATGTTGCCGCTGTAGCGCAATCAGCGGAGATTAAACAGCTTCTTGAAAAGCATCCCGAACTTCGCAGCCAGCTACAAGAAATGTACCAAGCAACGCTGGAAGAAGAATGGGTGGAATGGCACTCAACTCCCGCCCGCGGACGAGGTCGTGGACGAGGACGAGGCGGCTCTACTCGTCGTAGTCGGGGATCGTGGACTAGCGAGAAAGGATTCAACCGTGGATTAGGCAAGGTTCGCAAGCTGCGACAAGACTGTGAGGAAGGGACAGAGACTGGCCAAGCTGCCGAGGCCTTCATGCGGTTTATGGCCCTTGTCAATCAGGGCCAGGAGGCAGACTCAGCCTGAGTCAGATGGGGTCTCTTTAGGGGGGAAAGGAAGCGCATACGAGGTGGATTTTTGGAGGGGAAACCATGCCAGTGAGACATGCAGATGTCGCATCTACATACAGTAATATCAAGGGGGGCGTTTTAGTTGCGCCTCTGGATGTCCCAATAGAGTGTCAGCAATTTCTCCTTGTTGGCGGAACACGAGTCTACATGGAGTGTGTCGGAACTTCTGGCACAGTCTGTGAGATCGAAAGATTTAAATTTCTTCGTACTTGATTTGCCAGGCATTTTCAAGACATCTTTGTCATGAATTTCTGGCAATTTGCAGCATGTCTGTGTATAAACGCCTGATACCGGGGTATCCTTGATATCCCAACCCGGTTCAGCCAAGACCGAATGGCGGGTTAGCGGCCTTTTAGTCTCCCAAATTCAGGCGCAACGGCCCAGAACTTTGAGGATCGGTAGAAAATACTGAATTTTGGGGGGGGAATTTCTTGTTTCTGACGAGTCAACGGCTGAAAATATTGGATGCATCTTAAAAAGGTATGAAACCTGTGGAGTAAGATCCAGTCGCCACTTGGGACAGCTCCAGTTTCCAGCTGAGGACAAAGACCTCGCTTCCGGATCCCAGCTTCCGATTTGTTATCTGTTCCACGTTCCTTCAACTTGGACTATTTGTTACCCGAACCTCTTTCTTATTACCCTTGCTTGGCCTGATCTTGTCCTAGGCAACCATGGCACTGCAGTGCGTCTCTGATCTTACACAGTAGAGCGTCACACGGGGCTTCACTGAGAAGCTCCGACTGCTTCCATGGCATCGCCATCCCGCCGAGAGCGGGCCCATAGCGATAGAGCTCAAGCAATTCCCATGGCTCAACGACCTGCTATGGGAGTTCGGACTACCTCGGCTCCAGTGGGGGGACTGTACAAATTGGATGCGCGGAAACCCGGGGGGTCAGTGAACACTTTGGTGGAGGAGGATGAGGGATCTCCGACTGCCGACGAGACCCGCAGAATCCGGCAGAGCGAGGTATGACTTGTGATCTAAGAGGATGGGTGAATTGAAGGATTGTAGACTCAATTGCTGACGGGGAATTTTCTACAGGACTCCAAAGCCGGGTTCCCTGAAGTGACGATTGCCGTGGTGGGCGAGGAGAATGCGGGCAAAAGCAGCTTCGTCCGATGTGCATTGGATATGAAGAGCTCGCCCGTCGCTCCCTCGAACAAGAAGAAGATGTCGCTAGACGGGTCAGTCTACATCGTGCGGCTACTGGAAGTCGACTTGACTCGGGTTCAATTCGACCGAGAGAACAATGTCCTGTGGCCTCAGACAGGACGAGACAGGACTGCGCCAGTCATTGATGGAGTATTGGTTTTACACGATGCCACTAAACCCGACAGGCTTGCGCTCACGACCAACCTCATTTGTAGGTCAACCATGGGGGAGTGAGCTCCCCAGGTTTATTTCTCATGCTGATCAATGATCTCCAGACTCCTTGGAAAAATCGACTCTGCCGTTCTTACAGGTTGGCTGCAAGTGTGATGTGCACCCAGAGCCTCTGGAAGAAGCAGTGGATGCAATTCATGACCGATACGAGATTTACCGCACATCCTTCTCCTCGCCCCGATCACAACGAATGTGTATTGCATTGGTATTACGGGCGGTGATCTCAACTCGAGGTGAGTAAAGTGCGGTGGCTTTCGAACCCCCCCCCCCTGGAGCGGGCCAGGTGGGTCGTAGCGTTCGCGTCAAATGCCAGGGGGGAAGAGAGAACAATTTCATGAACTCCATCTAACTTGATTTTCCCCAGATCTCGATCCCCCCCCTCGAACGACCACCAAATCCTTCCCTTCCGAAAATCTCACCAAATCCGAAACTCTCTTCACAACCCCAACGCTTCCAGATCAATGTGTCGGAGGTGATCGCTCCTCCGACCACTTGAATAGTGAACCGCCAACCCCAAGTTCTACCCATTATGAACGTAACTCGCAAGCGTTGCGACCGCAAACTCCCCCTGGAGCACGTTTGAATCAGCGCAGACCATCAGCACAAGAGAACAACTCCCCGAGTCACGACAGTCGTCAGCAGCGACTGCATTCCGCCTGGCGACATAGCGGGGGATCAGACGCCTTTAACAGCTTTTTAAATATGGAGGACGAGATCGATGATGGACCAGCCCGTCCCCCGAGTCCCGATGCCATAGTGCGACCAAAACCGAGCAGCGAGAGCAATTCTTCCAGCGCCGAGACAGGCTTATCTTTCGACGAGCTCGTCGACCGCTTGATCTCGCTACCAATGTCAAAGCAAGAACAGAAGTTCGGGTCCATCTTCCTATGTCTATACCGCAAATTTGCAGCCCCAGGAACCCTCTTGGCTGCCTTGATCAATCGATTCGAGCGAAATGAGCAGAGCAATGTTGACCAGCTTGCCCGCATGGCAGACCAGCTACGCTTGCTCGACGTTATGGCCCAATGGGCCTCAGAATACCCAGGAGATTTCGCCCACCCTAAACTTCGCAAGCGCATAATTGACTTTGTTTCTACGCTTGAGAAGAGCCACTTTTATATGTTCGCCGCTAAGGAAATTGGGTCGCAGTTGGATTGTAATGCCGAAGACGACGATGTTGGCTGGGCCTTCGGGGGTGATAGCGACCCCGATGATGTGAGTCTCACAGAGACATTCTTCGACCACTCGGGCCGCAGTTCCCCAGCACCTGTTCATACAAGTCTGAACATTGGCACGGGCACATACGAAGATGAGGAAGAACAGGATCCCATATATAGTATGAGTGCATTGGATCTAAGCGATGGCCCGCAAGACTCTACCTCCCGACTTTCTGGCTCTCTCTCGGTTTCCTCTACTGCCGACAAACCCAATACCACGACCAACCAGTCATTCACACTTCTCAGTCTTGAGGCAGCTCAAAAGGAAGCCTTGCGTCTCGACTTGTGTCCCAAATCTCCACTCAGCAAACTCCAATGGCGATTCTTCATGGAAACGCCCGATGAGGAATTTGCTCGAGAGTTGACGCGCATTGACTGGATCATGTACAACTCGTTCCGGCCGCGTGATCTGGTCCGTCATGTCAGCCTTTCAGGCATAGACAAAGATAAGATCAAGAGCCTGACAAACGTCAACCGCATGATCAAACAATTCAACAACCTCGCATTCTTCGTAGCGAGCATGATCCTCCTACGAGATAAACCCAAGCACCGTGCGAAAGCAATGGAAAAATTCATGAACATCGCAGTGGTATGTCCTCCATGACCCAACAAGCCACGCCAGCCACACTGACATATTTTAGAAACTCCGCCGCCAAAACAACTATAACTCCCTGGGTGCCGTGATTGCCGCCATAAATGGCACCCCAGTCCACCGTCTAACGCAGACCCGCGAACTGATTCCGATTCCCGCTCAGAAGGAGTTCATGCGCTTGGTTATCCTGATGAGCACACAAAGGAGTCACTTCGCCTACCGCCTCGCCTGGGAGAACTCATTCTCCGAGCGAATTCCCTTCCTTCCTCTACACCGTCGCGACCTTGTCTCGGCCGAAGAAGGCAACAAAACTTTCGTTGGCGAGAACAAATCTCGCATTAATTGGAAAAAGTTCGAGGTTATGGGTGAGGTTGTTCTGGGTATCCAACGTAGCCAGAAGACTCCTCACCCCCAGGCGCAGAAGTTCGATGATGTCGAACGAATGCTCCTAGAATCAAAACTCTCCGGGGACGAAGAGGTAAATTCCCCCTATCTCCACAAGTATTTCGTCAAATTAACATCTTCTAGGACTTGTATGCCCGCAGCTTGCACGTCGAACCGTCCTCAGGATCTGAAGGCCGAAAGAAGTTCGGCTGGCTACGCTCATAGATCTGAGAGCCCAGTCACAGCTCTCGATCTAACCCCTCCTCTTCTCCATCGAGCGACATGCATATATTCCCGATATCCTCTCTCCACTCCCTTCAAACTTAACCCTCCCCTCCCCCCACCATCTTACCCTATCACGTCCCCCCCCTCTCACCCTTCCCTTCCCTACCGTACAAACCCCCCCTTCTCATGTCGCCATGCCCCTCTATGATTGATAACCCTTTCTCATGTTCTTTGCTTGCTTCCATGATGATTTTAGTCCCTGTCCCCGAGAGAAAAGATATGACGCTTGGAGCGGCGATCCATCTATTTCCCAAAAAAAGCTCTCACGACGTTCTTGTACATATGCTACCGAAAGAGTAACTTTATACATACAGTACTGGTAATTGAATCTTCTCTAATTGGTAGGAATCTGCCGCATGAGCAGTGGCTTCTATGCGTATATGGGGGAGGACTGGAATGTAGATGTCTCTCGATATTCGATTCTGTTTAATACCTGCCTCGGATTTCTTAATGATGAATGAAATATTGCATCCTAGCAGATCAATTGACCTTACATCTTTAGCGCCAATAGGCATATAGCAGTAAAAGTAATGATATGCTCGATATCCTTCGTCTTGCACATCATACCCTCAGAATTGTTCTAGTATTGCTATTGCATCGCCTGAATCAAACCTCTAACACCCACTAAGAAATTCTTGCTATACAAAAACTCAATCGTGGCATAAGTACAAGTGATCGTTATTTTACTGCATCTCCAATCAACGCAAGACCACAATGGCAACGAAACTCCACACCAGTCACGTGCCATCTCTCGATCCGCCCAATCTGATATCCAGCTCCGACCAAAGCCACCCTTCCCATCCGACAAAGCAGCCAAACCCCAACCTCAAGCCCAAGCAAAAAGCAACCCCCTGGCTAAATCCAAACACCGCAACCCCAGACTCACACGAAAAGAGAACACCCAAAATGTCCCAACAAATCCAAACAAGAGCAACCTACCGCGCTCTCCTCCGCGAACTCCCAAGAAAGAGCCTCAAAACCCCAAGCCCCATCCACCAATCCCTGCGCAAGACTTTCCGCCCAGAGCCGAGTTCCACCACAACAACCACCACCACCACATCCACATCGACCAGCGCGCTCCCCTTCTCGACACCCAAAACACCCGAAGAAATCGCTATTCGCGTGCAAGAAGCCGAGCAGCTGGCTCAGTATGCTCGTGCCCAGCGCTCATATTGTGAACTGCTCGAGCGGTACAACCCAGGCATGAGCATGGATGAGGAGGAGAAGATCCGCCTCACGGCCCGCAGAGTCGGCTTTGATCTGCCCGCGTTGCATACTGCCGAGGGAAAGACTGAGTAAAAACGGATATATATATGGATATCAATGTCTCTTGGATTCCTCGCTTCGACTTGATTCTCGGGGTCTGGATTTGTTGGGTTTGAAATACAACTGGAAGTGGAGGTAGAGTGAAGTGAAGTGCGGTGAACGGCTCGTCTCGGTTGTATTGGCCCTGCTGTGGTTTCCGATTGTCTGTACTGTATAGATTGATACTGGTGTGTTTTGTGTGATTATGATTGGAATTTGTATACTATGGCCAGCGACTTCGTGAATAGATTACCCTCTTGACTATGTACATGTATAATGTTGTATTGATGTATGAGAGAGTCTGTGGATATTGCTCTATGCAGTGCAGGGACTATGGCCTTTCGAAGTGTCTGGGGCTCTTCTCCAGCTGCGCTGGTTGGCTTGAGGTGCTGGTTGAGTTCCGTTCCCAATGGTACAATTGGCGTGGGATATCATGCAATGGGGTGACGCCAATGTAGGTCCTGCCATTCCAATGTCAATGCGCGGGGGTGCATGTGGTGGCGAGGCGTGTTTGGCCTGAATGATATCGCTAAGGTGGAATGCCCGGGATCCTGACTCCGGTGTTTGTGGAGTATGAAGGTGTGGACATAGTAGATGGGTGTGCTTCACTGCGGCACCGTTCAGGTAGCCCCGAGCTGGGCACGTTCCATCTGTCTCATTAGAGTGGAACTACCTTCTTCGTCTTCTATGCCAACTTCGATTGCCGTCTTGGGTCGGTTTCGGTTGAGCCCGTCCAGGAGTGTGCAGGCTTTGCAAATCCGCTGACTGGAAATGTAGCCACAGCGCTCACAGTGTCCCATGGTTTGCCCCTTGATCTGCTTGGCGGGCTTAGCCGGGCGAGCCTTCTTAGGAGTCGCCATTGGAAGCTTGATCTCGGTCTCGCGGGACTCGGCAGCGTCGTTCTCAGTGAGCTGTTTCTCCATCGCAGCCATTTCTCCGCCGCTGGATCGACCGTTTTGGCTACCGCAGCCACCGGCAGACTCGTCCTCTGCTCCTGTGTTTTTGGATTTGCCGGAGCCTCGAACTTCGACGGGGACCAAGGCAGCCATGTCCTCGCCACTCTTAACAATATCAAGAATGGAACTGGGGCGGATCTTCTCCAAGTCTTTGATCAAGGTGCGCGCACTGCCACGGAACGCCTCAGGCGAGTAGATACACTCGGTACTAAAGTAATCGAGTTGACGGTGGTGGGCGTAGAGAACAATTTCCTTCTCGTAGGCATACTTGAGAGGCTTGCTGCGCTTGATATCCGAGGCGTCGGAGTCGGTCACGATACTGGTTCCGCGCGACAGACGGGGAAGATCGCCACGCAGCAGATTCATCATGACCGTCTCGGCAACATCGTCTGCGTTGTGGCCGGTGACAACATGCTTGATGCCCAACCGAGCAGCGCCTCGATCGAGAGCCTGTCGCCGGAACACACCACAGTAGGTGCAGTTGCCCTTCTTTCCAACCTGGGCGACCACTTGATCCATTGTCCAGCCATAGAGCTCACCATATCCGACGATCTCGAGGGGCATCTCATACTGCACTGCATTGCGCTTGACGGTTTCCAGACTGTCGTCGCGGTAGCCGCGGATTCCCTCGTCGATGGAAAGCAGGCATAAATTCAGGCCATAGTCGTATCGCTCATTCAGTGTTTTCAAGACAGCTGCTAGTACTGTGCTGTCTTTTCCGCCGCTGGCTCCGATCGCCACTCGCTCGCCGCGGAAGAAGAGTTTGGTGCCGATGATTGTCTCGTGGACTTCGGTTTCGAAGATCTGGATGAAACAGGCCCGACAGAGTTTGTGTCTGTTCTTAGGCCTGATAATGACGGCTCGCGCCTCCTTGCAGTTGAAACACGCTGTGGGAGCCATGATGTTGTTGCGAGAAGGTGGCGGGCAATAAGAAATTATTTTCCCCCGCGATCAACCAAGTGGTCCGTGCACAATATCTAGATGCCCCTCGAGGTGTACGATTTTGAGTAGGGGAGTTTGACGAGATATATCAAGACAGAGTTGAATTGAGCACTTGGTCTCTATGAGGAAATTAGCTGTCTTCTTGTCGTCGAACAGGAACATGCTTTTTGTAGTCAAATTGAATATATACTTCGCCAGTGAAGGTCAAATTCTTTATATCAAAACTTGGAAAGTTCCACAGCATCAATTTTCAAGAATACCTAAAACATAAGCTTCCAGTTTGTACTCACAACTGGCAAAACAAGATACAAGAATGTGCCTTAGGAATAAACTGGACCCCTATCTCACGCCTTCACCTGCTCATCCAACTGAGCCAAAGACTTCCCCTTGCGACAAAACAACTTAGCATAACAAGCAGGCCACCTATTCGTTCTGGCATGCTGGACCGCCATATGATGGATATGATGTCTTCTCAAATGCAAAGAATAAGGCAAAGACCGATCCGCAAACAACATCAGATCCCCTTTCTGCCCCTGCAGCTTCTCCGCCACTTGCACAGTCTTGTCCTCTGAGAATGCAAAAGAAGTCCCAATAATCTTAAACCGTCTGGCCATCTGATGAAGATTAGGCGAATGCCAATCCTCTCCCGTCCAAGCAAGTTTGGCATTCCAAGGAATTCGTCTCTCTTTCTTGAACGCATGCCACCACTCGTCAACAGACAACCGACCCTGCTCCCCACTGACAGCATGAACACATCCACTCGTTCCCACTGCGACATGGACCAACACCCGATCCACCACCACATCCACGGGGACTTCATCAATAGTTGCTTCTTGGCCTGGCATCTCGCATCGTGACGCAAGCATGATTCGTCGGCCGGGATGGAGCATGTACGCCGCCGCACAGGCTGTCGAGGGTGTGCCCTGTGAGGTTGCATACCCGGGATATGGAAGTTTGTCTGCAGGGCCGATGACTGACGGTCTAATGATGAGGACTTTGTCTAGCTTGTCGCGTTCTGATGCTTTCTGCAGGACAAGTCGCTCGGCTAGGTGTTTGGCGTAGGCGTAGGGCCAGGGAAAATCATGGGCGTCGTATTCATCTGATGAGCCGGTACCTTGAACTGCACGCCACGAATCTAGTGCGCTTTGACAGTAATCTTCGCTCTCAGTGCCGAGAGGGTATATCCTTTCGTCGACACGCACATCGGATGACTTGCTTGTCTGCCATAGATGGGCGTTGGCATATGCGGTGGAAAAGAAGACGAACCGTTCCAGATTGGGAAATTTCAAGGCATATTTGGTCAGGCACAGGGATGGTGCCAAAACACTATATGATAGTTCTCGGAGAGAGTTTTGTAGTTGGACGGAACACGCTGCGTGGATGACTATGTGCACTGTTTGCTTGAGCATCTGCAATGTCTCTTCTGGTAGATCCATAGTAGCCGTATCACCCAATTCACCGTCCAGAATAGTCAATCGTTGACTCTCGGTGAGGATCTTTGCAGTCGAAGCTGGAAGCATGCTTGTCCATTTTTCTTCCGCTTTGCTATTGGCTTCTATTAGATATTTCAATATGAATAGAAGATGTCCTAGATACGCACGCATATCCACCTCGACATAACACATATACTCGTTCAGGTGACGATTGACTCAAGAGTCGCCAGAGAAGTGCGGTCCCAATGAAGCCTGAGCCTCCCGTCACAAAGAGGACCTTGCCGTCATAGTAATTCCATACCATAGTAGAGAATGTAAGCTACCAGGCCAGGTGGTTTCTGTGGACAAAGAGACCACAATAAACGTGCAGGACAGGAGGACCTTTATTAAGCCGAGCTCGTGCAGTCAAAGCCTATATACGCGAGACGACCACCCTATTTGACAGCCAGTCCCTGATTTCAAGAAGCTCCATGGCAGTGCAGACCCAAACTGGCTGCATGCAGATATGCAGCTAGACCCTCTGTGCAACCATCACACCAAAAGACCCTCGTCAGCTAGCCACTCAGACGGGCAAATGAGCCAGAATTACCCAGTCTTTTGGGTCAGTACCGACTACAAAAGCTCCTAGCGTTTTTAAGCCTTGCGGCATTCAGCTTTCACAGTCGTACTTGTGCAACTATGCGCTATGATGATCAGAGTTGATGTCATTGGACTGGACGTAACCAGTGATCTGCTGCCAGATGGAAGGATTCCTCGACAACGATAATGAGACGAGAGAATTGACATTCCAAAACGTAGAGATGAAAATGCTTGAGCGAGCACACCGCTTCATGCAGCACTTGGCCAGATTGCAACGGGACGGAGTTCAACCTCGACTCGTATCCATTCACATCTTAGGGTGTGTGAGGTGCATTAGCCCATCCGGGATCTTGAACACTATTTGTCAAGCCCGAAGCAAGATCCATGCCGAACGGATCGCGATCACCAGTTCTTGTTCCTAATCAAATGGACAAGGGTCGAACCCGGGTTGATCAACGAATCCAGATGAATCCTGCATGCACCAAGTACAGTACGGAGTACACACTCCGATATCCGACGGTTGGATTCATGCACAAATCATTTGTGATGTCCTGTCTCTGTGAATCGAGTCATTTCCCCTCAGTCTTCAACCATCAAGACATATCCAAGCCTCCTATACGCCTTTCCAAGAAGACCAGATGGCACTGAGATATGACAGACATCGCAGCTGATAGTTCTCCACTGATGCAGCGGCCCTTCCCGCCCCTTCGTTACGCTTGGGCCGTGTTCGTGAGTTGCTCCCTACTTCTCCTGCAGCTGATCGGCCAATCACCTTCTCTGGGAGTTCTCACCCTCCAGAGATAACCCTTGCCCTCTGACAAGCAATGGAATCACTGTCGTCATTCTCGCTTGGATACTGGTTATCATCGACCTTCAATAAACTTTCTCAGACTATCGACTTCCTTAATGGGGAGTTTCTAGAGGCAATCAATGGCAATCGAGTGGATCATGTCCTGTCAATCAAGCATGCCGCAAGAAATATTGAACAGTGATCCTGATTGGAGATTGATCATCTTGATCATTTTCTCTGATATCTCCATTGTCCGCGGTGTTTGAAAGAATCGCTGGAAAGACGACCAAAAGCCATCATAACGATCAAGATGCGAAAATCAAGGCTGGAATCCGTGCCTTACAGAAATTGACATGGAGAAAATGACGTGTTACGGCCATTGGACGCAGGACCACCGCCTATAGTATCCTAATTCCCGTCAACCATGCTACCCCGACTTGAGTGGGTAATTATGAGCGACAGAGACGTCTGTACGACGAGAAAGGTGCAGATCAGCATTCCAGAGCTGTCTCTGCCATGGCTTGACATTCCAGTTGTGTGTGCCAAGACGAAGTAGTGGCGGGAATCTACTCACAGGTTGCGCATTCCAGCGACAAGTTATGTGAAAAGGTTAGTTAGAGTTGAGATAAACAAGCAGGAATTAGGTACTTGTTGTCTGTTACGGCCTCAGTTTGCTCTTTCCCATTGATATGAATCACTGAATAGAGTTCAGACGAGAGCAGCCGTCCTTTTCCATAATTCTCTTCCATTCAACCACTGATACCCTTTTACTTAACTAATCTTTAATCCTTCTTGTCAACATGAAGCCCGGACCGCTGGATTTGGGGTATGCTCGTCCTCTCGAGTTTACCCTGTCGGTCATTGTGAGAACTAAGCCGAGTCCATTGGACTTTCAATTTGCCGCAGATACGCTTGTCTCGCAATGGCCTGTGTTGAATCTGCGAATGGATGCATTGGTAAGATTTGCAGCAGACTTCTGCCCCAGAATCAAAGCTGATACCTGATAGAAAACCAAATTCTTGGAGCCCAAAGATCCTGGTGATCTAGCAGATGTCTGGGAAGGGCGGGAGATGCATCGCGATCTCGATGAGATCCTCTACGTATCCCCAGAGCCTGATTTTCCACAGATGGTTGATTCCGAAGCGCTGGATAAAGCATTGGATTTCGGCTACGGCATTGTGCATGCATGGAAACAGCGAGTCTTCTCTATCCGAACCGTCTTCTTGAACGACGCCTGCATAATAGGGTTCAAGTTCCTGCACTCACTCTGTGATGCGAATGGTAAATCATACCGCACGTCGCATATACAAAGCAAGGCTGATATGTGACTTTAGGTGCCCATGAGATTATTCAGGCTTATTGTTCGCTGCTCAGGGGCGAAAAAATTAGGCATAACCTTCATGCTCGACCATCTCTGTCGTTAAAGTCGGAGGTTCTGGAGAAGTGTGCTGAAATGATCGAGTCACATCACATTGCGGACTTGCATTTGTACTCCTCACATCGAACTTGGTCTTCTGCAATCGGTGCCTTGGGAAAGCAGATGACGAGGAACATTTTCTACCCATCTGCTCGGCGTGTTGGCAGGACCATGCTGGTGCCCCGGGGACAAATCCAACGATGGGCTAACGAGGCTGATCTGGCAAATGCAAAGGTTACCGATCACGACTTGCTGGTAGCTTTTATCTTTAAGGTCAGCGTACTCCTCGTCTACCAAAGGCCATTGAAATTGACCCTTCTATAGGCATCTCTACACCCGTCAACTGCGCACAGTTTCGGACTGGTAGTTGATATCTCACAGAAACTCCAGTCCGAAGCTAATCTATATAATCCGTGGTTTATGATGCCTTTGCCAGACCCGATGCCGTCAAGCGAATATAGCTCCCCGTCGATGGCGCGCCTGGCAGCTCACATCCGACACACAGTCGACGAGGCTCAACAGCCTGAGTGTGTCGGAGAAGTGGTAGAGCAGCACCGCCGGCTCAAGAAAAACCCTTTGGTCCCTAAGTCTTACGGTAGCCGTGCAGCTCAACCCCGGGTCGCATCCTGGAAGAGCCTGCCTCTTTACGATATCGATATTCAGGGAGAGCACCCGCTCTTTGTTCAGGGAGGTGTCGACTACTGTGGTGTTCTGCGCGAGACCAAGTGTCACTTGGATGATTTGTTGGTGACGTGGAAAGCACTGGGACGGGATGGAGGAGATGGCGGATATTGGATTCATGGCAGACTGCCCGAAGCTGTTTGGAGGAGCATGGCGGATACTTTGAACTGTTGAAGTTTGTTTTATGTACCCAACTGGAGTGTGTGAAGCAGTGGTAAAATGAAGAGGAAGAAGAGGAAGAAGCAGAAGAAGACGAAGTTAATGAGAAACTATTTACTTCCCCGCAAATCCGCGCTTGAGCGGTTTAGTCAAGTCCACCCGAGAGCTTATCAGGACAACTTCTTGGCTTCCGACGACTTTGCTCTTTTGCCTCTGCGTTCACTTCTAATGGGGTCTTGTAGGACCAAAATCAGCCTCTGACTTGGGTGTGTAGCATACGAGGAACGATTGGAACCACGGTAAGCGTTCTATGTCTATATCATCAAATGCAGTGTCTGATATCAAACGATTTATGGCGTGGAAGCATGTCCATCGAAGCAATTACCTGACTCAAAGAGCCTAAAGTCACCACAATGCCTCCCCAGGAACCTAAACGAGCTTGCGATCAATGTCACACCTTGAAAGAGAAGTGTCGTCGACAGAACCTGACAGCCCCATGCGAAAGATGCGAACGCCTCAATCACAACTGCCAAACAACACGGAGTATGGCCAAGACAGGTCGAAGGCCTCGAAAAGGAAGAAAGCTTTTGTATAATCTTCCAAATTCCTACTCGCAGTCAGGTCCTCACAGCTCAACCACCGTTTCCACGATATCACTGGACACACCTTATCCTCAGTTCTATCAGTCGCTCAATGATGGACTCGGAAACAACGAAATCCTCTTTCCTGATCTTGACCAGTGGGAACGACATTTTGTGAACCTAATGAAAGATATCGTCGCTCCATCCCCACTCGATAAGTTTTTAATCGGTTCAAGCTTCCATGAATCACACCATCAATCCTTCATCCAAATATTGCTTCGACCAACATCTATTCTAAAGCATGCAACAGTAGCTTGTACTGCAGTTTTGTTTGGTGATAAATATGCCCAATACAACAAAGTCAGTTTTGAAATTGGGCACCGACGAGCTGCAATGGCCGTGTCTGGGCTTCGCTCTCTGCAAATATCCCACGACCAGGATTTGATCACGGCGTTAGGAATTGGCGTTGCAATGGTGACTTTTGCTATGCATGTTGCACATGGACAGCCATTTCTTATATCTCGCTACACGCTTTCTTTGGTTAAACCGATGTACCCACGGCTTCTGACGATGGATTCGATGACCATGGATTTCCTGATGTGTCTTGTCACCACGGAGACACTTGATTGTCTTCTGAAATCGGAGATACCAACAATCAGAATCGGGGAACGTGATCGCAATCATGTTGTCGATCGCTATGTCGGGCTGAGCTCTGGTCTGTTTGCTTATCTATATGACATTTGTGAAGTGGCCAGTCTACTGCGACAAATGGGCGGAAAGATGGATGTCAGCATTGCAAAACAACTAAATGTTATTAAAGTCTGTTTGCAACAATGGTTGCCCTCACCGCCGGCTGAATTTATGGAGCAATTTCATCAAGGCGAAGTCGTTCGCATGGTTGCTCAGGCTAAAGTGCTTCGCCTTGCTGCATTGCTTATTATTCATCGGCTTGAGTACCCCTTTGGACAACGTGATGAAGAAGCCTTATTGCTCTCTAGAGCTATAACCGCCGAATTCGACATGGTGATGCAAGTAACAAGAAGGTCTATACCATGCACTACGCTTGCTTATCTGGTGGCCAGTTTCGAGATCACAGATGCCGAAGAACAGGCGGCAATTATTACCAAGAGCGATGATATGGTGACATTTTCCCTACAGGCACAGCTTCGCGTCAAGAGTATCATACATACAGTATGGAATGCGAGGGCCTTTAGAGGTCCGATCTACTGGTTTCATCTAGGGGACCTTATTGAAAAGGCAGAGATGAAATGAAGAATAACTCTCGTTGGAAATACAAGGATTGTCCTGATACACTTTCTTTGTCAAATATGAGGCCCTATTGGCCCGTACCTAGGCGCCTACTGTTTCTCGCCACATCTGAAGATGCGACAATACTGATCTTGTGTTAGTATGACTGAATTTGAAATCACAGGATCCTGGGACGTTCAAAGCCAATTACCGTGAGCTTAAAGGATTGTCTACAGTAACCGAGATCATTGTAGCTGCATGGGGGTCCACAGGTGCATGGAGTTCTTATCCAATCAAACCCTAGAAAGAAGGGCATCGGCCCCCTCTCCGTGGGTACAAATCGTGTTCTTCCAATGATGGGAATTGAAGGAGAGATACTATCGCGGCGGTGCATCTCAGCTGCCTGTTAGTGTCAAGCTACCAAAGCCGATCTCGACCCCCCCCTCTCTGCCGACATGCATTTCTCTTCAACCTCTTTGTTCGCAATATAAAACCCATATACCGTCGATTCTACATTTTACCATCTCCTCCCTTCCATACCAGGATGTCTGATCTGAAAGTTGCCCTTATCACCGGCGGAAGTAAGAATCTTCTGCATATCCCACCTCTGTGATGTCATGAATTAACCAAAACACCTAAACAGCAAGCGGGATTGGCCTCGCCGTCGCTGAAGAGCTCAGCAAAACAGGAAAGTGGCAAGTCAACATCATCGGCAGTAGCCAAGAGCGAGGCGAAAAAGCAACAGCAGCACTCTCCAACACAAAGTTCTACCAAGCCGATGTGCGCAAATATCAAAAATTAGCCACCGTCTTCGACCAGATCTTCAGTGGCTCCCGTCGACTGGATTTTGTCTTTGCAAACGCCGGAGCTGCTGAATACACCGACTTCTTTCCTCCCACCTCTGAGACTGGGATCCCACCTGAGCCTGATGTCAGCATTGTCGATGTCAATCTCAAGGGTGTTTTGTACACCAGTTACCTAGCAATTCATTATTTCCGACAATCTCCGGAAGAGACTAAGGGCGAACGAGATTTGATTTTGACGTCTAGCATTGGAGGTCTTTATCCTTGTGTGCTAACGCCGGTTTATTCGGCCACCAAACGTGAGTTAAGAGGCAATGAAATATAACGTGGGAAGTACAAAAGACTGACCAAAAAATAGATGCGCTGACTGGATTTACTCGCTCAATTGGAGCGAGGTTCTGGCTTGAAGGAGTCCGTGTGAATGCTCTATGCCCTGGAGTGGTGGAAACGCCTCTTTTGACTGACAATGGAAACTTTCCGGATATTTTCCCGAGAGATGTGTTCATCCCAATCAGCTTCGTCACTGGCGTGGTCACAAAGATGATCTCTGGGCAAGAGATGGTGGACGGGAAGGGGGTGAGCGTGCCCGGCGATGAGCTGTATGCACGGGCGGTCCACGTCTCAGTGAATAAATTCTTTTTTGTTGAGAAGCCGGAGCTCTATGATGAAGTATCGGAGAAGACTTGGGGTGCTATGATGGGCGCGAATCTTTCCCCTGATATGCTTGCCAATCTCTGAGCTTTTTTGCTTGGTTGAAGGTCAAGTATCCTTTACCGAAGTGAAGTCATACAAAGTATTCCGAATTTGACATACTAGCAGTCACCATCTTTTGACTTGTAACATGCCGGCGATTCAATCATATCTAAACATAGCATCTACTAGGAAGGCATCAGGAAGCCCATGACGGCTCAAGGCTAAAGCCGAGGCTCGGCCTTATACTTGCCCAAATAGGCTTAGTCTCCGCATATTTTCCAAGGTTGTGTTGATATCGGGGATCTTCAAGATCTACTTGACGCTCCATATATTGCACCGAGTATATGTTGAATATAGTACAATCTACCAAGTTTCTAAGCATGTACGCGTACTCAAGCTTCTACTGAAATCTTGTGACCTCATCCTCTTCTCGTCAAACCCTTTATTTTTGCCAGCGTACGGGATCACAACACATCTTTAGATTATAGTGATAGTCGACGCCGAATAATGAAGATCCCTTATACTATCAAAATAGAAGTAAACCATCTGATAATACATAGAGAGATATCTGTACGTCGATGGGCGGCGTTTTCGACTATTTCTGAATTCCGTCGCTTTCACTTTGTTTGGAACAACCTAGTGAGGATTAACATGCAGCCTGCAGAAGCAAAAACTCCACTTCATTACTGTTCCTGACGATCATTTCTTCCTCCAGATGTCCCCTTCTTTTCCCGCAACATCCATGTCGAGCCACCTCGGTGAGCTGTTGGACATGACGCGTTTGAGGGATATTCGGGACCAGGGTCAGCCTGATGGAGATAAATACCTGGATCAAGGCCACTCAAACAATTCTAGCATTGCAAGTTGGTGTGAGTTTCTCTTTGTCTTTTCCGAAAAAAGTCCAATCATGTGGATTCAAAAAGTGGCAGTTGTTGCGTCCTTGGTGGGATGCATGTCGGCGGCTGCAACGTCGGCCAACCATGCCAAATGCAAAACATCCACGTTCCAAGGGTTCATCAATGCAAATGGCACCAATGCAGTCGTCCAATCTGTGACATACATCCCTGAAAATGGCGCTTTCAACCCCATGAACTATACTTCCTCCACGGAATACCCCACCAAGCTCCCCGAGTCGTGTGCCGTTCAGGTGAATGTTGCCTCTGAGGGGAACTCAAGCTATCTAATTGGAATGATCCTGCCATATGATTGGAATGGTCGTCTGCTGTATGTAGCTTTGACACCATGAGAAACCCATGATGCTAACCATGAACAGTTCAGCTGCCGCCGGAGGGGGTATCAATTGGGTGGATATGGTAAGTGCAGTTAGATAGATATCTTTGCTTGCGCTAATACTACTGCTTAGGGCACTGGAAACCATTATGGATTCGCCACTCTATCCAGCAATCTTGGCCACACAGGTATCGATACCACCGGAACCTGGGCAATTGGTAGACCAGAAGCCGTGATCGACTGGGGCCACAGAGCGTGGCATGGAACAACTATCCTGGGGAAGCTTTTGATCAACCAATGGTACGGCTCCGCCGCCGAGTACAGCTACTTCTACGGATGCTCAACCGGCGGACGACAGAGCATGAAGAATATGCAGATGTATCCTGAGGACTATGACGGTGTGATTGCTGGTGCGCCTGCATGGTGGACAACCCACCAGCAACTGTGGAATCTGAAACAAACAACCTATCAGGCACCCGCAAATTCGTCCCATACGATCCCCGAGAAGATGTTCGACATTTTGGCCGCAGAAGTGATCAAACAATGTGATCCACAAGATGGCCTCAGTGACAATATCATCTCGGACCCGCGGGGCTGCAATTTCAATGCTAATACTTTGGCTTGTAATGCGACTAGCTTGACGGATGAATGCCTCACTGCTGACCAGCTCACTACATTGCACAAGCTGTACAATGATTGGGTCGATGTGAATCAAACATTCGTGTATGGTCACTTGTGGCTGGGCAGTGAGGCGTCATGGTTACTGGGAAATGTTGGACTGGGCGAGAATAGCACAATCGAACAGCAGTACTGGTATCCTCGAGATCTCATGGGTCTTGGGGATAGCTTTTCCTGGCAGGACCTCGACTATAGCACTGTCCAGCTCGCCGAGAGATTGAACCCTGGAAATGCGACCGCGGACAAGTTTGACATCAGCGACTTCCAGAAGCGCGGCGGCAAGTTCCTTCATTACCATGGGCTGTCAGATGCCTATGTCTCCCCAGATGCCAGTATCTATTACTACGACCAGGCCTCCAGTGCCGTGGAGCCCCAAGGAATCGAGATGGATGATTTCTATCGCCTGTTTCTCATCCCTGGAATGGAGTAAGTTCAGACACTCCCACAATGAGCCCAAATAAAGAAAGTCAAACTCACCATTGCAACCCCCAACAGACACTGTCTTTCCACCCCTGACAACATGAATGCTCCCTGGTACATCGCCGGTCCAGACCAAGCTGCAACAATCAATACTGGAACCTACAGCACTCCTGGATATCGAGACTCGCGCCACGACATTGTTCTAGCGATGATGGCTTGGGTCGAGAACGGAACTGCACCCAATGAAATTGTCGCTACAAAGTGGAAGAACGATACGACGGCCGACGAAGTTTTGCGCCAGCGTCCTATTTGCCACTACCCTTACCAGGCAAAGTATAATGGCAAGGGCGACCAGAACGACGCGGGAAGTTGGACTTGCAAAATGCTGTATTGAGTTGCGGGGACCTAATCCCCGACGCAGTCCTCCCCGGGGATGAAGTGTGGTAGGATCTGCACAGGAGAACAGAGTTCCGGACAGAAGAGTGTCTGCCTCTGCCGTTGGAAAGCGAGTTGACCTGCCATACGGAGTACATTGGTTCATTTGTAAAAGAGATACACAAGTCTCGTTTATGCATAGGCAATGCAATGATGCCAAATCCATAGGAAATGGCTCTTGTTTGTCAGCTCAATGAGGCGTTGTCTGAGTCAGAATTCCCATTTTGCTTGTGAATAACCAAGTCATTTGTTCTGTCATCTGTAGGAGAATATAGGGGATTCAATGTCCCTTGACCCCGAAAAGAGTAAAAGACTGTCGATCTCCATGAGACGTGGGATGTGTAGACTATCCACAACAAAGGTGCTGTCATGCGCGTAGTAACTTATTTCAAACGGTTGACAGCAGATACCACCATGTGGACGATGATTGAAGGTGTACAGTACAGTATGAGATACAATCGACATATCGCCTTGTGGCTCGGACGGAGCTAGCCGAGCCCCATTTTCAGCTCCTCTCATGTACTGAAGATTCTCTGTTTAGACCAGCTATCCAATCATATGGGAGGACCTTGATGCGAGCAACTGAGAAAGGTATCTAGGGGCCCGCCGATATCCCAATTATTGAGCGATGATCGCGCTTCTTCCTGGGCATCAGTCTCCCCTCAATGGACATGGACCCGACACATCTGCGCCATTGAACTTCCGGCAATTTGTCCGGAAGCTCTACCCCGCGAGCTTAAATTAGCATGAGTCTCTTTATTGATCCCTTGCTTAGAAGAAAGGGGTGGCTTCTGATTTGAATTGTCGCCAATGCGGGACCAAAGTGTGCTCAAAATCGAAGAATGGGCAATATGTGCTCGATTCACGATCACTTTCTTCAGTCTCGATAACAAGAGAAGCAATCATAAATCTCAGTTTCACCACATCCCGTTACCTGGTTCTTGGAGAAGCCTCTGCAACCAAGTGGAGCACCAAGTGGCAGAGCCGATCTGATACATCTATTCTCCGAGGTGATCTGTCGGAAAAGGTCTCCAAACACGCGCATCCGATTGGGTAATGCCACAACTTCAAAGCGCACATTAGATTCACATTGTTTATGATCTGGCAAGCCTCTGATTAAAAACTTATTGCCTTTCGATGCGAGGTCGTTGCGGCTATCGATCTGGAGTCCTGGTTCGCACACAACTTCTTCCTTGGCTGCGAGCATGTTTATGCACTCGGATCGCGTCTCATAGATGATCTATGTGACGCATAGACAGCTCATGTCACTTTGCGGCATTTAGATTTTTGATGCTCAATATGATATGTCTCCATTGCAAGAAGGTCCTTGACACCCCTATCTCAGATCCTTGAAAGTATATTAAGAGGCGCAGCCTTACACGATGATTCCAAATCTTTCAAACCAACAATTCTCTCTCGTTTGGCCTTGCCTGTGTTTAAGGTGCTGATCCACTTGACTACTGCCCCCAACATGTCTTCAGCGCAACCTTCTTCCGGTGCCACATGGGTCGAGGGCGACTTTGAGCACCCGAACCAGGACGTTGTTCGGCCTATCAAAATCGCACTCGTATTTGCCTACACGTTGTCTACCCTCGCCGTTATTTTGCGTCTGGTAGCCCGACGAATGACAGGCAGCAGATTGTTCCTGGACGATTGGCTGATTCTGGTGGCTCTGTTTTTCAAATATGCCTGCTCCAGTGGAGTTGTTACTCGTGAGTGTCTGCGTTGCAGAAGAGACTCGGTCGAAATACTAACTATCCTATAGTTCTATTCAATGGACTTGGATCACACATCACAATGGTCCCAGCCAAGAATCTGATTGTGTACTTCCAGGTACGCCACCCGCAAAGCCACTTTTACCTCCCATCCTAACCCTAATCAGATCGGATACTCCAACAACTTCGTGTACACCAGCTGTGTGGCGTTTGTGAAATTCTCAATCTTGGCACTATACAAGCGCCTGTTTGCCGTTCGACACATGGTCATCGGTGTGCATGTTATGACAGTCGTCGTTCTTACCTGGGTTGTTGGCGTCTTTGTTTCTGGTGCTCTGCTTTGCATTCCCGCGAACAAATTCTGGGATCAATCCATCCCAGGAGCCTGCCTCGACCCATACAAATTCTACTATGGAATCCAGATCCCGAACATTCTCTGTGATCTCATCATTCTCCTCATGCCCGTCAAGGTTGTTTGGTCATTGCCTGTTGCAAAGTCCCAGAAGGTGCTTCTGTCGGGTATCTTCCTTGTTGGTGGCCTGTGAGTTTTACCTTTCAGCTTGAGCTGCGATCAGCACTGACACAATTGATTCCAGGACCTTCGTTTTCGACATCGTTCGCTTGTATGCCATGATCAGATTGGTCGATGCTGGTCCAGATATTACCTGCAAGTACCTCAACTCCATCCTCCAAGCACAAATTCTAACAAAATCATAGACAACCAAGTCCCAGTCGTCGTGTGGACTTGTCTTGAAGCCACAGTCGGGATTATTGCGGCCTGTCTGCCTAATCTCCGACCTCTGTTCCAGCTTGGGAAGTCTGGCTTCTGGTCCCATATCCGATCTACAGTTCGTACATCTGAAGAGACTCTTGTCTCTAAGAACTCTGGTACTGTGAACTCGAACGACACTGTGAGCAGTATTCAAAAGCCAACTGGACACATTTCCTACGTGGCCGAGGAAAATATTGAGATTGCCGGGTACAACAACTTCAGCAAGATTAACAAGGAGTAAATTTGCTCCTTTCACTGTCCTTTTTCTCTGTTTGCATGGTCAAAACAGTGGTTTTTGTTATGTTTTGTTATAATATGGGAGGGATACACATTTTCATTTTACTTATACCAGATAGTCATTCTCTTCTTTGGAACCTTTTCTTAATTTATGATTTTTGAACAAATTCTCTCGGCCTGATTCGGCTCTCGTGAGGTTGAGTTGAACTAGGACATTGCGCATTTGCACGCTTTTGTGAGCCTGGTAAATTAGAATAGCTGAATATGAGTTTGGCTTAAGTTATGATACTTAAATAGTACGGTGGCTGAGTTGGTTCGATGCCATCTTCCTGTACATAGGGGCAGTAGCAACTCTCGCCTTCTTACCCCAGATAAGCAAAGGAACAGGAATTAACAAAAGAACGAAGGCGATAACCGTAACCAAGATGTGCAAGTCGCGCATACCCATGCCTTCGACCCATGGTGTGAGCGCGAAGAGGACGACCACAGAGAAAATATTGCGCATAAAGATCACTCCTACTAGTGCGTCACCGATGATCTGAAAGAAACAAGATGTCAGCGAGTAATCCTAATATTCCACATGATCTGCGATACTCACATCCTGGTAACAATCCATCAGATACGAAAGCGCAATACCGCTCACGGACGCAAGTGAGAACCCAAAGAAACCAAAACCGACAGCAAGTAAAGCCCAATGCACTCCCTATGAAGTATTAGAGCGAAAATTCAACTTGCTAACATGAGATACTCACATAGGCAAGACCCAGGCCAAACATCAATATACCTGCAGGACTAATTACCGCAATAGGGAGCGCCAGCCAAAGACGCATCTCCGGTTCATAGACACCACCATTTCGCTTAGATAGCCACAGAATAGATTTATCGCTCAGGTGTCCACCAAAGGGGAACCCCAGAACAGCCCCGACAAAAGGAGCCACGTTCATGAGACCAACACCCACAGCATCGAAGTTGTATGGCGGGAGAATCATGTAAGAAGCCTGCAGCGAAGTCATAATCGCAAACCAACTCAACGTGGAGCCATATGTGATAGCCGCATAGGTAACAGCGGGGAAAGTGAAGAGAGCAACAATAGGCTGGTAAAAGTGCGGCCAAATAGGCTCATCGGTAGTCGTCACCAAAGCCATTCGCTGGAAGTAAGTTTTCGGCATAATTTGGGTGTTAGTAGGCACCCGACTGGCAATTGTTTCACCAACGTTCTTCGTAATGTCCAAGTCATCATTCTTAGGATTCTTCGATGAATCCGCAACGGAAGGCACAGCCGGAACGACATCCACGCTGTCCAGCACGGGAATGTATTTCGACTCCTCGAACAAAAACACCACGCAAACGAGCGTCACACCAAAGAAAATCACACACCACCACCACATCCACCTCCACCCCTGTGCCACGACAATGTAACCCGACGCCACGGGGCCCAGGAATGCACCGGCCGACTGGACAATCACATACCACCCGTTCATCGTCGCATGCTGGTGCACGAAGAACATATCGGCAATGGTCATCTGCACGATCGTTTCACTGATTGCGCCGCCGATGCCCGAGATCAGGCCGCCGCCCATCAGATCGCCCACAGTGTACATCTCCGCCTGCCAGATGCAGGATGCGAATTGCAGCGCAACGCTGAAGATGTAGATTGGGCGTCTTCCAAATTTGTGGACCAGGGGCATGAAGAATATGCAGCCCACTGCTAGACCGCCATAGTTGACGGCTGCTTGTGCGTTAAGTTGATCCACCGTGAACCCCAGCTCTTCTTGTATGGGTCCCCATGCCGTGAAGCCGATGTCTAGCTGGACAAAGGTCCATAGAACGAAGAAGCTGACTAGCGTGAAGTTTAGGGTTTTGCGAGCTGTTGACCAATTGAGGGGATCGTTGGGGTCGGATGAGGGGGTGGGGAAGAGGACGAGCTGGTCTCTCGACGCGTGGACTAACAGTTCGAGTCAGTATTGCTGTTCTTCTTTTTTGTACGATATAATGATAGGATGAGAGAATGAGAGGACGAGAGCCCTTACTATCTTCCAGAGTCACTGTTCCTGGTGGCCACAGGTTCTCATCCCTGTCATGAGAGTCGGCTTCCATATTGCGCGGTTCTAATTGATTGCAATTGAGTCCAGTTGGATTGGTTTCGGATAGACATGATTCCTCTGGGAATTGCCCTGGTTAAGAACCTGGGATCTCCATGACCTTATCAGGGAGTTGTATAGTTGCGGGGAAGTTCAAAGGGAACCGATAGCAGTCCATCGAATCAAAAGACGTCAAAGGTGCCGGCTTGGCACCCCGGACTATCTTTGGGCTAACAGTCTGCCGTTTGTGTCGAATTAGTGTCGAGTTAGGGTTGACTCGCTTTCATTCGAGGGTTTTGTAACCCAAACAAGCTTTGAGGATCCAGGTCCATGTGTTCCAAGGTTGGGCTGGGAAGCCTTCGTTACGAGTTTCCCTTTCTGTTTAGCACGGTTTAGATAGCAATCAGCTGGATTCTCTCGTCTTTTTTTGTTTTTGCTTGGAGAAGGCTATCTTCAAGGTATCTAATATAGTCATTTGGAAATTGTAAAAATGTGCAAAAGGAAGTCAAAGAATGACATAAAGGATGGATGGTACACTGGCTTGAAGGGTGTCAACTTATTCGCTAGTGCTTCTACTCAGTATGAACAGAATTACAATCTCTATTGTAGTGATATCAAAATATCTACCACGAACAATGACCCCCATCAACCCTCAAATCAGACCCAGTCATAAAACTACTCCCATCACCCAACAAAAACAACACAGGCGCACGAAACTCATCAGCAGTACTAAGTCTATAGAGCATATTATCCCCAACCCACTGCACCTCCATACCAGGCTTCTGCAAAGCCTCCGCAGTAGCCGCAGTACGAATATACCCCGGCGAAAGCGAGTTCACTCGAATCAGGGGTATCCCAACACGAGAACCCCACTCAGCAGCCAAAGATCGCGCCAGCTGATGCACAGCTGCCTTGGACGAGTTATAGCCGGCGGTATCAACGCCCTATCTGGCCGTTAGCCAAGTGGCTGACAAGTTCATCCGCGACCAACTCACCTTGTTCGACACATATCCACTCATACTAGCCACAAGCACCATACTCGCCGTGACATTCGCTTTGATGACCTCTTTCGCGACACGCTGTGCCACTCGGAATGTCCCCGTAACGTTGATATCGAGCAAGCGAGTGAACGATTCCGAGGGAAACTCGGTTGCGGGCCCATTATCGGACACGCCTGCGCATGCTGCTAGACCCCGAATGGGATATCGGAGGTCTGGCATTATTCGATCAAATGCGGCGTTGATTGAGTTGTCATTTCGCTGGTCGCATTGCACAAGTAAGACACGTTTGGAGTATTTACTCGCGGTTGCTTCGATGATTTCTATTACGGCATTATTGGGTGATTCTTGCAACATCAACTTTAGAGAGATTAAATCGACGTACCCCATTCTTCTTGCTTTGGGGCGCTCATGATATCGAGGCAGACGACGTCTGCACCACTTTCGAGGATGGCTACTGTCAATGTCGTTCCCATGAAGCCAGCTGCTCCGGTTACTAGTTCGATCATTAGTATAGTTCATGTTGAACTCTGTGTGGGCCCTTGCACCGATTATTGTCCTCCCTTCTAGCCGGAACAAGTCCGCGACTGCGACGGACGCGCCTGCTTGTGGTGGCTTGGCTTCACGGAACCTGGGATCGTGGACATTTGAGTGAACTTCTTGATGGGACATTCTGATAATCTGTGGTTTCTGCGACGAGGTATGGCAAGAAGTGAGGTCTGTTTAGGAGCTTTCAGTGGGAGCTACATGCGTTGCACCTGTTCACCGCATTTCTCCCTGCAAGTATCGACTCCGCACGTCGGGTCTATGAGAATATTCTGCAGTTCAATCGGCTCTTTTTTTATTGGCAGAGCTATTGTACATGCTGTTACTCTCTAGAGCAACATTACTTGTCTATAGTTTATGGCCTTTGGTTGGCACTTAATTGATAATTGATAGAAAATACAAGGTGGTCCTCATAGTGATCATTCGATAGAGCTAACAATCTATGGAATGGATGAGACGCTCCGCATTCTCCAGCAAAATGTCCCTTTTTACCTCCGGACCGAAATCCCTATCCAAGCCCTCATCCACTCTTTTCGCCAAAGATTCCGCCCGTGCCGCCGGTGAATAGGGATAATCACTCCCATACAACAATCTAGAAGAATCAACCATCCGAAGAAGACCATGTATCTGGTCAGGAAATGGAACGCCCGCAACATCAAAATAGAACCGCGTCTGGAGCAGGTTTTTCATTTTCTCTGCACTCGTAGCATTTCCAAGCCCTAAAATCATCGGGGAGAACTCGGCAACTCGTTCCAGAATAGGAGGGAGAGTGCCACCACAATGGCAGGCCAAGAAGGTAATCCCTGGACACCGTTCCACCGTGCCAGACGTCAGTAGATTCATCAATGCCCGGCTAGAGTCAAACAGGAACTCCATCATCGGCGTCGAAAACCCAGGGACGGGATTGAGTTTGTCAAAGGATCCGTCTCCGGGATGCTGAATGAGACACGCAGTAGGATGGAGAAAAGCGATGGTTTTGCGTTCGCTCATCTTATCAAAAACTGCATCCAGTCGCGGGTCTCCGGGGTAGATTCCATGCGAGTTCGTCAGAATTACAAAACCGGCAGCACCAAGATGGTCCAATGCATAATCTATCTCCGCAAGAGAGCCCTCGATGTCTGGGAGGGGGAGAGACGCGAAGAAGCGGAATTTGTCCGGATGGTCGGCGCAGGTTTTGGACATGTCCATGTTGGCGCGGCGGGTTACGGAGCGCCCTTCTTCGTTGTTCCCTGGTGTGAGATGTGTTCCTGGAGAGGAAATGCTGAGGATTGATTGTTTGATATTGAGCTTTTTCATCAATTTGATGTGAGTGGATGCGCTCCATTCCTGGTGGTGTTTAGCAGGGGAAGCGACAGTCATTGGGGGGGGCTACTGACTGGGATCGCAGGCATTCCATCTGGATGGCTCTTGCCTGCAAATTCACTCTGAAGGCAATATTCGCGGTACGAGTCAGGAACACAGTGAGCGTGGACATCAATCCTTTCCATTCTGACCTTTGTGAGATGCTGAACAGGTCAGAATTCATGCTACTGACAGTGCAGAGTGGTCCCCCGCATTCTGTGCTGACCGCATTTGCCCTGAAAGGTTTCATTGTGAACGTTTGTGTTTGCGACCTGTTGATTCGATATGATTGGAGCTCATCTAAGCGCTAGAATTAACACCCTGTTTCCCTATCTATATTGCTATCTTCTCGCAGCGAAGGCGTCCAGAATGAAGACAATGTCTAATCACAAAATCTCACATACCTAACCCCTGCTATATCAAATCTGCAGTTGGAAGTTCCTTTGGCTCAATAATCAATCCCCTGGCAGCCAACAATCGCGCCTGCGTGAGCTTCAAGAACCGATAGGTGTTGTCCAAAATCGGCGTCTGAACTCCCTTCTCTCGCGCAACCCGCAAAGCATTGCCCAAGATAACCTCCACTTCCATCGGATTTCCTTTATCAACGTCCACCAGCATACTCGGACGGAAAGACAGTTCGAGCGGAGTCGCATCGACCATTTCATCCACGATTCCGTCTCCGAGATCATACCCATCAGCCTTGGCAATCGCCGCCATCTCCGTCATACCAGGTCTGATCAGACTGTGCTCGCCTCCGAATCGTCTAATCGCCGCACTGTCAAGCTGCGTGATGGCACACATTGGGTTGAAGATTCCATTCCATAGCACCTTGCGCCAGCGATAGAAGACGATATCATCCACCATGTCTGCATCGACGACCTTGCTGCCGTTATAGATCCGAGTGAATTCTTCTAGCCTCGCTCGCTCCATTGATTGCTCTAAAGCTTTGTTGTGGAATGCGCCAATGTGGAAGTTATCATGGTCATCGTGGACAACGCTTCCGTTGAGCTCATGTGCACCGATATAACTTGGCGCAGAGAGCACAACATTTGTCGGGAATGCGTCGATAAATTGCGGTTCAATGTAGAGCCCATTTTGGAATAGCACGATGGTTGTGTGTTCTGGTGTCACCGCCGGTGCTATGATCTTGGGTACATTGTTCACTTCTGGGATATTCTTCATGGTGACAATTACATAGTCAAATGGGGCTTCTTGGTCCGCGAGCGGAACCGCGTTGACAACTGATTTATTCGTTAGTCAGATGTATAGATGTATTGCTGGCTTAGATTCTGCATACCTGAGCTTGGTCTCCAGCCGGAGAGTTTGCCATGGTCGATTGAATCAATCTCAAACCCGTGCTTTAAGACTTGCTCGTAGTTGGATCGCAAAACAGCTGTGACTGATGCCATTCCAGATCTCTCGAGTGCGACGCAGACCATGGTGCCGACGCCGCCTGCTCCTACTACCAACACCCTGCGCTTTGGCATACTTGAATCTGCTGACATGATGGTTTGCTGCAGTGTAGCTCTTCTGGGTAGGGCCTGGTCTAAATTTCGTAGTATTCACGTGTGAGTTATGACACCTTCAAGGACCAAATATGTTGAGAAGTCGATCGTTTCTATTGTATACGATCTCGGTGCCCCCACATTAGGTAAGTCGGGAGCTCCGAAATAGGCGGAATATCGGCATTTGATTGGTCCGTCGGATTTGCCTACTGGATTGGGCTTATCTATGCGCTCCTCACTGGATGAGGACGCCGAACCCCAGACACTTTGGGTTCTATGCTGGATAGTAAGTGTTTCAACCTCTTACATCGTCTTCTTTAACGTTATTATTGAAGGTGACCGGGTTTCTTTTTGTCGAGTCTCATCCATGGTTGCAGGGAACCTTGCGAAAGCAAGAGGGAGGCACAACATGTTCATTACACGACTTGTATACAAAGACCTGAAGCAAGTGTACTCTTCCATGCATTTGTTTCGCTCTCATTTTAGATCTCCTTGTAAGATTTCCTTTTGACCATTTTCAAGCGTGTTGAGCTGTTCACTCAAATCACTTAAACGCGGGAATGCGAAAAGAAAACATACGTGAACTCAACCCCGAATAAACCTATGATGAATAGTGATGCAAATACCATATACACTCATTTCACATCCCATGTCGCTTCAACACAACACACCGATCCAACATGAAGAATCCAATCAAGACCAAGAAGCTTCAGAAGTTTGCGAAGCGGCCCAAACCCCAAAGACTAGAGAGCCTATTGGAACTCTCTGAAGAAATAGCCGAGAAGTCAGGACGATGGATATACGCGCAGTTGCTCCGCGGAATGCGATACATCTGGTGGGAGACCGACCGAGAAACGTTCGTGCAATGGGCACAAGCGATCATCGAGATGGAGCTGCGCCTCCGCGAATCCACCCAGCGCGAGGCCTATCTCAAAGAATTGATTCAATATCAACACCAGTACCGCACCCTCGACGAGCGGGCCCGTCTAGAGACGCTAATCGAGGAACTCATCTCCCTGGATCGCGACTATCGGAATCTCGAACAGGCATATGTCAAACTGATTGCGGAATGTCCAGAAGGGTCCATGAAGAGCGCTTATTTAGCATTCCGACAGCAGCCTCAGTGGCATATGATGAGCCAGTGGCTGCGTCAGGATTGTGCGAATCGTGGAGGATGTTGTGGGCGGACGTGTCAATGCTGTGAGAATCTCCCTGATCCTCGTCGGGTGAAGGGATCGGGCCATTGTACTGAGCAGTGTGGTTGCTGTCACCGCGCACGCGGATTCTCGGCTGCGGTGGAGGATCGGGAGCGCATGAATCCTCATTTTGATCTTACTGCTACCCCGTGGACGGCTTATAGTCGGGAAATGTTTTTAGCTCACATCTGGTCGGTTCATTGAATGATCTTAGGGAAGAAGCCCGGCTCCAGGTTTATAGATCGTGTGGGTTTGATTATCAAAAGGGCAATGTCTGTTTGGCATTTGCTGTTTGCTACTTGGAAAGCTAAAAGTGAACAGAGGCTATTGTGGCTGCTCAAGTCAAGTAACACTGAGTTTCCAAATGTAGATAGTGTCTTCACGATGTCAGTCGTGATATTTGCTCCTTCTGGCCGCAAGTCCACTTCAATAGATACACCAGCTCCTCTCTTGACACCTTGAAACTATTCAACATGATGAGTTTGAGTTCCAAGTTCTACCTTATCAAGTCGCTCAATTTGAATGTCCTCACGGTCGGCATATGCTACTTGGTAAACAGTATACCATGGTCGCTGGAAAAGGCTATCCAAAGCTTCCAATGACCTTCCAGTAGTGTCCTGAAAAATGGTCAGTATCCTCATATCCATCAATTTTTGAACAACTCACAGGCATAGCAAAGAAGACATAGATCAATGATATCAAACAAATGCAACCGAAAAACACGAAAGCGCCCCATTTCTGAGTTGCTGCTAACAAACTCGGCATCGCCCGTGAGCACCCAAAGTAGAATGCCCAATGAAATCCCATAGAGATGGACATGTTGAATGATCGAATCTTAGTTGGGAAAATCTCCGACCCAACCAAGTATGGAATGCTGAACCAGCCAATACTCCATGCCACTGCATGGAAGTAGATCGCGACAATGGCTCCAGTTGACGCTCGAGAGACGTTAGGTGCAGTGCTAATATATGAAGCAGTCATATCCTTAGTTCCACCCAGGTACCCGCCGACATAGACCAAAGTCACCAGTTGCAAAGCGATTCCTGCCATCAACGACCGACGCCGCCCGACAAAGTCAACTATGAAGAGAGCGAAAGCGAGGGTGCTGACGAACTTGACAACGGCGTATATACCCGTGGCCAAGAACTTAGACTCATCTCCATCAATACCGAGGTATCCAAAAATTGTCGGTGAGTACTGTGTGATTGCGTTGGCTCCGGACCACTGTGAGAATAGGGTCGCCATGAATATCAGGAAGAATCGACGGCGGTTCTCGACTGGAATAAATGTCTCCTTTGCGAGATCCCACATTCCTGTGCTACCAACAGACTCGCTCTCGTGCAGAACTCCTGCTTCAATGCCAGTCACTTCGGCCAGCAGGGCCGAGTCATTGACAGGCAGATGGCGAAGATTGGACATTGTAGTCAGGGCTTTGTCTCGTTGACCGACATATAGCAACCATCGCGGTGACTCGGGACACAAGAATGTTCCTAGTCCCCAAATGCCTGCTGGTAGGAGTTGAAGAAGAGTAGGAAGCATCCATTGTGTGTTGGTTCCTGCGTAAGACTTGGTGACACCATAGTTGATGAAAAAGCCCAATACCACTCCTAATTGCTGACAAGCAGCATATTGAAGTGTGAGAAGACCACGGATGGCTTTTGGAGATATCTGGCGTTAAAGATGTAAGAACAATTCAGCATTTCCAGATCGGGAAGTTATAATACCTCTGAGATGTAGACTGGCGGAATAACAGTGGTTGCCCCGATGCCAATTCCAGAAACAAATCTGGAAGCATAGAGGCCTGAGATATTTCCGCCACACAGTCCCTGTCCGAGTACACCGGCTATATATATCAAAGTTGCGACGCGCAAGGTAAATCGTCGACCGAACCGATCGTTAAGGGGCAGGCACTGTGTACGAAGTTAATGAGCGACAGCGAGCACACAGGATTCACCATACCCCAAGACAGCCAAACACAGCTCCTGCTGTAGCAATTGAAACTATCCAACCTTTTGTATTGGCATACTCGTGTTCTGATTGTCGATCAAGACCAAAGTTCGCTTTGAAGCGTGCCTGCACAACGATAGATGCGATGTTTCCTTTCTTCTCAGCATTGAAAATTTTCCGAATATCAGGGTAGCTTCTTACCTTCGTCAAATCCTTTTGCAACACCAGGAAAAGCAAAAATCCAAGTGCACATCAGCACATACCAATTAAAGATCCCTTTAGGGGAATCCCGAATAGCCTGTTTTGTTTCTGTGATAAGACCCATTATGAGTGATAGTTTATGATCTTGAGATGATTGAGAGAAGCTGAACCTTGCTTTCATATCATTTACTCCAGTTGCCAAGAGCCGAAATTCCGGGGTATAGCCATAGCTTACTTTTTGTGGGGAAAGCAAGACGAGTTCCGATCTTTCGGATATTTTCCGTGTGAAGGACCCCATGCAGCGATGAACGGTTGACATAAAGACTTCGTACGTGCCAAGCTACGCATGTCAAAAAAGGGTTTCTTTACTTTTTACTTCTAATTCGATTCATAATTCGCGATGAATTTCTACCCCGTTCCACCAGTGGTCCAGGCCGAGATACTGATTCGAATCCCGGACTCGTTGCGATGCTCAGGACAGCAGACCGATTGGCGTAGTGGTTCCGCACTACCTGTGTCCGACATATTTCTGGAAGGTCCTCTATACACCAGGAACGGAGACCTCTATGTGACCGACATCCCTTACGGGCGAATTTTGAAGATCGATGCGAAGAAGCAAGTGACCGAGTGTGTCAGATACGATGGAGAGCCAAACGGTCTCGCCCTAAGAGATGACGGCTGTATAGTCATTGCAGACTACAAGCAAGTTAGTATAAAGTCGCAAACCAACATGCACAGGGGACTAATGAATATCAGGGACTTCTGCTCTTCGATCCTTCAGCTGGTGTCATATCTCCCCTCTTAGCCCGTCGCAATCTGGAACGCTTCAAAGGCCCGAATGATCTGGTCGTCTCTTCCCAGAATGAAATTTACTTCACCGATCAGGGTCAGACGGGCATGTCAGATCCCACGGGCCGAGTGTATCGGCTTTCTTCCGACGGAAAGCTTGACTGTCTGGTAGACAACGGTGTCTCTCCAAACGGTATCGCTCTTTCTCCGGATGAGCGTTTCTTGTATGTGGCTATGACTCGCTCTAATGCTATCTGGCGTCTACCTCTCAATGCCGATGGCAGTACCACGAAAGTAGGATTGTTCTTTCAGTCATTCGGAGCATCTGGGCCGGATGGACTCGAGGTTGACGAGGAGGGAAATCTTTTCATATGTCATCCTAGTCTGTCTTCTATCTTTGTGGTTGACTCGGATGGTGTTCCGAAAGCTAGGATTGTAACTGCGCCAGAAGGAGGGAAGAACCTGACAAACTGCACTCTTGGTGGTGAGGATGGGCGCACAATCTTCATTACGGATAGCATGAAGGGTAATATTCAAATGGTGAGATGGCACTGTAGAGGTGCAGCTAAGGCCAGACAAGAAGATAGTAGTGTTTCAAAGTAAATACATTTTTAAATCAACAGCCTTCTTTTGTATTGATTTCTAAGCCCTAATGCTCATGAGATACTCAGATAAGTTATTCACCGCAGCCATAGCACTGGCAGTCTGCGCCCTGGCCGTAGCAGCTCCGATATGAGGCGTGCTGATGACATTCAGATTCTCCCACAGAGTCGCATACTTTTCGAACGTAGGCGGCTCCTGCTCATGACAATCCAATCCAGCACCCCAAAGATGTCCTTCTGATAGAACTCTAGTAAGATCCGTTTCATTGACAATACCACCGCGGGCTGCATTGATCAAGATTGCGTCTGGCTTCATCATGCGAAGCTCGGTATAAGAGATCATATCTCGAGTCTCCTTGGTGAGTGGCACATGAACAGAAACAACATCTGCTCTCCTGAGAACCTCTTCGACACTCTTCACTCTCGAATGCGGAATGCTGGGCCACGCATCATCTGGCATAAAAACATCACATGCCACAACCTCAGCGTCAAAGGCTCCACGGAAGATTTCCGCGACGGTTCGCCCAATATTACCCATCCCAATAATGCCGATAGTCTTTCCCCAAAGTGTCAATCCATTGCACGTCTCCTTTGGCACTGGATTTAACATTTGACGTGTAGTAATCGATCGAATATCTCGCGCCACGGCCATCGTTAATGCAAGGACAAGTTCAGCGACGTCTCTAGCGTTCGCACCAGGCGTGTTGAGGATCTTGATACCGCGCTTGGAACAAGCCTCCTGGTCTATTTTGTCGATTCCAACGCCATGCTTGCCAATTGCCATAAGATTTGGGCAACTCGCAACATCTTCGGCGGTCATGTATGAACCTCGGATCAAGACTGCTGATGCCTTCTTTCGCCAGTCGGCGAAGGATGGATCTTCTGGAAGAATCAGGTTGAAGATTGTTCTGGCATGGGCGATTGCTTGGGGATTGAATGCATCGAGGACATAGACTGTTGGCTTTGATTTGGTGGTGGTTGGGACTGATGGCCGGTCTTCACTGTGGATACTTTCGGGAGGCATGTTTGACGATGTGACAAAGAGGTCAAAATGAAGTCGGAAAGAGAAGTAAATATAAGAGGGAATATTGAACAGATTCGATCAATCTTATTCCCTACAGATGCTATTTAAGTTGCTTTCTTGAGGGTCGACTTCCTGGTCCGCCACGCGACAGTTGCACATCGTGTATCGGACACTGTCCGTTCATATCGGGTCTTTTCCGCCACGGCTCTTACTTCAAGTGAAATAGTAAATTAAACTGTTTTGCTTTGTCACAGAGGCTAACATATTCTTGACTCATGATACAAATTCTCTGATCAATTTTTGGATACCTTCCGGTATCACCACGGGTAGTTCCTGGAAGATAGGCTCATCTATCGGGTTCCCAGGGGTCACTGTGGACAAAGCCCATAGTACACGACGAAAATCTTTAAGCGCAGGAAATTCTGCAACCAATAGTGTGAGCAAATTGGTGCATTTGTGAATAATATTGGCCCCTTGCGTGGGGCGCGACGATTTTCGAGACAGGCAAGTCACTGCAATGCCAGTCGCAAAAATGTCGTATGCATCCACGAATGACCCACGGAAATCACCACGATCTGAGCTTTGATGTTCTTCCTCGATATATGTCGTGCCTGTTCTGATAAAGTCTTCTTCTATCACACGGGCATTGCTGATCATAAATTCATCAATGGTTGCAGATCCCTTTTTTTTAAGTATTTCAACCATAGCCCTGGATTCCAACTGCAAAAGCCATTTTGAGGGCTTGTCACTCTTGTCATTTGGAGTTGTAGAATCTTTCCAGTAACAAAAATTGCTGTAGTGGAATAATGTTCCTTGTGAGTCGCACTCATGTATGCTGGATATGAGCTTGGCATGGTCCACCGTATGGCAGGCTACGCTAGTCATTCCAGAGTTGCTGCTCAAATATTGATTGGGTGACTATGATTGCCAGTTGATGAGTATCTTTCTCGAGATAAAGAAAAGGGAAGACAAATTTGTTATCTCACCATAACCGAAATATCATCATCTTCGATGTTAAACGGCCGATCCATAATAGTACTTATTGTTCTGTGCTGCAGTTAGCCAGTCGAGTTCTAACAAAGGCGATGGTATAGTATACCGATCAACGGTGTATAGACCCCAGAAGATATCTCGCCGGTCCTTTATTTGCACTGTAGAAAGTCCGATCTCATGACTTGGGTCTTTGTGAAACCCAAACGCAATCGCTTTTTGCATCGCCAGGCCAAGAAGATGCCAGGTAGAGCCACCTAGTGAACTCTGCATAGAGTAAATAATCAGAGATAACATGCAGTGGAGGATGTTCACGCTGGTTCCGGACTCGAGAATCTCCGCAAAGACTTTCGTTGCTGCCGCGTGAATATTGCTTGAAAATCCATGTAGACTGACTGAATCGGTAGAGAGAAGCATTCCGGTAGCGATCGTCATGAAGGTATTAAACTTTCTCATCCGCGCACCTTCACTGGCAAGTTCACTGGCATTGTTTTCGCATTTGAAATGCTCCTCAACATCTTCTCTTACTCCTTCCGGACTGAGATGTAGGAATTGTGGTTCAACTCTTTCAATGAAACAATCCACGTAGTGGACAGAGAACTCCTTGGTCAACACGCTTGTTTGATCCAGCATAGATATTAATCCTTTAGGTGCATCTTTCGTTGCTCGTGTTGGATCTTTTCCTGAGATGACCATGGTAGCGCGTACCATGCGGCCCATGGCAAGTTCCTGAGAGAAGCCACTCATTTCATCACGCGGCTCTGCCATGGCACTGCGAGACAAAAGCCCAATTTCCCCCATTGCTGCCTGAACTGTTGTATCCGCAATTTCCTGCTGGGGCCGTATCGGTCTGTCCTGAGGTTTGTTGCAGTGGATTGCCAACTGAGGCATCTCTATTTGTCTTGTGGGTGTATTGCCCTGAAGACGAGCACGTTGGCGCCGAAGGTCAGTCTCCAGATCATCTCGTCTTCTCTTCAGAGTCTCTACATAGCTGGAAGTCCGTTAGGTACGCTCCACTGTCATGCAAATTCTATCAAATGCCTACCTAGGCACTGCTGCATGGGATAGATTCCCTGCGCTGTTCGTGATTGGACCAGTGGAAAACTTCCGAGGGACGCACTCGACCCCAACCCCAGTACACGTCGTGCATGCGGGAAGTGCCCTGTCACACTGTTCTCCGTTAGAATCGGATGTCCGAAGCAGATTTCAAAATTTCCTATTGCTTATAACGACGGACTAGGGCCGAACCTTTTGTTTGCGTTTCCAGCACCGTTCGCATGCCTGGCCGCGTTGCCGTGGAGTCATTGAAGAGACAGCCTTGATACTATCTTCCACTTGTCTCGTCATTGTTCGATACACAAGACAGCAGACATTCCTAAAGATCGGATGGTATGAAATGAGGAGATGCGGAGGAAGGTCCGATGTCGAGGGAGATGTCCGCCCCATTCTGATTGGCTGACTGTTCCTGGTTGGGGAATCAGCCGGGGTCCGGGGTATCTCGGGGATTGTATCTTTTTTTCTTCTTACTGGCAATTATCTCAGTATTGTTTTCAAAAGATTAACTGAATTGTTCAACATGGACACGATTTCAACTCTGGTGTGGGATACGCATGTCCATTGCTTTGATCCAGAACAGTACCCCTTCAAACCCACTCGTGCATATACACCTCAGCCTGCTTCTTTGGTAGAGCTTGTGAATGCTTCTCTATATAAGCGACTAGTTCTGGTCCAAGCTTCAATCGAGAATGGGCACGAAGGCTTGGTCGCTCATCTTCAGCGTGTTCGCGCAGAACATCCCGATATTCTCGCTCGTGGGATCATTTGCATGGACGAAGACTGGGAGTCTATTTCCAATGATCAGTTTGATCTACTCGACGAACTAGGCATTAGATCATGTCGAGTTCATGGACTTTATGGCGATGGTCTGGGCAGTCAAGCCAGTATAGAGGAGCAGTTTCGTCGATTTGCCCGTTCTTATCCTGCCCAAAAGTGTGGCTGGAGTCTCTCTGCACAGTTACCTTTGAAGTTATGGGCATCTCTCAAGGATTTTATTCTTCATGATCCTGAAATTAAGGCCCTTACGATCATCGCAGACCATCAAGGATGTGCCACGCCTTCAGATATCAATACTGCGGAATTCGATGCATTTCTTGATCTACTGTCTTCCGGCAGGTTTCATGTGAAGTTGTCTGCTTTATACCGCCGCAGTGCAGGTTCATTTCATGAAATGCTGCCCATTATACAACGAATTGCCAATAATGCTAAGGGAGCACTACTCTGGGGCAGTGACTGGCCTCATGTGGACAGTACCAACCAATCACTTGCCCCATCAACAAATCTAGCGAATGTTGACGTCTCATCAGAGCTCTCAGCCTTGACAGACTGGATCACTAAAGAGCAGTGGCACTCAATGCTTGTTGATAATCCCGAACGTTTGTTTGGACGTCAATGATAAACAATGTTACTGGATCATCATGTCATAGACTTGTAGAGAAACAAATTTAACCTAAATTCAGCACTTTAGCACTTTAACCCAGAAAAAAATCATTGAAAATTAGTACCTAAGCTTTAAGGGATTTTTCCGTCGCCTGTCGGACATCGCCCCGTCGTGCCAAGAGTACGGGGGAGGGGGAAATTCTTGTCTGGGGAACAGAACAGTCTGGGGTGCTTAACTTACCAGTCTACAGTACATATAAATACAATGTCAAGCTTCGCACATTATGAAATTCTCGAAGTTCATTTCTGGCAATTTGATCCGCTTATTCAAAATGCCTTCAGTCAATGCCCCCTCCACAAACTCCACCGGTGACAACCAAGTCCAACCCGACAAAGACAAGGATGTATGGGTCGAAGATTCTCCTGCAGATGACCCTTCTAATCCTATGAGCATTTATTTCTCGTATGATCCTGAGTTTCGGAAGAAAGTTGAGACCCAATTGCGACGAAAAATCGATACTCGTATCCTTCCTCTGATCGTCTTGATCTATCTCTTGAACTACTTGGATCGCAACTCTATCACCCAAGCCCGTCTTTATGGTCTTCAAGAAGATACTGGGGTTAAGGGTGCCGAATACCAGACTGCCATCTCAATCTTCTCGGCCGGGTATATCCTGATGCAGATTCCTTCCACGTTGCTTATGACAAGATTTCGCCCTTCTATCTTTTTGGTGAGCAATGTTCTTTGAAAGTCAGTTGATTGGAACTCTGCTTACTCTCTCTCTCTCTCTCTCTCTCTCTGCAGCCAACATGCATCATTCTTTGGGCCATTGTGAGTGGATGTACGTCCGCCGTTCACAACACACCAGGACTGTTGATTTTGAGATTTTGCCTTGGTTTTGTCGAAGCCCCTTTCTTTCCCGGAGCAGTATACTATCTCAGCTGTTGGTATACAAAACGGGAGATCGGCGTGCGGATGGCTCTTCTCATTTGTGGTATTCTACTCTCAAATGCATTCGCCGGTTTGATTTCCGCTGGAATACTGTCTGGCATGGGTGGAGTTGGCAATCTTGCTGCATGGAGATGGCTCTTTATTCTTGAAGGCCTGGCAACGGTCATTGTTGGAGTGATTGCTTTATTTATTCTTCCAGACTTTCCTGGCACGACCAAGTGGCTGAATGAGTCTGAAAAAGTGGTTGCTCAATGTCGACTTGCAGTCGATGCTGGAAGCGACACTGTTCTTGATGCTGAGAAAGTTCCGATATCTCGTGGTCTATCCTGGGCTGCAAAGGACATCCGCACATGGCTATTTGCTTGTCTACAAATGTGTACCACGGCTTCCATTTCATACTCTCACTTCTTTCCCACCCTGATCAAGGAGCTTGGGTTCAAGAATAACACCACTGTTCTACTCCTCACCTCGCCGCCCTACATTTTCGCCTTCTTCTGGGCCATGGGATGGGCCTGGACGGCAGATAAATATCAAATCAGATCTATTCCCGCTGGTCTGTCGCAGTGTCTAGCGATTGTCGGTACAGTTTTTTTGATCGCCATCACTAGCTCACTGTGGGCTCGCTATGCCTTGACAATTCTTGTTTGCTGCGGTACATTCGGTGTTTACTCCACTACCTACGCCTGGCTTTCTTCCACGATCACACAGCCTCCTATTAAGCGAGCCGTCGCGATTGGGCTTGCTAATACTTGCGCCAACATTGCTTCCCTGTTCGCCAACTACTTCTGGCTGGATCAGTATGAGCCAATGTATAGACAATCTTGGGGATGTCTTTTGGCATTCCAGGTACTTGGGCTGTCTTGTATACTGACCCTCCGTGTGTTGCTTCGCCATGCCAATAAGAAGTTGGATCAATTGGCTGTTGAAGCCGAGACTAATGACACTTTGTTCATGGGGCGTTTGGATGAGGATTCAAGAAATGCGATTCAGAATAACTTCCGATATCTTGTTTAGTAAACGAACAAGACAGGAGGAGTCAGAGAGAGATTATCCTTATTGGTAGTAATTATCACACTATTACGAAGTAAATCCCTCGGTATTTGAATTCTCCAATGTTTCTCATTTTCACCAATCATTTAATCTGCTGCATGTATAAACCGCAATGGTTTTGCGATCATAAATTTCCCACCACATAAAACTGCCACACTTGTCGAAGTTCCGTGACAGCACAACACGAAAAGACTGGTGATCATAGAATCCCTCTCAAATACCATTCTAGTATTGAATAATACTGTCGTTTATGTATCACGTGCTCATGAAGCTTGATGCCATCACCTGACTCGCAGCGTACCCCAGACTCAGCGCACCTCCGCTCTACTTTGTTTTTCCTTCGCTCCTCGAAAATGCTGTTGCCAAAATTTCCTGGACTTGTTGCCGATTAATCGAGCCAACGAGAATTACGTGGTTTGAAATAATCATTGGAACATCTCAAAACCTCTCGTTTAGGTATTACTGGATGAGAGAGGGCGCTATTATGGAGAATACATCGTCTGTTCAAACATCCCCATGTCCCTTAGATTCAACGGAGCCAAATAACCCTCGGCTTCCCGCGTGTCAATTCTGTCATTCAAGAAAAATCAAATGTGACAATTCTCGACCCAAGTGCGGGCCATGTACCAAGCATGGCGAGGAATGCGTGACTCTCTCTGTCGATGAATTTGACTCAGTGGCTCGAGGGTATATTGCCTTCTCTTCATTCACATTACATCTTACATTGCTTATACTTTTATGTTTTCAATAGATATATCGGTGATCTGGAAGAGCAGATCAAAGGCTTTGAGGGCCAGTTGACTGCAATGAGATCAAATGACGCATCTGCCATGACAGTATCGGCGACTGAACAAATGTCAAATATGCAACATTACAGAAGTGATGCTCCGCACGAAGAAAATCATGTCAATAAAAACGGTAACACCCAGTCTCCAAATTTTGTCGAAGGTGGTGGAATCAGGTTTGTAAATTGAATCTTCTTCGAGGAATGAGTGTTGATAGAAACCTCTAGCTTTATACGATATCTCTTTGTGGACTCGTCATGGCGAGACCATGATCCATCGTTGCTACAAAACTTGTCAAAGGTCTCTGGTCCTGCCGAGGCCGGGATCAGATCAAATTCCTTACCGTCAGCTGCAGAGGCTCGAATCCTTTTTGACAAATAGTAAGTGGCCGCTGGACTACAATAATGAATGGCAACTTGGGCTAACCGTCGTAGCCTTACCGGGTCTCATATTCAAAACCCAATTCTCCTTAGACGTGATGTACAACAACTCTACCGTTCTGTGTTCTCCGCACCTGAAAAAGATGAGCCGCTTCCTGGGACTCACGGTGTCTCATCACACAGCTTGTTTCGTACCTTTATGATTCTCGCCATTTCCTCGGTTCTTCTATACCGCAGGGGTGATCATCCACATCACCCTTACGGCTACTTTCTATCAGCCATGCAGCATCTTGATGATAGTTTGCTCTCAAGGGAGCTTGATTCCATCCAAGATCTTCTATTAGTTGGGCGATTTGGGATCTATCATCATATAGGTAATATTTTGCCCTGGATCTCGCTGTAAGCGGGAACACCTTTGCTTCACCCTTTGGGTTCCTGCTCATCATTCACTAACAATACCTCTTCCCCATAGGCATCTCTATTTGGGAAATAACTCGGCTGTGCATGCGCATGTGTATTGAGCAAAATCTACATAAACCACCTCCTGCATTCCAAAAGATTAGTCTGTTGCAAGAACAGCTACAGCGGCGAGTATTCTGGGAAAGCTACATGATCGACCGTTATAGCTCTATCACTTTAGATCGCCCCTTTGCTATGACCGACAAAGCGATTCAGATCGGGTTTCCCGCTGATGCGAATGATGATGAGCTTGAAGCCGCAGAGGGATCAGGCGCATTCACAGACTTGAACTCTTTTTGTGCTGTATCTTCTTTGACTGCTGTGGCAGCTGTCACAACACGGACCACAGAAATGTCGGTATTCTTTGCTTGTGTTCGCCTTCGGCAAATTACTTCAGTGATACACACCACATTTCAAGAGAAGAGAATTGTTGGTCATGACAAGAATCACATCACAGCCAGGGGAGCAGTTTATGCCAAATTAGATGAATTGCTCAGAGAGTTACAAGGATGGCGCAAATCTGCCCCTGTTTTTGAGAATCCATCGTGTCTTTACGAAATGCAAGAATGGTACGACCTCTTGTGTTTAAGGGAAAGACTCATATTAGCTCGGAAGGCTTTAGACCTTGTCCCGAAGCAAAACAATACACCACCAAAAGATCTCGTGGTCCTCTGCTTACATTGTGCAGTCGGTGCCATCACGATTTTCTGTCAGCTTTTCCAGAGCAAGAAAATCACCTTCACTCGGAGCTATTTTCAAATGCTTTATACTGGTGGTCTATCTATTATGTTTTGTCTCTCTGTTATAAAGGAACATGACCTAGAGACCATCCGTGAAGCAATCAGTGCCATTACGCATGGCCAGACTGCGTTAAAGCAAATGGGGGAAGAAATGCCGGATGCAAAGCGCTACGTGGCGGTCTATGAAGCACTGCGTGACAATGTTCTTCGCAAGTGCAATCGTCGTTCTCAAGGGTGCTTTTCTTCGATGATTCTGGAGCCTCTCCACTCTACCATGCATGATCCAAACTACCATGGCCCTTCCATGTCTTCATCATCATTTCCAACCGAACAATTTCCTCCGTCCCACGACTCTGCTCTCTTTGGTATGTCAGGCTCATTTAATAGTGGTCACGAGTCGGTCAGTCAGTATCCCAATGCTGAGATCAACCCTTCCATATCGGATGGTTCTACTTTTTCTTGGGGACTATTCAACGAAGATGCTCTGTGGAACATGGAAGCCGGGCTGAACGAGTACGCCTATGGAGATCCGCCTGCAACATTGTATTCAGACGATCCATTTGACATACACATGTTCCAATAAGCATAACCAAAAGCAAAAATGAACTTCTACTGGCCAAAGTACATTCAATTAAAAGCAAAATAGAACAGAAAAATCCAATCTAATTCTTAACCTTCTGCAACTTACGACTAATCTCCTCATAATTCCGAGTAATCTGCTTCATCCCACTCTGCAAAATAGCCCCATCAGCACCACTAAGCGACCAAGTAGCACCTAGAGAGAACCACCTCTCCAACAGATCAAGTCTTCCCCCAATACCGCCAATACCAACCGGCTTCCCAACCTTCCTCGCCGCCTCAAGAATCCTAACAACAGACCCCAAATATCTCTCATCATCATACAGTCCCGGAATACCCAGATCAGCACAAAGATCATTCGACCCAACAAGAACGCCATCAACGCCCTCCACGCCCAAAATCTCCTCCGCAAGCTCCACAGCGCCAGGCGTCTCAATCATCGGAATCAACATAGTCCCCCGATTAAGAACCTCATTCTGCACAGCCGTAGGAACATGCGCAAAGTTCAACGCCGGCTGGTTATTCGTGCAACCGCGCGCACCCAGCGGCGCATATTTCGCACAGCGCACGAGCTCTCGCACCTCCTGCACGGTCTCGATGTGCGGGATGACGACGGCTGCAGCGCCGGCGTCGAGGATGCGACTGATGTGCCAGTGTGACTTGGAAGGCGAGCGCACGACCGGCGAGACTCCAACGTAGTTGCAGGCTAGGATGAGTTGGCCGACTGCGTGCAGGTCGAGCGTGGAGTGTTCCATGTCGATGAACATGCCGTGGAAGCCGGCCATTTTGGCCATCATTGCTATTTCGTTGCTTGTTATGTGCTTTATGGAGATGAGAGGTGTTATTTGGCCGGCGAGGATGCGGGTTCGGAAGGGGTTTTGGAGGGTTGGGGGTGAGTCTTGGATGGAGCCCATTTTGGTGGTGGTGATGTTGGTTGGTTGGTGGGATTGGAAGTGAGGTGAGGTGAGCAATGTTTGAGTTGGAGTTCTTCGGTTTCTTGGATTCAGATTTGGTTGGCATTATAGATGGTCTATTTATCTACGTTGGTTGTTCTATGTTGTTGCGGTAAATGTCCGATGCGCCGACGGCGGATTTCCGATATAGTTCCAGAGTGGAGTCTGTCTGGGTATGTATGGCGTGGACCAAACTCAGGACTCAATGGTAATGCCTCTTGAGTTAATACTAGTATTTCTGTACTGCCATGCTATAAATGGGGAATTAGTAAGATTAATTTTCAGAAAAGCAGGCTGGATATCAAAACATTACGTCTAAATCAAGGCGCATGGGTTTGCGAAATTGGCATGCATGCGACAACTCAATTGAGAAATTGGCAATCGGGAATCGGGCAGCCGATATTGCTGTGGCTTAAGACCTCGGTCGATAATACATGCTGGTCTCAAGTTCATCCATCAATATTGCGTGAGGCAACTTCACCTTGCGTGGTTCTGAAATGACCTCATCTACATCAAGCCCTTGCTTTGGTACCAATTGTCAGCTAATCTACGGAGTACCGAGACACTCATCAATGGTTCTGAATCAGCATGGCAATACCAGCCGATCATTCATTATTAAACTCTATGCCGTACCCATTAAGTAATCTCGCCAGTAACTTTTGTGGCGTCAAAGAAATAACAGCTCATCACTTAATCCAACATTTCCCTCCAAGTCTTATGATGTACATACCACATATAACACATCGAGGCTTGTGAAACGACAAAAGCCCCTTTTAACAAAATCCGAAAATGTAAGATAATTTACAGCTTGAATTGCATCAAGTTTCCGACCATCTCGCGGGCAGTGATGCGCGTAGTAGCCCACAAGGTAGGGAAGTCCAAAGTGCTGGAGAAGGTGTCGGCATAGCCGAAGAAGAGCATGGGAGGGATCCAGCCACGGGCGTACTCGAGCGCGAAGCAAGACTCATCCATCTTGTACTGCTTGACCTCGCCGCGAACCAGGTGGTGCACGCTACCAGCCGGGTAGACCTCCGGCTTGAACTCGCCGGGAACGTAGGCGAGCTGGGTACCCTGGAGGATGTTGAAGTAGTCGTCGGCGGTGTGGCGGCCGGTGTGGCCCTCGGTGCCGATGGCGGTGCCTAGATAGGAATGGTTAGAAGGGGGCAAAAGGGAAGAAAAGCTTCATTGGAATGGAATACTCACCGAAGATAATCAGGTACTCGGTGATACTGGCGTGGATCACGTACATGGCGCCCATGGCACCGCCAGCGTTGTTGAACACCCACTCCTCATCGGTGCTGAGGTAGTTGGGGCCAACCTTCTGCTCGAGCTCGGCAACAATGAAGTTGACGATGGAGCGGGTGTCTTCACCGTGGGTGCTGATTGCGCGCTGGGAGAGGTCGTGCAGATGCTCGGGGTCGAAAATGTAGAACTGCTCGAGGCGCGCGTCGAGGTAGCGGTAGACGGCGGAGAAGAGCGCCAGGAAGATGGCGAGGAAGCTGAGGGTCTTCAGCGAGAAGCAGCGGCAGCCACAGCCGGAGCTGGAGGACTTGGAGGATTTGGAAGGCATCTTGTTTGTGAAGGGTAAGGAAAGGAAGAGGCAAACACTTAAATTGAAATTTGGGCCCCTGGCGAAACCCCCGGAGTCCCACCCGTGGGGCGATCAAAGCACTGGCTTTTATACCTTGCTGCTTGTTGATTTTGGTCCTCGTTCTGCTTGTAAAGACGGGATTTCTTTTGATATTTACATGTCTTGAACTCCTAGCTCTACACATCTCACACATCCTAAATTGTCTCTATAACCTTGATATTTGCCTGTGATAATCTCTGTTTGTTTTGTTTGCTGGGTTTGCTGGGTTTGTTGCTGTTGGTGGCTGAGTCAGCAACAGGCCATTCGGATCGTCGCAATCCGAAACTCCGACTCTTTCATTGGTCAATTGCTCAATCTATATGCCTTCAGCATTGCCGAGATCGGTTGTTTGTGGCTGCCCGAGGCTTATATGTTCATATCGGGTCAAGCGAATACGAGAATCCATCTACTACCCGAGGGACTCAACTGATCTCTGTAGAAAGCGGCACTTAAGTCTGCGGGGATCACCACGAGTTTCGCAAAGGAACCATTGACCCCTTTAACAGTCATCACTTCGTAACGATGGGCGACCATTGATGAAATTTGGTCTTTCGCTTGGTGAGTATATTCGGCTTCTTGGTCTCCATTCGAGTGGCCGGTTAAATTCAAAGTTCACAGCATCGTCAGAGGCTGCGGTTATATATATGCTTCTGCCCACTCCCCCTGTCGGCGAGGTCGATCATGGCTCATTGCAAAGCGGCCAGTTCTCCGTTCCACCTGATATTGAACCACAATTTGATTGAGCCTAGGGATTATTGAGCCTGTTTCTTCAAGTCTTCGGCATTGCGCTAGTTTGCGGGGTACAGATCCATGAAGCGCATGGAGAATTAGTTGACGACGTGGTGGGCTTGGCGATATCCTTCCGCCAATCCCTTGCAGAAGGACGACTAACAAGACCGAGAATTGAACTCTGCATCACTTCTTCATGCCGGCAAAGGTGACCTGGGACACCGATCCACAGCGAGAAAAAACCCCCTTTTTCTCGGAGAAATGTCGCAAATACCGCGACCGTTAGATTGGTTTGGATTGTCTTGAAGAATTGCGGATCCAGTTCTACAACCGAATGTTATTTGATCGAGTTCTAGACACAGCAGCCGGACGACCCACTATCCACCGCCGTCGTCTCAGGTTCGCCCGGAGCTCTTCCCAAAACCGCAAGCTCGTCTCCTGTCTCCTTTCCACTACAGTCGTGGAAAAATACATGTGCGCCAGGGATGTGAGGTTTGTGGCGGTGATCTACCTCCACAAAGCTAGTTGATAGGTAGGATGAAGTATCCTGACACGCAAGAAATTGTGATACCAAGCCTCAAGCCTGATTTTATCCGTGTGGAGTCCGGAGCAGATTAAGATATCAAAATCCGAGACAGGACCACTCCGTGATCTATACGGAACGTGAGCCCAGCAAGCCCCATCGGACAAACTTCCACTTGAGAAGAGAGGGCCATGTATAAAACAGCGAGACCCCGTCCATGGTCAATGTTTGATCCATTCCCTTCTCTAAACCGATAATCATTCATTCCTTTCTTTCGACCAACTCTTTCCAACATGAAGTCCTTCGCTCCTCTTTCCCTCCTTACCATGGCGCTGGCCGCCGTGGGCGACGCCGCTGCCGTCCCTACCAAGACCCTCAACCGTCGTGCCGACTTCTGTGACCAGTGGGGTTCGGTCACCACCGGTAGCTACATCGTCTACAACAACCTCTGGGGCCAGAGCTACGACACCGCCGGCAAGCAGTGCACCGGTGTTGACTCCCTGAGCGGCACCACCATCGCCTGGCACACCTCTTGGTCGTGGGCCGGCACCGCCAACCAAGTCAAGAGCTACGCCAACGTTGCTCTGCAGTTCACCGCCAAGAAGCTGAGCGCCGTTACTAGCATCAAGTCCAACTGGAAGTGGAGGTATGTAGAACTTCTACCCGCGGAAGCTATGACCCGCATGAGATCAGACTTCAATGGAACCAACCAGCTAACACGGCCCTTCCACAGCTACACCAGCACCAGTGTCGTCGCTGACGTCGCCTACGACATGTTCTTGAGCTCCACTGCCGACGGCTCCGAGGAGTACGAGATCATGGTCTGGCTCGCTGCCCTGGGCGGCGCTGGCCCCATCTCCTCCACCGGCTCTGCTATCGCCACCACGACCATCAACGGTGTCACCTGGAACTTGTACAAGGGCCCCAACGGCAGCATGACCGTCTACAGCTTTGTCGCCTCTTCCACCGTCACCAACTTCTCCGGTGATTTGCTCGCGTTCTTCACCTACCTTGAGCAGAACCAGGGTCTCAGCTCTAGCTTGTACCTTACTCACGTTCAGGCTGGTACTGAGCCTTTCACCGGTACCTCTGACCTCACTGTCTCCTCTTACTCTGCTGTTGTTGTTTAAGTGATGTGATCTGGGTCCTTGGGGGTAGAGTGAGGAGTGTATAGTTTATTCTAGTTCTGGGTGATATAGCCCTCCTCAATCAATACCTGTTCATAATTGTGATATTCTTGAACTATACCAGTATCGATGTCTGGAAGTACAATCTTGAGTTAGCACCACTTGGAGGCGCCCGTCTGAGGACCCCGGCTCATTGCCCCATGACGAACATCACGACGATCAGGCATCATCTGTACAACCCGCTTGACGAGGATCGCTCCTGTAGTTTATAGTGAAGAGGGCAGCATCCCAGTGACTCTTTGGCGACTGAGAATATAGTTCGTCTCTGCCATCATCTGACCTGATTGTCCCGTGAGACAACCAACATCAGGTTGAAAGTCGAAGAAATAGAAACGCAGACAGAGCGACCGGTGATATTTTCCTCGCTATTTCTGCGGGGTTCGAGCCAGATCCTATAAGAGAAAGAAAACAGCAGAAACAGTATGCGGCAACCGCTTCCACCCACCCCCGCCCATCCGCCGTTTCAAGCCCGAACCACATCGCAGGGTCTCACCTTAATCCTCTAACCGCTCGTCCACGTCACGAAACAAAGCTCTTGAAACGCCGTTTCACCTTTCACATGCCATCCTCTGACGTTGACTCTCCCAACCAAACAGATACTCAAGATCTGAAATCCAGCGAGACGCTCAACTCCTGGAACAAGTAAGTAACAGTATGTCGCATCATGAAAAGAAAACTCCAGGAGCTAGCCTAGCGAAGATCAAGAACTCGGCGCCGACGCGCACATTCCAGATCTAAGAATAACCACCTTCCCATGCATAGCTTCTATCAATAGAACAAGCCCGTCTCTAAGCGCCAACAAGATGAGCAACCGCAAAAAGAACGGCCAGTGCTAATGTTCGTGCTGAAACCATGCAAGCGCTGGAGGGGAAAGACGGGCGCTTATATACAGTCCATGCAGTGATCGCGAGCCCAACAAGAAAATCCCGTAGCAGCGTAAGTGATTCTTTTTTTAGACGCACACCACTGTACTCCAATACAGTTCTGGGTTCTGCATGCACACGGAACATTGCATTGCATGCATGGCAGCCTCGGACACGAATGGGCCCAGACATGGAACTCCTGTACAGTACATGCTACAGTAGGTAGCATGCATACTCCAGTACCGCGCATACTGGGTAGTGTCGGGACAAGGGAATCAAAAACTAAAACTAGAACTAAAAAAAAACCAAATTCATCCAAATCGACGGCAGAGGCTGGGACGATCAGACGCGATACATCCAGCGCCGCCACTCCGATCCCGCGACCCAACTCAAACGGTGACTGGCTGACGGGGATGATATCAGAGGATCAACGCGAAGACTGTATGTGACTCCCCTCATGCGAGGTGGAAAGACTATTCTTCGTCCTTCTTTTGCCCCCCCTCTTGGTCTGGTCCTAGAGGGTCATCTGGTATGCGTGTGGGAGTTGCCCCTCGAACACGCTAACTCGTGGCGCGGGCGTGACAGGGGGGTTTGGTATGGGGATGTGTGCCTGCGGAGTAACTTCAAATCACTGGTAACGTACAGGTACATGTGCCCTGTAGAAAGGGAAAGTTGACAGGGATCGTGGCGTGTCTTGCCCCATGCCAGGCACGGCGAATCATCCTTTGGGAGGGGGATGGTTAGGTCGGATTGCCACGGTCGGCAACTGACATGTATTGGGCTAATGTGAGATTACTTTTTTTTTCTCGAATGGATAGATAGAATTGGAGTGGAAGACTATCGTGGAATACTCCAGTTGACAGTAGAATATTAGACAGTTTACAGTACGGGGACCTAATATGGTTCGGGTCACGGGTTAGCGTTAAGGCTTAAGGTGTTCCCAGGGTAGATCAAAGCATCCATGGGAGAGAATCTATTTCCATGGAATGCTAATATAGACATATCGCATCCCCCCGCGTCTCGCGCAATGATGAGACGGTCGCGAGTTTCATGATGGGGCTGGTGAATAATTGGAGCTAGACGATCCCCCTGATACGTTCGTCGACAGGACGTGGGATCTTTTTTTTTCTTGCTTTTTCGGTACTTTGTTTCAGCAAAGAGAAAAGCCAAAGACAGCCGGAATCGTCGTACAAAGGACCGTATAGTCTGGGTGAGATGGTACAGCAGAGTCATGGAGTAGTAGAGTACAGTACTAGAGTAGAACTGAAACTAGGGATACAATAGTCTATCAAGTATTTCTCCACCACATTCCGCGACAAATCATTTGCTTAGACTCCGCGCGCGAAAGGTTCGAGCATCTCAGATCCAACTATGCAGGTCCGCTCTGGCTATTCTCTAACCCCTGTGCTTGGCCTATCCTCCTCCAGGGACTCTGACTGGACGAAAAGTCCTTGCAGCTGGAAATCCATCTCCCCCCTCCCGCCCTCTGGCGCATACCAGATGCTATATCTAGTGGTATTCCCTCGGATTCTTCACGAGGCTCATCCACATGCCCAACGTCGTCACCCATCCTTCCTTTCCTTTTTCTTTGCTGCTTTCCCTCGCTCTCTCGGAAATCTTTGTCTCTCCTCAGACGCATCTTTTTCGATCTATTGCTATAAATTGTGGACATTGTCTCGAATAAAATCTCCGGGTCTCACTTTTCTGGAGAAGCTCAGTTAGGGCTATCGATAAAGAGGGTTGACACGACAACCCCAACTATCCTTACAGCAACATTCCTTCACTCCAGAACTACTTCATTGTCAAGTTATCCTGCTGGTCAGGAATTTGAAAGTGCTCCAGCTTCAGAGGACTTTGATTGTGCTTTTGTTTTCTGTTTTAGTTTGAGTGTGTCGCCTTTGTGCTTGAACTGTTGGAACCTCCTGCCATCTATACCCATTTACATTGTCATTGTCCTTTGTCTATTGTACGAAGGAACCCTTGCCAGACATATCGTCTCTACTTTTGATTTGCCAGCTTTCGGTCTGCAGTCTACCACCTGCCGTCATATTTAATTATTGCACCACCTCGACCTCCACTACTCACATTCACAATGGACTCCTTGTCGCTCAACCGAGCAGCGCTCGACGAGTTTGTCACTCAGCGAGTCACCAGGGAGATGGTGACGCATTTGGCCCAACAAGCAGCCCAGGTCATTCGCTGTGAAGCCCATGTGACCAACACTGTCAACCAGCATGGCCAACCCACGCCGCCATCCACCCCTCCCATGGAGGCTTCCGACATGCCTGCCCTTCCTTCAATCGAACAATTCATCGCCTCGCTCGTCGCCCGCTCCCAGGTTCAAGTGCCTACTCTAATGAGCTCCCTGGTATACCTCGGTCGTTTGCGTGCTCGTCTTCCCCCGGTCGCCAAGGGCATGCGCTGTACCGTCCACCGGATCTTCCTCGCCTCGCTCATTCTCGCCGCGAAGAACCTGAACGACTCCAGCCCCAAGAACAAGCATTGGGCCCGATACACCGCTGTGAAGGGCTTCGAGGGCTTTGGGTTCTCGCTGCCGGAAGTCAACTTGATGGAACGCCAACTGCTCTTCCTCCTCGACTGGGATACCCGTGTTACTGAAGAAGATCTTCTCACATACCTCGAGCCCTTTCTGGTTCCCCACCGTCAGCGCCTGATTGCCCTCGAGCGTGAGCGCAAGGCTGAAGAGGAGTACATTCGCAAGCAGCAGCAACAACAACAACACCGTGAATGGTATGCTCTCGCAACATATGGCAACTTCCCCTGGTAACAACATGCTGACCAAACCCGCAGGCGCCGTCTTCACGCATCGGCAGATCTGCTGGCCAGTCGCCTGCGTCGCCAAAAGCTCGAAAACCGCAGTGAGAACCGTCGCGCCAACGATAACTCTCTCCGCCGTCTCCCCAGCCATGTCTCCTGCCCAAGCATGCCCAACAGCAACGACGCACATCTATCCGCCGAACACGATCGTTACAACCCCTACCAGCGCCAGCGCGCATCACCAAGCCGCCCCAATCGCTCCATTTCCCCGCCTTCGGTTCGTGATGTGCCAGCTCTCTCCCACGCCGAGACCTTCAACTCTCTCTGCTCGCGCTCCTCCAGCCTGGCCCCAAGCTCAAGGGGAACACCCACCAGCATCAGCACCGTGTCGTCTCACGGCGGTGCCGATGATGTGATGCTCACAGACCTGAGCCGCAGCCCATCATGCGCCTCTTCTCTTAATTACAGCTACGTCAACGTCGCTCCCCTCGAGCAAAAGCACAAGCACTTCGAGCCTCTCCGACAACCCAGCAAGAAGATGAAGGTCAACACCCACGCCCACGGCGGCGGCTTTGTCGCCCGCTTCCTCGCTTCCGCTACCGGCTCCTACATGAACGGCCGCGTCGGTCGATCCCACTAAATCGAGCTGGTCTCGATTCCCTGCCTTTTCCTATCTCTCTCAATCTACAATATCCCAACCTAATCGCTGATGCATATGATCCTATCCCAACCCCCATTTCCTATACGTCAACATCTTATCACTTTTATTACTTTCTCTCTACCTATTTCCGCTTCAAAAGCATTCACCCCGTCGATACTCCTTGTTGCCAATACCCTCGCTCACATTGGTTTTCCTTTGATGTTTCCCCTCACAACCTTCTGCCGTGCGTTTCATTTCTCATCTCACTACAGATGGAATGGGATTATCTGACTCCTCCGCTATTTCCTTTCCTTGTCTCTTTTTCTTATCTCACTTCAACACTCGTTACATTGCATTGCCTGGGGATCGGTATGGCGTTTCTTCTTATGCTCATATGTCGGTCTCTGTTCTCAATGGGCGTTGCCTTATCTATTGTGGTTTATTGTTTTATTATGTTTTCTCATGGATGGTTTCTTCCCAAGACGTGGTCCAGATCGGGTGCTTGCCCTTGTTATTTCCTCCTCCAGCCTAGACTCTGCGCTGTTTATGTATCTTACTGATATACCTATCTTCTCTGTTTGTATATCCGATGTGATGGACAAACTGATAATGATATTATTACCGAAATGTTAATTTCCAACACGTACATGAATCGTAAATGTTCCCCCATGCCGAGGATAGTTTGTTTCTTTCTCCATTATACTGAAGTCCTTTTTCCTTCTCCATTTCCAGGAAAAGGCCCAGATGAACAAACTCAGATATCCTAAAAACCGCTTTCCGCTCATAACCCCTAACATCACAAGCAGCCGCAATACTTGGTCCTGCCCCAAACGAAAACCCATTGACATGCGCAATAATTAGAACTGGACAATCACTCGGTGCCTCGCAGGCAAGATGGACATTGGATATGAAACTGCGTGCAGCAGGGGGTGAGTCTAGCGCGGCGATCTCTCGCAGACCTACGCCGCCGATGAAGGACTTTGGACCTGCGCCTGTAAGACCGATGACGAAGAGGTCTTTGTACTGGTCTGTGATTCGGGGGTTGTTCTTAGCAGCTTGGCTAGGAGGGGGCTGTTATTCTTTTGGTAAATGCTATTGAACGGATCTATAGTCTGATTCTATCTACTTGATGGTATGGAAAGTAAACCCCGAATTGCTTTTGCGCTATGAACGACTTGGTTTCACGCGTTTGTGGATCTTCTCTTTGGGAGGGAAGTATACGCCACGATGGCACTCAGAGCAGATAATGAGGCTATAGAATATCAGCATTGGAAAGATCCCAACAGTCGAGCAGACATACCGATAACGCAATTCATCGTATAGTACCCGAATTCCTGATTGAGTACTCCAGCCAGGACAGGACCAACACAAGAACCCAAAATAAACGAGACACCAGAGAGAGCGATAGCACGCGCCTTACCACCACCGGGACCAAATGCCCCGGGGTATTCGTTTTCCAGCTCATTGGCTGCAATAGTCGCTTCGATACTTCCTGCCCCGTTCAAAAAGCTAGTGTTCATACCAATCAGAATCATAGTAAGCACATACAGAGCTGGTCCTCGGTCTTTGGTATCTGCCCATTGGTATAGCCCACTTCCTGGAATACCCAAGAGCCAAAGCAATGGAGTCAGTGCGGCGAATCCATACACTGTTGGGATGCGTGTTCCTATGCGGTCTTTCAGCCAGCCCACGAAGGGGGACATTAGGAGACGGGGAAATTGTAGCGCTGCAAAGATCAGTCCTGATTTCATTCCGCCCCATTGGAATTTGTCCCGGACGTGGAGAGGCACGGTGGCATTGAATGCTGTGAATATGATGCCGAATATGAAGGCGCACCATAGGCCTGCGGTGTAGTTGCGCTTTCCGAAGAGGCATTTGTAGAAGTTTGGTGCTGGCTGGGGGTGCTTTTGAGGGGTGGTGGTATCGTAACTGTTAGAGTAACGTCGGGATGAGAGAAGGGGTGAGTGTTCTGAAGGGGAGTCTTGTTTGACGACAGGGTCTACAGCAGGAACAGTCACTTCAAGTAATATGTGAGCACCTCAGATGGGTTCGAAACCTGGTGAAAACATACCTGGTTCCTCGACAGTGGGTTTCTCAACCATCAATAGACGAAATATGATGTCGACGGCGATGATTGCAAACGCCAAGGTCCATGCCATCCAGTACCCTGCTAGTTGGAACAACATTCCAGCTAGCATGGGTCCACTGGAGGCACCTAGCGAGCTTGCAACAGACACAACAGAGTATACTTTGGCTGTGTGTTGAATCGGAACTGTGGCAGCTAATGTCGAGTATCCCACAACCCACATGATACTATTGGCGAAAGCCTGCACGAACCGACTGACGAACAGTACAGCCACTGTGAGACATGGTCAGCCTTTCTTCAGGCCTTTTCCGCCGCAGACGAGCCAAGAATGCATTACATACAAGAAGACGAGGCTGCCGTTGCAATCGTGCTAGTGAGAGCGATGACCAGCGCCCACATGAACCACTTCCGCTTCGACGTAGACTTGTCTGCAAAATGCGCCAACGGCATTCTTAGAAGCAGACTGACAGCAGCGCTCTCAAAGAACAGCCAGGTAATTATACTCTGCGTGCGCGAAGGGTCTAAGCTGATCCGGTCCTCAATCATATACGGAAGGATCGGGACGATGAAGCTATTCAGGAATGTATCTATTGATGTATGACGTCAGTCATTTCCAGCGCTTTCATCTTCACATCTGTACAAATCAGCGAAGAAAGCGTTTACCGGTGAAGAGGGCTATGATAATCGCGGTGACGATGAACCATGCCGATGAGCGCCAGTGAAGGCCCCATGTCGAGTCCATAGACGGCAAAGTCATTTCCAACCTGACAAGGCAGAGGAAATGCCTAGGTTTGGTTGAGAGGGGGGGTTTCAGGATTCCTGGTGGACTGGATGGAGATTGAAAAATTTTCAATGAGGAACAAAAGAAATCATGAACTATTGCCTCCTTGCATTAGGCGATAACGTCGGGTGACCCGATCGACTTGACAATGATAATTGTGATGATCCTATCAGAATAAGCAAGTTTCTGGTGCTTCTTACTTTCCAACCTCAGTGTTGCGGTCGACAATTACAGTGCTTTCCAGCCCCCAAATGCCAAGAAACGCTAATATACACTTATCTCCCACGACGAGTCTGGCTCGATACTGTCAATGACCAAGTTGATCCATGTTAATTGTGAAGATGGAGCTTCTGTTTGCAGTTGAGTAATGTGCATGCTGTAGCCTGTCATGTACAGTGCCTAGTTGAGCAAGTGGGGGAGTATCTTCATTGGACCGATCTGTGGAAGCTGGTCAGATCCTCGTGTTACAAGTACGACTTGCAGATTATAAGACCACGCGTTATGATTCAGGTGAATGGTTTGGATTGATATGCATGATATATGCGCCGGATACCTGAAAAGATCGAGCTCCCCAACAATGGACGATGGACTACGAGTCTTATCAGCTCTCGGCCATTCTTTCGTCAGATGATCCGTATATTCTCCAAGGCTGAATTGAACTTGAATCACTTATAAAACCAAATTCTCAAACTATATCTAGTTCAACTGTACTTAGTTCAAGGTACGTTCTGTTCCCCCCCCAATGGACTTGTCCCTGCTCGCGTGATCAAGCTTGACCCAGGAGCCCGAATGATGTCATATCCCCCGAACAGTTCGAACGGCCCAGGCACAATGGCGCAATATGCTAGATGAGTCATGCTATATTGTATAATGGTTAAGGTAAATTATCAGATTCTTGACTTGTTTTGGCCCAATCTACTCCAAAACGGGTGCCCGCCTTCTAGCAGTTCGGAGTTGGACCAAATATATTGCGCCTCGATGTGTCTAGATCCCAGATATGCTATTAGTGCATCATAAGCTCATGTGGAAAACGATTTATAAGGCACTGGGTCAAGAAATTAACCATCGACGCTTGGTTCTACCCTCACTACGCTGGGCAGAAACAATTCTTAGACTGACATGATGCGCGCCATCGCAGACGTTGAGGCCAACGAAATTAGTTTGATACATAGAATCGCCGAAGATTCTGATTCTCTGGCTGAGAGAAACGCACAAAGTGGATAAGGAAGTAAAGCAATATCGAAGAGAAATATGAAGAAAGAGGGAGATTGAGAGGAGGCCTACGGAGATGGAAACAAAGAGGAAGAATATGAAGTGAAAGTTCCAGACCTGGAAGTGTATACACTCGAGGCGTCTGATGCGTATAAAGAAGACCGAGTACTGGTACAGATGCAGCCTTGCAGCCCTACGTCTATCAGATTGTGGCCTCAGGCACCCGGCCGATACAAATTTCCGCATCGGGCTTGGCTTCATCTTCCGAATGCGGCAAAGATCTCCGGTTGCGATAGTCACAACTTCGCCGGGCACAGACCTGTCGTTCAACTTGGATTTGTATTTCCTCGTATCTCATGTTCTTGATCAGCTTCTCGGACCTTTCTTGCTGTCCAAACGTCCTGTAAAAAGGCACTGATTTATGACTGTGCTGATCACCCCGCTCCCCCCCCACCTCTCCAGTCGTCATCTCGGAGCGGCCAATTTCGCTGCCTCTGAACGCCCGACCTATTTTAATCTAGGGCCCACGTCTTGATTTGTGGCGCGGGGGCAAATAGAACAGGTCTTGCGTGTGTCGTTTCACTCTTATCTTGGCACTTGGCTGACTGGAACTCTACCACAGATCACCTTCCTTCCTCTTTCACTCTTCCTCCCAACCCGCCACCATGCCTCTTACCGTCCTCTCTCGGTCGCAGCTACGCACTCTGCTACATTCCCTCTCCCGTGACGAGGTCGTCGATCTACAGCGCAACCTTGCCGAAGCCCTACGGGATTACTCCAGCGGTTCCCAGGATAAGGGCTGCTCTGCGGCTTATCAGCCCCAAAGAACTGCTATCACCCGCCGCAATGGCTGTACAACACTTTTCATGCCCGCCACTACGGGCCAGACTATCGGCATCAAAATGATTTCCCTGCAGGACGGGGGCGATGCTGGTTGCGCTATTGAACGTGATGCCATCGAGGTCCAGGAACAAGAGCAGGTCTCAGCCCGCAAGCGACGTTCATTCCGCAACTCGGTGGCTTCACTATCCTCTGATTTGAGTGACTTGTCGGTTGGCTCTTCTCATGAGGACCAGGAAGATGACGACGGCAAATCAGTCAGCCCGTCCGTCACTACTGGCAGTAGCACGGATAGCTCGACCCTGCTCACTGGATGTGTCAACCAGCAGAAAGTGACCGGCAACGTTTCCAAGACCCTTGGCGCTTGGCCGGGCGCAGGCACTCGTGACACATCGCCTCGCGGCAGTGTGACGCTGCTGGACGGCGAGAGTCTGCCTTTTGCTTTGATCAACGCGCATGAGTTGACCGCATTCCGTACGGCCCTGGCCTCGCTGATGATGTTCAACAAGCGCAAGAAGGTGCGCACCCTTCTGGTGTTCGGCGCAGGTACCCAGGCCTATTGGCACATCCGCTTGGCGCTCGTCCTCCGCGGCGAGGACATTCGCCGAGTATACATTGTGAACCGTTCCTTTGACCGTGCCGCCAAGCTGTTGCGTGACATCTACGCGCCCGAAAACACTGAGTGGCGCCGAGACATCAAGTTCTCCGCCATGAGCAGCGAGTTCGGCGAGTACAGCCGGATCTTAAAAGAGCATGTACGCAAGGCCGATGTGATCTTCTGCTGCACTCCCTCTCCTACGCCGCTCTTCCCTGCGGAGTTCATTACTTCGGGCGAGGGCCGCCAAAAGGGCCGCTTAATCTGTGCGATTGGATCATACAAGGCCCACATGACCGAGATCCACCCCGATATCCTCCGGGATGAGGTCAATGTACAGCCGCCGCATCGCCATTTCCACCGACACATCCACCGCAGTGGTGTGGTCGTAGTTGACAGTCTTGACGCAGCCGTCAAGGAAGCGGGCGAGATCATCCAGGCTGGAATCAAGCCCAAACAGGTTGTTGAACTGGGTGAATTGCTGATGGTCCGTGATGCCCACCGACAAGCCGAGACAGTAGATGAGGAGAAGAGCTTGCGCGAATGGTCGCAACGCGGCAATGTGATCTACAAGTCGGTTGGCCTAGGATTGATGGATCTGGTCACCGGCGGAGACTTGGTGCGCTTGGCGCGGGAGCGGAAGTTGGGAACCACAGTGGAGGACTTTTAATGTGTAGAATACCCTTTGCTTGTTTATTGCCTTGTGTCTATTGGTCTAGAGATCGTCTGCCAAGAACGGCTCGACTGTGAGCCGTTGAGAAGAGGAATAGCGCCCGAGCTATGTAGAAAATTAAAGAGAACACACAAACAAAAGCATCGAATTCAGTAGAGCAGTAAGCCCGTAAAATCAACCACCATGGATCAGATTAGAGTATAAAACTGCATATAAATAGAGCTTAAAGCAGTCCAAAGTAAGGCCAGTTGGAGCTCTCTCCGCGTGGGCTGATGTTATGCGTCATCAACGTCCAAGGTCGGACAACTCAAAGAGACTGTGTGGACTGACTTTTTTTCCCTCTTCCACTCCTCTCCTTCACATTACCAATTCATTCCTTAGTATTGGTCTTTCCTTCTTTATCAGCTCAGTCCCTGTCAATCCCCGCAAGTGAGGGGCCAAAGCCAAAGGGATAAGAAGTCAAACGTCAACCGCTTCCTGTTCCTGGGTTTTTTTCCTTTCCTCTTCTAAGCTCACTATGCGATACACCACCTGCAACTTGCCCAATGGCCTCACCTTTACTGTTTCGCCAGTCTTTGGTGGGGTAACCTTCAAATCCACCGACTTCAATGTTCAACAGAACCCCACCTTTCCACCGGGATGGACGATCATTATACACACTGAAAAGCCCCAAAATGTGACCAAAGTCCCAGGCGCAGACAGTGAGCGCGGCAGTGATGACGATAACACGATCCGTTTCACGACCCCCACCTTGAACCGCGATTCGCTTTATATCTCGTACATAGTCAACCCGCCGTCTAGTGAATTCAAGCCCGTGACGTCGCCCACACGCCAGATTGCCATGATGCTGTGGGCGACCATGTGGTGGTATTTCCATGAACCAGAGCCAGATCTGCACCTCGAGACAGCTGCATCAAGCATGACACCCAACTGCGGACGACCCAAAGGCGACTGGCGCATCAATATCAAACGCGAGGGCATCTTCAAGGGCCGAAACCTGCTCCAAAAGCTCGAACGGATGGGTTTAATAACAACTCAAGACTCCTCTGTCGGCCTACAGCCAATGGAGACAAGAGACTCAAGCAGCTGGTCCAACATGTTCGTAAGCCGCCGGAGCTTCTGGCAACTCGACCCTCGTCTTTTCCTCTTCACTCTGACACCACGCGCCCCTGGTTCACCATCTCCGTCGGTGACACCATACGAGTCACGGCAATCGTCCCCAACCCCGGGCAGCTTACCCAGCTCAACGACCCTAACACCAACAGAAGCAAAATTCCACACCGCAAATGCAGGCTGCTTCACCTCCGCTGGCCCTTTCACATCAGGAAGCCACCTGCCAACATACTACCCGCCCGCTCCCACCCAATACACCTACACCCACGGTGTGCGACACCCAATGCGTCCGAAACCCCCGCATCAGGGCGAAGTCTTCTACGTCCGCTACATCCCCAGCGTGAGCCAGTATATCTCATTCCGAATCCCATTTGTGCCCATGACAAAAACGATCCCGGTCCCGGTCCAGGACGGTAGCCGCAATATCAGTGGTAGTCGACCGGGGACTCCGGTTACATCGTCTGTCACGAGCATCGAGCAACATCTCTCGGCGAACGTCTCCTCCGACGTGGACACCCTGCACAGGTGGATGAATGTCCCGCGCGTCGAAGCGATGTGGTCGGAAGGTGGGCCGAAATCTGCACAGGAGAAGTTCCTTCTGGCGAATTTGACGAGCAAGCATAAATTCCCGGTTATTGGATGCTGGGACGGTATGCCCTTTGGATATTTTGAGATCTATTGGGTGAAGGAGGATCCGTTGGGTCGACTGCTTGATCGCGTTGATAACTATGATCGAGGAATTCATCTGCTTGTTGGTGAGCAGGAGTTCCGGGGTGCGCATCGGGTTGCGATTTGGTTGAGCGCTTTGGTTCATCATTGCTTCTTGGCTGATATGCGCACTGAAGCGGTGTACTTGGAGCCTCGCGTTGATAATATTAAGTATGTTTCTCCCTCTATCCTGTTTGAAATGTTACGTTTGGGTATGCTGACTTTTTCTTCCTTTTTTTCCCTCAGGCTTATCAATTACCTCCAGGAAGCTGGCTTCTATAAAGAAGGCGAGGTTAGCTTCCCGCATAAGCAGTCGGCTGTTATGAAGATCAAGCGCGAGTTCTGGGAAGCGCCAGCTCTTTAATGATTGCATGAGACGCTGACGAGTAACGAATAATCAGCATTTTGGATGCCTTTAGTTTTTGCGATTTTCTTCATCTTGTTCCAGTCAGCTCCATACTCGGATCGCTGGTGACTGGCAAGCTTGCCCTAGTATGAAGCACTATTAGTAGAACCCACGTATTGCCTTACTGTATAATGTAGCGGTATCCAGGACCTTATGTTCCTGATATCTCCAATATTTTCGAGCCCCATTTCAAATAACCATCTTTTCCCAACTGGTCCATAAAATCCGCCTATACAACCATCCCGAAGCAAAACATCGGCACCAACCACCGAACCCCTCGGGTGCTTCACCCGAGATCCGTGACTCAGACAACGAAGCAACCCCTCCCAATTCTCCAATGATTTCCCCAATTGACCTTGAATCATCCCTAAAACACCTGCAATTTCCAAAGATCATGTCCAAAGGCCAAACTCTCGGTTTCATAGGATGCGGTAAAAGCCAAACCCAACCCTACATCAAACCCTACATCAAACCCCATACTAACAACCCAAAAGGAAACATGGGCGGAGCCGTCCTAAGCGGCATCCTAAGCTCCGCATTCCCAGCCAACAATCAATCCCAATCCCAAGCCCAAATCGAAGATTCCAAGTCCGAATCTACAACCAAACCACCCATAACCAACTTCAAAGCCTGCACCAAGACCGCATCCTCAGCAAAAAGGCTGCAAGCCACGATCCCAAGCCACGATGCCCACCAAGTAGAAATCGTCTCGGGACAAAATGTCCAGACAATGCGCGCCGCAGACGTGATTATTCTAGGCTGCAAACCCTTCATGGCCGAGGACGTCCTCGGCGAGAGTGGTGTGCAGGAAGCCCTAGCAGGGAAACTAGTCATCAGCATGCTCGCCGGACAAAGCGTTGACCAACTGCTTGCGATAATCAGAAACTCTGGATCTAGATCTGGCGCCGACGCCAGCACCGAAGAAATCCCCGACCCAATCATCATGAAAGCAATTCCCAACATGGGCGCCTCATACGGAGAATCGATGACGATAATCGAGGAAGCAAGCCCAGCCACGCCTATTCCAGAATCAATGGTCCAAACCACGGAGTGGATCTTCAAGCAAGTGGGCAAGATAAAATACCTTCCGGTTAACGTAACAGGACTGGGGACCGTGCTGGTGGGAGCGTCGATCGCGGCATTGACTCTTCCTATTGAGGGGCTGCTGGATGGGTGTGTGGCCGAGGGCTTGAAACGGGGCGATGCGATGGAGATTGTGTTGCAAGGGATTCGGGGCCTGAGTGCGTCGCTTGAGGCTGGGACGCATCCGGCTGTGTTGAGGGAGAGTATTTCCAGTCCGCGGGGGTGTACGATTCAGGCATTACTTGCTCTTGAGCGGGCGGGGGCTAGGAGTCATTTTGCGGAGGCTATTGTGCGAGGCAATGAGCATTTGAGGGAGAAGATGTAACTAACTGGGTTTGGGGTTTGTTGTGGGTATGGGTGACTTATTGACTATTGGGCTTTGTGTAAAGAGGAGGGTGACATTAATGTTCGATTTCACTGATATGTTGTGTTTGTTGTGTTGGATAAATAAAAGATAAAGAAAGGATATACAGCCAGTGTATACAGTATGTGTGTGAACATTGCCCTAGGGCTATATAAGTTAAGATCATTGCTTGAAATTCCAATTTGTTTCGGTTCCAATTTGTTCATCCCCAGATATCATCGTCGCCTCTGACTAGGTCGTCTTCGTTTAATACTTGGAGGCCGTTGCTGCGCTCTTCTCGCTTGCGCTGGCGCTTGGTCACTGTGCGTCCAGGTGTGAAGGGGGTCACAGGGGTGAAGGGCATGTATGGGCTGTATGGTGTGGCCATGCCGGTGACCGGGCCTGCCCGGGACTTCATGGGTCGTTCCAGGATGGTAGTCTTGGTTGCCGGGGCGCTTTGTGGTGGATAGGCTTCACGGAAGGGAAGAGATGATGAGGATGATGGTGATGCAGTGGCCAGGGCTAGAGGGGCTGGTGCACGAGCACGACCAGTGGCAGGTTTTATTGGACTGAGCATGGTACCTTGGATTGTCGGCTGTTGGCTTAAGTGCTGTTGGTTTGGTTGCTGTTGGCTGAGGTACTGTTGGCTTAGGTGCTGTTGGCTTGGTTGCTGTCCTGGCACCACTGGTGGAGGACCGGGGTTATAAATCCGCGGTGAGAGTGGTGGGTTATCAAACTCGTAGGTTTGAGGCGTAGCAGCCGCCGGCGACGCCATTGGAGATGAGATGGCCATTTTGCGGAGAGCCAGACGTGGAGAGCGCACCTTGCTTGGGTCTGGATTCGCACGGGAGCCAGAGTTGAATAGCTTGGAGAGACGGGAACTGTTGAATCCTTTGGTTGGGGATTTCAATGGCGCCAGGGAGTTTTCAGAGCCATGGGAGCCACGGTCCGTGAATGGGTTGGTGAGCGGGCTGTCTGGGGACGGGGCATAATACTCTGGTTCCTTTCCAGACACATCAGGGACCGAGGCCTTCTGGGCATCATGCTCCATGACAGCAGCATACAGCATCTCCATCTCATCCTGGGCTCTTTGCCGGTCGGTGGCGACAATAGACTCGTCGATGGTCAACATGCTGCCGTTGACGGAAGGCTGAGAAGGTCTGGCACCCCTGGTCGATGATCCCCAGGACTTGAATGCACTTGATTTGGGACTGGAAGGGTTGTGTGACATGGGAGAAATTGGGCTGGGATCTATGCTGACAGGCGGTCTGACAGGCTTCAGCATCTCCATATGCAGTGTATAGTTGGATGATTGGACTGTCCGACGCAGACGACGTCCGACAAACAGGAGCAGAGCTAGGAGGATAGCAACGAATATCACGTAGGCACCCGCAATGCTCCCAATCTGAATTGCCAGTAGTGGTTTGTTCACTATGGGAGGAGCAGCCGGTTCAGGTTGGACTTTTTGAGCCCCTAGAACCGGGATTATATGCAGGAGTAGGAAGGACAAACGCAAAAAGAAGGCAACCGGAGAGGGAGTCATTTCCGGCACCTGAGTGGTTTATAAGATTATAAGAGAGGGGAGAAAAGAAACAATATTATGAGCAGGAGCAGGAGCAGTCACTTTTGATCGACATGTCGAAGTATCAGACGAATCTCACTCGAGGGATTGAGGTGATACATGTTCCTAAGTGATGGGGGCGGCAGGGGAGGGGTTTCGTATAAGAGCTGCTTATAGGATGTGATGAAGTGAAGAGTTGTCGAGAAAATGTGAGTATGCGCCTGTCGTTGGTCACAAATACGCGCCCTGCTGCACGATCGTCACTTGGCGGCGGCCACTCACAGCGAATCAGCTGATCCAGGGCTTGGCATCAGAAGTATACGTCTTCTATCAACTTCAACATCGTCAATCTTCATGATTCAGGTCAGGATTCATATCTCCACCTATAAAATGGTCGCTGAATTTCGAATGTCAACAGAGTCGCTTCTGTCCCAGTTTGGGAACCCATTTCCACCAGTGGCGATCTCTACTCATTCGAATGAACTTGAACTCCCATGAAAGATAAATGGTTCGTGCGAGATGATGCAAAAGAACTATGTAGTCTAAATTGAAGTCAACTTTGGAGGGCTCCTTCTCTCTCGGTGACTTCCTCTTTATTGCGCACCTGTCATTCCACTTCTCGCAGCTCTCACCTTAATCTCATATCGCATTTCATACCACGACCAGATACATTCGTCACTACATCATATTGCTACGTGACAATTTGTTTAGCCAACTATCGCTTCCCATTAACTACCAATGGGCGCAAAAGTCTCCGCCGTGCACAGGACACTTTTACGACCAGGGCAACGCAATTAACGAGATCTGGATCGGGGATGTTGAAGTGATATCCCGGCTTCCATTCGGAGACTCAGACCTGGAGCAAGCGGGCTGGCAGAAGAACAGCTGGCCAAAAATCCCCTGGCACCAATTCATAATTCCGTTGCGCAAACGAGACGACACGTCCGACTCCTTCTTAGGGTTCACTCGCTCTCCAGCGGCTGACGATCGGCCTCCAACCCATGGATATCTTGGAATGTATGCAGACGATAGTCCAACTGTGGCACTCATATTGGGTAGCTTGTTTCTGCTTTTCAGCTGGGTCTTTCTTCTGTGGTCTGTCAAGACGGCGCTGGGTGTCATATTCCGTCGACATTATAATCCGCCGCCTGGGTCGGTACAAAACTCTTACGCCCTTTTGAGCCGGCGTGGCACGTACTTCTTTGTCATAAAAGCCCTTTTGCTGTTCGTACTCGCTGTTGTCTATACCGTCCTGGGCATCCCGGGTATTGTGACGGGGAGGCAACGGGTCAATGCTTACTCCATGCTGCTTTATGACGTGGCGTTTCTCTGTGTTGTGTTCCCTTGTATCGTGACTGCGAGTCTTGTCTACCTGGTTTGCTGGTCGAGGCTGGAGCTCCGCGCTGTGTACATTGAAGCGGCCGTTCGTGCAGCTATGGACGATCCTGTTGTACTTGAGGCTATGGAGACTGGTGTGAGAATCGCGGTGTTGATGTGAAGTCAAGCGACTTCTAGGCCAGCATTTTTTAAAATCTGGTGTGAGTGCTGTTTGAAGGGCTGAAATTGGAATTTTGGAATTGCTGACTGGACGCAATTATCGGTTGATTCTATTATTACTTAGAAGCGCGAGACTTGAGGTATGTCCCAAAGCCATCCGGTATCAACAAGCAATTATCCACAGTTGCAAGAGACGAGGAGTATATCAATCAATATTTTATCCGTAACCAGCCGGTTCAATCTCAAAATTGTACATTGTATAAGTAAAGAGTACACCACCATATTACTTGGCGAATAAATCCCTCCACAGCTCCTTCATGCCATACCCCTTCGCCTTATCCTCATCACGGACCCGCGCAGACTGTGCCATGCCTAAAGACCCAAGCGATGTTGAGGCCGGCGCAACGCTCGACGACGGACGAGCGCGCTCAGTCGCCCGGCGTCTGATCTCCTCCGCCAGCTGAGGCGCAACATCCGCAAAGCACGCTTTAAGCTCTCGCTCGAGATCAAGATAACCCTTTCGAGCGCTGGGCGGAGCCTGGAGATTATATGAACGTGCAAGGGAATTGATCTGTTTCACAGCAAGTTCATGATAAGCACGCTCGATAGCGAGATAGTTGGGATCGCGCAGCGGCGACAGATGAGCAAGATTCTCAGCCGGTTCTTCGTCGCCTTCGTTGCTTGTAGATGAAGATGGCGATGACTCGGCTTTCTGAACTATGCGGCCATCGGCGTTGATCTCAGAAACAGATGGTTGTTCACGCAGCGAAGCTTCCAGCTGGGCTTTTTCGGCTAGCCTTTTCTCGGCGGCTGCGTATGCTTTTGCGCGGTTCATTTGTGCCTCTAGGGATCCGCCTTTGCTGGAGATTAACATGGCAGCATGTCTCTTCCAGTCTGCGCGCAGACGGCCACGGAAGCGACTTGTTTCCGAGGCTAGTTGTTGTTGTTTTTCGATCCATGGTGGTACAATTGATTGTTGTTGGATGATCTTATTCATAAAGTATTCGGTTGTATCGATGAATGCGCTATTCGCATTATGATCTGTCTCGGTGTTGACGCCTTTGCCTCGAGGGATGGACTTGAATTGTCCGCGGGCAATAGCGTCTTCGATTCGTTCGTCTGCCAGCGATGACAGACCTGAGATGGAGATTGGCATGCTTCGCGCGCCTGGTGATAGATTCTCGCGCATTTGTTGGCGCATTTTCTCGCGCTCTTCTTCTGAAAGACCGGGTCCCTGGGACAATGCATAAGTGGATGTGCGCTCCTTTGCCGATGCTAAGCGTTGGCCATGGGATTTCTTTGGTTGTGAGGCTGGCTGGAGGTTGACTGGTTGGGGGATTTTGTAGGGCATGCGGATTGGCTTGCTTGCGTCGTCTAGCATGCGCAATGTCGTATCTTCCATTCTTTCCTCTCCGGTCCATGTAGGAGCAGCAGCCATTTCTCTTGTGCCTTGGCCTGCACCAGCCTGTAGTGGAGTGTGGGTTAATAAGTGCTCGGTTGCACATTACATGTGTTACTTACGGGCATATCAACTATCGAGTGAGCTGCAGCGTGCTCGCTCTTGAATGAAGCTGCAGCTATTCGCTCTTCGAGCTGTTTCTTCAATTCTTCCGAAAACCCGGCATGCTCGATGTTACGGCGGGCTGAACGTCCACCTTCTAGCATGGCATCTTCGGTCATCTGCTCCAAACGGCGCGTCATAGCATTATCTCGCCCCTCTTCATTTTCATCTTTGGTCTTTTTATCTTGTACCTTGGACGTAGATGCCGATGTCTGGTTGCGAGGACAATCTGCGGAGAACCGCCTGGAGAATGATAAAGAAGCTGTCGAAGCTCTTACGGTGGCTACCGATGAGACACCTCGAAGCTGCGTTGGCAAGACGTGTCTGCCAGCCATATTTGCATTAAAATAGCTATCACCAGCGCAATAATGTCCAAATATAACGTTAAGAAGAAAGAGCCCAAGAAGTGGCCAGTGGTCACTGACTGCTGACTCATCCACCTCCGCGGAGTCAAAGTTGGATTTTGTTTGTCGAAGACTTCCCGTCGCCGGCGCCAGTTTCCAACGTCAATTCCGACCACGATCGTGCAAGGCATCTTGTCTCTTGCTTCACCGCTAGCTCTCGTCACTGCTGCTCCACCGAATCTCATCATCGCCCATCATGGCACCCAAGGGATCCCTTTCGACCCGGCTGAACCCGATGCGTCTGAACACCATTAACCACCTCCGTGTTCGCCGCCCGAATCAGAATGAGCAGAACCCCTGCGTTACAATCATGTCCACCATGCTGAGTATGTAGACACCGACGCCATGGATTCGCTGGTGGTGTTGATCTTCAATGGCGCAAGCTGTCCACGATAAAACATGGTTACTAACATAGTCTCTTCTCGATAGACTGCTGGGCCTCAACCGGCTACGGTGCCGAGGGATGCGTCGCTCTGGAAGCCCAATTGCGCAAGTGCATGGACTCACCGGTACGTCCAAATAAACCCTCTCAATCTACAATCTACATCACCCTTCCTCGGAATTCCCTACTAACGCGCATTATGCACAATTCAGAAATCCCATGAAAAGAAGAAGAACACTGTCAACTACCACTTGATGAGAATGTACCCCAAGGTCGTTGGCCCCCGCAAGAAGGACGGTGTCCTCGGCTAAATACGTTGATTGCTATTGCATCCGGGGCTTAGCAGCAGAAGCGAAGCGAGTCGTCTATCTGGAGTTATTGGGTTATTCTTTTAAACTTTTTTGCAGACCCTTGAATTGAGCCCCTCTTGGAAATGTCCTGAGTTGGGTGGCTATTGCGTTGTTGGCTACGCTTTCGCTATGGGTTTTGGGCTTTGTGCTCATGTGTACAGTATATTACTATGTGGGATATGGAACCATCTGTTAAAATATCGATTGTACTCTTATTTCCGACTGTTTCTGGGTAACAAGCGGTGTGTGTCTTGCTCGTTTCATACGGCTTCGAACTTTAGGATCAGTTTGTCACCTTGTGGCTTCACGGTATACGCATCGATGGCTTCAATCTTGTCATCATCGACAATGGTAGTGCGGAAATTGGTGTATATCGCTGCGACGGCCAGCTTCATCTCTGTTGAGCGTATATTAGCGCTGAGCCTTTTCAGTTTCATCCTCTATCCAGGACTTACCTTGCAGTGCAAGATTACTCCCAACACACATGCGCCCTCCACTTCCAAATGCCCAGAACCACCGACGTCGTTCATCCAGCTCAGCAGCTGAGTTGTCATCAACTAACCACCGCTTCGGCTGCCAGCTCTCCGGGTCAGGGAAGACTTCCGGGTTGCGATGCAGAGAATAGGCTTGAGCATTCACTCTAGTGTTAGGCGGAATCTCTCCATACCCGGCCAAAGTACAAGGCGGCGATGGTGTCACCCGAGGCTGAATCCCGGGGATGGGAGCATGGAGCCTCAACGTCTCCGTCACAATAGCTTCCAATAGAGGCAGGTTATCAATCGACTTGGCAGACGGAAGCTCCGCAGACTTTGGATACGAGATCCGAGGGTTGAGAGTCATAAGCTCTTCCCTGAGTTTGTCCTGCACGTCTTGATTCCGAGAAAGTTGCCAAAGCAGATACGTAAGACCCACGGCACTTGTTTCAAAGCCGGCTGTTAACTGGTCATACATCTCACAGGCGATATCAAGTCGCTGCTGGGCTCTATCCACATCCGCCACGCCCTTCTTTGCTGAGTCCTTGTCTAGAGCTTGTTTCAGCTGCTTGTACACGCTAGGCTCAACGCCCGGTTCAGTCGATGCGATTAAGTGATCACCCCTGTCGCACAGATCTAAAGCCCACGCATCGAGATACGCATTGGCCTCATCGCAGTACTTCGGAATCACGCGAAGGCCGATGCGTCTCAGCCATCCATCCAGGTAGGGCACTTCCTGGGCATAGAACTCAAAGGGCTTTCTGCATAGGTAGAGATGAAGCCAGTGTTTCCGGAGAGACTCATCTTGGAGGAATGTTGTTCCATTTTGAAGTCCAAATAGGTAGGATGAGACAAAGTCCATTGTTAGTCCCTGGTTTAGATCGTGAACATCCACTTCTTTACCGGATGATGCTGCTTCTTGGAGAAGAGGTAGCAGGCGGTCGAATATGACTGCATTGGATACAACACCCAAATGAGGAGACGTCTGCAAGGTTGATTTAGAGTAGATATTTGACAGCATCCTCTTCCGGTTGGAGTGGGCCTTACTTCCGGTCATGGTGAACATGCTGACGGTTCTATTCTAGCTGGTTAGCTCAATTCTTCTTGTAGAGGTTGAAATTGATTCCGACTGACCCAAATGAACCGAAGACTCGGGGGTACCAGTCATGTTTCTCGAATCCGCCTGTGTAGACAGACTTGATTCCGCCGTCGACGCAGTTTACGGAGATCTCGGATGGCCCGAGTCTGACAATCGGACCTTGCTTTTCATGGACTGCTTGGATGGTCCTGTTGTTCCGGCTTGTGAATCGTCTCCAGAGCATCCAGACTGGGGAGATGGGAGCACTCCAATGGGCATTGGGGATCTTGGATAATGGCGATAGGAATGCCGGATAGATGATCCCCTTGTAGATGACGAGAACCGCCAGGCCTACTATAGCTAATGTGGTGATTGACAACATGGTGAATGGAAGAGTTGTCCTTCGGTCTCGAGAATCAAGAGGGGAAGTAGATAAGGAAGTATAAAGTTCTCATGGCCGTGTATTACAGGTGGTGCCGAGGATGATCCCTAATTGCAAGATTAACCTAGCTCAGATCGGCTCATTCGTGACTCCGATTCGTCTCAATGTTTGCCGACAAGAGGGAAAGTCCTCCCCGCTTGGAGAACTGTGGCCAACGAAAACGGCTGCATTACTCCCCGCAATCCGATAAGAAACATGGGATATTTCAGTAAGCGGCCAAGTGACGAGATGGTTGGATTGGCTGATTTATCTCTAGTTCAGAAGGACCTTACTTATGAGTATTTATTCTCATAGAATCACTTATTTTCTACAAGACTTCCGGCAAAAAAAAGAAATCAAGCGAGGGAGACTGGCACGTGCTTACGTCATAGCCACAATGGGTGTTTATCAAAATGTTCAATAGGCTCTCACGCGATCAGTGACTGTGGCCTCAAGTTGTGGTCTCTACGTGCGATGGGTTGGATGTGAGTCCTTGGTATATCCATTACTACCTGCCGCTCAACGTTGCCTGGCGCAAAGCCAAAGTACGACTCGGACAAAAAAAGTCGGAATGATCTAAGAATCCCGCAGCTCTGCACCCATAGCACATCTTATATACTGTCAAGATGTTGTCCGATCTTCCTTCAGAGATAATATACCATATTGCAACATATCTCCCAACAGCCAATGCATTAGCCCATCTGTCCCAGACATGCCGTCGACTGAACGAGATTATTTCCGCCGAAGACTCGAGAATCTTCCGGGCTTTTGTTCAAAGCAGATTTCCAGCTGTCAAGACACCTCCATGTTGGAAAGATGCAGCGCAAGCCTTGACTTCCCGGTCCCGGGCTCTGGACCGAAAAGCCATCATCGGCCGATTTGTTGTGCCATCAGAGACTGCGATCAAGATTGGTTGTCATGATGTCTCACGGTCTGATAATCCGACTCTCGGATACCGGCCTGTGATTGACTCATATGAAATCTGGAATGGGAAAGGCTGGGCAGATAGGAAAGAGGTGCTTGCCTGGGGTGCGGCCAACCAGCTGGTGATGCGGATCAAGCAAACTGGTGTTCATCCTCAAGAGAAGTGGATCATGTTCAATGATGTTGAGGAAGTCAGCAGCTATGATGATATCTCTTCTCTGCATCTCCTATCTTCGAAACCCGAATACAGCTATGAGACCGACGTCGAGCATCTGATCTTTGGCCGAATCCGAGGTGACATTGTTCACATTACAATTTCACCGAACGATGCCACCCACAGCTACAAGAAAAGGTTCCTGACATATGGACTCAAGCTCGACAACACAGATCTAAGTGACGATCCAGACCCTGTGCTGGGGGCACATTTTGACAACGGATCCATTGCCCTCTACCACACATTAACAGACAAAGAGGAAGTCGAGCCATTCACATGGCTGCGCACAGAGGGCCCCCTACGAAACAAGTACTCAAAACTGCTATCCCAATCCCTCGTCGCAGTATCAACAGGCGACGTGAAAGACTCTCTATGCATCTCCAAGGTCACACCAAGCGGCATTTCCCCCTACCGAACAATCAGCATCGACAATCTAGATTCCGATTTCAAAGCCCTGACCAGAAAAGCCAACATCGGCGCCATCGAACCTCTCAACACCCACCCCCTAGCCGGTCCCCCAGGAGAAGTCTTCCTAGCCGCATGGGATGACTACACAGTCCGACTACACGACCTCCGCTCTCCGAGCCCCTACGAAGTCGCCTACAAAGATATAACCGACCTCAACCCAATATACAGTCTCCACACATTCGGACACAACCACTTCCTTGCCGGCGCCGGCGGCGACGCTGTCGTGAAGATATTCGACATGCGCATGTGCAACCCGTACAGCTATCTCGACGCGCAAGTCCCCAGCTCATCGCAAAGACATCTCACCAACGACACAGCTCCAACAAACAAAAGCAACCCCACCTCCCCCTCCCATCTCCAAAAAGACTTCTCAGTCTTCCTCTCTAACCCAGCGCCACTCCCACCAACCCAGCCAAACCCCCGCCGCCGCCGTCTCCCCTACCGCGGCCCAATCTACACAATGTCAACTCCCTCCCCCTCTTCCCCGACAATCTACACCGGCATCGTCGATGGAATCGTACGCTTGGATTTCGCTTCAACGGATGACATGACTGGTCCCCGGAAAGGGTGGTACGAAGATAATCTCTGTCTGGATCTCAATACCGGACCAGGGCCGTCAGCGGATGTTAGTAGAGATGCAATTGACCTGGCGGGGTATGAGCGTCCCAATGGGGATGATGTGGGCACTACGACTGTTACGTCGAAGTTGAGGAATCAGCGGGCATTTTGGGATATTCCGCTATCTAATGGAGAGGAGGGTGATGGGGATGGTTGGGATTCGAGGTGGGAGCCTTTGGAGGAGGCTGGGGCTTGGAGGAGGAGGAATTGATATTGTTTGTTGATTTTGATGGTGGGTGTGTATCAACGTCGACGGACACCGTTGAAAGAAGGTGTTAAGATGCAACTTTCAGCAAGAGGGATTGTTTGATATCGTAGGATTTGAGGGAACTTACATGGAGCTTAGTTGAGACTGTATGTGCGCTTGGTCGAGGTAAAAGAGGACTCTAAGGCAGCATGGACTATGTGAATGCATGTATATACGTATACTCGGAAGTCAGATGGGTGGTAGAGAGAAAAAAGATCCCATACTTTTGATTGTAAGCTAAATGAGCAATAGAATTTGGGTCCAATAACCTTCTCCGTAGCTCCATGTGCGCCGTGCTGAGTGAAATCGGGGGGAAAAGTACAAGGGGAATGCATGTTTGGTATATGAAGGTTCAATATCCAGCATTTGTCCACCGCGGCAAGCATTGCAGTAACCAAGTAAAAGCCGGGTGCCCCTTCAAGACAGAACCAGACTTGGGGGGATTCCTTCACAGAATTTGCAAGTAAATTTCTTGAGGGCTGTAGATGAACCAGACATTATGGCATAGAGTATGCAATGTAGGGATGAAGCGAGAATTGAGTCGTTTAGTCATCGAACTTGAAGGACTTGCCGCCAGTGATATCAATGGGGCCGCCGCGGTAGGAGCCGCGCTTCTTCTTGTTCTTCTCCTTGGTGAAACCCTTGCCGCGAGTCACGGAGAGATCGGCGAAGGCGCGGTCTGCGTATGCGTATGACATGTAGTCGTTGGAGGGGTGGTCATGGGGCAGCTCACTGAGCAGAGCCAGGGGGGTAGGCCGGGCTCCAGTGTGCTTCTTCTTGCCTTGGCCGTCGAAAGGAGCAGGGCTGGCACTGGAAGAGGGGGCGTTGAATGTGACGGTCTTCTCCACAACAACGGGAGCAGCTTCGAGGGTGTTGCTGGTGTCAGATGAAGAGTCGGAGTCGGAGCCGGATTCCGGGAGGGGGGTCTTCTTAGCAACCTTCAATGTCGCCTTGGCCTTCTTCTCGTCTTCCGAATCCGAGGAGTCAGAGTCAGAGTCAGAGTCAGATGAGTCGGACTCGGAAGAGCTGGAGGAATCGGACTCGGAGCTGGAGGATTCCGAAGAAGAGGAAGAGTCTGAGGAGGAAGAATCGGGGGCCTCCTTGGGGGTCTCCTTGGCCTCGACCTTGACGGAGGCTTTGACCTTAGGGCTGTCATCCTCAGACTCCTCAGATGAAGAGGAAGAAGAGTCGGACGAGGAATCAGAGGAAGAGGAAGATGAAGAGGAATCCTCCTTAGCGGCCTTCTTGGGCGACTCCTTGGGAGAGATCTTGGCCTTCTTGGCCTTGGGGCTGTCATCTTCAGACTCTGAAGATGAGTCGGAAGAAGAGCTGCTAGACTCGCTGCTAGATTCAGCCTTGCGCTTCACGCCGGAGGTCTTCTTGGCAGAGACGGGGGCCACGGCGGACTTGTCGTCGTCCTCATCGTCGGCGTCACTGTCCGAGCTGGAGCTGTCTGAGCTGGAGCTGTCCGAGTCGGAAGAAGAGGAGGAAGAGGAAGAGGAAGAGGAGGAAGACTTGGCATCTCCCATCTCAACGTCCGACTCCTCGGAGCTGGTCGAGGCAGCCTTCACGGCAGAGGCCTTGAAGAGGTCGAGGAGGGAGGAAACATTCTTGTTGTCACTCTTGTTACCCGACTTGGCCAATTCTTTGGTGAAAGCGGCGGCAGTTTGAGGGAAGTTCTCGCCGAGGAAAGCAGCAACCGAGGCGATCAACTGGGGAGGAATTGTGTTTGCGCTCTTAGGAGACTGAGGAATGTACTGTCAGACAGATTCTGCAAATTGTTCAAGCAAGCAACCTACCTTGGCCGAAGCCTGGGAAGAAATTTTAGCCATAACGACAGGATACCGGATCAACACAAAGGAAGAAAAGGTCAAACGGAGGACTATATCAGACGAGTTTTGGCCAGGAACCAAAAAAAAAAAGAGAAAAAGAAAAAAAGTAAAGGAGGCGGTGAGGAATTCTATCCCGGTGATTGGCTGTTTGAGGGCGGTAAAAGTCTAGCCTTTCACGTGGACCGAGCGGCAAAGACTCTATACAAAGACAGGGAAGCTGGAGAGAGCTGGAGAGAGCATTGAGAGTAGTCGTGTTCTGTTCTTAGGTATAAGGGACATTCAATTACAATGCTTGCATCAGAACGATATTTGACGAAGAAACATCTTACCATTCAAGTAGATTTCACGAATAATCCTGAAAATTCAGGCCAGCATGCAGCATACAGGGACTAACTTTTACTTCGGGAACCTACATATATCGTTCTCTTCTGGGATATGAAAAGAGCTCTGGTATGTCCATTGACTTGGTTGCATTGAAATCCCCAAAATTGCCTCGGATGTTGCATACCTGAGGGTAACGCCGGATCAACTCGATAACCCGCTCCAAGCTCTCCGCCCAGTGCCCACCCAAACAGATGAACTGTCTCGCATTACCCCGGAGCGCCCACCGCGAGTGCTCTTAACTCTGTTTCACTTGACCGCGCTCACCTGCATTGTAACTGGATCTCAATTCCCGCGGCGCGTGAATCCCCGACCCTCCGGATCATGTCCCCTTGATCTCGACACTACCCACCAGTGAGCTCCGTGTCCCTCCAACGACACAATGAACGGCCGAGACCGCCCCCGCGGACCTCCGCCAAATCGCGGGCCTGATCCGCGTACGAGTCCGAGTGATAGCAACGTGTCAAAAGCAGACCATTTCGACGACGAGAAGAAGCGCATCATTCACAGTTGTTATGCGAAGAAGGATGCTGACGGCACTTGTACGTATCCCGCGAACGGCTCTCCCTTGGCCTCGTCAAAACACCCCTGGCTCTAGCGCGGAGCTGTTGGTAGACACATGGCGAAAGTGGTGTACATTGTGTCCAGACAAGTCGCATCGCCGCTCAGCATGCCCGATGACATAAGGAGCCAATCCGCCGACTTTGGCTCTTTGGACTGCTGCTAATTGCTTGATTTATAGTGGTCGAGTCCTACATCACACATGTCCGCATCGTTGAAGATGCAGCGCACCCCTCTAGCCCCTCCCCGCCCAATGCCTCATCTGAGAACAAGAAACCCCGTGTCATTATAGTTTCGGTGCGCCGGTCAGGCCGGGTTCGTATGCACAAAGCTCGTGAGAATAGCGATGGATCTTTCTCAATTGGAAAGACCTGGATGCTTGACGACCTAACTTCGATCCAATCATTCTCCGCATTCGTTCCCCAATCGCCAACAGAACAACAACAGAAGGAATGGGCCGGACACAATGGTTTCACAGTTACGATAGGCAAGCCCTACTACTGGCATGCGAGAACTCCGAAGGAAAAGGAGTTTTTCATTGGGAGCTTGGTCAAGATCTTCAAAAAATACACTAATGGAAGACTTCCAAATCTCATCGGCTTCGATGAAAGGGAGCGCCAACAGCTTTCAGGCTCGGGACAACCTGGGCCTTCCGGGCCACCCAACGGCCCCCCGTCAAGAGGAGCTGCGGCAAGCCCTGTTGAGAGTGCGGTGCCGCCTTCGCTACAACCATCATATCGAGGTCGTGATCCTGGTCGCGATGCACCGCGAGAACCACCTCGGAGGAAGGCTTCCGAAGACCCCATCCTTCGTGCACAAAAGAGCCGCGAGCAGATGTCCCGACCATCTACAGGCTCGCGGCCATCTACTGGCCATGGAAAACCGGCGCCCTCGCCCTTCGATTTGCCCAAAGGGACTCCTTCGGGGCCTCAAGAGCTGCAACCTCCACCACGAGCTGCCGAGCGTATTGCCTCCGATGCAAAGAGCAAAGATACTCCTCCCAGTTCTAGCCATAGCGGCATTCCAGACTCACTGCGCCCAGCGTCCTCTCGCAGTCAAGACCCCGGACCCAAACTCCCGACCTTTGCCGCGCAACCTCCTTTGGACAAGTCACCGGAGAAGGTGCGCAGCACAGACGGACTTCGTCCTATCACGCCAGCCTCTGCCGTTGACAATAGAGATGTAGTCCCAAGCCCAGTTAGCAGCTTTGGGCAGAGGTCACCACAACGCGATGGTGGTGATAAACCGTCTCCATTAAACCAACCACCCTTGCCCCAAGAAAGGAGTTTGCCGGGAAGCTTGTCAATCGCAGGCCAGTCAGAGTCGCGTGAAGCATCTTATTCACCCGGAATTGAGGGACTAGCCGCGGAGCCTGCTGCTTTATACGCTGCTAACATGGTTTCAGAGGAGCCTGAGCCTGTTCAGCCCGTTGAGTCCGCCCAGGAAGTCAAGTCTCCTGAAGTGACCCCTGCAGTCACCCCTTCTGTAGTAACTTCTCCCACAGAGGAACCCTCTTCTGAGCCTACATCTGCTTCGGTGGGAGAATCTGGAGAGCTCGAGCCTCACCGGCCAGGCCTCGGTCCCATGATCAAGAAAAAGCCAGGCAAAGATATTGCAGGTACATTCAAAAAGGCTGCGGCTGCTTACGGGGCTTTTAAACCTAGACCTGGCGGTGCTGGTGAGCGACTGCTGGCAGCCGCAAAGAAGTCACAAGCAGAGGAAGCCGGTCCCGATGGTATCACCGGCGTTGTTCCAGCCCCTTCGCTTACTCGGTCTGCGACTGATCCCCCCGAAGTCCAGTGGCGGAGAAGGCAGAAAGGTCCGACAAGGATCTGCTGCAGCCACCATCCGGGCCTGAAACCCCAACGGTGGAAATCACAGAGCCTCAGCTTGAAGAAGCTCCAGTCGCTCCTGTGGTACCCCATGTAGATATCCCTGACTCATCCAAGAACACTCTCACGGATGTTGTGCAGGTTGAAACCCGTTCAAGGACACCGTCTCCATCTGGCCAAGGACGTCGCCGCAGACGCCGCGAGGACAATACCTTGAAATATTGCCAGGCCCTTGGAATCAACCCAGGTGTTCTGGATGGCCGCGGCATTGACTTTGATGACATCCTCTCCGATCTTGGGTGGAACGGCCGGTTGGCTGATGAGCAGAAGATTGAAGATCTGGAAGCAGATGTTCGTCGTGAGATTGGCCGCGTAGAGGCTACCAGCTGGCTTGGCAACCTTGAACAGCAAGAAGGAAAGGTTGAGCAACTTGCCAGCCTGATTGACAGGACTATTGAAGAGTGTGATGAGCTTGATGGTCTATTGACACTTTACTCCCATGAGTTGAACGTAAGTTGGGATTATATAGACTCGATCGTCATTCCGCTAACGATACATTATGATAGACTCTTCACGAAGATGTGGCGTATATTGAAGCTCAGGGCCAAGGTCTGCAGGTGCAGACAGCCAACCAGAAGCTTCTGCAAAACGAACTCCAGAACCTATTGAAGACCCTTTCGATCTCTTCTTCCGAGCTAGGTCCCCTCAAGGAGGCTTCATTGAGCAATCTCGATGGTCTCAAGGACAGTGAACATGCTCTCTCTATACTGTACAAGGCTATGCTCATGATCGACTCTGATATTGGTCAAAACAAGAAACGTCAGGTCGACTCTAGCGTCGGTGTCTACGCTGATACTGAGGTTGGCCAGATGCGTGCAATCAAGCAGAAGAAGGAAGAGTACCGATCCACTGCCATGGTCTTCCTCCAGCGCTTGAAGCAATTCATGGCTATGGCCTTCAAAATGGCCGAACAAAAGCGAACCGATGCGGCGGCCAACGGTGCCAAGGATGCAATGAAGCTTGACACTATCGCGCGTGATCATTTCCGTCAAGAGATTTGGAGGTACAATGCCCTGATGCTCTTTGCGAAGGAAGTTAGCATGGCGGAATGGCATGGCCTGGTCGGTCTCTACGAGCAACAATCCAAGCCCTCGTATCAAGGTGACTTCCGGGATAATAATCTGGCCTGGAAGAAAACGGCTCGCAAGCCCACTGGTGATGAGCAAGAACTTCTCTTTACCCACCAAGAAAAAGAGAAGGAAACCGAGGGTCTTACCATGGCCGCGCGGAAATTGACCGTGCGACGAGGCAAGACAGTACGAGCCGCCGCTGGCCTTCGACTGGCTTCGGGGGAAAAGAAACAGGGCAGGGTTGAGCCATGCGAGGCATTCTCGGGTACATTGCGTGAGACGTTGAAGATGATGGCCCAGGAACAAAACTTCATTGTTCATTTCTTCCACCTTGATTCTCTTTCCAGTGCTGAGTTCTCTGATCTGGTCGCATCCTCAATTCCAGAACGCCGAACGATCCCCGACTTCTCTGCCAGCCAGTCGCACGACCCGGATCGCGCGATGGCGAAGCGAGTAGAGCAGATCATGGATGAGATCTATTCCTTCTGGCCTAATGACATGCAGAGTCTTGTGGACTGGGCGATGCAGGCTGATCCCCTCCAAGGAATCGGTATCCTTTACGCTTTGGAGACCGCCATGGTCGACTTCGACGACACAAACCAAGAGTTCATCCTTCACTCCTTACAAAAGATGCACTCTCGCCTAATGGGTCTATTTAACCGATTCGTCGACGAACAAATTCGAGGCATCGAAGACACCAAAGTAAAGGTGAACAAGAGAAAGGGAGTAATCTCCTTCATGCGAGTATTCCCCAACTTCTCCAACGCAGTCGAGACCCTCCTCTCAGGCCCATCAAGCGACATAGTCGACATTCGCATCAGTGTGAACGACGCCTATGACCGCATCAACCGCGCCATGTGGGAGTCCCTGAAATTCATCGCCAAGGAAGCCCCCGGTCAACCACCCGGCGTGGCAGCCGGTGCCGGAGACCCAGAAGACAAGGAAGTCCTCAACTACCACATTCTCCTAATCGAAAACATGAACCACTACGTCGAAGAAGTAGACGTCCACAACATCCCCTCCTTGGAACGCTGGACAGACCGCGCCCAACAAGACTTCCAAGAGCACATGAGACTCTACCTTGACTCGGTCATCCACCGCCCGCTAGGCAAGCTCATTGACTTTGTCCAGTCAATCGATAACCTTCTCGCCGCTGGCGGGAATCCCACCGACATTGCTGCCCGCGCCAGCCATTCCCGCATGGTGGCGAAGAAGGTCCTCTCCTCATATGACAATAAGGAAATCAAACGTGGAATCGAGATGTTGCGCAAGCGAGTCGAGAAGCACTTTGGCGATGCTGATGATCCTGGTCTGAGTCGCAGTCTTGTTGTTAAGGTTCTTCGTGCTTGCGAACAGCGGTATGAGAATGCTTATGACCGGACGCGCCGCATCATTGATACTGTTTATGAAGGTCAATTGGATCTGGATTGGCGGAAAGATGAGACTCTTAGCATGTTCAGGAAATGAGTGGTGAATTGCGACCTTCCTCTTTGATTCCTTTTTTTTTACTTCTTCTCTAATCCGGTATGGGATTCTTGTCATGGCGAGTGGGGTTAGGGGTTTGTATACATAGCGCATATATCAAGACACTGTCAGGCAATTCTTGGCTTTTCTCTTTGGAATCAGGGCTCGTTCGAGCTTTATGTAATATCAGGCTTTTACAGATGATCTTTGAGCACCTGTGCAGTGTAAATGAGTAGCTCGCTTCCATGTAACACCAACCCCGAATGTGCAGCAGGGGTTTGAGCTCGTTGGATCCGCGTGCCTGTCGCCTATTTATGGTCAAACTGATCCAACAGCTCAGAAATGGATACATGAAACATGTCAAAAACGAGGCTGTAGCTGCCCATGGTTGAGATAACCGTTGGAATGTCGATTTTTACTTAGTTCCAGATGAGGCTAGCGCCAAAGAATAGATACATACAGCTCCCACTTCTTCTGCAATTTCACCTTCCTTTCTCTCTCCTCCAGTAGTATCTTTTGCATGTGCGGGCGAGGGAGTGGGTGTCGGCTCTTTCAGGAATTCGTTTGCATTGCATGGCTTGCCATGCAGATGTCCAACCACCTGTCTCATTTTGAGCCAGGGCTCCGTGGTTACGGCATACCTGCTGGATTCTAAGATCAATATGAGATACTGTCAACTGCATCATTCAGTCTACTTCCACACGGCGGTCATTGTACCGTTCCCTACGCAAAAGAGGGACAGGATGGATTGGGGGGTGTCCATGGTGTGATTGTCTTGATTCCCCATGGACGGACGTACCCGTGTTGATGCAGCTCCGTTTATCTCGGAACATTACTAGGATTAGGTGTTACGTGAGAGTCTCTCTATCTTGTTGGTTTTGGGTGTGTTTTATTAGTTTATATCTTCTCGTGGCTGTCTGTATTCTCGGCTCTTGACCTAGTTGACTTCCCAGCTTCCATCGCATCTCATCGATCTCTGACTCGCTACATGGGTCACGTTTGTCGCTTTGAATACTTCTCCGACTGCTTACGGATAATTTAAATAGTGGAAATATGCGTTAACTTTGTACAACGTTTTTACCAGGGGGAATGGTCTTGTGTTCAACAATGACTAGGATGTTCACCATTCTTGCTGGTCCAAGGTGTCCTGTTTATAGCGACTGTAAATGCCCTGGCAAAGATTGAATCAAGGTTCCCCCTCTTCTTTCACTTGATCTAAACGTTGAGCAAGCACTTGACAGGGCCAGACGCCTTCCACATTCAACCTTTCAGATCGCTTAAATCCTTGTGACTCATAGTATTGAACCAACTTGCCATCACTCCCTGCATAGCAATCCACTCGTAGTAATGAGACTCCATCCTTGTTGGCAAGACCACGAGCATGATCCAAAAGGCGTTTACCTATCTGATTGCCCGCCCATCGTCGATCCGTGACTAGGAGTCGCACGTAAAGCTCAGGCTCGGAGACAGGAGTCACATAAGGCACTCGCTCTCCGACGGCAAGCGCTCCTACAATGATACCCGGGATTCTTCCCTTCGCAGTTTGGGGGTTATCGTCAGAGATAGGCGTATCATCAGCAACCTTGATGGCGAGCCAGAGACCATGGCCGGTGGTTGCGAATTCTCTGAGTTGTTCGGCGCGTTTGAGATTCTCGGAAAATGGGGCTGATCCCCACTGTCCAGTTCTTTCATGCGATACTAGCCATTTGACTGCGGTATCGAGGATATCGAGGACTGCCGGAGCGTCATCCACTGTTCCCCGCACGATAGTTATGTCAGGGGATCCAGCGTGGACTGAGCTATGGAATGTTGAGTATTTGTGGATTTGGGTTGGCGTTTTGAATATTAGTACTTACGTTGATGCCATTGGTTCAAGTTGTTTCAAGTGGTTTCAAGCGGGTTTTATATGACGAGAGCTGTCAAGACACAAAAGCGGGACAGGAAGAGAAGCCTTGGCCTCGACTTTACTCCATGGGGACCAGACCTCCTTATTATCCGTCACGCCTGATCGCGTGGATATTGTTTGCAGCTGGTAGACCTTCATGCATAGTAAATTTATTATTTTGTCTTGAATATAGGTACAGAAAGCATTCTTCGATTTTCCAAGGACAAAGAAGAGGCTTGCATCTATGACGATCTAAGGAAACAAAGCTAGATCTTAGATACTAACTTATGGATAGAATCCAATGATAATCAGCTAAAGAAAAGGCATCACAATCTAAAAGGTCAGTAGCAAATTAAATGGGAAGAATGGTGTAGTAAAAGGGGTATCTTTATAGACTTGCTGAGGTATTCAACCTTTGTTGTCGTCTTCTATGGACTCAGCCTTATGTTCTCGGGTTCCAAACATGTACAGTATGGTTTAACAATTAACTTAGGTGAAATAGCTTCGTTTCATCCTCTCAGAACTTGCTGAATCAATGAAAAAAGTCCTTTTTAGTATGGCCATTCTATCTCTCGACAGACACAGCAACAATGAAATTGTGGTGATACAGCTAAAGTACATGGCCCGTAGTCTGCCAAAATAGATCATGCTCTAAATTATAGGGATATAGTAACATTTTTGGGCTCCTCCATAATGCATTTCAGTTGTCTAAAAAAGATAAGACGACATGATTCGCAACAGGCCAGTAGAATAGTCACTGAAGACCTCCAATGGACCTATCAATGAGAAATCGCGCTAGTCTGATTTTTCTTCTTCTATGTGTCAATCATTGCATCATGAATCCTCTGTGGCTCTCTGTTCTACAGCTATTTATTTGTTCCCAGCCGTCCTGCTTTTGGATTTGATACGTGTCTAGAGTGGCTGAGCTTTTAAGGTGTCACTATTGGCTTACTGCAGATATACATCACACCCACAGCAGCCACAATGTTGATAGTATTGTCATTGGTGGTTTGAGACCCCCCACTATCTTACAGCTTGTGGATAGTTGCAATTTACAGTATGAAAGTGGCATGTAAAAACAAGCGTTGGTATATTGATTGTATTCGCACTTCTGATGCGTCAGATCTCTACCTAGATACATACTGTACAGTGTATCTGGCCAACATCCATTCCGTATCATGACTTCCCCCATATCCCCCATAGCAGAACCAGTCCTAGGTACTATAAACCCATACATCCATCAGGAACCTCTAATGTGGAGACTCATCATGTGACTGGTGCCTAAGGCAAGGCAACCTTAATTTACTTTGAATCTCAACAATGAACTCCTGGCCAAAGACCTCGGACCGGGATTTGACCATTCGAGCAGCGAACGGAAACAGCCTGTCACTCTTTATTAGCCAACTATTCCATCGCTCATCTTCCAGTGAGTTGCTTCCCCACGGTTCTCGCCAAGGGGGTGTGCTCCACCCATATTCAAGGGGGGCACGGATCTCATTTGCGACACGCCGGACCCTGTCTCCCCCCATTGCGGCCTCTTTTTTTTGTCCTTTTGTCCCCTCCGGTTTCTTTCCGAGTACTGGACCCCTCCGGAGTGTCATTGATAGGTCCTTGTGCACTTGGTACACCTCCTAATGAAACTGCAGATCGTTGTCTCATCGCATTCTTTCCACATTCCTCTCGTTTCTCCCTAGACCGCCCATTCTTGTCTTTCCCCGACGATCTGGAAACTCTCCACTGCATGTCGCGTGTGATTGACTCGAACGAACATTCCTCGAATTGAATACCTCCTTCGTCCCGAACCTTACGATCGGATTGCCGCATCTGTGGGGACTGGCACGCCAGAGCCCCTCTCGAGCTCCTCTCGCGCGTGGACTAGAACACCACAGCTATGCCCTGGCGGCCGCTGCCTCGAATCGCCTTTGCCGTCGCCATATACCCCTTTCAGCCTTCCTCCCCGGCCGACCTTCCATTGGAACTTGGCGATGAGTTATACATAATTGAACAGGGTGGAGTGGACGGTGAATGGTGCCGAGGCTACCTCGTTGCGCCGCCGTCATTGCTGGCGGGATTGACGAGTACCAAAGGCCAGACACTTGAAGCTCGTGTGTTCTCGGGTATCTTCCCACGAAACTGCGTCGAGATTCGGGAAGTACTTGGTGAGGGTGATGGCCAGAGAGCAATGCTCAATGGCGATCGGAAGAGCATCGACAGGCTGACCTTGTCCGGGATTGAAGGAGACTTCATGTCCCGGAATAGCCTGGTCTATTCGGAGTCCTACTTGGGAACCGAGATATCGGATGCCGTGTTTGCGAAAAAAGGGAAACCCTCTCATATTGTCATTCACAAGACCGACGAGCGAGACTTGTCCAGTCCGCGATCTGTACAAACATGGCGTTCTGGTTCCATTCCACATACCCCCGTGTCCATTTCTCCTCGTGACCCGAACGCGCCCAAGCCAGCTGCCCCAGTCCCGATGCTGAAAATTGGTGACGAGACTCCGACCTCCCTTACAGAGCCACTGGTTGATGAGATCGCATCATGCCTGCGCGAATGGCATTCGACGAATTTACATGAGCTCCTTTTGGTTCAGCAGTATGATGTGCTGGAAGAAATGTCTACGATGGTGCAGGAGCTAGATTTCGCGAGACGCCAATTACTACACAACGTTTTAACCTGCCAGGAGAAGGAAGTTTTACGGGATGAGACTGTCTGGAAATTGGTCAAAGCCAACAAAATGCTCAGTGGAGATGTTATTGTGCGGGATCCAGAGCAGCGAGGCCGTTTGCTAACAGGTGAGGATTCTGCTATCCAGCTTGCAAAGCTGCAGTCCGAGATGAGCATGCTGGAGTCCCGTCCCACCACGACTTCCGATGCGACGGCGCTTCATCATTTGCTACTCGATATCAATGCGGTATCAGGCAATGCCCCAGGGCCTGTGACTATCGGGATTCAGCTCTTTTCCCGTACAGACTCTGGTGTATTGAGTCCATTATCGGAGACCTTCAGTCTAGAGATTCCGTCTCCTGACAAGTTCATCAACATGAGTCAAAGCAGTAAACTGAAGACTCTTTTCACCGAGTTGGCCGCCACGGATATCGGAGATGGATCTGCCAATGGGCGCCAGCTTTATCTAGTTGTTACTGTCCGTGCTCCAGAGACACGGTCGACCGTTGATACAACCCCTGTATCAAGACCCTCAATTTCACGGGAAAGCCCAACTCCGGCCAAAAGTGCAGGAGCCAATGGCATTCAGCCTTCGGCCAAGGGTAGCCTGAAAGCCCGGCGCAGCATGATGTGGACACCAAAAACTCGCGGGCCAAGCCTGGATCAGTCAAGTCCAACTAGCCAAGGACTTCCGAGACAATCAAGCAGCTCATCCAACATTAAAGAGCAACCTACTGCTCAGACTACCCCGTCAAAGGAGATCTTAGCGATCCGCACCGTTGGCGTTGGGATCTTGGAGATCTCGCCGATCCTTCGGCAAGATCGAGATGCGGAGCAGGTGATCAACATTTGGTCTCCACGTCAGAATGGTGAAGACGGCGAGGGATTGACAGAAGGCTTCGACAAGCTGATAAAAACATTGCTCCCCAGCCCAACCGGTCGGTATGCGCGTTGCGATTCTGCTGCGCGTCTACATCTTCACCTGCATCCTTTCGTCAGTAGTGACCCCGATGCTTTAATCCGCCAGAACCCTACGATTCTACATGATGTCGTTCAGACACAGCGTATTGGATTCTCGAAAGCCCCTACGCGGCCGCGGTCTGACATCTACGTCACTCTCTCCCAAGCTGTATTCCCCACCGACGCACTTCTGTCTCATCCGCAAGCTGGCCAAATACCTCTGCAGGCGACAACAGGTCTCCACAACCTCCAGCTTACCCTGGAGGTCCGTGATGCTAAAGGAGCGCGCATCGACAAATGTGTATACCCTTCGTCTGCCAATGCCAGCAACACGGCATGGCGCACCACGATCGCCCAACGAGGCACACCCTGGAACCAGACCATCCGCCTTAAAATTCCCAAAGAGCAAATTCCTGGCTCTCATATCGTGATGAGTGTCGCGGACGCACCAGAGTTCCCATTCGCTCTCGCCTGGATGCCTCTCTGGGATCAACAGGCGTTCATCAGGGACGGTCGCCATTCTCTTCTGTTGCATGCCTATGATAAGCAAACATCCAGTATTGAGAATGGAAAGGGTGCTTATCTGAATCTCCCTTGGAGTGCACTTGGCAAGAATGAATCTGCCAAAGATGAAGATGTGACCGGTCCATTGGCCACTCTTCACCTCGAAACTCACCTGTGCAGCACGGAGTACTCACAGGACCAAGTGATCCTGAGTCTCCTGAACTGGCGGGAACGTCCCGTGGATGAAGTCTTGGATACACTCAAGCGATTACTCTTCGTTCCTGAGATAGAAATCGTGAAGCAGCTCAGCGGTGTCTTTGATGCGCTCTTCGGAATCCTGGTGGAGAATGCCGGAAATGAGGAGTATGAGAACTTGATTTTTAATAACGTGGTCACTGTCCTGGGTATTGTTCACGATCGACGATTCAACCTCGGCCCACTGGTCGACCGCTACGCTGATAATCAATTCAATTTCCCATTCGCCACCCCTTGTCTCATTCGAAGCTACCTGCGCCTTCTGAGTGCAGGTACCGACGGTCAACAATCCCGCAGCCTTCGCGCTGCTATCAAGGTCGGACGCCATATCTTGAAGTTCATCATCAAGGCTCGCGAGCAGCAAAAGGCAAAGGAAGAAGGCATTGGTATCACCACGGTGCAGTCCACCTTCAACCGAGACATGCACACGATTTTCAAGTCTCTGGAAATCTTGATAAAGAACCCTTCGCCGGCATTGGTGGGTAGCAAGACACTCGTGGTCCAGCACTTCCATACCTGGTTGCCTGAGCTATCTAAGGTACTGGGCAAGGATGAAATGATTATGATTGCTTTGAGCTTCATGGATTCATGCAAAGACGTAACAGGCATGTTGATCCTCTACAAGCTTGTTCTCATCCAGAACTATACCCAATTCGAGCTCTTCGCTTCGGGCGAGGAGAGAAGGACATTGATTTCCAGTTGTATTGGCTGGTTAGCCCCGTACTGGGGCTCTACCTCGACTGTCTCGGACTTGTATCGTGATCAAGTTCGGTTGAGTAGCTCGATTGTTGCTCAATTGCTCAGCCAACCCGATCCTCAGCTCTATGGTTTCATGCCTAGCATCGTTGCCTCATATTGTGCTATCTCGGCCGAAGGAGTTGACGAGTCGGAGTACCTATCTTTGCTTTTCAGCAAGGCGTTCCCATTCCAGATGAAGACTGCCAAGTCCCCTCAAAGCTTTGATGAATCTTTGGTCGAGTTATCTGCTCTCATGGCGGCTATTTCCAAGATTGTGTCTCCCAAACTTCCCTCCTTGAAAGATCTGGAGCTGGCAACATTTGTTGCGCAGACTCTCGAGGCTCACAACTCCATCCTTGATTGTGAGGCGTACCCCGAGACTTGGTTCAGTATCCATGTATATAACCACCGTGCGACCATCAAAAGTCTTGAACATATTGCTGTCTTGCTAATTGAAAGACTGCTCCCGGCACCCGATGATGCCGACACATTTGATACCAAGCTGTGGGAATCATTCTTCACAACATTGCTGAAGGTGATCTCTAGCGATGTTTTAGCACTAGAGACGTTCCCCGAGCAGAAGCGACGAGCTGTGTGGAAGATTGCTGGTGATGTGCGCGAGCAAGGCGCAGATCTGCTACAATCTGCCTGGGAAGCTATTGGCTGGGAGACTACAGACGATGAGAGGGAGCGTTTCAATCTGAAGCGTCTTGGTGGATACCAGGTGCAGTATGTTCCTGGCCTGGTTCCTCCAATTATCAGTCTGTGTCTCAGTGTTCATGAGGGACTGCGACATGTTGCCGTTCAGATTCTTCAGACCATGATCCTCAGTGAATGGGACCTGAATCAAGATATCTCAATTATTGAAACTGAGATTATCTCGAGTCTGGATACTTTGTTCAAATCCAAGCACATGAATGAAAGTGTCAGTCAAAAGATATTCATTGGCGAGCTGCTGGATCTCTTCGAGAATGAGACTATTGCTGATGAACTGCTATCAAATACTGTCAAGAGCCTTGTTGGAACTGTCGATGAACTCTTGGATCTGCTGGTTGCTTCTCAGAGCGGTGCCTCAACTCAAAGTCTTCACGCTCTGAAGCTGATGGAGTACATGAAGGACATGGGTCGTGAGGATATCTTCATTCGCTATGTCCATGAATTAGCTGAAGTACAAGCCGCGGCAGGCAACTTCACCGAAGCCGGTCTAGCCCTCCAGTTCCACGCAGACCTCTACGAGTGGGATCTCACCAAGACCATGCCAGAACTTCTCACTCCCGAGTTCCCAGCTCAAAGTGCCTTTGATCGAAGAGAGTCATTGTACTTCTCTGTTATCCAGCACTTCGAGAACGCCATGGCCTGGGCCCCCGCTCTGACATGCTACAAGGAGCTGGCAGCTCACTACGAGCACACGACAATGGACTTCGCCAAACTGTCTCGAGCCCAGAGTTCCATGGCTCGGATTTACGACTCCATCGCCAAAGGTGGCAAGCAATTCCCGCGGTACTTCCGCGTAGCCTATAAGGGCCTCGGATTCCCTCCTAGTCTGCGCGATAAAGAGTTCATCTTCGAAGGCTCACCAACAGAGCGCATGGCCTCGTTTGTGGACCGCATGCAACGCGAACATCCCACTGCGCAGATTACATCTGCCAACGAAATTCCCGATTATGAAGGCCAATTCTTGCAGATCAGTGCTGTCAGCGCTTACCGTGACGTGACACACTCTGTGTACCAAAGGTCCAAGGTTCCGTACTCTGTGCGTGAACACTTACTCATCTCGGATCCTTCTCGGTTCTCAGCCACGTCGCGCCGACACACGAGTAGCTCGGATGTGCGTGAGCAGTATGTTGAGAAGTTTATCTTCACTGTTTCAGATGCCTTCCCCAATATCCTTCGACGAAGTGAGATTATCTCTTCGGAAGAGGTTGCTCTGTCTCCCTTGCAGACTGCTATCGAGCGAACGTGGCGGAAAACTCAGGAGCTTCAGCTTCTTGAGCGTCGGGCTGCTTCTGGTGAGGATTCCTCGCTATCTAATTTGACCGAAGCCCTTGAGCAATTACTGGAGAACAGATCATCTACTTCGAACTGTGTGGCATTGTATCGCCAATTCCTTTCTGATGCTGATTTGGCGAGGGAGAGGCTTCTGGAGGAAGTAGATGAAGATGCTTCGGTTGCAGAAGTAGTGCCGGAAGCCGCAGACCCCATGGAGAATGCGCTCGCCGTTGCACTTGTTGACCATGCCTTGGCGATTAAGCATGCTCTGTCTCTGTACCAGCGTCCTGCTCATCAAGCTACTCAAGCCGAACTCCTCCGCCGCTTTGAGGGTGTCTTTGAGCCCGAGCTGGCTTCTCTCACAACTGCTCCTGCAGAATACTCCTCGCCTACGCCAACCCAGACGGCCCGTCAATCCCCAAACTCAAGTGACATCCGCCGAAATCAATCCGCCCAGCGAGCTGCCAGTCCGGAGCAAGACATGCGCGCCTCCCGTGGCAAGGCCCACACGCGCAAACGTTCTGAGCGACAGTCCGTCAGTCACCGGATTAGCATCATCAATCCTTTTAAGCGTTCCCACGGCGCTTCAAACTCGATTTTCACCATCCAGCAGTCCGACAGCAAGGGCCAGATAGTCGACCAAGAAGAGCCCGAAGATGATACGGCCACGATCCACAGCCGGACAACCAGCCACTCCCGCGGCGGCCGCAGTGAGAAACGACGCAGTTTCTTCGGCGGAGACAGGACGCATAAGCACGGCTCCACTCCATCGGTCGGCGGTGCAGGCCAAGACTCCCAACCCTCCTTGAACACCAAACCTTCGCGAAATCTCTCTCGAGATACAACCGGCCAATCCCACGATGGCCGCAGCCGCGCCGGCTCCCAACACCGCGGCCCAACAGCCAGCGGTGCAGCCGGCCCGGACCGCCCAGCACCTGCTTCCAGTGGTGGTTGGTCCACACTCCCGCCCACGCGTGATTATTCCCGGCCTGCGACCAGGGACAGTAACATGAACTCTGTCACGCTGACGACGACAAATGGCACAGCGCCTTTATCTCCTGTCAGCAATGGCAGTGCCAACGGGAATCACAGTGGCATGCGTGACTCTGTCTTCCGGCGATTCAGTATGCTCAAAGGAAAGGGAATTGGTCGCAAGACTAGCCGGATGGATTTCAAAGCTAATGGCACGCTGCAGGAGGAGTAATGATCTCTTCTCCGTTCCTTTCCCTTCTTTTCTTCTTCTTCTTCTTTTCTCTTCACTTCTCTTTTGCTTCTCCTCTGATAGGACCGCTTTCATTCCCCCGAGTCCTGACCTTTCCTTTTAATCTTTTCTTGATGTGATTTACTACCTGATGTATTGTCCTCCTCATTTTGAGTCTGATATTTGTGTCCCAATGGGGCTTTGGTGTTATGATAGATACCATGTGTTATAGTTCCTCTATATCTTTCCTAATGTTACAATGTTACAAGGATATCCCTCATATAATGTTACAGTCGAACCTTGCCTGGTACTTTATAGTTGATATGCGAAACCGAGGTCCGTGCTGACTGTGGCAGTGTTAGTCTTGGCGCTCTGTCCGCCAATCACGTGGCTAGCCACCTCCTCCGGTGGAGTGAGATCGTCCAAGCTCCCGATCATTCAGCAAAGCTCTCCAACGCATCGAGGCTGTGCTCTCTCATCCACGGTCACAACTCGCTTGCGTATCCAGGGATTCAGTGGCTTGAACCCCGCCTATTCATTTCCTTTGAAGCTTGGCTTTTTGGAAAGAAAAAATTATGTGTGAGTGGTATTCCCTTGTTTCTCTCTCTTCCACTACACTCGGCTTTCTGGAAAAGTCTCCATAACACCCCATAATCGTCATCGCCCTTCATTCCCTGAAACCAAACCAACTACTTTATTCCATCCTTCCATCCTCTTAAATATTTATATCCAATCAACTATCGATCCGTCAGGCAACGGAAAGAACCCAAAACTAATAAAACCTCAGCCCACGTCAATTTTCGCTCCCAATTCCGAAGCCACAGCTTCGGCCCTGGCCGCAGAATGTCATCAGGAGGCACCGGCAACAACAGCATAAACGGCCTTCGTGGCCCCGGCGAGCAAGATGCCCTGCTGGGCTCGCACCGTGCATCCTCCTTCTCCGGCCTTGCGCCACACGCGCAGACCGAGCATGGACATCATCACCACCACCCGAAGGATAGTCGCGTGTGGGTGGCGTGGCCTATGCATGTTGTGCATTTGACGTGGAAGACCCTTGTGCGCGATTATGTGAACTTGCTCCTTATTATGGTGCCGTTAGGTATTGTGGCTGGTGCTCTAGGCTGGGATTCGACGGCTGTGTTCACGTTGAATTTCTTTGCCATTATTCCGCTTGCTTCGCTGCTTAGTTTTGCGACTGAGGAGCTGGCTGCTACTATGGGTCAGGCCCTTGGTGGGTTGATGAATGCTACGTTTGGAAATGCCGTTGAGCTGATTGTGAGTTTACCCGGTCGATCCGCATTTTGATGTTTATGAAATCTATGAATGGCGGTGGTGGAATTTATGGGTGCGATAGAGCCTTGAGTACTAATCGTCTCCGATACAGGTCAGCATCATCGCTCTGAAAGATAACCAGATCCGCGTCGTACAGGCCAGTATGCTCGGCAGCATTCTCTCGAACATCCTCCTCGTACTCGGCTGCTGCTTCTTCGTCGGTGGCCTGCGCTTCCGCGAACAAAGCTTCAACAGCACTGTTGCTTCAACCATGTCCTCCCTCATGGCCGTGGCATCCGCCTCGCTCATCATCCCGGCTACGCTCTACGCAGCAATCTCCAACGGCACACCCAGCAAGCCTGGCGATAGTGCCACCAGTCCGGACGACAGTGCACAGAAGAACATCCTCATTCTCTCGCACGGCACTTCCATTATTCTGCTCCTGATTTACGTCATGTACCTCTACTTCCAGCTCCGCTCGCACTCCGACCTCTTCGAAGAGACGAACGGCAGCGATGCCGAGAACGCTGTCCCCGAGGAAGAGGAAGAGGAAGAAGAGCGTATCCTCAACCCCTGGGCTGCAACTGTCGCTCTCATTGTCGTCACCATCCTTGTTGCCATCTGTGCCGATTACCTTGTCGGCAGTATCGACAGCATGGTCGAGAAGACAGGCATGAGCAAGACTTTCATTGGTTTGGTCCTCATCCCCATCGTTGGTAATGCCGCCGAACACGTCACTGCCGTCGTGGTTGCATACAAGGACAAGATGGATCTAGCAATTGGCGTGGCGATTGGTAGCAGCTTGCAGATTGCCTTGTTCGTTACTCCCTTCCTCGTTATCTTGGGCTGGATCATGGGTATCGAAATGACCTTGCACTTCCAGACCTTTGAGACTGTTGCTTTCTTCATCTCTGGCCTGGTTGTCACGCTTCTTATTCAAGATGGAAAGTCGAACTACCTTGAGGGTGGTATGTGTCTTGGCATGTATATCATTCTGGCGTTGGCTTTCTATGTTTATCCTGATAACATTGCTGCCTAAGATTGAAGCTTGGTTTTGATGTTGTTTTCTTGAGTTTGATCTTGGGGCTATAGTTTTGATGGATATGTGGTGTGGCTGTGATTGTTGTTTGTGTCTATTGTCTTGTCCTCTCTATTGACCACTGTCTTTTTTTTTTTTTGGGTTCTTCTACTGTGCGTACTTATCGATAGTCATCAAAATTCCATGTGTCTATATGTTTTCGGTTTTTATCGGCTCAGGGTTACAATCGATGGTTCCTTATTGTGTATACATACAGTACTCTTCTGGTAAAGGGATGCTCCTCTAGAAATTATCTTCGAGGTCAAGTGTAGTCGAGAGTGTCCTCCTTGATCAATGCCTGTTTTGAACTTGATCTGCCGAGCTCATGTCCAAGACCTTTGGTTTGCGGCATGATGGCCCTCCTTGGCCTCCTATTTATATTATTGGACTGGGTTTCTAGGTTAGTCTTTCATTGGTTGTCGATATAAATAAAAATGAAATACATAGCATCTCCCCAGTAAATACAGGAAGGGCATTTTGTGCTGGTCGTCCCTGGTGAATATATAGTTGACTCCTACTCCACGAGTTACTTTCAACACAAGGGGGGCTTTTTTTTTGGATACAAAGCCAGGAACAAGCATGGAACTAGAGAATATCAAAGCTTATGACTCTCCAATTACTCAGATTACACTCTACCCCTCCAACAATCCTGTTTCCAACACTTCTACAGTTCATGCATGACCTCACAACGCAGTCTTGGCGATGACTAAGCCCATCCCGGAAATTTGCCGGAGACCGCAAACTTCACCAACAGCACTCGATCTTGACACACTTGATTGTCAGCAATTAAATCAAGTCAATCTTCACATTTATCACAATGCCACCCAGGCTCAACCTCTTTACAGCGAACAAGGCTGTCTCGGCCCTCCGCCACTCCACCACTCCCGCCCTCTCCTCCCCCCGGAGCATCGCCAGCCCAGCCCGATTCCGCGCTGTCCAGTCCGTGCCCCTTCAGCAGCGATGGAACTCTTCGCGTGATGGCTCAAAGAAGGTCGAGCCCCAGCCCGATGAACAGACCTTCCCGACTTCGGACCAGCTGCCCGATGTTAGCGAGGAAGCTCATGAGATCTCGCGCATTATGCAGAAGGAGAAGTGGTGCGATGGTGCCCCCGCTGCCCCCGAATTGGACCAGGGAACTCCAGTTGAGGAGGTGAGAAATATTCCCAATTCTTGCTAGTGTAATCCGCATGTCGGGAATCGTGTTAACAGTATTGGTATTGGAACAACAGATCCTCAGCCGCGATAAGAACGCTATGAAGCACATGCCTAAGGTCATGCAAGACGAACTCAAGAAGTCTGGTGGCTCTCGCTCATTCTCGACCTCCGCTCGCAGCCGCATGCCGGATGTGCAGAACCTCGAGCCTAACAATGAATTTATCCCCGTCCCCATTGCTGGACAGGGCATGCAGGCTAGCGATGAGGCTACTGCTGCTCTTGCTAGCATGATCGAGCAGGTGCAGGAGCAGGCTCTTGAAGAGAACCCCGGCTTGAAGTTCGATGAGCCCATTCTGCCTAGCAACATTCGCACACTGAACTTCCGGAAACGCTACGACACGATGCAGGACCAGTTCACCAAGATGATGATGGAGAGTGGGAAACTGACCAAGGCGCAAAAGGTATGTCTTCTCCGATCAATGTTGACTTGGGACGACCCAGCTGACTTATCTCAGAACATGTCCATCGTTCTGGACCATCTCCGCACCGCCTCTCCTCCCCAGGTGAACCCTCGCCGCCGTCTCCTCGGCGCTCCTCCCGCCTCCCAGCTCCCCCTTGACCCCATCCTCTACCTCACCCTGATTGTCGACTCTGTCGCTCCTCTTTTCCGTATTCGTCAGCAGAAGGGTATCGCCGGTGGTGGTACTGCCGTGCAGATCCCCCACCCGCTGACCCTGCGCCAGCGCCGTCGCACCGCTATCAAGTGGATCCTCGACCAGTCCGACAAGCGCAAGGATGCTCTGTTCGCCAACCGTGTTGCAGCCGAGCTGGTTGCCGTCGCTGAGGGTCGTAGCTCTGTTTGGGACAAGAGAGACCAGCAGCACAAGATTGGTATCTCTGGTCGTGCCAACCTGGGCGTTCGCGCTCGTTAAATTGGCCATGGCCTGTAATTGTTCTTTGGGGTTTGGGTTCTGAGCACTGCATCTGTACATTTATTAGTCCGTCAAATGGATTTGGCTTCTTTTCATCGACAAGGTATTCCTTGCTATCAAAATCAATCCTAGTCGCAGATCTTCACGTGTAAGCCCCCTATATATATAGTGCCCTCCCCTCTGCATTGCAGATGGGCTTACCCGCCCTGCATAAGACCAGCTTTGACCAAGATCTCTCCCCATTTTCATCTTTCTACATTTCTGCCGTTCTTCATTGCTGCATCTCTGCTCTCCGATAACTTAACCTCTGCAGCCCCTGCTTTGTATATCGCCCCACCTGATAGGTCAACCCGCTTACCTCAGCCATTCCCCAAACGGTTGAAGTCATCGAACACATCGCGAGCTGATCTTGTGATTTGGAGTTGTTCCATCTTCAGGCTGATGTGCGACACACAGCTGACCCGATCCTCACCTTGACCGTCACCAACTCCGAAACCTTGACCCCTCCACAGCATACCCCCTAAAACCAATAATCCAAGCCCAAGCCCACTTCCGTACTTTGCAAACCCTCGCTTCTATTGCGCACCCGCCCCATTCATTGGATGACCCAGGCCGACCACCCTCCGGCCTCCCACCTCCACGACAGTGGCGCTCATACGTCCCGACTCCATCGAACTTGTCGAGTATAATCAACCCCTCCAAGACACTCCCACTGCCACCACCACTGCCGCAACCGGACCCGAACGAGCACTTGGACCTGATCTTGGGCCCACTGCTACAACACATCGGCCCCCATACTCCAATACAAGGCCGTTTGCTCCTGCACTCGACTCGAGAGCGCTTGCGCTAGCTGGTCTTGGGTTAGAGCTTCCCGAGGCTGCGCACGAGAAGAGTTTCGAACTTGAGGAGAGCCAGCGCCGTCCATCGGGTGGTGTTCGCTTTACTCGGTTGAGATTTTGGAGTGAGGCTCTTAGGCGTCGTGCTGAGGTTGCTTTGCGGAAGGAAAAACCTACCCAGACTCATACCGATACCGATACCGATCTCGTCGCCAAGATGAAGTTTTCACATAGTGTGCAGTTTAATGCTGTGCCAGATTGGAGCTCAAATTACATTGCCTATAGCAATTTGAAGAAATTGTAAGTTGGCGCGTTTTTTCCGCGGGGGAGTGGGAGATTGGGTTTGAGCGTGTGGTGTGAAGTGTGAGACCATGAGATCGATGCTCCTGTCCGAGGAGATTTGTTGGTGTCACATTGCACATTCACATCGCAGATTGTCACTGGCGTGCATGCGTACTGTCTTGCTTCGGAGAATTAGTTTGGTTCGTTATGCTAATGTTGCATTGTGGCTAGAATATATACCCTTGAGAAGCAGGTCAATCGCACTGAGGGTCAGTCCACTACTGATGTCGAGTCTGCACCGCTGCTGGGTGCTCAGACGAGCAACCCAGATGGGATCTTCAAGCGGGCTCTTGATGCTGAAATGGACAAGATCTGCACCTTCTATCAGAAGAAGCAAGTTGAGATCTTCGATCTTGCCGATGAGATTATCAAGGATGCTCATGTCTATCTCTCTGAGACGGATGGTGTCAATATGGATCCCGTCAGTGAGACTATTATCAAGGCCAATTTCCGCCGGAATGGTAGTCAGCTGCCGCGCCGGAGATCCAGTGCTGTGAGCAATGACTCAATGGCGGATGATGAGGGTGATAGTGATGATGATCGATCACCGGCGGCGGTTGCCCAACGCCGGCGAATGGTGCAGTCAACCGATCTTGAGTCCGGCACAGATGACCAACACGGCGATTTGGCGGACTCGACTTACTTTGGCCAGTCGAGTTCACGCGAGCCTCATGAGACGTGTTTCAACGATGATGATTTCTTGGCTCTATACAATGCCGGAATCTTGCTGAAGAAGCGTCTGATTGAGGTCTATGTCTCGCTTTGTGAGCTCCGGTCTTTTATTGAACTGAACAAAACTGGTTTCTCCAAGGCTTTGAAGAAATACGACAAGACCCTTGACCGCAACTTGCGCCGTGATTATCTGGCATCTGTTGTCAATACGGCACCGCCTTTCATCGAGAGTACCACGACTTCTGTCGATAGCCATATCGATAGCGTTGAGAGTGTGTACGCCGGGATTGTCACCAAGGGCAACCAGCAGCTGGCCCGACGCGAGCTGCGTCTGCACCTGCGAGAGCATGTCGTCTGGGAGCGGAACACCGTCTGGCGTGAGATGATTGAAATCGAACGTCGTGCTCAGGCCGCCAACGTTGGTATCCGTCGAACACTTCTGGGTGGCGACGAGGATCCTGCTACTGCTCGGCGACAGGGTGACAAACAGGAGATTCGCACCCAGGAGATCAAGACTCCCCTAGGCCGATTCCAATTCCCGTCGTGGTTCTGTAGTTTGAGCTTCGGAACGTTGGTCTTGAGTATTGCTGTCTTTGGCGCGATGCTCTCGGTGCAGATTATGGAGACCCCTGAGCAGCAGAACTGCTTGGCTATGTTGGTTCTTGTCAGTATTTTGTGGGCCACCGAGGCTATCCCGCTGTTCGTCACTTCGCTCTTGATTCCGTTCCTGGTTGTCACACTTGGTATCATGCGGTCAGACGACAAACCTCATAAGCGTTTGGGACCTAAGGAGTCGGTTGGCATGGTGTTCTCTGCGATGTGGACGCCGGTCATCATGCTTCTCCTTGGTGGTTTCACTATCGCAGCAGCACTCTCCAAGTATGATATCGCGCGCCGCATGGCCATGTTCGTGCTGAGCAAAGCCGGATCGAAGCCATCAGTTGTTCTGCTCACCAACATGTTTGTGAGTATGTTCCTGAGCATGTGGATCAGTAACGTCGCATCACCTGTGCTCTGTTACTCCATCATCCAGCCCTTGTTGCGTAACATGCCTCCAGAGTCAGACTTCGCCAAGGCTCTTGTGCTAGGTATCGCGCTCGCTGCCAATGTCGGTGGTGCTGCGTCCCCAATTGCCTCACCACAGAACATCATCGCCTTGCAGAACATGTATCCCAACATCAGCTGGGGAACATGGTTCTTCATCGCGCTACCCGTCTGCATCATCTCAATTCTGCTCGTTTGGGGCCTGCTCCTGGCAACTTTCAATATAGGCCGCAACGCAACAGTCATCCCTATCCGCCCTGTCAAGGATCGCTTCACTGGTATGCAGTACTTCATCAGCATTGTTACTCTCATGACCATTGCTCTCTGGTGCGCCAGCCACCAACTCGAACATATCTTCGGCGACATGGGCGTCATCGCCATCATTCCCTTGGTCCTCTTCTTCGGAACTGGAATTCTCAATAAAGAGGACTTCAACAACTTCCTCTGGACAATCATCATCCTTGCTGCGGGTGGACTGTGCCTCGGAAAGGCTGTTACATCGTCAGGCTTGCTGCACACCATCGCTGGAGGCATTACCGCCCGCGTCGAGCACCTCAGCCTGTACAGCGTGCTGTTAGTATTCTGCGCTCTGATCCTTGTCATCGCAACCTTTATCTCGCATACCGTCGCCGCCCTGATCATTCTTCCTCTCGTCCGTCAAATAGGCGTCAATATGGAAAACCCCCACCCGAACCTTTTGGTCATGGCCAGTGCCTTGATGTGTTCTGTCGCCATGGCACTGCCAACCAGTGGTTTCCCCAACATGAGTATGAACCCTTTCCCACTCCCCATCACTGGATACACTGTATGAATACTTAACTAACCCCATGTCCTCTTTTCAGCTGCCATCATGACCGAAGTCCCCCAAACAGGCCAGCGCTATCTCCAAGTCCGCCACTTCCTCACCCGCGGTATCCCAGCAAGTCTCATGTGCTTCGTAGTCATCGTCACGCTGGGATATGGGTTGATGTATGTTGCAGGATTGTAGAGAAATATCTCTTTCCTATCCCATATCTGCAAAAGTGGAAAAAAAAGTGAGTAGGACAGCATGCGCGTGACCATTCTTCCCTGCGCAAAAGGTCCTAAGCAGCATGTATACACAAAGAAAGAAGGGAAAAAAAGTGAAATATCCACGCACCACTCAATCCACAGCCTTGTTTTCACAGCCGTCTGCATGATTTGTGTCAAATTCGTCACTCCTATTCATCCGCATTACGCCTTTCTCACTCCTTCTCCCTCGGCCTCGAGATATACTTTACACCACACCTCTCCCTCTCTCTTGCTTGATCCAATATCCATCTTGTACAGAGAGATCGGCTTTGGTTTTGTACTTGTTTCGCACATAACGATCGATAGATAGATTTGATGGTTTGTAGGGCGTAATGCATATACAATATCATGCCCTTGATTCTTTTTTTCCCATCCGATGATACGTTGGCTTTTCTTTCCCTCTCTTGTTTCACCTGGCAATAGAGCAGGATGAGAAAGATAAATGGGACGACCGAGGGGGTGGTGTGTGTGGCCGTAAGTGTAGTTAATGCTTCTTACCATCCTCGGGGGATTAGGTAGATGTAAACGCTAAATATGAGTACATGTATGCATGTAACTTGAAGGAATGTTTCACTTGTCCGACATTCATGTGTCTGCAGCCTCTTTTGAGCTCTCGACGCAGATGCATATGTAGATGTACAGTAGACAGTAACTTGGTGGGTAGGTGGATGTGCGTATAAAGTACCTAGGTGGGCGCACAGGACCATGACACATCCAAGCAAGTCTACTGTAAACACATCTACATGTGCACATATTTGCTACATTGAGTTACAGAAAACAAGGTCGACTTTTAAAACCACAATTAATCCATTTCAACAGACCCGATACTTATAGGCTAAAGGTACTGTACAACGACAAGACTCCAGGTTAGACCAGATCTAGGGAAATGAACATCCTAGTCACGGCAGGAAGAAACAAGGGACCAAAGGAAAAGGCGGAAAGGAAAAAAAGTAAGTAGAGTAATAAGCCTAGCCAAGGAGAAACAAAATAGGCCGGAGAAACACAGATATCACAAGTAGACATGAAAAAGAGTAAAAACTATGCATCTTGCATCACCGTAACGTTAACCCATAAACAAGTCATTTCAGGCACACACCCACAACACCGAGGATAATGGGATTGGTGTTCATCGCGATGGAGATAGGATAAGGATGTAGACGTGAACGTAGACGTCGACGTAAACGCGAGGTATGAGCACTTCTTCTATTTGTGGTAGAAGATGAATGTTTAATTACTGCATCGTCAGTTAGTAAAATGCGCCAACAGATATCTCGAGTCAAGTATAAGAGTGAACATGAGATTAACAGCAATGCGAATGGATCGGGGTTAAGAGTGTGTCGAGACGAATATAGGAAAGAGTAGAATGGGTGGGGAAAAGGAAGGGGAATACTGACAGCAAACCAATTGTCAAATCACCATGGATCTTCGCCTTAAGCTGGACCTCAATATCCAGATTGAGATCCAACCGCAGACGAAGCTGCTCATCACGACCACCATCCTCTTCTTCCTTCTTCTCACCTCCACCGAGGATGCCGCCGACGGCCTTGCCGGCGCCGCCTGTCACGCCGTTCAGGGCATTTCCGGCTGTGTTCTGGACGAGCTGGCCGGCTTGGTCGACACCGCCGAGACCGCCGAGAGCACCGAGCGGACCGCCGTCTTGTCCTTGCTGCTGCTGCTGCTTAGGCTGGCGCTGGCGACGCACGCGGCGACGTTCTGGTTGCTGGGGTTGTTCCATTTCTTGTTGTTGGGGGCGACGGGGACGACGACGACGTTCTGGCTTGGGAGCCGGTTCAGGTTCAGGTTGGGGTTCTGGGTCGTCTTGTTCTTGCTCTTCTTCTTGATCTGAGTCTGGCTCTTGTTGTTTTACGGGCTCAGGCTCGTTGTTTTCCTCGCTGTTCTCTTCTTTCTTTTCGGAGTCTTCGCTCTTGTCCTCGGGCTGGCCTTCGGATGGGGGAGGGGTTTGTTCTTGTTTGGCGGGGGACTTCTTGCCCAATTTGGGAGGGGCACGCTTTGGCTTGGGGGATGTATTGTTGGAATCGGGGTTGGGAGTAGAAGGTTGATCCTGATCGGCCATAATGAAAAGAGAAGAAAAGAGGAGAGAGGGAAGCTGTTAAGAAGGGGAGAGAGGGGAATATGAACTGATTCGAGCACGAGATATGGGACAAAGCGTCACAAGAGGTGGGCAACAGGAACTGCTATGTAATTGTGCGTATTGGTATATGAAATGAACACCTTGTCTAACCGTTTATATCATTGGGGGCAGATCAAAACCGGTCGTCGCAATACCTGCGAGCCGCCTCCGACGTCAGACGGGATGTGTGGCTCGTACCAGACGCCATGGCAGGCTACCCCAGTATGGTGGTCGCATACTGTGCACTGTACAGTGTCCATCTCTCTGGTCCCGATGGGGCTGGCGGAAATGACGAAGGGGGGGAACCGCGGACTAGACCAGCCTTCTTCGTGTACACAGCGTCCACTGCTTGAAGAAAGGTTCGGTATGACGTGTGAGGGTCATGGTCCGGACCTGGAACGCCTCCGTATGGAGCAACAGACAACCCCGGCCGAAATGGTATAACGTGGGATTGGCAAGAAACAGCGCAAACCCTGGCCATGTGTTGGGCCAGAGACATGGATCAGCATGGGAAAAAATAGATATCTCCGCTCTTCGCTGCCACGCACCAATCATACAACAAATCGGCGAATTTGTTGCACTGACGCTCTCCACTTAAATAGATTAAATGGACGTAGGCCGTTGAGCATGACGCCACTCGACGTCAGGATGGGATTGTGCCTGTCAAGTCCTGGAGAAGTGTATCGCCTAATGCCACTTTAGCCACTCTTTCAGCCACTGGAGATGAGGAAATGACAGGGGCGCCGAACTGCCCGGTTCCTGGTTTTCCGGGTTTCAACTTGACTGGTTCAGGCCAGTCAGTGTTTCCACGGGTCGTGGCCTGTCGCTCTCCATTATTGACACGTCCGGTACTCCGCAGAGGTTGGTCTGACACGATGACGCGGGTGTGTGAAAGGTGACAAGGTGACGATGGGGGGAAACGGGAAGCCGCCAACGTCATCTGCATTAGACTTGATATCCGATTTCCATACTGAATATCTTCTTGCTTTTCTCTCTTTTGTTTGTGGTTTTTTATGTTTAGTTTCTATCTCGATTTCTTTTTTATCGATACCCCATCTCTCTAGTCTCTCTATTCTTTTCTCCTCTCGCTTCCCTCGTCTATACTCCCCCTCTATAATATACTTCATCCAAGATGGCTACCGTCGAGAAGACCAAACAGCAACCCAAGAAGCTTCCCGTGCAGGAAGACCTGTCCGATGGCGAAGATTATGACAGTGCCGATGACTATACCGACGAAGAGGAAGAAGAGATCCCCCAACCCAAAAAGAACAAGCAGGTGCAGCGCCGGAAGCCCCTGCAACAACAAGACGACGATGATTCCGAATACACCGACGAAGATGAATATGACGATGAATATGATGATGAGTACACCGACGATGAAGATGCTGCCATGCAACCCTACTCCAACAACAATTCGAATTTCAAACCCACCGGTGGCATGGATGTCCTCCACAAGGAGGAGAAGTCGATGCTGGACGAAGAAGGCATGAAACTGCGACTGGAACTGAACTTGGAAATTGAGGTTGAACTCAAGGCACGTATTCACGGCGACCTCACCCTGGCTCTCATGTAAGTTGATGTACCGGATCCCCCTCATCCCACCCTATCAAGAACGTCTGCTCAAAGGCCGAATTAGGAGTTGATATCGTTTTGTCGACCACAGGGCGTGATTCCCCACCCTCTTTCCGATTGCATTTCTGTTTCGCTTCGACGTCGTCACGAGTGATTTCCATGTTTGATGTCCATAGAGGCCATGTTTAATATCTGCTGGATGTTTGTTTCTGGAGCACCATAGCGTGTGACACTATGTATATCCCATGAATGGAGTACTGGAGTACAGTCAAGTCAATTACAAAGAAACCCACACGTATATGTATTTCGTAGTCCGACTAACCCAATTGCATGTACTGAGTATTGTTGAACTGAGCCCCGGAGTGAGGGTTAGCATTCTACACATGGAAACAAGCCGAGGCCCGGGTCTTGGCATGGATCCATATTCTCCTGACCCTCTCGACACAGACAGGATTCCAATCTCTACCACCTCTCCAGTTGATTCGCCTGGTCGCCTATATATCATGTCGTCCAAAGACTTCATCATCAAGCATATGAATGCCGACCACCAAGACTCTCTCGCCCTATTCCTACAAGCGTATAACGGCCTCTCCGCCAGCGCAGCCCGAACCGCCCAACTGGAAGACATCAGCCTTTCAAGCCTCACAATCACTGCCAAAGGCACGCGCTACCATGTCCCGATCGACCCAGTAATGAAATCCTACTCTGATGCTCGTGGCTGTATGGTTGCCATGCACAAAGAAAGCCTCAAACGCCTAGGTCGCAGCGACGTAACTCTCACTGAATACCGAGGCCCGCGCGGTTTCCAAGCTGTGATTTTTGGACTGTGTTTGTTCACCTACGCCAGCTGCTTCCAGCGCAGCAACCTGCTTCCTGGTTCCATGATCTACGAGTACTTGGGATATAAGTATGTCCCTGATTTTGCGCATTTCGTCTACAATATCCAGCCGTACCTGTTTCCTGCAGTGGTGGCCATTCATGTTTTGGAATCGGTGTTGTTGGCAGTCTTGCAGTTGAAACCACTTGGTGTGCCTGTTTTCTCGGGGCTGTGGATTGCTTGGGTTTCATCGTGCTTTGTGGAGGGCTTTGGGTGTTTCCAGCGGATTGGGAGTATCGTTAAGGAGGAGAGGGCGAAGAGGGGGAAGAGCGAGTAATGGTTGGTTTAGCAGATCTGATTGAAATGAGTTAATAGAATACCATTGATGTATAAAATATATGAAATATGGGGCAATGAAGCAGCCTGAAGAACCACAAAATGCTATCGCCATCGTGTATTGCCTGTTCACGTGAGCAAAACATGGATAACAAATACACGTGATCATGACTCAGCAATCAGCTGACTGGGTCAGTGACTGGGCGCCCTAAGCCCAAAGTAGCCTAGTGTCAGTTAGGGCACTACACAAGCGAGCGACACAGTGCGCCCTGCGAAATTCAGCGACTCCACGACCTCAAACTCCCACGACAACCCTACGACAACTTATCCGCGTTTCCGGTGAAGGGCTGCATATTCAGAGGTGAGTTATCGACGTCTTCATTCCTGGCCTTCAAAATCTCTGTTTCGCTCGTCGCCGCCAATTTCGACTGTGAATCAATCTTCCAAAATTCAATATCGCCAATCGTCAATTTTCAACTCTGTTCCGCCTTGTGTCTACGTTCGATCATCATTCAACCTGTCGCCTGACTATTCCGATATTTCAAAATTGATTTGTGCGGCGCTTGAGACGAAACAGAAGGATTGAAGAAAAAAAAACTTCAGGGTTTTCAACAATATCTAACCATTGTCTCTCTCGACTTAGACCCCTCCATCAACCGCAAACATGGGTATTTCTCGGGATTCTCGCCACAAGCGCAGCGCCACTGGTGCTAAGCGCGCCTCCTACCGCAAGAAGAGGTACGATTCTACACCCCCAGGTTGAGATTGATGTTTTCCCGTCAAGCAAGTGGGACTACGTATACCGGAGCATATTCTTACCAGTCATTCTACAGAGCCTTCGAGAAGGGCCGCCAGCCCGCCAACACCCGTATTGGCTCCAAGCGCATTCACCTTGTCCGCACTCGTGGTGGCAACCAGAAGTTCCGTGCCCTCCGCCTGGACTCCGGTAACTTCTCTTGGGGTTCCGAGGGTATCTCCCGCAAGACCCGTGTCATTGGAGTGTCCTTCCACCCCTCCAACAACGAGCTGGTCCGCACAAACACCCTGACCAAGTCCGCCGTTGTCCAGATCGACGCTGCTCCCTTCCGTCAGTGGTTCGAGGCCCACTACGGCCAGCCCATCGGTCGTAGACGCCAGCAGAAGACCGCCGAGGTCACCGAGGAGAAGAAGTCCTCCTCCGTCGCCAAGAAGCAGGCTGCCCGCTTCGCCGAGTCCGGCAAGGCTGAGTCCGCCATCGAGCGCCAGTTCGAGTCCGGTCGTCTGTTCGCCGTTGTTGCCTCTCGCCCCGGCCAGTCTGGCCGTGTCGACGGTTACATTCTGGAGGGTGAAGAGCTTGCTTTCTACCAGAAGGCTATCCGCAAGTAAACGAAAAAATAAAATATTCGGGAAAGCTCATTCGGCGAGGGCCGCGTGTGTGTTGTTGCAACGGGTGGTTATCGGAGTTTCAGCTATGTCATGAATTGGGCATCCATGAGATGCAAATTGTCTGTAGAGCTCTGAGCCGTCAATCTATGGGAATTATTCCTAGTTCATTTGTTACCCGTAACTGTTCATCGTAGGCACACTTATTTCCCGCTACTTGCTGTCGATTCCCCTCACTTTCTTCTAACTTCTCCAACTATCAACCACCAAATCCCACCTTAGCAATGTCGGTCAAAACCCGGGCCTGTCTGATCTCAGACACACATACCCTTGCTCCAAATCCATCACAAAGCATCAATAATGCCTATCGCCACCCACTTCCAAGCGCCAACATCCTCATCCACGCCGGCGACCTCACGAAAGTGGGGTACCGCCAGGAGAATGAGATCATGCTTGAAATGCTGAAGGAGGCAAATGCAGAGCTCAAACTAGTCATTGCCGGAAACCACGACATAACCCTTGATGAAGAATACTTCACCGAGTACGGCTATAAACGACACAAGCGCCCCGAAAAACTGGGCAATGACGAGACCTTCCTGACAGATGATGAGGCCATCCAAACACCGCTGCGCACATCATCCGATCCACCATACAAGACTAAACTAGCAGCCTACGCGCGCTCAATCAAGGATCTCTGGACTGGCGACGCGGCACGCAGCGCGGGTATCATCTACCTCGAAGAGGGCATGCATTCATTTACTTTATCGACTGGAGCCAAGTTCACAGTGTATGCATCGCCTTACCAACCCGAGTTCTACAACTGGGCCTTCGCATACCCCCTCACAGAAGACCGATTCAATCTTCCCTCGTCTGCATCATCCAGTCCACCACCCAAGAATCCCATTCCTGATTTCCCGGCTGTTGATATCCTCCTAACACACGGCCCACCGAAGGGTGTCCTCGATGCTGTCCCGCCTGATTTGAATGTTGGGTGTCCGCATCTCATGAAGGCGGCTTGGCGGGCTAGGCCGCGGTTGCATGTCTTTGGGCATATCCATGAAGGCTGGGGTGCGCAGCGGGGAGTCTGGAGTGAGGATGGTGGTGAGACTGGAGGTGTGAATCTTGAGCATGTGCCTACCGACCCGGAGGATATGTTGGAGTTTCGGGGTGCGTTTTGTGATGTGAGTGATGGGGCGAAACGGCCACTGAGGGTTGGAGAGGAAACACTATTTGTTAATGCCAGTGTTGTCACTGTTAATTATGAGCCGCAGAATGCCCCGTGGGTCGTTGATTTGGAGTTGCCACTTGGCGAGGGGAGGACATAATATGTTGCTTGGGTTTCTTTCGTTTTATATTGCTTATGCTGCATCAATGAAGCCGCGAAAGGATTTATGGATTTTGTCTGTATCTTATTAGTATTACGCAGTATAGATTTAAATACACAGGTTCAGCTGATAGCTTGATTGGATCATGCCAACAAATGGAGAAAAAAGATCTTGATAATGTGAGAAAAGTGAATAACGTGATGTTCGTAGAAATGCTTAGTGGTACTATCTCCAACTCCAACGCAGAATATATCATCAATCGACAACGTAAAACTTTTTTACGAACCTAGAATAGCTTACAAGAAGAGAAATCGACCAGGAAGTCATACTTCAATTGAAGACTCACACTAGTATATATACGCACTGCAGCACAGAAAAAAAGCCACACAACAAAATCATCAGAAAAAGGGTTTGAGACATTATACCCTAATCAGCCAAATCCAATCGAAAAAGAGTAAATAAATGAACGTAACAACGTAGAAAGCTCCCCCAACTCCATTCATTAAAACAAACATCCCAGGGATATAAGTTAACATTCACGGCGCACCACCAAGACCTAAGGGCAGGAGAAAAAAGAGTCAGAGTTCTGCAAACCAATCGACCACACATAAACAGAAAAAGGGACTTACCGGCTGCAAAGGCCAGATACCAGGTACGCGTAGCACCGCCATCAATCCAGCTATAATCAAACTCCGACTGGGTAAAGAACTCCCAAGAGGCTTTGGGATCGATGAGGGCTAGATTGGCGTAAAGGACGCCCTTCCATCCGCCCTCGACCGTATCGGCAGGTTTGGAGGCGTTCGCCGCGAACATGCTGTTCCATTCCTGGCGGACGAACTCCTTGCGGCGGGTGAAGGGGCTATGAGGCATCAATGGGAGCATGTGGATTCTGCATGGGGTTGATTTTGGTTAGTGGGTGATTGATTGGAGTTGGAGAGATAGCGATGGGGATGAACATACCCTTGAACAAGTTCCAGGTCTGCTCCAAAGTAGGTTGTGTGGTCGACCTTGTTTTCGAATAGCTAGAGATGGGGTGTTAGTATCAGCCCAAGTCCCGGGATAGATATGAGGATGATCATGCAATGGATGCTACTCACAATTCCAGAAACCTTGTTCTTGATAAAGTTCGCTGGCTGGTTCACATTGTCATCTTCCATGAGGAAGTAATTGTTGAGTGAGCGACCCAAAATACCCAGCATCATGTTACCACGCGCTTCCATGCTTGCGTCGCCGCTGGTCTGTCCCCACAGCTTGATAGCATACGCGAACATGGTGTCCTCGGAAGTAGATTCTTGATCTTTTCCATCGTACGACTCGAAAAGACCCTTAGCCCACGAGTGACCATTGTACCAATCAAATGAGCGCGAGAAGGGGAAGTAAGGATCGTCGTCGACGGGGTTGCCCGCATCACGAACAAGCATATTAACCCATTCCTTGTTCTCAGCCAGCCAGCTGGGGTCAAGGGCACCAATAACTGCCGCTGCTTGAATGAAGTAGCCGTAGTGGAAGTGATGATCGTTGTAGGCTGTGTTTCCAAAATCTTGGTTGAGGTCGCCGTCGTAGCCGGCTGTTGAGACGACACCCTTCCAGACGGTATCGTAGGCGAGTGGATATTGTTGCTTGTTGTCTACGAAGCGGGCAAAGGCTTTCTTTACTTCTTGGAAGGCGTCTGCGGCTAGGTCGACATTGTTGCCGAGCTGGTTGACGGTGTAGACCAGGGTTGCGAACTTGCTCAGAGCCTTGCCACTGTAATACATACTATTCAAATCGGTCTGCTCGGAGATGTTCTGCTTGAGTTCGTGGGGGGCGGCCTTGAGAATGGCGCGCTGGGCGGTGGCTGAGAGGTTGTGCACACTACCGTGGGTGGCTGTCCAAGGAGCGAAGCTCATATCAATAGGGAGATCCTCCTCTGTCATGGTCCAGCTTTCTCCAATAACAGCTGTGGTGTTACCCTTTGTGGTACTGCGGAGGTGGATATCTGTGACACGGTCTTTGGTTTCCTCGTCGAAAGAGTGGACGTGATGGGGCAGAGCGAACATGAGCAGGGGGGTGTTCTTGACATGCTTTCCAGCCTTGGTCCAGGACAGGCTGTAGCTACCTTCATCATCACTAACGGAGCCAGCAATTTCTCCGGAGACAGGGTACACGCCAGCCGAGTTGTCGTAGACCTTCTCGCCAGATTTACCAGCTGGGTTCTTGGCAAGCTGGATGGTACCAGAGAAACCGTGGGGACCACGCAAGCTGGACTTTGAAACTAGCTTGAACTTGGGGTCTTTTTCATCGGCCGGAGTCACATACATGAGCCAAGTAGTGTCATCTTGAAGATCAACCTTGTACTTGAAGATACCGTGGCTTGTCGAACCAACATCGACAACCTTACGGAAGAAGACACCGCTCTCAATAAGAGGCTGCAGGTCATTGTATATGGCAGTCGTATAGCCCATGCCCTGCACAATGGGGAAAGTTATCTTCTGGGCAGAACCTCCGGAGCGCTTCAGGACAGCATGGGCAGAGAAAGCCTTGGGATCATCGGTTTCCAAGACACTGGACTCATCGAGCTCAGTTGCTGAGAGAATGAGGTGCTGAAGTCCAACAGGATTGATGTAGTATGACACCGGCTCTCCAGGAATCTTATCGTTCTTAGGACCGAAGGCAAGCATGTGAGGTTGTATATGAGAAATACCCATACCCCAGCTCTTCAGGGATCCACCGCCCTTGGACCATGCCAAGGAATAGGGTTGCGCGAAGGACGCATTGGTCTGAGTACCCAGGAACAGCCCAGCGTAGAACTTGTTGGTCTCAATTGGGCCAGTGGTATTGGCCTATCGGATGATGTTAGTATTCAATTTAGATCAATATCGAGATTGCAGTCTGCTTACATGCTTGTTCTGCACGGGGTGATCATGTCTAGACTTGATATTGATAGGAACAGCTCCTGTAGCAACAGGTTCGAAGATATCTTGACCATCCACGACCTGAGAATGAACTGGTTTAACGTGATGAGGGATAGTAGGAACTGTATGTGTTGGAATGGGTCCTGTGAAAGTAAGTCAACTACACCAAAGTAATATCGTTTTTCCTTTAAGCATACCTGTTGCCGAAGTTGCAGCTTGTTTGCTTTTCGATACCCGTGAAGTAGTTACAACAGTTGGAACAGTCACTGCCGAGACTTGAGACTCCTCTTGTGAAGCCGTTGAGACAGGAGCAGTTTCTGTCGCAGCAATTGGTTCCGAATCAGTAGTTGGCTCTGAGACACCTAGCAAGTCCTCCAACCCCTGAACAAATCTTTCGAGGTGAAATTGGGGGAATGGAGGCTTCTGGGGACGGCCGTCGGTCTCCAAAGCCACACGATATTCCTGATATAATGTCAACACCAATACCTCATCAACTCAATGCATAATGAACAACAAAAAAGAAACGTACAGGTTGAGACTCCGGAATAAAAAGTCTATCCTCCTCGTTCGCAGGTGGATATTGAGTACTATAAGCCGTATCACGCCTTGTGGCAGTTCCTTGCAGTATACTTTCCACTGCAGTGTCCACACGTGGTAAACAATTGACTGATTCCGCGGCTAGAAGCCAAGTTAGCAAGGCTGTCGCCTTCCATTTGGATCCTGAGTCCATCATGATTGTAGTTCGTATGCAAATGAAAGAGTGAAAGTGGTCTTAATCGTATATCGAGAGTCCTTTTTATTCCTCAATTCATTCCAATTGGACATGAACTACAGGGACAATGTGACTTCCAGTGCGTGTAAAGAGCGACGAAGGACTGACAAAGGGCGAAAGGTTCCTGGGCGAGGACAGCAGACTTACAAGTCAGGAGATGGCACCAACCCCTCGGCACTTAGCTGTCTAAAATTGGCAAATACACGAGCTGATTCATTGTGAATGGTGGAAAGAATTTTACGCTGTCGATCATCATGCGAGTTAGCAGTGTGAACGCCTCGATACAATGGGAAGAATGGTCCGGCTTGGGGCATCGTGCGCTCAGCAATGTAGGGACAGCCAAACATGCGGCTATCGCCAACCCACCAACAGGAATGCGGCGTAAACACGGCAACCATATATTTCACTGACATTCGCCCTGTAGTTGACGCTAGTTGAGTTGGATTGCAGTGAAGAGGTTAAATTATATGTAAGTTGTGAAGTCCATAGGGTTGCCAAGGGATTAACCCGCGTGGAGTAGAACAGTAAACACACCACATTCGGACTATTCACAACCTCAATATCCTGCAGATTAATGTCTGAATCACTTGTAAGGGAGGGCGACAACTCTAAAAGACAGTATCCAGGCTTTTTCCTATTCATCGCACATGCCCTGATCAGCAGGCGGTCCATTCAGTGGCCAACATTCCAAGCCCAGTCGAGGCTGTCACTCACGCGTCTTGACGATTCTAGTCCATAGATAAAAAAGTAAATTCAATTCTGCGGCGTGACAACATTGATTCCATGTGGAAAGGCTGGGGAATTACTAAATGACGCCGTCGCGTGGTCGCAATTTAAGTGACAGACTACTCCATACGAAAATACGGCTGTAACCAAGTGAACAATGTAGATGCTTTTTAACTGAAACTCCTGTAACAAGTCGTGGTAATGAGTCACTTTACTTCAAAGTGTGACACTGGATATACAACTGAACACACATTCCGAACCTCACGTATATACATTTAAATCATAGGATTCTGCATAGGCTTGATAATGCCCTGCTTGACCATGATACGAGGCTTGGTACCGCTCTGGAAAGTCTCCTTGGTAGACCACTCAGGGCCCAGAGGCATGCGCAGAGACCGTTCGTACTGTTGCTTGGTCTCGAACTCATGCGGCAATTGGCTGGCCATGTACTTCACGTTCTATACAACATGTTAGTGAGCTGGTACTATTGACGGTAGAGAAAGGATAAGGCTTACCTTCTTGACACGCTTCTGGTTGATGATCACCCGATCCAGCTTGGCATCCTTGCGCTGTTGGGGCTTCACACCCTGCACAGTGGTCAGGTCGCGCTTCTGTCTCTTCTGCTGCTTCTTGCTGACACCGTCACCGGCCCAGCTACCCCAGCCTGCGAGTGTGTTGTCTACAACATGATCACCTTCGTCTTCGATGGTGTCCATTTTGTCTTGCTCGAAATCTTGGACGACTTCGTCGCCGGCGAAGGCTCTCTTCACAAGGTCGTGGTTCTTGAGTAGCACAGGCACGTTCTCTTCATCATCGCTCTCATCCTCGAGTTGATGTTTCTTGGCGGGAGCTGCCTTGGCGTTCTTCTGCTTCTTCTGTTGCTTCGCAGGGGCGGCTTGAGGGGCAACGTCGAGTGAAATATCGATAGTCTCCTGGGCATCTGGGCCAGTCCGACGGCGGTTGGTCCGTTCAGTCTGAACCAGCCATGGGTTTTCCTCGTCAGCAGGGGACTCCTCCCGTTGGGAAGAGTTGCGCGAAGGCTGTGAGACGTTCTTGTTGGTTGATGTAGATTTCTGCTTAGCCGGAGCATCGACAACAATGTTAACATCATCGTCTGATCCCGCTCTTGCTGCCTGTGCGTCTTCATCATCGGAGTCGAGGGCTTCTTCAAACTCGTTCTTGAGCAAAGGTTTGACGGGCTTCTGCTCAGTTTTCGATGTCTTTCCGAACTTTCGTCGACCAACCTCAGACTCTGCCTCAGACTCAGACTCCTCTCCGTGAAGCTCACGTTCGAGCTTGCGGATCTCGGCATCATTCTGTTCCTTGCGGGCGGCGTCGGCTTTTTGCATGAATTTCATCGCAAAGAGATCAGCATGAGGTCCCTTCGGAGCATCCTCATCGACATCATCACCGTTGAGAGCCTTGAGCTTCTTTTGGATCTTTTGCCTCTCGACATCAGATGCATCCTCAGCCCAGGGGTCATCTTCCTCTGACTCAGAGCTAGATTCCAAGTAATCGTCCTCTCCAGTAGAGACACGCTTGCCCTCGATTCTCTTCCGCAACTCCTCCTCTCTTTGGGCCAAGTCAGCTGCGCTGTTGCGGGCCTCTTCGTCCCAGGCGGTACGACCACTCTGCTTCAGGCCCTTGGACCATTTGCTTTCGCGATGCTTGGAGCCCATGCGAGCTTCGGCTCTCATGCGTTCACTCTTCTCCTGGTCCATCTCGTCTGGGTCGACACCTGCTTCAATAAGAGCCTGGCGCTCTTGCTGCTCTTGCTTCTCACGCTCCTTACGGTGAACGCGGCGGTAAGACTTGCTCTTGATCTTCTTGATGCGCTTAGAACGCACTTCCTCTCGGAACATCAAGTCACGTCTCTTGCGGAGCTCAGTGCGTCGGGCTTGGATCTCCTCGATTGGAATATTGCGTGCTTGCAGTTCTTCCATCTTCTGGATCTGGTCCTCGGCCGACTGGCCCTCAGCCTCAGCCAGACCACTTTCCACAAGAATGTTCTGAATGGCACTTTCCAAGTCATTTTGTGGCTTGACAATATCCATCTTCTTGTGATTTTGCTCGGCGTCAGGATCAGCCAGAGGGAACGAGAGGTGCTCAGCTCTACGGTTGGCTTTGACGGTGTCGAGCCATCGGTTGAGGGTTTCCTTGCTCTTCTCATAGGCCGCAGCACGATCCAGACGATCCTGTTGGCGCTTGGCCAGAGGAGCATCTAGCTTGCCCGGAATGCCAGTCTTGGAATTTTGAAGGACAGAGTCGATGTGTTTGAGGGAGCTTTTGAGTCGAGAATCCGTGATTGAAGGGAGTAGATCGGCGACGGTCAATTTGTTGGAGGATGTAAGACCGTATTCCGAGGGCTTGCCTTGCTCTTGTGACTTTTGAGTACGTTTCGTAGGCTTGCCGGTCTCCATAGCCTGGACGAAATCCTGTAGTTTTGATAGACCGTGCTTGTCTGCACCCTCGTCGGAGACAGAAAGGTCATCGTCGCTTTCTTCGCTTTCGCTGTCCCCCTCTGATCCTGAATCTTCATCACTGTCGTCTCTGGCAGCCCGCTTGGCCTTTCTTGATGCTTCCTTAACATCTTCTTCCTCGGCGGCAGCGTTCATATCCCAGGCAGTTGCGAGGTCGACAGCATCCTCTCCTAGATCATCGTCTTCATCTTCGTCGTAGTCACCCTCAGACTCCTCCTCCGACTCTTCGTCATCTTCGTCCAAGTTGATTTCACTAGGTTTCTTCGCCTTGGGTTCCGCTTTCTTTGGCTTGGACGTGGACTTGGAGGCACGGAAAGTGAAGCCCTCAAATCGTTCTTCATCGCTCTCGCCCAGAGCTTCGTCACTGTCAAGTTCACTGTCGTCGTCGCTGTTCACTTGGCCGAGTGTCCATTCGTGTCCTTCACTATCACTGCCACCATCGAGGCTTCCAGTGTCTTCGGTTCTGCGGCGCTTGTGATGTTGGGCCTCGTCGTCTTCATCATCGTCCCCGTTGTTTCGCTTGCGAATGAAGGAACCATCGTCATAGGCGCCTAGTCGGCTGCGTCGAACACCTAATTTAGTCGGAATTTGCTTCTCTGCAATAGACAGCGCATTGAGCGCCCGGCCGTTCTTCCGCTTCTGCGCTGGTTTTTGAGCTGAGGGGTCCTTAGGACCACGCAGCTGAGCTGAACTGCGAGGCATGGCGGAAATGAAATAAAATAGAATAGAAGCCTCAGATCAGTACTGTTCAAAGTACTGAATCATGCGACGGCTGCTTTCAAGAGGAGTGTAGATGCGTTGAACTTTTTTTTCCTGGCAGAAAAAAGTTCTCGGCGCGGAGATTAGCGCGACCCGATCATTCGCCGACTTTTGTCTCCCGCAACACCTTCACCTACATCAACTGCCCACCCCTCGAACCGGCACCATGTTTAAGCCAACGGAGCCAATGCTAATGCGCTTGCGCTTGACCACGAAGCAAGTCAATGGTGGCTACTACAAGGGAAACCGGACCGGCTCCATGGGTGCCTTCGACAAGAAGGGCCAATACAGGCCCCAGGTAGAAAAGCATCGCAATTATATCCTTCCGACTAAGCTTGAACTGCCTGGACTTCCCGAGGATTCCATTTCCAAGGAACCCTTCCTGGTAAGTGATCAATGCTTTTCTGCATGTCTTCGAATCCCTGCTGACATGACTGAAGCTCACTCCCTTTGTCACACAACACATGCGATCAACCCGTTCAAGTTACGTGCAAGACCTCGAACGAAATGGCAAGACGGTCACTGTGACTCGAGGATTTGAGGGCATCGATTATCTGAACCTATGGGCCGATACCGAAGAGGGCCTCCGGATGAAGGCCACGCTTAGCAGAAAGTCCAAGAAGACGACAAAGGGAATTTCGGGTCAATGATCGCGCTCTCGTGGGTCCCCGGCTGAATGTGAGCATGCTTCCAACCTAGCTCCTGGTAATGCCTGGTAACGCCTGTATCAGCTCAGCATACCATCCACAATCCTCCTCTGCAGCATTAATGCTCACCCTAGGCCTTTGTCCACCGGCCGATTGAATATATATCCCATGTATTATAGTTTTACAACCTCATTTGGAATTGGACGGTGCACTCCTGTTTTTAGAGGTACCGATGGCCATATACGATCATCTGCCCAGCTCCGGGTGATTGGCCCTGGATTAAAAAGAAGATCCTATGCTGTAGCATGAGTTTCATCAAGTCTATTACTGTATTATCCACTATATAAGCCATGGAATAACCACAGCCAGCGTAAGAGCGTGGCAGTACGGTCGATACCTGAATGAGAACATAGACATGGTCCGTGCACATAAGAACGATAAGCCTCCATATCGGCGTATGTCATAGTTCTTCACCTTTTCAAACCCGTGATGCGGGCTGTTTCGTTTGCATCTAAAGCAAGTTTTCTGTTTCAGCCCAGGGCAGCTCCAGCTGTATCATGTTTCAATCATTCACCGGCAGCTCTCGTCGCCCACGGCAGGTGAACCTCAGCGGCCGTGCCACTAATCCCTTTGCTGCATTCCCCGGAAACTCCCCTACTCGATCTGCCCCTCATGCCGCAAAACCCGAGACTGCAGTTGCCATTGCCCAGCGAGAACGACTTTCAAGGCAGCATGACAGAGACCGACAGTCGGCATCGCGCGTTATCCAGCGATTCTGGCGGGGACACCAGAGCAGAACAACAACATACAACCAGTGGAGGTCAGAATGGGATACATTTGAATGGAAGAGAGCAGAGAATGCCTTGAGCTCTGTTGAGAGTAAGGATCGAGCTCCAACGACAAATGTTGAGCGTCTGCAGTATCTCTTGCGTTGCTCTGCACCCCCATACGCCAATGCAGAACAATGTCTGGACCAACTTCGACTTTTCGTTCAGTTTGCTGGGTCACCGAGGAGCTCGGAAGACATATTACGTCTGCTATACTTCTGTAATGTCTTTGAGAAAACCTTTCATGTCCTGCCTACGATCGCGACAGAGGGTGAATGGACCCAGCTCTTGAGACGGTTGGCAGTGGCGGTCTTGAAGTCTCTCCACTCGGCAACAAATAATCCGACTCATGGAGAAGCAGTTCTACCTCTATTGCGGATGGTAGTCTTTTTGGTGGACCTGATTCCAAAGAAGATGGCAATGATTGCCAACACCTACTACCATGTCATGGCAAATCTTACAAAGAGCCTTGTGTCTCTGGGTGACAACCTGGCACCAGAGCAAGTTGTGAATGCCGCCATTGCCCTTTTACGGCCAATCACGTCGGAAACGATGGCAGCTTATGAAGCATTTGCGATCTCATATCTGACCGTTCCGGACTTAGCCGCCTACCTTGGCGGACTGGATGGATTGGCGCACCAGATCAACTACAAGGTACTTGCTTCAGCCGTTGGTGCATACATGCACCCGGCGAAAGCCAACCTCGGTGTTCTACAAGATGTCAAGGCTCGGAGTTGGCTTCTTGCATACCTGATTTACTTCCACCGATATGCTCTTGGTGGACAAGCTAATATTGGCGTTCCTGATCTTGGGTTCTTGAGTGTAGTATCCGAGTTGTTGAGCTCAAGCACTCCCTATCTCATAAGATGCTTGGAGATGGATGAATCTAACGAATCCGATTCATCACGCAGTCCTTCTTTGCACCCATTTGTCAAGGACCAAGTCACCAGCCTTGTCAATCAAAGTAGCATCACAGGACTACTTTCACCGACTAGACCGTCCCATTTGACCGAGACAGATGCTTCAGGAAGCAAATCTGAATCGTCAAAGGAAGCCAAGATTCTCGCCATGTATGCCTTGAACCTGTTGAGAGTGTTCCCCCGACGCGGAGATGATATCCGAATGTGGTTGTATTTGGGTTCGGCACCTCCGGGTGATCAGCTGCCCAGCCAACCAGGCGCGAAGATCCCAGCCATCAAGTACTTTTGGCAGGGGGCAAGATCCAGTCGTGTCTTTGAAATGATTACAAACGAACCGACAAAAGTGCTTTCGCTATTAGACAATCCGAAACCGGGTTCAGACATCGGAATTTCACAAGAGGATCGTGACCAGGAGTGGACAATCATCCTCCTCTTTTTTGAGCTCTACACTTTCCTCTTGAAAGTCATGGATGATGAAGAGTTCTTCTCGAGTGCCTCTCCGTTCTTAGTTTCCTCTAACACCAATTCTTCATGGACAAAGGAAAGCGCTTTGCCACTTGAAGATGTTAAAGAGATGACAATCTTCCTTAAGAATCTCGCCTTCACCCTGTATTGGAATTTTGCCGCTTTGAGTGACAAAGGGCCTGTTCCATCCTCTACCGGTGACCTTAGGAGCTATTTTAACACCGCGAGCCAAGTTCCGGAGCAAACAGAGCGGTTCAATGAAGCCCAAGCCAAAGACCAACCCAATGATCTTCCGGGCGTCACAGGCATTACTTTGGACTACTTTCAAGGGCTAATCACAGGACTGCTCAGAATGCTTCATGAGCGAGAGTAAGTTATATACCTGCCTCGCAGCCTGATGTCATGACTAACAATCGACTTAGCTCACGGAGGAAATTCCTTCCCAAAGATCATTGGCTTATGACTGATCGGTTTGACATGGAAGGGTTCATTCCAGCCGTTGTAGGAGAAGAAGAGAAACGCCATCAATTCCAGGATGGCGAAGATGATGAATCTGATCTATTAGATGATGATACTACAGAGTCTGTCGGCATTTCCGGCCCTAACCATGCTCTACGAACCATCCGCTTCGAAAATCTACGACGTCGTCAACGGCAAGCTGCTCGAGGCAAGGCCCTCGCTGCCATTGCGCCCAGATTGGAAATTCTCCGAAATATGCCCTTCTTCATCCCGTTTGCTACCAGAGTCCAAATTTTCCGCCAGTTCATCCTCAGGGATCAACAGCGTCGACGCAATGGATTTTCTGATCCTGAGACATGGCGTCTCTCCGTAGCCCAGCAATCCATGATGAACGGTCGATTTAATGCTACAGATATTCTAGCCCGGCATCACGCCGACATCAGTCGTGAGAGTGTATTTGAAGATGCATTCTCTCAATTCTACGGGCTAGGCGATGGTCTCAAAGAACCGATCCAAATTAGTTTTATTGATCAATTTGGATCCAAGGAGGCTGGTATCGATGGAGGTGGTGTGACCAAAGAGTTCCTAACGAGTGTCACAAGCGAGGCTTTTAAGACTGATGGTGACGAGAGCATGTTTGCGGAAAATGACCAGCATCTGCTGTACCCAAATCCATCGTCGGTCGATCAATTCAAAGAAGTCCTCCGTGATGCCGGTCTTGCGAAGACCAGCGTTGAGTGGCAGGATGAAGTTCGTGGTCTCCTGCGACGCTACGAGTTCCTAGGACGGATTATTGGAAAGTGTCTCTACGAAGGAATCCTGGTGGATGTCAACTTTGCCCCCTTCTTCTTGTTGAAGTGGGCACTTACAGGCGGTACTGGGTCAGCCGTGAAAGAATCTTCTTACCGAGCCAACCTGAATGATTTGAAGGACCTGGACGAGGGTTTGTATCAGGGGCTGGTGAGTGAATCTACAGATGGTTGTTGACTATGCATTATTTACTAACAACATCATTATAGCTGCAACTCAAAAATTACCCTGGGGATGTTGAAGACTTTGCTCTCGACTTCACAGTCAACAACACCATTCCAATGCCGAACGGCACAAACCGCACCACTACAACCGAACTGAAACCCCAAGGCTCACAAATTGTCGTAACCAACAAGAACAGACTTGTCTACATTTCATACATGGCTCGTTATCGCCTGCAGGTGCAACCTGCGATGCAGACCAATGCTTTCTTGCAAGGTCTTGGCCAGATGATTCAACCGGCCTGGTTGTCCATGTTCAACCAGTCCGAGTTGCAAACGCTAGTGAGCGGAGACAACGCCGACATTGACGTGGATGATCTCCGCCGAAACACCACGTACGGCGGCGTATATCAGATTGGCGATGACAACCTAGAGCACCCGACTATTCAACTATTCTGGCAGGTGCTACGCGAAATGACCAATGCGGAGCGACAACAAGTCATCCGGTTTGTCACATCTACCCCCCGAGCACCACTGCTGGGCTTCGGTCACCTCAATCCTCTCTTCAATATCCGAGACTCAAGTGAAGATGAAATGAGATTACCGAGTACCAGCACTTGCGTTAATCTGCTCAAGTTGCCGCGGTACTCGGATGCTCAGACGCTGAGGACGAAGTTGCTGTATGCTGTGACCTCAGGAGCAGGATTTGATTTAAGTTGAAACAATGATTGACTTGATATTTGAGACTTTCATTGGATTGTGAACGGGTTATTTCCTAGACAGGTTGTTTGTAGTGTGGTATGCATAGCATGGGCGTCGAGGAATGAAGATTCTATTGGTAGACGAGCATTCCTTGTATGATAAGGGGGATGAATCTCTGTAATTATCCCCCAGCCATTTCAACTGTATACAAGAGACAATCGACAATGAACAATATCAACCTCGGGGAACTATAGCCTGCCCAAAGTAATCGGGTAAGCCCTTAAAGCGGCAGCCACCATTCCCAATACGGCTAGCGGCCCCATCTCGTGCTCCTCTGAGTTTTCCAGAACAAACCTCGCCTTTCACGGCTCAACTTTTTTCTCCATCCTTCAACTCTCTTCTCGTCAGGGAATTCCTTTTCTTTTCGAATCTTTATCGAAAGGCAAAAAATCTAAAAAAACACGAAAAACCCCCAGAAAATTTTTCCAGTTATCTTATCTCATCCCTCCCGATTGTGCGGTGTGTTGTGTGGAAGATTTTCTTTCAACGACCGCCTCCATCGTCCTTTTTCACCTGGTCAGTTACGTCGCCTTTTGCCTCGATCCCACTCGATTCTTTTCCCAGAGTCGTGTTCTTTCGACTTTTGTGTCTACTTTGATGCGACACTCTTGAGTTACACCCCACTAATACCCTGCAGTGTGCTCTGCTCAGTGAAATATCTCCAACCTCTTTGTTTCGTGGATACCTTGCTGTATGGCCCCTCCCCCCCTTTGAATTCCCCTCGTCTTTCTCTTCCTCCTGGTGGTTTGTGAAAGATCCCACATGGACTGTCATATAACCTCAGTTCATTTGCCTCATATCTCCCCCTCCCCCTCTGCGCGATAGGCTCGGCATGCACATGCTAAAACATTTCTTTTTTCAGTAACAACAGTCAAAATGTCTGCTGAAGCTCCTACCACCACCCCCGCCGCTGACAACGTTGTCAACGGCACTCCCGAGGCCACCGGCTCCCCTGTCGCTGCCGCCGCCGTTCCCGAGCCCGCCGGCGAGGGTGCCAATGCCCAGCCCCACTCGGCTTCGCTCTACGTTGGTGAGCTTGACCCCTCCGTCACCGAGGCCATGCTCTACGAGCTGTTCTCCTCCATTGGTCAGGTCGCCTCCATCCGTGTCTGCCGCGACGCTGTTACCCGTCGCTCCCTCGGATACGCCTACGTCAACTACAACAACACCCCCGATGGCGAGCGTGCCCTCGAGGACCTGAACTACACTCTGATCAAGGGCAAGCCCTGCCGTATCATGTGGTCTCAGCGTGACCCCGCCCTCCGTAAGACCGGACAGGGCAACGTCTTCATCAAGAACCTTGACAACGCCATTGACAACAAGGCTCTTCACGACACCTTTGCTGCCTTCGGTAACATTCTCTCCTGCAAGGTCGCTCAGGATGAGTTCGCCAACTCCAAGGGCTATGGTTTCGTTCACTACGAGACTGCCGAGGCCGCCAACAACGCCATCAAGCACGTCAACGGCATGTTGCTGAACGACAAGAAGGTGTTCGTCGGTCACCACATCTCCAAGAAGGACCGTCAGAGCAAGTTCGAGGAGATGAAGGCCAACTTCACCAACATCTACATCAAGAACGTTGACCTTGAGATCACCGATGATGAGTTCCGCGCCATGTTTGAGGCTTTCGGTGAGATCACCTCCGCTACCCTCAGCCATGACAACGAGGGCAAGAGCCGTGGTTTCGGTTTCGTCAACTACGCCAACCACGAGAGCGCTGCCGCCGCCGTTGACTCCATGAACGAGAAGGACGTCAAGTCCCAGAAGCTCTACGTTGGCCGTGCCCAGAAGAAGCACGAGCGTGAGGAGGAGCTCCGCAAGCAGTACGAGGCTGCCCGCATGGAGAAGGCCTCCAAGTACCAGGGCGTCAACCTCTACGTCAAGAACTTGACCGATGACGTCGATGACGAGAAGCTCCGTGACCTCTTCGCTCCTTACGGTACCATCACCTCCGCCAAGGTTATGCGCGACTCTGCTGAGCGCTCTCCCTCTCCCGAGGGTGAGGAAGCCGAGGCCGACAAGGAGACCAAGGAGGAGAAGACCGAGGAGAAGGCTGAGGAAAAGACCGAGGAGAAGACCGAGGAGAAGACTGAGGAGACCTCCGAGGAGGGTGAGGACGCCGAGAAGAAGTCCGAGAAGAAGGCCTTCGGCAAGTCCAAGGGCTTCGGTTTCGTTTGCTTCAGCAGCCCCGATGAGGCTTCCAAGGCCGTCACTGAGATGAACCAGCGCATGGTCAACGCCAAGCCCCTCTACGTTGCTCTCGCCCAGCGCAAGGATGTCCGCCGCAGCCAGCTTGAGGCTAGCATCCAGGCCCGTAACACCATCCGCCAGCAGCAGGCCGCCGCCGCTGCCGGTATGCCCCAGCCTTACATGCAGCCCGCCGTCTTCTACGGCCCCGGTCAGCAGGGTTACATGCCCCAGCCCGGCCAGCGTGGCGGTATGCCCTTCGCTCCCCAGCCCGGTATGGTCATGGCTGGCATCCCTGGTGGACGCCCCGGCCAGTTCCCCGGTCCCTTCCCCCAGCAGGGTGGTCGCGGCATGGGCCCCAACCAGCAGATTCCCCCCAACTTCCAGGGTATGCCCATGGGTATGCAGGGTCCTGGTGGCATTCCTAACGGCATGGGCTACCCCATGGGTGGTCCTCAGTTCGGCCGTGGTGCCGGTGGCCGTGGTCAGGTTCCTGGTATGCCCATGAACATGCGCGGTGGTCCCGGCTTCGGCCGTGGTGGTCCCCAGATGGGTCGTGGCCGTGGCCAGCCCGCCCCCGCCGGTGCTCCCGCTGGCGCCGAGACCGGCTCCGCCAACCCTGCCCTCCTTGCCGCTCCCCCCGCCCAGCAGAAGCAGATGCTCGGTGAGGCTCTCTACCCCAAGATCCAGGCCCAGCAGCCCGAGCTCGCTGGAAAGATTACTGGTATGCTTCTTGAGATGGACAACTCTGAGCTTCTTGGCCTGTAAGTTATACTTTCCCTCTATTTTCTTTGTAAATCATTCACTAACCCCATATTCCAGGCTTGATGATGAGGAGGCTCTCCGCGGCAAGGTCGACGAGGCTCTCAACGTTTACGACGAGTACATGAAGAACAAGGGTACCGAGGGCGAGGCCGGTGACTCCAAGCCCCAGGAGGCTGCTAAGGAGACTCCTGCCGAGGAGAACAAGTCTTAAATGATGTGTTCATCCTCTGTCTTTCGGAAACCTTTGGATGCACGTTTTTTGATGACCTTTCCTTTCTCTTTTCCACTATTTGTTCCTACCTTTTACCCTTTCCATCCCTATATCTCTCCCTCTGATCCTGATATCCCTCGGTTCGAAAAGTTTGTGTCTTAGGCAGCCACCTTATTGGTGTTTTAGTGAATGCGGTATGACATTCGGATTTTTTTTTTCATTCTTTCGATGAATTTCCCGTTTCTCTAGTATGCTCGGCTTTAGCTGGCAGTGTCTTTTGGCAGTTCGGTAAAAGTTTTTTCTGGGCGCTGGATGCGGTTTATCTTGATGCTTTACTTCTTGTCTTTTTCCCTTTTGCAAGGCGCTATGCCTTCTTTTCGAACCCTCTATATTTTCATTTTTGTTTCATTCATACTTTATGCTTTCTGCTTGCCTTTAATGGGTACTACATAGATCTCCTTGCTCCTCGCGGAAGGGCGCGTTCCAGAGTTTGTTCTCGAGTTTGTAAGAACAGCAAAAAGTCAATTAATGGTCGTGGCCTAGGTTTCATTGAAGCAGATTCTTTTTGTAGCCCCATAAAAACTTGCATCCAAATTTTCATGATACCAATATTTGCCGATCTTTGGTTGAGGGTAACGCCACGATCCGGGTTTATACCAAGTGGCCGCTACAGTCAACTCTCAACCGCAGTTGTCAACCACCGATTACTCATCCTCTCTAGGACAACTTCTAGGCCAAGCTTCTAACACCTCAATTTCACGACATGATATATGCACAATGGCGTCAGAATTCATACCCGAGACCCCCGAGATCGGATCATTGACAGCCCATTCAAATGAAGACAGCCAATTTGTCGGCAGCTCCAGTGGTGTCTACTTCATCAAGACAGTCAAGCGAGCATTCAACGACCCAGACGGGCCAGACTCACCAGAAACAAACTTTCCAACAGCAGAAGATACACTAGTTGGTCCCGAGGATTCACCTCGTGAAAAACGACAGCGCACTGCCTCAGTCAGGGTCGCCTCAACAACAGAAGTCGAGTCACCGTCAGAATGGACCTACGACCCATCTATAATAGAAGCCCTGGGCAAATTACCACCCCCAGATATGGCCAAGAGTCTCATGATGATGTATTTCAAAGTCTGGCATCCTCTCTTCCCCTTCCTGCACGGTCCCACCTTTCTGCAGGCAATGGAGAAGATTTATTCGGCGAATCAAAACCCACCCTCACAAACCTCATGCATAGATCACCGCAGTACATGTTGGACAACTATCTTCCAATGTGTTTTCAACTTGGGCAGTCTCCTAGCACCGGATGTGAACCTACCATCCGAGTCAAAGATTCAATCACCAAGCAGTATCAACTCTCTTCTTGGGACGCTCTCCTCTCGACATGACATTGCATCCATCCAAGCGCTTCTGGCTATTCAGGTTTATCTTATCGCCACTATGTCACTTAGACAGGCGTCTACTCTTGGTGGCTGTGTACTGCGATCCATGCTCCATGCCGGTCTTCATCGGTGTCCATTTCGATATAAGCAGCTTTCGACGCATGATCGACAATTGCGTAAGCGCATCTTCTGGTGCGGGTATGCTATTGATCGCTATTTAAGTCAGGCTTTAGGGTTGCCGCTTGGTATTCAGGATTCTGACATTGATGTTTGTTTACCTGCTGCAAGGGAGATGCATTCGCCTGGGGCGCAGATGAACCAGTTGAGCAGTGAAAGAGTCGAGGGTTCAAGATCTGCCAAAAATGACCAACGCCGAGCTTCCTACTCTCAAACTGAGAACAGAGAAGATGAAGAAGACCATGGGAAAGAAGCTATTCTCGCCAGCTATGTAGACTCTGGAACTCTCACAGGAAGAGCACTGGAACTATTCCACAAATCGATCTTGGTTCGATCTGTTCGAAGGAGTTCTGTCTTGTTCCTTGTGACAGATGTGCACAAGTGGTGGAATGGACTTCCACTCGAACTTCAACGGAACTCATCAATATCGGAGCAAGCATCGGAAACTGGAAGGGCTGATAATCCGTTTGATTTCAGCCCTTTTTTCACGGTGCTGTATCAGCACCTCATTTTGATTATTCACCGGCCTTCGCTGTCATTAGACCCGTCAACTGCGGAGTTTTGCTCTGGGTTGCAGACTTGCATTGGGGCTGCTCGGTCGATTCTTTCGGCACTGCGGTTACAAGTAAATAGTCGACAGGCTTTGTTCTGGCCGGGGTTTCTATCGGCTGCATGGATGTCGGGGTTGGTCTTGGCCTTGGCTTGTCAATTGAAGCAATATGTCCTTGCAAAGGGACTTCAGTGGGTGTCGTGATCCTTTCTCCAATAACACTTTTGCTAAATATAGATAGGGAGATCCATGAGTTGTCGGACTTCCTGCGTCTGATGTCTTGTCAATGGGAGACAGCTAAACATTGTCACCTATCACTCTCGGTTCTGGCAGCAAAAATTAAAGAGTCAGAACACCGTGGAGATTCAACAGTCAACTCCCAGGTCTATGCAAGAGGCGTCTCTGGAGGAGAGTCTACGCTATTGAACTCTCTAAATGCACGCGAAGAAAGAAGACGAAAACTAGGCAGTGCATCGTACTCCCAAGAAGACCAGGAATCGCCCACAAATCCCAGAAAGTCAGAGCTGAGGGATCAAAACGTTTACCCAAACACGGGTACTGACTGGGAACACAGTACCACAGACAGAGAGCGTGGTTTCCCAGTCGCTACATCTGCACTTACACAGCCATCAGGTCAGAGTGAACAAGGTATTCTCGCCAATACCCCTTCTTCGACGCAGATGTATTTCCAGGATACGCACCCTACTGACTCCGAGGGAATATCGAACTTCGATCTTAATATGGTCGACTTGATCGAGGGAGCCAACCTCGATTCCCTTTTTGATATGGTCGGGCAACAATTTACCAGTTTCTAAGGGATTTCTACGATTACAAACTTTGAAGCCTTTGTACTGCAATGGCTACGATCTACAGGTTCCGATTCTGAAATGAACACATAAGAACAATTAATTTATTAAAAACCAAAATGTCACATACAGACGTGTATGAGAGCAATAATTCACTACTAGAAAGATAAAGAAAAAAACAGAGCGTCAAGCAGATCCACAGAATAGTAAATTGCGGTTAACACGAACTTTCCCAGAACGAATCTCGAGCCTATACCAATCGGCCTGCAGCTCCGCAGCAGCGAAGATAGATGCTTTATTAGAATGGTAATCACCAGGCACCTTAATTGAGACACATAGTGGGTGGGAGTGGTGCATGGGGTGCACGGTAACAGTAGCAACACCAGTGCGAATACAGGTCGCGACGGTCCTCATGATCGTCTCGTCGTCACAGGTAATATCCTGTGGACTCAGGAAAACATTCACCCAGTTCGTGATTTCTCGTGGGTGGAATTCGGGTTCTTCGACTAGGGTTCCATCTAGGTAGAACATGCTTCCTGCGAATTCTGTTGTTAATGCATTGCCTGGGCCTGGATAATCTGGGGATGCAAAGTCATTTGGTTGAGAATCTTGGAGTGATCTGTAGGGGTTTGTCTTCTTGTATTGAAAACTCATTGTGCTGGTCTATTTGACTGACCTTTGGGGGATGTTGAGGCTGGAATTGGGATGTTGGCGTTTTGATCAATGTAAAGCCTGTATATTGGATACTAGAGGCTTGTTCCTGATTTTTTATGGGTATTATCCGGGTGTGAGTTCAAGATTTATACAGAACAGCTGCGACACGATGCTATTCGCATAGATCGAACATGTTCGTGGAGCTTTTGTTATGGACAAAGGGGTTTCTCCCTGTGACAATGGCATTTCAAGTCCATTATTTTGTCTCTGAAAGTTCAAAGGTCCTTGCATTGTGCTTATTCACGAAACTAACAGTGAGTGAGTCTTTCTAGAACGCGGAATGCTTCTTGAAAGAACTGAGACAACAATGTCTCGACTCGAAAGAAATTGCTCTAGGGTTATTATTTTCTCACCATACACGTACGTCTTTGATTTGGATATACAGAACTCTTTCCAATTATTGGTTGATCCCTTTGATAATTCTATTCGTCGCATATAAGGTATTTGACCAAAATGAGGCTATTGGGAAGAAAGAACAAAAGACGGAACAATGAATCATGACCTCTTTCAAGCCAACTTCTCAACCTCCAAACACACAGCGTCCACCACCCCCTGAGTGTTAGAAGAGCCTCCAAGGTCTGGTGTCAGAATGCCAGCAGCACAAACACGTTCGACACAGCCCATCAGCTTAGCCGCAGCATCCTTCTCACCCAGCCAGATGAGCATCTCCGCCGCAGACCAGAAAGTAGCGACAGGATTAGCAACCCCTTTGCCAGTGATATCAAATGCACTGCCATGAACGGGTTCAAACAATGAAGGATTTTTGCGTGTAGGGTCAAGATTACTAGAAGGCGCAACACCAATCGAACCAGCCAACGCAGCAGCCAAATCCGACAAAATATCCATATGCAGATTGGTACCAACGATAGTATCAATAGACTGTGGCTTTGCAACCATTCGCACAGTCATCGCATCAACAAGCATCTTGTCCCAAGTCACATCCGGAAAATCCTTCGCAACAGAAGCAGCAACTTCATCCCAAAGAACCATGCCGTTACGCATGGAGTTGCTCTTCGTCACAACCGTCAGCAGCTTGCGCGGCCGAGACTGCGCCATTTCAAATGCGAATCGCATAATACGCTCAATACCGACACGCGTGAACAGCGCCACTTCGGTTGCTGCTTCCCATTGCTGGCCGACATGAGATCGTCCTCCCTGGCCGGCGTACTCGCCTTCTGAGTTCTCGCGCACGAGCATCCAGTCAATGCCGTCTGTGGCTGTGGTGAGGGGGCATTTTGTTCCTGGGAATGTTCGTACAGGGCGTACGTTTGCGTAGAGTTGGAGGGGGCCTCGGATTGCCAGGAGCAGGCCCCATAAGGAGATATGGTCGGGCACGTCTGTTTACTTAATTAGCTTGGAAGGTCTATCCACTATGGGAGTTTTGATCTTACCAGGGGCGCCTACAGCACCGAATAGTGATGCATCATAGTTGCGCAGGGTGTCAAGTGCGTTGCCGGTCACATAGCTCCCGGTTTGTTTGTAGTGTGCTGTGCCCCATGGGATGTGGTCAAAGCTGATATCGAACGTGTTGAGGGTCTTTGCCAGTCTCTCTACCACTTTGATTGTGGCATTGACTACCTCAGGGCCAATTCCATCTCCGGGGATCGAGGCGATGCGGTATGAAGGCCTGGTGGTCATGTTGGGTTTTAGTAACTTATAGTGAGCGTTGGCTCTAAAGAAAATGATATGAAGTCGAATATGCAAAGACAAACTATAAATAATAAACGATTGAATGCAACATTTGCCCATCAACACGGCTGATACTTCACCCAGTGTCGAGTATAGAAAGCGTTTTAGTCCAAATGGTCACTAAAATCGTCCGCCTAACTTCGGGATTTGGCGGCAGAACTTTCAGGCGATGACATCTGCCACTTCCCGGTCGACTCCTTCGTGACTTAGTCCGTACAATATTCAGGCCAGAAGGAAAAAATGGCATCAAATTCAAAAGAAAAGAAGCCCGGCCGCATCACTATCGCTTGTAATGCGTGTCGGTCGCGGAAGCAGAAGGTGAGTTACGTCTGTGTAAAGCCCGTTCTAGTTCGTACTAATAGATCGTATAAATGCAGTGCAGTGGAAAGAAGTAAGTATGGAATACTTTTCTACGCATTCCGAATTTTCTAACGATCAAATGTGAAAGGCCTGTATGCGAACAGTGTCTCGAATTTAACAGGCCATGCAACTGGCCTGAACAGCTTCGGAGGTAGTTCCTCAGCGATAACGACTTACAGACAGAACTAATGGCGATACAGAGGCCCAGAGAAAGGATATGCAGAAGCACTGGAGAACAGACTCCAGCTCACGGAGAGCATACTACTAAATCTTCTGCCCTATGTCTCAGACGAGCAACTTGCCACCGCACTTCCTCCCCGAGAGGGCAACCAAGATCGCAGCTCATCTTATGTGCCATTTCCAAGACTCGAAAAGAGAGGAATAGATTCTTGGTCGCAATTACCTCTAGATACTTCTCATGGCATTCGGCGATGGCAGCATGCTTATACCAGCCGCGAAAGGGTTGGCTCGGAAGGGCATCAGGATGTACCAAATCCCAAGAGAAGACGAGTACATAATGAGAGCTCTTCCAAGTACAAAGATTTCCAACCTTTGGCTTCAATCCCGACCCCAGGACTTGATGGTGATTTTGGTGGTGGATTTCTTGCGCCGTCACTCAATGTCTCCAACTCGATTGAGGGATATCCGGCTCTGCCAACTGAGACAACCGAGGAGAACATTCCTTCTCATACAATAAGTTCTTGGAATGGAGCTCCTTCATCCGAATTCCAGCGTCAATTTCTCTGGTAAAGAGAAAGTGCTATTTCATAATATTGAAATTCCCCCGGCGTCCGCAGCAGAAAGCTGCGAATGAGACCAATCGTTTCAGACTGTAGCAAGTCAAGTGAAATGGGATGACCGTGCGGTGGGATCACTCGAGATATGGCTGGACGATCTCTATTTCGTTTACCTCTGATTTGGCTTGCTTTAAGTAAGTTCGGAGGCGAAGTATACAGTACAGGTCAATTTCGTTGAGGCAGAACCATCAGGACAATCCCCCGCCTACTCCTCACAAAGAAAGGAACAACAGAATTCTTGATATGGGCACCAAACAAGGCAAACAATCATGCGCGATCTAGTGCGCGTCAGTTGCTATTTACGAGCTAGAAAGAGCAGGCGTGAAAGACGATTGTAAAGATCGCGACTTCAGTGCAAAGGGCTTCGCATTCTAAAACTTCGACACCAGCTTCTTCGTCGGAATTAATCATGCATCATTGCCCAAAGGAGAACCATAAAAGATGCAAGATTTGACGTTTTACCAACTGGGATCACTCCTTCAGGTAAATTTCCAGCGCCAGCCAAAAGGAACAGTCAAATAGTCTCATCGGGACGCAAAGATTGAACACTTCCTCGATGTTCACCAAGCAAATGGATTTCATTCTATTCACGAATTCCAATAAAAGGTCTCATCAAACGAGAACAGATCCTCCTGGAACTCGTGAAAATTAGCAAAATCCACAGCTAGTGCAGATGACTGCAGCAAATCTTGTAGCTGAGGTATATGAGGAGGATGTGAAAATTGCGAAACAAGATGGTTGCCTGACGAACCCACAGACTCCTGCGTTTGGTACTATTTCCATATTAGCGGAGAACGATATTCCAAGCGTGTTACATTGCACATACACCAAAGGCAGAATTTTGATCAGTAACAGCTGGTAAAAGATATTGCCGACAAGCTGAAAGAGCCTTCTTCGCGCCCTGTATCAACCACCGATCTTTCGTCTCGGGTGAGCCGTGGCCGCGCACAGATTGCAGGACTACTGCGAGAAGAAGGATGTCTTTGACATTATTTCCTGCCTCGCCGATGCGGCGGGATAGACTGTCCAGGGTATTTTCAACCAGTCTTGTGAGACTGGCTTTGCTGTGTGGTTGGTTTTCGATGTTGGGGTCCAAGGAACCATTCGAGGAATATTGGTCTGTGGTTGGTATTTTTTGTCTCATGTATTCGCATACACCGAGCGCAGCGCACAAGATGTCGTTTTTGCAGAAGGTGTAGAAGATATCCCAATATTGGTGAGAATTTTGAGCGTCTAGGTCTGCTAGATTGGGGTCGAAATAGTCTTGGTAGGACAGGATTATCAGTGATGAGTTTAAACATGCTCGCTGTATTATTTGAAGGGATGTATGGTCTTGGTTGTTATCTGTGTTGACTGGTCTATATAGACAGAGAAGGGGTCGACGGATGTACAAGTCCAGAAGGACTTGGTTGAGAAGTATGGGCGACATGGTGTCATTGTTCGAAGTGTGGTCGATCTTCAAAGGGTAAGGAATATCTCGCAAACATTCTTCTAGTGTTTTTCCATGTTGAAGTCGTTCATTCAGATCCATTCCAGGGCTTGATTGTTGTATGAAATTCATAGCGCTGACACGGTGCGACAACGTCCTGGCGAGGATTACCAGAGCAAGAGTATCAGTCGGCGTCTCCAACGCTTCAGGAGCAGGAATCTCGGTGCTGGATTCGTCAAAATCAACGTCGTTCAAATTTGCTGGGCTTAGCCTGGTGAAGTCCACCAAGGGGGTCATAATCGGCATCCCAGATGTGATCGAAGCTTGGAGATCCATCTCGGCAATGGTGATCCACAATCGACGCCTGATTTCGGCTTGGAAGACTGACAATTTCGTCGAAGTAGAGGCATCAATGTGTAGTCCCATTACCATTGCAGAGCGTACGAGTGATCCGGCAGCTTTCCATGATTCTTCGGCGGATGTCAAACGAAGTTGGCGAGCTAGGAGGATGAGTGTTTCAATTTGGAGGGTTGTAAGCTCTGTGCGGTGTTTTCTTGGAAGTTTCTGCAGCCATACTTGTAGCAGGCTGACTGCGTTCAATCTCAAATATTCCCAGGAAGTGATGTTTTCCATTTTACTGCTCGCTTCTCCCCAAATGACAGAGACAGCCAATACTGCGGTCAGTTGAGGAATGAAAGGCGAAGAAAGATAGGACTCATCCTCCGGACTTGCCCAGAAATGTTCATATTGCCTAAGAAATGAAGGAATATGCAGAATCCTCAGTGTCTTCTCAAAGTTGGTGGTATAGACGGCCACGAGCCTGTCACACATTGCCTTGGATGGAAGGGACTGAAGAAGCTGTAGTAACTCTGGAAAGCTCTCCAACTCTGACATAGATTGAGGAGAGCTCAAAGGTGCTTGGCTCTTGCTCTGTAGAAACTGCACTTCTTTGGCAAGCTTCACAATGGATGAGTCTTGGGAGCATTGATTCACAAAGGCTTTGGCTTCCTCGAACTTAGAAGTGTTAGTTGATGCTTAAAAGAAGATCTTATTCGGTCTCACCTGATTCAGCAGGGTTATCCTGTCATTTTGACCATGATAGCGAGATCTTGAACCCTTGACTACCAACGTCCCCATTGATGACTGCAAGCCCAAGAGCTGTACAGGTGTATTGCTTGGCCTGTAGTCTCAGTCAGTCAGGTCGACGTGATCAGAAACTTACATACCAGGAGCTTTGAATCGCAACGCCTTCACTAGCAGACCGACTCGCGAGCAAAGCCTCGACTCGAGTCAAACGTTGTTGAAGGTCCTCGATGATACCAGTGCCGAACCCTTTCAGCTGCTCACAATTACTCGACGCATCGGCACTGAGCTGCACGCGCTTTGTTTTTGAGGCCAATTCTGTTGGGTGTTGATTGTACGCACAATCCGCACGATGCCCTGCTTTGATACAGTTCTCGCATGGATCGACGCGGTCGCATTTGAGCTTTTTTTCCCTGCATCGCAGACAAGATACCACGGGGCGCGCACGCTTGCGAGACTGAGACTCCATTACTCCGATATCATAACATGGCTAGAGACAGTAAGTTAATGCGAAAAGTACAATGATTGATCATCAACGGCCATATTTGGCCCCCAATACGGGAGACGAAAGCGACCAAAGCGCCCCTTGACAATAGCTTCAAAGCGACAATTCCTATTTATATCTGGCACTAAAGCAAGCCCCAATCACATTTGACCTCCTTAATTGGTGATGACAGGAGCAGTGCTATCCCACTTCGTATCCAATGCCGCATCCACTAAAAACCGAGCAACGCTGATGCGACTAGCAGACCCCATCAGACCAACCCCCTTGCCATCAGTGGGCCATTCTTTGATTTGAGTTATATCACTTTCGACAAGTCTCGAAGGGCGGACAAACACAAATGTAACACCACTATCCCGTATCTCCTTTTCTGCGGCGTTATGGTCGTCATACGAGTAGATCATGTTAGACTTGCTCATGAGTAGACGCATGGCGCATGGCATATTTGCCCAAGAAGAACCAGTTCCAAATGATTGCAAGACGACAATCTTGTGAACTCCAAACTCTTTCATCGCTTTCACGATGTTTGCATTGCTGTCTGCCATCATGCGAGGAGGGGAGATGGGCTTTGCGAATGGGCTGTCGGTTTCTCGGAGAGCACTGAGAGTGACGATTACGACGTCTGGAATATTGGTATTGAAAGCTCTGTTGACATCCCATATATTGAGGGGTGTGCCTATATGCTTGTCAGTTGAGATGATCATATCCGGTAGACAGTATGAGACGCATACCTTGAACAATATCCAGGCCGGATCGTTCCTCCAAAGCAGTAGGGCTTCGAACCAGGGCAGTGACTTCATGGCTTCTCTCAAGTAGCTCATTGATGACTAGCTTGCCTGTGCGGCCACTTCCTCCAATGATCAGGAATCGCATCTTGCAGGTAATTCGGAGTTAGGGCTGAAGTTGACTGTTTGTTTTTGGGGGTAAACTGGTCGTATTTGAGTAGAATGTTTTGTAGAAGCTCGCAGCGTATGCTTGAGTCTTTAAATAAAGTCGCATCCAGCAAGTTGTCAAGTTGTCTATTCAATACTCCATTTTCATGTCTATGAAAGCTGCCTTCTCCGGATCCGAGCCTCGGATCCGGACCGGAGAAGACAACGATCAACCCATCAAGAACTGGGACTTGACATATCTTGAACAGATCGAAACTGCTTAGGCTAAAGCTTATATGCACCGACATCAAAATTCTAGTTAGCGTTATAATTTCGAGAAAAATTACATAGTGGAGGTGGCACTAATCTCGCGACGCTGGGTTATGACGTAGTAGAAAACATCCTAGTAATCCCAAATCTTCATAGTTCGTCTCCTGCAAATCACTTTCAGATCGATCATACATACAAGATCTCTATAAAAAACATTTGATGGGTTGTCGTGTCGAGAACCCCCGCTGTGGCGACCCACCTCGGGCACCATTTTCCGAGAAGTACATCGGCAATGCCATTGGGGTTCCTGACTTCATCTGGAAATCATTCAACTGAAACATTCTTCATCTCGTCTTACTTCATACCTCTATCCATTTTTCGAATGACTTTGTAACCAATCGAGGCGTACTGTTGCTTATGACGGATAGCCTGACTAAGGACGCAAGACTGAAATTATGCCAAAACCCAGTGATCATATGGGGTCTAGGCGACCTGCAGCTATGGCATGTATAGCCTGTCGTGAGAGCAAAGTCAAGGTAGATCCATAGTCCTATTCATTCGGTAAGCAGGCTAACTTTCACAGTGTGACGGTGACGGCAATGAGAAATGCTCTAGTTGCGTGAACAAGCAACGCGAATGTCGATACCAGGCCGTGGACAAGAGGAAGTAAGCTTCAAAAGTTTGTGCGCTATGCAATTATAAACAACGCACTAACTAAAGTCAGACTGCCACTGCGAGTTGCCATAGAGCTGCTAACCAGTCGGGTCAATCAGCTCTATCTATTCATTTATGAACATGGTTTAGAGCCCCCATGCATACCGCAAGAAAAGGATGACGCTCTAGCGAAAGTTCTTGACATATTAGGATTGATTGAATTTCACTCGGCTGCACCTCAGATGAATGCGAATTTCTCCAAGGCCACAGCTGCGGAGCATCTACCGCCTGATGTGCCAACTATGTTGGACTTTTCCAATGATCTGGATATCACGGGAAATGCCGACAAGTTAAGAGATCTTGACTCTATAGACAAAGTTTCTTGTTCTTCTCAACCTGATATCAATCAAATATCAGACCCCCAGGCCGTATCCGCACTGCCTAGCTTAGATGACACTGCAGAGATTCCAATCACAGATCCATACTCATTGGAAAACACATCAGATGCCGCTCTATCCAACTTGGACTGGAATATGGATATCGGAACATGCATGACTCCGTCATCTCCGGACATCCAAGACATACTTGGTTGCAACTCTCAGATGGGTGGGCTGGAGCAGGAAACAGAGATATTGCCGGATCTCTTGGAGGCTCCTGTTACCACAAATCCAGCCAGTCCCGATAAAGAGACTAGAAGTCCAGAAAGGATAGAAGACCTAATTGATGAGCTCTCCGATCGAGTGGGAACCTTACGCTTCGGTCCTGAAGGACAACCCCATTTCTATGGCCCAACTTCAACATTCAACCTCCCCGATGCTCCTGTGGCTACTAAGAGCCAGACGCATCATCGTACCTTGGACTCTCTTGAAAATGAGATTGATCCTGATGAAGAAGCTCCGCTGATACTAGAAGAGCACCTACTCAATCTATACTTTACCTGGCAAGACCCGTCGTTTCATGTGGTTGATCGAGACATGTTCGAGAAAGCAAAGAGAGCCTGGCTTGCCAATGAAGAAACACCTTTCTATTCCGAGGCACTCTGCTACGCAATGTGAGCAAGCTATCTGGGGCTTAATGAATAAATTCCTACTAATCGCCACAAACAGGTGCTCTCTCGGCGCGGCGTTTGAAACTCGGTATCATCCATCATTCGTCACGTTTCCAAAGTCCTTGGTGGAACACTTTGGAGACCGTGCAAAGGCGCTTCTTGAAATTGAATTGGACTCTCCTACTGTAGCGACGGTTCAGGTCCTGGTCATTATGAGCAGTCATGAGGTTGGAAACGGCCAGGATACGAGAGGGTGGCTTTACAGTGGTATGTGTGCCTATTTCCAGTCTTGGACTTTACTCAAACTTTGTTCCAGGGATGGCTCTTAGGCTTGCTTTTGATCTTGCTCTTCACATCGATCTCTCTTCATATGTTGCTCGTGGTTCTATCACTGCTGTTGATGCAGAACTACGCCGGACTGTCTTTTGGGCTGCATATATGGTTGACCAGTAGGTTTCGGTGTACTTATTGATTTATTGAGGCTTCACGCTAATTCTTTCTGCAGTCTTGTCGGTTTCTATCTTGGCAGACCTTTCTACACCAACATGAAAGATGTGACGGTAAAGAAACCAAACGCTGACACCTGCCGCCAAGAATCCTCCAAATGGACATCATATGCATGCCCTATCTCATTCGGCAATGAATACGAGTTTATAGACTTGGTAGAAGCCGTGAGTGAACAGGAGATATCGCTTTGTGAGATAATGGCCCCATGTGGCCACTTCCTGTATGTATTTGTATCCTGTCTTCTCCCTTTCCTTTCCTCCAACTAACACATGATACAAAAGCTACGGGGGCTCAGGGATTTCAAAGCTCCAGCTCCAACAACTAAACGTCAAAGTTGTCGCCCGGCTATTAGACTGGAAATCCAAACTACCCGATTCCCTCCAAATAAACCTAAACGACCACACAACCCCCTATCTCCCGCACGTCCTCCTCCTCCACATGCAATTCTTCCAAAATCTGATACACTCTCACCGACCTTGGATGTCAAAAGACTACCTTCAGCCCCAGCCACCCGTAGGACCAGGCCACACGCACGCAAGAGAGATGTGCATCCAATCTGCAATCTCCATCGCCAAGATCCTAGTCCTCTACGAGAAAAGATACACCCTTCGCCGCATAAACGTCAAAGCAGTCTCCATTACATCCTCTGCTATTTTACTTCTTCTCTTCGCGGCGATATCACATTACCCGCTCGCGAAGAATGAAAATATAATTGCACACCTTGGAACATGCTTTCGGGCTCTTGATGAATTTTCTTTGTCATGGCGAAGCGCTAATAAAGTTAAGGATTTGTTGGTTCGGTTGCAGTATAAGTGGGAGTTGAGGACGAGGGCTAGTAAGCAAGGTCGGGCTTCTGATGGGGATACTGATCCCCCGAGCAAGAGATCGCGGACAATGAATTATCCGAGCACTGGGACTGGGACTGGGACATCACAGGCTGATGAGGGTATCTCGCTTGCTCATCCTAGTCTGACGGACTTACAGCCTGATTCTGGGCTTGGGTGGATGCTTATGCTTAGTGGACAACTTCCTGCTGATGGTGATGAGGATCTTTATTCATTTGTTGCTAATACTGCTATTCCAGGTGTTGACTAGGTCTAGATTTCCAGATTGCTTATCAAGTAATACGATCAATGGCCTTGTGTTAGGAGCCTAGACAACCTGAGCGTACTCTGATAATCTTCAATCCTAACCAAAAAGCGCCAATTTGAGGGCTATTGAGAACTATCATGCCATAAATCAGCATCACCTGTACTGTATATTGACTTGCGGCGCCTCGCATATATGGTGGAGCACCTTTAGGGCTCGGGTGCAAATCCTTCTCTGCGGGGAAAGGCAATTTTATCTGCAACTCGATCATTAGTACACTGGGAATGCTGAATCAGACCCCATATGTCTCGTAGATGAGAGTTCAGTCATCAATAAGTAATTCGGTCTATTAGCGAAAGTGAAGCCACAGTGAAGCGTGTCGAGAAAAGAAAAAGATCCTCGGCTGACTAACGCACTTCCCCGGGTTCGCGGAATCGAAGCTTCCCCTCAACTTGGAATCTTCCGGCGTGTGCTTCTCATTGTTCAACAAAGCTGTGATGGTCCTCAAAAAGTGCAGTATTTGTTCAAGGGCCTTTTCCAAGACTGAACATGTCAAGAGACACGAGCGGTCGCGTTAGTAACCTTACAACCCCAATAAACACAACCTAACGCGTCGAATAGATACCAAGGAACGCCCGTATCAATGCAATGTCTGCTTGAAACGGTTTTCTCGGAGTGATGTTTTGAGCAGACATGCCAAGGGCCATGAGACTCAGTCCACCGCGATGGGCGGCCCATCAGAACCGTCAAATCGACGGTATTCTGCCATAGCCGCGTCACCAATGATTCCGGCTCCAGATATTGCAACTGTCGCCGAAGCGTATCAGCTTCCAAGTGTTTGCTCTACTCCACGAGACATGCCGCTCCCGCCTCATCATGGTCGGTCTGAATCAGAGCTCGGAGCATTGATGATTGATGAACAGCAACCTTATTTCGGGTGGAATGAGGTGACTTCAAACCAAGCCCCTCCCAGAGCCAACATGGCATTTGATCCTGTTCCTAAGGACATGCTTCAAATGTGGTTGGAACCTCATCTGGTCATGTCCCCGGGCCAGCAGACTCGACATTCAGTCGATAGCGCCAAATCAAACAGTGACAATATCCCCACTGAACGATTTTACAAGGTCCAGCGTAGTTGGCCCGCACCAATGAATAGTGGAAGGCTTATCAATAGCTTGTGGCGGGATGTCGCGTTCTCGGTTGAGGATAATATCTTCTCCGTTCAGTCATTACATCTTCGCACTGAGGCGACATTTGCCCAAGGATCACGATGTGGACTGGACGAGGACTGCAGAAGAAGACTCCAGGAAGTATTCGGTCGTGGGTCATCCACAAATCCACACATGCAATTTCCAAACAATGAAGGCACTTCCCCAGCCACGCCTGTCTCTACTATGAACTCTTCGCCCGATTTTCCGCCTGCTGAGATCTTGGATATGGCGCTCGACCTTTATTTCCGTATCTCACTTGTTCCTATCGTTCATTTGCCGACATTTTCAGCGAAAAAAGCGCGGCCGTCCCTCTTGTATGTCATGATTATAATCGGCATGACGTTGCTGGATACAAGAGGGACAACTGATTATGTCTCTCGCAATTTCACCGTAAGTTCTTGGCTACAACGCATCCATGTTATAACATGCTAATAATTTTAACTAGAGTGTTTTAGAGCAGGTAACAGTGGAATTTTTTAGATGCGCCACCGGAGCTGAGAATGCCTCGGAAACTATGACATTGTTCGCGACAGCCCTGCTATTCTTACATCTTCCTCTGTTGACAGGAGTATGGCTCTTCAAATTCGTGACTTTATTTTTGTGCTAACTGCTGTTTAGGTAAAAGAGCATCTAGAACAATGCCAAACATTATACTTGAACGTCATGACCGTGAGTACAAGACCTGTGCATGTTTTTATATCTTTGTTAACAACTCTATAGGTGGCCCAACGCCATGGTCTCTTTACCGGGGGTCAGATCCTCGACATGAGTTTATTCGAAAGATTTGCCGATCTCGATATGAGATGGAAAGCATGGAGCAAAGTTGAATCAACGAAAAGGTAAGGCATCATTACAACACAAAAGGTCATATCTAACGATTCCACAAGGATCATTCTTGGACTTCTTCTCCTGGACTCCTGCTACTCATCCTTCCTCTCAACAAGCCCAATAACAAACCCCGACACAATTCAGCTCATTCTCCCTTGTGGTGAAGACCTTTTCAACGCTCACTCCTCCCACCGCTGGACACAACTCATCCGCTCCGGGAAACGTATTCTCTCTACAACAATCAATGCACCATCTGAAAACACCAACATCCCCAACCTCGAAGTCCCAACCGAAGACTTTTGCATCCAAGCCATCCTCGCGACCGTCCAAATACGCCAATCAGAAGCCTACCATCGCCTCCTTTCTAATAGAGCTAGCTACCCCTTCGCACCATGCCACACATACGCCATGGATGGCCGAGCAAGGTGTCTCCCCTCTCTTCAAGCCCAACTCATCACGAACTACGGAGAAACCCTCGATCGTCTGAGCTCTAATTCTGTCATTATGTGGCATCACATGTGCATGATGTTAACAGCCGATATCCAAATCTTCGATTTAGGGGCAGGTCGTGCCGGCCCAGACTCAGCACGCAAAGCCCTCAATCAAATCGCCGAGTGGGCACAGACTCCAGCAGCGAGACGAGCTTGTCTGCATGCTGCGCATATATACAAAGCGATGACAAACCGCAAAGCTTCCGATCATCCCACCTTCCAATGTTTATTTTCTTGCTTCTCTGCTGCATTGGTTCTAGGTCTTTACACGTTCATGGTCCCCGACTCTGCAAATGCAACCAATATTGGGCCTGTGGAGCTGATGGATGATGTTGACTGGTGTTCGCTGGGGACAGAGGGCTTCACGAGTTTCATGGAACCGAGGGGCAGTCAGAGTTTTGCTCCTACAGATGATCCTGCTGTGAACTTCATTCGAAATGGGTCAACAATTTATTTACGCGGCACGCCCTTCCACAGTGGATATCAATCTGCAAGGAGGGTTCTTCTTGACTATGCTTCTCTTCTTAAGGATTCTGGGAAGTGGAGTGTGAAAAAGTTCTCGCATATTTTGTTTATCATGAGTGATGTTCTTATGGACCTAGAGTGACCATAGTGTGATCTCTTCGCTTGGAGTTTCTGTCTTGTAAATTAGCCGAGGCTATTTCTGTTTTTTCTTTTGAGAGAGATGAATCTGACGAACTGTATGACTTACTGCATAACTTACAACTTATCATTATCTACCAAATAGTCCATGTAGCTAGCCACTCAACCCCTATTCAAGATTTGGGTTCACCAATAGCTACAACTATACAAGTATATGAGCAAAATATATACATCAACAGAAGCACCCTCTCATCTATACAAAATTCCCTCAACCATCTCTCCAATAGCCAAAGAACTAGTCAAGCCCGGACTCTCAATCCCCAAAAGATTAACAAAGCCCGGCAGTCCCTCCTCTTCCCGAATAATGAAGTCCTGGAAACCACTGCCCTCATTAACAGCTCCACCCCGTCCCAACTTCGGCCGAATACCACAATAATCCAACGAAATAGCATCAAGATCAACGCCAGGCAAATAAGCCCTGATCTCCGGCAGCGCCATCTCAAGCCTAGCAGCACTAGGAACCAGATCATCAGCAGCATCAACCCACTCAACATCCGGGCCGAACCGAATCCTCCCGCCCATATCGAGCGTCAAATGCGTCCCCAACCCCCCGGTCCCAGGCATAGTAACCGGATACACAAGGACATTCGTACGCGGCCGACTAGCAGCATAAGAGAAGTAAGTGCCCTTAGCATAATGTGGCACGAAATGCCTCTCGGCCGGCAACAACATATTGCTAATCTCACACGCGCCATGCCCGGCCGAATTTACAAGCGTCTCAACAGTGATGGTCGTCTCAGAGCCGTCTTCGCCCGACACGGCCGTCAGTCTGTATCCGCCCTTCCCGCCGTCCACGGCTTCGACGGCGGTAACTCTTGTCTTGAATGCTATGTCTCCGCCTCGCTCTTCGAAGGATCCTTGCAGGTATGTCATCAGCGAGTGGCTATCGACTATGCCAGTGGTTTCGGACTCGAGGATTCCCGCGTCGGCTTTGACGTCGGGTTCGCGGGCTTGGGCTTCCGCTTGGCCTATTGGACGGGTGGGTGCGTTGAGGGACTGCGAGTGTGCGTGTATCTTTAGAGCGGCGGCCCATTGGTCGGGGGTTTGGGCGACGATCCATTTTTTGGTGTTTCGGTGGGGTATGTTGTTCTTCTTGCAGAGGTCGTAGAGGAGGTCGCGGCCTTGGATGCAGAGGCTTGTTTTTAGGGAGCTTGCTGGGTAGTAGAGGCCTGCGTGGATGACCTGGTTGGATTGCGATGGGTTAGGCTCGTTCAAATAGACTGGATTTGGGGTGGTGGTGGCTTTTGATTCTGGGGGTTGCTGCTGACCTCGGAATTGCGACTGCTGGTCTCGGTTCCTGGGGCATCGTGTCGCTCGAGCAGGATTGTCGATGTACCCTCCCGGGCTGCGAGTTGACGGGCTGCGGCGAGTCCAACGACTCCTGCGCCTATTACCTGTTGGCGAAAGAGTCAGCGGTGTCTACAGTGTCTGCTTTGTAGTCTGTGCGGGATGCATACTGCATGCGTAAAGTCGGCGCTGGAGGTTCGGGTACTGGAGAAGTGGCGCCTGAGGCTCGGGGCGCATGAATTGAGCAAGGCACGTGAATGCATTTTATATACACCCTGTCGAATCCCAGGGGTTGCTCTAACTTATATTTGACGAGATTAAATGGCGGAAAAGAGCTTGGATGACGCGATCCCGCGGCCAGATGGTGCTGAACCCCACTTTGATAAGATAAGTCTATTTTGTTGACTTTTGGCTTACTTCAAGTTGGGCTTGGATAGGGTGGGTGATGTTGGAGTATTAATGTTATATTCATGGGTTATCTAGAGTGTAGGGTGATGGAATGTACATCGATCCGGCATGTCTACCGCTTGCTACTGTTCTTTAACATCTCCTCCAAATGCTAGTCACGTTAGTGGATCAATTCCTGGTTATACACAATGAGAACACTCACCTGCTTCTGTTCAGTTGCTAATTTGCCTTGGGTATCCTAGTTCGGGTCAGCATACATCTTCATAGAGAAAAGGAAACCACATACACTTATGATGGTTAGAATCAATGAATAATTGTTGAAGAGGAAGCGCTCTCGTGTCTTGGCGTCTGTGCCATTGCGACTGAGCTTCACCAAGAGGGTGTTAAACTCGGCAGTCAAGCGAGCAAGGCTGTTCGAAACCGGTTCGTCATCTCCGGCATCGCTGCTCAGAACAAGGATTCCGTGAAGAAGCTGGCCGAACCGTTGGGTTAGGAAGTGTGGTGCCGACGATTGCTTGAGGTCGTCTCCGCCTGCAAGAGAAAGGGCAGAAACAGCACTGCGTCCCGTGTTGGACCCAACGCGTTTGAGGGATTCACCGTGGTGGTCCATGATCACCTGGAAGCGTGGCCAGAGCTGCATGTTGATTCCATTCACGTAAGAGTCTGCGACGGGCACTTTGCGGCGCTGGAGCTCAAAGGCAGAGTGTTGGTTCAGGCGAACACACATCAGGACACCCAAAGAATCGGTGGTTTGTTCTATCAGCCTCTTGGTGAGGTTTTGACCCAAGGTAAAGACCTGCTGGAATATCTCCACCGCGTTGCGAGAGATTTCATGGAAGGTTTTGGCAGAGAAGAACTCCGTAAGGAAAGAATATTCAGCACACACGTTGTCAACCAAAGCCAGGTTGAAGTTACGGAAAGGCACTTCGATCCCATGATAGGAATTATCTTCTTCGGCTAAATATGAGGACAGGGCTTGTAGATTGCCAGTTCGGAGGATATCGACCCTTCTCCCCAGAGAGAAAGGATCATGTGCAGCAGAGCCACCCCGGCCACCAGGTAGAATATTTCCTATAACAGTCAGTATGTAGTTTGCATTTTATAGAAAAAATACTAACCTGTTCGATGTGAAGAGGGATCTCCTCCGAGCACCTCATTGCGGTCTGGAGGGTACACCTTGACCTTGTCGAGTGCTTGAAGGTAGCGTGTGAAATGAGATGTGTAGTACCAGCGCATCGTATTAATATATGCCTGTGAGATCTCTCCAGCCAGCTTCGGATGGGCTTTTGAGAGGTAACTGTATAGGTCTTTAAACTTGACCAATCGTTGTTGTTGGATGATTTGGGAGTTGATGTTAGGGGACCGCATTGCTCGGATTTGTTGAACCAAGTAATCTCTGATTCTTTCGATCGCCTTCACACAAGTTAATCAAGATTGTTATGTTTGCGTAGAACTCAAGACTTGCCTTGTTTTTCACATCAATCAAGAGTGGCCGCACATCCTCAATTGCCTTGAAACCATTGGCGGATGCTGCCTTGGCTTCAATATTCGTTGTTCGAGTATCAATCTCGTTCAGAGCACGCACCCAGTTCTCATCAATCGGGCCCTCGGCGATTGTCCGCACTGCTTTAGGGGAAATGCTGATCTCTTCTACGGCAGGTCCTAGAAGCCGTTCCACATTTCGCCGGTTCTCTAACATTGCATTGAGTTGTGTCGAGCGAGATTGCAGTGTCTCAATCTCTGCTGATACAGCACCCAGCTCGGTCTGGAAGTCATTGAGATACAGCTCAACTGACTTGGACACTTCATCGCAGCCGGTGATTGACGTATGTAATTTCTGAAACTTATCCCGCTCTTGCTCAAAATGCTCAACGGTTTGCGCATTAACATCGCTGTCCCGGGTCTTCTTCCTCGGGGGTTCTTCCTTTGTCAGAAAGTCCTCAAGACTTAGCCCATCAAATTGAATAATTTCCACGATATGTGTGGGTTTGTCTAGCTCGAACGATTGTGCTCTGTTTGTCTCCAGCTGGGTTTCCTTTCCAATGATGTTATTCAAGACTTCCAACGGATCGGGAACGTTATCAGGTCGCGGTCGCTGAATGCTCGTCTGTTTCAATGGAGATCCATTGGCTGTGCGTGCAGTTGCTGGCAGGGATGCGGTGGAATCACTTGGAGTCACGAGGAGGGAGGTAGAAGATGTTTTGGAAGTTATGCCCGGCCGGCCATAGGGGCCTGGGTTAAGCTGGGAGGAGGACCGTCGCGGTAGAGGAGAGAGGGTGCGGTTGTTGGGCGTAGACTGGCCTGAAATGCGGTCGCGCCACATGGTGTATGATCACCACATGAGAAATCCACCAGGACACGAAATAGAAGAAGGAAGGGAAGCAAGTCAAGCTCGCAAGTACATGGTCACTACAGAGTGCTCCGTACGTGTTGGATATCCAAAGATACGCTAAGCCCTATTCGTCCTAGTGTCGCAACCCCCCTCGTCTCCGCCACAACAGGCAAAATCCAAAAATTCTCTCCCGATCTCCTCTTTTTCCTTCCCCTCCCCATCCTAATCCCTACTATCCTTCCTACCTCCCTTACAACTCATTCACCATGTCTGCCGAGGAGGTACGTTTTTTCTTTTCTACCGATGTTCTCGCCTTGCGCTGCTTTTCGTCAAGCCCCGCATGCGGCTCCCCCTCTCTTCGCACGAGACTACGCTGGGCTCATCACCCCGCCCAGTCTGAAGGATTTTTTGAAATTGAAGGCTAACATGATCTGCTATAGCACGATGTCACCTTCGAGTCGGCTGATGCCGGAGCCTCGCTCACCTTCCCCATGCAGTGCTCTGCTCTGCGCAAGAACGGCCACGTTGTGATCAAGAACCGTCCCTGCAAGATCATTGACATGTCCACCTCCAAGACTGGCAAGCACGGTCACGCCAAGGTTCACCTTGTCGCTACTGATATCTTCACCGGCAAGAAGCTTGAGGATCTCTCCCCCTCCACCCACAACATGGATGTCCCCAACGTTACCCGCCGCGAGTACCAGCTCGTAAGTGTTTCATAATCTCATGGAAATGGAATTATCGACTGACCAATTTTAGCTCGACATCACCGAGGATGGCTTCATGTCCCTCATGACCGACAACGGTGACACCAAGGATGATGTCAAGATCCCCGACAACGAGGTTGGTGACAAGATCAAGGATATGTTCTTCACCCAGGAGAAGGACTGCAGTAAGTGACATTTTCCCGGCTGCTAAAAATTATTGCTGATCAATTATAGACGTCGTTGTCCTGACCGCCATGGGTGAGGAGGCCGCCATGGAGTGCAAGGAGGCTCCCAAATAAACGAACATGGACTTCTTGCTCGTTATGCCAACCTTTACGTTCCAAAAGGGCTAAAACCCCCCCAAAAATTCATATTTCATGGTTCAATGGAAGGATACGATACCTTGAGCGATATCGCCGTTGCTTCAAGGTCTATCCATCACGTAACCTTGGGATTTGGGCTGGACCACGAATTGCTTTGGTTGGCATAATTTGTGTTCTCCGATCAGTTCTGAGTCTCAGCATCTCATGATAGTGTGACGAATAAATACTCTTGCTTAACATTATATGAGATGTAAAATTCTGCTCCGAGATCTAGACCAATTCAACCTCATGACATGAATGAATCCAGTCAACTGCTTGAAGGACGTAATATACCTAAATCATTTAAATCATTTGATCTACTTCACACCAATAGCAACCAGTGGATTACAATCTCCAAATCTTTGCAAAGTGGAGCGTCAAAATCGGCGGTCACCTGGAGGAGGGCAGAAAAAAAGTTCCGCCTCAATATACCCTTTTCCGTCACGACATGAACAACTCTCTAGATGGAATACGTTACCCGAGGGGTCTGCGGTCAAGAAGGATGCCGTGATAGGCGATATTATCTTGACAACGGTCTTTGGTATTGTCGGCGCGGTCACTTGCAAGCGGTATGACGTCTTTACCTGATACCAACGCGCCAGATATCAAGCGATAGAAAGAGGGTTCAACTGACAGGATACCGCATAGGGCGTCCAAGTCGCAGATGATGCAGATGATTTTGGAAATCTAGGCAGACTGAACCGCGTGAAGAAGGAAGCTAAGGAGAAGACAAGCAGGAGTATGTAATAGCTATTTCGTTTGAGAATTTGATTGCTAACTTCGAGAAAAGCACTTCGTGGACGTGCGGCATACACGCTTTTTTTGCAATGTTATCAACTTATTTTATGGAAACAAAGTCATGCTTTGGTTCATGAACTAGGTTTCCCTGAAGAACTTGAGGTATGTTCAACACTCTGCCTTTTGATAAGCATTGAAGCTTATTATGTATCAGGTTGTTGTTCGTGATCTCTGGGCTCTTCGACTTCAGGACTTCACATTGAAGATCACTAATACTGAAGACGACGACGATACTGAAAATGAAGGGTTTAGCTCGCAGCCTGGAGAAATAGATAGCTCTGGAGAGATCGGGTTTAAACCTAGATCAAGATATCTCGAGTGGCCTCGTCTGATTGATTCTCTCGCAACATGCTATCTAGCTGCATTCTTAATGCGGCTTCCTGTCTGCGTGAGTGACTTCCATGAGTATGTATATTCTATCGGCTTCAAGTTTATTATTTTGTCATCTATATGCTAAACATTTCTAGAATGATCATGCGCCAGGATGTTCCCTTTACGCGGGTTCTGGCCACCATTCCTCGAGAAATGAGAGAAAGGCTCCCCCAGAATTGACAGGGATTCTTGAAGTCACCGTAAGTGAGCACATCATCAACGAATATATTCATGTCAACTAACACAGGTCAAGAAACTTCCCACGCCGGAACGTTTTCACCATAGTGTACTAGAAATAGCGGTGTTCTATCAACGCCGTTTTGGCATGGCACTTCCTGCTCTGAATTTACCGTTGATTCTTTGCCGGCTGATCAAAAGATTAGCCTTGCCTGGTACGATAGCCCACCCCATGACCAATATCTCTCTAATTAACAAATTTTAGTTGAGGTATATGAAGCGACCAAAACCTTACAGGATCTCGTTGGCTTCACATACACATATCCGACCCCAGGCCCAAAGTATACCAGAAAGGGACCACTCAATTTCCCCGATCTGCAAATGGTTGTGCTTATTGTTATTGCAACAAAGCTTCTGTTCCCCTTCGATGATTTGAAAAGATACCCCACCAGCAACAAGGAACCAGCAGCACAGACCATGGACTGGCCTCAGTGGGTACGCGCTCAAAAGCTTTACGACCATGATCCACGCTATAGCAATAAGATTGGAAACGCAACTGCCCTCCAAGTCACAGACAAAGATGTGATGGACATGACTTCCACTCAAATGGACAGCTACATGGATTGGTACGAAAGCAGTTGGCTGGATACCTCGAAAGCCCCGGATCGCATCGCCGAGCTGTTCCCTATCAGTCGAGCAGAGCCGGCCATTCAGCCAGTTCCAGCCGCTGTTTCGGAACCAACTTCACGCCCTGAACTTGGTTCGATGAACTCAAATCTTGATACCCTACTACATAGTGTCATGCAAGATATGAGAGCCAGACGGGTTGTCCCCGAGGGAGATGAAGGGACCAAACGTCCTGGCCAGTGGTATCGTCGATATAGATGGGAATCCCAGCTTAATGAATCCGCACGGGCTTTCTACGAGGTTGCTGCTAGGCTTGCTGCAGTCCCATTGAAAACTCTTGTCCGTAGTGTATCACTTGTTGAACACAGAATCGGAAAATTACAAGAGGACCAAGAGCGTCGGGACTACTACACAAGAGAGGGAATTGAGTTTGGTGAAAGTGGCGATGAGGATGGGGCACCGCAGTATGAATCCGATGAGAGCGCTGATCAAATCAACGAATTGGACGAGCAGCTATATGCGATGGATGTTGATGAGGGATTATGATGTATCACAGGCATGGCGTTGGGGATATTGTGTTTAGCATTGCCTGGGTAATTCAATCAAACTATTCATACCATAATTATGTTGTCTCGGCATACTCTTCCAAACAGAATCTCTTCAAGGAATATGGATCATTGAGCAATCATTTCATTATGAAACAGATGTTTTAACAAAACAAAGAATATAAACTTGGAAGTACACACATCGTCACCTGATTGGATGTAGATCGAGCCCGGGGATTCACGTGATCGATGACGAAACCGGAAGCAGTTAGGGCTTAGGGCAACCCCAATCGGTCCACCTTGGCTAAGCGAGCGAAATCCTCAAATTGACAATCGACTGCTCCGCCTGGAACACAGCGACCGACAGCCGACACCAACGAAAACCCGCAACCAGTACGTGCCTTGAACCCCGTTGAACAGCATCCATGCATTGCTATGAATTCACCATGCTAACGTCCTTTTCCGCGCCTTTCCAGTGCAGATGTAGGTCATCCTGAATCCATATATGTCATCACCAACCCACGAAGCACTCCCGACCGACGCGATCCCACAAGAAGGAAATTTGGACATGGACTAATACGTCTGGATATAGTTTCGTCAAGACCCTGACGGGTAAGACCATTACCCTCGATGTCGAGTCTAGCGACACCATCGACAACGTCAAGACCAAGATCCAGGACAAGGAAGGCATTCCCCCTGACCAGCAGCGTCTGATCTTCGCCGGCAAGCAGCTCGAGGATGGCCGCACCCTGAGCGACTACAACATCCAGAAGGTACGCGAACGCCTTTCAATATTTGTGATTTGGACCAAAAGTGGGGGCTTGGTATTCTCGGATCGGATCGGATTCTTTTGTGACAACTCGACACACAATTACTACGCCATATCGGAATATGCAAGAGGAGGAACCACGTTGCCTCACGTCTTGGTCTACAAATGCGCTTGAGTAGTGGCTAACATGCGATTTCCTTTCTATAGGAGTCCACCCTTCACTTGGTCCTCCGTCTCCGTGGTGGTATCATTGAGCCTTCCCTCAAGGCCCTTGCCTCCAAGTACAACTGCGACAAGGCCATCTGCCGCAAGTGCTACGTACGTTGACTACCCCGCCTCTCCCGTGCGCAATCGATCCAATTGGGATATTCTTCCGAGAAATGCGCAGCAAACTACCTCAACACTTGTACTAACGCTAAACAGGCTCGTCTTCCTCCCCGTGCCACCAACTGCCGTAAGAAGAAGTGCGGCCACACCAACCAGCTCCGCCCCAAGAAGAAGCTCAAATAAGCGACTCGCTCCTCGGTGTTGTGCTCGGTGTGCTGCTCCAGTGCAGGGGATTGGCTGGGCTGCTACATGGAGAGGTTTACAAATGGCGTTAGATATGATGAAACAATCAATGCAGCCTCAGTCATACTGTTCCTAGTTGGCTCCTCTCGACGACCAAAAGTGCACTCCATGAAATGAAATGTGTAAAATTTCAAAAATGACGAATTGACACTTCCATTGCAATCGATAAATACCCGGGTACAATACATTGCATGCTTTCATTGTGAAACATGCCTAGAATTCTCGAATAATAATTTTGCTGCCTGAGCAAGATTGTAGATGGAATGACCCAATTTCCAGACCCGTTCCTCCACTATGCCATAAACATCATCCCCCGCTTAGCGTTAGTCTGGTCATCAGCAACAGGTTCCTTGTTCTTTTTAGAAACCGGGCTTCCATGTCTAGTAGATTGGTCAATCAGTTGTCCAGTAGTAGTAAATGGGGATCATAATAAACTCACGCAAAGAAAAGCACCTTGATAGCAATAGCCAAACCAGCATGCAAAACAACAACCAAGACCAAAAGAATCTTGCTGGCCTTTGCATCGGTAGCATTAAGCACAGGGTAAAGATTCCTCAACAAGAAGAAAACAGTCCAAGCAAACCCAACGCCAACAAGCGCCCAGTTCAGCGCAGTCAACGGACTCCAACTAACCAGCGCAACACCGATCCAAACAAGATTAGAGTACCCATAAAGAGCCCAGCACTCAACAAGATCAGCAGTAGAGCTCCCAAACCAGCGCAGCGCACCCCAAAGCGCAATGGGCAAGATACCAGTGTACCCGTAAATCAACCCAGCAGCACCAGACAAGAGCGTAAAGTCATACTCGAAATGCTTGTCGTCATTATTCGACAACCACTGCGAGATTGTTCCCGTCAAGAAGAGAATCACCACCACGGTAGTCGCGATCCAGATCGGCCCGTACAAGTCTGCATTGCCCTCCAGCACATCGAGGAAATTGGTGCGCGGGTACAGGGTTGCCACACAGCGTCGGAAGACCTCGTTCGTGTCCACGTCGAAGAATCGCTCGTAGTAGTGCATCGACCACCAGCTGTGCTTGGTTGGCGTGCCGCCAGGGGACCGGTCTCGGCCGCGCGATGAGCTGCCGCCGCCCAGGAACGGGGCGTTGTCGCCTTGGGCTTTGGCGGTTCTTTGGTCGCTTTCAAAGTCTAGTTGGGAGATTCCGCTTGTTAGAGTGGGTTGCTGCTTTGAGCTTTGGGGATCGTGCTGGGCTCACTTGAGGGGTGGAATTCGAGGTCCTCTTGCAGGTCGGTGTGGCCGAGGTCGCCCTGTCGGTGGGTTAGATTGAGTATTTGTGATCCATGGATTTGTGTGCTTACCTCTGCGTCCACGTCAACTACGACATCGTATCCTCTGTTCGCCATTGTGGTTGGGGTTGGAGGGAGCTGTTGGAAGGAAGTTGTCAAGTGTACACATCAGCTTCCGCAGATAAAGCCACTGCTCAGCCACAGCAGCGGGTACTCTGCCGCGCTTTTACAATACTAAGTTAACTTACCTCTGCTGCATGTCGAGTTTATTGATTTGCTATATTGATTTATTTTTGGTTATTAAAGGTGCTCGTTGTCATGTTTTAAGTGTAGTATTAATTATTGTAGGTAATTTGTTTTTCTATAATCATACACGTGGTGAGCTCCAAGTCTATGATAATCAGGTTCACAGAAGAGAAGAGATCCACTTCCGAAGTAATTTTTGAACTCGACCAGCATAGGACAAGATGGCATTGTCCAATCCTCTCTTTCTAAGGTAGATAGATGCCGCTCCAACGAGGATAGCCAATGCCATAGAGCCAATGGAGCGACGGTGGCTCCACATAAAGTCGAGAGCTTGTTTCTTGCGCTCCTCGTAGCGAAGCTGTCGAACCTGTTGATCAAATAGATACACTGCATCTTCTACAGTATAGGCTTGATATGGATTCCGTGAAGTCTTGAGCACACTGCACCAAGGGATATGTTTCCAAGCACCAAGCGGCAGAGATTCGGGTGGATGATCATTGAACAGCTTTGTCGCGTTCAGGATATGAGCATCCAAATCAAGAGGGTTTGGAAGCTTTGAAAGAGTGAAGTGAAGCATTTCAGGTTCGTCTTCGGGAATATCGAGTAGCTCTTTCTTTCGCGACAGGATCATTGCTGCAAAAGGTAGATTGCAACGACAGGTTCACGGGCTAAAAGGAAGTCGAACAGTCGAGCAATATTGCTGTATTCTTGAATGTCATGGGCGTAGAGGGTCAGGGTTGCTGCGAGGGCGAAGAACGGTTGGATGTTGCCAAGATGTCGTCTTAATTCGGGATCCGTTGTTTCGATGATGGCTGGGATCAAGTGCAAATGTTTCACTGCGGGTGAGAGCGATGGAAGCATGTAATCTCTGATGTGGAAGAGAGATATTTGTGCCACCGCCGGAACAGCCTGGCTCTCGCCCAGTACCAGTAGAAGGACCTGGACTATGTCATGATATCCTTGAAAATAACATAACATAGGATGGTTTCTGAGGACCTGGGTGATCAGTTTTGAAAGTTGCTTTTTCTTGCTCAGAAGCTCTTCTTCCGGCGCTATAGATCAAGTCAGCCGTAATGTTCGTAATGCTGGGCGTTTTCGTATTAACGATTGACCATAGATCGATACGAACATTTTGGGTAGTAAACGAAGGACCTATTGACATCCAGCTCTACCTGATCTTCGTCGACATGTCTTGCGAGCTCATCACTTGGAGCGGGCTTGTCACATCGTGATTTCTCATCGCATCGCAGAAGAATGGGCCCTAAATCTAGTCAATATCTTGCGTTGTTTCTTTAATTAAATGACTCACATGCTACCTGTCGCAAACTATCTTCCATTAACCCGCCTTCTGACGTTGCCAATGAAGCCAACGCTTCAAGATCGCGCGACTTGCAAGCTTGACGAATAGCTTGCGCCTTTTCGGCTCTGACACTCGCGATTTCTTGGGATTTGAAAGATGATTTCGACGCGTCGGTCTCACTTGATTGTTCAGAATTCGCATCTTTCAAGGATGTGGTGACATTCGCATCATTAGGTTCCGTTCCATATTGCTCCATCTCTGTTCAATTGGTGTGGCCACTTCCGCCAACTTGAGACTTTGTACGACCGTAATAAAGGACAGCCACTAGGCATTTGCATCAAGTAACAAACTGCAATCGGATGAAACGCCGACGTTGATGACGACGTGGCTCCGTGATGATGCTCGACTTATCGACAAAATGAAGATATATATCGAGTAAGAAGACCTTTGCCTTGTAATTCAGCCCTAGACCAGCTTGCCGGAATGACTTCAAAGTAAGAGACACGAGAGAAACTTTGGTTCTAATCTTCGATGCGCATACATGCAGATGTGGAGTGAAGATGCAAAAGGCGGCGGTGCAATCCCGTCCCGCCTGAGGCCTGAGGCACCACTCACAACGTGACATGAATCCAACAACATCACCTGTGCTGCGCTGGGGGCTCATACACAATCGCTTGGCTTAATTGCATCTCCCGGACACCGTCGTCCTCTATGCTGCAAGTTCTAGCTGCCAGAGTTTGTCGATTTCTCTGCGGTAAAAGTCCGGGCACTACGGAGCTTGTGGGCTGTTGTGTTGCGCAAGAAATCTGGGTAAGAAAGCCCTAGGCCTTCTTAGATGTCGATTCAGTAGGTGAAGATCACCTTTCGGAGAATCTTTGTGTCTTTCATATATCAGAACAGGTCCAGCCAAGCTGTATGTTGAGCCTCATGGCCTAACAGTTACATGGGTTAACATGCGACCAACAGGGCTTCTCTGAGATACCTTCATCGACAACAGAGATACTGAGTGCTGTAATTGTACTCTTTGAATCTTCTTCCGACATATGTGCGGGTGTACCAATCCTCGAATGGAAAAGTCCGAGGGTTTCCCTTGATCCAGTGACCAGGGCCTTCGTTGGGGTCTGATATCCAAGTCGCACTTTCCTTGCTTGGGGTTCAGTCCAACGTCTTGTCGAGGAAGGTGCTCCAGGGCTCAACTTGTCCTCCTCGGACGCGTCTACCCCGCGTCTATATTTTCGTCTTCATCCTCGCTTTTCATCTTCCCACTTTACCCTCCCACCAAGCTCATATTCTGATTACCTGATCCTTCTTCTTTGATACCCCTGTCTTCATCTCCATTCTTTGCGCTTTCGGTGCGGATTCCAATCGTTTTGCTCATTCATTTAATTTCCCGCCATGTCCAACGTGGCCATCGCGGGTGATATCGGCGTCAAGCCGGTCGAGATGACTGGAATTCACACCCAGCTTATCATCCCCAGCCCTCTCATAAACTGGATTCTTCCTGCACGAGTTCGAAGCAAGCATCACAGGGACGTTGTCTTTGTGGGCGAGCGACGGATCCAGGTCAAGGAAGCCCTCCCCAGTGGCAATCTTGCTGATGTCTTCGAGAAGAATGACTTGAATGGCTCACCTCTTGGAGCCAAAGTTATTAATGTCGACAATCAGCCCCCCTGGGTAAATCAGGCAGCCCACACAAATTCGTCGATTGGAACTCTACAAGCCGAATCTCTTGCCCCTCAGATCCTATTCCTCGCGCTAGATTCGAACGAACTACTCTTTGTGTATTGCGATGCAGAGGGAGAAGACCATTTCATCACTCATTACCGACCATTGCCTCGTGATGTAAATGCAGCTGAGAAATATGGTCGCCACATTGCGGTGGATCCAAAGTTGGTGTCTCTTTCTCACTTCTGACCTTTTCGAGCGCTGACAATATTAGATCGCGAGCAGTTGCAGTCAGCGCGTCGCGCAACTTCTTTGGTATGATGTGGCTACATTCAGCCAACACTATTCAGTATGAGATGATCCGTGGACGTCTTCGGCCCATTGAATCGGTATGCTACATTTTACTTTCAAATAGGATAAACCCTAATGATCTTCAAACAGGAAAACTTTTTCAAGATTACTGGCGACATCCTGTTCATGGAATTTCTTTACCCCAAAGCAGTCGATGATGACAAGATCATACTGCTTCTCATCGTGCACAAAGAGTCTACCACACAGGCTCTCTTCTATGAATGGGATGGAACTCGCGTGGAGGAGCGCCTTTCTCCTAACATCACAACTATTTCTCTGTCTCCGCAAGATTCACTTCCAACCATGATCGTGCCCTTGGCGAAAGAATCCTCATTCTTGCTCATAACCACAACTTCAATGGCGATGTACACACCTCATAGCTTGAATCGTCCCATGAGGTACCCAGCCATAATTCCCGATTCGGATGCCTCTCAAATTGGTCTCTGGACCCGTTGGGCAAGGCCTTCCCGAAATTGGCTGTACAGCCAAAGATACGATGGCATCTTCCTCTGTCGAGAGGATGGGTGGATCTATTATCTTGAGTTCGGCAATGAGGGCGAACTAGAGACTCAAACCTCTTTGGGTCAGCTCCATTGTGATGTCGATACCGCATTCGATGTATTGGATATGGGCCACGAAGGTGGTGATTTTATTCTCGCTGCTGGGAGCCACGGTGATGGCGGCCTCTTTGTTCAAGAGGCACGAGACCATCCACGATGTGTTCAGCGGTTTCTCAACTGGGCACCCGTCACCGATGCTGTTGTTTTGCCTTCATACTCCCAATATCCCCTCAAAACCGATCAAGATCAAGATCGGTTATTTGTCTGTTCTTCTTCATCTCCCTCGGGCAATGGCGGCATTACTGAATTGCGGTATGGAGTCGAGGCGCAGGTTGGCGTTGAAATCTCTCTAGATCGATTTTCGAACATTCGTGACATGTGGGCAATGGCAAATGAGACGACTGGCGAGATTTACCTCATGATTGCCGATCCAATGACTTCGCTCCTTCTTCACACTACCTACAATCTGGAAGATGGAATTTCCGCTGTCGAGCATGGTACTGCCTTGGACCCTGGAGACACTTTTACCTTGGCGACAGGATCTACACAGAGTGGGATTATTGTTCAAGTCACAGCAAAGGCCATAACCCTTTTGAAAACCGATGACCCCCTCTCCACTCAGAGTATTCCGCACAACCCTTCTTATGCCGTGACAACAGCTACAGTCGATAAAGCAAATTCTTTGATTATCATGACTGTCGAAGACTCCAAGGGAATCTATCTTCATCTCTCTAAGATTGTTGAAGATAAAGAGCACCCTTTGGATCATCTTTTGAATCCAATTTCTCTTCAGAAGACACCTATCTCAATTTTGTATCAAAGTTGGGGTATGACCGCGCTTATCTTTCTAGGCACTGGTGATGGCGATGTGCTGGTCTACCATGTCAGCAATGGCACTCTGTCTGTCAGCCAAGTCGCTAGTGTCAGTATTTCGGTCAATGTTGAAGATGACATATCAAGAGCAATTGACAGTCTTGCTATTGTTCGCAATTCTGCTGGTAATGAAAACAGTTTAATGCTTTTCTGCGGTCTTCGGAGTGGCATTCTTGTGCCATTTGACATAGAGGTGAACGGCTTCGGCCTTCAAAGTGAGTCCTTCTCTATTCAGTGCCATATTTGAGTCCTAACAGCTTTTCTCCCTTAGAAATGCATCAGCAAACACCAAGACATGTTGGAAAGACCTCGATTACGCTCAAGGCTTTAAATTCGTTTGCCTTGCTCACATGTGGCGATGGCCTCTGGCGTATTTCAGATGCATCCAACCATAATTCTTCAGATTACTTGCTGTCTCGTGTCTGGATCACTAATCAAAGCTGCGTATGTCTAATGCATCATTATGTCTTTTGCCGTCCCTAACACTCATTCTAGCCCGCATATTTCCCTGTCACCCTTTCCAGCTTTAGTTTTGTTGAGACAAAGGACCCAGAAACTGGTTTTACAAGCGTGGTGTTGTTCTGCTATGCCGACAACAGTCTTTTGGTCTGCTCTCTAGGTTATGAAGCCAAGACTGTTCCACGACGCATTGATGTCCCAGGAATTCCCAACAAGCTGACTTATTCGAGACACCTTCGCCGTTTCGTTATTTCCTACAGTATTTCCAAGACTTGCTTCCAATCAGGTCGCCTCGGTCGTGCCACCAAGTCATACATCGAGTTTGTGGATCCGGACTCCCAGAACCCTATTGAGCATGGTGGTAAAGAGGCAGTAGCAGCAGGCGAAATGCCATGGAGACCAAGCGGATCATCTGGGGAGAAAGTCACCTGCATCTTTGACTGGACTGCTCAAAAGAATGGCAATGAATATCATCTTGTTGCAATTGGGACTTCCCTACCTATCCTCGATGACCCTAATGATCGCCAAGGCCGGGTGTTGCTGCTTCATGCCTCTCCCGATCCCAACAACCCGGAACAGATCAACTGTGTTGAAAAATACTCGCAAACTTTGGACAAACCGGTCTATGCGATGGCGGCATACCGTGATAGCTTGATTATTGCCTTTGGGAAGAGACTATTCCCGGTCGTTGCAAGTAACTCGGAGGTGAAATGGCGTCGCGATATTATGGCTGTGCTTCCGTCCCCAGCCATCTCCTTGACGGTACACGGTGACTTGATTTATGTCACGACCTCGCGAAGTTCCACTCTAATCTACAAGATTGTCGATGGTGACATTCTGGAGATCGCTTCTGACGGCATCGCTCGCGATGGCCTGTCGCATGCCTTTATCAATGCAGACGGAAACCAGTCGAACATGATTGTCGTTGGCACTCGAGGCGGCTCCGTTCGAGTCTTCGAAGATGACTTCAATTTCCTAAATTTGACAGCTGGTCCATCGGCCCAACTCCCCGTCTCAATGTTAAGACTTGCTCAGGGAAGCAAGTCCCCCTCGCTACTGCCCACCACTACAACTACCTTGTATGGCTTTGCCCTCACTGGATCGGTTTACCGAATTCTGATTCTTGCTGAGCCTGAGAGGCGTCTTCTCCAAATCCTTCTCAACTTGTGCCTCGAAGACAAAGCTATCTGTCCCACTTGGTCTGCCAGAAGACGCTACATCGCCCCAAATGAAAAGCTCGCAGCCGGCATGCATGTGGATGGAACGATTTTGTCTCGTCTCGTCGAGCGTGATGCACACTATCTCAAGAAAATGCTTGCTCAATACACTGTGAAGCGGGCAGGAGCCTCACAGCCTACCCTAGCCGACAGATTCAATGAGGCAGCTGAAGATGTTGTTGGAGAATCCGAGGACCAAATCCAGGCTGTCTTCAAGTGGCTTCGGGCCTTTTTGCATGTCAAGTTTTGAATACCCAATGTGACTCAGCCCAATTGTCGAGAAGTGAAGGATTACATAGGACTACATAGGTGATGTCGGAGTTTTCTAAGCGGAGTGGATGTATCATGTTACTGATTACAAGTGTCATCAATCTTTTTTATGCTATTACCGTATTCTAAATTGTCGATTTCCCGAGTAGATCAGTAAATTCCAGAGTAGAAACTGCCCACAACGGCTGTAAGTCAAGCTGGTGGAAGACGTGAAGTCAGACAGACTGCTTTGTCCCCACCGTCAATGATTCTTCCCGAAATTCTTTTCTCTCCCACACCCCTCCCTTGGCCCACCTTAGAGCTCTCTGCCTTTCTTTCCGGGGATTGTCTATCTGAATCATTTGCTTCGTGGCTTTTGATTTTTTATTCTCCACGCAAATAAACGGTTAGCTCCGTTTGTGCGCCCACGACACTACCTCCGGTCGCCACTCGAATCGGATACAGACACGAAAGAACATCAAATTACGACAACATGGCGCCTAAGAAGAAGGGATCCAAGAGACAGGAGGAGGACTGGGAGGCCGACCTCGGCGAGTCCGCCCCCGCCGGTGATGCTCCGGCCGAGGAGCCCCAGGAAGGTGCCGGCGAGGAGGAGGCTCCCGTCGGTGGCCTGATGGCTGCTCTCCGGAAGAACAAGGCTAAGAAGGCCAAGAAGGGCAAGCAGAACGACTTTGTCGAGGGCGAGGATGCCCCCGCTGCCGGCGACGACCTGGCCAGCAAGCAGCCCGAAGAGGGCAACTTCGATGACGACGATGTCTTCGCCGGAAAGAAGACCAAGCCCATCAAGGATATTCCTCAGCCCCCGGCTGAAGAGCCCGAGAGCGGCGAGTTCCGAGTGAAGAGCAAGAAGGAGAAGGAGCGTGAGAAGAAGGAGAAGGAGAAGCAGCGTAAGAAGGAACAGGTATGATATCAATTCTTCATGCTTGTAGCTGTTATCAATGTCCTGACCTATGACTCTTTCTATTTACACAGGCCGCCACAAAGAAGAAGGTTGCTCCTCCACCCAAGGCCGAGACTGCCAAGCCCGTCGCTGAGGTCAAGAAAGAGGAGGCTGCGCCTGCACCCGCCGCCGAGACTGGTGGTAAGAAGAAGAAGCTTCCTCCTCACCTGGCAGCTCTCCAGAAGCAACAGGAGCTTCTCCGACAGCAGCGTGAGGAAGAGGAGCGCATTCTAGCCGAGGAACAGGCCACCGCCGCTAAGCAGAAGCTCCTCGATGACGAGGAAGAGAAGAAACGTGAAGAGGCCCGTCAAAGGAAGAAGGAGAAGGAGAAGGAGAAGAAGGAGCAGCTCCGCAAAGAAGGCAAGCTGCTTACCAAGGCTCAGCGCGAGGCCAAGGAGCGCAACGATATGCGTATGAAGCAGATGCTGGCATCTGGTGTCAAGGTCGCTGGTCTTGAGGATGCTGGCGAGAAGAAGCGCCCCGTCTACGAGAACAAGAAGAAGAAGGCTGGCAAGAAGCAGGAGGAGGATCTTGAGGCCGCTGCTGCCCGTGCTCAGGCTCAGCGTGAGGCTGAGGATGCCCGTCGCAAGGAGGCTGAGGAGAAGGCCAAGGCCGAGGCTGCCGCTGCCGCGGCCGCTGCCGGTCCTGAGGATGACGATGCCGTCGACGACTGGGAGGCTGCTGCCGATGAAGATGTCAAGGACAGCTGGGATGCTCCATCCGATGAGGAGAAGGAGGAGAAGGAGGAGGAGGAGAAGCCTGCTGAGAAGGCTGACGAGGAAGACTCCGAGTCTGACTCTGACGATTCATCTGATGAAGACTCTTCCGAGGATGAGGAGCAGTCTGCTAATCAGCGGGCTGTTGCTGCACGCAAGGCTGAGGCCGCAGAGCGCAGAAAGAAGCAGCACGAGGAAGCTCTGGCAGCTCGTTCCAAGGACGATCTCCGCTCTCCTATTTGCTGTATTCTTGGTCACGTCGATACTGGTAAGACCAAGCTTCTTGACAAGATTCGTCAGACCAACGTGCAGGAGGGTGAAGCCGGTGGTATTACCCAGCAGATTGGTGCCACTTACTTCCCCGTCGATGCTTTGAAGACAAAGACTTCTGTTGTGAACAAGGACGGCAAGTTCGAATTCAAGATTCCCGGTCTTCTGATCATCGATACTCCTGGTCACGAGTCTTTCTCCAACTTGCGTTCAAGAGGTTCTTCGCTCTGTAACATTGCTATTCTGGTTGTTGATATCATGCACGGTCTCGAGCCCCAGACTCTCGAGTCTATGCGTCTGCTCCGTGACCGCAAGACTCCTTTCATCGTCGCACTGAACAAGATTGATCGTCTGTACGGCTGGACGAAGATTGACAACAACGGATTTGAGGACAGTTTGAACATGCAGAACAAGGGTGTCCAGAACGAATTCCGCTCGCGTCTTGAGGCTACCAAGCTTGCTTTCGCTGAGCAAGGTTTCAACTCCGAGCTCTTCTACGAGAACAAGTCCCTGTCTCGCAACGTCTCCCTCGTTCCCACCTCCGCTCACACTGGTGAGGGTATTCCCGACATGCTGAAGCTCCTCACCAGCTTGACCCAGGAGCGTATGACCAACGCTTTGATGTACCTGTCTGAGGTTGAGTGTACCGTACTGGAAGTCAAGGTCATCGAGGGTCTCGGTACCACCATTGACGTTGTCCTGTCTAACGGTGTTCTCCGCGAAGGTGATCGTGTTGTGATGTGTGGTCTGAATGGACCTATCACAACGAATATTCGAGCACTTTTGACGCCGGCGCCGCTTAAGGAACTGCGTCTTAAGTCTCAATACGTTCACAACAAGGAGGTCAAGGCCGCCCTTGGTGTGAAGATTGCTGCCAACGACCTCGAGAATGCCATTGCCGGTTCTCGCATGCTTGTCGTCGGACCCGATGACGATGAGGAGGATCTGGAGGAGGAGGTCATGTCCGATCTCGAGAACCTGCTCAGCCGTGTCTCCACTGACCAGCGTGGTGTCACTGTCCAGGCCTCCACTCTTGGTTCCCTTGAGGCTCTTCTTGAGTTCCTCAAGTCCTCCAAGATTCCCGTTGCCAACATTTCCATTGGTCCCGTCTACAAGCGTGATGTCATGATGGCAGGAACCATGCTTGAGAAGGCCAAGGAATTCGCTGTCATGCTTTGCTTCGACGTCAAGGTTGACAAGGACGCCCAGGCCTACGCCAACGACATTGGTGTCAAGATCTTCACTGCGGACATCATTTACCACCTGTTCGACGACTTCACTGCCCACATGGCCCAGCTCACCGAGCAGCGCAAGGAGGAGGCTAAGCTTCTTGCTATCTTCCCCTGCATCATCAAGCCCGTTGCCGTCTTCAACAAGACTGACCCCATTGTCATCGGTGTTGATGTCATTGAGGGAAGTCTGCGTCTCCACACTCCGTTGTCTGCCATCCGCACCAACGCTGCGGGTGTCAAGGAAATTGTGGATATTGGCAGAGTGTAAGTTTTCTCCCATAACCATTTGATCATTGCTCGAATTTCCTTTCTAACACTGTTCACAGGACATCCATTGAGCGTGACCACAAGGCCGTCCCCGTCTGCAAGCGTGGTCAACCCTCCGTCGCCGTCAAGATCGAAGCCCCTAACCAGCCCATGTACGGTCGTCACCTCGAAGAGAAGGATCAGCTCGTCTCGCACATCTCCCGTGCCAGTATCGACACCCTCAAGGAGTTCTACCGTGCTGAGGTGTCAATGGAAGAATGGGGTCTTGTCAAGAAGCTCAAGCCCGTCTTCGACATTCCTTGATTTCGTCCCTAGGGCAAACATGCGGGTGTAGGTTTTTCTATTTCAATGATTCACCTCCTTGAACCTTGGACATACTCCCGATCACTCTTTTACCCTCGCGAATTTAATGACGACATCCTAGTGAGTGACGAACTTGTTCTCCGTTGGCGCCCTCTTGTTCTTTGTTTATGGTATTGGCCAGGAGGAAGCGGATCTGAAACCTTTGAGCTATGACAATTGCTATCAAAAGCGGAAAAGTTATTTTGTCTTGATTGCGATTTGAACATACAATGAATTACCACGACTTGATGGACGAACAAGGAGAGAAGTCGCCTGTATATGATATAGGAAAAGCAGGGCCTGGTTGACCCCAGATCTCTTGTTTGTTAGTGAATTGAATTGAATTGATATTGCTAGACTAGTCCTTTCATACGTCCGTTACAATCATCACCGGACAAGTTGTAGACCACGAACTTATTTTCAGAACTGACATGAACAAACAGCCTCTTGTTCCATTCTCAGTGCAAGTTAAAATGTACAGATCCCATAAACAAGATACCTCCAATCTACTCATCTCCCTCCCACCTCTCAACCCGACCCCCATTACCAGCCCAATCCAACCAAGACCCCCAGTAAACACCAACAGCCTTAGGATCATACCCAGCCTGCACAGCCATCTGCGCCGCAGTCTTAGCCCGCACCCCAGCCTTGCAATAGAAAACAATCGTCTCGCCCTCCTCAGCAACAGGCTTCTCGAATCCAAAGCGGGTCTCAAATTCGTCTGGGGTGAGGAATAGCGCGTCGGCCTGCGAGGCTAGCGGGATATTCACCGCCGACGGAATGATGCCTGTGCCGATTAGTTCGGCTGGTTCACGGACGTCTACTAGCTTGATTTTGGGGGTTGTTGTTGGGCTGTTTGAGGTGGATGGGAGGGATGCGTTTATCTTTTTGAAAGTCATTAGTTTATGTTATGGGTTTGGATATGGTGGAACGAATTGGGGTGGGATGTACCTCGTCGAATTCCCAGAATCGGGGACCGGCGTCGTCGCTATACGACCGGTTCTGGATCTGGGCATTCTTGCCGTTCAGGAGAGTCTTGGAGGATAGTGGGTGGGTGTTTGCCGATGAATTGAGCGGAGCTCGCGTCTGTGTGGTAGACAGTAGTCCTCTTGTTGGTGTGGAGATGTATGACCGCTGGAGAATGGCAGATGGTGCCGCATTGCGAGCTGAGATTCTGGCTGTGGCTGATGATAGCTTGATGGCGGAGCGCCGGATATTTGATGATAATGCTGAAGCCATTGTTTCCAGCTGTGATCTGAAGGTTCTGGGGTTGTTGCTGGAATCGCGAGTTCCGAGGTTGATAGGCCCCGGGCGGGTGATTTGGTGATGTCAGGATTTGCCGGGATGCACCGCTTACCTCTTCGGGTATACCATTTGCCTTGACAGTTATATTGGGAGAATTAGTAGATGTCACTGTTTAAAAGAGGCTTCTGTTAAGATCTTTGGGGCTTAATTAGCGGGCAGATCTAGTTTAGATAGAATTATGATGTACTTAAGTGTGTGCTTCAATATATATATCTGCGGATTATGATGGACTAACGTGGGTATATAGTGGTGCATGTATTTAATGACAAGAAGAACATAAAATTTACAAGTCAACTTTTAGACCACAAGATTTGAATTACAAGGCGGTCTAAAAGAGGAGAGAAATCATTAAAGAAGATGAATTAATATTATTCTAAGTGCATGGCTCTAAGTAGTCCCCCGAGCAGAAAAGAAACAAGAGCCCCCAGCGACCTCAGCAGGCCAGATAATCATAAACACACTGGGAGCATCTTTGCATAATGGTATACAAGCTTCCCCAGAAATAAAAAGGGAAGACAATACTCTAGAGCGTCCGTCATGCATGAAAAAAAAAGAAGAAAGATATCAAAGAGAAAAAAAAAAAAGTTCAAGGGGCCACCCCATCTCCAGGACAGGAAGGCAATATAAAAAAAGGCAACCAAGCCCTTCTCTATCCGGAGAACGGGGCTGGGCTCCAGCTTCGCTTTTGTGTTTGTGCAAGCCAAGAATGGAAAAGTTTAGGGGCGGGGACGGAATGTGAGGAGACAGTCGTCCTAAGTTAAACAAGTCAGTAAATGGATTACAAGATAGAAATTCAAGTGAGAAAGAAACGTACCTGAGGGAAGATAGTGGCAAACACCTTGATATCCTCCGACTCGGGAGTGGGGGTGTGCTCCCAGTCCATCTCCATACTGGCCTTTCCAATCATAGCCATCAGGGACAGCTGAGCATAGGTCTGACCCAGACAGTAGTGGGGACCTGTGCCGAAGACGAGCCAGTTCTTGGTCTGCTGCTCAGCAGTACCGGTGATCCAGCGGTCAGGGTCGAAAGAGTCGGCGTTGGGGTAGGCTTCCTCGTCGTGGCATGCGGGCCACACGGAAGGAATGATCATAGAGCCCTTGGAGACGGTGACGGTGTCGCTGATGGGGAAGTCCTTCTTGACCAGGTAAGGAACCATGATGACAGGAGGACGGTAACGCAGAGTCTCCTTGACGACAGCTCGGGTGTAGGGCATGTTGTCGAGCAGGTCCATGGTAGCAGGAATGGTGCGGTCACCGTTGCGGATCTTCAGGTTCTCCTCACGGACCTTGTCGAGGACCTCGGGGCGGTCAGCCATCAGTTGGAACAGCCAGGTGGAGGCGGCACTGGTGGCGTCCTGAGAGGCGAACAAAAAGGTGAAGATAGTCTGAGCAATTTCGAAATCGGTGAAGTCACGGAGGACCTGGGAAGGCTTCTCGGAAGAGTCAACCTGGATACCCTTGGCAATCTTCTCACGGTAAATAGCGGAATCCAGCTGGGCCTTGACCCAGGCGTCCATGATACAAGAAATCTCGCCACCGGCAGCCATGCGGGCCTTGGACTTAGCAGCACACTTGGTGAACTCAACAAGCACCATGTCGGCAGCCTTCTTTCCGTACCAGGTCTTGGTGTAGGGAAGAATGATGGGGAAGTTGACCAGCTCAAGAGCAGCAGTGATCAGATAGTAGTCGTCGGCAATCTTCTGGACGGCCTCGTCGGTCATGTAGTAACCAACAAAGGTACGGCAAGAAAGAGCACACATAAGCTCACGGAATTCGGACATCCAGGGAGTGGGCTCGTAGTTGAGGGCGGCGGACTTCTCGAGGAAGCGCTTGTTGTAGGAGTTGAAGACCTCCTCGGCACGGGGGAGGTACATAGCCAGAGCCTGACGGGTGAACAGACCATTGAGACCCTTGCGGTAGTCAACGTGGGCCTTGCCGTCCAAGAAAACCCAGTTGGTCTTTCCGAGAAGCTTGTGCGCAGCGTCCACAACACAGGGCTTGACATAAGCGGGCGAGTTGAAGATCTTGCGAGACATATCACGAGTTGAGGCAATCACGACGAACCTATCAAAGCTGTTAGCAGACTTATCGACAAGCATGCGAGCGTTTTAGTAAATATTATGGGCTCCTCACTTGTGGAAGACGGAGACACAGCTAAGGTCGCCACTGTCCCACTTGGCCTTGTATTCGGTGAATTTGGGGTTGACTGATTGCAGGAAAGGACCCATGAAGGGAATCTTGTACATAGGGCCAACAATGGCGCCCTTGAGGTAGTGGTACTTGACTGTAAATAGGGGTCCGCGGTCAGTTTCCAAATGCAAATTTCAAGGCAATATCCGTCGCAATTGCACATACACTGATCGTACAGGACGGCCGCGAGGAAGAGCGTCAAGAAGCCCTTCCAGATAGTGAAGCCATCCAAAATGGTAGCGAGGAGACCCGCCGGCGCGAAAAGTTGGGGCGAGACTGTCGCATCGGCCGATGGCGAGACGAAGCTCCCAGTCATGTTGACCACATTGACCATATCGACCATGTTCGGAGAGCCGAGAATTCCGAGCAAGAGAGTGAAGAGAGGGAAACCCGGGAACAAAGAAAAAAGTTGGAGGGAAAGAATTGGGAGGGGGGCCCTCAGGGGCGGGAACGCCAAATTAGACGGAGCGCCGGGACAGTATCAATGCACGCATATTGGCTAAACACGTTGGAGTATTGATTTATGCGGGTTAGATACTGGCTATGCTGTGTAGGATTGTACAATTCTATTTATGTTTTCCATTTTTCTTGACTATTGTATTTACTATTTAGTATTTACTATCTACTATTTATGATGATCTGATTTTTTTTGTCGTTTTCTAAGTACGCATTTCCATACCCCCTAAAGATCTGTGAAAAATCAATCTTGTTCCATACTTTTTTTTAAACCCCCCCCCACAGCAATACGCGGAAAATGGCATGATTCTAGTCCACCTAAACCAAGATCTATTCATCAGACTACTGTACTGTATATCATCCCCTACAGTTTACTCGAATCACCGGATCACGATTACTCAGGCGTGATCCGGCTACTGAAATCCCGAGTCCCGGGCTAATCTCTGATTGGTCAACGAAGTAAGGAGGGTCTTGGCACGTGTGATTGAGACTACAATGTACATCTTGTAACGCTGGGATCCTTGCATATCTTCGCTTCATAGTGTATGAATGACTACATGGCCATATGGCTTTATGAACGGCCAAAGCCAAACCATCCACGACGACCCTTGTTTTCTTCTTCCGGGGCTGCAGCGGCTGGTGCACTCGGTGCAGGGACCTCCTGTTGTTGACCCTCACGTGGGTAGTCAATGTAATTCCATGCCACATCAAGGAACAGCGGCTTCACTGGAATGGGCTGCATCTGAGGTGGGTAAGGTACCAGGTTCTTAAGATCCACTTTGGAGGCAGAGAACTGTTGCAGTCGTTCTACCACAGGACGCTGGCTGGACTGCGATGCCTCTTCAGCAAGGAGCTGCTCCAGAGTAACTAGTCCCTGGTACTGAGCAACTAATTCCCGCAAGGTCGATTCCAGAGCACCGGATTGCGCCCGGGAGACGTCGAGTTTCGGGGGTCCCTCAACATCAGCGGACTGGGGGATAGCAGAACCGGCGAGATTCAAGGCCTGAGAGAAAAGGGCAAGAGCCTCCTTGGATTTGCCAAGAACGCCGTGAGATCGTGCCAGAGCAAGGCATCTGTATAATCGTTAGTCGTCTAGTCAATGCCGTTGAGGTGAGGAGGATGGAAGCTAATAGGGGCTTACCGGAGCGCACGGAAGTAGTGTCGCTTGGTCTCTAGGTCCTTAACAAAGGCTGAATCGGCCGCAACTCCAGGAAGTTCCAGGATAAAGTCCAAACTTTGAAGGGTAGAGTCGTAGAGAACAACACGTTCACGCAACTTGTTCAGCTTCTTTCCATTTCCAGCGGTATGCTTCGTGTCCTTCCCAGCCGGGGCTTCTTCAAATGACAAGCCGTCTTGGTGACCACACAGGACCCGGTTGCGTCCCACTCGCCATCCAACCAAAGTGTAATTAACTGCAGTTCGGGTGATTTGCAGGGCTTGCATTCTCTTGTCGCTGGGATCAACACCCTCATTAGCCAGGTCATCAATGGCAGTTTTTGTACTGTCAACAGCATCCTGGCTTGCAATGATAACGTTATCATATGCAGCAGCCTTCTCCTTATCAGTGGCAGACTTTCCTGCATCTGCCAACCAACTTGAAAGATGAGCCTCCGCAGCTGAAGCAGCGGCGAGCGACTGAGAAATTGAAGCATCCTCAAGAGGCACAGTTCGGGACCTCCAAGTCACCGATTGAGGCAGTTCCTGCACCTCTCCCTCTGCAGTGCGTCGGGTTCCAGCTGCTTCTTCGGCAAGGCAAGAAGGAGCAATCTTCTCTACCTCAGCGCGGATTTCCAAATCGGAGGGGAAGAATTCAATCGACAGGGATGATGTAGGTTTAGAGCGAGGGAGCTTCATCTGATAAGCGGCATATCGCATACTTGGGTCAACAGTTCCCGAGAGCAGGTCCCGGAAAGCGTCCTTCTTGACCCTCTGGCCCAGAGCCGTGTAAATCACTCTGGCAATAGAAAAGTCACGAAGACACTGCTCCCACTTGCGCTTCTCAAGCCAAAGAGACCCAGAGATCATTGCGAGATAGGCGCGGGTCTCCAGAATGTCGATATCACTCGCCCCGGAGACCGATTGTTCGTGGAGCAATGTGACCAGGTGCTGTGCATATCCAGTCGCCTTGTTCAACCGGGAGATAATATGACGTCTAGCAGCACCTGAAATACCCTTGGCCGAAGGATCTGCGGAGTGTGTCGACTTCATGTGCATGGCTTGCGCCCAAGCCCGTTCGGAACCGAGAAGCAAAAGGTGTACATATCTGCCCGACACATGAGGTTAGATGGATAAAATGAACGATTCAGGGAGCCATACGAGAGATTGCTTGCGACATTCTCAGCAGTCACAGCTGGCTTGGCAGTATACTTGCGACCCTTCGCAGTGGCTTGTCCAAGCTTCTTGCGGAGTTTGTGCAATTTTCTGGTAGTATGCGCCCGGTAGGCATTGTAATCTCCTACGAGGAGAGCCTCCTCTCTCTCCTTGAAGATGAAATCAGTCACCTCCATTGTGTCTGTGTGCGATTGTGGTAGTGAGAGGGGACACGGTTGTGGTGGGAGTAAAGGCGGTGGTGCTTTTCGGGCAAATGAATGGTCCGATCAACCTCCGGCAGTTTCCAACCTCCGAATCTTTTGCGTGTTTTCTCCAAGCCCCAATACTTTGCTGCTCATGTTGCGATTCTATATCGGACAGACAGCACTTTGACGTTTTATTCTGCAATTGAAGCTCCAGCAAGATAATTTGGGCGTACCGCCTGCAATCCGGCGAATCAGTTTTGTTCTCCCTGGTATGGCACCACCAAACAATCGTGAACACAGCTCCGAGAAAAACTTTCTAACACAACCAAGACAGGCCATCCAAACTCGATACAATGAAGACAGAGAACCGATCTTATCGTCATTTGGCTTAATATTATAACGATCAGAGGACATGCTCGAACGGGCAACGAGCTGCCTCGAGAGTGCGGGACGGCATTTGCTTCGAGACCCCAACAGTGTGCTACGAAGCAGAAAGTCATTGCCTAGTCGATCATGGATGCACAGTTCTACGAAAGCGGATATCCCCCGTTGGTTTCTCGCTCTGGTGCAGGTAACAGGCCAACGTCCGTCTCCCATTCCCAACACCGGCCACGGCAAAGGAGCTTCTGATGGAGGACTGTTTCTCGATTTTCTTTGCCCCCAGCAATCGCCGAGTCGTATGGGATCCTCTCTACCTCGCCCTCAGAAGAAGCTTGCAGCGCGGAGAAGAAGGCCCAACGCGGGCTTCTTACGATCTTATACATCAGCATCGGGCACCGAGCAAGCTATTTCAATGGAAGACACTGCCGCAGACCAAACCGAGCAGCATTCAGAAGAGTCACTAGAACCACAATATTCATCTAGGAACGAAGACCCAACGCTCGAAGACCGAACGCTCGAAGACCGAACGCTCGAAGACCCAATGCTCGAAGACCCAACGTTCGAAGACCCAACCCTCGAAGAACTTCATTGGACATTACAAGATCCCACCTCCGATCATTTTGACAAGGTCTGGGATTTATACCTTGAAGCTGGTAGCCCGCCTGAGTACAATTCGGAAGTTCTCTATTATCTGTCGCGCTCTCCCAACTCCCAGCACCAGGAATGGGCATGGATAGTTTTTCAAAACATTCCTCACTCCGAACGCACCAATCGAAATTACGGACATATAATTGGCTCGCAATATCTTTCAGAACCACCTTGGGTTGCTCCCCATGTGATATCCATTTGCAAACAAGCTCTTTCCACGCCACTAGCCGGTCCCTGTATTGTCTGGAACCTGCTATATGCTGCGAAAAGCGGCAATTGGTCTCAAATTTCAGAAATATGGAGTTTAACTTCTGAAATTGAAAGTGACCCAGCACTACACTTGACAGTGTTGGATGCGTTCAAAAAGAATTCTTTCCTGGCGAAAGGTCTCCTCGGATTGGTGGAGTATCTGGAGCTTGAAAAAGGTGATCAAAGACTTCTCGCACTTGCTCGTCTATTCTTTGACCAAGTACTCGCCGACAACTCGCTGTTATCGGCCGTAACGACATCCGACTTGCTTCAAGTACTCGAAAAATACCGACACATCAGATCCCTCGAGGAATCCGACTACATAGAGGTCATCGCGCGACTTAATACCTCAGATGCATGGCCTGAGTCCGTGCGGTCTATCTTCTTTTATCGCCAGTTTCGCTTGGAGATTCCAAATTGGCACCCACCCAAAAAGCTTCTGACCTGCCTTTTTGACCGTGCTGTGGCTTTTGAGATGTTGGACAGCATTTTGTACCTTTTGGAAGAATTGGCTCATTTTGAGAAAAAACCCTCCATTGCAGCATACAGAGAAGCCCTTCAGGCCTTCTCCAAGGCTGGAGATGTGCACAAGGTACATTACATATTTGACAGGCTTGTGGCAGATTACGGAAACCCGAAGAGCCGCAGACTCTTGAGCCCGCTCCTTGTTGTTCACGCACAAGTAGGGGATGTCTACGAGACACAACGGCACTTCGACCGCATCTCTGCAGAGTTTGGCTTACGCCCGAACACGATTTGCTGGAACATTTTGATCCAGACCTATGTGGCTGCAGGGGATGCGTCAGGCGCGGCCTCCGTTTTGACTCGAATGTTGAACCAAAACGAGACCCCAAGTTCTCACACATACGGTACAATCATGGGGCTTTTTGCCAGACGCAACGATTTGCTAAATGTCCGTCAGCTTTTCTACCAAGCGAAGTCGAGCAATGTGGAAATTACGTTGCCAATGGCTCGTATGCTTTTGCAAGCATATCTCAAGAATGACGATTATGAACAAGCGGAGAAGCTTATCTTCGATTACTGGCAGTCAGTGAGCGGAGCGACCCCTATGGCGCTGTTCAACACTCGTTTACGGCACCATGCCTCCAGAGTCGAGAAACGGTATTTTACGCGGATCCTTGGCGCCGCCGACGCACTTGGGCTAGAGCCAGACGCCGGAACGTACGCGGCCATCATGTATGCCCATGTCATCACTCGGCAGTCAGGGGAAGCGCGTACTGTACTCCTCAAAATGGTCGCAGCTGGCATAGAACCCACTGAAGTACATTACTCGCTCCTGATGCTTGCGTACCTGAGTCATGGCAACCATAACATGGTGAACGCCACCTTTCGCGAGATGCAAGCCCGCCTTGGTAAAGGCAGAAAGGACGCCAGAATTGTATATCTCAAAACGCAGCTTGAGAGAGATATATGGAACGCAAAAATGACCGACACCCTTGCCGAAGACGTCTCTTTCCCTTACTCAGAAGAGGCACTGAGGGCATCAACCAACGTTGACAGCGACCCCACACCACCCAAGATACTGCCATTGCATGCCAGTGGCTCTCCCGAGCCACATGCTCTGACCTTGCATTACCATAATATGATCAAAGCATATGGCAGTGTATCTACCGTCGAAAAGACACATGAAGCTCTTGATCATTATCTCCAGAGTAGGCCGTCTACAATTTCGCGAGATCAAAAAATGGCAGAGTTACCATTTGACTTGATCAAGTATTTGATGTTGGCTCATTTGAAAGTCGAGGAATTCACGGTAGTCGAACAGTACTGGAACAACTTGTGGCCTCGCATCATTAGCTTTGCTACCCGCGTTGACCCTGATCAATTTTTTTCTGCGGATTCTGCAAGAGCTGGGAGAGAAGCTGCGGAAAGAGCTGCAATCGAAGACGCGGAAGCAGCTGCGAAACGAGTTGCGGATTTGGAAATCGCTGTGGTGCAGGAGTACAACAAGTTTGAAGAACTGAACTTTACTCCAGGTGTTTCTCATTCGACTATGCTAGCAGCCGAGGACCAAGCTGCTCATGTCGAAGAACTTTTGAAAAGGGCCAAGGAAAGAGATGCAGCTATGAAAAAATCTGCCGAGTCGCCAACAGCCATGGGGACAAAGCCTGAGATCGTGCGCGGTCAGCAGTTCATCCTTGATTTCCCCCTGTCCATGTACATGCAATCGCTAGCCGGTCGAAAAAAGTACGCGAGACTCCATCAGATCGTTAGTGAGGTCCAGGCACTCGGTTTCACGTTGACCGCCAAAAATTGGTCGACCTACATTGAGCTACTCACGTTATCCGAGGAGCTTTCTGATCAACTCAAGGCCTTCCAGCTGTTTGAGGAAAAGTTCGAGGCCAATTTCCCTGGCTGGGAATTCATGAGACGTGGATATGGTCTACGGCCGGCTGGTTCACCCGAGTCCATTCTCCATCTTGAGAACTTTTGGGATCAGAACGTAACCGGCCGCGTTATGGGCAGAAGAGCACGCAGGCGTTGGTGGCGAATTCGACCTGATTACATGCATCCTTCCTACCGCACCATCGTGTACCTGGGCACAAGGTTGCAGGAGATTCGTGAACAGAGTATCATCAAGGGCAGTGTTAACTTTTCCGACTTCATCACCACCGCGCCAAAAACCCTTCGCATTATTGCCGACATGCCATACCTGAATGACCAGTACCAGAAACAATTGCTCCGTGGCTTCACTGGCAGCCCCATAAGATTCCCAGAGGGTCCTCCACTGGACCCTGGGAACAACCCGAAGGTCAAACTGAACCTACCCCCGTTGGGAACTCCCTTCGAACCCCCCACCAGGCCAGAGGTGAACCCATATGAAGAGGAGTCATCTAAAGAGGAGTCATCTGAAGACTCTCCCGAGCTTAAGACCCCGATGTGGCATCTCTACAACATGAAGGCTGGATGGAATGCCGCGAGCGTCCCCAACCCAAACAGGGATGCCATGCCCTTTAATCCACGAGGTACGCTTTTGCGTAAGACAAACCTACGGGGTGTTCCATTGAGTCGTCGAACCCAACTTGGAGCCAAAGAACCTCTCCCCTTCAGAGCGCGTTCAGCATCGGACGAAGGTGGGAATTCTGTACATAAAACTTTGTGATTTTAGCATGTTGCGTATACCTTTGCATATATTTATCTGTACGATAGTTGATTGTATGATAGCTGATATTAGAATTGCATCTTCATTCTTACACAAGACTCTATGTGTAGACAATAATGTTGCAAAACATGAGATATTCTCTGCAGAGGATCAGAAAAAGCACCCTATGTATGTAAAGTTATGTCGAGCTACACACCTGAAATAGTGGCTTCAAGAACCAAGAGAAAAAGCCCAGTTTCCAAGTCATGTACTGGTGACATGTGTCACAGTGCCTACATAGTGATGGCTAAACTGCAACACACAATCTCGTCCGAGTCCACTGCATCGGCCTATGTGACACAAGTTTGGAACAAACACAAATAATAAAGGTGGTAGGATGGAGAGGCGTGCCAATACCACTATGGGGGCAGAGTTACGCGCTACTGAAAAGAGTTACGCTAGTGCGAATGGAAAATTTCGATGTTGTGAAAATTTGTATTTCGATTCACTATGACTAGACAGATAACCGTACCATCAACCAAGAGAAAGAAGGACCTTTCAGACCTCCTCGACACCCACCAGGACCGACCGACCGAAGTCAGACGTCGAGACCAGGTCAAGATCATCACCACTCCCTGGACCAGAACACAGACACTGCGAACAGCACGCGTAACAGTCGAGGCGGGAGTAAAAAGGTTTCACTTTAGGGCATCGAGGACATAGCAGTCATCAGCAAGGGTGGAGATTCTGTGGCTCTTATAAAGAGCTTAGAAAGAGGACGTCTACTCTAAAGTGATTCTTTGAACTGTAAAGGAGAAAGGTCAGTAAAAATTCTCCAGAGTGAAGCCCAAGCCATTGGGGGGGGAGGGAAGACATACGTAGAGTCGCTTGAAGAAGAGAAAAAGGATCGGGGAGAAGCTGCCTTATATATCCCAGAAAAAAAAAGACGCTGACATAAGCAGAGGCACGCGCGGACGCGTAGGACGCGCCTTCACTCAGGGACGTGTCGATTTCAATTTAGCCCGATCGGTCCACTCACCCCCTCGACTTATCCTTCCTTACCCACCGACATATTGAACGACATCATGGACGGGTTACAACTTCGTGATGAGGCCGCACAGGATCGCGTGCGTGCTGCTACTGAATTTCTCGACCCGAGTACGTTTTGATTACTGTATTGAGTGGGATTATATGCTAACGTTCTATTTTTTTTTCAGGCGATGCACGGGCACGCAGGTTCGTCGATTGCCAGCTGAACTCCTTGACATGAATTTAATGAAGGGCTTCTAGTTACCGAGCGGAGATTGTGGTGATGCTGAATAGGGGCATGCGCCGCTTGACTGTGCGTTCGTCCTGGGAAGTCCCTGCCGGAGCAAACGCTGATTTTTGAACAGGTTAGCATCGATGAAATCAGAGCACACAACCGCGAGCTTGCTGATGGGTATGTGTCTCTTCAGTCTCGACTTCTCAACCGGATTCCAACTCATTGGTTTGATTTAGCCTTCTCAATTCGCCGTTCGATTACTCGCAAGCCTTTGACAGAGCCTTGAAGGAGGTTGTCAAGACTCTTCCTTCTAGACCTGCCAAGGAAACCTCGGAGGAAGCTGTATGTATCTCGTTAATACGTTCTCCCGTGTGGTGCTAATTTCGTGATAGGCCTACTACTGTGCCTACGTTGGTGCATTCGGAGAATTTTCCTGCAACCCCCGCACATTGGGATCTCAACAATTAAACCACATGGTCTCACTCGAGGGAATTGTCACAAAATGCTCCCTAGTCCGCCCCAAGATCGTGCAGAGTGTTCACTATGTTGAGGCAAAGGACCGCTTTGTTGCAAGAAAATATCGGGATCAGACTATGAGTGCCAGCGGCGCAACCAGCCTGAACGTCTATCCCCAGGAAGATGATGATAAGAACCCGGTATGTTTTTTGAGACCGTGGAATGCTTTCAAGAGACTGATATATGGCTAGCTCATTACCGAGTACGGTTACTCGACATATTTGGACCACCAATCGATCTCCATCCAAGAAATGCCCGAACGTGCCCCTGCCGGTCAATTGCCCCGAAGTGTCGATGTTATTCTCGACGATGACTTGGTGGATACAGCTAAACCCGGAGACAGAATCCAGCTGGTTGGTATCTACCGCACCCTGGGTAATCGAAATGCAGGCAACGGATCTTCGACTTTCCGCACTGTTGTCATGGCAAACAACATAATTCAACTGTCTTCCAAGAGTGGCGGTGGCATTGCACAGGCTACCATTACGGATACAGATGTGCGAAACATCAACAAAATTGCCAAAAAGAAGAACGTCTTTGACCTTTTGTCCAAGTCCCTGGCTCCCTCTATCCACGGACATGACTACATTAAGAAGGCTATCTTGCTCATGCTGCTTGGTGGTATGGAGAAGAACTTGGACAATGGTACCCATCTTCGCGGTGACATTAACATCCTGATGGTTGGTGATCCGTCTACTGCCAAGTCTCAGCTCCTTCGTTTCGTTTTGAACACCGCACCTCTTGCCATTGCTACAACTGGTCGTGGTTCTTCAGGTGTCGGTTTGACTGCTGCCGTCACTTCTGACAAGGAAACTGGCGAGCGTCGTCTGGAGGCTGGTGCCATGGTTCTTGGTGACCGTGGTGTTGTCTGTATCGATGAGTTTGATAAGATGAGTGATGTCGACCGTGTCGCTATCCACGAAGTTATGGAACAGCAGACTGTCACAATCGCAAAGGCTGGTATTCACACAAGTCTAAACGCGCGCTGCAGTGTCCTAGCAGCTGCAAATCCAGTCTATGGTCAATACGACCCTCACAAGGACCCCCACAAGAACATTGCTCTGCCCGACTCCCTGCTCTCTCGTTTCGATTTGTTGTTCGTTGTGACGGATGACATCGAGGACGCTCACGACCGAACAATTTCGGAGCACGTTCTACGCATGCACCGTTACCGTCAACCTGGCACCGAAGAGGGCGCTCCTGTTCGAGAACAACTCAATCAGACCCTTGGTGTTGGCATTGAAGACCGCCAAGATACCAATGCCCCCACTGAGGTGTTCGAGAAGTTCAATGTCATGCTTCACGGAGGCATGATCAACCCTAACTCCAGCCGCAACCGCACAAAGAATGTTGAGATCATTAGCATCCCCTTCATCAAGAAGTATGTTCAGTATGCCAAGTCCCGTGTCAAGCCCGTCTTGACCAAGGGCGCCGCGGATCACATCATCGCCACATACTCTGCTCTGCGTAACGACGAACTCACCGGCAACAAGCGCCGCACCTCACCCATCACCCCTCGTACTCTGGAGACACTCATTCGTCTCTCAACCGCACACGCCAAGGCCCGTCTATCCAGCCGGGTCGACGAGAAAGACGCCAAACATGCCGAAGCAATCCTCCGCTATGCCATGTTCAAGGAGGTTGTCGAAGACGAGCGCCGCAAGCGCCGTAAGGTCACATCCTTTGAAGAATCCTCAGACGAAGACAGCGACCCAGAACTCAATGACGACTCAGAGGACGAGACACCAGCCCGGGGCACCTCAACAGCAACACCGGGCCGCCGAACCGGCACAGCACGCACACGCACCACAGCAGCCGCATCCAGCGTTCCCATTCCAGACGAAGAGGACGACAGCCTGTACGCGGCCAGCCCGCGCGCCCAGCGCCTCCGCTCCAGCCAGACCCAAGGACGCACACAGACCCAGTCCGACTCCCAAATGTCCATGGCCTCATCGCAGCCCGCCTCGCAACTCATCGAGTCCCAGACAGACTCGCAGACCACATTACCCGAAGTGCCTATCACGCCTGCGCGCATGGCCCTCTTCCGATCGACTCTCGGCCCGCTTATGGGCTCGAAGGTCTTCGCCGATGGTGATGAGATGAATGTTAATGAGCTGATTGGTGCTATCAACACTGCTATTCAGGATTCCCATGATGCCAGCAGTGTCTTCTCAAAGCCTGAGGCTACCCAGGCGTTGCGAGTCATGAACGAGCAGAACTTGCTTATGTTCCTTGAGGATGATGACAATGTCTATCGTGTGTAATCTGCTGTGCGGGGTCTTTATGAGCTGTTTATCATCATTGCATTGGGATTGATATCACTTGTCGTTGCTTTTGTTTTTGGCGTATGGAGTGAACTTGGGGAAATAAGTGAACTGACTCAATATGAGAAATATGAATGATTACCAATGCTTGACTACAGCTTCATCTTTTGCTTTTCTAACTACTTCGTAGAATGATTCTCATCTTGATATAATGTTAAGCTGATAAAACTTCACTAATTGCTGCTGTAGACATGTATTGAAAACACCGTAGACATGCACTGGCATAGCATCTATGCGGAACAACATGGAGAAAGAAAAAAAAGGACCATAATCGAAACATCAATGTTTGTATAGAACACAACCTGGAAGCAGCGTATGATCAGTCAGAGTCATTAAAGAGACTACTGGGCCGAAGCAACCGTCCAACACTCCCAATCCAAAATACAAGAGAACAAGGGTATAGAAAGAAAAGCATGAGCAACAATCGGTGCTGATTTGCAGTGCGTGTAATGCATGTGTTTATTACAATTCCGGCACAGAAGCCGGTATAGACTCCTCCTTGTCCTTCTCGCCCGTCGGCAGCACCGAATCATCCGACGAAAACGACGGCGTTCTCACGCCCTCCCGAATCTGCGCCTGAGTAAGAGGTGACAGACCCCGGCGGAGCGTGGAACCCTTTCGTTTCCGCTGTTGCGGTGTCGTTTCTCCGGATGCCGTACTGCCTCGGCGGGGTCTGCTGGATGTTGAGGAGCGTGAGGGTGGCCGGTCCTGGTCCAGGCCGATGTCGACGGGTGTTGTGCTGCGAGACGAGGTGCGCGAGTGAGATTCGGAGCGAGTACTGCGGCGGGAAGTTGGGCCGCGCTGCTCCTGGCTTAGTTTTGAGACCGAGGGGTGATGCCCGTGGCCGAGGCGGTGTTTAAATTCTGGTTCGATAGGTCGGTGCAGGTTCGTTGCACCAAGACGACGGCGCTGGGACGCACGCCAGCCTAGCCCCCAACGGCCGAGCCAGCCGCCTTCTGTCTGGGCGAGGTGGATTTCACGCTCGCGGAGCTTGATTCGGAGCTGGGCACGGCGTTCGTTCTCCTTTTCCCAGAAATCCGTTCGGTAGTCGTCCCAATTTTCGCGGAACTCGGGGGAGAATGATTTGGGCAGTAGGAGCAGCCGGATATAGTCACCTCCAGGACTGAGGTCTTCCTCTACCAGTCCCGACTCGCTGTCAGCGCCGTTGTAGTATTGCTGGTAGTGTTGCCGGGTACTGCGCTTGTCGGAGAGGCTTCGCTCAACAAGCTGGTAATTGCCGGTGGGCGACGGGAAGAACGGAACATAGAAGGGGAACAGAAAAGAGAGGTAGGAGAGGAGCTCCTGCCAAAATGGCCCGCGGATGATGATGATCTTGGTGTTCATGGTTCGTAGGCCGCGATTCGCGACTGCTAACCAGCGCCGTGGCCATCGGATACCGCGCTCCCATTGCCCTGTTCCCCAGACAAGTAAGGCTGTCACTACGCCACCGAGCAGGGCGACTTTCTCTCCCATTTCCACCACCCAGTAGACTGAGCCGCCGACGCCGCGGCCATCTTCACGTGGGCGGAGGAAGAGCGCATATACGAAGTAGGTAATCCAGGCAGCCAGGAGAAGAACGAAAAAAGTGTTCTGTCTCCGGCGCTCGCGCAGAGCCAGATATTGGGCTCGCAGCGAGGTTTCGAGAATCAACAGGTTCAGGTAGATCTGCGGGGGAGCGGATGGCAGGTGATCGAGGGGATCGGAGGGGCGTGAGGCATCTGAATGGGAGTGCAATGGCTCTGGCGTAGGAGTTCGGACTTCTGAGGTTGGAGCGCCCTTGACCAAATGGTCTAATGGCGAGACCATGGTGGTTGATGAAGTGAAGTCAGAAGAAGCCGTTGGGGAAGGCGGTCCCCGGGTGATCAGCCTCTCCGCTCACAACCTCTGACTTCATACTATAAACTGGTTATTTTTCTTGCATTCTATTGCTTCGTCGTTTATTTTCCTATCTCCTTTTCTCAGCTTGATCACTTGGGAATACTGTCGCCTGACGGAGTTAACACCCGCCCGCAAACTCCGGCTCCGCTTATATGTTATGCTTCGCGCTCCGATTCTTCCCAACGTCTCATGAGCGTGGCCTCCATTCGACTGGCTGACTACGCCTGCTTCTCTACGTTGCGCACAAATAAATCTGCACTCACACGATTCCGATCCGACACACTTTATACCCTACGTGGACACCACTATTCCTCAATGGCCTCCGAATCACTCAACTCGTCCCAAGAGGACGCCAGTCGCCGCTCGGGCGAACAAACCACTCCATATGCCACCCAGGCTACGGCTACACGGCCCTCAATGTTTCCTCTGTCGTATCGAGACGGGTTTGCTGAATGGTGGGGCAAGCTGCCCGTCGCGCAGACCGAACACAGAGTCCTTTCCTTCCTTCCCTACTTGCGCCACGAACCGCCCACCCATCTGCAGACGGGCACAGAAAGAAGGGGCAGCTTAGAGTCCGCAGATCACAACCAGCAGGGCAATATCAGTACAAACTCCCGTGACGACCCCTATGGCCCACGCAAATGGAGCTCAAGTATGGTGGAGTTGAGCGGCAAGGACCGCGCACTCAATGAGTTCTCGGTAGAAAGAGTGGGGGAAGAAGCTGATCAGCATCTCGTCATGCTGCACGGTTACGGTGCTGGTCTTGGCTTTTTCTATAAGAACTTCGAGCCGCTCAGTCGCCTCAAGGGGTGGCAACTGCATGCTTTGGACATGCTGGGCATGGGCCGGAGTACTCGTCCTTCGTTCAAAATCAAGGCGAAGGGAAGAGAAGATGCCATTCGTGAAGCTGAAGCGTGGTTTGTCGACGCTTTGGAAGAGTGGCGCATCAAGCGCAAGATTGATCGATTTACTCTGCTGGGACATAGTCTCGGAGGGTACATGGCAGTCGCCTATGCGCTCAAATACCCTGGTCATCTGAACAAACTTATTTTGGCCTCTCCTGTTGGCATTCCTGAGGACCCATATGCCGTCACCGCTGGCGTCGCTGAGCCTTCAGAATCAACATTGCCCAGCGAGGTTACCCAAGACCAACAGAGTGTGGTGGCACCGGTCGCTGTTCCGGGATCAGCACCGAGAACTGCTGATGGAAGATTTATCACCGGACAGCAGCCTGGAGACGGGCCAGCCCAGCCCCCACGACGAAATATTCCCAAGTGGTTCGCTTACTTGTGGGATGCAAACATCTCCCCCTTCAGCCTGATTCGATGGACTGGTCCTCTAGGACCTCGCCTTGTCTCTGGATGGACTTCTCGCCGTTTCTCTCATCTCCCAGCCGAGGAATCCAAGGCCCTACATGACTACTCATATTCGATTTTCAGTCTGCGCGGCAGTGGTGAATACGCATTGGCATATATCCTCGCCCCCGGTGCATTCGCCCGAAGCCCTCTCATTCACCGAGTCCACGGCCTCGGACGTCAATTAATCCACAACAACTCCCCCTTGACTCCCCTTCCTCACGCCATCTCCGCTGCTAAAGCCTGCTCAACCCAAGCAGAGCCTACCCCCGCACCCCCAGCTCCCGCTTCTGAATCAGAGACACCTACTAAACGCGAAAATGGCCTTCCTGTGGTTTTCATGTACGGTGATCACGACTGGATGGACGTTTCAGGCGGCCATGCAGCCGCAGCTCGTCTAGAAGAAGAGAAGCGGAAGGTACTGGTAAATGCTACAGTAGAGGAGCGCCAATCAGACGAAGGCTCCTCGAAGGTGATCGTCATCAAGAAAGCTGGTCATCATCTCTACTTGGATGGCTGGGAGGAGTTTAACAGCGTTATCCTCGCCGAGATGGAGGAAGTCAGCCGACGGGAGAGGGCCCGTCAGTCATCATGATCAGAAGAGATACTGTCTTTTTAGACAATTCTCTATGAATTTTGGGGTTGGAGCTTGTTGACCTTGTGTAGTATAGCCTTTTTGCTCACACTCTTTTCTCTTTTTGCCGCATTCGTTATAGCTTGTTCTTGGTGTTTGTCGATTCATGTTTCGCTTGCTCTTTTAGGATTTTGTCCTTACATACCAGCTTACATACATTGGTAAATAAAATATAGAAATGGACAGAGTTGGTGTGTTTTAATATAAGAACGGTGTCTGGACTAGCTGCCAAAACAGTTAAGATGTTCCAGTATACGACATGTTTGATTACAGATGGGTATTTTCGTTTATGTACAATTTCGATACTTTTGTACCCTCTGATGTTCCAGTAAAAGTTCCCTGAATTATCCTCACCCAGACCCCACGGCCCTCGAATTCGAGCCCGAGACACTCTGCCTTCGATGCCTCGGACTGGTAGGATAATGCGCCATCAAGCGAGCAAATCCCAATGACGTATCACGCTCATCAGTTGACACTCCAACACCGGGAGTAGTATATCCACTAGCATTGGGCGAGAGTGTATGATTCCCAGAGGAACTCGGTCGTCTCAAAGAAAAGTAACCACCCCCACTCCCGCCACTGCTATTACTCCCAAAACTGTGGCTCCCATCCACAAAGCTGGAGAGGTATGAGCTGGTATATGGTGCACCGTTTGTCGGCAAGCCACGAGATGGAGTTCGTGAATGCGTACTGAATGGTGCGTATGGCTGTGGTGTCACGAAGGGTGCTGAAAGGCGTGGCGTTGACGAAGACATGCCATAGCCATACTCTCTGGAATGGGGAGCGGTGTTATCAGGTCTTGTCGACAATGCCAGGGAAAGACCCGTGCCAGTGCGACGATCAGATGTGGTAAGTGAAGATGTCGTTAAGGAGCGGTGATGGTTTTTATGTCCGTTTTGATGTCCATCGAACTGGGGATTGTGCGAGGTTCCATCTGGTGAAAAGGTCCGGAAATGATGATGGCCGTTGCGGAAGTCGTCGAAATGCGTGGGACTATTCAGTGTGGTTGCAGGATAGCCACTAGCTCCTAGAGTGACAAGCTGAGAAGGAAGTTCAAGGCGATTATTTAGAGACAACCAAGCACGCTCGTCTGCGTCGATATCTGCATCTGGATCTGTCTCGCCGCTTCGGCTATGGGTTGAAGAGGATGATGCCGGACTTGCAGCTTTGCTTGCACCTTTCTCATACAGCGAGTGGGTACTGCGAGCCTTTGAGGGTATGAAGGAGCGCCAGCCACCTACGCCTTCAAAGTCCCGTCCTTCATCTCCACAGACAGGGAATCCAAATGGGGCTGACGGAGATAGGTTGTGAGCCTCGACCATGCTACGGGCGTAGGAGTTTCTTCTCCTATTCTCCGGGTCTTCCAGGCTCGTGCCAATGGTCCACGATGAAAGAGCATTATTATTCTTGCGAGGCTGCACTCCATATCCGGAGTTGCGTCTGGATCTACCATCTGCCGGGGTCGTAGGCTCCGAAGCTGCAAATGTCAACAGCGAAGACGTCGATGAAGTAGGCACGGAGAGAAAATGCAAGAATATTCCATACACCAGCTCAACAGAAACAACCGAAAGTCGCAGTACCAGCGCGAACAGCGCGAATGATATCGTTACCCATGCAGACAGAATGAGCGGGATGGAAATGACGGCCAAGAGAGGCAGCGCAAGCAAACCGGTTAGAATAGACCACATTGGATTCAATCCTCTCCAGGAGGAAAGAAAGCAAAGAGGCCGGGCATTGTCAACAGATGCTCGGCTGGTTTCGATTTGCGGAGTAAATACATGTGATGGATGCCCCAGGCAGAAACGCCGATTACATCACTTTCGACTGTTTTATATCGACTTCAGGCTTCGATTAGGCTTCACTTTACTCCTTACACTATGTCCCAGCCTTTCCCCTGGGACATTGGCGTCCATGATGCCCACTGCCATCCCACAGACACTATGGCATCGGTAGCAGATATCCCGCAAATGAAAGCGACCACTCTAACAATAATGGCTACGCGGGGCGAAGATCAAGACCTGGTACAACAAACAGCCATGTCACTTGGCAAATCAGAGCAGTCCCCAGAAAAAGCAATTCCATGCTTTGGGTGGCATCCCTGGTTTTCACACCAGATTGTGGACGATACCGATGCAAACACTGCTCAGACAAAAGAAGATCATTACATGGCGGTACTGTCACCCCCACCAATAGACGACCATACATTCATCAATGCTCTTCCGACTCCAAAACCACTGTCAGAGCTTATCGTGGAGACCAGAAAGCGACTCCAATCATGTCCAAACGCTCTAGTCGGCGAAATTGGGTTGGACAAGGCCTTCAGACTCCCGGGTATTTGGTCACCAGATGAACTTGACAAGCGAGATGACCAATTAACACCCGGCTCACGAGAGGGACGACGTCTCTCCCCGTATAAAGTGAAGCTAGAACACCAGCGCACAATCCTCAAAGCACAGCTACAGTTAGCTGGGGAGATGGACCGCCCTGTTTCGATGCATAGCGTACAAGCACACGGCGCGTCATTTGATACTCTAAAGGAATTATGGAAAGGCCATGAACGGGTCATTCTCTCACGAAGGAAGAGAGATAAACAACAGGATGCGGAGGGGGCAGTGTCTGAGGATGAAACATCTACACCAGATAGTAAAAGCCCGCCTCCTTTCCCACCACGCATCTGCATGCATTCATATTCTGGTCCTGTGGAGCCGATCCGACAATTTTTGCATCAATCGAATCCATCAGATGTTTACTTTTCTTTCTCGAGTCTGATCAACTTCAGTGGAGCTCCGGCGAAGAAAATCGCGGATGTTATCAAGGCTTTGCCTGATAACCGAATTTTGATCGAGAGTGATCTCCATACCGCGGGTCCGCAGATGGATGCACTACTCGAAGATGTCGCTCGAAAGATCTGTAACCTTCGTGGATGGGAATTGAGACATGGTGTTCAAGTGCTTGCAGATAATTGGCGACGGTTCGTTTTTGGGTAGGGTTTGCATTGGTAGCGTATCTGTTTTGTTGCACAATTAAGTGGACTCGGAGGGCTTCGTGGGCGTATACGAAGTAGGGCTTTAATCAACGAAGCCTACTTTCGTAATTGCTTATTGTTGTATATCAGAGGTATGACTTGTATTATCATCTCAGGGAAACATGAGGCTATATTGGCAACAATTAGCCAAGCTGATTGGAAATCAACTTGATCGTCCGTATAGATACCTTGCAGTTGATTCTAACGGTGCGGCTTGGTTCCTGATCTGCACCAGTCTCGTATCACAACACTTGCAGTTCGAAGGCATTTTCCGGTCCCTCTTGCTACCCCGACTTAAGGGTCAGTTTGGAGCTGGTAGATGAGTTTCTTGAGGGAATAATCAAGATGTTTATTACTTTGATTGATGGTACAAACTTAACACCCTTTTTACACGGGGAGAATAAACGAGTCTATTAAAATTTTTCGCAAAATGATCCAGTGTGAACCAGAGCGTCGATTGAGTGCAAAAGAGCTTTATAATGCATTCATATACAGGGTGAAGAACGCAGATGAATGTATTCGATGTCACTGTTTGCAGTTATATAACAGGGTATATCTCTATCGAAACCTGTATGTGATCGTCCGACATTATATCGTAGGCTCTATGCCTTGTATAGAGCCTTTTGCAGGTAGGATTATCCTGCATGGCCTTTGGAATATATTGTGTGTATATTTGCGTGCCTTGGCATGGCTCGTCTCGTCGTCAAGGAGTAGAAAGAAAGAGAAAAAGGTAGATAGTGAAGCAGGGAAAAGAAGACGAAGAAGGTATGGCCACCTTCAGTTGTTTTATGATGGAATAGCCAAGACTAGTGAGGAACCCATCCTCCATCATGGATGAGATCCGCCATTGGGGCATCTTGCCAGTATATCTGTCGCCACTCGTCTTCGAGCTCGGGGAGACCTTCCACCCCAACAGGTGGAGGCAGATCTACATCACCAAACGCGAACAGCTGGCGCCAGTCTGGATAGTCCCGAGCCGGCTCGATAGAATCCACTTGCATGCTGCTTGAGAAGGGATCGTTTCTTTCCAATGGACCCACATTGAGTCGGAGAGGGGCAGTGATCCAATTGTCGAATTGAGTAGGGGGCTGCGGTGAGAGAGTATGCTGTAGGGTTGTAGAATCCGGGGTATGAACACCAAATGACATGGGCCGCGGTGTTGGTGCCATGGATGCTGATGAAGCGGGTGAAGCAACCGGAAGTTTGTGTGAATGTTGAGGATCGCCAAATGGCTTGGGCCGTTCAGTGGTTGCCATGCGAAGATCCTCTTGCAAGCGTTTGGAATCCTCGAAGAGTCGCAGGATTGTGCCAGCATGGACCCAGTATTGAGCCAACTCGCGCAGCGAGTAAGATGCTGAATCGAAACGCCGCAAGGCGTTGATCGCAAGAACTGGATTAGAGAACCGAAGCTCAACCCGAACTTGGATCATGGCTGTGAAAAGAGTGTGAACACCAGTGTACCAGAGATATTTCAAGCGATCATTCATCCTGAGCTCTTCAAAGATGGACGCAATCACACCGGCTGCTGCACTACAAATTTCTGCATCGTGGGGACCATAATCATCGGAGTATGCTGAGGCTCTGGGATGTGGCCTATGTAGCAAAATGAGGAAGTTGTTGTATGTCAAATGGAGCATGGCGGACCATGGATCCATGTCAGATGCTCGCAGACGAAGGTTGTCAGGAAGCTTTAGAGACCAAGTTGCCAATGAACTATCAGCTTCCTGCAGAACAGCCTTTCTTCGTTCCTCACTTGCGCGAAGCCCAAATCGATCACGAATGAGATATGAGATCATTGTGCAGAGCTCAGTAAAATGTATCACATATTCCGATTGTACGTGGGGACCACAGTTTTCGAAATCAGCAGTAGTCAAAGGAGAAACATCGGAATCGTCCAAATTGCTGAAATGAAAACTCATTAGCATCGCTCTAAGCCAATACATGGCGACCACTTACATTGCTTGGGGTCGGCCGTATGATAGAGATATTAACACATCGAATTGGACCAAAATGAACCAGACTCTCCGCCACATGCGTCTATCGCGGGTCACGAAACTACTAGAAACGGGATTTCGATGCATGCCAAGTCCCGTGGCAATTCGTGCAGCTGCACCCACCCAAAAATGAGCATCTGCAGCAACATCATCGTCTGCACTGTCCGAATGCCACGTCAAAAGAAGGGCAGCTTGAACGAGAATGTCTCGGTTTCTCTCAATGCGATTATCGAACAAATATTTAGTGCGTCGAAAAAAGATTTCTTTAAGAGCGTCTCGCTCTACCTTTGCACGGGAAACATGTGTTCCAACAAGGAGAATAGCTTGCAGAAGTAAGATCGGCGGTGGATCTGTGGGATCTCGATTCCGATACTGTGTCATGAATAAATCTTCATCGATGATCGGGTAACCTGGGTTCACATAGGTAAAATACGCTTGCACTAGTTCATCTGCAAGTGCCGGTTCGGGAAGTGTCAGAGCATCCATTAGAAGCTGATCATGGCCGGTCTTCATTTGGCGCCGGGGAATTTCGTTGCTGGCAAAGTGGTATACATCGTCATCTTGGTCTCGTTGTTGCCGGATCAAGAATGACATATTTGATAGTTCATGCCCGACGTAGAAGGCACGCACACCTCTCTGGATTTCCCTCCTACCAGAATCTTCCTCATCTATCAATTTCACGAGATGTTGCTCCATCTCCGAGTGTGCCTCGTGAGCATGCGCCAAGTCCGGGCCTTGGCGCCCGAATGCCTCCGATCCAGTACCTTGCTGGAAGCCATTTTGCGGGATACCTCCGGCGAGCGGTGTGTGACCGGGAAAAGCAGTGGGAAAACTTGGTGGGAGCGGGGTCCCCGCTGCAAGAGAAGGGTTCGAAGTAGGATCAGACGCGGGGAGTGGCCGAGATCGGATCGGAACGGGATCTAGAATTGAGCGCACCGCAAGACGCTTTTTCTTTTCGTGTATACGACAGTCGGACTTTCCAGAGGCACGGCAGTTTGTACAAGGGGTTCCGACGACACGGGCATCACAGCGAACTTTGCGCCGGTGGCAATGGACACAGGCGGCGGAGCCTAAGAAATTTTTGAGTCACCAGTTAGCCGTCATTCATTGCTCGAGAAGTAGCCCATAAGAGACGCAAATATTGACCAGGCGAAGACATCGGAAAGGAGCAGTACCTTGCTTTCGCTTCGATCCGTCGCCCGGTAGCGGCGAAGAGTTATCGTTGACGGAGGACATAGCAAGTCATCCTAGATCCGAGTGGACCAAGATTCTGCATCATTCGAGTCACAAAGACTAGTCGTTCAAGGCATCATGGCCGAAGAGCAGACAAAAGAAAATAGCGTCTGCGCGGTCTATACCGAGGGTTAGGCCACAATGAATAGACAAAAGTCGGGGCGAGATCGGGTCCTCACGTGGGATGCGGAGAGGGCACAAAAGCTTACGTAAACCAGCCTCGCCACGATGACACATTGATAGGGCTTTATATACTTCGGTTGATAACTGTTTCATACGCGGAGCTTGTGGTTTTTTCCAGTATTTCCTGGTTTTACCAACAGAATACAAATCTGTCTCATAGATTTGAAGCAAGCCAGCTTGATGAGATGAGCGTTTTACTTATGTTTTACTCCTATTTGACACCATGACACCGGGAAACAGATATGATTTAGGGAGAAGTATCTTAGCAAGTATCAGGTTGGCCTTACTTTATCAAAACTGCATTTAATATGCTCTTGTCTGCTCTCTGTTCAACTCTCACCTCTTTTCAATGTCTATAGATCCTGTAGGTTTTTGTGGAGTGTTTAATTTATACTAGACCTTCTTTGTTTGCTTGCCCTAGCCCATGAAACTGTTAGTATGTAACTCTACCACAAACAAGCACCATTATCCTCTCCTTCTCTACCTATTGGAGAGGAGTCTGGTCCTCACTTGTGAAGTATTCTCACTGCTCTCGAGCTCAAAGCTCAAAACTACACTGAATAGTTCTCCCAGGGCTCCTCGACCCATTACCTAAGCTTAAAACTAACTCAATAACAGTCCCCACTCAAATTTGAAGATCGCTCATCCAATCAACGATCTGGCCCCGGGTGTTTAGCCTAACATTTATTCCATCATGATGTGAAAATTGCCATTGCGCTTTGCCATTCGATGTTTATCCGTCACATGACTTCTAATGCACCCTTAGTCCGTTTCTCAACATGAAAACCAGTCATCTCATTTCATCTCTTCTTCTACCATGGGGCAGTCAGAGAGGTTGGCCAAAGCACTCTCCTCACGTGGTCGTTATCGGCAAATGTCTATAATATGGACTCTTGAATATGATCATAATGGCTAGTGAGATCGAGTCTTCTACATCCGATGGATCTTGCTGATGTAAGAAGACTGAGGATTCTCTCGCAACACACCTTGCACAGCCTCACAGTATGTGAGAGCGCGATAAAGAGCAATTCAGACACCATTAAGCTATGAAGTATTATTAGGAATATGATAGAGGCTTCTTTAAACCCCTGAATGGTTCAATATTCAGTCAACTTGAAGACAAATTTAGTATTTTCGGGCACTAGAGATCTCGACAAGACAGTTGGCGATCTAAATTACGAATTACTTCGTGAATTTTACTCACCCCACCGTAAATTCGCACATAAAGCAGTTATGGTGTGTTCGTTCCGTGCGCTGAGAAAGCACAGGTATTCCTTTTGTGTGGTGCAGGATGCTTCTAATCTCCTTCGGAGAGCTTTCCAATGCAATGGCTTAGACTAAGACTGCAGGTGTATTCAATTCTTGTCTAGTGGCTGATAGACTCGCTACAAATTGTTGAGGCCTTGGACGATTGTCGCTGAACTCAGTTTCTTTGCTTGGCCGTTGTCCTTCAACACTCGGACCACCGGACGCCGGCAAGTGGACCGAAATAGAGTTCAAACCAATCAACACCAAGGGCTGTATTCAGCCTCAACCTCCGGTCCGCTACCTCGAAGCTATTGAGGCGCGTCGCTTGGCCCAAATCAATGAAAATAGTACTCGTGAAGCATTAGGCTGTATGGGGCTAGAGCTTGTGATCTTAATGCCGACCAAAAGCTTCGATGTATTCTTGATAGTTCTCTATAAAGTGTGCATATCCGTCATTTAATTTGCCTTCACCATGCTCAACAGGCTTGGCCAAAGCCGAGTTGCAGCTCCATATCTTCTGCCAGCTCATCTGTAAACGGAGACATTAGAATGTCAAACCAGACAATGTCTCTTGTAATCTCAAACACGTCGTATGCCGGTAAACGGTTCATTGCGCGCGTTTCTCTCCGAAGCTCCTGTATGTATACTTCTCTTCCGTCATGGGGCTGCAACAAAGCAAGAGTAACGAGAGCCCATACTTTCAATTCCAAGTACCTTTCCCCAACCAATCTTATGTTGTGAGACACGAACTCAGTGATTCTGTTCTGTAGTGCAACTCTCTCGCTCGCTGGAAACGCAAAAAGTTCTTTCAACCTTGACATAAGTATCAGAGATGTCAGCCGCACCATCTCTCTCGCGATAAGATCTTCTATGTTATCCATGGTCTCAAAATTGCGAGGGAGCCTCGGCATCGAGAGTAAAAAGTGAATGCAGGGGCCGATCAAACTGATTGCATCGATGTCCCTCTTCCAGAAGGATGTGGAACGGCTATTAGTGTTGATCACATCGGATACTAAGGAAATCCATTTCAAGGCCTCGCCCGCTGGAGCAATTGTGGGCGACGTAAGTTGGATAAGTACGGCTTGTAACCTGGGTGGAACGTCCCTCAAGGATTTATGAGATGTACCGAAATGATCTGTTGGGAGACAAAATCTCGGTGATGAGTCAAAAATCATTCCACCAGCCAGATCGTATCTGTGTGAGCATCAGTCAAAAATTCGGTCCAAGCATAGAGGATGAAAAGAGCGCTCACAGCAATATAAGCAGGGGCATGTTATATCCAAGCTCGGCAAACCCGCCACGTAGTTTAGCTATGAGGCTTAACCCATCCATGTGGACCCTCCAACTATCCCATTCAAAGTGCCTCATCTATAGGAATGAATCGTTATTGAAAATCTTGTGGTAGCGATTGGAAGACATACAGTGAGACAGACATGGGCCAGTATGTTTGCAATGGCCCCTTCTGAGATACTCTCTGCAAAGTTGTTGAGACGTCGTCTCAAGTGCCTCGTTGAGGTCTCATAGTGACCAAGAACCTCCGGGCTTTTGATAAGACTAGAATTGCCCTTGATCTTATTCAAAAAATCAGCAGCATTACCGAGGGTCACATGGAATGCTCCAGGGTCGCATAATGCTACATTAATCCAAAGTGTTCTGAATGGTTGGTAAGGTGCGGTACGGACTGATGTCAAGCAATTACAGTCAGATGAAACGATCAAAGAGTAAAAAGGAAAGGTTAAACTCTTACGAAAGTGCATGAGCTCGAGAACACGCATATCAGCATTGACAGGAAAGTCACCGAGCGTAGCTAGGCCCCGACTAGGTGGATCGATTCTTATGTTTACGTCACAGTGCTGAGAGGGTTTGTAACGGTTCAACTCCACAGAAGATGCTTGGGTGGGTTGTGTCAATGTCTCTTTGCAACGTGGGCGCCTCCGTCGTTGGCCGATATCTTTCATAACATGACGACGGATCTCCGTTCGAACCTCTTTTTTCTGGCGCACGTCATCTGGATGCGAGAGGTTCACGAACTTGAGGTCCTGAGTGATTGTAGGCTGTATACCTATATGTCAGCTTGCCAGCACCCGTGATTAACTGGGGGACGGACGAGCATGATTGGCGCCTCCTGCCCTGGTAGACCTACACTTCCAAGCTCCCAGCTCCCTTTGCTCATTGCGTGTTCGAGCGATATAATCACTTATTGATCCAAATATCAGCAAAGCATCTCAAGCAGTGACTAGTTCTCGGCTGCGTTCGAAAGGCCGGCCGGTTGATAAATTAACCGTATTTGTCAGCAAACATGCGGCCCGCATCAAATAACTGCATTAAGACAATGGCAGTAGCTTAACTCCGAACAATGGAGGACACTCCATCCACTGCCCTGTCTACTACCCATTCGCCATAGGGATTTCTAGAAGACTGTTAGCAACAAGTTTATGAAAGCCAAGACGTATAAAAACTCTTCCTGGCGAGTTTCGTTTGATGAGATACCATTCTCTATGAAGGTAAAATAGTTATATTGATCGGCCATCATATCTGAAAACATGGCGGCTATCAGCAGCAGAGAAGCAGTTCCTTTATCCCTGTGACTACATCTTGTGTTTACTCCGCTGAGTTAATTTGTTGAAAATTGATTGTAAGCCGGGCGCCAAACTCTCTATTTTCATATGGAGAAAGTTGTGAGCTATTTCATATGTGGCTCACTCTTATGACAACCAAACCTAGAACGTATGGCCAATGAATACCTTAGTGGTCCGAATGCATAGGTATCATTAGACGTCGTTTTCATCTCCTCTCAATGCCGTGAAATCAGTCTCCTGGCAATACTCACGGAACGAAGTCATCTTCAGACCCAACTATAAAAATTTCATCAACAATTGTGAGCAAAACAGGATTAAATGGAAGTTGAACCTACCTGTTCAGGTCTTACTACTGTAGGGTCAATTCCTTCGTAACCAAACTCCAGCGCAAACATAACATTGTGGGCGAACTCGTGACCAAGACCGCCGGGAAGCAGCTCGCAGAACTTGTCGTAAGAAAGTGCATCATAACCACCATACTTCAAGCCTTGGGTTTCACAAAAGGTTTGGAGATAATCTGACCATGACACATATTGTCCAACGGCAAATAAGTTAACATTGGGCTCAGTTTCAGCAACTGCCTTGACGCAGGGACCTAGATCTTTGCGGACGTCTCCGAACGGAATGCCTTTATCACCTGGTCCGATGCCGGCCATCCGCCAGCTGCCGTCATGTGTCTATTCAATGAAATGTCAGCTTCCATTTTGTAAAATTGGCAAATAACAACTCAAAGAAACAAGATGCATTTTCATACCTTCTTCGGAGTTGTAGGAAGTCCCCATTGCCAAGGAAGCTGGAAATATATGGGGGCCTGAACTTGCGAAAACTTTCCAGCGAGGGCTGAAAGGCTTTGGGCATAGAGAACCGCGTCGGCTTTGGAGTCCATGTGATAGATTTTATCGAATTTCCCGTTGCTGGAGGTTCCTGCGTGGGCCATTGAGCTAAAGATATAGCGGAATAGGCCGGGAACAGTCGCCGCAGCATCGGCAATGTTCTTTCCCTGCTGTAGCTCCACATCGTAGCAGTATTCAACAAGCTCTTGATCGGGCTTCTTCTTTTTCTGGCTCTCTGGATCTTTGAAGATTGTCCAGAAGTCGGTGACACCGAATATAATGTGTGCTCCCACAAATGCTTGCTTCAAAGATTCCACATCATCAAGGTCGCCTTTGACGATTTCAATCCCCTTTGCTGCCCATTCTTTTGCGCTGTCCGATGCAGGGTTCCGAGTCACACCGCGAATCTTCCAACCGGTACTTTGAAGGTAGGTGTCGGCCACGGAGCTTCCCTGTAGCTTTTGTGTCAGTAATTCGCGGGCAAACCATTGTAAATAAGTCGTACACAGGGGCATTCAAACATACTTGCACACCGGTCACACCAAGAATCACAATCAGTCGCGACATTGCGGAGGAAATATTCTCTGAATAAATACGATTTAAAATGCTTTGACGAGTTTGGATTGACGAAGAATGTCCTTGAATTATATCAAGTCCCAAAAATATAATGAGTCGCTCTTTTATAAGACTTGAAACGATCAGGCCCTGACACAGATACTTATACTTTGGATCTGGGGCCGGTCAACTTGTCATAAAATAGCGAATTTGTACCTCTGCCTTTTGGATTGATAATCTGCTTTCCCATTATCAATTACTTTGTAATAATATTTTGGTGGATTGATGCTCATAGGTTTGATTTCTCATCTATCAGACGCGTTTTATCATTTCTTGCATCTAGGGAGAGCTCCACTTTGAAACTAAAATATATCGACTAGGCCTAAATGAGCGTTAGGCTCCGGCTAACAGGGATGACCAGCGTCCGTATTAGGTTAGAGTGACCCACTCACTTGTTTCCTAATCGGGAACATAGGTTTCATCACCTGCAAGTTATTCCTCGCAGCGGTTGTCAGCGAGTCTACACACCACGGACTTCTCCGACATGATAGGTGGTAACAGTCTAGTTCATTCCACAGGCTTGGATGATATCAGAGACCGACTTTTGAATTAATAATATCGGATTCGGCTTGCAAATTGTAAAGCCGAACTGAAGTGCTTAAATACGTGCATCCTACCCCTAACAATGTCCTTCACCAATCTATCACAGTATCACTCTACTACCTACTTCACTCAATTTTCTATATTTCTTTGACCTTGTCTTCTGAAAGCCTAATTGACGAGATGTCTCTCAGCAAAGAATTATCCACCACCTACAACCAGTTTCTTGAAACTGCTCCGAAGGAAGTGTCTTCCGTCATAACAGAGGCGGTAGGCAACTTCAAAAACACCTACGATCCCGCGAAAGCGATTCAGCCCGGCAGTCCCTTTCCGCAATTCCAATTAGGCGATGCGATGGGCAACAAAGTGACGCTGAATGATCTCCTCGCCAAAGGGCCCATCCTGGTCTCGTTCTACCGGGGTGAGTGGTGCCCTTTTTGTAACCTCGAGTTACGTGCACTGCAAGCCCACCTAGACGAATTTCACCAGAAAGGCGTCACTTTGGTAGCGATTTCTCCGGAGCTACCTGATCAGGCGCTGTCCACGTCTGAGAAGCTATCGTTGAAATTCTCCGTACTTTCGGACGTCAACAATGAGCTGGCAAAGAAGCTGGGTCTTTTGTTCGCTCAGCCTGAATCTATGCAAACTGTTTTCGACAAGTTCGGCGTGGATTGGAATAAGCGCTATGGCAATAACCAGTTGGAGGTGCCGGTTCCTGCCACCTTTTTGGTCGACAAGACCGGAATTGTCCGCAATTCTTTTGTGAATCCTGAATACCAGCACCGATTGGACCCCGAGACTGCGCTCCAGTGGATTGAGCAGCTTTGATTCTGGCTTTTGATAAGCGCTGTCTCTTGCACTCGTTTGAAGTCTACCTTCTTATGGCTATCTACTTCGTGATTAGGTGTGAGAATAGCGTACTTATACAGCTTTAAATGTACTGAAATTGTGTACGCTCAAAATACGATCCCTGGTGTCGTGTATTTTGAACTTTCTTTTTCAATGCCCTGAGCATGTAGTTTGATCGCTTCCTTCTAGGCATTGAATGTAGTTGACATCAATCCCACTAACATCCTCATTGCCAATAACAATACTCCAATGGGGAATATAATTCTCTCTCCTAGACACACCCCGCTTTCCTAGAGCATCTTTTTCAGGGAGCGCAGTGACAAGGACACAACACATGGCAAGTAAAGCGAAATACATCGTTGCTGGGCGCTGGCTTGAACCTTTTGCTGGAAGAAAGCGACATCGTCTTGCTGCCCGTCGTGACAAAAGAGAAATCCGATCTACCCTACTTGCTGTAGCTTCAGATATATACTTTGCTGAAATTCAATCAATCTTTTGTCGAGCTGAGAAGTAGTATTACATCACTAAGAATTGGCTGATAGCGACTGCCCACCCTCCATATATTTTGTACGGTAAACCGGGTCAACTCGGAATAACTGCGTTGTAAAACACAATACTAGCCTCTCAGGCTATGAGAGGCTCTCAACGGGGATCTCAAGGATAGTTCTTCAGTCAATTCATTCAATTGGTTCTCTCAGTACTAGCATGTATGGTTATCCTACGACCCATTCATTGTGTTCTTTATACTAACTGAATTTTGGTTGGTTGATACCAACTCACGTGATTGATCGATTTGTCGTAGGGGAATTACGCTCCCATCGCTTCCAAAGTTTACCTCGAACACTTTGTCAGCCAGTTGTTCAATCCTCATCTCGAAATCAAATGTGGACATCCTAGCAACAAAGGGGACCTTCGGATTTGGTAGAACCCGAGAGTTGTCTGACGATACCTGTTCTCACTTCAAGCTCATCTTTCCAGATAGCTTTCTGCCTTTGCTAAGGATGAATGAGCATCCACTGCAAAGCTTCCCCGAGAAAAGCGCAACAAGAAGCTTTGATGGTTGCTGGACCTGTCGGATCAGACGCAAAAAGTGCGATGAGAGGCGCCCTGTTTGCGTCACCTGCGCTACCCTCTGTATCTCCTGCCATTACAGCCATGATAAACCTGAATGGATGGATGGCAGTGCGAGGCAGAAGCAGATGGCTAAGCAGATCAAGGCCGAGGTAAAGGAACGTGCCGACCGTCGCCGCTGGGAGAGAGTCGGCTATGCTTCTAGCCCTCCTCCTGGTACTGTCACTGTCCAATCCGGGCTCATCGAACCACCGGGGCAACTGTCCGATAGCCAGGCTCCTCCAACCGCGTCACCAGCAAACGGCGAGGCAGGTCAACCCCAGGCGGCTGTTTATGATTGCAGGCCAGACCTCCTTAATGACAATGATGGTAGCATGTCGTTGGGCCAATGTGATCATTTACTTTTCACATTCTATCTTGAACATCTCCTGCCGTTCTTATTTCCCTTCTACCATCCGCCCATTCTTCAAGGTGGTCGAGCATGGATCATGGAGCTCATGCTTGACAGTCCAGTTTTGCGACAGGCCATTCTCTGCCAATGCTCATATTTTTTCTCTTTTATTCACGGGTCAAGCGATCCTCGCCTTGACGAACTGGTGGGTGCGAGAACGAGGGATGCATTTGTGATGTTGCGGCAATCGATTCAGTTAATGGGCGTCTCAGACATAACGGAGAACTTTCATCGTGCAGCCCAGATCCTGGTCAGCATTATGCAGTTGCAGCGGTTTGAGATTGCTATTATGAGCTTTGCGAATTGTCAGGCACATCTCAATGCGGCAGTGGCTTTATTCAAGCGGCTGATGGAAAATATTGGTGCTGCTAAGACGATTGGGCCACGCTTAGCATTTAATAATGTCCTGCATCTTCTTGGTCCATCAACGCGAATCTTGCCGACGGACAGCTTCCAGGTCCCTAGCGCCGAGCAGGCGGCTTTCTCGTTCGCGTCTACGCTAGTGATATTTGATGATATTATTGCGAGCACTGCGTTACAAGAAGAACCGAAGCTGTACCAATACCACCTCGCTCTACTTGATGAACCTCACAGTTCTATCCATACCGAGGCAGTGCTGGGCTGTCAAAATTGGATCCTACTGGGCATCAGCCAGATCGCTCGTCTTGACGCATGGAAACAACGCTGTAAAAGAGCAGGAAGTCTCGATATGACGGAGTTAGTTCGCCGCGCCTTGCCTATTAAGTCCTCACTGGAGGCTCGCCTTGCACAACCGGAAGTACAACCGGAGGCGATAACTCGGGGGTCTGGCACTCTATCAAGTAATTATTTCGAAAATTATGGCCAACGACCAGAAGCCATCTGCGAGAAAGTCCTTGCCATTCATGTCTGGGCGCATGCCACGTTGCTTTATTTATTTGTCGTGGTATCTGGCTGGCAGCCTCGCAGTGCAGAAGCTGCGTACCATGTCGCCAAGATACTCGATATCCTGTGTAACAAGACGGAAGCGCAAAGGCTCCTTCGGACCTTTGTTTGGCCATTCTGTATTGCTGGCTTTCTCGCACAGCCTACCGATGAATCTCATTTTCGAAAACTAGTTCACGATCTACAGCCGCCAAATATATTCGGCACCGCACGCAAAGCGCTTGAATTGATGGAGAATATATGGCTCAACAGAGATGCGGAAAACAGTATCAGATATGACCTAGGTACATTGTTTAACAGTCCAGGGGAGCTCATACTCCTTGTTTAACGATAAGAGCACTACAATCCCAGAATCGCGCCCAATTTCAGCCCAAATGGTTCAATCGAATTTGCCGTAGCCTTCGCCAGCGACAAAAGTCGCGTGCCACGGGATGTCTTTTTCATGACTGGCCAGCTGTGTATAGAACTCCCCATGAGCGGGTCCATCAAGGTTGTTTCCCTTGCCCTTTCCCCCTTCAGCGCGCTCATCCGCATAGTGGAATCTATTCCGTCCATCGTTAGCTGAAATCCCGACCGCATTTCCATGACTATACACACCTATATCCCTTGGTCGCGTATGTTTCATCTGCAACCGCGATCCAGTACGTGCTCGCGCGCTTCCCGACTCCCAAGTTCAAGAACAGCGGCAAGGGCGCAACTTGGACGTTTAGCGGGTTGCCTGTGTAAATGAATGTCTTTTTCAAGTCTCCCGGCAGGGTGGCCCACCCCTCTACAGCCTTTGGGGCGGCAACATACGGGCTAACCGTGTTCACGTTCAGGTCGTTCACGAATCTTTCTCTTGGGATTGACAGGACAGAGTCATTGTCTGGAGGAGGGGTCAGGCCCGCCGCATTATAAATAACAACGCTAGGCGCCGCGCCGAAAACGTTCTTTACGGAATCAAACAGCGCCGGGATTGAGGAGGGATTGTCAAAGTCGGCGGCGAGGGAGAGATACCCCTCGGATGTCTTGGCTCCTGTTCCGGACCGAGATGCGGTTGCGACGCTGTAGCCTTTACTGCGGAAGGCTGCTGCAACGGATGCGCCGACTCGGGGGCCGGATCCGAGGACGAGGGCGACTGGTTGGGGTGACATTATAGAGTTGGAACTGTAGCTGGGATTGGAGTTGATGATAGATGAACTGGTTTGAGGGACACATCACTATAGTTATATGTACTCTGCCGAAGTCCCTATTTACTTGCATCTATAAGCATCGATCCTGCTTTGTGTCATGTCGCGCCATCTTGGTCCAAATGAGACTATGCACCGATTATGCAGCCTCACTCAAGAGCCGACAGTCCAGACACATACTACTTGGGGAAAGCCGCGCGGTAACCCCACAGATCGAGAGTGGAGCCAGCGCGCGGCTTGTGGGTCTCAAGTGCCCACGGGGAGAATACCCAGCGGTATGTCGCAATTACAAATTCAGCGTGCAGCGCATATTTTGTTTCTTGCACTTTTCCCGATTCCTTCACGTCGAGATCTGCGGAATTTGAATGCCAATAGATGAGCCCATAAAGCCATGTTTTCAGATAGTAGTGGAAACATTTTTTCCAGGACTTACTCCGTTCCTAAAAGGGCGGTCTGATCTCCGTTCACGATCTCTTGTTGGCTATTTCGTGCTATTGTGTCTTCAAACAAACATTTCGTGTTCCTGTCTTTACTCATACCTTCATGAATCGATTGATACACTGGTCCCTTTTATTCCTACGGGTTGAGCTTTGTAAATAAGATTTATACAGAAAATTTCCCATCCCTGCTCGCTGCTAGCAATTTCAGGACAGGGCTTCTCTTTATAGCTGTACCTAAGCTGATGGCTCTACACGGTAACTGGTCGATATGCCTTACGTAGCAAAGCGACGCTTTTGTGTGAGTGTGGGTGATGTAGGTAAGACATATCGGGATCAAAGTGAGGCAGGCGAGAACGAGACCTGGCTGCAACCCTCGGATGACCTTCATGACCCTGACCCTGGTCCTTCAATTGGGTCACGAACGCGAAGGGCTGTGGCCGAATTGGGTCAATCGAGCATTGCCTGGACGCGGTTTACATACATCTTGGAAAACTATTAAGAATGTAGCAGTTTGCTGATGTATCGAATGCGATTAGGCGGCGGCGAAGCTGTATATAAGGTCTTGGCGGTGTTATGCTATGAGATGAGCATAGCCAGGTCTGATTGCAACAATTTTCAACACCCCATCGGTTCCCAGGCCTTACAATTGGATCAGTCCCAACCCCCCAAATGCCACCACTGCTGCCCCTCCACACAATCCCCAAATCCCCTTGTCCCATCCTCTTGGCCCTTGTGTCGCCACCCATGTATCCACCACACATACAGCAGTCCATGCCGTCAAGATAACGCCCATCTCCTTCCCTTTTCCTTCGCTATGAAACCAAAATAGCGCGCTTGCCAGGGCGATATCGCGAATTCCAAGAAATATCATTGCTTTGTCGGCTGTGTCGCGACCTTCTGGTGTCGTAGGGATGACCCCGAGAGAGCTTGCAGCGAGGGACGGGGATAGAATTGCTAAGCCTCCGAGAGAAAAGACAGTCGCTGAAAGGCCAAGGCCGATGAAGCGCCATGTTGACGGAGTGAAAAGGCGATTGGGGAAAGCCATCGTGTATCGTCTGCGAGAAACTGAATACTTGATTTTCTTGTAGTGAGATGGAATGAAAGGGGGTTTATTTTGGATGGGCAAGCCGCGCAAGTGGTGAGTGCTGAGCTTCATATAACCCCACGCCTCTATCCAGCTATGTCACCGTATGCACCGCGGAGACTTTTGGATTGTTCTAACTCTCCGCTGCCGACGGGGACTCCGGCACGATCATCTGCATTGATTCAAACTTGCCAAGATCTTCCAGTAAAATAGGATCGAAAGTGGGGAATTCAAACCGAGACCAAATGAATCACGATGAGTGGTAAACTTAAGTTACGTTCGGAAGCTCATTGGATGTTCTGTTTCCATGAGGGTGTCTGTGGGGATCTGCATCCATTGCTTGTTGAGTAATCCCTCATTTTATGCCAGCCGCTGGAGCTACCATCTATGATTGATCAGCGTTAATCAGCATGAATTAGCCCTGAGATGGATACCTGAAGTGGTCATTAAAGGATTTCCGGTGGCATCCGCATCCAATTTGGTGGTGACGATCCACAAAACGCACCTCTTCCAAACCATACCCGGGTCGATCAGGCCAAAGCAAACTAAATCATGAAAAAAAAAAAGTCGCCGAAGCCTCCCACTCTTTCATGGTTTTGTTCCCTCGACTTCCAGGGTGGTGCTCATTTCGGCAGCATTGGCAACTATAAAATAGCTAGCAAGCCGCATCGGTTTTTTATTCTTTTCCATCGCAACAATCTCAATTAAAATACACAAGCCAACGCTAAACATCGACTCCTTCGCTATCCATCATGGTAGCCACGAAACTTATCGTTATTCTCGGTGCCACGGGAAACCAGGGTGGTTCAGTCGCAGAGGTCTTCCTCCGGGAGCCGCAATGGCGTGTCCGTGCCGTGACCAGAAACCCAACGAGCACAAAGGCCCAAGCCTTGGCTGCGCGCGGTGCAGAAGTGGTCCAAGCAGACTTGGATTCGCCATCGACCCTCGTGTCGGCCTTCGAGAATGCGCATGCTATCTTCGCCGTTAGCGACTTCTGGGGCCTATACTTTAACCCTGCCAACCAAGCCAAGGCGAAGGGTCAGCCGCTCAATGTCTGGGCAGCCAACCATGAAACCGAGCAACTAAAGGCCGTTATCGCCGCTGCTGTGGGGGTTCCTACACTGGAGCGCTTCGTGTTGTCCTCCCTCTCCAACGCGACCAAGTGGTCCCAGGGAAAGTACACGCACGTCTACCATTTTGACTCGAAAGCCAAGGCGGAGGTGTGGGGAAAAGAAACTTACCCGGAGCTGTGGAAGAAGACAAGCATCTTCCAGGCCGGGTTTTTCTTGAGCAATTTTGTCTCGAACCCGAACTTCCAGCCCGTGATGGTAAGTTGTTGAATGATCTCCTTGACCCGCCGGATCATCTCTAACATCTCTCTAGGCAGCGCATGGCGTAGCTCAGTTCGTTGGCAATCTCGATCCAGATCTCAAACTGCCCTTCATCGCCGCGGAAGAAGACACTGGGCCGATCGTGAAGGCCCTCGTGCAAGAGGGCGCCGGAAAGAATGTCATCGGCCATAGGGCGTGGTGTACCCTACGCGAACTCTCCGAGGCATTTTCGCAAGCCAGTGGAACAGGGGCGGAATGTGTCATGTTGCATAAAGGGCAGTCGCACGTTCCTGTTCCGCCCGAGTTGAGCATTGAATTAGACGATAATTGGGCTTACTGCAACGAGTTTGGTTATGAGGGCCGAGATGACCCCACAATCATTCACCCCAAAGATGTGAGTTTGTCCACGAATTTCTCTGTTTTTCTATTATATTGCTGATATTTCAATTAGTTGGGCTCCCCCCGCAGCTGGACAATATGGTGGATTACTTCAAGAAGCAGGATTGGTCAAAGGTGCTCGCACAAGGAAAGTAGTTTTCCAAGCGCTACTCTGCACGGGATCGACTTCCAATATAGTCTTACCTTCTGATCAAGGGTTCTGTCTTGGTTCACCCGCTCTCCCTCCTGAATACAACTTGGTCCCTAGATTTGAGGCGACTTCAGAGTGAAAAGAGATAGGACGCTAATCGAATATCCATCACTATGTTGTACCAAATCTGCATTCCCTATCGTATTTCTTGGGCAGACACGGTTCTCTCAATTCACATGTTATCAATGTTCTAGTAGAATTTCTCTACTGCACAATATTCATCCATACCTAGGTCGAGGAAACTTGGGCGAATCAATGGCGGCCAAAGCCGCTCATATAACTCGTAGTGATGGATTTTGCGTTCCTGTCGCCTCTTCGAGATTAGAAAGCGCCTCATAACTTCCCTTGTTCAATCAAGAGCAGTCGACTCCTGGATCAGAATAAGTATGTGTATGTTTATTTTTGTTCCTATCAATAATACAAGAGGCGTTACTAGATAGAGACATTATAAGTGATAGGCGTAACAGTAGAATTTAAAGCAGATTAAAACTGTAGAACTGAAGAAAGAGTGACTATAGCTAGATACATAAATGAGAACAAAGCAAGTTCTCGAAGATAGGGATGTTGAATCTCCAAGAGGCAATAAGGTTCTCCTTCTTTAGCCGCATGAATACCTGTACTGTTGAAGCTTGCCAGGTATTGTGAAACTGTCCGCGACAAGATTGGGCTCTGACAGAACCCCATATCTTCTCTTAAGAACCGAACCATAGAAATAAAACCAAAAGTGCAAAGAAGACCAAAATAGACATAGAGAATTGGCTCAATATAACTCCCACCACACGGAGCCATACATACCATCATAAAGGGGCTCGGGCCCCCACGAGAAAGACCCGGAAAAGTTCAAATATCAGCAATTGGGCCTGATATCATGTTCCAAGTGCTGATATTAGAACCGGTCCGGGCCTTTCACGAGGGGATCCCGAGCCCCTTTATCCTGCCATATACGAAGACGTGTAAGGAGTAATCGCAACACACTTTGGCTTTAGAATACGTTAGTCAAATTGGCCTTCGAAATAAGTAAGGAATGACAGAAATCTTACTGAAGATTAAACTTCAGTCTCGGCTTGCATGATGCCAAATTCGATCATCGCTGCCTTGACAACCTCCAGATTACCGCTGTCAAGGTAGATAGCCCCCACCAGAGCTTCCACGGTGGTCGCCATAATATCATTTGAAACACTTGATTGGGACGGATTCAGAACTATATATCTTTCGAGTCTGTGCGAACGCCCCAACTCATTCAGTTTCCTGTTTGATGATCGGGAGTGTAGACGAATCGTCATATTTCCTGTAGAATAATGTTAAATCAAATTTTGTCAGAGCATCAAGCGACAAGATTTACCTCGCGTATCATTCCTGGAATATCCATCAAGATCAAAAATCAGTGCGAGAACCTTATCTCCAACAAGAGCAAGGCGTTTGTTGCCGTCAGGAAAATCGGGTCTCCACGTATCCAGGGCAGTGCGAAGCATCTGCACGTTCATGAATACGTATCCCCACATATTCATCACAGCTCTGTCATTCTCTAGAGAGTGTTTCACAGCCATCTTGAATTGAAGCGAGTCTGTATAGACTGATCAGTTATTGTTAGGTAGCAAAAAGAGAATTGGAATGTAATAGCCAAAGTTGTGAGTGGGCGCCTCTATTTAAGCTACAATACATGGCTCTTTGCTCTCAAGGCTGATCGGGCTGACTGGAAACCATCGAAAAGACCTTGGGAAGTTTTGTTGGAGCCTGGGAGGTAAACTTGATTGATTGGTCTACCCCTCTGATGCAAGTTGACTTGGCCTCCCACGTTCATTATTAGTTCGAGTCTGACGCGCAGGAGAGCGAAACACTCAGTACGATTGAAATTTCCCAGATGCTGCGACAATTAAATCAGACTAATCTAGTACCTAGTACACACGCTCATACACAGCCTCATGCCCCACGACCCCTGTTTTTCTAATACTATTGGATGTCTCGCTCCACCGATAACCGGTCACAACTTCGCCTCATTTAGATTGAAATAACGGACCTTGGATTTGTAAGTGATTGCGCTAGAATGAAAGTTTCGGCATTGATCCAAAATTAAAATTTTGGAGAAATCCCCGACACCCTTTACTAGTATAATATGTAGATAGGGAAGCCTCAACAACATAAGAGAATCCGAGGCTCAAAGATTTCCCCGCGTGTTAGTACAGTATATGTCGTGTCACCTGTATGATAGGAGCAGGAGGGTTGTGCTGGCAAGGCAAAAAATATGCAGGAAGACATGCGCCAATTGTTTGGGGCGAAGTAGACAGGCATGCGCAGATGGTGTAAAGCGGCTAAAAACGATAGGCTGTATTACTCTCCAACATGCTGCCTGCTTTGCTTGCATCATTCGGACTACAGCAACCAGCCATCGTTATGGTTTTCTAGCACTAACGAGTGAGATCAAAATAATAAAGATGGAATACTCCATCCTAAAAAAAACATGCGGTTTCTTTTGATTAGTCTAGGGCTTTACAGAACTAGAAGATTGTTTGGCCAACGCTGTTTATTGCTATGAACCTTGATATAACATAATCACACAAAAGAAAAGAGAGAACAAAAGAAAAGAATAGAAAATCTTAGGCTCAACCGGGGGAAATAAACCTCTTCGGCCACTGTATGCGCTTAAGGTATACAGGTACCTCCACAACTGAGATCCCCCATTAAGAGAATATCTGCCACACTTACAAGATACTTGATGTGACTATCACGCTTTGTTATAGAAAGTTTGCCAATTAAGAGAATCTAAGAAATTGGTCAGCTTTAGTGCCACCACTCAGGATATGAATACTATTCCTTCGGAGCCTCAGGAGCATGGTTAGGAGGGCGAGGCTTCCACAGCTTGTTAGGCTTATCGCCCGCCTCACGCGGCGGGGGAGCTGGCTTGGGGGGATTTGGAATAGGAGGGTTCTTGGTCAGCTTGACCATGATGAATGTTAGATCGGGGATTGCGTGTGAGAAGGGCTGTTGTACTAACTGTTCAGTTTGCAAGTTGTTGCGATGAGCTAAGCTGAGCTGAGCTGAGTGAATGTATGTTTGTTAGATAGTTAGCTACTTGATTTTGACATGAAAGCGAGCTTATATAGCTTGGGCCTGCTAGGATGTCGTATAGTTAACTATGGCATTACTACATTGACCTCAAAGAGATGCTTTGTCTGATTGAGGTTCTTGACATTACATGCGCATAGTATAATCTAATGAAAGGGCTTCATCATAATGCCTATAGTAAAAACTTTGTTTTCCACAGTGACTATTATTATATGTCTTTTGTTTTATGAATAACTTACATGAATGCTCAAGTTCAAGGGTGTGCAAGGTTCAATAAAGAATGGAGTGGACCAAGGTGTTAATTGTCGGGTCCTATTGGATTTGTTATCACATCGAGAGATTTTGTAGATAAGACATAGTGCTCGGATGTAGCTTTCAAATTATGCCTCTATTCTCAATATTGCCTGAGAAGAGCAGGAATTATGCAAATCCATAAATGGTGGTGGATCCGATCCACCAAACCCGCCAGCATACAATAGTTGATGCGCTGGCCAATGCCAGGGTCTCCAAGGTTGAATCAGGGGGTCTCTTCCCTCAAATTCCGGAATCATTCTTCGGCATTCATATTGAACTACCAGCTGCGGCTCAAATCGAATCTTCTTTTGCGAAGCTCAATCGGCCAGTCGATCCGACTAAGATAAGTGGATCGAGAGACTCCATAAGTACTGTACAGTAGACTGTCAGCCCCCGGAAGGCTGCCGAGGCTGATACATAGACTGTACTTATGCATCTTATGCATCTCAAAGAAACTCCAACGCCAGAAGTCCGACCTTGGCCCGATCACTTGTGGACAATGTCCAAGAGATCGGCAGTTCACCATCTCAAATCGTGTCAAAAGCCAGTGCCAGCCGATTGGTATGCAAATCATCGCCATTTAGGTTCAGTACGGAGAACAGCTATCCAAGCCCCTTACGGCATTGCTTGGCTTTTCACCAGCTAGGAATGAAATCTTGGAGACCTCTCAGGGGGACCCCTGTCTAGACCTTCTTGTACAGTACAGTAGTGTATACCCGAGCTCAGCCAAAGCATGTTAGTACTTATTGATCTGGAGGATCCTATGGAGCTCCGTCTCTATGAATTTTGGAGGACCTCCTGGCAGTCATGAAGCTGTCTACGATTCTTTACTTCGCGGGCTTTAGTTCTGCTCTGCCTTCCCTCGAGTCTCCCAAAAAATTTGAGCTCAACCTCTCTTGGGAGACCAGAGCGCCCGATGGAGTCGAGCGTATGCAAGCTTTGGTCAATGGCCAGTTCCCTGGACCTCCACTCTTATTGGATGAGGGCGACAAGGTCGAGGTGACAGTGAACAATTACATGCCCTACAACACCACAATTCACTATCACGGTATTGAGTGAGTCTGTATTGTTCCAGTCAATTGAGTTCAACCACTGACTGAGAATAGTCAGCAAGGAACATCTTGGTCTGATGGTGTACCGGGGGTTTCGCAGCGTTTCATTCCTCCTGGGGGTCAATTTATCTCCAAATTCACTGTCTCGCAGCATGGAACATACTGGCAAGTCTCATTGTGTCCAGCCCAGAGCCTTGAATGCTAAAAACACATAGGTACCACTCGCACACTGCGGGACAACTCATAGATGGCTTGTACGGGCCTATTTACATCAGGTAAGATCATATTCAGTGAGAACTAGTATCAGAAAGCTAAAATGCGAAATCCAGACCGCGGACAGCAGCTAAAGACATGGCCAATGCTATGGCTAATGATATCCCAACACGCGCTCAAATATACCAAGCGATTAAAGATCCTAAGCTGGTTATGCTCTCTGATTGGTTCCACAACACCTCCGAAGAGTTGCAGCAGATCGCTGTGGACGCGGATATTGACACATTGTGAGTCTGATGAATGTATTAGCACAGCAACAACTAACAATATCTCTAGGTGTGCCGACTCTCTCTTGGTCAATGGGAAGGGACGAGTACGCTGCGTCAGCCCTGGATATGCCACCAGCCTGGTTCCACCTGACTTCTCTGCCCTGTTGCAAGGACAAAACTACACTGTGAAAGGGTAAGTAACGCGAAATTCTAAGGGAATTATTCAACTCTCATTATAGCTAACGATCAATCATGAAGATGTCTCGCACTTGACAATACCTACGCCCAAACAACCTATGCAAAGCACAACTTCAGTTTGGTGCCTCCTACCATGTATGATATCTGCAATGCTACCGACGCGGAAGAAGCAGTCATTCAAGTTGAAGGCTGGAAGGGATGGGCAAGCTTCAACTTCATCGGGTCGGCTAGCCTCTCGGTTCCAACTGGTATGTTCGCAATGGTCTTTTATCCGAGCAATGCAGACTAACCGAGACAGTTTCCATCAATAACCACTCCATGTGGGTATATGAGGTTGATGGACAATACATCCAACCAGTGCAAGTGGATGTGCGATATCTTCTGATCAATCATACGTCCCAATACAATGCTGACCCCTTTTCTAGGCACTGACAGTCGCAATTGGTGGTCGCTACTCCGCTCTAGTGAAGCTAAACAACACAGCAGGAGATTATCCCATTCTCGTTGCTAACTCTGGGTTGAACCAGAAGGTCGCAGGTCGAGCTACTCTTTCATATGCCAATGGCGATCAAACTATCTATTCCACGCCCTCTATCGACTATGGTGGTAACCCTGTGACTTCTGACGTTGTCATTCTCGATGAAAACACCATTAAACCGCTGGTACCAAACAGACCAAACCAAGAAGCGGATGAGACCTACATCCTTGATATCGGACGTTATGAGAAGGCGTGGAGGTGGTCCCTCAACGGGAACGACGCTTACGAACTGGCGATGGAGGCTGACCGGCCTATGCTTTGGGATCCCACGTCGCAGGAGAATAGCAGCCTGGTCATTTCTACTAAGAACAACACCTGGGTGGATATTATCTTCAAGATTGTTGGAGATTCCACGACCCTCCAGCCAGGCCATCCACTGCACAAACACTCGAACCCGGTTTATGTTATTGTGAGTTCTTATCGGATACAGTATCTGGTCCATCCAATTTCTAACATATTCAGGGCTTCGGTCTTGGAGAGTTCACCTACGGTTCAGTTGCAGAAGCCATCAAGGAGATACCAGAGATGTTCAACCTGGTCAACCCTCCCGTGAGAGGTATGCATGAGTCGACCCGAACAATACTTCGATATCAATGAGACTAACAGACGTACCGGGCAGATACCTTCACCAGTCCAGCAGCCTTCCAAGGACCGGCTTGGTTGGCAATTCGCTACCATGGTATGTGTCTGGATCATCCCTTTGCTGGACCCAGGCTGACGATTCTTTTCCCACCAGTGCAAAACCCAGGAGCATTCTTCATGCATTGCCACATTCAACCGCATCTGAGCGGCGGCATGGCGTAGGTTACTCGTCCGAGCTATTATACTTTAAGCATCAAACACTGACTAGCCCTTCTAGACTTGCCTTGCTGGATGGCGTGGATACCTGGCCTACTGTCCCGGCTCAATATGGGCCTGAGGGCCACTGGGGCAATGCGCCATAGATCGAATCCTGAAGGACAATGCACATAGACACGCCAAAGACTTCGGCGTCAAACGGTTTGTTATCATTTAGTACTCTTTTAATATTCATGGCTGGGAGGAGATTAGATCCAACAGCCCACTTCACAACTTGAGGTCCTCAGATCTTGACATACAAGTCCATTCTAGGAATTTAAGGCCTGAGTGAGTGCAAGAATGAGAATGGAATTTGATGCTCATGGCCATGGAATGCCTAGTAGTAGATAGAGCTGCATACCATGAAGTATTAAGACAATCAACTGATAAATACCGTTCAACGGTCTACATAATACAAAAGACAAATAGCAGGAAGACAGTTTGTCATTCAAATCAATGTACAGTCTCAGTCATCCGATGAAGCCCATAATACCTAATAACCCGCAAAACTCCTCATTATAAACGGCCTTGAAGCAGGCCTGGTCTGTCGAATAGAACGCAATCCAAGGATTGGTAACCCTTCTAGGTAGAGACACCCCACATTCCGCTGTATCCAGTGGCCGAGATAACAGTGTAGACAAACACCGAAACCAAAGACGCCTGCACGCTTCACACTTCCGTTCTGAAAACCTCAAAGATGGCTATCCCAGGACATGCCTTCTTTGTTGGAATCACCCCCTAGTAGCCGTCTCCGCCTGCGCCGTTGTGGGGCTGGCCAACCATGGCTGGGTAGCCATATGCTGCGGCATCTTGCTCTGATGGGTCAAGGTTCGGGTTAAGCAGGGGGTTGCCGGCTTCCGCATCAGGGAATCCTGTTGGACGGGCTGAGCCACCGACAGGTCCTCCGGCGCCGTAGCCAGCGCTTGGGGGACGCTGGTTCTCACCGCGTGCAGATTGGGTCTATAATTGGTTTAGCATATTACATTATATATGCGCGCACTTGCTGATTGGGTATGGCTTACCTCACGATACTTGGAGAGGTAGATCTTGAGGGCTTCGGCATAGTTCTCAAAGCCAAGAGAAGTCATGGCGAACAAGATATCTTCACCGTTGACAGTCTTGCGCTTTTCCTGTTGACATTTCTCCGAGGCTGTCGAGGGTACATTAGCAGATGCCGGGTTATGAATAACCTTTCGAGTATACCTTCGCTTGTGATGAAAGAGATAAACTCGCTCACACATTCCTGCATACACTCCTTGGCTTCTTTTGCGATTTTTGCGTTCTCAGGCAGCGCCAATTTCATGATACGTGCCACTAAAGGAACATAGGTCAGTATGGTGCCGATCAAATGAAACAAAACCCAAATTCGCGTGATACGAGACCGACTTCCATCTCGAATCAGTGCGGCGCATGCCCGAGTATCAAATAAGACGAAAGCGGGACTGTACAAAGCACAGTTGGGAGTAACGGAGTTTGAAATGCGGGGGAAGACAGAGGGGCACCGGCAAGGTACGCGCAAATCGGAATAGAAACATGCAAGTCGACGCAACTAACCATTTGCAATCGGAAGCCACCGATCTTGCTCCTTCACCTCGAATTCGCCCTGGTGTCCTGACGGGTCGTGGTGGTCTTTGTCCATGTGCTCTTGTTCTTCGCCCGATTGCGCCTCGGGGTCGAGTTCAGGTTCCTTCGAAGGGGAGGTCGACGACATGATTATGAGTGGTTTTGGACACGGGCAGTGGAGCCGGGGTTTGGGCGTCAATGCTTGGAGGTTTCGCGTGCCTGTTGTCAGACCACGTCAGATCTAATGCTGGCGCGCGATCGATTGCGTTTAGGACAGCGCAGAGTCGGCTGCGTCAAAACGGGACAGGGTTGTATCGGCTGGGTACGAACCGCTTCACAGTAGCCTCAAAATAACAAGTCGGGGAAATTTGGCAATAATGCGCGATCTAGCTCTATGAACGCAAGGCGGATTAGCCTCGTGGTTTTCGGGAAATGGAATGAAACCCGTCCAGGATTAATAACTGCGATCGCGTCGCACCCGCTGTTGTGGAAATGCCAATCAAGTGCGCCTCACGAGTCGGGGAAGGCCAGTGAAGCTTGGGTGGTGACGCGGGATGCAACGCGGGAGCAGCGAGGGTGGGTCAGATTGGGGGGAGCCCAACTGTCCAACAGGCGCAAGTTGTGCAGGGAGGAAGAAGAGCATACCGTTTAATTCCTTTAGTGTGGTGTCTTCCGATTCGTCTGGATCTGAGATCAGAGCGCTAATGTCAACATGGTGTTTTGAGTGGAGGGCGTGAGCTGAGGTCAATTGGCGAACCAGAACTCCCTGGGCAGATCGAAGGGACGCCTTTCGGTTGGTCACTTACCAATGTAAATATTGAGATGCCAAACAAAGCCACAACAGCACTTCTCGGGTATAACTATAGGATGCAGAAGTTTCCTGGGTAAATTGAATGATCAAGAAGCGGATGAAGCAGCCGACACAGTCAAAGAGGGGAGAGAGCGAGTTCAGCTCAGTCATGATTGCATCCGATGGTGGGCGCCTGAGGCATAGATACAGGAATATATATTACATTACAGCGTTACATCGGGCACTTGGGGTTGAAACGCGAGATATACCGTACTTGCAATACAGATTGCAATACATATCTAAATAGTCTCGATATGCATCTGTGGAGGCTGCACTGTACACATATGAAATCATAATTATACTTCTGCCTTGATACTGCATTAACATAAGTCCTACAAGCGTATGCCTACTGCATAGCCCAACAATGCCTTGGTCATTGATTATGCGGTCAGGCACCAAACCCTACATAAAGCACACAGATAACTTATATGCGTCTGAAACATAGCATTCAATCTAATCGTCACTTCTTGCTACCCAATGAATTGAACAGAAATAAAGTTTTTCAGCCCTGTACCTTTGCTGGCCGAGACCTTGATAGACAAAGTCCATGTGATAGAGCTAGATATAAGTTGTATTTTTTTTGCGAATGAGACAGATGTCATATAAGAGCGAGGTACATCTATGCCAGAACCGGCCCAGCGGGCCAGTTGATAATTTACCGTTGATTCCTTGGCCCAGGCTGATACATTTCCACGCACCCTCACATGGTCAGGCCTCAGGATCCAGAAGATATGGGTATATTTCTTGGTACTATGAACACTATGAAACAAGAATCTCTTGCAAGTTGGCATCAGAGCACGAATCAACGCTACATTATGTCTACTCTTTTTGCCGTTCCCAGTAACGCCGGTAGTCTCACGCTATCGCACTTGGACAGTACCACCGGGGGCAACAAATGGGGCACGTAAATTGATATATGAGAAAGAAAGGCCACTAAGGCTGCACAACCTGAATGTTGTTCTTTTTCTATATTGGAAGAGCAAATTAGTAATGTCCCTGATTCACGAGAAAGAGAAAATTTCAGGCATGAGAGACCCTCGCACTGAGACGACATACCTTCCAAGAGTCCAGCTCGTTTTGCTTTGACTTGTATTGCTTGAGCATATCCTCCAATACTGACTTCAGTCCATCCGAGTTCGTCTTGAGTGTGGGAAGAACTTCCTGAACGGTGCGCTCAACCAAAACACCGTTCACCATGCGGAAACATTTGCGGTCTTGGGGGAGAGGGTCGAGGGTTTCGATAACAAGCCTGATGAGACCAAAACGTTAGCACCATGTAACTTCGCCAAGGACTTTCTGCTGAAATGGTGTAGCTCCTGGTCTAAACCCAGCGCAAGATCTCCTGGCGGACAACCATATGAAACCAGGTAAACGTACTTGTGCTCTTCAGCCTCCTGCTCGATATCGCCGATTTTCTGTGCTAATTGCTGGAGGGTGTTCTTGAAGTTGGTGTACTGGAGTTGGAGCTCTGGATTGAGGGGCCACATTAGCCTTCGCACTGAAGAATTGGACAGTTGAGGGACATACCCTGCTGCTTCTTGGGATCAATCTGCTGCTGGCTAGACATGATGATGGCGTGATACGGTGTGGTATGCAGTACAAGAAAGCTCGAGAAATTAAGATGACGATGCGGGGCGGCAGCAGTTTGGTGTTTGGCAGCGGCCACTATGAACATTCTAAACCCATCTCAACCCGCGAATAATACGTTTCAAGCAAAACACTGGAACATTTGTACTACAATGAAAACCCGGGCTTCTTTTACCTTACTTAAATAATTTACCTGCCTGCTGATGCCATTGTATGTGCAACACAAAGCAGATTGTAGACCACGTGACTGATATCGGAGTTTGCACCGTTTGACAGCGATAAGTTCGTTGGCGATTGCTGATCGAAGCAACTTCCACCACAGCTCCCAACTTGTGATCCAAGTCCCATCTGGCTTGCAAATAGGTCCATCACCATGTCTCGCGATATGGGCCCCCCTGCCAAAAGGCAGAAGAGTTCTGGCAATCTCCCGCCACAACTACGCGACGCCAAGCGGAAGGATATCGACACATGGGAAACCAATCGAATGCTCACATCCGGTGTGGCACAAAGACGTGACCACGAAGGTGATTTTATGCCGGAAGACGAAGAGGCAACTCGAGTCCACTTGCTCGTCCACGACCTCCGGCCACCTTTCCTCGATGGCCGCACCATCTTCACGAAGCAGCTCGAGCCGATCTCCGCTGTTCGCGACCCGCAGAGTGACATGGCGGTATTCAGTCGAAAGGGAAGCAAAGCTGTGCGTGACCGTCGACAACAGCGCGAGCGACAGAAACAGGCCCAGGAAGCGACAAACCTGGCTGGCACAGCTCTGGGCAACTTGATGGGTGTCAAGGAGGATGAGGGCGATAGCGCAGTTGCCATGCCTGTTGAAGAAACATACAAAGGAGGAGGGAACAAGTTCGCCAAGCACCTGAAGAAGGATACTGGGGCCAGCGCGTTCAGCTCGAGCAAGACTATACGGGAACAGAGAGAATACCTTCCCGCTTTTGCTGTGCGCGAAGATCTCTTGAGAGTCATCCGGGACAACCAGGTTGTCGTTGTTGTTGGAGAGACAGGATCGGGAAAGACTACACAATTGACCCAATTCCTGCATGAGGATGGATACTCCAAAAACGGCATGATTGGGTGCACGCAGCCTCGTCGTGTGGCAGCGATGAGTGTCGCAAAGCGTGTCAGCGAGGAGATGGAGGTAGATCTCGGTTCTACTGTTGGATATGCGATTCGTTTTGAGGATTGCACCAGTGATGAAACAGTGATTAAATGTGAGTTTGCTTCTGTACATTATATACAAACAAAGGCTAATCAGTATCTATCTAGATATGACGGACGGTGTCTTGTTGCGAGAATCTCTGGCACAGACTGATCTTGACAAATACTCCTGCATCATCATGGACGAGGCGCACGAAAGAGCCTTGAATACGGACGTGTTGATGGGTCTTCTCAAGAAAGTTCTAGCTCGGCGCAGAGACTTGAAATTGATTGTGACATCAGCAACTATGAACTCAGAACGTTTCTCGCGCTTTTACGGAGGTGCCCCGGAGTTCATCATTCCCGGCAGAACATTCCCGGTTGACCTTCACTTCTCTCGCACACCTTGCGAGGATTATGTTGACAGCGCGGTCAAGCAGATCTTGGCTATTCACGTATCTCAAGGCGCGGGAGATATCCTCGTCTTCATGACTGGACAAGAGGACATTGAAGCAACCTGCGAGCTGACTGATGAACGATTGAAGCTATTGAATGACCCCCCAAAATTAAGCATCCTACCCATTTACAGTCAAATGCCAGCGGAACAACAGGCAAGGATCTTCGAAAAAGCTGCTCCGGGTGTGCGCAAGGTTATTGTTGCTACCAACATCGCCGAGACCAGTTTGACTGTCGACGGTATCATGTATGTCGTTGATGCTGGCTACTCCAAGTTGAAGGTGTACAACCCGCGCATGGGCATGGACACTCTTCAGATCACGCCAATCTCCCAGGCCAACGCAAACCAGCGATCTGGACGAGCTGGCCGAACGGGGCCAGGCAAGGCCTATCGGCTTTACACCGAGACGGCCTACAAGAACGAGTTGTACATCCAAACGATTCCCGAGATTCAACGTACCAGTCTCGCAAATACTGTTCTTTTGCTCAAGTCTCTTGGCGTGAAGGATTTGATGGACTTTGACTTCATGGATCCTCCCCCACAAGAGACAATTTCCACCTCTCTTTTCGAGCTTTGGTCTCTGGGTGCTTTAGACAATTTGGGTGATCTTACATCCTTAGGCCGCCGCATGACACCATTCCCCATGGATCCCCCTCTCGCCAAGCTGATCATCATGGCATCCGAAGAATACGGCTGCAGCGAAGAGATGCTGACCATCGTCGCAATGCTCTCAGTCCCTAATGTCTTCTATCGCCCCAAAGAACGAATGGAAGAATCAGACTCAGCCCGCGAGAAGTTTTTCGTCCCAGAGTCTGACCACTTAACCCTCCTCCACGTCTACACTCAATGGAAAACCAACGGATGGTCCGACTCATGGTGTGTAAAGCATTTCCTACACGCCAAAACCCTCCGCCGAGCCAAGGAAGTCCGCGACCAACTCCACGACATCATGACCGCCCAGAAAATGCCACTTATCAGCTGTGGCACAGACTGGGACACGATTCGCAAATGTATCTGCTCGGGCTTTTACCATCAAGCCGCACGCGTAAAGGGTATTGGCGAATTCATCAATCTCCGTACCAGCGTGACTATGGCTCTTCACCCTACAAGTGCACTTTACGGCCTGGGCTACGTTCCCGAGTACGTAGTCTACCACGAGTTGATCCTCACGGCGAAGGAATACATGTCCACAGTGACAGCAGTCGATCCACACGTAAGTGACTCCCTCTCACCACTCTATTTTACCCAAGATGAGAGTTAAACTAACATATCCATAAAGTGGCTCGCCGAACTAGGAGGTGTCTTTTACTCTGTGAAAGAAAAAGGTTATTCGCAACGTGACCGCCGCGTAACAGAACTCGAATTCAACAAACGCATGGAGATCGAATCGCAAATGGCACTTGACCGCGAACGCGCGGCGGCAAATAAAAAGCGCGAGGAAGAGCGGAATGATCCTACACGCCGCAAGCGAGAAGTCGAGGTTGGCGCGGGATCTGCTGTGCGTCGACCGGTCATCAAGCCGGGTCGAAAGGTTGGCGGTCTCACTGCGTCATCTTCTACTTCGTCGCGGCCTAGCGCCAATGGTAGTGGAGGCGGTGGTAGTGGAGGCGCAGGAAGAGGTGGTGGTTCTGGGGCAAGTGTTGTTAAGAGACCGACTGTTCCCCGAAGGCCTGGACGGGCATTTTGATACTCGCATAGACTTGTCATCAGCCCTGTTTGTACAACATTGAGTTGTTGTTTTCAATCCATCTAGATGGATCTAGTTAATAGATACCCGCCATTGCATTTCAAATACATCGACTTTTAAGTTGCATGGACTGATTATACTTTGTGAAATGTACTCCCCTGTAAATGTAGGGGTTCACTCTATACAAACACCTATGCCATCTCAAGCCATGGGTACATATTTGTTCAACAAGTCAAGCTTCACATTGATAACTGACTAAACCTTAGATATGAACAACAATTCCCATCCTAATCAGACAGACCAGCCAAAGGGAACAGGCTAAAAAAGAAAAACGTCCCAAATGCCAATACAAACATCTAATCAAGACAGCATTCCCAATCCATCCATTGACCAGCTCATCCAATCAATCCCAAATACAAAGGACAGACCACATCAGACCGGGATTGAACAATGAGGGAAGCACCAACTGAGCACAGCTCAGTTAATAAAGTTGATGCAGAAGAAGTGTAGAATCAGACTTCCAAAGATATAATCGGCAAAGGCCCTAATGAAACAGAACGTGAGTAAATCTTCATACCTCGGCAATAAAATGGAGCAAGATGGAAGAAAACTAACCTTTCATGCGAGTAACCCGTCCCCTGCTCCTCATCCTGCTCATCCGCAAACCGCGCATTCTTTCCCTTCGAGCTTGGCTTCGACGTAGCACCGGAATCACTAGTTTGCATACGAAGACTGGCAGTCAGGACGAATTGGCCGACGGCGGCACTGAAGCCACTCAGGAAAGCGTTGAAGGGCTGTTCATAGTGAAGGAGGTTAGCTTAGTCCATGATAGTTCCAATGATAGCGCTGTTCCTTGTTCATAGATTGCTCATGTTATGGGGTTCATTCATCTGATTAGATGTACGTTTTCTATCCATTGAAACGAAAAAGGGAGACAGATATCGCAGCGCAGAGGGTACGGGGATGATGACTCACGTAGTTTCCAGCCAGGACACAGTACAGGAACTGCAAACCACCAACAAGAACGAGGAACACCATGAAGGCATCTAGAAGGAGTGTACGTTGCGGTGTCGTCGTGGCGTATTGCTGCCAGACATGCTGGGCAATTTCTGCTGCTGAGGCATTTGTCTTCAGGGTGGCTGGGCCTGACGAGAGGGGCTTTGTTGTTGGGGTTGTGGGTGTGGAGGGTGTTGCGGAGGTAGTTGAGGCCGCGTGGCGCTTGACAGCCATGATTTTGAATTTCGAGGGGTGCTGGGTATTTTTGAGTGGTGTTGCAATTGAGAATCAGGAATTGGAGGTCGGGCACACTTTTTGGTCCCTGGTATGTATGGGGATGGTCGGTGGGTGAAAGGGCAATGGCGGAGTGGAGGAGATCATTGATGCCAGCTTGGAGCTTCTCCGTTATCGCGTGGTCACGTGGTTTGGACTATAAAGTATACAGAGGTCTTGATGTCTGTTGAATTACTGTCAAGTTATTAGTATGCTATTTATTTTCTCTTGTTTATTTTGAATTAGACAGGGTATCATTCAAGATGTAATTTGTGCGTGTATTACTCGTGTTGTAGCGCGACTGCCATCACCAGCATGACATACATCACAGAGAGAAGAGAGATATAGAAACAATGAGGGGAGGGATATCATCCAAAATCAACGCCAGAACTCATAAAGTCGTTTATATAGTTACAGGGCCGAAGCCAAGAGAAGAAACTGCACAGGCAAATATGCGATGCCCAGACATCAACAGACGATGCATATCAAAACCGGTTCAATGCATCTCAAACAAACCATTCAGTGACATTAGTCCCTTTGGTCGGCTGAGATTCATCATTCTCCACATCCGTCTGGAAATCACGCATGACCTGATCCCATTCGTCCCAGCTTAGCGGAGGGGCTTCTGGCAGTGGTTCCGGATTCAAGAGGGGATTGTTCATGGCGGCATTGTAAGGGAGGGCTGTCGATAACCCCGATGGTGAAATTTCATTCGTTACTGGGACATTACTTTGCGTGGATGGGGTACTGTAGATGGTCTGGGAAGCGAAGAGGTTTGTATCGGGGAAGATCCTCTGTATAACCCCTAATGGACCTCCGCTGAAATCGATATTCAGATCGGCATCAGATGTGATCTGTGGAGAAACGTCTGGTTCATTATGTTGGAAGGGGCTTGTCTGTCCCTGCGGCATATGGATTTGGGGAAGAGGGTGGTTGGGCACTGATGTAATTTGAGCACCGACTGGCTCTAGTGGGTTGGGAGCTGGGCCAAACTTGACCATCAGTTCATGTCGCTGTTTGCAACGTGTGGCCTCAGCTCGTTTCATTAGGGCTGCGAGGGGTCGCCATAGCATACCCTTCTTATGGGTGGCATGTAACGCCCAGTCCGAGTAAAGTGAGCTAACTGCACTCCAGGCTCGATCGGTGATGGGGCAAACTGGGCGAACGCATATCTCAGACAAGACAAATGCAACACCATGCCATTGCATGTTGGTGCGGAACAGCCAACCCCACTTGGCTGTCTTTGGATCGGCTTCGAGCAGGCGGCCAAACTCCAGCACCTCGATTGCAGTTAAAAACAAGCTTTCGCGGGTTGCTTGTGAGATATTCGTCTGGCGGTCCTTCCGAGTCATCGGGTGATGGACGATCAGCCACAACTTGGCAAGGATAAGACGTCCCACCGTGGCAGCACACCATTGAATAGGGACATTCATGTCACAGTGTCTGATATACCGTTGTTCACAGCGATCACTGATGATTTGAATCATCCGCTCACAACGACTGATTGGTGGCAAATTGTCAGGTGGACGAAATTGGGCACCGGGGCACACGTAGTTCGCTCGTCGCAAAGCACTCGTGATCTCACAGCGAATAAGACAGAATGTGCTGTCAGTACAACCCTCCTGTTCTTCTGGGGGCTCTGTCATCTCGGGGTACAGGTCGACGTCGTTGACATTCAATGGCAGCCGAGTATCGTACATGCTTTCATGGATAATAGGATCTGTCCCATGATCTTCCGACGAGCGAACATCCAGTAACGAGATGTGCCACCATAGTCGGCGGCGCATTTCTGTCTCGAAGGGCTTGAGCGCGAAATTGGTTCCGTCGCGGTGTATGCCTAGCCCTTGAGCAAGGCGCAAGACGACGGAGGTCATAGACCAAACGAACTTGCTATCATCTTCTCGTCGCACACAAACCAAGAACAGAACCGCGGCTTGGAGGAGAACCAGACTCTGTGTGTTCAAAAATCCAGCCTTGGCTAGGGCTTGCTCCGTAGCAAAGCGGTACCTTTTGACAGCAGCCGCGCGGTCATCACCGAGCTGGTATAGGCATTCTTCGGGTTTCATACTGACGACACTAGACAGATACATAGCAAATACTAGAGCCTCTGAATTCTTGTCAAGAGTCTCCGGGTGCTGTGCTGCCTCGATAAAGTAATTCATCGCAGTCGGTCGATGAACGATAGTGATTAGAGGAGCAACATTTTCTTTGTATGCTTCCCAAAGTATAGAGACTTTGGAAATAGAAGGATGGAACTCTCGGAGCGAATGAGACAATGAGAAGTATCCAAAAATGTGTCCATCGTGTGAACTTGAATGTGGAGAGTCTGGAGAGGGGGTATCATCTTCCTCGGTGTCAGAATGATCAAGAATGTCTTGCAACTCCTCAATCTATACCAGGTTAATACAATGAACAATCTGGTAACAGTGCTTCGGTATATCATACCTCGTCTCCAAGACTAGCCCACAGCCGATTGCTCACGTATCGACTCCGACCTTCATCGATGACCAAACGGCCGAACTCATTTTCAAGCCTATTAGGAGCAGGTTTCTTAGGGTCCGTGTCCGCAAATGGACAATCAGAGCTCTGACCCTGAGCTCCAGCAGGTCCAGGGGGTGGTGCAGTAGGAGCCGCAGTGGGCCCCGGTGTGTCACTGACAACAGTTGAAGATGTCGTCAACGATGGAGCTTGAGAGGAAGAATGCTCTGTGCCAGACCCATTACCACTTCGCAGGTGATCAATAACACCTTCCAAACGGCGCAAGCGTGAAAGCAGCTCCGCATCAGGCGGGCGCTTCGATTTGCGCGGCGCACGACCAGGAGGAGGAAAGATACAGTCGATGCCGGCCTTGGTACAATTTGAGCATGGCGTCCGCTTGTTACAACGTACTTTTCTGCGGCGACATGTTACACAGCTGCGGGAGCTCGAGGTGTCGTGGGGGGCAATGGTGGCGGACACGTTAGGTGAAGTTGGGGAATTATCGCTGACGATCAGTTCTGGGGAAGCTGAATGGAACGACATAACGGGATGAGATGGTGTTCACTCTCTCCTCCCACATTCTTGAGCAAGCCTCCTTTTTTTTTTGTGACTCTGAGCCTGAAAAAGACCTCTAAAGCCTCGTATGTTATCCAGTGGGGCATGTGACTGATGACTCAGCGTCTAGGCGTTTCCCTCTTTCGGAAAAGCCCGTTATCTCCGTGGTTGAAGGTATGGAATTCAGATACAAGAATGCGTGTTCAGATTAACGCCGGGGATATGCTGAGGCTAAATAACATATATAAAATCACCGAGACCAGTCCTTCATGCCTCTATAATAGTATGGAGATCAGAGGTCCGCACTGGCAAGTCGTCACCTCGCCAGCCTCGTCGGAGGAATCGTTTAAGCTTTCGCCTAAAAGGAGATTAGTTTAACAGTCAAAGATTCGGTGTAGAACAAAGTTTACACCAGACTAAGCAGAAAGAACTCACTTGGCAGACTCCCAAATCTTTGTCTCATCATTGAAGGTATGTCTAAATAGCCGATTAGCCCCGTGTATCCCGATGAAGTGTATGGTGAACTTACCCCGAGAAGGTCGTCCGCGTCAGAGCCTTGGGCCCATACTCTTCCTCAAGAAGCCATGTATAAGCGTAAGGAATCTTGACCGCAACTCCCTCAAAGGTGCTTTCACGCAGTGGGAAAATGTCACTCTCCTGGAAATACCGTTAACATGACAAATAAACACCGCACCGAATGAGAAGAGTACACACCTCGTAGTGATGATGATCTTTACAGGTCAACGCCTCCGGATGTCCATTCAACCTCTTGCTCTCATCCTTGCGCACAGCAGTGATATCAATGAAAAGACCCGACGACTTATCAATCCAGCGCGCATCAATCTTATTCATTGTATCCTGCTCAGATTTGACGACGTAGTTGGGATTGATTTCGAGCATGTAGGCGCGACCGCCGTCAACGTTGGGGAAATCGAAGTGGTGTTCCGTCATGTTGTAGTACTCTGCTAGGAAGTGGATTGTTGGTTCCGAGATTTGGACGTCTAGATCATTGTCCCATGGGAAGATCTTGGCCATTGTCAATGCTTGTCGAGGTGAGGATGGACCGGAGGATGAATGCTAGAGCTTACCTTCTGATTCCACCACCAGGCTAATAATGTGCCGTGCATGATCCATGTCTCAGCACCGATGGCGTTCATTGTTGAGAAGTAGGTTTGGACTAGGGCTGAGAGATGTGGGATGACTTCTGATGCCGGAAGAGTTTCATTGGCAAAGCTGGGACTTGTAAGTGGTTGATCTGGATTGATAGAATTTCGAGGAGCATACCGGCCGTCATAATGATAATGGAAACTGTGGTAGCAAGTTAGTTTGGAGCTGGTCAACACATATTACCACAGAGGTTCGACATACGATGATTCATCTAAGAGATCCAAGCGAGTCAGTTAAAGTTGACAGGAATAACTTGATCGGCAAGACCCTGAAGTGGTATTGGATGAGATGGTACTCACGAAAGTATTTCTGTGTTGGTATCTCTTTCTCGCTTTTATATTCTTTCGTTACGTTCTTTCGCACGCTCATGAAGTCCGGTTGGGTCTCGTTATTCCCGTACGCTCCGGAGGCAATTGACACAAGAAGTACTCCATAGAGCCAGCAAGTGGTAGCCGGAGATCGCATGCTGTGGCGGAGAATGACAGATTCTGGCTACTTATGCGTTGAATATCGATATATACAGCCGTCGGTTGCTATACGGAAGAATTCCCCTCGATTCGTATGATGCAAGAGGTGCCGAAATGAGATATGTGAGGTCACGCGAGGCCCAATAAAGCATATAATATAAAGATCGACGAATGAAAAACGAGGGTATAAGGCAAAGAAACAGTATAAACTCGCACGAGATCAAAAACGAAAGATGGATGAGCAGCGCAAAACCAGGCTCAACGGATACGCAGAAACGACTTATCTCCCGCAAATTTCTCAACCCCAAAAAATACACCATTTGGCCCTGAGCGACCTATGATTGGAACCGGAGTTAATCTGTGATGACGAAGCCGGGTTTCCGAAGCCCACCATGCAGCCAAAGAGGCTTGGTATTGAGCGGGAGCTGACGACTCCGTACTCGTTTCGGAGCAGAATACTATTAAACGAGGCCGGTATATCCGTGGATCGAATCAGCAGAGTCTGCGCGTTCCGCCACATACAGAGACCCACATGGCCATGAAGCTTGTCTTGTGTCGCGTGTTCCGGGGGATATGGAATGAAGCAGGCATTTCGCTGGGGAGGTTGGATTGTTTTGCTCTTGACAAAAGGCCACATGTGTTCTGTTTGTTTGTTGTGGCTGTTTTGGGCGCTTCTTGGAGTCAGATTGTGTTGCTGAGTGTCTCATGGCGCAGCGGGAGGTCGAGGTATACGCGTCCTCCGATAGCATCACTTTAGTCTGCTTGACCGCTGCGCTAGCACCCCGCATAGGCTCGGAAGAATCTGACCTTGACAAAAGGGGAAATGCATCACATTGGAGATCCGGTGGTACGGTGCCTCGATCTAAGCCCCTGAGAACATACTACAGTATGCTATCCCTATGTGTAGAATTTTTCTCGGTTTCAATACTCCACACTGAACTCCCGAGAAACCAAAGCCCAGACTTAGCTTGCCAATAGCTTGCGATTACCATATTCAGAATAGACATTACTGTGGGGATCGAATTTGTTGATTACAGTATACTCCGTACTCTACCCCTGCATGATGGCCAGGAGCCAAAGATTAGCATTGAAGGTGGATCACCGGCGGTTCACGGAAGAAGATGAGAAAATTGAAATGTCATTTATAGTAACATCATATCCCTATTTAAGTCTCGCCTCGAATAAAGCAGACTGATCCGCCAAATCGCTCGCACAACCCTCCGGTAACCACACCTTCACTAATTGAAACCCTGCCATCTCCAGCAAATCCCTCCACTGCCTCTCCGTCCGCTCGAGCGACGCGTAAGAAGCCATCATATGCAAGTCAGACAAAACAGCAGACAGCCCGACCCCAGATTGAGGCAAGACACTCTCATTAATCAACAGCAACGAATCAGCGCCCATAGCGGCACGCAGCCGCCGCAGGATCTGCACAGCCTGCATATCAGGCCAATCATGCAAAACAGTGCGCAAGAAATAAGCCTTTGCATTGCGGACGGGCTGTTCCTTGAAGAAATCATGAGCCATGACTTCGACCCCCGGGAGATCAACGCCAGCGACCACATCGGGCAGATCCTGCAAAATCAGGCGGCCTGGTAAGTCTCGAAAATGAGCTTGGAATTTCTTCAAATCCTCTCCTTGACCTCCGCCTATGTCAACTATGAATGGGTCGGACGCCTTTTCGGCGCGCAAATTTGCGACCGGGAAGAATTCGAACCAGTCTTTGCCGGTTCGTCGGAAGGACATACTCATTACGGTGTTGAAGGCTTGGCCGTAGTAAGGGTTCGAGTTGAGGAAGTCGAAGTAGTGGGCTGATGTGCTGTGTGCGAATTGGAATGGCCCATCAAGGCCATTTTTAGGACTCTGCCAGCCGTTGGAGTGGAAATATTCTGGAAGTTTGGAGAGGACCGTCCAGAAGTGAGTTCTGCATGGTGTTAGCCATTCGCGATGCTACATTCCCGTCTTCGAACTAGCATACCCGTGGATGATGGCAGCAGAAAGGGGTGAACTCGACATTAGAGCAGCTGCCATGGGCGTCGTGGAATATTTGTCTACATCTACCTCGTGAATCACAGACATGGCAGCCAGGAATCGCAGAATCCTCTCTACGACCATCAGCGCTATATCAGAGACGAGGAATGAAATCGCGAACTTACTGACAAGCAGGAGATCTGCCTCCAACTCCAGACTTTCAGCATTGAACGCCCCATCCTGCTCGGATATAGCATCGAATAACCTCAAATCGACCGCCAAACGAATGGCCATTCCTTGGTGGCCCTAGCACATGTCAATTGCCTGTCAGATGCCTCCACAGGGATCCACACGGCATACCGAAAATAGCAGACGTGAAGCAGTTGCCAAAGGACTGTCCAGCCGAGTCCGTAGTCTGTCACATGCTTGCAACAACTGGGCTTTTTGCTGCTGATCCAATCTACTTGGATCGACGGCGTCGAGTTTATATTGCAGATCGCTCATGGTGCCGTGAAAATTTGTTCGATTGCATACCATTCTATCATATTTGGGACTTCCTTATATACTATCTTTGAGCTCGAATACAGCGAATTCAGCGAATTCAACGAACTCAAGGGATTCCCCGAATATTCTCCAATAGACTTGCCCCAAGTAATAAGCCGAAAATCCAGCCACGGAGTATTCGGGGAATTCATGTCGAACATTCCATGTCACGTTGGAGTCACGTTGTAGAGTGTAACCCTATAACATTGGCATTGCAGCACCAACGGTCCGGTGTCCTAACCAAAGTTGCCAGGATCCATCAGGCAGCCTACAGCGAAGTCAATTCGCAAACTGCACCATTTCGAGCAAATCGGGAATAGCCGTCGGGCGTTGATGAGCCAATAACGACTGGCAGTGGAGTTGTTTTCACAGGCTGATTGGTCAGGTTTTAACTCTATAACTTCACTGCCTGTTCCTCCCATTTCCAGCCACCGAGGTTTGGCATCTTGGACCCTGACTCCCCCGTCTAAGCACAATTGGCCCATTGCTTACCCCAGGAGATCTTGACCTGTTCATTCTTACCTAATTTCTGCCTCACCTTTTGATTCTCACATGTTCAGATGCCACTCCGACTAGTTTTCGTTATTTTCAAATCATTCCATGTCCATGTCCCATTTTGACTTCCATTCGATACGATGAATCGAAATACACACTAAGGACTGGCCCGGACTTACCTTTGAGGCCGTTTCCGATTCTCATTTCGACGAGAACCTGCGACAATTTGTGGGTGTGTGTTTGTTGTGTGTCCACCAGACATAATTTTAAGCCTATAGCCTGTGCCCGACTGAAATCTCGCCCCTCCATTCTCACAGGATAGTGCTTAGTGAAAGCAGAGCCCACTATCGCGGGCCCCCAAAGTCCGACTCCAGGATCCTGTTCAAGTGAACATGTCAGAGACCTCCACACCACAGGGAGAACCAAGCACATTGCAACCCCCCTCGGCGCAGCAGCTGAACCGCTCCTGTGAGTCATGCCGCAGTCTTAAGGTTCGCTGTTTGCCTAGCCCGTCCACCCCTAATCAGTGCCAGCGATGTGCGAAGGGAAAACGGGCCTGTGTGTTTGTTCCCCCGCAGAGACGTCGGCCGCGTAAGCGGACGGACTCGCGTGTCGCACAGTTGGAAAAGGAGATGCGGGTGATGCGTTCACTGTTGAAGGGTCGGATCCGAGAGGAGAGTGAGCCCGAGTCTGAGGGCAGTGAGGTTGATGAGCGGGAATTCGAGGACGGCGAGATGAAGACGATGCGGGATCATTCTGCGCATTCGTCGGATCAGTTCATGGAGTATTCGCCTGAGTTGATGAGTTCTCATCCTGGTGATCGTGTGCTCTTTTCGGGTCCTCCTTCGTTTGCTGGGCTACCGCCCGGCGTTGAGATGGAGGAGTCTGAGCCTGTGAAAGATGTGATCGATAGGGGTATTGTCTCGCTGGAGGATGCCGAGCAGCTGGTGGCATATTTTGTCCATGAGCTTGCTTCTTTCTTTCCGTTGGTCGTTTTGCCCCTGAGCACAACGGCTGCGCAACTGCGACAGACGAAGCCGGTTCTCTTTCTCTCCGTCATCGCAGCGACGTCGATATCCGTCGACGCAGGACTGGCAGCGGTATTAAATCGCGAGATGGTTCGGCTCTACTCCGAGAGATTCTTCATCGAAGGCGAGAAATCACTAGAATTAGTGCAAGCCCTGCTCCTTATGATCATTTTTTACTTCCCACCAGCGTCGCCCCTGAAACTGCAATTTTATCAGTACACGCACATCGCCTCGACGATGGCACTTGAGATCGGACTCGCCAACAAGCGTCGAGTGTCAAAGAAATCCGATCGGAAGGGCAGACACGAGCCTCACGATGAGTTGCTGGCTGAACAGGCCAGAGCCGTTTTGGGCTGCTACCATCTTGGTTCAACAGTAGCGATGAAAACCCGTCGACAGAATCTCCTTCAATTCAACGACTGGATGACAGAATGTGTCAAACATCTCGAACACTCTCCTCATCGAACAGATCAGCATTTGGCTGTATGGTTCGAGCTGCAACGTATAACAGACGAAGCAATGTCTTCGTTTGGTCTGGACGATACCAGTGCCACCACACCCTTGACAGAGTCAAGAGTACAAGCCGTGTTGCGATGGTTCGATAAGCGAATGGACACATGGAAGAAGAATACCCCTTCAGACATGCTGACAGGTTAGTCCATCTGCAAGAATCGCATTCCATTCTCACTGCCAGCCACAACAGCTGACACCACCAATCTCCAGTCCCAATGATCCTCGAATATCGCTCCACAGCCCTAGCAATGTACGAACTAGGCGTAGGCGAAGGCTACCGCGACCCAGACGCCATAAAAAGACGTTACTTCACACTCCCAACCCTCGACGACGAACCCGAACACGACCCCGAATCCTCAGACCCAGACCCAACGACCGCCCCAATCGAACCAAATGCCAGCCAACAAACCGGCGACACAAACAGCCTGAGCGCAATCCGCATCGATATAAACATTAAATGGATGAACGCGGCACAGGAGATGCTAGACACAGTTCTAGCATGCAGCATAGACACGATGCGGAAATTGCCCAATTTGATGTACACACGGCTAGCAACAGCCGTAACGGCCCTGCTAAAGATTCATTTCTCCGTGCGGACAGGAGCACTCGGCGAAGTCGTCACCCCGGAGACAGTGAACGTGGCATATTATCTCGAAGCCATCGCAGCGAAACTCGGCGAAGCAGGCGGCGGAGGGAAATTCAAGATTCCCAGCCGGTGGTACCAAGTCGTCGGCGTCAGAGGACGGGATTGGTACGACCGACTAGAAAGACGGTATAGCGGGTATCCATCCGGAGCAGGAGTTGGAGTTGGGGTTGGAGTGATGAGCGTTAGTCCATCGACAGGAACCGGAACCGGAACAGGGACAGCAGAGCAGATGGGCATATCTGCACAAACACCCGGTCTTGGACCGTCTTCCCACCACAGTACCGGGACACCGTCTTCGCATCATTCCCACACCCATCTGACCGTGAATCCCAACCCCAATCCCAATTCCCAGCCAGGAATGGATCCATACCCGATCTCAGCGGCCGTCAGTCCAATCCCTCGCCACGCCGGAATAGAAGGCGGTTATGTAGCAATGGGCAGCGGGCCGCATATGTGGCCCGGACCGGGTCCTAGTCCGATGGATGCTCAGAATCCAGGGCCACACTTCTTTCACTCTCTTCCGCCGGGATATCAGGCTCCGCCTGCACATTCGCATCCGGCTATGCAGGCGCAGTTTGCGTACGAGGCTCAGCAGCGTATGCAGCCTCCGGGACATGTCCAGGCTCATGGACATGGACATTCTCAGGCCCAAGGTCCACCTCAGGGTCCCCGGATGCATGGGACGGGTATGGAGCTTGATGGGTGGTTACCCGATGGGAGTATCTTCGGGATGCCGCCTTTGCCTGAGTTTTGATTGATGAGATGTCGTTGGCAGTATGGGATGAACCAGGGCAAGCCATACTAGGCTGATTTCAATTCTGACGTGAACATGCTCGTTGTGGTGTCTCCAGATATCCCTGGGGTATAGACGGACCTGGATGGGCTGTGCATGCATGTATAAGTTATCCACGTATAGAGCTGAGGGTAAAAGCCCAGCAAAAGAAACACAAAAAAAAAACAGCATAAGGAAGCTAGTAATAAACAAAGACACGTCATACCACATACAAACCAAATATTCATTTCCCTGAACGAATGAAGAAAACAAAAAACCAGAAATTGAGGGTGTCAAAACTGAAGTATAGAAACCCTCACCAAAAAAGCCCCAACAAGCCCTCAACCCAGAAGCCAAGAGCCAAGCGAGTCATGAAAAAAAAATGAAAGAAAAAAAAGCCAAAGGAAGCCAGAGCCAGGAACCGGGCCAATGCGAATATTAATACCAGATCCCAATTTCCCCCAACCCCAGAACCCCGAAAAAAAAGGGAACAAATTCCAGGCTGTTCACCACGCATTTATCCCGAATTTAGCCAGAGACAGAGAAAATGATATGGCGACATATCACGGAGTGTCGGGAGGATCGGAAGTTCCGCGGTTGTGTAGAGTCCGATTTTGAGTGGGGGAGCGGGCTGGCATATCAGATATCTCTCTGGTTTAGGGACATTCGTATTCGTATGGTATGTATACAGACAGGCAGCATGTATCCAGTGGTGATCCAGTGTGTTGTGTTGCCATATCCGAAGTCGGGTTCGAAGCCGAAGCCGGATACGAGTTCGGAAGTGCTGTGAGCTGAAAGTTGAATGGTTCCGATAGGGGGATTGGAGATAGAAATATGGAATGAACATGGAGGATTCTTCAGAGTCGGCAGATGGCAACTATATCTTCCGAGAATCACGTATAGTAAACGTTGCTGTGGATATGCGGTGGGTTTATAATGATGACTGACGGGAAGATCACCGAATAGAGTCTATATCCGAAAACTAGGGTCAGGGTCCTCGGGGAATCTCCGCGAGGGACAATCTTCAGGCAGCCTTTTTATTCGTGGAATCCGGCAGGATTTGCTTTTTGTTCTGGAACTGAAATAATTGGAGTGCTCCCGATAAGGTTTATGAACTGCCAGTGATTATGCACAGTGTGGGAAATAGACATGGGTATCAAAATGGGCCACCAGACCGAACGAAATTCACGAAACGCCGAGACCATAGGAAAGAGAGACCAAGAAAAGGAGGAATTGCAAAAGAAAAATAACAATAACAGCAGGATGTTTCATAAAGCATTTCAAGTGAGGCTGAATGCCTCCAACGCATCTAGGAATCCGGCGATAGCACCAATGCCGGCCAAACCCCTGGTGGCTTTCTTGGTCAAGTCTTTCCGCCGCTCCTTGGCCTCTTCTCGTGGTTCTCTAATATCGTGGGGCTCATGGGAATCACGGGAGCTACGGGAAGAGTAGTGACGCGAACGGTTTGGAGATCGGTGTCGAGAGTGAGGTGACGGGGGCTGGAACCCTATTTCTGGCGTAGATGTCGAGAGTGGGTACACTGATGGATAGGGCCGACGCTGTGGATTGCTGTTGTATGAGGCTTGGGGCTGACCCCATGGAGGTCCGAAATGGACTTGGTTTGGTGAGTGGCCTCGAGAGGAGTAGGGCGAGGGAACGGTTGGCTTGTTTATTGGGATTGATCGAGCGGCTGAGGCGTAGGGTTGGGCATTGTATGGATTGTATGCTTGTTGTGGTGGGCCCGGAGAGTATGCTTGAGCTGATTTCGTCTGTGCGTGAGGTGACGGTGGTCCTGAGAAGTTTGGTGGTGGACGTGGTAGGGTGTGGACAGGAGGTGGGTAGCTGCCGCTTGGATGTGGTCGGTTCTCGGTATTAGTCCAGCTAAGAGGATATCGAGAGGAAAGGCTGCTGGCGTGGAGGCGATTAGGAATGTGTTTGCTGTGAGAGGGACTGAGGGTTGATCTTTGTTCGCTCTCATCGCTCGAATCAATAAGGCTCCTGGATTCGTTTCGACTGTCCCCTCTCTGAATGACATGTTCCGGTTCCGGCTCGGTCTCAACGCGAGCCTGGCAGGTTGAGTACTTTCGACGGAGCTCAGCAGCCTGCTGACGTGCCTCTTGGGAATGGGGGTCTCTCCAGTCAACTGTGGAGCCCTCGATATAGTAACCCCGTACATCAAGGCCCTCAAAGTCTGATCCGGTATCATCGTCGTCGGTATCGGAAGACACATAGACACGAGGTTGGACTTGCTTTCCAGGGGTTGCGACAGACTTTCCAGCATCCTGTAGCCTTGAGAAGTCGACGAGCGGCACCCAGATTGATAGTAGTCGGTGCATCGCACTCTCAGAAAGCTGTACCATATCCTTTGGGGATCGTTCCATGTCGATCAGGCCCACATCGCTCTCACCAAAAGTCACGATAGGCAGTCGAATGGGATCGGAAGCGCGAGTAGCAGCAACCAGTGGTTTGAACGCAGAAGCCGAGCTCGCCAAATAATTAGACTGAATTCTCTGTTTTGTCGGGCTGTTGGCTGCCTCCCTCGCTTCCTGTTCCACGAGATCCCACAGGCGATCAAGACGTTTCAGTGACCAGTAACGTACAATGATCATGTTCTGCGAGTCTGCTTTCTCCTGCGCAATAGTATCATCAGCAACCGATGCCAAGGACTCGGTATCGATTCCATCATCAACATTGGATTTGATCATGTTTCCAAGTTGTAAGATCTGCAACAGGACTATTAGGCTGAGTTTAAGAGAATCCAGTTGTGCCAGCAAGTAGGTGACATGCTGTTTCTGAAAACACCACTTGAGTCTCTCTTGGAGAGGCATCCTTCTCAAGTCATCCTCCCTATCTGTTGACTTCAGCATGTCCAGCATGTGTTCAATCTCGATGAAAATCATCTGGCCCTGGGCAGCGATCTCCCATGCCTTCTCTGTTGCCTCTGGTGTCCGATGGAACCCCGTTACTTCGAGAGTCTGTCCCGCATCTTTGAGACTCAGAGCAAACAGTGAAATACCCTTGGCAATGCTGTGTATCTCCAGTTTGGACTGTGCAAGTTGACAGGCTGCGGCATTCAGAAGGAGTGAGAGGCGCAGCCCCGCGCCAGCGATATTAACAATGGAAGCCTGGGAACCTTGAAAGAGAGGGCTTGTTAGCGGAGGTCCTTTGCTTTGGCATCTCCTTGCCAGAGAGAGATCGTACTCGTCATAGTCAGGATAGAACTGCAGGTCGCTGGGAGACATATAGTTGGAAAGCAGAGTAAAAAAAAAAGAAAGTTAAGGAGCACACCTGATGTATGTAGACAATGCCAAGCTCGGGGGGAGCCTCAAGCTGCACAAGTGACTCAACGCCCCATCAAGTCTGAATTCTCCGTTCATGACGGCATGGGGATGATTCTAGCGCTTTGTTTGGCCGGGGAAGTGCAGAGGGCCAATCCTGCAAGTGATATACGTCTTTGAAGACCGGGGCAAAAGCACCGGCACTGCCTCAGTCGAACACGATCGACATAACGCCCCCCGTGCTCGGGTGTTTTCATTTCGTTTACTTATCAGAGGCTCATTTTCTGGAGTTTGCTACTTAGATAGACTTGGGTGAGATTCTTCTGTTTACCCGGGTTTCATGTTATCTGATATTGCAAGGCTGTAGCCCTCGTATTCATCGATGGTAAGGCTGCAAGGTGGACTCGGAGGATATTCCCATATGATTTCTGATACCTGATATTCCCCGATACGTCTTTGTTTCTCATCGCGATATGCCGCTATTGACGCTTATTGCGCGTGTTCGAGCGTTTTGGCCACGCCAACTCAGGAGACAGCTCATAGACAATCAAAGTGGTATAAAGCAAATTAACTTATATTGTGGAGGAGTGGCGAGATGATACAAGGTACAACAAGTACACCAAGAACGCTAAAAGACACCCAATACCGTAGGGGCAGAGCTGTTTTGCTGTTTTCATGTTGACAAACAAGGGAAGCTGGAGAGATGTCCGCTTTCGGCCTTGCGATGCAAACCAACAAAACTCATACGTATCCAGGCATCCAGATTCAAACACTCGAAGATTCACTAACGATCCCAAGTGTTGAGTTGAACACTGTGGTGAATTGATTTCCCACGTTCTCCGCCCAGTCCTTTTTGTCGTGTGGCCACCGATCGTCACTTGCGGAGATCCCACTCCAATGACCACAAATTGGCCCCCCCGGGCAAGATATATTCCACTGAAACTGACAGCTTGAGCTACGTCGAAATACTTTTTCCTTGCCACCCGGATGGGTGATCCTTTGAAGCTATCGCGAAGGAACGTGCGAAGGAACGTGCGTAGCAACAGACCACTGGGATCCCACACACCACCCCTCTTGGAGACTCTGGGGTCCTCCTGTCGATGAAATCATGACCGCAGCCCCGGGTGTCACGGTTGACACCTCCGACAACCTTACTTCTCCATCGAACGCGATCAATTCCACCCGGCTTCCCCAGGGTAGCTCCACCACAAACCAGGATGGAGGGGACACAGAACGGCCCCCTCCACCAGTGACGTCCGAGGCGGCCACAAAGATAACGAAGCATGAGACTACAGAACCAGATGAGGTCGATGATTTTGGCCTTCCCATCCGCGCACGCCACCGGGCCGATCCCCCCACCAGCGAGTCCCCCGCGAACGACAATAGCGACCATAAACCGGAGGAGACCGTCGTGGGCTTGACAAGCTATAGTGAAGCTTTAAAGAAGCCAACTGAGCCTGTACAAGAGGACACACCCGAGCCCGTGCCCGAGGCAGCCCCTGAGCTGGCCAAGACGAACAAGGCAGAACAACTAGACAAGGATCTGGAAGCCCACAGCGGTGCTCCTGAAAATGCAGAGAGTTCACACAATTTGGACGCCTCTGCAAACCCCCGCAGGTCGACCTCGAAGCCCAAACCTGTCGAGATGTCGGAATGGTCCCACCAGCGACTGAACCAGCCCCACCAATTACACCACGAGAGCGACGACTCAGAAGAGGAGCCGGATGAATGGCAGTCAATGCCCGCGCTTGGAGAATTCGACTACTACGATGACTATGGGCGACTGGTCGCCAAAGGTGCCAAGGAAGAAGACGACGAGGCTGTATATCAGGGACTAGGAGGAGCTGGGAAAGGCTATACCCGGGTGCAGCTCGATGATGATGCTCAGTCTGCCACAAGTCTAGATGAGGATACGAGCTATCTTTTCCGAGAAACAGGAGGAAACTCCGCTGGTTTAGTTGGCGAAGAGCTTCGCGACTCGATCAGCCAGCTCCAGGCCACGAAAGACCTACTCAATGAGACACAGAAGATCGCATATGTGGGAGTTGTGAGGCTATCCATCCATGGGATGAACCGTGACTTGGCATCCATCACCACCACGAAATCTACGCGAAAAGTAGTACAGAAAGCCTCAGATGCCATGAGAAAGTGGGGCCAAGCGATGATGGCGCGAGTCTATGCCCATATGGATATCAATTCGGCTGAGCAGATTATGATCGAGCAACTTGCGGAGCACGGTGTCCAACCAGAGGATCTGGTACGACCACTCATGCAAAATGCGCGAGTCAAAAACCCCATGGCCGAAAATGATCCGAAAACTTCCACATCTACAGCAGAGTCTCCCAGTCTTAAAAAGGACACTCAATCGAGGTTATCAGCAGAGTCAGATCAATCTTCTGAATTTGACCCTCCACCGCCATATGAAGCCGAGGAGACCGAGGAACCCCCAGAGGTCACGACTCCTTCTCAAATGCCTACGACTGATCGAATCGACATAGACCTCCGATGGACTGTGCTCTGTGACCTCTTCCTTGTGCTGATTGCAGACTCAGCATATGATGCTCGGTCACGAACGCTCTTGGAAAGGGTCGGTGCAGCCTTGGATGTGACATGGCTGCAGATCTCACGGTTTGAGAAGCGTGTCACAGATTCACTCGAAATGCAAGAGCAAGCAGACAAAGAGAATTGGGACGAGTCGGATCACATGGAAAAGCGCCGCAAGATGGCCTTGAAACAGAAGTATATGATTATGGGTCTGGCGACGGTGGGCGGTGGACTAGTCATTGGTCTTTCTGCTGGACTGTTGGCTCCTGTCATCGGAGCTGGCCTTGCGGCGGGCCTGACAACTGTGGGTATCTCCGGAACAAGTGCGTTCCTGGGAGGTGCTGGTGGTACCGCCCTGATCGCTTCCGGTGCTACACTAGGCGGAAGCACTATTGGTATGAGGGCTTCACATCGCCGGACTGGTGCTGTCCAAACGTTCGAGTATCGTCCTCTTCATAATAATAAAAAGGTCAATCTCATTGTGACCGTCTCCGGCTGGATGACTGGCAAGGTCGATGATGTTCGTCTACCTTTCAGTACCGTCGATCCGATCATGGGGGATATCTATTCCGTGTTGTGGGAACCTGAAATGCTTCGGAGTATGGGTGACACCATCAACATTCTGGCAACAGAGGTAAGTTCTCAAAATGGTATTATCATGCCCCTATGCCTCAAGCTAACAACTACCAGGCATTAACTCAAGGTCTGCAACAAGTTCTGGGAAGCACCATTTTGATGGCGTTGATGGCATCATTGCAATTGCCTCTCGTTCTCACCAAACTGGCATATCTGATCGATAACCCTTGGATCGTATCTTTGGCTCGCGCCAACTCTGCCGGCCTCGTCATGGCCGATTCCTTGCAAGATCGAAACCTTGGTAACCGGCCTGTCACTCTTCTTGGCTTCTCACTCGGCGCGCGTGTCATCTTCTCTTGCCTCAAAGAACTGGCCAACAAGGGTGCCCACGGACTCATCCAGAACGTATACCTGTTCGGGTCGCCAGTTGTTGCAAACAAGGATGAGTACTTAAAGGCCCGGAGTGTAGTGTCTGGTCGATTCGTGAACGGTTACGCCACCAACGATTGGATTCTGGGTTACCTTTTCCGAGCCACAAGTGGTGGTATCATGCGTGTTGCTGGTCTTGCAGCCGTGGAAGGCATTCCAGGCATTGAAAACTTCGATATTACTTCGCTTGTCAACGGTCATATGGACTACCGTACCGCTATGCCTCGTATTTTGCGAGAAGTTGGATGGGAAGTTCTAGAAGATGAGTTCGCAGAAATCGAAGACCCAGACCCAGACAACCACGCCGAACGACAACGAGAGCTCATTCGTGAAATCGACGAAGCCCGCCGAGAGGCGGAAGCAAAGCCAGAGAAGAAACGCTTCGGCCTCTTCAAACGCGGCAAGATGGCCGAAAAAAAGAAGTGGGAGACGTACGACATTGACCGAAACAATTCCCCGCGAGATTCAAATGATACCGACAGCCCTGGTGCAGTGCTCTTCGATATCGAAGCCATTCGAACCGAGCTGGCCTCGGAGGCCATCGAAGTGAGACAGCTAGAGTCGACCATGCCTCCGATGAAATTAGACCTAAACTCTCAGCCCGAGCCACCCACCCAACCTTCCCCTAGTGCGAAGACACCAAAGACACCAAAGACACCAGATGCACTTAAGATACCCGACCTTCCACCCGCTTCCCGAACTTCTTCAGAGCCCCCACATGCATCAGGACAGTACTCTCCTCACGGCCCGAATGAGCATTCTACTTTACCAAAGGACGAGTTCGAAATGACCTTCGATACCTCTTATCATGAATCCCCAAGATCTACCCACAACCCTCTCGCTCGCCCCGAGCTACAACCTGCGTCTTCAATGCCGGTAATACCTACTGTTGGCACAACAGCTATCGGCGCCATGGCCTTGGAGCCTAATGCTTGGGCGGATCATGACACAGATGGCGAGATCTCAATGACTTTTGAGTAATGGCCGTCCTAGATTCTGTTTCTGGTCCCATTTCTTTTTTTTTTTCTTTACGTTTCCTCTATATACTTTTATCTTTCTCCCGTTCTTTCCATTAAGACTGTACGAGGTGCATGACTCGCTCGGGCATATTTTGTTTGAGTGTAATCTGATTGTGTATATCTTTGTCTGGTTGCCTTCTAAGACGGGTCCTAGCTACTTCAACTACTATGACATGATCATGATTTTCCAAACCATTGGCTAGCTTAACTAATGTATAGTGTGCCATAACCCTTAAGCATATATTTTGTAGCATATGTGATTATTTTCCAATGAGATTTTCTTTCATACTATATTCATTTTCTATTGCCAGACCTTTTAAGCCTCGAGGTATAAGTTAGTCCGGGAGTGGAGCAGGCACGTGTCACGCGTTTCGCGTTCCCCTCACGTTGTCTCAGCCCTTGGCAGCTTCAATGAACATGCACCAGTCTTCTAGTCTTTTGAGTTGAATTATTTTGTTATATTTCTACTGCATGCACAGGGTCTGGGTTTGCACACGCGTCCCGCCGAGTCATCAACGCGTACCGGCTCAATCATATTTAGCTCCACTCCGACAACTACGCCAACATCTAACGCCCTCCGAAGCAATTCAGCATGAGCGGTCGCCCAAAGCGTGACGCTAGCTATGCTTCAAATCGCCTAACAAGAGGCAATGGTCCAGGGGGGCACCTATTGTCGACATTCAATAAGCCCGAATCCCCCAGCGACACCGAGTCAGATATCCAACCCAGTATCGAAAACCCCACGCAACCATACGAACCTGCGATAGATGATGCGCCACTTAGCTCGGAAGACGAAGAGGCGTACAATGAAAGCGATTCATTACAAGGTCACAAGAATGACCGAGCAAACGCAACTATGGAGCAGAGGCTGGCGGATGACTACATAATCTCGCAGGGAAGCCCGCAGAATTACAGTGGCTCGGCCCGCAAGACTGGACTGTTGCGCACTAATAGTGGCATGAGTGATGAAGAAAACAATCCCTATTTCATGTCTTCGCAGAGTTCAAAGCGCAAGCGGGCCACGTATGCGAAACCACAACCACTATCACGGCATTCAAGTGTGCGCGAGCCGCCAGCTGCGACTGGCAAATCCTCGCCAGTCAAAAGAAAGACACCGGACTCCAGCGCTAAGTCGTCCGAGACCAAAGACCCGGAGGAATCAGATGAACCTCAAGTGACGTTTAAGATGCCTAAGGATCTTCCCTCTTCGAGTCCCAGGAGATCATTTGCTGGCAGAAAGAAGAACGGAGCATCTGAAAACATGCCCCCTAATATCTTGCCCAATGACTCTTTCTCTTCGTTTGGCACGTTATCATCTAAAGAACAGCAGCAGTTACTACAAGACAGCGACTCGTCTCTGAGCAGCCCGCTCAGCTCACCGTCAGGTTCTTTGTACGAGCAGATGTCACAATTCGAGCACCAACAAGAATCACCGCCTGAAAAAGCCCTGTGTCCAATGTGTAAAGCAGAAGTGGAACGGGAGATACTAGACTCATTCGAAGCACAGCCGAAGCAACGTATCCGTGAACAGCAGCAATTCTGCGCATCTCACCAGGAGCGTAGCGCAATGAAAGAATGGGAAACGAAGGGATATCCCGAAATCAATTGGGACACGTTTGACGAGCGACTTCAGCGCCACTTCCCTGAGCTGGAAAAGCTACTTGTGCCCGATTCTTCATGCTATTACCGAAATATTCTCGATACCAGCATGAAGTCTGGACAGGCGAAGAACTTCCGTTTGACCTTGGATGGCGATGGACTTGAGACCATTACATGTGGTTATTATGGGACAAAGGGTGCCGGTAAAATGTATGCAATTGACCGTGTTCCTTTTGGTGTTGTATCAATACTAAACGATCGACAATATTTAGGTTGCAAGCTGTTATCGACCGATTCTCTTTGCGACTCCGTCGTTTGGCTACGTCGGATCATCTCGCCAAGACTGCTGGTGTGGCTGGCTACGCACAATCTGTTCTTGTACCCGAATTGGCGGTGCGACTAGTGAAGGAGGATATGGACGTCAGTGATGAGGCTGCACGTCAGATCCTGAGGGAGAGTATTGAGATTGGCGAGAGACTCAACCCGGCGCTGAATGATGCGGTGCCGATTCCAGACGATGTCGAGCTTTGAGGCGAAACTGATTTGCATTTTATACCACCAACAGTTTTGGACGCATTTGTTACATTGTTGTCTTATTCAAGCGATTGTATATAGATTGTCTATTGTGATACCTCTGATATCTGTTACATTTAGTGGTATTTTTCTTATACCATAACACTAAGCCAGGATAGGTTAGGTAATTCCGAGGAACAAGGAGTACGGAGTATTTTACCACGAAATCCACAGAATCTAGTTCCAATGAGGGGAATATCAAAATTACTCATTCATAGTCTGATTTGGGCCTTTACAACGTTGCTAGGAATGATTGGCTGTCACGACATAAGCCTCTTTAGGACGCCATCGGATCTCCGGCGGCGAAGCTCACTGCCAAGAGTGCCTAACAGTCTTAGTTTACCCCCAGACCTACAGACCTACAGGGCATGACTCTATTCTTAATATTAACGTTCGCTCTGAAAATACCATGGTGAAGTAGTCTGCCCTGTGTACCCGACGGTCTGCTTGTGTTGGCCTGTTCGATTTCAAAACAGTTTGATACCAGCGAATCTCAGCCAGTTGCCAGCAAAAGAAGCGTTCTGCTTGAACTACTTGAATAGGCTTGGAGTGCCCCTATCAGGCAGAAGTATAACTTGTTAGCCCGAGCGCCGAGCGCCGAGTTGACGTTGATACTAAAAGCCTTCATATGCCATTTCGCGTCTGATAACCTCCATAATCTCACCAGAGCCTCATTCATTATCCTTGGATATAAATTTTACCGTTCCCATTTGCTTGGACTCGTGCCACTTCCAATATGGGTGCATGCGACGATGACCAGTTTGGGCCGATTGTTGGTACAGACTGTCGCGGTGGATTCGACTTCACCATACTATTCGAATCCGGGATTCTGAGCATCCTTCCAGCTGCTTCTTTCTTCCTGCTTGCATTGCTACGTCTAGCTTATCTGCGGAGAGAAGGAAGGAAGGTGCTTTCTTCTACATTCCGAATAGTGGCCCTAGTGAGAGACCCCAGATCACCGGAGTGGGACTTTGATCTCTAACTACTCTCAACTAGAGTTTCTCGGTAACCTTTGTGGCTATCCAGATTGCTCTGATTGCGCTTGTTGCAAAGCATCACCCCGCGGAGAAGACACTGCTTGCAAGTGCCATTCTCGATCTAGTAGCGGCACTGGGTGTGGTATTACTTCTGGACCTAGAGCATGTCCGGTCAATTAGACCATCTTTCCTGCTATCTTTATATCTGTTCCTTACGTTGATTCTGGATCTTGCGCGTGTGCGCACAGCCTGGCTGACACCGGACAACGAAGATTATTCGGTTCTTCTTTCTACGTCGCTGGCCCTCAAGGTGATTTTATTGATTCTTGCCAGTGTCGAGAAGAAGAAATGGCTTCTATCCTCCGAAAAACATCATTCTAAGGAGAGTGTGAGCGGTCCCTTCTCACGAGGCCTATTCACTTGGCTGAATGGGCTCCTATGGAGAGGTCATTCCGAAGCCCTGGCTGGGGATGATCTCCCGAATGTCCACGAGAAGCTTCTATCATCGGAGCTATCTACTCGATTCGCAAACACATGGGCTCAGTCCGACCAAAGAGGGAAGCACGCGTTACTTTGGGTGGTAATTAGATGTCTCCGCTGGGAATTTGCGGCTATTACTTTTCCGCGGCTTTGCGTTGTGGGATTCAGTATTGCACAGCCGTTTCTTATTGGAAAAGTCGTTAGTGTCTTGCAACGAACTGATCCTTTTTCGGTCGACATTAGCTATGGCTTGATTGGAGCTACTGCAATTCTTTTTACTGGAACTGCGGTAAGTTTGTCTGATTTCAGGGCGTGTGATTGCCCTAATATTCTCGATAGATTGCGCGAGCTTCCTATGAGCATTTAGGATACCGTGCCACGACAATGATCCGAGGCGGTTTAATGAGTATAGTCTTCCAGCATATGATGGGCCTTCCGCTTGGAAGCACAGATGAATCTAGCGCAATGTCGCTTATGGGCTCTGATATAGAGATGCTCGCCGAGTATTTCTTTTCGGTGGTCTGTGAGACGTGGGCGAACGTGCTTCAGTTAGGGCTGGCTACATGGTTGTTAGAAACCCAGGTTGGCGCCGTCTGTATCGCTCCTCTATTTATAGTGATTGGTAAGTCATGTCGATTTCCTGTAACATTAATTCATATCATCTAATATGGCCGACTAGTATTTACCGGTGCCTCGTTTGCTATGGGGTCTGCAATTTCCACCCGACAGAAAGATTGGCTTCAAGCCACCGAGAAGCGGATCAACTTTACATCTTCCATTCTAGGATCTATCCGCAACATCAAATTCCTCGGCTTGGCCGAGATCATGGGGTCTAAGATTGAAGCATTACGTACAGAGGAGCTCGAGATCTCCAAGAGATTCCGCCGTCTTCAATCCATCCGTGTCTGCATCGGTAAGTGTTTGCTAGGAGGCAATCAGCTTGCTATAGATCGTATAGAACTTACTGACAATAAATGCTAGTCAACATTCCCATCATAATCGGGCAGTTTGCGACGTTTGCTGCCTATGCAATAGTAGCTCTGATCCAGGATTCTGGGCCCCTTGCTGTCAACAAGGCTATCACATCATTGTCGCTCATTATGTTGATGATCACACCTCTCATTTATCTCTTGCTCGCGATTCCCGACACCTTTGCTTCAATAGGTTGTCTGCATAGGATACAAGATTTCCTTAAAAATCAGAATCGTCTTGGTAAGAGATTCAGTATCTTGGATTTATTTGACTGTGCTCTAGAAATCCTCGTCGTTAGCTTTCATGAGCTAATGCACTACGCTTGATACAGAGAAGAGAACCCTTTCTGAGCCGCTATCGACATACTCCACATCTGCCAGTAGCCTTTCTGGCATCAACCTGCCCCAGATCTCGCCACTACCACGGGGTGGGAAAGGCGAGGTGATCATCTCATTAAAGAATGTCAAATTCGGCTGGAAATCACCTTCTGCTCCAGAAACAAATGGTATTGACCTTACTATGGAAACCTCCTCTTCTGGAAGACTCGTCATGATTGTCGGCCCCGTCGGCTGTGGCAAGTCTACCTTTCTCAAAGGTCTGGCAGGAGAGACGCCCGTGTTAGAAGGGGATCTCTTCGTAAAATATCCGAACTTGGCCTTCTGCGATGACACGCCTTGGCTATCCAATTCCTCCATACGAAGCAATATTGTCGGCGAAGACACATCCGTCACTATCGATCCTGTCTGGTATCAAACTGTAATTCATGCATGTGCACTGGATGTCGATATCCAGAAGATGCCAGCCAGAGACGAAACACTCGTTGGCAGTAAAGGATCTAAGCTGAGTGGTGGACAGAGGCAAAGAGTCGTGAGTTTGTGCATTTGTAAAGACAGGTATCAAAGCTTCTACCATACTGACCTACTGTTTTGAATAGGCCATTGCACGAGCAGTATACGCTCGCAGAAAAATCGCTTGCTTCGATGATGTTCTTAGTGGACTAGATAACTCCACAGCCCGAATTGTGTTTCAAAATGTCTTTGGTTCGACTGGTTTGCTGCGCCAGCTGGGAACTACAGTGTTTCTGGCCACTCACAGTAGTATGTGTATGATTCATTCCCGGAAGACATAAGAGGCTAACCATACATCAGCCCAGTATTCGCCGCAATCTGATTTGATCATAGTCCTGGGAGACAATGGCCAAGTCATGAAGCAAGGAACTTATGCCCAAATCCGGGACGAAGTTTCAAACCTGATTCAGAAACACGACCTTGCACCAACACAGACGGATGACCTGGAAGAAAGTATCAAGTCTAAAGATTTGATTGTGAGTCCTCTGGCTCCCGCCTTGAGTACCTCCAAAGAGAGTAACCAAAAGAAAACCGACCTTGCTGTGTACAAGTACTACTTTTCCGCTTTGGGACGGGCAAGAATAGCAGCGTTATTTCTTTTCATTGTCATAGATAGCGGTACAAATTCGTTCCGCTGTAAGTAAACTAACACTCCGCTCCTAATTATGAATCATGGCATGCAATTAACACTTATCAAGATGTGTGGATTGACCTCTGGTCTTCCAGCAGTGATAGTAGCTCACGCCTGGGCTACTGGCTTGGAATTTACGGGGCATTATCTGTTGTCCAAGCTCTTGCACTTATAACTGCCGTTTTGTATGCTCAATGCCTTTCCCAGTACATCCGTTACTATTTTCGACATTCTAACACCTGTTGGCAGTTGGGTATGGGTCATCATTGTCCCCTTGGCTTCCAAGAACCTTCATTCAACTGTACTACGAACCTCCATGGCGTGAGTAGCCCCGGAAATTAGCACGTGAAATTGCTAATCATTACAGCGCTCCCTTGGCCTTCCTGTCCAATCTGGAGACTGGAGCACTTGTGACGCGATTCAGCCAGGACATGAGGCTAGTTGATATGATTCTTCCTCGAGCTTTCTTCTCTACAGTGATAAGTAAGCTGGCCGACGAAATTTCGAGAAGTTGACTGATATTCATTCTAATTTCTCTGTTCTTCAGTGTTTTTTGGTGCTATTGGCGAAGGGGCTATTGCAATTGCCTCGCTACCATACCTAGCAGCGGCTTTGCCCCCTCTACTCGGAACTTTTTATTTGATTCAGAGGTTTTATCTTCAAACCTCGCGTCAGCTACGGCTACTGGAGTAAGTTGTCGCGTTTCAGCATTTTGAACAAATTTCTTTTACCCCCTGGACTAACATGTCACAGAATTGAGCTCAAGAGCCCTCTCTATACACACTTTATCGAGTCGCTGGCAGGATTAACGACAATTCGCGCTTTTGCCTGGACTCATGCAACGACAAACCGAATGCTTTCAATACTAGATAATGCGCAGAGGCCATACTACCTTCTTCTATGTATCCAACGTTGGCTTGCTCTCGTTCTGAACCTGATTGTGGCAGGGATAGCAGTGCTCCTTGTTGGGTTATCTGTTTCTCTTCGCTCGCATCTAGATCCGGGCCTTCTAGGAGTCGCTCTTGTCGTGATGATGGATCTCGGGCGTGGCTTGTCAGAACTGATTCAGAACTGGACATTGCTTGAAACTTCGCTGGGGGCTATTTCTCGCATCAAAGCATTTTCTGAGGAGACACCTCGTGAAGAAAGCAATCAAGGTGTTCAGATACAAGATACAGAATGGCCAACCAGCGGTGAGATCGAATTCAAGGACGCAGGGATTGCTTGGGATGTCAGTGACACCAAGCCTTTGCTCACTGACATCAACCTTCGAATCGGGGCCGGACAGAAGTTTGGCTTGTGTGGTCGATCTGGAAGGTAAGATCCTGGTCCATTCTCCTAGTAGGATCATAATGATTCCTTACCCGAGTTCCAGTCTAATATTTTGTTACAAAATAGTGGCAAAAGCACACTGGCACTGTCCCTCCTACGCCTTAACGAGCTAGTCTCCGGCCAAATCTTGATCGACAGACAAGACATCTCCATGATGTCACGGTCGTCAATTCGGCAACGTATCAGTTGCCTCAGTCAGGAATCATTCCACTTCCCAGGCACTATTAGGGATAATGCCGACCCAGCAGGCAAAGCCTCAAGCACACATATTGTCGAGGCACTGACATCCGTCGGGATCTGGAATGTTCTCACAGCGAGCTACAGTGGCTCCGATGAACAGGTCCTAGATACAGCGCTGGACGACAGCAGTCTATCACAGGGCCAGAAGCAGCTATTTTGTCTAGCTCGAGCTCTTCTGAAGAGAAGTAAAATCCTAATTTTGGATGAACCAACGAGCAGGTATGTGCATGTCTTCTTTTCCTCAAAATCAGGCAGCACTTATTTTCGTGTGACTAACGAGGGAATCATAAATAGCCTGGACCACGAAACTGATGCCAAGGTGCAAACGGTTATACGAGAGTCGTTCAAGCGCTGCACTGTGATTATGGTGGCCCATAGAATCAACACTTTGCTTGACTTTGATCAGGTTGCTGTTTTGAATGACGGTCTTATTATGGAGGTGGGTCATCCTAGTGATCTGCTCAATGCACCGGATGGGGAATTTGCGAAGCTATTGAGTCTCGGGTCGTGAAGTTTGTTACCACAGGAGCTTAGTTTATTTAATCATATTGTTATGTCCTTGAACCTTCTTGCGAGATAACGCCAGCAGAGACTACGCCATGTAAGAAACCATTGTGATTCAGTTCTAGGGATTGATCTTCATTTTAGAAATGATTTACTCTGTATTTTGAGCATCCAAAATCATAGAACAAGTGTAGATTTTGAATTGATTACCTCTGTCTCCCAGTATGCTACGCTCATTCCAGCAGATAATTCTTGACTTAAATTTAAATGTGTATTCATATTTTCTTCCCTCTTACTAGACACTGACGATTCTCGTTGCAGCACTCTGAGCTTTGTGAACTACAAAGATGTGGCTGGTAATTCATCGGGAGTTTAAAGCTCTGAGACTTTTCTTCTGCTCGAATTAGCCGTTTATCGGAACTTGTGCAGCATAAACCGCTTGCAAGGCCTCTGTCGATCAAACGAAACAACATTATATCCGACAGCCGGCCATTGACTCCACTCAAAACGCGGAGAATTCTCCGATACCCTTGATTGAATTCAGCAGTCATTGACTGAATCCTCCGTTCTTCATTTGGATTACCTCCACAAGCAGACCAGACCTCTTCCCTGCTCGAAATGACCTTCCTAAGGGAATGCGATGTCTTGGTTGTGGGGAGCGGCAATGCGGGGTTTTCCGCAGCCGTTTCCGCAGCTCAATCTGGGGCAAAGTCTGTTGTTCTGATTGATAAATGCCCCGAGGAATGGGCAGGAGGCAATACGTACTTTACGGCCGGTGCATATCGCACTGTTCACGGTGGTCTTTCGGATCTTCTTCCTATAGTGAACAATGTCGACAGAGAGTTGGCAAGCCGAATAGACCTTGGTCCTTATTCGACTGATGACTTCACCAACGACATGCAGCGCGTGTGTATGGGCCGCTCCGATTCACATCTGATGCAAGCACTTGTTTCTGACTCGAACTCCACGATCAAATGGCTTTCCAAGAATGGCATCCGGTTTCAGCTTTCCTTCAATCGGCAAGCATACAAGTTGAATGATCGGTACCAGTTCTGGGGCGGACTAGCATTGAAGACACAAGATGGTGGCAAGGGGCTTGTCGAAGACCACAAAGCAGCTGCTCTGCGCCATGGTGTCAATCTTTGTTGGTCGACAGCTCTGACTGGGGTAGATCTTCAAAAGCCTTCCGGCAAGCCGAACGTATCGACAAACGATCACCTTGTCAAAGCCTCTGTGCTTCACAAAGGAGTCAAAGAAACCATCTTTACCCATGCCCTCGTTTTTGCAGCTGGTGGCTTTGAAGCCAACCCTCGCATGCGATGCCAGTATTTGGGACCGGGCTGGGACTTGGCCATGGTCCGAGGGACGCCATACAACACAGGAGATTGTCTAGAGCTTGCAATCCGGGAACTCAATGCCAAACCCGTGGGCAACTGGTCCGGCTGCCATTCTGTCGCCTGGGATGCAAATGCGGATCCCAATGTGGGTGATCGTGAGGCTTCGAACGAGTACACGAAGTCTGGGTATCCGCTAGGCCTAATGCTCAATATCCACGGAAAGCGATTTGTTGATGAGGGTGTCGATTTGCGAAACTATACCTACGCTCGATTTGGCAAGGCCATCTTGGCACAACCTGAGCATATCGTTTTCCAGATTTGGGACGCGCAAACAATTCCCTGGCTACGGGAGGAAGAATATCGTGATGAACGAGTGGAACGAATCACCGCAGACACTTTAAAAGAATTAGCTGAGAAGTGTGCCCAGCGAGGCTTGCAAGACCCTGGCCAGTTCGTGGCAACTTTCAAGGAGTATAACGAAGCCGTCTATGCTTATCGCCGCGAGAACCCAGCTGTGGAATGGAACCCAGCAATCCGTGATGGGGTCGCAACTCAATCAAAGACCAAGAAGCTGGAGCTTCCCAAGTCGAACTGGGCTCTAGCAATTGACAAGGCGCCTTTCTTGGCTGTGAAAGTGTCATGTGGCATTACATTCACGTTTGGAGGATTGGCCATCGATCCAAAAGATACCCGACTCATTAGATCCACTACTGGAGAGCCACTCTCAAACGTCTTCTGTGTAGGTGAGATGATGGGTGGTCTATTCTACAACAATTACCCCGGAGGCAGTGGTTTGACCTCGGGCGCGGTGTTTGGACGACGCGCCGGGAATGCTGCCGCAAAAGTGGCTCTTGCGGCTAGAGAGTTTGAAGACAGTTCCAAATAGTTATCTGACGCTATGATGTTTTAAGGCCTGGACAGGGAGATGTCTGAATTTTATGTCAACGAATATCCGAGTGTGAAAAAGTCAAGAAATGAACTCAAGCTAACAAGATGGGTTTTCGCAGTTTATAGGGTAAAAGCTCACAATTTAGAAGTTCCTCACCTGATGTTGATGGCAATAGTCTTTTTAAGATTACGGATCCTAGAGGATAGACTTAGGCCGGATAGGAATGGAGATCTTTTAGGGCACCGAATAGGCAGGTGCCGTAAGGACCTCAGGCACCTATTGACACCTGAGTTGGCAGAGATAAGTGCCTTATATTCAAGGCCACCGGCAGAAAGATATATTAGTCAGCTGATAAGGCGGGTCCCGCCGCCGGTCGATGATACAATCCATGCGGAGAAGCTCGACTCGTTCCTTTTCTCTTCTTCATCCATCTCTCAAGATGAGGGAGAAAGACATGCCGTACTCGGAGACAACACCTCTGTTGGAGGTCCATGTCGCTCCTCAGCGGCATCGATACCCACACAATGCGCTCCGTCGAGCTTGTACTATCTCCCTTGGAGCTATACTTCTTTTGGCAACAACTCTGTTCCTGATTCCAACCGCCATCTTGCCCCGCGGGCATGGCTCAATTTGGTCTTATCTGCCATGGTCTCATCCAATCCCCCATGACGCATGGCCGGAAAGCTATGGTCTTCCCTACGATCAGCTCCAGCAGATCCTACTCAATGTTCCATCTGCGGCCAAGGCTCGTGAGTGGAGCAACTACTATACTGCGGGACCGCACTTGGCGGGCAAGAACCTGTCCCAAGCTCTTTGGACCATGGATAAGTGGAAGGAGTTTGGTGTCGAAGATACCAGCCTCGCCACTTATGATATTTACCTCAATTACCCGGTTGACCACCGCTTGGCTCTGCTGAAGCAGTTGGATGAAAAGACTGAGGTTACCTTCGAGGCTACATTAGAGGAAGATATCTTGGAAGAGGATCCTACCTCCAGTCTGCCCGACCGTGTCCCAGTATTCCATGGCTATTCCGCTAGTGGCAATGTGACTGCTCAGTACGTGTACGTCAACTTTGGCACATACGCAGACTTCGAGGATCTCGTCAACTCCAACATCACTTTGGAGGGTAAGATTGCGATTGCTAAGTATGGCCGCAACTTCCGAGGATTGAAGGTGAAGCGTGCACAGGAACTTGGAATGGTCGGTGTTGTCATCTACTCCGACCCTCAGGAAGACGGCGAGATTACCGAGGAAAACGGTTACGAGGCTTATCCCAATGGACCAGCCCGAAACCCAAGTGCGATCCAGAGAGGTAGCACTCAATTCTTGAGTATTCTACCCGGTGACCCCACAACTCCAGGCTACGCATCGAAGCCTGGATGCGAACGACAGGATCCCCATAACTCTATTCCTTCCATTCCATCTCTTCCCATCTCTTACAAAGAGGCATTGCCATTCTTGAAAGCTCTCAATGGGCACGGTCCCAAGGCGTCAGACTACAATGAGTGGTGGCAGGGTGGTGGTCTCAGCCACAAGGGTGTCGAGTACAACATTGGACCATCACCTGAAGATGTATTAATCAACCTCCACAACCTCCAGGAATATGTGACGACCCCATTGTGGAATGTCATCGGCGTTATCAAGGGCCACATCTCTGACGAGGTCGTTATCCTGGGTAACCACCGTGACGCATGGATTGCCGGTGGTGCTGGAGATCCAAACAGTGGATCTGCTGCTCTCAATGAGGTTGTCCGCAGCTTTGGTGAGGCTCTCAAGGCCGGTTGGAAGCCACTGCGTACTATCGTCTTTGCCAGCTGGGATGGCGAGGAATACGGCTTGCTTGGTTCGACCGAGTGGGTGGAGGAATATCTCCCTTGGCTCTCCGCCACCAACATCGCATATTTGAACGTCGATGTCGCTGCTGCTGGTACTAACTTTGAGCCTCGGGCCAGTCCCCTCTTGAACAAGGTCATCAACGATGTCACTGGCCTAGTTCTATCCCCCAACCAGACAGTTCGAGGTCAAACAGTTCGTGATGTGTGGAACGGCAAGATCGCAACAATGGGCAGTGGTAGTGATTTCACTGCCTTCCAGGATTTCGCTGGCATCGCCAGTCTTGACTTCGGCTTTGGTCGTGGGAAGAATGATCCTGTGTACCACTACCACTCAAATTACGACAGCTTCGCGTGGATGGAGAAGTACGGTGATCGTGACTTCCTTTACCACCAAGCCTGCACAAAGCTCTGGGCCTTGACCGCTGCTCAGCTGGTTGAGTCCCCTCTCCTTGCGCTGAACGCTACGGACTACGCCCTGGGGTTGGGATCCTACTTGGACCACATTAAGCCTTCAGCAGACAATCTCCCAGGGAACACACAGTTCCACTTTGCACCTTTGGACAGGGCTATTCTTGAGTTCCAGGAAGTAGCAAAGGCATTCGATGCCCATGCCGCCGATTTGGCATCCCAGCTTGGTGAGAATGTGCCATGGTGGCACTGGTGGAAGAAGGTTAGACTCTGGTTCCAGATCCGCGCCACCAACAAGAAGTACAAGACCATTGAACAATCTTTCTTGTATCAACCTGGTCTGGATGGCCGAGAGTGGTTTAAGCATGTTGTCTTTGCTCCTGGAATCTGGACTGGCTACGCTGGCGCTACTTACCCGGGTCTCGTGGAGAGTCTTGACGCCGGAGATGTCGAAAATGCCAAGGTATGTTTCTCACCTGATAATTCCTTCATTGGGTTTTACTAACATATGTGCTTTAGAAATGGAGTTCTATCATTTTGGGACGGATCGAGGCGGCGACCAAGCTGCTGCAGTAGATAGACCACAGTTTCGGAGCAAAACTGAACATATGACATAACAGCGGGGTTGCTTCTCGTATCTTGAATGGGCAGATACAAACGAAGTCAATATAAGCATTTTATGTGAGCGTCAATTGGCTACATGGAACTTTATAGGAGAATATCACGTAGACTCCAGGCAATCGTAACTAGAAGGTCATAAACAACATTCAAAAACTAGGCAGCCCCTTCGGAGAATGTAGCATATAAAATCTCCAGTGTATTTCCATCTCAGATCTATACAAAGTTATGCTATGCACATCTACCCCAGATTCGTCATCTGACTAATCAATGGTTATGACGGCCGATAAGTGAATTGGCGACTAGTCTTCAGCTCTATTCTCCTCTCCCTCATACTTCCACCTCCCATCCAAACATCCCATAAAAAAGCCAACAATTGGTCTCAATCCTACAAGATGGTAAGCCACAAGTCCAGAAACCTCCATCACACACCCACCCACCCCACCAACCCTCCACCTCCAACCAAAACAACCAAAACATCACACCACCCCGAACTAACAACCCGTCTTCCCTCCCTGACAGACTCTCCCAACAACCTCAGCAATCACCCTCTCCATCCTAACATCCCTAGGCGGCGCAATCGGCTACGCCCGCACAGGCTCAATCCCAAGTATAGCAGCCGGCCTCTCCGTAGGCTTCGTGTACTTGCTAGCCTTCCTGCGCCTCCGCACTGGCCAATCCTACGGCGAGGAACTCGGTCTACTGGCATCTGCAGTGCTGGGTGGTAGCTCTATCCCGCGTGTGATCAAGACTGGCGGCAAGCCGGTGCCGCTTGGCTTGTCGGTTCTGGCTACTTACGGGCTTGTCATCTTTGGCTTGGCTTTTCGGGAGAAGAGGGCTGCTTGAGGGGATTTGATATTCTGATGGATGGTTTGAGGAGTTGCTTTTGTGCGGCTGGTGATTTGGGGTGATGTTATGTTATGTTATGTTATGTGATACTACAGTAACGTTATGTGGTAACTTATAGCATGGCATGGCATGTTTTGTTAGGATGTTGGTTGGCTGGCATCCATGCATACAGTACTACAAGTTATCGCCTATTTGACTACTCGCCTCGGTCGATCTGCCATACGGCAAGCTACATTCTATGGTCCACTTGGGCATGGGAGTACAGAAATCAAATCCATTGTGTAGGTAGACAACCCATAAAAGCCAGCCCCAGAACGCCCAGACGGGAATGTAATCCCTACCTCGAGATCGAGAGAAACGCTAAAGACTTACATCGAGAGTAAATGGCATCGTCACACCTGGAGGTATGCACATCAAACCAAATGGGATAGAGCCAGGGTTACAACTCGGGGTGTAAAAAGAACAAGTGAAAAAATGACGCAACAAAGGGCAGAGAACACGTACTGAGGCTGGTCGAGGTGGTAAGTCGATTCACCCCCTTCAAGACGATAGTTCCTCAGAATAGACCAGACACGATCCCCATTTGATCCTTGCCCGCTTGCACATGAGCAACTTTTCGGTGTTGCCCCCGATGTTTTTTGTTTCTTTCCACTCTCGTTTTCGGTTTCTGAATGTTTTCGTTTTCGGATTTTCGTATGGCTGATATGAACTCACCAGTACTGACGCCTCCTCGGGTAATCTTGTCTTGTCGGGAAAGAAGATGGGATGGTGAGAGGACTCGCCAGAACTACTGATTCAAATTTGGATCAGGGACTCTGAAACAGATAACAACGGGATGTCATGGGAACACCGGGAAACGCCGGCCAGTGAAATGCTCATGCATAGATAGCTAGAATGGTTTGATATGTGTCGAACTTAGCTGGGTCCGTGATCCATCACTTGCGAAAGCCACATGGGGGACAATGCAGAATCTATTGAGCCGGGTCCATCACTGTGTCGGAAGTTTGAACGGCCCCGACAACTGCGGCGGCGGGAACCTCACCGAGGGCGGTTTCAGTGGCGTGGTCGGGAACAAATGCATATCGGGGAAGCTCGGCCATTCTCTCCTCTGGACTGATAGTATCATGGGAGTAAATCATGTGTCCGGATGGCTTCGACTTGTCCTTCTTGGCTGGCTTTTCAGCAACCTCCACCGGTTTGGGGGCCGTTGCGGCATTCGCTGCTCCTGAAATCAAATCGTCAACAGACTGGGAGAAGACATTTCCATCTGCTCCGTGAGCTGGAGGTGTCTGTGAATGTGGGACATGGCCCATGTGCATCTGTTGCATTTGGTGTGCGTTGACTGTAGGTGCACCAAAGGAAGGACGCTGTGGAAGGTTCGACGCAACTGGCAAACCAACTGGCAAGCCACTCGGTCGTTGTTCGGGAAGTGTGTGTTGCTGAGGGAAGGATGGGGGAGCCCCATAAGTTGTTGTTGGCTGTCCGGGAATCGCGGCGAACGGCTGGGGGTAACCGGTGGGCACGAAATTCTGAGGCAGACCAGCCAGCTCGGGTGCTGGGCTTCCATTGGCAGCATATGGTTGGAATTGAGCGGCGTGGGTCTGGGGATAGGAAAAGGCGGGAGCGGCAGCACCACCAAACGCCGGAGGGAAAGAATGTTGCTGATCCGGAGTGGGAGAGGCAGTGGCCTGAGGAGGTTGCGACTGTATGACTGTTAGTTTCAGAGTAATGTCAAATGAACGGGAAATTCTTACGAATCCAGTTGGAGTGGCCGACTGTCCAGCACTAGTGGGGGTTACATCGCCGCTGCTACCACCAGCGAGTGCCTCAGCGCGTTTGGCCCTGTGTTCAGCCAATCGCTTCTTGAGATCTGAAGCAGCTTCGAGCTTAGGCTTCTTGGCCGGCTGTCCGTTAGCGGAAGCGCCAGAGGGAGGGTTTCCAGTCACGGCTTGTCGCTCCACCTCGGCCTGCTGGAATTGCATGGCAACACGCTGCTGGTGAGCCTTGAGCACATCATCGGGGATACCCTCCATGCCAAAGATTTCAACATCCAGACCCATTCGGTTGGGAAGCGCATTTTCCACTTCAGTCAACTGCTCCTTGTGGACTTGACTCAGATGGACGGATAGGCCTAATTGCGTGTGGTGTTAGCATGGTTCATTCGCAACGCAGAAGGGGTTGGATGATATCTTCACAAGATCCACTTACCTCCTGCTGTATTCAATCGGCGTGGGCATCGGTCGCACTTGAAGTGCTTGGCCTTCTGGTGCGAAATGAGAATCTTGAGGTCGTCGAAGTCGCGCTCGCAGTAGTAACACCACGGACGAGCCAGAAGCTCTTCGAGCGGGGGACCACGTCTCTTCTTGCCCATGCTGGCGGTGTGTGTCGAGGAGAGAATAAGACGCGATTGCGGGGAGGAAGTAAAGATGATGCTCCTGAAGCGGTGTCGCAAGCTTGAGATGATGCATTCTGCCAAGACGTGGCACGTGCGATAAAGGGTCACGTGAGATAGGCCGATGTATCGTCCACGGCTGATCTATACAGAGCGAGGCTAGATTCGCCTCACTTTGCTGTGTTGCTTGGGCTTCTTAGATTTTGTTTCACTGTTTTGTTGCTCAGCGTGCTGAATCATACATAAAGCAAATGTTCTACCATTCGGATGGCCCTCCTACTTTGAACTCTACATGCTCTACTTTATCTACACTAGTGATTTATTTAGTGTACTACGAATTGAAGATCAAGTAATCGTACAAATTTATTTGCTAAAATACATGAGCCGGCACCCCCGCAGGGGTGCCAGCGTCTCAATTATATATCTGATATTCGCAGCCTCAGCCACAGCCCCCAGGAAGGCCTTCGGCTGCAGGGAGTACTCCTGCCCTGGTCACCTCCGCAGGCCTCGCCCTGTTCAAGACGGGCAAGGCACTAGCAGTAAAGGCAACCTAGGGCAGAAGTAGTTCCCCACAGCCTCAGACCAGCCCAGGGGCGGGCCGAGGAAGACACAGCGAATTGATCAGTTGGTGCCTTGGTGATCCCCAGTCTCTCTCTCCCATCCGTGTCCGAAGTGAGAATGAAGTGAAGAAGAAGTGATTTGTAGCTTCACATATGAGAGAGAGAGACCGTTGACCACCTCGGCGAGCGGACCTGCCTTCAATGGCGGGGGTCCCGCGGGTCGTGTGGACCCGGGATGGAACCCATCCCGTATGGGAGGTACGGGAATGGCGCATATTGCGCGGGCATAGGTTGGCCCAGTTGTGCCATAGGCGCAACAGGCGCAGCAGCGTATGGGTTGACGGGCCCATGGCCGTGGCCGTAGTGAGGCACACCCATTGGAGGCAGGGGGGCCATTTGCTGCTGCGCCTGTACGCTGACCATTGAAGGCAGGCCGCCGGGCCCCTTGGGGGCCAGGTTGCCAGCGAGCGGCACGAGGGAGGGAGAGCGCTTGCGGCGCCCGAGAGGCTTGGGGAGCTCCTGAGTTCCGTCGCCGTCGACAGTGCGGTCTTGCTCGATTTGGGCCTTGGATCGCTTGGGGTTGCGGATCCGCCCTTCGCGGTTGAATCGGTCCCAGTGGTCAAGCATCGCCTTTGTGCGCTTCGGGTTCTTTGAGTTTGCGATCTTGACACGGCGGGCCTCCTCGATAGCTTCAGCTGATAGAGCTTCTTTTTTGCCCGATGTTGGGGTGTCGACGGGGCTTTCGGTGCGAGGTTCAATAATGGGGAACGAGGAAGTCTCTGGTGGCACTGAGGTAGCCAAGGTGCTTGCACCGCGTCGGCCACGACCACGGCTAGAAGTTTGAGGAGCCGCATTGATCTCGAAGGTGGCCCGAGTAGCGGCGAGGCGTCCAGCGCCACGACCACGACCACGTCCGCGTCCGCGTCCAGGTCCAGTGCCCCGGCGAGGAGTAGAGTCAAACGGAATGGATTCGCCAACAAGGCGCTTGCCGCCACGACCTCTGGTGCGTCGCTTTGCGGGGTGGTTATCGTCATCGGTTTCTTCTTCGGTCTCGTTTTGGGTCTCTTCGGCATCAACCTTGGGGAGTTCAACCTCGGCAGCCTTGCGCTTGCGTGTGACCTTGGGAAGAACGGGTTCACGACGAGGCTCCCACACCCGGGGAACATAGTCAAGGCCATGTTTCTTCAGTACAGCCCAGCCATCGGCATTGGATTCACCGGTCTCCTTTTTCTTGGCGATCATCTTTCTAGCCTGGGCAGGAGTAGGAACAAAGCCACCTTGGACGAATGGATCTTGCATAGTGCGAATTGGGAGGAGAGGGGTGTTTGCGGGGAAGTATTGATGTTTGTAACCATAGAGCCCTGCCTCTTTCTTTTCGGCAAAGTCTAGTGGATCTTCATTGACATTCGCCAGAGGGATGCCACCTTTCTTCTTGTGGCCCTGCAGGACGTGTCGCTTGGTCTCATATGAAGCATCGCCCCGAGTGTGTCGCAGAGCTCTGAGATTGAGACGATCAAGTGCCAAATACTCATCTTGGATTGTCTTCATGGTGAAGGCAGCAGTTTCTGTGAGGGCGTAGAGTTCTTCTGGCGAGTATTTGGTGGGATTGTGAAGCATGTTCACCAATTTGTCGATTTCTTCAACCTGGACTTCCAGGAATTCACCTTTGTCGACTCTGGCTTTTTTGTATGGAAGAGGATGATGGGCGGGTTCAGAAGCATCGTGCTTTCTTGTTTTAGTTAAGTCATGGAATGCAGCATCCCAAGTAGCCTCACACTTGGCGGCTTCCTGTTCGTAAGTAGGGGAAAATAGACGGACATCATGGACATTCCAGTATTTTTGGAGACGCGCTTTGGCATCTTTGGGGCGCCATTTCGCCTCGCGGGCGCGACATTCCTCTGGATATGAAGTGCGCGGGTTGGAAAGCCAGTCGATTAGATCGAGCTTCCCTGTAAAATGTTGGCTGGTGTTGACGGTGATCTGAGTACTCTTGGCAATACTTTCAGAGTCACCCTGTTCGCCATTGGTCACAACAGTAATTTCTTCAGTATCATGAGGTTCGTCATCTTCAGGCTTGGCAGGTTCAGCTGCGATGTCCTCATCTTCTTCAATGGCGTCATCATCCTGTAGATCGCCAGTCTCGTCGTAAGTATCATCGGCGCCATCGTATCCAGTAAAGCTGATGGTCTTTGGATGAGCATCATTGATGTGATCATTCAGAACATCTTCTTCGGAGATGCTTTCATCGTCAGGAAGCTCCAGAAGCTTTCCGCACCAGTCGCACTTGACATGTTGCGGGAGGGGCTCCGGTGACTGGGAGATCTGAGTAGAAGTAGATTGAGGACGGAATGGCTCCGAGAACTGTCGGCGCAGTGGAGAGTCCTGGCTGTCACCGATATCTGAAGAAGGGTTGTCCCCATCCAGATCGGCCCTGGGAATGGGGGCCATGTTGGAAAAGAGAAAGAAAAGACAAGAGGGGGTATGAGTAATTGAGAAGCAAGCGAAAAAAAAGCAGAAATAAGACCAGGCTCAAATGGAGAATGTGAAGTCTCAAGAAAGGATCTGTATAGATATGGGTCAGCTTGGGTTCGCTTGCGGGTGCCAAGACGCCAGTAATCGCCGCGCCAGCCGTGGGAGTCAAGGGCCACGGTAGTATGAGAAGCGCCAACACCACATACATGGAAACTGGGCAAATCACTGGGAATCGAAAAGCAAGACAAAAAGGGATACAAGTACAAAGAAGACACGGTCGGCCAGGAATGTGTGCAGATCGGATGGGGGAAGTAGCTGAAGAAAAACAGAGTAAAAGACGAGGCCACTTACCATAAGATGTTCAAGATGACCAAGGAGGTGTTGAATTGAGTGGACCACAAGCTGGGTCTCAGCCAATTACTGCTTGCTGTCAGTGAGCTCTGCAAAGAAGGGTGCAGGGTGGACGTGAGTGGCTGCCAGGGATGTACTTACTCGGAAGGCTGGGTAGATGAGACTTTGCACTTTGGAGCAACGCGATGTACGAGACACCGAAGGTGATGAGATCAGACAGAAAGAGGATCAGGAAAAATACACCGGGGAAGTTGTGTTGTTGGCGCGCAGATCTTTGCGCCGGGTAGTATGGAAAAAAAAGATCTTCGACGCGATAGACTGCGAGGGAGATGATGAGAGATCAGAAATCTCAGAAAAGGATGATACAGAGAGAAACGATTACAGGAGAAGAAAGAAATGGGAAGGGGAAAGGGAGAAGGATGGAATAGCGAAGAGATTGAGGTTGAGAGAGAGAGTAGTTTTGTAGTTTGTAGCGTTTACGGGGGTTTCCACTGCCCGTTGCGGCCCACCAATCAGGTGTGAGTTATCTACTAGCCACATCAATGGCTGTATGTCGAGGAAAGGGGTTATTCACCCAGGATTGTTGTTGATATGAAGGTAATCTGGGTAAAATTAACTCATTTGACTCTATTGAAGTGTTTTTGGGACTCTTTACTGCGTTGCCTGGACTGCAATTTCCCTTTGCAAATTCAGACGCACGTCACATGATCTATGCTTATAGTCCACCAAAGCCTGTTTCAGCGGCGCCAGGGGCCTTCAGTAGCCCACATGTAGACAACAATGTTCTATTATTCTCTATACAGTCTTGCCAGATTTACTGCCTAGGTGGAGACTAGGTGGAACTGTTCTGGTGGTCTTTGGTCTATGACGCACGCCTCAAGAATGAGATCGTCGCCCTCTATTGTCCAGAGATTGAATACCAACAATGACTTCCATTCATCTATCCATCGTATGCATAAGCTATTCAGAATGAATGATTGGAAAGGATCAAGGTTTTGTCCTGAAAATTAGCAGGCTGCCAGCCTCTGTCTCCCTGTCCGATATCAGTGTGCCAACTGCTGCAAGGGTAGAGCAGTGCCACTCAGATCCATTCCTACCAGCAAGCATCATCTCCAATGGTTGTGTGATTTAATCTGACTTTTATCAGCGTGGTTCGTGGTATGAGTATAGTATAGCAAGGCGTAGGACGTTCATGACACCATTGTAGTTCTGAACACGGACAATGAGCAAGCAGGCTACCCAGGAGGTAGCTGAGGATCACAGCTTCTGTTCTGATGGGTTTACATTATCACTGCCTTCAATTGGTATTTTATTTAGGGGTTGGAACCTGTGGCATGGTGTGTTTCGGGGAGGGGAGGGTAATGAGTACCGATGCGAGATCATCTGGAATCAAAGGTCAGCTGCGATCTCAATATTGCAAAGTCCTGGATAGTTCAACTCAATCTTCATTGTTTATTGACATTGTGGTCATGCCTCGTCGAGGAAGTGTCGTAGTGTTCGTCTTAATATCGCGGGATAACATAGGATGAATGGTCACGCAAAGAAGGTTTAGATGAACACATGAGAGTCATGAGACTCATGTACAAGTCATGATGACCATTGACTGCTTGTTCATTAAGCATGCATCAGTCAGAGTCAGTGCATGGTCAATCATGTTATAGTCATGGAAAGAGGCATCAAGTCAAAATGTCATTCAAGGACAACAGAGAGAAAAAGGATTATGCCCACTAAGAAGAGTATTCTTGCATATGACTAGGGTCAACAAAGACTTTACTGGGACAGTGTAGAAGAAGGTGTCACTAGATGGAAGTGCATTGCAGGGACTACAACTATTCTCCACAGACAAGAAAATAATGTGGTACATATGTACTGTATAAGTAGCTTAGGATTCGGCTATGAACTAAATCTGATGTCACATCCGATGGAACATTCACTGGGGGCGTTAATTTGTACATGCATGAACTTGGCGCCTAGAAAGCGCCAACCATGCACGATGTCCGCTATGTACATTCTAAAAGAGCCTCCAACCTCTATGTAGAAAATATAATCCAAACAAGAAGGGATCAAAATCTAGCTATACAACATCAGATCAGACAAATTATAAATCTGTCCAGTCTGTATATAGATATCCACCCTTCACCCTATAGTATACTCTACACATAACCTCAATGGTTCTTCTCTCCAACATCAAGAGCAACCAAGAAGCGACTGACACAGTTATAAGCGGCAATAGTCGCCGTAATCTCCACAACCTCCTTCTCATTGAAACAAGCTCTCACCTGTCCAAACACCTCGTCAGGAACAGCAACCGTCTTAGTCATTGCATCGGTATATCTCAAAACAGCCCTCTGCTCAGCACTCAAAATCGAAAGCAAATCCTCATCCGTAAAGTCAGCCTGAGAATCCCCGACAATCTTCAATGCCTCCTCGCTCAGTCCGCCCTGCTGCAGCAGTGGCGCATGTTGTTCCCATTCGAACAATGCGCCATTTACTACTGCCACGCGGCAGATTGCTAGTTCGCGGACGACATCTGAGAGAGTTGTTCGTGTGCGGATTGCGCCAATGAAGGAATTCCAGCCTTCTGTCACCGGGTAGGAATGGAGGAGGGCTAGGTCCAGTGGGAGGAGAGGGTTTGGGGCTCGGCGGCCTTGGACGCTTGCTAGGATGCGCGCTTCGTCTGCTGTTTCTGTTGAAGGAGGGTTCTGCACGTATGGGAGACGCATTTTTTGTATTGGATTGAAGGAGATTGGAGCGATTGGAGCGATTGGGTTGGTTGGTGGGGGTGGGTGAAGCGTCGCGATGCGGATCTAGGTTAATGTTAGCCTGGGGAAATGACTCAATGATGCAGGCTGCAATTGCAATTGCAATCTGCATCGGTAGAAATACCTCAATATTTAGAAGGCGAGGCCCTCTGGGCAGAGACAAAGAGTGAGTAAAATGGTTAGGTGTGAGTCAAGCTGCGAAGGTGTCAAAAGGAAGTATGAACCCCGCTCCCGCTAAAATAGGCTTGGAGAGTAGAAAGTAGCTCAAGCCGCGGGTGTCGGCTTTGTGCTTCCGATTCGATTCCGCCCATTTGGTCTCAAAGATGTGTTTCGTGGTATAAGAGGGCTAACAGAGGTCAAGGGAACTAAGTTTATTCGGGGTGTTGACATCAGTACTGTTGACAGCCCTGGAGTCTTATACTAGGGTGACGTAACTCGTGTCTAGAACGCTATTAAATATCCATGGTTTGATTGGAGACTTCTCTTCGAGAATAATAACAATATAATATGCCTGCAACAACCTCAAGGGGCAAATAATTCAATCTACAGTCTGTCTTCTCCATAGACGCAGTTGGACTAAACACTGCAGAGCGGGTCTTGGCAAAGGTTCTCCACCGGTCAAGCTCAGGTGTCGTCACCTCTCCTTAACACCACCCAAACATGCCACCAAAGGCTCCCAAACCAACCAGCGATGAGCTTTTAGCTCAGTTCGACGACCTCGGTCTCGACAAATCCGGCAACAAAACAGTCAAGCCCAACGCCAACAATGCAGAAGGCGAGCAGGAAGACATCCTGGCGGAGCTGGACCATCTAGCCACCCAGCGCCCAAGCAGTGGACCAGGCACTCCTCGTCTGTCCTCCGACAAGCCCAGGTCATCCACACGGTCTCCTCGGCCCAGCGCAACTATCGACCGACCGACCGAAGACAAGGCGCCGGTTCGCCAGTCTGAAGAGACGGGACGGACGTCGCGCACAGAAACCAAGCCTGAACAGCCCAACGCTGAGGCTGAAAGCGCACCCGTACAGCAGGCCTCGTCCTCCGAGGAGGCTGGTGGCTGGTGGGGTGGCTGGTCGGGCGGATTGTCAGGAGGACTGTTTGCGACGGCCACTGCGGCGATGAAGCAGGCCGAGGCGGCTGTCAAGGAAATCCAGAATAACGAGGAGGCACAGAAATGGGCCCAGCAGGTCAAGGGCAATGTTGGAGCTCTACGGGATCTCGGTATGATTACTTCTACGGGTTAACATCATCCTCTTCATGTGGGGTTACTAACGAGGTACACAGGCGGCGAACTTCGCGATAGAGCCCTGCCCACATTCACGAACCTCATCCACACCCTCGCACCACCCATTTCCTCGCATGAACGACTTCAAATCCACGTGACGCATGACCTGTCCGGGTACCCGGGGATCGACCCGTTGGTCTACTCGGTGTTCTCGCGCGTAATGTCCCAGGTCGAGGGCGGAGACCTGCTTGTGATCCAGCGCGGTCAAGAATCGTCCCCGAAGCGTGGGCTTGATGTGACTGGGTACATGACCAGCGCGGGCTGGAACGACGGCCCGTGGTGGCGGACCGTCACACCTGGACAACCGCGAACTGTCTCTGCCGTGCGAGGTGTTGTGGACGGATCCAAGTTGGCGCGTGCGAGCGCCGAGTCCTATGCCAGCGAATACTTTTCTTCGCGGGGCGGTGTCGAAGAGGCGGCCAAGCAAGCTACAGAAGTACTGAGTGAATCGAACCCGGTTCGCAGCAGTGATATCTTCTTGGCTATTCAAGCTATTAGCCAGACTACCTCCAAGGAGCTGTTCCAGGCTAGTGCGTCAGAGCAGGCCGATAATGCCGAGGAGAAGGAGGATGAGATCTGCTTCGCGCTGTATCTCCACGATCCTATCCACGGTATCGCCTTCCACACTATCTCCCAGGCTATTCCCCAGACCTGGATCGACTGGCTGGACGAGTCGGCTCCGGCTCCCGAGAATCCTGATGCGGAGGATGCCCACATGGCCCGAGTTGTCGTCCCCGATGCCATTGCCGAGATCATCGAGAGTGGAGGTGTTGATCCGCGTGAGTGGGTCTCGGAATGGATCGAGGAGACTCTTTCACTTGCTGCTGGAACTATTGCTCAGCGGTACGTGGCTCGCCGCATGGGCGTTGGCGCGAGCGGCGCTGGCAAGGGCAAGATGCGTGCTGAGCAGGCTTCTACTGTTGAGAGCGGTGCAGGCGAGGCTGCCCGTGCTATCTAGGCTTTTTCTCTCTGTCAAGAACTGCTGTCTTATTCTAGCATCTTCGTTCGTGATAACCCCTCAATAATTGCTTTGCATTGCACTACGTTTACATTAACTTCACTTGAAGCCATCTAAGCTATCTCGTAGTGAGTCCTGGATAAGAGTAATTGACCGTCAAATTTCACGCAAGATTGAAGAATCATAAGAATTAAAGCTGAAGGATAAAACCAGGTATGCAATTCCCGAGATATATATACACAGAATGTCTATGATCAATGCAAGATCTAGCGCCAGCAAAACCAAATGCACCCGAAGACCATGACGGGTATCGTGACAAGCATTTTTATCATGTCTGATCAAAGGTTCAAGGGACCTTCCAAGCCAGGAACATGCCAGAAGTTCGCACGGAGAGCGGTGACACTAGAAGGATCGTATCAGCAACAGTCCAACATCGCAAATGCAAAGTGGAAGAACAAAACATACCTCGTCGACCCATTCAACACAGTATGAGCATCCGTCCCCTCCTCACTCTCCTGCATCGTCTTCTTCATATCGGACAAATCAGCCGACCACTTGAACTGACGTTTCCGAGTCCGGCCTTCAAGCCCATGCCCATTCACACCATTAACCTCACCATTAGTGACCGCCTTGACCGTCTTGCCCCCAGCATCCTCCGCATACAAACACCCCCGATTCCAATAATAAGGCAACGTCCTTGTCCAAAGAACGGGCCTCTCCTCCACATCGAGACGCATAGGAACATTAATATTATAAAGCTCAACCCGCTCATCCCAATGCCGACAAAGATACCCCACGACCTTCACAGCCAGTCTCGCCGCCGCGGCAATAACATCAGCAGGCTGCTCATCCTTGCTGCCGAACGAGATGGCGATTCCGCGCTTCCCACAGAAAACCGCCTCCAATGCTCCGCCTACCGTGCCCGAAGACAAGTTGTAGATTGTCGAGGCGTTACGGCCGTGGTTGGGTCCACTGATTACGAGGTCGACTGGGGGCCGTCCAGGGAAGAGGTTGTGCAGACCCAGCTGGGTGCAGCTTGCTGGGGTGCCGTTTGTGATTATGACCCATTCGTCCGGGGTGGGGCCTTCGTCATCGTTATCGTTGTCTGTGGATGAAGATGAGGATGTGGATGGAGATGGGGATGTGGATGTGCTGTCTGTGAGGCCATTTGTCTGCGGCTCCGGCTGGTACTCCTCATCCCAGGTCCCGTCCTCGCGGAAGGAATCCTTGTGCACGTAGCTGGCAGTAAGCTTCGCTTCGATGAGATGGGCCTTGCCAATCCAGGAGCGCGAGGCTGCTGGGATGGCTACTGAGACTGTGTGGCCATTCGCTTGCAGTTCGTCGACTAGTGGGCGGATGTAAGGCGATAGGCGTCTGCTTGGTGGGCCATCGTCGTTGACTACCTGTTCTTGGCGGTTAATTCGGAATCCTGATTATTGTTTCTTGGCTTGGTTTATCTCTCTCTCTCTCTCTCTCTTTTCGGAGAACTCCGTGGAGATAACAGGCAGGGAAAAGGGGAAAATGAAGTATGGAAGGAAGTAGATCTGGGGCTTGGCTGTCATGCGGATGTCATGATCCCCACCAGTCTATAGCAGATCCTTGCATACGATAGCGATAGCGATAGCTGGAACTTTTTTCTTTTTTTTTTTTTTTTCTTCTCCCTCTCCATTTGTCATAGTTCCGCGGGATAGACGAAAGAGATAAAAAGCAAAATTGAGGTATAAAAATGCAGATCGCACTTACCAGGATATGCATGGTCTTTTGCAGCGCTTAGGGCGATATACCTCGAAAGTGGATGGTCTGAGCTTCCGGGGAATATGGGATTTAGGGCCTTTTTTGTTAAGGGGAATTTTCCCTTTTGTTTTTGTGGGGTAGTCAGGGGAGAAAGAGAAATAGAAAAAAGAAAAAGCACTTTACGAAAACAGCGGCAATCAGGCACTTATGCGATGGGTAAGGATTGAGCCCTTCTACACCGGGGTTGGGGTTGAAGCCGTTCAGGCTGCGGGGACGGTAATGGCAAGGCCCGAATGCAGCCTGCGGTGAACCGATCCGTCGGGCTTCTCGGTGGCGCTGGCCATAGATGTGTTTTCTATTATTCATGTGCATGGGGGAATTGTGAGATTTGAACAGTGTATGGGGTTCTAGAAGTATGCACCATTGTAGGTGCATATCGATGTGGCTAAGTGCCTCGAACTAAACCCGGGATGAGTATTGTATTGACTCCATGACTCCCGTACTCCATAAATTTAGGTTGGATACAGGGACTTAAAAGGGTCCCTGCAGTGCTGTACATGTACTGTATGGTACGATGTGTACCCTGCATGATTAGAGATTTACTCGTGTAGTCACTGGCAAGTTCATCGCCCCGAAGGATTTAAGTGGGATTACGTCAGGGCTTACACAGCCTAAGTGCTGAGCTAAGCATGCTGGAAGATACCCGGTATCGGTAGTACCTGGACTGGGAAAATTCTGCTTGCTTTTTTTTCTATAAAAACCTTGGGAGCTAAAGGTGTAGATAGTGGAGGACCTTAGACAGTGATCCATAGCCATTCATGTTCGATAGCTCCTTTTCTCTGACCATATCATCTCTCGTAAGGTCCCGCGCTCGGAGATCCATCTTAGTAGTCGGCTTCTAGTCGGCACCATTACCACATTGGCTCATGTGCATCTTGACTCACCTGAGCATGATATTGTCAGATCATTGGAATATTATAACCTCATATGCAATATATAATATAAAACACAGAACAGGAGAGTGCCAGAACAGTAACACAATCGGCACTGCAATCCCAGTCCCAACACACACACACAAGAGCCAATCCGGGTCTGTGCCAGGAACACGCTAGAGACGATCGCAGAAAATCTTGAGGTGGGGAATCCCGTCAGCCTTCATCTTTTGGCCCCTCAACTTTTACCTCTTCCATCATCTGCCTCAACCCACATACACTTGCTACCCCATCTGAACCCTTGCAAAGTCTCAAAAAGCACAAAGCTTTTTGAGATCTTTGCTCGACTCGGTCGTCGTCCCCCCTCGAGCATATCCTGTATGGACAGTGGAAGCACCGGGACCGCTGCGGGGATCGACCCCAAAATCTTGGACAATTGGCAAACTGAAGGCGCCTTTTCTGTCGCGTCGTGGGAACATTTGGGTTACGACCAACCCCCAGAGTGGGATACCAGCCAAGAATCGAGCCAGTGTGATGCGGATATCGCGGATTTGAGAACCCTCCAGGGTCCGTTGACCGGAGAATTCCGTCGGTTGGGGAATAGGTGAGCATTCCTTTTTCCTGGGTAGGAAAAGTATGGTGGCAGGGGCTGACGCGTGTGAATGTGCAGAAAACACGATGTAGCTCCCGAGACCTTGAACTACGCCGATGGCGGCGTCGAGGGAATTGGGAGTGGGACGATCAGTCCCAAGACGATCCCTTCTTCCGATGAGAACTTTCATTCCGACGAAACATGGCCCCATTTCCAGTTGTACAACTCTGTCGGCATGCCGATGGATGCCTCACTGATGTACCCTTACGCGAAAGGACAGAATCACTCAACTGGTGCTGTCATCGTGGACGACGTGGGCGAGATGCCTCACGGTGGGTTCGCAGATGTGCCCCGTGAGGGTATCATGCAGTTCCAGCAGATTCCTCAGTCCTTCCCTATGATCCCTGACCAGTGGGCTGAAATTCAGCACGGGGTGCCAGTGGAGAACATCCCGACACAGGAGTCTGTGCCGCTCTCAGTGGGTGCTCAGGAGACCCCCAAGGATCACTCCCTACCGGAGTTCTCCACTTCCATTCGATCCCTCGAGTCCCGTTGGCTCGACAGTTTGGAGTCTCAACTGCCCATCCAGCACATTGCGCCAGCCTCTCAGACCGTGGGCCCGCAGAGAGCCCAAATGGCACAGGATCGGTTCCAATACAAGTCAGAAAACTCGTCAGTATCAGGTGATTTGTCTGGAATTTATGAGTGCTCTTACTCCGCCACTAGTGACGAGCCTTCGGCTTTTGCGGATCATCAAGTAGATGATGATGAGGTCAAGTGGACATCTCAGCCAAGTTCGCGGGAGGGATCACAGCCAGCGCCCAAGACCACAGCATTCATGGTCAGCGAGGTGCCCGAATCAATGGTGTCTACCATTCCCTCCCGGTCGAGGGCTTCCTCGACTGCCGGTCGTACCGGTCGACCAGCGCCCCTGGGTATGCAGAACTCCGGTGCAGTCAGGAAGCGCAAGACCAGAAACCCGGGCTCTACAGACCAAGGGTTGCCAAGACCATTGCAAATTGTTCAAGAAGATGGTCAAGGTGGCTCTATCTCTTCGGCTGACTTTGTCTCGCCCCCACGCGGCGCTCGTCGCAAGGGTCCGCTGAGTATGGTTGGACGGGCCAATGCTGGTCTGCGCAGGAAGAACAAGGATACCTGTGTTCAGTGTCGATTGAACAAGCGCAAGTGTGATGGAAGCTCCCCTTGCGATGCTTGTCGCCCAACACTTCACGAGCAACCATGTGCCCGTGCCTGCTTCTCCAGCATTGTCGAGTTTGGAACTTGCAATTACATTTCTCAACGAGCTGTCAATCACCCAACGGTGGATGGCACCAACCGAGTCCGGATGGAAATCCCATCCGAGTTCGATTTGGGACAACTCTTGTCCTTGCTCGCTGAACGTCAAGGCCGGTTCAACATCCGTGCCAGCCAGTCCTGGGGTTCTCTGTACGTCCTCGACCTGGGAGAGAGCTACAAGTTCCTCAAGACTCTAAGCGAGTACAACGGCAACTCCAAGTCCACCTTCCTGGAATTCATTGACCGTCGCATTGTTGACTCAAAGGACAAATCTAAAAATTGGCTCTCCTGCGTGGCCGACTGCGACCCAATGAACCAAGCCTACACCCTCCTTTCACAATGGCACAATATGCCCAGCCGTGCCAAATACAGCTTCGTCTCGCTAGACGCCAGCGGCGAAGAACGCGCAATGGACATCAACAGCGCCTCAGACCGCCGCGAAATCCTGCTCGCAGCCCAACTCTCCCGAATTTTCTGCCGAATGCTCGAAGTCGAAGGCTTCCGCAAACTGGAGCGAGACTTCTACAACATCAAATGGAAGCAAATCTCCCACGAGACCCACGTTCGCTTCCTCGGCGAGCTAGGCCACATCCTACTGACGCTGCGCTGGCGCGTTTCCTGGTGGAAGCGCCTCGGCGACGGCGGCAAAACGCCCGATCCGTCTCAGCAGCACTACATCGACCGTGTCGAGCTGCTCTGCCGTATTCTCTATGTTTATTATACGTGCGTTTTGGCCAAGCTGCCTTCTTGGTCGGCGGCCGATGTGCCCAAGGGCATTTGGTCTACTTATGCTGATTCGGAGAATGCTGTTTGGGATGATTTCCCTTCTGATTCCAGTGATGGTGGATTCCAAGGCTGGATGGAGCGGGGCTATGATCTTATCGAGCAGGCTGGTGTTCCTAGTCGGATCTCGAAATCTCCGCGATTGAATTGATCTGTTGGTCGATTCAGTGATTCAGTGACAGAACATTGCGCGCTGTGAATGGTATGGACTTGGTTAGGCGATGGATGCTACGGAGTTGGACTTTTGATACCCTTTTACCCTTTTTTTTTCCTTTTTCTTTTTACATTTTCATCTTCGGTTTTCCTTTTATATTTCCTTGTCATATTTCATTATTTAAATTCTTGTCTATTGATGTTGATTTTGCTTTTCCTGCTTCCCTCTTTTCCTACTGGAGGCATCATGACTTTTGTTCTACGCTCTTCTTACCTTGCTTATGATTTGATGATTTCGCAATTTGGATGTTTCCCCTAACCTGGAACTCTTGATAGCTAGATTTGCACATGGACTAATATCATATCGGTGTACATACAATATACACATTTACTCTTCCCACCATTGACCACCAGGATCTACATAAATCCATAAGCAAAGAGAGAGTATATCAAAAAGAAACAGGGTATCGATTTCATGCACTCATCGAAAACTCGAGCACGCAACTAGAACCAGAACCAGAAACAGAAACTAAACAGCCGAAGAACAAAACCACTCGGAATCGCACATTGTCCCACCAAGCTCAGCTCAAGCCTTCTTACCAGCCTCCTGGGCCTTCTTCTTCTCCTTCAACAGACGATCCTTCTTTCCACCAGAGAGAAGCTCAAGATGGCCCGCCTTGGTCGCAAGACTGCGTTCCGTCTTGCCAACAAGACCGGATGTGAGTTTCTGCAATTATGCCATGCGTTAGATCTCTCTCTTTTGATGGAAACAATACAAGAATAGCACATGCGCACTCCAAGGAGAAGAAAAGAAAAGGGAAAGAAAGAAAAAAAACAAGTCATACCTGAGTCAACTTCCGCTGCTTAATCAGATTGGCCTTCTTAGGCGCGACCGAACGAACGCCAGGCCGGGTGGTCTTCGCAGGCCTAGATAAAACAGGAAGTATAAGTAAAATTCCAAAGGCAGACACTGCAGACCAATTTGCTGTCTTGGCGGGTCGTTCAAGCAGAAGAGTGAGAAGGGAAAAAATGACCCCAGCGCCATGATGATGGATTGATTGTCTTGTCTCTCTTCAGCGTGAGGGTATGGGGTGTAACGTAACGTACTTGCGTCCAGCGGTGGCGGGGCCGGCCTTCTTCAGGGATCCTTGGACCATGTTTGCTGGTTGGTATGTGTGGTGGGGAGATCGGAGGTTGAGGGAACAGGAAAGAAGTGTGAGAGAGCACTGCCTGCAGCACGGTGTATTTTGCCTGCGGTCTTTTTTTTGGGGTTGGCGGAGGGAAAATTGCTTATCGGGCTTATCGGTGGGTGATCACGTGGGATGATCGCTGGTTTGTTGTTCCGGTCCGAGGTATACTGCTGTACCTGTACTTGTTCCTGTTCCTGGTTGTTGGTTAGTTGGTGTTGTGCTGGTTTGAGGGAATTGGTTGCTCGATGTACATTGTCTAGATGGCTTGATTGGATGTAAAATGCGATCCTCAAAAAGCGCTAGATTATGACTAACTTATCAAATTATTGGAGGGGAGGGGGCTTTTTAGCAATTGACCGGAAATATAAGGGACAGAGTTTGATGGAGCTATGTATGCCGGGAGCAGGTGGGTAGACTTGAACAGGGTAAGAGCAGATGGATCGTAAAGGGATTGGTATATTGAGGCTCAACCTTGGTACACTTCAGGTTTAAGGGATCTATGTACAGTAGACAACAATACTCTTACATGATTTGCTACAACTACTCAGGATATATTTGGTCCGAATTGATTTGATTCATTTTGATTCCATTGAATCGGGTATCTGAAATAGAGACTGTGATCAAAACACCAGACTCCAGGTATGCACGAAAAGTACAAGGGCTCACAATCGGACACGAAGCTTGGTAGCGACGTGCTCTTCGAACTGAGCTGTGCAAAACAGGACGAAGACAACAGCGATTGGAAGCACGAGACGCCGAATAGCGTGGGCCAACATCCTGTGAGACAGGAATGGCGAGTAATGAGGCAGCCAAGCTCTAGTATTTCAAGAGCAGGAAGGGCCGACCCCATGATGGCAGGTTGCCTGCGTGTTTCATGGCTGAATGGGGGTGGACACTCGAGTGCCGTAGAAAACATGAACGAACCAATCACTCCTCCCCACTCTCGACGTCGCTGACCTCAATGTTGGCGATTGAGTCGTTGTCGCTATCATCCACGTCGTCCTGAGCGGGCTGTGAGTCGGAAGACTCAGCTTCCTCGTCCTCGTCCTCGTCCTCATCATCGTTGACGGCAGGCTCATCGTTATCGTTCAGCTTGCGCTTGCGTCCCATTTCACCGAGACGACCCTCACGGCCTTCGATCTTCGGCTCATCCTTGCCATCCTGGCCCTGGAGCTTGGGAGGAGGAGTGAACCAGGGAATCTTTCCACGAAGGAAGTCGTTGATCATCATCTTGGCAACACCGTCAACATCCGGCTCGCCTCCACGGAGGAGACGACCGCCCTTGCGAGCAAGGAGTGCCAGGAAGTCAATGTGGTCCTCTTGCCACTTGATGCCGTAGGTGCGCTCAAGATGACGGGGCTGGACACGACGGAGGACGGCAGGAATGTACTGCTCCGGGTTGTGGACGTTCTCAACACGGCAAACACCACGAAGGAGAATGTCCTCCGGAGTATCGTTCTGGCTGGGAGGAACCACACCAGGACAATCAATGAGGTAAATTCTCTTCATCAATGTGATATACTGCCACACCTTGGTTTCACCCGGAATGGGAGCGACTGTGCACACCTTCTTGTTACGAAGGGTGTTGATGATCGAGGACTTGCCCGAGTTGGGGTAACCAATAAAACCAACCGAAACCTGCTTGCGGTCGGAGTGAAGAGAAGAGAACTGACGCAGCAGAGCGATCAAAGATCCCTTGCCGAAGGAGTTGTTGATATTGGCGTGGAAAGCCAGTGTTGGGTAATCCTTTGAAAGATGACGAACCCAGGCAGCCTAGTGAAGATGAAAAGTTAGCATCAGTCACCAGACAATGAGACATTGTATAAGCGAAATGTGTGGGATGTTACTAAGAATTCTGCTACTAAGCCACCAAAAAGGCAGAAGCAGAGTTCAACTCAAAAACAAAACACATCTGTCCCTTGCGACATGTTTTCAAGACGAAAACATGTCAACCTAGCTTCAGAAAGAAATTCGGTGCGGGACAGTGTTAATCTACCAAAGCTGTAACAGACAGACCTCCATTGAAAACAAAAGCACGACACATGTCGCGGGAAGAAGCCTTGACTTAGCGATGGAACTGGCTCGAAGCCAAGAAAACAAAACAAAAAGCAAAAAGAGAAGACAGAAAACAAAAAGAACAGAACGCAAGACAAAGGGGTATGGAAAATGAAGTGGAATAGAATGTTAAGACTTACAGCAACTCCTGTCGGGACAAGATCACACTTGTTCAAGACAAAGATCAAGTGCTTGTGAGGTGCCTCCTCGCGAATGTATTTTTCAACACTGCGGCAACGAGTACCCTCGGGATCACGAGAATCGAGGACATGGATAACCACATCGGAAGAGTCGATGACCTTGTAAAGCTCGTTCCAAATACGCTTACTCTGTCCCTTGGAAAAGACAGATTCACGAGCGGTAGTGAGCAGGCCAAGATCCTCCTTGGCATTGTCATCACCGCCAACGATAGCACTTCCATCAGCGTGGGTACCCTCATCGTTCTTTTCGATGTAGGTATCCTGCATCTTGGCGGTCTCGCCAGCGAGGTCCTCGAGGCTGGCCACACCAAGCTTGACACGCTTGCGCTGAGCCTTGGGACCGAAGGTATCATTGAACGGAGAGGTCTCAATGGCCATCTTGGCCTGGTGCTGCTTCAGGCCATTGATTGTACCCTTGTCATCCCGGATCAAACTCATGGGGAGCTTGTTGGTCTTAAGGAGAACCTGGTAAGGATCTTTCGCACGCTCAGCGACAGCGTCACGGAACGAGGTCAAGGCCTCTTGAGAGATAACACGGGAATTGCTGAACCATTTACGGTTGGGCTCGATCCGAGCTGTGGGCTTATCTCTGGACTGGTAGCTTGCAGCGACTGTGATGTTTCCTTCCTTGTCACGGCGCGCCTTGCCATCCTTGAACATGTTCAAGGTCTTGATCTTCTTGGCATCACTGAGGCAAATGTCAGTCACTGGCTAAGACTAGGAATCAAGTTGAACATACCGGTAGAAATTTTCACCCTTGGTTTTGACATTGGCCATGCCATCGCTGGTCTTCCCCTGCCTCTCTTTACGAGAGGCCTCTTTCTTTCCTGTACCCATGGTGAAGGTTGGAATATGAAATGAGAAGAGTAAAAAAAATAGAAAGACAAGACCAAACACAGGGGAGTGGCAGAGTGAGGAAGAAGAAGAAAAAAGAGGAAGGCGGCGAAGATTATTTTTTTTTTTGGCGCCAAGAAAGCACGGACCACTGGAAAATCGCTTCTTCCTTGACCGCGTCTCCTCCCTATGATTCTCCGCTTCAGCTCCAACGTCAATTGTTCTATTATTCAGCCAATTCAGCAACTTTCGGTGGCCTTGGATCGCCCATGTCTGTCCTTCGCAGCAGCCGGACTGCCTCTGTGCAGGTCCGCGGATTCACAACATCCTCCAACCTCCGTGTCGGACCCGAGTCCCCTCAATTTATCGATGTACCGAAGATTGTCCAGCCTGGCAACCCCGTCCGACCTCATGTGAAGGGTACACTTCCCGTTCCTCGCGAAATCTTCCCCGCCCGCCGAACGGACAAGTCCAAGAAAGCATACATTGATGCCGCGACACCCGTCCCCAAGTCAGAACGCACAGTCAGCCCGACAAGTAGCGACCCGGAAAAGCAGGAATGGAAGTTCCACATGGCAGAGTTGCGACGACAGAACTTGCGGGAGGGTCTCACCAGCTTGTACCAGCGCAAACAAAAGGCGGATCACCAAATGATCTCCCGCAGTCTCGAGAGCCAGAGACGGCGAGACCAGATTCTTCAACAACCCATGCGCGAGGATGAGCGTCTCACCCGTTCATCAGTGATTCAAGAAATGCAGCCTCGCAAGCAAGGCATCATTCCCGATCCCCACCGGGCGGAACGCCTCGCGCTCTCCAAGGCTCGCCTGGAGGCCAAGCAGGCACAGAAGCAAACAGAGCGTCAGGAGCACCTGCACTCATTGTACATGAACGCTCGCACTTTTATTACGACAGAGGAGCAGCTTGCCGCTGAAATCGACCGGGTCTTCCCCGAAGGCGAAAACGTGGCATGGCGCAACGACCACCAGCCCGGTGAAAACATCTGGAACCTGGGTAACCCACCCACTGTCAGCAGTCTTGCTGGAAAGACTCGCAAGGCTGGCGAGACTGCGCGCTGGGATCTTGTCCAGGAACGGGTTAAGCAACTCGGAGAGGAGATCACCGGTGGTAAGATTTGAGTGTAATCTTTATTTTGGCATCATGTACAATATTTTCAGCTGTTGCATTTAACTGAGACAAGAGCTTTCTCTTGTTTTCATTCTGATACATATTTCCCTTTGCATTGTAATATATTCAAGCCACTGAGTAATTGTTGTCACCACGCTATATCTTTCTCGCAGCTTGCTTCGCCGATCAAGTATCAACCGTGTTATCTTCGTAGAAACCAAGGCTTACCAAGGCTTTGAGCCATAGCCAAGACCGTGAAGGCCGAGGTAGAACGGCAATCTACCAGATCCCAACCTCAGTCACCCAGTTGCACGGCGTCGCGTCTGCGCCAATCTCCAACCATATCAGCAGGCGCAGGATGCTTGTTATATCATTGTTTGAAGGAGAACCTTGCGCGCTTTAACGTTACCTTTCATCTGACATATCATAAGAGAATCAATCCTGCGCAATCGGCCAAATGACGGAGATGTCTGACGCCAAGGGATCGCGGAGGTCTCCGTTATCCTTTCTCAATGCCATGGAGGCAGTGAAATGCTGCCAAAGGTCATATTTACCAAATTAAGCCAGATTGGCAATAAGCACCTCGTGTAGCTCGTATATCGAAGCGCTGTACGTGAGCGCTACACATATAGCCGAAGCCTCATTGGATATATATCGAACCTGGAAAGTCTACATATATCGAAAGGCAAGTGATGCAATATCATTCACAAGTTAACATCCGGTGGAAAAGATTCAACGGTGCATATCCCAGTTCAACTTTCCACCGGAGGTTAACAAACCAATCAGGCCGATCTACCCCAGATCGTAGCCCTCGGGAAAGCATCAAAACATGCGTTTGCGGAGAAAATGTGGAAACAAATGTGGACACAGTCAGTGTCAGTGCCAATGCTACAACCCCGCAATTGGTATATATCTACGATGCAGACGCAGTTCTTCCTTTCTTTTATTATTGTCTCGGCACTTCAGGACTATCACCATGAAGGACATCAGTACCGACGAAGCTCACATTGAAGATACCGAGAAAGGCGCCCTGCAGCATGCAGATATCATTGCATCTTTCAGTCCAGATGAGCAAAAGAAGCTCATTCGGCGGATTGACACCCGCCTGGTGATCACGTTGGGGTTCCTGTACTGTGTCAGTCTGCTGGATCGGACTAATCTTGGGGCTGCTTCTGTTGCTGGGTATGTTGCAACCGTACAGAATTCACTGGTATGAACTCGACTAACTCAATTTAGAATGCAGGGTGACTTGAACATGAACGCTTCCAACAATGGCTACAGTATCACATCTTTAGTGTTCTTCATCACATATACCATCTTCCAGATCCCCGCCACGGTGATCATTCGCAAAGTCGGGCCCCGGCTATTCATTGCGGGTATTGTGCTTGTCTGGGGCGCTGTCATGCTGGTGAGCCTCCCATGAGAGCATTCAATTGTTCCCTCTTAACAGAACACTCTCACATAGAGCTTTGGCTTCGTCCCAAATTGGCAAACCATGGCCGGCCTGCGCATCATTCTAGGTGCGCTAGAGGCTGGAATGTATCCTGGCAGCGTCTACCTCCTCAGTACCTGGTATCCACGCTACGAGCTCCAGAAACGAAATGCCACATTCTACCTAATTGGAAGTATGGCCTCGGGCTTCGGTGGTATCCTGGCCTACGGATTGATGCAGATGGATGGATTAGCCGGCAAAGCTGGATGGGAATGGATTTTCATCGTACGAAGCCATACATCTCTTTCCCCCAAAACTGTATAATCTCTAACCGTGGTCTGGCTCTAGATCGAAGGTCTCCTAACCTGCATCCTCGGAATCGTCTCCTACGTCTTCCTAGTCGACTTCCCCGAACGGGCCCCAAAGTCCTGGAATTTCATCAACGAACGCGAAGCACAGTTTGTCATTGCCAGAATCGAAAATGACAGAGCCGATGCTTCTGTGGAGCCATTCTCCATGGGCAAATACCTGGCCAATGGCAAAGATAGCAAGGTCTGGGCTTATGCTGCCCTTTACATGCTTACAACCACAAACAGTTACTCAATTGCCTATTTCCTCCCTATCATCCTGGAGAAGAGTATGCATTTCTCCGTGGCAAAAGCGCAGTGTCTTGTTGCGCCGCCTTATGTTGCTGCCGCCATCGTCATGTACGTCCAGGCTGTTTACTCCGATAAATGGCGCTTGCGTGGTCCAGTCGTTGCCGGTAATGCACTCATGGGACTACTTGGACTTGGTTTATTGGGATATCTTGAAGATCCAGCGCCCAGATATTTTGGTGTTTTCTTGGCTACTATCGCTGGTGAGTTGGTTGACATGCTTCGGTCATTCTGTTGGATTTTGGTCTTGACTAATAATGTATTACAGCAAACGCAAACTGTCCAGCTCTTGTGTCATGGCAGAGGTAAGAAGATCACTTACTACTTAACAAATCCTGTATTATCATGCAAAAAGTTCTAACTTATTTTCCCTGCTTCAGCAACAATATCCGCGGACAATGGAAACGAGCATTTACATCCGCGACGCTGATCGGCGGAGGAAGTATCGGAGGAATCATTGGAACAACAGTATTCCGCGCTCAAGATGCACCCAACTATCGACCAGGTCTGCTCTGTGCCATGCTCGCCAATGCCTTGGTTGTCGTTATCGTGGGCGCAATGACACTGAAATTCAACCGGGCAAACAAGCGCGTTGCTGCCGGTGGAAAGCCAATTGAAGGGCAGATTGGATTCAAATATACTTACTGAGGGATACGATAGACTAGAAGTTTCAAAGCTCCTTTGCTACTTCAGGTAAATGTGATTAAAACTACGTACCGAGTGGCCTCGAAGCCCAACAAATGCAAATTTATTTGATTAATGACTTATCCGATGCAATATTGGAGTTGAAATTGGATATAAAGTACGATCCTCAGAAAGCGCTAACTTGCGACTAACTTATTAATGGTATTACATATGGTGGTTTAGTACTTGAGGGTGGCTTTTGGCAATTGACTAGATTCAGCCCACCTAACTATGCCCATTATGTCCATCTCGACCTTGGCTTCGTGATATAGTCTGAAATATCCGAGATCTTTTCTGCGGTGGTGAAGGAATGCGTGTGGTGGGACTTGATCAAACTTGATAGATTAGATGTCGTTCTACGCGTCAAATAAACTTTAAATCATTTAAGCTCAAAGCTCTCTACTAAATATACCGCGTCCAAAACTTCCACCCTTCACGATTCTCTTGCACCCCGACTCCAACAAGCTCCTCAATCCCTCCAGGCCCAGGCGCATTCTCGAATTTCTCCTGATCAATCTCTTCACTCTCTTCACCTTCAGTCCGGAAAACAGCAGGCCAAAGCACCCCAACCCCATCCGCCCCAAGCACAGTCTCATATATCCGGAAGCCTTCAGCAGTAAGATCCCGCTCAAGCTCTTGAACAGTGCCCTCCAGCACATCAGACTTGAAAAGCGTAATCGCACACCCACCACCTCCAGCCCCCGTCAACTTCGTCCATCCAATATCCGTATAATCAACCAACTCGCGGATTCGCTCCAGACGCGGATGAGACACGCCCAGTGAAACCAGGAATCCATGATTCACACGGATCAACGTCCCCAGATGTTCGAGAGTCTGGGAGATGCTATCCGGACCACCAAAGCCGGGAGTAGTAATAAGCTCCAACGCCGAAGCCGTCAGCTGCCCAATGCCCGTCAAAATCGACTCTGTCAATTGGGGATGGTTAGTCCGCAGTTCTCGCACTTTCTGTACCTGCGTCGCTGTCGAGCGTGCCTGCTGTGTATCAATCAAGAGAAGAGGCAATTTGGGAAATTTCCCCAGAGGCGTGACGGTAGGTGCAGTTGCACCATTCCTCTGATATACGACTGCCTTCCCACTCGCCGACACGGTATTATCAATCCCGCTAGGATCGCCATGTGTACAGAGCTCGCCCACAAAGGCCCAGCGGTTGATGCGCTCGATTTGGGTCTCTGCTTCTTCGGGCGGTTGGTCTGGATGGGGTCCTGCGAGGGTGCGGATTTGGAGGAGGAGGGCGGCGCTTAGACAGACGCAGACGCTTGCGCTGCTGCCCAGACCGGCGCCGATGGGTATCGTTGAGCGGAGAGTATAGATGAAGCCTGGACTTTCTGGGGAGCTGAGGGAAAGGAAGAGGTAGAGGAAGGCTGTTGCGGATCGGATGTGGATGTTGCGTTGTTTCTCGGGGAGATCTTTGGACACTGCCTCTGCGTGGGGCTTTATTGCTTCCAGGAGCTCTTGGTCCAGTGAGTCCACTAGCGAGTAGTAGAATTTCTTTTTGCTTGGTTGTTGGAATGTATCCCAGGGGAGAGTGTCGATCTTCCATGTATGGTCCAGGCCGATGTCTCTGAAATTGAGCTTGACGGTTCGTTGGGACTTGGAGAGGGTTGTCACCAAGAGGTAGGATCTCAGTGAGATTGCGGCTGCTATGGCTGGCTTGTCGTATACTGCTGCGTGTTCGCCGAAGACGATCACTTTCCCTGGTGCGGAGACCATGAAGGTGGGGGCCATTGGCGACGAGCTTTTTCGTTCCATGATGGATGCGAAGACCGAGTGGAGATGGTCACTTGGAAGTTGACTGGCTCACTACTAGCTGAAGACTAACTGAAGACTGAAGACTGAAGATTGAAGATCAACAGAAGATCCAATCTTGAAGATCTGAGATAAGCTTAAGCGTCAACCGCGGTTGCCATTCGGGGTCCCACTCAGCCTCGGGGATCCCAGTCGACTCTGCCTCATTTACTGGATGCCTCACTTGAATCTGGTCAATTTTAGAACTTCGGATATTTCAGAGCATTCTAGATAAATCGCTGAAATCCCTTAGAACTCGTGGAATTCACTGCACTTCATAGTTGTCGCTTTGTATACTCTCACCGCCCTGTGATCCCATCGTCATCAGAGCTGCAGCGCCATCCCCTCACCAAGTAAGCCAGACAATATGTCTATGGTTCCCTATAATGGAGGAAACCTGGATGTTGTGCTGTTAGTGATGCATACCCCTTGCTTCTATCCGATCTAACAATATCAGGCGGCACAATGACTCCGTGGTTGTCTTCGACCGCGATTCGCAGCAGCTCGTTCTCCGCAATACGGCCGACACCGATGACGATGTAGAGCTCGCCAACTGTCCGCTCTGCCACCGTCCTATGCGCGACAGTAGCAGGGGACGGCACCGTGGAAATCATGAGTCGGAGGGAGAATTCATCAATCCCAATTATTTTCGCATGCTCAACAATAGTCTCCCCGGCTCCGCTGCTTCATCATCTCCTCCTTCCCCACACCGTCGCCTTGTCCAACCTGCGCTTCCTGGGACACCGCTCAACGAACCCCGTTCTCAACCTGCATCCGGGCCCCAAGGAATCTCCTCTGCAGCATTTAGTCCGGACTATTTCAAAAGATTTTTTGTCGAGGAACGAATCCTGGGCAAGGGTGGAAAAGGTGTGGTACTACTAGTAAAGCACGTCTTGGATGGGGTCTCTCTTGGCGACTATGCATGCAAGCGTGTACCCGTCGGGGACGACCATGAGTGGCTGGAGAAGGTTCTTGGCGAGGTCCAACTATTACAGCATCTTTCACACCAAAACCTCGTGTCTTACCGTCATGTCTGGCTGGAAAATGCCAAAATCAGCAACTTCGGCCCCAGTGTGGCCTGCGCGTTTATCCTACAGCAATACTGTAATGCTGGCGACTTACACAACTACATCTGTGGCTCTGTTCAGACCTCGACGACTGCCCAGCAGTTGAAGGACCGTCTCCGGCGGAAATCAAAGGGCGAACCCGAGTTTGAAGCCGGCACAGGAGGTCCTCGCACTCTTCAACTGGACCAGATCTACTCTTTCTTCCGGGATATCACTGCAGGTCTACGCTACCTTCATGCCAATGGTTATATTCATCGTGATTTGAAACCACACAATTGTCTTCTCCATGAGACTAGTGATGGTATTAGGGTCTTGGTCAGCGACTTTGGTGAAGTACAACAGCAGAATGCAATGCGCAAATCAACTGGTGCAACGGGCACCCTTTCATACTGTGCACCGGAAGTTCTTCGACAGGAATATCCCAATGGACCATTCGGGAATTTCACCTTCAAGTCTGATATCTTCTCTTTGGGAATGATTCTTTACTTCCTCTGCTTTGCAGCTCTGCCATATGCCAACGCAGACATCATCAACGAAGAGAAAGAAGACTTGGACCAGCTCCGCGCGGAGATCACCAGCTGGGCTGGATTCGACCATGCACGAGCAATCCGGCCCGACCTTCCGGAGAAACTATACAAATTCCTTGAACGTCTTCTCTCCATAGACCCAAATCGCCGCCCTTCAGCCGAGGAAGTACTTAGCGGTATACAAGCCGGCGCCAATGCCAACGGAAATGACAATTTCCGCTTCAGAAAGGCCAGCTCGGCAGGTCCCGATCTTCCAGGTGCTCGAATTCACCCCGTGGACAGCCCGCAGCCATCAATCGAGCGTGCCCTTTCTCCAGCAAAGAAAACACCTCGCACGTCTACGGCCTTCCGACGCGACTCCATGTTTGACGCCTCGAGTAATCTTCCAGCGAGCTCACAGCCGACAGAGGACCCCAATTTCGAAGATAGTCCATTGCTCCTTCCAAACCAAGACCTCGTAGTCCGACACCGCTACTCTACCTCCCCACCACTATCTCCAACCCGAGGAACCCAAGAAGAGTCCTCTATCGACGCCCAATCCCACTCTTTCTCTCACCACCATCTCCTCCCACCACCACCAAGCCGCTTCCCTTTTCTAAGCCCTCTAACAACCCTCTATCCATCATCTCATACCCTGCAATTCTCTCTCTTCTTCATCAAAGTCGTCTCAACTCTTCACCCCTGCTCGCCCCTAACCGTGAACCCCTGGGTCCTCTACCCAGTCCTCCTTTCAGCAGTATTGACCCTCCGAGTCCAAAGTGTCCAGGCACAGCTCTTCGCTGTGTTGGTACATTTGCTGTTCATCGGGCTAGGCTTTCGCCTAGGTGCGTTGTGCATGTGGCATCGAGACCTGGGTATGCATATGTAATCCATTTGTTGAGCTCGGACGTGATGCTTTTTTCTCCCTCTTTTGTTGTTTCTACGTGAGCATGACTTTGACTTGCTCGTTATGGCCGTTGCATGCCTTATGAGTTAATGATTGTATTTTTGGAGCTTGGAGTGAGCTGTACGTCATTCAAATATCAAAATTAAAACTATGGCGATGAGGGACTGTGACAACACGTAGTTTGCTTGAGGTGGTGGGCTGTAGACATGATTGGTACTGACGTTGACGGCTTGATTAATGTCATTATCAACGACAACATCAACGACATTATCAACACTGAAGATCACATCGTCAACAGGTACTACAAGTAATGTTGAGAAAGTTCCAAACTCAAAACGAGCACATTGCAGAACACCCCCGGAGGGAAGTAAGCGAAGAGTTACAGTCTTCTAAATTCTCTCATTTTAATCTATGTAATCCAGCAGACGAACGTTACCATAGTCCTCTAAGAAGAGAAAGGTATGCCCATCCAGGGGCCTCCATGGCAAGCCAGTAGGATCCATGAAGTGTGGATTTACAAGAAGACATGGATAAGAAGAGAAGAAGAAGAAGAAGAAGAAGAAGGAGGAAGAAGTGAAGAAAATACGGTGATTATATGTGATGAAAGCGTTTGCTTCGTTTGCTCGATTCAGGAAGATGGCTATGGGCAGGCAGTATTGGTCTATCTGATCGTAACGATCCCAGTAACTACCAGCATAGACAACGTAGAGGCGTGACGATCTTCAGCGTGGCAGTAAGCTTATATCTGCCAGCTTAATGCCTGGTTGGTCTGGACTTGACGTCTGCGAAGCTATTGGTTTCTCCTATCGAATGCAGAGATGTGTGGATTGCACTTCATCGATGTATACTCTTCTGCCTTCTAACGTTATAGCCTACTACTGAAATAGTTGTCTACGACCGAAGTGAATACGGCAGGAGCTGTGGCATGCAATATGTATATCATCTCTATAAGTAACTTCACATGAATACGTATAACCATCTATGCTAATCCAATACATGCTATTCAGAACTAAGCCATACGCGACGCTTTGAACTTGCTCACACGCTTGATTGGCTCCTCCGAATCGGGTGGCAGGATAACCTGCCCTTCCTCGGATTGAGAATTGCCCTTTCCAGACATGCGGTTCTGCATGTGGAAGAATTCAGAGGCTATCTGCTTTTGGTGGAGTTCTTCGTCGTAGTGGTCCAGTTCTGGTGCCTTTGCAGCTCCGGGTGTGGTCTGACGCTCGAAAACCTTCTCCGCCAGTGTTCTATCCTGAGGAGGTTTGGGCGTGTAGGGCTTGTGTTCATTCTCGGTGATGTCGGTGATGGGCGCGGAGAAAGGCTTGGGCTCTTTGGGTGTGGCAGGGAATAGAGTGGGAGGTGCTGTGGATGGAGCAGTGTTTGCTTGCTTGCGGATTCGAGCTTCTGTAACTTCTGACGGGTTCGCGATGGTAGCGCCTAAAGTTACAGAGTCGCTACTTGGAGTACCTGGTGCGGCATCGCGAGCACTCTTGAATCGGGAAGTCTTCTTAGGGCCTGAAGGGGTAGGCCGAGGCGGTTCCTGAGAACGACTTGTGCGCTCAACAATCGAATCAGCGAGCACTTTAGGCTCATCTTGCGGGGCAGAAATCTTCTCGGCAGTGACATGGGGTTCTGGGGCTGGTGAGATGTCAAGCTCATCGGCGAAAGCAACCCGCTTCTTTGGCTTCTTTTCCTTCGAGGTAGAGTCGCCTTCGGTATCAACCACAGTGGGATTTTCGATCTCCTGTTGGACTTCTTCAGGGAATGTCTGCGTATCCTTGCCCATGTTCATCAAACCCCGAGCGTTGAGCTTGGCTTCAAGCTCTCGCATTTGTAGGTGATAATCGTTGGGAAGTGCAGTGTGAGAGCGGCCATATTCGTCTTCATTTATTTCCTCATCGTAGTCATAATCATAGTCTTCGTCGAAGGAAACCTCACTTCCGGACTCATCCATTTCGAGCTCGGCCACAATTGCACCCACCTCGTCAATGCCGTATTGGAGCATTTCACGGCGCAATCTCGCATCCTCTGCGGTTTCATCGACATCAGTGACAGGCGGTTGCTGGCGGTCCTCGGGGGTTACCACAGACACAGGGCGTTTGAGGTCGAGATCTTCGCGGGAAATGTCATTTGACGGAAGAGGCACAGTCTGACCACTCGAAGAACCGTTCGTTTGACCTGTAGCTGTTGTGCTGCTCGGCTCACCCACGGTCTCCTCGGTTGTAGCCTCAGCCGGGGTGACAGCAATCTTCGACTCCTCAGCATCCGGGATATCCTGGACACCAGCCTTCTTCAGCACATCCAACAATTCCGATGCCTGATTTCCGGGAGTATTGATCGAGCTCGACACAACATTTCCATCTTCGTCAAGCTCCTCCATAATCTCTTGCATGGGAAACTCCGCGCCCTCCTGCACCGGTTGATCCTTTGCGTCCAAGGCAAAAAGCTCATCCTCGGCCTTCCGGAGTCTCTTCTCCATAGTCGCCACATTTTGCTTCACATAGTCGATGCGTCGGCCCAGAAGATCAATCACTTGTCCGCGAGACCGCATCACACCTTGCGACCCAAGTATCGCCTGCATTTCCTTCTCGTCCACGAGAGTTCCTCCAAATTCCAAAGCGACGTTGAGAAAATCATCTGTACTGGCTTCATCGTCCAAATTGCCGATTTCTTCGCGTAGTCCGTCGTATTCCGCCTCCCAAGTTCGCCAGTGGTAAAGCGATTTCTGTAGTTGGAGAATGTTGTTTTCGAGCGCGAGGCGCTGCTCTTCGAGAGCGTCAAGGCTGTGATTTGGAACACCCATATTGAAAAGCGTGGAATGGCTTCACGCAGGATATATAATTTGTGAAGAAGAAAGGGAAAGGCGGGATGTTTGGAGGCAAAAAAAAAAAAGTCCCGAAAGATGAGTTGAAGATGTGGTCCGTGCGCACGTGCTTATCGAGTTCCGCAGTTCGTCCTCACGTCACTTTCACTCTTGCTTCAGCTTAACGTCCTCACGATGGCTTCAAAAGATGCCGTGTCCCGTCGGGACGATGACGGTTAGTACTCTAGAGCTTCTTTTAGGTCTGTCATACTGACTCGGTTTCTCAGAGGTCTGCCCCGTCTGCAAATCCTCGCGATACCTGAATCCCGATATGCGATTTCTCATCAACCCGGAATGCTACCACAAGATGTGCGAGTCATGCGTGGACCGCATCTTTTCCGGAGGTCCCTCGAATTGTCCCGTTGCCGGATGTCGCAAGACTTTGCGTAAGAACAAGTTCCGCAAGCAGACGTTCGAGGATATCGGAGTGGAGAGAGAAGTAGATATTCGGCGGCGCGTGATGCAAATGTAGGTTCATTTGTACCCGGAGAAGCCTCAGCATATGGATAACTAACATACGAAATCTCTAGTCTAAACCGCCGCGAAGAAGAGTTCGACTCCAAACGCGCTTTTGACGACTTCCTCGAACAACGCGAAGAGATAATCATGAACCTAGTAACGCGCATCGACGTTGCGAAAACCGAATCCCAACTCCAAAAATACGCAACCGAAAACATGCAATCAATCCGCACAAACCAAGCCCTGGAAGTCGAAGAAGCACACTCATTCCAAGCACGCATGACGCTCGAACAAGAAGAAGCCAAACTGCGCCGACAAGCCGCACGCCAAGAATACGAAATAGAGCGCCGCGAACTCCAAGCCGGACGTGAGGACTTCCTCTCCCGACTAGCCTCGGGCTCATCAACCGATGCCGCAGCCATCGCGCGTGAAGGCCACAAAGTCCTTCTTAAGAAGTCCTCCGCAAGACGCAGCGAGGAGGAACGTATCCGACAGAAACAAGCTGCACTGCGCGGAACAGAAGGCAAGCGCGGCGCCAGCGGTCTTTCGGCTATGGAGAGCGCCGGTGCACCAGATACAGGGCTTGTCAAAGGTCTGCGCAAGATCAAGACGCCCGAGCCGGAGAAGCCCTACGACCCCTTCATGGGGTATGTGCCCGACAAGCGCGATTACTATTCCTTGCAGTCGTACTATCCCTCCACTTATTTGGACCCTATTCGGCAAGATACGCGGATGCAGGCTGGTGGGTTCGATCTGGGCGAGTATTACTCGCGGACAATGCTTGAGGCTTTCGCGGGCTTGAGTTGCTTTGTAGATGAGGAGATCTCGCAGAGAGATGCTTCTAAGCCTGTGGCTACTGAGGCTGCTGCTATTGCTGCTACTGGGGGAGAGGATACTGCATAGTGACCGGTGCTCTTGTCTGGCCTGCATTGGGACTAAACTTTAATAAGGCTTCAAGAAGCTTCGGGGCATAGCGATGGCGTTTTCTTCCTTTTTTTTATCATGTCTTACCAGTCATGTCGGCCACCGATAAAAACCTAGGTAGGCTGGACTAAAATATGAAATTTGCATGTCACTTTATGGACAAGGAAATCCAAACTGTAAACAAGTATAGAACATGGTCAGTTGAATGAAGAAACTACTATATGTACATTCAATTCAACTACAAGTAGCAAGCTCAAAGAGAAATAAATAAAGACTTTGTTTTGAAGGTCACAGGGACATCGGCTATCAAGAACTACCCAACAATGAATTATCCAGTCCAAACCACTTAAACATACAGATTCAATCCAAACACCATGCGACAACAAAAAAAAGTAGCACCAAAGTGCCCAGAAGAAAGGGAAAAATCGATATGCAATGCTACGCAATGCCATGCAACAGAATCAGTCTCAATTTAGTGACCGCGAATAGAGAGATGTCCAGTCATCTCAGTAGTACTCTCAATACCCTCCCAAGGCAAATCCTCTTCGTCATCAAGATCAATTTGATCAGTGTGACGAGAGGACTTGTCAGTGGTGCCTGTCATATCCGGTGCGTGGGATGCGCCGAAATCAATACCGATAGATTCAAGGGTCATTTCCATTTCTTGCTCGGTAATCTCGTGGCCGTCTTGCTTTTGGCCCTCGAGCACATCGTACAGGGCATAGATCTGGTCAGACTTCATGTCGACGTCCTTGAGGAGCTTGTCGATCCTTTCGAGGAGAGCCTTGCGGGGTCGCTTGCCGAGGGATGCGTCAAGCTTGTTGAAGGCGCTTTGGTAGGTTGCCAGTTGCATCTTCAGGTGAGAGAGTTCGTCCTCAAGGCTCTTGAGAACGGTGGCAAGGGCGACGGCAGGGGGTTGCGATGGGCGCATTGTCGGTTCCTCGTTGTATACTGAGGGCTTAGGCATGCGCTCCGACACTGGAACAGGCTTGGGAACCTTGACTGGCTCGTGGTTGCATTCATTGTCATTCGAGCGGCCATGACAGACAGTGCAGTTCTTGCCGTCGTGCTGGGCAAGGCTGTCCAACGCCTTTTGAGTAGCCTGGGGCAGCTTCGATGGGTCGTTGGCCGCCAAGTCGGCGTGGTGGAGAGTAATATCAGGAAGGATGAAGGCAGAGGTCATGTCAGGAGCAGGACGTGTCTTCTTGAGAGGGGTGGTTGGGGGCAAGGAGATATCTGAGTGACGCCTCGAACGCTCCACAATTGGAACGGTAAGACTCGTCTCTCCATCAGTGGTTGCTCTTGAGCCAGTGGTGATATCACCGGCAGCAGACGCTGGACGAGGGATGATTGGCTTGCTCTCGCGAATGGACGACTTGCGAGGAGCAGGAGTTTTCAATATGCTCTGTCTGGTTGAGTTGACAGTCTCTGTGGGGTTGCTTTCCTTGGGAATACTTGAGCGGCGCTGCTTGCGCATCAGTCTTTCCTCTTCCAGGGTCTTGCGCAGACGAGCAATTTCATGTTCATCAATGACACTCAACAAGGTGTAATCAGCATCAGAAGATTCCTTTGTCTGCTCAGTCACCTCAACTGGCGAGCTCACATCCTCAACCACAACGCGCTTGACGCGCTGCTTGCTAGTGTTGGGCTGTTTCCGGGAGCTCTTTGCCTCAACTGTGCGAGTCGTCGGCTTCGAGGACTTGGAACCCGAGGTGCGCCTTGGAGTGGGCACTTCGATCGAGAAAAGAGCCTCATCAGCCCGTTCCTTCTCGAGGCGGTGAATCTCCTTGTCCACCTGGTTAGACACCTTAGAACGCGAATCATCCTGACGTCTGCTCTTGATATGAGAGCGAGCACTCTTGGATGTGAGATCCTTAGTGCTGCGACTCATGTCAGCGCTGCGCTCAGTGTACAGCTGGCTGTCGTCGGCATCGGAGACGGTCGAGCTAGCCTCAGATTCGAGGGTGTCCTGTTCGCGGTTCTTGCGGTGCGAAGACCGAGAAATCTGGGACTTGAGATCCGCATTCTCCTGCCGTAACTCCTCATTATCGGTCTTGAGTTCTCTATTTTCGAGATAAGCTGCGCCAAGTTGGGAAATTGCAGACTCTCTCTCGTGATTCAGACGCTTGATGGCGGATTCTTGAACCTGAGCCTTTCGATCGGCAATGTCTAGCTGGTTTTGTAATTCAAGATTGGCTGCTTCCAATTCTGTACCCAACCGTTAGCTAAATAACTCAACCTGCATCACAAGAAAACTCACTCTGATTCTCATTCGCCAAACGCTTAGATCCCTTCTTGTGCTCATTGTCCTCCGAATCATACTTGACTGAGTGGCGGGTCTTGCTCGATTTTAGAGAGGCGTTCTCCTGGCGATAGTTTTCCATTCGCCTTTCGGCATCAGACTTCCACATATTCAGTTCGGCCACTTTATCCTGGAGCAGTCTCAATGAAACGAACAAGGCCTTTTCATCTTCAGGAACAGGCACTGCGTCCAGTGGGAAATGATCATGGGGTAGAGACATTTCGGTGTGATCATGCAGTGGTGAAACAAACCGAGTGGAGCGCATCTTGCCCTGGCGATTATAGACAGGCGTGCCATCTTCGTACACACCAGACACGAGTTCGGAGATATTAGGGAGGTCAGGGAGAAGGAATGATTGATGGGTCATAGTATCACCAATATTGTTGTTGACTGCATTGGCACTAGGCTTGCGAGGAGTACCTGATGTGGACTTGCGCAGCTCCTTAGCATAGGCATCACGCGAAGCTCGCTCAACGGCGTCTGCGATCTCTTGCGAGGTGTTGGCATTTCCGAAACGCGTCGAGCGCGTCTTTGTTGAAACTGGGGCTGGGCGTTCATCGCCCAGGAAAGAGCCATCGTAGTTGTCACGCACTTTGGCGTGCATATCTGAAAATGTTCGGCGCTGGTCGCGCTGGGACTTTGATACTTGCGGACTCATAGTTTCCTTCTGCGCTTGGGTCGCTCGCCGCACTTGAGCATTCTTTCGGAGATTTTCACTCATAGCGCGACGTTGTGGGCGCGTACTGGGCTTTTGTGGTGTTGGGTATTCGACGCGAATTGCAGGTGAAGAAGAGCGGACACTGTTTTCGAAGCTCATCACAGAGCTTCGCGAGTCGTCGCGTCCCGCCTTGCCCGCACCGCGTCCCAATTCGACAGACATCTCGATATCGCTGACGGTAAGCTCCTCTCCTTCTTCTTCGGAGGTCTGTATTTGAGAGAAATCAGGGAAGGCTTGGTCGAGGGTTGAAGTGTGGATATCGTAGTCAAGCTCGGGCTCGTCGACACGGCGTGTGGAAGTACCCATGATTTCGTGTTCAATATTTGTCAGTGAAAACGAATCTTCATCGAAATCCCTCAATGGAGGCATTGTGAGATGTGTGAAGTTGAGAGGAAATGGGGAGGCTGGTTTGTTTGGGGGGAAGTCGGGAATGTTTTGGGGGGCGCGTCTCGGCAACAGTCCCACTCTTGATTGGCTCACTCTACTTTGTACTGTACTTCGACCTCGACTTTTGAGAGTTGATAAGATAATATTCTTAATGAAGGTGCAAATCAATTGTGTTGTACATTCGGTTTCAATTGCACAGGTTCTGAAAGATTCTCCTGAATCTTCCCGCAGAACATGCCATATTTTGGGTCCCGCGGCTTCTATACAGTTCCTGCAGGTACACAAACATAACTATAGCAACCAAGTCTGCAGCATGCACGATCGCTCTTCTGGCTACTCATATTAGTTGGAAGCCTTGAGAGGCCTTGAATATTGGTCAAATGCTACAGTATGCGGCATAATCATGAAGAAACGCCTCTTTGATCTTATCAAGGTACGATTTTGTCCACTGCGAATATTTTCCTACGTTCGTAGTCTGAAGCAGATATTTGACCTTGGTCAAGCACATCTGAATTAAAAATCGTGAGTCAAAGCTGTCTTGACTCTTAAATATTCGATGTTATATATTTCTGTTTCACAGTGAGATATATTTTTGCTATCACACTCAATCCATCGACTGTTATTCGAACCACGCATGATTGGCATACGACAATAATAAACTATAATTTCAAAGATCTTTTATTTTTTAAATGAGCCAACTTTAGCCTTACCCAAATCAAAACATACCACAGGCGTGGTTGAAACAAAAAACTATTGTATCTGAATGCATAAATGTCCAGTTTAGCCAGACGAAGCGCGAGTCTTCAAAGGCTACGCACCCATGCCGAGTCTGTCCGAACAGGGAACAACGTGACCTAGGATACGGAAGAATTGACGAACGATAAGCACCATGAGCGATGCAAGCTTAAAATCTAGTCCCGACGCGATCTGAAGAAGTGACGAAAATAACCAGCAAAGCCGACTAGGCTGCAGGGGCCTTTAAGCTTTCTATTACCGATAATTATTCTCATATTATAAAAAAAAAACAAAGCTAAAGAAGATGATGTTTCAGATGAGATACTGCGCAAGCTTAAATGCGCTTTCAGGGAAGTTCGATACATTTATCGTATTCCTTCACTAGCTAGTGAAACCGGCAGAGATGGGTGATGCTTAAGGATTGACGACAGTTAAAGAGGTATCTCTATCGATAGAGGAGATTGTACATCGTATGTCTGAATACTCAAATAGTCCTTAAAGAAGGACCGGCGGCTCGTATCTCAGGCGTGAATCCCTTACACGTACTGGAATATCTTACCCAAGTGATTTCGAGGCTGCCAGTGCTAATATCTTGAATGGTATAAACTAGCATCTCTGAAAGTTTGGTGGTTGAAACCTACCCCATACGAAGTTAGGGTTACAAGAGCCCCCTTTACATATATCTACCTCTAATACATCAAGTCTCACGAGCTTTTCCTCAGACAAGGTAGCATAGTGAGTTCACATAGTTCTGGAAACGCCCTAACTAAAGGCGACATTGAATAAAAGAATCTTGATGATACAGATAAGAACAATGTCAAGCCAAGTTTATTGGAGTATCATTATGGCCATAGCATATACGCTTTTTTTGAAGCTCATCTACTGAGAATCTGATTTCTAAATCAAAACACGAAATGACCATCAGCCCAAGGATTGTCATAGCCTAAGTGTTCATATAGAATAGGATTGTGTCAAAAAATGGAACTAGCGGTAAGATACGCCAAATGAGATAATAGTATGCAGAGCATATGCATGACGACCTAATATGTGATACGACGTATACGATACAAACAAGAAACACCCGAAGCCCACTCTGCATACCAAAATCGCCCTACTAGAAGCGAGGTGAAGATATACAAACATCAGTCCACGTAGAGTTAGATGTACGTAGAGTGACCCACACCCTCATAGTGAAACACACTAAAAACTAAGTACTGGAAAGTACCGATCAAGTCACGGGGCAGACATACACCACGTGTTGTCGGCTTCATACAACCGCCGACCAATCACATGACAGCAACGACTCACGAGCACAACAGCCAGGGTTGCGCAGAATTCTTTAAAATGTCAGGCACATTGAAGAATGGACTGACTTCCCAACTCACTCATCAGGCTTCAATCCCGGGTTCAGTAGTGGTGCTACTTACTTGAGTACTTGGACTCGATTTGTTGTGACATCACCTGTACAAGGCCAATCTAAGATGGGCTATTACAGTCACCGCGGCGAGGAGGAGAGCCTGCTCGGACGCCGCCGTGATCACGGCTCGAAGCAGCAACGGTCTCGAACAAGGTCGGTGGCGACCATGGCTGCCCTGTTGGGCATGCTCTTCCTGTCGGCTGTGTACTTTGTGCCGGGATCGGACTACGAACCCTCACAATTGACAACAGAGATGCCCGGAGCGCAGCCTGACCAGCCAAATTCTCCTCTTTCAAAGTCGAAGAGGACGCCGCACAGTGATGGCACTTGCAATACTGTTAACGGTGGTTATCAATGCAACCCTGAGGTCTCGCACCGTTGGGGACAGTATTCACCTTATTTCTCTCTTGCAGAGGAGTCTGCTATCTCCGATGAGGTACCTGATGACTGTCGCATCACTTTTGTTCAAGTGCTGTCCCGCCATGGCGCTCGGTACCCTACCGCGTCGAAGAGTGCGAAATATGGAGCTCTCATCGCTAAGATCCAAGCCAACGCTACGGCTTTCAAGGGCAACACAAAGTTCCTTCAGTCGTACAACTACACTTTGGGCAGCGATGATCTGACGTCGTTTGGAAAGCGCGAGATGGTCGAGTCTGGATTGAAGTTCTACCAGCGTTACGCGGAGTTGACCCGGAAGTCTGTGCCTTTCGTTCGTTCTTCTGATTCATCGCGGGTTGTGGAATCAGGAAACAAGTTCATCAACGGCTTCCAATATGCAAAGTCGAAAGATCAAAAAGCCAATCACCAGCAGCCAGCTCCCCAAATCAGCGTCCTCATCTCCGAAGACCCTGGCTTCAACAACACTCTCAATCATAACACATGCACAAACTTCGAAAGTAGTACACTGGGTGATGACGTCGATGACGAATTCACATCCATCTTTACGCCAGCAATTCGTACACGTCTCGAAGCCAACATCCCAGGCGTTGAGCTCTCCGGCACAGAGGTTGTCTACCTCATGGATATGTGTCCCTACGACACAGTTTCCCAATCAACCGTCGGATCAACACTATCCCCATTCTGCGACCTCTTCACGGAAGAAGAATGGATCCAATACAACTACCTCCAATCTCTAGACAAGTACTACGGTTATGGAGCAGGCAATACTCTTGGCCCAGCTCAAGGTGTCGGTTTTGTAAACGAACTGATCGCCCGTCTTACTCAAACCCCCGTTCACGATGACACAAGCACAAACCACACTCTTGATGCAGCTGGCGCAGCAACATTCCCCCTGAACTACACCACATACGCAGATTTCTCACATGACAACGGCATGATCCCCATCTTCTTCGCGTTGGGATTGTATAACAGCACCGCCACGCTCCCACGCACTCATGTTCAGTCCTCTGCACAGACTAACGGATACTCTGCGTCCTGGACCGTGCCATTCGGTGCGCGAGCATACTTCGAGATGATGCAGTGTCATTCGGACCCGAACCCTGAGCCATTTGTCCGGGCTCTAGTTAATGACCGTGTTGTGCCGTTGCATGGGTGCAACGTTGATAAGCTTGGGCGCTGTCGTCGGGCCGATTTCGTCAAAGGGCTAGATTTCGCACGTTCCGGCGGAAACTGGAACCAGTGTTTTGTTTAATGGCAGTTTGATTCGCTTTTTTGTTGGAGATACCCATTGGTGGAGGAATCGTTTCCTCGGTTTCAGATCTGTGTTTCAGATATTGCTATGACACTAGAAGTCCACAAAATGTATATGTACGGTACTATTGCATGCCTGTCTGTCTCTATTGAGCTATTCCTATTTCTATTTGCATTTGCATCTGCGTCGGCATCATTACCACTCATGCCAATCAATTTAATTTGAAACATCAAACAAAATGATAGCCGAGAAACAATTTATTTGTGACCAGCTATATAACTAGAAATGCTCTAACGCATGCAAGCCCCGAAAAAAGTAATTTAAACAGCCACCAAACACCAAATGAAGCAAATATCCCCTCCTGACGAAGACACCAAAAGTACCCGAACTAGATACTCCACCCATGCACCCTGCCGTTTTCATTCCTATTTCCACTCCCATTGCCATTCCTCCTAGTTCTAACATCCCCAGTCAAGACCCAAGCCTCCCAAAGCGGCATCTGCTCATGCAAGACATGCATCCCATCATCTCCTAGGCCCTCCGCCCCCAACACCCAAACCCTCTCAACAGAAACCCGCCCATAACGCCCAATCCGACCAGACGGCCCATCAGGCCCGAACCCTAACCCCGGCCCTGCAGACGCCCGGCCCTCCGCCTCCGCCGCCGCCGCAACATCCAACGAAGAAGGAACTTGCACAGGAAGCGGATAATCATCAAAGACTTCCACGCCAACATTCGACCCGAAAACCAGATCAAAATAAGCCGCGTAGTCTATTTCCCGTAGTTCCAGCCGTTCCAGTTGATCCATCTCCTCACGCAGGAAAGAGAGTACATCCGACCACTTCCCACCAGCCCGGAGATAAATCCCGACAAGCCCCAAATCCCTCAATTGGAAGCGATGCCGGCGTGCCAGATCGATAATCTCACTCGCATGCAATCTCCACCCCTGAATGCTCAGCTTGCGAAGCGTTTTCCAGCGTATGTCATGGAAGACACTTTCAAGATCGAGGTCCAGGGGCGTCTTGCCGAGGAAGCCGATGTGAATAGCAATGAGATTTTTAGCGGCCAGGAAGAATCGATGGAAGATGCCTGATAAGTCGGCCATTGTGGGCGTGATGTTGTCGTTGGTCGAGTGGAAGTTGATGTCTAGGCTTGTGAGGCGTGTTCCCATTTCTGATAGGGTGGTTGCGGGTGCGCGTAGGAGTTGAAGCGTTGCTTCTGGGCTGATTTGGGGTGCCGTGAAGCGGATTGAGTGGCTTTTTGAGGAGAGGAGGGCGATGCCGAGGTTTGTTACTGCTCGTGTGCAGGCTGGTGACCAGTCTAGGCTTATGGTATTTGCTGGTTGGGTCTGGGCATTATGGTGGTGGTTGCGGATGTATTCGACTAGGCGCTCGTCTGGATCATCTTGGAGTCTGAGGAGTTGTATATCTTGGAGAGAGGTGAAGGCGGCGATCGCGTGTATAAGCTGAGCTTTGTCGTAGTTCGTTTCAAGGAGGCTTGTTTGTTCTTGGAATCGGCGGTTATGTAGTTGGGATAGGGCGTTGTTCTGCGTTGATAGTGTTCGGAGTACTCGAGTCCATCCTGTTGATATCTCGTTAATTTTTGTCCTCTTGTACCAGTTCGGGGTTGAAAGTTGGTACCGCTTCCTTGATAAAAGGGCCGCACCATGTACGTGAGAGTCTTTACATAGCAGGCCAGCTGCATTTCTAATAGTTGCTCCAGGCGTCGGAAGCCACGTTCGGAGAATCGCAAGCTGAAACGTGCAAATTTATGAGGGGTGCCGATTCGCATGAAGCGCTTGCAGACCAGACGAAAGCGATCGAGGTCAGAAGCCTCCCCGTATTCAATTGCATTCCCAGAGCCATTGGCGTGAATTCCACCGTTCAGAGCTCTGGGCGTCGGCTCCAGCAGAAAAAGCAGTATTTCGCTCAATAGCTCATCGGCAAGATCACCAACGTGACGTGGCTGCTCCATGATCGGCGCACAAGGCCGCCAGAGCATCGGGTTGAGCAATTGGCAGCAACATGGAACTATGGCGAGGTTGGGAGTAAAGTCGAAGCTGAGCCAGGAGAGGGGAGGTTGGGCATATAAAAAACCCAAACGAAAACAAAAAGAAAACCCAATATTCCCTTCACACTAGTAGTACATGCACATGTACAAGTTGACTAGTCTCACGAGCTCTTCTCATCCTATCGCGACCGGGATGTCCCCAGGGCCCTTATTTAGCGCCGTTTCCCGCAATCTTAGACTTTGGACTTCATTGGTGATCATTGCACACAGGAATCACATGATTGATTGACTCTGCGGCCAGCCAGCGCGAACCTGCAGGTAAAGCATTCACGGAGAGCGAGTCAAAAGGCGGAGGTTGGTGCGAACCCCGCCTAGAACCCGTCACATCATGCAGAGTGACGAGCCATGCGAGTGCGATTGGGAAAGAAATGGCCGAAACCAGACCGAACTAATGTACTTCGGATTATTTACATTTCATACCTTGGCCCGGTGAGCCCGTCGCCGCCTGATATCTGTGCTGCTTATTTTCGATTCGAAACTCTCAGAGTCGGTGGCTTCTCCAGATTGGAGTACATCCACCTCAAACACCGCAAGGGCCTTCCACCCTTTCTTTGCACGCTCGTCATTGATCAGGGCCCCTCCTGATCGGGTCTCCTTGGACACTACAATCGCCCCGAGATCCTCCTCCGTGATTGTGGGCCCAAACATCTCGGAAATTTCCACAAACTTGAAAGACAAGTTGGGTTGTATCCTCGTGAGAACATTCTTGAGGGGTGTCTGGCCTAATGGGTCCGGCGAGAATCCACGTTCAATCTGGGGTGACTTTTGTCCAGGAGAGAAATCCATAATGGCCGTCAGGAACGCGGCAGTACTCTGCCAACGCTGCTCCCAGCTCTCAAGGACTTCGGCATATTTTTTCTTGGTCAAGAGTGCATCCCCTGTGACTCCGATGGTCAGGCGTCCTTCCCGGTGGGGCTCCAAGGCCAATGCAACAGCTGTAAGGAGGAGCTTGTGACCAACATGGAGATGATCAAATGTGCCACCCACGACCACGGAATAGTGCGGAGTAGAGTGTTGGTCGTCAGGATTTAAAAGGGAACCAGAAGTCGTCCATTCAGGATGGCCGGTGATGGCTTGCAGGCTTGCCGCTCTGCCGCTTCTAGACTGGACACCAACATGGCTGATAAAGGAATCAGCCACAGATTTCCCGGCAGTATTTCCTAGATAATAGATTTGGTCCCAGCGACGATCACAATCTGCAAGTGATTGCCAGTCCAGAATGGGCCCAAAGGGAGTGCGTTCAGCCGGTTTAGTCGCATGATCAACAAATACCACCCGGGTATCGATGCCACCCGGAGAGTCCAGCTCGATATTGTGTGTTGCACAGACGGCACCAACCAGGGTATAGATGCTGCTCAGGTAATGTTGGAGTTGCGCAAACACTTTCGACCGAGGTTGACAGTTCGAGAGTAGACCGGGGATGGCCAGGGCAATGTCTAGTATAGCTGTATCATTCTCATTCAATTTATCCGACAGCTTCGTGTAAACATCGGCCAAAGATGGTTCGAATGCATCTTTGACTTGCTCAAACGAAAAGGCAGAAGGCGGGGGAAGAAGTAGAAGAGCCGAGGCTTGAGCAGACATGATGCAGAACAATGAGTCAAATGAATAGACCTAGATGCACAGGATCAAGACAGCCAGTACACACAGACACACCCAGAGAAAAAGAGAATAGAAACCCGAGAAATGAGAAACGGAAGCCCAAACAGACCAAGAATCAACAGCTCTGAAGAGGGATCGGATCTCTGGGGTTACCCGCTCAGCTGAGTCAGCACATTCTCCACGAAATGCTTCATGCTTAGCTTATTGACTAGACTATCAACGGGGTTTAGCCGCCTTAGTATTAGTTGTTGCCAAGTCCGCGAGATATCTTGCATGTCTTGCAGAAGTTGCAGAAGCTGCAACCATCTTGAATTCGATAGGCCACCTTAAAAAGAGATCTTGTCAATGAAGAGAGGGCTAAGTTGTCCAAACAGCTATATCACTGCCAAATTTGGCATCTCGCAAACGAAGAGCTGAAACTATTTGCAAACACAGTAGGACAGGGTCGGGTACAATATGCTGGAAAATTAAAGGTATATGTACCTTATCTGCCCAAATCCCATATATTCACTTCAATGGTTAAATTGATTCATAAAATCACACATACCCGTGGGACGGTACACAATGATAGAGCCCTGGAGCTACAATAATAGTGCTTTTTATACTTCCTCGCTCACACGAAGTGACATGCATAGCTTTGTTTCAAGCAAAAAGATAGTTTTTGCCTTTTTTCTTATTCCTTCAATTCTGTAGCTTACGAAATTAAAAGGAAGCCACCTTGCGTCTTGTTCGCAAGCCTGGGGCGTCTATTGTTTCCGCTCCAAAGGTAATGAGCTCTTTGTCGCAGTAGCCCCTTGTTCGTTGGCTACAGCAGACCATTCCGGCCATCAGCTCAAAAGACACGTGCCGCAAACAATCCACCCACCGCCTGGTGGCATGACTCAGCTGTTTCTGGCAGAATATAGCGCACGGGCCTTTTGGGCGGATGGCGGTAATGGCCTGCCGTAGTTGACCCAAACATATCGTCTCTCTACGCCGATCAATGTTGCACTGCAATCCAATCCGAGCCGATACCTCACATCTCGAGGTGGAGCTCATCCGTGAGCCCAAGATCCATCGCACCTTTCCCTGCATATCCACCTTCGCCCATTCACATCATGGCCAACCCGACCCAGCCTTATGACTCGCATCGGCGGTCAACCGTCTTCAGTCGCCAGCCCGAGGAGCTTCACATCCCGTCGACCGCGCTAAGCAATCCCAACCTGGCACGTCAATCCTCCTCGCAAGATTACCCAGCGCCCGACGGTGGTGCCCGACTTCCCGCAATCAATGTCCAATCAACCCCGCAGTATGGAGGTGATGGAAATCACAGCAGCACTGCGCTCCCTGGAGCCTTGCAGCCAGGACACCAGAACCGTCCAGCGGCAGTATCGATAAACACCGCCCCGTCGGTCGTCCCTACTATGCCTCACTCCTCGACACAGCCGAACCACCGCGCAAGCATGATCAACTCACATGGACATTCGCAATCTAGTCCCGCTGGATTTGAGCAGTCCGTGTACAAACAACATGGTATTTCAGAGAGCTCCAAGTACCCCTCCTCCCCTGGAGGGTTTCCGCCTCATACCCCGCAAGGCTCGAAGTACTCCCCTCTCGGTCTGGCCGACATTAGATCTCCTGGTGAGCACCTCTTGAGTGAGGCGCTCATGAACCCTGGAATTTCATCGGTACCTTACAATGGAGATAATCAAGTGCCAACCAACAGCAACTATGTCGCACCGTGGCCCATTTACGCGGTGGATTGGTGCAAGTGGCCAATTACCGGAAACTCAGGCTTTGGTGGAAAATTAGCTCTTGGGAGCTATCTAGAAGACAACCACAATTACGTTTGTGCAGTCTGCCCGTGCAGGAATGGCGTGACGCTAACCAATTGATAGATCCAAATCATCGATTCCCACTGGACGCAACCAGACCCAGACACCCCAGACGCCGCTGCTGGAGAGATCAAATTGGAATACGTCAAAACGGCAGAGGCGACTCACTCCTACCCCGTCACTCGCATTTTGTGGGAACCGCCGTCATCACAGAAGCAATCAACTGATCTGCTCGCCACATCAGGAGACCATCTCCGTCTATGGTCTCTGCCAAATTCGCAGCCCCTACAAAGCTCGAACTCGATTACTCGCCCCTCGAGCCAGCGGGAGGCCGCCACATCAAAGCTCTCTCCATTGGCATTGCTGTCAAACTCAAAGTCCCCTGAACACACGGCTCCCATTACATCCCTCGACTGGAATACCATCTCCCCCAGTCTGATCATCACTTCCAGTATTGATACAACTTGTACCATCTGGGATATCCCAACATTGACCGCCAAGACCCAGTTGATCGCTCACGACAAGGAGGTCTATGACGTTCGATTCTGCGCTAATAGTGTCGATGTCTTCGTCAGCTGTGGTGCAGATGGAAGTGTGCGCATGTTCGATTTGCGAAGCCTCGAGCATAGTACCATCATCTACGAGCCAACTGATAAAAACGAGAAGCGTAAGTATTCGTCCAAAACACTCAATGTTCTTTACTGACGGCGCATTCAGCAGCTGTAACCCCTGGTAACTCTAGCCCTCCCGGCCAATCGCAAAATGGCCTGTACCCGCCGCCTCTTCTGAGAATCGCTGGTAAGTACCAAACACAATCTATAATCCGTTCCCAGCTTACACAGTCCAGCCTCCCCCCACGATGCCCACCTCCTGGCAACATTCTCCCAAGACTCAAGCGTCGTCCGAGTCCTCGACGTCCGCCAACCTGGCCAAGCTCTTCTAGAATTGAAGGGCCACTCCGCAGCCCTAAACTGCGTGGAATGGTCTCCAAGCCGCCGCGGTATCCTAGCATCTGGCGGTGATGACAGCATGGTCCTCCTCTGGGACTTAATCAACCAGCACAACGCCGCGCCTGTGCCCTCACCAACCCCTCACACACCCGGCGCCCCAACCACAACATCAGAGCGCGGCCCCGCCGCCGTCTGGCAAAGCGAATACGAAGTCTCCAACATAAGCTGGTCACCCCAAGGCGGACCAAACCACACCGGCCTCCCACGTGAATGGCTAGGTATCTGTGGTGGACGCGGCATCACCGGCGTTGCTTTATAAGCATCACCTCATATGGGATCGAACATTGAAAAAAGGGGAGAAGCGAGGAGCGGGAATGGGAGGTTGATATTGAAATTCCATGCAATCGTATTTGTGCTTCCAACAATCTGCTTTTCTGCATTAGATCTGTTTCTTACACTCATCTCTTGTTTCTGACGTTGGTTGTGTGCTGTGTTGCTATTCGCTCTGCGATTTCTTACTGCGTGGGCTTATGGTATCTAGCCTCCTTGATACTCACTCTTATTTTGCTTCCTTGGTTGTCACACTCTTGTCACATTTGCTCTGTTTACTTTCCTTTGATTTCTCGCTATTGTTTGTACCCCTGCCTCCCCCCTGTTCTGCATAGGTCAAGCGACAACATGTTTGTGTGTGACTTTGTTTATTTTTATTTTTTGATTGGGTTTTCATGGTGACCATACTACTGACTTGTTTTGGCACGAGTAAATGAATGAATGAATTACACATTGGATTTTACTCATGTTCCAGTTTCTGGGTTGTTTTTCCCAGGCTGAGTCGCGGTGTAGCAGCATAAAGTTAGTTGACTTCAGATTGGCCATAGCTTCATCCATTAAACATCGTAACAGACTGGCCAAAACAAGATTTAGTCCCTTGGATTCAAGTCATATCGCTAGGGCAGGATATCCAGAGAAGTAGTATATCAGGAACAGCCGTGCGTTTAAGGGGTATTGTGGATTCTCCATCTCGGCTGACACAAAAACGAGTGAATGATTTGGATATAGTCATAGAGTTTTCATTCAATCGGATGTCTAGGATATAGATGAGAGGCTTGAACCCCCATGAAGAAAAACAACAAAGCTCGCCCAGCAAGCAGGTATCACGGTATAGAAAAAATGAAGAGGCAATTTCCCCCGCTAAAAATCAAACAATCTATCAAACAATCTAGGGCATCTATTCCCTCCGGGGTAAAGATAAAGTCCCAGGTCCATGGGAAGGACCTTTGGAAATGACACGATCTTCCAGCAAACGAGCAAACTTGACACTAGGAATATCAACAAGACGCCAGAAGATATCGCCCATCCAGATAGCGATAGGCAGGCAAATGAGCCAGCCGATGAGGAAACCGAAACAGTACTGGAAGTTTGTTTCCTTGCCAGTATAATGCCAGATATTGGGCATGATCGCGTAGCCCAGACAGTGGAGAATGGGACCGTGAACGACGTAGAACGCAAAGGAGATTTTGCCCAGGTATTGGGAGAAGGGGGTTGTGAATAGTTTTTGAATATCCGGGGAGTGATTGATAGAGAAGACGATGAGGACTGCACCGATTGTTTGACTGAAACGGTGTGGTTCTGGGTATGTCTTTGGAGTGACATGCCATAGCCATCCGTAGAAGGGGGTCCATTTGAAGCCGATGTTGGGGCAGGAGCCGAAGTATAGACCGACTACGAAGAGTGAGATCCACAGCCAGCGCCGGGAGACATTGATAGTCACTTTACTGCCAGTGTTTAAGCGGATGGTGGTTTTCTCGTCTTCTGTTGTGGTCCGCTTTGGTTGTTCCCAGATTCCGTTGATGAGATCTACCTCGGCCATCAGCATGCCAGAAAGGAAGAGAACGATTTCCCAGCGGCCATAGCGCACGCAGAACCAGGTCAGAGCGGAGACAACCGTCATGCGCACGGGTGCCACCAAGCGTGATGTCCCCAGGATAACAATGAAAAGGATGAGCGAGGAGCGAAACTCAAGGGGGATTGTCCAGAGGTGGGGATTGTAGTAGTTGTAGAAGAGGTTGTAGTCGAATGGGTTCATTAATGTTGCCAATGTAAACCACAAATCATCGCTTTGCTTTGTGAATGATTTATACATAATCGGGTGCTGCTCATTGGTGCCGAGAATAGTGTGGCCCTCCTTGATGACACCCTGGGAGTAATTATACAGACCGAGACGGACAGCCACAAAGACGCATAGGATTCCAGCTATCGCGGGGATGTAGAGTCGGAATGCTCGACGGAAAGTTCCCGATGCTAGCGTCGTGAATGTTTGATCAAAGGACCTGTTTCGGATTGTTTTCAGAGGTTTGTACGAGAGGACGTAGCCGGAGAGGACAAAGAAAATGGCCACCATGATGTGACCCGAGATCAACATATGCAGAATGGGAAGCTGATGAATCGCAAAGTTCTCTCCACCAAATCCCCATCCTATTGCAACCTTCCATGTGTATGTGAAGAGGAAATGGAAATTAAAGACCAACAGACAGGCCCAGCCGCGCAGACCGTCCAGAGCGGCTATCGCATGGAGTTTCGCAGGTTGCGGCGCCTCACCTCCAACCCAATGCTGAAGGAAGCTCGGAGTCAACGCGACTGCCAACTTGTGCCATGCGTTTTCCAAAGAAGCTACCCAGTCGTCCTGCGACATGCTCGGTGCCAGTTTCTCGGGGTGTGCAAGGATGTTTGACGGATGAAATTGAGAAAAGCCATTCCAGCGCGACGGAACTCCTGTATTGTTGGAAATGGTCGCCGACTCCAGGTCTTTCAAGGGAATATCGGAGGCCGAAGTCCTGGCCCGGACCTCGGGGTGGGATGCCATTGCCTTATGTGCAAATCGATCGTAGAAAATGTCCGATGCGGCGAAAGCCTCCAATTGCACGCACTAGAAAGCCGAAGGAAACATTGAGACCACTAGTCTGGTGTACTGGCCTAAGCGACAGAATGGGAATCGGTGGTTGTCCTCGAAACCGGGGTTTGATGCAGTTGGATCGTGTGGTAGGCGTTGGATACGGGACGGTGGAAACTTCAGCGGAGAGAATTTCTGAGCGTTTGATTATATCAAGTTGAATGTCCAAAGGGTGAAGAGTGAAGAAAGAAGAAAGCCGGAGATTAAGGGGAGTACGTCAGGCATGAGGCAGAACCCGCCGATCGGTCGCCGTTTTCGTCATGTTTGGTCTCGGAGTAAGTTAACGGTCGCTCTTTGGCCTTCATATAATCACGGGCAGTCTTCATTTACCAGCTAGCAAAATAGATCTGTGGTCATCCACTGCTATGTACATATCCGATATAAGCTATACACCTATTGACGTGTGAAATTTTCACTTCCATCGTGTTTACACATATTTGTTGATTTTGATATTACTTTGGCTTCTATCTTTCACCCTTATATTATTATGGAAGCAGGACAAATTTTTGCTGGTAGGTCTCTCTTCAGCTTTTCCATAATCCCAACACGTAAATAAAATTAGAACCAATTTGCATGGCTTCGTTTATCTAATTAGACATTCACTAGTCGTTCACTACGTCAATACTTAAAGACCGCTTAAGAGTTCAAGTTATTGAAGTGTCGAACTACGTGACATTTGTAATTAGTGCCTCAGCCTCGGAGACATCAAGATCCTGTCGGCCATAACTTACGAATATTGTATAGCACCGGATCTATAGATGATCCGATTTCATCGATTATGTAGCTAGATCAGAACCATCCATGGATAAATTGAGAGAAGAAGGGGTGATAGCAATACAAAGTCATCAAGATCATCGATTGGTCAAGGACAGTACGGTAATAAACAGATACTTCATTCCAAATGAAGGATAAAAACCAGATTGCGACTGTAAACAAGGAACAATGCCATTCATTTCTTGATTCTTGATTTATAATTATGCTCCTTGTATAGCATCAGATTATCTATAGTAGGCGTTATCTGCCTATCATTTCTACCTAACCTATTGTTTGGATTTATTGCTATTTATCGACCTATCTACTCGACTAGACTGCTATCGCGCCGTCCCTATTTTATATTAGCGTCCCCAGGAAAGCTTATAATCGCAAGGTGTCTAATAACTAGAAGAGTATACGGTAGCAGGAAAGTAGCGATAGTATTCAACCCTAAGAAGCTGAGAGACTACGCTAGTCTCCGGGTTGAGGTAGGTAAGCGAGATAGAATCTGATAATAGCGTATAGAATAATGATGGTATTGTAATAATGGGTAGACTAAACGCTGATTCCTAGAATTAGCGTGATGAGTGCTATTTATGTGTATGACATAACTAATGTATAGAAACTGGGTTAGTTGGAGAAATATGGTAAGGTCTCGCGACTTGCATTCAGGGGTGCAAAGATTTCTCTGTTGGTTCCGGTTCGTTAGAAAGATACAGCGCTTCTATGTGGTGCCCTAGACGCTCAACGAGTAATATAGAGGACTTGACGTTAATTATATATTGTGTGAACAGGAAAGATGTGCGAAAATGGCATCAATTCATGATGACGTGGCCATCAAACCGTTCCTAGGTATGAAAGGTGACCTCGAGCAGCACAGGAAATTCAATTTAATTAAAATATCTCGTAGAAGGCTACTTACAAACTTCATTATTTTCCGGTTGCTTGAGTCTTCTGCTCTTCGGGGAGAATATTGCAGTTCACGGTCAATAACCCATGGTAGCTGCATCGATGGATTTCCTTTCTGCTCTCCCATGTCTCGAGGTATCCCCTCGATGGCAGCATTCACAAACAGCTTTTGAGAACCCCAGTTCAGTGGACGAGCAACCCTATAACAGTAGCTAGTAGCAAAAAACTTCAAAGATGCACCGTCGCCACTCAAGTTTTGCCTGACTCCGTGTTTGATATCCGAGAGCTTCGCTATAGGACAAGACTGTCCACTATCAATATCCGTTAGGTGAGAAGGTACAGCGGTAGTTCTGTCCCGTCACGTAACGAGTTTCGCACCCCACTCTCCATGAATGTGAAGCAATGCATCCGTGGTGGTGATTGAGCACGAGCGAGAGCGCGAAAGAGGTCAGGGCAGCCTGCCCGTTCACCAGAGTGAGTGTAGTCCATAATTCCCCTTGGCGGCTCATGTGTCATCACAACATCCACGGTGTTGATACCACTGCCATCGTCAATCAAAAAGTCATGGCCTTAGTCAGGGTGGTACTGAAAACCCCAATCTCTAAGTGAAGGTATGTATGGACTGGCATAAATAGTCAGCAAAGCGCCATTCTATAAATGGAAATAGTGTACGCCTTCGTCGAGAAAGGTAATCCCTGTGTCTTTAAACAATCTCCTAGCCTTCCCGTCAGAGCCATACACTCTTTCAACGCGCTCACTCTCTGGTGACTGGGCCTCTGCAACCTTTTTGTCAAACACTGGTACGTCCATGGTGAAGTCGTGGTTTCCGGTTATGTCAAGCTTTAAAGGTGTTTTGATGGCCTGGAGCAAACGGATTGGCGCTTTGTATTTGGAGTTGAAATTGAGTGGTGAGATCTCCGCAGTGAATAGCAACGTTTGCATGTTGCTTCGCGGACGGAATGAAACTGGGTAAACTGTCGATTCCATGGGTGTCCGAGCTTGTCAGGAAGCGTTTCCTGATGTTTGCTGTGCTAGTCGCATCACTCTCTGTCATTTCGGCGGTGTGTTTTTTCACTCAGATATTCCTCGAAGTTGAAAATGGAGACAAGTTGAGTGCAAAGAAAATCAGTGAGGGTACTGATCGGACAAGGAACTTCTGCAGTGAAAGCGCTAGCCACTAGAGGCGCCGTTCAATGCAACCGTCGACCGTTTGGGTAAGAGGGTTTAGACCGAAGACTAATAATAATCATTCTATACACCGCCGGTCCCCAACGGGTAAGCTGTCTGAACGGGGAAATACTGTTTATTATAGGGGTACTAACAAAGATATGGCAGAGCTTGAAAGGTGAAAGATGCAGCTCTCCCGCATTAACTTTTTCTTGCATATACTAGACTACAACCGTTTGAGAAGTAAATCTGCTTCCCACAAAAGAATCTACAACTAAGATGATCTAGTTATCGGTCTAAGAATGTAGGCAAAGAGAAGGTTCGGACCCAGAATTTAAGGCCGGTCGGGGCCACTTCGGAGCACCTATTTGAGGCAATAGCGTCTGTCGTTTGATCCACTGGTCATATGCAAATTGTGTCACTCGCTTGTGAAATACGTTATTGCATAATATAACTTGATTTTCAGCTTAAGCTAGCATTATGCGATTATGGGGAGTATGTTCATATCCACGAAGTCGTCCAACACTCTAAGAATAGACTCGCAGGTATCGACATAGCCAAAAAATCCTAGCGTTTGAGCCTTGTCCCTGCTGTCAAAAATCACAAGTATGAACGAGTCAGCGAACTTGAACCAGTGAGAGTACGAAGAGTGGAGAGAATCTCACCTGAAATTTGAGGGATAAGGGGTAATCAAGGCGAAATCCGTGAAGCCAAAGACTTTCTCGACATCGTCAATTCCACTCCAATTCACACCATACGTAGCCTCGATCTCCTTCCATGCTTCTTGAATCTCAGCTTGCTTTGCCCACTCTGTCAGAGAGAAGGCGAATCGCAAAGTTTCCGGATCTCCGTAGCCACGGGGTAGAGGATTTTGTTGTGTATTTATCTCTCTCCATTGGGTGTTGGGGTCTGTTGCCGACCCGTTCCATGGAATGCCATAGTGATCTGCTAGCATGGGCCAAAAGAGGCTCCAGGTGAATGGGCTAGAGTCACAGGTGTTGAAGCTTTGATTCCTCACCCCGGGTGTAAGGTGACCATGCAGATAGATAGAAATTCATTCGCGCAGTGGACATCTCTACGGGACTATGACACGCAGAGATGTAACCAGGGAAATACAAGGATTTGAGAAGATACTTTTGGAATGATGCATAAATCCCTAATGACAAACACAGATTTATCACGGGGGTTGTCGCCGTACCCACAATGTAGGATGGGCGGGTGGTAATCCGCCCACTACCGTGCTCTTTGCTGAACTCAATCAGGAGATCTTGATCGTATTAGAAATTTGGTTCTAGAGTCACTCGGGGCAAGCTTTCCACCTGGGAATTTGCCGTTTGGCCCAAGTGAAGCCCACAATATTTGGCACCGAGCCGGAGTACAACAATTTGGGGGATGATCTTGTTCATGGCTAGGGCACCCAAGAAGTTGGCTAACAATGCTTCTGTAGACCGAATTGAATCGAATAGTCACCCTTGCCCGTCAGAGGAATAAGGATTTGCGCCTACTGTTCACTTTGACCATCTCCGCAGTGCTCCAGATTCCACCTCCTTCCCTTGACTGAGGCTGAATATAGGCAAAGAAGAACACGTGTGTCGCGTTGACATTGCTTTTGCACAATGTCTCAGCAATTCTGTCAACTGATCCAAGAAGATCTGCTTAGATATGCGACACTTGCTCTGGTAGTGCAATGGGAGGCGCTTGTCGAGAGATAGTGTATATCCTCTTGGAGCGTCTGGGTGACTCAGAGATTAGTTTTATCTGTGTTCGATTCAGCTTCAATTCAAGCTGGAAGTGACAAGAGGAGCAGCAAGAGATGACACAGACCATGGATATTCCCGAAATTCCGTTTCCTCCCACCACGATTGCCGTATTACCTGTGTCACTGTCTGAGAACACTGGAAGACGTAGATAGAATCGATTTTGATTCGTAGTTCGCTCATATCTGGGACTCTGGGACTGATGCTCGGAGCGTGAAACTATGTCAAAGATTTCCGAAGTTGAACTGGGCGTTCTATTTCTGCGAGGATGGCGAATGTAAAATCAAGGACACTGATTAATGATATAACAATGATGAAAATTGAGTAGGAGACAAGAGCAACTGAAAACGACTGAAAACGGACTCAAAACTTGGGAAACCAGCCACTTGGGCAGGTAGATACATACCACCATGGGAATTACGGTTTTACTAATTTCAATGGCACATTGATGTCAGATTATTCACATTGTATTCGCCGCTGGTGAAATCACCGCATAGCTGACAAAAGCATGTGCCAACTCTGTATTGATTGGTCTTTGACTTCATACAAACCACCGGTGGCAGCAGCCGGTGGCAACTCAAAGGAAACAACGAGATCGCATGACGTTGGAAATTCGGGGGGCTAGGGTGGAGTTGATCCGAGACCAATACTTCAATTTTGGGCTTTGATTCCATATGGGAAAGGGTATTGTGAAGTCCACCTCGCGTTTCTCCGCGAACATACTCCGTAGATCGTTGGGAACCTCTATAATAGGCCACCATCAATACCCACCGGCAATGGACGCGATCGCAATCACCATGCTGTTTTGTGAAGAGCGATGTAATTTGGTACTTAACCCCCTACCATCTTCGCCTCCTGTTCACATAGGCAACATCCCTTTCTATTCTATCTCATTTTTTCACAAGATGGTTCACCATCTCGACGTTAACTGCTACACAATATGGGTCGTCATCTACGTCGCAATTGGTACGGTTTCTAGTGCCTATGGCCTTGCCATCATTGGTTCGACTGTTGGACAGCCCAACTTCCACATATACTTCAACCTTCCATCTGAGGGTGAGTCTGGCTATGCCCATACCACCAACATGATTGGCGCCCTTAATGGTGTCAATTCCGCCGGTGCGATCATTGGATGCATCTTCCAGGCATGGGCTGGCGACTATTTTGGCCGCCGGTGGGCAATGCAAACAGGATTGATCATTCTCATTATTGGTGGTGCGCTATGTGCCGGATCCGTAGATATGGGTATGTTTATATTTGCCCGATCGGTGGCAGGCATTGGATCTGGGATCCTGGCTTGTATTGTTCCAACTTACCAGTCAGAGATTGCCACGGCTGAATCTCGAGGAGCTATGGTTGCCACAACTGGTATCATGTACGCAGTTGGATATACCCTCGCGGCGTGGCTTGGTTATGCCTGTTATCACATGAAGACAGATGACCCTATGGTCTGCTTTTCCTGGAGATTTCCACTCGCCGTTCAGGTTCTTTTCTTGATCATTGTCCTCGTGGGAAGTCCTTTTGTTCCCGAATCCCCCCGCTGGCTCTCCAACAGGGGCACCGTGATCAAGCATTATTCATTATCACTCGTCTTCATAAAGATCCTGTCAATGCAGAGCATGAGTTGTTCCTTATGGAAAAACAGCTGGATTAAATCACCTCTAGCTCATTTTGTTTTTAGCAGAAAATTTCGACCACTCAGAAGGCAGGAAATGTGTTTTTTTTTCCAAGGTAGTGAGAGGTAGACTAATTAGCATGTCCCGCTTACTGTCGAACCACGCGCTTGGCCCGATCGCACCCCCAGACTTTCTTTTCCCCCGTTTTCGCTATGCAGTCTTTTGCTGGCATAGTATCGCACATTTCTTTCCCTCATTTTCCTGTACCATGCAAGGTGACATCCCGCCAGCCTCAAGGAAACGCACGCCCAAGGCATGCGATCGGTGCCACCGGCAAAAATTGAAGGTACAGAACCGTAACCGCCGGCGGGAAATCTTAGTCTCAGTTGCGCTCGCGCTTATTAACTGCCTGAACAGTGCGATACTGGTCGACCATGTACACTGTGCACCCGCGCCGGCCGCAAATGCGAGACGACCGTTCAACGAGCTCCACGGCGTCGCCCAGGGATACGGCACCAGGAGCACGTAGCCATCAACCCAAGTCCGAGGGCTCTCGTGTGCCCGTCTCCACAAAGTTCGATCTCACCAGCATCGAACACAACATCCGCGAAAAGGCAGCAGGTGCATCCCAACACGTCTACAATTGATTTTGCAAGGCGTATTTTTAATGAAGAGGACGCTGGCCGTATTCTAACTGGGGCATCCCTTCCCGGCGACATAGGTGCTGACAATGCAGGCGACCAGGTGTGGCGTCTCCAAGTAATCGACTCACCTCCAGTACCAGTAATGAATGTGCTGATTGACGCGTTCTTCCAACGGATGCAATGGTTTATTCTGGTCTTTGTTGAGCCCTCGTTCAGGGCAACGGCCGAGAGGATCATCGGCCACCAAGAATGGCGCCGAGAAGATCTTGGCTCGTGCATGGCCGCCCTGGTTGTCGCAGCAATCGGACTACAGTCAGCCCTTCCCGATGCGGACTGGCCCGGTCATGCTATATTGCGAGCACATAATATCGATGCAAACAATATGCTCAAAGGGCTTATTGCAGAGATCCGGCTGCATCTATTGGACACTCTGGAGGATTGCCAGATCGAGGCCGTTCAGATTCCAATTCTACTGTCCTGTTATTATGTCTTTCATAATTCCCCTGGTCTAGCCTGGACAGTTGTTGGAATGGCTGTTAGAGCTGCATCTGCCCTCGACATACAGAACACTTCCAGCAGTGATCCGATTATGGAAGAGACCAGATCTCGGTGCTGGAATCACCTAATTGTGTCCGACACATTCACTTCTATGGTCTATGGACGATCGGTGTCCATTGATCACGCGCAAGTCCATCCATTGACGGTCGTGAACGATCTCATGATTGATCCCTGGGTGCTGAATCACTGCCCTGTGGCCCCGCATGACCAGACAATCGGGAGGGATGTCTTTCATGTGATGAAAGCAGAGGTCTATGGCATCGTGCATGATACTCTTGTCAGATTTCGCCAGCTCCGCCTCGGACCTAGGATTAGTGATGGAGACCTGGAGACCATTGCTCAGATAGTCAGGGAATCGGACGAGAACCTAAGGCAATGGCGCCATAGAGTTCCTCGAATATTTGATTTCGATTTTTGGATCAGTGGTGGCTGGGAAAAAATCTGCCAAAACCTCCAGGCAGCTTCTGAGGCAGTGAAAGAGCAGGCAGAGACAGTCTTTCTCCAGGCTGCCATACTACAACTAACATATGACTCCGCACTTATCCAAATCCATCGTTCCTTACTAGAGCGAAGAAGTCGCACCATTTATAAACCTGTCGCCGATGCCATACACCGCTCACTGGTGGAAGCCACTGCAGCCGCTCTTCGAATTTCACAAATTCCAGTGGACAAATTTCAGCGTCACTTTGGGGCATCCTTTGTCTCCATGCAGCAATTTACGGCTGGCGTCATACTTTGCATTCAACCGACATTTTCACCATTTTCGCCAGCTGCCTTAGAAGCGAAGACCGGTGTCATGAAAATAATTCGCGCCAGTCGAGCCGTTGGCTATCGGAATCGAATCGCCAAACATACGGAACAATTGTTGACCGAGTTGTTAAAAGTTACAAATCAACGCGAATTGTCTCGTGCTCTAGGTAATGGTACAGAGGCGACTGTTTCTAAGGATACGACTGTCAACTGGCCAACGACGCCCACCACCCGCCAGGCTCCAATGGCTGGCGTAGGACCGCACCAAGGTGAAATGCAAGCGTCTGCCTCCGAGTCGTTGCTCTTTGACATTGCCGGAGCTTCAGACGATCCAAGCGAAATTGATTACGCGATCAATTTTCCTTCGGCATATATTTTCGAGGATCTGGACAATACATTTGGTGCATTTGGGGAATGTAAGCGCTCGTGTCTCATCGATTGTCGTGTGATCTTTATATCTAACATCTTCGATCTTTGCAATAAGTCATGTTCAACATGGCACCTGATGGCCAGAATAGCATCTGGAATTGGGGGCGAACTTTCCCATAAGTCCCACCGGCACCATATCTTTGCAATATGACCGTGTAAATCAAGGGCCAATGACGCGTTCATATGTTGACTAATTTGGCTATAATTGGCCAATGCGCGGCCTGACATGATACATCGTATCTATATCTCCCCAACAATTTTGGAAAGAATCCCTGGCTTAGCGAGGACCAGATCATCCACTTCGGGGTCGGAATATAGCATGGAACCTTATTTTACCATCACAATATCGTCAGTCCTAGCTGAAGGTAGCCGGTGGCAATGCCACCGGCATCGTTGTGAGCACAGATTGCTGCTGTGGGGGATGTACGGGTTGCCATCTTCCCCATAAACAACTACAATACCTCAACACAGCGGGGGAATTTACCCAGAAAGCTTAGCGATCCTTCAAATTTCCCCGCAATGGAAGCACGTGCTTCTGAGTCGCAGTCAGTGGAGCCAGTTACGAAAGAACGACGAACTCGCCGGGTTACCAAGCGAGCTGTACAAACCTGTTTGGAACATGGAAGCTCAAAGCTGCGATGTCAATTGATTGAAGGTTCCACAGCGTGTTCCCGGTGTGTAAGGAAAATATTGACTTGCACTTTTCTTCCGACCAAAAGACGGTAAGCTAAGTGTGCGCGACTTGATTCAACAGGGCGCTAAATTCTTAGGCACCCTAGGAAAAGACTGCGGACGGATTTCGTTACTCATGCGGCTTCGTCTTTGGGATCAGCTGTATCTCCTTGCGAGAGACGTGACAGTATTGATAATTTATCTGATTCTTGCTCAATTGCAGAAAAAGGGTCGGAAGAGAATGGTGATCAACATAACCCTCATTGCAGTTCTGTGATGATGTTAATCTCTGTCAACAACTAGATCGTCCCTTGCGGTCCATGCTTATGGAAACCCTTTCAATCGCAAAAACCATGCGAAACATACGATGACAGGCCCTAACGTCCTCCAAACACATCCCTTGGACCACCTGCTCTCGGTTGTCGATGACCTTGAACCATCATCGCATTATTATTCAAGCGGCGGACAAGAAGTCCGAAACTTTGAACAGGCCACGACCTTCCGGGTCGGTCTTTTGCACCTTGAAGAAGACGACTTCAAATCTTTGCTGATGAAGGGGGCCTTGGACTTCCTACCATGCGGACTTCAAAGCTAACTGTTCAGAGCGTATGTGAAATACGTCCACCCCCTTCTACCGGTCTTGGATACCAACGAACTTTTGACAAATATACTTGCCGAAGATGAGACTCAATTTGCAAGTCCCTTATTGTATCAGTCTATTATGCTCGCAGGCAGTGCCTTCGTCGAAAATCAATATGTCAAAGAGGCCGGTTATTCGAGCTGAAATGGTCTGCGGCAGACCCTCTCCCAACGGGCCAAGGTGAGCGATCGTTCATAACATATTTGGCCTGGTCGGATACAGAATAACGTTTGAATAATCAAGTTCCTTTACGAGTTCGAGACCGAAACTTGCCCATACATCGAAAACCCAGCGTTGCTGTCGATGACACAGTGGCACGAAGACAGCATGCGTCCGAAGAATCCGCTTTATTGGCTCAACGTTGCATGTTCCACACCCGAGCGTATTTCTCTAAATGAAGACCTGGAGCTAGGCTAATTGACCAAGAAAACCCGAACATGTCGGTGCTTGTACGTGCGCGATCGGATCCTTTCTGTTGGGTTTAAATCCCGACCACGAGGGCCAGACAACACTCTATGGGTGTCTTTATTGAGATTCGCAAATACTCAACCTGAGCCGTATCATCCGTTGGTCGCTCTTGCTCTGGGAGAGGAGACTGCTTCCTTCTTAGCTAGAGATATCCAAGAGCAAATCACCGCCCTCTTTATCGAAGAAGTCAAGCTGGCCCATTGCATCGACTTCATCTTGATATATTTGTATGACAAGGATTGGGTGATTTCATCATCGGGCTGCAATTGTTCCCTTGCCCCTAAACGGCGATTGTCATCAAATGTGCTGTGGGAATGTATACGATTGTTGGAAGATTGGAAGGGAGGGCTCCCATCTGATGTCCAATATTATCCCTCGTCAAATCCTCTGCACGCATGTGGTTCCTCCTCGGAAGCAACTTTATCTGTTCCTCGTGTCTACCTTTATCTCCTCTGCCTGAGTGCTTCTTGTCTACTTTGCCAGACGGGCACCGAAACCCGAAGACAAAATTCAGAAAGTAGGGGGTATGCGATATCCTTAGGCAAGGACACCCTTCAAGAGCTTCATGATGTCGATTTGCTTGCCTTTCTCCCAGATACCTCTATCACAGTTCTGGTTATATTCTTGGAGACAACCAAAACGAATGAAAACCCGAGCGATCAGTAAGCAACCAAAATACTAGGTTCACGCGGTCTAAGCAAGTCAACTTGAAAACTTGGAAGCTGATGTAATTGTACTTATGCTCGGATATAGTCAGCCAATAATAGTCTCTAATCTTAGTCTTAGACTGCCGGTGGCTGGTATTAGTAATTATACACTCGAGCCGCCCTGAACTCGGTGGATCATGATTCATGCATGCATCGAGTCTAGTTAAAGAGAGAAAGTTCCCCTCTTGTGGCCCCTGGGTTGATGAATGCGAAATTTGACGGACCAATTGCTCAGAACGCGGCCACGGACCTAGGCAGAATTGGTACCTCAGAAGACGCGACGCACTCCCGGCTACATTGCATCCCGGTAGCCATGGATGAACATCAAGCCCAAGAAATATTGCCCCGAATCGGGATTCCAAATCGGGTGACGAAATTGCGTATCCCCCGTGCCTGCGAGCAGTGTCGCAGCCGGAAGATCAAATGCAACGGAGAACAACCTTGCAAGCCATGTTGGAAGCAACACCAGTCATGCATATACCGAACGGGTGGCATTCGGGATCGTAAGAAGATGCCTAAAAAACAATCAACATCAAATATCCGGCCGAAGTCTCTGACACAGCATGCGGCAATCGGCAATCGTACACCGCGTGATCAATCAAGAGCTTCTCACGTCAATTTGACGAACGATCTCGGGTTGCAGAGACAGCAGCAGGAGCTCAGAGCGGGTATCGGAATCTCCAATCCAAAGACAGGGGCATTCCAATTCTTTGGTCAGATAACTTAACCCTCAACTTGATGGATGTGACATTAATGAGGTAGTAAATTTAGGTCCATCATCACACTTTTGTTTGATCCAAAGGATCTATCATCGGATTCGTAGGAGCACTCAAGATACCTTATTGTCTGAGAAGAATCATCCGGCTCCTAACGAGTTGGAAAAATGGGGGCTAGAGCGGCTGCTGTTTTCTGTTGATGGCGAGAATGACCCGCTATCACGCAAAATCCCCGAGGCGTTCATGGCGCGGACCACCGGTGATATGCTATTGAGTGCTTATTTCAAGATAATGCACCCCCAGATCCCCGTCCTTGTCCATTCAGAGATAATGCAGATCTGGAACGCGCTGTGGCAATCACCTTCATCAAATCGAAATCTCAGGGGGAAGGAGCTTGTATACATGGCTCTTGCCATTGGAGCCCGCGTCTTGAATACATCGCGCCGAGGAGACACTGCCTGGATTGATGACTGGGCGGATTACTTTTGCAGTCGAGCAAATGAATCATCGATGATCCTACAGGAGGCTAGCCTCAAGGGCACACACTTCATGCTTCTCAAGGTACGAGCATAATCCCACATCGAGTTCTTTTTGGACACCCACTCATCACAAGTGATAGGCAATGTACGCACTACAAGTCATGAGACCCAATGATGCGTATCTTTTCCTCGGCTATGCCACACGGGCACTCTTCGCACTCGGTATGAACCGGTGCCAAGTGACGGATGGCCGGAATTTGAGTATGCACCGGTTGCGGCTAACGTTTTGGACCATATTGGCCAACGAGAGCATATCAGCCCTCTTCATGGGTCGGCCATCTGCTCTCTCTATGGATCATATTGATACCCCCCTTCCACAAGATCTGCAGGCCCTCGACTTCATCACAGAAATTGGGGACCTAGAACATTCTAGACCTTCCACAGAATGTGCATGGGTGAGAGCTATGGCAGAAATTGGAAAGGTTGCGCACAAGATTTCTACAGTCATTTACTCTCCCGCGAGCATCAACTCAATACTGAGATTAATGAAGACGGAAGAAGTCATTGCAGAATGTGACACCGGACTTCAAAACTCAGTCCAGTCACTGCCATATTATCTTCAATTCTATGACAATACGTTGAAAGTTGGAGATGATTGGCAAGAAGTTCAGCGAATTAACCTGGGCCTTAATTACTACATGGTGCGAATGCTTCTCTATCGTCCAGCCATGGTCTCAGCAAATTTGTTAGATTCCAGATCATCATTGGAAGGCAACGAAATTCCTATGACTGACACCCAAGCTTACATCAATGCGTCGACATCTGCGGCGAAAAGCCTCATTGATTTAGCCCACAATGTTTACTTCAAACGATTTCCTGATATTCGAATTGATGGCGCAATGGCTTCCTTTCTGGTATCGGCATGCACTACATTACTTTGCGATGTGCTGCATCCCGGAATTGATTCGCACCGCGCAAAATTAACATTTGCAGCCGTAGAAAGAGGCATTGAGTGCCTGGATGAAATTGATCATGTCGGTCCGACAACCGGCAAGGCAATCAGCATGGACATTCTGAAAGTTGCGCGAGATACCTGGATGTCTGCCGAGGCACCTACCAGTCTAGAGTCAGAATTGCTCCAGTCAATCCCTCAGTTACAGTGCGTCTAAGAGTTTGGCTTGTATGAGAAGTCGAAATTAACGAAACTAACTCATTCAGTAGATTAGCGATCAACAAAGCCCCTGCAAATTTAGCAGCAACTCAGGGTTCATCCGCGCCCATCCAAGCTTCCCCACCTATGAACTCTCTGGGTCTAGATGGTGTTTTCACAAGCCCCCAGGAAATGGATCCCATGATGAGCGCCCCCGAGGTGAATTATTTGGCTCATTGGCTGGAGAATGGGTTCGATATGAATACTGTTCCTGGAAATCTATTTTGAAATCACCACGTCAAAAAATCATGCCATAGTGTATATGAAACGCAAGCCATAGTAATCGGTTCAATAAAAATGTTGACGAGGTAATGTCACCCAGTTCAGCTTCACCCAACATCGCCAGCACATCTTCTCTTTCATGCATTCCTGCATATCCACGAATAGGTAGTATACTATGAATTCATCGATTACGATTACAACGACCTCTTGTCCACTCTTCCCTGTATATGCCCACCACAAATCGATTCTGGCAGAATAAAGATCTGATATGATAACCAAAAATTTCATGAAAGCAAGGGCTTGACCCTTGACTCTTTATTTAGCGGTAAAGTGACCAGTGGTATCAACACCCTGAGACCAGTTCTTGCGCAGATTGTGGCGCGCGACCTTCCACCCAGCAGCAGTTCTGCGGAAGGAGAATTTATAGGGACCACCGAAAGCATAGTTGACCTCGGGCTTCGAGAGATCCGGCGTAGCATAGAAAGACAGATAAGCGGATCCAGTTGCCTCATCCGAACCATCAACCTCAAACTGCAAGTTGGTTAAGTTGTGCTGAAGACCTTGGAAGGCGCCCTCGACCGAGGTAATTTTCTCGATCTGCTCGCGACCCTTGATCTGGCCCCACTCTTCGAATTCCATGACTCCATCTTCGGTGTACATGTTGGCGAATGCCTTGAAGTCGCGATTATCGACAACGTTGCAGTAACGGTTCATCAATGTCCAGAGTGCATCCTTGTCTTCGAGGATACGTAGCCGCTGGAGTAGGGACTGTACAAGTGGCTCGTTGGAGGTCATTGTGATCAGTAAAACTCGAAGTTCTAAGGTTGCAAGAATCGTAGTCAGCAAATATCACTCTTTTGTGAAGGCAAGGAGGGGGGTTATTACGTCGTTTTTGACGTTGTAGTGGGAGCTGTCGGATGGATACACTGGACAAGGCTGCAGGTTTTTAAAGGTACGAACGGTTGTGCCAAGACCCCCGATCCGAGCCGAATGATGATGCATATTGAAGCAGTGATTGGTAACAAAAGAAAAGTCTTTCGAACTATGGTGAAGTTCCCAAAAGCTAAACTATGGCTCGGCCGCATCCGGCTCGGATGCGGGACATATGGATATACGCAGCCAATAAGGGAACGCAAAATAGCCGGCGGCCAGGGCAAATATGGGTCCGATCTACGCCACCGGCTCGATATATGCGTCTGGTCATGGCTTTGGGAGATCGGTCGAAAGCTCGTCCGATTCGAAGGGTTATTGAACCGCGGAGACATATTGGATCGTAAAGGGGTATGCTACATCCGAGGATTGTGAAAGCAAATCTTCGCGTCTATGGAGCTCTCTAGTTTTGGCAAAGAATGGAGCCTGAGAGTCGGTCTACATGCGATTGTAGTAGAACTAAGCTCCCTACGCTGGTGGTACATCGTTATGATATGCCAGAACTCGGGAAGCATTTCAAATGTGTCGGCGAAGTAGGACATAAGATTGTGTTGGAGAATACTGACAATATCGGACATTGTGCGGAAATCAGGGAGAGGAACGTAGGTAGGCTCAAAACCGCACGAAATATGAAGGATACGCAAGAAAGAATTTTGCACATCTTGGATCTAGATTTTAGTTTGGGCAATCATGAATACACAATGTATACGCAGATCAAGTATAAAATGACAATGGAAATGAAATATATAATAGGAAGAAATCGTAGAAACGGGAAAACAACAAAGAAAAAAAAGAGAACAGGCAGCGGAGAAAGAAAGGCTGGTGGGGTGGCATTTCTCGCCAGGAACGCGGCGAATAACTCGTCTCGAGATGAGTGGCCCATCTAACGTCTCCATTGTCGCATTTTGACCCTTGTAATCCAAGTGACGAAGAATACCAGAGTGATGGTAGTGAGGCAGAACCCTAGGAAAACTGCAAGATCTCTCCAACGCTCGGAGTAAAAGAAGTCTAAAGTGCTGGAGTAATCATCTCCGACCGAGTAACTACAATAGCCACACAATGTAGTGGCATTCGGTTTGATCAGGTATCCAGGGTTCTGATTCATATAGCTCGCCGTGTATTCATAGCAAGTCTGACCAGTGGGAGGGTCATAAGTTGCCAGATCACTCTCCGCACAGTGTGCCTTCACATCATGTAGCACGCTGGAAACAGTGGCTCCAAAGAAGTAGCGCATTGGATCGGCCCAGAACAACCACGGACGGTAGAAATCATTCAATGCGGAGTGTGGCACAGGGATGCCTGAGAACATCATAAGGACAACCCAGGACAACGAGTTGGCGTATCCGGCCATTGTTGCATTTGGGAACAAGGCGGCCATCAAGTGACAGAAACCGGTTGCAAATACAGATAACAGGAGGTACATGAAATACACGAATCCAGCAATAGCGGGTGTGTTTGTAAACCCCATTGTCCAGTAGGAGCAAAGGAAAATGACTGTGTAGTTGACGAGATTCCAGGGAATTTCCACAACTGTTAGTGCAATAAGGAGAGCCTTCCAGTCATAGATGCCATTACGCTCTCGCGCCTCGAAAATAGCCCATTTCTCGAACCAGACAGCTTGAATGTCCGCGGCGACCGCAGGTATAATCCAAACAATGAGAAGGATACCGAGCATATGATTCTCCAGGCCTTGGATATCACATCCTAGTTTGAAGAATGTGAAAGAGATGAAAAGTTCGAAGAAGATACTTTTGAACAATTTGCTGAAATTGTAAAGACCGTTTCTCCAGACCGCAGTCCAGTGTCGCTTGGTGACGGCAATGGTCTGGTGCCAGAGGGAAAGCGCAAATTGCTGGTCCTTGTCAACCGAAGTTTGTCGTATCCAGGAAGCTGATTCTTCGTTCAGACGCGAGATTCGGTCGAGAATCACCTGACGCTCAAGTGAATCATTCCAGGTTTGCACCCAATCATGGCCGCCATTTTCAGGCTTAACAGCGACCGTAGAAATGATGAATTCAGCTGGGTTGTCGGTTTTACCCATGATCGCACCATTCTTGGCAAAATAATCACGAACATGTTGCGCGTTTTCACCAGTCTCACCAAAGTACACAGTCTTACCGCCGGATGCCAGCAGAAGAACGTGGTCGAACATTTCAAAGAGCATACCGGAGGGTTGATGGATTGTGCAGACAATTGGAATACCCTCTGCAGCAATTTTGCGAAGGAAGAACACAATGGAGAAAGCCGCTTGGCTGTCGAGTCCAGAGGTAGGCTATAGCGATTGTCAGTCTGGGAACAGCAATTGCATTTTGTCTCATGGGGCGAATTGGATACTGACCTCATCCAAGAATAACAAAGCAGAAGGTTTTGCGGCCAATTCCACTCCAATCGTCACTCTCTTTCGTTCCTCTACGTTCAGATGACCATCGCCAGCCTCTCCAACCAAGGCATCCGCGATCGTTCCCAATTCCAATAAGGAGATGACATGTTCCACGTATGCCAATTTCTCGGATTCTGGTGTCTGGGCAGATTGGCGCAGGTGGGCGGAGAATTGAAGAGCCTCTCGCACTGTTGTTGAACATTCGTGGACATCCTGTTGCATACAGAATCCACAGGATCGTGCAAATGACGGCTCGAGTTCAGAGCCGTTCAGAAGGATGCGTCCTTCGACAGTGCCTTGATACTTCCTCTGGGATAGGATGTCAAGAAGAGTGGTTTTACCGGCACCCGATGCTCCCATCAAAGCAGTCAATTGGCCAGGCTTCACGTAGCCATAGACATCATCCAGCAATTGTTTCTGCTGACTGGCGACAGGAACGAAATAGTTCACTCCACAAAAAGTGAAATTGACGGGGTTCTCTTTTGATTCACTGAGCTCCTTGTCAGAGGGTGAGGCAAGACTATTGTTGACTGTCGAGGAAGTTGAATCATCAAATGCAGGCTGAGGCTGGGAGACAGGTTGCTTTTCAGGATCCGAGTACGGGGTTTCCACGATTCTCCCAAGTGCAATCTTGGCGCCACGCTTAAAGACAGGCCCGCTTGAACTGCCGTTGTCCTTGGTCAGGATTGTAAGCCCAATGGCGGCCAAAAGAGTGTAAAGAAACCACATCACAAGGTTAATACCGAAGTTCCGCCATAAGTGAGCTCTTGAAAAAGCATAGATGTCTTCCAAATAGACCGATCCTGCAACGTCTGCGGAGCCGATCTTTGAACCGGCCATGGGGCAGCCCTGGTAGCGAATATCACCGTAGCTAGGACCCGATGGGACAAGCTGAGACTCCGTACAATGAAGCGTGATAGCGTAAAACTCGTTACCCATCAACGCTTCCAAGGCGTAGGGTGTAGGAGCAATCCGACGAATCCAAGAACCCCAGGGATGCATTGTTGGCACAGGAGGAGCATAACCCGAGTATAAAGATGCAACTGGCATCGCACTTCCAGCAAGAAGAAGAGCAAAATTTAATGTAGGTGACCATGCACCCAGCATTCGGAATAGACTTGACACGGCTGAATAATGAACAAACACAATGAGGACAAATATAAAGAACTGCGAGGCAGTCTGTGTCAACCCTACCAGGAAGTAATAACAACAGGCAAAAAGAAGAGATTGGATAAGTGCCAACGGCATATCAGCCAGTGTCTGTGTAACGACGTAGGCGATTGGGTGAATCATGCCCATCTTGTGCTGCTTTAGAAGAATGGACCGCGAATTGACGGTCTTGACAAGTTCTGTCATTGCGTTCAAAAAGAAGTAGACGATAGAGAAGAAAAGAGCACCACCTCGCTCAAAAGATCCGGTGGCAGTTTTGGGAGCATCGTAGTATGCCGAACCCGTGATGACTGAATTCACGACGCATAGAGCGAGAATCGTAAAGAAAGTATTCCGGTCACCCCAAAACAGTTGGTAGTATCGCCTAGTTGACACCATGACCTGCTTCCAAATGGAATTGGTCGCTTGAAAGTTTGTGGGCGTGTATTTCGATCGGACGTTCTGCAAATCATCACGCAGGGCGATCTCCCGCGTGGAGTCTCCCCCGATTGTTTGGTAATAGGATGTGATATCATCCTGGAGTTGCTTGAAATGGCGGCTCTCGCGAAACTTTGCAGCGAGAGAGTCTTTGTTGAGATACAGTGGGCCATCATAATCTTCCCGAATTTGCCTCTCGGTTGGGGAGGTCACGGCCGTAATGAAATCTGGCGTTGTCTGTCGGTCTGGGCAGTAGAAGCCCAGGTCGATGAAGTACTGTTTCGCTTCTTCTATCCGTCCACAGAAGATCATACGTCCATCGTACAACAGGAGTGTGCGGTCAAAGCACTCATGAAACATCGATTCCGAGGCTTGGTATATGGTGACGATATTGGCCATTCCGGTTTCCTGAGAGATGGCCTTCAGAAGACGCAGGTATTTGAAAGCGGAAGAACTGTCCAGCCCTCGGATGGGGTTATCCCAGCATGAGACAGCTGAGTTGACTGTCAAGGCCTCGGCCAGGGACACACGCTTGCGTTCTCCACCAGAGACTCCACGGATGAATGAATCGCCCACAATTGTGCCCTTAACATGAAGCATGTCAAGCGATGAGAGCAATCTCTCAATCAAGTCTTCAGAAAATTCACGATCACTTGTGGTATTTTCCGTCGCCGGCTTCCGCAACCGTAGGGCGAAGTCGAGGGTATCATGAACGGATAATGTTGGAAAATGGATATCGTCCTCAGAGTTATAAACAACCTCCGACTTGAGCGATCCGGTCATTTGGGCGGCAGGAATAGTGGCGTATTGAAGCTTTCCACCAACCTCCTTGAAAGATTCTCGGTCATTGGCGATAACCTTGAGCGTTGTGGTGCATCCGGATCCTGGTCGACCTAGGACAAGCATCGTTTCTCCAGGGAAGATAACTCCAGTAATATCGTCAATGATGACGGTTGATGTGGCATTGGATTGGCGTCCCAACACGTGAAAGATCATGGAAACCGGGGTGTAAATAACAGTTTTGAGAAGCTCCAGTAGGTCGAAAACGGTTCGCTGTTTGTTACCCTCACTCTTCACAGTAATATTCTCGAAAACAACCCCAATCCCGCGGCCATTAGGCCGGTAGACGGGTAGATTGGACTTGGTGTCCTTTGACATCTTGTCTTAATATCTTTATCAGTTGCAATCCTTTTCACAACTCGGTTTGTCACAGCACACACCAGATATAAGCTTAAAGGCACCTGATATGAAAGATTTTCATGTCATCCAGATCGATCTTATAGAGGCATTTATAAGTTGCTGGAGGAAGCGGCCCTGGGGTTCAGCTTATTTATACTTGGACTTAACAGATGACATTGCATATCCGAAAGACGAGGATTTCGCCCCTTTCTGATTTTCCAATGTCGAAGGAAAAATTAGGGCCGACATTGCTTGTATCCTCATTGTATCCGAGCTCGGCACGGATGTTTTGAATATTGGGGTGATCCGGTTGGCTGATGGCTTCCGAGCTCCGCGAGAAACGTTACGGAACCAGATCTCAACGTTGGCGGGAAATAGTCAAATATGAAATCTTCATTTTATTCTGATCCACTAGAGCAGGAACAACTTAAGCCGCATTAGGCACAGAGCCTACAAGGCTTAGTACTTGGCTCATTGAACGTCACAAGCGTCACACGTACGCACCAGTACTCATTCAAGTCTTATAATTTCCTTTCGACACTATTTGAGATCGAACTCCCTATTAAGGCTTGATTCTTGGTTTGCGATTTCTAATCGAACATTCTATCACCTCTAGGGTTGGTTGATCTCTATCTAGCATCTCCAGGACGGCGCTGCAGAGTACTACGGGCCATAGCGAAGTTAGGCGCTACGTCGTGCATAGTGCTAATAGTGACCATTTTGAATAGCCTGCATAGCTAGTAGAAGCTCACCCTCTTGTTGAATAATTTCTCGATAAAGCGGTTAATCAGCTATTGTTTGGCTGCCCAGGTGCCTCCAAGGCTGACTAGACCGGGCCTTTGTGAAGGTCCACCTACCACACCACATACGAGATTTATTTTGGACTGATGAAAATTTGGCCCAGAAGCCCAATGGTCCTACGAGCCTGAAATTGGCGCCGTAGAGCAAACAATTCAATCGCAGCGTCCGTCAAATACAACTCAAGTCAGGTTTCTTGCCAAGGGCGCCTTCAACAAGATTCATCATGTCTAGCTCGATGATGAAACGCTTATTATGCGCGTTTTTCTTCCTTTCGACCCCGTTTGTAAACTAGAAGTGAAGTGGCCACGGTGGATTGAATTCGCTACGTGACAGATATTCAACGCCTAAGATCATCAGTTATAATGCTACTCGCGACAGTGAGACTGGGTTCAAATGGATCCTCTCGCCGACATATGGCAATGTCTGTCCATGGCGGCAAAGTCAGACTTGGTCAAGAAATTCGCAGGATTTCCATATCCTTGTGGAGAAATCAGTGAAAGAGAATCGGGAGCATTTACTCACCATCAGTGACGGCTGACGACAAAACTTCAGCTGGGCAGCGCATAGTGAGTGACAGTCCGGAATACCTGATGAACGCCGTCCCAGAGACAGGACAAACTGTGTCCCTGGGACTTTTCTACGGATCTCATGCCCGTCAGAATGTGAAACGGGGCCCATTTTTCTCTAGTCGAGACTGGATAGAGGCTCGGCTTGCCTTTGCGAAGAATGACTGCCAGGAAATACTGGCGAAGTATCCCGCAGGTGATGACCTTGATAGCGATGCTGAGGATGAATTGGAAACTACTACACAGACGCTAGAACTTATTAAAAAGCTGGAAAATGTTTTCCCACGTGTTTTCCCTCCCGGTGAATATGTCCTGGAGCCAAGCATGGTCTTCTATGATGACCTCTCACAGCATAGTATATTAGTGAGTGAGTAAGGTGAGTTGACGAGTGTATTAGATTGAGAGTGCGTTCCAACACTACCATTATGGAAGGCCTGCTTTTATCCTACATTTCTGTATGGGTGTTATCGAGGTACAAAGCTAAATATCGGAAAGCACGATAGAGGGAATCCTCCTGGTAGTGCAATATTTCGACAGCGGGATTGTCCGTCACATAATTGAGAAGTGGGTTGAAGATGTCACTGGCGGCAATCAATTGAACTAAACCCCCCAAAGCTTACGTGATAGCATTGGGTGTTCAGTTGGGGGATCTGATCAATGCGGCTGAGCCCTCAGATCTGTTGAACATGATGAAACCGGGTAATGAGAGCCTCTGAGAGCTCAAACATGATTTCATTCGGCTATAAGGGAAGCCGAGTCCTCACATTTAGGTGTACAATTATTGGGAGCTGGACCGGACGTATTCAGCGAACACTTTGGGCAGACTTCGTTTTGCCGAAAGCATTATCCCAATAGTAGGCTCATCTGACACAACTTGAGGAGAAAACTATGCTCAAAACCAATGTTGGCATGTGCAATAGAACTTAAGAGAACTGCTTGTTACCGGTGACCATGAATGTTCCTTTGGATTAAGAAAAGGATTGAAGATACGTCAGAGAAAAATCCGACTGGCTAGAGATGGGTTCACCTCCATTAATAATAGGGTTGACGTGAGAGATTGATTCTTGAACACGAATATGTGCATGTGTTGCTTTTTGCAGCAATGTGTTATTGCTAGAATTCAAATATATACGTACGTCGAGCAATGATGGCGTTCGGGTGTCTTATGCGTAAATATAAATCGCCAGTGTTCTCTTTAAAGAGCTGGAAAAACGTCGCCCTGTAAGTTAGTTGACGTTTAAATACTAGGATAGGGAAAATTTACTGACCCAAAGCTGAAGATATGCCTTGAGAATTTAGGCTAGGGTTATTTGATTGATTCAATTTGTTAGTAAAGAGCGAAGCGTGTCAGAATAGCTTTTGGCATGAGGTCTCGTTGCAAAGATATAGTTCTGGAATAGGCTTAGCGTGCTACGGTGAGACCAGCCGGATTGGGCATAGCGTCCTGAGTAATCTGATAAACACGTGATCCTCGAACAATCCCACCTGGCCTTTTCCAATGCCCTTGGATGAAGACATTTGAACATTTGAATTCGTAGCGCTGTTAGAGGGCAAGAACCAGACCTGCTCTGTTTAGTCTGTAGGATGTAAGAGACTTCATTTTCATCCTTGGTGGTGTCATGATATCAACTTATTTGAATGCATCATGCTTCAAAAGCTCTAGTTTCCCACACTTGGCAATTTTTCTGGACATTCAGAGCTCCAACGTAGAAATATACAGGCATTTACAGAATCTTTGAAGCTTCAAATAGATCTACTCAAGCACGCGCAGTAGACCTTTCTATAACCAATTCCCTAAAGCGGCGATGATCCTCTCTCTCCCTGATTCGCGCGATTCCGCAGTTCGCGAACTTCTCCCTTCCTCTTTGTCCATCCACGCTCATTGTCCGTCCCTGCTTCACGACATCTCGCGAGGTCTGAATGTCGCAATCGCCTGTCGCGTGTGATTTTCGACAATAGTGCTAGTGCGGTGATCCCGAAGTGGGTGCTGTCACGATGGATTTGCGCACGATCATGAACAGCGACGCCGGCGCTTCCAATCCTCCACCCCCCAACAACTCGACCAGCTCGCCCATCTCCGCCCAAGCCCCCCCAAAACGCACAAAGAAATCAGCTTCCTACTCCGAATATTCTGCTCATCCACCTCAACACCCATTGCAACCATTGCACGCTTCCCCCGACCAAACCTCGCCTTACACCACTGCCCAGTCGCCATATCAGCAATATCACGGCCCAGGGGTAAACACAGCAGTGCAGATTCCGCGCGGTCAAAGTCCTACACACATCTCGACACCCTACGGTTCAGCAACGCGTGATCCGTCTGGCGCGTCGGGATACCCATCACAGCCCCAACACTCGAGTGGCCCGTTAGCATCGCCTTATACACCACAGTCTTTAAGCGCAGGACCACAGCAGCCAGACCAGCAGTCATATTTTGCCCAGCAACGCTCTCACTCTCTGCAATCGGTTGTGACCAACCCCCGGCCCCCAACCGACCCCTTCCGCCCTAGAGACAGCCCGCCCGCTGCACCGGAAGCTGTCCCCTCGCAACACTTCTCACCTGCCCATCGATCCGTCCCGGGTACTCCACTTGGTCCTCCTCCTACCTTTGTCTCTCGTCAGTCGTCATCGACTGCTCGCCCACCATCCTCCGGTCACGACTCGCGCAACCCCCTATCCAGTCCGAGAGTCGCGCACGAATTTCAAACCCGGGATCACGTTCAGACCGAGTCACCTGTGACCCAGAGACATTCATCAGTGTACAGCTCTCGCCCCTCCGAGCCAACACCTCATCCTCCCTCACTCGGCTTCAAGCGAGAGCAAATTGAGAGCGCCAGTCCTCAATCTACCCGTCACAACAGTATCGCCGGAACTTCAGAACCAGCAACGAGTGGTCCAGCTCGCTCGTCTGAAGATAGAGAATTGGTCGATAGTCCCACGATACCCAAACACAATTCAGTAGGATCTGGTTTGTTTACCTCTCCCACTGCGCCGAGCAGCCAGGTCAATAGTTCACCAGCAGGTCCACGCGGAGGTGTGCATCCTGTGAAGATGGAAATCGACAATGCGTCTCATGCGGCGCCTCAACAGCCTCAGCAAAAGAGGAGAAGATACAATGAGCCTCCAATCTATGCTCAGAGGTCGGCTCGCACTAGAGGCAAATGTCCGCTCATCCCAAATCCCCGCCCTCCAATTCCAAAGCATGCCCGTCCAACACAACAGGAGACTTGGGCAGCACGCAGACGCTCCTCGTCAACAATGGCTGTTACACCTTCTGCACGAGTCACCAGAGCGCCTACCGTGGCTTCACCGAGTACCAACGGGCCAACGCCCGTGCCGGCCCCGCCATCAAGTACCTCGCAGTCTGGAGGTTCGCTCGGACCTTGGGAGCCGTCTATAACTGGATTCATTCCACATGAAGAAGTTACAAAGACTCTTTGCGATTTCTTGTTCAAACATGTGGTGTTGAGAACTGATGTCAACGCAGGACCCGCAGGCTCGGCAGCTGCTGGTCAAGGTGCAATCATTGAGGTTGAGGCGAAACTGGGTCACATTATCGATATGGACAGCAGAGATAGGATTAACCTCCCCATTCTCACCGAGAGCGTGATCAACCGGGAGAGCGCCCGGTTCCGGACATCGTTTGAGAGTACGATGACTGTCGTAAGTTTTCGTCCACATGGTTCTTCGACATGGGCAGCTCAAGAACTTGACCGCTAATCTTGAAATTAATAGGAACAACACCGCGCCATGAACAATTTCCTCAACGAGACCGTCAAAGCGTCAATGCCACAACAGAATCCGACCCGAATCCCCCTCTCCTATGCGCACAAGAAAGAGCGTGATACCTTTTACGAGGTTCAGGCATCTGACCTTCCCCCCGTCATCCGTCAAAACTTGAACCCGCGACACAAACCCAAAGTCCGAGTGACCACCGACCAACGCACAGGAGAAGTTCTCGCCAAAATTGTTAAATGTCGAGTTGCCGACATCGATGTGTGCAGTCCACGCACAACTGTTGATTGGCGCGTCAGTGTCAATCTCGAAATGGAATACCCCGGAGATGTCAGCACCCTCACTATGGTAGATGTTGCAGGACGAGGCGAGCGCAACAAAGATCGCATGAGCTACAGCCATTTGGCATATCAGGTGGACCTGACCCAAGTAGCCAAATCCGAGGTAAGCACCCTCAAGTTCCTGTATCACCCCCAATCCCCAAAATCAGTCTTCTGACCACTTATAGCAACAACCGGACAAGAATGAGTTTGAGCACGAGCTTGAAGTTGAAGTCTCTGCCGCTGAAATTCGTCGCCAAGGTCAACTGGCCATGGCCGGCGATCCAAAGAACCAATATGAGGACCTTGTCAAGGGCTTTGTTGATAACATTCGCCTGTTAGCTCGAGCTGTACCACCTTGACGAGGTCGCTTATATCTTGTAATATCCATCTTTATCAAGTATTCCCCTGTGGGAATTTGCGTTTTGTTTTCTTTTTCTCTTCTACTGCAGATATGGTTTTCGCATTTTTGACCGGGTAAAAAGCACGAGCTACATTAGACGAGGTGTGTGGGTTCTTTATGTTTGTTTACTTTGTAGGATTATCTACACTTGATACGATCTTCAATTGATTGCATTTGGTAGTCCATTTGGGCTAGATTCGTTGTCAATGTCTCCCTCATTTTCTCCCCGCAATAGTTTTACGATCCAGGAGGATAGAGATACCAAAGTGTCAACCTTTACAATTGGAGCGGAGCTCTGACATTGGACGTATTTGTTATGTATGCTTGCCAACAACCAAAGCCAGCGTCAGAACTTCCGTCTATTGACAAGCGCATCGATAGCAGCAACCCACTGCATCCAAGCCTTACCATCCCCAAGCCGCAACACCATCTCTATCCTCTGATAGTCTCTGACAGCTTCATCATCGGCCTCGCTCTTGACGCCCATCTGACTGTCAGGCCCCCAAACCATCCATTTGCGCCCACCCTCAGCCGTCCAAGGCGCAGCGCCATTAACAAACCGAATCCAAGCAGATGCAAACTCCCTCGCCATGGTCTTCTCATCCTCGTTCATCTCATTATCCAAATTCCCAAAAAGATAAAGCAGTTCATGGGCATGATACGCCGTGCCCTCAAAAACGTTCTTAATCCGAGATCGCTGATCGAAATGGTAGAGGAATAGATTGTTCTCCACGATCTTTTGGCGCATGCATTCCTGCATCATCACGAAGTTAGGAATTTTGAAAATTGCATCACCGCACATATGCTCTACGCGTTCGAGAAGTGCTTCATGCACTAGATCCTCGGTGATACCATACGCAGATAGGATCTCATCAGCGTGCGAACTGGACTTAATATGCGTCTTCAAGATATGCCGTATAGATGCATAACTCTCCTGAAGAAGATTGATGTGGAAAATCACGCCTTCATGGTATGTATCTCCAATCATGTACCCCTTCAACCAAGACGGCGGCGCATGGATCTGCCGCGGGTCAATACCCGGACGATAAAACCATTCATCCATGCAAGGATTGCCTGTTCCAGATGGCACGCCTTGAATAGCTGGCGTTGCATTTGCAAGTTCCTGTTGCGGGATATCACGAAGTCTGTCCAGCGCGTCTGGACCGGCAGGATCAATCTGGAAATAGCGGCAAACATCCCCGAAGAAACGATCATGCTGTTCCATCGTGAATGCGGGAATAGCAGACGAAAGCCCAGACATGCACACAGCCCGGTGAAAGACCGGTGGTGTCGCAGCCACTAGCTGGTTACTGATTGAGATTCCGCCGGCTGATTCTCCCACTGCGGTGACATTCTGTTTATCGCCCCCCAAGAACCCGATATAGGCTTGCACCCAGTCGAATGCGACTTGCTGGTCGGTGAACCCGAAATTTCCACTCCCTGCATGGCCATCCTGGTTCAGTTCTTGGGCTATTGCCTTGCCGGCGAGGAAACCGCCAATGCCCACGCGGTAATTGAAGTTGATACAGATGATCGGTGATCCTATGGTGATACTGTGCGAGACGACGTTGACTGCGTCAAAGATGGGTAGATTGGCACCGCCGTATAATAGTGATCCGCCGTGAATGTAGACCATTACAGGAAGCGGGTTATCGTTTCGTCTCGGTGCGTGTGGAATCACGATGTTCATGACTAGACCGGATAGTTCGTCCACGATCTGCGAAGCCTGGAAGTGTGCTGCCGGTGGGACTGGGACTAGATCGTCGGCATCATCGCCTTCGGTTATAGGGCTTGGGCAATTATTCCTGTAGAGATAGGTCCGATCAGCAAAACGATTCATTCGTTTAGGCTGCTGCTGTTATTACCCTAGCTTGGTGCCATCGTGGTAACCATTGTCCCATGCTGACTTGAGAATTGATCTTGTCCATCGCTTTGGAAGATGGGCATATGGAATGCCGCTGAATTGTTGTACGCCATTGGCGAATTGGAGACCTTCCACTGTTCCAAGACCAGGGATGGAAGCAGTGCATTTGGAAGTAGGTGGTTGGAACGACATGATCAATGACAGCAAAAGCAATATCACTTCTGAAGAAGAAGGATAGCTTTGCATATATTCAAATCTGAAGATTGAGACAAATTATCCCAGTTAGATACCCGTCCCAATCGGGCAGTCGGACGCGGCTGCCAATATCGCCGCGATCTCCCCAACTCCCCGCATTCATTTTAAACTCGACCTCTCCCCTTTACCGAAACCTCTAGGTTAGTCTCGATCCAGCATGTCGACCCGCTCCCACCAAGGTTGTTGGACATGCAAGCGACGGCGTCGTCGCTGCGATAGCGCACGCCCTGAGTGTCAGAACTGTGCTGAGCGGGGAGTTGCGTGCGAGGGTTACGAGGTTCGGCTGCGTTGGGGTAGTGGGATTGCCTCGCGCGGGCATCTTACTGGTGCTGATAAGCCCGTTAAGGGTTCTGCACCGAGCAGGCCGAGGGGTCGGCAGAGGGACTTGAGGAAGCGAGATTTAGAGGGGCTGGTCACTCCTTCTGGTCAGTCATGGCTTCGCAATTGATGAGGTTGTTTTTTGGTGTTGATTGTTGGACAGGATCTGATGGAAGCCATGATTTGGAGCACAGTCCAGCAAATGGAGAGCAGGTCGTTGAAGATGAGGTTCTGTTCAACAAATGCGAGTACTGGCGAAGACGGCAGGATGTGTCTATTTTACTGACCCTGAACAGTCATGAACGATGGCATCAATGCCCTCCATTCGACAACAGCAAGTGATAGTATGCTGCATGATCGTCTTCCGCAACTCTGTCAACAATCCAGCGCATTGTATTCGATCTGCATTGCTTTCCAACTTGCATTAACAAGCTCTGTTACGCCGCAATTCTGCGAGTACTTCGATAAATCGCTGGGGATATTTCGGTCAGAGCTGGCGTGTAGTACAGTTCTTTCGGATGGCACGCTGACCTCGGGGCTACTGCTGTGTAGCATCGGCGTGCGTCACCCCATACACCTTCGCGAGACCCTGACATTGGCTTGATGAGCTAACATCATTTCCAGTTGATGCATGGCTTACCTTGGACTATGCATCTCGAAGGAATGCATAATATTCTGCAAAGTCATGGCTTAAACGATATGAATCGGCCGTCTACTCCTACACATTTCCGGATTCATCTGCTAGAGGTTATGGGCGTCATGGATCTGGCATGCTTTTCTGTGGGCCGTCAATGTCCACGTATAGGCATCTGGCGTCGCTATTGTCAACCAGCTGCTCCTAGGTATGGTATTGAGCCCGTTAGTGGTATTCCACGGACTTTGCTTGACATATTTGCTGGGATTGGAGCAGAGACAACCGAACAGACATTCTGGGACTGGCCCGGTGAACCGGGTAGCTTCCTACAATGTTATCTTTGGGAGGCACATCAACTAGCAGGTATATTGGCTTTCCGTAGAGGAGTAAAGGCTGCGCTTCCCAGGGCAGGCGAGATCAGCATCTCCACGTGGCGACAGCCAGCACGGTGCCCGGCAGATACAACGGTGCTCGTCACGCGAATTATGGCTTGTCTGGATGCAATGCGTCTTGCATTTATTGAACGTCCAAAAGAAGATGCGTTCATTAAGAACGCGACTATTTTCCCTATGTTTATGGCCGGGTCTGAAGCTAGTGTGCTGTGTCGCAGGCCAGAATGGCAGCAGATTATCCGTGCAGCATTTGCAGAATCTCATCAATGCCAAATTTTATTGGGTCTGTTGGAAGATTTATGGCAAAATGGGGATTCAGATATTGATATAGATGAACTGGCTCGGTCGAAGGAACTCGAGATGGGTTTGTTGTGATGCCGTTCTCGAGATGGTCTGCTACTTTTACCGCATAATCTAACCAGATACCCCAATTTTATCTTCCAAGAATCGGTCAACTATATTTTATTTCCCTAACTAGCATTCTTGCCTGGATGAACCATAACCCAATGCTTGAAACCATGATCACCATCTGTATAAGACCCATCCTCAAACATCTCAACCACTTCGGCCACCTTGAATCCAAAACCCTCATAAAACATAACATTCTCTTGTCGCGTGCATTCCAAATACACCGGCTCTTCCTTAATATGATCCAAGATCCATCTCATCACACCCCCGCCGAGTCCCCGTGACTGTAACGAGGGATGCACAGCTACAACCTCCAGATACCACAGTCTCTGTCTAGGAAAATTCTCCTCCAACAACTTCACACTTTCCTCGTGCTTCTGCATGAGAACCTGCACACGCTATAGTATCATAAATCAGCACCAGTAATGACCCTCTGAGAAAAGAATTGAGATATTCGCTTTACCTTATCTATCACGCCACTATCATGCGCTGGTGTCAGATAATCCAGCACCCACAGCTTACACGCAGCCCATACGCGCGACAAAGACCATGGTGCCCGTCCCGGCGGAGGAAACAAGAAGACAACGGTACCGGCATCTTCACTGCTTGCATTGAGAGTCGCATCTTCCTCCATGGAGATCTTTGGCTCTTTTTCCGGCAGCGCGGTCACGATGTTTGCAGGGGTATCAGTTGAAATTTGTCTTCTCGCCCTTTGAGGGTAATTTTGTAACATCTGTTTGACATTTCCAGATCTGTATACCTCGCCTTCAACCATTATCCGTTGGATGCGCCGATACTGCCAACTACCCCGGTCGGTAGGTTGTTCAGTCCATGGGGTAGCATTGGGGCGCAGCCAGCGGATCAAAGGATCGGAAGAGAATGCATGGTGGACTGTTCGTGCGATGGCTGATATAGAGCTCTCTGTGGGGAGGCTCGTGGATTAGTATCTGGTATAGCCTGTCTTGTTGGTATGGACGGAAAGTCTTACCCTTGTGAATGGAAATAAGATCAAGTTTCACCACTGAAGTGGCAGACATCTTTCTTAGATTTTGACTCGATGGTGTGGAAGCGAGTGACAGGTTCATGGATAGAAGAGAGTCGTGTTGATATCAGGGTTTGGGAATCTACTCAAGATGGAAAGTACTGGCGAGGCTATTGAGTTTGAGTATCAATTATGAATCAATTAACTGATCTTGTGGTCCAAGAGGTCTTCCCCAGATATGAGTTATAGTGAGGCGTGATAGGCGAAGTTCGTGTTTGGAATGGAGAGCTACGTAGTGTCAACCTGCCGTTTCGGGTCAAGACCCGTCTGGTCAATGCGGTGCATGGTTTTGATTGAAGTCTGTATCGACAATCCTGCTTGTTGATAACTGATATTGGTCTGGCTTGAGATCTTGTTTAACGATACGCAATTGAGCAGAAACAGTTCCGGGGATTGGGTGTAGATAGTGACTGGTGACGACTTGGTACAATGATCTATTTAGTGTCGTCAATCAGGCAGCTTATAAGGCCTTGAACTAAGTACTTATCACCCCTTTATGTCTATCGCTTATTTTCAGTTCATGATACGTGCTGTATCTTAGTCGCCTAATTCTTCGGCAGTTGAATACTTCGTTCTACGCCGATAGCCCTACCTCAATAATTACCAGATAATATAAAGTAGTAAATCCCTTTTGTGGTTCAATGTCGCGGGGTAAAAGCTCGCTTCGCCACCGAATCCACAGAGTCTAACCGTATACCATTCCTCATTAGGCAAGTTGACGCACCGGAGAACATTCAGGAGCTGCCGATATCAAGTCGTTGACAATCTGAAGCCACAATCCACTTACGATCGCCTTCTCCGCATTCCTGTCACATAGTTCAGCTCGCTTGATACTCTTCTCGGAACAACCATTATGGCTTATCGCCCTGGCTGGATTCGTGTATCTACAGCCCTGGACCAGAGAAATCGAGTGTCTATCATGTGCAGACACTGACCACATCTCAACCTGGACTGGCTTTTGACTATATATCAGGCGACTCACCACGTCGTCTTTGATTACAAGAAATCGGTTCAAGAAGATCTCGTTTTATCAGGCTGCTTCACTTCTATTCATCACCCATCTATTGAGGCCACGTTAACGATTTGCTCGCATCGGTCACAAGTGCGAGATACCATTGGTTTACATTGATATATACAAGTGATGGCAGATATACACCATGTATCCTCGTTTGAGGATGAGCCGGATCTCCCTCCTGGAACCTTCAAATTGATTCGAGGTACTTCGACCCTGGCCTTACACGAGTGAAGTTTTACTGACATGCAGTGTTTTGTCTAGACGATGAGTCAGATGAGCACGGCCAGCGGGTTGTAATGCTCGACCCAATTCCGTCAAACGATCCTAACGAGCCATTGGTAAGCTGCTCTTCAAGGGTTCATGGAGTTTTGATTAACAGCATGACATCTAGAACTGGACCACACTGCGAAAGTCGGTCAATTTCACCATTGTTCTAGCAATGACAATCATCATCTTCACCGCGTGAGTGTTAAAATATGATCCATTGATATTGTATACTGATTTTCTATTTTATTAGACTATCGATTCAAGCCATATTCTGGCAGCAAATGGCCGTGGATCTCGAAGTGACGTACACAGAGCTCAATCAAGCCATGTCGGTCAATTTTGTCGGCCTGGCTACCGGATGTATCTTCTTCATTCCTTTCGCGAAGAAGTACGGCCGAAGGCCGGTCTATATTGTCTCTACTGCCTTGATGCTGATAACTTCCTTTTGGACATCGAGAATGAACAGTCTGGCGGAGTTATATGTGACGAACCTGCTTCAAGGTTTGGCTGGTGCTACCAATGAATCCATTGCTGAGATTACTGTGAGGGCAATTTAGATACGTCGGTGTTTTGAATGAGTTATGGACTAACTTTGTACAGATAGCCGACCTGTTCTTTGTTCATCATCGTGGATCGATGAATGGTCTATATATGACATGCGTCATGATTGGTGTACGTTTCTCTCCCTCGGCAGGATCTTATACATCCATACATCCATAGTCAATCTGCGCTCACACTATCTACAACAGAGTTTCTTGACCCCCATGGCAGCCGGCACCCAAGCTACCAGACAAGGATGGCGGATGTCCTATCAGACCATGGGTATTTTCAATGTCGTACTGTTCCTCTGCTTTTGCTTTCTGTACGAGGAAACAAAATATGTTCCTCTGTTCACAGGAAGAACCAGTGCTGTCGAAGACGAGAACGAAACAAACGAGATATCCTCCCAGCATAAAAATAAACAGCAAGACAAAGGAGATACCACGACAGCGGCCCAGAAAGTCAACTCGGCCATGGAATCTAGCACCCTTGGCCATCACATTGACCTAACAATTCCACGCAACTCATGGAAAAAGAGACTAGCATTCATAACGCCGACGCCGGAACCAATCTGGCCCCATTTCTATCGCCCATTCCGCGTGTTCATCTTCCCAGCCGTCGCATTCGCCGCGCTCCAATACGCAGCAGGCGTCGTCTGGCTTACCATTTTATCCAATGTACTAGCACTCACATTCCCACTACCGCCCTACAACTTCACGCCCGAACAGATCGGATTCATGAGCGTCGGTCCATTCATCGGCAACGTGCTTGGTGCAGTCTATGGCGGCGTTCTAGGCGACAAGTCAATTCTGTACTTCTCCCGGCGAAACAAGGGAAACTATGAGCCTGAAATGCGTCTTTACATCCTGCATCTTCCGGCTATTCTCATGGCTGGTGGCTTGATCATGTTCGGTGTCACAATTTCCCGGGTAAGACTGCATTGCATACCTCCATCTGTCATTTGTATTTTCTCCACATTTGCTGATTTATGATATTCAAACTATAGGGTATGCATTGGATCTATCCCAGCGTGGCGGGTGCTCTCTTCGGATTCGGACTGGGTAGTATCAGCGACGCGGCACTTGTCCTTGTAATGGATAGTTACCATGGTGTAAGTGTTTCTTTCGGTCTTTTACTTCCCTTTGTTACCCTCTGCCCCTTGCTGACAGTCTCATCTGCTCAGATGACTGGTGAAGCCTTTACCGCCATCGCATTCATGCGCAACGCAGTCAGTATCGGGATCCCCTTTGCGATATCACCGTGGATCCAAAGCAACGGCCTTCAGAACATGTTCATAACATGTGGTTTTATCAGCGTCGGTGTTACACTGACTATTGTTCCTATGGTTATTTGGGGTAAAGACGCCCGTCGTGCGCTTGCCGGACGATATCGCGACATTGTTGAGAAACATGGGCATACTGGTCCACAGTGATGGAGTTTTGACGTGAGGGACTATTGATTGGAGTGACACAAATGGAGATTTGGGTGATATCGGGTTTGGGTTCTTGAGGATATTGGGATTTCATCGGATAATTTAGTTAGGGTTGCGCACTCCGAGAGTTGTCTGTCCTGGCGCAGACAGTTAGCTTTAATTAAGGCACTCTTCTTCCTTTGACGTTATGTCATATTTCCACCTTTTACGGAAACTATAGGGTTTTCACCTTTGATACGCCGACATGCCGGTGAATAAACACCCCACAGCCAGACAAGTGGCTAAACGGATAATTCCCCGGGCTTTCGGGACCAGTCTCGGGCATCAACCGAACCTCTACCTCCAAACCCCCAACGTCTTCCTAACATAACTCGGGACGTGGGATACCGGACGACGGAGAAACCCGTAGTTTTGCCTTATTTTGGACATTTCAATTGCCTGCACCCGAGCTGCAGACATTTTCGGGCCGTGAAATGACGATCAGCGAATCCAATGGCTGCACGACTCAAGATCGTCATTCTACATACTAATTGGGGTGTCCAAGCCAAGCAATGTTCCGAAGCTAAGCATTGAACGCCAATGGTCAAGCAATGGGCGTCCCCCATGCTCCCCATACTCCCCATACTCCGCCTGGGTTCGGCATTCTAATCTTCTTGTCAATAGCCGCCTTCTCCAGAGTTGCGCCTGAACAGCCTAGATTAATTGCTCATACTGAATGAGCGGATATTAGCTTAACCTGCGAAAACTCTGGGGTTATGATGTCACTCTGGTTTGTGGGGGTTTTCCTCTTCCATACGGAACTATAAAAGAGGCTTTTTTCCGCTTGAGGTCTCGGCTTTTTGTATGCCCTGAAACTTCAATCTGCAGTCATTGAAGCTCATATCAACCATGAATTTCAATTTTTGGGTTGTTGCCCTTTGGGTGACAGTAGTCAAGGCCTGGGTCGTCAACGAAGGCACAACATGCACCTTGTACCCCGAATCGCTTGTTCACCGCGGACAAGCCGTTGACGATGCACCTTCAATTCAGGAAGCCTTTGAGACATGTGGTACCAATGGCACAGTGATTTTCACCAAGAACTTGTTTCATGTCAACACCGTCCTCAACACAACCAACCTGTTGAACTGTGATGTCCATCTCCGCGGAGAACTACGCTTCTCCACCAACATCCCATACTGGCGAACCCATGCCATCAGCGTTGTTCTGCAGGATCAAGTCACTGCATGGCTTTTCGGAGGTACCAATGTCAACTTCTATGGCGAGGGCGGCTTTTACAACGGCCAGGGCCAAGATTGGTATAACGCCAACAGAAACGAGTCGAACCAGCCCGGGCGGCCAATGAGTATTACCTTCTACAACTCGACAAACCTTTTCGTCGATAGCTTGAAAGTGATTCAGCCGCAGTTCTGGGCCACCTTTGTCTGGGACAGCAAAAATGTGACCTTTACCAACTTGTTCGTCAACGCCACCAGCGACAGCAAATGGGGCACTATGAACACCGACGGTTTCGACTCCTGGAAGAGTGACTCGATTCTCGTAGAGAATGCCACTATCATCATGGGCGATGATTGCATTGCCGCAAAGGGCAACACCACCAACTTCCACGTCAAGAACGTTTACTGCGAAGGAGGCACTGGAATCACCATTGGTTCTATTGGCCAGTACCCCGAGACACCGGACTACAACCTCAACACCACCTTTGAGAACGTCCACATCAAGAACGCCATGGATGGCGCATATATCAAGACCTGGCAGGGAACACGCATCTACACTCCCAGCAACGGCGACTGGGGTGGCGGCGGCACCGGCCTCGTGAAGAACGTCACCTTCCGCAACTTCACCATGGAGAACGTCGGGCTTCCCATCCAACTCTCGCAGTGTGTTTACTCGGCCAACTCCGACAAGGGCTGTAACACGTCCAAGCTGCAGGTGGAGGATGTGAAGTGGCAGGACATTCGTGGTACATCCCGCTTCAACATCGCTGCGTCGATGTATTGTTCCGATGAACGTCCCTGTCCCAATGTCACGTTTGAAAATGTGAACATCACCAGCGTGAATGCTTCGCTTGGTCTGCCTTACTTTGGCACTGATGTTCATCACGAGATCTTCCAGTGCTCTAATGTCCTTGGTCAGAAGAACTCTGGTATTCCGTGCAACCAGGCTGCTCCCAGCAACTTCAGTCAATGGATATATGGAAATGTTGATAGTAGTGGCCTTGCGACTTTGAGTTGAATGATTACTTGAGATTTATGTTTGCTTTTGATACGCCACTTATGTATATATTTACTGTTCTTTCTTCGGAGCTTGTGGTCTATTCTAGAACTTTGCCAATATTGTATTTAATCTTCTGGGCACCTTGGTGACTACTTTTTAGAGTCACATAGAGGATTTGAGATGAAATGAGACATTATACCCTACTTCGAATGCCTAAATTGACCAACTTTCTATCAGAAATGTACCCAGTGGGTCTATATTGCAAGCAGCAAAATATGAACCGATAGAACCAATATAGAATTAATGTCAAGTCAATCTTGAGCATCAAAGACCAAATACTAATAATCCCTTCGACGCAAACTCAACGTGGCCTACCTATAACGTAGCCCGCTGACGCTCCAAAACAGCCTCCTTGGGCAACTCCGTAACACCAAACCGCTTCCCAGAGACACGCAACTGCTCAGGGAACCACGAAAGATCAGCAGCACCGCCAACCAACACACCGTCCCGCTCAAGCAACATAATGGCAAGCGCCTTCCCACAAAGCCAAGCCTGAACCATGCCCTCACCACCAAAAGCAGCACAAACCCACTCAGAGCCCTGATCACCATGATCCGCACGGTCAGTAACAGCCCCAGGCAGCCGTCCCACCCAAGGAAAAGAATCCGAGCTGAAAGCCATATTCCCCGTCCACATAGCCTGAATAGGGTCACCCTGTACACGGCCCCAGTCCTTCCGCCCAAAGACAGCGCTCAAGCAGCCCGAAAGGTGAATATCAATATCAAGACTCATTTCCGAGTCCGTTGAAACCCCAAGATCAGATAACCCGCCATTTTCGCTCTTTGCAAATCCCCCGCCGAGCATCATCTGTCCCTCGGGTAATTGGGTCAGATAGTCGAATCCGCGGTCATAGTTGAACAGCCAGGAATGCTTGCTTGCTTGGCAGGGGAATTGGTCGCCCGGGGTTTGGGCGGACATCTGGCCCCGGACTGGGATTATGCGTCCGCGGAGACCGGGGACTAGATGGGCAACGTGTGCATTTGTACAATGAAGGACGTGTCGGGCGAGGATAGTGCCACGGCTAGTTTGGACTTTGTAGCGTGGGGAAACGCTGGATGTATCTTCCTCAATGGCAGTTACAGGTGTGTTTTCGTCGATGCGGAAGTCGTTTGGAAAGTCGGCTGTCAGGCGTGACAAGATCCCAGTCACGAACTTGTAGGGCCACAGAGCACCCGCAGGACCGGCGACTATGCCTCTGGCGCGAGCGAGGCAGAACTCCTACATGCCGTGTCAGTTTTGATATCGTTGTATACCACATAGAAGACGTCTCCAAAGCCCAAGACGGGCTCCCTTATTTCCCTTAACATACCTTTGGAATATCATCGCCCTCATAAGAAGTCCACTCAGCAGCCTCTTTCGGCATACCCTCCTTAAAGCGACGCATTCTCTCCAACGCCTCCTTCCACGTATCGTCCGAAAAATAAGCACTCAAAAACTGCACTTTGCGCGCCTGAGCCTCCTCCTTGATCCCCAATTCTTCAGCAACAGCAAGCATCTCATTCAAATGCGCCAGTCTGAATTTGAGAAGCTTCCGCGCATCATCAATGCCGAATTGATCAGCAAACTCGGCATATTCATCTGCCGTCTCGAGGATATGACCTCCATTGCGCCCCGTGGCTCCGCTGCAGACTGTCCGCGCTTCGAGTAGCACTACCGCTGGATTTGAATATTCAGCTTGCGGCTTGCGGGCTTGCAGAATTGTGCGTGCGATGGATGCGCCTGTGATTCCTGATCCGATGATGACGATGTCTGTTTCGGTGGGGAGGGGCTTTGAGGAGGTTTGGCTGAAGTCGTGCTTTGGTTGGATCCAGAAGGAGGAGGTTGTGGAGTTCTTGGGGATTCCTGGGTCTGCGTGGATGCGGTCTAGAGCTTGCTGGCGCACATAGGCTGGGAGTGAGGGGTCTGTGAGGATGTCGGTGGCGAAAGGCATGGTGGTGAGGGTTGAGAGAATGTAAAGAGGAGTAGAGTAATGCTCTTCAGTCCTTTGGGAATTGAACTATGAGTGAAGTGGTGGCGATAACGGATCACGATTGGAGTCAAATGGTACACCGTGAGACTGAACAGAAGAGCAAGGATCAGAAGTTGGGGCTGAAATAGGGTCGAAGATGTGTTTGTGCACGAATCAGATATTAGCTGCTGGACTTTCCTTGTTCTGTCTTTTCACTGTGGAATATACTATAGAATATCCCCGGGACTGGACTGACGATAGCCAAGTGCCAAGTTCAACTGGCAAACATGCCGGTGGGTCCACCTTCCCTTTTGGGGAGATTGCGGGGAAAAGATAAGGGATTGTTTATCTCGATGGTTCGACTCTCCGCCTGTTCTCGACTGTGTAATCTACTGTGTAAGATGCGTGACGATGGCTCTGTATTTAAGCTGCCGCTTTAAGGAGGGCTATTGAGCTAAGGCTCTCTCGGTATGTCTTAGTCTGGGGACTTGTTCAGCAGCCCAATGTCACAGAGTCTGATATTCATGTAGTCTCAGAAAAACAAGGATATATACGCTATGTATTATTTAGCTTTGGATTCTACAGGTCTTTGAAGCAGTCAGAGCAATGACCTCAGTTCATGGTTCTAATATTTCCACATACGGTTCTCACACTGCCTGCCAATAGATACATTGGCGCGCTGTATAAAATCAATTCCTTGTTTCCCTAGACCGACCAGCTGGATTAGTATCAACAAGCTCTAGACTTGTTCCAGTCTATTCTAACTCATCAAGTTTGGTTTGATTCATGAGTAGTCTCTTAAGGATCGACCAATCATGTTCGCCTAAAATAATTAGCCAGTTGACAAGATTCCGGTACATTCCATGACATCGATGACATACCGCAAGCTCAGGCGTCTTAAAATGTGATTACGGGATTTCCAAACCCGCAAAAGAATACTCGCTCACGGAATTAGACCTGAAATTCTACCAAACCCGTTCTTAACTACAGGCACTATACGTGGATATAAAGCATACGGGTCTTTTCGGCCGAAGGGATTACATAGCCAAATCGCTTTTTTGTCCAACTCAGCTGCACTGTAGTAAATTATAGCACATTGAGATGGCCATGTCTCACAGTAACTCCGTTCTATGTCCTATCAGATGACATAGTTGGTTTAGCTTTTCGGCCGATCCATGAGATCAAAAGCTGTCAATCTAAGAAGCTTAGCAGATTCTCGCAATCCCAATTGGCTCCACCTTTCGTCAACGTCTCGTCGGCCGATGGGAATTTCCTACCAAGACCCACTCGGGACAACAGTCTCCCCGAGAGACTGATGAATTACAGTGTCAAGAATTAGAATTATGGAAGTACGGACAGTAGTAGGATCCCGCAGGAGGGTAAAGTTGTCAAGAACCCTTGGCTGGCTCCACTCCCGTCGATCTTAACTCCGTCAACTCCGTCTCTATTGTCCGCTTGGGATGTTGGATATGAAGTTGTATATAAGAGATGCTGGGATACACATAATCTTCTTTAGATATCTTCTCTATACAGTATCTACACAAAAATGTCACAGACCCAAGACCAATTGATTCTCATCACTGGAGCCTCCGGCTTTATTGCCACTCATATCGTGGCAGACTTCCTTCGTGCCGGCTACAAGGTTCGAGGAACAGTCCGATCAACCGCAACCGCCGAGGCAGTCAGGGACAGTTTTCCTCAGTACGCCGCTCAGCTAAGCTTTGCAATTGTGGAAGATATCGCTCAGCCCGGGGCCTTCGACGAAGCGGTCCAAGGTGTCCAAGGTGTGATCCACACGGCAGCACCATTCCAGATATTCAATGTCGAAGACAACGAGCGTGATCTGCTCCGCCCTGCCATTGATGGAACTCTCAACATCCTCAATTCCGTACACAATCACGCTCCTACTGTGAGCCGCGTTGTCATCACTTCATCTTTTGCCGCCATGGCCAACTACAGCAAGGGCACGTGGCCAGGCCACGTCTACTCTGAAGCCGATTGGAACCTGACACCCTACGAAGTCGTAGCAGCGCCAGGGACGCCTGCTGGGCTCGCCTACTCGACAGCAAAGGCGTTGGCTGAGCGTGCCGCTTGGGACTTTGTCAAGGAGAAGAAGCCGAGCTTTGATCTTGCGACAATCCTTCCCCCGATGGTGTACGGCCCGAACATCAATGCTACTGCCAGTTTGGAAAAACTCAATACTTCTTCCTCGGATATCTACCGCCTTATTTCGCCTCGGGGTAAATCCTCTGATGCCGTCCCTGGCAACATGTTCTGGTCCTTTGTGGATGTTCGGGATGTTGCCATGGCGCATCTGCGTGCATTCCAGGTCTCTGAGGCCGGTGGTGAGCGGTTCTTTGTCTGCTCTGGTAATTTCACCTACCAGCAATTTGTCGATGCTTTGCGAGAGAATATCCCGGAAATTCGAGCCCGTGTCCCTATTGGAAACACTGGCACTGGCGCTGTTCCCTCTAATGTCTACACTGTGGACACTTCCAAGTCGCAGAAGATCTTGGGCATTCAGTATCATAAACTTCAGGACACTGTTGTTGACGCTGCACGCTCGCTTTTGGAATTGGAGGCACGGGCTGCTTAAAGATCATCGGAGTCTGGAAGTTCCCTTGAAAATAGTGAAATGAAAATTAATCTTTCCCTGCAATTATTTCGATTTCGAACTTTACAAAACCTGCTTTGTATTGGAACATGAACCTCAACAACATCTTTCCTTTTGTTAATAGTCCAACAGTCACATACTAAGAGACGTGCTCAAATTTACTCAATGGTTAAAAAGCGGCACCAGATACGTACTTGAAAAGAAAGGAAAAATACAAGGTCTGGGTAATGTCTGGTAAGCATGAGCTTCACGCTCATATAAATAGTATGGAAACTCATATCTTCACTCCCCCAAACTCACATCTACATTGTACATCCAACTTGCATTCATATCTCCAATGTCTCATATCGACTCCCCCGGAAACGGCATCTTCCCCAATGGCCCTACCATGCGTCAACCATCTCTATCCTGGCTCTATAGACTAGAATGCTCGACCGAGGAGCACGAGCTTGGAGCTCCCCACAACGGCGATACCATTCGCAGCATCGCAAATATCGCAGGTGGCAGTCTCAAAGGCCCCGGAATCGAGGGCGAAATTCTAAAGCTGGGAGGCGCGGACTGGGCAACAGTTGTGAAGGGCACACATGTAAGTTTCTATCATCTCCTTTGCATTTTTGGGTCAACCAGCAGACTCACAATAACCGGCTAATTCTACAATCACAGTCTATGACTTTAGATGCCCGGTACACTGTTCGTACTTCCGACAACTATTACCTCTACATTCGCGCTCACGGCCTGTACCGTCCAGGACCGGGGACAGAATATGCCAGATCGGTCGAGGAGAATCCGCTTTTTGTTCCGCCTGCGACTGTTTCTCAGGATGATGTGGAATTCTTCTCTCACTTGCGTATTGAGGCTGGGCCGGGCCCGTATAATTGGTTGAATGGATTGGTCTGTTTGGGGGTCATGTGCTGCCAGGACGAAAAGATCTGGATTGATGCGTATCATTTGACCAATTTCCCGGGTACCAAGCCTGAGAATGTTGTAGCTAGATAGAATATGAAGATTTAGCCGACAAGGGGCATAGTACCTGTGAATAGAATGTTAGATGTCCCGACTTCGCTCGTGTATCTTCGCCATAGAATCTCGTAAGATAGTTCATATCGGTTCAATTCGCTGTCTTGTACAAGCGAGGACAAGTGCCGACACATCAGCCGCAGATAAAGAGAAGAAATAAAGCTAACTCGCGATCACAATATGCAGGAACCAACACCACATCAACCCCTCCCCTCGGCTACAACCCTAGCTATCCCGAATAGGCAGGTCGACACACTCTCTGTGATCGGCGCTCAGGCCAAAACGGCCAACCCAACACGCAGAACTACATAAACACAACACACAGCATCTATCTATATTCACCATATCTTTCAGTTTACAACAATGGCATCCAACTCGACACCCCCGACCTGGCAAGACCTCGTCGCGCAAAAGCAAAGCGAATGTCAACAGAAGATCCCCCGCGAATGGATTCTGAGCGGGGACGTTCTGACCGATCTCCCGCCCCAACTGTTGGAGTACGACCTGCCCCGTCGCAGCGGACTTCTGTCTGAAAACGAGTTGGATATTACAGAGAACTATACAGCCAGTCAATTATTGGTCAAGTTAGCCTCGGGCCGTGTAACTGCATTGGATGTCACAACTGCATTTTGTAAACGGGCTGCTATCGCGCAGCAAGTTGTAAGTGGATCGATGCCCACCGCATGCTAAAACATTCGAGCATTGCTAATCCGTCATTCCACCACTTGCAGTTATCCTGTCTGACAGAGACATTCTTTCCAGCGGCACTCGAGCGCGCCAAGTATCTCGATGAATACCTCCAACGAGAAGGAAAACCGATTGGACCTCTCCACGGCCTACCGATCAGTCTGAAAGACAGTTTCTGTGTCGAGGGCACACAGGCCACAGTTGGATATGTCGCTCTCCTCAAAGACGGCCCGTCGAAAACGAGCTCCGCGCTCGTGAAGATGCTCTTGCAGCTCGGAGCGGTACTCTATGTTAAGACAAACATCCCCCAGACAATGATGGTAAGGACTCACTGACACGCGCATAACCCCCCACCTCAGCCCACACCAGAATCTAACCATACTCAGACGGCAGACTCCGAAAACAACATCTTCGGCCGCACCTTGAACCCCCAGAAAACAAACCTCACAGCCGGCGGCTCCAGCGGCGGCGAAGGCGCCCTCGTCTCATTCCGTGGATCCATCCTAGGAATAGGAACCGACATCGCCGGCTCGATCCGCATACCGGCTTTGTGCTGCGGCGTGTATGGCTTCAAGCCGACAGTCAACCGCATCCCGTTCGGCGGGCAGGTATCCGGCGCGATCGAGGGCATGCCCGGACTGATTCCTGCTGCTGGGCCGCTGGCGCACAGTATTGCTGATTTGAAGTTGTTGATGAGTGCTGTTGTTGGTGATGGCCGTGCTTGGGAGTATGATTCCAGTGCTGTTAGTGTGCCCTGGCAGGGCATCCCGCGTGGTATCAATGATACGGCGAATGGGGGCTTGACGATTGGTGTCCTGGGTGAGGACCAGCAGTTCCCGCTTCATCCGCCTGTGAAGCGGGCTTTGGAGTCTGCGGTTGAGGCTTTGACTCAGGCTGGACATCGGATTGTTCGGCTTCGTGCTGCTGCTGGGGATGAATTGCTCAGTTTGTCTTATGCTTCGCGTCTGGCGTTTCAATATTTGATCTATGGGCCGCATACGGATCTCATTGCGGAGGCTGGTGAGCCTGTTGTGGCATCTTTGGCTAAAGGTGTTACGCCTATGTTTTCTGGTTCTTTCCCTGTTGAACAGGGTCTGGAGCCATTTGATACGATTCTGGGGTTGTATGCGGCCAGGGCGCGGGTTTGTGATGCTTGGCGGCAGACTTGGGTTGATCAGAAGCTTGATGTTCTCTTGGCTCCAGGGGCTCAGAATACTGCGGTTGGCTTTGATACCTATGGGTGGCCTCCCTATACTGTTCCGTGGAACTTGTTGGATGTGAGTCTTTCGTGTTTACTCTCCTTTTTGCCTTTCATGTGGAGGACAACACTGATCATTGAATTTAGTATCCTGCGTGCATTATTCCATACGGGAAAGCATCCAAAGAACTTGATCCGGAGCCGATGAGTGCTTTGGATGATGTCCAGCCAAGCTGTATGTCCTTCTTGTACTTATTCCATCCTAACTATAATGCTGATTGAAATTAGATATCCCCGACGAAGTCGATGGTGCACCTTGTGCCATCCAAGTAATCACACCCCAATTCCAGGATGAGAAGTGTCTCTGGGCAGCGGATATCATTGACAAGGCGCTGGCTACTTACGGCAAGCAATAGCCTCGTGTTGGGAATTGACTTTCCGGGAGGAAATTACATAGTTCCAGATTTATTGATTGAATCAACTCAAGACTTTGAAATTAGAACTCTATCTTCGGACTACATCTAAAATCAAAATAATCCAGCTAGAATGATGATTCATTTGCTGATCACTGCTGTTCTGAGGAAATAATTTCACTAAGTAGAATACATATGCAAAACCGGTCCAATCCTAGATATCTCGAAGAAAAAAAGCAGATGGAATGGAGAAGCCTTTTGTGCTTGAAAAGAAATGGGACGCAAGGAAAGAAACTCTTTAGTAACCGGATCACGGGCTGGGCGAGTCATCATATCGAGGTCCGTTATCATATGCACCAGGGGTAGCAGCCGCACCACCCATAGCAGGAGTGGGTGCATCATAAGCCGCAGGAGTAGGAGCGTCGTAGTCCCGCTTTGAGGGGCCGCCGGGAGTTGGTGCGCTGAACGCACCGCCAGGTGTAGGGGCACTTTCAGGCCATGCTCCAGGGGTTGCTGCACCGGGGGTCGGAGCAGCGTAAGCGCCTGGTGTGGGGGCAGAGTAGCCTCCACCGGGTGTTGGGGCATCATCGAAGTCGCGCTGGTCTCGGCCGCTGGAGCTGCCGCCCCAAGCTGGGGTGCGGTTTCCTGTGTTGGCGCCGGCGCTGCCCCAGGCGGGAGTCCGAGAGCCGGAGGCAAAGGCGTCGAAGCCAGAGCTGGAGTCGTAAGGTGTCTTTGATCCAGAGTTCCATGCTGGTGTACGGTTGCCCACTCCTCCGTAGGCGGTGCGGTTTCCTTCGTAAGGATTTGAGGTGCGAGAACCATCGTTCTTCCATGCTGGTGTGCGAGAGCCACTGGCGTTACCCCAAGCAGGAGTTCTAGATCCACCTGCACCACCCCAGGCAGGGGTTCTGGAGGAGTCGGCAGCAGCCATTGGAGTGCGACCACCGCCCCATCCACCTTCTCTCGACGGGGGACCATTTGACCCAAATGGAGTGCGAGACCCTCTGCCACGGCCACCACCCATATCCAGGGATTGTTTGGTGATGGGATCTTTGACGGTGAGGATGTCTCTTTGAATGTGAACGGGCTTGTTGGATGTGTAAAGCTCGACCTGGGCAGAGCTGTCATCGGCATCACGGACGATACCGACAAGGCCCTTATAACGACCCTTGCGGATAGTCACGGTCTTGCCAAGCAATCTGTCGCGGCCACGACGAGGTGGTGGCATTTGAGCACCGCCACCGCCGGGTGTTTGCATAGCCAAGGCCGGGTTCATCTTTGTCAGATCAGGTCCGGCAGGTCGGCCACCTCGTGCTGAAACAGTGACAACGCTTGTCGTCCGCACCACAGTGATACCAGCATTTTCAGCCTGGGCCTTGTTGTGCAAGAAAAGGAAGGAACGATGAACATGGCGGATGACTCCACTCCGCTGCTCTCCGTAGAGCTCGCGCACGGTGTCGCCAAGTCGAATTTCCGCACCGTTCTTATCAGTAGCAACTGCATCACGGCGAGGAGTGATTTTGGATGCAATCTGGGTGGGAAGGATATTCCGAACAGAGCCATTCTGGTCCACAACGCGGAGCGACTCGCGGTCCACTTTAATGACACAGGCAACAGTGGCAGCATCAAGCTGAACCAGATCGTGAACATCATAGATACCAAGTTGTCCATCGGCGGCCATCTCGGCAGAAAGTCGAAGATCCTTACTGAAAACTGTGATCTCCTGCATACTCATATCGCTGAGCAGGGTGACTGTGTCGTCCTTGACCTGGACCACCATGCCCAATTCGTTTTGATAACGACTGCCTCCAATAACCTTGACGTGATCACCCTCTCTGAACCGTTTGCGAAGGGTACGAACGGGCGCGTCAATTGTCTGTCCAGCCAAATCACCCTCGGTTACTTGAAGAGAAACAATCTCACCCCGAGTTGATACCGTGCGACCAATAAGGCCCTGCTGTTCACCTCGGTAGACCTCAACTGGATCACCCGGTTGATACGCTTCCTCGGCAGTAGACTTCTTAAGGGTCTCAGCGAGCGAAGCCAAGTCAAGGTTGGCAGTGCCGTCTTCGCCTCCACGGGCAAACATTGTGACTTCCTCTAGCCTGGGGTTGACATTCTTGGTATCCAAGTGCTGAACACGCATGTCCTTGATGAGGAAACCGTCGACGTAGTTGTCATTGAGGTAGTTCCATGATTTTCCACCGAGACCTGAAGTAGACGAGAGATACTTGGCGTGCTTCTTCTTTGCCTCTGCCTCGCTGAAGAGGCGCTGTGGGGGACGAACTGCGTTGGCCGCACCACGCTTGCGCTTGGAATCAACAGGAGGGGCACCAAGAGCGTCTTCGTTCATTCCGTAGTCCAACCGAGGAACCAAACGAACAGTCACATTCAGTCCATTTGTTTCGACTTCCTCGATCTGTGCTAGATCACCAGAGTATTTACCGCGCTTGATACGGACCCAGCCACCAGGCAAGAGCTCCTCGGATTTTTGAACGCGGAAAAGATCTGGCATCTCCTTCACAGGGACCAGGGTCATCTTCTGTGATGGGTAGTAGAAGTTGATAGCCTCCAACCCCTCGATGATATCGGCCTGTCTGCGGGCTTCACAATAAAACCAACCCTGCATAACATTGCCACGCTCAAAGGCCGAAATGATACGGATCGGGTTGCGGGAGCCTGCTGGGCGTTCCTCGAGACGTTTCTGGATCGAATATACAACTTCCTTCTCCTTGCCGGGTTTGCAGCGGCAACCCCAAATACTGGGATCCTCCACACTGGGAAGAAGCAGTCGCTTCGGAATAACGAGCGCATCTGAAGCTGCAGCACGGTTCCGTCCGTATCGCTCTTTGAGCATCTGTGCCTGCTTCTCTGCGTCCATGCTGGCGTCAATCTCGCGTTGACGATCCAATTGTCTGTGACGGCGGTCGTCTGTCTCGGTGCCTCCGGGTAGCACATCGAGATCATCGGGGTGGGTTTCCATGCCAAATTCGGCGAGCTCATCCTCCTCATCTTCGGCTTCGTCCTCTTCTTCGTCGACACCGGCTTCAATTTCAATGAAAGGGTTGCTGGCCTTCATCTTCTTGCGCGGGCGACGGCTCTAAAATGAGAATCAAGTAAGTCTAGGTTCGACAAGAGGCCAATCGTGGAAACGCACCACTGCCTCTTCTTCATCTTCATCCTCCTCGTCTTCCTCGTCATCGTCGTCTCCTTGGTTATCGCCCTCGTCGTCATCCTCGGCATCTTTGGCGTCGTCCTCTTCATCGTGGGCATCTCGGTCCTCGTGGTCGCGGCCGTATCTCTCTTTCTTGGCAGGCTAGATTCATTTATTAATTTCGTCCTGACCAAAACTTGGCACGTGGCAAACTCACCTTGGCTCTGGGCTCCTCGGCATCAGAGTCGTCCTGAGGGGCGGGGTTGAATTCATCTTCCTCGTCGTCGGACCCGAAGTCCTGGTTGAGAAAGTTGGACATGGTCGAGGTGGTTGGACGGGGTATCACTGGGAAACCGGTCGCGCTGTGGATAACTTGGACCGGCGATTCAGGGTATCAAAGGGTTTCTAAACAATGCCAGCCGGGGTTAGTGTAAGACAACAAGTGAAAGCTCCCGAGAAACCACGTACCTAAGCTAAGGAAACCACGCTGTGTTCGGTTGAAAAGATCGAATGAAGCTGGAAAAAAGATTGACCCGGAACACTTTCAAGGGACAGCCGGGTCCAATCGGTGTCAGATCGAATCGTTGGGATTGAGTTGAAGTGCGCGATCGGAGAGAAGGGCAGCAGACAATCGAGCTCTGCGGGCAATCACCGAATTCTGTGACCGCCTACAAAGAACAAATCTCGGGCTTCAAATGAAAATGTGTGCGCAAGGGATTCCGAACCTTTCTCCGGAGGGAAGTCAGCTGAGAAAGGAGAAAGGAGGAGTTGAATCAGAAAGTCAAGTCAAGTTGCCCAGGTGAGGCTTCATTGCTGCGTCAGTGGTTGCTATGCCTCGCCATACATCACTTCCAACTTCGTTTTCAGCTCCAGCACTCTATAACACTTTCGTGTTCTCAATACCAATAACTACAGATGTTTAACTACTCATATATATCCATCTCTTCTCTATGCAGCATAAGAGCTTTGAGCACAGGACCCAGGTAATCATGTCTATACATAACCTGGACGACCAACAAAACAACATATTTCCCTTCTGGAGCACCGGTTGAGAAGTAGAAGTCCTGCGCATTTGGAATGCCATTCGAATCTCCATAAAAAATTCTATTGAAATTGCTACTGGCTGCTCAAAGCAATGTGTCACTTCTACGTAGTTTTGGAACAAAGAACGGTGCCCTATGTCAGACATACGAGAAGCAGATCTATATGAAAGCCACGACGATGCACCACAACTGAGCATCTTGAACATAAGTACCATGGCTAGATTCACCAAACAAGAAACTTAATACCTCTAACTTGACCACCAAGACACCAGACAATAGCTCTACCTGCTATCGAGCGGCTCCTGGTCATGGCCTGCATTCCACGGTTGAGTACCTAACGAAAAGTCATTCTGATAAGCGCTGTTGAACTCATTTTCAAGCAATCGATCTCTAATCCAAGCATCCTCTTGCAGCTCGCCAAACTGAAGCAGCCAGTGGATCTCAGCTGACTTTCGAAAAGTATACCAAAACGGCCTCATTCGCCGATTGAGCACGCGAAACTTCCCCCTGGTGGCCTCTCTCAACAAGCTGATCTTGGCATTTCGTTCCGGTCCACGCGGGAGCTCCGTGAACCAATGCATATGGGCATTATTATACGCAATAATTATATGCCAGTAGATTAGTTTGATCTGTTTAGCATCACGCCAGGCATCTTTGTTGAGACGAGACAGGACGATATCGAGAATCTGCACGCAGTTGGAGTACAGATTGGAAGCAGCATAGTTTGCTGCCCCTGAGTGTGGGATCATGCCGTGGGGTTCTTGATCACAGAACCATTTGATTGTTGCTGGCTGGTTTCCTTGGACGGCGGCAATGAGAGGTTTTATGCCCACCCGGGGTTGCTGGTCATCGTCCTCGTCGGACTTCTCGTTCAGATTGAAATTGTCTCTTGTTGTTGGTGCCACGTCGGAGTGTTCATTCAACCATCTCAGAATATCGGCACCATTGGGATTCTCAATGGCCCGGTGCCAGATCGTTCGAGATGTAGGTGGCCGTCGGTTATTGGAGTATTCATCATCTGAGCTGTCATCGGGATGATCTGAGCGATTTGGACTGCTCGTTCTTGTTGTTCGAGAACTGAAACTCACATGAGAATCATCGTGATCTATGGCCTCGCTTTCGCTCTGCTCGTCGTTTTCATCATCACCAACCTGAGTTATAATCAGCCCCCCTGGAGGTCTAGCTGCAGGCGCGGTGTTCTTAAGAAGAGGACCACGATCACCAAACCGAGGAGGAATGTCGGGGTCATGCACATAAGCTCTAGCGAAATCGCCCCTACTAGGCCGACGGCTGAAAAACGAATGTTCAATAGGATCGCCATAAGCAGCATCCCTGTTGAACGAGTGACCAAACGGTGAATTGCCCTGTATCTCATCGCCATCCGGGGGAAGATGGTAGGGAAGCGTATTCCTCGGAAGCCAGGCAATGTTGAATTTCTCATATCGCCACAGCCATTCAGCCATGTATCGACTAGCGAAGCTACACAGCTGAAGCTTGAGGCCATCATCGTTCCAAAGAAGTAGAGGAAAGCCTTTCTCGCTCAGCTTTCGGGTCATCGCCATGAACAATTGTGGATCTCGAGTACGCGCCACATGGTGTGGGATGGACAGGCCATCGATGCTTGTCGGGAAATGTCTGGGGTCGACCCCTGCGTTCAAGATTTCGTCAAGTAAAAACAGTATCAGGCCTTCTTCGCTTTCTGTTAATTCAGCGCCTATTTCTGCTTCAATTGCGGCATGGAGAGCAGATCTTCCGTATATATCATATCCGATGGTATTGCATAAACCAAGCCGGCCTGCCATTGAGATACAATAAGTGCAATGGCTCCTCATTATAGAGTCATAGAAAAGGGTCTTTTGAGATGTGCACACCAAGTCACTAGCTTTGCGGTGGAAAGTGATCATGTTGATATCCTTGTAAGCTGTCTGGAAATCTGGATAGACTAGAGACGGCCGAAAGTGTCCCTTGAGATATTGTGCACCTAGATCATTTTGGAGCCATTCCCACGCCATCACCGACAGCCTTGGTACCTCGTCGATGAATACATGCAGCGCATGAAGGTCCGTTGTGCTTGGCTTGTCAGGTATGAAGTTGAGTAGCATGGGGAGGAGAAGCCTAAACATGTCCTCAGGCATAGTGGTGAGATCCAATTCTTTGACAGTGAGCGCAATGGCTCTTCTGTCTGGCCGAGTTCGTTCGAGGATTCCAACCCACTGAGTACCAATGCCACGCGCACCCTTGAATTCAGGATACAGAACATGGCCATAGCCGGGTTCATGGTGATGGCGGATTCGATCGGCAATCATCATGACCATCACGAGCGCGCTAGGTGGGAAAGCAGTGATGGTTCCATCTTCATGGATTCTCTGCAGAAGAGGATGGTATGGGTCGATGGCTATGGGGGTAAATGACATTGGGCCAACCGGCGTCGGGCCTTCCATGATGGATAGATACTTGCTTCAGATTCAACGCGGGATCATATGGTTATATAATTTCATCTGAAGTAAGGCGAAGGGCTCCCCATCTCATCTTTGTTTCATCTAAATACAAATTCGCATCAAAGGGGGTTGGAAAGGCTGACAACAAAGAAAGTGAAAGAAAGGGCAGAAAAGACCAGGGATTTCCCTCGTTCCTGGTCCAAAGTCAACATTGAAAGTGTCGAGTATAATCGACGGAGTAGCATACAATTGACATGCCCGCTATTCTAGTAAGTTGTAGGAAAAGGTCGGATTCTTGCCGACGTGTCATGGTCAGTGCCTTCTATCGAAGAACGACGAGTGAAGCAAACCTCGGCAGTGAAGTATACAGATTACAGACAAAGAGATCAGCAAGCACTCGAATTGTCAGGTGGGCATTTCTGGATCTCGCCAGATATCCCCACTGTTTCTGTGTTCCAATGTGTTAGTCGAAGACTTGTATTTGCAGAGGACAGATTGTTTATGGAAGAAAAATGGTATATCTCAAAATCCGAAATACTATGAAACAAAGATTGTAGAAGTGCCGGTGATCTCACCAAAACACCACGAAAAATATACAAAAGAAGTCAATGTATGATACAAGACAAATCACAGCAAATCAACCTGTAACAAACTCGTCACAGACGAAAGGATATCTAGCCAAAGATCAAAGCAACAGTAAATCAAGAATGTGGGCAAATATCTATCGCCAATCCAAAGATCAACACCGAAAAAAATGCTTTATAGCTTCATGCCAAACATGCCATGAACACGCAAGCTCTGGCGCATACTCAGGTCAAGCATGATCTCCTCACTACCACCGGGAATGGCATAAGCACGAACATCACGGTAGAGTCTCTCGACCTTACCACCTTGTCCACCACGGCTGTAGCTCAACCCACCGAAGATCTGACTGGCCTCACGAGCGCAGAACTCGAAGCAGGTTGTAGACTGGGCCTTCAGACCGGCGATGGCACCGCCCAGCTTGAGCATGGCTTCTGTCTCTTCCATGCACTGGCACTGGAAGATCATGTTCTCAAGCCAGTTGTATGTGGCCTCGATCTGGCGAGCCATGTGGGCGAGCTTCATACGAATGACTGGATGTTCAATGAGGGGCTTGTTGAAGGTTCTGCGCTTGTGGGCATACTTCATGGATTCCTCATAGCAGACGCGCGAGAAGCGCAGGCACTGGATGACAATTCCGATACGCTCGTGGTTAAAGTTTGTCATGATCACCTTGAAGCCTTGGTTCTCCTTGCCGATCAGGTTCTCGACTGGGACCTTGACATCTTCAAAGGTAACGTAGGTTGTGCCGCTGGACCAGACACCTTGGCAGTCCATACGGCGAGTGCTGACACCGCCGGCTTCGCGCTCGATGAGGAGGACACTGAGACCGTTCATGCCGGGCTTCCCGGTGCGCACAGCGGTGGTGAAGTAGTCGGACCAGATACCGTTTGTGATCCACTTCTTCTCGCCGTTGACAATGTAGTGCTTGCCATCTTCGCTCAGCTTAGCCTCGCAGCCCAAGTTGGCAACATCACTGCCCGCATCGGGCTCGGTGATGGCAAGACAGATACGCTTGTCACCGGCCAAGATGCCCGGCAGAATTCGGTCAACCAGCGACTTCTTACCGAACTTGACCAAGGGTGGGCATCCAATGCCAAAACCTCCGATCAAGTTCCAAACCAGACCGCCACTGCCTGCACGTGACAGTTCATCGGTCAACAGCATCTCGTGGAACAAATCCCAGCGATCTGGTGACACCGACTGCACGCGATGCGGGGTGTGGTTCACGGGGTAGTCGACACCCAACAAACCGGCCAAGTATCCGCGTTCACCCATCTGCTTGTAGATATGAGGCGAGACCTCCTTGCCCTCATCCCATTCGGTCACATATGGCTCAATCTCGGACTCAACCCACTGGCGGACTTCGTCTCGGAGAGCGGCGTGGGAATCATTGAAGTAAGGGGAGGCATACTAAAGGCGAAATTATTACAAATTAGTCGCTGTGCATCCAAATTTGAGCGAGGTGGCAAAACTCACACCCTGATACCATGAAGGGTCGGCGAAAGGAATCAAGTCTCCATAAGGATCTTGCGGCGCACCAGTAGCAGGCGGCGTCACAGAAGAAGAGGCTTCGGGCTGAGGCTTAGGTTCAGAAGCAGCCTTCTTAGGAGCAGGCGCCGGCGCCGGCGCCGACTCAACAACCTTCTTGGTATCCAATGAACCAATCTGCAGCTGGCCCTTGTACTTCTTTAAAATGCCCTCGTTGTGATATTTCCAAAATTGCTTCGAAGCGTCCTTGCCGGCAACCCGCTGAAGAACTAAACATGCATAGTCAATATCTTGCTCTTGAAGGTGGCGATTGGCCACAGATACAACATACTCTTCTTTCCGCCTGTTCAAAATAGGAAAGTTAGCTTGGAGTCTCTGATGCAAGACAGCGCATGACTTTGGACATACCAGGGTGTTCGTCTTGGAACTTAGAGACATCGTAGACGTCCTCGTCGATCACGATCCACAGGTTGTCGCCTTTGCCATGCGACGCGACGTCGTCTTTGCTGAATGTCTTCGCCATGGTGGGGCTAAGAGGTAGGAATGGGCGAGGAGACAAAGATAGAATTTAGTAAAGGGTGTCAGGTGGGGAGAGAAGAAGAAAAATCAAGTCCGGGGAAGCTAGAGGAAAGATATATGGAGTCCGGGGTCACATAAATATTTTCCGGTTAGTTCGGGAGATATTCCAAACCAGGAGAAGTGTCGTTCAAAGGGGGCTGTCGTTCAAAGGGGGCCTCGGAGTATGACACTCAGTTCACATGCTCCAGATAATGCAAATCGTGAGAATGCCTATCATCTGCTGATCGTTTCGGTCATCCCCGTTCTTGAACTGTTTATTGGCTCAAAGTGCGTCATAGTCAGAATGCCGAGGCAGAGACACGTGCAGGGCGGTGAGAGGCAGAGCATGTGATCGATGAGTATAGCATCACAATTGCTCTAGTTGTCGAGTGTAGACAATGAAACAATTGAGGTCTTCCAAGCGAGCGCTGTATGCCGTAGATCATTCGGGTTTATTCCACGAAAAATCGATTGTATAGAACAACAATCCACACACGAGTTCAACTTTGAATCGTAGCAGACTCCCATGTTTTGCATGTGCAAGTATCTACCCTGGAGTCCAATTTCAAACACGCCCACGAGACGCCCGCTATGACGATTTCAAATCAAGGCATACATACTACTTCAGGGATTCTAGGTGCAGACCAACGCTACGTAGAGAATACAGTGCAGGGTAAAAGTGAATAAAACAAAGGAAGTCTCATATGAATCGGTTGAGAGTAACAGCTCCCAATAGATCAGGTCCAGGTAGACAACCTGATTAGTCTAGTAATACATCCAGCACCATGATTCAACGACGCGTCCCCTTACTCTTCCTCGCCGTCTGACTCATACGAGAATTCGTCGGGGCAGGGCGCGTCCTCCACACCTTCTTCATCTTCATCCACCGCCGTTAGGACACCAGCAGCAGTGGCGGCTCCACCAGAGGTAGCCGCGGACAGGGCAGCCCGAGCATCAGCTCGTTGAGGAGTTTGCAGGGCGGCGGTGCCGATGGCGGCTTGCAGGCGATCCTGAAGGGTTTCGGTCTGAGGAGGTGGTGGGCGAGCTTCTTTGCTGGCCTTAAGCTCAACAACTTCGCGAGGCTCATCGGGCTGTTTGTCAAGGACAACAACAACACCGCCAGTGGGCTGCAAAATTCAGTTAGCAAAGATTCTGACAGTAGAGTGAATTGAACATACCCTCTTGACCGGCTCGTATCGTGGGTCGGGGAAAGTGAGGTACTTAAGCTGAGCCGGCAGTACCCTTGACAGGTTGTCCAACTCGTATCCAACCTTCTCCCGTTCCGCCTTCTTCTTCTGGCCCTCGGAGGCAGCCTTCTCGGTCTCGGTTCCCTCTTCGCCTTCAGCCTTAGAATCTTCAGTTTCCATGGCATCCGGTAGCTGATCAGAGACCTTTGGTGTGGTAGGGGTCTGATCAATGTCCATGCTCTCACGGCGAGCTTGCTTCTCCCGACGCTGAGCTCGGCGTTTGGCTTGAGCAGTGGTAGATAGAACAGCAGTCTTCACCTTCTCGGGAGCTTCCTCAGTCTTCACCTGCTGCTCAGGGGGATAGTCGAAGAGACTGGGACGCGTGTTGCTGTGGAACTTGAAGTGAGGGACCTCGAGCTTCTGGTCAACACCAATGACGGATGTGGGGGTGAAGCTGAGGGACAGGAAGTGTGTGAGAGGGAACCAGTACCAATACTGGACGAAGACGGCGACACCAACGATACCAGGCATGTTGAGGTTACCAGTCTGGGTCTGCAGGCTGATGGTGCAGTTACGACCACCGGCATCAATGATACCGAGAGCAATGGCGCAACCAAACTTGGCCATGGCATCTTCATGGCGATCACCAAGCATCTTCATCATAGTCTTGCGAAGACTGGTTACACGGGGGTTCATAGCCTCATTTTGCTGAACGAGAACCATGGCGAGAGAGATCAGGGCACCTTGACGAACGAAGTCGGTTGAGTCCTTGAGCATGGGTTCCAAGAGATCAATGGCCTCATCAAGGCCTGTTCCGGCGCAAGAGATACCAAGGGCCATAGCGGCACCGTAACGGACGTGAGGGTTGTACGACTCAGAAAGTAGCTCGACCATGCGAGGAACGCTCTGGTGCTTGCGGAACAAAATGAAGCCCAAGCTGAGAACGGCAACACGACGGACATCATCGTTGACATCACTGACCGCAACATGGAGAAGCTTGCGGACTGCTTTGTTGCTTCCACTGCCACAGTAAGCAAGGGCGATGGTCATGATACCACCATAGCGGAGAGTAGGGTCAGGGTCGCCGAGCAGACCATTGATCAGCTCATCGGCACCTTCCTGGCGACCGTACATGATCAAGGCCATACCCATGGCGAGACCACGAACGATCTTCTCGTGCTGAGTTTCGTGGGCGTATTGAATCATGTCCTCAAGTGCCTTCATGTTACCAGTGCCAAGCATGATAAGACCCATAGAAAGACCGACAGCCTCTCCGTTGAGAGCGGAATCAGTGTAGAGAACAGTTCGCAGGTCTTCGAAGATGCCTTCATCGCCTGTGGCCATGCCGGCAACACCTAGACCAAGAGCACCACCGTGTTGAACAACTTCTTCGGTCGCCTTCTTGAAATGATCACGGATGATGTCAACGGCCATGCCACCGTGGTTGGCGTAGATGAGACCGAAGGCATACAGCGAACCACCCTGGCTGTACACAGATCCAGAGCCTCCAACACCGGCAATGTGCTCACGGGGCAGATAAGGCTGCAAGAGCTTCTGGCCTTGACTAAGGTTGCCGCGGTGGATACAGCCCAATGCAGCAGTAGCAGTGAACTTGGACCAGTTGACTGCCTTGCCGAGCCATTCCAGGTTATCACGGAAGAACTTGTCATGGGTGGTTCCTGCGTGCATGAAGGCATTTGATAGTGTCACTGCAGTGTGGAAGATAGAGTTGCGAGCCTCGAGGCTGTCGCGGATCTTGTTCAGAATCGCGATATCCGCCTTGTTGTTTCGGTATAAGAACTCCAGGTTAAGCTGGATTGTCTTGATACCGTCGAGAATCTGGAGGATGTTCTTAAATGCTGTGATTGCATCATCTGGCAGGTCGTTATCACCCGAAGGCCGAGAAGAGCTTCCCTGGTCTACAAGTAATGCGTCAGACTCCTTGGGCTCACCATTCTCATCCAGGTTCTCCTTGTCTGTCTCGGTTTCCGGTACGAGCTCAGCAATTTCTTGCCGAACCTTCTGAAGAAACTCTTGTGTGCTGTTATCGTAAAGGTCGAATGAGATTTGGTAAGCTACCGCAAGGGAACGGGAGTCACCCTTCTCAACCAGCTGGCGAAGAATGACGGAAGCCATAGAGTGTTCATTAAGGAAGACAACGCATTTGGCGATCGAGAAGTAGTCAGGCGCGGGAATCTCGTTCAGAAGTTCCAGAATGAGTTTGAGAATCTAGGAGGGACCAGATTTAGTTGACTTGCGTCAGAAACGGGGCCTTGGAATGACAAACCTCGCTGCGGAAGGCCCGCTCTTGGACAATACCCATGCAAATATCTAGAACATACTCCATCAACTCCTCGCTGCTGCGAGAGTCGCCCTGCTGCTGCTTCTCATCGGAGCTGGCGCGAAGGATAGCCATGCGGAGAACATCCAGGCTCTTGGCCTCGATAGCAATTCCAATAACTTGACGGTATCGCTTCTGGCGGAAGCATTCTTCGAACAAACGCTCAATAACATTCTGAAGTTGACTCTGAACACCACGCTTCAGTACGAGGGGGGTCTCCTCGTGCTGAACACTTGTGTCGTCGCCACCAGGGTGGGCGGCGTCCACACCAGGAACTTCGGCGCGAGAGAGCAATGACTTTGATGGCAAAGCGGACTTCGAGAACGGTGTGATGGGAGATGTGAGGCTTGCAGATGTGCTGGTGGCGCCCTCGCCTGATGATGGGAACGCGGTATTCAGGTTGCCGGATTGATCGGCGGTAGGCCGTTGGGCAGCGGATAGAGAGATGAAAGTGTCGACGCATTTCGCTATATTGGACCAAGTATTAAACACCGAGATTGAATATTAAGATGATTGTTCCCAACTTACCGATGATGGTCTCCTCATATTCGCCTCCATTCTCCAACTTGAACAGCTTTCCGGCGCCCAGAGCGAGAACCATGCTTTCATTATATTCCTGCAGGTGATAGTACACCTTCGAGGCAACTAGTGCAGCGAGACCGCGCTCTGGGAAAGATTCGTCTTCATAGAGAGCCTCACTGTATGAGAGTTAGCAGGGGTCCAGTCATCGGTCGGGCTCGGCCAGAATGGCGCAACAGCGAAGACTGATCAATCTGGCACGACTGTGCTGTAGAGAGAACTCACATATCAGGAACGGCGTTCACAACTTCTGTCCACAATAGATCGATCTGAGAATCTAATGACTTCAATGCAAAGACCTTAAGCTCTGGGTCAGGCTCTGAGAGGAATCCGACCAAACCGGCGGCCGATACGAGTCCGACCATCTTGATCAGGATAGACGGCTCGCGTCGAGATTCGCGGGATGAGTTTCGAGGATAGATTGGTTTGTTGTTGCTGTGGTGAAGCAACGTGGATCGGGAGGGAGCTTGGGGAACAGTGATTCAGCCCCAGGGTCGAATAAGGTACAAAGGGGTTTTCAGGTGCCCCAATAAATGAGAATTTGACGACGAATACAAAATATGATTGAATGAAAGAGACGAAATGGATGAAGGGCACGTACAAATGGAAGCTGGAAGCAGACAACAGAAGCTTGCAGGCGCGAGACTGACGTTGACGGGAGAGCTGACTGCTGACTGTGCGCATCACGTGTCCACTTGCTGCAAGGCCGCGGACGGACTTGGGATCACCAGGCGAGCTGCTTCTTTTCTTAGTCTGCTGATATTATTTACAGCTGGCTGATCCATGCCGAAGACCTATTAAATAGTCGTCTTTCCCAGGGCCACGTAGCTCCAACTCCAGTTTGAAGCTCGGCCTGCCACACTTACCCGTCCACCATGTCAACACTCCTCCAACAATCCTTTCGTGATAAAAGACTACCGCCAGTCCCGGCAGCTGCTTCAACGTACCATCATGACCCATTTTTATATGTTGAACGCCAGACGAAACACATACAGTGCAATCTTCAGGTTCTCATTGATGCGCAAAGCGACGGACTTCTGTCTGGGCTCGCAGGACCTCGGTCAGATGAAGCCTCCAGCAGAAGCCTCAGTCCGAACACTTCCAAAGCCGGTCGATCGCAATCTCCTTCTGCGATTCCCTCCAGACAACCTGCGCCCAAGAAAATTGGACTTCAGGCTGCTCGAAATGGTATCTTTCAATCGATCTATGACCTACTGAAGCTGCGAGAGGAAGAACGAGGGATTATTACAAGTCAAACAGACGATAGAGAAAGTGCGCTGCATGAGATACAAAGCTTTCTTTCAAAAAGAGCAGGTCTCGAAGAAGCCATTGCCTCTATACATGGCGATCAGGAGAGCCAACATTCAAAGCAACTAGAAGAAGAGGCTCGGATCCTCGCGACTGACATTCATGAACTGGAGACCAGACTATATGAGATGAAAGCTAAACATCGTCATCTTGTCAGTGAAATTTCATATATCAACAATTCGGTCGACGCCAAACTATCTTCTTATACTGAATCTCTCTCTATACTCGACTGCGATATCCGAAAGTACCTCCGAGACCCTCCTATTCAACCCTTGTCGCAACGTCCAAGCGAATCGACCTTCCACTCCTTGAATCCTAAGCGCCGCACACTTGACATGGCACGGGAACATTGGAACACCGAGCAAGCTGGTTTGCGCAGTAGACAACAGAAAGTGGATGGAGAGATCCAGGCATTGGAAGAAGGAGGCGGCGTGTGGAAGCAAACAGTGGCCGACGTCACTGGCTTTGAGAAGCGCCTCAGGGCCAGCATGCGACACTATGTTGAGATGACCACACCAACGACCGAGTCCGAAGGATCTGCATCGCCAGATCACAAAGACGAAGTTGTCGCGAACATATTGGGTGATTTGGAAAAAACCACTCAACGCGTTGAATCACATTTGGAGCTCGCTGAAGACAAGAACTGGAAACTATTAGTTTGCTGCATTGCAACCGAACTAGAAGCTCTCCGAGAAGCAAGGGGTATGCTTCGTCCCGCTTTCGGTTTGCCGATGCATGAAGAGGAAGTATCGATTGTTTCTCCTGGTGATCTTTCCCCAGAGAACCAGGGCCAGGAGGAGGACCATCAGCCCCCCTATGAGGATGCACTAGCTCACGACGACCCGGAACCTCCAGCTGATCTGTTGAAGGATGCAGATCCTCATCATTCGGATACTGGGTCAAGATCAGAAGATGATGATGAACCAGATCCATCTTGGTTGAGCTGATGAGGTATATAATGACTTATGACATATTCATGCTGCGGTCTAAGTAAATTTTGAGATACCATATATTCCAACATTCTGTATTGAAAGACATTGTTTAATTCTAGCTCTCATCCAGCCAAGTATGTTTCACGGGTAAATCAGTGTCAGTCTCATTATATATCTTGGTGTTGTTCCAGTATCAAAGTCGTGCGCATGTTGCGTCCAAACCGCGAACTCCTCGGGACGGACCCGAGACCTCCTCGAAGACTTCAACTTCAACTTATTCCTTCCAACAACCAGCTTCGAGTTTTGAAGCCACGAAGGCTATCGTGAGATCCATACAACAATGGATCTTCCATTGCCGACCTTTTCATTTACGATTCCCTCAGTTCATAATGGCAATCAGCTCGAATGTCGCCTATATCTCCCACCCGCGTTCCAAAATATACATTCAGCAGCAGCCTGGCCAACTCGCGGTGCCATCGTCGCACATCCATATGCACCCTTGGGAGGATGCTATGATGACCCTGTCGTGAGTTTTGTCGGCAGTGAGTTGTTACAGTCAGACTGCATTGTCGGAACCTTCAATTTCCGGTACTATCAGCTGCTTCTGGCGTTGCGTCACAAGCCCAAGTCGCTAACAAACTTAACAGCGGAGCTGGAAATTCTGAAGGACGAACAAGCTGGACTGCAAAGCCCGAGCTAGGAGATTACATCTCATTCTACACATTCATGTTGCAGTATCTTCATCACTTAAAGTCTGCATTATGCCAAAGTGATCAGGCAGACTCATCCAAACCCAACAAGACCGACGGAAGTGAAAGTCCAGATGTAAGCCTCATCCTGGGCGGCTACTCCTACGGGTCTTTGATCGCCTCTCATGTCCCATCACCGGAAGTTATACTGGACCTTTTCCGACCCGGGCCGACATTAACAGCCCCAGCCTCCAAGCACAAGCCAACGCCAAAATCCGAGATAGGCAAAGCATCAATACGGATAGCGACATCCACCCTAGAGAAACTTCAAATGACTCACAGTCATGGTATAGCTGACACCAAGCCCGCATTGACAACCTCCATCTCCTACCTGCTCGTGTCTCCGCTTCTACCCCCAGTTAGCCACCTCCTAACCTCCTTCTCGACCTTATCGCTGAACGTGAAGACGGATACAGGTAGTGATATCCGGATCCCCTGCTGTCCAGCAGACCAGCAGAGTACCAACCACACTTTAGCGCTCTTCGGCGACCAGGATACATTCATTTCTGCTGAGAAACTGGAGAGGTGGTCAGACGAGATGGCGCACATGCCGCGCAGTCAGTTCCAATTTCGGAAAATCGATGGCGCGGGCCACTTTTGGCGCGAAGATGGGGTTGAAAAGCGGGCAAGACATGCCTTGAAGGTGTGGCTTGGTCAGATATGATACCTTTGGGGAAATTTATTAAAACCAAATCGGGTTGACCTATTGCATACGGAGTCCCTGGACATATGAAGATCGAAGTGCACATGCTGCATGCATGTGAACAAGCCCCTCCGGGGAGGGCCCCAGGGGTCCTGATAAGCTCGCGATCTAGGATGCATGTAGTTAGGGATACATAAGTAGTTTGAATTTTATCAGATGGAAACAGAGAACATGAGGTCAAATTGGCTGTGATGTAAGAGACGAATAAGAAATTGCCAGCATTGCCAACATTGCCAACATTGCCTTTGCAAGCAAGGAATCAAGGATCTTCGCGGGGAGGCAAATACTTCCCCACCGGGGTTTGGAGAGTGTCCAGATGATGTGTGAGATCATGGGGAAGAGTGCATAGCCCGCGATTACCGGTTCCCATAGTATGAACTAAATCGTAAATACCGTGAAAAGGTGTTGATTCCGCTGAACGGCTGAACAGTGAAGGCGGCCCAACTCCGGGGAAAATGGATCGGGCGGATCCTCGTGACGTTTTTCAGACCGCCCGGTTTACTTAACTCTTGACTGTATTGCAACTCTTCATGTTCTTACTGTTCCCTTGATATTTTGAGATTTTGATACATGTTGAGACCCCCGGATGGCTTGCTCCCGATGCACCCTGCTATGTCGGTGTTGGGCGACTCCACAATAGTCCAGTGCCATCATGGACGCAAGAACTCATACGACCACGCAGAACATGCTCTCACAAAACCCCACCCCCCGCGATCTCTGCGCAGAGCGGTATCGATACCGGCCGTATCAACGCTAGTCAAAGACTCGTGGAATTGGGCCGGCGACACCCTACACACCTATCGCGACGGCCTCACGAAGGAGCAACGGAAACACAAGGCCGAGATCGAGGATCGCAAACAGATCTTGTATCTGCACATGAGAAATGTAAGTCCATGCCGTGCACCTTGACGCTGGGACGATCGCACCTGCAGAGTCGAGTCACAGTCTGCTAACCAATCCTCGGGACTGCAGGCGGTGTCGTACGAGGAATGGCGCAGTCGCGCCAGCGAGCTCGACGAACTAGAAGACAACAATGCTTGGAAACAGACGCTGGAATCCTCCGAATACGAGCCTCTCCTTGTACAGGATCGCTTACGGCAGCTGGAAGAGGCGCGGATTAGTTGTGATGTGAGCCGGATGCTGTTTCTCGTGCGCACCGCGCTGAGTCGGGATCTCGCGCATATGAGCAATGCGTCACTTTATCGGCATTCACATATTGGCACCAAGGATCTGATTGACCGGTATATAACTACTGCCGTAGAGACGATTACTACGCTGGTTGATCTGTCGGTGCATAATCGCTGCGATGGACTGGAGTTGAAGTATATTCTGGACCAGCTGCTCGCAGCCCGGCAGGCCTTTGGACGAAGCGGGCTGCTCTTTTCCGGAGGCGCGACTTTTGGAATGGCTCACATTGGAGTTCTCAAAGCCCTCTACGAGGCCAAGATGATTCCTCGCATCATTTCAGGTGCATCTGCTGGTAGTATTGTGTGCGCTGTCTTCGGTACACGTACGGATGACGAATTGCCGGAGTTGTTGGATACCTATGTGCATGGAAACTTCGCTGTTTTCAACGAGCAGGGCCAGGAAGAAAATCTTTTGCAGAAGATGACTCGCTTTTTGAAGTTCGGGTCCTTCCTGGACATAACACATTTGGCCAATACTATCAGAAGCTGGCTTGGAGATCTGACTTTTCAGGAAGCATACAACCGCACACGCAGGATTTTGAATATCTGTGTCTCAAGTGCAGGTATGTACGAGCTGCCACGGTTGCTGAACTATATCTCCGCGCCGAATGTGTTGATCTGGTCTGCTGTGTAAGTGATATACTTCATATTTCTCTGTGCTTCCTGCTAATATTCATCAAGGGCCGTGTCATGCTCGGTGCCTTTCGTGTTCAGACCATTTACCTTGATGGCCAAAGATCCTTTGACAGGAGAAACAGGGCCGTGGAACGATTTCCATAAACAGTATATTGATGGGTCTGTCGACGGTGATCTGCCAATGACCCGATTGTCAGAGATGTTCAATGTCAACCACTTTATCGTCTCACAAGTCAACCCCCATGTGGTACCGTTCCTACCAAAGGAAGCAGGACCCCAGGCCGAGGCAGAAGCAGGACCATCCTTCATTCCTCGGTGGATGAATACCATGACACACCTTGCAAAAGATGAAGTTCTTCATCGAATGAATGTCCTCTCAGAACTCGGCGTCTTCCCAACATCGATGACCAAGTTCGCTTCCATTGTAAACCAGAAATATCACGGCGACATCAACATCTACCCGGAACTAAGTTCGTCTCACTTCCCCCGACTCTTGGAGAACCCGACGACCGAGTTCATGCTTGCGGCATGTCTCAGCGGCGAACGGGCGACATGGCCACGGCTGAGCAGGATTCGGAACCACTGCGCTATCGAACTTGCCTTAGATAGTGCCATTCAGACAATGCGGGCCCGGGTAGCCTTCAGCCCGAGCCAGATCAATTCACGAATGCCCAACTTGTCCCGTCACTCGATTGACTCAATTGAAAGCAACGGAAGAGGCGCACATCATCGACGGCGTGGTTCCCACAACCCTGAACTGCAAAAGAGACGTTCCGGTGGACAGTCACGGCAACCACCAGTCCGAGAATTGCGAAAAGCACGCAGTACTGTATCTCTCGAGAACCCACCTCTCCTATCAAACGATTCAATACTCGAGTCAATGCAACCGAGGACCCACCGCCGGACATCCTCAGCGTCTTACAACAACCGAGCAATCTTTGATATCGGATCTAGCAGCGACGATGACTACGAATTCTCACACTTGTACACAGTCCGACCTCGACTGACAGGTCACCGAGCGTCCTCGGATTCAATTCCCTTTAGTGGAGCGACCGCATACCACGGACCTCGCAGCCCAGTCCGATCACGGCGATCCTCATTCTCTTCCGGCCTTACCTACAATTCTTCAGTTCCCACGCATCGCGCCTCACCAAAGCAGGTTTATGCCTCTTCGGCTCGTGACTTTTCCACGACCGTCCCACCATCGTCCCGCCACCTCCTCAGCATGACTCCCACTTCAACGGTCCACCCGAGCTCTCCTGATATCTCCATGTGCAAAAAGCGGCACTAAAGAACTTTAACAGGCCGCGGCTGCATACTCAAGTCAGGTACCATCGATGCTTGATACCACAAACCGCTCAGCAATCCAATCTCCTGGATCGGCAGGTCAATTGGCACGGAAAGGAATTTTTCCACACATGCGGTACACCATTTCGCTACAGTATATCTCGGGTTTCTTTACTACATTTGCTCCATTCTTTATAGGTTTTTTTGGCGTTGAAACACGGCCTGGGCCCACCGCCCGCTACACGATTCCCCCTTTCTAGAGTACCTCTATAGCATTCTCCTTTGGTTTCAAATTTCGGCATACATATTGCATCAATGGATTCATGAGTCTTTGTTTTTCTTTCTTCGTCCCTCGTTATGTATGACAGACTTGTGGCGGTCTCAGATGTATGTATAGCGGGAAAGGAAGTGTTGTGCGTGTCTATTCAGGTGGCGAGAGCAGCGGCCATGGCCAGATGAAATCGACCTCTAGACTTCTAGTCAAGCCTGCGGCTAATCTTGTAGTACAACAGTCTATCCTTCGTACATTTCGAGTTTTAGGTTAAGGATACGAGCTTCCGCCCTTGGCGCTAGCCGGCCCTGAAGCTAAGCTCTTATCATCATAAGCCCCGGCCTCGAACGGCTTCAAGGCAAATGAATCCCAATGGCCTTGTGGGTTCAAACCTTGGAAGAAACGTGCTTGGCACCTGTATAACCAACTACAGTACAGTAGACAGGAGGTAGTGGGGTTCGGCAAATCAATATGAGGAAACAATCGGCATAGAGAGATTTAGTCAGCGGAGTTTTGAGTGAGAGGTCCCCGGGGGGCACCACGGTCAATGCATTGTACAGATGATATGTCGAGATGATGTCGAGATTTAGACTTGGATATGCAGGCTGGAACCAGTGCCAGTCTGTATTGAGATTGCAGGGAAGAGAGAAAAAGGAAGTTCAGGAGCCTGTCGATCCTTGATGTCACGAGACCCACACCCTGTTGGAGCTAAGATTGCTTGATCCAGTCAGACTTCCTCACTCCAGTCCCAACCCCCAATTCCTTCAGGGCTGACGACGACGATTGTGGGAACTGCACCCTTATTCCATGGGGCCCGTCACTATGCTTTTGACTCGAAACAAGGCTACCAGTCTATTCCATCGTTGATATCATTTTTCATGGAACCCCCGTGGATATCATATCCGTGCATGTCATTCTGCTACCGTTGAGCAAAGGACCAATTTTTAAGTCGTGATCGTTGGAATGGGCACGCATACTAGGACCCTCATTCAACCAGAAGACCCATCTCGCCGATCCTGTGGTAACCATTGGACCTCACTTATCAATCAGTGGCTCCGCCAATCTATTCCCCAATGCATAACGTTCGAGTCCACTCTATCCCGTGGATGCGCGGGAATCCTCTGACAAAGTCTGTATCAGCCTCGATGATACAGTATGTGCACTGTGGCAAATCCCTCCAACATGAAACAAAAGAACCGCCACACTGCGACAGGAATTGCTTCATGGGGCTGGAAATGATGAGATGCTGATGCGTCCCCCAGCCATGATGATATGTGCTGTGATAATTTTCTCTGGCACCACGAAAGGGGGTCTGATTGTCACAATACCGTTAATCCTGAAAGCAGGGTTCGTATGTCAGGAACTAAGCTTAACGGACTTGTTTCTCAAAGCATTCAACAGCCGGCCCCGTTCTCTTCTCATGGAGAACCATCTGCATTGGGCAGGTGCTACAAACGACTTCGAAGTCTTCAATTGTGATACGGTCAGACCACCACAGCAGATCACTGATATACACGGAACATGATCGTCGCACTATTTCCTGGTACCTGCCTTTAGCGCCTGCAACCTAACCGAGTTGTCGATACCTACCCCGTTGAAGGACCCAGGGACCACTTTTTTACCTCTTTCCCACGTTGGCTAGCCATCGGCTCTGTGTCACCTTAGGAAATACCTCAGCCACCGCAATTGCCGAGTACCTGATGGCGCCTGTGCTTGGCTCTCCCTGAGGACCCTCACTGTACTGTACAGTACTGTAGGTCCCTGAAGGCGAAGATCGTCAGTACCCACTTGTATCATTTGGAGCATGGTCCAGCCTGTATATCTGGCCAGCCTTCTGGGGCAACAGAATTGAAGCCATGGCCCGATCACGGAATCCACACCGGCGTGAGGACCCAATGCTCTCTGATCAGGCCTGACACAGTTGCCAATCTTATAAAGACTCCTCCATTCTCCAGACAAGACCGTGCCTTCTTCTTCGAACTATCAGTCTTGTCTTTGATATATCAATCCCATATATCAAATCCTTTTTGCAATCTATAAACCTCCATTCTTTACTTGTCTTTTAATTTACAAACACCAATCGTTCACAATGAAGTACACCGGTTTCGCCGCTATGGGCTTGATGGGCTGCGCCCTCGCCCTGCCCCAGGGTCCTCCAGCTCCTTTCCCCGGTGCCCCCAGTGACGCTCCCACTCCCACTGGCCCTCCCCCATCCGGCTTCCCGACCCCCTCGGGCCCCCCCCCCAGCGGATTTCCTACTCCCTCGGGCCCCTCCCCCAAGCGGAACTCCCACCCCGGCCTTCCAGAAGCGCGGTGGTTTCCCCGACATCCTAAGCGATATCTCCTCCAGCCTGCCTTTCACTCTCCCTGTCGAGAAGCGCCAGGAGCCAACCGGAACCCCAAGCGGCCCTCCTCCTCCTCCTACCGGAAGCCCCAGCGCCTCAGCCGGCCACGGCTTCGGCGGCTTCCACTTTGGCAAGCGCCAGTTCCAGCAGGGTCCCCCTCCTAGCGACTTCCCTACCCCAACTGGCCCTCCTCCCTCAGGCACTCCTTCAGGCACTCCCTCGGGAACTCCTCCTCCATTCTCTACCGATGCCCCCAGTGGCTTCGAGAAGCGCCAGTTTGGCGGCTTCCCCACCCCCTCGGGTACCCCCACCGGCTCTCCCTCAGGCACCCCCTCAGGCACCCCCCCTCCCCCTCCCCCCCTTCCAGAAGCGCCAGTTCCAAGGCCCTCCCCCTAGCGGTTCCCCTACTCCCTCTGGCCCTCCCCCCTACCGGCACCCCCACCGGCACCCCCACTGGCTTCCCCCTCCCCCCTCAGTAAATACTGAGCGGACGGGCCATGCCTCACCATCTACGTGTGCATAGAGCTCGCAGCATGTGCGTCTAGGAATTTTTGATGCCATCTGTGAACATCTCGTGTCACGTCTTTCTTTCACATGCAGTACATATGCTATGTGCGAGGAATTTTGATGGTGATAGTACCTTGGATTCTTTTTGACGTACATATTGGGATTGAGGAATGTGTGACTCAGTGCCTGGTACTGTATATTTTATTGTTTATATGGGCTACGGGTTACGGGTTATAGATATTTCTTTTCTTTTTTTTTTCGGACTTGGTTTGGGGTTTGGATTTGTTTTTGTTGCTAGAATTAAACTTTCTTCTTTCCAGACTGGAATACACTCGTTTATATTTTAACTTGAACGTCATTTTGATCTACCTAGTTCTCTATCATCGCTCTTTGGTTGATTGAACGCCGAGTAGTTTGAACGAGAAAATGATTTGACTGGTATCAACATTATATTCAAGGCATAACTTTATAGTTCCAGCCGAAAACTTTTCGTCGGTGTCAAATTCGAATCTGATGTATAATTGTCAAGGAAAGCGGTGATATAAAACAAGCTTGCTAGTTCAAAAGTGTGATATCGGGAAGATTAAACCTTTGCCCCTATTCCCTTTTCATCAAACAAGCCAATGAAATGCAATTTAGAGAATCAACACTGCTTCAGAAAATCGAGTATCAATATTTCCATACTCAACGTCAGACAGCATTATAGTCTTTCCTACTAACGAAAATATCTCTAATAACCCATCCCCAAGATTGAGACCAGCAAACAGAGGCCATAAGCTCCTCGCTTATTTTAACGATAGAACAAACCATGTGAAGGAATAGCTCCACTTGATCCAAATCCGTTATGACAACGCATTTGAAGCTGGACCAGGCCGAAGGACTGCGTACGACTGCAGATATTCTGCAAATGGGATACTAATATTTCACTCACTACTTCAATTTATAGAACGAAATGGACCGAGCTGGCGATTGGTACAGCCCGTTGTTCACTGGCCGTGGGCAGTTGTCTGCCCTTCAGGGTTAAATCACTGGATACTGCCGTCTTCACGATCTCACCCAAATACCAGCCACGCAGCACGCTCAGTACCGAATTCGCCACTTTATCACACGATGCAATATCTAGCACTGGCCTCTTCGGTTATCCTGTTCGGAATAAATAGCGATTCTAACTAGAATCCAATTTTGGAACATCTTCCAGGTTTCATTCAACAAGTCTAGAGAGCTCAAATACCTACTTCTGGGAAAGTGTCGAATGCGTTCAATTAAGAACCGCGAAAGCAAGGGTACCGTTTCACTAATTCCTTTTACCTTTTTTCAATATCTCCCTTTCGTCTCTCTTTTCTGTATGGCTCAAATTCTTTCTTTCTTCGCTATTCGGAAATGGCGAGGCTGCAGTTGAAAGGAGCTATGGTCTTTGTCGTATACATTACTCCGTACTAGGACCGTTAAAAATATTCAGATCAATGAAAGAGTCGCAGATACCACGTGATGGACAACGCCTAGCTTCCCGCTCGGGCCGATCCTCGAACCTTAATTATGTCTCACCTGGAAACCCCGTCGATCACCGTTTAAATCGTTCCTCAACGCACAGCCTCTTCAGACGAGAATGTTTCCTCTCTCATACTGTGAGCTTTCATATGGAGCTGTTGTTATACAGTAACCAAGTTGAGAGGGCCATTACCTGAAGCCTATATTTTCAAAGCTGCGGTTGAAGGGTTTGGGAACAATGGTCTATCCACAGTTGGTATGAGCACATCCGATGGGACTCGGTACGCATGATTTCTTCGTGCCGAAGTAGACTGAGATCTCGCTGCGTGTGATTGCTGTGTACTAGCAGTGTAGTTCCTGTTACAATATCGTACAGCATCGACACTGACAGTCTCATGCTACATCTAGATCGATATAGCGGGACAGAGAGAGTATGTTGGAAGGGAGCTGTCTCATGTTCCTGGAACTATGCCAGTAAAGCAATCTAAAAGAGACAGACTCGCTTGGGTCTGCTTGGATGATAATTGAATGGGAAAAATAGCAAACAATGTCCTGGTTGATGAGGACACAATTCAGAAACTTGAATAAATTGGTGACATATACATGAATAATTGCTGGAAAGTTTCATACTTGCACTGTTGTGACCAACGGAGGGACTTCGTCTTGAGTCTTAGGCAACGCAGAGATATTCCAAGCTGGACTTGGACTGACTGACCAAGGGAAACCTGCGCTGCTCGTGTGATACCCCTGTGAGTGAAATGCTTGGTCCCATTAACTAAGCAAAGGTCAAGGATTTCAGACCCAAGACTCAACAAAGGGGCATTGGTGCTGCCCATACTTCATGTCCAAGAAAAGAAGAATTGATGGGGGTAGTTTCTGGGATTTGAGAGGCCTCAGCTTTGGGAAACTAGATAAAGAAGCACACATGAGAGAAAATCACTGGTATAAAACGATAGCTGTTTTTTAAACTCTTCTAATATAATTTATTCTCCTTCCATCATTCCAGATATCATCTTGCTGTTTGTCAATTTAGGGCCCTTACTCTTTATTATCGGTATCATCATCGTTGTACCAACAGACCTGTCAAGGATGTTGTCATAGCTGACACGGAGGCTATATACCTGAATTTGCTCAAGCTCCAGCTAGCATTGAATTTTCTTTGAACGTTAATTCAAGTTTTGGCTAAGAACATTGGATAGTCGGCCACAATTCCTGGGCGTCGGCAAAGCCCTGGTTCTGATCGCCCCGGTCCCAAAAAGAAGATGGAGAGGAGAGACAACCGAAGACAGAAAAGACAAGCTACGGACTTGAAAGTGACAACTTGTGACTAAGCAAGGTTCGTCCCTGGATTATTATGATGAAAAAGACGACCTCAGGCCAATAAATCGTTCACATATCGCACCAAAGATGCAGCAAAGGTCTGTCGATAAGCCAGTTGTCATGGAAAACCAGGAGCTTGGAACAATTAACTTCCCTCGGTCGGGGCTCACCTACGTACGCGACCTTTAGAATTGACGAGGCAATCAACATACGTCAACTGAAACAGAACTACTGTGCCAAGAACTATAGTCACCTAGATAGCGGGGTCAATTCTACACTGAACGTCCTTTTCCCAATCCATGCATCGTTTTTCGCATGCTACTGCACTATGTGTACCATGTAGATTGACAGAAGCGAATCCAGGCGTCATGTATACCCATTAGTAATGTATGCAACTAGTGTCAATTTCTCTGAATGCTATTTAGCTGCATAAATTGCTAGGTTACATCGTTGCTGCACATTCACTGGCGCTGGGGATATCAGCAAAGCTCGGTGGAAGAAATAGCCCTAGAGACTATGAGGACCTGATAGATATTTCGGACCGGGTCCGTTTACTGACAGTTTTGATTAAACTGGATATCCTTCAGTCCTTGACAATGTTGGTAATCATGCAGTAAATAGGCTGCAGAAGGCAAATTCAAATCAATAAGCCCTAAGACGGATTAATGCGCCTTTTGCCACATTCAGCAGCATACTGCACAATAGTACGCTGCAGATGGACAAACTGCAGCTAATTGACATCTATTTTAAGACCCAAAAGGGAGGGGAAAGCTAATTAAGGAACAATAATCCCGAGCTCAGACCTGCAGATCTGCGTCACCTCCGAGCGGTAACTTAGGCGCCCGATTGGACATGGGCCTTTACAATGCAATCTACACAGCTGAAAGACATGCATCTCGGGAGAACTAAAATCGAGGCGGTTGGATGGGATAAGCTTTATATCCGTACGCCTTCCGCTGTTGCTGTTGCTCGATTTTCGTCTCGTCCCTGGAGGACAGTGGTAATGCTTTGAGTTCATTGTGCTGTCGATTGAATTATATTGCAAGGGCATATAAATCCATTGGCCACCCCTCCACCATCCCTCAAGATCCTTGTCCGTCGTGATCCCGACCACCGTCCAATCCGAGGCCGTTGTTGCTGTTGGTTTCTGGAGCATTGCAGAAGACGGGAGATCCCCAGCTGAACAAGTGGTCAAGGCTGGTCTGGCGTTCCCAAAGCCTGCTGGCAAGCCGGTGTGTCATTCGGTGCTTGCAGTTCTTGTTAGAACGGGATTTAATATCGACCGGAGCCTGTATCCCCCCTCAATTTGGTTCCCTTTCTCAAAAGCACGAATGTTATCTTTTGTTGAAGGTCGAGGGAAAGCTCACGAGACTACGAATCATACCTACACTTCTTCCACACAAACATCATGGCGGGAATTGTCAACAGCCCGCTTTCTCTCTTCCGAAAGCCAGACTCTTCAAAGCCTCTTCATGCTCGATGGGGCGATGTGTCCATCTCTGTGCCGACAGATGGATCATGGAACCAGTATGACAACCCTCATCGACCAGTGACTGAAACGCAAGCATACGGACCAGGATATGTCCCCGATTGCTCTCCCCAAGACCGAAATCCTCGTCCTGGCAAGGAGGATGACCCAGACGACGATACTCGGAGTGTTTCAAGTATAGAATCAACTGTCTCGCGTCGAAAATCACTGTCACTGGGAGCCTTGCGACCGGGTCGACTCTCTGTCCGCCTAGCCTCGCGCCCCAAACATCTACGAGGCGAAACGGCATCAGAGCGAGATACCCAGCGCGCGGAACAAAAGAGAACAGAGTTTGCGTACAAGCCCATTCAACATGACTATACCTCCGAGGTAGTTGAACAATCAGCAAACAATCGGTTCAAGTATATCCCCACTCAGGGACGGTATCTTGAAGGGTCGAGTTCTCGCTCTGGCGCACCGCGCAGTCAATCAGTCAGCTCCTATCGAACATCATATTCTCGGCGAGAATCCCTAGCCGAATCCATCAGTGAACGAGATGATAGTTACGAGCGTGACTATGTTCCTTCTCAGCATCAGATGGCTCGCGGAAGCGCTTACATCGAGGATGACCGGCGGAGTCTCCGCTCCAGTCTTGGAGACAGCTCGGACAGTTCTAGTGGACGGCGCAATATCGGTCTGCCGCCCCGACGTAATACGTCGCCTTTTGTGGCGGCTGATCGGCGAAGGATGTCCTCTGCTAAGCCGATGACTTTGGCAATGGTTCCTGACCCGGATGAAATCTATGAGTGACGGGTCACGTTTCTTGTTTCTTTTGTATTAGCGGAGTTGTTGTTACGTTGTATGATTTTGAGCATCATTGCGCGGAGTCATTAGCATATGTTGGCGTTTTTGGTTGTTACTGGCCTTCTCAAGTGCCCCAGAATGAATACTTTTCTATTCTAAGTATTTTAAGATGCCCACTAAATCTATTGTAGATTGTATGTTATGCTGAAGATGATCAGCTTAACAGCCTCGGCATATGTACCTGTCTGGGATACAGTGTATAGAATGTGATACATTGACGTCAGACTGATTCAGGGCCGTGTGTGAACAACTCTGTGGAGGCAACTGATCTTTTGAATGTAATGATCCAATTGGTGGGGAGTATCCCCATGCCAAATCCAAGTTTATGTTCGTTATTTTACCGCTTGTTCTGGGAGAATGAGCCAAGCAGTCACTATGATGGCATCCGTACGTCTCTCAGTGTGGCCACTATAGAATTTACAAAACCACTGAACGTATTCTACCTTTCTCTGTTTACATCTTATCAAAAGTTTGTAAGAACAGTGTTTATTCCTGTATTTCTCTCGGATTCCAACTTTTGAAGCTCGATTGGGACACGATGGCTGAAGCAGTGGTTCAACTCCGATGTGGTGTGAAGGTTTGTTAGAACAAAATATTCATAGACTAAGATCAGTATTAACCAAGTGCCTGTTATAGAATGATTCCTGGGGGAAAAAAGGAAAGGAATCCGTCGTGGCTCAATTGTGGTCAAAGTCTCCGAACAATGCGCCAATCGATGAGTCGAAGCATTACTCAGAGGTAACGATATAACACCAAACATCAAGTGATCCTAGTAGACTATTTGCTAATACTAGTATAGATGTGGTTGGGTACTTACCCTTCCAATCCATCATATCTCCTGTCAACTGGCGAACATCTCGGAGAGTATTTGAAGAAAAACCCGCATTTTATTGGCAAATCGGTTCACGATCGATGGGGACCAGAGATCCCCTTCTTACCCAAGGTAAGAAACATGAAAAATTCCAAAAAGAAATCAAAACTTACAGACCAGATCCTTTCATTCAGCAAAGCGCTCCCACTACAAATCCACCCAGACCTCAGTCTCGCCGCAAAGCTTCACGAAGAGGACCCCAAGAAACACGGCGACACAATGCATAAGCCCGAGATAGCAATTGCGCTCTCCAAATTCGAGCTCTTCGCCGGCTGGAAACCCCTCAAAGACATCCAAACGCTCTTCGAACTAAACCACCTAAGCAGATTCATCCCAAAGACAAGCCAATTCACAGACGAAACGCTCCGCCAAATATGCAAAGCTCTCCTCAGCGCCTCGCCCCAAACAATCTCCGAAACAACCAAAGACCTGCAAGCAATCCCGGAGTCCCACTTCGGCGCACACACCTACATTCCTAGCCTGCTAGGCCGCCTAATCAAGCAATACGGCGAAGGCGACAACGGCAACCTCGTCGCCGCCCTCTTAATGAACTACCTAACCCTCGGACCAGGCGACGCAGTCTTCGTACCGGCCGATAGCATCCACGCCTACCTAGAAGGCGACATAGTGGAATGCATGGCGCGCTCGGACAATGTCATCAACACGGGATTCTGTCCCGCCGCCGAACGCGACAGTGTCGAGCTGTTTGGGGCAGCGCTCAGTTTTGTTCCTCATAATGCGCACGATGCCCTTTTGCCCCGGAAGAAGAGCGATAAGGGTATGAATGGTAAGACAGATGTTTATGCGCCGCCGATTAGTGAGTTTAGTGTGCTTTGCATTACGCTGGGTGCTGGTGAAAAGGAGACGCATAAGGCTATTCTGGGGCCGAGCTTGATGATTGTTACTAAGGGGTGGGGGAGTATGAATGTTCCTGGTGGGAAGTGTGTTGAGTTGAAGGAGGGTTGGGTGTTCTTTGTTGGACAAGGGGTTGCGTTGGACTTTGTGACTGAGAGTGGGATGGCGGTTTATCGTGCTTATGCGGAGTAAGAGGCTCAGCTGAAATGGGCTGTTTTGAAGGATTGAAGAGGGGAATTTAGTTTATGAAGATTATAAAAATGGCTTAGTTTGGAGACTTGAATTGCTTGTCTATTATGTTTAGTCAGTGTATAATGTTCCTTTGAAGCCCTAATATGGACCGGTATAGTTCCTAACTGGCTAAGAGGCAACATGTTTGAACTAGGCGTTCGAGGCCGATTGACATCTCAGCCGCTAGAGAACAATAGACGATATTAGCAAGCAAGTATACTATCTAGGTCAAGACAGCGTCGGTGTTGGCTGCAGCTAATTCGCTAGCCGGAGGCGCCCAGTCAACGCACGTCGGTACAGTTGGTCACCGCTATAATTTACCTGCATTTGCTGTTCTATTTTGGACATTTGGGCACATTCTAGCCATTACAACCCCGCATTAGTTCTAATGAAGGCTAATTAAGTATCTATCTATAGCTATCTGGCGAGTCGCAGTGTCCCAAAATATCCGTGAAACAGGGACCGTGTGCCCGAATAAGCCTTGAGCTTGACAGTTCAGGGTCTATATATCTATATCCGCTCTCTACTTTCTCTTTTCAGCTTCCAGGATTGAAGCTCAGTCCAGTGGACCCTCCAAGTCTGGTACTTGTGTCTTAATTGTCTTAATTACCTGGCCTATACAGATGTTTCTTTCCCAACGAAGAGACCCCTGTTCACCACCCTGTTAACCACCCTGTTGACTACCCTGGGATATGTCCATGAAAGCCACTCTTGAATCACGCAGCAATTCATCTCGAACCCCGCTCATTGTTCTCGGCGTAATAGGCGGAACCCTCATCTTCCTGGCAAGTAAGTCTGCAGCTAGAGCCGCAAGTCACCGCGCCAAACTAACCCTAACAGTGAGTGGCACTCTATTATACCTCTTCTCTCGCAAGGAGCGGGCCAGACGACGCAATGCGCTTGCACAGGAGGTCGAGACTTTCTCTCCCCTGCAACCACCCCCAGCATACAAAGTAGACGACTTGCGAGCGCCTCGTCCCCACTCTGCACATCCCCGGCCGCTCTCCTCCTTTGCGCCGGACTTGAGTCGACACGACCAGTTCCCACGGGCATCCTACGAACAGCCCCCACCATATCTCAATCTACCAACATATGACCCCTCCAGATACCAATCAAGTCACCCTTTATCCAACGAGCTCAATGCACATCCCCATCCAACCGCCTATCCCTATTCCAACCAACCCATGCCACACCCCCAGGGTCCTGGTCCATCTTCCCGCTTGAGTGCAGTGCATTACAACAATGACGCCCGGCCGTCCCTGTCCTTGTCGCGACCGCTTTCAATGGTAGGCCAGGTGCCTCCAGGCCCTGGAGCTGGACCTGTGTCTGTGCCTGCAGCAGTGCCCAGACCGAGACGCCAGACGGGTATGCCTCCACCCCCTGAACGGCCAAGACAGGAGGGCCGCGAACGGAGTGTGTCTGAGCCAATGCTACTCCAACCTGCAGGACCAAGACGACCTAAGCCTGTCCTGTCGCGGCTGATCACCAATTTCCGTTGAAAATGTGACGGTGGCTTGAGGGCTTGTTTTTACGACTATTATGACTTTCTGCTTGGGATTCTTGTTACGTCCGAGCTGGGGAAAATGAAGCTTATCTTCTGCTTGGGTACGTGGGTATGCAGGGTTTCCTCGATCTATAATGTTAAATGCAGTGTTCTATGGTCCACTGTATACAATTATCTTGTTCTGTATACACGGTGGAACATCGCAGTCGGTCAGGGCCTACAGTACAGTACTTACTGCATACTCCGATCGCCCAAATCATTGCCGATCTCTCGGCCTGTCTTCGGTGATATTGATCATCCCGCAATTTCTCCTTTGGTGCTGTCGGCGCCTATCGTAGCCTGTGAATGGAATGCGCAAACGCCTCGAGTATGGCGGGCCGATCATAGGGATGTCTTATGCTCTATAGTAGTGATTGAAGCTAGTAAGTATACTACTGTATAGTAGTTGTGAACAGCCCACTTGGCAGGGATATGCACGGTGAGACACAACTACACTACTGTAGCCTACTAACCAACATCAACATCCCCCTCTTTTTAATCCCTGCATCTCGTCTCTCTTCTCTCTCGTCCTCTTTCCCGCTATCGCCAACCCTGCAATAAACATGACCTTTCACAATCCCCAGACCTTCCAACTGGTTGCAGATCCCTTAACAAGCGCCACGCCAAGGTCCCGAGAAGATGCAGCACTCATGGTCAACGCAAGTTGACTGCGCAACTTCGCCCATGAGACTTGACCAGGGTCTCAATCCACTACCCCTCTCGCATGCATCTGCGCACATTCGCAGCCATCGGAGCCTCTCATGTCCGCTAGGATCCCAATCGGGCGTGTGATTTTGGATTTTCTTTTTCTTTTTCGCATCGTCTAGTATCCCGAATTCTGCCTCGGGGTCCAGGGGCCCAGGGGTTTACCCGGGACTCTCAGAGTCCCTAATCGCTTTCCCAACACGTTAAGCAACTGGGATCGTCTCTTTTCTTTCCTTCAGCTATGCGTTGACTAGTGGCGTCTCTATGGACGGTCTTGTGTTGATATAACATCAATTCAGGCCGTTTGCCGGCCCTTGTCACTTTGTCCCTCTTTGTTTCTTTTTGGGCTTCGCTTCTGCGTCTGGCCTGTCACTTAGGGAGATCTCCACGCTCTCGGTGGGGAGTCTGGTTTTCTCTGAGATGAGCAACACATTAGGGAGTGATTTGTCCTCCCTTTGACGCCTCTTGCATTTCAGCCGCGTCATCCTCCATCCTTCCTCATGAGGAACCTTTTCAAGGCCATGGCGACCTTCATGAAGAAATTTAAGAGGAAGCGCAGACTTTCGACCGAGCTACACTCTCGTTGGGGCGATGTCTCGATCAGTTATCCTACACAAGGGTCGTGGAACCAGTGGAATCAACCGGCTGGCTTTGTCACCAATGCATCAAAAGCTTCACCAAACCTTCGTCGTGATGATGATGAACAACGATATACTCCCACAGGCTCCATTCGACAACAGAGCCCTAGCTCTCTGGGTAGGCGATCTCGAAGCGCAGGCCCGCGAGAGAATCCAGTGGGATCCCAACTACCCTTTCCCACAGGGCATTTCGATGAAAACATCCGACGTCGCGCGGGAGACAGAGAGAACCGCCCATTGCCCAACCAAGGACTAGGAATTGGCGATCTTCGAAATGGACCCGGAGGACACTTACCAGCTCGTCGCGCATCCAGTTCCCGCAGCGACGAAAGCACCGTCGATGATTCCTGCGACGAGGATGAGGAACGCGATACGCTAGGTGTTCCACGAGCGCGACTAAGTCCCCGGGATCTTCGAGACTACGACAGCGATATGTCAGCCCCGCGCGACACCATCGACTATGATATCGCCGCCAAATCTCCGCCTCTTTCTGTTACTTCGCGCATGCGCCGTTGCAGCTTCCAGAGCTGCGCCACGGACCCGATGACCTCTGCGTCTGGCGCGCCTAGCTCCAGACGAACAAGTTATACTGCCGCTTCCTCTATCTCTGCTCCGTCTATGCCACCTTCTACCCCTCGTGTTGCATCTAATGTTGCGAACTATACGCCCTTCCCGGAGAAAAGACATGCTCCCCGGGTTAAGCAGGAACCTGAGACTGCACTTCGGCAGGAAATGGTTCCTTCTTATGATGAATTATATGGTTGAGATGATTTGGAACTTTGGATGTAGATATTGTTGGTGGTTCGTTTGAATACTTTAGTAAGCGGTGGTTCATTGCTCAATTGGAGTTGGCTTTAAGATTAATGTTGCATTTTGGCGGTACTCGTGTTGATTTTTCGTCAGACATTTCGTTAGATATTTCGTCAGATATCTCTTGTGTTTAAAACGGTGGAATAATAGCTTTGCGCAGTATTGTCTACCAGTTCAGGGCTGCTTCATTAGTCGATGCTTGGCACTTGACCTCTACTTCCTTTCTTTTTCCCTCCTATTTCCCTCATTTTCCAACTACTATCCAACTTCTGTGAATTTTCTGTTGTATTTCCTTTTTCTCTTTTCTTTTTTTGCGCCGGTAGCCGTTTCTCACCTGGACTCGAAAGAGGGGAATCTGCGCCCGTGCATATGCAGCACGTATCACAGTCACATCCAATCAAGCGTCAAAGACCGTCACGCTCGTCACGCCCCCGACGCATCTACTAACAAGTAAGATGAGGCGAGACCATCCCCAACTGTTCTCAAGGTGTCATCACCAACCAGCCTGTCTGCGATGGTCTCTAAGCGCCGACCAACACCAAGAGGAAACGGAGCTGCATGATTCGACGACACCCTCTCCATTGCCTGTCCCAAGCATTAGCAGCTCTGCAGGTGCATCAGCACAGCGGAACTTCCCTGCCCGTCGACTCAATTGCTCCACCAGGTCATCACATCCATACAGAGACCGCTAGAGCTGGCTCGCAGTGAAAAAAAGAAGCCTTCCCGCTCTGCGCAGTCTCAGTTCCAGATTGCAGTCACGGTTTCTCATGCCAGCGTAATCGTTCACCATCGGCTTTCCGCCTTGACTGCCCCCTCTTCTCTTCTTGGCGATTGCTGCAAGAACCGAAGCAGAAGCTGTCGCGCTATTCGCTCTGATTCAGTATGCTTGGGCTTTGGGAAGGTAGTCCACGGGCTTCCAGGATGCTGGCTATCCTTCTGGCTGTGGCTCCAGTGGTTTCCAGCCTCAGAACTACAACTGGATCGCCCTGTGCGGATGTCTGTGGCACAATAACCAACACCACATCTTCCGAGATTTCATGTCTGGATCAGTCGTATAACACAACCTCCGCCGGAAAGGAGTTCGAAAAATGTATATCATGCCAGTTGGAAAGCGATTTCTACATTTCGGAAACTGGAGAATCAGATGTTGACTGGGGACTGTGTATGTCGTGCCACCTCCGCGAGCTGCTCTCCGATCAAGCGTCAGAACTAACAGATAGATCCAGTTAACTTGCGATATGCCTTTTCAACCTGTGTCTTCGGATACCCAGACTCAATCTCAAACACTTCATCACCATGCCCAGTCGCATGCGATGGTGTCCGGCCAGCTGTAAGAACCGACATTGATGATCCCAGCGTCTCAAATCTGCACTCCTGGTGCGACGACGTCTCCTTCGCCGACAATGTCGTGAACACATGCGAATTCTGCTACAACTTGACCACAACCCAGGTCTACATGGCAAACTGTAAGTATACCGCGTCAGCAACCAAAACCAGAAAACCAAATCACTAACCAAAACCCCAACCCAGTCCTCGAATCAATCCGCTACAACTGCCATTTCAAAACAGCAACGGGCAAAACCTTCGACATAGCCCCATCTCGAATCTTCACCCAATCCCTCCTCCCCTCAAGCCTGTCCCTATCAACCCCAACATCAGGCGGCTCAAAAGTGAACTTGGGCGTGGTAATCGCTGTCCCAATCGTAGGATTCATAATCGTCCTGATCGCCCTGGCAACGTGTTGCTTCTTCTTTATCCGGCACCGCCGCAAGAAGGCCCGGCGTACCCGCCAGTCGCCAAACATATATAACCAATGGAATGACCCGGGCGTCATTTCCCCGTATGGGGATCATCAGCAGAATTGGTTGCATGCGAATGCTAATGCCAACGCCAACGCTGGCTATGGCTATGGTTATGGCAATGGTTTTGGCTTCGTTGATAATGATGGGCGTGGGCAGCAGCTTCCGGATCAGAGTCAGCAGCTGAAGGGTGGCTTCTCGCCGGTTTTTACTGAAACATCGCCTGATGTGCAGTATCAGCAGCAGAACTTTGAGTCTCAGCATATGTTTCAGCAACAGCAGTATCAACACCAGTATCAGCAGCACCAACAGCAGGCACAGGCTGAAGCTCAAGCTCAAGCTCAGCATCAGCCTCAGGTGCATGATCCTGATAAGAAGGTCCCGCAACAATGGGAGTAAGAATAACGGGATTTCCGCTCCTGATTGCTCTTCTGTTTCCAGTTCTGCACCAAATGGAAGAGTCGCCGTGTGTTCTCTTCTGCTTCGCACGAGAGGCTTTCAATGTGGTGGAACATAATGAGATCAGTACATGATCTCACATCATAGTCGAAGGCGTTGTTCAGGTTAATGAGTTGTGTTCGTTCGGCGCGTGTTTTCATTTCATTCCATGGAGTTGATCTGCTCCTACAGCGTCCATATATCCCAACATTATGAGTGTATGTCGTGTGCTTGTGCGTCTGTGTCTGCGTCTGTGTCTGCGTCTGTGTCTGCGTATCTTTAGCATAAACCTGCCTGGAGTCAATAGTCAATAAGTTAATCCATCAGTAACATTCAAACCAAGAAAAGTCCATATCCATCCCCAGTAACCCAAGATAACCCCAAAAAGGAATAAAAAAAGTATGTACCGTGCTGCAAGAACAAAGTCCAAAACCCTTGTCCTAACAATCCTGTACTAGTATACTGTACAGTATCCCCCCCCCAAACCAAACCCCCTAACAAGGGCGCCAACCCACAATATAAGTACTGCACTCCCCTCCCGCGCATAGAAAACCCCAAGCACCAACCCCCAACATCCCGCCTCCCAAAATAGCACCGCAAACGCCCAACGTCCACACCGAGATGAAAACCCACACCACGCAGATATACGAGAAGATCGGCTAAGATGACCGGCTGGACTGGAGCCAAACCCACCTGTCAGAAGGGCGTATTGCGCTGTGGGCGTTTGGCAAGCGTTTCAGCACGCCCGGCCAAGGGTCCAAGGGTCCAATGAGGGGTGGGGGGTCGATCTTGAGGCTATTTTTGGATTTGGGGTGTTGTTGCTTATGCTTATTTTTGGTTTTGGGCTTGGGATGGGGCGGGCTGTTGGATTCGGCCGAGGTGTAGCGCTTTGTTCGGGGTTTTGATGTTGTTGTTTTTGTTGTTGTTAGTAGTGGTGGTTGGAGAGGATGTAGGGCATGGCTTGATTAGTCTGCGACAGAGATTTGGTTTGTATGGTCCAGTTCATCTTTGGGGGAGATTGTTCTCTGCCTTTTGGGAAGTATTTTGTGCTTGGGGATTCTTGTACGAGAATTTGGACAGTGATAACTATACGGTAAGTCTTTGGACGTCTCCGCAGTACTATCCTGTTATCTTGATCAGGGGCTTGTGATTACTTTTCTATTAATAGGATCGAGGGAAGGAATTTGTACGGATTTTACCTGCTGTTGTATTCCGTGTATGCTATTTGACATCTACATCGTGAGAATGTATTCTTAGGAAGATGTATGATGCTCCAATTATTGAATACTGTGTGGAGGGCGTTGGTTTATCTCGAGTTCAGGAAGCTAAAGCCCATGATCCAAGGGAATCAGATAAAACCGTGCTTTGTTCAGTCTTCAAGGCTTTGCTGATAGGTCCAGAGGAACTCGCTTCCTAGAGTCACTGGGCTCACAGTGCTGATAATTTGCGCTGGTGGACGAGGGTAGGTCAAAGCCTGTACTCTTTTTTTCTTTGTAGCAAGCTAGTTGATATGTTCTGGGCTGAGTGAGCTGTATGAATGTATGAAGGTGAGTTTGAAGTTACACTTCGTGTAGTGCGACCTGGAGGGTTGGCGTGGGGGTAGACAAGAACCATTTGTTGTACGTGGTTCATACGTATGGTTGATAGTTCCTTCTAGCCTTCCTATTGAATATATGAGAAAACCATTCGCTTTCGAAATTGAGTGCTCAAAGCTTCCAGTTGAGAGTATGTGACAGAGTCCATTTAGTTAAGAGGTATATTTTGGAGCATAGAGGATTCACAGAATAATTCAGAATAATTAAAAATAGTTTAGAGCAATTGCAAGGCATGCAGAGTGATTCAAGTAAATCCAGTGAGGTCAACTCAAAATCCCCAGTAAACACAAGCCTGCCGAAGATCTGGGGTGGATCTACAAGCTTCTCATCCGCAACTCTCTTCCCCGACAATATCTCACCATGTCGGCCCCTACGCAAGAGCAAATCAAAATCCTTGAGCAATCGCGCCAGCGACTGGTGCAGCTCACCCGCTCACTAGGCTCTCTAATTTCCAGTCTACACTCAAGCGACCCTCTCCCGCCGTGGTAAGTCCCACGCCCACCTTACCAAAGACAATCTCCAACCTCCAACCTCCAACCTCACAAAGCCGAACCCGAACCCAGATACTGACAGAAACCAGGTCATCCCTCCAATCCCAAGCAAGCATCATCTCCAACAATCTCCTCAGCGTCTCCGAGCAACTTTCCGAGCAACGCGACCTCTTCACCTCACTAGTGGCCTACCCAAGCCCCGAATACCCCGGCCGAACCCAAGCCCCAACCCTCGAACAACTCCTGCGCACAAAGCTCGACCCCCGCGTCGAAGATTGGGTCGCGCGCGGCCGCGCCGCAGGCTCAGCAACCGCCCCGTCCCAAAGTACCCTCCCGTCACCGTCGCGGCTTGTCCAGGCCGAAGGTGCCGATCAGAAGCTCAGCGAGGCGGAGCTCGCCCAGCTGTGGGAGTGGGCTCCGTTAGAGGCAAACCAGGAGGCTCGACGGAGGAATTGGGGTGGGAATTTTACGCTTGAGGAGCGGGAGAGTGGGGTTCAGAATGTTGTCACAGGGCTGAAGAGGCAGCTGGAGGATGATCTGGGGTCGGATGAGGAGAGTGAAGGGGAAGAAGATGAGGAGGAGGATGGGAAGGAGGAGATGGATATTGTTGGCGTGCACCGTAAGTCAGTTGGTGGTGGATTAGAGTTTGATATTGCTGTTCGGCACCCGCATCCTGTTCAGCCTTTTGTGCCGTTGGATGATATTTTGAAGTACATGACTACGGGGCGTTTGCAGTAGTGAGTTTGGTCTATTGAGCAGGGAGGTTCTGCTATCTACAAGACGGCGCATACCGATTGGCGCTCATACTTCTACTTGAGCTCAGTCTTGATGAATACGATTTGAAGTGGCCACTCTAGCCAATGAACTCAACCGAAAGTGTTATTAAAGATATAACCTGACCGGAAAATAAAAGAAGTCCAAGAAGAAAGTATATCTAGCCCCGTCGGCGGGTGGTGGGGGTCTTTGCACCTCCCTTGGGCGACGCTCCAGTGCTCTTGGCCGAAGGTGCCTTCTCGGCAATCTTTGCGCGAGGGGCCTTCTGCTTGGGCGCCGGCGCGTTCCAGTACCAGAGCATCTGTGTGGCGAGGATCACGTTGAGAGAGAAGCCAGCAATGAATCCGTAGAGGATGAGGTTGTCATCGACTTCTTGGAGGGTAGTGAAGATGCGAGAGAGAGATCCGGCGAGGTAGTTGAAGACCTATAAAATACAATAATACTTAGTATACGGGTAAAGCACGCACAGTGTACAAACATGACTTACCGCGAATGCGCTCAGCTGTCCAGTTCCTCCTTCGCGCCAGATGGTATAGATTTGGGGCGCCTTGCTAGCAACTCCCAAGGCGCCAGCACCAGCCTGCAGGTAGGCCATGGTCTGCGCATCCACAAGGGTCTGGTCGAAAAGCAGGGCGTACACGCTAGCAGCCACAACCGCCACGAAAGCCGCGGCAGCCGCAGACCGTCCAGCGTAATTCAGAACCAAAACACCGACGGCAATATCCTGGACGGCAATAAGAGCAGTCTCACCATATGTGCTGAAGGGGAACTGGTTGCGCACGCCGTAGGAGAGGGTGATGAGCAAGCTGGCGGTTTCGAGGGCGTATGAGACGAAGGAGACACCGGCCGAGGAACGGGAGTTGATCAGCTTCAGGATCTGCGGGATCTTGACAACAGCGCTGGCACCAACGATGGCCAGACCAAGAGCCTTGGAAATGGCCAGCGATGTGCAGGCAGGGTCCTTGGTAACATCGAGGTTGAGGAGGAGCGCGCTGTGGCAAGTCTCTCCGATCAAAGACACAACGGCATTATGCACGGGTTCTGGGATCGCAGCGACAATAGGCTCGAGGTAGGGCTGCAGAGGAGTAATCACCGAGTTCTGAAGGACGTCCATGGTGAAATGCAAGTAGGTTGAACTAAAGACAAGAGCATCATGCCACAGAACAAATGTTGACATTCACGGATGTGGCCCGTGCACCGGGGAAATTCAACTTCTCTCGTCCACTTTTCTCTCTTCTGCACCGACACGCCATGATCCCTCTGCGGCCCTCCTTGCTGAGGCCTCGAGAGGCGCTTATATGCTCACAATGTCTTGTTCGGACCCGTCCCTCCCAGCATTCCGCTATTCGGGGCTTCCTATCGTCATCGAAACGACGAACGGGGATCGCGGATGACCAGAGTGCTTCCGCACTTCACAAGTCATACTTCTCGGCCAATCGGATTTTTGACAGATCAAGCACTAGAGGGGGACTGTTATCTTCACTTGCCTCGAACAATGCCTCAAAATCGACATCCGATTCGCCCAACGACGCTTCCGCAACCCCGGCCGATGCTTCAACAGCTTCGTCCGAGACAATCGCGACAGCAGCAAGTTCAGAAGAATTACCGCACCGGCGCAGGAAGCGTTTGAAGGAAGAAAGCAACGGAACTGGACAACCCGAGCCCACAATTCCTCTGGATGCCTCGGCGCAACTGTCAAACTTCTCGTCTGCACTCCCCACCACCTCCATCCGCCGCAAATTGGCTGCATATCTCGCCCTGACAAAACCCCGATTGTCTTTCCTGATCGTCCTCACAACCACATCCGCATACGGAATGTACCCGATTTCGTCTTTGCTCACACTCGACCCGGCCATGACTCCACTCCCTACACTTTCGACCTCGACCTTGACCCTTATATACCTGACTGCAGGCACATTTTTGTCATGTTGCAGTGCGAACACACTGAACATGATGTTTGAACCGAAATACGATGCGCTCATGTCCCGCACCCGCAACCGTCCGTTGGTTCGTGGCCTTGTCTCCAACCGGGGAGCTCTCTTGTTCGCCGTTGGCACTGCTGTTACGGGTCTCTCCCTCCTTTATATTGGTACCAACCCGACGACCACCGCTCTGTCTGCCGCGAATATCTTTTTGTACGCGTTCGTCTACACGCCATTGAAGCGAGTTCATGTGATTAACACCTGGGTTGGCGCGATCGTTGGCGGTATCCCACCGCTGATGGGCTGGATCGCTGCGGCTGGCTTGACTGCCACAATTGGTCATGACACCTGGCGCGACATGCTTTTCAGCGAGGAGAGTATTGGTGGATGGTTGCTCGGTGGAATCTTGTTTGCCTGGCAATTTCCCCACTTCAATGCTCTGTCTCACATCATCCGTGATGAGTACAAGGCCGCCGGCTATCGGATGATGGCGTGGGTGAACCCAGCACGTAACGCTAGAGTCTCTCTGCGCTACTCTCTTTTGATGTTCCCCATCTCCATTGGCCTCTGGTGGTACGATGTGGTCGGCTCCGGATTCTTAGTGAGCAGCACCATCGCCAACGGTTGGCTGGTACGCGAAGCGTACCGTTTCTGGCAACACCAAGGTGCTAATGGCACCGCTCGTGGGCTATTCTGGGCCAGTATCTGGCAGCTTCCTGCGTTGCTTGTCGGTGGTCTAGTGACCAAGAAGGGTCTCTGGGACGGCGTGTGGAGGAATATCTTTGGACACCCTGACGAAGATGACGAAGAATACATCTACTATGAGGATGAGGAGGAAGCCGAAGGTAACAACTCTGAGAATCGAGATTCGACGTCCCGGCTGTCATCGAAGCAAACAAAACCCAGTACTTTATCTACGGTATGAGACTTGGATCTTCACCTTCTCCTGTGGTATATATTTCGCTCTCTTTTTTTCAGCACAATGAGCTGCTCTCTTTTTCTATCGAACTATATCTCGTTTCTCCGGGTTTGTCTTATACAGCGGTTTGGTGTGGCGTTCTCTGTTTTTGTATAACACCAGTCTCATATGGAACCTATTTCCAGATTATATCGTCCCTGTTTCTTTCTACACTGTATTTCATGATACAATCTACAACCTTAACATTTTGGCAGCATGTTTGCACCGATTTACGCGGGAAAACATATTCTTAGAGAAGAATGTATTGACAGTATTTTCAGATCTAAGAACAGGAAAACGAGCCAGAACTATCTTCTCCCAATCCATCCTCCTCAGCCCTTCACAACCAACCACCTCACCGACCTATGTCATCAATTTATCTAAGAGGAAGTGGAAAGACCAGCAGCCTTGATCAAGAACTGCGCAGCTTCCTTGGCATCACTGCCATAGCTCAAGTGAGCCATGACATTGGCACCGTTCAAGCAAACCGGGTCACCAGTAGCGCAGTACTCCTTAACCTTGCTGCTGTCAAGCTTACCAACAGCCTGGGCCTTGAACGGGTCACCGAAAAGAATAGCACCAGCGACCTGGTCAGCGGAGAGGCTGTTGGCAGCATTGTGCACGACCATGGATCCCTGCGAGTATCCACCAATAACGACCTTAGTCTTGGGGCACTGAGAAAGAGCCTGCGTGACAAGCTTGGCCATGACGGGACCACCGTTTGCGCCCATAGCGGCGTTGCTCTGCCAAAAAAAAAAGAATAGTGAGTTACGTGTTGCCAATTTTCTCAAGATCAAAGGGAAGGATTAATCGTACCTCAGCAGTAGCTGCATAAGTCACACCCTGGACGGAAACCTTGTCACCAGTCAAAGACTTCAACTGCGTAGCGACGGGAGGTCCAACAACGGAGCCCATGTTGCCCATCTCGTCACTGCCGCGGGCGAAAATGAAAGTCAATTCCTTGCAGCCGTTGTTATCGGTGACATCGTTCGCGGTAATAGAGCCAGAGGAGCCTAATAGACTCTGACGTTTAGCCTTGAGACTTGGAATAGCGGAATCAGTGGGGATATTACTCAGGCCAGGGATGCTGAATCCGCTGCTACCAGAGCTGCCACTGCTGCCCGTGGAGGGAATAAGGGACGCTAGGGCGCCGAGACCGCTGCTAGTACCGGAGCTGCCGCTGAGGCCACTGGTCAGCGAGGAGAGGTCGAACTGGCGTTTTTCAATATCCTCGCCGTCGTCCCGGGCCTTGAGGTTGATACCAGCACCGAGTCCAGCGCCAGCATTGGCGTCGACGTCGGCGTTGCCGCCAGCGCTGCCACCGATACTGAAGTCGAAGTTGCGCTTCTCAGCTTCCTGAGCGTCGCGGCGGGCCTTGAAGCCGAGGCCGCTGGAGCCACTGGAGCCCATGGAAGGAATGAGGGACTCCAAAGCGCTCAGTCCACCGCTGGTGTCGGAGCTACCACCGAGAGAAGGAATGAGGGATTCAATGGAGCCAAGACCGCTGCTGCCAGAGCTTCCACTCAGGGAGGGAATGAGAGACTCCAGGGAGCTGAGTCCACCGCTGGTGCCAGTGCTTCCGCCCAGACCGCTGGTCAGAGAAGAAAGGTCAAACTGACGCTTCTCGACGTCACGGCCAGTCTTGAAGCTAGGCAAACTGGGAGTGCCGCTAGGCTCAGCACCAGAGCCTCCAAGAGCAGGCAGGCCAGTGAAGCTGGGCAGGCTCGGGGTATCCGAGGAAGAGGCACTGGAACCTCCGAGACCGGGGAGATTACCGAGACTGGGGAAGCCAGAGCTAGAGCCAGAGCCGGAGGATGAGCCGCTAGACTCACCTCCCAGACCGGGGAAGAGAGAGGCCAGAGCGCCGAGACCACCTTCAGTTCCAGATCCACTGGAACCAAAACCCGAGAATTGACGATTCTCGAGAGTCTGGGTGGGAGCACCGAGGGCTGCGCCAGCTAGGGCGAGAACGACCGTGTTTCTCATATTGGAAAGAAGGAAGTAAAGAAGGTGAACGAACGAACAAGAGACCAGCTCTGCGGTATACAAGGAATCAACGAAGGAATGGGCGGACTGAGGATGGATGGTTCAGTTGCTTTTTGAGAAACGACGACAAGCCTTCTTTTATATCCTTCCAACAGTACATCGTCGATGCCGAACTCATAAATGCCGAATCTCAGTCGACCGAGGTTGAATCGAATTTTCATCTTGCGATGCAGTCATGCATCCGGAGAATGTCTACATCGAGTAACTGGTAATCCTCATGAAACAGAACGGCGTGCCCTGTTTCATCCTGTGATCCCGGAACCCGTGGCTTGAATGTTAAATCAGAGTCGATAGATTCTATGGCTGGGTATGCACGACTCATAAATGGGTTCTTTTGCAAAGTCGACAGTTCCAACATACTAGATTACAAGGCCATAGTGAACACTGATCTTCACTATATCCAAAAAAGGAAACAACCCGCCGTTAGCTCAAGTCCAAGAAATGGCCTGGGCGTATTTCGTCCCGAGTGATCGTCAAACTCGACAGATCAATTCTTGAATAGATGAACCCCGACTAGGGTACTGCAGTGGCCCAGCAGGCACAGGGCGGATTCTGAAACAGCGATACAATTAATTGCATCGGCCGAGGCTGAGAGTAAATGAAGGCGTCCGATGGATAGTTCTCAAAATTGAGACGTTCCCACCCGCATTGGGCAATTTGACCGTTAGCCCTAAAATGACCCTAAAAAGGGCCAGGCTAAACAAGCCACAACGCCCAACGGACCACAAAAAAGGGTCTCGGGTGCCCTGTTCAGGCATGGGCCCCTGTCCCCGTTTCCGTTAGATGCATATCTAGTCTTTGATATAGTTCGGATCTGTTTCAGGTTCTATTCTGGCCTCACGTGGATGTGTCGATTTTAGCCGGCCGAGCCGGGGGGAACCCTCGGAACCGCGTGGTGTGATATCAGATTTGAATTGAGGGTGCAAGAACCACGGATATAAGTTACTGAGATGAGTGATAATTGGGAAATGCTAAGCCAATGGGCTATCGAATGTTGGGTATAGTACATAGATATAGTACAAAAGTTGGTACATGTGGTTCTCCTTGAAAAGCGGAATATGCATGCCCGTGCTTAGCATCGGATATGAGCACGAAAACAAGCGTGCTGATCTACTTTCTCAATTTCAGGTGATAGGTCTCCAATGCTTGCTCGGTCATGGGACTAGGTGCGCCGACCATGGCATCGTCGCCTCCTCGTCCGGTCTTTGGGAAAGCGATCACGTCCCGCACAGATTCCTTGCCCAGCATGACAGCAATGAGCCTGTCAAAGCCCAATGCAAGACCCGCATGTGGCGGACACCCGGAACGCAGAGCATCGAGCAGATGTGAGAAGTCTTCCAATCGTTCTGCTGGCATCTTCAAGATATCGCGGAAAATGAACTCCTGGACTGCTGCATCGTGGATACGCCGACTTCCACCGCCCAATTCGACTCCGTTCACGACTAGATCGTAGTGGTCAGCCACGGCTTGTGTAGGGTCTGTGAGGAGGAGGTCGACATCGGCGGGGGTCTTCGGTGCGGTGAAGGGGTGATGTGTTGAGGAGATGCCTGCTGCACCACCCTGGCCGGGCTCTGAGTCAGAAGAGGGTGAGAACAGAGGGAAGTCGACAACCCAGAGGAAGTCAAAGCCTGTAGGGGCGGACTTGAAGCCTGTCGAGACACTTGACGCATGTAGTGCACGACGCAGGTCACCAATAGGAGTTGAGCCGCCAGAGAAGGGAGCTCGAGGTCGTGCCTGGAGAATGATCAAGTCGCCGTGGTCTGGGTCTAACAGCTCCTCAACATGCTCAGCGGCCTGGAAGCCGAAAGGCTGTAGTCCACACAGAGGCTGCTTGCCGTTATAGATGAAGACACCTGGGCCACCGTCCGGGTTGGTGTTGAATGGCGCACCGGCAGGCGAGTCAAGGAATTGACTGATAAATTTGTGGGTTTCGGCAGGATCATTCTCGTTTCCTTCCACCTTGAAAGCCTCCACGATAGGATCCTCCAGGTCAGAGATTTTTCCAATTAAATCAACAGGCAGAAGTTGATCAATTCGGATGATTTCCATGCCATATCTTGTGTCTGGCTTATCAGAGCCATACTTGGCCATGACTTCCTGATATGAGACTTTTCGGAACGGGCCCTCTGGTGCAGGGTCTTTCATCAAAGTCGACCAAAGTCGACGAATAACCCCCTCAATTGTCCGCATCACATCCTCGCCAGTAGCAAACGACATCTCCATATCAAGCTGCGTAAACTCCGGCTGACGATCGGCCCTCAAATCCTCATCGCGGAAGCAGCGCGCAAATTGATAATATCGCGGTAGCCCACTTGCCATGAGAATTTGCTTATACTGCTGCGGACTCTGAGGCAAAGCATAAGCTAGCCCCTCACGACGAGTTGGAACAATAAACTCGCGCGCACCCTCAGGCGTAGACTTGAACAAGAGCGGTGTCTCAATCTCCATAAACGGCGGAGACTGCTTTTCAAGCTCTTCCTTGCAAAGGTTATGAGCACGAGCACGGAACCGCAGTGCATCGCGGAGCTCTGCATCCGAGCGCAGCTGCAGGTATCGCTGCTCAGGCGGGAAGACCGTTTCGGGTGTCATAATGGTATCCTTGGGGAAGTCATTTAGAGCATGTATCTCCTCCAATGCGAGCTCCCATGAGTCCTCGGCAGGTTTATCGGCTGACTCCGAGGCTTTGGATTTCTTTTTTTGTACAGTGCCGCGCACAGCGACGGGGCTGTTTGCATTGAGGGCTTTGAGTTGCTCTAAGGCATTGTTCTTGGCAAATGCGACGACTTGCAGGCTATGTTGCAGAGTGGGATCGGACAAGCGCACGAACGACAATTTCTTGGAAAGATCAGAGCGCTGACCGAGATATCCGTGAAGCACTACTTCGGTGTTTGGCTCAGCCTGGGCGAAGAAGGTCTCGAAATCATGAGTCGCCGGAGGGAAGTCCACTGTAGATGATAGGTATTAGTCACAATTCGAGCTCCAGGGCAGTGGAAATTAGACGCATGTCGACATACCAGCCCGTTTGTAAGCCTCCAAGAAAGCTGGCAGCTCCTTAGGAGGCTCCTGCTGCAAACAAGCCCGAGCATGGAAATACCGCGGTGCATGAAGCGGCCGATAGCATTGTCTCGACCGAGCAGCAGCACGACCACGAAGGATATTTGTGATTTCCAGATGACTAGACCTCAGGCGCAATGAGCGCATGGGCAGCATACCCATTGGCATATTGTAATACTAGAATAAAAGACAAAACACCGTCAAAAACAAGATGGTCAGATCGGATCAAACCACAAAAACCGGCAGAATCACTCCCCGCCCGGCGAGCGGACTAGCGCGGGCAGAAATAAAACCCGCGCGCTTTTCTCTTTTTCTTTCTTTTCTTCATCCTTCCAAGTTTTATACTTGTAAGTCTACCTGTTCTCCCTGGCTGAATTGCATTTACTGACTGTTTTTTCTAGAATGATGAAAGCCTAGTGTGTTATATATGAGACAGTCTCTTCCCTCTGAGACGTGCGGCTCTCTTTCTTCGGAGAGCTTAAGGGCTGTACGACTCGAGGGGTGGGTTTGTGATATATGCGTTCGGCATACCAACCTTGTTTACACAACGGACGCGATGAAGGCATCTCTGATCCTCTTTTACAAGCTTGAAGGTGTAACCACGGCGTAGAGCTGTGGTTGAGGCTGGTCCACGTTGGAAGGGAACGGATGCTGGACTAGCTTTGGAAACATTGCTACATGACAGTGGTCCTCTCTTCTAGCTTTGAGATTTTATAGCAGGCCTTTGAAACTCCCTGGCTCTGATATTCGACTTCTTTGCCTCGGTGGTTCTCACATGTGGCTTTGACAACAAACTATAGCATGCTTGCATGGCCATAATATTTGTTTTCATGACTACATCTGAGCATCCCATTCAAAGCATTAGAATAAAATTCAATAATTCAATTTGCAGATATCATATATCACAAGTTTTCAGTCTGGTGCATCTAAATTGTTCAGACCCATAAGAATATCTCACTTTTCACTCTTTGCCCGATCTCACCCTATTTATTCACATCAACACCCCATCATACCCATTTACTCAAAAATCATCTTCTCGAGAACCTCCTTCTCTCCACTATTCTCAACCAGATTCCTAAAAACACCCCCCTCAATGCCCATTAGATCCCTGGGCGTCCCAAACTCCGCCGCGCGCCCAGCATCCATAACAAGAATGCGATCAAAGTCAGCAATAGTACTCAGGCGATGCGCAATAACCAACAAAGTGGTAGCATTCCGCCCAAACTCAGCCCGAATGGACGTCTGAATCAAAGCATCAGTCTCCATATCCACAGCCGACGTCGCCTCATCCAGAACCATAATCTTCGGTTTGGAAACGATAGCACGCGCTAGACAGAGAAGTTGGCGCTGACCCTGGGAGAGGTTGAGTCCTCCCTCAGAGATGGTTGCGGAAAGAGATGTAAATGCGTTCGCATTTGTCTTCTGTTTGGGAACAGGCTCGGTGCCAGCCTCGCTGGGCTGGCGCGGCGTCGCTGTCCGAGAGGTGAGTGTTAATTCGTCGTCGTCTGCTTCGGAAATAAGATGCACGCGCGCTAGCGAGTCGTATAATTCCGTGTCGCTGTATTCACCGAATGGATCGAGGTTCGAGCGGACAGTTCCTGAGAAGAGAACCGGGTCTTGTGGGATGATAGCGAGACGACTGCGGAGGTCGTGCAGCTTGATCTTCGATACATCGAGTCCATCGATGATAATTTGGCCAGATCGCGCTTCTAAGAAGCGGAATAGTGCGAGCGTTAGTGATGATTTGCCCGCGCCTGTACGTCCGACAACGCCTACGCGCTGGTTCTTTTCAACTGCGAAGCTTAAGCCGTTGAGGACTGGCGGGAGATCTGGTGCGTAGCCCACGACTAGATCGTTGACTTCGAGTCGGCCTTCTGTTGGCCAGGCGGCTGGGGCGTCCAAGCCTCCCTGGTTCTCGAGTTCGATGTTGGAGTATTCAATTACACGCTCTGTGGCGTTCATATTCAACTCCAGGTTAGCGTATTGGCGGAGAGCCATGGCAATTGCGGAGTTATATTGCAGTGCGAAACTCAAGGCAAAGCCGGCAAGCGATGCGGTGATACCGGGGACATAGACGATGAGGGCAGCAGTGAGGGTTGAGAAGATTGCGCCGACGACGTTCATGCGGAAGCCTAACCAGCGGTTGAAGAGCCAGAGGTTCCACCAGGCCTGAGCGTGGCGGTTGATCTTGCTGTACATGATCTCGATGTATGTGTCTGGTTTGCTGAAAGCGCGGATTGTGATGAGGCCCGCGAGACTGGAGCCGAATTGCTCGAAAACAGGGCTCTTGGCTGTACTTTCCAGTCTTTTGATCTGGCGCGCACCAGCTAGGTAGGTCAGGGATAGCTTGAGGCATATCAACAGGAGGACAATGGCGAATACGATCACCACTGGGGACACGAGCATTCCGGCTATCATGATCCCCAGGACCTCGAGGATCTTGGCAGCGAAGAAACCGAGGTCGTAGCCGATTCGGGAGTCGAGGGAATGGAAGTCTGCTGTAAAACGGTTCAGGATTCGCCCTAGAGGGACTGTGTCTAGCCATCGGAGAGGTGCGCGGAGAATGGCGTAGATTAGCCCGTTGAAAAGATTTCTTGAGGCTCGTACTGCTCCGCGGAGGACGAAGTAGTATCGAATTGATCCTGCAATGCAGGCTATAACGGAGAGTGCTACGTAAACTCCGAGATACATGGCGAGGTTGTCGTCCTGTGGGGGTAAAGTCGGCTGCATGCTGTGCTGTAGTAGAACATGATACTGCTCAGGATGTACTTGAGTATTGGACGATGATCCCGTCCAGATGTTGATCCACCAAGCCTGATGAGATGTTAGCATAATTCAAACATAAAGCGAAAAATAGGGCTCTGGGATGGTCACTTACTCGTCCAACCATGAGACCTGCAAATAGCAAAAAGATACAGACAGTCATGATCCAGAACGGCACCGAGCCACCCATACCCAAGAAAGAACCATAGATCGCAAGTCGCACAGATCCAGTCTCGCGCTTCTCATCCTCAACAAACTTCTTCGGTGCAGTAGCTTGCGCTTGTGCGTTACCGTTCCCGTTAGAAGCATGGCCGTTAGTGTGGCCATTAGCAGCCGTACTCGGCCGTCTACGAGACGTGTTGGAGATAATCTTCTGCAGTGTCGTCTCTTCGTCATTCAAGAATTCACGACTTTCCTCATCGACGACAGCTTGATCTGCCTCTTCGGCAGCATGCTCTTCGCGAAGAATATCCTCAAGTTGATGGGATTCTTTCAAATCATCGATGGTGCCAGCGTACTTGATGCGTCCATTCTCCAGCAAAACAGAGTAGTCCGTACGAGGGAGGCAAAGCGCGACATGATGAGTAACAAGAACACGGGTCCGACCCTGTCCCAGTTCACCAGTAAGTGCATTCTCATAAACGAAACGACCAGTGTGTGCATCCAACGCACTGAAAATGTCATCCATCACGAGGATTCCCGCTCGAGAGTACAACGCCCGAGCAAACGATATACGCCAACGCTGACCTCCACTCAGGTTCACACCGTTGGCGCCGATATCAGTCAAATCACCATCGGGCAGCATTTCAAAGTCTTTCTCCAAAGCACAAGCGAAAATGACCTTCTTGTAGCGCTCTGCGTCGTCAGGGAGTCCGAACAAGACATTATCTTTAATTGTTGCATTTTCAATCCATGGGATCTGCGCAACATATGCAATAGCCGAGTCGATGATCCAGTTGGCCTTTGTTGCGAGGTGGTCGTAGCGCTCCTTAATGGGAAGTGGAACAGGTACTTTGACTGTACCACTGAGTACATCACATTCACCCAGAATGGATGAGAGAAGCAGACTCTTTCCAGAGCCTGTACGACCAGATACCACGCTCAGACTTTTAGTCGGGAAATTCAAGTTCAGATCGCGCAGGACGAATCTGTCCTCGTCATCTTGAGCATTTGCCTCGGCAGGCCATGCGACAGAGGCATTTTCGAAGGCGATATACTCGGCAGGAACCGTGTTAACAACCTTCTCTGAGGTAGCTAAAAACTTGTCAATTCGATCGGCACTAACCTTGGCCTCGAGACCAACAGAGGTAAGCTCAGGCAAAATGGCCAAGGACATTTCCAGTGAACCGAACACAGACATGGCTGTGAAAGCCACGGAAGCAGTCAAGCCGCCATGGATCGTGGCATATGTAGCCAGAGAGACAGCAGACAACCCAACAGGACCAAGAATCCAGATGGAAATCAGGGCAATATCGGCTAAGAATGCAGCCCATAATGCGCCCAGCTCTGTTTCTCGAGTCTCCTGCACACGTGTCTGCCATTGTTCCTCCAGTGCAGAAAACTTGATCTGCCGAATGCCCTGTAGCACCTCTGTGACAATAGCGAGCTTTTGATCACGGAACTTCATCAAACGATCTTGGGCTTTTGAGTATTTCCTAGCAGCGTAGATGTTCAACGGCGTAACAAGAGCAGACACAGCAAGACCAGCGAAAGCGCTCCGCCAGCCCAGAATCTGAACAAGGAATCCACAACCGATAAGAATCTTGACAATGGCAAGCGGAATGACATAGTTGAAAGCAGCAAAATCGGAGATGCGACGCGCATCCACCGCAGCAAGGTTGATAATACTCTGTCGGCTTTTCTTCAGCGCCTCTTCCGCATCCTCCTCAGCCTCAGCCTCAGCCTCCGCAGTAGTTGTCTCAGCGCCATCCTTGGCCGATTTCTTCGTATGCTTCGCATCCTTCCTCCTCATAGCCTTGGCAAAGATAACAGCCGACAACTCCGCATAAATCGGCACACCCAGTCTCGAGTAAATCACCCAGAACAACCACGCCTCAACCGTAGACGAGACAAACATCAACGCGCCCAGCGCAAGAACCCACAGGTACGATGCACCCGCATTCCAAAACGGAGTATTGCGCAACTCCAGCGTCTTCAGAACCTGAAACAGCGCAACCTGCGGCCCAAAGCTCAAGAAGCAACTAATGAGAGTCAGAACCATCTGAACCGTCAATGCACCTGCATGCGCAAAGATAATCCCCTTCCAAATCTTTTTATCTTTCCTCGCTTTCTCAAAATTCTTTCTCAGGGCCCCGGCGCGCTTTGACGCAGGCAGTTTGGGGATATCGTCGAGGCTGAGCGTACTTTTCTTTGCTGCCTCATCTAGGAGTCCAGCAGCCCAGCTGAACGAGAACCGGTTCAGGACGGATACTGTGAATTCCTGATCGACTACTTTGTCTTCGTGGTGCACGTCCGGGCGACGGGGTAGCAGCACGCAGAACAATGCGCGCAGTGATGCGCAGACAATCTGACTGAGTTGCAGGGCGAGCCAGATCCTGTCTTGGGGGATTGCCTGGTGGCTGTAGACGTTGACAGCTAGTTCGAGGCATGGAGCGGCGATTGCGATGATACTTCCGCCAAAGGCGAACAGGCCTAGGGTCCAGCGGGTTGTCGGTCGGGGTTCAGTGAAGAAGCCGATGGATTGGATAGCCAGGAAAGCCTAGATACGAGCCGTTAATTTCCTTATTCCTCCCTTTTCGGTGGGTAGAGGTAGGTGGTGGGGGCGCATTTTGATCACTCACCCATATGCCGAACTGTAACCATTCCAACAAGATATACTCCCCAACATTACCCATCAACGTGGTCAGAAAAGCCAACGCTAACGTGATCAGGAATCCGGTGGCGGAAAATACCGCGATGGCAATCCTCTGCCATTTATCCGAGAAGGCTTGGAGGGATTCTGTGGTCGCCTCGCCGTCTTCGTCGCCATATTCCTCTTTGGCTAGGAGAATAGGTTCGTAGTTGTGACTTTTGCGCGCGATGCGGGCTATGATGCTTTTGATGGCGGGTATGCTATCCAGCGCAACTAGCGACAAGGCTAAAATGCTTGTCGCTGTGGAGGTTGGCGTGAAGGGGGGCATGATTCATGTTTCGTCCCTTGAGGGAGTTGCGAAGAAAGAAAAGCCAGACATCGCTGTACTAGTATGTTCTTATGTCTTATCTTCTTTAGCGCGAGGTAAGGTGACAGTGAGCGGGGAAGCTTAGACCGCAAGTTGGTGAGTCAGAATCAGTAGAGTCCAGGGCTTACAGTCACAGGAACAGTGAGGTAATCCTCCGTAGTACCTAGTAACGGGAGTAGTGAAGAGTCCAGAGTCTAGACAGCTTTGACTCACCTATCAAGCATCGGGCACCCCATTAGGAAGACCCCACTAGTGGAGAAGAGTATCTTCAATGCTTAACACGCGTTTCGCTAACTTGCGATCCTGGTATATCTATATCTGTTTGTATCTATAACTTATCCCTTTTTCTTCCTCTGTCGCTGTCGACTGTATGTAGCAACATCGAGAACTAATGCAGGACAGGTCTCCACCCCCGTCTAGCCACGAACCCTTTCACTCCCTCAGCCTCTAGAACCTGCACTCCCAATCTCCCCGTCACGACACTCCGCTCCACCTCTGGCCCGTGCACATGAAACGCCTCGAAGCCCCCGTCGGAGCTCCGGCCCCAGACCTTCGCCTTCGGCTGACGAGATGATGAATCTCGGTCTACTGACTTGATTATCCGAAATCCTGAGCTTACCCGGTCCAGGCTAAGATACCATCGGCGCTGATGGATCGAGCCAATGCTATTAGTGGAACCCGGGTAGGCGTTTTGGAGTTGGATATCCAGGTCCGGGGTGTGATCGGAATGGTTGCCGTTGTTGCGAGTTTCGGGATCGGATTTCGATCGGGGAGTTCCTACTCGGTTTGGGGATGTTCGAGTTCGCGATGCTGATGCAGGTGATGAGCCGGGTCGGTTGGCGTCAGGGGGTGGCGGTGAGGCCGCTTCCGAGTCCGAGGTTGATGGCGCTGGTGGGACTGTCTGTGTAGATTGGTGGCGTCGGCGCCGTTTGGAGCCTTGGCGGATTGGTCTTCGGTAGTTGGTAGATTTGTCCATGCGGAGGGAGATGGTGTAGTCTTTGGGGAGACGGGTGCCGTGCAATCGAAGTCGGATTTTGCCCTGGGATGATGTGAGATTCAGACCATGATGTTTGCGATGTCCAGACAAACATTTTGAAATGCTTCTTGCAGTTTTGCACTGTCGGATTTCTGCTCCTCCAATGGAACAGACGCAGGGACAGAGCCCCCATCGGATAGCTCAGATCTCGAATCGTCCGTCTCAGGACCGGACGGTTCCTCCATGGGATACGGTAGGACTTCATATTCGCCGGTATCCCAGATAATCATACTTCCAGTTCTATGAGAAGCGGTCTCAATAAGATGGTTCTATTTTGAGTCAACAATCGAACCCAGATCGGTTGGTGTCAAACAAACCCATAGACAATGAATACGAGTCTCGGTTGCATTGCGATTCAGCCGCGTACTGTTAGGATCACCAGGCATTCCATACATAATCGCCCAGCTAACAGAGCTCGTCTCTGAGATCTGCAGCCGAAGATCATAATGGGGACCTGCAACAGGATGATCGTGCTGGTGGATGACAAAGTGGCGGCCGTCTGGGCGTTCGTTGCGTCTGTATAGATCGGCCCAGTCTGCAATTGGTAATTGGGGAAATGACTGCTTTGGGATGGGACATATGCATTGACTCAATTTTGTGGATATAATCTTTAGATGGTCTTTCACTTGGACTTGGCCTGCTTCTATAGCGGCGAGGCTTGGCGTGGCCTTGGACTTTGGTGCGTTGAATGAAAGTGTGATGCTCTCATCCTGAATTTTCCTACTTGGGGATCTCTTTGGAGGCGGAGATACAGATACAGTCAAGCTTGCGAGGACTGGTCGCTCGTTTCGATATGTCTGTGCCGGCTCATATTCTTGGCTGCTTGCTCGGCTGCTTTCTGGGCTGCAGGCTCGCTTCATGATCTGCAAGCCAAAGTAAATGGCGGTCTGGATAGATCTTGTAGTGGTTCAAGTCATCGTTCCAGCACCTGCCATGCCAAAATGGAAGATATACTTGCGAAAGATGGAAAGTTGAAGTCCGGTACATAGCTTAGTCATGGACCAAAATGCCTCAAGGTGAAGGTGCTCTGGAGGTGCCCCAGGTGAGTTCCAAGGTTCATCAAACACCTGGAAATAGATGCTCACTAGATAATTACCTCGTTAAATATATGTAATCCTTCTGCGTGGACAGAAATGGATGCAACTCACTTTAAGCTCATGTGTTAGAAAAATATAAAACCAGTCAGGCATGCTGCGAATATATTCGTTTCAGCATCGAATCGCTTATCTGAATATATCCCCATTGCTAACTCGATAAAATCATAATTTGAATTGACTTAGAGCTAAACGATCACAAAAATTAAGGTGAGCAATTTGAAGGATGACATATGAAACAATAACTATCGCTGCAGGTATTCAATCTTCGTCAAGTGTCTCCGTCGCTTAAAATATACCAACCAATCTGTTATGCAAGGAATCAACCATCAGAATCAGATTTGAACCATTCTTAAACTTCCTGAGATCCAGAACCCGGAGGGATTGGAGCATTCAATTCCACACTCTGTGGATTGTGAAAAACATCATTCGGATCAACAGCAGTCTTGATATCCCGAAGTCGGGCCAAATTCGGTCCCCAGTATGCCTCTTGAGCATTTTTGAGATAAGGGTCAACATATCCGGGGTAAGAACGAACAGGACCAGCTGGACGGTTTCCGATGATGACACCATGCAAGCGATTGAGGAAGCGTTTCATAATGAAGCCAGGCGGCTCAAAGCCGGCAACTGCATAGGACTGCATCCACATGATAGCGTCGCGATGGCCATAGGCGGTTGCGTTCATGGGAATATCACTGGTTGCTCCGCCTTCCAAGTCAAAGATCACCCACCAGGTGGCTGTACCCTTCGGTGCAGCATCCAGGTATGTGAACAGGGCAACCAAGTCGTGTTCATTGAAAAGCTCGTCGGCTGTGAAAGACAACGATTTGGCGTAGAAGGATGTGAGCATACTCCCAGTCAGACGGAGCAAGTAGTCCTCAGCTGTGTGAGCCACCAAAGACAGCCAGTTGGTGATATACACCACATTGCCCATACCCTGAAGAGGCAGATCATTTTCTAGCTCGAATTGATGGAACTCCTCTCGAGTCCCAAAGAAAGTACCCATAATCAGGACACCATCTTGAAAGACTACGAGCTCGGTCGAGAAGTTCCGCGTAAGGTTTGGCTTCGCCACAATATTCTGCCAGGACATGAACAACTTGACCTTGTCCAGAATATCTCCCTGACTGAAAGTATACTGGTATTGAATTGCAGCCTTGGGAACTGCATGTGTGCGGACTTTGAACTCTGTGACGATACCAAAGCTAGCAGCCGCACCTTTGACAGCCCAGAATATATCCTGATTCTGAATGTCCGATGCAGTGACCACACTGGAATTTGCCAGCACGACCTCAGCCTCGACAACATGATCCAGCGACATTCCCCACTGTCGAGACATCATTCCAAGACCACCGATCGTGAAATGACCACCGACACCGACTTGAGGGCAGGATCCATGCGCCATAGCCCGACCACCAGCATGCAAAAGACGATCCTGAAGGTCGCCCAAGTTTGTACCGGCACCAATTGTGGCAATGTAAGTGTCAGGATTCATAGAGAAATTCTGGAAGTTCTTCAGATCCACGACGACATGACCATCTGCTCCGCCGAGACCTGCCATGGAAAGTATTAGCATGAATAACATTAAGCACTGAATGCTCTCTACCATAGTTCCCATAGCTGTGCCCTCCACTATAGGCCTGCACCTTGTATTTGTGTGTAGCAGCACAGCTCACAATTTTGGCTACCTGGGCGGTAGTCTTAGGGTAGGTGACCACGGTGGGAAGGACTGGGATGGCTAGGTTGTAGGACGGCTGGATTCGGAACTCATAGAGCAAGTCTCCTCGAAACGTAACGAGGTTGAGATCGTGTCCCACAGCGGCCACAAAGCATGCACGTCCGGCGACACTGGCTGAGTTTCCCATCTTGCGTGTATATCAGCGATAAAATGTCAGATGTTGCGACTTGAAATGGAGTCTGGAGGATGGAGAAGCCAGGTTCACAGCTTTGAGGAAAGTAGTGAACTGGAGAGTCAGAGTAGGAACAGGATGGCACCTGCCTGGTCTGCTGTTTGCTGGTCAGTTGAGTTTTCATGTTGTGTTTGTGTTCCCCGTGAATGGACTGGTAGACAGGGTATACTTGGTGACTGTCTCATGCAGAATTGATTTGCAGTGTTGAGGGGCCATATGGAACAGCCTCGGTGTTTTCGGTGGCACTGTTAGGGCATATATCCAGTCCCCGGGTGCAGGTATGGCTGTTTTAAGGATTGTTCTGGTATATCGTCATGCAGGGACTTGCGTGACCATCTCACGCCCACGTTGAAGTCCAAACCACAATAATCCAACACTAAAACTGATGTGTAAACCACTATCCGGGGAAGAGGAAGGAAATCGGGGATCACAACGGCGACTTGGATGGTCCCCGATCCGGTAATCCTTAAGGGGTGTAAGAATGCGCAATGCCTAAATCAACCTTCTTAGCTCTATTGCTTCTTTCAGACCCCTGTCGATTAATTCTACAACCCTACGACTCCCATTTACTTCCATTGCCTTTGATATGCCAAATTGTCATTAAGCTCTCTGCACCTCCCGCTATGACATCAGGGAGAAAACTTTGATACCAACATCCGCATCGACACTGCCAAATATCATGTTCACGCCAGTTCACACAACCCTAGGCGCGCTGTTACTGTTCCAGGGATCATCGGGCCTCTTGTTGCACAATGGCGCTGTGTTTGGCATTTCCTCCCTGCTGTCAGGGATCGCCTTCAACCCTGGTCGTGACAATCTGCCGATCATCGCGGGTCTGGTCTCGAGTGTAGTGCCGGTCTACCTCTTCGCACCATCACTGATCCCGACATATCCTGCGGCACCACATTCTTTGGCTTCTGCTGCTGCAACACTGGGGGTGGGCTTCTTGTTGGGTTGGGGAACAAAGGTGAGGAATAGTGGACCCACATCATCGGGGATCACTAGTTGACATATGAACAGAATGGTCGAGGATGCACATCCGGACACATGCTATGCGGTCTTTCTCGTCTCTCGCCTCGCTCACTGATTGCAACTGCCGTTTTCTTCACCACGGCTTTGCTCACGGCGAATTTTGTTGACAGCGGTGCCAATATCCCGGCTTGCGGAGCGACCCCGTGCTATATCCCGGTCTATCCATCAGCACCAGAGTTGATCTTCATGGCCGGTGCAACTTTGCTGGCTGCAATCACAAATTTCGGCATCATTCCACGCAAGGTCCATCGGTCGGAAGAATCGAGGATTGCCTTTTCATTCATAGCAGGATTAGAGTTTGGGCTGGGTCTTTTGTTCTCTGGAATGGCCGACCCTGCCAAGGTCCTTCGATTCTTTGCCTTTTTGACAAATCCGTCTCGATTTGATCCGTCATTGGCATTGGTCATGCTGTTTGGACTTGGCCCCTCTCTGTTAACTTTCCTTGCCGAGAGACCAGGACAGCTGACCAAAAAGGAGAAAGGGAATACCAAGCCTACTTTGGCAGAGAAATGGCGACTCCCAACAGCCACAGTTGCCGACATCGATTGGCGCTTCGTGGCCGGTGCAGTGGCTTTTGGGCTGGCGTGGGGACTGAAGGGTGTTTGTCCAGGTCCTGCCATCTTGCGAACAATCCTGCAACCAACGTGGGGACTGGCAACGATGTCTGGATACATGCTGGGCAACTTATTTTGAGCGTGTGGATGAGACTGCAATTTTGAACATATTTTCTTCTTGTCATTCATTCCTGGAGTCGGTAATCTTCGGTTTATTGTGCCGAAAAAGCATTGGGTTGGTTGCATGAGGGCGGTGCTTGAGAAGGGCACAATTGAAGTTTCTCAAGAGCTGTGTGCGGGAATTTATTAGCTGAAGTAATGAAGTAATGACAAAGAATATGTCTAGTGCCAGATTGCTGGGAATAGATGTCATTTGTGCTATAATAACTGCAATGGGTATATAACGGCGGATAATTACGAAAATCAAAGGTTCCAAGGGAAATAATGGCAAAAGAAACGGAAGAATGGCTTACAACTCGGTCTTCTTGTTTAAGCGGATGGCTTCAGCCTCTGCGAAAGCTTGGTTGCTGCGTTCTTTTATAGCCGCTGGATGGTCGAAGTACCCTTCCAGCTCCATCCATTCAGCAGCAAAGGCAGTGACGAGCATGCCCCAATCTTCCACGGTGTCCGTGTCCAGATGTTCACCGTCGTCATCAATTGTGTGCCAGACGGGAGGAAAGCCCTTGAATGGAGCAAAGTCAATGAGATGGAGAACCTCGACTCCTTTGGCAAGGAAAGGAAGATGATCATCCTGAATACCGCCCATGGGTGCGAGCTTGTGGCCATCCTTCCCAGAATCGATAAACCATGAGTCAGTTGAGGAGGATTTGAATTGCTTGAGTGACTTGAAACGCTTTTCGAGGGCAGCCAAACTTTGATAGGCCCAGTGGGTAGTCTCATAGTAAGACTGAATGGTTGGTGACTTCGAACCCAGAAGATCTAAGAGGACAAACAGAGAAATTGAGGATAGCGGAGTCTTGAATGCTGACATGGCCGGGTAAAACTGATCGTCCCAATGGGTCGCCAGAGCACGTGCCCCATAGAGAGAATCGCTGTGACTCCATTCTTTAAAAGCTTCTTCGCCGTCCAAAAAAATGACCTGGATGCCATGTGCATCTTCAAGAGACTCGTCTAGACCTTGCTCTTTCATTGAAGACCATTTCTTGGCCAGCGCGGCGTCAATGCTGCGCATTGCGTGCATAATCATTGCGCAAGGAGCGGCGCTATCAATGCCTCCAATGAATCCTTCAGGCTCGATCTTGCTGTCATAGTGGGCGACAAGAGTGAGGCGCCCGACGTCACCAGCCGAGGCCCAAGGAGGATCACGAGTTGCAATGAAGTTCTTAAAGGGAATTTCTTTGCCCTTGGATGTCGGTGTTTTGGCAGTCGAATTCTGCACCTGAATTGACCATTCTGGCAGGCTTGTTCGAAAGAAGTCGGCGAAGTGATTGAGCACTGCGGTGGATCCCGGAGTGCCAGGGACACGGGTCCTTAGTATAGGTGATAACAAGGCGCCATTGTGAATATCGAAGTCATCGTTCGGGCGCGGAAGAGAATTTAAGGTCTCATCTGAGATCTTTTCATACGCATCCACACGAACAAGGACCAACAGAATGGCCAGCCAGAGGGAAATAATGCGGCTAGGCAGTCGGCTATACGCCGGAGACATGGCGGGAGAAGATATCGCGCAAAACGTTCCGAGCCTGCATCAAAGCATCGATAGGAAAGAACCTGAGACTGTTTCAGCCAGATGCTCAACACATATGATCTGACAACAATTATAAGGATGAGTTGTCAAAGATGCAGGGGCTTATGCAAGCCCCAAACACCTCGGAGGCGGAGGCCAAGGCGGTCTCATTTTTGCCGGAAGATTGGCGCGGATTTATCGCGCGACAATCAACGTCCCGATTTCATTCTGGTTCAATAACCCAGTCACGATGCGACTTCAGATATTACTTCACCCTCAATTGCGCAAAAGCCTACCTGAATGCGCCCATAGAGGCCTTCGGGGGAGCGTTTGGGTCAGATTCAAGTCACAGATCCCTCGGCCTTCTCAAAAGCACCTCTCACCACTGCCGAGGAAAGAAGCAGCTCCTGCGCCTCCTGTCAGAAGGACAGTCACACCGGTATCTGGAATTAGTCCCACACCAAAGACAACTATGAGATCCGGTATGAATATATTCGATGCTACGTGTAAAGTTGCTGACCAAAACTTCCAGGGCCACCGGAACGGATACTGGTATATTATGGAGGCACAGGCCGAGCTATCTTTTTGGGAACCATGCGTATTACGACGGTGTTTCTTTTTGGTGCAGCCTGTTTAATTATTGCACCGGCATGCTCTGTGGCTGATTATCCATGGTATAGCGTTCCAGGCGGTAAGTTTGTTTCTATATCAAACGATCTTGTTGTCAGAACTAATTTGATTTTAGTAATTGCTGCTGGCGCTTTACCAATGCTATTTGTCTCCTATACATCGGCTCCGTATGTTAATTTCATTCATTTGGCCTTGCCGGCATTTGCCAGAAAGTCTCGCGAGGCAGCCATTCAATATGGAAAAGAACTTCCTCCAACGGCCATGCTGTACATCACCAGTATGAGATTCAACACCATCCCAAGGCAGACAGCAGTCCGCCTTGGAGATCTCGTACCAGCAAAGGATTCTCTTCGCCCTGTCAGCTTCTGCAACTTGAAACCTATGCCGCAGCGCTGGTGGCAGGGCAGAGCTCCAACTCAATTCTATACTGGAGAGCACTCCAAGCCTGGTCGACAGACCTCTGCATTCTTCCCAGAGCTTTGGGGAAGTATTTATCGACAGATTCAAAAAGCAAAGTCTTGATCTCGATAATCCAAGCAGAGCTGGACTTTGATAATTATCGTATCAAAGCCATCTTCACACCTACTTTAACTTCCTTCATGAAATATTTACCAACAACTTCTTCATTCTCCTATTATCACCTTTGTATCTATCCCATACAATCTACTGCACAGATATACGTGCATTGCTCATTATGACTCAAGTGTGTTCTCATGCCAGATCGAGACCAAACTAAGGGAAATCTCAATCGAGTTGCTACGCGGAGCTCCAGGCAGTCAAAAAGTCAAAAGTCAAGAACCGCTCTCTCATTTGACACCTCAGACGCGACTGTTAGGGGCTTCTATTCAAGCAATCCCCCGAAAAGCCTAACTTCCACCCGTTGACCTCGATTGCATCCACGCGCTAGACGCGTTCTTTCCAACTCTTGCACGTGCTCGCTTCAACACAACAGCTTTGCAAAACACATTTGATTCATTGCTCCAGTTTCGTAGTCGCGTCAGCCTGTGCCATAAATTTCACCTTTCGCACCCCAGAAATCTTTCCTCCACATCCCACACCCTTCTTCTTCCCACACAAATCCAGATATTCATCCGGTTTTGTCTACCCTTTCTACAACCATCCATCTTACTCATCCTTTGCTACGATCAGCACAATGGCTCCCCCCAAATCCAGCAACGAAGATGATCCCTTCTCTGCCCTCAACGCGACCGAGATGAGGCTCCTCGCCCTTGGCCACATCTTCCATGACCAAGGCGCTGTAAGTACTCGAGATCAATCCAAATCGTCTCAGATGCTAACATCAATTCAGCCCAACTACGAGGAAATGGCAAAGTGGTCCAACCTCAAAGCCAGCTCAGCTTCCACTCTCTACCGCAGTGCCAAGCGCAAGCTCGCCCGTGCCCTCGAGACTGCTGGTGCTCCCACAACCTCTCCCACCAAGGCTGGCCCGGCTCGAAAGCGGGTCAAGAAGTCGACCGCTCAGACCGCCCAGGGTGAGGTCAACACTGAGGACGCTGCCGAGGAGTCCGCTGCTCCCGTCAAGGATGAGCCCACCACCGGCTTCGATGACCCCAGCACAGTCGCCATGACTGGCCATCTCATGATGGCTGCCAAGACTGTCGCTGAGGGTTCCACTGAGGAGGAATAGGCTCTCTTTATGTTATGCTTACTGCGCGTGAACTATTTTTGCTTCCGCGATGAAAGGAGGATCGGATGATACCAATTTGTTTTTGCTGCACCAAACGTGCTTGTATTATCTACCAGAATGGGTTTTGTTTTTGAAATGGCGATTGCAAGGGCTGAGGGATGTGTGAGGTTGGGCTTTGGTGGGTGAGCACCAATTAGCTAGCCACAGCACTCCGAATCAAATACCATCGAGCTGCTTACTCTGCTTCCATTTGTAAATTGTAAGGCCAGTAGACCACGGTAGACTGTTTTGATCATCCCTTCAGCCAAATTATTTCTCTGAAGGTTGAGAGTTGGTATTTAGCCAGACGACAAGAAAAGCCCAGAGACCAGTCAGTTGCCGGATTGCTCGCATGTTTTACACGAAAACAAAGAGAACGATGTCGTGCAGAATGAGGAATAAAGCTGCAGCATCTCCAAAGATTCCTTTGTCGATATTCCAGAGCGTCAACTTAAAAGAGTAGCTTTGACCTGATGAGGGGAGGTTGAAACGACAGGATTTAGTGCGTCGCCCGAAGGGTTAATCCTCTTACCACGCATCGTATTCCCCGCCTCTGATGTTTTTACCACGCCATCCTCCACCCGTGTACGCACCAAGCCCTACCTCATCCCGCGTTTTGATCAAGCTCCGTTACTTTTCTGCTTCATCCTATCTTCAAACGACCATACACTGAGCTACAAGCATTGCGAGAGGTTTCTGTGATTGCGTGTCCCCGTCGCGCCTTTTTCGAACTCAACAATACCCACGTCGCCATCCGTCTTCCACTGGTCTACAGCAGTTGGCGCAGTTGCTCTCGGAACCAAGGAAAAGAACTCAGGAAAGAAACGGAACTTGGAATCATACTACTATATCTTGGGCCCAAGAAAGGAGCTGTTCACTCTGGGTTGTCGATACACAAGAGCCACAAGGGAAAAACAAAGGGAAACAAGTTAGCGATATAGAACGTGAATCGACCTTTGGTCCTGTTCTTTTCTTTTCCTGCGTCTTTAACATCACTTGTCTTCTACGTAGATTCAAAGTCCATATCGGATATCCTCTAAGCTCAAAACAGCAGCAGACTGAGACAGCCGTCGTGCTCACTGCTTGGTCCTCGGTCCAGCCACCATCGTTTACACCCCTCCATCCAAGACATCATTCTGTTGAAATGCCCCAGAAGTCTTCAGATGCAGAGGATGGGCTGATTTCCACGGAATCATATGAAACGCCTCCCACTTCTAAGCGCAGGAGGATCTCAAAGAGCGAACTAGAGGAGTTGACAAATCAGCCCTCTCGTGCGAGTATTGGAAATGCACCTCCAGGAGAGGATAATCGTCAAAACAAAACACAAGAGACCCATTCAATCCCTACCGACGAGACCAGCATCTCGAAGGATACGTCAGTTGAGGAAGCTGATGATGAGTGGCTATCAACCGATGACGATAGTTCACCTCTTCACGCAATGCCCAAGAAGTTCGCGAGTTCAACAGTCATGTATCAAGAGAGAACGACAGAAGAGGATGTTGACGATCGAACATCTCATGGAGAGCTCGAAAACAGTGGCCATACTAAGATTAGGGGGAACCCTTCGAGTGCAAAGCAACCCAAGAAGACCAGGAGGGCCAATGTGGACATCACTCATGTGAATTATGAGTCAATCGAGAAGAACAAAGAGAGCTATGTGCCTACAGAGATCCATGCTTCGACTCACCAGGCTAAGGTGAAGAACCGCGCAAGCCCCAAAAGCCTTAAATCCCCTGCTAGACCACTTGAAGAAGAGGTCGTCAATCAACTTTCTCATGCTAGCCTCGAACCCATCAGCACCGAAAAGGTTACTCGAACATGCGGTACTACAAAATTGAAGCCCGGAAAGGGCAATGAAGATGTCAGGACTACTGATGATGCCTTGCTTGGGCACTTGGGTGGTCATACTAACGAACGCCACGGTCACGAAGTAACTGGGTGGACTGTGGTGAACAAGAGTTAGTTCGATGAGGCTGAAGAATTAGGCCATGAGCCTAGTGGTCTTGGGGTTGAATGACGAAGCAATTTGCAAAGTCGGTGGATTCAATTTAGATGCGTGGTTTGAATGGCGTCTTGCTTTGGCTTTTTTAGAAACTCTTTCAGGAAAGAATACAAAATAGATAGTGTTGCAGCGAAAAGCGAGAGAAGAGCATTCAAGTTAACATAGGTTCCTCAGAAAATGCTTCATTTGAGAGATAATAAACTGCATAATCAAACTTCGCCGTAAGATAACCGAACAAGGGCATTAACGCCAATGGAACCGACACATCGGAAACAAGTACCACGTTGACACAAGAAAAGGGGTAAAATGAAAGGTTGACACGCAGTCATCATAACTCTACATGATGAAGATGCACGCAAGAAAAGATAGAGAACAGAAGATGAAACAATCTAGCATATCATTACAAAGCCTCAATAGCTTTCAGCAACACATCCAAACCACGATCCGAGATATCGCCAGCATTGGAGTCTTCTTCAGTGACAGACTCGCGCAATGCCCAAGCAACGTCACTCCACCAGCCAAGACCAACATAGCCACCGCCTTTCTGGCGCTCAAGGCTCTCCTTCAGGCGGCTGGTATGTTCCCATTGCTTGGCGGCGTCTTCGGCACATTCGATGACCTTGCTTGGAATTCCGCACATGGATGCGCAGTGCATACCGAAGCTGCCCTCTGCGACACCATTCTCCAGTTTGTAAAGGAAGGCGATGCGGCGCTCGGCATCGTCGACGTGGATGGCCATGCGCTTGGGTGCAATTTCGGGGTGGTTCTCGAATTCGGCGGCTAAGGAGTGGTAATGCGTGGCAAAGAAGCCCAAGGCGCCGATGTGGGTGGCAATATGATGGAGTACAGCCTGGGCTACGGCAACACCGTCGTAAGAGCTAGTTCCTCGGCCAAGTTCGTCGAGAATAACCAGAGAGCGGGGTGTAGCTTCAGAAAGGATCTTCTTGGTCTCGGACAATTCGACGAAGAATGTAGATTGAGCGGCGAAGATGTTGTCGTTTGCACCGAGTCGGGACATAATTCGGTCAACGGGAGTCAGGCGAGCAGACTGACAGGGGAGGTAACAACCGATCTGGGCCATGATCACAGCAACACAGGTCATGCGGAGCACGGTGGACTTTCCGGCAGCATTGGCACCTGTCAGCAAATCAATGCTGGCATGCTTGCCACCGAGCTGAATGTCATTGGGAATGAAGTCCTCGACAGAGGACAAGAGACACGGGTGACGAAGCTCTTCAAACTCCAGAACACTTCGCTCATCGTCCACAAAGGTTGGCCGGCAGCTGGGATGGCCAAGAGACGCGGAAGCTTTAGCTAAACTGATCAGACAGTCAAGTTGGGAAACGATCTTGACAGCAGCCAGCCAAGTGCTGTAGTGCTCGTCGAAACGAGCGTGGAATCGTCCGGCGACCTCCTTGACAATTTGGCCGTGAGTTTCCTGGGCCTCTTGCAACTTGCGAATGAGGCTTCGAAGCTCAGGGAAGTAGTATCGCTTGACCTGCTTGGTTGCAGACATTTGGTTCCAATCCTTGGGGATGTTCTTCACCTTGATTGGAACTTCCAGTTGATAAATTTCCTTGCCGTTGTCGCGGAAGCAGATAGCAGAAGATCCCAAATCACGGCGGGCTTTCTTCAAGAGGTTGTCGAGATCCTTGTGCAGCTGCTCAATAACCCCCTGAGAGTCATCGAAGTCTCCTTCGACCCCAGATTCCGGGACAAGAATTCCATTCTCCTTCGCCTTGGGGCGGTCAAAGGCAGTTTTCCAATATCCTAAGAGGGAAGCCAAATCGGGCATTGCGTTTGTCAACTGCCCAATAATGCCTTCTTCGGTGGAGGTCGAGCCGTTCTCCTTGAGCAGGCCCATAGTGTAATCAATTTGTTCAAAGCCCTCTAGGACACGAACAAAGTCGGCAGCCTTACAGTTGCCAGCATGAATACGAGAGATCAGTCGTTCCAGATCCGGCATCTTTGTCAACTGAGAAGAGAACTGGTCTCGAATGCTGGGATCGGCGTTCAATGAATCAACAGCATCGAGTCTTGCGTTGATCTTCTTTGCATCAACCAAGGGATGACAAACCCACTGCTTGAACATTCGCTTGCCGAAGGGCGTAATGCAGCGGTTGAGGAGCTGGAACAGAGTTCCCTCTGAACCACCGTCAAACGAGTTGGCGAAGATCTCCATGTTGATCAGAGTCTGACCATCCAGCACAAGACTCGTTGCCTTCTTGATGGGATCATACCATGTGAAGTTGCCAATAGTGATCAAGTCCCGCTCGATCTTCAACAGACGCAGATATGAGACCAAGGCGCCGAATGCACACATCAAGAGCTCCTTTTCGCGTGCTTGGCGCAGAACCTCTGGCCAGGCTGTGATATTTTCATCATTTTCGGAGACAAAATAGTCACTGGCCTCAAGCTCTCGAATTGTGATATCTGATTCCCAGAACTCTTTGCCAGATTTCATCATGTTCCAAATGGTCGTGGGTCCAGTGTTGTTCTTCAGAATGCGCATAACCTTCTGAGAAACACAGCCCTTTTCTAGCAACAGCTCCTGCGGCCGAGTCTGAGCGACAAAAGTCTCGAATTTTGTCATGTCGACATCATCCACAAACTCAGACAAGAAGAACTGACCTGTTGCAGTGTCAACAAAGGAGATTCCGAATGCAGGCAGGTCATCGATGATAGCCTCCTTGATAGAAACACAGTAGGTAGACATGTCATCTTGAAGCATGGAACCCTCCACAAGGGTACCGGCCGTGAGGACACTAGCAAGTTCTCGCTTGATGATCTTATCTTCCTTTCCGGGCTTCTTGCCATCACGTTCACGCATTTCTTTGCCCAGGGCAGATTCGGATTGGTCAACACGAGCGATCTTGAAGCCCTTGGCCACGAATTGGTTGGCCCAGTGGTCCAAACTCATCTCGGGCACACCGACCATGCGCATGTTCACGCGGTCAGTGAGCTTGAGATCAAATAGCTGGTGTCCAATGGTGGCATCGTTTTCGTAAAGCTCATAGAATTTTCCCTTCTTGAAGAAAACCACGGTATCCCAGAACTTCTGCTTGATCTCCCAGTACTGCTTTTCAAATGGAGAGAATCGCGACCAAGCCAGCGGCGGGATATAGATCGTACGGGGATCGTAATCAGGATGACCCTTCGGGTTTCCATCAATATCCTTGATAGTGGCAAGCCATGAATATCGCTGGTCTGGATCCTTCATGTGTGCCTTTTCCTTCTTCGGGTTAGACGGTTTCTTGGTTTCAACGACTTCACGTTCCTTGCGCGGTTCTTTGTTCTCCGGATCAAAAGTCCACTTTTTCGCTGTCCCAGATGTCCCCTCAGGAATTTCAACATCGAGATCATCGACTGGGGAGGGGGGCGCTGGTGCTGTAGCGGATGATTGTTTGGCTGCTGGCTTTCGAGCCGGTTGGGTCGAGGGTCTTTTGCGCTTCTTTGAGGATACGACTTCCTCGTCCGAATCATCTGCAACCACGAAGTCGTCCATTTCTATACCCATATCCATGTCAGCTGCGTTCCTAACGAGACAGATGCGAAGCCAATAGCATACCGTCGTCGGAATATCCCACATCCTCTGCACCCTCTTGGAACTCATCCTCACTCTCTGGTGATGTCTTTCTCCGCTTGGCTGCACGTCCACCAGTTCTGTCTCGGCGGCCGGGTTTGAAGATCACATCATCGTCATCTTCTCCCTCGGAGTCCGACTCCTGGTAGCTAATCTTCTTCTTTCCCTAGGAACACTGTTAGCAAGACGGATGAAGCGAGCCATAGAACACTTAATACGTACTCTGCGCGAAGGAGACATTGTGGAGTCAGGTGCCTCACGTTGGGTGGTCTGCAAAACAACAATGCAATCAGCGACGAAAGAACAGACAAACACACACAAAAAAATTGTACCTTCACTTCATCCACATTTCCATCCTCCTCATCCGGCACGGGAATATCACTGCTCGGAATAGGAGTCAGATCCTGAGCGAAGCTTGAGAAGCTCCGCTTTCCCTCCTTCGGTGTCGGCTTCAGCGCGCTCCCACGAGTCTCAGCGGCTCTCTGTGCCGGGGAAGACGCAGGTTCACGAGTGCGGTTGTTGGATGGAGTAGCAGGGGACGATTTCCGAAAGAAGCCCAGAATCGATTTCTGGCTTTTCATATTTTGGGTACTGGAGGTTGTCCTCTTGAGCGCGGCGGTTGGCGGCGTGCCTGCGGTCGGGGACGAGGCCGTTTCTTTGGCCATTGCTTGTGTTGATATTTTTTTTGGTTTGTCTTCAATTGAATTTCGATTCAATTGCTCGTATATTTATGCTCGGCGCATGGTATACTAGAACGGGTGAAGGAACTGGGGGCGTGGGAGAAGATAACGCGGATCGCGTCGACGCGTAAAGTGGCCGAGACTCGACCTGTCAATTCCCGTGACGTGTATACTTCAGCACAACTACATGATTCCGTCTTATTGTATAATAACTGTAATATTTATATTGTACAGAGGGGATATTGTAAAATTACAGATCTAGTAGAGATTCATACACTTATTCCGACTCGGTCGGCTCGGTTGCCTCAGTCTCCCAGCCCGGAGCAGTGAGTCCTTGCGCGCGGAATTCTTCGTCGCTCACGATGTGAACGGCCTTGAACTTCCACTTACCGAGCTTGAGCATAAGAAGGTTGTCGTTAAGAACAAACTCCTGGGTCTTCTCGGCAGTCCATGGACGAATAGGGGTGAAGGAGAGCGCGTCCGACATGGGGCCACTATCACCGGGACGGCTTCCAACTTTAGCACCATTGTTGACAATAACGCGGTGCCCTTCGCTCTTGGATGAGACCATGCCAGCGGACCAAAGAACCCTGTTAAATGGCTGATTGATCACGAGAGATTTCGGCAGCGTGACTTTGATGTCACCCATATTCGCGAAGTTCGTTTGGGGCGCGTACGGGTTGCCAGATTGCGGGTTATCAAAGCCCGCGGTAGGAGATTGGGCGTGGCTTGAGGGAGGAGAAGAGGATTTAGGGAGAGGAGTGGGGGCGCCAGTAGATGATCGAGGACGGAAAAGCTGGCGATGTTGCATAGCCACTGCATCAGCTTCCTCCTTGCCGTGAACGAGCTCAACAAAGTCAAAAGCGAGGGCATGTTGCGCAACGCGCTTTGAGGGGTCCTTGTTCTGCTCCTCCATGATAGTGGCGATCTCGGGCAAGGGAATGAAAGTGAACAGCTTAAGGTATTTCTCAACAGTGTCGTCAGGGGTTCGGACAAAGAACTGGTACAGTTCAAAGGTGGAAGTCAGGTCCTTGTCGAGCCAGACGGCGTTTCCAGCAGACTTTCCAAACTTTTCACCGTTTGACGCTGTTAGAAGTGGTGTGGTGAAACCGATAGGATGATCGAGTTCCGACTCAAGAGGGTTCCGAAGTTGCTCGTCGGCAGTGTTGCGACTAATCGACTTTACTGCGTCCATTCCGAAAAGGATGTTTCCGTATTGATCGGAGCCTCCAACTTGCACCTGAGTGCCCTTTTGGAACATCGTCCACCAATCCCACGCCTGGAGAAGGGGATAGGAGAACTCGGCAAAGGACATGCCGTCACCCTTTGAGAGACGGTTCTTAACACTGGTAGATATATTAGCAAACACGAATATTTCTCCTTCCATCTCGCAAAACTCACGTCTCTCTGCCGAGCATGGGACCAATTCGCATATAAGCACCAAGGTCACGCAAAACTTCAAGGAACGGCATGGAGTTCCACCAGGTGTTGTTATTCGTCAATGCCCGCTTCCACATCGGTTGCCGCTCGTATCCATGCCTCCTGCCGTAATGTTCGATGCTAACGCCTAATTTCTTCAATTGCATGTGCATGCTAGCCATGTTGGCCTTTCTGATAGAGGAATGGACCGCATCGCGACCTTTTAACCGTCCGGTGGGATCGCCAACTCGAGATGTGGCGCCGCCAAGCTGTGGACTGTCAGTGAACACCCTCCAAATGAGAGTGGAACGAATGGGCGACGGACCAAGAATGTAACCGGGATTCCCCAGACGTACGCCCAAGCCAAGACAATGAATGGCAACATATGTCCAATATGCATCGAAGGCGCCGTAGGGTCGATTCCAACGTAGATTCCTGCGCGCTTTTCCGTAAAGACCTTGTGCAACAAATCGCGTTCTCTGCAAAAAGACCAACCAGGTTAGTATATGAATCAACAATCACACTCACAAGAGTGGATGCAGGAAAAGTGCTGAATCATGGTGTGACATACCCAACAACATCATGGATTAAACCACGCTCCTCCAAATGCTGCACGAAATTCTTCCTCTTCCCTTCTTTGATCTCCTTCGCAAAGCCGGCCCATTCCTTCTCTCCATCTTTCATACGCTGAATGTATTTCTGAGTAATCCATCTTTGCTGCTGAAAGCAGGTCGCAGATTGTAAAGCAAGTAGTGCCGGGCGAGTGGTGTCACCGCGCAGCGGACTCGCTGTTGCGGCGGCGAAATTGCGCGCTCCGCCTAGACATCGTTGGGGGGTAATTAAGTTGCGAAGAGCCGCCTGGCGAAGGGGGACCGATTGTGGCCTCATCGGACCGGTTTTCGAGGGGATATACGGGTGAAAAGGGCTGCAATGGACCGGACTCTGGACGGAGTCAATACAGAATAGCTCCGAGATTCTTTCGATAAGTCCGGAGTATTGATAGTCCGGGGCTTATCGCCGGGTTGTCGATCTATTCTGATTTAGGTAGTGTTTCGTGCCTCAGGTGTCGATGAACAGATCTATATCACACCGTGCAGCTGCTTCTTAACCAATATTCTTCTTGCATAGAGGTATAATACATGAAAAACTCTCGAATTTGGATGCTTTTCATTTTAGGCAACGTAGCATACATTGCACGCACAGGTGTTACGAAATCACCTGTTACAATTAACACACCAGGTCTTTGTTGCACCCTAGTCAGTTCGCAGTTAGGACTTCATCCACTGCAGAAACTATGCATCGATAGAGATTCCAAGAATACAAGAGCAGAAAGAAAAATATTGAGTGATTGGTAGTCTCTAAAAAGCCTGCTGTGGGCTCATCCGACAAAAACCTGAACGAAAACTTCGTTACTCCATCCACTATCCAATTTCATTGTTTTCCAAGCAGTCAAAACATCAATCGCGAGCACATTCACATCCTTCCCTCCTTCCTTCCAAACAGTTTTCTTGGGGATTGGCTTTCCCTGAATCATGACCATGAAGTCCTGAGCGATAGTCCTCTCTGGGAGATCGGACATGTAAATTCCAATTACCCCAAGAGCCTTGAGTCTGATGTCAATTCTCAGACGCCCGTTCTCGGCAATGAATATATCAGACATGACTACAGCCGCCGCACCCGTCATCTTGCCCAACAGGCCAAGTACGGCAACATGGGTCGTTCGTTCGAGAGAGCCATTTCCACCTTGGTGGTTCTTCAGCGTGAAAGATTGGGTTGGATAGGCAGTCAGAATCTCCCATCCCTTTTGATCTAGAATGATTGAGACCAGGGAGTCTTGGTCAATTGGTCGCATGCGAGCGGATACTTTTCCACTGCTGTGTGCACGGACAATGTAGTACCCTTGAGAGTCATCGTGGATTCCGGGGAAGTCCATTAGCGATATCATTGTCGAGGCTTCGCTAGATGTAATATTGAACAGACCCAATATTCCACTTCCGGTTCTCGCCCAGCCGGTGTAACTCCCTACTCGCAAAATGTTTCCTTCATTGTAGCCGTGGTAAGTGTCAATAGTGCGTCCAATGACACTGGGACGCAAGATGATGGTGATGTCGTTGACAGTTGGCGCCGTGATCTGGTTAAGCAAGTCCAGGTCATGCTTTCCCGGTTGGTCGGTGATGTAGATCGGTCCACCTGATACACATCTTGCGGCAGCGTGGAAGGAGGCATATGGATGGCTGGTTTGAAACATATCCCAGTCTGGGACTACATTCAGATATCGAGTGAGAAGTGAATTATGTGCATTGCAGAATACATGCCATGGGTGCGAAGCGGGTATTTCGGGAAAGAAGTCATCTGAGTTGCGGAGCGGTATGGTGGGTTTGTTGTTAGGAAGTTGTGAATGAAATATGATTTGGGGCGTCATTGATCCGCATGAGATTGAACGTGTGCTGAAATGTCTGAGAGAGGCAATTGACCATGCATCTTGGTAAGAGGTCATGAACCGTCTGCGGTCCTCTGGTTCTTCAAGAAGATCGATAAAGAACTGTGAATCAGCCTTGACTGAATCTATACCTGTGGAGTCCAGATAACTATAGAAGTCATCGTAGAAAGTCTGTACATCATCGGGATCGATGACAAGAATCTTGCCATCGGGGAGATTCTGTTCAACAGGACCATTAGGGGTGGGATCTTTGATCTTCACTTCCTTTGTCTTATATTTTTTGGCTAAATCGCCTTCTGGTGAGATACCACCCCAATACCCGAACAAGGCGTGCCAAACTGCGATGTGCTCGATTTTGGGATTGGCATCGCGAATTAATCCCACTGTGTGTTTCAATCCTTTTGGGAAACCTTCCAAATGGGCTTCAAAATTACACAAGCCCCTCTTGAATTGAGACTGGCCCTCATTGTCATTGGCTTGCCAGCCATCGTCGATGATAAGATTGGCTATTTGAATACCATTCGACTTCAATTCCGCCAAAGCATTCAAGATCTTTTGTTCTGTAAGATCTTGACCAAGCGCATTCCAAGTACAGTATGTAAGACCATCGTACCACTGGGCGAGAAATTGGACACTTGGGTCTTTCTCCACGAGAACCTCATCATCACCGGGTGGAGATAACGGAACTTGATCTTCCAAATCTGCATCCGCTGGATCGGCGAACGGCTTGACAACCTTGCGGGCCTCGTACATCACTGCGGACATAGCGATCTCGAATTCCTCGGCAACTGCAACCAAAATGTGGAATTCCGATGTACCCTCGTTGTCACTTTTTGCTTTGATGATAATTTCGCCATCATCACCAGATTGAAGGATCGTCAAGACATCATTGACTCCGGATACAGCCAGCAGAACCAGATGGGCTCCATCACTCCTGAGAAATGAGCAGAGCATTACATCCTCATTGAGGCGGAATTTGGATGTGCCATGTCTAGGGCCCAGCCATGGACTCCATACCCGAACAAGGGAAAAATATCTCAACACTGATAATGGTGTACCAAGCGTCACATATTTAATGTTTGATTTTCCTTCTTGGCTCGGATCAATACCTCCTGATATATCCCAAAGCTTCGAGCCCGGAGCTTCACTCCTCCGCGGCTGAATTTGCAGTTTATCGGAGAAATTGGTGATATATTTGGCAATCTCCTCCAAAGGACTTCGAGCGGAGGGACCCGTGTCTGCGGAATGACAAAGCCCAGAGTCCATTGAGCAGTAAACAATCTCGCCATCGCTGACAGCATGCTTCTGGTTGGCCCATTGCCATTCCTCATCTGGGCTAGTTCGAAAACGTACTGTAAATTGAGCGTGACCTCCTGTGCCGGGCAGGGAGATCTTGGCAGAGCGTACATGGCGATGGTAATGATGGCTGCTATCAATACCATTCAATTGTCTTGTCTGTTCAGACTGACATTCTAGCAGTGGCAGAGCTGTCCATTCGGAATTGGTAATGTTATGCCAGATTTGCGCATCCCAACACTGTGGGGGAAATGAGCTGCTGGATTCGATTATAACCGTGAAAAATAACTGCTATCATTAGAATATACTTCATTTTCCAGCAGCGAAGCAAGCTGGTGCTCGAGACACATCGGGGCGAATGATAACTCAATACTCACCGCATCATCCTCGGATCTTCGGATATTGGTCAGTTGCCCCAGCGGCGGGTAAGATGTTACTCTTGCGAACATGGCAATTTGATCTGGGCGACAAAATATTCCCACGGACTTTTGTGTCTCTTGTTCCGGTTCCTGTACGGGAGGAGATGATGAGGTCTGTCTGGTATTGACCGACATCGAAAGAGGGGTAGAAACAAGTCCTTGCTAAGCTAGATGATAAAGACCGATATGCGACTGTAACAAAAGATGCAGGATTAGAATGAGCTTATGTAGTTTGTGAAGTTTTATAAGCTAAAAGCAAAGCTAGGAATGAGGTATGTTGGCGGGAAGTTGAAGAGTGGCGGGGAAGCTTCGGGCTGGGTGTCAGGTGCCCCTTACCTTTTCAAGCTTTGAGGGTATATAGTGTTTGACGAGCCATTTCGGTTTACGATGTTTGAACAGAGGATCCGGATGATCAAATAATTGCCAGAGGTGTGAAGAATTAATATATTTTGTATCTGACATGGCAGATTGGAGAGATTGAACAGACTAAAGTATGTAAATTCCACTAACATGGTGCTTCAGTATGAGCCATCTTCCCAGTCGATTTGTCGTCAATTAGCATAGTAGTCTACTCTGTAGTCGGCCTCCTCAGTATGATATACTAGACAAGAAATTCTTATTTCTAGTAACTCTACAAGAAAGAACCACACAACCCACCCTCCTCCAAAATAACCATATCATCCCGACGCAGCATAACCATAACCTCCACAACCTCTCCACCCCCAATGTCATCCATCTGACATGCCCGCCTAGGCAAAACAAGCCCAACCCCGTCAGCCTCAGTATAAGGAACACGCACAAACTCTGGTGTTCCAAGTCCCAATCCAAATTCCAATCCATAGAAATTAAGATCCGCCCAGCTGGTCATAGTCAAATCCTTCGATTCGAAGAGATCCCAGCCAACAAAAACGGATCTGTAATCATCTACCGACTCAACAAGCTGATGGACTTCGGCCACATATCTGGAATTGACACGAGCAGGCGACTGTGATTCAGCAATCACTTCACACAATTCGGCAAGTGATTTGAATGAAGTTGAGCCTGGATTATTAAACACACTCAAATCCTTGCCCTGAATGATTGCCAGAGCGTATAGAACCATATTACCAAAGTATGGGTTCTCTGCTGGGAATTTTTTGTTCGCTCCGAGACGGCGTCGCCCGTTAACTGCTGTAACCAAGCGACTGTACTTCAATTCGAGTGCTGGATCACGCTGCATGCGTGCATTTGTAATTGCAGACCAGACAAGTGCACAGACTAGCGTATTCGTCGTTGGAGTCGTTGACATATAATTTCCAAGACGGTGTTTGATAATATCGATATGCAGCATGGGGATGGCGAAGACTTTCGTTGTGCACGAGGGAAATTCAGACGGGAGTGTCAGTGGTGCTCTAGAGTATTCCGGATGCGAAGCGAAGAGATCATCGAGTGAATGAGTCGATACTGAATGTAAATCGGAGGAGAGCGCTTCTGAGAGTCGAGTCACTCTACCCAGGGAACTGAGGGACTGGTCACAGAATGAAGAAGAGGCTGCAGTTTGTGTGGTATTCTGTGCCCATAGCTTCACGGTCTCAAAGAGGCCAGCTGCATCAACGACATTGTGATGCATACAGATGTATAGACCGATTCCCTCTCCGTCTCCGAATCGGAAGATGCTCGCGGCGAAAACGGGGGCGCCTTGTTCTATTGGGTTGTGCTCGACCATATCTGAAACTGGGCGGAGGTTTCGCGGGATAGATGAGGGAGGCATGCCGTTGGCTGATAGCTCTTTGTATGATCTATCGAGGATGCCTTTGTCGATCAAGGCGGGTGTGGTGTTTTGATTCCAACGCATTTCAAGGGAAGCCTTGTTTTTCTGGTTTGTTGGAAACACTCGGCCTGATACCCATGGGATCTGGGTTGCGAGTTTTTCCAGGCCTTTTTGGAAGGCACTTTGGAGGGTTAGAGACGATTCTGTTGTCTCGAATGTCAAAATCGTTGCGATGTAGACCTTTGGCATGATCAGGTCTAGCGGTGTCAGGCGCTCAAAATTTGAGAAAGACATTGTTTGGGTATATCTGGCAGAAGAAAGATGTTGAGGAGGTAGACTATACTGGGATTGTTTGCTTTTAAAGGAGCTTTCAGTGAAATTGATCCATTCTGGCCCGCGGGCCCGTTCCCCCGAGCATACCAATATAGTGGAGTCGACAAAGGGCCACGATTGTGTAAACATTGCCACTAGTGATGGTAATTCTCCATAAGTTAAGTGAAAGAACATCATTCAATGTCTCTTTGACTCCATTGTATTTCCTTTTGGTCTCCTTTTAAGCCTTGTTTAGAAGTACTATTACATGAACAAGTACCGGGAAATGCTAGCTACACATCTAACAGAGTCCACTTTAAAAGCTAGAGGACATGGTGATGAATTGATCCATGGACTTGAACCCACTGTTGTCTTTTTATACGGTCAGGAGCTACCTTCTCTCATACGTAGATAGTCAAACCTGAAATATATTCGCATCAATCATTTGGAATGCATACATAGATACATAGATATAGGCTATTTCTATACACAAGATAGTATATATCATGCCATGCCACCAGAAACCTCCTTCAAAACCGTCTGCCATTCAATTTCGTCGGGCTCGTCTGCGTGAATAGACGCCTTGACATCAAGGAATTTCCGCACCTGCTCTTTAGTGCTTGCATATATCATTCGGACCTGAAAGAGAAGGCATTAAAACGGGGCATCAATAGAAAGGATAATGCCCTAGCTTGCCTTTGTAGAGGTTTCCTTAGGAACCCAGGTGATGAAGACGATTTTAGACCTGTAATATACGTTAGTAGCCACCGTCAAGATGATGACAATCCAACGATACCGTTTCCCTTCAAGACCAAGATCGTATTCAACATTGTAGACTGCATAGCGAGGAGAAGGATTTCCCGCACTATCGACTGATGAGACAAGCTTGCTGCGAAAAGCTTCGTAGTCTTGTTCGGTAGATGACTCTTCCGTGACAACGGACTGGTAATCGTCTGTGATTTTGTAGATGATGAATCTTGGCTTGTTTGATCCTCTTGCTGACCGAAGTGCACTGAAATCTGTCATACATTCGTTCGTGACAGTGACCCTGTTCAGATTATGAGTGAGTTTGAAGGAGGTAAACCAGAGCAGGATCTGTAAATAATTCGCTGACATACCCAGAAGGAAGCTAAGAGGGGTCAGTCAAGACATTTTGGCTCGTTTAAAGAGGACACATACCGACATGGCGATTGATCTTATCCTAAATGCTGGTTTCTTGGAAGGTGTAGGTGACAAGCAGAAAACCTCAGCACAGGTTGAGCTATAAAAGGGCACCTACAGTCCCACTAGGCAGAATTATTCTGTAAAAAAAAAAAAAACCATTAAACAGCGGGGCGTACGCCCGAGATATTACTTCCAACATTTTGATAGACAAGCAAGATACTTTGATGAGCTTCAGTCAGAGGCTGAGATTTCATAGTTCAAGCCCGGCAATCTGAATGCAGTCCTCTTAAAAGCCACTCTATCGCCTATATAATTGCAACATTAATATAGTCTTATGTCATTCGTATATCAATACCACGTATGGAGTACGATCTCCAAAATATACCGACAAAACATTCTACACGCTAGACCCTCACAATTAGCGTACGGTTTTAAGCATTGTTTTTACCTTACTTCGACCTCTCGTTTTGACAGCTTTGCAGTATCTTGAGTTATTTATATGTCGAATAAGTTTCATAGAGACAGGTAGAGCAAGAAGGGGTTGTACTATGAAAAAGAGATGGGTGAAGCGGTAACCTTGGCGGTGAAATCTTGATATAGAGGAAACTAACTTTGAAGCTGATGGCACCGCCAGTCTTGGCATTCGTAAGCGGGTTGTCGGGCCCGCGGGCCCGCGGCCGCGAAGTGACTTATTCTTTTCTCCTATCAGTTTATTGACTTGGCACAACATTCGACATGGAAAATAGAGAAACGATTCGAGCTAGAAAACAGCGGCTTTCATCGGTTCCTCGGGCGGTATGGGCTTACCACTATTGGGTCGTTAAAATTCAGACCATGGCTGACGATCTGTATAGTGCGAAGGATGCAAGGTACGCAAGGTAAGCTTGTTCTCATGCTTTGTTTGAGATATACAGCTAAGTAAAGCAATAATAGATACGCTGTGATCGCACAGTTCCTTGCTCTAACTGCCGGAACTCTCAAATTTCTTGTCGGAACGCCCAAGACAAACCGGAGAATAGCACCAAGACCGACAGGATAAGACATCTGTGAGCACGGATACTCGCAAGACCTAGGAAATATCTAAACTTATGCCAAATAGAGAGATAAACATTGAGAACCTCGAAAAGCGTCTTCACAGCCTCGAAGCAAAATCTGTCAATTCCACCGCACAGCCTTCGAGAATATCTCCTAGACCAAACACGTCTGGCCCAGAGCTTGAGGACAGGACAAATCCAGCAATTGAAGAGAGTGCACTATTTCAAGGTGGCTCATCATTTGCTACTCAATCTGTCCAGGCCCGTGAAGCCATCGAAAGGGCCTCCAAGAACAGCCCAGACGACCCATCCAGTCTTCAAGAATCATTGAGCCACCTGAGGGGCCTACTCCATTCTATGCCTACAAATGAAGCTTATTCTTTTCGCCACTCGACCTCCCGCTCGATCCCGAATATGAAACTTTTGCCCACTTCCCTGGTGATTGGTATATTGCAAGGATTCAAGAGTGTGTTCTTTATCCCCCGGCTGCCAACATGATGATCTAATAATCTTATTTTAAAGCACGTCGCCCTATATTTCTATCCTCCTATGCAGTGACAGACCTGGAGTTTGTGGAGAATCTCTGCCAGAAAGTGTATTTTCCCATGGCCTCAACAAGCATCGGCCAAGTTACCAGCATGCATGGGATCCTCTACTATCTCCTCAAAGAGTACATGGCGATCAAGGATCCACTTTGTCACGACTTCGATTTCAAAGCTAACCTAGAGCAATGTGAACGGAATTTTATCGTCGGGCTAGAGACCTACGACGTGATGGCCGTGCCATCTTTTGAGAATATACTCGCTTTGACAATGGGTGTAAGGTGGTCCTCGTGTTCAATCAAAATGCGGAAAAAGAGCTAACTTACGATACAGGCCATCAAAGCTCAAGGAGAGGCTAAGCCCTTCTTATACTGCAACCTTTTATCGGCCGCTGCAATCCACTGCAAAACATTAGGGTACCACCGCCACAGCACGTACCAAAAGCTTACCGATAGGGATGCCGAGAACGTTCGTCGTTTGTTCTGGACAGTGTATATCTTTGATAAAAACAATTCTCTTCTGCTGGGGAGAGCATGCCAAATACAGGACTCCGAGGTCGATACGCGATATCCCTCGCTTCCTACAGATGTAGGTCTGCGTCCCTGGGATCAATCTTTTATCCTCGGTATCAAGATCGCAAGTCTCCAGGGGCAAATCTATACCGCTCTGTATTCACCAGTGACAGTCACAAAATCTTTGTTTGAGCGAGCTCAGGAGATCGATGGTCTCTCGTCCGCTCTGGAAGAATGGCACAAGGAGCTGATAAGTGTGAGTGACATCTTTCCGATTTGTAACAATTTAAATCTCATTATTCTGACAATGGTTTTAGATTGACGCGAGTGAGGTCTGCCACCAGCAGGTCTTCCATTTGACCCGCGGTAATTGGGATATAATGTTCTACTCAACCATGACAACCCTCTACCGCGCCTCGAAATCGTCAGATCCAGGCGCAGATATTAATTCACGCTGCTTCCAAGCAGCGCGTCTTAGTTTGAAATCTCATCTCTGCTGTTTCCCACAGTATCAAGAGGCAGATCTTCTATCGGATGCCGATTATGTTAACTGGTTTGTTTAATTCCCATTCCGTCTATCGCTTTGTCAGTGGCTAACTACCTCATTCAAGGGTTCTTCTCTTCTCATCGTTCACGCCTTTCATCGTGACATTCTTCCACGCCGTAGCAGCAAATAACCCAGAAGACCTTCAACTTCTCGATGACGTGGTAAACACTCTCAAGAATTTCCGAGAAGCATCACAAGCATCTAGACGTCTGTATCAAATATGCAGCACTTTCGCTCAGGTCGCGAAAAAACTGTCAAAATCCGAAAATTCGGTTTTAGGGATTTACAACCCACATGACGACTCCTTGCAACAGGCGGATAGCAACGGCCATCCTTCATTTCAAGCTGATATTTTCCAAGAGGCACTAGATCCAGGATTTGAGGGCTATCTCAGTCCATCAGGGGCATATGATATTCTAGATGGATGGATGGCCAGACAGCCCCTCTCATTGAATATGTTTGATATGAGCTCTGGAGGTTTAATGATGGAGGATGGGATGTGATTATACTGGCCAAGTGAAAGAAATAAAATAAATTAATAACAAAATGGAAAGTTACTGTATTTATCTATGCACTCGAAACACTTAACTCAACGTGTTGAATCGTAATCGATCAGAGTGTATGCTAACACTAATACGAGCACGAAGGATAAAACATAAAAATGAAGGAAGTAAGAGAAAGCACGACTTAGTCTACACTATCAAAAGCGCCCCTGGCGCTCAACCCAGAAGGCAAGACAAACCGGATGAACAATTCACAGGTCCGCCGTTAAATTTACAATTTTATATGTCCGCTTAGGCTATGAATGAATGAAATGTATGAATCGTACGTTTCGATCACGTTAAATTTGTGTACACTGTAACTATTCCAAAGCACATTGGTCCTTCGGAGACATGATCCACATATGTGGATGCTTACCAAGTATGAAAGCAGGTTTTATCGTTTATTTCAACCTGCCGTGAATATTTCAATCTACTATATCTGCCAAGTTTGTATTCGCATCACAACTTTTAGTTGATCTTGATCGTCAACTTGCCAAAGTGCTTTTGAGCCCACTAAATCGTGTTTTATTAGTATGCGACCAGCTAACACAAGACAAGAACAACTCACCATGTACTCATACGCTTCTCGGGCTTGAGACAAACTGAATATCTTGTCATCAACCACGGGATGGATATCATTGGCCTCAATAGCCCGCACCATGTCCCTCATCAGAGCCTTGCTACCAACATAGACACCGCGCACAGTGCAAATGTGAGCCAATGTTTCCAAGACAGTCGGCTGAGTCTTAGGGTCAACGCCTCCAAGGAATCCAATGACACTGATAATACCCTCAAATTTCACACACTTGAAGCTCTGCTGAAGAGTACCGCTTCCGCCAACTTCGATAATGTGATCCACGCCAGCTCCATCGGGGGTTAGCTTGCGAGCAGCATCACCCCAGTTGGGGTCAGCCTTGTAGTTGATGACATGGTCAGCACCAAGCTTCTTCAATTTGTCGGCTTTTTCTGATGAAGAGGTAGTAGCAATGACAGTTGCACCTGCAGCTTTGGCAAACTACACCTGAAGTGTTAATGTAAAAGCCCCTGAATTGGAGTGTGTTTTTCGTTCCACATAAAACTTACCTGCAAGCCGAACATGCTAACACCTCCAGTTCCTTGCACAAGAACAACCTGGCCTGGCTTCACGGGCTTCAGCCCATAAAGAGCATTCCAGCTAGTGAGGGCCGCACAAGAAAGGGTGCTAGCTTCGAGAGCTGTCAAATTTCGCGGTGCCTTCACCAGGCCCTGCTCATTAAACACGGCATATTCTCGTAAGGTACCATCAATCACACCACCCAGGCCAGTCTGAGCGGCCTGCAAGTCGATTTCTCCAAACTGGTGGCCCTGGTTGAAGAGAGTGGCCACTGGGTCCCCCTTCTTGAACTCGACGACCTTGGACCCCACGTCCACCACTTCACCGGCACCATCCGAGCCCGGGACAACAGGGAATCTGAGTGCAAATGGATATGTACCCTGTCACAAATGAGTTTGCTGTTCTTCACGGTGCGATCCTCCTACTGGAGAAAGCAGATGGTCTTTCGGTCTCATACCTTTGGAATAACCAAGTCACGGTAATTCAGAGACGCAGCCTGAAGCTTTACTAAGACTTCATTCTCACCGACTTTCGGGACCTCCGCATCTTGATAGACAAGGCCGTCAAAGTCGTGTTCCTTGTCTTGGACGACCCATTGCTTCATGGTGGTAGGAGGCATAGTTTTGTGGATAGTTTCTAGTTGCAGGAATAATTCAAAATTGACTCAGAGCAATGGAGTTGAGGAATATTCGTGAGCTTTTGTCCTTGAGGACCCTGACGTATATGACCTCAGGGCTCCACATCTGGGCAGTCATGACGGCAAGCTTATTAAGATTCGAGATAAACCTGTTGGACATTATGTATGTAGCTTAGAGAAGTATAGATACTGTACATGGTCTTTTGTTCCCGATCATTCGACCTGATTTTGACTTTGTATCGTTTTGATCCGTGAACTATGAGACAGGGATGCATGTAAATGGATCGAGCTGCCTCCAAATATTGCTTAGTAACGTATATCTGATCACATGATATTAGTGCCTTGTGGCCTGAAGCAATCAACTGTCCTAAGTTAACTGAACGTTATCTTTGCAAAGACAGGACTGGTATAAATTCAGGTGACGTGGGCTCCATTCTATAGCCTTCAAGAACCTGTCTGTGTTAATGCGGATGAGGCAGATTCAGCGACATCCATGTGTGGTGCTTGTGTGCTTCCAATCAGTATATGGGGAAATGAGCAGAGGCATAGTCAGGTGGGAGGGTTTAATGACCCATGTGCATGTATCAATCATCGGTTTGGGAGGGCTTGGAAGAAGGGGTAGTGGGAGTATATCTCTGGATGATCATTGAGATTGGCAGGAATTTTATGTTATCAGTATCTGATATCATGGCCAACTGGTCAGTATGCTTTCCCATGTTCCAGCAGATCATAGTCTTAATTTAGATAATTTTATTCAAGTAATTTACATTTCTGCGTCATGGAAAATTTGTTCAAAACGTTGAGTATTAATTGATACCGAGATGTGTAGTGACCGCGATATAAGTTATCTATTGCATGGCAATTTTGAACCTCGCAGACTACTGTACCCGCAATCGAAATACACGATAAGGCTGGCTGTGCGCTGTGAGGCATCTGATTTAGCAGTAGATTTCCTTATTAGCGTGTCGAGCCGCCGTTAGGTGTCGAAAATTAGATGCATTGCGGTGTTAAAATGATCTTTGCTTTGTATGTTTTTGCATGGAACCTGCATAGCTGCCTTCTTGAATGCTAAGGAATACAACCAAATTTTTTGTATAAAAAGCTTACCTTCAACAGCAAAGTTTTCTGAACTAATAAGCTACCCTACTTCTGACAGTTCACCGCGCTAATATTCCCATTCCCGTTAGATCCGCAGTGTTGAATGCCGAGACACCAATGCATGCTACCAAGTGTGGCTTACCATGGAAGCTGTGTTATAGGAGAAGGTAATTGTTACACCCCTGATGATTGCTATTTCTATGGAACCTGTTCTGTTCAAGAGGCACGGTGCCAGAATCCCGATGTTGAGGGTTGTCAGTGCTACAAATAGCTCTTACGTTTATTGTTGAGTAGTGATAGTAGCTTGGGCTAAGCTCTGCTACTCTTGATATCTTGTTCTGCCGTTCCAATCAAATTGTGTTTTTAAGCAGATTTGAGATGCCGAAGTGCGAACGTGAAAATTGTGAAATCAAGCATTGAATCACATCATGTGGAAATTTCCACTTTCTGTTCACATTTGCAATTTTTGAGAATCGTAACGCAAACCGATAGTGCCGGGATCGCGGGAGTACCTTTCCCCATGAAACATTAACCCAGGGACAGCAATTAACCATTCCCGACCAATAGAGCTTATCTTCCGCACTGGAATATGCTGTGGTCGAGATATCCTCATTGTTGCCAAGGCATTCAAGGCCCCACTCTTTGAGGCCCACAATTGTGCAATTGCGAGCTAAAATAATGCCATCGCGATCAAGGCTCATCGCTAAATTGCCGATGGCGCGAGCGCATCGGATCACGTATCAGATACGGGGAGGGGTAGTGGTGAAGTATAAAGAGTGTTGCTTTCTCGTCTCATAGCTACTCTTCAAGTAACTTGGGTTTCATACTTTCATACTTCCTACACATCATGTCTCTTGGACGTACATTTAAGCTCAACTCGGGCTATGACATCCCTGCTGTCGGTCTCGGCACCTGGGTATGTATACTCCTTCTGATGGCGTGCGCATTGCTAAGTCTTTCACTATAGCTCTCCAAGCCACACGAAGTTGAAAAAGCAGTTGAAGCTGCCCTTCGCGCTGGATACCGTCACATTGATGCTGCTGCATGTTATCAGAATGAGAACGAAGTGGGAAATGGCTGGAAGAATTCCGGTGTTCCTCGGGAGGAGATCTTTGTCAGTGATTATTCCTGGAAAATGCGATAGGAAATCATTCTAACATGCTTTGGTTTTTAGATTACTAGCAAGCTCTGGAACACACATCACCACCCAGACAATGTGGAAGAAGGTCTGGACAAGACATTGAAGGACTTGCAAACCGACTACTTGGATCTCTATCTGGTATGTGTGCAACGCTCTCAATTCACCTAAAGGCTCTATCTAACATCCATGGCAGATCCACTGGCCAACTGCATTTGCCTACACTAACGAAACTCTCACGCCGACGGACCCGGTGACGAAGCGATTCCGCCTAGCCGATGTTCCGGTTTCTGACACCTGGGCTGTATTGGAGAAGCTCGTCGAGGCGGGCAAGATCCGAAGCATTGGAATCAGTAATTTTACCATCAAGGCCACTGAGGATTTGCTCAAGACTGCGAAGATCCCTCCAGCTGCCAATCAGATTGAGGCTCATCCGTATCTTCTGCAGCCGGAGCTGTTTTCCTACCTGAAAGAAAAGGTTTCGATGTCCTGAAGATTATTTCTATGAAATTATACTGACAATGCTTCACAGAACATTCTTCCAGTTGCTTATAGCCCGCTTGGCAATAACATCTTTGACCTACCACGGTATGAACCGCTGCTCAAATTCCCTGGTTTCTGGATCTTATACTTACATGGAATTAACAGTGTTGTCAATGACCCGGTGGTCGAGGAGATTGCTAAAAAGCTGAACAAAGATCCTGCTCAACTTCTCATCTCATGGGCTATCCAGCGTGGCTCTGCCGTGTTGCCAAAGAGTGTCACGCCCTCGCGCATTGAGAGTAACTTCCAAGGTACATCCCGCACTCTCTATACATCCTATTGCCGATCTAACCGATTGAATAGATTTCGTCATTCCCGATGAAGAGTTTGCCGCTCTCAACAAGCTTGACAAGAACGCCCGATACAACTACCCATTCCGTTGGGGAGTTGATGTTTTCGGAGAATTGGGAGCTGAGGAAGCCGAAAGACGTGCCGAAGAGCATGCGGCAAAGCAACGAGCTCTATAGATATCCATTGTAGGGCTTGTATAATCTGTGACAATGGTCGATATATATAAACTGCCTCTTCAGGCAAGGACAGAATTAACATGAAACATTTTTTTCTTCAAAGAGTCAAATTATCACGTAGAGAATAACAAAATGAGATAGATCCGAATTAAACGACAAAATTGGCGAAACAGACATGTTGCGTTCGCATTCTATAGCAATTGAGCCCCGACGCGGCTCCAAACTTCCTTCCGCGGGGAAGAAATATGAACACGCCTTTTCAACCCACACCTATACCCCGAGGCCAAATTATATCGTCTCCGTGCAGAGACCACACCGAGCAAGATGCTCTCATCAATTAAAGAAGGCCGTGTCACAAAGAACAAAACCAAGAAGACCTCGCCTCCGACTCGACGCGTCTCCAAAAGTGAGTAGAGCCTAGAGCCCCTGCACCATCGCGATCTACACAATAAACCCCCCTCATCAAAGCACCCCTAATACGCATATCCCACCCAATTCTATTCTCAATGAAGAACACATTCTAATTCATAAATAGTACAACCGCTAGTTGAGCGGACCAATGCATTAAGCATTGAAAACTTCATCGCCAAGTACATGCCATCTACCACGACAAGTAATCAAACCACAGAGGAAGCAACCAGCCTAGCAGATCAAACCACACCAGCAGAAACACCCCTCTCCCTGGATGTATACTCCGCAGCCAGCATCCCACCAGCAGACCTAGAAGCCTGTCTAGACCTCATCGAAGAAACATCCAGCGACGCCTACCGCGCCTCCGCGGATGGCTGGTCACGTACGAAAAAGCACAAGGAGATGAAACTGCCGGATATGAAATATCTTATTTTCCGCGATTCAAACGATTCCAACGATTCCAACGACAACAAAGCGACAGAGGCTCCCAACAACTCCGAAACAGCCGATCTACCCCAAGAGCGCGACGAACGAGGTCCGGCTCTGGGTTCCACTGGCTGTACTCTGAATCAACGGCGGGAGGTTCTTGGCTTCTTGTCTTTCATGGTGACGTATGAAGATGGCAAGGAGGTGGTTTACTGCTATGAGATCCACTTGTCGGCGAGGGCCCGGGGGCGGGGCGTCGGGTCGGTTCTGATGGAGCGGATGGAAGCGATTGGTCGGGCGGTCGGCTTGGAGAAGGCTATGTTGACGGTTTTTAAGTCGAATGGGGTTGCTTGTCGGTTTTATGAGAGGTTGGGGTATGGGCTTGATGAGTACTCGCCGCGTCCGCGGAGACTGCGGAATGGGACGGTCAAGGAGGTTGATTATATGATATTGTCTAAGCGGTTGAGGGATTGAGGGATTGAGGTTGGATTGCATTGCATTGCATTGGCTGGTGATTTATGGAATTGGAAGTGAAGTGAAGTGGGAATGAAATATGCAGGGGTTTAATGTACATTGTTCTTGTTCTACACCTGTCGGACTTCTGCGCCTTGCTTATCTGGGTTGTCTTGTTCCCATTCGTCTCTCAGGGCGGCGAAGATGGTGTCTGCAAGGAGGATGGAGAGACCCAAACTCCATACTAGGGTGATGGCGTAGAAGAAGTTGGCGTTTCCGGATCCTGCGTAGATCCATAGATGGTAGAAGGCTGGACCGAGGAGGGTGGAGTAGAGGATCGCTGAGGCTGCGAAAAATGTATATCGCATTACTAGGAAAGGTCAGCCAAGGGATCTCCAGAATAGGATAGCACAAAGAAGGGACTTACATGGGAAAAGATGGCGGTACAAGGGTAGTAACGCCAAAAACAGAGATGCATCTGAGATACTCGGGTATGGCTTGAAGATCGCAAAGACACCAAGGAGAGAGGCGATGACGAACAAAGGCTGTCGTCGGAAACGCGCCGTGAGACCTCCAACATAGCTGGCTAAATGAAGCCAGAAGACTCCAAGGAAGAACTCTCGGAATGAATCGAACATTTCAATAAAAAAGTACCACCACAGACCGACATTGGGAGTCAAGTCCGGAACCAAAAGATGGAACCCGTAAGTGGCCGATATAAACTCATAGAAATTACCAGTGATCAAGAAGGAAAGACCAAGAAGGCCTGCGACACTGGCGAGGAGAAGACCGGCATGTTGCAGGATGAAGGGTGCCATCTTAGGTGCTTGCGGGCTCTGTGCGCGTCGGTCATAGCAGACCAAGACCAGCGGAATAAACATGAGCGCAGGGTACATGGATAGATAGGAAGCGAATCCCAAGGCTAGCATAGCATTAACGCTATTGCCCGAGACTGCATTTGAGACCGCAAAAAGGATCCCCGAGGTAGTAAATACGCTGGTTGATCGTGCCAGACATGTCGCAATTGTAAATGGGTTGAACAAAAACCTGTTCAAAATTCAGCACAAGTACATCAGCGACTGTCGGTCCGGAAAACATACCATGCTGCGACAGATACTCCGTTCCATCGGACATGCTTCCGAACTGCCGAATGGAATCTCGAATTGATCGATTGGCCTGACTCGGAGATAGTGACCAACGCCTGAGCATTCAAAAGGTCGACGATGATGTAAAAGATTGCTGTGGGCAGCGGCCAGGTCTTTGCATCTGGAAGTAGGGCGAAGAGAGGTAACAGGAGCGGTGCCTGGATCGTACCGACTAGTCAATTGCGCGAACATAGTTGGAATATTTGTTGATCCACAAACCTGGTGAAAAGTCCCTCCATCATATGGCGACACGTTTCCGATATATAGAAACAAGCCCTCTTGCACTAATTGGAATTAGTTCAACTCCGAACCCCGTAATCACTGGGTTGTCACGTACATCGTTTGAAGCTACTGACAGGGGTCGAGACCTCGACTCTTCCTGTCAACAAATCAGGCAAGGAAGGGAACAGACAGATAAGAAGCAGACGCAGCACAAAGGCTGCGCCAAAGACCACGAGCTTCCGATCTATCATGGCTGCGCCGTGGAGTGTTGTTGTTCCCAGCTGTCCCTTTAGAAACGACCCTCTCCGCCTTTGTGCACGGGCCACCCGCAAGAAAAAAAGTTATCGAGAAATTTTCTTCTTCTTATCAGCAGCCATTCGGACTTTCTGACAACCATCTCTCATTATGGCGAAAATCAAGAAGAAGGGTATGTTTTGAAGCCCTGGGATCCTCTATTGTTCCCTGCTAACCTTCTTATTAGGTACCTCTGGCCAGGCCAAGAACTACATTACCAGAACTCAGGCCGTGCGCAAACTTCAGATCTCTCTCCCAGATTTCCGCCGGCTATGCATCTTCAAGGGTAAGAGCCTCTGTCATTCGTTCAATTGGATCGCAAGTCTAACCATAGTCTCTGGCATCAGGTATTTACCCTCGTGAGCCCCGTAACAAGAAGAAGGCCTCCAAGACCTCAACCCCCAACACAACCTTCTATTACACCAAGGACATTCAGTATCTGCTCCACGAGCCCCTCTTGAACAAGTTCCGTGACCAGAAGTCGCTTGCAAAGAAGATTGCCCGCTCCCTGGGCCGTGGTGAAGTCAGCGATGCTGCCCGCCTCGAAAAGAACAACGCCCCGAGACTCACCCTCGACCATGTCATTAAGGAGCGCTACCCGACCTTCATTGATGCTCTCCGTGATCTCGACGACGCTCTGTCTCTTCTTTTCCTCTTCGCCACCCTTCCCTCCACCGACCATGTTCCCGCCAAGACCGTTGCCCTCTGTCAGCGTCTCTGCCACGAGTTCCAGCACTACCTGATCATGACCAACTCTCTGCGCAGATCCTTCCTTTCCATCAAGGGTATCTATTACCAGGCTACAATCCAGGGACAAGACATCATGTGGTTGGTTCCCTACCGTTTCGTCCAGCGTGTCAACGGTGACGTCGATTACCGTATCATGGCTACCTTTGTCGAGTTTTACACCACCCTTTTGGGCTTCGTCAACTTCCGTTTGTACTCATCAATTGGTTTGAGATACCCTCCCAAGTTCGATACCCGCAGTGACGAGAACGGTGCCGAACTTGCGGCTTTCACTCTTGAGGGTCGCTCAGTCGGCGATGTTCCCAAGGCTATCGAGGCAAACAAGCCCCAGTCTACCAACAACTCCAACAAGGAAGTCTCCAAGGAGCTCCAAGCCAAGGTTGACAAGGTGATTAAGAAGGCCGGTCTGGATCAGGCCACAGACGAGAAGACAGTCGAGACCACCGAAGAACAGAACGATGCCATCGACCGCTTCGAGCCCGCTGCCCCCGAGGCCGACACCCTCCCCCAGCCCCAGATGAGCGGCAACGAGGCCGGTGCACTCTTCGCTCCCTTCGTGTTCTACATTTCCCGTGAGGCCCCCAAGGCCCCTCTCGAGTTCATCCTCCGCTCCTTCGGCTGCAAGCGCGTTGGCTGGGCCTCCGTGCTCGGTGATGGTGCCTACACTCACGATGAGACCGACCCCCGTATCACTCACCAAATCGTCGACCGACCCCAGCTCCCTCAAGAATCCCTCCCCGCCATTCCCGCTGCCGACGAGAACGCCGTTCAGACAGTCAAGCCTGGAAGCCGCATTCCTGGCCGCACCTACGTCCAGCCCCAGTGGGTCTGGGACTGCATCAACGACGGCAAGCTCCTTCGTGCCGATCTATACGCCCCCGGCGCCACTCTTCCCCCTCACTTGAGCCCCTGGGTTAAGGCTGCTCGCGGTGCTTACGACCCTCGTGCCACCCTGGCCGAGCAGGAAGAGGAAGGTGAAGCTGAGATCGCTGCCGATGCTTCGGACAGCGACGAGGAGATGGAGGACGAGGCCGCTGTTGAGGAGAAGCTCGCTGAGGAATCCGACGAGGAGTCTGTTGACAGTGGCATGGATGTTGCCGGCACCGATGATGATGAGAGCGAGGAGGAATCCGACGAGGAGGTTGAGGATTTCGGTGGCTTCGACGAGGAGGCCGCCTCCGAGTCCGAGTCCGAGGACGAGGCCGCCCGCACTCAGCACCAGAAGGAGCTCGAGGCTGAGGCTGCTGGTCTTCCCTTCTCCTCTGCCGGCGCTGCCGACGAGGCTTCTAAGAAGAAGGCTTCCAAATCCAAGAAGCTTGCCGCTAAGAAGAAGGGTGAGGATGAGGAGCTCGAGAGACAGAAGATGATGATGAGCCGGAAGAAGCGCAAGCTTCTCGAGAAGATGATGTACTCGAACAAGAAGACTGCCGATGAGTCGGCCAAGCTTCGTTCGAAGCGTCGCAAGCTCGAGAAGGGCGAGAAGGCCGACAAGAAATAAATTCTTTGACTCGACCGTTGTGCATGTTAGATAGTGCTTTGCAGGGCGTTTGTGGTTTGGATCCCATGTATAGGCACCTCAAAAATTTGTGATTTCAGTTTAATGCCATTGAGGGATTATATCCCACACATATATAAAGACATTCTCTTCCTGTATTTTCTTTGAATGTAGCCCTTGAATCTGCAAAGCAGCAAAGTCAATTCCCGCACACGGGAGATAACTCGAGCACCAGTTAAGTCGGACTCAACCTCGGCTCATATCCGAAGCTAACGACCTATAGCAAAGATGCAGAAAACTCTTCAAGCAATTATCTGTACAATCAATGTAGAAATCTTTGTTCTTGATGAATTGTTATAGATACCCTCAGCGCAAAATTAATGGCAATACTATGTAATAATGGACCTCCAACCAAAGCAAATACTAGCTTGGCTCAGCGCCAAGGTAGTAGGTATGCAATGAAACCACAAAGAAGATCAGATAGAGCTCATCGCAATTCAATCTTCATCTGATGCATAAATCTATAAGTCTAACCACATTCCAACTATGTCTAGTTACCAACCCCCTTTTCTGACACCACCTTCACCCATTCATGCTCGACAGGACCATACATCATCTCACCTAGCCATTCCCTGAACTTGCTTGCATAATAAGCAGGCGTGCCATCAGGACCAGTCGGAATAGTGATATCCTTCCCACGGTGCTGGATCATCGAGATTGCAGTAATGAACCACTAAAAAAAGTCAGATTGCAATCCAGATTGCGAGAAGAAAGCTAGGGAAAAAAAGAACTTACCGCTGTGCCAGCTGAAAACGACTCGAGAATGCGGCCTTCCGCTGCAGCATCCATCACCTCGCCAATGGTGAACTTGCGCTCAGTGACCACAAGCTCATCTCCAAGTCGCTCCCTGGCCAACTCAAGACAGCTGTGACGAGTTACACCCTCGAGAATCAAATGATCGTCCAACGGGGCCGTGATAAGCTCTTTCCTACCATCCTTTCGCCTCCAGATGACGAAGAAGTTGCTACCACCCGCCTCGGTACAATCACCATCAGGACCGTACAGCCAGAGAATCTGATGAAAGCCCTGTTTCAAGGCTTCCTGACTCGCAAGAACAGACGGACCATAATTAGCGCCGACCTTTGCATGGCCAAAGCCGCCGGGCCACGAGCGAATCGCTCCCTCGGGAGAAGTGAGAAGGCGCTTCCCGCCAGTGGGTGCGTCCATGCGAGCCATGTACCCGATGATGATATACAGCAATGCTTCCTTTGGCGCCGTCACACCGAGCTGTGAGTCCGAGCCGATCATTGTAGGGCGCACATAGAGGAAGTCCCCCGCGCGCTCCTTCGGCAGCCATTTCGGGCCATCGGTTGCCACCAATGTTTGGATCAGGCTCTCCAGCGCGTTGGGGTCGAACTTGGGCAGTGAGATGCGGTCCGCTGACATCTGGAGTCGGCGGGTGTTTCGGTCGTTTCGGAAGAGCCGCAGCTTGCCATCATGTCCGCGGTAGGCCTTGAGTCCTTCGAAACATTCGTAGGCGTAATGCAGGCAGGATGCGCTGGGGAGAAGCCTCAAGGGTCCGTATGGCTTTAGCTCGGGGGCGGACCAGCCGCTGTCGGCTTTCCATGATGCGAGGATCATGTGGTCGGTGCAGATTGTGCCATGGCTTCGCTTCAAAGTCTCTTGATCGGGGACTTGTTGCGGTGTCGTGGTATAGTCATAAGTCAATTTCGAGGCGTCGAGTGGTTGTAAGGTAGCCATGTTGAGGTATTATAGTGATGTGAGGTAGACATGTGCAAACAATCGGAGACTTTTATGTCCATATTCAAAAAAAAACTCCATATCTACAAGATGGCAACATCATCTCGATTGTATTGATATCGGGCCCACTAGGGCGTGCCGACACGCCAAAGATGAGATTCACGCCCTGCAGAGTGGGACCGGGTAACTTGCCGTATGTTATGCCCAACTATGGGATCGCAGAACAGAAACCAAGCCAAACAGTGAGTCTATAATATACAGATCGAATACAGTATTGAAATTCAAGCCCTTTCACACTCGCGATATGCAACTATACATACGGTCAGTTAAAATACAGCGGGGCTGCACGCCCTCGACGAAGCACGCCCTGCCAGCGCTGTCCAGACCCATATGGATATGTCTTCATGATTGGCTGAATAAGTTTCTTCGCGAGCAAACCTATGGATGTCTAGTCTGATATCCGGATGGAAGTCTCTCGGGATCAGAACAATTGGCCGAGACTGTACGCCCGAGTCGCCACCCTGGCCCGAAAAAGATGGAACTTGTTGCATAGAAACTATACTAGCTGACTCGAGCAATGCTGGATTTATACATAGTTTGCCAAAGGCTGTTAATCTAACTGTGAGTAGTGTGACAACATTGTGACAGACTAGAGGACTTTGGTCAAAAACAGCTTCTGGGCGTCAAAAACAGAATGCGGTGACTTCCCAACAAGGGACTCATAGATTGATGGATCGGTAGCTCCCTCCAGGGCAAAGAATATGGCTTGGCTGTTGTGATCCAAACCAAGCTGTTTCCGCAACCCAGCTTCTGTTGCTGATACCAACACGACACCCAAGCTTGCTGCTGACGACTCTCCACAGATAACTGGAATATCGCCCTCGTTTGCATTTGCCAAAGCCCTCATTCCATCCACCGTCACTGAATCGGGTACTGCAACGAAGTCACTGGCTAGCCAAGTGAGCAGCTTCCAAGCAGCAGGGGATGGTGCACGACACGCCAGTCCAGCCATGATGGTATGCAATGATCCCTCGGATTGACGTGCTTCTCCATTCACAGCACTCTGTAACAAGCAGTCGGCCTCTTTTGGCTCAACGACGATGAAGCGTGGGAAGGTAAGCGCAGTGGCGGTCCTTGACATCTGAAGGAACTGGCTGCTTCTGATTCTGTATCACTTCTGAAACGGTTGGTATTCAGATGATAAGAGTATTCCATTGTCAATGTGTTCTCAGCAGAATGATTCAATCCGATGCTGACAAGGTAGATGGATGGATAACAGCGAAATTTGAGAAGCTTTATCTAGTAAATCTAAAGCAGCTTAAACAATCCTTTTGAACACTTTCTGCGGGACTTTCCCGAGAGTACTGTAAGTTGGGATGAGATTTTGGCGAGGCAACTCATCGCCGGCGCTACTAGCTCAGGACTTTTCGGTAACACATAGAATCACCGCGTGAGGGCTCATTTCCGGACAGCAAGATGCTTGACACTGTAAAATAGAGATTTCAGCTGTATGCAATGCTATGCAACGAAAATCAAAAGTACTGGGGGTAAACCCCGCCAGAGCTGTCTGCAGGTCGAAAATTGGGCGTCACGTTTACACTCGGAGCGAAATTGAACTCTGAAAGTTCCACGAAGGTGAATTGCTGGTTTCTGTTTATGTATATATATTTCCTAGAGTGTATTGCACACATCTTACTGGAAATGGAGGAAGCTGAGGGTTATATTGTCCATGAATATTGCCACCATGTGGAAGCTATCATACTCGCGCTTGCTACTTATACCGAAGGGCCGACAACTCCTGGAGCTCTTCGTGAAGTCTTGAGTAACCGGAAATACTAACGACTGCAGCGCTTGCTTTCAAGCACCACAGTGGTCAGCAGCATTGATTGCGAGATCTTCAAGGCCACTCATACATCTACGAAAAGACCAATGTTTTGATTCCATACAAAGAAAATAGAGATAACTCTACATCTCAGGCTCTTAGATATACCCTCTCATCGCGGCCTCTTGAATGCCATTCAACCATATCCTAGCCATCTACTCGTATTCCACGTTATTAGGATGTGTACCATCAGCGGTGATGTCTCGACCGCTTCAAAATTCTTTGGTTTATATCCGAAAATCCGACTTGTCGTCCGTTGCATGTAAGATGGGCATCCCAAGACATATCACATATCACGCTCCTAGTCAAGGCCTCCATTCCTCATTCAGAAAAAGCCAGCCCTATTCTACAAAAATGTCCGTAGCTTCACTGATCACGTTCACAGTCCTGGCTCTCCACCCCGCCCCGCAGGCGCAACATTCGTTTATCCGGATGTCCCCCCAAACATGTTCACCATTTCATCTCTTGACTCCGTTACTGGAAGTATCTCTTTGCAATGGCCACATTAGACACGATATCTATTCAAGCGTCTTCGTTGGGGGCGGATGTCGTCGGAGCTGTCGATAAAGACAACAGCATTGCCTTGTTTAGAGGAATCCCGTATGCGACATTCCCAAAACGCTGGACTCATAGTGAGACGTTACACTCCCTTGAGAATGGATTCAATGCCACAAAGATGGGACCGAGATGTCCACAGCTTTCGGGCATGGTGCTGGTTGCTGGCGGCACCAATGATCCTCTTCCCGGAGATGATGAATTCAATTGTTTGAACATGAACATTGCTGTTCCCCAAGAGGCTTTAGGAGCAGGGAAGGCGAAACCACTTCCAGTCATGGTGTGGATCCATGGGTATGTTCTGCTCGGTCAAGTAACATGGATTGAGGCGGCAATGCAAACTAACACCAATCGCCAGTGGTGCTTTCGCATTCGGGGCCAATTCCGTCGCTAGATATCGCCCACAGGCGTTTGTCGCACAATCACGGAAAACTGGCACCCCAGTCATTCTCGTGCAGATCAACTACCGGCTCGGCCCACTAGGGTTCTCGGCGTCGGATGATCTGGCTGAGGAGCTCAGTGGGGGATCGAAAGAATCCCCTGTTGGGAATTTCGGTCTCATTGATCAGCGAAATGCTCTAGAGTGGGTAAACAGACATATTTGCGACTTTGGCGGTGATCCGTCTAATATTACTGTCTTCGGCGTAAGTGCCGGAAGTGTCAGTATTCACATGCATCTACTTGCTGAACATGCACTCTTCGACCGGGCGATCATGATGTCAGGTGCCGCGCCTATTTTGAGTCCTCTTCGATCAGAGATTTATCAGGAAGAGTGGGACAGCCTGTGCCGCAAAACAGGCGCCGACGCACCTACTGCTTCTGAAAGAACAGCAAAGCTCAGAGAACTGGATGTTCTCGATATTCTTAGAAATTCGAGCCCTGCGGCAATGGGTCCTTCGATTGATGGCATTCTTTTGAAACAAGGCTGGAAATACAACGATAACGTGGCGAACACAAGATGCAAAGAAATTATCCAGGGAGACACGAACGTTGAGGCCATTATCTTTGATGGCCTTCTCAAACGTCTACCCCAAGACCGCTTCCATGAGCTGGTTGACAATGCACTCCCAGCCCAAACAGCAACGGAACTATACACTCACTTTGGCTTCACACGCCAATCCCAGTCCGAGGAAAGCTTCCGCAAAGCATTCCGACTTCTTGTCGGGAATACAATTTTCAATTACTCGCACGTTGGCATTGCAGAAGCCTCCCGAAACTCTGATCTGTGGAGGGATCATGTATACATGTACCACTGGGAAGAACCCTCGCCGTTCCCCGGACCAACTTGTGGCCTTTCCTATCACGGTCTGTGTGCCCTGCTCTTGCATTTGAATGAGTTCCAAAATTGTCCGCCTTCAACGCAGCAGGTTTCTCTGGAGGCTGCTCGGATCTGGTCTGCTTTTGCTCATGGTCAGCAGCCTTGGGAGCCATACTCGGACCGGAGACGGTTTATGCGCTTTGGCCCCGGTGGTCACTCTGGCTTGCATACGTTTGAGAGTGATAATACTAGGAATTATGGGTTCCAGGAATGGCTTGGCGCTCACCTTGATGAGGTGGGTGTGTTTGTTCGAAAATTGGTTCTTGATTTGGAGAATAACAATGTTTAAACTGATCTGCACGCGTGAGTATGGAGACCGAATGTGTTCATCGTCTTTGGAGCGAATCAAATATCTTCAAGGGTATTTGGTTGGTCCAAAGATCGACTCCAATGTCCACAAGTTCCACTCGGTTAGTTCCTGACCCACACACTCTATGTTGGAAATTCTCTTTCTAATTCGGCACGAGTAGGCCTTTGGACAGCAATTGCCCATTGTTCTTCCCTGTGGACTTTGATCTACTACAATGGTGATTACTCATTCATCCCGCCTGCCCCTAGGCCGGTGCCTATAACCAAATCGATCAACATAGTGAAGGAAACCCAGAATGAACTTTTATTTTTAATTATAACATTATATCCCAGCAAACATCATTGCTCAACTCCAGCCAAGAAACAAACAACAGCAGAAGCAAAAGCCTTGGAATCATCCTGCCCCCCCTCCTTAAGATCATCCCCAACCTGCTCCAAGAACAGCGCCAGCTTCGACTCCTTCCACCCCATAACCGGCGCCGACTCCAGACACATCTTAGTCATACCAAAAGCATCCATCTCATAATGGCCCTGCACAGACAAGACCCTGCCAGGATGATAAAGACCCTGAATCGGGCAGATAGGCGTACTACCAATATTAACCCACGGCGCAGGCAGCGACACAGGCGGCGACTCCACCAGCGACACAGGCGTCCCCTTCGCAACAGCCATAACCCGATCCCCGTGGAACATCTGAATGCGCAACTTGCCCTCAGGCAGCTGCCCCAGCGCCGCCGGGAACGACGCCAGGAACGCCTTCTCCAGCTGCACGGTATAAACGCCGACTTCGCGGCCGAGCGGGCACTTCTCGACCCAGACGTCGCGCTCGCTGTCTTCTTCGTTGCGCACGAGCGCGTGCGAAATCATCTGGTGGCCGAAGCACGTGCCTAGGATTCGCACTTGCGGGTATTCATGGTAGACTCTTTGCACGAATTTTTCTAATGTTTGCATCCAGGGCGAGTGGGCTAGCTCGTATACGCCTGGCGAGCCGCCGGTGATCAGGACTGCGTCGATGGGCGCGGCCACTGGGATTGCATTCTGCGTGGTGTCGCCGCGCAGCTTATAAAAGTCCGGGTAGTGGCCGCCGCGGATGTCGTATGGTGTGATTCTCACTTCGAGTTGGTCTTTATCGGCGAAAAAGGTTTCATTCAGGCGTGCGGCGGTTTCGCGGAGAATTGTGCGGAAGTGCGCGCTGCAGAGTCCGCGTGCCTCGTAGAGCTGGCGGGCTGGGATGTCGACGTCTAGGACGGCGATGTGGATGTGGTGGACCATGTTGGGAGGTTTGCGCTGTGTTTACTGTTGGGGGGAGATTATTATGATTATGGGAGAGAGTCGTGTTGGTGCGAGAGAATATATCTATTCAACTATGGAGGCCAATTTCCCCATATTCCACTGGCGAATTCTACGAAAAAGTTATGTAAAAATCGTGGGTTTGCGGAATCCTGCAAATATTCATTACGAAAAAAACACAGTTTCGAACCAAGACGTCGACCGACTCCAAGCGACTCCAACTGTTAAGTAACAGCAACGTTGGGACTCGATGAGCTTAATTTGGGGCTCCACTCGGGCAGTCACCGAATGCTTTTTCAGATCTTTGCTCCGCGAACTGGGACAGCTGCTTCACGAAAATAAACCGGGTCGTAGGCACTGAGTTGTGGCAAAATGAAACAAATACAATAGGGCATCGTCTGCAGAACGTACCAAAGCTAATCTCGTAAAGACGTGGAGCGTACTGAACTCGGAGAAACACCTCATACTCCGAAAACAAAACCATGCCCTTCAAATGATCACCATAGACTCGGTCTCTTTCAGAAAATTGACTGCCCTCCCAGCCACGAACTTCATAGTATAAACAGCACCCCTAAAGAAAACATCCGCCTCGACATCCCTCGAGATCTCCACCTCCAAATTCCCATCCTCCGTCCACTTCAACCTAATCTTCCCCGCAGGAGTAACAAACGTTCCCTCGCCTGTCGGCATAAGATCCATCTGTGGCTCAATGCGGAGACGCGCGAAGCCCGGCTGGGCAGGCTTGACACCATACAATTGGGTAACGATTTCATTGACTGGACAGGCACTCCACCCGTGACAGTCGCTCCGAGGATTCTCCTCGAACTCGGCCCACGTCGTCAGGTCATCCGCCAGCATCCGTCTCCACGGGTCCAAAAGGGCCGGGAACATCTTGTTGTACAGGCCGACTTTCTCGACCGCGCGGAACACGTAGAATTGTAGTGCGCTGGAGCACTGGACAAGCGTGGAATCGTACATTGCTCGGACCATGAGCTCCCGCGCTGCTGGACCGGTGATTGTTTCCGAGAGCACGGCAAACACTTGGCTGTGTTGGCTGTATTCTTTCGTGGATGGTCCATCCAGGTAAACGCCGTCTGCGACGCAGTGGGCGTTCACTGCGTCTCGGAGGGCCTGTGCTCGAGTCAAATACTCGGAGGCGGTATCGTTTCGTCCCATAAACTTGGACATATCGGCGGCTTGCATCAATGCCACGATGTATAAGAGAGTGTTGAATGTGGCTGCGCCTGCTGTGGTGTACGATTGGGGCATGCACGATTGGAAGATCTTCCCCGGAACAGACCATTGTGTCACCCAATCGATGAAAGGCCATGTATCATCTTCGAATCGGCCGACGAGTCCTAGCTCGTTGATGCGCTCATCAAAGTGGTTGAGAATTCCGTCAATGGTGCTCAGATACCGTCGGACGAGTGCCGTATCGGCAAAATACTGCATGTGATCCCATACCATGGCAATCCAGTATAATGAAAACTGGGGAATCTGCTTACTGTTAAATCCAGCCGGGAATTGCGCCTTGATCAGTCCATCGGGGCACTGGCTGGCGTGGAATTCTTCCAACGTCTTTCTGGCGAGTCGATCGTCCGATGAAAGCTGGTATGTGAACAGCATTTGTAGTCGAGAATCAGACGCGAATTGGTTTTGTTCGTAGAACGGACAGTCCTCGTAGGTTTCGTGTCGACAGTTCCGTAGCGTCTGTAAACTGACATCCCAGATCTTGTTGAGCTCTGGTCCTGCCTGGATCTTGGTCGTGATATCCAGTGGGTAAGACGTCTCGCGGAGAGTAAGACCCTTTAGATTGAGAGGTTGAGATGATGTCTTGATGTGTAGTTGTATGTATCGGAATGCTCGGAACCAGAATGGCTCAAATGTGTGTTCTTCTTGCCCGTCGGTCACCGTATAGATATCTTTCACTCCATATAGCCGGCCGGTGGAGTCAGACCGGAGGAGCTTGGTTCTTGGCATGGGGAAAGGAGCGATGTCAATTCCAAGATCTTTCTCGTAGCACTCAGAGTAGAGCAGGGTTATTATTGACCCCAGTCCCCCGCCACATTGAAGGTTGACAAATGCTGTAGTCATAGATGTGCATTCAATGTCAACAGTGACAGTCTGTCCAGCGGGCACGATAAGTTCCTGTTCGCCTTTGATGAAATCATTCCAGTGTTGATGGGTGAGTGACCCCTCGCATTTTACAATTCCATCAAATCTGCCTTGGATCTCCGGTAGAGCTGGAATCGGCCGCTCAGTCAGTTTCCATGGTCGCTGTATTGGTAACATCTTCACTGGGCGGAATTGCAAGATGGCGGATTCCCACGTAGTGTCGTCGAAAGCTGGCAGCTTCCACCCAGAAAATGATTTTGCTTCTGATACTCTCTCGTTGTTTGACATGAACGGTGGGCCCAGTAGATAGTTCCATTCCGAATGAGGAATGATCTGTCGAGTGGTTTCTTGAACACACTTCCACGAAGTATCCGTAGACACTGAATCTCCCTGTTGAAATGTTAGTGACCCGCGAATGGACAGCACAAACCACGTCTGGCTTTCAGTCACTTACTTCCGATTCGCCATACACCATAAGACCAGGCAATTCGGTACTTATGATAGACGAAGAGCCAGTATGAACACGAGAATAGCGCAAGACTCGTGCGCTAATGACGTTCTCTCCTTCGGTGAGATAAGGTAGAATATCAACCGTCTCATAGTACCATCGTTCCGGGTAGCTCTTGCAAGGACCAAAACTAACCCGATGACCATTTACAAACAGCCGGTATCGACTATCTGCAGAAACATGAACTGGAAGCTCGCGGATCCCATACGGCCGAGTCCACTGGAAGCTTTTGCGAAACAGAAAATACCGACCGGGTTGACTTTCATCCTCGGTATGTGTTGGAAGCCAGATCCATGGTGGCGCCTGTGTCCAACTCGGGGAAGCCATCTCGTTTCTTATGTGCAAACATGCAAATATGCAAATAAAGAAGAAAATCCGCCCTCTGCGCTCTCTGTGGCTCATATAGACAATCGGCGGCTCTCACGATCTCGGATATACCGACCGGCACGATTTACCCCGAACCCGGGGACAAATCACGAGACTTAGGGCTTGACTGGCTCTGGCTTGACTGGCTTGGGCTAGACTGGCTTGCTCTGATTGACTCAATTAATTCACTAACTTCACTTGAGCTGGATTTTGCCTCTAGCGTCTCACATGATGCATTTCCCCACAATCTGCATAGTTGTTTAAATGGGGGTGTGTCCACTGTCCACTGTCCACTTCCCCATGTCTACCTCAACCCCAGACTCAACGCGCTTCAGGTGCGCATTATGTCCAAAGGAGTTTTCTCGGCGGGAGAATCTTGCTCGCCATGCTCGGATCCGTCAGTCTCTGATCCACAGTTTAGTTTTGCATGCTGATTGCTCCGTACCATAGATAAACCCCAAAAGTTACATCGCTGTCCAGTATGTGGCAAAGAGTTCACGAGAAGTGATGTACGTCAGCGTCATGAGGAAATTCACAGGACGCAGCAGTCACCTAGTGTGATTGTGGCGTCCCAACCGCAAACTGCATCCCCAAATGACAATGGGCTTGCCTCGCCGCACACGCCGTCCGACGCGCTACGTGACAATCGGCCGGCTGACAGGCGCCGTGTTGCTGGTTCAGCTGGCTTCGATCCGCCGGCTGATCAGGCATATCCGCAAGTCGAGGCCCACCATGACATGGGCCATGATTGGACTCCTCTTCATTCATTGAATATGGATATAGACCAATCTGATGGTCCTGAAGCTCAAGTTGAAAGCAGGCAGCCCAATCATTGGACAAATGAATCGCCTAATAATAGCTTCGACGATGATCTAGTTCGATGGATGCAAGAGCCATGCTTATTCGAGGATATGTGTTTTGATGATGATATCATGTCGGTGCTGCTAGAATCGGGGTCCATGCCACCGTTCAACGCCGCGCCAATTCTGGCAATGGATATCGAGAACGGCCAAGTAACAGGTTCAAACCATGACCAAAGTTCAAGTACTTTCACTGATAGGGGCGAGCGAATGATTCGACCGACATCTCCGCCCAACGAAGCCTCTGAAGAGGACAAATGGCCATATAGATGGGATCCTGGCTCTCAGGCAATTACAGCCGCAAAGCCAATCGAGCTACCCAAAATCCATTCGTTGAGACGGCATCATGACCCATCCTTTGATATCTCCCAGCAGCGATATGAAAGACTCATGGCCTTCCTCGTAGAACCAGCCAGGAGAGGGTTCAATCTTCACTCTCTTCATTTTCCAGAATTGGCAACTACAAACATCTTCATCGGACTGTTCTTCGCGCGCTTTGAGCATCAGATGCCGGTTATACATCGATCATCTTTGAAATCCTGCGACGAACTCCCCGACCCTCTTCTTGCCGTTATGATTGCCATAGGCGCTATATACAGCCGTGAAAGACACACGTGCCGATTTTCAATTGTACTTGTTGACATGGCAAGACTGAGCTCGCAGATTGCACTTGAGATGAACAACAGATTCATGAGAGATCCTTTGTTCGTCTATGCTCTTGCACTAATCTGCTACGCAGGCCTGTGGTGCGGCAATAAGCGATTGTTCGAGCTATCAGAGAGCCTGCGTGGTTCGGTTGTCAGCTATTGCCGCCAGATCCACAACAGCGAATTCATCTTCGCAAGAGACGACCTGAAGAGATTCGGTAATAGTTTGGACAGTCAATGGCAAAGGTGGATCTTGAAAGAATCCAGGAAGAGACTTATGTGGGTGATTTACGGCCTGGACTGCATTTTTCCCTGCTTGCTATACCTGCCAGCTTCGATCAGTCTAGCAGAGGTGATGACCACCGAGTGCCCCTGCGACGAAGATTTTTGGCATGCTGCAAGCGCCAATCGGTGGAAAGCCTTACTGGGCTCTGCCTCTGTCCCGCCTGCGAGAACCTTTGCCTCCGCAGTAAGCCCCTTCTTGGGGCCCTTGAATCTGGGCCATGGCTCGCACAATACCTCATCGAATATGTTCCTTCGCCAAACATCTTTCTCCTCATCAATAAGTCTCAACTCTTGGACACGACATCTTATTCTAACGACCATTTTGGTCCAATCCTTCGAGCTGTCGCAGCAGATCTCAATGGTCTCCGAGGCAACTCTAGATGCAGAGATATGGCAAGTGCCAAGAGCAAATGAACCCAATTCTCCAGCGAGCAGCCTCTTCACGGCTACCATTGAGCCCGAGATCCAACCTCATTACGCCTACCTTGTAACAAGATGCTTATCCAGTCGTCATCCAGACTCTAGCTTGTCACCCCCAGAACAAGAAGTATGTAGGACACTCGCTGAGCGCAAGGAGCTTATTTCAAGTACGTTCAAGCCCCTTCATCGTCCGCACAGCATCTTGACAGAATTTCTAGAAATGCTACTTGCCTGGGAACATGCCTACGCATCATTACCAGCACCAGATGTGGCCGTCTATGAAACCTCTCGATACTTCCACGAGAGTTCGCAGGTCTACCACCGCCTCGGCCATCTCACTCTCCACGTCCCAATCGTGGATCTTCAAAACGCACTCGGAAAGTCAGGTCCGGCAGAAATAACACCGGCAATAGGAATGATGCATAGGATTCTCACAAATCATCCCGAAGATGTCAGCTCAATGCTCACGCATTGCTTGGAATTGATCCGCGATCTACGCGTGCAGCCCAATTCGCCAACTGGTGAGTCCGGGTCATCGCGGATGACAGAGCCCCCTGAGATAATAGCCTGTTTTCTTGGAGAGGCGTTTGTGTGGATGCTAGTGAGCTGTGCGGATCCAGCGCAGATTCGGTTTTTGAGAGATAAAATGGACGGGTTTGAGGCTTCGGATGGGTTTTTCGCGGTTGTGAAGGAGGCTTTGGATCGGGCGAGGGATCAAGAGAGTGATGTCGTTCGGAAGCACAATACTTCCAAGACGAACTTGATCTTGTTTGCTGCTGCTGATGTTATTAGTAAAATGACGCCTTGGAATGCGTCGCTTAATTTGGCGTTGCTTTTGTGTCATAGGGGGAAGGCATCTACAGCGCGTGAGGATTTATGTCATTAGCCATGTCGTTCTTGATTCTATTTTAACTGTTCAAACCTAGCGTGAATAAAGCTCGCTCTAAAATTATAACAGCTGCATTGAATGTGTTGTATGCGAAGATTTGAGATTCATTTCTTAGGACAAGTGTAATGACAAGCAAAAATATATACAGATGGGTAACAGCTCAAACATCCCCACCAGGTGACGAGGCAGCCTCCTTATTACTAGTAAACTTCCTAGCCGAAACCTTGGCCTCGTAAAGATTATCAATGTCCTCGGTCGAGAGCCCAGTGGTATCAGGAACTATAGCCCACGCACCCCAAATAAGCAACACCGACACACCAGCAAAGACCAACCCAGTCCGAGCACCCAAGTTACCAGAATCGACGTTATACATATATGGCACGACAAAAGTCACGAGCCAAGTGCTGAAAGTCTGTGCCATCATTCCCAGAGACATAGACTTTGCGCGCAGCCGATAACTGGAGATTTCAGCTGCAATTGACCAGCCTGGGGCTTGCATCAAACTAGCCTGCAAGGAGATGAGAACGTTCCTATATTATGGTCAGCATGCTGTCTCCATCGAGATAGGATAAGGTGCGTCGGATGCATACATGAAGATCGCAATAGCCCACTTGGGACCAGTACCATGAGCCCAATAAAGAGCCCCAACAATCAGATTGAAGAGGAAGTTGATCACGCATCCCCAGATCAAGATGTTCCTGCGTCGCACGTTCTTTAATGCGATTCCGCTGGCAATGATGAGAACGATGGCCAGTCCAAATCCTCCTATCGAGATATCGAAAACATGCACTGTCGGTAGGCCGACGGAGATGAGGAAGTAAATTGATTGTGAGAGGAAGGGCCCACCACCTAAATTGACGAGGCCGAAGAGGAACATCATGGTTAGGGTCCTCTTGAAATTCACTCCCTGGAAGCATTCAATATAGCTTGATTGGTTTTCATCGCGTTGACTGTTCTCTTCCTGGATGGTCTTTACCAGGTGGTTGTAGCGCTCCTCGCGATCGACCTCGTCACGATAGAGCCATTTGAACAGCTTCTTTGCGCTTTCTTCGCGCTTGTTGATGATACAGTAGACAGGGGACCTTAAAACCGACACTCGTAAGCCGTTGAGTAAGTCAAAGGGATTCATGGAAATACGTACTCTGGTGCAACAGCAAATGCAATGGCGACAAGCCCGCCCACACCCCATTGAATAGCGAAGACGGTCCGGAACGCCATTTCCGACATATCTGTGACGAAAATCCGAATAATGCCCATGGCCAAGGCCTGCATGATGAGAATGAATACCACCAGAGCCTGCTGCACGCCAGGGACAAGCATGGGAGGGACGACCTCGGAGGCATAGGTCATACCAGACGACATGGCCATTCCAATGCCCAGTCCACCGATGATCTTGCCGCCGAGCAAAGCGCTCCTGGTGTGAGCAGTGTACTGCACTGATGCACCGACCAAGGCAATAACACCAGCAATGACGCCGGACCATTTCCGGCCGATGCGATCAGCCAGGAATCCGGTGCAGGTGGCCGAGAGCGCTTGAGCAAGCGCAGACATGGACGTCCACAAGGCAGTCCATAATGATGGGAGATATAGTCCTGTTGCATCTTTCTCTCCGAAGTACATCATGAATGCCGGCATGGAAATCGATGCCCCGTTCACAATGGTATCGTAGCCGAACATCGTACCGGCGCTGAAGGAAATGCTACCTGGTCGTAGGATTAGCCGGGAATACAGCATGAAGTCAATCGATAGGTCGGATCTTACATATCAGTAATGCCCTCCAATGCTTCTTGATGGCGCCCACCAGGCTCAACTCCCGATCGGCTTGCAGGAACCTCGGCTCCTCCCACTCAATGTGAGAAGAGGATGACTTGACAAATTCTTCCATGATAACGTTAGTGATTTATGATAGATCAAGTGGACAGCCCTAGCACTCTGGACACGAGGCCATCTTAAATGGATTGAAGATCTATCGACGCCCGTTCAAATCCGGGGAAAGTTCAAGTGCCGGGGAAGTGGACAGTGGACAGTCGGATATTCCAGTGGACATCTTAGCGGGCAGTGGACAGGCGACCAATTAAAAGGAAGCAAAATATATTCTTGTTCGTATTGGAACAGATCTGGAAAAGGAAAAAAATGGCTGAATCTTTAATCAAGTCGCTCTCGTTGGAAGAAAAGATTTCCTTATTAGCGGGGGAGTCTTATTGGCGCACGACTAGTCTGCCACATCATGGCATTAAACCGATCAAGGTGTGTATCTTGTTCGATTGGAAATGTGTATGTGCTATGTAACTTATGCATATTTTCCCCATAGTATAGCGACGGTCCCAATGGCGTTCGAGGAGAGTCAATTCATGCATCGACGAAAGCGACATGTTTCCCTTGCGCAGCATGCGTTGGATCAACCTTCAACCCCAGTTTAGCCCTGAGAATGGGCCAAATTATTGGCCAAGAATGCCACGCAAAGAACGTCGGTCTTCTACTCGGGCCAACAATCAATCTACATCGGTCGCCTTTAGGTAAGCCTATTCCAATCGCTCTGACTTGAATTGAATGCTGACTATGAGCACAAGGGGGCAGGAACTTTGAGGCGTATTCTGAAGACCCGACCTTGTCAGGGCTCTTGGGCGCAGCTTTTGTGAATGGAGTCCAATCGCAGGGAGTTTCGGCATGCCCAAAGCATTTCGTTGGCAATGAGTGTGAGACCAACCGGAAGACTTCGAACACGAGAGTAGACGAGAAGACACTCCGAGAGCTTTATGCATACGCTTTTCAGGTCCTGTTGAAGAACTCAAAGCCTTGGGCAATCATGACCTCGTACGTATCGTGAGCTACGGAGTATTACTGCAAGCCACTGATCTTCTCCCCTAGGTATAATCTCGTCAATGATGTTTTCATGTCAGAGAATACAGGCCTCTTGCAAGACATTCTCCGGAAGGAGTGGGGGTTCAAGGGCGCGATCGTTTCCGACTTCGAGGGCGTTTACTCAACAGTTCCTTCGGTGCTGGCAGGCGTCGCTCTTGAACTTCCAGGCCCTGCTCGCTTCAGGGGAGAGCATCTTCTAACAGCTGTCCAAGATGGCCAGATCCCAGAGTCTCAGATCGACTCTCTGGTGAAGGATGTGGTGACTCTTGCATCAAATGTCGGACGAGAAGAGGATGGGAAACGAGAGGCAGATATCCCCAGGGATGAAGATACCGCGGCGCTTCTGCGTGAAATCGCGACCCAGGGAATTGTCTTACTCAAAAACGAAGCAAACACACTTCCAATCTTGCCGAGAAACAACCTCAAGATTGCAGTCTTTGGCGCTCCAGCATTCACGCCAGTCATCCATGGAGGTGGTAGCGCATCGTTGACTCCGTCCTATGTGGTTTCTCCTCTGGATGCGCTCGAAAGAAGATTCGGGAAAGACAACATCCACTACCACACTGGAGTTCCCATCTTCAAAAAGATTCCATCTGCTCCATTGTCGTTGATGACAACAAGTGATGGAGCGCCTGGGGTGGACTGCTATTGGTACAATGGATGGACAGTCGGGACAAACAAAATCTATCACGAAGTCCTAGAAGCCACACAGACTTTGGTGATCGACTCTCGAATCTCCGAGCTGGCTCCTAAGCACTGCAGCCGAATGAGCTTTGTCCTTCGTCCCGAGACAACGGGCGTTCACGCCTTCGGAGTGACAGCCTGCGGGGAGAGTATCCTTCGTGTGAACGGTGATGTGATCTTGAAACATAGTGGATTCAAGGATTGCCGAGTCGAATATGTCATGCAGCCTGGAGACTACGAGATTCGAGCAAATCTCGACATGGAGGCTGGCCGAGCGTATCATGTCACAGTTGATACTCTGTCGACAGTGGCTCCGGTCCCGTCGCCAATTTTCAAGATTACACCCCAGGCTACGCGAGTGGGATTCTATGAGAATCTCGACAGTCCCATTGGCGAAGATATATTGCAGCTCGCGACTAACAGTGATGTTTCGATTATCTTCACCGCAAACAACAAAGAATTCGAATCTGAATCGTTTGACCGCTCATCAATGTCGCTGTCTCCTCTGCAGGATGAATTAATCCGAATGGTGGCCAGTGCAGCGCCAAAATCTGTCTTGGTGAACCAAACTGGCTCTCCTATTTCTATGCCGTGGATTGAAGATATCGATGCTATGCTTCAGTGTTGGTATGCCGGTCAGGAAGTGGGCAGTGCACTAGCAGACATCATCAGCGGTGACGTGAGTCCTTCGGGGAAGCTTCCTACTACATTCCCCCATTGTATCGAGGATTCCCCCTCATTTGGCAACTTCCCAACGGATCCCGATATGAATATTCGATATGAAGAGGGACTGGAAATGGGATATCGTGCTCGCAACAAGCCCCTTCCGCTATTTCCTTTTGGGTTTGGGCTTTCATATACCCAGTTTCAGTTCTCTGAAATATTCCTCAAATCTCTGTCGGGTAAATCGCCTGTTGACGTTGTTCTTGCAGCTACTGCCACGAATGTTGGACCTGTGGCTGGACGAAACGTAGTGCAGATCTACGTTGATGGCGTCTTGAAGGGCTTTGAAGGAGTGATGCTCAGCCCAGGGGAAAGCAAAGTTGTTGAAATACCTTTGGACAAGTATGCCTTTAGCGAGTGGGAATCTGGGCAGAAATCATGGGTGGTGAAGACCCGGGACTATGTGATTGACGTACGTCAGGACGCAAATACGGTAGTTTCATCGGTTACCCACACTGTCAACGAGCAAATCGCTTGGAACGGGCTTTGAGTTATTTGACTTGTCTCGCTCGGATCAAATGCATGGTTTTTAACAGCGATCCCAGGATATCAATCCCCATCAATATATCATATTTGGAAGACATTTTGCCCTCTCGGGAACCACAGTATTATTCTGATCCTGAAAGTGTTATTAAATTCAAATTATTGATAGTCAATTTCTACAAGACCGCAATTTGATACAACGAATAAGTTAGTCCCATTTCACAATTTTGAGTATTGTATTTTACGTCCAATTTTACATTTAATAAGGTATCAAATCCTTGACATAACTTCAATGTTGTCACTGAACCAGATGAATCATCAATCCTCACCTAGCAGTCCACAAATAGTACCTGAGTCTGCTAGCAACCCCCTACGTATATCGTGTACCCCGAGTGTCCAAGTTTCAAACTCTCTTCCTACTTCAGGTAAAACATGGACTATATGTAAGTCTCATTGATTCTAATTGATGGAGCTATGAAGTATCCGAAAGTCATGTCATCGTACGTAATATACATATTATAATTCATCCCTCATCGTTCCAGGGACATTAACAAATATTCTCCCTTCCCAACGGGATAAAAGTAGACATTATCTCAGATTCCGGGATATACGGCCACCGAACGAAGTTCATAATAATGTGACCATGTTCCTCCTGAATGTCAGCAGATATCTTCCTGATACGTCTGTGTTCCGGAACGTATACAGAACATCCGATTCTCTCAAGCCCATCCTCTTCAAGCTCCACAATCCGCTGAGCACAAAGACCAGAGTATTGATCCCGCCAAACGCCGTGGTAGAACGTTGGCTGGAACATCAAATTAACTGCTTTCCATCTCGTCTGCGAATCACGGCAGCGAGACGCAACCAAAAACATCGGCGGCGTGATCCCGAGGTCAAAACTGAATAAAAGATTGAATTGTTGCGGTGCCAGTTGCCATATCTCGAGAATTTCTTCGGTAAGTCTGACAATAGATTGGAATGCTTCGAGATAGTCGTCAAATATTACTTCTTTTTCCGTGTTATAAGTCCCTGTTATGACGACCGAGGTGGAGTAGTATAGTTCAAGCAGCTTCCGTATGCAATTCCGTAGCTCGGGGGGCTCTGTCGCAAAGTCAGACGCATCCAGTGCGTCTTTCCAACGCTGTAAGATGATTATCGGACTCATATTTGGCTGCTGAAAATCCGTGACCTGCTCCTTTTCGAGCGTGGAGAACACATAGTTCATGCCGCGATCGAAATCTCTTCGAGCAAGATCTAAAGAGGCGTAAGAGGACGGGATAGTCGGGGCGGGCAGACATGCCTTGATGCCTGTTCTGCTGAGAGCGTGGCGGGAGTCCATACAGAGAGAAAACTGGACGCGTAGACGTTGAAAGACAGGCGTGATCTTCTCGTTCATCAATTCCAATGTTGGCCGAGAATATTCTTTCAATTTGGTGTAATTGTTGGTGTTCGATCTCCACCAATAGAGTAATTTAAGCCCCGCGGTCAAATGAACAATACAGGCAGCATCGCCACTTCGGAATTGTTCAAAGCAGATAAAAAGAATGCACAATATCATAGTAAGATCGGGTCTTGAAGACATATTGAGAGATTCAACCCTCAAGGATTTAATGGCATCATTGTAGTGTTTTAGGGCCAGTACTTCGGCGGTCGCCCTGGCATGTTTTGGAGACTTTTGGATCCATGTCGATGTATTGTTAGGCTCAAGACTCTCATGTAAGGATGCAAGCGCTGTAATGGCGTGCTTCACTGAGACTTCATTATGTCCAAGATACAGAAGCACAGAAACCCAATCGCCCGCGTCCCGTTGGCCAAAAACTCTGTGCACTGTGCGCGATCGAAAGAAGGCAAAGGATCGACGTTCCGCGTCGCTCAATGCATTTTCAGTAGAGAGGGATTGCGGTACTGCGGGATAACCCTCGCATATTCGCTTGGTACTGGTACACCGCAAGCAGGCTGGCTTTTGCTCGTCACATTTTACGTGTCTGTTCCCTATCGTTAGTTATCAAGACGATTTCATCGCTGGCTATATATCGTACCGAAACCTTGAGAATTGTTAGCTTGCACGTCATATAATGGCTCTTGAAAACTCACTTGCAGGTGAAACAGCCAGTCCGAGCTTTCCGACGGGTTATGGTTTTGCCCGCCTTCATTGTCAAATGGCATTGAGACCCAGCTAGGTGGCAAAGAGGAGGAAACTGGATCTTATCACAAGCTTCCAAAGCACATTTGGTCATGCGAAGGGCGTGCGGTCTGGACTACCCGGCGTTCATTGGTTGGTACGGCCCCGTTGTGCCCAGGTGTACTGTATTATGCTTATCCAAAATGGCTTTTGATTGGTCGAGCGTTGAACACACCGACTGGGCCAATACTAACGTGGTCGGCAAGCGAGTGGGCCATGTAAGCGAGTGGGCCACCCAACCACTTTTTCTACACTTTTATCGATATATCTCAACCATAACGCTATTATATTGATTAATCTCTTCTTAGACAGGCATTCTTCTTGTGCCCTATCTCGCTACATTTACCACATTTAGGTGGGCGCCGCATAACCGGTGCTTGCGTAGCCTGCGCCAGCGCTACCCTCGGTCCTGTTCTTGGCTGAAAGAACTGATTGTGAGCTTCCTCTAGCTCTAATGCTTCTTGTACTGATAAACCGTCATCGTGGGCTATCCATCTATTCACACGAGCGCGCTTTTGCCTTTGTGTAGCGTTGGCGGCACGTAGTTGCTTGTTTTCTTCCTCGAGAAGTATACCGTTCTGCATTGCGACTTGGCAGCCTTTAATAAGCTGGTTTAGCGCTGCCTGTGAAGGCGAGGGTGGGCTATTTGAGCGTTGCTTAAGGAACTCTTTGATCGAGGATGCTTGCTTTAGAAGCTCGTTAACGTTCGCGGGTGTATGTGGGTAAAATGCGCTTGTGTCACTGCCACGGCTGGAAGGTGGCGTCGGCGTCCGAAGTTGAATATTGAGCTTTGATAGCACTTCTTGAGGATCGAATGGTACTAATCCTGCTGCTTGAAAGCTATTCTTGATTGTGTCTGTTTTAAATGCGTTGACACGAGCTTGTGGATATGCTAGGAGGAAGTTAAGCTTGTCGATATGGTTGATCCCGAGCCGTATTTTGTTACCGACTAAGGTACCGTACGATTGCTTCAAAACCGCGAAACATCCGATATCAAGAGGCTGTAAAAGATGCGATGAATGCGCTGGCATACAGATTGGTATAATATCGTGATCCGCGCAAAGTTGATCGAATTCTGGCGTAAGATGGCTTCCGTGTCCGTCGAGGACTAAGAGTCGATATTTTCCATGCGTACGACTATTTGTCGACGGAATAAATTGCTTTTGAAGCCAGCGAAGGCCGATCTTATCGGACGTCCACCCGTTCGCACTAACTTCGATACGCCAGTCGCGTGGAAGGTCTTTAAACCACGCTTGATTGTATTGCTTACCCTTAAAAATAAGGGTCGGTGGAAGCGCCCACCCCGAAGCGTTAACTGACTCGATTGCAGTTACCCACTCACGGTTTCCTGGCTGTAAAACTGATCTCCGACCGTAGTATTCTGATCGGGTAATCACTTTTTGATTCGCACAAAGGCCCATTGCGAAGCCAGTCTCGTCAAAGTTATAGATATCGTCCGAAAGGATACCGTATTGCTGAATCGTGGCTTGCACAGTGTTGAACCACTCTTGAATAATCTTTGGATCCTCTTGCTGTGCCCGCTGGTAGTCGTATCGTCGTGAAAGGCGAGAACAAAGCTCTGGATGGCGTTGGGTGAAGTTATATACCCATTTTTCGCCGACGGTTTGGATGGGGGTAGAACCACGCTTCGCGAGTAGGATATTCGCCATTTCTCGTACGTGAGCTTGTGTAGGGGCTGCTCCACGTAGATCTAGCGATAGTATCCGCTGCTGAAGTAGTTCCTCTTCAATTTGTGTCATTTTATGACAATTTGCGCGAGATTCAGCGCGGTTTGTAGTTCCGCGTAGTCGACGCGTGAGCGTAGTGCGGGGGACCTGAAATTGGTCTGCGGCCTGCCTAATAGTGCTAATCTCTTTACTCTTGATAGCCTGTATAGCAAGTAGGATACGGCCTTCTTGCTGAACGGAATTTTGGCTCGATCTGACGCGAATTGGAGGCATGGTGGTTGATAGAAAACAGATAGATAGACCGGGATGCGAAAAAGTGGTTGGGTGGCCCACTCGCTTACATGGCCCACTCGCTTGCCGACCACGTTAACTTTTTGATGCCATTAAATTATGGTAGGATGGCTTTCTAGAACTTAGAGATAGCTTTCTAACAATTGAATTTAACAAACAACTTGTATTTCAAGGCTATCAGACCTTGGCTTTCCACTTCCAACTCCAGTCCAAGATAGCCCATCGAGACAGTATAACACTAATGAGTCCGACAAGCAGAATGGCTGAGTAGAAGCCAATGAGGACCTGCGGTGTAGTTGACTGTAGCAACTGTCCTCCAATTGGAACAGTGAGCAAGACTCCGAACGAAGCCACACAGTACACTGTGCCGTAGAATCGCCCATAATCCTTCGTATCACAGAGCTGACCTGCACAAACCGGGGCGAGTGATAGCCATCCACCAGAACCGAAGCCGAAAATCGCCACAACTGCATAAAGTGTGCCTTCATCGTGAGATCCATATGGCAGCCAAACAGCAGCCATAATTATAATGGTTATGACAACCAAGGATAATAGAATATTGAATCGACCAAACATGTCAGCAGCAAAGCCAGGAAGCACTCGGCCAAGAAGGCTCATGCTGTTCAAGACTGTAAGAGAATAGAACTGCAAGTCCACCGAGAAGCCGCTGTAACGGACATAAGAAGGTAGAAGCGCAGCACAACCAAAAATAATGAACTCGAAGCAAAACACGGCCACTGCAAGGAAGCATAGACGGGGTGATTTGAATGCTGCAAGGTCAATCGTCACTCTGCTCTTGGTGCCAGTGGGCAGACGTCCTCTAACAAGCAGTACTCCCAGCATGTAGCAGCCCAGAGCCATAAAAGCGACTGTGCGTATAGCCCATGTCCACCCGTATTTGTCAAACAATGTTCGTAGCATTAACGGGATAATGGCACCGCCTGCTGATGATCCTCCCATACAAATTCCAGAGGCAAGGGCGCGTCTTCGATTAAACCAGTGGCTGAGGACTGCAATAGAAACAGTTGTAACTATTGCTGCGGACAGTCCACCGAGAACACCAAGGCAAAGCATGAAGTGCCAGTACTTCGTACATTCTGCGAGGAGTATATACGAAGCAAAGCTTCCAAGTGATCCACTGATCAGCAAGACTCTGGGTCCATATCGATCAAAGAGCGGCCCAACTTGGACACCAAGAAACAAGGTCAAAAAGACTAGTACGGCAGTGATCCAGCCAACATCTCGATCGCCATATTCGGCCAACTGGTGGGTGCTGATATAATCCTGCACGGATCCGACTAGTTATACAGTGTCAGTTTTCATGTTCGCAGCAGCAATATTCTAAGGGACATTGCCTATCCTCACCTGCAGTCTGAAATCCAAATGAGGGGAACATCATGAGACATGATCCTAGCAAACAGATCCATGCCTCTCGGCCGCCTTCGGGAAAGGCTACGCTAACGTCGCCCTCGACAGGATTGTCAACAACAGCCTCCAGCTCATTATTGTCACCCAAGCTGTGACTTGTTTGTCGTGTTGATCGACGCATTTTCAACCTTTTTTAAATTATGAACAGTCAATGAGAAAAATCTCAAGAAGTGAATGTCACCGTTCGATCACGTGGGCAGGAATGAGGCGGCTTTGGGTGGGGCTCTTTTATAGCTCTTGGAATCCTATTGGTCGATCTCTTTAAAGCGCGACGCAGCCAATCACAGACCAGAACCGGTTTATATCTGAGCATTTATACTCCACACGCCACGACACCGGGCTCCTTGTAGGCTATCTTCTTTTTACTCGAGTTCTGGTAGGTCGTAACCATTCTCTGTAACATACTGAGAATCTTGCAAATCTCGTCTAAAGTCGAAAATTCATCTGCAGGGAGAGCCTGGTGGGCTGAACTCATGCTTCACTGGGGATACAGGGAAGTGCTTTGATTACTCCACCATATGATCTGCCTATTAAAGAACTTGACATACACTTACACGATTTGTGTGCTCGGGCATATCAACAAGATTATAATGTTGATTCTTAGACAGACATCTCTCAGATCAAATTTTACGGCGCCATAAAGCATGCACTGTCCAAAGTTCAGAATACCTTCTTATCTCTTTGCCAGCCTAAAACGAGCTGAATAACACAATTTTAACTATCCTGAAGAAAGATTAAGAATTTAATTTTACTATTCCCAGCCAATTGCGATCACAATCTTGCAATCACCCTGTTCAAAATGAAGCCGTCAAGCATCTGCATTCCATGCTTCCTTCGACATTATGAAATTCCAGCTGTGAGCCCACTGATGGTTTCACTTCTGATATGGCCTGGATATCATATCATATCAGGGTGAGATTGACTTGGGGGCATTGGCTGGTGCTACATGAACGGCAATGTTTTTGACAGAAATACAAGTATGCTTAGCTCTATTTCAGCACTTTACAGCTGGGTGCTATCTTCCATCACATCCCCTACTTCTATCGAGATTCATACATGTCCTGGCAATGCCTCCATTTAGGGCAAAAGATATCGGACCCGGGATCCCGAACCCCGATCTGACTCTAACCCAAAAAGGCAAGGTGCAACACGCGACAGTCCAGGATCTGATTGGAAAGGGGGCTCCTCGTATACGCTCGCGGTGTGTAGATGTTTTCCTCCCACTCCCACCCATCTGACAAGTCAGGTAAAAAAACAAAAATAATGGCGATCCCAAACCCGCAGTCCAAACAAAAGGGCACATATCAACGTAGGAACCTCACACAATCAAAGCCAACACTATCATCAATCAAAGAAAATGAACCCCAACCCAGCAACCCGGACAAAGATCCTAAACCAAAAGCCCGCACAGCCCTCCAACGCTGTAAGCGCTTCGCAGCAACACACACGTGGGCCATCCCACTAGCCCTACTGCTATCAATCCTAGCACTATACGCGGTCAACCCGACCGAGTCCAACATCCTGCACCACTTTATATTCCTATCCTACAAACAGCCCCCAACCCCAGCATCCCACAGCCCCAACCCCCAATACGGCAAAGGACCATGGGATCTAGCCTTTGTCCTCTTCTACACAATCGTTCTCTCCTTCACCCGCGAATTCATCATGCAAGAGCTCCTGCGCCCACTAGCGCGCAAGTACGTCAAATCAACCGGCAAGCAGGCCCGCTTCATGGAACAGGCCTACACGGTGCTGTACTTCGGCGTCCTCGGTCCAGCTGGTCTGTACGTGATGCGCCAGACGCCCGTGTGGTATTTCAACACCCGTGGCATGTACGAAGGCTTCCCGCATCGCACGCATGAAGCCGCGTTCAAGTTTTACTATCTGTTTGAAGCGGCCTATTGGGCGCAGCAGGCGCTCGTCATGGTGCTTGGGCTGGAGAAGCCCCGGAAGGATTATTACGAGCTGGTTATGCATCACATCGTCACGCTGGCGCTTATTGGCTTGAGCTATCGGTTTCATTTTACGTACTTGGGCATTGGGGTTTATCTGACTCATGATATTAGCGATTTCTTCCTTGCTGTAAGTGAAGTCTTTCTGGTTTCTGAATGGGCACTTGCCCTTTCCCCTGTCTCCTTGGTTCGGGGCTTGGTTTGGATTGTTCTGTGTTTTTAGGGGTTTGGTATTGACTTTTTGTGCAGCTGTCCAAATCTCTTCACTATATTGCTCCGGATTATATGATCCCTTTCTTTGCGGCTTCGATTGGCGCGTGGGTCTATCTTCGCCATGTGCTGAATCTTCGCATTCTGTATTCCCTTCTGAATGAGTTTCAGACTGTTGGGCCTTACGAGCTCAATTGGGAGACTCAGCAATACAAATGCTGGATCTCTAATATTATCACTTTTGGACTGCTGGCTTCTCTTCAGTGTCTCAATCTCTTTTGGCTGTATTGTCTTTTGCGCAGTGCACTCCGGTTTCTTATTACTGGTGATAAGAAGGATGATCGGTCCGAGCCTGACGAGTCTGAGATTGAGGCTGAGGCCGAGAAGTAAATCTTGGACAGTGTCGATGGTCATGATCGCTTGAATGGCAATGGCCATGTTCCTTCTGGGAAGTTGAACGGAGCTTCCGCTCAGGCTTGAAGTCCTCGGGTTGAAGGTGACGGGAACCTGGTGGGCTTGCAATTTTTGATGTCTCACGTTATCATGGACCATGAGACAATGTCGACTGACTTTGTTGCAAGGCAATGAACCGCATCCCATGCTTGATGCTCAAAGTTGCGGCGTTTATGCGGAATCACTTATGTGACTATACATATGCTTGGGGATTAATGCACTAGAAATTTTGGAGTGACGTCTTACGCTCAGTCTCTCTTTACATGTGACATAGAACAATATATTGGACATAATGATAATAACGGGTTATATCCCCGAATGAATGCAGTTTTGATTTTTGTGCGTCTCGACTGGGGACGGCAACCACATGTATGTATTATAGTGACAACAAATATAAAGCCAATCGTATATGCGGAAGACACGAATTTTGCTCGAGTATCATGAAGCAAGAGATAATACCACATGTATTCGGCAAAAGTCCAAGTATGTGAATGAATGGTCTATCTACAGAACTCAACAAAATTCGTCTAATGAATAACACTCAAGAAAAGCGCAATCCCTGGCTAGGGTCCCAAGTCGCGGGCTGAGGGCCACGAGGCTTCGGAACGGCCTGAGCTGGAGCTGGAGCAGGTGCCGAGGCCGGGTTCGCTCCGGGGGGAATGGCGGCAGAGCCAAATCTGATTCCCATTTCGGGTGACCACATGCCTGGCATTCCAGGTGTGGAAACGGGAGGTGGTGCGACGGGGGCGCGGACCGGCTGAGGTGCTGTGAGCGGAGGAGCAGGGACGACAGGGCGTGCAGTGTGAGCTGATGTCGGTGGTTGAGGTAGCGGCTGTGACGGGGGAGCAGCTGTATAGGTGGATGGTGCGGGCTGCTGGGGTTGTTGGCGAAGATGGGGCTGAGAAATGTGCAGGGAGGACATGGCCTGTGCATTGGAAATATCACTATTATGGTAATTAGTATACGAAATCGATATACTGAACGCCAACAGATACATACGTTTCCAACTGACTCGCTTCCATACGGCGCTGGTGAACGAAGGTCTTTGCGTCATCACGGAAGCGAGCGACAATCTTTGCAAGATCATTATAAAACTTCCGTCCAACGTCGAGGTTGGAAATGATCTCCTTATACTTCAAGTAGCCATTTTCTAGATCCTGAAGAGCAATCTCGCGCTCTTTCGTTGACGCGTCGCCCTTGTGAGCACCGGTGAAAGCACGATTGGCTTCCCGAACCTGATCAGAGAGGTTGTCTTGCTCTCGACGCTCCTGGGCGATCATATCGCGATCCGAATCAAAGTTCTTTAGTTGCTCCTCGAAGAGATCCTCAAATTGGCTGGCTTGGATAGCCTGCATAGGGAATTCTCGCTCAAGACGTGCAGTCTGTCTCAGCAGTGCAGGGTCTAATATCCAATTAGCAGATTTCACCTGACAAGCAGCATAAATACATACGAATATCATCAGCCCGTGCCTTATCCTTAAGACTTTGAATACGTCGCTTTCTCCGGTTCTCCATACGGCTAATTTCACTCAAGCATCCACGTAGCCGATTCGACTCGCGCTCAACATGCGGCGGGATAGCTGCTCGTCGGCTACTAGGCACGTAGGACTCAAGATCCCGGTTAGTACCAGTAAGAACGAGGAAAACCGAGTGTGAATCATGTAGCTTCCGTTGTACAAGATCATCGCTGCTTTGAGCAGATGTGAAATAGCCACTGATTTCTTTCAAACTCTTATACAACTTTGGTGTTGCGGATTCGGAGGTTGGACGAGACCATCGGTCAGTGCCATATTTCTGACGAGCTGCAAGATCCTCTGCCTTTTCGGCTTTGAGAAGATCAACGCCCTCGCTATAAACTGCTTGGTCATTGCCCTTGATATTAGCCGTATCTTCAATTGAGCGGTGTAGGCGGTTTAAGCCATCTTGTTGGCGCATCTCTTCTGCGTGGGAGACAAGTGTTGGCGGGAGGCCTAGCGGCTTCTCCAGTGCCTGCAGAGATCCAGGTAAATTTAAGGATGAAAGTAAACTGTTGTACTCTTATTAGCAAGTTTTTCTTTTGTTCAAATTTCCAGGTCTTCTTCGGTACATACTCCCGTAATTTATCAGTCATTGATTCCAACTCCCCGATAAGTGTATCGTTCACCAATCGATCCCGACGATCAGAGTAAATGCTAGCAGCAATGTGCACGGCATATGGTACCAACTTAGAAAACAGCGGCTGGCCCAGTGGTCCATTATCACCCAGCATAGATATCGCATCGGTGACTTGCGAGGGAGCCTTGGCAAGAACCATGCTGGCGCGTTCAATGGTCTTGAGCTCCGATTTCGGTGGCACAGGATTGACGTAGATAATGTCGTTGTCCTTCTCGGCACGCTTGAGGTCTTCCGAAACACGGCTCTTCAATCCGTTCAGATCACCAAGCACAGTCCGATTAATCCAGCGCTGCTCCTTCAGACCTTCATTGACGCATATTAAACTATCGCGCAAGCGGGCAACCTCTTCTCCGTACTTGCGCTTCTCCAAACAGTCCAGCGACTGGCGGAACTGAGCCGCTGCCGCAAAATGATGATGCTTCGCAGTCATGTGGTGGATCCAGTCTGTACTAATGGCATTAGACTTGACAGCCAGGTCACCGGCGTCACCATAAAAATCGGAAACCTTGGCTGCCAATTTCGCGATGGAGCTATCTTTGAGTCCATCCTTGACAGCCTTTTGCCAGAAACACTCCTGCCCCTGGCCAAGTAGAAGTTGTTCCAAACTTTGGAGAGTCATCTCATCCATATCCTCCGGTGGTGACGAACGAAGGTCCGGGATGATGTCCACCCGAAGGTGATTCAAGACTCCAGCAGCAGAGCACAGGTAATTGCAGGCCTGCTTGAGTCCATCTGCGGTTGTCCGATTCGTTGCATAAGCAAGTTGAGAATACAGAGCAGCGAGGTTGAACATGACATTCGCCAGTTCAAATCGGAGGTTATTCTGAGATACTATCCAGAGATCCTGTCAGTAAACCTATCCGCTTCCCCTTGAGATGATTTAACACTCACCTGGTCGCTCGGCATTGAATCCAAAAGCCGGATACCATGAGAAATCCACCCCGACCTAGATAATTTCGTCAACCTCGACCTCTAAGCATAATAGAAACAGCCATATCCAAGGAGGTACCGCGCACATCAATCGGGAATTTTCCACCGAGCCATTTCAGCTGCGCTGCGTATGTGATCAACCGGCTGATTCCGCTGAAATGTGGTTCCTGGACGTTGACAGCTTCGGATCTTAGACGATCAATGATCATCAAATCCTCCGCGAACATATCCGGGCGCTGATCATATTTTGAAGATATGTACTGCGTGATAGCATCGGAAAGCGAGGCGGCGTGTGAGCGACGAAACGGGAGCTGAAGGATGTTGCTGGTATACAAGGTAAGCCACTAAGACCAACATATCAGGAGCTTTGTGCGTCTCTGTCTCGGAGTACTTACGACGCCATTGTCGCTGTGGGGTTGCGAAAGAAAGACTTCGTTTGTTGACGAGAAGTTCAACCCCACCGGGCAACGGGATGACGTGTGGGTGGCCTAAGGCAGAACTCAGCCATATCTGGGCGACAATTGTTCGGATTTTGGTTTATGATCTACGAAAAAGATATTGGCTTTCAATTGTAGTTCATTTCGCTGTTCAAATATTTGCGCCTGAATGAGGTTCCACCTCATACATGTATTTACGGAGACAGGAACTCATGACGTCCCCTCCATGGCCTGGGCTGAGGCTCATTCCGAACAGCACTATCCTCGCCCGGCCGACTCACTGCATCTTCACTTGAGCGCTCAGTTTGGCAGCTCGTCGATGCGGCGCTTGAAATACTCCATCAAACTGAGCAGTATCATGTTGTTTAGCCCAGTCCGAAGCATGATGATCGAGATTCCTTTGTAGGTACTCGATTTGGCAATAGCCTTTGAAGCCTCGCCAATCTCCTGGCCTTTGCCAAGAAGGACACTCTGAGCGCGGGTCTTGCGAGTGTCAAAAGGGTATGTCTGGTAACCACATGTTAGTACTGTTCGCCCAAACGGCAGACTGATCACATACACAAACCCAGGGGACGGTGCTGCAAATAACGCCAGCAAGCATTGTTGATCCGAGGTCAGTCTTGTTCCAACCCAACTGTCTTTCCGCAGTTTGCTTAACAGTATCATAGATAGCGAAGTACAGGCCGGTGCCAATAGTGTCACGCATCGCATGCAGGCGGAAGCCGGTGTAAAGTCCTCGGATCCCGTGGCGCTTGATGATCTGCTGGATTGCGGCGATGGTGCCGAGGCGAGGCTTGCGACGCAACGAATTGTCCCGAGCGGCATCCGGGGCTGCCATTGCGCGATTGGAAACCAGAACAGAGGTCTGGACAACATTCTTCGCCAGCTCAAAGGGGCCTATGTCAACGTCAGTCTATCTGATTCACCCACTTGACCGAAATGAGCTTACAAGCAAGAGGAGAAGCGAAGAGCCCAGAGAACATGCCTGCAGTGGCAAAAGTCATTACTCCAAGCATGTTTGGGGTGCTTCCAGGTCGCTTGTAGTCCTCAACTGGGTTGAAGCCAGTCATGCTCTCAACTAGATTGGAGATCCTGCCCGTGAAATGGTGGTACACGGTGAAATTGACGACGCGCACTGCCGTGACACTTGCCAGTGGGGGAAGAGCGCCTATTTGACTGTCAGGATATCCCAAAGTCAGTGAATTGCATCCAGAGACATACCAGCGACATAGCCACGATATCCTTCATTGCGCCAGAGGTAGCGAGCACATTGGAAAACGTTCTTAAAGTCATGACTACATGATCGGTCAGAATGGTCATCCAGATCCAAATTTCGGAGACAGACTTACGTTTGCATGCGGGTCTTGATATTTTCAAGAGGAATCTTTCCATGATTCAGATGAATTAGCATCGGACCAGCATCGGACCCAATAAGGATCACCAAATCAGTGCTGGCGCAAAGACTGGAGAGGAGAGACTCACCAGTGATATGGTGGCGCAGATGGTTGAGGCCGCCGAAGAAACTTGAGTCTTGTATTTCTTCAAGAGCTTGTTGCGCTTGGACTCGTCGAATGTCCAAGCATTGGAGCCAGGCATTTTTGCGGTGATTGTTTGGGGTGACGACGAGGAGAAGGGTGCGTCGTCAGGGCGCTTTCCGATAGTCATTTCTCTGTGTCGTCCATCGGTGCCTAGAGCTGACGATGCGATCAATGGTCAGTACCCCAGAGAGCCTGACTCTTCTGCCAATAGGCTGGGGAACCCAATGGAACGCAAATCGGTCTCTCCGCTAGAGTAGACCGTTCAGCGTCCCACAATGTTCCATTTAAATGATCTGCCACTACTTTTATAACAACTCTGGCCCAGAGGTCCCGCAGAGTATGTCACCACGCTTGCGGCACGAGTGCTCTTGCTGCGGATTTTGTTGGGCGATGCGACAGACGATGCGATGTTCGAATATATGGAGCCTGGCTGTGAGGTTGACACACTCCACAGGTCTATGTCACAAGATGAAGAGGTGAAGAGGTCTACTTCAAAATCCTCTACTTCCAACAGCTGAGATCGTGGTGGGTTCCGACTTCCGCGGCAATGGTGACCGGCAGTGGTGATCTGCAAAAGTCAAGCGTCAGTCTCAAGGCATTCATCTCAAAAATTCCACTCCCAACATTTATACCACAGATTCACTTACCTCTGGTATAATAACTAGCACAAGCCAATCGCCCAGGCGAGCGAAGAAGTGAAGTTGAGCAAAATGGCATGTGGACCGAGCTTAATTCCCCAAAACGGTTAGGGCCACATCGGGTGACGTCGTTGTGAACAATTTCTTCTACGCCGGACAATCGTACGATTAAGCTATGTTCAAGCTATCTTCCATCTTCGTTTCATCTGGTTCAATTCAAAATTACTGAGGCACTGCCTTTGTGGTCAAGTGGTAATCAGAACACACGATGGGAAGTGTGCTTAATGTATCGCCACCTCCCTGAACCCCGCTATATGCAAGCCGAACATCAAATGCCTGATATCTGCAGGCCACGGGGGAGCTCGAACCCTAGGCAGAGGGAACCTATATGATGGACGACAGAGCTCCGGAGAGACGGGGATATGGAACCAGACTCTGTGTGCACCCACCAGCGACATACCCATGGAATGAAGGGGATAAAACACCCATATTGAAGGCAAAGCGATCCTGATTGGGGAAGTGTTACAGATGATCTAATCCGGTTTTACAAGTCTTGGCAAAGAATGGACCAGGTTAGATCGTGTAAACGAGAGGAGCATCTAAGTGAGAAGCACCTGCTCCATTGCCTTATACGTGACTGGAATGCGGGGAGGGTAATCGACTCAAACTACTATAGTTGTATCCAAGGTTGGACTAGTCTGCTTCTGGGAGTCCGGGGAATCTTATCATTCCTGATACCTAATATTCCCTTTCGTCCTGTTCCTTGAGAAACGATCAGTCAAGTCTTACGTCCATGGATATGATAGTAAGTTTAGCTCTCTATCTGATGCCAAGGGAATGTCATTACAAGCACGAGGACCTTTCCGGTGAAACTCTCCGTGGGCAACCCTTGTAGGGGGATGAATGTTTTGTATTTAAATATCGGTAGTTACTGCGTTGGGAAATAATCATAGAAATTATGCTATGTCTCCCCAGTCAAACTGTGAAGCTACCACGTGCAATTTGAAGGCTATATCCGGGTATAGGCTATTCGCGTGAGAAATCACGGTCGGAGAATTCCACATGCTACAATTAATCTGATTCCACAACATGATCGTCAATATAAAAGCCGACTCAACAAACGCCAGATTCCCATAGAGTGGAACTGAGTTATGCAGAGTTGTGCCAATGCCAATGCCGGGGTCCTCGGGACCTCGGCCTCTCCCCGCAATTTCACACTTCCCCAATTCTTATTTATACATCTGTAAAGCCCCTTGACAGAAACCCTCCACATCACTTTATTGACAAAACAGACAACATGGGTAAAAAGCAAGCAAGCCCTGCCTACGTCCTAGGCGTAGGCATGACCAAGTTCATCAAGCCTCGCGGCAAGGTAGACTACCACGAACTGGGCTACGAGGCCGGCATCAAGGCCATGCTCGACGCCAAGATCAACTACGACGATGTCGACCAGGGCGTTGCATGCTATGTCTATGGTGATAGCACTTGTGGTCAGCGTGTCTTCTACCAATTCGGCCAGACCAGTATCCCTATTTACAATGTCAACAACAACTGCTCGACCGGGTCGACTGGTCTCGCTATGGCCCGCCAAATGGTCTCATACGGTGCCGCAGATTGTGTCCTGGTGGTTGGATTTGAGAAGATGAACCCTGGTAGCTTGCAGTCGATGTACAACGACCGTGAGAACCCTACGAGTCTGTTTGGAATGATGATGGCCGAGACGCGCGGTGTGACCAATGCGCCCGGTGCAGCCCAAATGTTCGGCAACGCGGGCGTCGAATACAAAGAGAAGTGAGTGGCCGCTATGCCATCCTCCATCGCAATAAAATGGAAAAGTGCTAACAGATTGATAGATACGGAGCTAAGAACGAAGACTTCGCCGAAATCGCCCGCGTCAACCACGAGCACTCCAAGCGGAACCCCTACTCGCAATTCCAGACCGAATATTCTCTTGAGCAAGTGATGAATGCACCCATGATCCACGAGCCCCTGACAAAGCTACAGTGCTGCCCGACTTCCGACGGTGGTGCTGCTGCCGTTGTCGTGTCGCAGGAGTTCCTGGATGCACGCCCCCATCTCAAGGAGCAAGCTATTCTGATCGCGGGTCAGACCCTTGCTACCGACACCGCTGCTGTTTTCAATCGCAGCTCTATTGATTTGATGGGCTTTGGCATGTCGCGCCAAGCATGCCGCTCTGCCACAGCCGAGGCCGGTGTCAATGTCAAGGATATCAAGGTATGCGAATTGCATGACTGTTTCTCGGCCAACGAAATGATTACTATCGATGCCCTCGAGCTGTGTGAGCCTGGTAAGGCGCATGAGATGGTCCGCAAGGGTGACATCACTTACGGTGGCAAGATGGTGATCAACCCGTCTGGTGGTCTAATCTCCAAGGGTCACCCGCTTGGTGCTACTGGTATTGCTCAGTGTGCTGAGTTGGTTTGGCACCTGCGTGGCTGGGCCAATAACCGTCTAATTGACGGTACTTCTGCGGCTTTGCAGCATAACCTTGGTCTCGGTGGTGCGGTCGTTGTGACCGTGTACAAGCGTGCCGATGGCAAAATTGCGGCTGCTGTGCCTTCTGATGTTGTTGGAAAGGTCAATGGTCTTGGCTACAATCCGGCCGTGGAGGCGAAGGGCTTCACGGCCGAGCAGGCCAAGTCTGTCATTAGCAAGAAGTATAACTCTGAGTATAACCTCTCTGCTTCGCAAGACACCGAGGAGCGGGTTCTTGCCAGATTCTAAGTATTTGATAGCGTCGCTGGAGCTACAATTTGTACATAATCCCAGCTCTGAAATGACATGATATCCAATTCGTCTATTTGCAACCCAATGACCTGCCAAATTATCCAGAACAATCCAGTTTATACAAACTCCAATATTCCCAACCCCATTCCCTATGAATGTGTCTCAGCCCAATCCGCCGGCAACTTGTAATTATGAGGTACGCGGTACTGCCCGCTGCAACTGGCAGGACCACGACACTTCAACGAACACCTCCCATAAAGCCGACAATAACATTCCTCCGCAGAAGGACAAGCAAACCGGTTCAGCTTCATCAAATCAATGCCCCCATCCTCTTCAAACGGCGCAAACAAAATATGCCACAAATAAGACAAAATCCGCCCAGCAACAAGATCATCCCCAGGCGCCGCCCTCTCATCAGCCCTCATGCGTCTCGCAACCCCATCATCACTTCCATCAAGCAACCACTGCCGAAGCGCAACATACTCATCCCAAGTATGCTGCCACACCCGTTCCCGTGATACAACAAACTGGGCACAGCACTGCGCGCGCACAGCGTCATTCCGCCCAAGATGCAAATGCACCTGCTGCTCAATCCGCGAGGAAAGCGCCTCATCAACACCCCCACCAAAGATATGCGCCAAAGCCTTTGGCAGCGCAAGATCCGACGCCGCACGTGGACTCCACGGCGCAACCGCACTCTGCAATCTCATCTCGAGGCTACCTTGCGCGGCCACAGACGACGGACACGTCCCGGTGCTCCAGTCACAACGCATGTTGTGATATCCTGCCGGCTGGAGCGCCCGCTGGACGTCTAGCGCTGCAAGCAGCGCGGCGTTGTCATAGTCCGGCGCATCATTGTGCCAGGCCCAGCGGGAGCCGTGGATGAAGACTGCGCCTGCAGCTGGGATGTCGTCATAGTTGTCGATGATGAAAGTGAGGTAGGTCATTGCTTCATGGCCGCGGTTGGCGGGCACCTGGAGCAGGTTGCTTTCTTTGTTGGTGGGGGTGTCGATGTTGTATTTGCATACATGGTACTTTGCGCGCAGGTTCTCCAGCCAGGATGGGTTGCCATCTGCTTCTGTATATGCGACTACCAGAGCTGGCTTGGTGCTTCCTGCTAGGCCTGGACAGATGCCTCTTCGCTCAGGGATGATGGCTGAAGTGGTTCTGTAGCGGATTTTGGTCCATGCGAAGATTTTTTCTTGGTTGCTTTGTGGGCGGTTGAGATATAAGATGAAAAATAGAATACAGAGGAAGATGATGAATTGAATCAAAGCCCTTTGCAATTTTCTGTGCATTTTGATGGGCTTTTTATATGCAATGGTCTTTGGGTTTGGGCTTGGGCTTGTCGCGACGTTCGCCGGAGGAGCCGGGATTTTCGTGCCTCGGGCTTAGATCTACACTCGCCCCTGAGGCTGGAAACTGGGCCCTTTCATCTAGTGGGTTTTATTTTCTTGTCTAGTCTGAATAGATAGGGGGTTCAATATGAAAATTGTATTCCATGGTTTGATAGACATCGCAACCACCGATCTTTGCTAAGGAAACCGAGTTCTGCTTACCATGGATTGTGGCTGCATACTAGTACACACCATGCGACCTCGGAGATCTCTTATAATTATGCGAAAAGCTGCTAACTCCAGCTTCAGCTATCTATTGATGTCAAATGAGCTTCTCTCAGGTGTGTTAATGATTCATTCAGTAATAAAATGGTTGACTTGCGACGCAGGAATGTATGCTTCAGACAGGCCTTCGCAATATTCAATTTAAACAGTTGTCTCACAAATACTCAAGGAGGCCTCCCAGTTTGCTTTTAAATACTCCAAATATTTATCCAATAGTACAAGGATTGTAAATTCAACCCTATCTTTCGATTTCTGCAAGATAGAAGCCTGATCAAGGACATTAGTTCAACATTGAATCCGTGAATGGAGATAAAGCTGGAATCCAATCACAAAATCCAAGTGACACAACCAATTTCTCGACTGAACGAGTACCTATCATAACAACCAGAAATGAACAGTTTTCTTCATTCTCATATCTATGATATCCAGAATATTGTGATGTCATTGGCCCATAGTCTACAGTTGATGAAGCCTGGGCTACTGTAGCTATTGATTTCTTGGAAATAGTTTCACTCGTAATAAGCCATCAATGTAATATGAAGTACCAATTCAGCCCAATCATTTCTCAAGAACACATATACTGTAAATCCAAAATCCAAATGGATATCCAACAAGAACCTCTTGACAATGATACGGTCACGTGCTGTGGCTGACATAATCAGCGCTAGCCGCCAAATAAAATTTGCGCGCAGCTTCGCCCAGATCTTCTCTTCTTCAACTTCATAACATATCACGGTCTCCGACACACTCTTGTCGATGGAACATTCTCACTCCATCTACAAATTTTAGTTAGGGACCCAGACCGAAGAATGCTCGTTCTAATCCCGCCCCCTGACGTTCAGCCAGAGGGAGTCGGGTTCGCTTTTGAGCCAACATCCCCCATGCCCAGGATCCTTGTTTTGTTTGAATTTTGCCGATTTGCATGCAGATTGGATCATTTGACTTTGATAACCTTGGCGCATCGGATGGAATTGATTACCAGGACTACTGGAACCTTTCATGTTGGGTTCCAACCCTGTGCTATCTCAGCAGATCATTACCACTCCAGCCTGATCGTTCCTACAGACGGGGCATCAGGCGTCCAATGCGCTTCACTAACTTGTAGCTTAGCTAAAGTCGTAGACACATGTTGGCATTTTCGAAGTCTTGTTCGTCATTCCTATGGTATTCGAGGTCAAAAAAATGCCAAAACTGAGACCTCACAGTTGAACAAATGTTCTTCTGGAGCCTCCCTCGTGTTGCGTCCGCTCCCTACAAATGGGGCTGTGCGTGTCAAAAAGAAGGAGATACATTCCTGTAAATAATCCTAGTTTATAACTTGGTTCGAATGGCTTATGGCTACTTTGAGCCTTGATGTCGGAGAAATCACCGAAGAATGCTTCGTATTTACGGAATGTGCAAGGCGACGATCTCTACAGTACCGCTGCATCCCTGCCAGGGCCAACAGCCCTTTATAGTACAGTACTGTACTTGCAAGTTGCATTATCCCTTTGAAGGGTCTGTATTTGCTTTGATTCTGTAGCACGGAGAGGAAGTATCAAGCACGTCACTGAAACTGGCTTCGAAGTCTGTCGAGCTATGCATGCATTTAGATCCCTTCTCCACCATGTATGAGTATGCCCTCCATGAAACTCGGAACATGATCGGTTGGAATGCTCTACGATCCCTGATCATGCAGAATCTTCTTAATCAATGTCGCTCGCTTCTGTATCGATAAACTATCCCTTGATTGCCATCATGGCGATCCCTAACTGAACGAGTTATCCGTCAAGCTTAACATACGTTTCAACCATACCAACACCCAGCATGAACGAGCAAAAAGCTTTTTTTTCCATACGAGCCCAACCTTTGGTATGTCTCGAAGGACATTGGAACACATACAGCAACGCAATCTTTGCATGTCCCGATATAGACTGGATAGAACGCGACGACGTAAGATAACTGGCTACACGCCGAGCCCCCTTTGCCTCTCATTCCCTTCAACCCATCGAAGGGGCTAGATATAAATTCCACATAGCTCCCCGAAGGCCAGAGGTTCTCTGTCAGTCCTCCATCCACCCACCAGCTGAGATCACTCTTTCGCCATCTGATCGATCTTCCACTCGTTTGGCCATCAGCACTTTCTGAATATACATTCCTTCTCTTAATTCAATACTATATACCATACCATCAAAATGGCCCGTCTCAGTCTCTCCTTCCTTTCTGTTCTGTTCGTCCTCGCGGCGTTGGCCCTATCTATGCCCGTCAAGCGTGATGAGCAGGCGCCCAGCCACGGCTTCACTCTTGAAAGCACACTCGATCAACTGAAGGTGAGATTATGCTATAATGAACAATGAAAATGCTTCATTCACTAACATGTATCATGCAGAGCGCCACTAAGATTATGAACGGGCTTGATGACAAGGACAACAATGACGAGGATAACCAGACAAAGCATGCACCCGCCACCGAAAACGAAGCCCCAGCCAAGGAGCAGAAGAAGGAAGCCTCTACTCCGACTGCTGATTCCAGCTCCGATGAATCCAAGTCCGATGACAAGGGTACTCCTACCAAGAAGTTGTCTTCTGGTACCTTCGTTACTCCCACTGCTACCAACACTCACCACCCTACTTCTCAGCCCAACGCACTTGGCAAGCTTCCCCTTGTTGGTGGTCTGCTTGGTGGTGCTGGCGGTGGTCTTTAAATGGATCAAATCGGGTAGAGTCGAGCTATAAGAAAGCTGGACTATGCTTCTGTGACCAACGCGTGATGGATTAAGTCATGTATGGTGGTTCCTGACAGAAGTGGATTTAATTTCGTTTGTATTTTGTTTCACGCTGTTGACAGTGGATGTGTATGGTGGGATATTCATGATATAGTAGGCAAATGATAAGATGGTTGTGTTTAGCAGCAATTTGAAGTGATTTTTCCATTTCTATCTGCAAAGTCTGTCTGGGTATCCGCTTATTATGTGTTGGTAATGATGATAAATTTGTGACTTTCCACGAGGAACTTGTTGGACCACGACTTCCAGTCCTGGCTCAGCTGTTCATGAGCTCTTCTCGCGAGTTGCTTTCTGCTGGCCGTCGTAGACTCCTGTGTAGTATCCAGCATAGTACCAGGACATCATAAGGTTCTTCAACGCTTCATCTTGAACTAGAGATTAAAGTCAGTCCGATTCAATCGAAAAGTCGTGTGTTGGACATACCATTAGCCATGGCTGGATGAGGCATCGGCAAATCGGTTGTAGGAACTTCGGGGTTCAGACTGCTCGCAGATCCAGAAAGCTGATATTGTCAGTACTTGACCTATTTGCTATATTGACCCAAATCGGAAACATACCTTAGCAGGCTCATGGATGTCCATGGATGCATCCTCTTTCTCCAGAATAACATCATTTTCGGCGACATCGACATCGGCTTCTGCCTCAACTACTTCGTCCTCAACAGAAACTCCAGACTCTTCTGCATTTCTCAAAACATCTTCAACATTTTCACCTTTGGCGTGAATGCTGTGATAGAGCTGCCATCATGTTAGATACGAATCACGTGATGGGGAAGAAAGCGCTTACCTGGTATTCCTCAACGGCATCATCCCAGGATTGAAGCAGAGCAGAGTCATCCCAGATTTCTTCCTGTGTCAGGGGCTTGGCCTTTTTATTTTTCCCCATTTTCGCAGCCCATTCCAATGCGAAAGAAGGGTTGCAGTAGCTAAACACTACGCGCCGATAAGTGATTTGGTAGGCCGGACTCACCGCCTTCCAAGCAAATCAGAGAAAAAAAAAAAGTTTCCCGCAAAAGATTGAGAAGCGTCCAGTCTCCAATTCGACACAACACAACGTCAAAATGGCCCCTGATAAGAGTGAAAAGAAGCGCAAGGGTATGTTAATACCCAATGACCTTGTGAAATCTCTTTTGATCATACTAACGCTGTTCCAGCCGCGCCTGTCGCCGCCGATTCGCCCGCCAAAAAAACCAAGAAGGTTGAGGCCAAGGCTGCCCAAAACCCCAAGGATATTGTTCCTAAGTCTATCTCGAAGAAGAGGGAGTCCACAAAGCCCAAGGCTGAAAAGGCCGCTGTCTCTCCCAAGGTCAAGGCCCAGCCTACCCGTGAGGTTAAGCCTCGCAAGCGCGCTGCGGATTTCCTGACCGACGAGGAGCCCGAAGCCGCTACTCCCGCCAAGACTGAGAAGAAGACCGAGAAGAAGCCTGCCAACAAGAAGTCCAAGAAGGAAGAGACTGAGGCTGCGCCTACCCCCAAGAAGGCCGCTGCTAAGAAGGCCGCCCCCAAGAGCAAGAAGCCCGAGCCCGTCGTCGAGTCCGAGGATGAGGACGAAGAGATGATCTCTGCCGCCGAGGAGAGCGAGGCTGAAGATGATGCCGAAGATGACCAGACTGCTGCCCTCATCAAGGGCTTCGAGAGCAGTGATGACGAGGGCGAGTCCGGTGATGAGGGTTACAAAGAGGGCCAGCCCATCCCCAAGATCCCAGACTCCAAGAAGGCCCAGCGCAAGCTGGCCAAGCAGCAGAAGGCTAACGGTGTTGCCGAGGAGCCCGGCACTGTCTACATTGGGTAAGCTTTCGTCCTGCACCTGATTAATCTCAGTATCTAATATTTGTCTAGACGCATTCCCCACGGTTTCTACGAGCACCAGATGAAGGCCTACTTCTCGCAATTCGGTGAAATCACCCGTCTCCGTCTTTCTCGCAACCGTCTTACCGGCCGCTCCAAGCACTACGCTTTCATTGAATTCTCCACCGCCACCGTCGCCAAGATCGTCGCTGACACCATGGATAACTACCTGATGTACGGCCACATTGTCAAGTGCAAATTTGTTCCCAAAGAGCAGCTCCACCCCGAGATTTGGAAGGGCGCCAACCGCCGTTTCAAGGTGACCCCATGGAACCGCATCGAGAAGAAGCGCCTGGAGAAGGGCAAGACCCGCGACCAGTGGACCAAGCGTGTCGAGTCTGAGCAGAAGAAGAGACAGGCCAAGGCTGATAAGCTCAAGGCTCTCGGCTACGAGATTGACCTTCCCCAGCTGAAGAGCGTTGACGAAGTCCCTGTGCAAGAGGCGCCCAAGGCTGTCGAGGGTGCCGAGGCCGAGGCTGAGACCGCTGAGAAGACTGTCGAGGAGCCTGTCAAGGCTGTTGAGGCCCCTGTCCCCACTGAAGATACCCCCAAGAAGACCAAGAAGGGCAAGAAGGCTGAGGAGGCCCCTAAGGAGGTTGCTGCAGAGTCACCTGCTGCCAAGTCACCTGCTACCAAGGCCAAGAAGGCCAAGAAGGTCACCAAGAAGACCAAGGCGTAAACGGGATCATGTAAAAATTGTTTGTAATTCATTCATATAGCCTTTGTCAATGCATTCTTCTTTCCAGACTTCTTTCAGTAAACGAACTAGCCAGAAGGTAGACAACCGTGGAATAATAAATATCTAGAAAAAATGATACCGTCCCAATTATTTTTGCAAAGAAATAAATCATTACTAAAGACGAAGCCAACCCATGCAACAATCTCGATTCCAACTGAAAAGTTGAAATTGCTTTTACTTCCACCTCAATACACGGTTAGTCCCAACCAGGCTAGCGCCATCACATGACCAATAGCAGAATAAAAACCCACCAAGAAAACTCCTCCTCTTCCTCCTCCCAACTCCTCGCTCAAAGAATCGCATTCAAAGCTCACACACAAAAGGATTTCCTCCTTTTTCTCTTGCTTTGGGAGAAAGTCCCCGGACACCCTGCGCTTTGGTTCCGCCAAAGTCCCAAGCCAGGCACTGCGGAAACGCGCCGCCATAGAAGCAATTCGATAGCGGCTGACTGCCCTATTCCCTCCCGGCACTCTGCACCACCCGACGGTTACATGTAACAATGTCTCTGGAAACAATGGGGTGTGTGTTGGGTGTTGGAGAGGGGAAGGATTTGGTTCCTTGTATTGGGTTGCCTTTCGTCATGTTCGGATAGTCATGCGATTGCCCTTTTCATCTGCTTCCGTCTGGTTGTGGGTGGAGGGTAACTCAATGGGGCTCATTCTTGAGGCGAGGAGTTCTGATTTTGTCTTTTGAGTCTGTAGCTTATGGCAAAGCGGTTGTGAGATTCTGTCTCATTGCAGAAGCCCTGTCACAGGGGCCGGACTCTTTATCATTTTTTTCTTTAAAAAACTTGTGTCTTTGCCATGGGTTTATGTTCGCGTGATGATATACCAATCATAGAGTCAAGCACAGAGTCTCCCAAAGGGAGTCATTGACGATAAACGATTATCTTCTTATCTGATGAACATTCAAAATATTTGAACGCTATTGAGAGCTATTGAGAAAAAAAATGAAATTGATCTTAACTTGAAATCGGTCCAAACATATCTAAACATAAACTAAATTTGATTTAATGCATTATGCAATGTAATATTCATGATAATATCGTGGCATTCCTCGTATAATAATACACCATACATAACAAGCCCATATCCAACTCATTGCGCCTTCTTGCTCTCAGCACCAACAGGCACAGGTTCTTTCTGGCCTACCACCTGCGCAATCAAGGCACCCACCACCTCCGCCACAAGCGCAATAGCAGCCGCACAGACACTGCTCCAAGCCTGGATACTCATCGAGCCCAGCGGCGCGCGAGGGAAAGACACAATCCATTGAACGTAGTATGGGAACCAGCCTTCGGGCAGAGCAAAGACCGGAGTCTTGGAATACCAAAATTGCAGGAAGATTTTCAGTCCGTTTGTACTGAGCCAGCGCGCGATCTTGACGCTCCAGTCGAAGGAGGTTTTCTGGGAAGTGAGGGCTTTGTCTGTAGAGAGGCGTGTCAGTAGTCTGGTTGGTTAAGCTGTAGAAAGACCTTGATGTCTTATTAATTGTTGTGTAGTGCACACGTACTCATCGCCTCGTATTCTTCCATGGTCTTGTCATGGCGCCTGCGCAGTTTCGCCCATTTCGCAAACTGGTCTTGTGAGCTGACGCTGTTCATGTCACGCTTTTGTTCGAGGACCTCGCGCTTGAGCTGTTGCTGCTTGCGGGCTTTGCGGGCTGTTGGCGTAGGCAATCGAAGGTAGAGGAGCCATAGCTGTTAAAGGATAGGTGTTAGTTGTTGGGTTCAGATGTAGGTGTTCGGTGGAGCTGCAGCGCCAACGCAGAGCTCATGGGTGGCATACCAGATTGTCGATCGTGCTCGCTCCGATTGTATTGACCAGGTGGATTGCGATGTGCACAAAGAGCACGGTCAGGACGAGGGACAGCATCGTGGCGGGGTTGAAGAAGATAGGACAGGATGCGGAGATGGTAAGTGCGACAGCAACTAGAAATGCAACTGCGCAGGCTGGGATAGCCAGGAGGAAAGCGACAGCCTCGATCGGATAGCTGGGCCTAGATATGTAGGCAAATACGACGGATGTTGTCAAGAAAGGGTACTGAGTGAAGTGACGTCCATTGTGGAAAGGTGGAAACAACAGCGGACTTGACTTGGCCTGTCCGCCTTCGCATCTCTACACCTCATCTCTATCATTTGTCCACATTTACGGGTCAACTGCAAACAAAGGCTTCAAGTATGACACGGACCTCAATATATCTTCTTTAATTCATTTCACCCACAAATAATCAAATGTCAAACCCAGAGCATGCATTCCAGGAGCTAGCGCGCATCTTCTCATCTAGAGGAAACGAAGTTCTCGAGATCGAGATCATCCCTCCGAGTCTAGGCGCAACATTCCTGCAAGATGGCTGCTCAGTGGGAATCGCCAAGAAAGCACTCGTGCAGGCATACACGGTCGCGCGAGCTCTCTTCTTCAAGGAGTTAAAACCCATGTCTGAGAACGACTTCCAAGAAGCACTTGTCGCAAAAGCCCAGCCAGCAAATCAAGATCCAGCAATCACAGAGGTGATGCTGCTATTCGATTGCGAACACCTCACAGCTTGCAATTGGCGCAAACGCCGATTATGCGCAGCCATGGCGCATTCAATTACCCAGGATCTTTCAAGCGAGACAACCACCACCACAGAGCTGCTGGAAGCTGAGCTCACTCTTATGTCGAGTTATCAGTGCTCGCCACTTCATCGCCATACTAAGTCGCCTACGCTGTGGCACCACAGGCTCTGGGTGCTGAGACATCTACTTGAGAGACGGACATGGAATGCTGAGGCTGTGCTGCAACTCCATCAGAGTGAACTGGAAGTGGTTCTTCGTGCAGGAGAACTACACCCGAAGAATTACTATGCTTTCAACTATATGCGGCAGTTGACTGCGCTTCTTGTAAAAAGAATGACCGTGGACCTGGACTGGAACGTCGAAGCAACGATCTCTGTTGTCGACCGGACGTTTGAATGGTGTCTGGCTAATCCACGCGATATCTCCGGGTGGAGCTTTGGAATATACGAGTTGAGTTGTGTCTCTGACCACGCGGTGCAAGCACATGCACTTGAGAAAGTTCTCACGTTTGCACTGAGTGTTGGGTGGGAAGGTGAGAGTCTCTGGACATTTGTTCACCAAGCTGTCAAGCAATTTGATCTTGGAAGTGTTGCAGATGATATGGGGTTACATTGCCCTCCGGGAATTGCATCCAATAGTCCTCCAAGTTCTTTGCACAAGCAGTCGTGGCAAACCTGGCTGGACCAGGCGAGGGTATACTGGGCAGATAATAGCCAGAATGATAGCTCATAACTAGCTGCACCATGTATATGAGTATCCCGTGCTTAGATTAAAGTGATTTAAACATGGTAGGTTACGTGGATGGTCAAATATACGTTCGCCAATAAGGGAACCACCAATAAGTTCTCAGTGTCGTATCTCGTTTGATTAGCACTTGATGTACAGTATGCTTTGGTATAAACGCCAATGAGAGTCAGATGAACGCCTCGCTAGACACCCGCCCCGGGTATTTGCAAGTAGGGCATAGGTGGATGATTTCCCCAGGTATCTCCAGTTCCAAGTCTTCCGCGTATCGCTATGCCAATCCGACGTCGTCTGTCTGCTGCCTTTGTCTGCTTGCCTGGGATATCCGGCACTGCAAGAGCATTGAAAGTTGCAGACGAAGCCGGGTTTGGATCGAAATATCGGACTTGGAATCGGATCTGAATCGGATCGGAATCGAATTATTTTTTCCCTCCTGCTGCCTCTGCAGTCCTCTTCTCGTCCGCTACAAGGAGAAAAAAAGGTTAGCCCTGTGACCTGAAATCTGCCGTGGACAATGGTAAACACACCCTTCTTCTGCTTCTCGCGCATGATGGCAGCAGCATCTTCCTTGGACTTCTGGAACTGGCTGCCAGTCTGGGTATTCTTGCCCTTCTGTGGCGGTTGTTAGTGTCAGACACGCTGGCGCTGGCGCATGGGGAGACGAACGGAAGCAGAGGCCTTCTTCTGGGCCTTGGCCCGATCGTTGTCGCGCTGGTTACCCCGCGTCATTATGGCTTGGTGTATAAAAAGAGTAGGGAGTGAGTTGGCGCGAAATCGTGAAACGGAGAAAAAAGTTTGGAGGGGTTCGGCTTGGGATCCCGCCACCGGATCGTTAGCCTCATACTTCTTTTGCCCTAATTCACCAATGATCAGTTAATCCAACACGAGAGTCTTAGCTTGGGCATGTCTGTCTTCCATGTTTATCTTTCAGGGTCGGTTCTGTCCTCGGCGGCTATTCACTCCCGACCATTGGGCGCGTAGATTGTTATCTCGGTTCATACTTTGGCCATTGACTTGTTTGCGGGCTGCGATTGAAAACCCCAAACCCCTTTTGCTTCAAATACTATGGGGTCTTTTATATCACTTTTATCAGATAAATATGGCTTGTATCAACTTGGGCCCAAATATCCCAATATAAGGCTGAAGCAGGTGAGGGCAGTGGCCAACCGCAGCCGCCAGGAGTCGTTTCACCCTGATCGAAACCAGCAACTCTCAGCCACTCGTTCAGCTACTCCCCAATACCAGTTGATATCGCATTGCCCAAGGCTTGAAGACTCTAGTCCTTTTTGGGCTATAATTCCGAGTCTCTGGGCGCTGAATGGCCCCAGCTGGACCACAATGAAACACTTGTATAGATCGCATCGGTTCCATATCGAGTCAGAACCCTGTTGATCTCCTTCAGTACGAGCTCTAATTAAATATTCTTTGGGTCAGTTTCAAGTCTATTCATAGCTTTGTTGAAGCGCTACAAGGACATTCAATGGGATAGATATTCTCGTCTACCGCCATTGTCCCATTGAGCTTCTCGTGTTTTTCCTTTGTCTATTCTTCCCTTGAGTTGACCTCGCTTTGTTCCATTGTGGGATATCAAGCTGTCTGCTGGCCAGGTGGCTTCCTATCCATCCTTTTTAATCTCTTCTTCGACCCGGAAGATTCAGCTTCACAATTATACCCGTTTCTCTGTTTCATCTACAACTTTAGACTATCAATATGATGAGCCGACTACGCGAATCCCTGGCTGGTCCAGGGTACGTGATTTTGAACGCCATGCGCATTCTCAACATTATCACTTTTCTCGATCTCATTGCTGCGTCGGTGGTCATGCTGGTCAAGATCAACATGCTGAACAGCTTCTTTTTCTTCGAGGCTGTGACCCATGCCGTGGTGGCTATTGTTAGCAGTAAGTAGAACTCTTCCGATATCTTTGACCGTGGACTAACTTTTTGGCAGTTCTCCTCATTATCTCCGAGCTTCCCATTCTGCGTGACTATTTCGACAATCATTGGCCGATGTTCGGTCAGGACGCGGGCTTTTATACTCTTGCTGGTATTATGATGATCCTGGGTGTTTCGACTCTAGGCAATTTAAACACCAAAGCTATGACCCAGGAAGCGATTGGTATGGCATTCTGGCGCATTATAATCTCCGCTGGTGTCCTTGCAATGGTAGTTAGCGTGCTCAACGTGCTGGTAGTAAGTAACTCAAGGCCCCAATGTTCATTTTCTTGACAAGACACTAACTCTTCTTCCAGAGCTTGCTCTTCAGCGATCCCAAAGCCGGCGTCAGTGCCCGCCACGTCCGAGCCTATGGCGCAGTCGCACCACAGAAAGTGATGAGTCGAACAAGCAGCCACCGCACCCTCCATCTGAGCATCAAGCGCGAAGAAACACTCCCGTCGTACACTCGGTCAAACCCCGTGAAGCGTGCCACCCAACGCCTGACTGGTCGCTTCCCTTTGAAGATCTCCAAGCCGATGAACCCGACGCTGATCGCTGAGAATGATGCTGCTTCGTCCAAGTATTCTCGTGACTCGGTGGAGATTCGCGAGCCTGACCTTGCACACCATCCTGCTTTGTATTCGGGGCATATGGTTTGAGCTGGGCTCAGACTAGGTTTCAAAATTGAATGGTATTTCTTTGAATGAAGGAGCTGGCGTTGAGATGAAATGATCGAGCGTTTTTGCGATGGCCGTTTGGCGTTTGATTCCCCTGATATTTGTCTTTTGTATTTGATCATTCTTAGCTGGACCAATTGAGACCATTATTTTTATTGAACGTAGGATATATCCTAAATATAACATTGGAGTAGGCTGTGAGAGAGTGTAGAGTGGACAGACTTGAACGTCCCTGGACCCACGTCTACTCCGACATTTGGCCCCGACACTCATTGAACTGGACACTTCACCTTCAACTCTTCTCTCTGGTTTTGGCTGTTCAAGAGTCCAATGAAGTAGAAATTTGTCCTACAAGCCTCCCAAATGGCGACAATCTCTCTTTCCTGGGGAACGTAAGTATCAAAGCTCTATTGCCCTTGTTCTATAGCTGACCGTGAATAGCGTCAAATCCCTCCTCATCTTCTTTGGCCCAGTCTTACTACCACGCTTGATTACTGCCTACCGCAACCTCCGTGCTTCGATTGCCAGTCGTCCTCCACCACGCCCTCTGCCCGCAGCTTCAGGCCGCGCACTCAACATCCTATTTGGCAGCGTTGTCTTCTTCCTCCTCCTGAGCCTACCCTTCAACCCTCACGCGCCCGAACCCAACATCTTCACTCTGACCCGGTCGCGCATCAACACTCCGACGGACATCCTCTTCGCGCGCCTCGCCCGACTCCGCCCTGATGCCCTCACCGCAGCCGACACCCTCCTCCAATCCAAGCTCACCTCCCTCGGTGCCCGCAAGGTCTACCTGACCTATGGCCCCGATGCCTTGACCTCCTGCCAGTACTGCTCGTTTGACAACCTCAACACCTTCCTGATGTACTATCTGCCCTTCCACGTCCTGCTCCCGCATCTGGTCCACCTCATGATCCTCGGCGTGGCCACCTCCGCGCCCATCGCCGGCCGTGAATCTGCCCGTTGGCGCACAAAGTTCACCCTGGCTGGCCTGGCACTGGCCGTTATCGATGTCTACATAGTGGCAACTTATGACGCTGTCTCGAGCGCATCCCCGTCCGTGCGGTCGGGCCAAACCCCGCCCTCCGGCCTCTACAATACCATCACCCTGCTGCGACCGCTGGCGTTTGTGGTCTGTGACGTCGTCTGCTCCGTGGTGTTATACCTCGCCGCTACAAATCGGTTCTTTTTCAAGCAGCCCTCGGTGACCGATCAGATTGACCAGGCTGTCTCGGCCGCCCTCAATGCGCTGACAGGTGCTCATGGCAAATTGCATGCTACTAGTGTTACTCGCAACGCTGTGGTGCGTGACAAGTCCCTCAAAAGCCGGGATGATTTGTACTGGCAGACTATGGCGGCCTCGGAGAACCCCACCGCGGCTGGAGAAGGGAAGATCCTCAACAATATTTGGGAAGAGGAAGAAGTGGCTCGCGCTATGTCGCGAGCCATGGCAGGCCAGGGAGGAATTGACCTGGCTCAGCTGGGTGTCAGTGCGAATGACTTTGTCCGAGGGGTGACGGCGGACTTGGAGTAAACGCAGTCCCTGTCGTCATTCTAGTCCAGAGAGTCAATATAAATGAGCCAAATAGTTGACGTGGACACTTCCATTGCCAAGAATATAACATCAATACGCCGGAATTGGCATTGTATTGACACCGACATGTATACACACCTACATACGCACAGTCGCAGTGTCAATCTGCAACTTGTAACGGCCAAGCTCAACCCCTACGTAGTTCATGCAACCTGTGCATCCAATCATTAACATCGCTATTCAACGCTGGGTGAGGCGGTGAGTGGAGATGATCGTCGTGAGATGAAACGAGACTGCCCCCTCCATTCCCTTTCCTCAAGTCTCTCGCTTCTTTACTCTTCACTGTTTTCTTCGTTCCCGGTTGAACGAGCCTTTTTCTCCATCAAAATCCCCCCTTACCCCCCCAAAAATAGTGGCGTGGCGGATGAGGCAGGTCCCACACGCATCTCGGCCCTGAACCATTTCCCGGCTTTCGACTTTCAACATCTGCTCCCCACAGTTATTCTCCCCTTTCTCACAACTCGGGTGCACTCTTCAAAATGTCCAAAGAGACATCTGTTGCGCCGGAGCGCAATGTATACGTTGGATCCAGGGTCAAGGAGACCACGTTCCGTGAATGGGTGGTCGCCAACCAAATCGGTAGGAATACCCCAACATTTCTCCCGATTCGAGCAAAAGGAAACAGAGTGGCAATCGCAAATTTCCAAATTCCCAAATCCCCAAATTCAGCAGAGAGCTGTCGCGCTCCTACTGATGCTCTTTATGCACCTTTCGGCTTTAAGTTAAGATGACGGCTCCGCTAACGCATGTCCAATGGCTTCACAGGCATTTCAATGACCACCCTGGCTATGTTACTAGCCTTGCACAACCTCTATCCCTCGCTCCGCCCCTACACACAGCCTTTCTTCCAGCTGTCATACTATGACGCAGCCTCGAATTCATACGTGCAGGGCTGGGACGATGTCTACTTTGTCTTCAGTGCCGCTGTCGCACTGACCGGGATTCGCGCCATGGTCATCGAATGGATCCTGCAGCCAATGGCTCGTTCTGCGGGCTTGAAGCGGAAGCAGGCTGTCCGTATCGCTGAACAGGGCTGGAATGCTATGTACTACTCGTTCATCTGGGGCGTGGGAATGGTGCGTTGGTTGATCATACGTTGTTGGAGATGGGTGTAACTGACTGTTGTTCTGTCGCAGTATCTCTGGAAGAATTCCTACTATTGGGGTGATTTTGCTCCCATCTGGTCCAGGTGGCCTGCGCGTCCTCTCTCCGGTTTGATGAAGTGGTACCTGCTCGTTGAGCTGGCATTCCTCGTGCAGCAGATCTTCGTCATCCACGTGGAGGAGCGGCGCAAGGATCACTACCAGATGCTTTCCCACCACATTATTACCAGCACTCTTTTGAGCTCGGCTTACATCTACGGGTTCTACAATGTGTCCAACGTGGTGCTGTGTTTGATGGATGTGGTGGATTTCCTGCTTCCGGTATGTTGATCGACAAGCGCTCACGTCCAGCTACTAATTATTGGACAGTCTGCGAAAATCCTGAAATACCTCAAGTACGAGACAGCCTGCAACATTGGATTCGGTCTGTTCATGACCACTTGGTTCATTACCCGCCACATCGTTTACCCGGCCCTTTGTTGGTCCATCTACAAGAATGTCCCGGCGCAAATGTCCTACGGCTGCTACTCTGGTTCGACCGCCGAGATGATATCCGACAATGGCTATCCCAACTCCGTTGCCTACCTGTTCGGACCGTATCTCAACCTGGAGAACCCAATCTGCATGAACCGCACCGTGAAATGGATCTTTTTGTCCCTTCTGCTGACCCTGGAAGGCCTGTCCATTGTCTGGTTCAGCATGATTGTTCGTGTTGCATATGGTGTTCTTTGCGGGGGCAATGCTGAGGACTCCCGCAGTGACGAGGAGGATGAGGCCGAGGTCGAGGACCAGTCTTCCTCCCACGTTGCAGTGCACCTAGTCGCCAAGGACGGCGCCAACCCCGATACAATTGCCATGGAGGCTGCTCCTGGCCTTGACCGTCGGCGGTCTAACGGAGCCTCGGTACGAGCCCGGGGTCGTGGCCGTGTTCCATTCGACCAGAGTGATCGGAAAGCCCTACTCGGCCGCATTGGTTGTGAAAAGCCCACATAAATGCCGGCAGCTTTCCTTTCCTTTTTCTTTCCATTTTCTTTTTTCCTTTTCTCAAAATTTGACGAATCCCATATTCGAGTCTCGTTAGCATGCCGCGGCCTCTGCCTCTAGTCTCCTCCTTTACGATGTCTGCTTTCCGGTCATGGGGATGATTAGCAGCGCCCCCATGAAATGAATACTCAACTCACGATGAACTGCTAGTTTGTTTCCGGCATATCGTTTTCAGTCTGCTTGCCGGGTCTTATATCCACCTCGTACTTGTTTTGTTTCCATTTTACTTTTCTTCACGCCGCTTGTTGGCTTGGTACCGGAGGCTTTATGTTGTGCTTTTCTTTACTGTGCTGATCTCTCAGTTTCTAGAGATCCACACCATAATACCCAATGAAAAGGCCTTGACGTTGTTTGTATGATAGAAATCACTGTCCACTAGCACCCAGTGGGAACAAGACAGCAGAACAAGAACACGAACCCGAACACGAATACATGATATCTCCATCCTATTTCCCAACAGTCACCTCATTTAGAAGCATAGCCCCTGAGTGCCGGCTCAATATTCGACCCATGTCGAAACAACAAAGTATTCAGAGGCCCAACAATATCCCCCATCACCTCCGTGCCCAGAAAGTCCCCCAGCCCAAGCCCAGGCGCAAGAGACATACCACAAACCACCTCCAAATCAACCCTCTCCACCCTCCCAGGCCCATCATGCTCCAAAGCATCCACAAAAAGCGCAAACGCCAACGGATGCACAAGCACAGAAGAATGCGAATAATACCCTCCCCCCTCCATCCCTCTACAAACATCCTGAACAAGAACATTCTCAACCCCGACCCCCCTCTCATCCCCCAGAAACCCCGAAGCCCACTCCCCCCCACTCTGCGGCTGGACAACAGCATCAAACCCAGAGTAGACACTCGTCGTAGACACATACGCTGAGTCGCCCCCCTCCCCCCTCAACGCCCCCACCAACCGCGCCCTATACCCCTGCTGTGCAATCGCCGGCGTGCAGAACAGCGACGGAACCGCGCACAGCACATCCATGACCGTGCCGTGAAAGTCCGCGCTGATAGCCATGAAATCGGTCACGCTCGCCCGCGTCGACGGCCAGTATTTCAGCGCCCATTGCACGTCTATCCCGCCCTGCGACCACGACACTACCCCGATGGCCCGCTTGCTTACCGCTGAGATGTAGTTGATTGCATATGCGACGTACTCGGCGTTGCTTTGGATGTCGTCGAGTGAGTTGCCCGGTATGTTCACCCATACCGGGTCTGTGTGTGCGTGCTGGCTGAATAGCTTCGTGAAGCTGAATTGGTAGGTGCTTCCGGCTGGAGAGCCTGTGCCTGGAACTAGTAGGATGGGGGTTTTGTTGGCTGTGTCGTAGGTGAAGGTCTTGGGGATGTGGATTGCGGAGCGGAGGGCGCTCTCTGGGAGGGAGTATGGTGCGTCGGTGGGGTGCTTGTTTGGGTAGATTGGGGGGTTGGGAGGTATGGGGTTTGTGTTGTTTATTGAGTTTATGGGGTTGTTTGTTTGTTCTTGGAGGATGTCGAGGATGTTGGTTGGGACTAGGTTGTTGCGGGCGAGGGTTAGGGCTCTGTCGAGGGGTTTGGAGGTGGGAGGGTAGGGGAGGGTTGAGAGGGTTGTTAGGGCTGTGGTTAGGTTTTGAATTGGGGTTGTTTTGCCCAGGGCTATGGAGGATATTCGAGTTTTGAGCTCCGTTAGGCTACTGGTTATGTTGTCCTGGGGGTTTAGTTGATGTATGGTGTCGAATAGCTTGGTGAAGACGTCTGGGATGTTGTCTTGGGTTTTGTCTTGGTTGGATATTGAATATACTGGGACTGGACTTTCCCAGGTCTTTGATATGTACAGAAAAACTGGGATTGCTGAATGATAGCGCATTGTGAAAGACCTCGTGAGTTGGTTCTTATGTCACAATTAGGGCTGGCAAGTTCACAACAAAACCCCATGGCGAAGCCTGGTCGTAACTGCCAATATATGACAAACAGAGTGCCATTCCCCCCAAACTCAATAATCCTCATAGAGTCATATGCCATGGCTAATCGAGCCTGAGTTTCGATCCATCGTTTGTTTGGGATAAGCTTGTTCATACACATTCAATCATCCAAAAACCCTCTTCCAAAGCCATGTCCAAGGTTTCATCCCAAATTATAACTTAAAGTTAACGTTAGAACCTTCCGTTCGTTATTTACTCTCTAATCTCCGCCCACTATGAAATGATGAATAGGGAATGACATTATAAATGTGGGCCGAGGTAAATAAAGGGCGCTACTATATTTATATACATCGAACTTGAACAAGAAAATCCTACAGAAAAAACTCAAGATTATTCCAACACAATCAACACCAGTTGAGATAGCCAAGCTATACCCCCCAATCCACCGAACTTCTCTCGTCATATTCGGCCGTCGCAATGACATCCGAACCATGGCCCTTCTTCTGTGTATCCCGAGACCCATCAGAATCACTCCGCAGGGCGTTCTCTAAAGGACCCTCTGCAACCTTACCTTGAACAATAGAACGAAGCTTATAAAGCACAGAGAACTAGAACTGCTTCAGCCCAGAAAAAACCATTCTCTTTCCGTTTTCCATGTGCATTGAATTCAAGTGTAACCGCACCTTCAATAATTCAGCCAATAATTTGACTACCAAGCCCAAGCCAATATGGCAGATACTTGCAATGCTTTTCTCCTCCTGGGGTAAGGGTAAGCCAGCACAATACCACCCCCGGTAATACATGACAATCCGGAAGATGTATCCAGTATCACACGGGCTAGCATCATATACTACTTGTCGGACTGATACTGCGGTATACACTACAAGCATTGCATAGATGTGAAGCTAAGCATTCGTCTATCTAAGCTCTGTCTGGATAAGCGCGGTGACGAAAATGCATATTATACATTATTAAAGACTATTGCGGCTTCGTATTTTGGACTTTGTTTTTCTTTTTTTCAAAATAGTCATTCGATGCTAAATATATTTCTCTGTCGGAATCAAGTAGTTCTATCATTCTCATCTGCGGATTCCCCGCATGACCCTGCATTCCCCCATGGAGTATCTCTCGTCGGGATCTGATTTCTGTCAGATACAAATTTGTGGTCTTTAGATATATATCCTAGAAAATCAAGTCTTGTTCTTGGCTTTTGGGGGTCCTAAAGACGTAGTCCACATGAGGATTGGGGAAATAACATGTATTTGGGGACTATTAGGGATGAAAAGTGGCATAGACGCAAGATGAGATAGAAATATAGTGTAAAATAGTGGCCATTTAGCCCAGTTGAGTAGGATGATCATTTAATCCTATGGATAGATATTCATAGGGTTGTAGTATAAGCACATCATAAGTTCAGGGTCCAAGTCAAGACTTGGAGAAACCCCCCACCAACAGCTTCCCCCTCATCTATAAACCTCCCTCAAATCCATCACCCACCACCCTTTCTGATCTCACCCCTCCCCTCCTCATGTCTTCCGTCAAATCATTCCGCCAAATAATCGGCATCCCCCCTCCACCGCCTCCACCAAAGATTCAACCCTGATAATCATCGACGCCCAAGATGAGTACGCCCTAGGCCACCTCAAAGTTGAGAAAGTCTCCGAATCCCGCAAGGTCATCTCCAAGCTCCTGGAGAAATACCGCCAGGGCAGCAACGGCAAGAACATCGTTCATGTCGTGCACGAAGTGCCCCCCGGCGCTCCTGTGTTCACGCCTGGCACGACTCTCGCACAGGAGTTCGAGGAGCTCACTCCCAAGGCCGGCGAGAAGGTCGTGACGAAGAACTTCCCGAGCTCTTTCGCCAAGACCGATCTGCATGACTACTTGCAGGGACTGGGCGATGTAGGTAGCAAGATTGTGCTGGTTGGCTATATGGCGCATGTTTGTGTTTCGACTACTGCTCGCTCGGCGAGTGAGCTGGGCTATGATGTGCTTGTTGTGCGGGACGCTGTGGGGGATCGGAATATTCCTGATGCGGATGCTGAAACGGTCGTTTCTGTTGTTCTTAGTGAGCTGGGTGATGGGTTTGCTACGATTGTTTCGGAGAGTGAGATTGGCGCTTGAGTTGGTGGATTCGATGTCATTGGGATGGGTGTCTATGGGTAGTGGCTGGTTATTGTTTATATGCTGACGGTGTGGGATTTTGATCTATAGACTGTGAGATGGGTCTAGGATGGTGGGATGATGGCTGAGACTTGGGGGAATATGTCCAATGCGTGTTGAAACCAAAAGATTTGTTAACAATGTATTAGATGTCTCTATATCTTAAATTGATAATCAACAAGTCTGCATTGTCACTTTTTTCTTTTATGTATCATTGATTTCAAATCTTTTGGTTTCGAACTTATTCTCAGAATTTTGGACTTTATCATATCTACCTTTGAAGGCAATGTTTTCATTACCTGCATCAAGGTCACCACGGCAATCGTCAATATTGAGAATATCAGAATCCCAACGAATCCTGTAGTCTTCTCTGCACGATCCGAAAACACCTCTGTTTCAAGAGTCTGCCTTTGCGGCACAGTTTCTGCCTCCTATTCAGTTGGTCTGGGCTGAGTACATATTTCCAGTTTTGGATGCGCTTGTTACCAAGGTGGGCAGACAAAGGGCAATCTGTCAGCCAATACAAAATGACCACCCATGCATCAGGTACTGATCAAATAAAATGGTTCATCTCGTCTTGCCATGGGATAAGCCCCAGAGCTCCAAAAGCAAACGGGCAAGTATGCCACCTGAATAGAGTTTGGCACCGATTAGCCTTACCGAAGGCGTATCATTGGACGTCATATTCAGCATTGGGTCACGCGTCCAGGACAGGTTGTGCAGTGACGGCTTCCAGTCGCGAGATTGACTCCAGTAGCCGGATTGGCCCAAGACCGTTAGATCTGCCCAACTAGGTCAAGTCGATGCTGATGTGTGGCACAACAAGCATAGTACAAGGCGAAGCTTCCACTGAGATACCGGAACGCTTCGGTGATCAAAAGATAAAACCCTCAGCCAGTATTATCTCTGAGCCTCGCAAGCGCAGCCGTAATTCCTTCGCTCATCTCTTCGGGTTGCACACCAGGCGGACGAGTCTCACCAGACTGCCTGGCCTCAGCAGCAGTCTTCCTACTTTCAGCCATGACTGCTCGGAGAATCGCTTCCTCCTCATCCTCGTCTATATCATGATCGGGTGTGTCATTGGCAGGCGCCTGCGCCGGAGCCGGAGCTGGCCGAGTTGGCTTAGTTGGCACAGCAGCAGTAGTGGATTTCTTCGTACTCTCAACTCGAAAGTCTTCTCGAACCGCATTGCACCACTGCTGAACCTTCTTCTCTCCCCATCCTGGCACGGCGCTGATCTGCTCTGGTTGTGCGTTGATCGCATTCTGCAGACTTCCAAAGGTGGAGATTAGACTGGCCGCGTCGGACTTGTTGATACTTCTGGGTGCTGTGACAAACTCAACCAGAGATTCCTTGTATGACTGCGCTTGTTGAGTTCGGATTGCCGTGGGCTGTGCGTTCTCTGAGGACTTGAAGAGTTCTAGATAATGGGCGGCTTCTGGGGCAGACCAGCATAGTATTAATGTCAGGTTGTTGATAATGGATGTTTTTGATAGTTCGCGGAGGTTGTCTTCGTGGTTTGGGATATCCACCATAACAAGGACGAGGCGGAGGTTGTATTTGCCGGCTAATTGCTTGACTCGAGAGTAGATGTATTCTGGGTGTAGGCGGTGGTATTTCAAGGATAGGAATAGTGCGCAGGTCGTGGTTCCAACTACATAATCTGCAGGAATATCGGCATACTCCCACGGCAGAAGCTTGATATGCGTCAGGATTGGATTTCCCTTTTGTCGAGTTGATACGAGGATCGCGGAAGTGCCAGGTCTGTTCGCAAGGGCTTGTGGCTTCGGCTGCTGGACTTTCTGTCTGGCTGCACCTGGGGCAGGCGAGCCGGAAGGCCTAGAGGGTAAGCTATTGTCTGTTGGGTCCATCTCAGCAACCACAGGGTTTGTAATGGCAGCGAGGTAAATGGCAGTTGATAAAGCTATCCTTATCGGACAGTGGACCCCACACCGCCCGGTCAAGCCTTCCCAATTTTCTGCCGCCAATTTTTCTGATTCTTCTTCACCAAAAGAAAAAGTTCAGTCGCAACCCACACATTATGGTTGAATCGTACAAGAAGCGCCGTCTTTCGGGCGCAGACACCACCCAAGACGCTGAAGTCAAAATTGAAGACACCACAACCGCCACCGATGTCCCAGCACAATCTCAAGCCAGGCGGACTCTGTTCGTCCGCTCACTACCCACCTCGGCCACTACAGAGAGCCTCGCCGAACACTTCTCGCAGTCCTACGTGATTAAGCATGCCGTCGTGGTCAGCGATCCCAAGACCAAGGTCTCCAAGGGCTTCGGTTTCGTCACATTTGCCGATCTCGAGGATGCAGAAAGCGCATTGAAGGAATTGGACAGATCCAAGTTTGATGGAAAGATTATTCGTGTTGACTACGCCGAGTCCCGTAAGCGTGAGATTGATGAGAAGGTTGGCCGTAGTGTTCCTACCGCTGCCTCCCTCGAGTCGAAGCAGAAGCGCGAGGAGGAGAGAGGACAAGGTGCACCGCCTAAGCTGATTGTTCGCAACTTGCCATGGACTATCAAGGAGCCCGAGGATCTCTCCGCTTTGTTCCGCAGCTTCGGAAAGGTCAAGCACGCCACTCTTCCCAAGAAGAACGGCAAGCTTGCCGGTTTCGGTTTCGTTGTTCTCCGCGGCAAGAAGAACGCCGAGAAGGCGCTGCAGAACGTCAACGGGAAGGAGATTGATGGTCGTACATTGGCTGTCGATTGGGCTGTCGAGAAGGAGGTCTGGGAGACTACCAACAAGAAGGAGGACGAGGAGGAAGAACCCAAGGAAGAGAAGGAGGATGTTGAGATGGAGGATGCCGATGGTCACTTGGAGGAGCTGTCAGACGACGAGACTTCCTCTGACGGATCAGATGATGATGAGGAGGACAACGACTTGGATGAGTTGGACGAATTGGACGAAGATGCGGAAGACAAGGACGACGACCGCAATAACTCTACAATCTTCCTTCGAAACCTGCCCTTCACCGCTACAGACGATTCTCTCTACGAACACTTCGCCGCCCAATTCGGACCTTTACGATATGCACGTGTGGTGCTGGACCACGAGACCGAGCGCCCTCGCGGCACTGGCTTCGTGTGCTTCTGGAAGGCCGACGATGCAAACACATGTATCCGCGAAGCCCCCGAGGAAACGATGTTATGGCCCCGAACAAGGACAAGCCAAAGTCCAACACCGCCATGAAGCACTCACTCCTCCAGGACGAGAACAACGACCCCAGCGGACGCTACACTCTCGAAGGCCGAGTCCTCCAGGTCGCCCGTGCCGTCAGCAAGGGCCAAGCCGCAAAGCTGGAAGAGGAGGGTGTATCTCGCCGTCTGGTCCGCGACACAGACAAGCGCCGCCTGTACCTGCTTGGCGAAGGTACCATCGCCACCAACTCCCCCCTGTACAAGAAGCTCTCCCCCTCCGAAGTCAAGATGCGCGAGGAAAGCTTCAAGCAGCGTGAAACCTTCATCAAGAAGAACCCCGCCCTCCACCTCAGTCTTACCCGTCTCGCCATCCGTAACATTCCCCGTCACATCAACTCCAAGGACTTGAAGCAGCTTGCTCGTGAGTCCGTCGTCAACTTCGCCAAGGACGTCAAGAAGGGCGTTCGCCAGCCCCTCTCAAGAGAGGAGCAGCAGCGCTCCCGCGACACCATGAAGGAACTCGAGCAGCTGCGCAAGCAGAAGAAGATGGGTATCGTGCGCCAGGCGAAGGTCGTCTTCGAAACCCGCGAGGGTACCAAGGTCTCGGAGAAGACCGGCGGTGGTCGCAGTCGTGGATATGGATTCATCGAGTACTTCACTCACCGACACGCGCTCATGGGTCTGCGTTGGTTGAACTGTCACGCTCTGCAGGTGCCTGAGTCCGCGCAGAACGAGGACAAGGACAAGAAGAAGCGTCTTGTTGTCGAGTTCGCCATTGAGAACGCGCAGGTCGTCAAGCGCCGCAATGAGCTGCAGGCTAAGTCCCGCGAGCCCAAGCCTAGGAAGTTCGATGACGCCGACGAAGGAAAGGACTCCGACAAGAACGGAAAGAAGAGGAAGCGCTCTGACAGCCGCGGCAAGGAAAAGGATGGCAAGGGTGGAAAGGGCGCACAGGACGACGACGACAAGGAAGACGAAGAGGAGAACAAGATCGCCAAGCGCAACCGCATCATCTCGAAGAAGCGCATGCAACGCAAGTCCCGTAAGGGGAAATGAAAGGAGGCTTGAGTGATTATATTTCTTTACTGTATAGGCATTATTTATCCCCGAGAGAAGAGATCTGTTGTACCTACGCGATACCACCATTCCAAAAATGAAAAGCATTTGTGATTTCAAACCTAATGGACTGAGTCCGCTGCACTGGGTATCTGTATATTTCGTACACTCGATCCATGCGACTCCCTTCAACGTGTGGAGAACGTAGATGGCAAATCAACCCTATTTCATATCGCTTAGGTGTTCTTGGCACCCTCGACCTTGCCGACAATGTTGTACCGCTTGCTGAAGAAGGTGAACCACTCGTTCAGAGTAGTCTTTTCCTTGTCGGCCAGGTCGTACCATTCGGGAACGCAGTCTTCGGGCTTGAGAGAGGAGCACGCGAGTGCGCGGGAGGCGTCCTTGCCTACGAAGACTAGACGGAGAGAAATATGGGTCAGTCGAAGGTTTGCATTGACTTGTCCGTGTAGACGTACCGCGATATTGTCCGGACTGTCCATACGCCGAGTTACGGGTCACGTCGAACACAACACCCTTGATAGCAACCAAAGTCGGGCGGCTAGGATCGGAACCTGTTTGCAAATTTAGTCGACTGACAAGATACTCGAATTGGCAGCATTGTTGCTGTTGATCATAGCTGTGTGAAGTGGCGGGGGGAGTATCGTGAGGGGGCAATGCCATACCGTCGCATTTGGCCAATTCCTCTACGGAAATAGGGTCGTCCTTTGGAGGGTCCAGCTGGACGGGCACCTTGGGCTCGAAGCGCTTAGTTTGTTTCTCTTCGGTCATTTTGTGTGTTGTTGGAAAAGAAGAAGTTGGGGTTTGGCGGGGTTCCCGAGGTTATCAGCTTACTGTCGGCTTCCTGATTGGGGAAACAGCCCTGGAGAAGAGAGTCGTTTATAGTCCCCAGCCATGTTCTGTGTCTGTTACATGTTACTATGAGACTGATGATATGTCTGTCGGTTGTGTTTGAGTTGAGTTTAGTCTGGCATATTCCCATGTTAGTTTCGTATTTGCGTTGGACATACTATCTGTACGTCCGAGGGGTTTCTAGCAGATAGGTGCTGTACTTTCAGGCTATTGTTTCTCCCTTGAATAGCTCCAAATTGTCATTTCTATATCGAGATATCACTGACCACTCATACAAAGTCAAGTTATCACTTTCTACCTCGCATCCGACTGCTTGTTCAGGAGTATTGATACAGACCTAGCCCTCACGTGCCTTCTCTTTTTTACCCCATCTAGTTAGAGAAGAAAGAAGAGTATAGAGTTTGAGTCGAGGCTAAAAGATACTCGACTCGACTCCTAAACAGAAGATCCCCTCATGACGTAGCAATGGAAAGGAAGCATGCCAGTCAGGTCAGATGACTGAGGCAACCTTGGTAAGGAACTCCAACGTCCGTCAACTTCAGGTTTACTGTACACCCTGCCACCTCTTCAAGATCCACTCGGAGCCATTCAGGTTGACCAAAATCTACCCGAACGAACACTATCCAGATGTTCTCCAACTCTCCCCATCCGAGCTCTGACAGGCCTATCACACAGGCTAATCCGGGCCAACGTCGAGACTCCACAGACTCTGATGTGATCCACCACCTTTATTTTGAAGACAACGATAGTTTCTTTCCACCAAGTTGGTTGGGCAAAGAGTCAGAACGCAGGCCCTCAAATGAGAGCACAGAAAGCAAGGACTCCCAAGATAAGGATCGGGCTGTCCACTGAACCCTGAACATATTCCAGCTGGAATGTGGCGTTTGAGATGTCTGAGTCGTTGAATGATTGAAGATTTGAGTAATTTAGTAATTGAAGGGGTAGTTTGCATGTACTTCTCTCTATGTGTCTGTAGTGTATAACTTCAATCAACAGTGGCCCTACTCCATAAAGAGGGTCTCCATCTTCCGTGGACCTCGGCAACATCCCCTCTCCACACAGTGAACATGAACACTCAAGCTCCCTCTTCCCAGCCATCAGCATATCTCCAGGGCTTGTTCTCGCATGCGATAGCCCCAGGAACTCAAACCGGTACAGTGATCGGAGGCAAGATGCAGTGCAGGCAAATCAACCCCCTTGCCCCTCCAAGTGCCCCTAGTGCCCCAAGTGCTCCAAGTGGGGGCACGACGAGGCCCGGGGGATGTGTGTGATTTGATGTGGGATTTGCCGCGATTGTCTAGTTCGGACTATGCCGATTGAGCTTTTGAGATTTTCCAAGGAAAATACTACTCACCTGGGCCAAAAAAAAAAAAACACACCAGTCATTCCTCTCGGTTAATCTTTCTTGCTTGGATTCTTCTCTCTAATCTGTCCTTGCATATATAGGCACCTGCCTTGCTCTTTCTAGGTGTCAACATCATGTTTTCAGACGAGCATGTCTCGCATACGCCCACCGCGGCTGCCATCCAGAGCGCAGAACCTGTTCGCGTCGCCGATCCCGAGTCGAAATCGACCAAGTTTTTAGGCAAGACGGATGTCTCTGAGAAGAACTCGCTGTATAACCGAGCGCTTTCGGTTGGGAGCGGCTCGATGAAGTCGTCGCATGACCATACCCATCGCAAGCTTAAGCCTCGTCATGTACAATTGATCGGCATTGGAGGGACAATCGGCACGGCGCTGTACGTTCAAATTGGTTCCAATTTGCGTACTGCGGGTCCTGCCAGTTTGTTCATTGGATTTAGTCTATGGTGAGTGTCATTCCCTGTGCATCATTCAGTTGACTGTTTGGGGTTCTCGACTTCGACTTCGACTTGGGTTGTCCCGTTGAACATGAGTGTCACGTTTACAGTAAGTATGGCGATGAGAATGCCAAAGACAATGCATAAAGCAAACCAGAAACCTCCCAAAAGAAAAGAAAAGAAAGACAAACACAGCCGAGGGAGCTCTACCAACCATATACATCAATCCTTCTCCAGACTCCAGGATGTAAAAAACTGTTAGACCAAGGCATATCCATGTCGAACAGTATATGAGAAATCGACCAAACTCACCAGCTCTAAGCCCCTGCAACAAGTCAGAAAGCCCTGAACCCAAACAGTCCTGATTCGCCATTCTTGACGTCTTCCGGGACTATCCAAATCTTATAATCTTCTCTAGGAGCTGCGTGATTCTCATTATCACCGTGTGTACGAAACCCCCCAAAAGCCCGTTGCATCATTCCATCCTCCTGCCGGCTGCTTTTCCCATGCATCCAGTCGTATATCAAACCAGATTCCAAATGCGCCATTGCTTTGATGCCCTCGCATCGATCGCCCAATCGCTCCATCTGCCTCCCCAATTCCTGCTAGATCTGTAGATCCCCATACTCACTATCCTTCTAGGCCTGGCTGAAATGGTCACATACCTCCCCATCTCCTCGCCCTTCATCCGCTTCGCCGGTCGCTATGTCGACGAGGCCTTGGGCGTCGCAGCCGGATACAACTTTTTCATTTTCGAAGCTGCCCTGGTCCCATTCGAGATCGTTGCTGTCAGTCTGATCGTCCGATACTGGACAGATATCATCCCTGTGGCTGCAATGAACGTCATCGTTCTAGTCCTCTACGGGTTCGTCCTTTCCTCCCATCTGCCATGCACCACAGGCCGTGCCAGATCTTCGCCTAGCTAACAACCCCTCCCGCCTCCCCCAGAGCTCTAAACCTCTTCGCAGTCAAATGGTACGGCGAAGCCGAGTTCTGGCTCTCCCTCGGCAAAGTCCTCCTCAGCATAGGTCTGATCTTCTACACTTTCATCGTCATGCTAGGCGGCAACCCCCTCGGCGATCGCTTCGGCTTCAGATATTGGAACGAGCCAGGCGCCTTCGCCGAGTACTACTCAACAGGCGATACTGGCCGGTTCCTGGGCGTTCTGTCCGCGCTCATTGCCGCCAGTTTCACCATCGCCGGTCCGGACTATGTCTCCATGGCTGCGGGTGAGACTATCAACCCTCGCAAAGTTCTGCCCAAGGCCTTCAATGGTGTTTTCTATCGTCTGACTGCCTTCTTCGTGCTGGGTGTGCTGTGTATTGGTATCCTCGTGCCGTACAATGATAAGACTATGGCTGAGGCTTTTGATAATGATCAGCCTGGGGCTGCGGCTTCGCCGTATGTCATTTCGATGGATCGCTTGAAGATTCCCGTTTTGCCAGATATTGTTAATGCTGTCGTTCTTACGGCTTCGTTCAGTGCCGGTAATAGCTATATGTACTGTGCCAGTCGCAGTCTTTATGGTCTGGCGCTCGAAGGCAAGGCTCCCAAGTTCCTGACCAGGTGTACGAGTCGTGGTGTGCCTGTCTACTGTGTTGGCATTGTTCTTGTCATTGCCCTGCTCAGTTTCTTGCAGGTTTCTAACAGTGCTGCTGTTGTGCTGAATTGGTTTGTTAATCTGGTATGTATTGATTTCTCTCTCTTTCTTTTGGCTCGGACAGCTTATTGAATCTCACAGGTAACTGCCTCCCAACTTATCAACTTTTCCGTCGTGACTTTCACCTATATTCGCTTCAAGAAAGCCCTCGAAGCACAGGGCATCGAGAGATCCTCCTTACCCTATCAAAGTTGGTGGCAGCCCTACATCGCCTACATCGCCTGCACCTGTACAACAATCATGGCCTTTGTGGGCGGCTACACGGTCTTCTTGCCGGGAAACTGGTCCATCCCGACATTCCTCTTCTCTTATACCATGATCGGCGTCTTTCCCGTTCTATACTTTGGATGGAAGTTCTTCCACAAGACCAAGTTCCTCAAGCCTGAAGAAGTTGATTTGTTGAGTGGTGTTGTGGAAATCGAGGAGTACACTAGGGATTTCGTTACTGAGCCGCCGAAGTGAGTATCATGGTCTGATGTTTACATGGAATGCGTTGCTGACGGCTTACTAGGACTGTCATTCACAAGTGGGTGTACAAGATCTTTGAATGAGATCCTGGAATGTTAGCATGGGTTTGATTCTATTGTCGCTTTGACTTTGACAGTTCCGTTTGAGAAAAGTGTCTTCACGATTTGAGACGCAGATAATCTATCTGCTTCGGTTCTCAGCCAGTTCGTATGGGAGTCGTACGATCGACTTTCCTACTATGGGTATCGTTGAACGGTTCTCCTACTCCACCAGTATGAATTGGAGACGTTTTGAACAGGGCTCCGAGCATTGATGCTAGTTGCACATTAGCATACGTATACTGCTGGCCAGCAAATAGATCAGTCAATAGTATACAATATTCATTTCTTAAAGCTCTATCCCCGACCTTCAAGCCTCCAGCCGCGACTTAGTCCGCACTTCTGATAAGTCGCAATCGTTCTTCCGTCAAGCTCTGTCATCTATTACCAATAGTTCCAAGGTTGATCCGCAATACGGTCTCATGATCGATCTTTATCTCTGATCGACTAGAGCCAATCCCCAGTTGATTTTGCACTCGTTAAACGCGCTTCCTGTGAGCTTTTCTTCTAGCCAAGTTGATTTATTTCCACCCTCGCCAGCACCCTATGCATTCTCAGGGCTGTTTCCACTTCCACTGGCATCTTCCTTCGCCTTCAAAGCCGCCAGCCTTGACTTGTTGCGCTTGCTGATAATCCGCAGTGTATTCTTCTGCTCGATCTCACTCATCTGTTGCCAGTTTCCGATCTGCGATAATGTTCCGTCGGTGTTGACCACCATCGGTCCCAGGTGGTCTAGTTTCATTTCCGTTCCGCCGGTGCTCATGTCGAGCTTTATTCCGCCTGAGTCGGAACCTTGCACGTTGTCTGCGGATGCGCTTTCTGGGAGGTACATCTGTTCGGGGATTCTGGTAGGCTCTGATTGGGAGTGAGGTTGGTCGGTTGGTGGGGTCTTTGTGGTGTTGGCTGGGGAGGATGAGTCGGAGGGTGGGAATTCGCTCATGGTGCGGATTTGGAAGGCTGGGCTGGTGTGGGTTTTATAGCTTGGGCACTGTGGGAAGAGGATGCTGTAGAGGCGAGTGCTTTGCTGAGAGGATGAGATTGCGCGCACGAATAAGGGATTGGCTGAGAGGAGGAGAGCGCGGTAGACTGTTGAGACCTGCATTGCGTGTGAGGAAAGTGAAGATTGCGGAGAAGGAACTTTGCATCCACTTCGACATTTCATAGTTCGAGACTGGTCACGTTCATGGCCGTAGGTGAAAATCCTCTATCCTCGCATCTTCTACAATATACAATATCAGTCGCTCGATTCCTACTCTATAATATTATACATTATAAAACCTGCCCACTACCGGAACCACCAATTTACCTAGAAATCATCAGCGAACACACCTCAAAGCGAAGTAGAAACTCACCGAAGCCGTGACTCCCTCCCCAACGCCCTTGATACTATGCCACCACCCCTTAGGGATAAACAACCCATCCCCGACCCCAAGCCTCGCCTCAAACCCAACTCCATTCCCATCCCCACCAGAACCAGGACTCCCCCAAACCATCTCATCAAGCAACACCCTCTCCCTACCTTGCATCATCTCCTCACCCCGAATCGCAGCAGCCTCCCGATTTCCCGATTTCCCCAACTGCCTCCTCACAGCCCCAAACACAGCCTGTCCGTCCGCCGGCGCAAGCAGTCGCACCACCTTCTCCCCAGCTAACTGGACAAACAAATTCGGATTCGGATCCCGGTGCAGTGGGGTATATGTGGGTGGATGTCCGATCCACACATTTGTGTCGTAGACATCGCCCTTGCCGGCGCGCGACACCAGGTCCGGTGTGGGAAAGTCTGCTCGGAGGATCGGGGGGAGGTCGAGGAGTTGGCATTGCGCGAGGTAGAGGCGTGTTGATTGCGGTGTTGTTTCCGCCATGCGCATCCAGTCCAGAAAGAGGGTCAGTGGAGCGTGGAATTGTCGGAAGGTGTTTGATTGTGTCTCTGTCGCGTCGCTTGGGGAGTTGGAGTCGGGCGATGAGGTGAGCTCCAGAGGGACGAAAGCGTCCGCGCCGTGTTTTTGGAGATAGTCCACATTCAGGCTGGCGATGGGGACTGTGTGGTTGGTCTTTGCTGTTTGCTGGGTGGGTTTAAACCAGTTCTTCAGTGCGGGGAGATGTTGGAATTGCGCGCGTGGGAGGATTGCGGGCTTTTCTGGGTGGAAGCATTTCTGCTGGAAGGTCTCTAGGGTGGCATTTTCGAGGGTTTCGAGGGCTTGGGATGGGGAGGAGAAATTGCGAGTCTGTCTTGCTAAGAGACTCTGTGGGAGTCTCCAGGGAATTGGTCTCATTCCGGCGGTTGACAGGAGAAGTCTGGGGGTGGAGCCCGAAGCTTGGAAGCTTTCGATGCTTCCGAGGTTCACGTTGGCAACCTTGGAACTCTACTGATGTTTACTAATTTCTAGTGATATCGACTGATCTTGATATTTGCCTGGCATTTGACTGACATTTAACTGACCCTAGTGGCGTTCTGCACACTATACACCAGTGCACACTAATTAAGTCCAAAACAGCTAGACTGGTCGCCAATCTACTCCTGAGCGTTGAACCGTCGGCGTTGCCGAGGTCGCCAAGAATCCCCTCGTGGAGAGCTGACATCTGCACGTTTCTTTCACACTTTAACTCTGAACGTTGCATATATTCAGAAGGCTTCGGACGTTCATGCTGTGTTACTCGAATATCAAGTTGACCTGTCTACTCTGTCGATCCGCCGAGGTGCATATATTGCACACGAACCAATTATATCTACTGGGCTGCTTGGCTGCCTGATACTAAACTATGCCATCATTTGCTCGAATCCACAAGCGCCATGCGTATGGCAAAGATGCCCATACCTACTATCCAGTTCTGATTGTAGGGGCTGGCGAGTCGGGTGTGGCCATGGGCTGTCGGCTCAAAGAGGTATTGGGGACAGATCAGTTCCGGATCTTTGAGAGGCAGTCCGGTATTGGAGGGACATGGTGGATTAATCGGTACCCGGGAGCTGCCTGCGATATGTGAGTTGGTAGTATTCACCGACTGCTATGTGTGCTAATGCTTGACAGTCCGGCGGCTTTCTATTCATTCTCTTTTGCTCCAAAGATGGACTGGTCTACTTTGCACCCAGCAGGTGCAGAACTTGCACAGTATATGGCCGATGTCTGTGAGAAATATCAGATCGTGGATAAGATCCAGTTTAATACGGACGTCAAGGAGCTTCGGTGGATCGAGGCGGACGAAGAATGGGAGGTGACAATCTCGCATCTTGTGCCTGGGACTGGTGATTTAGCTCAGCATGAGCGAGACCGTCTAGTGTCTCAGGATGGTGAGCACCGTGTCTACGTCAAGACAGAGATCGTCCGAGCCAAGGTTGTTGTCAGCGGCGTTGGAGGCCTGGTGGAACCGAAGACTCTGCCGACAGATATTCCCGGCTTCGAGAATTTCCAAGGTGAAATTATGCATACAGCCCGATGGAATGACAAGATCGATTTCGAGAACAAAGACGTGATCATATTTGGCGCAGGTTGTAGCGCCGCTCAGGTTGTTCCTGAGTTGGCCAAGCCAGAGGCAAAGATTCGATCTATCACCCAGATTATGCGAACGCCGCCGTGGGTCCAACCGGATCTACTGCCTGGAAAACAACTTGAATTGTACGAGACATGGTCACCGACACTGTCGACCTACGTTCCTGGTTTTGCGAGGTTCCTACGCTCCACGCTATTCGTAATGCTTGAGAAGAACTTCTACGACATATTTGGCGACACCGCATATACCCGCTTTATGCGACCACGCATGGAGAAGAAGTTCCTTGATAATATGCGCACGCTCGCACCAAAGGAGTACCATGAGATCCTGACTCCAAACTACAGCCTCGGCTGTAAGAGACGTATCATCGACGGGACTTGGTACCGCAGTCTCAATGCCCCGAATGTGGAGTTGACCACCCAGCCTCTGACGCGAGTTCATGCAAAGAGCGTAACCCTCGGTCCGGGTCACTATTATCCACCTAACCAAACTGACGCAGATGAAGTGAGAGAAGTCCCCGCCGACGTTATTATTATGGCAAACGGCTTCGAGACAAATCAATGGCTTCACCCGCTCAAGGTCATCGGCAAAGACAACAAGAATATGGAGGATGTTTGGGCTGAACGGGGAGGAGCACAGGCTTACCAGGGTATCGCCATGGATAACTTCCCGAACTTCTTCATGCTGTTTGGTCCGAATACGGCTACGGGTCATACCAGTGTAATCTTCGCCACGGAGAATGCGGTGAATTACTCACTGCAGTTTATCAAGCCCATTCTCAGTGGTCGGGTTAGCTCGTATGAGGTTAAAGAGAAGGCTGAGCGGGAGTGGACTCGCCGAGTGCAAGATGAGTTACAGAAGAGTGTGTTTCGCCGTGGAGTCTGTTCCAGTTGGTATATCACGGCAGATGGGTGGAACTCAAGCACGTATCCGTAAGTGCCTTTTTCTTTCGAGCTTCCAGAATTGGAAGTGAAGTGAACTAATGTTGTCTCCAGGTTTACTCAAATTCACTATTGGCTGCGTTGTTCGTTCCCTGTGTGGTCGCATTGGTCTGCTAAGCTCACGCGACGGGGTCGTGTGCTGCAGGGTGTCAAGAGGGCTGTGAAGGCTTCTATACTTGTGGCTCTACTGGCAGGACTTAGATTCTTGCACAAGAACCCAGAGCAAAGACTGCATTTGTTACAGTCTTTGCTTGGTGGCAAGGATTGGCTGCGTTCGACCGTGCAGGGCCTGATTTCTCGTTGAACTAGGTGTTAGCTGTTGAACTTAGCTATGTCAATGCCAATTAGGAAGAAACTTAATATACGTCTGAAGGATTTCATGGCTCTGAATGCCTCTTTCCACATCCAAGTAGTGAGTTATACTCGATCTTGACTCTATACAACGAACCAATCATCGCGTAGACAATCGGATGAGTAATGCGAATCCGGGGAAAACGGGAAACCCCGCGACAGAGGAATTTCTCCGCACTTCATCGCCAGTGTTTCTTCTCAGTTCGCCCTCTCACTGGCAGGTCATGGCTTCAGAGTCTCCCCATATGGAAAGGACGCCGCCGCAGACAGATGCCGGGGATCAGGCCATTGCAACATCTGATTCTAACAAGCGGAAGGCGGAACAAGGCAACGGAACGCCGTTGCGCACAAAGCGGAATCGCTACATCTCTATTGCATGGTAAGATATGGTCTGATGCGAACTCATCCCTTTCCGCTCCCTCGGTCCTTGGATTCTATGCTTTCCGGTTGGTCAGAACTGCTACCATATGCATCATCATATGATGTTGCTTTTTTTCTTCGGGACGTTTGTCGGCAGCCTATCTAACACGGGTATAGTAATGAGTGCAAACGGCGCAAGATTAAATGCAATGGTCAAGTTCCATGTCAGCGATGTGGTCATTTGAATCTGGAGTGTATGTGAAATTGCCGGTTCAACCCTTCTGCATTCGGAGCACTCGGCTTGCAAGATCAAACTAACCCCTGTATCAGGTCGCTATGCACCCAATTGCTGCAATAATAACTTCAAAGACTCGGAGTAAGTCTCGGGATCGTATTCCGTGTGCTCCGCAGTGCTAACATTCCGCAGTGAATACCGGTCATTGACAGATCATATCACCAGCTTACAGGACCAGGTCAACAGCCTGTTCACGGATATCAACGATATCCGCACCCAAAGACCTACATTCGAGACACCTTCCTTTGATCCGCTATCTAGGGATGGATCGCAACCCCTCTTCACACCCATGCCACCTGGGCCGGCAAAGTCTCGAACCCGCCACCCACGCTTTCACGGCCCAACAAGTTCAGCATTCAACTTTGATGTGGCCAAATCCAGCCTGCAGAATATGGGTATAACCCCTGCAGAGGATGGAATTCCTGATGACTTGACCACTGCGCATGTCACCCCAGCGGGATCGCCGCCTCATTTAGGGCAGATCCTCTCAACTATACATCCTTCCAAAGATCCTCTTTGGACGATCAGACGTGAGGAGGCAGTCCGCCTTTGTAAAGTCTACGAGGAAGAAATTGGAATTATGTACCCTGTAGTGGATATTGCCACGGTGACCAGCCAAGCTAATCTACTGTTCACATTCATCGAGGCTGCTACCCGAACGGGATTTGCACAAAGGGGTCTTCCAGGCTCCGATGGACTCCAGGATGAAGCTACAGTTCTCTTGAAATTGATTCTTGCCACCACGCTGGTCGTGGAGGGAGGTGGTGAAAGTGATCTTGGCCACAGGCTTTACCTGAATGTGAAACCTGTCATAGAACGCAAGATGTGGGAGCCTCATAGCATCAAGACGATTCAGTTGTTTGCCATTGTGGTAGGTGTAATTTCCATATGTTTGTGTACTATCAACCCTGCTAATACTGCTCTCAGGCAACATATCATTTCCATACAGACGACGACGCCATGGCCTATCGAGTCATCGGATTGGCAGCGCGGATGTGTCTAGAAATGGGACTTCATCGTCGGGATGCTTTGGTCAAGTCCTTCCCCAATGAAGACCACTGGAACGAGGTCACCCGATTATTCTGGTCGGTCTATAGCTTGGATCGACGATGGAGTCTAGGGACAGGTCTGCCATTTGTGATCCAAGATGAGGATATCGATGCAAATCTACCAGAACCGGTAAGGTTACAATCATTTTCTATCATCAATTTCAACTGACAAAGACGCACAACAGGACGCATCACTACCCTACCTGCGTTGCATGATTCTCTACAACCGTATCAGCTCCAAGATCTGGTATTCTGGTTTAGGGTCAGAGGGGGCGACTGACATTCGACGGGACGAAATTGGATACCTGGATTATCAGATTCTGCAATGGTACAAGCAGATTCCAGAAGAATTAAAGTTTTATCCTGTCGAGTCACCCAAGACCGGAGAAACCGCAAGCAGGGGCATGAGACGCCTCAGGGTTCTCTTGTATCTGCGAATGAACCAGCTCCGAATTTTGATCTACCGCCCCGTCCTTCATTCATCTGCTAGCATCGCAGAGGACCGGGGCCACGCCCAAACAGTGGTGGATGTAGCAAAGGACACAGTCCGAGTGCTCACCCGCCTGAACCAAATGTCCGACATCTACCGCACCCAGCAGATCACTTTCAACTACTTCCTCGTCGCTGCATTGGCGGTGCTTTTCCTTGCAGTGTCCCATGCACCGGCCGACTTCAACCGACAGGTCCGCGATGAATTCTACATGGCTCTCGATCTGATCAATGGGTTCAGTACCAAGTCCTTCGTTTCCAAGCGATTATGGAAGACAATCAAGGGCCTCCGCAAAATCGGAGAAAAGCTAGGCGTCCTAGCCCGACCTTTCGGGTCCGATTCGAACGATCCTCATTCAAGTGCTGCCGTGGCTATGGCCGGCCTTGCGGGACATCCGATTGAAGATTTGTCTATGTATGGGCAGACGAATCACGGAAATGAACTCGGCAGTAGTCCTCTTAATGGGCTCCAGATGAGCCATGAGTTGACCAATCTGTTCGAGGCTGTCGGTGCTTTTGGAAACTTCATCCCCGGCAGCACTGGTCCTGATACTATCGGCGGCTTTGTTGGAACCGACGGAGAGATTCAAAATACTGGTGAGGGTCTATCGGGTGTGTTAGGAGATGAGGGAGAGTTTGCCCGGGTCATTCGTGATCTATTTTGACGTATTCAATACCCAATTAATCCGATATTGCATGTTGCATGTTGCATGCCTTAGTAGTGTGATTATATTGTCGCAGTAGAGAGTAATGGACTTGTGGGGGTTGCCTATGCTGGCGAGGCAATATGATAAGCATAATTGTCAGGCTACATCTTCCATATGAAATGACGACAAATTCATCGTGTTCCCAGACACCTTGACTGAACGTTGACCAACTGTTCAGCCCTGACTTCACATGTATAAGCTGCTTTCCGCATCCAGATCGAACCAGACTATCGCACGTCAGCTTCACGTGACAGACTCCCCCGATCGATCTCCGCGAACCTCATTTCTGTTCTCTTCCAAACCCTCACATTACATCCATCCAGCGCTGATTCAAGAGTGCTTCACTCCCTTACCCACCGCCCCACGAACCGAACGCACCTAACCCGATCCGACCGACACACCAACCTCCAAGTCGACTCACTAATGATCCTCAATAACTCTTAGAGATCTCCCAGGTACGTGGATCATAATAAATTGTGGCATCAAATTTACGCCAAAACTGATAAGATTTTGGTGGGGTCCTTAGATCCAACGTTGATCGCACAATCTCCCCCCCCCTCCCTCCCGCACACTGCCATGAACGTCTAGCTTTTCTGCCCACCTCTCAGATCCCTAGCAATTCGTCAAGAATTGCTTCCCGTTACTTTCTCTCGAATCGCCCGCCTCGCAGTCGCACGACCGTATCCCTCGCCTTTTGCGTGACGAAATCGCTTCGGATTCGTCCTCGCCTACCTCCCCCGAAGCTTATACCCCCCAGCTCGGCAACGTGTCGAGAGAGACAGGTTCGGCGTTGGCCGACGGCCTCGACAGGCTGGAATTGAGTCAACTGTCTGAATCAACCTTATCATCGTCCGTGTCCGCATCGTTCGATATGTCGTCCTCGGAAGGTGCCCCAGAGTCCTGGATCTCCTCGTTTTGCTCATTGATGGGCCATGAGTTCTTCGCAGAAGTGTCGGAGGACTTTATCGAGGATGACTTCAACCTGACTGGGCTGCAGTCGCAGGTGCCTATGTACAAAGAGGCCCTGGAAATGATTCTCGATGTGGAGCCCGAGGATGATGAGGAAGAGGAAGAAGAGGAGGAGGAGGAAGAGGAGGACGAGGATGATGCGCTGGGCGATGGCAGACCCGCATACCGGAGAGCCAGCGATCGGCGACATGCCCGCGTCGCCAGCGATTTGAGCGTCATCGAGAGCTCTGCCGAGCTGCTCTACGGACTCATCCATCAGCGATACATCACCTCCCGGCCGGGCATTCAACAGATGCTGGAAAAATATGAGATGCAGCATTTCGGCGTCTGTCCGCGTGTCAACTGCAACGGTTGCAAGGTGCTCCCCGTTGGTCGTTCCGACACTCCTGGCCAAGAAACCGTCAAGCTGTTCTGCCCCGGTTGCATGGATATTTATACCCCTCCCAACAGTCGCTTCCACTCCGTCGATGGAGCCTTCTTCGGCACAACCTTTGGATGTCTGTTTTTCATGACCTTCCCAGACCTGGACATTGGGCCTCGCCTGGATGCCTCAATGTCGATTATGTCCCCCCGCAGTGCCGCGCCCACACAGTCCCGGGCTGGCTCCGTGACCCGTCCCCAGCCCTCTCGCCAGGGTCTCGAATCCCCGGAACCCGAGAACCAACCCTTAGAGATCAACGGCATGCGCACAACCAACCTCTGCCCGGGCCTGGGCAAGGGCCGGATCTACGACCCGCGCATTTACGGATTCAAGGTCTCGGAAGTCTCGCGCGTGGGGCCCCGCATGAAATGGCTGCGCACGAAGCCGAAGAATGTGATTGAGCTGGACGAGGTATGGAACAATGAGCAGGACACCTTGCTGCAGCAAGCCAAGGATGATAAGGATGGCGACACCGTGATGAAACCGGAACAAGTGCAAGATGCAGCCATCGCAAACCGCAAGAAGGCCCCTATGCGACGACGACGAAACCTCGAGCCGTCAGCACCTACAGATCCCATGGATGTGCATGGCCGATGAGTCGAGAGACCAGGAGGGGCCTGGGTCTGGTTCTGGGGGAGGGGGAAGGGGGTCGCGGGGATGTTGAATTTACACTGTCTTTAGGTTCAGAACGATGGCCCGGCAGAGGATTGGCTCAGGGCTTGATGGCAATGATGACAGATGCTGAACTTGATTTACCCACTGTTTGAATGCGATTCGTTCTAATCTATTGCGTCTCTCTTTTTTTTTTTTGCATCTTGCCAGTCTCTAGAATCGAATACCATACGCAATGCCGTCCTCTATGTGCAGTCTGTGTATATAAAAAGTGTGGTCGACAGACCAGACTACCTGCATGGAACGTGGAACATAGAACATGGAACATGGAACAAATGGAACCTGATATGATATGATATGATATGCATCGCATCTTGTCAGATCTACAGTACTACTACCTTGTACAGGATACCTTCAAGTGAACGGCCCTTCACCTCGTATATCTCCATACTCTAGAAGGCCTCTCACCTCAGCCCTGAAATTCACAGCCCAATCCACAGTCAAATCCACAGCCAAATCCAGAGCCAAACCCAGCCAAAGCCCAAGCCAGCCCAAGCCAAGAACAACAGAGCCTCCACCTCTCATCCCACAAGTGATCTGCAAAGAGCCTCAGCGTATCATCATATAACTTATTCCTCGTACACCGGCCACCCCGACCAACCCCCAGCCAGTCCAGTCCAATCCGCAACCCGCAATCTCAACCCGCAACCCGCAATCCGCAAAAGCACCGTCCATGCAAGTCCCAAAAAACGGGCACATCGGCGACGCCGATGGACCAAGCTGCACCATCGCCCTGGTATTGGTCCAGATCCCAATCCCAATCCCAATTGTGATGTGAATTGTCATCATTGCTGTACAGTACTCTACAGTATACGATTGATATTACCAAGCAAGTCCGCTTCGGCATCATTGATTACTTATCTACTATTCTGTACCTACCTATCTCCGGGCCTGCTGTGTGCTGTGTGCTGACGACATGCTACCGTTACTATTCACGTCAACGTTACTCCAGGCTGGGACTTACTGTCCATATCAAGTTGAAGCTAACGCCGTCCAAGAGCGCTAACGCTAACCTCCGGAGAAAGCGGGCGAGCGGAACGGCGGGTGTGCGGTCCTCTTTTGCTCTGTTGCTCTCTTGGGCGCGTATATGTATGTGCATTTGCAGTTGCAGTTGCAGTTGCATTTGCATTGGCGTTTTTTATATGTCGATTACTGGATGGTGGTGTGTATCCTTGCTCGGTGCTGTGCTAGGGTTGTTGGAGCATCCTTGTCAAACCCGAGATGGTGGAATGGATCATGGATGGATTGTGTGTGTACAGCACAGAACACCACTGTATAGTACAGTAAATCAGGCAGTTTGGGTAAATTGTCATATGAATCGAGACCGCATGCTATCTAGGTAGGATAGGGAGACATCCTTGTCTGACTTGGGGTTGATTTGGGTTGATTTGGGTTGATTTGGTCGGATTTGGTCTACTTTGCTTTGTTTACTGTGCTTCCTCCCGGCTGGGAGTTTGTTTTGGTCTTAGTATGAGCAGATTAGTGGGTTTGAGTGCTTGCTTTGGGTTAGATAGAGGCGTGGTTATTGCCACGCTCGCGAGACTGTTGGTGCGATGCTTGCTTTTCCCCCCTGCCCCCGCTGGATCCTGCATTGCGTCTTGCGTGCGTGCTTGCTTTCTGGTCGGATAAGTTCACTTGGATTGTCACTTGTTGGAGGTTGGAGGGGTTTGATTGCTCTTAGCGCTTGGCTCCTTGCCTCGCTTCTTTTTTTCCGGCCAGTCAGGTCCTTCTGGTGCTCTGGTTTCTTGGTACCAATGGGAGGGCGCTTGGCAGTGTTGGTTTTTTCCTTTTTTTCTTCTTTTCTTTTTGGCTTGGGCTTGCTTTTGCTTTTGTTTATCCTTGTTGTCTTTGTTGTCTGTGTTGGGGTGGCTTCACTTCATAGATCTTTGCTCGTGTCTACACTACGCTGGACTGGACTGTATACTCCATCCGATCCGCGGTGAGATCTTAAACCTTAAACCTTGGGAGAGGCCCTGCATAGGCTTACATCTTGGCAGTGGATGCTATCGTGAACAATAGGCGAGCCGTGATTGCTCGAGGTGCAGTAGTTGCATCGCCATCAGCACGTTATCTACTTACAGTATACAGTTTGCGGTGCGCGGTCTCCACTGTCTATTGACAGACATGGAATATACTGTCATCCCACCGTGAACTAGCAGATATTGTACAGCATACAGCATGATGACCTGGGGAGGGGGGGGGGCACATACAGTAATATTGATTGAAACGTGCAGCAGGCAGCAGGCAACCTTGCTAGACCGTCCCAGACAAACCATTGGGAATGGCACATGGGTCAGATACACATGTTCTGACGAGATCCCCGAATGAATCCCCGAATACACCCTGCATATGAACTGTCCAGGATCAATTCACCGGTGGCCTGCACATTACACTACACGAGATGCATATTCCACACGTGGCGGTGGTCAGTGTGAACGGGGCAACGTCCTCGTAGCCCTATCACCGGCACCCACCGGACTGATTGTCTGATGTCTGATGTGTGATTCTGATGTCGGATGTCCGATCTCTGATCAACCGGCAACTAAATTAAAGTGTCAAGTAAGACGGTTAAAAAGGATAATGGTCTTGGCCATATTCCTATTTCACTCAAGTGTGCACCTGGAGCGACAGCATGCTCCCACCCCGTCGGTAAGGCAACCTAGGGCATCTCGTCCCAAGACCTTGGTCCCAATGAGAGAGCCGCCGTAGCGAACACTATCGCGTAAATAGGATGCAGTGCCGAGCCGACTGTGGTCGATAATCAAGAATCCCAATGATCAGGTTCAGGTCGGGTTCATGTCCACTTGAACGTGCTGTCGGCCTGCTAATATACTCTATATTGTTCTATTGTCTGATATTTAATCTTACCGAGATTGCAGCCCTAGTGCTGGCCCTC